CTACTACTACTACTACTACTACTACTACTACTACTACTACTACTACTACTACTACTACTACTACTACTACTACTACTACTACTACTACTACTACTGCTACTGCTACTGCTACTGCTACTGCTACTGCTACTGCTACTGCTACTGCTACTGCTACTGAATACATTTATTATTAGACGGAGAGTACTGTACTTGCAGTTAGTTTCTGCCGCATGGTCACTCCCCTTGAACGAACTATCGATCTTTGAACCACAAATCCTCAACGACTAGTCTGCTCGTCGATGACTTCACGCGTGCTTCGTTGCGATATTCAATGCTGTGGGGGTCCCGCATGACCCAGCCCATCGCGCAACCCAATCGCGACATATAGATTGTCGGTGAATGACATGCAGGAGGAGGAGATTGTGTCGATATATTGTTTTTTTTTGTCAAGCGTCGTCGCAAAAAAAGATCGGGAAGATATGAATCCAATCTTTGTTCCAGAGGGAGGCGTGTGTGTCGCAGAGAGGGAAATAGATTGCAAACTTCGGCGCTAGATATCCCACAGATCCGAATTGGTGATTCCAACGATTAGGCGTGTATGCATGGAGGCCGTCGCGGTGGTGTTGTCTTTGTCCTGCTGCGAACTCGGCCGCCCTGCTGCAGTCCCAAAAGGATACAAGCGTTTGGTCGGATTCGAGAGGCGGACGATCCGGGACAGAGACGCCTCCCACCGCCACCATCATCAATCGCTATGGGCACCGATGACGAGGGTAGTAATGACGATGGCGATGATGATGGCGATGATGATGGTGGTGTTGTCCTGCGAACGCTTCACAAGGTCGCCGCCGCGATGGGATTCTCGGGACTGGGCTGGAATGCGCTGCAATGCGATGCGGTCGATGATTAACATCTCACATTACAGGACCAACCCGACAGGATACACACACACACACACACATACACACACACGATACGGCACCTAGGGGATGCGTGAGCTCAGCGCATATCACAACAGGCTGGAGGGGACGAAAAAGCCAGGCTCGCGACGAGTATGGTCAATGGGATTCATGGGACAATCGCTGGCGCGCTCAAGCGCGGTGGGCTATTGACCAGTCACGATGCAGTGCGCCCATGTGGGAGTGTGAGCACGTCCAGCTGCTGGTGGGCGCCCGGCCCAACATTTCCCTGTCTCTCTCTCTGTCTCTCTGTCTCCCTGTCTCTCTCCCTCAGCTTTTGGCTTTTGGCTTGTGACATTTGGTACAGGACGTGGATGGCTGCAGTCTGGAGTGTGTGTCTGTCTGCCTGTCTGTCTGCCTGCCGTGCCCGCCTCCTGTGAGAACGATCGCAGTCTGGTAGAATCTGCGTATATGGCAACAGTCTGGTAGAATCTGCGGACGTGGCTGCAGTCTGGATGTGTGTGCGGCCGCCTCCTCATCTTCTCCTTCTCCTCTTCTTCACTCTCCCAAACTTTCGCCAATGAGGGTAGGCACAGGACCACAGGTACAGCGGACAGCCCTGGAGGGACAGGCACAGATCCAGATACAGGTCCGCGGTCCACGGTCCAGCACAGTGCGGGCGAGTCGATTCTCTGGTTTCGTCCGAGACCCTGTCTCAACCTCACTCGCTGGATTCTTTCCTCCGCTCTCCCCGACCTCACTTCACCTGCACCCTCGAGCCAACCAACCAGCCAAACCCATCGCCACGAGCCAAAATCCCCCTCGCTCCGTCCACCCGTCCATCCCTCTATCCCTACTTCCTACTTGTTCCCTCCTCATCATCGACCTCCATACCTTGCTGTGTGTTGCCGTCATTAGTCTGTAGCCCGTGCCGGCGGTTCTGCCAGGGCGATTCCGCGCTGCGCAACACACCCCGGCTCTTCTGCCGGCCAACGAATGACAATTCGACGGCGCCAATCCTCTCGCTCTATTGACAGGCTACACCCCATTCAGCCCTTTTGTTCCTCGCGCCCACTGAGGGATTGCCACACACTGCTGGTGTGCACGCCAACCGCGTCCGTCGGGCTCTGCCACGCTGGCATGGATGGACTCCCTCTTCGCGGGGTGTGTCTGATTTGCTCGCTGCGAGGATTGGGTTTGTCGTCGTTCGCGTACTCGTTCGCTCGAACCTGGGCGCGGCGCCTCGCACACCGACCTCTCGCGTTTCATGTTCGGGGACGGTATGCAGAGCTTCTCCGTCCAGTTGGACCTTCTAGATCGTGCCTGCCAGGTATGCACAGATCGCATCGTACCTCGCTACCACCCGAGACAAATCGCAGAGCTGTACATGACAGGTTCTCGATGTTGATCATCATCTGCCTCCCAGACCAAAGCCATGCCCTGGGCGGTTCCTAGTCCGACGTCTGCGCATAGAAAGAGGTGTGTCGGTACGTAGTGAGGCTCCACACACCGGCCACATGCACATCTGAACTCAATTTGATTTTCCTCCGATGGTATGCATTCTATTCTGTTCTCGTGGAGGGATTGTCTTGATCACAAGCATATGCACATTCGTATTCATATCTCTACGACCTTCCCTCATCAGTGGCCGTTCGCACTTTGTCTTTCATTCGATCGCAGGACCATACTAGCAAACGCTCTTTGCACAATTTCGTTTCCCTTCAGCAGAGACGGTCGCATCAAGCGAACCATTGACCATCATCACGACATATCCATGTACTGTTGAGTAGCAGCGATGGGCTCATTCGCGGTTCGAAGTGAGCCCTCACAAGGATGGCTGGCCACCTGGTTCTGTTGCTCCAGTCGCGACGAAGAAATCAATCGCCAAGATATGAAACAAGAGATTTCGTTGCGAAAGGCTTCTTCACATAGTGGGTCCTCACTCTGTCTTGGTAGAAAAGTGCTGTGGGAACAGTTGCTGATGTTAGTCCTCCAGCTTATTCTCGTGCCGGCACGACCATGACCTACACACAAAACCCACCCCAAAACCCAACAGTCTCTACAAATCCTCAACATGATCAATTCACACGTCCCATCGAGAATGGCGACGAATTCATCCGCCCTCAGGACCGCGTACGACCAGCATCCGCACAGGTCTCCTCCAGCAGGCCATTGGACTCGGATACAATCTCTTTGCCTCCAAGAAATCACCACTCGTGGCACTCACGCTCCAGGAACACTTCTGCGCACGATTCGCGCCCCAGTATCGGTTGGCCGACCGACTTTCGTCGACTGGACTATACAGAGCCTCAACGGCATTCTCTGGTCCCACTAAAGCTCAGCCCTGTCACTCTCGGTCCATTGCCTTACCAGAATCATTCTTCTTCACGTTCTTTGCCGAATTTCGATCAGTCCGCATATCACCAATCTCAAACTTCCCAGCCATCAATACTCAATCATTCAGCACCATCAAATCCTGATTTTCCTACCGTCCGATATGCAGCCCGAGAAGACTTCAGACCACCCAAACTTCCAATCTCGACCCATTCATCGTCGAGCTCCATCCGCTCAATGAAACAGCAAGCTGTCGATACGCATTCATCAATAATATCACGTCCAATCTCTCTCATCACCCAATCCTCTGCCAGTTCACTACGTTCATCCCGACGCCTCCTCCCAGAGACAAGCAGCAACTCCCTCTCGAGTAGGGGATTACCACGCCTACATCGCAAACGCTCAAGCCAATCTGCTCGCAAGTCCATGGCAGACGATTTCGATTCGGAGATCGACAGGGAAATCCTGGAGCTCAACACCATCGTCGAAGAACGCCGCGCAGAGGCCGCCCGCGCGCAGGTGCGAGACCACAACCACATTCCCGCCGTCGCACCCCGGCTGGCAGGCAGGGCACGTTCCGAGACTCTGACCGATATCGGCTCCGCCCTCTCGCGTCCTCTCCTCGCAGGATCCCTCCCGGTCTCCATGACGAACCGCCTCTCGCGACCCTTCACATCCGTCCCAGAACCCTACGAGCGACCGATGTCCTCCCAGTCCGATCCGCGCTCGAGTTCGAGGGTCTCAGGCTGGCTGCATAACGTGCTCCCTTCGCCGCTCTCGCCCGCCGCATCGGAAGCAGCAACGAATCACCAGCGGGTGGCATCGGACGTCTCTCAACTCACCGTGGGAAGCTCGGCGAACTCGCCCTCTCTAACGAATGCGTCCTCCTCGCACACGACGAATGGTCACAGCAGGAATCCCACGGCGGATTACCGCTTCCCGCCGCTCTCGCCGCCGATGCTGGACGCCAGTGGTCATCCGTCGTCCGCGTATGAGGGTGTTCCTGTGAAGAAAGCTGGCGAGTGGCGCTTTGATCCGGCCGATGGGCGTTCCTCGGTCGGAGTCGCGTTGTAATGAATTAATGTATGTTTTGGATATGTATGGAAGGGATGGAACATTTCACTTGGTCTAAGAGATTTGTTCGGGAGATGCTATATCACGGCCCACGATCCTTACAGATATGGAAAGAGCGACGACGAGCTTGGTTCGTGACATGGAAAAGTATCGTTATGGCTCCAGATGGGGCATGAATTATGAATAATATTACTTGGCTTTGCAAAAAGTGTTTCGAAGTGGTGACTGTTTGTAGGGGCGGGCCACCTTGAAGTTTCTGCCGAATGACCGTTCGCCTGATGATCCTCAATGTGCATCGTCGTCATGCATTGCTCGACCGTCTGATGTCCATGTTTGTGGGAACGTCACTATGCATCGCTTCGGCAGCAGCGCCCGAATGTGCACAGATGACTATAATCCAAGATCTGTACATCCTGCTAGAACAAATCGTAGGATATAAGCGATGCAGGTGTGTCCATGGAATCGACGTGAGACATCTTCGCGGTCGCATGACGGACAACCCTAAATCGACCCTAAAATCTTCGATGCGGGCATTGTGCTTTCGCGTGCATCCAGCGAGCTGCGGGCTTATCTGCCCACATGATGCAGACCGCAGGACCATTATCGTCGCAGACCTCTATCTATCTTCGACAGCCACCCGCGGTCGAGATCACCGGGACCCCAGATCATGGAGCATCTGGCTTGATCCATCTTTTCCGGTGGCGTCTGGTCGACTAAGATTGCTTTTTCTTCTCGTCGATGTGGGATGAAGTCTAACCGGTGCATCTCCTGCCGCTGTAATGCGACGGCCCTGGATCTGAGATAACCTCGCTCGACAGATGTGCAATCGAGTACTGCTGCTCCAATGGGACATTGTTGACCATGGCGGCTGAAGATCGCCCCGGCGAGAGTCGCGATGCATCACACCTCGACACCGACAACACCTCCGAGGAGCCGATCGCGAACGAGAAATCAAGCGGTTCGACGAACTCCGACGAGAATGGCGGACCTTTGGGGCTACACTCGCATCACATCCATGAATATTCCCGCCGCAAATCCTCCGTAGCCGCGGGTTCCATGCGACCGTACAGCGACCCGAACAACATATCCAAACCACGCCCCGCGAGAAAACCCTGGTGGGATCTACGGTCCGACACGAGAGGGCAGGATGGAGCCGACGAACGCTGGTGGTTCGCGAGCACGGCGATCCCACTGATCTCGGCAGCCATCGGACCGCTCGCGAATGTCCTCTCGATCGCTGCCCTGGTGACATCCTGGCGGTCCTGCTTGATCCCGGGAGCGGACACCTACGACGCCGCCGCCTCCTGCGTTTGGGACGAGAAGGCCATGCTGGCGGCGAACTCCACGCTGCTGCCCGAATTGCAGGGCACGGAGTTCACGGATCCGATCTGGTGTTTGAGGCTCAACGTCATCTCGCTCGTCTTCGGATTCGTGGGCAATTTCTTCCTGCTGTGCAATTTCACCAGCCGCATCAGGTACATCGTCGCCCTGCCCGCCACCATCGTCTGCTGGTACATCGCGACGGGGATCCTCACCGGCATCACCATCGGCATGGCGGTCTGGACGCCCCCCCACGGCCCGGAGCAGACGTACACGCAGGGATTCTGGTACGCGGTGATCGCGTCGTGCATGTACATGATCTGCGCGATGCTCCTGATGGTCAACATGGCGGGGTACTTCCTGGGGCATTACCCGCAGCAGTTCAACCTGACCGATTCGCAGAAGACGCTGATCCTGCAGACCATGCTGTTCTTTATCTGGCTCGCGGGTGGGGCGGGGGTCTTTTTCCGCGTCGAGACGGATCTGGGCGGCGCAGGGTCGAGCGAGGATATCATCTGGAGTTATGTGAACGCGCTGTACTTCTGCGACGTCACGATCCTGACGGTCGGTTTCGGAGATGTGTATCCTAGTACCGATTTGGGCAGAGGTCTTGTCTTTCCGTACTCGGTCGGCGGCATCATCATGTTGGGGTTGATCGTGTCGAGTATTTCAAGGTTCGCCAGGGAGTTGGGATCCCAGAACGTGGTGCGCCGACATATCGAGAACAACCGGATCAAGACCATCGAGCGGACATTAACGACAGAACGGGAGTTGAGTCGAGAGAACACTTTCTCCAACGACAAAGACAAATCAGGCGCGCTCAAGCGAGATGCATCCGATGAGACCCTCGGCGGCCGCCCAGCTATATCAGCTCCATTCGCGCCAAAAAGTCGATCTACAACCATAAGCTTCGCGGGCGTGAAAGTCCCAGATGACCCTCTACCGCCTGCGAACGCCATACAGACTCTCCAGAGAGTCGCGACCATGGCCATGCGGCCAAGGAAGCCTCGACTACTACTGCTACGCGAGGAGAAAGACCGATTCGATGCGATGCGGCGCATCCAGGCCAGCACGGCCCACTTCAAGACGTGGTTCGCCTTGTGCATGTCTGTCATGTCCTTCGGCGTGCTCTGGTGCGTCGGCGCGGCGGTGTTCTGGCAGGCGGAAAAGGAAACCCAAGGCATGACGTACTTCCAGGCCCTGTACTTCTGCTACGTCTCCCTGCTGACCATCGGATACGGCGATCTCGCGCCCAAGAGCAACGCCGGCCGTCCCTTCTTCGTCTTCTGGAGCTTGATCGCCATCCCCGTCATGTCGATCCTCGTCGGCGACCTCGGCGACACGGTCATCAACCGCTTCAAACGAGGCACATACCGCCTCGCCGACTTCACATTTCTACCGCAGAAGGGCACCTGGCGGCAGTTCCTCACCGGCCACCCCGCCGCCCTCCGATGGCTCGCCCGGCAGAAGCAGAAACGCGAAGCCCACAAGCGCATGGAACAGGGCTTCCCCGTCGGGCCCGAAGACGAGCCCGAACCTCAACGCCCCGCGCCCCTGACAATCGACCAGCTGGCCAAAGACGCCGATCCCACCGACACGGAGCTCTTCAGACAACTGGTGCTCAAGATGCGCGAGGTCGAAAGCGATCTCCGCGCGCACTCGAAGAAACGCTACACCTACGAGGAATGGGTGGAACTCACGCGGTTGATCCGCTTCACGGCGACGAAGCCCGAAGGTCGACGCCAGGAAGAGGATGGGGAGGAGGAGGGCCTTGTCGAGTGGGATTGGATCGGCGAGGATAGCCCTATGATGACGAGGAACAGTGAGGCGGAATTTGTCCTTGATCGGCTTTGGGAGAGTTTGCAGAGATATGTCAAACGGAGCACGGTGAAATTGGATGAATTAGACGATAGAAATTCGGAAGAGGATGTGGTCAGCAGGAGGAGGAGGAGGACTGGCGAGGATGATGGTGATTGATGAGGTCTAATGTTCTTTTTGATTCTCGAAATTTGCTTTTTTAATGCACTTTTTTAGAAATTTGAACACATTTTGAATACTTGATCCAAATAAAATGCACGTGCGTCTTGACTCGATTCTGTACAATCAAGAGTGAAGTGTCTCCGGCAGTTTCATGACAATTCCTGAGGAGGAGAGATGGTGATTTGGCCTGCCGACCCGAGGTGTGAGAGTCATTCTCACATCCAGGCTCCCTCCGGCCTCTGAGCGTTGAAACATCTGACGCCGTTCTCGACCCATCTCCCAAGGTCCATGAGAGGATATACTTGTCGCATTGGCTCGTCGAGGTTTGCTTCCTCTCTCTCAACATGAACAATGGCTGACACAGGTGGGCCCGTAATTTTGTTGGCACTCGAGGATATGACCGCTGCAGAAGCATTTGCTGGCGCAGATCGCGCTGTCTGTGCTGTGACAATCGTCAGTGGCGGTGCAAGCCCTGGCGGAGAGAAAGAGAGAGGGATGGACGAACCATGTCAATGCCGCATGTGAGGAACCCGATAGTGCGAAGAGAAGCGCGGCGGTATATGGGATGATCGAGAAACGCATGGTGTTGGGAGTGAGGGGTTTAATGTATGGTGTTTTTGAAATGCTCTTTGCCTGGTAAGATCGCGTGTTGTAGATGTACTGGTTCAATTGTGGCGGGTTTGTTTCTCACTCCGCTCTTACAATGACGGTGGCAGAAGCGCGCGATATATGTTTATCATAGAGATTCTAGTTCACATTTGCCCTCGCTTGCACGCCTCGGCTCGTCGAACGACTATTATTGCAGTATTATGCAACGCGCATGGATCCCTCTTTTTCTCTCTGCAGCAGGTAATTTTTTAAAACGAGAGCCCTGAATGGCGTCCGGGTGACCGGGATGCCCTTTGTTAGCGACCAACCCAATGCAACTAATTACCTGCACCCCGTTGTCACGAGCAGCCTTGAAGAATCTCCCTTGGATCTCGGGATTTCGGCAGAGGGACGCCCGGATCTGACGACTCGATTCCCGAGATTGCCAGCGGAACTGCTACCATGAAATTCGCTCCGAAGAAAGCAGCCGATGTCTCGATTCATTCATACTGTAATTGACCATCGAAAGAACGGATGAGGCGATAACCGCCGACTGCCGAGTTCGTGATGATTGTTATTCCCGCAGGGCTCCAGGGGACAAGCTTTGGCGCAAAGCCTATTTGCTAGCTGCACATGTCGTCATTGCATTTTGTCCCTTGGCTTAGGAACGATGCTGACCGACGAACCGATGGGGAACAGGAGACACATACAGTAATGACCCCCAACCAAACAAACCATTATTATACTATAGTCATGTACATATATATGATCTATCGCCCGCATGGGATATCAGCTGATTACGCGCCGCAGGTGGTATTTCCAGAGAACCATGAATCGCGAAACTATCCTTGTCCAAGTCCCGAATGATCGTTATCAGTTGAATGCCTTGACTGCATCCTCAAAGTCGGGAACAAAGTCCGACCGGGCTGCGGGCCCTCCCCAACGTACATTCTTGTTCTCGTCAATGGCAAAAGACCCGGCGGTCTGCCATCGGCTGCCACTCTCGGTAGGACGGACCGAGATTCCTTGTTCCTTTTGCAGCTTGAAAACGTTGCTCAGAGCTCGCGGGTCGAGGACGTGGAGGAAGCCCGAAGCGCCCAACCCCCATTGACCATGCGATACCAGATCACTGTCAACCACGATTCGCAGGTTATCGGTCTCGCTACCGTAGTTCGGAAGCGACTTGTGCCATTTCTCCGTGGCTTCCTTGTTGCTGTGCGACACGGCGATGAAGTCGATGTCGGAGTGCTTCTTTGCGGATTCGCGCAACCGTAGAAATGTTTGCTCCGCGAATGGACAGCCGCAGTGACGGAGGAAAGTCACGACTGTGCGTTTGCTGGGCTCGAGTGAAAGATTGGGGGATTCGGGCGCTCGATCTCCGACCTGCGGAGGTTGCGCCCGATTGGGCACCGAGTGGAAGCCGAACCAGGATTGAAATTCAGGACCGAACATGATGGCAGTGTGAAGATCCTGTATGTATTAAGATGGAGACTGACGAGAGGGGGTGGAGTTTTGCCAGTATGATAGAGGTGTCGCGGCCACGAATTTTGAAGATCGAATGCTGAGAATCGCTTTTGAACAACACCGCCTAAAAATCGTGTCCGTATGCTACATGTATTATGAAGCCTTTAATAATGCATCACGACACACCGGATCAAATGGCAGCAGCATGACGTCAAGCAGTTGTCTGGGTTATGCACGCAATGTATCTGGCTTGCGTACCAGGCTATAAGTTTTGTGCCTGAGGCGGGAACACCCGCATCAAGCACGTGCCCCGATACGTGCGTGGCTCGGTTCAAGGTGACGATCACAACGCCGTATGCCTAGCGATCACGGTACCATCTTCAACATCAACATTCGTGATCGCCTCGCGACAATCACTCGTGCGCTGAGATCGTCATGGGTGCTCTATTATCACTACCGTTACTTGCGGTCCCCAGCATAGGCAGTGTACGTCCGCAACAGGAACCATCTCGTAACAGTTGCTGACCCATATCCCAGTTGATCACCTTCGGCGCGTCTTGTTGCGGAGCTGTGAGTCGATGGCAAATATGACGATGAACCTCTCAGGATCATTTCTGATGGATGTCTGCATCTAGGCGACATGCTCGGCAGTATGCTCAGCTTGCGGGAAATGTAACAACAGTGTCGCCACGAGAATCGCATACGCCTTGATCCTCCTCGTCAATTCGGTCTTCTCATGGATCATGCTCACGGACTGGGCGGTTAAAAAGTTGCAGGGTATACTCTTGGACTACGTCTCGATCGACTGTGCCGGAAACGCCTGCTTCGGATTCGCTGCGGTGCATCGGATCAACTTCTCTCTCGGCCTTTTCCATTTCTTCCTCGCATTCTTGCTCATTGGAGTCAACTCTTCGAAGGATAATCGCGCACAATTTCAGAACGGATTCTGGGGACCGAAGATCGTCGTTTGGCTAGGTCTCATTGTCCTAAGCTTCCTCATCCCGAACACTTTCTTTGAGGTCTGGGGCAACTATGTCGCGCTCACCGGCGCAATCCTGTTCCTGCTCCTCGGGTTGATCCTCCTTGTGGACCTGGCACACACATTTGCTGAATTCTGCATTGAGAAGATCGAGGACACCGACTCTGGCCTATGGCGAGGAATTTTGATTGGCTCAACATTGGGCATGTATCTCGGCAGCTTCGCGATGACCATCGTGATGTACATCTTCTTTGCGCACAGCGGATGCTCGATGAACCAGGCCGCTATCACAGTACGTACATGATGAATGGTGCGCCTTCAAGCCGATAGCTAACGTGCACAGGTCAACCTTATCCTCTTGATTGGGATCAGCGCCATGTCGATTCATCCAGCCATCCAGGCTTCCAACCCGCGTGCTGGCTTGGCACAAGCTGCCACAGTCGCGGTATACTGTACATATCTCACCTTTAGCGCTGTCGCCATGGAGCCTGATGACAAGATGTGCAACCCGCTCGTTCGCGCCACCGGCACACGTACAGCTAGCATCATCATCGGAGCCATCGTCACATTTGTAACTTGCGCATATACGACGACGCGTGCTGCGACCAACGGACTCGCCCTCGGAACGGGCAAACCGAGTGGATACAATGCGCTCAGCACTGAGGAATATGGCCACGACATGGTCAACACGCAGCCCGAGAGTCGACGAGAGATGCGACAGGAAGCTCTTCGTCGGGCTGTAGAGTCTGGTGCACTTCCGGCATCTGCGCTGAACGATAGCGACGACGACGATGATGACGAGGATGACCCAAGATCGGGCAAGCATAAAAACGACGACGAGAAGCAGAGAACGCAGTACAATTATACCTTGTTCCACATTATCTTTATGCTTGCGACAGCATGGGTGGCGACGCTGCTGACTCAAAACATTGGCAGCGACAAGAAGATGGACGAATTAGATGGTTTCGTGCCCGTGGGAAGGACGTACTTTGCAAGCTGGGTGAAGATTACATCGGCTTGGGTGTGCTACGGTATCTTCGGTTGGACGCTGGGAGCACCGCTACTCATGCCTGATCGATTCGACTACTCGTGAGAATGCCTCATTGGATCGCAGGTGGATCTTTACTTTCTACGATAGCTCATAATCGAACCCATGTTTTATGATTGAAACTAGCGTGCAAGTAGAGGCCGTGGGGTTTGTGCAAAGCGAGCTTAAGATTGCAAGCTGGAGCTCTCTCCACAGTACCATTGCCCATATCTCCGACTTCGCATTGGAGACCAGCTGGAGCTCAAACACGCTATGATGTGACCGGACAATCCAGCTCATTTATTTAGAATTGGAAGGTTTGACATTTCCCACGAGACCAAAGATCCTACAAGCATCGTTGAAGAAAAGCCAGCATAATCTCAGCAACAGCCTTTGCTCAACAAGCTCCGAAAATGGCGGCCCAACATTCCCCCGAAGAGATCAAAAAGGCTCACGAGATCCTCTACGCCGAAGGCATCCGGATCCGAGAACAAGTCGCCGGCAAAGCCTTTGTAGAGAAATCCCTCAACAACGCAAAAGGCAATCCCTTCGCAACCGCTTTACAGGAGGTGATCACCCTTGCCCCCAATTCCGTCTGATCGACACGACGATAATCCGGCAAACACTGACGATCTATCTTTTTCAAATCTCACAGTATGTCACCGAAGGCGCCTGGGGTTCCGTGTGGACGCGGCCGGGGCTGGAGCTCAAAGTGCGATCGTTCCTGGTGATTGCTATGCTCGCCTGCCAGAACCGCGGCACAGAGTTGGCGACGCATGTCAAAGGTGGATTGAACAATGGTGCTACGCAGGAGGAGATCCGGGAGGTTTTGCTGCAGGCTGCGGCTTACAATGGGGCGCCGACGGTGAGTTTCTTTTCTCTTTCGAATTTGTTTTCCCTCGGAGGAGGAGATGGGATGAGGTGACATACATGCAGCTTGCTGATGAGTGACAAATGGGTCAGGCTGTCGAGGGATTCCGCGTGGCTTGGAAGGCGATCGAGGAGTGGAATGAAGAGCAGAAGGCCAAGGCGAACTGATTGTGATTCGAATATCGCAAGGTTCACGGATGTCTCTCTCTTCGGCATGCAAGGGTTTTGAGCATACCTAGAAGTGGTCGTGGTAATACAAGCTCAAATCAACAGGCGTCTAAAATACGATGGGTAAACGATTAGCAATACATCCATTTCGTCTCATTGAACCTGACCATTCCCGCCAAACTATCCATTATGCGAACGGGGCCCTCGCAGAAGACCAAATCGCCTTGAATAGCGCAAACTGAACATCACAAAGAGAGATACGACCAACTATCCCGCATCTACTGTCCATCTCGCGACTTGCGGTACTCAGTCTCCTGCTCCATCTGAAGATCGCTGATGCTCTTGCTGACGTCCTCGAGGATCTCGGCGGCGCGAGCGTGGTACTCTGCCTGTGCCTTGATAAGCTCAGAGAGGTTGCGCAGCGGCTCAGGGGTGTCCAACACATTACGCATGATGCTCGTGGCCTCGTCAACCTTCTCCACAAAAAGATCCTCAGCGGACTCGATCGCGCGCCTCTGGGCCTCAGTGTAGCTTTCCTCGTGTCGACCTCCAGCAGCCGCGCGGCTCTTTGCAGCGTCAAGTTGCAGGCGGGCATTCTGCACTGCTGCGCGCGCTTTGTCGGCGGCCTTTATGCTCTGGTTAAGAGTGGCGCTCCAGCCCGCCAGGAATTTGTTCTGGATCTTCTCATCTTGATCTAATCGCGCCTCGCCAACCTTCTCTTCTGCGATCGCGAATTTCTCGAGACCCTGTGCGAGCGGGTCGGGTACGGTTGAACCCTGGGGTGTGGCGACGGCGATGTCGCGAGAGCCAGTGAGTGAGGCGCGCGCGATCGCGTGACTGAAAGTCTTGGGTTGCGGCTTTGCGGATGGAGGCGCCGTGAATGCGGCTTGCGCCTCGCTGGCACTCGAAGCCTTTGATAGCAAGTTTACCTGCGATATCTACATTAGCATCTCCATTTTGTGATCCTGTGTGACCTGAACGACCCACCTTCTCGCTAATGCTCTTGCCGAGATCGTTGAAGCTTTCGCGAATGTTGGGTGGGTAGTCATATGCCTCATTGGTATATTGGCTGGTCGCTGCAAGCAGCTTCTGGTGTGTGGTCTTGAGCGCATCGATTCGAACTTCAAGCTCGCTGTATTCGTGAGGCAATTCCGTCTTCTCCGTAGCATTGCCAGTCTGTTCCCGAATCCATTGCTGATTACGTGCCGCGAACGGCGTCATAACAGATGAGACCTGGTTTGTGAGGGCGAAGAACTTGTCCATGTTGGGCAATTATGTTTGGATGTGAACGTTGAATGTATTCTGGTAATGAAGTATGGTTGACAAGATCTTGGTCGAAATCGTCTCAACTTGTTTACTTGCACGATTGCGCTATGGTAAGAGCGTTGATGTGCCGCTGACTGATAGGCGCAGGCTCAGGGACTGAAGTGAGGCGCAGAGCGGACGTGCACACCCCGCTGCACGTGATAGTCGCGAAAACATCACAGTCTACAATAGATGTACACCATGACTTGGACTCTTCTCCGCATTTCTTTTCTGTTCAAACCTTGGATTCGACATCGACAAACCAACATCGTGCTGCTACGGGATGAACATGTTTGCAGAACAGTCAAGACTGCTTAAGAGAGACGGTATACTGATAGGACACATCCAATTCGCTAATAGTTAAACAGAGAGGTGATCTTTGTCCCGTTTCCTGGGGCCTTGCACCGCAGTATGACTCCGGGAAAGATTCGAGCATCAATGCCGTTGTTGCGATCCGGCCCGTATGGCAGTTGGTTGATGTTCACGTATAGATAACCATCAGTAGCCATCGATGCGCCATCTGGCCATATCATCCTCTCATCTCTCACAAAGCCGTGGGTCATCCCGTCGCGAGGGTCGAAATAGTAGATCGCGTTTGATTCGGGCATCAGCTGATAGATCAAGCCGTTGGAATCTCCTTCAAACCCATTAGCATCGCCGCCACGTTGCCCGTGACTGGAGACATTTGCATGAGCTTGAATCTCGGCAAGGGGATTCGTGTCTTGCTCCCTCAGATTTGCAGTCGGGATTGAATAAAGCTGCTTCGAGGTAAGCGCAGAGTAATACAGTCGCGTACCATCAGGACTGATTTGAACGCCATCAAGGCCTTCCTTTTCCCACGTGATTGGGGATGCCTTTTGACGCAAATAGCTTGGGCGGCCCTGATACGAAGGAACGTCGTTCTGCACGCGAAGAACCGACGGATCTTGGTTTAACCTCCTCCAAGCTTTACCTGTGCCAAGATCCACCATGATGAAACCAGGCCGGCCCTCGTTCGAGCTATCTACAAGATACGCAATGCCAGCTCCTGACGTGCCCGACAATTTGGGGTTGAAGTCAAAGCGAAGGTCGTTGAGATAACTGTCGGGAAAGTGGACTTTTGCATCAAATGTGAAGGTCTGGTAAATTGTGTCGTTCGCGAGTGATATCGCTACCAGTTTCGGACCTCCTGGCTGCGCGTAGGGCATAGACGGTTCTCCTTGTGCATTGTGGACGGTCGGACGTCCGGTATCGAGTACCCATAGGGTCTCCGGTCGACGTGAACTGGCAGGAGTGATGTATAGTGCTTGTACGCTGATGAAAGCCTTCGAGTTTCCTGAACCGAAATCGATCCCATTCCAGGAAGTGTTGAGCTTGCTCGGGGGCAAATTGAGTTCGGAAGAGGGATACGGCCTCTCGGCTGTCTTGTTCACCACTACTCCGAGAGTGTATTCATAAGAGCCTCTGGTGTAAGTTGTAAAAATTGTGCCATTGGAGCTGACGGCTATGCCGATTGGCCATTGTTTATAGTCTGATACATCGCAAACGTCAGTTAAAGCCCAAGCAAGTCGATTGATGTGTACTTCGTACAGTAATGAACTTCCTCCAAGGCTGGGCCATAGTTGCCACTGTCTACGCGCAAGCTTGGGTGACGATAGTCGTTGCTACTTGCTTGAGCGGCGGCAATGCCCACCAAAAGCTGCAGAGGCTTGAGCCACATCTGCATCAACATCGTGGCGGAAGCGGTTGAATCACGAGTCAAAGTAAACCAATCAATAAATCAGTTTATCATAAATGATGCTTGACGTGATGTCTTCTATATACCTACCCAGCTAAGTGAGAGGACTTGGGTTCTCGAGCACATGATGTCAACTTAGTAAGGTGAATGACAGTGACATCTCGTCATAGTAAAGTCTATCGCAACACGTGTGAACCAGCATTGCATTGGAGTTGTGCCTGCCATGCCGGCCACCGATTGCTTCATTGTGTAGCTCGGCACGCTACTTTGGTGGTTGATGCTATTCGGTCGGTAGCGTCAGGTTTATGGGCAATACATTAGGATATTTGACTTGGTGACGTCACGTGAATCGAAAGCTTGAAGCCTGTCCAGATGCTAATATACATGCTTGCCGAGTTCCGCTGCGCACGACCTTTGCTGATATATAATCACGGAGACGAACATCGTAGATGCCCCTCTGCTGACAGCACCGAGATGAAACGACTGCCGCTATTCGCCGTCGAGACGGCTCTGCTCCACGATGATCGCAATGCTACGGACCGTGGACCATGAGGAGGGGCGATTCTTCTTCTGTCAATAAAGCCCGCCCAAAGCTTGATGGACAAAGATCGCTCATTCGTTTGACACTAGCTGCTTTTAGCGACCGCCTGCGATGAGCCATTGATGACATTGAGGAGTGACTGTGCCGCAGCGTACGACTCATATTTGCACACCAGGTCATTCCTCACTTGAAGTTCACTTGAGGGCCTTTCTCTTGCAAGGTTATCACTGCATCACCTCAAAATACTCGAAGCTGAGAGGCCCGCGATGTCTACGCAAACTTACCTTCGCTGGGCCGACCGATCCGACATTCCTGCCATGGCCGAAATACTCGTACTGACCGGCGTGAATTTTGAGTTCCATGATCAATTCGCACCCAAGAGAAGCGAGCATCTAGATGAATACTACTTGTTCCTGCTCTGTCGAATACGAACACTATGGGCCATGCCAGGATTTCGCTTCCTAGTCGTCGAGAGTCTCGAGGTGCCAGACGCAACGAAGGTGACCCGCAAGCAAGTCATTGGAATGGCCGGCTGGATGCTAGATCAAGCTGACGGTCTCGTGGACGAACCAACAAGAGGCAGTGGCTGGTTTCAATCCCTCGAGCGTACCTTAGTCGCTACCGAGCGCTACTATCATCAGCTGTGTATAAACACAATCTTCGACACCACGGGCTTCGCCAGCCTGTTGAATCGCTTGCACGAAGCAGAGCTCGTCGGCCAACCCCAGATACATCTGCAAATACTTTTCGTACATCCAGAGTGGCAGAAGAGCTCTCATCGGGTCGGGCACAGGTTGTTGCAGTGGGGCATAGATCTATCGGATCGTTTGCAGCTTCCAATCGCCGTGACCAGTAGTCTTGCTGGACAAAAGTTCTACGCCAAACACGGATTCGAATTCCTGACATTCGTACGCGTCGATACAATACCGGAGCTGGCATATGACCAGCCCATCCTCCTCAAGAGGCCAGAGCCTCGTCCAAATGTACAGCCGTAGCAGATGGCACGTGGCTGCGACTCATTTAGACGATAAAGTTACATGCGTGGTTCTCGCATTTTGATTCGAATCAAGACCTTCCGAGCTGCCGTGTGATCTTACTGGACTCGGAACTCGTCTATGTTCTGTTCTTGCATCCTCTCTGCTCGTCGCGTATGCTCATGCAACGATCGTCTTGTGGAATAGGGGAATCAGAACCGTGCAACTTCAATGCCTAGCTGTTGCAGCACGAACTGAACCTGTATCTCCGGGCGCTTCCTTTGGCAATTCGATTCTACATAGCAAGCCTTGCAATTGAAGGCCTAGGTCATGATGATCGCAGGCATTGAATGACATGACCAGTTGTTTTTCTCGCATTCTTTGAGACAAGCGCAGCTCGAGCAGCTTGTGACTCACACATGCACCTGCATCTAACACTGCATTAGTAGTACATTGAATGTGGACACCATGCACGCAGCTGTCAGCCAATTCCATGGCAGTCTTGGCTGTCAGCAGTCTGCAGAGTAAGCTACGTACGAGGGTCAAATGAAATGCGATTGGCTGGACGGGATGTACAAAGTGGAGGAAAGCGGCCTCGCTGTTGAGTCTCCGTTGATATCTAGTATATAAGTGGAGCGCTGTCTAGAACATTGCAAAAAGCCCCGCTCATCACTTTTTACCCTCGTTCTGTCTCTAAATTGAAGGGACCAAACGAAAAAAAACGACCACCATGGCCAACCTGGAAGAACATGTCGTGGTATATGGCACAAAAGATGTGACCAAAGAGCTGTTCTACTATGCAGCCGGACCCGTGCCAGGCCCCTTATTGATCTTTATTCATGGTTGGCCAGCAATTGGCAAGACTTGGAAAGCACAGCTTCAAACCTTTTCATCTCTGGGCTTTCGCTGCTTGGCGCCTGATATGCCAGGCTATGGGCGCTCTACGTCTAGAAAGGTCGTAGAAGACTATTCCCAAGAGGAGATCAACAAGGGAATGCTCGCGCTATTGAACCATGTTGGACGTGATAGGGCAGTCTGGATCGGTGAGCATTGCCCGAAACGCTGGAGCTACCCTGTAATGAGATGCTGAATTATCGTGAAGGTCATGACTGGGGCGCGCCGGCAGTATGGGTCAGTGAGCTTCGTTTGTCCTCCTGTTCGACATCCAAGTTAATCATCTGAAAGAGCTTCGCCGAGCAATTCCCGGAAAGGTGCATAGGTGTGGTCGGTATGGCGATCCCGGCTCGCGTTTTCGAATCCGGCGGCCTTGAAGCAGCGGTCAAGACAGTCGATCGTGTCTTGTATCCCGCTGAGGAGGTATGTCTAAATACTGCGTGATAGCTAGACCCAGACTCACAACCATTAGTATCCTTATGGCCCTTGGGAATATCAGCGATATTACGAGCTCGAGTTCGAAAAGGCAACTCAATGGTTTGAATCGGACAGCAGAGCCGTGTTGAGAGTGTTCTATACGAAAGGAAATCCCAGCGGTTATGGCAAGCCATCACCAACAGCTACAACCATCCGCGACGGAGGCTGGCGAGGCGGCGGGGAGATGCCCGATCCGTCTTGGAGACAGATCCCAGATGCTGCAATGTGCATTGACCAGGATTTATATGAGGACCTTGTCACCGCGATGGAGACCACTAGTTGGTGGGGGGCTGATGCGTGGTACATGAATCACGCCTGCAACAAGGTATGGAATTCTACTCAGTCCGTATCAAGGCTCATCACGCCCCATCTACTGATCATGAATACATCTGCAGGCATATTTTGACGAGAAAGCCAAAAATGAAGGTTTTCTACCCATGCCGGTATTGTTCATCGAGGGCAAGTTCGACTTCACCTGCTCGACGGCCAATTCAACGTTTGCCGAAGCACAGCGCAAATATTGCACAGATTTGACCGAGGTCAACATCGAAGCGGGTCACTGGATCCATCTAGATAAGCCAGCGGAAGTCAATGCAGCCATCATCAAATGGCTCGTCCAGTCGTGTCCGAGTCACTGGCCAGGATTCTGGAGTGCAGGCTATGTTACGAACAAAGCATGATTGGAGATGATGAGATAGTGCATCGAGCCGATGCTAAAATGAATTGCGGGATTTCCTCATTATATCGATGAGATGGAAATGCATAATCCACCTTCGTCCTCCGTTTTGTGTCATGAGGGTGAACATGCTGCTCTTGGAGACTCGTTTCCGAAGTTGTGTGCCGGTTTTTAGCTTCAATTCGCCAGAGAGATATGAAGTTGTTGCTCCAATGCGTTCAAATCGGTCCGCTCATGGCTTCGCCGCAGTACCACCATTTTTGGCCCAGTCAAGCCAGCTGCCTCGGTATTCCGAAACATTTGAATAACCTACTTGGCGTGCAAGTTGGGCAGCTGCACTGCTTCGTACGCCTGATTTACAGTAAAAGATGACTTCAGCATCCGCAGTCGGTTTCTTGAAGCCGAAGCGGTCTTCGAATTCTTCCGCGGGCAAGAACAATGCATCGGGTTGTGATTTGATGGGAAGGTTGATAGCAGATGGAATATAGCCTTCTTGGTACTCTGAAGGCTCGCGGACATCTGTGAATAGAATGAGATGTTTGCATTTGATGAAATGGTTCCTCAAATGATCGTACCTATGATGATACGCTCGGCCGACGGCGATTTACTCATCTCTTGAACCTGTGCGAACTCGTAGACTTTGGCACCAGAAATTGGGTTGCTATGCCATCTGACTCCTAAAGGCTGTCTCGCGGAGCAGACTGCTTTCGGGGACTTTGCTGGAACATCGCGAATGAATCTCGAGACGGGCGCGGCGGGTGTTGCTAGCGATCTTGTTCGCAGTATAAATGCTGCCGATGAACGAAGGAGAGCCATTGAGTTTGATGTAATATAATGTAGACAAGTTTCTGATTATCTGGCCCCGAAGCTTTCTGTTGATGACGTTCGATAAAGTCGGCCAATGGAGAGATAACTCAATCATAATGAGCCTGGAGAGCGTCGGCGCTGAAGTAGATTACTTGGATCAAGATCACGTGGTCGCGCGTTTCCAGCCGCGTCTCTCGCGAACACCACTTCTCGATGACGAGATTACTGATCTACTTTCGTCGACCAACTTGGCGCGATTATGAATTCATTGTCTTTCAATCGGCATGGCTACAATCAAGGCCATAGAGTCTCGCTCGGTTCACCAAATCCAATCTGGCCAGGTAATTGTTGATCTAAGCTCAGTGGTCAAGGAACTTGTCGAGAACAGCCTCGATGCAGGGGCATCATCTATCGAGATAAGATTCAAGAATCAAGGGCTTGATTCCATTGAAGTACAAGACAATGGCAAAGGCATTGCTCCAGAGGATTTTGAGACTGTAGCTCTCAAGCATTACACATCTAAACTCTCTAGCTATGAAGATATTGATACCCTTGACACATTCGGCTTCCGCGGCGAAGCTTTGTCGTCTTTATGTGCCTTGTCAAAGTTCCACATCCTAACGGCCAGAGCGGAAGATGGCGCCGCAGGCAAAAGACTCGACTTTGAACAATCTGGGAAGCTCAAAAGCGCAAGTGTTGCTCCGGCGCAAAAGGGCACGACGGTGTGTGTAGATGACCTCTTCCACAATCTGCCCGTGCGCCGAAAGGAGCTAGAAAAGAATGTCAAACGCGAATATGGAAAGGTACTCAACTACTTATATGCATATGCATGTATCAGTGTGGGCGTTCGCTTCATGGTCAGCAATACTATGCCAAAGGGCAAGCGTATCCCTCTATTCACGACCAAGAATAACCCGTCCACCAGGGAAAACATCATAAACATTTTTGGAGCTAAAACACTATCCGCGTTAGTGCCTCTGGATTTGGGCTTCGACATGGAGCCTTCAACGAGCATCATGAGCCAGGTCGGTGGTCAACACGGATCGAATGAAGTCCGCGTGGAGGGCCACATCTCCAAACCTGTCTTCGGCGAAGGGCGTCAAGCTCCTGATCGCCAGATGTTTTTCGTCAACTCGCGACCTTGTCTTCTTCCTCAAATCTCAAAGGTTATCAATGATGTCTACAGATCATTCAATGTCTCCCAATCACCCTTCGTCTTCGCAAATCTTATCATGAATACCAATGCTTATGATGTTAATGTCTCGCCGGACAAGCGGACCATTCTTCTACATGACCAAGTAGCTTTGCTTGAAAGCCTGAAGAGCAGTCTGACCGAGCTTTTTGAAACGGCAGAACAGACTGTTCCGCAGACACATCTACCCAGCCAGAGTCGATCGTCACATCGCGTGTCGAGTATATCTCAGCGAGCGCATTCTCTTGATGGAAGTGCGCAGGATGACTCTGAAACAACACCATTGGGACGCATCGGGCGTGTAGAGTCTGAAGCAAGCGATTCATTACGAAGTAACGGAAGGGATGTCGAAGCCAGTCCGAGCTTGATTAAGAATTGGGCCACTCGCGGCTTCAGCGTTCGCAAGGAGTCTCCAGATGATCCAGACCGACGCCGCGCCACTGATCAAGCAGCCGCAGGCAATGGCTTGAATGGATCGTTTTGTAAGGCATCCGATCTCTTAAGCTCCATGGAAGAGGACTCGGCACCTCGATTACCTGTACATACAGATGAGGAGCCTAATGCGGCGGGTCCAAGAGTCGCAAACGGCCGGAAGACTGCGGATGGTGACAATTCGCGGGAGCAATTTTCAGGCCGCGAGCCGACAGGACTCACAAATTCAAATCAGCCAACGATACGAAGTATGTCTTTGCTCTCCCACAGAAGCTCGCCCGGGCCGGTACAAAGTGCGTTTGATCGAATGCGACCAAGACACTCACCACACCAGATTGCTCATATCACAATTGGCTCAGAGCCAACCAGAACTTCTATTGGATCAGCGTCGTCACAGAAGAAGCGGAGGATCCATATTCCTAACATATCGCGTTCATCTATCAACAGCACCGAAAGCCCTCTTGCGCTGCGTGGCAACAAGGAGCGATTCGCTGGTCTGAATAATCAACACGACAATGATAGCGAAGATCCCACATCAGATGAGCATAGCGAAAGCCAGTCTGAGCATGGCGATCTTTCTGACGCAGCAAGCAGTGCAGGTGCAGCCGATGACACTGGTGAAGCGATGACTTCTGCGCAGCAGACAGGATCCAGACGGACGAAAATAGACGCTGACAAGAGTCTATTCGTCAACGAGGGCGATTCTGACGAGGAGCCGATTGACGAAGTCGCACATCGAGTAGATGAAGATGGGCGCGTTGCACGACTTATCCTCGACGCCGAGGAAACGAGCATCAGACCTGGCCATGATCATGTCAAACGGGCAACACAATCGCTCAAATACAATAGCAATCGAAAAGATTCTGTGTTAAGACTTGCCACCACTGTCTTATCTGCAGAGGAAGAAGTCGCCTTCCAGATGCAATTCACTGATCCTTGCCGGTCATTTCCCATTGAAACAGATAGCAGTAATACGCATATCTTGCACGAGATTGACTCTTCCGAAGCGGAAAATACATTATCGCTTACCGTCAGCAAAAGCGACTTTTCCAATATGAGAGTGGTGGGCCAATTCAATCTCGGCTTCATCTTGGCCGTGCGACCACCTACAGAGGTACAAAACGAAGACGACCTCTTTATTATCGATCAGCATGCCGCAGACGAAAAATTCAATTTCGAGAAGTTGCAGCGCACCGTGACTCTACAGAGTCAACGCCTGGTGCGACCAAAGGTTCTTGAACTCACCGCCTTTGAGCAGGAGGTCATCTTGAACAATCACGATGCTCTGACATTCAACGGATTCGAAGTGGAGGCAATACCGCTCCCTGCAAACCAGATTGACGATGAAGAGACAACGCCGCAGACCCAAACATTCCGACTTTTGACGCTGCCGACGAGTCAGCAAACCACGTTCGCGTTGTCAGACCTTGAAGAGCTCGTGCATCTACTCTCGGAGACGGGGAGCATCTCAAACGAAGCTAGTATCCCGCGTCCTACAAAAGTCAGGAAAATGCTTGCTATGAGAGCATGTCGGAGCAGTATCATGGTCGGCAAGACGCTGACGACAAAACAGATGTCGCAGGTGGTCACGAACATGGGCGGAATGGAGAAGCCTTGGAATTGCCCTCATGGACGGCCGACCATGCGACATCTTGCGCGCATGGGTGCATGGCAAGGGTGGCGCGAGGGAGATGACATGGATGAACTTGCGCATGACGATAGCGAGTCACAACGAACTGCACGGACAGATTGGTCGAGTTGGCTTCAAACAACGACGGCATCGCAATCCTCTCAAGAATAATTATCTAGGCTATCCATGATTGAATTGTTGCGATGAATAGCAGCCCATATTTGCGACAATCTACTGGACTGTGGCTCATAGCATTCGGCCTGCGAAGAAGTCCTCAGCCCCGTTCCTCACAGATTCATCCGGGTCCACGCTGTTACCACTTCCGCTCCGACTGCGGTTCCCACTGACTGTCGGACTGATCGTAGAGACTCCGCTATCGCTCTGGTATTTCTCGTTGTCGTCGACGGGAGAGACATTGATGGTCGTGGTATCTCCGTCACTGTCTTTGACGTCTTCGCTGAAGCGCACATGCCGTTTGTGCCAGTCACTGCCTTCGTAGTCGAAGGTTTGTTCGACATCTTCGCGTGCGTACCACAGAGGCTGGTTGGCGGCGATCTTGACGACATCCAGCCAAGGGCGTTTGGACGAATTTGCAGCGTGGAAGATGACATCCATTTCTTCCAAACATCGCAGGCTGGTCTCGGGATAGAAGAAATATATCGTTGGGAGAATCACAGCGTTACTAGATAAAATCAGTCACCGAACCTTCAGGATACAATTTCATAACACCCACGTTGCGATGAAGATGATGTAGGTCCGATATGTTGTGTTAGTAAATGCGGCAGGCGTCGCAAAAACGACGATAAAATTCGCCAGCCAGTTCGCCTGGTGAATGTTAGCATCCAATAGTCCTCATGACACCTCAAGCGAAGAAGCACTTACGACTGTGCTGATGGCATTGCCAGGGCCTCTGATCCGGAGCGGGACGATCTCAACCTGGTATAGCCAACTCATGCCTTGCCAGCCGATGGCGAAGAAAATGCAGTAAATGAAGACGAAGGCTGTTCCCACGTCTAGAGCGGTCCGGTTGTTGATGTAGACCATGAGACACAAGACAATCATGCAAATGAGCATGCCTGAAGTGCCGAAGAGCATCAATTGCCTTCTGCCCCAGTAGCGGTCGATGCCGTACACCGACACAAAGGAGGCCAGCAAAAATGTCGTACCGGCGCAAGCTGCAAGGAGACGAGCGATCCATGCATCCCATTGATATTGTTGGTTGAACATGGCGGCAAAATACATAGTGCAGAAGTTGATTCCTTGGAGAAAAGATTAGTGATCCACGTCTCTAAAGAGGGTCGTTTGACAATCATACCTCCGATCTGCTGGAAGAACTGCAAGGCGACTGCCAAGATGACGCGGTGACCATCGCGATAGTCGCCCATCTTGAAGACGTTTACGAAGCTCGCTTGAGCCATCTCGATGACCGCATCCTTGATCTGCAGGAACTCTTGATGAATGACACGATCACTCTCCTTTTTGTCGTTCAGCGCCGAGAGCACATGCAGTGCTTCGGCCTCGCGGCCTGCCAAAATCAGCCATCGCGGAGACTCGGGCATGTAAAGCACCAGCCAGGCAGCGATGACTATAAGGACCAGTTGAAGTGCAATCGGCACTCGCCATGATTCAGAACCTGGGTCCAGCCATGCAAAGGCGAAATCTGCCCAGTAGCTCAGTGTCAAGCCCGCGGCGATGCACACTCCGGCTGACATCATGAGCACTGTACCGCGACGGTGCGCTTTCGTACATTCTGCCTGCCATGCCGGGACTGTGGCGCAATTCAATCCGTTTCCGAGGCCGGCAATGAATCGGCCAGCCACGAACTGGCCCCAATGGAATGCAGTACATTGGATGATCTCTCCCACGAGCAATAGGAGGAGACCAGTGAAGACGATCTTCTTTCTGCCCAGGCGATCGCCAATGAAGATTGCAACGACCGCCGACACCAAGCATCCCAAGTTCCAAATGCCTACGGTAAGTCCGAGGTTGTTGGCGACTTGAAGGTTTCCGGGGTAGGTAGGAACAGCACTCTCCGGGAATTGTTTCAAGAACGAGGCAAGGGTCATAAAGCCACCAAGCAATCCCTAGTAAGTATCAGTTAGATGTTGTTTTGACATCATCACAAGCATGTATTGAAAGAACATGGACGACACCAAGCGTAGTTAAAACAAACATACCTGATCGAAGCCGTAAAGAAGGAAGCAGAGTCCCGAGACGACTCCGATGGCACGAGATAATGCCGGGCCTCGGAGGCCCAAATACTCTTGCATTTTGAATGGATTGACAGACGTGATAAGTTTGAATCTTTAGTGCTGCCTCGGGACCTTGTACATGCGTTACCTCAATCGACCCAAATGATGTTCAGACGGGCTCGATCGCAATCCAGAAAACCAGAACGATTCAGAGACGCTTTCTTAGGAGTCAGAGGAGGACCATCTAGTCGTTGTTGAAGACGTGGGAGAATTCACTTCGCCACTTGCAACCTGCTTCGCGCGACTATAATCTCTGTACTTATACTTGCCTGATGCTTGCATATCGGCATGCACGTCAGTCGCTGAAATTTGGTTGATGGCGTAGCTATACTTTTGAGATACTGCGGAATATGCTACCTACCGAGGACGCGACTGCGGCTAAGTCATTTTGGACAGAAGCAGTTCTTGGCTTTCCACGAGGAAGATCGGGCCTGCTGGGGTTTCCCAATTGCTAGCCAGTGGCAATGACAAGATGTTTGATCTGAGTGGTCGGAATCGCCTGCAAAGATTCCCGGAGGAGCTGAAGCCATTGAGCAATGCTCCGACCCGAGTCCAGCCAATGCATCATCGCCAGCCTTCCAGCTTTCATGATCCATGGAATTCAACGTCCAGACCGGCAATCATCGTCATTAAGATGCAAGAATCAGTTCCGTGAACATCGTTACTCATACTGTTTCCCCGATCCCGACTTTGTGGGATGGAACCAAGCCTACGATCCAGTTCGCAGAAGACCGGGAAGAGTGATGGGTGAAAAGCGGTACTGTGCCGGCATTGATGCAAACCCGTTCCGGATCGCGCATCATTGGCGGTACGGGTTTCCCATGCACGTCGTCCGATTTGCACTCCAGCTATGTTGCCATTGGAAATATTGTCATAGCTCAACACACTCATCACATCATCATCAAACAATCCCAACCTCGACGGAGTCATGAGCCGAACTGTTGTACAAGTGGGCGCATTGTTATAGAAGGAGGCGTGGAGATATGATACTAATAGCCGAGTCCGGGTTCGTTGTCCATCTCCGACCTCAAGATGTAGTGTGCTCGCCTGTCGCCGTACGAATAGCATTCATGCGATGAGTCTCGATGGTTAAGCAAAACATACTCGATTTTTCTGCTTGTAGATGTTGAAATGTACGAGATGATTCTCTTCGACGCGTATTGACCTTGAAATGATATTCACACAGCCACTCCAGTACGATGTCTCATGCAGTGCGGATGAAACCCTGGCGGGGACCAAAGTGCTGAGTCAGCGAAACCCGGCCTGCCCAAATTCGCCCCACCTACCACATTTCCAAAGGATGATTCATACGAAAACGCGACAGCACACAGAAATTCACCTCACCTCACCATCTATCGACAGACATCGCCAACAAGATCTGCTCTGGAAACAAACCAACCCCGCACCCGCGAGAATTCCCCACAGCACACCAACCGCCCATCATGTCGCTCACACATTGCCGGTTCTACGAGGAGAAATACCCCGAAATTGATGCCTTCGTCATGGTCACGGTGAAGCAGATCGCCGAAATGGGCGCCTACGTCAAACTGCTCGAATACGACAACATCGACGGCATGATCCTGCTCTCCGAACTCTCCCGGCGTCGTATCCGAAGCATCCAGAAGCTGATCCGCGTGGGCCGCAACGAGGTCGTCGTGGTGCTCCGGGTCGACAAGGAGAAGGGCTACATCGACCTGAGCAAGCGACGGGTGAGCCCCGAAGACATTGTGAAATGCGAGGAGAAATACAACAAGAGCAAGATGGTGCACAGCATCATGCGGCACGTGGCGGAGAAGACGGAGACGCCGATCGAGGAGTTATACCAGAACATCGCGTGGCCGCTGAACAAGAAATACGGCCACGCGGTCGACGCGTTCAAACTGTCCATCACCAACGCCGACGTCTGGAGCGAAGTCAACTTCGCGAGCAACGTGATCCGCGACGAGCTCCAGTCGTACATCGGCAAGCGGCTGACGCCGCAGCCGACCAAGGTGCGGGCCGACGTGGAGGTGACGTGCTTCGGGTACGAGGGGATCGACGCGGTGAAGAACGCGCTGCGGACGGCGGAGGCGAAGAACACGGCCGAGACGCAGGTCAAGGTGAAGCTGGTGTCGCCGCCGCTGTACGTGCTGACGTCGCAGACCATCGACAAGAACAACGGCATCGACGTCCTCACGGACGCGATCAAGGAGATCGAAGCGAACATCCGCGCCGCGGGCGGCAACTGCGTGGTGAAGATGGCGCCCAAGGCCGTGACGGAGAACGACGACGCGGAGCTCCAGGCGCTGATGGACAAGCGGGAGAGGGAGAACGCGGAGGTCAGCGGCGACGAGGACGAGAGCGAGAGCGACGAGGGCGTCGTTTGAGGAAGCGGCGATTACGGAGGAGGGGGGGCATCGGGATTCAGAAATGTGATGGAGGCATTACGAAGGGCGTCCGGAGCAATGCGGCGATTTCAATTTTGGCACGAAAAGGGAAATTATGATTACGGCATGTATGGGGTGCGAAAACAAATTGCGCGCCATGATGGGGGAGAGGGAGATGCATGGCGACGAAATTTGCCGGCGGACAATTCGGCATCGGGGTTTCCGGCATCGTTGGGAAATGGGTGTTCCATAGAGGCAAGGTTTTGTGGCAAAAGCACTCAATGCAGTTCAGAAACTTCGACGGTCGATCCGGGTGTTTTTTTTTTCATGTACGAGGACGATACTGTAGGAGGAAGGAGAGGTTGTCAGCCTGTGGTCTATCCCAACCGATATGATATCTACGCGAAATTCATGGTTACAATCGAGAGGTACAAACAGAATTGAAGAGACATTAAAATAAATAAAGAGTAGAGAGAACACCGCGGATCTCCCATCGCGCGGACCGGGACGATGAAACGGGGGGAACACAAGGGGCAGAATACACCCACTCCCCTTAAAAGGATCGACCTCTTCAACGACGGGCGATCTCCTTTCCTCCCAGCCAGTCCAGCGTCCAATACGCCGAGATCATCACGGTCCGGCGCCAGGACTCCGTCCACATGAGGTTCTTGCTCCGCCAGGCCGCCCAGGCCCTCTGGCCGGTCCAGTCCGCCTGGCCGTCCACGACGCCGTCGTGCCCGCCGATGTAGGCCACGAGGGCCTTTTGCCGGTAGCTGAACGGGGTCTGGCCGTCGAGGTCGCGGTTGAAGACGTCGATGAGGTAGCGGGCCTTCTGCACGGCGACCTCGGCGGTGGTGGGGAGGAAGTACTTCTTGATGTCGGCGGCGTCGCCGAGGGCGTAGACGTCGTGGAGCGGCTGCTTCTGGCAGTCGAGCACGTGCAGGTGGCCGTCGGTGAGGATGCGGGGGAGCTTGTCCGTCTTGGCGACGTCGAGGGCGTCGACGAGCGGGCTCTGCTTGTTGCCGGCGGTCCAGATGACCATGCCGCAGCCGATGCGGCCGTCGTCTTTGGTGGTGATGCACTCGGCTTCGACTTTTTCGATCTTGGAGCCCGTGACGACTTTGACGTTCCGCTGGGAGAAACTCCCGATGGTGTATTGCTGGAGGGCCTCTTCGAAGGCGCCGAGGATGTTGGGGGCGGCGTCGTGGATGGACATGCTCATCTTGCCCTTGAGGGTGGGATATAGCTGGGCAAAGTCTTGGCTGAAGAGGTCGGAGATCTCGGCCGTGATCTCGACGCCGGTGGGACCGCCGCCGACGACGATGATGTGTAGCAGGTCCCGCTGTCGCTTGTCGCTCACGCCGGGGAGGGATGCGAGTTCGAGGATTTGCTTCATGCGAGCCTGGAGGCGCTTGGCATCTTTGACGTTACGGACGAAATAGGCATTCTCGACCGCACCGGGGGTGTCGAATGTGTTCGGCACGCATCTACAGTGCGATGTCAGCTTTTATTGGATCTCTTCGACCGCCGTCGAATGCGTCGATTCGAAATGCTTACCCAGGAGCGAGAATCAGTCGGTCATATGAGAGATCGAAATCCTTGTCGTCCTCGTCACACGCCGAACGGCATTTACAATTCTTTGACTTGAAATCGACGTCCTTGACCACGGCTTTGTAGTACGTGATTTGGCGGCTCTTACGACGAACCGGTTCTTCTGCCAGTGAAAAATCGAAAAGACCGCAAGCAGCGCTGGCCTAAGGATTGATTCATGTCAGCGGTGTTCCTGGGTCCCCGGAGGTTGACGAACGAGACGTTCTGCGCGTGACCTACAAGCAATGGCGTGTAAGGACTCGTCTCCTCCGGCGACACGACAACGATGTCGAATTTCTTGTCGTCGAGCTTCTGTGAAAGCTGGAAGCCTGCCCAGCCGGTGCCGACGATGACCACACGTTCTCGGGACATGATGGTTCGGAAGTGACGATGATGAAGCTGAAGTCGAAAGACTGATTGATGGGTGGGTCGAGATTTGCTGGAGAATAGGACGGTGACACGGCGAAGCATTCAGAGGAGAACGTGAAGTGTTTGGAATCGTCTTCGGAAGACGGTGTGAAGTGGCTTGTTGATACAGCACGAGACAAACGAATGAAGATGAGCAAAGAGGAATGGAAGATGTTGGAATATATTACATTCGTGATGATTGATCGTCTATCTCTACGATACAACAACAGGGAAGGGAAGGGAGGTTATGTATGATGATTGATGGTGAAGATAATATAGTAGTGATGGAAGCGATTGTGCAGCGGTGATGGACGCGATTGGGATGTGTGTAATGTGTAGTGCGTGGTATGGGTAGGATGGTAGGTAGAGCAAGAATCCTAGTCACCAACGTCATGATATTTTCGCCCGCCTGCACACACATGCACACACACACATGATAAAAACAAACCTTACGGATGGGGAATCCTTATCGGCTCACGTTGGGACAATTGGAGCAAACCTCCGACTGAAATTGATGGAAGACCTAGGCGGAGTGTTCGAGATACAGGGCCCGTGCAGTGAGGTTTTCGATGGGCAATGATGCTGCCATGACGTGTCGATTTATCCGATGGACGGGCGTGAGAAACAAAAAAACCCGTCTCCGATCAATCACATCGAGAGCGAGATAGTGAAAGCCATGGGTACTGTAAGAAGAGAGATTGGAGATGGACATATGCCCAGGTGTACAAGGACATGCAGTCGGAGGGAGAGATGGAGAAGAGAGCCTCAATCTCGCCCATCTGTCGGAGCGGAGAGAGACTTGCTGTTGCATGGAGAAGAAGGCGACGATCTCTTCTCGAAAGAGGAATGAAAAAGTTGAACTGGGCGTGAGTGGTGGTGAGATAAGGGTTTTGCAGTCCATGTGCAGTGACGCACGCAGCAGCTGGTCTCATGTATATAACGTATATACTAATACTTGTATATACCTGGTACATATCGATGGTTGGAAGAGAGACAACGGAGCGAGATTGTTGCCGGCACCGAACCTTTTCTACGACAAGGCACATGGAAATAAGAACCCATCACTTCGGTGTATTACTACAGTACAATACATAACTACACAAATCATCTGATCCCGACTTGATTATCATGAACAACCTGGACCGATCCCGGTGCGCGCTCCCTCCCTCCCTCCCTATCGACGAGCAGATATGCTTCCGAATCTCAGAGAGCTACAGTATTGTTATTATCAATCAATCGCCGTGATGGTTGAACATCGCACTCACTTCCCTTTGTTGTTGTTTTTCCAGTCGCTGCCCATGAAAGTCTTAGCTGTCACCAATGTTAAATGCTTGTCCGTCTCATCGGAATCATAATTGTCCTTTACTGGACGTTCCACGGATCGCTTCAATCGCATCGCCGACGATAAGCTACTACCTTCCCCACAAATTCCCTCTCTAGATGTCATCATTAGCCTCGGCCCTAATCCGTTATCGCCGCCCTCCTTGAGCCATTACGGTGGTGCAATCGTCGGGGGATGACGAGTGAGAGAGAGCCATTTACTTCACTTCCTCCACCTCTCATCATCTTCTCGACTCGATACGCTTGGGAACAGACTTCCCCTGGTTCACCTAAATCAATCCTCCTCACACACGTGCGATCACCGTGAGATGGTTCGCGTGCTCTCACGGCGGACAGACGAGGACATCCACTTCGAGATCCAACATTGATATATAACATATCAAAACCATGGCATTCCAAGACCGACGACCTCCCGCCTCCTTCCTATCCCTACCCTCCGAACTACGCAATGCGATCTACACCTACCTCTTCGACCCGGCCTACTCAACGACCGAAGCAGACCTCTCCTCTCCACCAAGCGAACCCCCCAACGCCCCGTCGACCGAGCCCTCCCGACCCGACCTCCGGCCCTCCTGCGCCGTCGAGTCCAACAACCAGCGCTCCAGCCACGCCCTGCGCGTGCTGCAGACCTGCAAGCAGATGCACCACGAAGCGCGGCTGCTGGCGCTGACCCATCTCCCCTTCCACGTGCGCGGCGAGACGGCGCTCCCGGAGACGTTCAGCGTGCGGTCGGCCCGGCTGCCGCGGGACCGGCTGCGCGCGGTGCGCACGCTCACGCTGACCGCGCGCATCAGCCACCTGCGCGCCATGAACGAGGCCTGGGGCGGCGTGCCGTTCGGCGCCCCGGAGCTGCGGCTGGACGCGCTGGTCATCGTGCCCTCGCGGCCGGACGTGACGGACCTGCCGTTCCGCGAGATCGCCGACCTCAGCCAGAGCCACACGCTGGCGTACGTGCTGGGGGAGACGCTGAAGGGGCTGCGGAACGTGGGGTACGTCGAGGTGAGGAACCACGGGTGCTTCGACGGCGCGGTGTGGGAGAAGCTGTACTGCGGCGTCGTGTATCGGCTGTGGAGGTGGGGCGGCGGGAAGTGTGGGATTCGGTTCGCCAGCGGGAGGGCGGAGGAGCCTGGGAGGGCGGCGGAGGAGAATCGGTGGTTTCGCGCGTATCTGAAGGACGAGAAGGGAGACGAAGGGGTGGAGGTGGGTGTGGAGGTTTGTAGGCTGGTGGGCACGAGTGGGCAGTTCCCGTTTGACCCGTCAATTGATCCGAGGACGGATATGTGAAGGACTCCTTATCGAATCTCGATGTAGATGGGATACGCGAAGTTTGCGGACGCCGCACCGCGCAGGTACGTAGAATCATCATGCAGAAAGACTTGATCACTTCGATCTGATCTCAAGGATAGGATTCCCAGGCATGGAGAGATGCAAAGGGGGGAAGCCGATGTGACGCCGTCATGACATAACATACCACTATAAAACATAATCGTATTCATCATTACTCTCGTCGATAAGGAAGCTCACAATATCATGCATGCCTGAAAAGATCATCCCTCTGCATCAGGATCCAGACACCGATCCAGAACCCCACATCTATGCAGTGTCCTCCTTGGGCAGAACTGGCTCGACGTTCCAGATCGCCTCGGCGTACTCCTCGATACATCGGTCGGAGCTGAAGAAGCCCATCCGGCTGACCGAGGTGATGGTCTTGGTCAACCACTCCTCCTGGTTGCCGTAGGCCTCGTCGATCAGCTTCTGCGTGTCCACGTAGCTCTTGAAGTCGTCGGACACGAGGTAGTAATCGCCGTGTTCGAGGATCGAGTTGATCAGCGCGGAGAAGGAGTTGGCGTCGCCGAAAGTGCCGGACTTGATCGTGTCGAATACCCGCTGCAGTGCTGGGTCGAGGCGGAAGCCATCAGCGCTGTAGAAATGGGCGTGGCGGAGATCCTCGACGTCTTCGGAAAGGTTGCCGAAGAGGAAGATGTTGTCTTCACCGACTTCGCGGGTGATCTGAAGTTTTTAAAGTCAGTGGAGGAGGTTCTTCGTTCGATCGCTGCGTGGCTCAGGAAACTTACCTCAATGTTCGCACCGTCACAAGTACCAATGACCAAACCTCCGTTCAGAACAAACTTCATATTCGAAGTACCAGATGCTTCGGTTCCAGCAGTCGAGATGTGCTCGGAAATGTCACTGGCGGGGATGATAATCTCAGCCTTGCTCACGTTGTAGTCCTCGAGGAAGACGACCTTCAGGAGATCACCAATCTCAGCGTCGTTGTTGATGACCTGGGCGACTTGGTTCACGAGATGAATGATGGTCTTGGCCATCCAGTAACCTGGAGCCGCCTTGCCTCCGAAAATGCTGACTCGGGGTTGCACCTTCTTGCGCTCCTCGGCGGACATGTCCTTCAACTCGAGGTACCGGTGGATCACACCAAAGATGTTCAGCTGCTGGCGTTTGTACTCGTGAATACGCTTGACTTGGATGTCGAACAAGCTGGAAGGATTCACGGTGACCTTGTTGGCCGTCTTGATGTATTCGGCGAGTCGGACCTTGTTCGCATGCTTGATGGCCTGGAATTCCTTGCGGAACTCCTTGTCGTCAACATATGCCTCGAGCTTGTGGAGCAGGGTTAAATCCTTGAGGAACTCGTAGCCGCCCAGCTTGCTCGCAATCAACTGCGACAGACGTGGGTTGGCTTGGTGCAACCAGCGACGAGGGGTGATACCGTTCGTGACGTTGGTGAATTTGTCGGGGCCGTAGATCCGAACAAAGTCCTTGAAGATCGTTGTCTTGATCAAATCGGAGTGAAGCTCAGCGACACCGTTGACCTTGTGGCTGCCAATGACTGCCAGGTAAGCCATGCGCACCATCTTGGGCTGCGATTCCTCGATGATCGACACACGACCGAGCATGTCACGGTCCTTCGGGAAGTTGCGCTCCACAAACTGCAGGAAGTGCAAGTTGATATCGTAGATGATCTGATTGAAAAGCATTACTCGTTAGAACTCATCTCAACACCAGTGTGCATGGGCGTAAAATAGACTCACCTGAAGATGGCGGGGGAGCAGATGCTGAATGAGCGGAACAGACCACTTCTCCAACGCCTCGGGCAGGACGGTATGGTTAGTGTATCCGAAAGTCTGCTGGACAATGCTCCAGGCCTCGTCCCATTCAAGACCTTCCTGATCAATGAGGATACGCTGGAGCTCAGGAATCGCCAGGGTGGGGTGGGTGTCGTTGAGTTGAATTGCAACTTGGTTGGGAAACTCTGTCCACGCCTTCTTTGACTTCTTGAAGCGACGTACGATGTCGAACAGTGAAGCCGCGCACCAGAAGTACTGCTGCTTCAGACGAAGCTCTTTACCTCTCTCCAAGCTGTCGTTGGGGTAGAGCACGGCTGAAATGGTCTCGGCTCGTTGTTGATCTGCCACGGACGCCTCGTATTCGCCTGAGTTGAATTTGGTGAAATCGAACTCTCCTTGCGCAGCCTTGCTAGACCACAGACGCAGATTGTTGGTTGTCTTGGTTCCGTAACCAGGAATGGGGGCATCGTAGGCCACGGCAGTGACAATTTCTCCGTTCTCCCAGACGCTGACCTGCTTTCCGCTCTCATCCGTCTCCTTTCGGACATTGCCGTAGAACTGAATGTCGACCGTCACGTCGTGACGCGGGAACTCCCAAGGGTTGAAGTCAAGCCAGTAGTCTGGAATCTCAACCTGATAGCCGTCAATGATCTCCTGCTTGAAGATACCATAACGGTATCGCAATGCGTAACCCCAAGCGGGATAGTTCAAGCTCGCCAATGAGTCAAGGAAGCACGCAGCAAGACGACCCAGGCCACCGTTTCCAAGGGCCGCGTCACGTTCTTGAGAGATGATGTCCTCCATGCGGAAGCCGAGATCACTGACACCATCTGGAACAAGGGTCAATGTCTGAAATCGTGATCACTTCTTTCTTTCACATACCAGCGGCAATGTCCTTCATGCCAGTGTTCAACATGGCGTTATCCAAGGCACGTCCCATCAAGAACTCCAGTGAAAGATCTGCGACCTTGTTCAGCTTCACATCCGACTCATGTACCTTTTCTAGCTCTTACAGTATACACGTTTCGGGTCTGCGAATGTCTGGTTTTGCTGGGTCTTGTTCCACGCGATGACCAAGCGGTCACGGAAGGCCAAGGCCGTACCCGAGTATGCGGCACTGTTCTCGCCATCAGCTTTGTTCTGTGTGTCGGATCCTCTACTCTCTCTTACGCTTCATCGCAGTTGAATAGCGATCTGGCCAGCGTCGTCTCAATGTGCTGGACTGTCTCGGCTTGGAACTCGTCCTTTGTGGAGAACTCTTTCTTGGACTGTAGCAACGTCAACATGGAAGGACGGAGGGAAATCTTGGGTCCTCAAAGCACCACTTACGAACTTCTTCCACCTGTTGCACAGAAGCTTCGTCAGTACGAGCATCATCAATGGATCAAGTGTGATCCACTTACGCAGCTCTTTGGGGCTCAGGAATGCTGGCCTCGACACTTTTGATCTCCTGCGCACCGAAGCCCGTCGCTGTGCGCTTGTGCTTGGGTCGTGTGATGCCGGAGGGACCGACAGGGCCTTTGAGGTCGGCAATGGGTGCCGATGTGCTTGGGCGACGCTCGTGGCCGGTCGATTTGGCGGCAGTGGCGGTGGCAGCAGAAGCCATATTTGCGCGGTAGAGTCACTGATCTTCGTTGGTTAAGGCGATTGAACCGGGACGACGTTCGATGAGGTATGCACGGTTGGGAGGTGGAAGAAGGATGGTGTCGATCGAAATGAGAGGTAAGCAGACGGCCAAATCGAAAGGCAGGAAGGGGATGAAGAAGCAAGAGTATCACTATTGACCAGCTGACAGATCAATCACAACAATGGCGGTGGAGACCCATAACATACAGCTGTTTTGCCGCATCGACTATGCACGCCCGATGGTCTACTGTACATTGCGTGTGCGTCTGTGGTGTGTTGGGGCTGGCAGGCAGTCTCGCTGAGCTTTCCCCAGATTCTAACTTTTACCCTGAACTGGTTCATTTGTCTCATTCACTGGTCCGCTAAAACGATTCTAAGCACGCGGGTGACCGGACAAACGGCGGATGGTCTGGCACATGTTGCCGCCGCGATCAAGCAGACCTTGCAAGGCTGGCTACTGCGGCGAGTCTTTCGTCGAGCGTGTTTGCACAATGCAACATCGCATATCGGCCGCACACACATCTCACGGATGCGGAGTCCTGTTGTCGCGAGGAGACAATCATTGCTTCTGCCATGACCACGCACGATCGCGATGCTGAAATCGATGGACCGATACCCGCCCGTGGTGGGGCCAGCCAGCGCGCGTGCGCTCCTCAGGAACACCGACAAGAGAGTGTGTGTGGGGCAGGGGATTGTCAATGGTCTCGATTCCTGGAAGCACGCTGCCCCACTTTCCAAAGTCGTCTGGATGAATCACGCCCAATGTCAACCCTACAGGAGAGATGGTCTCGGTCCTCTCACCGAACATAGTGTATTCTCAACGATCCGCTCGGAGTAGATGGTTATTGTTTAGGTGAGGCGTTCGCGGATTCACGACTCGCTGATGTCCCGTTAACAACAGCCCGGCGGCGAGAATTTCAGGTGCTAATCTTGAATATTGTGAGAGACATGTAAGACAAAGGGCTCAACGAGACCACAGCACGGTCCAAACGGTGATTTTGCAGCACTCTCCCAAGGTCAAGGTACCGAGATGGCCAGATCTGTCCTCTCAGCATAGGCTCAGATGGGAACGCAGGTGTAGCATCACCAGTGAATATAGCATCGTGGCATGAATCGTTGACTCGTTATCATCAACTCTAATGTACAGTTCTGCCAAAATCTAAAGATGCTCGGTTGGCACATGAACGAAACCTCTCTCGATTTTAGTCCCACGCGAGCCCCGTGATGCATGCTCCGCCGTTGCGTGTGCAAGTCTAGGCTTCAAACAATCTCGCTGCCGTCGCGCTCGTGTGCCCTCCTGAGCACGCTCGTACTGCCGCTTCGCGGCGTCTCTACAGCTTGCATTACAGCCTCGCCATCGTCAGGGCCTAATACACGGTCGAGAATGGCATGAGCAGCATCTGCGGCAGCATCGTCGATGCCCTCCTCGAAGACTAGCTGAGTGCTGAATGCCACCCGTGACAAGCTGCCCAGAAATTTGTGATAGCCTCCCAACACAGCGCGCAGCTTCTGCACAATGTCAATGGTGCCGTCATATGTGCGCAATAGATGATATAACAGTCTCGTAGTGATGTTGACCGTTTCTACAATCAAGTTGTGTGCCTGGCGTTGTGGTGCGTCGATCTCGAGACCGATGCCCGGCGTGACCGTATACAGCTTGCTGACCTGGCCGTCAAGAAAGCGCACCAGCCGGCCGATGGCGCTGCGGTGCTGGGCAAGCAGACGTCCTCCGTGGTCTTCTTCGCACATGATCATGAAGAGCTTTAAGATCTCCAATCGCAGCTCGGTGATCTCCTCAATGGTGTATGGCTGCTCGTCTGCTGGCGGTGTGAACGTGTCAAAGAGAAGGCTCGTCAGATGAGCGACCAGCCCATTCTCTATGGAGCGCTGCTTGTCAGGGTCATTGACGATCGCGCCAAACGTTGTATCGAGTGCGCTAGAACCCAACATGCGAAGCATTGTCGTGACCTGGAATATCGGCTGAGCGGGATTGAGCAGAACCAGCAGAAAACTAACTTCCAAATGAGTCCAGAAGTCACGAAGTCGTTCAGGAAAGAGTGAAGCAGCCTGGCATAGGTCGTGCAGAAAGTCAACCACCTCATCAATTACAAGCTCTTCCACAAGTTGAGCTCGAGCATCGGTGTTGATGGCGCTCTTCGATGACATGCCGTAAAGCGAGTTTCGCGCATTCTCCACAGCGATCAGATCGATTGATTTGACACATAGAGGCAATGCCTGCTCTATCAGGTTGGCGGTAATCGCAGCACGTTGTCCTTTGAGCACAAACTTGAGCAGGTTCAGAATCAAGTAGAATGGAGCAAAGTGCTTTTCTTTCAAACAGCTGGTCCAGAAGTCAAGCATGATCGAGGCGATCGCCTGAGCAAATGCTTCGATGTCCGGCGATGCATCCACTCCGAGCTGATCTCCAAACAGGGATGCAAGGCTCCGGTCAGGTGTTGAGGGAAAAATCATCTTCGCGAAAGCTTCGAATGTACGGCAATGCCCCTCAAAGGGCCGGTGATTCATGATCATTTGGTAATAAACAAACTTTTCGTCGGCTCTTGCCGTAGCTGTTGGAGGTGTTAGGACAGAATCCAACGAGACTACGGTCTGGACAGAATCTTCCTTGACCACAGGCTGACGAGCTTGTGAGAATGCCAGAGGGATAGGACTATCCGGGGCCATTCTTTTTCGCTTTCCACCAACCTTTGGTGTTTGATCTTGACTTCGATCTCTGCTTCGGCTCGGGCTTATCGAGTGTACCTCTGCTTCATCGAACCCATCGCCCATACCATTCCCTGCCTTCCTGCTTTTGCCTACAGCGGTTCCTCGGCTTGCAGCATTGGTCCGAAGTTTTCCAAGGCCGTTCAGACGCTTCGCGCGCTCTGCCTCTTGGACGAGGTCATGGTGTATGAAACGATTGTCTGTCTCCAACAACTCCCTCTCTCTTTTACTGGCCTCCAAATCTAGTTTCTGCCGCGTTGTCTCGTCGTGATGCTGCTTGACCATAGCAGCAAGCTTGGCCTCATACGTCCTATTTGATATGTCGAGCTTGGATCGCACTATTTGTATCTCGCCCTGTTTTGCCAGTGCCAGCTCATGCGCTGCTCGCTCTGACAAACGCAAGCGCTCCTTTTCGGCTTCCAGGGCTGCAATTCTAGCCTGTAGTTCCATCACGTCTGCGTTGTCGTCTGTTACAGTGGTACCACGTCCGCGAGAGCCATATTGATGCTCACGCATCTCGGCATCTGCTGCCGCAAAGGCAGCTTGTGTTTCCGCATCCACTTCCCTCCGAGATGCATCATGTAGACGCTGGAAGGCTGTCGCGCTGGCCACGCCGGCGGACAATATGGTGGGTTCATTGAGATCAATGACTGTCTCATCCTCTAAACCATAATCAGAGCCTGGAGCATCTGGAATCTCAACGGGATACTCGCGAACATTTCCATGTGGCGGTGCAGTATTTCCCTGAGCATTTGCTCGAGGTTGTGGGGGTCGCCATGGTAGATTGTCATTTCTTGCTCTTCCATTCTGTCGGCTCAAACCAACTCGACTTTGCGGCTGTCGCTTGATTGCATTTGCCGAAGATGGTGGCGCCTGCAATTGAGTAGCAGTTTTAGGCCTTTGCGTAGAAGCTACCAGTGCATCATACTCTAATGCTTGAAGGGCATTGTCGGTAATGTCAGCGAAGTCATCGTCGGAGAAGAAGTCCTCATCTTCCATGCTGATGAATCTTCCTGACCCAGAGCGCCATCGCCTGAATGTCGATCGCGAGAATCAGGCTGGAAGTGGCGCGATGATCGCTTGCAACACTGGATGCTAAGCGAAACCAAAACTGTAATATTTAGTCAAGGCGCCGAGTGTATGAACAAATTCCGAAGAAGTATGTATTTGCAGGGCATTTTTCACGTGTCAAGCACAAACGCGTGCCATCATGGGAATCGCCATGAGACCGGCGAATCTTCGGAATTCGCACGCCGAAGCGATGGCCTGTACTTGAATAAGATCAGATAAGATCGGCTTTGTTGGAAACACTCATCATCCCGCACGGCCTGGTGCCCCACTGCCGCGTTGTCCGTCCGGCCAGGCCTAGCTCTAATCAGTTCGGCCTACAGTATCGTACACTACTACGCCTGGACGCATGCATGCTTCATGAATTACTGCCTGCCAATAGTTTTTGGAATTTCACTTTTCGACACCAGCTTTACTGCACATTCAATCATATTATATCTGTTAACATGACTCGACGGAGGATATTCGCAAAAAACGCCCGGTAGTACATGTCATGGCATCTCGCCGAAGTCTCGGAGGCGGGCGCATACTCGGAAGTGGAAGGAATTTAACACCTCCAGCACCGCCAAATCAAAACACAAAACCTGGCCATGTCCGGACTCCCTCAAATTTGTCGTTCTCGGAGAACTCTGTGTCTCTCAGTTCACACACCTCGAGTACACCCGTGTCCATAGGAGATGAAGATCTTGCGTCTCGTATCGCCCTCGACGAGAATGGATCCGCGGCGCAAGCAGCAGCTGCTGCGAGCTCACGGATGGTTTGCCCAATATGCAACGAAGAGATGGTATGATTGCTTTTCATCCTTGAGTGCTGCGCCGCTGACAAGCCCAGATGACTCTGCTCCAACTGAATAGGTGGGTATGCTTACCCTCGTGCGTTACCAATCGAAGATACATGCATTCTGACCGAGTCCAAGACATATTGACGACAACCATGCCAACCTAGAGGAGATCGAGCAAGATGAAGCCAAGACATGGTTCATGCAGCAAATGACAAAGGCGCGTAAATTTCAACCGCTCGCCTTGATCAATCAGAAGCTCAGGGGCCTGGAAGCCTTCGAGTCGAACAACGACACGATCCCCACAGCACAATCGCGAGATATCCGATCCGACACGCGCAATCCATCTCAGATACCGGTTTTGAAAGAGCAAGTACAAGTTGATCCGGAAGAGTTAGTGAGCAGGACACATTGGCAACGGGCGACTGGATACGATTCTTGCGCAGATCCACTATGTGGAAAGCGATTGGGAGCTGCCAACGGTCAAGTCAATTGCCGTCATTGTGGAAAGTTGTTTTGCGAAGAGCATACGATGTACCAGATGAAACTCTCGCGCTCGGCTCAACACGAGCCTGTGCGTGGTGTATGGTGTCGAGTTTGCGAGACATGCTTCAAGAGTCGACCAGGATACAATGATCATCACGGCTTCCAACGAAATCACACGGACTCATTCGTCTCGTTTCGTAGAAAGACTGTTGATAAGCGGTATTTGGAGACGAGCCGCTTGGAGACCAGACTCACTAGGCTCACCCAGTTGCTCGCGAACCCTCCGCCAGTGCCCGATGATCAGACTACAGGCAGCCTCATTTGGTCATCGCTTGCCGGGAACAAGAATCATGTGCGATCGCTGGAACAGACTGTCGTTTCTTGGGAGGATGACAACGCTGTGGTTCAATGTCCTTTCTGCCACCAGCCATTTTCGCAGTATAGCCTACGGCGGCATCACTGTCGTATCTGTGGCCGAATCGTATGCGGAGATCCTACTACAGCTTGCTCTGAAGAAATCAGCCTGGATGTTAAGATCGGTATGTGCCCAACAGTGGTCCATGTAATGGCACACTCATATCACAGCAGGCGCTGATGTACTCTCAGAGAAAACCGGAGGCAAGACTGTGGTCGATGTGCGCATGTGTAAAGAATGCCAGCGTACAATTTTCAGCAAAGCAGATTTCGCGCGCGAACTCATGGCACAAACACCAGACATGCGAGCGTATGCGAACCTGGTTCAATTTGAGCATGGCATTAGGCTTCTGCTACCAAAGTTCCAGCGCCTATTGTTGACGTTGCAGGATCCCGATCAGACTCCGTCTTCCAGCCAGCTTGCAGATGCCTCTAAGGTTCGTAGGCGACTCATGGACGCTTTTACTCAATACGATGTCGCTGCGAAGCGCATTCGTGATTTCCCGACCACAAAACCAACGCAGGAGAGATTGCAAAAGGCAATATATCAACAAGCCACCAATTTCCTACACATTCACATGCTTCCACTGAAAAGTCTTCCTAAGATCATGAAGCATGCCACCCCGCATGGTCTGCAAGATAAACAGAACACGGGTAATGGAAGGCCGGCCGGAGCGTTGGCTGCCATCAAATACGACGAAGCACATAAGTCCAATGGCCATCGGCCAACGAGCAGTCGCGCTAGTAGCTCGAGTTCGGCTGCAATCACGGCGCTTGAGGCCGAGGAGAAAGAGCTCAAAGAGCGACTGATCGTCCTGGAGGAGCAAAAGTTTTTCGTCTCGGAAATGATTGCAGATGCCAATAGACGACGCAAATTCGACGAGGTTTCGGCATTATCGCAAAACGTCGAGGATCTGAGCAAGGAGGTTGATCAGATTCAGGGTCAGTTGGCTCAGATGGACTTCGCTAGCGCGTATGTCAACGACCAGGACATCATCAAGTGAACGGAAGTAATGCCTTATTCTAAGCTCTGACATTTCTCCTGGCACTCCCGTTTGGCGCGAGCGTGCCCTGAAGCTCCAACACCATCGAGCAGACCATGATTCTGCTGGCGACTCGGGCTCGTAAGCGCAGCTCTACGCTATATTGGAGGCTGAAGTTGAGAGCACCCAACGCGGCTTCTAGTCATATATCCGGATCCATATGCTGTAAGGAAAAACCTTACGTGCGCCACTCAAACATGCCTGTGCATTGTCCGAGGCGAGACTGGTGGTAGCTCCACCGGGTCAAACACCACGGAGAGGCCGAAGACAAAGAACGACGGTTTTTTGACTAGCGCCGACCAGCTTCTGAGCGTTTTGGTCGATGATGAAGAGGCGGTGATCCTGGCTCAGACGGAGTATAACTGAATACGAGACGAAACATGAAGATCGCACCAAGCTTCGATTAGAGGGTGCCGAGACATTGACAAGCTACACATATCGCGCGCTAAGGAATGGTGGAGAGCACCGGCGCTTGTGCGGGATTCGGGGGCAATGCCTTGCTGTATCGCGCGTAATACTATGAGTAGCACTGTCGTGTTCCCGCTTCACATCGCTATTGAGGCAGCATTGCTTGCCGAACATTAGCATCTATATAACACGGACATGGCGATCAATTAAGAGTAGGTACTGCGATTAATAATTGCTGAGTGGTTCCACAGTGGAAACCAGAAAATAGTGGAATTTGAAGGCACAATAACCCGTGTCGTGCTCACGCGACTCTCTATCGTCTCTATCGTGCACGGTCGTGATCTGGAGATAATCGCGCCGGTTCACCTTCCCGAGCGGGCGTAGTTTCCTGCGGGCGCCCTGTCTATTCCCCCGGGACGAGCTTATCAAGTCCCTGCAAGTGTTCCGCCCATCTGCGTCGCTCATCTGCGACACCACGAGACTGTTTTCCTTGTGCAGATCGCCTTTCAAGCACGCGATTCGCCGTAGCACTGTGCTCTACTCAGGGCAGATCGTCCGCCTTGGACCTGGGTCCCAAGCTCATTGGGTCATGTCCCCTCGTCATGTTACATCACTTATCGAGGATGTGTTGTGCCCCCCGCTCCATTGCTGGAGGGAAACAATGGAGGGCAAAGCGTACTGGATGTGCTCGAAACGATTGCCATCCGACGCGATGACCTTTTCGTATATGTAGACAGAGGTAGGTCTGCTGGAACTTTCTTGAAGAAGCCCTCGAGCCTCGTTTTGTCCTCCTTGCCCACAAGTGACAACATGCGTACGACCACTTTCAGCATCTACGCGTCAATCGTGGTAGCAGCTGTCGTATCAGCTCGCTCAATTCCTGATACCCATGTGCTTCACGAACGACGTGATGTCGACTTTCCCACTGACATCGTGAAACGGAGTCCTGTCGACGCTTCGTCGGTGCTGCCCATGCGTATTGGCCTCCGCCAGAGCAATCTCGACAAGGCAGAGGAATGGCTCATGGAAGTCTCTCGCCCTCGGTCAAGCAAGTACGGCCAGTACTGGACTCAGGAAGATGTGCTCAAGGCCTTCCAACCTGCACAGGATTCTGTTGATCTTGTCGGTCAATGGCTGGAAACTGCAGGCATCGCCAAGAATCGAATCACCCACTCGGAGAACAAGCAATGGCTCGCGTTTGACGCGACGCCTGAAGAGGCCGAACGTTTGACCCATGCTCAATACCACGAATATGAACATCCGAAAGGATACGCAATGGTTGGCTGTGAGGAGTATTTCATTCCTAGGCACCTTCAGGAGCACATCGATTACATCACTCCCGGCGTGAAAAGATCAATCGTGTCCGGACCGGGAATCACGAAGCGGTCATTCATATCATCAAGCTCTCGCGGTCCTGCCAATTGGAATCCTCCGAGGCTACGACCTGCTCCCTACATGCCGAAGAACAACACGCAGCTGCTGACTTGCGACACCACCATCACTCCGGCATGCATCGAGGCATTATACGATTTCAAGGCGCCCAATCCGAAAGCCGCGGTGAGCTCCAGCAACTCGCTTGGAATCTTCGAAGAGGGGGATATGTATTACCAGGAGGATCTGAACAGATTTTACCACAATTTTACTTCGTACATCAAGAACGGAACTGGCCCGATTTTGAAGTCTATTGATGGTGGCACTGCTCCTGCCGTTACAGCTGCCGATGCGGGAGGCGAAAGTAATCTCGACTTTATGCTTGCTGTATGTTTGCGCCTTCGTGTAAGGCAGAATCTTGAACATGACTCTAACGATTTCAGATTCCGATCATTTACCCTCAAACTACAACCCTGTATCAATCAGACGACATCTACGGCGGCACCTATCAAGGTTTATTCAACACCTTCTTAGACGCTATCGATGGCTCGTATTGCACGTATTCGGCATTTGGCGAGACCGGCAACGACGCTGTGAGTTGCTATTCACGAAATATCCTCGTTTCTTGATGTAGGATCTGACACCTGGACAGCAATTGGATCCCGTCTACCCTGATCCGAATCCTGGCGGCTACAAAGGCCCACTCATGTGCGGAGTTTACAAACCAACGAATGTCATGTCCATCTCATACGGCGAACAAGAACAAGATCTTCCGGCTTACTATCAGAAACGTCAATGTAATGAATGGCTCAAGCTCGGAATGCAGGGTGTGTCCATCTTCGTCGCCTCGGGTGACACGGGTGTTGGAGGTAAGCTTCGATTTCGTGTCGGCATCACTTCACATTCAAATTTCCATTTTGACTGACCCCTTGTTTCACAACAGGCTACCCAGGTGATGGCTCAGCCAATGGATGTCTACGCAACGGCACTGTGTTCTCGCCGACGCACCCCAACTCTTGCCCCTGGTTGACCAATGTCGGCGGCACGAAGGTTGCTGAGGGCAAGACCGTCAACGATCCTGAGGTAGCCCCTGAGGATCCGGCAGGACACCCCTACCGTAGCGCATACTACTCTTCTGGTGGCTTCAGCAATATCTTCCCCATTCCGAGCTATCAAGCCGACGCAGTAGCGACATACTTCAAAGACCACAACCCTCCCTATCCTTACTACAAGGATGGAAACTACAAGAATAGCACAGGTCTGTACAACCGAAATGGCCGCGGCATTCCGGATGTCGCTGCCATTGGAGACAATATTGCCGTGTATGTCGGAGGCCGGTATAGTCTCTCCGGAGGCACCAGTGCGAGTGCTCCCGTTTTCGCGGCCATTGTGAACAGGATCGTGGAGGAGCGCATCAAGCGCGGGAAAGGCCCAGGTTGGTTTCCAGCGAGGTTACTTACTACAGATGAGCTTTTCTTTGACTGACTGATGTTTGACAGTGGGCTTCATCAACCCGGTGCTATATCAACACCCTGAGGTCCTTAGGGACATTGTTACTGGCAAGAACCCCGGCTGTGGGACCGATGGCTTCTCTTGCGCTCCTGGCTGGGTAAGCTTTCGATTCCAGACTACGGTGAAATTGATTCAAGTCTGACTCACGCGCAATAGGATCCCGTCACTGGTCTCGGCACACCATCTTACCCAAAGATGCTGGACTTGTTCTTAAACCTCCCTTGAGCATCCAACCATACGCCAAGATTTCCAGAATACTATGCTCGCTCTTGATCCGATCCACGCAAGAATATTGAATGTCCTTGCAAATGTCGCGTCGTGCTGACCGCGAAGTACATACTTTGAGCGCATGCTTCGGGTTCAGCGCTTCGTCCCTGATCACGAGAGATGGTTCAGACACCTTATATCGAGGTCAGACCTGCGCTCCGATGCGTCGTCGGGTTACATCCAAGTCCCTTTGCCAAAAATCCAGGATCTGATGTGTCTGATGCCCAACTCCGACAAAAAAGAGTTGATCTGTCCTGCCTCATAATTACTCTCCCTGTGGCCATGTTCACTGTACATGATATGGGAAGCTCACGGAAAGGGAGATGATGTAGACGATAGAAATTAAGACCTTAAAATCATGAATTCATGCCAAATTCAACTTTCGTGAACGAGACCTTCTCCCTCAACCCAATCCCTCACAGGGATCACCATCTCCTAGGTTCGAGAATCTACCTTCATTACTGACGCCCAGCCACCTGAGCAAATAACGCCGGTCCATAGATCGCCACGGCGATCCCAAGCAAAAACATCACCAACGCAACCGTCGCCATACTCACCACATCGAATTGCACACGCCGCAGCATCGCAAAGTGATGTCGCAGTCTCGCGGATCGCGTCGACGAGCCCGGGCCGCACGCATCGATGGGGGCAGAATCACCGATCTACGAACTTCGCATCAGCCCGAACAGGAAGCCATTGTCGCACGAGAAGGATTCTGTTTGTCGGGGGCAGACAGGCAGGCAAATGGAGAGGTAGAAAACTGACCATTTTCGTTATGGGCGCGACGTGCTCCGCGATCGCGGTCGCTTGACCTCGGTGCATTCCCGGTAGCCCGTCGACGCTCCAGGCGTTTTTGTAGGCCCAATACCTGTTTTGTTGTGTAGTTCCGCAAAATCAGAAAAGATCAATCAAGTTTCACGATGAAAGAAATCATACTTCTTCCAAAACAAAATAAGAAAGAGATAATCGCATCACATACCGATCCATGGTCTTGTCCGCGTCGCCTCCCAGCAAGTCCTTCTCCCGCTTCTCAAAGACCTGATTGAGGGTCTGGCGAAAGTTTTTGAATTCGAAGAACGGCACCGAGTAGCCGCACGAGGACCCGACCTGGTGCACATCCACGACGATGATGGAGCGCGTGGCGGGGATGGTCTGGACGGAATTTCGGGAAACGAAGGAGGCGTACTGGGGAGATTCGCGTTCGAGGATTTTCCCTAGGATGGATCATAAGAACGGGAGGGGAAGCAAACGAAGAAGAATTAGGAGGAGGAGGGGAGATACGAGGGGGTCCCGATTGGATTTGATCAATAGAGAAATAGGGATGGAAAATCCATGATGGACGACAAGAAAAGAAAGACCCACCCCGAACTTACCGTGTCCCCAGAGCCTCACGATCCTCGGCGAGCCCTCGAAGGCATTGAACATGACCGTGATGCGGCCGTTCTCGCGCAAATGCGCGATGGTCTCGACGCCGCTGCCGGAGAGATCCATGTACCAAAACGTCTTGTTGTCGACCCTATTGATTCCAACATTAACCCCCCGAGATGCACAAGTCAACCATCGTGGGGGGAAAGGGGCCCTTCGAAAACTCACAGGCCGAAATACTCGCCGCCCTTGGGGCTGACGTTGACGTGGCCCGCAGCGGACAGCGGGGCGGTGGCGACCCACAGGATCTTTTGCGTGAGGATCCATTGGTAGATCTGGATTGTGTGCGATGCGGGTGGATGTCGGTCAGCGCTGTCACATCCTCTAAGGAAAGTGTTCGAAGATGGGATGGTTGGAAGGGGGGACGTACATTTTCGGGAATCACCTCGTAGAAGACCCCCATTCTTTTGACCTTGGCTCAGAAGGGAGAGGTTTTGAATATTTGATGATGTAGAGATATGGGTTGGAAGGAAGATCATCCGGGGATTGAATGATTACCTGGGAGAAATAATTTCTTTCGTGGTTGATCATATGGGGTTTGGGATTGACTCACGACGAAGGGTTCATGCATGTGGTTGCAAGCGCCGGTCCGAGATCGGGCCGGTCAGCCGGTCGATTTTGCCGACGCTTGCGGAGGAGCGGAGCAAAGGGTCATGACTCCCACCTAGCTTCACAACCAAGCGGCGTGTCAAGCGCGATGGTTTCAATTACAACATAAGGATGGCGTGCGAGAGATACACAAAACACTAATGTCGCATTTCCTCATCATGATCTACGAGCAAGTACTACGACAACCCTAGGTATATACACTCTCCGTAAACTGATTGACCTGCAATCCCTTCTCCGCCATCTCGGCATCCTTCAGGAATTTCAACGGCATCCAAACCAGATGGCCCTTAATCTTATCCAACTCCTGGCGGACGATGTCCACGGGCTGGAACAGATCATATAGATGTCCCGACTTGCGGCTGCCTTGGGCGCCCAGGAAGCGATCGTAGTCGTCAAAGTTTTTGACGTTGTCGTCGGGATCGGCGTGGAAGAGATGGCGGAAGATTTTGGTGTTCACGGTGGCTTGCGTGGTCCAGGTGTCCCAGAGCTCGTCGGAGAGGGGGTCTTCGACAAATTTGTCCCATTTGTCGCCGGAGAACCATTCGTTGGGGCCGTCGGAGGGGGGCTGGGCGTTGATTTCGTCGCGGGCGTCGAGATCTTGGGGAGGGATGAGGCCGAGATGTTCGCGCCAGAGCATGCGGCGTAGAGTCGCAGCGTGGTGTCCTGCGGCGAAGTCTTGGCCGTCCATCTTCGAGGGGAGCTCGCGGGTGTCTTCCATGACGATGCTCAGCTCGGAGTCGTGGAAGCCCAGTTGGCTACGATCGTTGATGTTGCTCGAACCGCAGACGACTGGAGTAAAATGTCAGCTGAATCTTCCGTCTCTTCGTAGACCGTCGTCCACTTACCAATTCGATCATCGACGATCAACAACTTAGCATGAATGTAGAGTTCCTCCTGAACAAAGTTCTCTACCTCTTGCTGACGCAAATCTTCATCGGCCTCACTGTCGCCAATTGGCTCGCCGTTCTCCCCGCGACCAGCGTAGATCTCCTGACTTGGAGGCTTCTCGTCAATCAAAGCACCTTTTGCGATGGTATCGGCGCTACCAGATTTGGGGTCTTTGCCTTCGCTCTGGTTACCAATTACTCCTTCATAGTCTTCAAACTGCCTTCTCTTCTCAGCTGCGCTTGCTGAAGTCTCAAATGTGTCACCGGGTTTTTCTTCTTCGTCATCTTCTTTGTCTTTGCTAGAGATGCCCAGGCTTTTCACCTTATTCAGCAAGCCACTGAAGCCGCCCTCCTTGGTGTCTTTGGTCTTGTTCTTCAGCGTCTCAACTTTGGCCTTCTCAGCGTCTGGTGTCTCAAGTCCCTCTGACATAATCTCTTCTTCGTTGGCGCGCTGCAAATCCTGATATGTGATACCGCTCTTCGCTTCCTTGTCCTTGAGCCCGGGTGTTTTGTTAAGACGATCATAGCTTCTCAGGTTGAAGCAGAAAACGTACTTGGTGGGATCTGCACCTGCGGCATTGATCTTTCCGAAGATACTTTCCTCGCCACGACAGATCGATTTGTATTGGTAGTCCATGATCGCCCGAGTACCGATGGCCGGATCTGAGCGCAAATCTCCAGCGAATCCTGGAATAGACGGAAGCATTATGATCACTCGAAATTTCCGGCCCTCTCTATGTGCGGCCACACAAGCATCCACGATTGCTGCACCGATCAAGTTGTGTACCGGGGCTTGCTTGTCCCCTGTCGCCGTGATGAAGAACTGATTCTCAATGTAGACGTAGTGCTTTGCGGCACGAATGATCTCGCAGTAAGCGTTCTGAATGCTTTGTTCCGTCAAGATACCGGAGGACCAATCGGCAGACGAGCGGACTAGCTGGGCATGGATTGTGCCGCGTCCGACTTCAGGGTGCTTTCCAACCACATCTGAGACGTAACCTCGACTTTTTGCATCGACTCCGCCAGAAGCCGTCACCCAGCCCTCCTTTTTGACATCATTGCCGGTCATTTTGACGTTTTCCTGCTGCTGCTCCTCCGAGTGTCGGTGCTCGTGTAGCCCGGACGGCAATACATTAGGTTGTGCTTCATCCTGGTGTAAATTTAGCTTGGATCGACTGCGCTCATGGAGATGTTTCTCTAAGCCGTGCCCGTGACGGTGTTGGTCGTGACGATAGCCATGTTCGTCGACGTCATCTCTGGTGTAGTGATACTTCTCGTCGGTTTCATCGGCTGCGAGCGCTTCTTGTTGGCCGAGAGGGTGTTGAGGCATGCGTCCTGGGCGCGGATCGCCGTGCTTACCATCCAGAGGTGACAGCGGATGGTGGATGTAGTCTCCGACGGGATGCTTAGGTCGCTGTACGCCGATCAAATCTTCGTCCTCGCCCGTCCGCCCTGTCAGCGTGAGCCAATCATAACGATCATCGCGCTTGTATTTGTCGCGCTTGCAGAAATTCCAACGCAGCACAAAGTGTTCCGCGATGTCGTAAATGCAAGGGCCTTCGAGTCCCATGGCTATATCGTGCCACGGCATTCTTCCGTAATCGCCTTTGTTCAACTCATTGCTCTTCCAGTCGTCTACTCCCTTAAAGTCCATGATACGGTTGTTGTTGAAATCTTGTCCCGGGAAGATTTCCGTACGCACACCGGCAGGATGGACATCGGCGAGCGGGTGCTGTTTGTTATCCCAGCGTCCAAAACAGAGGTCCAGTCCTCCGATGAATGCCAGGTCATAGTCAATGACGATGAACTTCTCATGGTGTGCCCAGTAGAAAGTCATGTCGCCAGCATTCTCAAAGACGTTGTGATCGGGATGGCGCATGACCCGAATGTTGCCATATCCTGGCGTACCTTCCGGGCAAAGACCCATGAGTGCCTTCTTGGTGTGCTGCGAATTACATGTCAAGGCGGCCTCCACTTCGCGGTAGACAATGACATAGATCTTGACGCCACGTTCAGCCGCACGTTTGAGGGTATAGTCGAGACGCCATTCTTGGTTGTAGTACGGCGGTCGTCGCAGGAACAACTCAGGACTCAGCCACCAGTCTGCGATGTAAATGGTCTCCTTGGCGCGTTCCAATCCGACCGACACGGCGTGGAAATAATCTTGGGATCTTTTGTTCAGTTGTTGCCGCCTTGACGATACAAAACTGCTTTCCCGCATCACTCACCTCTGCCGTCGATGTACCATTTGACGTTGTTGCCGAGGCGCTCGGGTGCGAAAGATTGGAAGCGGTGGCCTTCAGCAATTCGTGTCCGTTTGGCATCGGTCTTCTGCTCGTGCTCCTCGTCGTGACGGTGGTTGGTGTTGACAAGGTTTCCGAACTTGCCGAGCTTGTGCTTCAAATGAACCGCTTTGACCTTCGCCTCGTAATTAGCATCGTGTACAGCGCGAGAAATGAAGCTCACGCAATCACCTTGAGGTCGTGTAAGCCACCGCTGCCGTCTCCTAGTCGCGACTGTCCAGGCGCATCGCCTTCGTTTTGTGTGCTGCCGAAGACCATGATCGATCAGCGGCGGAAATGGTCAGATCAATCACAGATCTGGAAAAAGATGGCCAGTAAGAACAAAACGAGAGAAATAGATCTCGAGGATGAAAGCGACACCACTCTAAGAATGAGTAAGTGCGCAAGGTAATTATGTATATTCAGATGAGAGCGGATCTCACGCAGGTGATGTAGTATTAAAGGATAGGTAGCAGAAAGAAAGTTCATGAGCAGGGCGTGTTGAATGCGAATCTTTCCCGCGAAACACCCGACTATTATATTGTTGTACCGAATGATGCACGCCCGTCCAACGAACGACCTCTAAAGTTGGCCGACTTCCAAGCTTTGCTTTGCTTTGCATTGATTTGCTCGCCTAGATACTTTCTCGCTCTGCTTCACCTGATTGCGCGCCACGGTTTTGCCGATGAATGCTCGGCAAGCGACGGAGGAGGAGGAGGATTACGCGTAAATATCTCGTATTGTGACATGCCGTCGTGCGTTGGACGCACACTGTTCGAGGACACTTCCCCCCTCCGTCTGGTTGTTTCGACGATGGTGGTGAGTGCGCCTTTCCCCTCCCAAGCAAGCCATGTGCTTTGGACGGAAACCCTCTCAACCCCACCAACTGTAGACTACTACGCGACCACGGAGGATCGACGACCACCCGGATCAGATTGTGAAGAGTATGCACTCTATTCAGATCTAGCCACACTCATGGTGTTGGACATTAGCATTTGCCGGTTTCGAAAGCAGCCCGGGAACTGTAGTGCGTCCCTGGAGCTGTTCGCTTCTAAGGTTCGATCATCGAAAAGACTAGATTTCTCCCTTAAATCCCGCCGAGTATTCTGACGTTTGCCCAATATCGTTATGGTGCAGCTCCGACGTCATGCGGGCGGGCATGCGGGGCTGAGCAGACGGTGACATCACTGGGCGAGATCATTGGAATCGGTAATAAATCCCGCCCGGCACGTGTTTCTGGTCGCGCAGTGTATACCAGCGATATGTGCCCACGGGTGTAAAAGAGTAAATAGTCGCCTCCAAGAAAGTGCCTGGGTAACCATGCAGATAAATGGTCGCTTCCAAGGTAACCAAGCAGACGGATAACTCATCGCTTTCACATGCAGCATCGTCTCATCACAATTTAATAACGGATAGAACAGTCCTGCAGGCAGGTCGAGTTCGTCACGATTGGATAAGAGATATATATACACAGCTCGGTGCACTGCAATCCACAGAGCTCATCATCATAAGATTGGGATCTCATTGTCATAGCTACACTATCGTCACATCCACACACAGACAAACACACAACCCTCTTCCACCTCTTCGTCCTTCCGAAATGCTGAACAAAAATAACCCGTATGTGTTTGGAAATATCCCTGATGACGCCGAAAATACGCCTCTTGCGCCCGAAAAGAAAAGTTAGAAAAGGAAGTAGGAAAATTCCTCCCTGCGCGCCTGCCCGTCGCAGAGACGGAAAGAGAAATCCCGTGGTCGAGCGAGATGGGTGTTCGACCCGATAGGCAAAACCTTCGTCGCATAAAAAATTTCATATCTTCCACATCCCGTCCCGCCCGTCCTGTCCATCCATTGATCATCGCGATCTCATGTTCCACGCGCTCCGTCCCTCCTCCGCGACCTTCCCACTGACTTCCCGGCGGCGCGGGATGCCGTACGACTGGTCGCTGTCATAATGGGCATTGGCATCCGTGATGTCCACTCCCGAGCGGCTCACCACCCTCGGCGATCCGTTCGCCTGCTGATGTGTGTGGTATGCCGGGGCCCCCGGCGACGCGCGCATGAAGGGCGAACCGCCGCGCACGCCGATGGTCGCGGCGGCCAGGTCGCCGTAGTATTTGCCTTTCGGGGTGCCGGGGCTGATCTTGCTGGCCACGCGGATGGTGGGCGCGTCGTCGGAGTAGATCGATGAGGCTTGGATGGTGCTGGCTTGGGACTGCATGGTCATGGTGCGGTCGACGTCGAGGTGTTGGGCCGTCTCGTATCTGGGAGCGGGTTGACGCTCGTGGCGGCCCTGTTCCGCAGGCGCGTTCTTGCCGTCAGGTGCGTTGACAGGGGTGGGAGGGTTCATGCCTAGAGGTTGAGGGTCGCAGGAATCATGTCGTTCGCGCACGGGGATCTTGGAGTATGCCGGGCTTGGGCCACGTTGATGCTGAGGGGATCCCATGTCGACCTCGCTTTCATTGTCGAGGACGTACCAGTTGTCGCTGAGCATTCCCTTTTGCACTGGAGATGCTTGTCGAGGCGTGCCGGACTTCTGCATTGCTGGGTGCACGAAATGTTCGTGGTTGAGGACGCCGGCTGCCAGGAAGTTGTCGAGATGCTCTGGGTGTGCTGGCTCATCGTCGATGTTTTCATAGAAGGAGCCCTGTTTCGACGGTCCGAGAGATCGAGGGCGTGATTGACGGGTGGGTGAACCTTCTTGGCGGGAGTTGCGTCCGGCAGTCGATTCGGGTCGCAGGGATAAGCTGTCGAAATTCTGTCGTGAGAGTCGTGCCGTATCCGGGTTGTGAGGAGAGAAAGTCTTGTTCGAATCAACGCGGCTATGTCCAAATGGGATGACCCTCGCGCTCGCCACAGATTTGGTGCCGGGACGAGACCAATCATCGCTGACAAAGGAGCCACCACTGTAGTATCCAAGCTTCTTCTCCGCGAGCGTCTCCGATGAAGTGGACGAGAGTTCGCTGTTCTTGTGCTTGTGCTTCTTCGACGGGCGCCTGGTGAGGTTGTCCTCGAGAGGGTTCATGTCCGGAGGGAGGCGTGCGATGCGGCGGAACATGATGACCAAGTAGAGATCAAGTCCGATGCTCAGAAAGTGTAGTGCTGACAAGACGATTCCGCTCACGTAAGTGACGAAAATGAGCATGGTGGTGGTTTGCTCGTTGGTGAAGAAGCTAGTCCACCGATCCGGAGTTTTGACGTCCTCGGTGTAGTTTTGGTTGGCCAGGAGGACAACGAAAACGTAGAAAGGAATGATCGCGGTGTCCATGAAAAGCGAAAAGAAGTGGTAGCTGCCACTGTTGGTGGGCGTCCGGCCTTTCGCTGGGCGCAGGAGATGATACACAGCATACATGCACACCACCGAATCCCACGCAGGCTATTCGTTCATCAGCATACAGTCTTCATAGGTATCATTCCCGATCATGTATAACATACCGCAATCCTCAGAACCCATCCCTGTCCATCGAGCTTCATTTTCAGGCAGATGAAAATGACCAATAGTCCAAGTGCTCCAATCTCTTGGGCGATACGAAGCACAAACTGTACCCATCGCGACGCTGTTATCATAACCTTTGTGTTGGCTGGCAGAGTTTCATATTGTGGTGTCGGACCACCGACGATCATGTAGCTGTCAGGGTGCTGGTTGAAGTCGACGAGCGGCCTGCCGCTGGCCAGGAGTTGTGCGCGATGATGTTCAGCCCGGTCTATGAGCGCAGCTTGATGTGCCTGTGTAGCCGCGCGAGGATTGAAGTGTGAATACGGAAACGATATCGGACGCTGCGATGATGGCGGGTCGTAGAGGAAAGGCTGCTGTCCGTCGCCGGACCCCATTGCGGCGAGCAAGGTAATTTAGCGAAAGAATGAGTGAATGTTCTGCTGCTGGGGATGGTCTTCGCAGGAAAGCAACGACAGTGAGGTGTAGGACTTGACGAAGTTCGTGCGAGATGGCACGAAATAATTGTATGTCGATCGTCCAAAATTCAAGGCTGGGCTGTCATGTGTATATCTCCGACATTGGTGTGAGACCGTGTTCAGACATGCTGCTGCCAGTGGTGACGATGTCTGAGTCGCATAGCAACATGGCATAGCAACAATCGATATCGGCGTCAGCTGCAGATTTGCCAACCCTACACCCTACACCCTACACCCACCCTTGCAGGTCCGCTTTCGCGTCGAGATGCGGCTGATCGGATCTGATAATAGATAATGCACTGAATCCCTACTAGGTAGGTACTGGTTCTATTACTTCTACGACATCATCATCAGCAAATGTCATCGCAAGAATTCGGGTCTCGATGCTGGGACCGACGGCGCGCACATGTACACACTGTGTTCGCACTTTGAACAATGTCGCCTTCAAGAGGCGCAAGGTTGCCAGGGTCGGCGAAGTGGCGAGAAGGTACAGCACTGTTGAGACACGGGAAAGACCTTTGCATCTGGCCATAATCGGGTCTGGACCGGCCGGTTTCTACTCGGCATACAGACTGCTCAAGAATCTTCCCGACGCGAGGGTGGACATGTATGAGCAATTGCCATCACCATATGGACTGGTCAGATTCGGAATCGCACCGGACCATCCTGAGGCCAAAGTACAATGCCCACTCGCAGATCCGGACTGTCGATATAGATGCTGATGTCTTCCGCAAATCTGTAGAAATGCTCCGAGACACTGCCAGACGTCGCAAAATATCCGGGTTTCAATTACATTGGAAACGTGTCTATCGGTGAAAAGGCAGACCAATTACCTTTGCCACTGCTCGCATCGCAATATGATGCCGTCTTGTTCGCGTACGGTGCTTCAAAGGACAAGGAATTAGGCATCCCCGGCGAGAACCTGAACGGAATCATCTCAGCACGTGCATTTGTGGGGTGGTATAATGGCCTTCCAGAATATGCTCACCTCAATCCTAATCTAGAGGCTGGCGAAACCGCAATCGTGATCGGGCAAGGCAACGTAGCATTGGATGTCACGCGCATCCTCTTGATGCCGTTGGAGCAGTTGCGCAAGACCGATATTGCTGAGCATGCTCTCGACGCACTTTCGAAAAGCAAAGTGCGCGATGTGAAAGTCATCGGCCGACGCGGACCACTCCAGGCGCCTTACACTATCAAGGAGCTTCGCGAATTGATGAACATGCCTGGTCTTGCTTTCGCACCGCCGTCAACCGGCTGGGATGACCTGATTCAGGTCGAGCGCAAAGCATTACCACGGCAACTGAAGCGTATTAGTGAGGTGTTGGAAAAAGGCTCCCGCACGTCACTCGCTGATGCAAGCCGTGCGTGGCAGTTGGGCTACCTACGATCGCCCTCTGAATTCCTGTCCACCAATGGTAAGGATTTGGCAGCCGTAGGCTTCGAAACTACAGAGTACCTCGCCGACATCAATACTGTTCTCTCAGCTGATGCACAGGCCAATCTCAATGCCATTCGTGGAGTTGGTGTCAAGAATACCGGCAGTAAGACCGTAGTTGCTGGTTCTCTCGCCTTCCGCTCGGTCGGATACAAGTCCGAAGCTTTGGAGGGAATGGACCAGCTTGGCATAGTCTTTGACCAGAAGGCCGGCATCCTCCCCAACGACCGCTGGGGCCGCGTACTAAGTCCCGATCGCGGTCCTGCCGGGCCACTCACAGCGGGCCATGTTCCCGGCATGTACTGTGCAGGCTGGGTGAAGCGTGGCCCAACCGGAGTCATCGCGTCGACCTTGGACGATGCATTTGCGACTGCAGATGTCATTGTGCAGGACTGGCGAGATCGCGCCCTTTTTAACCCTGGGGTCGGTCCCTCGAAGCATGGCTGGGATGCTCTACGAAGTGAAGTGCAGGCAAGGGGGATTCGTAGTGTCAGCTGGCAAGACTGGGAGAAGATCGATGCTGAGGAGGTCCGGCTCGGGCAAGCTGCCGGTCGAGAAAGGGTGAAATTCCGCACTGTAGAAGACATGCTGAGAGTTCTCGATTGAGACTTCTTTTGAACTTCACTTCGACCTGAGAGAGACTACACGGTTTACGCGGTTTCGGACGTCCATCATGCATGCTTACGCCTTCTCATAGTTCTACCATATAGCCAAACGAAAGGGAATTTGAGAGCCTCGCAGAAAGCGGACCTGCACCTCGAATCACTCCACCCATATTTCAGCGTCAACGCGATTCAGGTACCTCCGAAACGCCTGGAAGATCGTCAAAAAGTAGACTCCGTCGACGTTTTACGCCTGAGAAGGCCAAAAATGCAAAAAGTAAAGTTGCTCTCGATCGGGGAATCGAACCCCGGTCTCCCGCGCATGTGAATCATTGATTGACAAGCGGAAATTCTAACCACTAAACCAATCGAGAAGTCTCGAGATCATCTTGGATGATCGGGATCAGAGCTTGTGTTGCGTCAATATTGGACGTATATGATGGTGAAATCAATGTTCTGACGGTCCTGCTCGGCTACTACGAACGGTCCAAAACCGCGTCGGGCGTCGGGAGTATAGTATCAACACTACATAGTCTTTCCTGACTGACCACGTAGGTGACACGCCCTTTCCCTTCTCCGAATGATCGGAATCACCAATCAAGTGCAGGTTCGTAATGGTTCACCAAGTCGTGATACGACTAAGAGGAATGAAGCCCACCTGGGCAGACATTGACCGCTAGCACGAGGCACTATAGTCGCGTGAAACCTTCACGAGTAGGTTTGCTATGGTTCTGGAAGTCACAAACGCAGGCGAGAATCTAGTTCAGAATCGCGCAGGGGATCGTCTCTCGCGTGAGCATTGGAGCTGTCAGCCTCGCGTGATACCATGCCTAGCAGATGATGTACCAACGTAGGCGACATGACTCACGGACGAACATGCGGAGCACATCTGCACAGCCAGGCGGCTAACACACACGTCATGAGCCAGACGGAGCTATGAATCGCCTCAACGACACAACAATTTCCCGAGTGGGCATTACTTGAAAGCCACCGGTAGGTGCGGTGAGTGAAAACGATACTGCGGTGATGATACTGCTGCCTATTCTGGGACACCTCTTCCAATGCATGTACGCCCGCATGGAGGGAGGGATCGCTTAGCAAGATGCGCCCTATCCCCGTGAATAACCTCACACCACAACATGCCGCGCCCTGTCGCGGATATCAATGGATATGCGACATTGAGCGTGCATAGTCGCTGCAAACCAGATTGCGTAAATAGTCGGTGCCTAGCCAGGATGGAGCATCACAATCGATGCATTGCATCTCCTCACACAAGCAGACAAGCAAAAGCAAAGCTCAAAGCTCAAGCAAGACGAACCTCATCCTGCAAGGCCGATAGCCTCTTCGCTGCTCGCCAATATAAAAAGTCAAAAGTACTCTCACAACAAAGTCCAATATGTTTTCCTCTCAAAGCACCAAGAAAAGCACGACTACATCATCAACCATGTCCTCCAACGACAAAGCCGAAAGCGTCGCGAGCGTCTCAACCATCCAATCCATCAAGAACAGACTCTCCTCAATCACATCGTCGTCAAAGTCAAAGTCCGAGCAGCAAGAGGGCGCCTCTCCAGGCGAGAAACAGGCCGAGCGCAAAGCCGCCCGGACGAACCCCGAGACCGTCGCTGCATGGGCCGCCATGAGGTGAGAACCGACCAGCATCATGAACGAGAGATCCCATGGGCATTGAGGAAGAAGAGGGGCACAGTGGGATGTCCTTTGGTTTGCATGGCAGATATTTCACGCATGGATCCCCTTTGCGCGTCGTATTTTCCCGCGATGCAGTTCCTGTATTTGCGATCAAGCAGGAGGAAGATCTGTTCGATGTGTTGTCGTTTTCATGCGCAGCCGATTGTCACTTTATTGTAGAGTGCTGCGCAGTGAGGAGCATTTCGCTGATAGGTTGGATGACAGCCATAAGAACAGTATGCGGATCAACTGATCTTCGATGAGGGGACGAAATGGTCGGGTCGGCGGCATTTGTGGGAGCGGTGTTTTCAGCAAACACCTGCCTGGGTGGGTAAACGGCGGTTGTGGATGAGGAATACGTTCGCCCGGGGTGGAAGGCTTCTCAGGGGAGAACACATCAGGAATGGCTTTTTGTGCCAGTGGAAGAGAGTGAATGTCTGCAATATGAATAGCTGATATTGCAACCTAATGATGTTACTACTGCCGTCGATTGAAGCCAGGTGGGTCGTGCAAGTTCCCCGTGTTCGTCAACTCTCATCCCTCACCAGCCCACCCCAGCGTGAGCGTCTGTTCTCCTAAACATCCCTAGTCAGGCTGCTCATGTTTGGATCAAGTGAAACGCAGCCGATAGGCTGATATCCCATCTAAACGTCTCAGAGACCAAAAATTCAGAACTCTGTGTTATTCCACGTTTCACGGTGAAACAACCAAACGACTTCACGGTCCCACCACAAAATGCAGCCCAAACCCTAACAGTGGACGACTGACAACCCTAACAGTGTCATTCTCTGAAATGCCACGGAAATGTCTCGGGTATGCTTCGGATTTACATGTACAGTCAGAGCAGCTCAGGAAAATATGTGAAGAAGGAACCAATGAATGTCATACAAGAAACACAATGCTTTGGGTATATTTATAGAAAATGGTAAAACCTACTGGTAATCGTCGGCCTCCGATTTCCTGCCATCAAGAATGCCTCCAAGATGATGAGTGTTGGCAAAAAGGAAAACTCATACGTGGCGCCGTTGTTGGTGTGAGTCATAAGCCCGCCTTCGGCCACACCCAGTCCAAGCATGTGATGATCTCCTCACAACACAAGCGATGATGCAACTCCAAGAGACACCGGCGTGACAGGCTTCGCTGTAATCGCCGCCCGCCAGAATTTCCTGGTCCTTTCAATACCCCCCCACCCCATGGTGAACCATTCCGCCCCCCCAAGTCCATACGATGCAAAAGCCATAACGCCGCGGAAATGCCCAAGTAATTTGTTTTTGAAACAGTAGATGTTTGGAATCAAGAGCTTTTGGATTTTTGCTTTTGTATAGCCTTTGTCCCAGAAACGCGTGAAAGCGATGTGTGTGTGGATGATACAAGATGTCGAGCATTGAAGTATTCTAATGCTCGCAATCATACAATCTCTCGGTATAAATGAGCGTCCATGACGGACGTCTCGGCGGGGACGCAGCTGCGTTTGTTCCCGCCGGGATGGCGAACCGCCACCCGGCCCGTCAGTGGGCTGCTGCCGAGGAAAGAGAGAGAATCGTCGGAGTAGTTGACGATGGCGCTCATGTCATCATGGCGCGTAGGAGTCGGAAGGAGGTAGCGTGTCGCATAATTGACTGCAGCAGAGGGAAGAGCGACGTGCTCGTCGATCTCCATCTTCTCTGCATGGTAATCTTGCAACTGCGACGTGATTTCGTCTTCCATGTCGGAGCGACCGTGACCTCCATGGACCCGGCCTCGCTTGCGCGAGCGCTCAACGGCAGCGGCAGGCCTGATGTGAGTAGCGTGCTTGCTGTGGCGATGTGGTGCGTGGAGGACCTTCTCGCTGACAGAAAAGTCTGCGAAGTCAGGACTCGCGGTCATCTCGACATCGTCGTCAATGATGATAGGCTTGTTGGCCGTGCCTTCCTCATTGTGTTCACGTAAACTGGCAGGCAGCGGCAACTTGACATTCCGGCATGTTGCTTGGCGAGCCAAGCAGGGGCGCGGCGCTGTCATCATCGACGATGTGGAAAAGGCAGACATGGAAGAGATTGAGGAGGAGCGTGATGCTCGGGAACGGTCGGTGACCATTGATTCCGGGCTCGAGTTCAAGGAGGCTGTACTCAACAATGAAGATCGCCTCGAGAGGTGATGTCTTAGATCAGCATTCGAGAACGCGTCAACTGCACAGCGTGTGAAGCTGGCACTGCGCATCTGCGTCATGGCCGAAGACATGGACGGCCGACGAGAGCTACAAACACTCGCTGCAGGAGTGTTTGAGACACATGTGTTCGGTGTCATCTGCGGTGTTGGTAGACAACGTGACCGGACCAGAGCCGGGGTTGGCGGCAGAACATCCGTCTTCGGCTCCAGGAAGCGCGGCAATACTGTTGAAGGCGTTGGCGTACTTTCTTGCGAGGTGGTGCAGAAGTCGAATATATCGCTTGCATTCTTGACAGGAGTTGGCGTTGCCACCGGAGTGGAAATACCGAAGAAAGAAGAGCCTGGCTGTGCAAGCGGCTTTGGTGCTTCCTTGGGCATGGGAACATTGTCCAGCTCGGGAGTGAGCAGTGGGACCACTTGCTTCCACGTCATTGTCCTCGAGCTCAGGTGTGCATCTGGAGTCTGAGGGCGAGGCGTGTATCGCAGGACCAGCTCTTGCCACTTCTCAAAAGTGGATGCCGGAACGTGGAGACGCCAGTTAACACGCTCGAGAAAAGTCCTCTCATTAGTGTTTATCTCCGTGACGCTCAGACCAGACATCTTTTTCCATGCCTTCGCGGAGTAGTTTCGATCCTGAAGATATTTCGATGCCAGGATCAGTGCCGCGAGGAACATCCTTCGACCGCACATGAGCGCACGGTTCTCAAGGCACAAAGAATTTTGTTCCATGGTAAAGTCAGCAGCCGGAACCGAGGGCATGATCAGGATCAAGTAATATAAGGCGACTTGAAGGGTCGAGTAGCTCGTGCGAGAGCGACGCAGAGTCTCTTCAATGTATGTGCGGAGCGGCAGAACGCCACGACCATTACCTCCTTCGGCCTGACAGGCAAGTGCCGACAATGGCCAAATGACCTCTACCATTTGAGTGGCAGAATCTTTGACGGGGAGATTGCTTAGCTTGTGATTCCATGAGGATCTTATCAAATGTGTGCTTACCAACGAGGTTGTCGACAAAGTCAATCTTGCGGTCGCGTTGCCTGACGAGTAAAGGGGGTCTTCGATCTTTCGAGACGGAACATCGCCGGGGATGTTGTCGCTGAGTCGCGGGCAAAGAAGTGACATCGGCGTAGGTAGGTGGAGCATGTGCGCCTGCTTGGCCGAGATGCGCAGCAACAGCCGCATTCAATTCGCCATACTTGACCTGACCAATTTGGGATTGGTATTGAAGATGTGGCTGAGCGCAAATGCGATCCTGTTCACGCAAATCTTCTTGGCTGCTCCGAAAGTCATCAGAGATAGAGGTCGCTACGGAGCTGTGCGCTGAAGCGTCCGAGAATGTGGATGACTGGGAAGATCTGGCAGATGAGCTGATCGAATGCTCATATGCTTCGTAAGGCTCATGGACGAGACCAGTCCCGATAGAACCCTGATCAGATAATTCTAGGCTCATTCTCGTGTTTCCGCAGTGTTTGAATAGAGGTGTCCAGTAGAGTATGTCAGTAGAGTGTAGCAGTTCCCAATGCGCCTTCAAATGCTTGAACGACGCTAGTATCTTAGAGATGCAGAGCAGTCATGTGAAAGTGGTCGTAAGTCAGATGTCAAAGTTTCGATGCCAAATTGACCGCTTGACCGCCTCTTATGTTTTGACTCTCGCTTCCCAACGAATTTAAGCAGCAAGATTCCAATCCCCAAGCCCGGCAATCCAGTCGAAGTTCTTCTGATGTATGCGCCTGGTGAAACGGACGTAACAATATAGCAGAAGTTTGCTAATGTAATCCAGTAGAGACACAGTGGCTGAGTTGTTCAGCACAACTTGATGGTGGAAACGCTGGATTTGGGGAGGGTCTTGCTGCTGACGGAATCGCGAACGGTTGTGAAACTCATGGTTCCCCAATCGGGAAATATGTAGAAGAGCAGTGTTGGAAGCGCAAAGCCCTGCCACTCGGTCGCGTTGATGTTTGTTTGTAAGGTGAGGCGTTATACAAGTCGGAAGGTTGTCGTCGTCGAGGTTAATGCAGAAAAGAATAGATAGGTCTCCAAGAAAGTCGTCACAGTGATATGAGTGGAGAGTGAGAGAGGGTGATGTTGTTCTGAGTAAGGCAGGCTCGGGATCGAGTGTTCGTAGTTGAGTGATTCAGATCTGCTAGGCGGTGGCGGGGCACAAGCGAATCAGTCCGTCCTTGCCGCCGAGAAGGAAATAATAAATACAAGAATGTGTCGGCAGAGTCCAGAGGTTATAGGGAGTGTATATGACTGTGTGATGAGTGGTCGAGGCGAATGACAGTCTGTGAGGCGTGTAAAGATGAGTCGGCGTGGTGGCAAGCCCGATGGCGACGTGATGACTCCGCTAACAGCTGGGGCGACGGGCGAAAGCCGTGAGTACGCGCTTACGATGAGTCGACCCTCAGGCAGCAACGCAACGAGGACGGACAGGGAGGAAATCGAAAAGTTTCAGTTAAGAAGTCGATCTGGAGGTTGAATGAGATGGTTTGAAGTTGTGTAGTTTGTGAGGTTGTCAGTATAGGACGATGTTGCGTTGTTGCATGATTGCGGTCGTGGCAGCAACGGGGAGGAGAGAGAAAAGAGAGGTGTAGACAGCGCGAGGCTTTTTGTCATCTTGATGAATCAGGCTGCGGCGACGCTACGGCTGCCACTCATCACTCATCACTCGCATCACTGCAGTTGTTTCTCTACACGTTCAGGTCCATCCAGTCCTCGGATGCATACCGACATAACCTCCATCACAGTGCGAGAAGGTGTTTATCACTCTCCCCTTTGACATAGTATTACTGGAATTGTCACCACAGTATGCCTAATTGCTGCCGCTGCGACAGATCAAACGCGGAAGTCCTAGCAAGAAGACCTCTTGAGCACTGAGAGAAACACACATAATGGCGAGTTTACTCCCATTGCTCTCGCGGAGTCATACATCTGGTCGTCGCATCTACTGCATGGACACTACAGCCCATCTCTCTAGTGAGCCTGCCCAGGTCCCTAAGGACGACCGGCTTGTCACGATCAACGCGTCCCCGTCATGGCACTCATGATCGGTTGGATGCTGGGACGTGAAGTTGGAGCGAGAGCAAAAAGGGCATGAGTGGCCACTGGCGCTGTTCTGCCTAGACGAAGACTCACTACCGTCGGGAGGTGGTGGTGGACCTGGCGAAAGAGAGGACGTGTGATGACTGCGGTCGGTCCGCGAGCGAGGGAGTTGGGAGTCATCGCTCGGTACTGGGCAATTAGGTATCCATGTACCCTGACCTGATTATCATAATTACTCTGCTCTAGTCTCTTGTCTTCACCATTCCTGGAAATAATTCTGGGCGCGACGCCCAACTCTCTAAGCCACGATGGGACTAGCGCACCAACGGAAACAAAGTCGTCGGGACATTCGGGTCGTGCCTTTCTCTTCCGTCCCCGGAGGCGGTCATGCGTGATCGTCAAGTATATGACAGAATGATCCTGCGCATATCACAGACCGTCTGTCTGGTCCATCCGCTCCTCGCACAGCCTCGCCATCCCTCCACACACCCACCCTCACACATCTCGGGGCGAGCTTCTTACAGTAATTAACAGCGGCGCATGGCGAGAAACACGGCCGAGAGCTGCCCAAGACGGCCGTCTCTCACTGCTCCGCCCGACTAAGGTGAGCGTACAGTACACATTAGTTAGGCAGCGAAGTCTTGCTCTGAGTCACTGGCATCATCGCCATCAAGAGCAGCGTGACCGTCGAGAATTTTCACGAGCAACTAACTCGTACTGTAAGAATTACGGGCGGGAGTGCGCGATTTGTATCATACGGCATCAGCTGGAAAGCAGGAGTGGAGTACGCAGGCGTTTCGGTAGGAAACGAATGACTCCCAGCCATCATTCGCCACAGCGGCTGAGGGGGCGACGCTCGGCCACAACACAAGGCAACAACGACGTAATGATCAACACGCCCCTCAGGCACCGACTCGATCATCGCGCATGCATCGGAATGCATCACCACAGTCTGGAACGCAGACGAAGTCGTCGCGGGAAAGACTTGCGTCTCAGGTCACAGGATCTCGTGATATTGTATTGTTGCTCACCTTTCCACTCAGCGGAGTGGGACAGGCCTACCGTTCCGCTCGTCGTCCTCGGATCTCACCTGGCATGCACAGGATTTCGGTCTCTTCGATGGCTCATGCAGCGCGCTGACATCCACGGCTGTCACAGCGGCATGCTACGGTTGCTGATGCATCTGCTGCAGCAGACACGCCCTCTGTACCATCATCCTATCGTTTGTTCACTCCAACAACCTGATGTTTGGCAACATATCCACCTCTTCCAACGAACAAGAGCGGGTGCTCAGCCAGGAATCCTCAGCGGTGCTATAACATGCGTGTCATGTGTGACCCTGATAGTGTTCTGGTAGCAAGGAGGAAATGTCTGAGTCTTTTATATTACACCTGTCTCGGCAACAAACAAATTTTTATTCTTTCAGGCAATAATAAGACACATGCTTAACGGCAAAATATGGTGGAAGCACCTAAATGATCATAAACGATCGTCACCCATATATGTGAAAGGTCACGATGGCTCGTAATAGTGCTGTTCATCTTTGCCGTATCACTCGATAGTGTTATGTCTGATTACTGCAGACACCAAATCCATCTCGAGATGGGTTATGCGTTGTCCACTATGTCAAAGGCGGAACTCACGTGCCATCTGTGTCAAAGAGAAGAAATAATCCACATGCGATCCCGCCGGCCAGCCAGCCGTCTTTGCATGGGTCACAAGAGCTCACGGCAGTGTTTGGGCACGAATCCTGCAAACACCATGATGCCCATCCATCAACAGCACATATGCATACAGTTTATCTCCGCTTGGCAACCGAGTCAGCGCCACTAGTTCGACAATCTAGCTTGCACTGGTGAGACGTGATGTTCTGTCAGACTCAAGGCGGTGTTCTCTGTGATGAGAGAGCGAGCTGTAGCCTTGGAAACGACGACGCGTTTCGATCACGTCCAGGCCGGGGATGAGTTCCCCATTCTGTATACTTCGCCGCTTCAGTAATGTGTTATTTCCAACCTGCTAGGCGCGAAACGCGATCACACGGGAGTCGGACTGTGCCCAGATCCCGTCTCTCACAGCTTCGGAAGCACATCGCGGCGTATGGGACGCAGATGCTGCAGACAGACCAACGGCACCCAAAAAGATCATACAACCGCAGAACGGAAGAAAAAGCACGTTGTGGCTGCGCCGGAAGTCCTTTCCGCCCGCTTTTCCATCGTCCTCTGCAGAGGTCACGGGTGCGTCGAACCTGTATGCTTATTCCTCGAGTTCCGTTACTTGTCCAGCAGAACAGTACCTGGCTGGCGAACCCTGGACAAGTGACAACGAACGATATGCAGGATTTTGATCACGCTGTCCTGTAGGGAATTTTGCAACTCGAAAAACAAACATGCATCGCAGGAGGAGGAGGAAGAGGATTCCCGCGCCGCGGAGACAGCATCCGTTTCCTCCTCCAGGACCATCGCTGTGATCGTTCGACTTGCCTGGGCTGTTTTTGTTTTACAGTTCATGTGAGTCATGTGTATCCCCGTGCTCCCCCCACCACCGCCCGATTGCGCAACTCACCAACCCCATCGGCCCGAAAATTCGCCCGGGGACGAAACCATGATGTGGTACCGTGTAAGCAAAACATGCCGTTCGTCCATGCAGCCTTCGAGCAGCAGTACCGCCCAGCGTGCCCACATGGCGTCCAGCCCCAGCTATCGAGCTGGCTGGTACTTGGATGGAGACAATTGTGGAATTATGGGATCAAGAAATGCTGTCAGACCTTCGGAATTTGGAAGAATGTTATATCAATACCACGAAGGACACGCATCTCTTGACAGAATGGATGTCGCTACGCATCCATACTGTGCCAAGCGACCGCCTTAAACCTGGGTGTAAGCGGATCTCATGGTAATGTATTCCTTCTCCCACAGAGGCTGGAAGTCCTCTTGTATGCCATTGCTTCTGCTCGTATTCGTATGCTCGACCACTGGCGGTGGGAAGCACAGTAACGTTATGAGTGATGCACAGGCGATGGCTACGAGGACGAGGCAAGTTCGATATGAAACCTGTTACATACTCGTGCATAGGGCCGTCGCACGTGGCAAAAACGTGTTAAACGCACGGCGGATGTGATCTATCGTGGTCCGAACTACACGACAGGTGAGAACATGATGGAGTCCGACATCGAGTCGCTGTACTACCACGGATGTTTTCGCATTCGATGGTGAGACCGATCACAGACCTGGAGTCATAGGAGATCCTAGTTTAAACGCTCGACTCTGATTACACACTCCACTTGCCACTCCCAATCACCAGTTGACCGCGCAAAGAGACAAATTATGGCAACAATGCAACCAGAACTCCCAGGACAGCAAGTCCAAATGTGTCCAACCTCGCGTGCACAGTGAAATCTTATGCAATTTGAACCGAATTTTGTGTGTTTGCTCTTCACCGGCCTTTCCAATTCAGGATGTCACATAGTACAGGGACAGATCTGTTGCCCGTTCACTCGCGGTTCATCATGAAAGGACATTCCAGGGGGTTCAAGCGACTCATCTCCTCATGGGTGACGTGAGTCTCTTCGTCGCTTGCTGGCACCGCGACCGCCTGTCCTGCTGATGGCTCGATGGCTTTCTCGACGTCCTTGGAATGAGGGTGGACGTCATCGGCGGATTGCTTGAGATGGTCATCAATCTTGTCGCGGGCTTCAGAGTCTGCGTGCCTGGTTTCGTCGGTTCCACCGCTGTTCTTTGTTGTCGAGGATTGCGTCATGTCAGACGTGACTTGACCTTGAGCTGAAAAGTTCACCGACTGTTCTGCAGGCAAAGTGAGGACGTCCTCATCCTTTGTCCCTGGGTTAGCGTTCGTTGTGGTCGGAGATTTATTGTCCACGCCCTTGGAATTCTTCATAAGCGGAACAATGGTTGACAGATCATGACGTTGATGGACCGCATCTGCAGGCACAAATGCGTCTGCTGCTACACCAGTGACTTTGGAGATGTGCTTTGGAATGATTTCTTCGGGCGCAGGCTCATGGCTATGTTTGCCCTCTGGAGCATTGTGCTCGCGAGCAATGGAGAGGCCATCACTGCCAGGAAAGTCGTGCTGCTGAGACGGTGCATGTGATTGTGTGCTTTCGTCCATGCCATCTTTGGTTGTGGCAGGCTGCTTGTTGACAATGCCTCCGGGAGCGATCTGTCGGAACATTTCCAACGGATCCATCCAGGTTCGCACCGACTGGAGACGAAGCTTTTCATCGACCACCGCAACCGTGACGCCCTGGATGTCAATAGCTCCGCCGTGAGCCTTCGCCGTGACCTTTTCGCCCTTGCTATAGAGATGTCAGAAATTGCAGTGAGGAAAATGTGTGAGAGGGTTAAGCTCGACATACTCGTTGAAACCGACATAGTCGTTCTTCATCTCGCCCCAATGTCGCCAGCGGAAGCTGATCTGTGGCGGTCCGGCACTGTAGACCTCGAGGACTTCCCATGCAAAAGTGGGCATCATCCGTTTGAAGGACTTGTGACTCGAGGCGAAGTCATTGTACTTGGGATCGTAAAATTCGTTGGCGACGATGATGCCATTGTATGTGCCGGTCTTGATCATCTGCGCACCCGTCGAGGGAGCCCCGCCATTCATGGCAAATGAGTAATTCTCATGATCGATCGTTCGCCAGTCGCTCAATCGGGATTTATAGGACGCTTCTACCTCCCAATTCTTGACGAGGTTCTCGACAATCTCCTCGAGGCTTCCCGCTGCGTGATTCATCTGCTTGGCTGTTGCAAGAGTCAGTGGATTGCTCGTTCCAAATGTGAGGTAGGCGGCATGCCGGTTGCTGGCGCGATCGATCCGCCAAATTTGTTGCAGGGAGTTGTTCGATAGAGACAAGAGACTTACTTTCTTCCCAGACCTTTCGCGTCTTCGAATAATCTGGAACAGCACCAAATCGCCACTCGACACCCTTGTCGTTGAAGACAGCATTAGGTGAAGTGACATAGTCTGGCAAGCCAGCGGCTGGCTCTGGTGCATCAGGAGCAGCGTCCGCTGTTAGCTGATCGGGGTTTGCCTGAAGTTCACCCGCGTCGGCAGTCGTGTTCTCTGACGGGGTTTCTCCAGTTTGGTCTAAAGACGTCTCGGCTGCGGAGTTTGGATACGTCAGAATATTCTATCCACGATTTAGTATTGCCGGCACGCGCGTACCTTCGCCATTGAAGGCGTGTGAACCAATTGGCTGTGGCTCAGACTGATCTGGCCGTGTGCGAGAGGTATCGGATCCCATGTTTTTAATGATGCCGATTTTCGGTAACAACAATCTTGTTTGAGGGAAAGAGAAGTCCTGAGATACCACCGATCGTTCTTGATTTATATAAGAACTACCCCAATACGCGAACGCCACTCTCTCAATTTTCCACTTTGCCAGCCTCTAAAATTGTGTCGCGTTACACCTCAGGGCTCATCGGGAAGAGAGTGGTGTCATTTGTACTACTCGAGATAGGTTGATCTAACCCTGGTTCTCTCAAACAAGTCGAGCTCTTTACGCATGTGTCGGTAATGGTGGAGAGCCTGTGATATGGACTGCAAACATTCCTGATGACACTTTTTGCGGACACCAAAGGTTAGTCACGTAACTTATCCGACGCGGGAAAAACACCAGAAGGGCTCAATAACATGTGGCGGACACTCCCCAATTCAATTTGTGTTGTGCAACCAGCCCCGGAGTCATACATACCGACACGCATACGGTGTACGGTCGCCACGAGGCTAGATTGTGTGTCGGGAAGCCTCGTGGCATACATTCTTCCGATGGAGCCAAAGTCTGCGTCCGAGGTATGCCGAGAATGCAAGCGATGCGTGTATATTGCCGCGTCATCATCAGAAGCGTTGAACGACCTGATCGGATGCCAGGGGCCTGTATCGACAGCGATTTATAAACAGTATGCTTAATTTTGCCCCTTCTAGATTCGCGTGGAAGGTAATCATTGAAAGTCTTACCTACACTTTCCCGTCGAGGTGACACACAACTATTGGGGCCGAGTAACTATGGATGTGCGAAATCTGAAGGGTGAGGCTCCACATCTTTCTGAGAAGTAATGAGTTTGGCAACAGCGCGACGTAGCCGAAGACACACGCTTGAACTTAATCTGATGATGTGCTCCTTCAGTTGAACATGCGGTCAAGTGGTTGATGGACAAAGGCACTCGATCAAACAATGTCGTCATTGCGCGCACCTCTCGCAGCGTTTCTCTTGTCGCAGGTTGGTTGTCCTTTGAGTGAGAAAACATGTGAATTCTGACGACGTGGCCTTCTAACATTCGACGAGATTCAAGTATTGTTGAAGAGACTCAGATCAAGACCGATAACTGCTTGAGCCTTCAGTTATGGCCGAGAAGGGTCGATCTTGCGGTCGGATGCAACGAAGAGCGTCATCGATCGCGTCATGGCAAGGAAACAAGACCTGGATTGATCTTGTGATTTCGTCATGGCAGCGAAACGGTGAAAGGCGGTGAGGTTAAAATGTTGAATGTATTGTATCAGCCAGAGCGACACTCATCAGCCTGCTGATCACCAACAGCCGCATGCTCACGGCTTAACCATGAATACGACGGTGGTCATTTCGCATTTCTGTACCTCGGGGTAGCTTCCAGCCGGACTCATCGCCTCTCTGTGAACAGATTGGATGTCCTGAAATGTCTTCGGATAGCACGCTACAACATGGTGTCACTGTCAGCACCGACGTCATGAATTCTGGAAGTCGCGATCACTGGAGATAGTTTCTGGCAGGATTAACATCAAACTTGTTTGCTCAGTTGGACTCCTTGAGAAGGGTCAAGAGCAGAGCGCATCGAGCCTCTGACGCTTCGATACACTGACGCATGATCTGCTTGTTGACAAAGGCACCGCCTTGTTTTTGCAGGCAGCTGGACCGAATGCTGCCGCTCGAAGTGTCGTAATTGAGAGCGACAGTGACGGTCTCCTCGCAGCAATCTTCCTCGAAATTGTCTGGATCAGCAAGCATCCATGACTGGGCAGAGCTCTTCTGTTTCAGTGGTGATGCCGTCGAGAAAATTGCGAAAGTCGTAGTCAGCGGTAGCACCTTGAGCCGTAATCTCCTCCCTTGAGCAGCTAATGGAGAGCAAACAATGGTCTCGCGGTCTGCATCCCACCATGCTTTAGGCAAAGTCGTGTCCTGTAAGGCAGAGACTACGGCCAGGCTTATCGCGTCCACGGCATTGCCGTCGAGGGCCATACAGTAGACATCGACGTACAAAGTCCAATAGCCCTTGATCGCCTTGGTCGGTTCTGCGCCACTGTCTTCATCCTCGTTGGCTGGGAGTTCATATTCAATTTGGAGATCGTGGAGCCTCAGCACGCCACCGAGGAGGGTGTGGGCACGGTAGGTAAGCGATTGAGCCTGCGAGCCTGGAGGGTTACCAGGCAGGTGTCCCGGCGAGCAGCCAGTGCTCAATTCGACATTGGGCACAATAAGCCCGAGCTCCTCGACAAGGTCATCTTCATCCTGATTTTGACCATGACGAGGGGGTTTGGGCATGTCTGAAGCATATAAAAGCTCTGCTCTGACCCCACAGACAACAGCCGTGTTGCCAATGCGTACGACGGCACTGCCGTTGACGTGCGTCAAGGATCCCTTGTTTATCGCTGGTGTTCTGAATTCGTCAGGGCGGCGGCCACTCCGGCGCGTATTGGACTTCAGATGTGCAAGCAGGACGGGTCCCGGGCTAAGTTTGGCAAATGTCTCTGGAGAGAGGGCGAGGCCCACCGAAGCAGACGCGGCCTCAGTCATTTCGACAGTCTAAGATGTGATGTATAGATATCGATGAATGGTGATCCATTGGCCGATGTTGTCCTTCAAATAAATTTCAAGATGCAATGTCTATACGTGTGCCTCAGGCTAAATTTATTCCATACAGCGTCATCTCTGCGGCATCGTACGGCGGACATGGTTTCCATTTTGGTCACTACGGTACTTGAGATGCCTGCGCACGCAGGGACGTTATGATTATCACAAGTGAGGGAATGTCATTCAATGATCAGACACGTACGCATAGCGAGCAGATTTGGTTAGATCATCACGGTATTGACCTAGGACGGTCGAGATGCAACGATTGGTATACCTTCTCGACGACCGTGGGTCTGAGGGATCGGTGAGTCGCCGGAATAGGACAATCATTTGGAAGGCACAAAGGAACTGCTCTCTCGGAGCAGATACGGTGTGCGTCGACACCTCCGGGCTGGGATGGGACTTCTTTGTCCAAAATCGCAGCGATGTATGGAATGTGAGTCCTTTGATGCCACTCATGAACGGTCATAGAGGGAGGCAGACCTGGTGACGCTTGTCGTGGCGCGGATGAAGATAGGCCCTACCTTTCAATGGCATCCGAGGTGGTATAAGAACTCTGATTCCCTCCGCAGTTTTCAGCGTTTCTCCGCAGTTTTTGTATCTACCTGTTCGTCTGCTCCAGGTCGTTTGCTTCCTGCCTCTCTCCTGGATTTAGCCCGCTCCTTGGAAATTCGGAGCTTGAGTCTGGAACATCCCAGATCAAGGCCACGAATCATGTCCGCTGAACAAATACCATGGCCCTCGAGGACGAACGCAACGCACATTGCGCTGCAAGTTCTCCCGCCTGCGCGGTCCAGCCTCATCTTCTCACCATCACATGTGATCACACCGTCCAGCCTGAAGCTTTTGTCAAGACAGCAAGCGATACCGACCCTGTCATGAGTGTGTTTTGCAGTTCTTGACAAGTATCGATCCGAGCAACATCCCAGACATCAACGGTTTTTGAAAGACCGTAAAGGAACATCGCCATTGCTAAGACTGGGCCATCCTTGAAAACAAGACATGAATCCATCAATCATTTGGTAAGGAGATTGTCCGATGGGACAACTTCTCGCATCATATATCTTCACCGTCGGACACAACACGCGCCCTCAAAATCTTCACTTCCTGTTCGGGTCTATCCTCACTACCCGTCTTGACCAGACCCATCCTCTGAACCACTCGCATTCCGCTCTTTACCCTCCCAAATATGGTGTGCTTATTGTCGAGCCACGGCGTTGGGGCGAGTGTGAGGAAGAATTGCGAGCCATTGGTGTTCGGTCCCGAATTAGCCATGCTCAAAATGCCCGCGCCAGTGTGTTTGAGATCATTTCGAATCTCATCCTCGAACTTCTCGCCATAGATGGACGCTCCGCCACGGCCTGTTCCAGTAGGATCTCCGCCTTGAATCATGAAGTCCGGAATGATTCGGTGAAAAATGGTATCATTGTAGTAATTTCGTGTCGCCAGAGTCGAGAAGTTCTGGCAAGTCTTTGGCGCATGCTCTGTGTACAATTCTAGGACAATGTTGCCCATTGTTGTTTCGAGAACCACATTTTGTGCCATTGTGAGAATTGGGTTACAGTCATACGGTTGCCAGTGATGGCAGCGATTGAACTCCAGAAAGTTGAAGTCACTGTAGGGTCGTGGCTGAAATTGGGTTAGCGTTCGATCGCCTGGAGCTTTGCCGACACCATGTCGTCAATGGCATATATGCGGTCTCCGTTTCGAGATCTACTCTTTGGCACGAAAATCACGCTTCCAGAGAGCTCAAATAGAGATTTAATTTTGACCGTGGGAGCAAGATTAATCCAGATGTAGCTCGGTCTTCTCAAAGTCTTCAGGTTCTCAATAGTCATCTCTATCGGCAATGGCTCGCGCGTCTCTTCTGGTATCGTTCCTAGTAGGCATACTCGCGACAGTGCTGTACAGATCTGGCACCACACTGTGGCCTGCGACAGGAAACATTACAAGGTGAATCAGTCTTCAATACCGGTCGATAGACGAACGAATCCTTATTCAGCCATAGCGATAATGATTTTGCTTGGAATATCCTCCGCCATCTGGGCGGTCTATCGCCATGGCTTCCGAAGGTCGAAGGAGTCAACGATAGCAATGACGTTCCACCCGGATGTGTGATTGATCAGATTCATATGATGTCGAGGCACGCTGAGCGGTATCCTACCGTTGCTACTGGCATACGTACGTTAAATCTATGAAAGTGACTATCACTCCACTCGAGCAGATCTGATTTCTGAGGAAAGGCATGCTGGAATTATACCACCGTTTGCAACATGCAAACATCACGCTACTCGAAGACTTGGCATTCGTTAATCAATGGAACTTCTTCGCGCCTCATCCCGCCGAGCAATTCGAACAACTTACAACTACGGGACCATACGCCGGCTCCTTGTCGTCATTCAAAGCCGGCGTCGATCTACGTGGCCGATACCTCCCTCTGCTACAAGCCGCACTAGAAAAAGATCGCAAGATTTCAATCTGGGCTGGACTGTCGGATAGAGTGATTGATTCTGCGCGTTACTTCGCAAATGGCTTTTTCGGGCTCAATTGGTTGGATGTAGCAACTCTCCACATCATCTCGGAAACACCAGACCGTGGCGTGGACACACTTACTCCAGGACGGTCTTGTCCGAATTATGCAACCGATAGCAGAGGCCATGCACACGGCGTTCGGCAGCTCGGTGCTTTCCGGTCAACATACTTGCCAGAAGTAGGACGTCGATTGCTGAAACAAAATCCATCAGTCCCGTTCAGTGTGGCCGAACTCTTTACGATGCAGGAGATATGCGCGTTTGAAGTACTACTGAATGGCGTATCGCCCTGGTGCTCTGTCTTCACCAATGAGGAGATGGAGAGCTTCGAGTATGCTCGAGATATCCTCCATTACTACCGTGCAGGACCGGGAAATTACTATGGACCATCTCTGGGCTGGTCTTGGCTCAATGCTACAGCGAGCCTGCTCCAGAAGGGCCCAGAAGCAGGTCCGCTGTTTCTCAGCTTGTAAGGATGACCTCAAGGAGGCTGTTCCGAGCCGAGACGTAGTTGCTAACAGACGAGATAGCAACCACGATGGAGACATCATCGCAATGCTGGGTGCACTCGATCTCTTCCCTCAAGAGCCACATCTTCCGACTACCCACGTCAACCACGCCCGTACATGGCGAATGGCTGATGTCGTGGTAAGTAGCCCTCTTAGTTCACGGAGCCTTTTGAGAAAGACTCTCTGACACACGCGATCCCAGCCCATGGGTGGGCGCATTATCTTCGAGCGATTCGTTTGTCCGGTAACGGAGTGTTGGGACAATGGACCTCTGTATCCGAACCACGTCTATTGCGCCAAGAAGAACGACACCTTTGTCCGAGTCAACATCAACGATGGCATAGTCCCAATTGCTGGCTGTACCGATGGGCCCGGCAAGGCATGTCCACTCGCGGAATTCGTGGAGCGAATTGAGAAACGGGGAAAGGAGATACCCTCTTTTGTTGATATTTGTGGTATGCCGGAAGGGGCACCACGGACTTTGACATTCTTGCATCAGGGTCAAGAGTAGCAATAATAGAGTATTTTTGGAACAGACTTGCGTAACGATCATCTGTTCTACTGATGTACATCATTCGTCAAAGTGTATCTGATACTCGAGGCTCATTGAAAGATAGCTGAGTCCAAGGCATTGCCGATTTTCGTCACCCATGAGCAGCATTGGCCGCCTTTGTTGCCCCTGAACGCCGATTCCACACACTTGAAATCCACAATAATGGAAAAAGAAGACTAAGAAGGCGAAAAGGTATATCTTTCATACGGGTATCAGAAAATCGTCCCGAAAGATTCGTTGACGTCTGTGAGTGGTTTTCGAGGGCTCGCAGGGCGTCCTGAATCGTCTGTCGCTGGTTTGCGATGGCTGTCACATTGATGATCAGCAGGGCCCAGAGGTAAATTGACAATGGACAGTTGCTTACCGAAAAGTAAAACCGACGAAGAGCGATCGTCCAATCTCTCCACCGCGATCAGCCATACGCTCGAGCGCCTCCTGCTTCTCCAACACTTCCTTGTATTTGGCCATGTCCTTCTCGCTACCGAAGTCGTCGAAGTAGCCCGCGTCTGTCTCAGAGTCCAGCTCAGGCACAAATGGCGCGCGCTCTTCGCGAATACGCTCCCAGCCCACTTCACGGAAGTAGTCATGGGTCTGAATTTGCTTGATGCCGCGGAGTCGGTTGCCCTTGACGGTGATAAGCCTAGTGATCAAGTCCCAAGTACGACGCGAGAGGAAGTAGTTCGGATCCTCATACTCAGGCTTCCGGAGCACTGACTGCCATCGCTTAAGATTTTGCCAAGTCTCGTCCACAGTCGCACCTGCAAAAGGTGGGTAGCCGGCAAGTGCCTCAAACAACATGCATCCGAGCGACCAGTAGTCTACTGTAAAGTCATATTCCTCTCCTTTGAGAACCTCAGGCGCCATGTAATCGGGGGAGCCCACAATAGACTTTGCATAGTTGACCTCACGGTCGCGAAGCGAGCGATAGCCATCACGTCTCTCCTTAAGAGTTCGTTCCTCTGACGGTCGTCCGAAGGGTATAGCGGAAGCTGGGATCTTGCCAACTTCCTCCAATTTAATGCGCATGCTTTCGATCTTGGCTGGCGCCAAGAAACCTGCAGCAAGACCAAAGTCTGTGAGTTTCACGTGGCCGGTTCCGTCGATCAAGAAATTCTCCGGCTTGAGATCGCGATGAATGTACCCAAGCGAGTGTAGAGCATCGACGCACAAGAACATTTCAGCAATGTAGAAGCGAGCGTGTCTGTTGTGTAGCACGCCAGTATTGTTAAGCAGAGTCCGGAAATCTCCTCCGGGCACATACTCCATGGCGAGGTATATGCTGCTATCGTCCTGAAAAGCATACAACAGTCGCACCAGCCAATCACTCTTAGCAGTGGTAAGAATGTCTCGCTCCGTCAGAACATGGCGGACTTCGTCAAGCTTATACAGAAGCTTTTTGCTCATCACCTTCAGAGCACAGATCTCACGAGTGTCCTTCTTGGAAGCCAGATAGACTTGTCCATAGCCACCCTGGCCAATCTGAGTCAAAATCTGGAAATCACCGTGACGGAGGCGTGTCCGTCTCTGCCTGAGATTTGCCCGTTCTCTTCCAAGGTATTGTGTCCTAAGATCATTGTATTTTGCAATATCTTCCTCTGATGAAGTTGTATTGGGCTCAGCATTATGCGTTTTGAAAGCTTGTAGGCGATTCTGACGATTGTGCACGTATGATAGAAGGTCGTAGTAGTAGTCAAGAAAGTACAGCTGTGTGACGTTGGCCAATCTTCTCACGCTAGCACTTTTGAGCTTCTCGGCCTCCTCTGCAGTGAGTCCACTGGAGATCGTCTTTGTTTGTCGTGCAGGCGAAGGCTCTTCACGTTGTCGATATGGTTCTTGGCGGCTGGCAGCAGCTTGGTTGACGTAGCTTTGGGTTTGTTGTAAGAGAGGGCGGTTTGAGGGAAGGGTGTTCTCCTTCCCATTCTCACGAGTGGGACTGCTCGGCGCGCTTGTCCTGTGCTCTGGTATCCCGAAAGGATCGTGCTCTCTCTTCGTCGGTGTGGCGGGGCCTTGTTGCTTTGTTTGTAGCGGGGCCGAAAGCGGCTGGCTCTGAGTAGGCACCAATTTTAATGCGTTCGAGAAGACATTAGGCAGATCAAATGCTCCAGGTGGCATTCTGTTCTTGCTCGGGCTGCCCTGAGGCGTCTGGGTTGGTGAGATGAACGCATCATCGTCACGACCTGGCGTAGACGGTCGGTCGAAGACTTCGTTTGTAGCGCGGGTATGAAGCAGTGGTGGCAGCGTCGGCAACGAAATGTTCTGATTGTCCATGTTTGACGATTTGCTTGATGCTATGGTGATTAGAGAATGAAACGAGCTGGTTGCTGCTCATGCAATCAAGATTCCGTCCCAAACGGAGAGGAAACGTGTTGTATCCGTTGAACAGAAAGGCGGGACGAGCTTCAGATCATGGCAGCGTGTTCTACCTACGTGGTTCGCACCTGGCGAACATAAGTTGTACAATTGTTGACGTTGCACTCACGTAGAGATGTTTCCAGGGTTACTTGCTTGTGAATCTGGAGGGGTTCAACTGACGTCCCGCGCCATACGGCCCGCACCGCCCGATGCGAAAGCACCTGCGCAATCGCATCTCCAGCTTGTGGGCAGAAGAGCTCGTGGGTACTGGTGGAGAGATGCACTTCACGTATATCGGCAATACTGTGCAAGTGATTGAGAGAACCCAAAGTCTCCCTTCTTACATCGTGCCCAGATATGGCTAAGACACGGGTCTGATCATGTTGAAAATCGTCTCAGGGACCACGTCCATTGCTGTACTCAGGAAGGCTGCACATGCTCGTTGCGAAGTCCGTTGGCCGCATCACTCCGACGCGCTGCGCAGTGCACGAATAATTCTGCCCCACAAACTGATGATGCAGATCATATGAGCTTGTGAAGTGCTTGGGTGTGTGGCAATACTGGCAATAACTTGTTCAATCTGTACACGGCCGTCTCCCTTTTCTTCAAGTCTGCAATTACGACATGCACATAGCAGACTTGATCCGCCATCTATCAGCAGAGCTCTCGAGAGATTGTTCATTGAGGCGCTCTGTGCGCATGAACTGCCCCGAGGAGAAATGGCTCTCCATCGCGAAGCATTTCATGCATGTTCCGGAAATTTCTTCCAGTCAATCTTGCACAGCAGTTCTGCTACACATCTGAGATAGACTATCTTTTATCATTCGCCCGGACAGTACATCGCTTGTTGCGCCTTGGCTGGTAACGTTGACGTGCTCATGCAATCTTATCATGATACCATCACGGTGTCGAATTACGATTAGATAAAGAACGGCGTTCGAGTCGAGGCAAGAAATAAATAGATCTCACTCTCCACTCACTATGCCTACGATGGTTTCCTGACGAGTCCTGCCGCTCCTCGACACCTGGTGCAATATACAGCCTCGATCGAAGACCTGCTCATATGCCGAGCTCGGAGTGCTCTGCGATCGTCTGAATTTGCGATCGCTCTTTTCCCTCGCAATTTCTGGAGTCTAGGCCCCGGAATGCCGCCACCGACATCTCTTGGAAAGCCTTTCAATCATCACGAATCCTTACCAACATCTCCATGCACGGCCGTACTCCCCGACGTGGAGTGTTGTTCCAAATTGTCGCATATTGGGGGAGTAGCGCGAATCAGATTTAACCGATATCCTGGAGTTCCAATTTCGTGCGTTAAAGACAACCCACTGTGGGTGGCTCCTGCAATCCGCATGTCATCTGGTCCCACAGCTTCAGAGTCGCTAGCCACCTGACAGTGGAGAGATCTGGACCAAAATTGTTTCGTTCTCCCCACGTCGAAACCTCACACAGCGGGGTTCGCTGCATGATGTGAGACGGGGTTCTCCACCATCACACGAGCATTCCAGCTTTTCTTTGAGAGAGTGCGGAACCCCAATCGTGCTAACCCCATTCCTTCACATTTGTGAAAGTCATATCAATGTGTCAAACACTCTCCCTCACCAAAAGTACTCGATTACCTCCAGGGTTATTGGTAGGTACAGTATCCGATGTTCAGGCACGGCAACGCGGGTGAGATGCAATGTCCGCGGCATGGAGAGCTCAACGCTTTGCGACAAACAACGGACGTCGCAAAGCCGGGTCATCATCTCATGGGTGCTGGGAGGCCATTATCATTGCGTCGAAATGATGATTCGGGAAATCGTCATCGCGATAGTCGTCTCCCTGAAATCAAAGCTTACCTAGGTACGCTGCTCCGATCGCGAAGATAAACCGGAAGTTCTTCAACAGCCCGGAGGATGCACGCCGACCCAGACGAAAGATGGTCGGTACACTGCCGTTCCGATGCTCGCGTGCAACGAGCAGATGACGGCAACGAGCCTGCATTTTCTGTCTGCACAACATAAAACTGCACAGTGATGTGGGGCGCATCGTGACAGCGAGGAGAGTCCTGAAATGATTGGTCTGGCCTACGAACTTGGATGCCCAGATGTGGTTGCTTTTTCTTCGCAGTTCACCAGCCAGCTTATTGTCCACTCCTGTTGCACATCTGTGGAGTTGAGGGAGTGAGCCCCGGAGAACCACCGTGTGCCTGCCGTGCTCGTTTTGCTTGTCCTCACCATGCTAAAAGGCTATGGACCGACCAGGGTCTGCATGTCAGACGCACGGCTGAGGGTCTAGTCGTCTCACCAAACGTCGTCCGAACGACATGGGCCGCGCTGCGCTCCCGCCGGTGGATGCAGGGCGGCTTGCACTAATCAATTTGACCCACCAGGAAGACGCAAGTTGGGTGCGCCAGAGGAAGCTCAATGAATGAAGCGGAGATGCAGACCGCGAATGATCGCTTTTCCGAAATAAGCATCTCGTCGTCCGGTAAGTCATGAACATACGTCGTGCCGTGCATCCGCGGCGCGACTCGTGCTCTCGCTTTCTGGGATTTATCGAACTCGATGGATCTTGATACATGGGCAGTCGCCTCGACGCTGTACATCTACAAGTGATCGTGCGAGACATCGTCAATGCTCTTGAGCAGCGTAAGCATCAACATTGGTGCAAGACTTCGTATGCGACGGGTGGGGAACGAGGACAAGTCCTTGGAATGCACATTTGTGGTGGGAAAAAGCAGCCAATAACGTTGAGTACTGGTTGGTGACATGCAAGGAAATTTCACTAAATCATGCGAGCGGGTAGTCCGTCCAGTTCCTGCCGCCCTCGGCAGCCGCAAGCTGAGGAGGGTTGAGAGCGAAATGAGGCGGGTATATTCCAAGCCGACAGTGATGGTCTCACAGATGCGGTCCCGTTTGAATGACTCAGTTGTTGGAGTCAAGCGAAGCGATGCTTTGAAACATCGATGCTTCGGAACATCGAACATGCCAGGCAGACTAGAACAACCTCTGTAGTCTTCATGCGGCTTCACTGCGAACCGGGCTCTGTAATATCACGAGATATGCAAAGCTGACAGTGAGAGCATCGTAAAATCGTATGCAGATCGAGCCGGGCGGAATGCCTATTAATGCAAGCCTGGCGTTGCGAGACCGCCTGTCAACAGCCAAAATCAATCACTAGTGTGCCGCAACGCCTGTTGGCCGCAACCTGCTTCCACTACAACGGGTGTTTGTCTCGTACTCGGAGTGATCGGCCTTCGCCCGGCCAGACTGAAGAAAGGAGCATCACCCGAAATGACCTTGGAACCCATGGATGCTGGACATGGACTTGGATGATCAGCCCGAAAGAGCTGTGTTGGATCTGTGGCTAGGACGAAGCGCGGCCGGTAAGCGACGGCGTTGTTGTGTTCCAGGAGAGCCGTCGTGGAGATGAAGTACGTGCTTGTGGATAACAGCTTACATCATTCAGAACTTTACTGTTTAGAAGATGAACTATGAGTAAAGAGTGTCGTGCATTGCTCTATGCATTTGCGAGGAAATAAGTCTGTGTTTTTGGCGAGCATTGATGAGATGGATCTGCAGCCCACTGTGGCAGGACGCAAGCGCGGACCGATGAGCCGGCCCCATCGGTACATCACCCTGTCTGCTAGATTCCTCTTCAGCTAGTCGCGCAATCATCTCGTCACCTCAAGATTCAACAGCCCACGATGCTCATCTGCAGATTCGTCACGGAGCCTGTCAAATAGGAGGCTCCAAAAGCGCAAGTAAAGGATCACGAGATGGCGAAGAAAGCCAGTCGATGATTCACGCCTGGCACATGCTACCACATGTATCATGATGTACAATATGTGCAACAGAAGGAATACGCAGTGTCAGTGCTCTAGCACATTTGATATCATGCCCACGGGAGGTGAAAGTCAATACCTAGGTATACACGGCATTCATTTGGCGGGTGGACCCAGGAGAGCATTTTGCAAGCTATTCCACGTCTTCTATTCGTTGCTTTTATAAATCTTCGTTCAAACCTTGGGCTTATTGCTTCCACCGGACAGTGGAAATCGTCTAGTCACGCATAATGACATGGCTACTGTACGCATGTTACCGGAGCGCTATGGCATGCATGGACTACAGTACCTTGCGTGTGTGCACAAAGGCGAAGAGCTTTGACGAGGGTGCGCGAGCGCTGTACGCCCTTTGAACAATCGCCTCGCGAGGACTGGAACACAATGCTGGATTTGACAGTGGCTGCATGATCCTACAGTAGTGATTGCTTAGATATTACAGTAGTACACATGGTAGTCGAAGGCATGTTGTGTGGTGCCTCTGTTGTGCATCATCCCGGTGTGGCTGGCCGTTTCTCGATTTCGGCGAAATATCTTCATAGAGAGGACTAGAACCACAGGCAAGTGTCGCTAACACAGTAGCTCGGAGCAAACCACGACGTAGGCTTTGGCAGCACACGACAATCGAGGATGGATGGACAGGACCAAGCTGCACCGACGACGCCGCCGCCGCCGCATGACAAAACCATACCAGATCGTCTGGCGCGTCTGGTCCCTGGTAGACGACCTTTTTCCCTTGGGCACCCGCACACAGCCGCCCCACCAATCCGGCTACTGCACTCGTTCTGGAGAAACTGTTCCATCCTCCACCCTGATTTCCTGCCAGTCGCACGTGCATGTCTGCCTTGCTTAATTCCTGTTATCTTTCGCTATCTATCACTCGCAGCGCTGGCCGTCTGTCGCTGCTGTCACTCCAACCACTCACCGAACCAGCGTTTATCGTCACGGCGTGAGAGCCTCCGTCAACCCTATGTCTCATGCCCAGAAGACGAGCCAGAGCCTCGTGCGTGCTCCAAACGCTGTTGAGCAGGGCCGAGGGCAGTCCATTCCCACGAGCGAGAGCCGCCCGGACGACTCCTTGACCTCCGCCATTGGCACCGACGCACACGACACCGCAGCCTCCTCGGCCAACGCGCAACCTGTGCCGCGCCATGTGCGCTTTCCGTCGGGTTACGATCACAACTCCTCCGAGTGCTCATCGGCGCTTCAAAGTCTGACCTCCAACAGCACTCTCTCGACTCTTTCCAACCTCGAGGGCAGCAAAGTCGACTTTCTCGCCGCAGCGACTGCCACCCGCGACGGCGTTCTACGTGAATCTGTCTTCTCAGAGTGGAAAGACGATGCCAGTAGCCTTGACACTCTAGATCCTGAAGAGATGCAGAAGAAGGACCCACTAGGAGTAGAGTTATGGAAGCTGTTCAGCAAGACCAAGAGCCAACTGCCAAACTCAGACCGGCTGACAAACCTATCATGGCGCATGATGTCGATGAATCTACGTCGCATGGAACAAGAAAAGCTCACGTCCGGGAACCCACAAGTGTCTGACGTTGATGAAGCTACATCTGGAATGAGCCGGGGCACGATTCATAGCACGCGCCCGGCACAGAATGCCCCGAGTGGCATTGCGCAATTACACCGATCGGTAGCCTCCCAGGCGAATGTTGCGGACCAGGACTTGATGAATATTGACGACTTCATTGTACCTTCGTCGATCGCAACCCCAACAGGCATCTCACCCATCACCTCTGACGACGTCGACTTTGATCTTGATTTGTCCTCGACAGTCACCGCTGTCTCGGCTATTCCCATCAAGCAACAACAACGCCTACGATTTGATGATCTTTCCTTGGCAAGAGCATCAGCGCCTTCAGTCCCACCAGCAAACCAACGCACAGATTTCTCCTACGTCCAGAGACACGTTCGGAAAACAAGTATTGACGAGAGGAGGGTACGTGAATGTTGCAAGCGTACTACTAGAATGCTTTTTGTTACTGACTGTCCCGTCCAGCCACCCAAGAGACGAGCTGAAGCGTCGCCACAAGTTCCTCCCGTCAGCAATACCGCCATGGCTTCACGAGATCCCACCGCCGAAGCAGCGCTCCAAGAGTACTCTCTTGAGTCTTCGTTGCCTTCGCACTCACGTCTCCACCAAACACAAATGTCCTTCAACTTGGACACATTCAATCTGGACGCTGACCCGATTTTGAATTCAGCGGGTCCCTTCCAGCAGCAATTCCCATTTTCGCCACTCGAGTCTCCAGTTGTTGGAGGCGGCATGTTCAGTGGCCTTCTCGGAGGGCCCGAAATGGCTATGGCATCAAATACATCGGACTTTCAGCCTCAATCAATGCCAGGGTTCCCTTCTTCCACATCCACACCCCATTCCGTCGCCGACAACGAGCAGTTGCAGTTTTCCAATCAAACACAGCACGCCTCAATGACTGGCTTCTCACACAATCATCGAATTCCTCAGGGCTTGTCACAGAGTGTACCTCAGCAACAATTCGTGTTCAACCCAAACAGTCGAAATGTTTTCAGTGCCGTATCGTCCAGCAGCACCCTTGCGCCGTCTTTCAGCCACTCAAGCTTTCATATCCCTGGCCAATTCGACAACATGGGGAATATCAACAGCGACTTCTCACACCCACACAGCCTACCACTTTCGCGACATGAGAACTTATTTCACTTCGGAGGGGACTCTGACAACGAAGATGACGAGGCTTTCTCCTTCCCAGAGTCTGGACTCATGTCATCCGGCTATTCTCCATCCGATGATCTCAATTTAGACCCTAATGGTTATGTATGGGACAATTCCCTCGCCCAACAATTCAACAATGCACGGTATCCTGGCGGTCAACCCCGAAAAGGCGTGACAATTGGCATGACTGAGGTCATCCCGAACGCTCAAGTTTGGGAGCATGGTGGTCTCGGACGAGGACACGGCTCTGCTGCATCCGTAAGCGACATTCGGAACCGAGGCGGAGATCCGAGGACACGAAAGATTGCGCGAACAACATCATCGCCCAACACCGCCGGAATGTCCACCGGCATGTTCTCCATCCGCACAAGAGCATCTCCGGCATCACCAAGTGAATCTGGTTTCAATTCTGCCGTACCCTCAAGACCTGGTAGTCCGCGACTTGGTCTCGATGGAAATGGCCCGCCGACAAGCTGCACAAACTGTCTGACTCAAACTACGCCATTATGGCGCCGCGATCCGGAAGGCCATCCTTTGTGCAATGCTTGTGGACTGTTCCTCAAACTCCATGGTGTCGTCCGGCCTCTTAGTCTCAAGACCGACGTTATCAAGAAGCGAAACAGAGGTACCGGCGCTACGATCCCAGTCGGTACTGCACGGTCGAAGAAAGCCCAGAGCCGGAAGAACTCGGTTGCGCAGGCCCCTGTGACTACACCGTCGTCTGGAAAGGCTACTGGCAATGAATCAGAGTCTCCCAGGTCAATCGCTGGAGGGTCCACAGCGCCGACACCACCGAATGTGACTGCAGCCGACAAGCCTGTCAAGACTGTCATCGCCATTGCGCCAGGGCCACCAAAACCAATCAGCCAAAATCCCCCAGCGATTGCGCCTCGCGCTGTCGCACCCAGGCGAACCCGTAAACAAAGTCGCGCGAGCACCACGCTTCCTTCCGGGAGCAGTGATCCTGCTGAAGGCGACGATGCCACGAGAGCCACTGTTTCTTGGGTGGATAGCAAGACGCCAAGCTCCCAGAAATCTTCTACAAGCCTCTCGCAAACAAAAGCAAATGCAGCGTCGATGCACGCGCAAATGGTCCCACAGGGCGGTACGTCTCCGGACGATGTCTCAATGGGCGGCGATGACATTCCGCAGCAACCTCAATCGAGTGGGCAGCGGCCTTTTGCTCCGTCGGGCATGATGTCTGGTCCGCAGGAGTGGGAGTGGCTCACCATGAGTCTGTAATGCACGCAGTCAACGGCCAAGCTTTTGTTGCAAGGATCCAAGTGGGCACAACCAGCTTACATCAATTCCTGCCTCGCTGTCTAAATTTGCGCATCGAATGCGCCCCGCCGACTTTTCCGAGGCGCACAGCTGCCTTTCTTTTTTTTCTTTTCGATTCTTTGATGATACCCGAGCATTATTTCTGCCCTCGACGATCCGAATTTGCGGATTGCTGACCACTCGAATCTATCACGCGTGGTACAGGTCAAGGACGAACGGCCGCTAACAACGAATCTCGTTTCACGGCAGGCTGTGTCACAGCGAGGCACGGCCACGTAATTTTCCTCTCGAATTTCACATTTTCTCCCGCTGAGTCGCAAGACGCGGTATGACTTTGGAGTTTGTTCTACGATTGTTAGGATGCACAACCAATACGGTTCAATTTGCACGATTGCGGGATATTTGGGCGGGCATGGCACGCTTTCAAATGGATGTTCGGAGCACATGTATTGATTCCTAGGGATGATGGGAACGCATTAGATAGATTGGATATGATCCAGAATAGATCATGCTATTTTTGCCATGTCATCTAGCGTCAATGTGTATTGGGCACATCTGAACAAACAAATGTACAGCCATCCTGCTAGGATTCTACATCGTTGTGGCATAGTCGGTTCGCATCAACATGCGCCCTCTGCCTACGAGCAAGTGAAGCAGGGTCAAGCTAGCGATCAAGTACATATTCAATCGAAGATCGAAGTGGCTCGTTTTCATGCACATCGTGGTCCTGCACGCTCCAAAACTCGTTGCTGATAGAACTTGATTATTGGTTAGCACAGGCGACAGCCCATCCAGGTCATCGACCTCGCCAGAACGAAGGCTGCCGACTCTACATGTGAGCGTATTGCGAGCACGAAAAAGAAGCGACAGAACCTCAATATTCAGCGGGCAACTGATAGCAAGATGGACCTTGCCAGCGGAGGAGACCCAAAGTATCGCCCACTACGAGCAACAATATTTGGTGTGTTTTCTCCAATGCGCCACTACTCAGACATCGTTACCCTCCTCGAGGACAGTCTGCGGCAGCGAAGTTGATCTCAGGGAACAGTTCATGGGACGAACGCGAGATTAAACTCTTCATTGAAATACGAACTCTGTTGTGCAATCAATGAGTTAGCAGAGATCCACGGATGGCCCTCTCCATTAAAGAATTTTTGTCTGGATAATTTACAATGGAATGCTCCTGGGAATAACACTCCTCTCGTAATTGACGTGAGGCTTCTTGTTCATGCTCTGTGCGGACTGCAATAACCCCTAATCTCGCTTCATCTTTTGCATGTGAGGATTGTAGACTTCTCGCCCTAATTTCTTTCCTTGCCTTCTCTTGAGGAATTTTTCTGATGAGTAAGATAAAGAATACGAAGGCTTCTTCGCGTGAAATTTCAAGATATCCTTGTCGATGGATTGCGAATGACATTCACTCGTAAAATGGCGATAATCTGTCGAGATTCTGTGCACGCGCGCTCGGTGCGGCGCACGCCGCTTTGGGACGCGGACATGGCCATGCGGGCATGCAGATGCCCCGGGCCCGGCCTTAGCTCCGCCAAAAGTTCATAGTGATAAAAATGACGCCCTTTTGGCCGAGCATCTAGAAAGATATCCTTACTCGCCAGAATCACTCTCGATCGCCAACACACTCGCAATTGCCTTGATGATATCATCTTCCATCATCGCTAAACAGCGCAGATGCCTGCGCCGTCAACTCCGTGAAGTATTGTGGAAAAGCTGGCTCAATTCCTATTCACAAACGCCGCAAAATGCATTCTTTTCAAGCGCAGCTCGCCTCCAGGAGGATCCACAATTCGTCGTCGAAGAAAAGCCAGCAGTCTTGAAAACTGAAACGGAAACCATTCCAATTGAACCGAGTATTGTGGTCCGCCGAGAGTCAAACCTTGAAGAGGGACGCATAGTAGGAAGAAGGGGCCGACGTCAGCAGGTTGTGTCGAAGCGGATAACACGGAACTCGCTTGATAAACCATCATACGTCGTGGTCTTTCGCGATGTCGATGAAGACGATAAGCCAAGTTATTCGGCGCAGGTCCGCACCGCTGAACCATCGACTACGGATAAACCTGCCAGCGCCAACGAAGGACAGCATATCATCACTTTGCCGTTGAAACCCACCGCCGAAGAGACCAACGCTTCGATAGATGCCCTCAGACCAGCGGCGGGTGCCACAATCATAGACAAAGCCGGGTATAAGAGATTGCTGCAGACCTTGTTGACGAGTTACAACACTGTGCAATTACGCGACTACCTGATTCACAGCTTTTCCCGACTGAACTCGTTTCCAAGTCACATCTCAAGTCAGGAGACGGTGGACGACGATATCGAGAGCCAGAGTATTGGACAATGGCAGGCTGGACAGACCCCACTGGAGCAGCGACACAAGCCCAAGGTACTAAAGAAGGCCAATGCCGCCCGGAAAAAGCGATTTGCGGACAATATCTTGCGCTTTGCATGGCAGGTCATTGTCACGTCAGAGGAATCTAAAGTTGGCGAGCTGGAATTTGCAGTCAAACCTTGGCAGCTGCGGGTATTGTTCGATCTAGAGACCGAGGGCAAAGCAAGATATCGTTCGCTGCTCGCGTCTGATATTCTTGTGCAAAACTCAGAGATTCGTCCATATCGTCCTGATAATATTGTACGCGTCACAGCAAGGCGTCAGGATGCGGAAGATATCGCACGGCGACTGAGGCGGGCCCTATTCAGTGTCAATCGGCTAGAATTTGATTTGAAGCCGTTTTCTTCCCTGCTGGGTCAACATGGCTGGCCGACGCAGCTGGATGCGCTTTATCACAACAACGACCTCAAATTCGTTTCTGACACAACTGGTGCCTTGATCGAAAGAGAAGTAAACGATGTGATCGTGATCTACTCTTTCGATCTGTCTGCAGAAAATGATGCCCGACGACTTCTTCTTGCTCATTTGAAGAAGCCTGTGCCGACATCTTACAACCACATCATCGATCTCATTGATCCGAGTCCCGAATTCATAAACGGCAAGCGTCGTGCTTCCGAGTTGATAGCCATGCCATGTGACCCTGACAACGATCATCTAAACCGAAGTTATCGTCACAGCAATCTTGTACGGATGGTGAAACCATTGGCGAGGCGAGAGAGGGATGCTTCCGACCCGCTCCGAACGAAACACGATGTAACAACCGACTCGAATGATGTTTCTGCATCCGAGACATTCGCCGCGACCATCGGACAAGCACTGCAGACAGTTCAGCCATATTCCCAGGGTACCAACAATATCAAAACCCATGCCGAATCCTACTGGGGCAAGTCAATACGGCTCCGATCGCAGAATTGGCGTGCACATCTTTGCAAACTCTTAAGACCTGTCGAAAAGAAGCGGGATTCTCAAAGCCGGAATCGGGCCGAATCATTGATTCCCGTCTACGAAGCACCTGGAGTAGAACGCTTAATTTCATATTTTGACGACCATCAACAGCTTATCAAGAAACGCTTGATTCCTCGCCGCAATTCACATCAGGGCGGTCGTTACATTAACAACAGAATCGACTCACGCGTGCCGAACCTAGTCGCCTGCTTTGTACCATCTCCTTTCACACACGATGGCGGTGAGGTCCTGACGCGACTACCCACGATCGAGCTCCGCTTCCGAGTAGCTGATCCATCGGAAACCGTTGAACGAGGAAGCCGATACGCGCGAGAAGACCTACAGCTCTACGGCGTCCGTGCTGTGCTGGACCAGCAATTAGTGGCAGTCCCATTGCCCGACAAGACCGTGGATGTGTTGTTTTCACGACCAACGTTGATGTTCGCAGACCGCCGAGCAATATTGGAGAATAGCGACATAGCACTGTTCATACGCAAACTTCGAGAAATGTTCCTCGCTGGTGGTGCTCTATCAGCAACACCCGAGCTATCGTTTCTGCTTCCACAGTGGCTAGTCAAGGGTGAAAAGCCTTCTGCAGACTCCGCACAGCAGCCTGACGTGCCTGTCCAGTACCTGTTTGACCGCTTTGAGCAAATTCAAGCGTTCAACTTGGAACCGATTCAGTCCCGAGGCTTGCTAAAGCAGTTGGACTTCGAGGACCGCGATGTTATTGAAAACATTCCAAAAGAGTGTCATCTGGAATTCCGCCAGGTGGAAGGCAGTATCATCCACGGCAAAGAGACGTCCCTCAACGTTCGCCTCGAGGCAGGTTCTCGGGTAAATGCTACCACGGGACGAAAAGCAATAGCACAGAATGAAGGACAACCAGATGAGAGCGGTTCGGAGGTATTGTCACGCGAAAATCCTACAGTCGATGCGGCGGCGAGGAGTGAAGATGCATCAACGATGACAAGTACAAACGACCAGATAGGAGACACGACTGGGAAGAAGTCTCTCTTAGAAGTCTTAGCTCTGAGCGCATTAGACGTCGCGCACCTCCTGACTCGAGCCAACGCCGGAGCAATTCCTGTGCCAAATTCGAAGCGTGTTCTGGAGATGCTTTCTGCAGAAGCTTCCGAAAATGAGAACACCGATAACTTTTCCGCCCAAGAATATGCGGAGGACGACGCCTTCGACGACGCCGAGGAGAGCAGTTTCGCGGCCGAGAATGGCTTTGCTAAGAACTCGGAGGCGCTTGATGATGAACCCATCATCGCCCAGGAAAGATTACCTGAGTCGGATGCGCAGGCGTCGCCCGCAAGCGAAACGACAGAGCCCAACACACAAACCGCGGAAAATACAGGGCACACGAGCTGAATATAGCATCGCCGAGAAGTACGCCCAGGCGGCACACTCTACGGAGGAAGAATGTGTACACTACCGATGGTCGAATGCGAGATTGCTCGGAAGCACCTTATATTAATCGTGGCAAAACCCATGGGCGTGACGCAAGCCTGACGATCATTCCAAACTGTAATACCTTGTAAACAATACCTTGTATGCGATAATTTTTGTACAGTAGACAGTGTACCCTTTTGTAAGTGGAGGACCGTCGGGACGTAACGTCGATCCTTCTTCTCTGCTAGTAAGTTTATCCGCCGTCTGTAGGTGGACACTCACAACACCTTCGAGTACACCCATTCGCTCGCCTTGGAAGTGTCCGGCCTCACGTGCGGATCGTCACAATATCGTTCATCCACTGTTGAGCTGCTGTGCTGATTTGATGGCAGTGCCACGGCAGGCGTAGCGAAATCTGACTAATCAATTTTGACACTCAGGCGATGACTAATCAGTATGCACTCTCGGGATCTTTTTCCAGGGCTATCAACGAAACACCATCGAGGAACGCAATTGTTGGAACACGCGATCGAGGATCTGACGAGAGATGATTATGCACGATCAGACGCAGATCAGATCTTGCTCGGCTTGATGTCAGTTTATATATCGAGTCAATAATAACCGCCCACCTGCTGCCGCCGTGTCTCGGCAAACACCCCGAGCTTCCTCCATGCAGGCAGGAGCTTGCCTTAGAAACTGCCAATCTCACGTGTGAAGAAGTACATTCCAGGACATCGTGTATGTATCTACTACAAGGATACTTGACGAGTACTGCTCGAGCAGACCACGATACCTGGGTGACATGGCGCCGATGACCTCACCTGCTCTTTTCCAGGGTTCGGGAAGATGAGTCAAAATGGTGGCTCTGTTGCCGTCCACGAAAGATTTGAGAACTCCGAGTACAACTAGTACTCTGCATTCACTGTCGGTTCCGTGCTACTGTGCGATATTGACCTCGGCGAGCTTTGAACCGACATCGTGCAAAACATGAAGCGTGCTGTGATAAAGAGGATATCCACTCGTACATCTCTGCTACCGGCTGCCTTGCAATCGCAGCCGAGCATGGAAAGGCAAATCCCAGGAGGTGCAGTGGTAACCGTATCGGCAAGTTATACATTCGATTGCGACCGCAGTCTGAATGATCCGTTAGATTGAAACTATGATGAGCTACGCAATGTTCCATTCTCTTGAACCGCTCGTCGTGTCATGTCTGGAGTTGTGAGGTTGAAAAGCTCGCATGTGGATTTAGTTCATAGGATGGTCACGAACGGAACTTTAATAATTTCTGAGTCGTGTGCTGACACATCAGTCGAATTCGCTGACACATCACGGATTTGCTGACACATCGGCTGCCGAATGCTGATTCATCTGTGAGCATTGCTGACACATCAGTGGAACATTGCTAGGAACGCTACACCGTTGACAATTCCAATCGCCTGATACATAAACATATATGCACCGTGGAGGACATGGTATCTCCAATGGGATGTGGGTACGTTTCGCCACATAGAGCGAAATGGAGGATAGCATACAGCGCACACGCGGAGTGGCAAGGGAGACTGTCCCGATGGCGCTGGGAAGAAAAGTTGCCCCACCACAGGAGAAATTTTGGCGGGGTAGCGAGATGAAGACGTCAGCAGGGTTTTCTTGACTGACTGCAGACTGTTGGGCACGAATCTGAAATGAAAAGCAACGTGACCACTTCCACCGTTCGTCGGCAGCTTTTGGCGCATGGTGGGGTCATGGAAAATGGGAAAAACCCTGTGGTGAAAAGAGCTATGGGAAACTAGGAGATGAAAAATTTCGTCGGGTACAGTACCTACAGTCCCCAACCATGAGTTCGAGAACGAGATGGAGGTATGCGAAGGAGAGTCATCGTGCACAGACCTTCACACACAGTGTTAAAATCTGCTCCTTCCTTCTGAGAATAACCTCTCTTCTCTCCTTCGTCGCCATACCTCTACTCGTTCGGCAGTTGATCTGGCAGTGAGTATCGTCGCCCTCATCCCGTTGTCGTTGACAACCAACAGATCGTTCCGTATCAAAGTTTGATTCTGATCATCGCACGTTTCGTAGAACACAAACTTTCAGTACTTCAACCAACACATCACACATTCCACAACACCGCCATCATGGGGTAAGTCTTCAACGCCGAGATTCTGTTTGTGCTTCTCCGAAGCAGAACCAAATGAAAGTCTCTCATCTGTCCATCATCGCTAATCATGAGCCATGCAGTAAGGAAAAGCTTCACGTCAACGTCGTGGTCATCGGCCACGTCGACTCCGGAAAGTCCACCACCACCGGTCGTAAGTGTCACTTCAACGCCTGCCGCATTCAACGCATTGCCGCTCACATCTTTCCTCACAGACTTGATCTACAAGTGCGGTGGCATCGACAAGCGTACCATCGAGAAGTTCGAGAAGGTACGTCTCCCAATTTTCGCAATCTCCGAAGCCTACTGACAATCCCTCGCAGGAAGCCGCTGAAATGGGCAAGGGCTCTTTCAAGTACGCCTGGGTCTTGGACAAGCTCAAGGCCGAGCGTGAGCGCGGTATCACCATTGATATCGCCCTCTGGAAGGTACATTTCCCAATCCTCAACTCAAGTTATATGCTCTCCTTTACTGACTCCTAAAAATAGTTTGAAACTCCAAAGAGCGTACTCCCCTTTCGTCGATCGTTGAATATCTACTAATAAGTATCACAGGTACTATGTCACCGTCAGTAAGTTAACACCAGTTCTTTCCCCATTCCCAGTGCTCTTGTCATGTCTACGAGATTACGACTCCTCGTTCTATCTGCTGCTGCTCGCTGCTGGCCTCCGCCAAGATTTCGCCCACGATGGATTGCATTCCCACTTTTCGCTTGATTTTGCCTTTCCCGTTTCCCTCCCTCCCCTTGGTTACGCCTACGCCAAAATCATTCCCACGGCTCTACATCAAGATGGAATACCTATTCAATGCCATTGATGGCTCTACGATTGAAGCCCACGTCGACGAATCTGGCTGGCGTTTGATCGACCTCCTCCCCGACCGCTACGTGAGCTACACCATCCGGGAGTTTTTCAAGAAATCCGCGGACTGGGAATCCGTCGTCTCCTCCTCCCCTCTCTCCCTCCCTGACGGTCTCGAAGAAGTTTTGTCGTCGGCGGAAACGCCGTCGATAGAATTCTTCAGGCGTCTCCCAGCCCCGGACAAGGTCACGGGCAAGAAGCAATGGGGCGTTTACGCCATCCTCCTCACTCCTTCCACTCTCCCGCCCAAATTGTACATTGGCTCTGGGACAAATGCCCACGATAGTATCAGGCAGCGTGTCAAAGAGCACTACAATGGGTCGAGTACTGGAAAGCTCGTCGAAGAAGCCAAGGCTCAAGGCTATAAAATTGCCCACATCGGCATGCTTTGCTGGACAGACATGCCCCCTCCCGACCTCCATCCCGCAGCTCGAGCACGTTTGAAGGTGCTCGAGGCTGTTTTCACCATCATTTTCTGCGCCGCCCAGGATTCTGTAATGGAACGGGATATTATCCCAGATTTTCACCCTTGGGCTCGCGACGACTTGGGATGGACCTGGACTTGCACCCACTCCGCCCTCCTCGAAGGTGTTCGGGGATGCTACCTTGTCATCGCTAAACGCAAGAGCAGAGTCCCTCCCCCTCCCGCCCACGACGTCCTCCTCACTCCCGAGCAGCTCAAAATCGCTGTCGATGCACGACTCGAGCGCGAGCAGAATCGCCGCGCTCATCAGCCTGGCCGCCCCTGGACTCAAAACACGGCCGCACAAGCTCGCCGCAAGAGGGCGCGTGCTGAAGGTGACCGAGAGTGGATTGACAAGCAGAATGCAACTGCTGCTACGACACGCAAGAGGGCCAAGGCAGAGAAGCGCTTCCACTGTGACATTTGCAACCACAGTGCCGCTTCGCAGTACGCCTTGGACTATCACAACACCACCGAAGCCCACCTCAAGGCTGTAAATGCCGGTGGCAAGCTCCCGCCTCCTCCTCCCTCCAAGAATTGCGTCGCCGTGGCAAGGCGTCGTGCTGCTAGCAAGCAGAGCCAAAATAATTATTGTGACGTCTGCAAACGGGATTTTGGAGTCGCCAGCGCTCTTCTTCGGCACCAAGGCACCGACAAGCACCTCAAAGCAGTGCGAGCAGCAGCAGAGACTGCTGCAAACTAATTTATACTAACATGTAGCAAACCATTACTAACAAGCATCATAGTTGACGCCCCTGGTCACCGTGATTTCATCAAGAACATGATCACTGGTACTTCCCAGGCTGACTGCGCCATTCTCATCATTGCCGCCGGTACTGGTGAGTTCGAGGCTGGTATCTCAAAGGATGGCCAGACTCGTGAGCACGCCCTCCTCGCATACACCCTTGGTGTCCGACAAGTCATTGTCGCCATCAACAAGATGGACACCACCAAGTGGTCTGAGGACCGTTACCAGGAGATCATCAAGGAGACCTCCAACTTCATCAAGAAGGTCGGCTTCAACCCCAAGCACATTCCTTTCGTCCCGATCTCCGGTTTCAACGGTGACAACATGATCGAGCCCTCCACCAACTGCCCCTGGTACAAGGGATGGGAGAAGGAGACCAAGGCCAAGGTCACCGGAAAGACCCTCCTCGAGGCTATCGACGCCATCGACCCTCCGTCCCGTCCTTCCGACAAGCCTCTCCGTCTTCCTCTCCAGGATGTCTACAAGATTGGTGGTATTGGAACGGTCCCTGTCGGTCGTGTCGAGACTGGTGTTGTCAAGCCCGGTATGGTCGTCACCTTCGCCCCGGCCGGTGTCACCACTGAAGTCAAGTCCGTCGAGATGCACCACGAGCAGCTTGTTCAGGGTGAGCCCGGTGACAACGTCGGCTTCAACGTCAAGAACGTTTCCGTCAAGGAAATCCGTCGTGGTAACGTCGCTGGTGACAGCAAGAACGACCCTCCCATGGGTTGCGCCGACTTCACCGCCCAGGTTATCGTCATGAACCACCCTGGTCAGATCGGTGCCGGTTACGCGCCAGTCCTCGACTGCCACACCGCCCACATTGCTTGCAAGTTCGCCGAGCTCCTCGAGAAGATCGACCGTCGTTCCGGCAAGTCCATCGAAGCCAACCCCAAGACCGTCAAGTCCGGTGACGCTGCCATCGTCAAGATGATTCCGTCCAAGCCCATGTGTGTTGAGGCTTACACCGAGTACCCTCCTCTTGGTCGTTTCGCCGTCCGTGACATGCGTCAGACCGTCGCTGTCGGTGTCATCAAGAAGGTCAACAAGCAGGCTGCTGGTGCCGGAAAGGTCACCAAGGTAAGCATATCGTCACAGTTGATTGCCATTTACGTTATACTAACTCATCTCACAGTCCGCTGCCAAGGCCGGTAAGAAGTAAACGTGTGCGACATCATGGATTTATTTCTGTGTCGTGCTGGCAAATGAAGTTGTTCAGTCTACTTCGCCAGTCATGTCAACCTTTCTTCACTTCTTCACAAACTTGTATTACCCCAACATGTTTGTGACTCCGCGCATGTGCCGAAAGCTCTTGGTCGACTGAGCTCTCGCGCACTTCATTGCTCACCCCCAACGACCAAAAGAAACGTTTCCTCTGTTATTTTTTGCATGACGATGATCAACGAAATGGATGAAAATAGTCTGGGCTTGGAGGTTTCCTTATGGGATAACTGTAGCTTAGATCAATTGGCATTCCAGCCGAAATGAATTTCAGTCGGAGTGCAAACTTCTTTTCCACTGTGACTGTGATGTCTGTCGTTACATCTCAATTCAAGCCAGCTCTCAACTTGAGGTCGCCCTGCAACCGTCTCGCACTCCGCGGATTCCAAATCATTCACCTTCCTTAATTCGCCACTCGTATACATCACATGCATGAGGATTCTATACATCTCGCCTTGCGACTTTACTCTACAAATTATGGGTAAGCTTGACGAACAAGGTGATTCCCCCGTCGCACGATATGGTGGGACACGTAGTTTTCATGACGACACCTTCCAATGCAATTCTCGAGGGGGAGACTCGGACATATTTCCACTCATCGCTTACCGTTCCTCAGCCTCTCCGCCTGACGAAAAATCCACTGTTTGGCCGTTACTTCTTCATCCTCATCCTCATCTCCCGCACCTTCACCGCCACGATCCCTCCGCGCCGGAATCCCGCTCCCTTCCAGCGTCCGCAGTACGCACTCATCATTCGGCCGCACGAAATAGACCACGCTGTACCGTGGCCACAGTCCTTGCTCGCCCGGCGCCGGCACGACACGATGTCGCCCAGACTGCAGCACGCCGTTGGAGAATTTGCCCGCTGCGTCGCCGAGGTTGATGATTGCACAGTTGGCCTGTGGTCGAACCCAGAGCCATTTCCCTTCTTCTGCTCCTTTCCCTGGGACTGCTTCTCTGGCGGCAGAAGAGGATCCTTCCGACCACATCTGTAGCCCTCCTAGCCAATTCATCAGCACCGTCACACTCCCAAAGTCAGTATGAGCAGGCGTCTGGATCTCCGGCAACGCGGCGTCGCGCCGGGCAGGACCCCGGATCATGCGGACGTGATCGCCGGCGACCTCATCAAAGGCATGGCGGGAGGCGATTGCCTCGGCGCTGCCAGGTACTCCGAGATGCTCGAAGAGGATCTTGAGGATACGTAGGCCAACCGAGTGCGCGGTGTGCATGTATTCTGCCAATACAGGGGCCGCAGAGATGATTTCCTCCGGATAAGGTACTGCTAAGGCATCGGAGCAGCCGGAAGTCTTGCAGATGACATCTTTCGAGATGCTGAAGAATTCGGCCGTGTCGGGAGTCGAGTTCTCGTCGACTTTGGTCAAGCCGATGCGTTTGTACCTTTGGGGATCAACCATAGTCAGTTGCCTGGCTCAGATGCGTCAAAGGAAGAAGCTGAGAGATACCCGAAGAGATCACCAGCCTGGTAGACATATTTTAGCTTTTCCTGCTCTGAGAGCTTGAACGCCTTTTCGGCAATCTGAGCGACTTGATGTGCGCCGCGAAAAATTGTTTGTCCAGCGTTGCAGCCGGTCAAATCCAAGTAAAAAAAGCCTTGAGATTTGCATGCCTCTAACAGGCGGTGCTGCTCGGTAGTCTCGTTGTCTTGTTGCAGCTTCTTGAGGGATATCGTCTCCAATGAGGCGATGGGAAAATCATATCCCGGCAACGTTGATGGAAATTGTGGGTAGAGTTCCGGAGTGAACTCCATTTCAGACTTTACAGCCATTGGAGTTTCTTCGTCTTGATATCTTGTTGTCGCTTGTGTGCTTAATGCTCTTCTCCTGTCGAGGCAATGCGCTCAAAAGACCGGGTTTTGGAAGTTGTTGATGCCAAACGCCCTATAGAATTGAGCGCGACACATGTGCTTTGTTTGGACGTGATACAGAGGTTCAGACCAAACAGAAGTCTCGGGCTTCCAAGCTGACTAGTGACCTTAACCTTGATCGTCGTCGTTTAGAATGCAAGGTAAATTCGCCGCATTTATAGATTCGAAATAGCCAAACAGTGTGAGTCAAGGTTCCAAAAAGAAGTTCGACTCACAACCTAATCAACCACACTAATTTCAAATACTCCATCGACACGCACGGAGATCCGAAGATCCTCGTCTTGGCAAGATTTCCTCGTGCAGAAGCGATGGCGATGGTTTATAAATGGTGTTCATCAAATTCTAGAATCCTGGGCGAAACCGGTCGTTGTGTGGTCTCTCAAGCTCGCCCAGGATTTGAAGATGAGGCAACAGATCACGGGGTGCAGAGCGACCCGTTTGCAAGACGATCGGGGAGCGCTGGATCGATTACACTTCATCACAAAAAGTATCATTTGCGTAGCTACCCGATCAAGGGAGCAGCATTTTCGAATCATAAACCATACATAATTCATCATAAGCCTTGTCATCTCGACCTGATCATCGTCATTGCCGCTCTCCTCTCCCATTAGCGGCACTGTCGCTGGTCGTGCCAGTGACTCTCCTTCGTTGGTAGAATATCATGTACGCTAAATCATTATCTAGCGCATGTCCCTCTCCGCCGTGTGACGCCGAGGCAGAAGACGAATGGGGATCAAAGTCCTTCGCGCCTGTGTCGTTGAACAGCCTCCAGCAGCCACGTGCTGGGTCCTTGGCTGCACACGTGTAATGCCCGCTGCGTGTACTCTGGCCGTGATGCTGCACTACCGCATAAGCATCGTAGATAAATGGCGGGACTTGCGCGGTGTCTGGTGGTTTGAGACTCTCGGGTCCGTATGCTGCCATAATCTGTTGAACTTCTGCCGGGGATGATGGTGGCTGGACCAAGAACTCGGCGAGGTCGAGACCAGTCAAAGGAAAGCGGACTTGGGTGTGGACTTTGCGCTGCGATGATCCCTCGGTTCGGAATCGGCCTAGCGTGATGGCAAGATAAGGTGGCAATCGAGTGATTGTGAGCTTCTTACTGGCGCGCCGAGGTTTTTTGCATGATGGACATGTCCACTGGTTCCCGTCATCGAGAAGTTCGTCGCGGAAATGAGCTCGTAGGCAGTCTTGTAAGCGCGCCTCTCGACATTCGGGGATTTCAACTTGCAAACCAGCCCAGGCGTCATATTGAGTGGACGTAGTACCACACTCAGGGCATCTAAGACGCGAGGAGGATTGGCCGTACAAGAGGCTCGAGATGTAACTATTGTCGCGGTGCGCCCAGCGGTTCCACTCCATGCGGGCAACTACCATTTTCGGCATCCTTTCACGCTTCGCTTCTTCCTGCAGAGTCAGCGGTCGGAGTGGCGATCGAGACCACACACCATTAAAGTCCTCGTGAAGACAGTCCACCAGAAAGCTGAAGAATTCATGGGCATCTTGCTGTTGATGGGGATCGCTGAATGTCTTGTTGAGACGCGCGCAGAAACTGCGGAAAGTCGAGGGTTTGATATAGCTCGATTCACCATTCCACATATTGCGAATGACGTTGCTATAAATCTCAGGTAGCAGCCCACTGCTTCCCTTCCAATTGTCTTTCTGGACCGCTGACTTGAAGCCGTCATCGAGGAACATAATCGACAGTGGCGTAGTAGCAGACAACGCTTGAAGTGTTGCGTTCATGTAACACGTGCTGCCAAAGTTGTACAGCCCAGTCCTCGGTAGCCGTAGATTCGAAGCGAGGTATTTCGAGGGAACGTAGGGTGTCAATCCACTGTTTGTACGCGGCACAAGAGTGGTTTGAGACACCGAGCGCTCGCTGACGCCCGTGTAGCTCATGCGCGGTGCTGCTGGCGCAGGACGCATCGGAGCCTGTGGAAGAGTTGAAAGAGGTGGCCGTGAAGGGTATGTGGGAATCCTCACAGCATGATTTGTCATTTCAGTGGGGCGGTCGTAGAGTGGGAGAGATGGCGATAATTGATTCGCATCGGGGAAGCGTGCATTGAAGTCCTCAATAGACGGGTATTTGTCTGGCTCATCACCCTGTTGATCGCTACTCTCGTCATCCTGGGTGTCGTCTGGTAAGGCGACCGGTGCAGAGGGTACGCTTTCACTGATTGCTCTGTCTCGCCATTTTCGCTCCTCGTCAGCGTCGAGCGGGTCGTATTCGCGTACTCTACGTTTTGGGACTTGAACGGGACCATCGCTCCTTAATGGCCGTCTCTGAATTTGTCGGCCGGGTTTAACCCTGGTCAGTGTATCGGACGTTTGAAGAGCTTGCGTTCCCATCAAATCGATCCAAGCTTGGATACCTCCTATGAGGAATATTGGGGGCCTTTGTAGAGGTCTGTCTTGGTTGAAATCATAGAGCGCTTCGTGTAGCTGCTTCAATTTCATCTCAAGTTCAGTCTGTGGGCGGATCAGAAATCCCTCAGACCCAGTGGAAGAGTCGTAGAAAACAACTAATTCGAAAGAATCTCTCTTGTAGAATAGATCTTGCTCATTTTCCGGCGAAAGCACCAGCTTATCTGAGAGTTGCTCTGCACTGAGGCTCGGCTGCATGATGAGTGGATCGATACAAATGACATTCCTCGCAAAAATGTGACCATGATCGAAATCTTCGCGCGATCGAAAGTCGATGAGCAATATATTGTAGCGTTCAAGGTAATCATACAATCGCTCAGCAGTGATTGAACCTTCCTTTGGCATGTGCACAGATTTTCGTCTGGGAGGAACACTCAAATTTCTTGTGCTGGAGTTGAAGCTCGCCTGGTGGTTCTCGCCGCCGGTTCCGTTGGGTGTCAGTGGCGGCGCCACCACACTTGGACCATATGAGGTTCTGCGAGCATTGGTGCCGGCCAGACTGCGTGCACTGTATCTCGGCGGAGCGATGTTCCCAGTTGTCTCCATATTTCGCGCAGGACTATACGTGGGCATAGGAGCTTGCGGCATGCTGGCTGTGAAGTTTGTATCTAGCGGTAACCTCAATGGGCGGGTTTGTCCAGCAGCGCCGTCTGGCATCGATCGCGGTCCTTGAGGTTTGGAGATTGAGAGTGAATCGAACAATGAATCCATGCTATCCCTTGCATAAGTTGAGCTTCCCCGAGGCGACGACGTTGCTCCATTCGAAGACAGAGTAGATCCTTTCAACGACGGCCCAGCCGGCCCCAATTGCCCAACACCCCGCAGTCGAGCAAAGCGATCCGATAAGACGTCATGGACTGTTGCAGGTGCAGAGTCTCCATTTGAATTCGACGTCGAGATCGAGTTTGAAAGTAGCCGATCAGGTTTCGGCGAGACTGGTGGCCGGGACTTTGACTGCAACGAATCACCGTTCACATTTTCCGCTACCGCCACTGATTGTGCTCGCCGAGGCAGAGTGCCATGGCGGAGGTTATTGTTGATTATGATCTGCTTGATGTTGTCGAACTGCTTGTCCATCGACTGGACCTTCCTCCGCAGGAGTGCGAGCTTTTGGCTGTTCCCATGCTGATCGTGCGACCAAAGCGTATAATCCTTGTGTCGCGGCAGTGTCTCAACCACAATCTCGCACGCCCGAAGATATTCCACAAATGCTAGATCTGGGCGCCGAAAGTCCAGATTGGTCTTTGCCTGATTGAACGCTCGTTCGGCTGTCTCGTAGAGCTTTCCAATAGAAACATTGAAATTGATTTCGGAAAGCGCCCGCGCTTTCAAATCCTCAACATGCGCAAACACGACATCTCCTCCTCCATTGAAAGACTCGGTCCGAGAGGGTTGAATTGGTCTGTCAAAAGATGAATTGGGCGAATTAGAGTAAGGTGATGGGTCGGCGATGCCGGCGGCGCTCATCTCGGCGGTATCCTCGACCAAAAGCGTGGCATCGCGCAGAAGAACAACACCGGGATCTCTTCAGCCGAGGCGCTGCCTGAAGTGGAGTACAGGGTGGGCGAATTGGGATTGCACTCGCAGGCGGCAAGGTTTCGGTGCAATCACAGGAACTCAGAGGGCGGAAGATGGTCCGAAGTCGGTATCATTGACTTGATTTCAATGTGAGATGGTTCGACATTTCGATCAATTTGTGGCGAATGGAGGCACTGCAGGGGTGTATATGTACTGCTTCGAGCCCAACGAGTATAGAAGAGTTGCCTTTCGTATACACAGCTACGCACATACGATGACATTAACATCAAGTCATGCCCGCATGCAACATGCGGCGATTTGTGATTGCCTCAGGCATTTTATAATTGTGGTCGTTCCGTGCAGTATCTCCGAGAAGAGTCGCGCCCGCGCCCGCTCACGTCATGGTCTCTGCCTCCACGTGTGCGGCGGCTCACCGAAGGTCTTACCCGCGTGAATGCTCTTGATAACAAAAGCTCGTTTCGTAAGAGTCAATTCACGGGCAGATACATCGGCAAGATCCAGCGTTAATTTGTAACGATGAAGAGGGCTTAAGCCGCCACAGCTCGTCCTCTGACACAGCCCAGTACTAAACTCTAGGCATAGATATTCCACGGCTGCATGCACGTCTTCCTCGCTGAATATTGTCGCCTGCTTGTTCGCGCCCTGCAAAACTGTCCGCGCTCTTACGAGTCTTTCTTTATTAGCCCATTCCCATTTATTCGTCATAATCGTCTATCAGCGCGTTCCTACACGCCTCGCATCGTTCAGTCTCCAGGTCTGGCCTCCAGTCCCCACGAGATTCCTACCAATACAGTAACTCAGTAACACGTTTGGCTGCCTAAGACGCGACTATGACTTCTTGGTTTGGCAGCAGTGCCAACTCCGAGCTCGATGCTCAAATTGAGCGGGCGACTGGCAGCTCTTTAGAAGACATGGCCTTGAATCTCGAGATCAGCGACGTCATCCGGAGCAAGACGGTCCAACCCAAGGAAGCGATGCGCAGCCTGAAACGTCGTATCAGCAACAAAAACCCAAACGTACAGCTTGCCACTCTCAACCTGACGGACACATGTGTCAAGAATGGCGGCGCCCATTTCATTGCAGAGATCACGAGCAGGGAATTTGTGGACAACATAGTTAGCCTCCTACACTCGTCAGTCGGTACACCATTGAATGGTGAGGTGCAGGCGAAGATGCTCGAGCTAGTTCAGGATTGGTCTGCAGCTGCTCAAGCGCGAGATAGCATGAACTACCTGACAGAAACCTATAACACACTTCAGCGAGAAGGATACAGATTTCCGCCCAAGCGCGAAGTCGCGAGCAGCATGTTTGACTCGTCTGCGCCGCCAGAGTGGACGGATAGTGATGTATGTATGCGCTGTCGGGAGAAATTCACCTTCACAAACCGCAAACATCATTGCAGGAATTGCGGCAACGTCTTCTGTGGGGCATGCTCGGGCAAGACACTACCTCTTCCACATCTCGGGATCATGCAAGCTGTGCGGGTCGATGACGGTTGTTATGCAAGATTGACGGAGAAAGCGCGCAGTACTCCCGGACCGCACAGTCCCAATAGCAGCAAGCGGACACTCTGGCAGGGTTCCCTTGCAAATGCTCCCGATCGCATGACGCCAAGGGAAGCGAGGGTAACGGACAACAGCTTTGATGCGGATTTGAGAAAGGCTTTGGAGATGAGTTTGGAAGATGCAAAACACGGTTCTGGAGCTGGCTACGTTCCTCAAGCGCAGACACACACCACAAAGCCAAGGGCGAGTAGCACCAGCAAGCCAGCTGCGAAGCGGGAAGCAGAGTCAGAAGAGGATGCAGATCTCAAAGCCGCTATTGCTGCCAGCCTTCAGGACATGGAGGAGCAGAAGAAGCGCCATGCGAAAGAACTGAAGGAGAGAGCATCCTCTTCCGTCACAGCTCCAAACCAGTTTAGACCTAATAACCAATTCGAGCTGACCCCGGTTGAGGCTGAAAACATAAATCTATTCTCCACACTTGTCGATCGACTTCAACATCAGCCTCCAGGAACAATCTTGAGGGAGCCGCAAATTCAAGAGCTCTACGAGAGCATCGGCACGTTAAGACCCAAGCTGGCGAGGACCTATGGTGAGACGATGAGCAAGCATGATACCCTGCTAGATCTACATTCCAAGCTCTCTACAGTCGTCCGTTACTATGATCGGATGCTTGAGGAAAGAATGGCTTCCGCTTATAACCCCAATCGATATGGTGCCGTTGGACATAGATCCAGCGCATACCCGAACATCCCGGCGGCCTCGCAGATAGGACCAAGTGCAGGGATGGAGAGCTACTACACCGGGACTGCTCCTCCGCAGGAGAGCTATGCAGGACAGACTCCCCAGTCTAGTTACCAACATTCACAGACATCGGCGTATGTTACTGCCCCACCAGATGCTTCATACTACCAACAACCTCAGTCCCAATCAGCATATCCTCATTTGCAGGCTCCATCGCAGCAGCAGCCGCCGCAATTCGCCCCCTATCCTCAGCATAACATGCAGCCGATACCTGAATCATCCTCGCAGCCATTCGTCGCGCCACTACAACGACGTGCATCAACGCAGCTGTATTCTCAGACACCTGGACCACATGCGCCGAGCCACCACTCTCAGGGGTCTAATCCTTCGGAGACAGCAGGCTACCAATATCCCGAGCAGCAGCAGCAGCAACAAGTGCCACCAGCACCGACCCAAGCGTCTGTCCAACAACTTACACAAAGCCCAAACATGTATCACCAGCCACACCCTGCTCAGCAAGGATATGAGTACGCGCCCCAACAGCAAGCACAATCAATCTCAGCTTCCTCTGCATCACTCCCTCCACAAGGCCTGCCCCACCAGCAGGAGCCGCAACATGCTCAACAATCATATACCGCCCCGTCTCAGCTACAGCAAGACCAGCAATTCTATGCTCCGCGTCAGCCACAACATCAGCAGCAGCCGCTGCCACAGCAACATCAGCCACAGCAGCAGCAACAGCAATGGCCTCAAGCTCCCTCGTCTCATGCCGGATATGGACAGGAGAGCTTCCCCGTGGCGCCTCAGCACGTACCTGCTCCGAAAGCGATCGAGGAGAGTTTGATTGAGCTGTAAAAAGTAGCTGGCTGATGAGCGGTTCACCGCGAAGCAGACGTGCAGAACGTCGGGCGGCTTCAGCATGTATAAATTACCAAAGGTAGCATTAGTCATTACATATTTATCACCTGTCTACCACATAGGGAGGAAATTTTGGTGAAACTAAACCATGCCGCTTTGCGGAACGTGGAGTAATTGCTATGTAGCTTTTATCTGCCTGAATCAAGGCATTTTTTGAATCAGCTTTCTCTTCATGTCCCATGATGATACCCTTCCACTTTTGATAACAACCCGAAGTTCGTTTCCCACAAGGTGCGCTCCACCTGCACCTCGAATGTTTCGTTTCACTATTCCATGCCTCGCAAGCTGAGTTTCAATTTCGTGGAATGCGCGGATTTCCCACTCAAATTGATTTAGTGCCATTTGTCTCCATCGTCCCTGGTGAGCACGTCAGGAATAGATCAAGATCCTTCGTAGTTAAAATCTTGGCCTCCATTCATATGGTTGCTTCTGATAGTGCCCGGTTATGTCCGCTTTTGTCAGGCGCTACTTCAACCCACCGTCTCGTCTTCTCACAGACTCAAGTCGGAGCTACCAGAAACGGAGATCCTGTGGCCATTCTCCTTTTCCATATGTTCGGCCGGCATGTACTTGCACGCTCTTCTTTCTGCCATCCTCATCCCGAAGGTGACGATCCAAACAACAGCCGCAGCAGAAACCCACCCACAATCCAGAAAGCCAATCCAACACCAGTCAAGATTCCCGCGACCTTCAGAATAGCTACGCGATCACCCTGGCGGGCCATAACGCCTAGCCGCCGCGCAGAACCCTGTAGGCTGCTGGTCATCGAGGAGAAGGTTTCGAGATTAGAGTCGATGACATGTTGGTCGCGGGCATTGTCGTAGATGTCGACGGTAACGCTGCGGAGCGCGGAGACTTTGGCGCTGAGGGCCGAGAGGGAGGCGTTGTTTTGTCTGTGGGAGAATGTGGTATGAGATTCGGAACTGGGAAGTGCAGCTGGTGTGATTTTGTGCCGCGTGCGATGTATAGAGACCTGCTCGAATCGCTTACCTTTCGCGTTCGTAGGCTTCCGACATGGCTGCAGGCTGCAGATTGGTATGGAGAATTTGATTGTTGGTAAATCTAGGCTGAAAGAGAGTCTCGATGGTGCTGCCTTCAGATTGAGTGTGTCGACGATTCGAGTCTTACTGATCCGCCAATTTGTAGTTTACGTCTGACACCGAAGGCCTTCTGGTAGAGAGAGGGGGGAGAGAGTGGTTGTAAAGAAGTTCGTAGATAGTAAGGTATGTTCTGATAGATCGTTGAGCTGGATGGAGGTTCGGGGATGCCAATTACATAATCATGACCATGGAGCCGCATCTTAGGGTTGACTCAAATCCGCGTGTTAGCCGCGCTGCGGCTGTTTCGAGTGCACAAATGCCGCGTTATCATTGAGATCAATTGATACAGATCGTGGACTCCGGTTCCAACTTCACTGTCACGGTGAAGAAAATGAAATGAGTAGGCAAACATATCAACGAGTCGACTGCAACATTCATGTCTCCTGGGAACGTTGCAGTAGGATTGTTCACAAGAAATTCTACACTGTATGCAATGAAGGAGGAAGTTGAGAAGTTTTAGAAGCAAACACCCCATCATTGTCACGATGTGAAACTTGCATCTATGAGAACGGCCACAAACAGTGCTGGTAACCATGGTGCCTGTGGGAGCTATAGATAGATTTCCTCTCTTCCTCCATACAGGCGCATGCTTTGGAGCTTCTGTGTTCCTGCTGTGATATACAATGATCGAAACGCCGTCGTCCAGTCATGAGGTGTATATTGTACATTGAAGAAAGCGGCTGCGCTCAGAACGAGCTGTAGAAGTAAAGGAATGATGAGAGCAAAAGTGTACGTCTGCCACAGACAAAATCGCGTGTGATGCGATCTATCCCATCCTCGCTGTGATGCCGTCTAAACGAACGGACAACTCCCTTCCTTTCCCCTTCACGCGCTAATCCCGATCAGCTTCTTGTTCTTCTTCATCTGCTTCTTAAGCGCCACTTCCCTCTCTTCCGCGTGCCTCTTCGCCTCGTTCAGTTGACGTTCTGCGACGTCCAGACTGGGCACCACAAGGTCCGCATGTTGTGACCCGTTTCCTGCGCCACCTTGCTGGCCACCACTTCCATGTTTGCCTCCCTTTCCATTCCCACCACCGCCGTTATTTCCGTTCCCGTTCCCACCCACCGACGGCGGCGGTGTGACCGGCGGCATGACAAATTCATTGATGTACCGACTCGCTTCGTCCACAAGGAACGCGCCCTTGCGCATATTCGCACCGTCCTGAACCATCTGCTCCATGACGTTGGGACCACGGCCGCCACCGCCGTGGTGGCCACCATGTGACAAATTCTCATACTCACGCTGCAGCGCTACGAGGTCCATGTGAGGGAATTTGGTCTCGTTCTGGGGCTTTCCTGGGCGGAAGCGAAATTCCTCGGGGATTTCACGAAGCGCTTGCTCGAGCTCAACGAAGCGAGATTCGAGCTCCTTGGTCAGCGCGCGAAGGTGGGCGCCAGAGGCCGTCACCATGCCTCGCTCCCAGGGGTTGTTTTCGGAATGCGGTTCGCTGTAGTTTACGGCAGGATAGCGGCCGCGAAGGAGGTCGTCGACTTCGGATTTTGTGAGATTGAGCTTGAAGTCGGCGCGCCAGTTCATGGCCGCCGCGAGTTCGCGTTGGGAAGAAAAATTGGGAGGATACTTGAACGCATTATGGTTGGTCACCTTGAAGAGTTGTTCGATGCACTTTTGTATCTCAGGCGTGTGGGCTTTAAGATCGGCGATGATTTGGGCGGCGCTCAAATTGGTAGGAGTCGGTGGAGGAGAAGGCTCCCGATGTGTCGGCAAGGTAGGTGGCGCTGGCGGAAGTACTTGAGATGATTTGACAGGTGGCGCAGGCTTGACCTCTTTCTTGATAGGTTCTTGGACAGTAGACTCAGACGTCGAATTGTGTTTCTGCTCATTTTGCGCTTTAGGGGCTGCCTTCGGAGCAATCGGATGCTTCGTTTCAGTGGTCGAGGCGACAGGTTTGAGCTTGGGTTCTTTCTCCCTTTTGGCCTTCTTCTTGCGACTAAGAATAGCCTCTTGCGCTGGAATCTCGGGCTGGGACTTAGTCTCATCGTCGTTCTTGGCCATCTCTTGCTCAATCATCTTGGCCCTTTCTTGTCGATCTTTCTTCTGTTGACTCTTGGTCTTGGTCCGGATGGGCGCTGAACCGACTTTGCTGGTAAATGGTGGAGGTGAACCAGCCCGCGAATGCGCATTTGTAGAAGCTATGGACATGTTGTCGGACATGGACACGAGCTCACTAGACGGCGTGCCGGGGAAGTTAATCGAAGTGACACTCGCCTTTCTGAGAGCATGTCTATTCGCTAGCATACTCGGTAGAGTCGGTGCGATGGTGGGGACTGGTGGCATAATTTCTTCTTTCGGCGTTTGAACAACTCGCAAGACGCGCGGCGCAGGCTTCTTCGCAGGAGATTCTGTTACTGGACCGGGACTATCAGAGGCTTTTGTGGACATTGATGGCGTCGGCACAGCCATCGAACGTTGTGATCCTGCTGGAGTAGCACTTTGGGTGGATGGGGAAGCAGCCTGCTTGCTTGGTTCCTGTTGCATAACCGCTGCGGTAATGTCGAGCTTGCCGAGGCTTTTCTTATCGCTCGGTTTTGGAGCGCCCTTGACCGGAGTCACTGGAGGAATGCTTGTTTCTGAAGTTTCCTTAGCTGAAGTAGTCTTCGAAGGAGATCGATTGCTAGCTCTTGTTGATTTGGATGATTTGAGCGGCACAGTGGTAGCATTTGCTGCCTCCTTCTTGGTCGATGGTTTGGGCTTCGAGAACTCCTCGTCCTTAGAAGCGAGCGCAGCGTTATCCAAGGCGGTCGCTGGTGCTGGCGACATGTTTACAAATGGACCTTCCTTTTTCGAGACGATGTCGCCGACAGCTTTGGACGACTTGGTTGGGGTTTCATGAATGATGGACCCATGGTCGTCGTCCGTAATTCCGTTCCGCGGTGGAGTGGCAGCAGTGCCGCTTGGAGTAGCGGGGCATAACGGTACTGCTGGTGTGATCTGAGCAGAGACTCCACGGCGCAAGCTCGCTCGACTAGATGGCCGTGACGTCGTGGAGCCTGGTCCGCCTTCGAGGTCTGGTAAAGCTGTTGGTCTAGAAAGTCCCGGAGGAATTGAAGGCGTGGCGCGTCGGCTCTCGTTGGCCAGCTGCACTTCAAACCCCGGTGGCACCGGCGGTGTTGATCGACGTGATTCATCGAGCGAGGCGGCGATACTCTGTTGTCTAGTCCGAAGACCTAGCGCTGGAAATTCGGCATCAACTACAATCAATCGAGTCAGCAGGACTTCTCAAACAGCAAACGCGATGGTCGGAAGCGAATAGGAGTCCATCTCTTGCACATCGGCAACGGCAGCGTATCATCCCACAACACACAGCAACACACGAACAAGTGGTCTTGTAAGACGATCTAGATACATGAAGCGGCAATCGGTCTTTGGTTCGTCACGTCACGACTGAAAAGTTTTTTGTTTGAAGAAAAGCTCTGTGAGGTCTTGAGACTATCTTTTCGTCAACCTATTGGTCGCTGTAAAGGACTGTGAGAGATACGTACAAGCATAGTCGTTGACGTGACGAAGGACTGGAATGAGAGTGTAGTTGGAGAAAACGCCGGAACCCGAACCAAAAATCCAAATGCCAATCAAATTCATGCTGAGACAAACACTCTCCAGAGTGTTTGTGCATCAAGAGATGCGAGGATATATCGACTTTTCGCCGAAGGAGGGACAGCGGCCAACACTTGGCGCTGATCCCGGGATATCTTGCTGGAAGTCTTCTCTTCAGGCTCCGAAAACACCTTGCAGACCGGTCGAAAAACAAGAAAAGCAGATAGCCGCAGGTACATGCCGAGAATGACCGATAGGTGCGCAAAAAAAAACGAGAAAAACAGAAGAAGGGCCAACCGATCTGCGCGTCTACCAACGCGCGCCATAACCGCCGCCACCGCCGTGCATGACAGAATATAACCCACCTGCAGCAGCGCCCGTAGCTTGACCGGCGAATGAGTTTGCACCTCCGAGACCAGCCGCCCCTTGTTGGTGAAGTCGTGTTTGGAGTAGGTGACTGGGAGTAGGCATTGGGTCCGACGCAGCATCCACTACACCGCCTCCCGAAGAGGAGGAAGTGTTAGCATGTCTGTGCTTCTTTCCCTTTTTCTTGCTGCTGCGTTGCTTTTCGCCATCGCCTCCAAATGCGCTCAAAACAGAAGGGGAGGTGGTGGAGGTTGCAAAAGCACTCGACTGGCCGGCTGGTGGGTACGCTACTGTACTGGGATGGGTGCTATTGTAATTAGGGAAGGAATTGAACTCACGCTTCGCGTCCATGCCACCGCCTGCCGCAGCATCACGGCCGCCACGCATCAAGTCCCGATAATAATTATCTTGCTGGTTGCGGGCAGTGCCTGCGACGTATTGCAGACCCCCCGTTGCAAATCCATGACCTTGTCCAAATGTCAGATTGCCGCTGACTGGAGGTGTACCTGTGGGCTTCAAGCCAGGGGGAGGTCCCTGAACGTTGCTAGTGTAGAATTGACCATGCGGCTGTTGTGCTCCAAAATGGGAGGATCCAGTTGTAGGCATCATGGAAGATTGCTGGTTCATGAGTTTTGCGTTGGCAACAGGTTTCACAGCAGTAGAAGCAGATGCAGTGTCGTTGGCGAAGGAATATCGCGAGACATTCCTTTGATGCCCAGGCGCGCCGTTCTGCTGTGTCAAAGTTGACTGGGCATTGGCGGCTTGACCGGCATTGTTGGTGAAGTTCGGTGACGGGCTGGGCTTCAGCGTCTGGAGGAGAAGTTGCTGTTGCGTAAGTCCATGACTTCCGGCGCTTGGGTTAAGGTTATCGCCTCCGAACTGAAACCGCTGGTTCAGACCACCTTCCTGGCCGGGAGGATGTATCGCGGTTGGCGTCTGATGTATGTTCTGTCGCTCCTCAGGTTCACCGCCAAGTTGGAGGCTGCCACTCATCTCGGGGTCCTCATCAGCCTCGACAGCAGGCGGTTGTTGGAATGCTTGTGCCTCTTGTTCCATGCGTCGTTGCTCCTCTTCGCGTTGCCGGCGTGCTCGTCGACGTGGACCACCGTTCTGGTCGAAGAGAGGAGGATACGAATTCACAATTCCAAGGTCAGCTTCACTCAGACAAGAAGGAGACCATACCAATTGGAAATCTTCAAGTTTGAGGCCCTTGACAAGTGAGAGGAAAGGAGAAAGTCGTGAAGCATTTGTACCGGACCTCGGAGGAGCATGGGCCGGAGCGCTTGCAGGTTTGGTCTCGACTGGAGCGGGCTGTGCTGTCGGTTGCGTTTGCGGAGCTGGCGTTGGCGTTGGTCGGCTTTCGCTCGGCGTGGGATCCAGCACAGCATTCGTCACGGCAGGACTTCCGACGCTGACACTAGCAGCACGGCTCTCCGTCCGAGCAGGTAGAACTGTCTTTGATGCCCAGCTGGCAGTAGACGGCAACGCCGGACGATCGGAAGGAGGGCTATTCGAAGGTTCTGTACTTCCGGATCGGGCCATCGGAGGAGCTGCAGACGCCAGAGGCTGTTGCGGTTGCGGCGGAGCGGATCTGCCATGTTGCGATGAACCTGCATTATGGGCAGAAAGTTCAGCTCTTGAATAACTCTCGTTCGCTTCTCCAGGCTCATGAAGAAACATGCAATTCCGATTTAAACATGTCTCGCCCCGCAGATACGAGGAGCAATACTTCGTCGTTCCGAATTGTGCGCGCAACGTTCGTTCGCCATTCTTCGATCCATCCACCAGTGCAATACAACTCGCAGCATCTTCCTTCCTCTCATAGGTGACGTAGACTCCGACGGAGTGGGGATTCGAAGGATCTTTGGCTTTGCTCACGACGATCTTGATGATCTTACCATACTGCCCGAAATATTGGTCTCCACGTAACGTTTGTAACAATTGGTCCTCCTGCGTTGTCGGGTTCAAACCAGTCACATAGACTAGATTTTTCTGTACCACGCGAAGTCCAGCCAAGTGTTTGCGACTCATGTTGTCCGCTTCCGCTTTTGCCTTTTCCTTTTGAGCCGCGGCTTGGGATTTCTTAGCCTTTTGAGCCTGCCGCGCCTTGTGTGCTGCCGTCTCCTCCGGGGTAATAACTTTGTATTGGATTTTGTTATCGTCATACGGTCGCCGGCATGCTGGGCACAGTCCATTCATGTTAGTCTTGACATTGTGATAGCAGAACTGGCATATCTGAAGGGAGAATTAGTTGCGACCTGAGATAATATCAGGATCATTCCACACGCACTTGGTAACCGCATTCGCAAGGCCGGAAGCCTTTATCCGTGAGGTCGAATTCCTCGACACATAGCGGACACGTTTCGTCCTCATCGTCGTCGATGAACTGATCCTGTATCGATTTGGACATGTCGGATGTGATTGAACGCGTGCAAGAACTGATTTACGGATGCGCGAAGCTCGAGGCGCACCAGGCACACAAGATGTTGTTGATGAAGCCAGGGTTGAAGATGATAATAGTGTCGTGAAGACCGGAATATTAATACAGTGACCAAACGTGCCAGGAAAAGGTCGGTGAGATGGTGATATTAAGTAAGTTGGTGGTCGATGGAGACGTGCATACGAGGATAATGGTTTAGTAGAAAGCACTTTGGGCTGCTGCTGAACGACGTTTCTAGAGCGGTTCGGGTTTGAAGGGAGAAAGAGGTGGCGCGGCTGTTTCCGTCATGGTCGACAGCGGATTGCAATTGCCCTGGGACGGTCACATTCCGCTATATGATCTATATCACGTGTATACATACATTCATGTGGTTTGTGAATGGAACGAAATCTGGAATAGTAGGAAAATCCACTTGCATAAAACTCTCAGTGGCCATTGTGCAAGTGACTTGGACCAAGAAGACTGTGACTGGGTTGGGAAAGGAAGTGTTGCGGTGTCAGCACTCACGCGACTAGACGATTGAACGATTCTCCGCCTGGACATGCAAAAACGTCACGCCCGAGCCCTATCCACTGTGGTTATGACTAGCAATTATTTGCCCCGAGGCCGTCATCCCACCCACGATCTATGGCCGCCTCCCGCCGACTTCTGGCCTCGAATACCTCCTCCAATCCGCGGCAGGAGAAAGTCATGACAAGCTCTACGCAACCTCGCATTGACTTGAACGTGGATGGTAGGTCGTGACAGTCGAGAAATTGTTTCGACACAACACCAAGCTGCCTGTGTTAGCCAGCGTCTGCCACAACAGTCACCTTCACCAAATCGATAAACACACCATCAACATGTCGGCGCCGAGAGTTCTCGCGCGGCCACTGCGCTCGGTTGCCAGTGCGGTCAAATCAAACACCTCCAGGAGCAACACTATCCGCACGTTCACCACAACGATATGCCGGACGAAAGAGGTGGCGGGCCAGACAGGCGAATTGCCCAACATGAGACATGCGCAGAGAGCACCTGTTGGCACTCTGAATGTGCCAATCGTCAACCCCACCGGTGCGCAGACACCACCGGAACGCATGTTCCTAACCCAATGCTGATCGGGCGTTTTTCCAGACAAATACCAGGACAAAGCTGAAGCTCTTCATGCCTATGGTCAATACCTGCTATCATGTCTGCCCAAATACATTCAACAGTGCGTCTGGTCATCACCAGTCCAGAAGTGAAAACATCCTGAACAATCCTAATTGATCATTGTACTTCACAGGTTTTCCGTCTGGAAGGATGAACTCACAATCTACATCGCCCCCTCAGGCGTGACTCCCGTCTTCAGCTTCCTCAAATATCACACCGCTGCCGAATACACGCAGGTGAGCGACATCACTGCCGTCGACTACCCGACACGAGACCAGCGCTTCGAAGTCGTTTACAACCTGCTCTCGGTGCGCCACAACTCGCGCATCCGCGTCAAGACCTACGCCGACGAAGCCTCGCCCGTGCCGTCCATCACCAACCTGTACGACGGTGCCAACTGGTATGAGCGTGAGGTCTACGACATGTTCGGCGTCTTCTTCGTCGGCCACCCAGACCTCCGCCGTATTCTGACCGACTACGGCTTCGATGGACACCCGCTGCGCAAGGACTTCCCCTTGACCGGATACACCGAAGTCCGATACGACGAGGAGAAGAAGCGCATAGTCGTCGAGCCATTGGAATTGACGCAAGCATTCCGAAATTTCGAGGGCGGAACTGCAGCGTGGGAACAGGTCGGCCCAGGACACGACCGAAAGCCCGACACGGTATGCCAAAATTCATGATGTTTTGACTTCGCGATGTTATGAAACCAGATGGGAACTTTGCTGACACAAGCTTCACAGTTCAAACTGCCTACACCAAAGCCTGAGCCCAAGCCCGAGGAGAAGAAGTGATTTCTCCAGGGATTACAAAATCGTTTCACCGTCGCATGTCAGTGTACAGTAGTAGGAAAATTACAAGCCTGTACATACACGTCCATCCGTCGTACAGCACTTCCGTCACAGCGGGAGAGACTTCTATAGAGTTAACATCATCATATTCACACCGTCATAAGACCGACTCTCCCACGTTGATATCTGTTTCCACAGTTATTTCTTCGATTTCTTGAATATCTATTCGACTCTCCTTTCCCAAAGGGACTAAATCCCAAAACGCTATACAGACGTACCACACGTCACCCCCCTAATGTGAAATCAACTCATACTCATACTACGCCTCACCCGCTTTCAATGTTTCACCAAAAAGCCTCTCCTGCATTCATCCCCACACATTCCCAAAAAGATCATCTGACCCACCACCGCTCGCTCCGAAGCCCTTCGAGCCGTTCGCATTGCCACCGCCGGTACCAGCACCTGCACTGGGCGTCGCCACAGGACTCGCATGGCTCCAGCCGCCAAATTCCTCATCCTGTTGCACGGAGAACCCTCCCGCGGAAGGTTTCGTGTTGGATGTAGTCGTTGAGGCAGAAGTGTGTGTGGCTTGCGGGATAGAAGAAGATTCGTTACCCCAGCCAGTTTCGAACATTGCGGCTGAAGACGATGGGAGCGCGGTCGTGGACGATTTGGGCGCTGCAGGAGCTGCGGGTTTGGCGGCGGCGGGAGGGTCAGGGGTTGCCCAGGCGTCGCTACTGCCCCAGGCGTCCATGTTGTTGAAGCCACCTATGCTCGATGTGGCGGGAGCTGCGGGCTTGGGTGGAGCGGGGGTCGGTTGGGAGAGATTGAAGGCGCTGTAGCTTGGTGCTGCGGTGGCTGTGGGCGGCGGTGGGGCTTGAGAAGTCTTGGGGGGCGGCGTCGGGGCAGAGGCAGGAGCAAGGCTGAACAGATCGCCCATGGCGTTGCTGCTCAGGCCTGAGGACTTGTTGACAGAAGATACAGGAGCAGGGGATGTCGCGGAGGAGAAGGCGCCAAAATCGGAATCAAAGCCGCTATCTTGTGCGAACGCTGTTGAAGTCGATTTAGGAGGCACGGCGGGTTTGGTGTCGAAGAAGCTACCACCGCTGAGCGCTGATGTAGTTGGTTTTGAGATAGACGCCTGCTTCGCGTGCCCAGCCGGTGGCAAAAAGTTCGAAAAAGCAGCTGGTCGGGCAGCCTGCTGCTGAGGGGCAGGAGAAGAAAATGAAAGCGATCCGAAAGCATCGCCCAAACCTCCAAGGGCAGAACTCGCTGATTGTGCTGAAGGCGAAACTAGTGGTGGTGACTGCATGCCCCCGAAGGCACCCCCGTTGGCCGAAGCAGGCGGTGCTGCAGGCTTAGATGCATAGAGCGAGAGAATAGACTGCTTGAGATCAGATCTACCAGAAGCACCTTGCGCGCTGGGGCTTGCGGTAGCGGCGCGTGCGGGAGGAGCAGCTTGGGCACCGCCAAAAAAGTCCAATCCGAGTAAGCTTTCCTGAGGACGAGTCTGTCTGGACGGCGCAGGGGCAAGGGCAGGTGCAGCGACTGGCTGCGGTCTTGCGGAAACTGGGTTGGCACTGCTTGCGCGAGCCGGCTGCTCATCTCCGAACAGGTCGATCTGTGGTTGCTGCCTGGCTGCTCGCGGCGGAGGAGCAACTCCTCCGCCGACCATCGTTGAGCTTCCATTCCGGGCATGTCCTGCTCCTCTTGAGCCACTGGCTATTTGCGCCTTCAAATTCTCCTGGACGACGTTCAATGGGACATCGTCGTCTTCTCCACCAAGTGTGCTTGGATCCGGAATTGGGCCATCCATGGCCCATCTCCGACTGTCATATTTTGTGCGGATGAAGTTCTCAATCTTGGCCTCGTTGGGAACATGTCCTTCAGCGAGCTTCGATTCCCAGTAGCGATTTGCGCGCGCATTGCCCCACTTAACCATGCTCTGCATTTGTTCATCGGTCCATGTGTCGAGGTCTACAGACTTGACACGGGATATGTGTGTGCCCATGCCTCGGTGGATGCCGGAGCACCGAATGCAGATGAATATTCCGAGGTTCCAGCTTGCCCATCGTGGATGTTTGTTGCGTTTACAGTCGGCGCAGCTCTTGTTCGACTCAAGTTTGACCAATTGTTTCAGTGTTGCGGTATTCTGGGCGGCGCTGCCCGAGGATGTTTGGCGAGACATGAGGATGCTGTATGTTGGCGACTTATTGACGCTCGTACTTTCTCGCAAAGTGCACCAATGATGATTCTGCGTTCACGGCAAAGCTTGAGTGATTGTGATAGTGCTCGAAAGTCGTACACATTAGATTGCTGCCTGAAGTCTTACTTTTGGCATGCGATCCACTCCATCGTCAGTGTGTGGTGATGTGGGGGCGGCGAGTGAACCACGAAGCCCGGTGTTGGGCGGCCCTGACTGGTCAGTCTTGGCATTAGCCCTGCCCTTTCTCGAGAAGTGACGTCCGCTCAATTTCAATAACTACCTAGGTACAACTTCCACTCTCAACAGGTTACAGTCAATGGAGAACTTTTCGAAAGCGTCTTATCAGTCTCGGAAGTCAGGAAATGGAGTCGAAGAGCATACGTCGTTCCCCTGGTCATCGCATGGGTCTCGCGATCGATCCTGTGACAAACACACATAGACACGAAAGTTGAAATCTAGCCCTCATGGCGCAATCAAGTCTCTTGGATTCCAGGATTCATTTTGATCGCGTCCGATCGACATAGCAATAATGTCTCTACTTTCTATCTAGTTCTGTCCTTCCTTCAATGCCATCTCATCATAATCTGCCTTTTTGGCGTTCATGCATTCGTCGATTTTTCATCGTCAATGTTTTCTGTAAAAGTAGCTTTTATTTTGGTCATCATCATCCTGCTCAACCCTGCTTGCTCTGGATGTACTTGACGAGCTCGGTCACCTTGGCCTTAGTGCCGTCGCTGAGCTGCTCCTCTGGTGGGCTCAAGACCTTCTCGAATACTGGGAGAAGTTGTCCGGTCAGGCCTTGGATGACAGAGTTCTCGGCTTGGTAGAGGGCCACAATCATCTCGAAGACTGGCTCGTTCTCACGGAAGTCTTCCTTGAGCGGCAGGATCTCCACAAGTCGTGGCAGAACTTCCGCAAGAGGCACGTTCTGCGGAGACTTTTGAATCATACGAGCAAGACAACCAGCAGCATTGTCAAGGAGACGAGCTTGTGCCTCTGCGTCGCTGTTGTTGCCTGTGGAAGATGAAGGTTGGAGCAGTGGCTCGAGCTTCCCAAGAATCGTGTTGTAATTGCCGAGGACTTCTTTGGCGTCGTTGCTGTTCAAGCAAAGTAAACCTGTACCGAAAGCAGCATTGCTCTTAGTCTCCGGGTCCTCGTCGCTCAGGCGCTTGAGAAGTGTGCGCATCATCTTGGGAGTGTATTCTGTGCAAGCACCACCCATGGATTCAATGCAATCTGCCATAGTGCCAACAGCAGCAGAACGCTCGAATCGCTCTTGAGAAGAGCAGAACTTGAAGATGGGGGTCTCGAAGATCTTCCAGAGCTCGCCAGACTGCTCGCCCAGCGCGGTACCGAGGCCAGCAAGGACCTCAAGCGCAGTCTCGATGACAAGCCAGTCGTATTCGGCGGTCTCCTCCTGAGGCAACTCATCGTCTTCGTCGTCGTCTCTTTGGCAAGGGTGTTGTCGCTTAAGCAACAAAATGACCAACGCGGTGATCTGCTCCAGTGGCGTGGAGTTCGTCGAACCCTGTGCGGGGACAAGGACTGCCGGGCCGCAAAGCTTCAGTGTGGCCGCAAGATTGCGGTGCACTTCAGTAACGGTGGCCCTGATGACAAAAGTCAGCGATGTGAACCCGGAATCAAGCATGATGTATAACAAGGGATATTTGGGGATGATCAGAAACAGCCTCTACATAATCACAGCACTTGCCGTAGCATCTGAGTGAGCTGGGAAGTAGATATTCATCTTTTCATCAACAAGGTGAGTAGGGAAAAAAGCATGACTTACCGGTCAACTTCCTCTTCCCACAAAGCGAGGGTGCCTCGCATGACAAGGTCGCCGAGCTTCGCAAGGTCAGCAGTAGGCTGAACCTTCAGGGGAAGACCAGGCTGGAATTTGGCCATGCCGTTGTCCTCGGCCAGTCCCCACAGGCATGCATAGGCGCGCCAGAGCGTGCTGACGGCACTCTTGCGAACACCCTCAAAAGAGTGGTCTAGCAATGGAACAGAAAGCTCAATGGCCCTCTCCATGTACGGCAGGAATTTGCCCTTGGTGTGTGTGAGGACATCACCCATGACTTCAATGGCGATCTCCTTTTCCAAGGCAACGGCGGTGACAGCACCGAGATCATCCCAGTCGTCGTCATCCTCCTCGGCGTTCATGAGAGCCTCCATAATCTCCTTCTCGCTGTCTTCCTCGCTGACGCCGTTCGCGCCTGCAACCTTGATCTTCTTGCCAGCAATAGTGACTTCTTGGCCAATCAGATCCGAGGCCTCGACACCGAGGTCCGTGTCGGTCTCCTCCTGGTCCAGGCATTCGAAGAGAGACTTGACCGTGTCAGCAAGGAAAGGTTCAAAGTTCTCCTCGTAGACCTTGGCCAGTGTGCTCCACAAGATGAAGCTTGTCTCTTTGAGTCTTTGGTTGTCGAGTCTGAGACCTTCGAAGCTGGCAGCCATCAATGGGTTGACGAAGGGCTCAAAGTTCGAAGCACCAACTGCGCTGGCGACCTTGCCGAGCGAGTCGATGACCATGCTGCGGACCTCGAGTTGGTCTTCGGAGTCTTTGATGGAGATGTATTGACCGAGTGCTTGCATAGTTCCCTCGAAGTAAGGTTGGAAGGCGTCCTCTGAAGCGCTAGCAATGCTTCCAATAGCGCTGACAGCAGCCATTTGTACCTTGTGGTCCTCGTGGTTGATGAGAGCGCTGAAGCGTGGCACAAGTTCATTGACATATAGCGCAGCGTCTTTGGGGTCCAGACCCTCAATAAGAGAATCCACAGCCATGGCACTAGCCTTGACGATGTGGGTTTGCAAAGAGTGCTCTTTTGATTCTGCCTGAGTAGTCTGCATACCCTGAAGAGCCAGATCGAAATTCTTGATCATCGCAGGGATGAGTCGAGCATGTTCTCGGCCCATTTCCTCGGCAAGGTCTTCTGCGAGACGTGAAACAGCATTGAGAGCGGCGCTCCGTACGCTGGTGGCCTGGTCTTCGAGGAGGTGCAACACGAGAGGAAGAATCTCGGAAAGTTGAGTAGCAATAAAGTCGGGCGAGCCCTCAACACACATACCCAGCGCGAGGATTCCAGCTCGGCGGTATTCAGGGCGAGTGTCCTGCACATAAGGCCCGATGGCTTTGAGCAAGGGAACAGCGACTTGGCTAGGTGGAAGGAATTCACTGAGGATGTCGAGCAATCCAAGAGCGGAACGAGCTGGAGAGATATCGTCCTCTTCGGAAGGTACCTCGTCAAGCTCTGTAGCGATCTGAATGCATACCTTGGTGATCTGCTCACCGACCTTCAGGCTTTGAACCTTGAGCTTGCGGAAGCGCACCGCTTGCATCAAGAAGCTGAGAGCTTGGGATCGGTTGTCATCATCGATGTCAGTCTTAGCAGCTACCTGCAAGAAGAACTGAATCAGGTCACCAAAATGGTTGTTCAGCAGAGCAGCATCGAATGCAAGCAGCTTGTTGAAAACATCAAAAGCTTGTGTGCTGTGCTCGTCGTCGTCCTCGGCAATGGCGTGCTCGAGCACCTTGACCATGAACGGCACAGTATCTTGGAAGCTCTTCAAAGCAGCTGCATCCTCCGCGGGGTCTAGAACCATAGCTAGCTCGGCGAGAGCCAACATGGTGTTGATTCTGACCTCAACCGACTCTTGGTCCTGGATGGTGCGATTGAAAAGAGTGAGCATCTTGCCCATGCTCTCCTGGAACATGTCCGGCATGGTTTCAAGGAGAGTGAAAAGTATGTAAGTGCCAACCTCCCGGTGGTGGGCGGTTGTGCTGGTGGCAGCCTGCTCGAGAATACCGGGAAGGTCTGCCCACTGACCATCCTCCATGTCAATACTTGCAATGGCTGCAATGACGCGTGCCTTGCTGTGTCTCGGGAGGGGCTTGTCCTCATCGATCGTGCTCTTGAGGAGTTGCTGTCGAAGCTCAGGCTTCTGTGCATCGTCAACAGCCTGCCAGTGCTTAATGACCAATTTCCGGGCCTCGACCGATGCAAGCTGCCGGAGCTGCGGATCAGGATGTGAAACAATGATGTGAATAAGGGCCGTCACTGAGGCGGGAGAAGTGTAGTAAGTCTTGTTGAGCTGACCGGTAGCGGTCTTGACTTTCTGAGTGTCAGGCTCAAGAAGAGCCTGCAAGAGGCCAATGAACTCTGCTTCGTCCATGATGGGCGGAAGAGCAACAAAACAGGGGTATCTCAAGAAAAATCAATCAATGAACAAGAAGGTTGAATAGAAAGAAAAGGAAAAGGCCGTGAATGTGAGAAGAGTTTGGTCGAAAGCGAGAAGAGATAGTCTTGGGTAGTGACAAGAAATTTCTAGGAACCCAATCCGAATATGGCGTAGCGGAGGGTCTGTCGGAGCTCTCCTCGGGCTTTTGATGCCTGAGGCAAGCTTTGGGTACACTGGACAGTAGCTGCAGGTGTCCAGGACAAAATCCAGACTCGAGGACAATTGTGAGCATTGAAGCTCTCGGCACAATTGACGTCACGCTGGTGGCCCAAAACGTCAGATGATTTTGCGTTAACACGCCCTGCAGTATGCTTTAAGCACTTGGAGTTGTCGACACGGCAGTCCTAATGATACAGTGATAACAAATGACATGGCTATATGGTACGAATAACACCCAGGTCCAGATCTGGTCGGGTCTAAATCTGGTCAGAAACATACCACCAGTCTGAGATCTGGGATCTACTCCGAGTCCGGACGATAGTAACCAGGCTTGCACAGTGTCGCGCCGGGAGGTCGGCATTGCAAATGTTCAATATCGTCACGATTATCCGTATCTTCCACCCATGTGTCGGCCATGGGAACAGCCTGGGAGCACAAACGTGCCGTGTGGCTTGCCATGGGCTTGACGAGATGGATCATGACTAGAAAGACTTTGGTTAGAGCCCTCCGACGAAACTCATGCACGGTCTATTGTTCTGCGCTTCACGACCAACACGTGCTGTGACGCTCGCAGTTTCGGTGGATTCTTGTTGAGCACTTGATGCACCTCGCTTTCCTTTTGGCGCAGTTCCATTCGCTTTGCACTGCAACAATGTCATTCTCGGAAGCCATTGGCCGCGTAATCTACTGATGAGCGCGCATATATAAGCAACCAGAGCCGCCGTAGTACTTGGCATATATACTAAAAAGCTTATCTCCATCTGCCCTCTCGCGCGGCATTTCCCACGATCACAGTCATTTGCGATGCGTGCTTCAACCGCAGTAGGAGTTGCAGCTCTGGCCTGCCAGACCCATGCGGCTGCTAGTCAGACTCTCATCAACGACATTAATGTCATCTCGCAATACTGGGGTATGATCATGATATCTACAAGAGCCGAACGCAATGTCTAACTTCGAACAAGGTCAAATATCGCCCTACCGTGATAACGCGGACGACTACTTTGGTGTCGACGATGTGTGTTTCTCTCCTTGGACCACTCGATGATGCAGACGATAACGAGAGTTTAGATTGGCTTGCCAGATGGCTGCCAGATTGAACAGGCGCACACCCTGCAACGTCACGCCCAACGCTTTCCTACAGGAGGCTTCGACGACGGTGCTAATGACGAGCGATTCGCGGCCAAGTCAGCTGTTTAGTAACGCCTCACCACTCTAGCCATGTTGACTGACAGCAACAAAGGGTTCTAAACTTCACCACTGCCAATCCCAACGCTCGATTCACCGGGCCCCTGGCTTTCTTGAACACTTATCGCTATCAGATGGGCGAGGTAGGATCTTTACGGTGCATTAACGTGTATATGCAACTGACTTGGCGCATTCAGAGCTACTTGACAGGTCTCGGCGCCCAGACCGAGTTTGCTTCTGGAGTTTCGTTCTGGAACAGGTGAGGACAAACCATGGGAGTATACGTGAAAGGCCACGACTGATTCCTCCGACAAGATACGGTCGTATCCTTTACAACGCTACTGTGGGACAAGTGGCATACAATGCTACCTACCAAAACGGAACTTTTCGCTCAAAGCCAGTAATCAGGACGACCGGGCAATCAAGAATCTGGAACTCGCAAATCTCATGGGCACTTGGTTTCTTCGGTCCTTCCTTCCAAAAGAACCCAAGCCCAACTCTGGCCCCGTTCACGAAGAGCACCACTTCCAATGGCTTCACGAACGGTAGTCTCTTCGATGTCGTTATCATTCCAGAGGGTGGCACTGAGAACAATACCCTCGCATCCTACGATTCGTGCTTCACCAACTATCTCGATGTACCTGGCTACATTGGCGACGAGGATATGTTCCTCCAGTGGGTGCCTCTATACGTTAAGAATGCCACGGCCCGTGTGAACAGCTACGTACCGTCCGGTTTCAAGTTCAACGACAACGACACATACGCAATGCAATCCATCTGTGCCTACGAGAACGGCTACATCGGCTCCAGTGACTTTTGTGGACTATTCACCGAGGATGAATGGGCCGGGTTCGAGCAAAGCCTCGACGCAATCTACTATTATGACTACGGATTTGGCAATCCGACTGGGAGATCACAAGGTCTTGGCTATCAACAAGAGCTCATTGCGCGACTTACTGGACAATACATCAACAGCAGCAACAGCTCTGTCAACAGCACGATCACGAACAACTCACGTGACTTCCCCTTGGGCCGACCATTTTACGCTGATTTCACACACGACGACATCATCGTCTCTGTCTTGACATCCATGTCCGTCGACTACTTCCGTGAGCACCCTGATCTGAAGACATTTCCACCGAACCCTAAACGACACTTCATTCTCTCGCATATCACACCCTTCGCTGGTCGGTTGATAACCGAAGTCATTGGCTGCAACAGCGCCAACCCGGTCGCTCAGCATTCCCGCCGCACTCAGTACTACCCAGGACAATATGGGTACAATGCCGCGAACGCCACGAACAAGTTTGTCCGTCTCCGAGTGAACAACGGTATCGTTCCGCTGAACACGATTCGAACGGGAGAATGCAATGGTCGTACCGACGGTCTCTGCAGTCTTGAGGGGTTCTTGCAGAGTAACTATAAGTCGATGAAGCTGGCAAACTACGATTTTGCCTGCTTTGCGAACTACACTATCAACAACCCATATAACACGTAAGTTAGCATCATTGGCCTCCCAAGTGCGGCTTAGGAGATGACTAATGTGGTTTCACAGTAACGACTACGATGGAACGATCAACAACAGCACGGGAGGCATTATTGTCAACCCAGGCCGTCTGACTGCTGAATACATTGAGAGCTTGTAATCTACCAGACAGTTTCGTTGATCTCTAAAGGGCAAGTTTGCCATCCTACACATCGCAACAACAACTCAAAGGCTGTTGGAATATAACGAGAGACGATAGAGGTACAACAAAATAACGTGATAGCTTCATTGACGAACGGGAACTTATTCGTGAACATTTCACGTCTTCCTATCTCTTCAGCAAAGTACAATCGCGAAGCATGCATATGTTGAATAGCCTCCTTCAAAGACATTCACTAGACTGGATATCACTGCGTCGAATTGCTGCCATGTCTCCATGATTCGGGACAGGGCGACGTTTTCGGCTCACAGGACATCGACTGAGCGATGACGAAAGCACTCAGCTCACAATTCCTTCCAGAGATGTGACAGACTTGCAGCAGAACTTCACGAATATTGAACAGCTACGACTTCACCTTTGACTGCAAACACCAAGATATGAACAGTGATTGCAGTTCTGGTTGACCGGTATATCTTTATGGCACTCGAGCAACAGCCAGGCATATGTCAGGCATACTATTAAGGTATGGTTGCCACTCAATCAACACCCCCACAAGCTTCCCAAAACACATTGTCATCGAATGACTTTGTGACTTTAGACGTAGACATCACTCAAGTCAATTCTTCACGAGCACAGCATTCTTTCTTTGGGGCAAGAAACCGTTGACCGCCTCAACATATACTTTCGCATATGAATATTATCCCTCAACTCTCGGAGAAAGCCGAAGCGCTCGCATTCAATGGCACTGACACAGCATACGAAAGAAAAACTAGACATAGCAAAGGCTGTCCATGACCCAAACAAAGCCGAGCCGAACCGCGAAGCCTCTCTATCAACGGACAGAACTCGACAAGGTCAAGATCAGTGCCAAACAACCACCGATGCACCCTTCATCCCCCTTCTTCTGCAATGATGTGATCGTACTAACACTTGTCAACTGTCTGTATTCACTAGCAGCGTACACCCTCAACGCTTTTTCCCTTGTTATTCCTTGCACTACTTTCATCACCGTGCAGCAGAAGCGGCGGCGGCGACTAGGAGGAATGGTGGGCAATCAATGGCCGAGCTCGAACACTGCATATTTCAAGAACTGACGGGTAGTCGCATTGAGGATTCTGGCAGGTTGACAGCTTCTGACTGATAGCACCGCTGTGACCGGGGAGGATGAGTGGGATAGCAGCGAGGACTTGCTCGGCTGCGTCACCGCTCATAGTGCCGAGAGAATCTGTCTCTCCACGAGGAGTGGCGACCTCTAGTTGTGCCGGTCAACAAGCAGCTCAAAGGGTAAATTTCTACCTTCGAATTTCCTTCAGAATTTCCTTCGTATTTTCGCAGGAGAAATAATCAAAGAGCGAGCATCTCCGCGCCCGAAGACGGCTTGTCACGTACCACAAAGCACGTGCAAAATAAATCGCAATGGCAGAGGAAAAGAATATCCCGATCAGCCGAGAAACGAGATACAGCGAGATCCGGATGCCTGCATGAACTCGGGCCGACGGTCCTACACACCACACTCCCAACCACCAACAAAAAGCAAGAGCGAAATAAAATCTTTGTTTTCTCTTTCCCCTCGGCACGGCCGTGATGAAGTGGAGCCGATGGTGGCGGGCAGACACAAACAAGGACTACACGCACGAGTCTCGTCAGCGTAGAAGCGGCATAGTTTGACCTCCCGATGCGGTGACGCGAGTGGGGATAAAAGGGAAACGAAAGGGGAGAAATTCTTCCATCTCGGTTGTGTTGTCTGTGGTGGTTATGGCATGTGAATAACTGTACTACTTTTGTGATCTTGCCCGTGGGGAAAGGACCGCATCGAATCGAAGCAATTCAGGGGCCTTTCTTGCCGGCCGAGACGATAATGAGTGCCGCCTGAGGACCAGATTGGCTAATGCGGAGATGAGGAGGATAAGAGCAAGAAAAGAAGGAGAAGGGGAATGCGATCGATCACAGATCTCTCACTTCCCTCTCTCTCTCTCTGCTCTCGCGCGCGCGAAATTCATGCACGACTGTACACATGAACATATACATGCAGACACTATCGATTCCTCTCCAGCTGTTGCACAAAAGTCCGTGACAGCGATCAAGGATGATTGTGAGGATCATAGGAGGTGCCTCGCACAAAGCTCTCACAGAAAAGTGTGTGCCAATGCCGCACACACGGCCAAAGAGGGTCTCCCATCTGCCCATGTAAGCAGCAGAAATTCTAGACTCAAAGGCCATCGTCATCCGAAAATGCAGAGATCGGAGTCCAATTCCCGATATAGAGAGCCTTTTTGGCCACGATTGTGTTTGAAAAATGAGATCATCGGATCTTGATACGTTACGGGGCCATGTAGGAGGAGATATGCAGGTAGGCCGACTGGGTCGAACATCGACAATGATCGATGGCATCGGTGTGATGTCTGTGTTTGGTTCCGGGAAGTGTCATGGCGCATCGGCGGTCGAGGAGATGATCTATGATGACGAAAAAAGAGGATTTCTTTCGCGACATCTTGTCACTGTCACTACGTCTCGCGCTGTGAGAGGGTTGGACTGATAGGATTGACTCGAGTGGTGGCAGCAGGAAAGGGACACAGCGGTGACACGAGAGGTTGCAGCGCGCGCTGATTGTGTGTGATTGTGGTACGACAGGGAGAGAACAAGGATGGTGCGGGTTGCGCTCTGGGAGGATTGCTTGTTTTGTTGAGCGGAGTTGTCCAAGAATTGTGCGCTGGGTGTGATGATGTTGCACCGAGCGTCGTCATGTTGTACCGTTGCTGCTGCTGCGGTGGAGGATCGAATTGTCGCGGAGCATGTGAAGGGAGAGGACAGGCGAGGGATTGTGTTCGGCGTTGAGGATGCTCTAGCGAACTAAGCAAAGATATGTAGTGGATCGTGATGAAGAGTAGATGGCAAGCTTGAAGACAGCAGACGTCAATGAGCTGCGGCGGAGACAGAGAATAGGTTTGAAGTCATAAGACGCCAATGTAGTGATTGATCTTTTTATGTTACATACAATTCCGACAGGTACCGTCGTCCAGACCGCACTCGGCGAGAAGAGTTTTGTGTGCTGTGTACATTGTAAAATTTAAGACAGGGGAAAGGCAGAGATGAGGGGCGATTATATCGCTTCATCAATTTGAAATAACCAAAAGGTCGATGGAGATCTCGCTCCCATAGAAGCGTCGTAAGAGAAAGGTATTGGACCTGAGACGGAGATATCCAAAAAGTCCATGGATGTAGCCAATAGACTGATAGAGCCCCTGTGTCAACTCTCCATTGTAGAGACTGACGGCATAATCGTGCGAAAAGGGAAGAGAGCCGATAAACACAAGGGAATAAAGCCAAAGACGATCGCTGAAAAGGGTGCGAAGTGTAAGAAAAAAGAATTTGAAACGCAAACGCTGATCGCTCTCCGGTGGAACGATAAAATGAAGTGAAGAAATTGCCGAGGAGATGCAGAAAGGGAAAATCCATGTTTTTGAGATGGCCGTGACAGAAGGATGCATGCGTAATGGGAGACCAGTCGACTAAAGAGGCACGAAAGCCTCATGAGGTCTCACGCTCGAGGAATGTCGATCATAATCCCAGAGAGTTGAGATTGTTCTTGAAATTACTTCGCTCGAGGCTTCGTTTTGATGAGGATTGTGATTTGGTCTCCGCGTACGACGATGACGGTGGAGGTGGCATTGGTTCTTGAGGGCTGAAACACAATATTGTCAGCATAAAATGTTTGAGCGAAGGACGGGAACAACAGCAAGTGAGACGGACGCTTCCCGAAAGAGATAAGAGGATAAGGTATCGAGCAGGTTGGATCAGAAAGACTCTCACTGGATTTCGTACCTCTGATCCGCAAAGTTGATGTTGACATTTGAGCGGTTTGACTTGAGGAGATTGACAACGCTGCGTCCGAATTTCCTGGCTCGGAAGCTTGGTGTTGAAGCCTTGGACACACTGCCACCATCCTCTCCTTCGCGCATCTTCAACTCGCCGGGGATGCCATGGTTGAAGGTGGTGGATTGTTTACGCATCTCCTCCTCCCAAGGTTTCCTCCGCTTGACGTAGTCAGCGGGTATGAAGGCACGGATCTTGTCCGCTTCAAGAGTCGGAGACATCGCGGGCATGGCAGGAGCCTCACTCGACTCCCATAATCGATGGGAGCCGTTGAGGTCGACGCTGCTTTCACTACTGAGGGGTAGCGCTGTGGTGGCTTGCCGGCTTTGGTAGGTCGCGATCACGCCAGCGGAGGTGTTGAGCATGGGCAGGGAGGAGGATCGGGCAAGACGAGGAATGCTGGTCTCGACGTAAGTCTCCTCAAGGAAGCGGATAAGAGTCTGAACGTCGCCAGCGGTGCTCATGGCACCCAGGCTAACGCGGACCACACCCGTGGCTTTGCCCAGCATGATCTGTGTCGGATGTGAGCAACGATGACCGGATGCATAGGCGGCTTTCATCTCGGCCGGAGACCATCCGAGATATGTCGCGACACCTCCAGGGTTACACAGGGAACCGCTTCGAACATAGATGTGTCTGTGGTCGGCGGCCTCCTCGACCTCCTCAAAGCCGATCAAAGTGCCGTCCGATTTCTGCACGTTGAAAGCAATGGTAGCACCTTGCATTGTTGGGTCACCGTAAACCGCAGCATCGTCCTTATAGATCCGACATAAAGGCAATCCATTGACGTGGTAGAGCCCCGTCAAGCTGTCGTATAGTTGTTTGCCGAGCTGTGCGGTGTGATGGGAAATGAACTTCATAGGATTCGGGCCGTAGAGTCGCTCGTGGACGTTCATTGCGTGGTCCAGCGCGAAAATCGAATGGAATGGCAGAGTGCCATCTTCGAGGCGATCGTGCAGTGAAGTATCCTTCTTGGCGTGCCATGTGTCGTTTATGGAGATGACCATCTCCACGGTACCTCCACCGAAATACTTGCGGCTCTCTAGCACATGTGCTGAATCCTTGCGCACGATCAGCGCACCAATGTTGGGAAATCCGAAGATTTTGTAGAATGAAAGTGCGACAAAGTCCGGCGCTGTCGCCGGGTCGGACAGGTCAAGCGGGCAGGTTGTCGCAAGAGCGGCAGCATCTAGAAGTGTGTACGTCACGGCTTTGTGGAACGATTTGCGAATCCGACCAGGCCTGATTGATTTGTCAGTATGCGCATACAGGTGTCACATCATTTGCTAGCAAGATGCTCACCAGCTCAGAGGAAGTCTCCTTCCTGTCATGTTCGACTGTCCAGGGTACGCGAAAAGGCCGATTTGTCGCGCTCGAGGACCGCCCAAACCTCCGCTGTTGATCCACACGTCCACCTCTTCATCGCTTGTAAAGCATCGATGCATCTTGGTCGCTTCTCGAACTCCTACCAACGACGTGTGCGCGTCACGGTGATACCCGTACCAGACGGGTGTGTTACTCGTGGCGGCATGGTCTTTGAAGCAGTCGATGACCAATTTGATGGAAGCGGTGGCGTTGGCGGTGAAGATGAGGTCGAAGTCGGCGGGATCGGCGTTGAAGAAACGAAGAGTGCGCTCTCGAATAGCGTCGATCCTGTGTCCGGCAATCGCTGATGGAGTCGATGCTGAATGTGGGTTGCCGTAGAGGTTCGCTATCAAGTCGGCAGAGAACTCCTCGACAAGAGACTTGGCATAAAGCTACGATACGCACAAGACATGTTAGTCGCTGAGTCAACGCTGATACCGACCGCCCAACGAATAGAAAACCAAGCAACATACCGTGGTCCCTCCGTGGTCCATGTAGGTCTTGCCCTTGAGCTGAGGGTACTCGCGATCTCGGAAGTCCTCTACATCATCGGGTTGCATGTCCTCCGGATAGATGTCGGACGTCGCCGGTGTTGTGAAATCTGTCTGATAATCATGATCGCGGTCTGAGTCGCTCGTCGTCGATACATCTTCTGCCGACGAGTTTGCGGTGGTCGTTAGGTGGCCAGGGTAGCGAGGCGTCCTTCGCGGTGTTTGTTTGCGAAGGGAGTTGGATGATTTCATACGTCGTGGAGGCTGATCCGTGTCCATTTTCTGTACGGCCTCGAGGATCTGCGGTGATATGTCCATGCCTTGGAAGAGGCCGTAGGCGTCTGTGGAAGTTGAGGTCTGCATTGGGTCCTGTCTTAATTACAATCTCATGATCCAAGGGAGAAGCTAGAGGTGTCCCTAAGGAGCCGGTGGAGCGAATGCAAGTTGGTGAAGTGCTATTTCTTGTTTGAAATTGAGCCGGTTCCGGATGTGGATGGGGTTCCAGCCGACGGATCCCAAGGTGATATAATAACAAGCCGGTTAATGAGCGTGAATGGTGATGAACAAAGAGCAGCGCAAGTAGAAGAGAAGGCACCCGATACCACAGATCGACTGTGGTGAAAGGTTGGATCGCTAACGAACGACGGGATGAAAATGGATAGGTAGGATGTTGGAGGAGTGCGGACGGGCGGACGCGTGCAGAATGATGGATGGTCGACGGGAATGGGCATGGACGGCGCCGCTGCTGGGCGGAGACAATGTGTGAGCCAAGAGGAATACGACGTGATCGCCGACTACAATACCAGTCGCAAGCAGATACCCGAGAGATGGAAACGAGGGTGTGGGCGGTTCCCAGGGGTGGCGTGTGTGTGTGTGAGTGAACGAGCACTATTGCTACATTTGACGACGAAGCTACTATCACCACTACTCCTCTTCCTTGTCCCACTACTACTATAGTACTCCTGGTGATGACAATGTCCAAGGCCGTGGGAGTGGGAGTGGGCAGGGAAGTGAGTGCGCCAGTGCCGTCGTCGCTATTGTCGCCGTCGCTCTCTGGGAACGACAGCTCGTTTCATTCTACCCAGTCCCCGTTGACTCCATCGACACAAGTCGACCTCTCCGCCCTGTAGCAATAGGCTTGTTAAATTTGAAAAGCGCGTCGTCGACAAGAGCAATAAATGGGCGTACGGGACTAAGCCAGAACAGGGCTAATGAGCTGCAAGACGAGAGTGAGGGCCATGCGATCCGTGCATCGCATTTGCCCACATTAGGCAGTTTTCCTTCATAAGCAACTGCCCACGGTGGAGGGGAGCAGACTTTTGTGGTGGCCCTTGTTTAGTGCACCTGCCCGCACACAATAAGTCCAAACGAATCAAACGGCTGTGCCCCTGAGGTGGATCTATTAGCTCTGCGGGTACGTGCGCATCGGGTGGGCGAAATATGATGGAATCATGCTTGCCTGCTGCCCGGATGTCTTGAAACCACTAAATCAATGTTCGCCTGCCCGGACGGAGTGGAGTGCATAGACTTCCGGCCAGCGACCGATTGGGACGGGCGGGCCTGATGAATGGCGGAATGCTGTGAGATAGCCTGGCGGGAATCCTTGTCTTGCAAGTTTCAGGCTATGAGGAGCTTCAGCGCGGGATTCTGATGAAGGGAGGAGGTCGTGATTGATAGTGATAATGAGCAGGGAATGATGACATTCAACGCACTTCGGAGGCGTGAGCAGACGTGGAGGTGGTAAAAATTGTGCGCCAAGGGAGCAGCGTTGTTGCTGCACCCTGGACCACGCCGGATAGAGGGCAGAAAATTCGGCTTCAATCGCCTTCCCAGGCGTACCACTGCAGTAACGCGCCGTGAACCTATACAGTAGTAGTAGACGTGCTTGGCCGCGGCCAACCGCTCTGCTGCTCTACTGCTCGTATCCGGTCTGGTCGGCTACTGTAAGAAGCCATGTCTGTATCATTATTTTTATGACAGTGATGGGAATAGACATCCTCGCAGATGCTCATCGGAGTTCCCCAGGATGTGAGGCCTGCAGCCATCCAGGCGCCTGTGGAAAAAAAAAAGGCGGTGGCCACTATTGATCGCAATGTATCACCAAAAGCGGGTCATCGCATTGGCATCACACCAGATGTGGGTCACTACAATGATGAGTCGACGTGAGGCTCGGTAAAGCGGAAGCAATAAAAACACGACATCTTCTTTTATCTGTGTATGACCACGTGAATCATTGTATTCGATCATGTCAGCAGTACAGTATGCACGTATCCGTGAATCGTACACTGCATATGAGCTGATTCTCGTCATAAAAATCAATCCCAGCGCGTATGATTGCTCCAGCATGCGCCGGCATCGTGATTCCAATGTGACGGAGATCCTCCTCTGGGTGGTTCATCGGCACGAGGCATTACATCGGGATGCGTCTGTTGTTGGTCCGGAAGCACATCGCCCTTCGGTAGACTACACGGGTGGCGGCGCTCTTCATCATGTGGCCGCCCATTCCAACAACCAAGACATACCCTTGGGAGTCATGAAGACTCAGAGTGGTCAACTCATCACAGTGGTGAATAGCTTGGCAATACAATGGGGAGAGTGGCGCTGGTTGAAGAGTGCATAGCACTGTGTGTACCCGTAGTGGGCTCTGCGCCTCGTTCTCCAGCCCGTACGTTCGATTTGTTCTATAGTATGTGCAGACATTCTCGGTGCAACGATGCACATCCAGACCAACGAAGCGGCGTCTGCTACAAGTGGACTAACACTTCATCTTGAAAGATGGATTCTATGTGACTGTCTGTAGACGGCGACAGACAGGAGAACAAAGGCACAAGTCGTACATCTCCGAATCGTCGTCTCTTGTACAGACAGCCGAGATGAGTATTGTAGATACACCGTGGTCTGTTCGTCGTTGCCGCTCAGGCAATTATCCTCGCCGTCCTCGTCCTCGTCCTCGTCCTCGTCATCAGTATCGTCACCAGCTGCGGGCCCACTGAGCCGAATGCTGTACAGACCTTCGCCATCTCGAGATTTATCTCGACCATGACCGAAAACTGGACTATCTAGAAGGTGGTGTGTGAAAACAAAGGAAGTGGTTTCCACCGTGGGGAACAACAGTCTGGCCGCGCCGCTACACCCGTCTCAACGGTTATCGCGCGAGATGATGAGTGCGCGCACGAGCACGTAAAGAGTGGCGCACCAGTGACCTCGCCTTCAGTTGAGCCGATCCAGCCCTCATCACATAATATTACTGTAGAACATCCATAAGGTCTTCGAAAGAATAACGCTGCCACATGGGTCTTGTCTTCAACCAAGGTACTCCAGATTGGATCTTAGAACCAATCTCCCCGTGTGACGAGGAGCATGTCTATCATGAACCGAAGAGTACGGAGAGACTATTCATGTTCACAACACTCACGCACGCACGGTCGATCACAGGTACATCGCTCTCGGTATCTTGCCCGAAATGGGACAGTCCAATTGAATCGTCTCTGGAACTTCCATTTGGGGAGAAGAAGGATTGAGAAGGAGGTGCAACCAGGTGTGATTGGGATCCAGCGCAATATCAAGCACGACCAATCACACCCGATCCAGAAGGTCAAGCGAGCGCCAATCACAAATCCACGCGCCCATGGCATTCAATAGCAGAGGAACTATCACTTTTTCAATTCAATAGTGATGAAGATTCAAATTGACTTTTCATTCCAGAGGACATTTGCGGTCTCGCCAAGACGACAGATTCAGCTCGCCATGGCTTTCACAAATTCATGGTCAGTTCCATCTCGCAACCTCCAAGGTTGTCTTCAGGCATCCTCGGAATGCGGAGACGAATTCTACCGTCTAAATTTAAATGCGCGCCACTCTGGCTGAGGTTGTCAATAGTCGCACGGGCGATTCGTATGCGTCCATCCGTGACAGAGATGCACCACGACGCCGACGAGTCGCCGATTAAGTGATCTGAAAGTTCTATTTCCTCGCTCCGCCCGTTGGCTCCTGGCATTGCGATATCCGCCAGTGCTTCCCCAGAATTATTGTTACAAGAAGCGCGTAGCGCAGGGTATTTCCGGTGTTCACTGCAGGGATCTACGTCGGCGTCTTGCAGAAAACGATCAGTCGGAAAAGATCCAACCCGGCGCGAAATAGCGGTCGAGTCATTACGTGGAATCGGGAGCATCTTTGCGACAAGACGGACAGTTGCAGCCAACAGCGATGCGATCGGTCGTCAACGTTGTCGCCGTCTTTCACCCTCTGGACAGCAGTCTTTGCTCATCACATGGCTCTCGCATGCATGCGTGCTCCGCACGCGACGGGGAACCGGATCGGAGAACAGCTGTTGATCCGCCGCGCATAACAGACGGTGAATGTCGGTTTGTATCCTGTACCTGCTCCTGATGATGCCTATCCGTTGTTTTTTCTACAGCCCCTCCACCTGAAACATAGCATGGAGAATCCCTGCGCTGCGCGACTGCAGCCAGTTTTGCCCTTTGAGCCCCCGAAACATGCAGTGAAAAGAGAATGTCACTGCACTACTGCCGGTCTGGCCCACGAGCATCCGGAGCCTAGCGTCGTCTCCTCGCAGCACTTGACAAGGTTACTCCCGGTCGCGATTCCAACCCCGACGATTTGCTCTCGCATCTCAACAACAGAGAACAGAAGACGGGATTTTTTGTTACGTAGCAGTTACGAAAACTACCTAGGTATGCGCGCGGTTGACCGCTGCGCAACAAGGTCAAACAGATCATATGCTGGGTGTGAGGGTCGAACGAAAGTAAAAAGCGACATGTAAGATCGTGCAAGGTATAATGATTGGGTGCGGCTTAACAGGAATACGCCCAGTGCTATACAGTATTTCGCGTTCAACACTGTCACAGTGATGACAGGAGTAATGCTATGCACCACGACACAGCGCGTTATCATTGTAGGACCGTAGGCAAACAGATTCGCGATACCCATGAACATCAAAAGCGCGTATGTTAGAATGATACCGAACGAATGCCAAAAACGGGACTTCTGTTCTCCCATGCTGCACATACGGACGTACTGTAGCAATACACACAATGGTACCTACAGCATCGCCCCACAAGATGCTGCACATACGACGTGTTCCGCCACTCCGCCTCTCTGCATTTTTCTTCTCACACCATGCTGCATGCCCAGGTGGCTCGCTCTAACAGCATCCGCATGGTAAAGATCCTCCCTGAGATCTGTGCCCAAGAATAAGTCACACAGGGCTATCCCCGCTAGGGTATAGAGCTTTGTACTTACCCGCCAGCCGCTTCAAGCCCTTCCCGTCCGCCCGACCGTCGGTCTTTTTCACGGTGTCACCCACCGCCCGCGAGTAGAGACCCGTGGATCCCCACACCCTCACCACCAGATGTGTGTGAATTTGTATGAGTGGACGTGTGTGTGTGTGTGTGTGAGGGAGAGAGAATGGATGGGAGAGGGTGTGTCAGGGCTGAATCCCCCCTCTCTCCGTGCTCTGCACTCCCTCTCTGCTGCCTCTCACGACCCTCACCACCTGGGCACTCACTCACCAACTCACCAACTCACCAATTCACCAATTCAAATCGTTCTCCTATCTTTGCGCACTTGGGCTCTCTCACACTATCTCTCCGTCGGGTCTTTCACGTCCCTGTATTCCCTCACGCACGCACGCACGCGTATCGCATCCCCCCCAACTTTTTTGGCCCTTAACCACCAACACCCGTCTTTGTCTTCCGCTGCTGATGCTCCAGAGCACTTCCGCCACCACTCCAACTCAAACTGTGCCGCTTCACCGACCCAACCGTTTCTTCTTCCTCTTCCTCTTCTTCTTCCTTCACCCATATACTGGTTCACTTCCAATCTTTACCCATTTCTTTCAAGTCCTCTTCAATCCGCCCGTCAGCAATCAACACGACACTTCTCTTTGCGCGACGGTGACATTCGCTGTGGCAAAGTCGTGTTTCAATTGCTTCTCACCTCGTCCGGATCATCTGCGACATATATTACACTCCCAAGCTGCACGCCTGACACATCCCGGTTGCTGGTCTACCGGTTGTCTCTTCCACAGCTAGTCATTCACTCGAGCATATACCGCCCTCTCCCCAAACGCCATCGCCTGCAGTTGTGCAACAGCTGCCAACATACAAACTGGCTCACGTCCCCCAAGAGCTCCAGGCACCTGATCGCAGGAGCTACAGCAGGATGTCGGACATTGAGAAGATGATCGGTGGCGATTACGCCCAGCTCACCAACACAAATATCCGAAGCTTCGGCTGGAAGGGCGTCACAGTCACAGTCAAGGACCGTCAGACGCAACAGCCCAAGACTATTCTTTCCGACATCAATGGATTGGTCAAGTCTGGCGAGCTTCTCGCCTTGATGGGTCCTTCGTAAGTTTCACACAATCAATAGAATTGCGCCTGCATACAGCATTGCTGACCATTTTCGCAGCGGTTCCGGAAAGTCCACCTTGTTGAACGTTCTTGCGCACCGCACTCAGGCCTTAAACGCCGACGTCAAGGCCGCCGTTTACATCAACGGTTCAGCCGCCAACCCAAAGACCTTCCGTCGCATTTCCGCCTACGTCGAACAGGAAGATGCGCTCGTCGGTTCGCTCACAGTCCGTGAGACTCTCAACTTCGCCGCTCGCCTTTCGCTTCCCAGCTCAGTCAGCAAGCTTGAGCGCATTCAGCGTATCGAGGCTCTGCTCACTGCTTTCGGTCTGCAAGGCCAGTCGAACAACTTGATCGGTACTCCCATCCGAAAGGGTATCTCTGGTGGTCAGAAACGCCGTGTTAGTGTCGCAGCGCAGCTGATCACCAGCCCCAAGCTCCTCTTCCTCGACGAGCCTACATCCGGTCTAGACTCTGCTGCCTCTTTCGAGGTCATCTCTTTCGTCAAGGACATCGCGAAGAAGCACAACCTCATTGTGATTGCGTCTATCCATCAGCCTTCAACCTCCACATTCGCCATGTTCGACAAGCTGCTGTTATTGTCTCAGGGTGGTACCGCATACAGCGGTCCCGTCTCTGAAGTTCAGCCATACTTCGATGCCTGCGGTTTCCCCATTCCGCTTTACATGAACCCTGCCGAATTCATCATCGACTTTGTCAACACCGATTTTGCGCGCGACCGCAGCGAAGTCGACCAGCAACTTAACATGGTTCACTCATCATGGCACAAGTCCCGCCTTGCGAACATCACCGTCAACGAGCTCACCGACGAGATGGCCCGAAACTCGATGGACACCGACATGAACCCCGAGCAAAAGGAGGAGAGCGCTGGTGTCTTTGCCATTCCTCTCGCCCTTATCCACCGCTCCTTCATCAAGTCGTACCGTGACATCATCGCCTACGGTATCCGTATCGCCATGTACATGGGTCTTGCCGTCATGATGGGTACCATCTGGCTTCGCCTTGAGCCCAAGCAGGAGAACATCCAGTCATTCATCAACGCCATCTTCTTCGGTGGTGCTTTCATGTCCTTCATGGCTGTCGCCTACATTCCCGCCTACCTTGAAGATCGTGCACTGTTCGTCAAGGAGCGTGCCAACGGTCTTTACGGCCCGACGTCGTTCATCCTCGCCAACTTCATCACCGGTATTCCATACCTCTTCCTCATCGCGATGCTCTTCTCCGTCGTTGCGTACTGGTTGTCCAACTTCCGACCCACCGCTGAAGCTTTCTTCACCTGGGTCATGTGGCTCTTCCTGGACTTGATCGCTGCCGAGTCACTCGTCGTGCTGATCAGCTCTTTGATTCCGATTTTCGTCGTCGCTCTGGCTGGTACTGCCTTTGCCAACGGTCTCTGGATGTGCACGGGTGGTTTCCTCGTACCCCCGCAGACCCTGAACCCCTTCTGGCGCTACGTCTTCCACTACATCGACTACCAGTCATACGTCTTCCAGGGCATGATGGTCAACGAGTTTGGCTACCGCAACTTCACCTGCCCGACCGTCCAAGGTCAATGCTCGTGTATGTACCCGTCCGCCCTTGCCGACCAATGCCTGATTGAAGGCAAGGCTGTGCTTGAAAATTACGGCTACTCGGTCGGCGAGACCGGCAAGTGGGTCGCCATCATGGTCGGCATCATTGTCGGCTACCGATTCCTGGGTTGGTTGACCCTCTACCTCCGCAAGACCTAGGGGACGCATGCGTCCACCAGCCTTGTTGATCTTCTTTTTTTTTGCTTTCCTCGCGTGCCGGTGATGGGAAACGGGAAATCATGCGTATGTCGTTCTCTGTGTCGTTGAGTTGTGTGTGTATCCACCGGAGGAACAATGTCTGTGTATTTCTTCTTCTTCTTTCTACTTCGTATCACTCACTCGGCGCGCCGCTTATTGGTACGAGTCATTCGCTACGAAAAGGTGTGGGCTCGGGCGGCTCTCTGTTCGAGGATGGGTGTTCCTCTTTTTCTTGGTTGGCTTTTAACTACTTATCATCATGACCCTGGCGAACAAAGGCAAAAACAATTCATTCTTCAATCCAAACAATCCCCCAAATCTGTTTGATATGTGATGATGCCTTTCTCGATCCGTATCGACCAATATGCCTGGAAACCAATTAATCTATCGATATAAGCAGGGCAAACAACGGGCAGATGCAACAGCCTTCCTCCACATGTTCTCCATCCCCAAACCACGTGACAAACGTCGTCGACCACATACATACAGCGAACGCAAAACAATGGAAATATCCCCATCAGCATCGAAACTGCTCTACCTAAGATCCACCACTAACAGTATTACCACCGATCTGAACCATGTGTAGACCCTGAACATTCGTCGTCATCAATGTGAAACATACAGTACAGCTCATATGAGTCGCAAAAAGCAACCTTAGCCGGGGATGAGGAGGGTCCTTTTTGCCACATCGCAAATGGGTTGTCTATTGGTGTATACTGTAGACCAACAAAATTCCAATTTTCTGGTACTGATGAGGGCATCGCTCGCTGCTCGTGCCAGCCAGCTGCTCCACACACACACATCGCAATGTCACAGTGGAGCGAATCTACAGCACTATCCGTACATAGTGCAATTGCACCCAGGAACGACATGATACGGTACGGACTGGCCGCAGCAGCCGGTCTTCTGATGGGCCCAGATGGAAAACAAGACGCGCACACGCGTCCATCTAGAGAAGAAGCAACCGCCTTCGCCACAAGCTCGGACGACCCGCTGTGCTGGTATACAATCACCAGACAAGGTATATCTCGGATGGTGCGATGGCAGCGATATTCCCATTTACACGACCGCTGCCCTGGCGAGATTTCGATCATCTCATCTCATCGTTCATAATGTCAATTTTGATAGGTACAAATTTCGCATTTCGGGGTGTATACAGCACAGTGCCAGGAACGAGGGTGATAGTTCGGACCGTGAGCGAGACCCAGATTCGCCCCCCTCGACTGGGGAAGGGGACTACCCTACGCCAAAACCTTATCCTGTCATGACTGATTAGCTTTGATGAAACCTCAACGGCTGCGATTACGATTGACGGCCGAGCGTTGAAACAGGCATCCAGACTTTCTCCCACATAGCTGTGTGAAGGCCAAAAAACGACGGCCACCGAGGCAGCGGAGAGACAAGTCACGTCATGTACAAATCGTGTGCATTGCACAGATCGAGAGACTGGCTCTCTTTCAGGAGCACAGTCCTCCAGCATCAGGCGGAGTAATCACTATGTACAGCATTCTATCGTGAACGACAAATGGAGATGCAGGCGGCGGTCCAGACGTATGCAGGTACCAACCACCTTAATTCGAGTATGATCACCGAGAGAGACCGAACAGAGCAACTGCGAACCGGGGCCTGTTCCGCCCCGTCGTGTGTGCTTCCAGTCCCGAGGTTCGGATTTCGCCCGTCCGACAGCAAGCTGGGAGGGAAATGTCATCCGGACCATGAACCGTGGTGGAATTCCAACACACGATATCGCCACCAATCAGAAAATTAGTTTTCATCAAAATCATAACAGAGGAAACTCTAGCTTATGCAACGCGAAGTCACTGACTTCAACCGAGACCGAGTGTGCAGCTCGGATCCCCTCTCGTTTGTAGAGTTTGTCCTGTTTCTGTTTTGTTGTTTTCGATATTCACGCCTATGCACGCCACGACTATGATTCGTCAGTCTGCTCGTGCATATGCAGCTTCGGACGGGCGTTCGCATTGGGAACTTTCTTGGCGTGGGCGGCGAAAGAGACTTGCATACCTCCTGCATGCGGATTTCTGCAGGCACCGCGTCGGAGATGTTAGACTTCCACTGGTGAAACACGGCTACTGTCCTCCTCCTCTTCCTCCTTCTGCTTGCAGTAGTTCAGCCTTGTCACCAAGAGGCCAACACCTGGAGGAGTTTTGTCAATGGGAGCCTTGGGATTGGCCGATGTCTCGTGGGTTTTGGAGAGGGACAAAAAATGATCGGAAAAGGCCTGGGAATCTCTGGACTGACGCTCTACAATTCACATGCCCAATCTTTTCGCCGTCGATACTGGACTGCCCTAAGATTGACAACACCCCACCGCCCAATCTTCGCCGCCAACCGTTGTAAGATTGACGTATTAAAGTCCCCGGCAAAGCGTAACGTTTATGGTTATGACAACGGCCCATGGCATGGCGCTTTTCCCGGGCCCTCGGTGGTTCGCCACCGATGATATGACAATGATGATGATGATGACGGTGATGAAGCTGCGATGTAGTAGTATTGGTGCTGTCAATAACAGGGGTTTGATGATCAATTTTGATCGCCGAAGCTTGCAGTGCTGAACATCCGATCATCTTCGCAGGCGATACATATGCCGAGATCGCCTCCGAGGGGAGCCCGAGATTTCCCTTGGTGCCACGCGCTCCCACCAAATGACCGCGGAGTGGATTGTCATTCCCCTACCCTGGAATTACATGTCTGATCGCCGTCTTAATGGCCCGGCGGCGGGGATTGCAGCACAAGCTGTCACCAACGGCAGTGAATGCAATGTCACTCGATGAGAGCGCATCAGACACCGAAAGCACGCTTCAAACGGCGATAGCAACCCCGGAACTAGGCCAGTCGGCGACAGATCCTACGCTGTCTGTAGAAAAATCCATCAAAGACTGAACCTTCCTGTGAGAGGCCGGTCACTGTCCACACCAGCGGCGAATGTCGATCACCTCATCTTCATCTCCGGCGTGCGCGCTCCTCCTTCCTCCTCGGGAAAGATACACACAGGAGAGGATCACCCTCTCATAACATGCCAGGTGTGTGTGACACTACCACACGAATCTCAACATTCCCGGTCCGCATTTCCGGACGTTCGTATTTCACGGTGTACTGCAATGATGTTATGGAAGTAGTCTTGAATGTCTTTTGTAAAAGCCGAAGGTGCCTAGATGTCCGAAACAAGCACAGGCACCGGTATTGGTGCAACCAACAATGGCTGGTGCAGAGAATCGATATCTGCCGTGCGATCGTCGCTCTCACACGGCGCTTTGTCCGAGGTGATCGTCTCTCGTGCAGTGTAGCAGCAGCACACATGTCAGATTTGCATGTTATACCTTCGCCACAGCTGTGAATATCGGCATCATCACGATGTCGGGTATTGCATGTACGGTACGTGTGGACGAAATCGAGGCTGAGGGAAACCACTTCAGGCAGGAGAAAACCACACAACCCTACACGTAACCCCAAGTGATCATGTGCAACCCTAGTACTATCACTCTCTGAGGCCGAGAAGTACACTGAAGGCGATGGGTTACACAGCAGTGAATGCAGATGACGGACTGGATTGAACAAGTTGGTGCTGTGTTGCACTCGTCCTTCTCGGGTTGTTGTGAGTTGGTCGTTGTATGTAACTGCTGGAAATGTTCAACAGGGGTCGAATAGATGCAGTGCATCGTTGCAGATCGACGGCAATGTCTTTGACCGTATCCCATTATTGGCAGGGCAGATGAAGCGAGATGTACAGTATACCATGCATCACGTTGACGATTCGTGCTTCGTTAAATGATACGTTGCTTCGAATTAAATGCTATGACCGATGAATATTCCCCTCAAACGCCTGTTCCTCCGCCTCGAAACACCATATCGGCACACATACACATTCGATCTAATCCTCCTCGCTATCGAACTCCTCGTCCGGGAGCAGAGCGCGATATCTTCTGCTGGCAAGATCCTGCTCCAGCCCACCATCGCTGTCAGAGTCCACGTAGCCTGATGGAAATCATAATGGTCAGCAAAAGACAAAGATGCCAAAACGTAGACGGAAGAAATCAAAACTCACCTCTGCCACCAATAAGGGACAGTACCACAGGCAGGAACACCAAAGCGTGCAACGCCGCCCATACTACCAACGCCAACCAGACCCGGAAGTAATAGACCTCGAAGATTTTCGTGCGGGTAAAGGCCAGAACAAAGATGCCGAGTAGCTTGGTGACAGTGATACCACTAAAAACGGAGCCACCGACATTCACGAGTGCCGCCCAGGCGCGTGCCTCACGTCCGCGGAATTTGGATTGTGCTCGCTCGAGGATGGACGCGGAAGGGATGGTGAAAGCGCGGGCGACGTGCGCGCAGAACTCGACGCTGATTCCCACGCAGATGATGATGTTGACCAAGCTAAGAGCGTTCAGAGAGACGCCGACGAGGGCCATCGTGCCGACGATGTCCACGACCGTCATCGTGACGGTCACCGTGACGATGAGACCTGTGGTAGGAGAGCCAAGTAGGAGACTGGAGATGACCAGGATGAAGGCGAGGGCTGTGCCAACGAGGGCGAAGGACAGGCGAACAATGGTGGCGTATTGGTCGAAGAAAATGTAGAATTTGCTGTAGGGGAACACCTCGATGCCACCGTGGCGATCGCTGATGTCCTGCGAGATGCGGCGGGCTGAGGCGTACGCGTTGATAAAGTCGCTTTGACTTGTGAGAGCCGTGTGGAAAGTGCGGAAGTGACTGGCTGGAACAGTCAAACTCTCCCTGTCAAGGACTACAGCGTCACTGTAAGCAGCTTGACCTGCAAGTGGACAGTCTTCTCCGGTCGGGCTCTTCAGCCATCGGTCAGCATATTTGATGAATTCCTCTCCTTCCGGCATGCCATAGAGTGTACGGTTCCAGGCGGGATCGCGATCGGCGAAGCATGTCTTCCTGCCATCCACGCAACAGCTCTCCTGCTCAGGGTTGAGCCACTGGAAGAAATCATCAATCCAGCTGGCAGCTGGATCAGCAATGTAGCTGACCTCGGGACGTTTCCTTTCCTGTTCCAGGATATTTGACAATGAGAATTGCCTGCAAGTGGTGTACAGACCACAGAGCTCTTGCTGGTGTTGTCGAGCTGTGACGTTGAGATCTTTGACCACGAAATAGACCGGTGCACCAGTGTCGAAGTAGGCGTATAGATCGCTGAAGTAGTTGTAGAGGTAACTGTCAGTAGGGATGGCAATGCGTTGGTCCAGACCCAATTCCACCTCAGGCAACAGAGCAATGCCAGCAGCGAAGAAACCGATGAAGACTGTCAAAATGATCACCCTTGCCTTGTTGGCGAGAATGGCAGGGGCGTAGTACCGACGGATGAACGAGGAAAGCCAGCCTTCTTCGTCCGTTCCGCTGAAAGGAGCACCACCATAGCCATTCGGCATGTGCTGCAGTTCTCTCTGGACTTTGATGCAAGGGACGCAGTCGAGACGGCCAGCCTCCACTCGTCGTTGATTCACAGCGAGGACTGCGACGAACATCGTGATTTGTAGAAGGGCATTAATGAAGACGGCACCGGCCGCATATGCAGCGAAGTTGCGCACAGCAGGCATCCCGACTGCAGTGCCGAGTGCGAAGGTGGCAGTCTCCGTCAAGGCAGAGAGGAGGATGGAGGGTCCGACGCGACCCATGGCCTTTGCAACACGTTCAGAGACGACCTCATCTGCGTGGCTGATGTTGACTCGCTCGAACTCGTGGACGATGAGGAAGATGTTGTCCACACCAACAGCCAGTACCAAGAAGGGAATGACCTCAGCGATGATGAGGGTGGCTTTGACGCCTGCGGCTGCGAACAAGCCAACGGAAGCCGCTACCGACATGAGGACAATCAGAATACCCGCGATTCCCAGGAGGAACTTGCTTTGAACGAGAGCGCCGAGAGGATTTCGCAAGATGGTGCTGATGGTCACAGTCGTGCTTCCCAAAGCCAATGAAGCGTAGATGAACATAACGATATAGCTGATCACGATGATTTTAGCATCCGTGTTAGTGTTCTTATTCAGCTCCTGCTCCAGACTGATCTCCGTGTTGAAACTCAATCTCAGACCCCGGTCTCTGGCTTCGCCTTGGATGTCAAGAAGTAGGCGCTTCAAGCTTTCTTCCCACTCTTCTGCCTTTGCGAGTTCAGGGTCACCAGGGTTGAAGTTCTTGACAACCCAAGTGCTGATGATAGCTTCGGCTGAGGTGGCTTTCTGGGATGTGCGATTGTACCCACCCAAGACACGTTCAGATGGCAGAGGGAGGCCAAACGCTGGAAGACAAGTTGAATCTCCCGGTGACTCAGCGCAGTTGTTGATGTGTTCAGCCCACGAAGTCTGATCGAAGTCCTCAAAGGCAAAGTAGCCCGTGACCGATTGAACGACGCAAGCATCTCCAGTAGGCTTGAAGCATACGTCTTTCAATGTGTATCCATGTCCAAGACTCTTTTGCTCGGTGACCCGTCGCTCAACATCGAACCACCAGGCTAAAGTCGGATAATCGAGTACTGGTGCGCCACCTTGTGGATTGAGGTCATTTACCAGGAACACTTGCTCAGTGCGATAAAATGGGCCGAAACTCTCGTCGAAGAATGCTTTTTCGCGGGCAGCGGCGGAGTTTGGTGCTACCCATAGACCGACTGGATCCGTTTCGAGTTCAAACCGAGCCCAGCCTATACTCAACAAAGCGACCAAGAGAATCGATGTCCCGATGGTGATGCCTGGGAAGTTGGCACAGGCCCGCGCGATCCTGCTGAAGAGATGGTCACAGAACGTGTTGAGCGCGTATTGCTTCGTGGGACGATCCAAATAAGCAGCGTTGTGAATGACATCACCTTCATCTTCATCGTCACTCGGAGCTGCATCCTGGAACAGCTGCAGTCGTTCGTTACGTCTTCGTCTGCGCTTGGCAGCAGCGGCGTGACCGGACACGGCGAGGACAAGAAGGGCGATGAACACCGAGTATATGAGGACAACGGCGAAACTCAAGCAAGGAAGTAAACCAACATAGCATTGCTCGTCCAGAGAGACTGCAGGCAGTTCGGGGCAAGAACCGCCGCAGTCCACACAGGCACATCTGTAAGCTTCATCGGTACTGTTACATGGAATGGGACTGTCAAGGATCGGCTTCATGTCCTCGAAGCGATCGCTGGCTGGACGCGGGTAATTGATCTGAAACGGACTTCCCAGAATCTTCTTGTCTCCCAGAAACTTCAAAAACTGCGTGTAGTTCTTTGCACCTCCTCCAATGAAGTCCATAGCCTTGCCGCCTGTAGCTCCGAGCTTGACATCCTTGCAGCTGTCATAGAACCCACCCCCAAATTGATTGCTTACTAGCTGATCCAACTCGGTGACAAGATACTTGCTGTTCTTCTCGACAGTCGCTGTGACGTTGATGAACAAAGATTGATCAGGCGAGCAAGTGAAGGTGCAGAACAAGTCGTAGAAGTTCTTCTTGCAAGCGCCACAGGAGGAGATAATCCCATTCGCCTTGGCGAGGTTGTCCTTGAGTGTACCAACCTGCTCTTCGGTACAGCAGACTTTGGTGTCGGCCCACTCATCTCCACACAACGATACCAGCTGCTTTCTGAAGTCGTCGGAGGGGTCTTTTGCGAGCCCGTTGTCTGGGCATGGTAGTTCCGACCCGAAGAAGCTCTGCTTGCCACATTGACCACGGATGGCACAGCGACCGGCCTCGTGAATTTTGGTGAGATCAGGACCGCTGGCGGCGAGTGTGATGGTGGCCAGTGACAGGCATGCTGCCACCGTGCTCTTCAGAGCCATGGTGGATGGCAGAGGAATGCCGGCACGTCCACAGGCTCGAGTCGATTACGAGCGAGCGATGAAGAGAACGGGGTCCGCTTCTGCTGTGATGTTGTTATCGTAGGTTTCCAAAGGGGGTATGTTTGTGTATATGTAAGTACTGGAAGAGGACTATGGGAGAAGGACGTGGCGGAGCTGTCGCGTGCTGCCGCCTGCCTAGAAAAGCCCGGTCCAAGTCCAAACAGCTGGAGAGAGGCAGATGCAGGTGATCAGCAGGAACCTCCAGCTTGGAAGCGGAGGAGCTGCACGCCTACGTCACGGAATTGAACACCAGCCACGCCAGCAGATCCGAGACATGATCACGTGCACAATATATGTGCTTCCATGTTCAACTGGGCGTTGATCGATAAGCGACGATGAACAACACATTCAAACGCCTGTTGATCCGCTCTATTTGGGCGACTGTTTTTGGAACGCCGCCTCACTAGACCATAATGGCAGCTGCAGCGTTATCAGCTAGATCGTTCACGATCCAACTTCATACTGTAGTATCAAAGTCGGTGAATCAAACGATGTAGTGCAACACGGACTGGGTGCTGTAATGGATTTCTGCTTTTCGCATATTGCAATAAAGTACATAGAAGACAGCAAGAAGCAGAGGCAGCAGCTACGAATTACAAGTGCCTGCAATCTCTAAGCTTTGCGAATGGCTGGTATAGTACGCAAATGGAGACGCAGCTTCGGACGTGCATGAGCAGACCGCTCACGCCCTGACCGATTCGCCGGACACCGAACAAAAACCTGTAATCACCACATCCCAGACATTCTCGGCTGGACACGCGGCTCTCGCTAAGAGTCGCCTGCAGCCGGGCCAGATGATCCCGCTCCACCACGGTCACCGCCGCGACCTCCACGGCCACGACCGGCGCCGCGCTCGCCGCGGAAGCCACCTCGGCCACGGCCACGACCGCCGCGACCACCTTCGCTGTCGCTCCCGGTGCCACCAGTCGATTGGTAACCGCCTCGTCCTTCGCCTCCACCTCGCTGGCTCTGTCCTCCTCGGTTGTTGAAGCCACCGCGGTCAGCGAAGCCGCCGCGTCGGAAGACAGCCATCTTCACACCTGCGAATTTGTCCTTGACTTCCTTGGACGGGTTACGCTTCAGGACGTCCAGTACAATTTCAGGAGTGGCAAAGTGGGCGACCCACTTGCCGTTGCCGGTCTTCTCCACGGATTGGACCTTCTCTGCGTCTTCTGTAGTGAAGAGCTGAGACTTCACGTCGTCTACGGTGTTGGCAGCGGCAGAGCTGGGAATGAAGCTGACAAAGATACTCTTCGAGGGCTCTTGAGGCGGTAGCGACTGCTGTGCACCATTCAATCTGTTCTGGTTAGGAGCATCTGGTTTGTTGGCGTCCGCAGCAGCCGCACCATTGGCGTCTTTACCGCTGGCACCTGCGGGTTGCGGAGTTGAGCCCGTCTTTTGCGGTGTCGCAGCTTGTTGAGGACCCTTGGACTGCGATGCTTGTTGCGAGTTCGTCTGGTTGGCACGCTGCTGAGTCGCCTGAGGAGCTGCTGATTGCGCGCCTGTAGGCGCAGGAGTCGAGCCCTGTGATGGCGGTGGTGGGCGTTGTTGGGCTGCGTTCGGAACTGGAGTGGGGAGGTTTCCACCGGTTGGTGCCATGGTAGAATTGATTGGAGCCGCAGGAGCACCCTGTGTCCTGGGGGCCTTTCCTCCACGGTGAGAGAAGTTGAAGCCCTGTGCGCGCATCTCTGTGCCGATACGTCCTTGATCGACGTCAAGTACCAGCCAACCGAATGCGGCGTCTGCCAAGTTGAAGTTCCACATGTTCTTAAAGGCAGATTCGTCCACAGATCCGTTCTGCTGCTGGGCACCACCGAATGGGTTGCCGCCGTTGGCCACCGAAGGCATCTTGCTCACCAAGTCAAGCGCGAGCTGCAAAAGCTTGCTCTGAGTGTCGTTCTCAGAGACCGCAGGTTCTACCTCTTGCTTCACGGTCTCCCACACGTCGTGGAACGAAGCCTTTGACGCCGAAAGTTTGCCGCGGTAGTGGTCAAGCGAAGGGTTGACCGAGAACTCATTGTAAGAGCTGCCGTAGCGGAAGTGAAGGCCAGCGGAAATGGAGAAGTCGGCTTTCAGAGTAACCGAGAGCTGATTGAGTAGACCCTCACGTGCGGGGGATGCGTGTGTGACGAGCACGCGCGTTTCGGTCGGGTCATACACTCGATTGGCAGTGTCGATAAGCTCGCCGATTTGCAAAAGAGTTGTCCACATTGTGCCCTGTCCACCAGCGATCGTAGTCCGTCCCTCGCCATTGTCGAACAGTTTGTGCATGACCACAGCGCCTCCGAGACCAAGCAGACGGAGCTTGACACCTCCGACATCCAGCAATCTGGATTGTGATTCGTCAATCACGTGGAGGTTCTCAATCTTGTATTCCTGTGAGCGCAGCTTTTCCAAGACGGACACATCTTCACATGCGCCCCAGACTGTAAACACTGGCACATCGAGCTTGAATGTCTTGTTCAGGAATTGCGGCAGCTCAGAAAGGGGAAGGCGATCTCGCTGGAAACGTTCCTTGACGGGTTGTGTGGCGCCAGCGCGCGTAATGTCGGCCTTGACCTGCTCGCTGAGAAGAGGCGAATACTGAGCGACGTGCTTCAAGGTCCTATTTGTTCATGATCAGCGATGTTGCCAGGGACGTGTCATAGATGGCGACTGATGCTTACTTCTCGGCAATGCGTTCGAGTGACGAGTCGTCGTAGAATCCGAAATCGCCGGTGTGGATGATGTAGTCTGCCTTCGCGCTATGCGCCAGCTCGTTCAGTTGTCGCAGATTACCTGTCAAATTGTGAGTCGGACACAGCGTTGAGATGCAGATGGAACTGAAAGGTTCTCACCTCGGACATCGGCAATGCAAAGGACTCTGGCATGGCCGATTTGCTGCACGCGACCTTGATTTGGATCAAGCGGACGGGCTCCTGGGACAGGGCCGCTAGGCTGCGGCGCACCGTTCGGGATGTATGCTTGAGCGTAGGCACGAGGTTGCGACGGTGGTTGCTGCATTTGACCGTCAGAATTGTTCCCCGTGAACATCTTGAGAGTTGCGTTGCTACGAAGGTAATTCGCAGATCTTGGGTCCACTTACGGCCATGAGTGAATTGATCAGGCGTGAGTTTATAGGGTCCGGCTCGGGGGTTCGGAGGAGCTAAAAAATTGCGAGTTTGTTGATGGCGACTCGCTGAATACGCTGAGCAGGAGCAGATCGCTGCAGATAAGAACAGAAGTAGAGGATGGAGGACCGTGGGCGAAGAGGCGGAAGCTGGTGATGAGAGAAAGAGTCGACCGCAAGAAAGTATAACGACGACGACGGCTGATGCTTGATGATGACTGGCGGGAGAAGTTGTCGCCAAGATTTACGCTCTGCACCTGCAGCAATGTAGCATATTCACCAATGCGGTATAGTCTGGAGTAGCCGTGAACCCTTCAGTGCAATTCGGGGGAGTCTCCCGCGATCCGTGCGCCGCCGCACCTCAGCTGTATCCATGGAGCGTCTTGATCAAGGCTTATATCATGACCAGGTTTGAATACCAATGAAAACATAATGCGAGCTCTGATGATCAACGCAATTGATTTCAGAGACGAGCACTCGCCGTTCCGAACCGCGAAACGTCAACATTGATCCGCGCCTGAGCGTTAGAACTCTGGCGAGCGAGCATCAGCTATGTACGCAGACAAAGCGGATAATTTTGATCTCGCGAACAGTGAGGCTTAGTGATTCATGTTACCGTTCAGTACCGATCCGGGAAATCATATGGTGCTTCTAACTAGAAAACCTGGAGCTGTGCCTGGGGGATACGGCAGTCGACCACATGTGCCCAGATTGATGAGTCCGCACTGATTGCCGTCGTCGTTGTGTCGACACGTGCATTGGCTTTGACAGTCGCCAGACTGTGGCCTGTGATTGCTATAGGTATCTTCCGCCACGGCAAGTCTGTGACAACTCACAAACTCTCGTCACAAGATTGATGCCATTTCCTTTCTTCTCCTTGCATTGCTTCTTCCTTGGACACCTCGAGACATCACCGAACTCACAGGCTTTGGATTTTGATCATCGTAATTGGCGCTGCGATAGCGAACTTCAGATCCGTACTAGAATAATAAGCACTGACTTTTGAAATCTACGGCCATTGGTTGATTTCAATGCGGGTAGATATCTTACATATTCGCACCGCGTTTGATGCTCAAGAGGCACACATCTCGCAACAACATTCAAAGGACGCGAGTGCCACATCGAAATACTGTTCACTTATCCACAACACTCCTTGGATAAACAGTCTCTACCTCATAACGATTGACTTTGGATCTATCTTTCAGCCAGTTGACATTCCAAGATATGCATGAGAACGATTCATCACCGCTTCGGAGTCAAAGCTTTCTCGATCGTGGACTCTCAGGGCATCCTGGACTTGATCCAAAAGGTGACAGGAGAACCGGGTCAAAGGACTTTCGAGACTATCGTAGCGATACCCATGGAAGCGGTATGATCTCGCTGCCTACAAAGGACAGTAATGGATCACAGCCTTTGACAAGACTCTCACGAAACACATTCTCCAAGGGTTTTGCCGAATCAGTGAGTTCGAGAACATCGATGTCAGAACCACGGTTGATACGATCGGCGTTCCCATCAAAATCGACCAGGCCGCCACGACAGAGTACGAGAGAACTCACGTACAATGCCAGTTATCAACCGGAGCAATTCGATACGCCACTCCATCGATATCGAAGGCTGGGTCAACTCTTGAATGGAACCGGCCATATGGTAGCCGGTGGTATGAACGAAGGAATATTTGTCATTGAAAGAACGGACAACAAGCAGAAATTCATCGAGAAACGTCTACCCATCGATCGGAAATCGCAAAGGCGACGGACTCGTGCTGAGATCGATGCGCTCACACGACTTCGGCACGCTGGGCCATGCGAAAATATCAACAAGATCCATGAAAGCTTTTTTCCAGGGATGACCAATTACTCATGCCTGATTTTGTCCTTCTGCGAGCTCGGCTCCATCACCGACTACATCAGTCGGAAGATCCTCCAGCATTTGAAAACGCCGGAGTCATTCGCTTGGCACGTCCTTGAAAGTGTCATGTGCGCTCTTGTATTCTGCCACTACGGCGTCGATGTAGGGGCTTGGAAAGACCGCAATGCCGAATGGACGACTCTCTGTCACCTCGACGTTAAACCGGACAACATCTGGCTCACAATGCAAGGCAGCGCAGGAAGCATGCCACGTGTCGTTCTCGGCGATTTCGGCTGCTCTGTATCCCCCGTTGACATCGATCGAGGGCTAGCGCACGCATTGATGCTTACGCATGGAACACCACGTTGGCTACCACCCGAAGCGAAAACAATGTCGAATGATGGTCGGGGCCGGTATGGCAAAGCTACAGATATCTGGCAGGCGGGCGGCACCATACAGACCATGTGCCGTCTGACAAAGTCTCCTGAACCACAACAAGCTGCTGCGAGACGACCCTGTGGTAGCACACACTATTCCCGCAAGCTGAACTCCATTGTTGCTAGCTGTATGGAGGAAGTCGTGAGCAAGAGACCCAGTGCTGTGGATTGCTACAGATGGATTCAGGATCATAAGCCAGAGCTCTGAACTTGACACCCGAGTCCGATAACAATGCATAACGATAACAAGGCTTAGACGCCTTAGGCGGTGTGGAACAGTATGGTGCATACCTCACGATGGATGGGTAAGCGAACAGGAATATCTATAATTAGCTCATGATCTTGACGCATTACATGATGCTCCAAGACTAAATGATATCAGCGTGACGGCCGCAGCAGCATGCGCCAATCGAACGCCTTTCACATGAAATGATCTGATGAAAAGGAGGTCAGGTATTTGAGACCAGAACATTGCTAGGTATTCGCTTATGGCCGACCGAGGTCAGTTACCAATGCACAGTGTGAAGCCTGCACCATGTGATTCTAGATGATGTCATCGCATCGTGAATTCATTACTGTCTACAGGTAGTTCCACCAATCTCTCGACCCAGTGTAGTGTTCAAGAGCCGATAAGGATTGAACATGATCGCTCTGGTGTAATGTTAAGGTGCTTCACGTCTTACTTGTAAGGAAGGGCCATCACGAAGAGAATCTCTGACCTGCCATTGAGTTTGGTGATAGCATTGGAGTTGACTCCACAAAGAAGAATCGATGACATCATCCCCGCGTGAGAAATTCCACCTGGCTCATTCTGTGGACCGAAATTGGAAACGATGGAATTCATAATAATAAGAGTGTCAATGGCTGGCCAAGCAATATACCGGTAGAGGGGAAATTGGTCCATGAGACCAGAGGTTGGATGGAAGATCAGACGACACGGACGTCATTCTTTCAGGTACCCGACACGTGAAATTTGGAGGATCGCTGCCGTCGACCGAGAAAGGGCTACGGGCGTACATCATCGATCTGTCACGAGAAAAAACGGACCTCGGACATGTGTGAGAGGCAAGCTCGAGATATAGTGGCTGCCTGACGAGCGCACAACATGCCTCTATAACTTATAATGAACCTTTGTTATCACTTTGATCGTCATCTGCCCTGATAGAAGAGATCCTATCGTGGATTATTAGCTCGCAGGCTGCTATTGTTGTCTTTTAAATCAAATCCAAGCCAGTGTGCGGGAGCATCTTTCAGGACTTGCCCGAACAACTTCATAGATCCTCGTTGTCGATTCCTCTCCATACCACTATTGCGAAAACAAGATATCAATTGCATCTATCTAAATTCAAGCATCACGAAAACCAAGATCAACTTCGGAATAAATCTCGTCATCATGGTTGAAGCTTCCGATCCGATTGTCCGATCCACCCTGCAGGCGGCCGTGTTGGCCGGCATCTCTAATCTGGTCGCCCAGTATCTGGCGAGCTCGCGGGATGGAGTAAGTTTCTATCCGCCCAATCTCATGAATTCCAGGCCAATGACGGAGAGTCACGAAGCGAAATTCAATCAGGACTAAAGTGTAATACCTCTTCTCATCGAAACAGACACCCTTCCAATTCGATGTGACACGATTTTTCCAATTTATCCTCTATGCGTTCATGGTGAGCCCAGGCAATTTCGTCTGGCAACGATGGTTGTAAGTCACACATCATTCCTGCGCTCTTGGTCTCGCCAGAACCTCCAGAAGAACCCATGGCAGCTTTCTGACACTGACGGAATCAATTAGAGAAACGAAGTTCCCCGCGTACGACCGCAAACTCCATGGCGACAAAAAAGAAGAATACATCGACGACTACGTCACTGGCCAGAACACCAAGACCGTCAACAAAGGCGGCGAGAAGGCTCCCGCGAAGAAGATTCCGAATGAACTCGGTCAGCGTGAGAAGAACCAAAGTCTGAACCTGCAGAACACGTTCATCAAATTCGCTCTGGATAGCACCGTCGGCACGTGTATCAACGTAAGTTCATCCACCTCATTTCGATTTATTACTATTCATAGGAATCGAGGCTCCATACTGACCCTTTGTGCTCTGGTTGAATGGAAATAGACGGTTCTCTTCATCGTCGGCTTCGCCCTGATCCGCGGCTCCGAGAAGGATTACATCCAGGATGATGTGGCGGAGCAATTTCTGCCCATGTTCCTGGCCAATTGCAAGGTCTGGCCTGCGGTCAACATCATCAGCTTCACGCTGGTCCCGCTTGAGCACCGCATGCTGTTCAGTCAGATGATCAATTTGGTCTGGGGAGTTTATTTGAGCTGTGAGTATCTTCTTCTCTTCACAATTTGTCACTTGCGGATGACAGATGAGGCTGCATTGGAAGATGTTGAAATGTTGGAAGAGGATTGAGCTGACATTTTTTCTCGTTTAGTGATTGCGGACGGTACGCAGAAGTTTTAGACAGCGCCCCAAGAGCGGGTTTGAGATGCACGGACGGGATGTCGCATGGAAGGATTCCGGGGACGGTCGTCCAAAGGCACCAGCTCCCGGGACGGAATGATTCGAAGACCAGAGGATTGGAATCACGAGCCGCTGTCTTTGAGGGCTCTGAAAATCCCTCAACTGTGTACACGGTGTACAGTATAATACGAATGCAAGTAATAGGGCGATATTCGTTTGGTATCATGTGTCAGGGGTCGGAGTTGTATCACATCGAGGTTTTGATCGTGTGAGGATCTGAGAGGTAAAAAAGGAAAAGAAACGGCGTCAGTGCTTTCCTCGCACGTCTCGCGATCAATACAAGCACAAGCTGCCTTCGACATTGTGATACGCGTACGCAACCATATCTTAAACACACCATGTGCCAATCCCTCTACGTCCGCTACACGTGCGGGTGCCATAGGGAAATGGAATTTGTGCAATGCGCGAGACGGCAGGGTACTTTGATCAAATGTCAGCCCGTCACAAGGACTGCGGGCAAGATAGCAACGAACCATTGCTCGTCTCATCTCATCCGGCCGACGGCACCTGCCACCATGACGAATGTCGAGCAACATGCATCACCCGTCATCACTCCGGCTCCCTCTCAAGATCCGACGATTGGAATGCTCGCTGTACGCGCTTCCACTGACGCGGAATTGAAAGGCCTGATGCAAATTGTGGCCGCAGGAACTGCAACGCGAGAACAACTGATTACCTTCCAACGATGCATTGATGCATTGCCGAACCCAGATGGGTTCTTCAAACAAACACGTCGGTGAGGTGCCGGAGCAGAGCCCGCAGGTCAACGGTCGAGGTTGGTTGGCACGTTGGCCATCATCGTGGAGAACAGCGCAACAGCACGTGAACAGCTCGGTGCGAGACCGGCGAGGTCGCGGAAATCTCTCCTGGAGTCTGGCTAGCATTCTGGACAATGCCCGACGACATGCTGAAATCTGCACCGGAATTTGATGGCACGCCTGCCTGTAGACAGTCTTCACCCCCACATGGACGTCATCAATTCCGAATTCCCTCGAACATTTCAGTCCCGCCAAAGAAACACATTCGCCGACTCGCCTCTCTTTCTTTCCATGCATCACGTCCTCTAGCATGGCTATGTGATTCGTCCACATGCCCGTCCATAATCATATGAAGGTTCGCAGTTCACGATAACTTGATGCCATCGTCATTGCGGGAATCCATGGATATCACAATCGCAAGGGTTCAGTGAACATTCGATCACTCTCATCGTTGATGATCACACGGTCCCAGCCGATTCATAATCAAACCATTCGGGCCGGCCGGCTGGCAACGCTGCCCCTCACCTCACCTGGGCACTCATCATCATCAACCACCCATTCCTGGCGGGCGAACCGGCTGAGAAATACATACTACAGGTGTGATAGGATCCACGAATTCATTCCAGTGCTATATTTCTCATCCAACCATGGGCCTTGCGGTAACGCGTATACGATATGACGTAGAGGAAACTGATTGAGATCTTCCGCAATCGTGTTTCCCATACTCGATACCGTCTGTTCGCAGAGAAGCACAGGACTATTTACTATTGTGCATGTGTCGCGCGCGGTTTTTATTGCCCACCTGGGCAGGTGTATCATGAAAATGTTTCGTACTAGTCGTAGTTTTAGCCTGAGAGATTTCCATGGCTAGATCAATCGGGACCACTCGGCGTGGCGGCTATCCCTCAGCACTGCGCGCCTGGTATAGTCGTGTGTTTTTGGCATACTAGCTCACCAGCCGACTTGGGTTCTCATCCACTCCACGTCCCCGAAAGTCACGCCTTTTCTCGTCCACCTTCACTCATCATATATATACCGGACTCTTCCGCGCTCGCTTCACTCTGTGCTGTTACCAATCTCTCTCTCTCTGCATTCTTGAAACGCAATCTACAACCCACTCTTGGAAGCCTTGGACAATTCGCCGGCTTTATCCGCTCTAACGTGAATCGCTTATTCTCAGTCACCACATTCATCACGCGACCACACACCACTGCTTCAAGCAACGAATTTTTTGGCAATCAATCGAACACACCTACCCGCTCATAACCCTCTCGTTAGAGTGAACGGTCGAACTACCAACATCTCGTCCTCCTCTGGAATCTAGAACGGCTGGGCTTGCAGCGTTAGAAGACTTCCGAAAACTTCTAGAGTCTTCAGCGTCGCAAGCCTGCGTCTGGCATACTCGAAAATATGATTCCCGTCCCGAATCCTCTAGACTATGATGTCTCCCTGGAGAACGCATTCCTTCCGAGCACACCGCCGCTTGAATGTCTCCCTGACCCGTACTACGAGCAATGGGAACATGTCATGACCAACCTGCAAGGCTTGATCTTAAGCAAGAGATTGCGGGAGGTTGTCGATCATCTGCCTGTGTTGTCAACAGATCGTCTCACGGACATTGTACAATGGCGACGAGCATACAGCATTCTGGCGTTCATCACACATGGCTATATCTGGGGAGGATTAAAACCTGCGGATCGTATACCACCTTCGATCTCGATCCCATTTTTGGCAACATGCAAGAGGCTCGAGCTGCCTCCAGTTGCCACATACGCGGGTCTCGTTCTCTGGAATTGGAAGCCAATCTTTGCAAACGAGCCTGTGGATACTTTGGCGAACCTCGACACAATCGAGACCTTCACTGGCTCACTCGACGAGAAGTGGTTCTACTTGATCAGCATTGCGATTGAATCACGAGGCGCACCGATCATCCCGATGATGTTGAGAGCGATCAAGGCTGCACGGGAAGGTGACAGGGATATGGTAATTCGGTGTCTGCAATCGTTTGCGGAGCGTCTGAGTGAATTGAAGGACATGCTCGCACAAATGTACGACAATTGCGATCCCCATGTTTTCTACTACCGGATTCGACCGTTCCTTGCTGGAAGCAAGAATATGGCGGAAGCCGGCCTTCCCCAAGGTGTGATTTTCGACAACGGCGGCGCGATCAACCGACAACGCTACGTCCAATTCAGCGGTGGCAGCAATGCTCAGTCGAGCATCATACAATTCTTCGACATTGTCCTCGGTGTCGAGCATCGCTCTACAGGCGAAGCAAAGCCTGGAAACCAGTCGAGTCCGCAAATATCAAAAAGCAAATATTCCGCACCAAGCACCAACTTCATCCACGAGATGCGGAAGTATATGCCTGGCCAACACGCGCGCTTCCTCTGCGATGTCGACCGTGTGGCCAATATCCGCACATTCGTCGAAGAGAACAGCTCAGACCGCGGCCTCACACTCGCATACGATGCTTGTCTCGCAATGCTCCGCTCGTTCCGCGACACCCACATCCAGATCGTGAGCCGCTACATCATCGTCAAAAGCCGGGAGGCAGCCTCCGCGAAAGTCCAGGAAACCGCTTCAAAGAAAGTCGACCTCGCGCACCGGAGTAAGCCCGTCGACGAGAACATCAAGAAGGACCTCAAGGGCACCGGCGGAACCGCGCTGATTCCTTTCCTCCGCCAAGCTCGCGACGAAACGGGTGAGCCGGCAGTGGATGAGTGGACGCGTCGGCTACTCAGCAAGAAAGGCGTGCTCGAGAAGGGTGCCATCCCGGGCGAAACGTCTGCGAGAAAGGTGCTCGATAGGATCGATGGTCAAAATGGCTTGGAGAAGTTGTGGCAGGCGGATAGTAATAGTGGCGGACTGTGCACATTCTAGAGTTTTTATATATACATAGAAAAAAACAGGAGGGAAAGCAATTGGCATATCATGCGGTTTTGGGGGCTGGAAGATGAGCAGAAAGCGAGCCGGTATCAACAGCCCACGGCGACTTGTTTTGACGAAGTAATGAAAGATACGTTTTGCATAGCATTTTTTAAAATACATCATGATTCGGAAAAGGCGAGTGCACATCCTCGGCATTAAGATCTCATCTGTGTGTTCTAAGCCGGCCGAAAAGTGTTCCTGCTAGATTCTGAACGTTGAGGCGCAGCTGTCGGACGGGCAGCCTCCATGGCCGTCGAATTCGACGGCCATGGAGGCTGCCATCGACCATTTGAACCCGGGGAGACCATGTGATTTATAAAACGAACCGCCAACAACATTGGTAATGTAAGCAGCATACACCATAGCAACCATATCACGAATGAGTGGCGCACAATTACCACATTCCGTAGTCCTGTATACATCCTAGCAAGCAGTCCGGTAAACGATGTACGCGGGAGGAGAATATGCAAGGTTGACGAACAACCCAAACCCTAACCTAACACCCGGTCGGCAGACAAAGCCGGGAACCGCAGCTCATCATCATCCGATAATAAATACGTCGGCTGCTTGCGAGTACGTCAGATGATACGATCACCTCCGTGCCCGGACATGAGCAACCCACTGCTGCACAACATTTGATCACTGGCTACTGTTAGAAAATCAGGCATTGCAAGGAACCGTACTACATCTCGCAGCAGCTGCATGGCCACAACCACACAAGAGTAAAAGATACCAACAAGCCCAGCTGACTCGCATTGCACCCGACACAACAATGAGCAGCCCAATCGACCGCGTCGTCAAAGGCGCACCACCTCCCGACCTCTCCCCCGACCAAATCGCCGCCAGTGCTCGTGCAATCTCCCAACACTCCATTACCGCTCCCATACCACCTCATCACAGCAACAGTAGTGACCCTAGAGATGCTCTACCTTCCAGCCCACCCCAGATCTACCTCAATCTGCTCATCCTCGAATCTTCCCTGCGACTGCAATACTTGAGTCTCCGGGCTCGCCTCCGATTACACTGCCTTCTACTCCTCGCACTGACCGCATGGGTTCTGGTCTTTACCTATCTGCTCTTCTTCCGTCCCCGTGAAGACGGCCAGGGCGTCGGCGGCAGCGTCTACTGGGTCCTCGAATCCGGCGAGAAGCTCGCCTGGTGCTCCGGTGTCGTTACGTTCTGTCTCTTCTGGGGCTCGGGAATGTACGCGCGGGGTGTCCACTGGCCGCGACGCTTCATCTCCACGACCAACCGTGGTCTGCGCGGCTTCAACCTCAAAGTCGTGGTCGTCAAGGGTTCCTTCCTCGCCGAACTCGGCGGCTGGATTGCTGTTCTTGATCCTCTCGGCTATCTCCAAGCCAAGCGTGTCAATTTCCAAATTGTCCCTCGTGACATCGAAGCCGGCGCCGCGCGGGATCATTGGAATGCACACGCCGCACGCCATGGTCTTCTCGAGGAAGATATCGCGCCCGGTGGCGATGCACTTCGCGTACTTCTTCTCCCCAAGCCTTTCAGCCCGGACTTCCGGGAAGGCTGGGATACTTACCGGCAGGAGTACTGGGAGAAGGAAAACGCACGGCGGGCTGCGCTGCGGGCTGTGGTGCGCGCGCGCGAGCGCGAAGTCGCCCGCCGTGAAGGCGGTTGGCTATGGTGGACCGGCTGGCGCGGATGGAAGAATGTCCGCATTATTCAGAGCCGTCAGAGCCGGAGACAGATGGATCTAGCGAAACTGGCACTCCGGGAGAAAGCGGTCAACGTAGCGGCCAAGCGCATGAAGGACCGACTAAGAGACGATGCATCCGTTTCATCTCGGGCCTCATCACGATCGAGCACGCCTGCGCCCGCGGACGGAGATGGCACAGGACAGCAATCGAGGCAAGGGAGTGTAGATGGCCGTCGGCACAGACGAGCTAGTAGTTCGGCGAGCAGCACGACGGGAGCAGGAGCGTCACGACGGTCGAGAAAGGGTCTTTCGGGGAATGAGAAGAGTCGGCTGAGCGCGACGGAGACGCTGTTTGGAGATTCCGGGTGGGACCCATCGGCGATGAAAATGACGGAGATTAAGAAGGAGGATTCTTCTCAGCAACGACAGCAGCAGCAGCAGCAGCAGCATACGCCGGTTGTTCCGACGATTAAGGTCGAGACGGTGCTTGCGGATCATCAGATCAAGCGGGAACCTGAGGAGATCTAGGATCTTCTCCTTTGATTATTGCTCTGTTGCATGACGATTTAGCTAAGATGTTATGTGTGTTACTAGAGTTGATACATGACGTTAGATGCGCAATTGATCTCTGGGGACACTCCTGTATCTGATCACAACGAAACACCGCATGAACGCTCGACTAATCACCAACGAATACCCCTGTGTTGCAATGTACACCCTACAGTCTAGCCATCCCTCAGCCTCGATCAGTCCGAACGGCATGTCTTCTAGAGTGCGAATCTCAAATTCGTTCCAGACATATTCGCTCGATAGATCATAACAAGGGAGACAACTTCATGCATATTCAAAGAACGCGCAGTTTACAAAAATGCGGTTCAACGACACCAATCATAGCTGCTGCAGGCCTTGCATGATCTGGATTCTGGAACTTCGAAACGTCGGTTTTCATTACGTCATCTGCATCGCGTCGAAGCTGGGAACGCCGAACAGCCAGTGACATTTTATCACCCAGTATCCTTAAGCTGTACCAACCACCGTCCAGCTTGCGACGGACATTCGCGATCATCAACACTCGTTTCAGCTCCGATACAAACAGAGGACCAACATTCAAATAACATCAACATGTCAACCCGGTCATAAGACAGATTCACCGTCGCTCATTCGCCATCAGCAGCCCCCTAAACTACAGTACTATACTCCATCATAATATTCTATCAAGATGCGGTTATTCCTCCTTCCGGTATCCACCAAGCGCACATTGATCTACTGCGAGCGCGTCCCCGAAGCCATCCTCGCCGCCGGCACCAAACCGCCGTGGTCAGAGCAGATCATCAACCGCGCATCGAAGACATGGATGGGCTGGGAGAAAGCCGAGAAGGGCTGGCAGAAGCAACTCACCGTGTACGGCAACAAGCTCTTCCGGAGGATTCCCTTTGAGGAGTGGGGATTGAAATCGCTCCCGGCAGCCACCCAGAAGCGGCTCGAGGATGTCGATCAGGGAAGGATGAAATTCGAATGCGTCTTCCCGAGCAAATTCGTCCGGGAAGGCCGGGTTTCGGAGATCCTGAAGAAGCTGGCGACCGAGAGACAGGCGCTACACCGACAGCGGATGTGGACGTGTATCGCGCTGATGCCCGTGTCGGCGCCCTTCACACTCGTCCCAGTGTAAGTTGTCCAAATCCCGATCCTGCTTTTCGCGTGCGCAAAGGTGTGTCTCCATCTGACAGACTCCCTCCTTCCTCTTGGATACAGGATCCCCAACATTCCTTTCTTCTACCTCTGCTTCCGCGCATACTCGCACTACCGCGCCCTCTACGGCTCCCGCCTCCTCGACCACCTCGTCACCAAAAAACTCATCACATCCAGCCCCTCGAGTACCCTCGACGAGGTCTACGCAGCCGGGATTCTAAAGCCCGCAGACGAGGCTGCCAAGGTCGCTCCATCCATCAGCTCCGCCGAGGTCGAGGAAGCCGTGGCCAAAATCGAGTCGCAAGACGCAGGAGGAAAAGGAGAAGAGGCCATGCTGTTACAAAGTTGGAACGGCCGCGTCCTCGCCGAGAGCTATCAATTGCCGGAGATGGAAATTGAGATCGAGCGTGCGGTCGAACAAGTCGAGAAGGCGATCCAGACGGCCAAGGAAAAGGCAGGCTCTGCGGTCCAGCCTGAGAGCAAGGGCGAGGAGATCAAGCGATGAGAGACATTTTGTGGAGGGGGGGAGTTGATCGATATCTTCAAAAATAGGCTCAGTATGACGAGGATGGATAAAGAGAGATGTGAGGGGTTAGAAATTTTTGCCAAATGAGATATGTGTGGGATATAGACGAGCTGGATCAATAGAGGGCACCTGTACCACCAGAGATACAAGAAAACAACAACAGGAAAGAATCACTGACATCCATAAGGAACATCAACGTGAGTGTGAGATCAGACAATGCTCAGGGCATGTTGCCAGGACCGGAAACGAGAGAAAAGACGAAATGAGGAAAGAGGTTCGATAAATAAATTCCATTTTTTACACATGAACTTGTTGTATACCTTCGAAGAACGCCACCACCCATTACACAAATTCGGTCCAAATGGGCCTTTCCCGTCAATCATGCACCCAAATTGGTCTAGAATAATTTTTTTCTGCGGGAAGTGAAGGAGGAAAACAGACAAAGATCTTCGAGGCGTAGTAGAAGAAAACAATATGACAAGACAATTTCCCGCCAAAGCATCACAGTCGTTGCGAATGATGTGGGACAGGGGAAAAGACAGCCCAATAAACAAGAAGCAAGAAAGATCAAGAAGCGAAAAATTCCGAATGGTCGAACCACATCTCTTCTCGATCGCGAATCATTGTACATTCTTTCTTCGCTGCGCTGCCCTCTAAAGCTGACCGCTCAGGATGGCCTCGGTAGCGCTGCCGATGTACTGCCTTCGGGAATCCATATTGACACCGAAGCGGCGTTCGAGCTCGGCCTTGATGCTCTTCTTCGTGACGGTCATGAGGTCAGCGGTGCGGAGGATTTCGCGGATCTCGGCGAGGATGGCATCGTCGCTGGGCTGGCCATCGACGCCCGCCACGCCGCTGTGGTCGAGGAGGAGGTTGTCGACGGAGGTGGAGTTGTTGAGGCCGCCGGCGGCGTAGGACGGCGTTAGGGAGAGTCGCGAGCCGGCGGCTAGGGGGCTGGAGTAGTGCATGGGCAGGTGGAGTTGGCTGGAGGGGCGGCCGCCGTATTCGGAGGGTGCGACGCCGGCGCCGGGGTGGAAGCTGCGGGTGGCGTAGGAGATGCCGGAGACTTCGGAGCGGGCGTCGTCGCGCTGGGTGTTCTGGTCCCAGAGCTCGGCTTGGTACTCTTCCCAGTGCTTCTTGGGGATGCTTGCGGGGTCGAATTTGCCTTCGTCCGAGACCAGGATCTGCTTGCCCTTCTCACCAGTGACCATACGCGTGTTACCCCAGGAGAAGTCGTCCATGCGCCAGAAAGCGAGCAGAGGGAGCGCGAAGGAGAAGACAGGAGTGGCGATTATGTAAATGATCATCCAGCCGACCATGTCCCATTTACGTCGTACAATGAAGATGATTGCCTGCAAACCATAGATGGCTCCGAGCAGAATGAAGGCCGTTGTCGCGGTGTTGTTGGTCGGATTCTGCGCGACTTCGATGATCAGGTAGATGATGTAACCGACAATCACCGGCTGGACGACGGTGGACAGGAGATCGAGGAAAACGACGAAACGCATGCTGAAACAGCAGAAACCACAGAGCTGTTGGAGAGGGATGACTTCGATCAAGTTGTGCACGGTACTGTTGATCCAGCGACGACGTTGTGACATGAAGACGCTCCAGCTGTCAGGCGCAATAGTCCAGGCGTGCGCGCGCATGATGTACTTGGTCTTGTAGTTGGAATGATACTTCATCAAAAGCGTCGTGAGGTATCGATCCTCTCCAAGGTGGAGGAGATTCTTCATGTGTAGAGTGTCCACGCGTGTCTCGCTGTAGTCTTCGATGATTTCCTTGGACACAAACAGCGGCTTTCCGGACTCAGCGGCACGAATGCGGTACATGGAGAAACAACCAGGCAAACAAGTGACGGACCCGAAGAGTGACTCGAAAGCCTTCGTCAAGTTGTGTGAGATGTAGTACTCGTAGACTTGCATCATCGTGATGAATGATTGTTTTGCGTTAGTCAAGGCCGTTTCTCCACAGACAGCGATCAGTTTCGTGTCGTTGACGAAGGCAGAAACGAATCGAAGAGCAGAATCGGCAGCCACGACCGTGTCGGCATCGATTTGCAATAAGAATTCGTAGAATGTTGGATTAACACCGATGACGTTTCGAATCTGGTGTAGAAGCTCGAGCTCAAGGGGCGTCATGGCGAGGTTGTAGTGCACGCGGTTGAGGAAGCGCATGAGAATCATCTGCGAATCACGTTTACCACGGTTACCAGGTCTGCAAGAGAAAATTAGCAACTGGCGTCTTCCCGAGTTTGTTTCAGCGTTTGATAACTTACCTGGACACCTCGGAAGGCTTTCCGACCTTGACGACCACGACGAACGGCACAATGTGACCTTGAACTTCGTACAATCCTGAATAGACTTTACCCATATTGTGCTGCTTCATGCCCTCGCCGAGAGATTCGAAGCTGAGAGGCTCCGGATCGGTGTGCTCAGAGACGCCTAGAATATCCAAGACAATTCGTGGAGTGGGACGGTCGTTGCCTTGTCCAACAATCATACCATCACAGATGATAAAGAGCAATTTGCGTTTGTCATCGTAGCGCATGCGTGCGGCGGAATCGATGGCACGGCGGAGCGAATCCTCGTCTTCGGTGTAAGCTGGAACTGTGCAGATGATGAACTTGTCGAGGTTTTCGGGAACATTCTTCTTGCCGAATTGTAGAGCCGCCAAGAATTTGAAGGCGATGACCGAAACCAACAACAGAGACACGGCGAGAAGGATGTACTTGGAGAATAGACAACGCGCACTGTCTCGGGTGTCGAGGTTGCCAACGTAGAACAGGTTGTTCATGCATGTCAGCATGCGGCCGCGGAATTCTGGTGAATAGTTGAGAGCCTCCCAGTACTTGGTGACGTCTTGACCTGAGCGACGTTGGAAGAGATCGACCAGGCTCTGATCCATAAAGTTCGAGTTGGGTAGAGTGGACGGCGCAGACTGACCCGGTGGGTATTGGGGCGCACGACCGCCGGCGATGTAAGCCGTGAAGTCGTATACCTTTCCGTTGATGTACGCGATGGAATTCTGCTTGTCAGCCAAAGTCGACAGGTATGATGGAGCGAAACCCAGATTTCCCTTCCAGTATTGTCCCTTCAACGTGATCATCTGTTCTTGAAACCAAGCCGGGCGTGAATCGTTGGTCGCCCAACGGAAGTCGTGGTACTGCGCATTGGTGTCGGTGCTCGCAATGGTGCCAGTCTCGCCCGTGTAGTTATAATTGATGTAACTGAGTTGCACGGCGGGGTCAATGTTACCTTCAGCTTCGATGCCTTGACACAGACTCGAGACCTGTACAGGGAAAAGGTTCGTGATGTCCTTGCCTGCATATCTCCTCAAAGCAGCAGCCGGAACGACTTTGGGATAATGCTGGGGTATGAATGCGTCGAGATCGAAGACAACACCGCGGATTGCCACATACGAATCTGCGCCCTTGCCATTGTACGAGCTGAGCTCAGGTAGACTGTAGACGTGTTGTGTGGGACAAATGATGCGTGGGAAGCCGACCATAAAGAAGACGACGAACGCGCAAGAGAGCCAAATGATCATGTTAATGGCAAGCTTTTCACGCCAGGCCATCCGGACATCCTTGCGAACCATGCGGCTAGGACCTGCGATGCGGATCAAAAAGTCCGGGATCATCCAGGTGAAGATGTAAACGATGAACAGCCAGCGCCATCGGCTACCAGACATAGGTCGTTCCTCAATTTCAGCAGCATGGACTTCGTTGGCTTTTTCTGCCAGTTGGTCGCGGGTTTCAATGCCTCCAAACATGTCCCCGTTAAAGGCGGAGTTGCCTGCCTCGCTCTTAGCATCGAGGTCGCGACCGCCAAAGTATCCGCCATTCTTGTCATCATAGAAGTTGCCAGAGCCAGGTGTTTGTAAAAGCTGGGCCTTCGACTCTGCGAAGCCTTTGCGAGCATCGGATGGCGTAAGAAGACCCGCCTCGTTGTATTTGTCGTCCGCGAAGGGAGCTGCTCCGTGGACAATGTCCCGAACGTCGGCAATTTGACGCCAACAGCGCTCACTGAGGAAGACACCTGTGCTTCCGACGCGTGCCTCGCTCTCAGGCCAGCTCTTCTCATCGAGAATCATCTCAGCCTTCTCCCGGGCGCTGCCTACCACAGTGACTTCGCCCTCTGCAGTGCCAAGGAATTCACGGAAAGGCATGAAGATGCTGAAATCAGCGTTCTTCAGCCTTTGCGCAATTTCAGCAATGCCGAGATTTTGGATTTGGTTTCGCACGCATTTGCTGTCGAATTGATTGGCGATTCGACGGTCGTTGGGTTTGATACAGAAGAAGAAGTAGGCATTTGTGCTTGGAGCCGTCAATGATTTGTTGATGTTGTCCAGAGAGATCAGGAACTGTGCCGCCGCACCTTGCTGTGCATCAGTGGTCTTGTTGGATCGTGAAGGGTTCGGAGTACCCTCGTCGCTGTCCTTCTCTTCATCCACGCGCCGGTTTCCTGCTGACGGTCGACCGCCTTTGCGCCGGGCCATGCTGGGCATTCTGGAAGGTTTGGAGGCAACAGAGGCTTGCGTCACTGCGTTACGATCGTTGGGGTGAACGACCTTGTTGAGAGCTTCTTGGCCGAACAACTCGGCAACGAATTGGCTGCTAGAAGCAGTCACCAAGTTCATGAGATCACCAGAAATGATCTCCCCGTTCTCTTCTAACAGACCGTCAATGGGATACTCGACCTCACCGCCAAAGTGCTTGACAGTGAAGCTCGCAGCTGCGTTGTGGGTCGCAAAGTTGTTCCCGGGAAGCACGACTGTCGGGCTACCGACTTCGATAGCGGGATTCTTGCCTTGAAATCGGCGGTGAAGTGATTCGAGGAGTTGCATGTCAGTCTTGCCACGCCTCATTTGATCGTCAAGAATACTGAGCAAACCGTTTCCGGACTTGAGCAGACCCTTGACAGCGTCAGAGTTGTCGAAATAGGTGGTGGCCGGGACTGAAACCTCCTCCGTCTCAAGGAGGTCGGCCTTGCGCTCAAAGAAGCTCTGCAAGCAGAAATTGTACAGAGATTCGGTTGCGGCATTGTTTAGAAGCTGGTCGAGAGTGCTGCCAGTCGAAGATGCTGATGCAAAGCCCGGGAAATCGACCACGCTGATGGTGTTGGCGACGGAGTCCTCGACGGCACAGGTCTTCTCATTGATCTTCTCCATCACGAATGCAACCAACAGACTGTAGAGAGTCCGAGCAAGCTCATCAGCGTTGTCGCGGGCACCCTTCGGATCAAGCATGATTGTGACACGCTCCCGGTGAAGGATTTTGGTGCGATAACCCAAAGATTGCTCCAGGACACGATCGCCGACACCGAGGAAAGCAGCGATGATCGCCAGCACATCCTTGTTCTTTACCACTGTGACTTCTTCACCTCCCTCGTGTCCATAGCCGCCGCTCTCGTCTGGCGCAGGTGCAGTGTTTTGTGAGGTCGTGAATTCAAGCTGGCCAATGTGGAGGATTGCTGCTAGCACCTCGCACAAGTGGGCGATGTCCTCACGCGGGAATTCGAGTTTCCGAAGAGCGGTCTTGAAGTGCTGGAAGCCTTCTGCATCGTTGATGCCGACTTTCAACTGCGACGGATGACCCAGGTAGCGCCATCGCTTTTGTCCACCAGTAAGCGAGGCTCGATTACCAGAGCCAGATGTGAGTGAGGACCCGAGATCGAGTCCGAGATGGTCTTTCTCGGCAGGAGATGTGCCGGCAAGAAGGTAGTATAGAATGTGAAAGTTGCGCTCTCCTGGTGGCACTGTTGCCACGCGGCTCCGCTCAAGCCTGTGATCCAAAACCTTTCCGCCGATGAGGGTTGGGTGGAGAGTGGAGGAAGTGTCATATTGCAACTCGAAGAAGAGACCAGCTTTGGACGCGGTCGGCGTGGTATGCGACTTGGTTGTAGTCAGTGTATCGAAGACAAAGGCGGCGAATGATAGCTTCTTTGACAGCGGTGTTGCGGAATATTGTAGCAGTGCCGACAAGAGATGTGATCGGATGGTAGTCTTGCCAGTGCCAGACTCTCCCAAGAAGATGGCGGCCTGATTTTCCTGTCGACTACCTAGGCGTGTCCACATTCTGCTTGCCATCTCTTCCGCAGCGCCCATGGCGCTACCTTCCTTGCCGCCATTGGGTCCCTTCGCGGCGGATGTGTAGGTGTTAACAGAGATGTATCCTTGAGTTGACAAGGTCGCGAGAGGCTGGTGGCCGTGGAAGCGCGAAGCCAGATGCCCGGTAATGTTTGTATCGCTCAAAGAATGGGCAGGCAAGGCCACGAGATTTGGCTGGTTGATCTGACCGGTCGCCATATTGCAGGTAACAAGGCCTCTCGGCCAGCTGAGATATGAAAAGCGTCAAGCCCGGGGAGCTGGACAGATTCCACTTGAGAACGTATTTGCAGCGTCAAGAACGAGTGTTGTCTGTAAATGTCGAGTGGTTGGGAACGAATGTGTGTTGTATTGCTGGATGCGGGAAGGAAATCTGGTTCAGAAGGAGGCGATCGAACCTGACTTGTTGACAGCAATCTTGGCGCGGTGGGAGAGCGAGTGTGAGTGAACGAACGAGAGAAAGTAACTCGGTGTACAACTGGACGTCGTCAATCGATCGACCCAATTAACAGATTATTACACAGCAGAGTGGGAGAGGGGACAACAACTCCTGCACATGTCGAACTTCGGGAAGAAAGTCGAGATCAAGAGATGTACTACGAGACCACACTACAGTCCACGCCCAACTAGGGGAAAGTCTTGCTGAGTAAGTGCCCGCTTAGGCAGTCGAAGAGAGAGACGAGAGAGAGTGTGTGGGCCAATAACGGTCGGGGGAATGGTCGCGATCTATTGCCGTCGATGAAAACTATCCGACTGTTGTAACGCTCCTCTTCCTAATAAGCGGCGGACACCTGGAAACATCTGAAATCCTTGACGCGACAAACACGCGGCCCCTGAGAACGGAGAACACACACTAGTCGAAATGTGCACGCCAAAACGAGACGGCACTACTGTAGGCCGGCACAACGTCCCTCCCCATCCTGCGCCTCCGGGAAAAAGTCATCCCCTCAACAAGTCTTCACGATGCCAGATCGTCATACATCGCATCATCCGTTATACACCTGGGCAGTATAGTACTAAGAACCTACTGCGCTATTGTTTCCATTGATCTGTATGTGTTATCTCGTCAAACCGTCAGCAATCATCCATTACTTGTGGCTTCCATGGTCTTTCCTACTCCCCAAAAACCATTTCACCGCGAATGACCAATATACGGTAAGATGTATCCTGCCACGGAGGCGAGGTTCGGTTGGAAATGGTTCACAGCAGTCGCGAGCTAAGGTGATGACCACTATCCGCGAATGTGTTGGTTGGTGAGCAGTCTTGGTCGGGATCATGAGAAGGGTGACGGAACATGTGGTGTGGTGGCGGCGAAAGCAGGCCCATCTCAATCCGCCTGTCTGTACAGCCCAACAATGTCCCGATACGACGATGCACCGCAGACAATCGCGTCATGATTATTTTTGTGCTATATCGCCAATGCGACGTGGATGGAACCCAGCTCGGCACCGTCGATTATGCAACCGGCATGGTGTATAATGACCAATTCAGTGAGCTCGCGGATTGGACATTCGAGTCTCTAAACTTGAGGGGGATACTGTACTCGTGTTCTATCTGTGCAGTAGCGGGAAACTGAACTGACGACAGCTGCTTCGTATTCGCAGGCCTGGCGTTTATTTTCAGCAGTCAGGCCTTGCTATGTCTAATGAGTCCTTGGTTTACCAGCGGCGAATTGCCACTGATCGACGCATGTTCTTAAAATGTCTACATCGCGATCGTAAAATAACCATGTGCAGCGAAGACTATGCGAGGAGATGTGGGCAAACGGGCAGGTCGAGTACTGGCTTAGGTTATGCAGGTAATTATCGTGTCATCCGGACTTGAGCGCAGCACAGTGCATGCACATTTAGGGGCACGCCGCATGGTTCCCGATCAGCCTGACGCAGTTCGAAGGGGGAGCTGCATATACGCCCAGCTGGACTTCATTACTGCATATTTTTGACGCCGTGTTCAGCTGGAGTAGGTGACATTTTGCAAAGGATGAATCACATGTCCAGGAATGACTGCACTTAAGAAAAGAATATCAGCACGGGTCAAGGCATGTTCTCTTCGCGAGTCGTCTTACGGACCACCATGTCACAACGGTTGGTGGTCACCAATACCTGTATTTCTCATCAGACGACAAAGTTTGGCTTCGGCCCTATAGTTTTTCGCCGCCGCCGCCCCCGAAATAGACTCTGGACGCGCTTGGCATCCTGATTGAGCGAACCAAGCATGGACACCACACCAAAACGTTACGCGTCAATCGTAGTCCTGGGGCAATCCCAAATGTTCGATCCACGGGTGTCAAGCAGCAAAGCCTAGAAGATTTGGATTTCTTCCGGTGTTGCATCGTTTCCATCACGACGACTCGCCCTGTGGATCTATTTACTGCACTCACCTGAGAAGCAGCCGATATAATTCACGCGTGTTTACGGAAGGAAGCATCAAGTCGTGGAACGTGTCATCATCGAGCTAAGCTGAGCATCTGAAACATCTCTCGGGTGATATCCCCATTCATTGTACTTCGCGGATGAGGACCCAGAGCCGGCCGGCCGCAATCGTCTCGTATGATCACCATCTGATGAAATATAATAAGCAAGATGGGCATGGGCGGACACCACAAGGAGGACACGATCACAATGACTACAAAGGCATACACACTAGACAGTACAGGACTACAGTGGATTTTCAGAGCATGCGGATGCTTGTATGTACAGACGGGTTATTCGGAAGAGAGTTCCCTATTATAAAAAAACAATAGTCATGAGCGGCGAGCTCAGAGTGGTTTAGTGGAAGATAGTTAAGCAAACGAAACCAACAACCACCCAGTAGTATTCTCTCTCTCCTCCCTCACACCCAGTGCGACCGTTGAGATTTCCGAAGCCCCCTAGAATCCTGGCGTCCCTCTTCCATCTCCCACCACTCTATCCAGTCCAGTGGTCTGTTCGTTGTACTACTGTACTGCTGTAATTCGATCTCAATTATTACAGATCCTCTTTCTTTTGCCTTTGAATGGCTCTTGTTTCTCTCCGGAGCAGTGGAACATTGGGAATTGAAAGATTTGCATTGCTGTGAATCAAAGACAAGCAGCGCCTCCTCTCCACCACATTACGCGTCGCGTGGAGTTGCATCACACACTCGTTTTCGAAAAACTGGTACCACATTCACCCGCCGTCTTACCATCCACTACTTGGCCGCCGTATTGTCTTCCACTTCCGACCTTCCAAGTTCTCTCATCACCGGCGCCACGTCTGCTTGTCACCTGCTGGTCATTCATTCGCTCGAAGCGTTTCTTCTGTTCGGATTCATCCACGTTACGCTGCTCGTTGCAATACCACATTCGCTCAGCAGTCTCGGCTTTCTGTCATCGCGGGACGCGTTGTACAATACCCGCATCCTTTGATCGCGCCGACAGCAACGGCTTTCTGCAGTCACACTCGCTTTTGTCTGCTCGAAATTACCACATCGCTTCGATTGCAGCGTAGGAAGCAGCTTTCTCCCGAGCAGACTGACTCGCCCTTGCCAGCGCCCCTCAGAGGGTTGCCGCCATAATAGTAATACCGCCCATCATGGCGTTCCGAATGTCGACGTACTCGAATGCTTCGGCAGGTCCTCGAACAAACACCATGCAGCAGGCCTCTTCGCAGCAGGTCTCCACCACTACACTCCTGAACGCGCTACACAGCGCATACACCTCTGGCACAGCCTATCCACTCGAGTCCAGCACCAGCTTGGTCGTCAATACATGGCTCACTGGCACTTCAGCTGGGATTGATGGTCGGTATGGCGGCACTGTCGATGTTGAGCTCGCACGGAGGGCCTGGGAGCACGCCAGACGAAGAGCAGAAGATGGATGCATAATTCTCGGGTAGGTCGAAATGCATATCGGCCGTGAAGAACAACCCAATACTGACTTTCTCGCTTGAAGCTCCCTACACCACTCGACACCTTCGCTTTTTGCCGCATTTGTTTCTGCCTTGCCACTTTCTCTGCCAGGCACCTACTACACTGCTCTCAATGCTTTACGACCATTCCTCCACTGTGTCACGCCCTTTAACCCTGCCTTCCCACGATTCTCTGCTTTTGCAGGTGTCTTCTCTCTCACCCTCACAGGCGACGTGAACGGCGCCACACTCAGTCTCTCCACCTCTGGCATTGATACCAAGGCAGGCCTTTTGGATGTTCCTGCTGAGCCAGGCTACAGAGCCTTTGATGTTTTCTACTATCTTCTCGAATCACAATCAGAGCAAGAGCGAGAATACCTGGGTCTGAAATCGGCACACGAATACTCCTTGCTTCGCAAATCGGAAACATATGGCACTCCGGCCTACCTCCCGACTGCCGATGATGCGGCTGCCGCGGAAGACTTCCGAGAGTCGCTCAAGGCTATCGGAATCAAAGGAAAATCGCTCCGCAGCTTACTTGCTGTACTCGCTGCTATCCTGCGCCTTGGTGATGCCCTGGGATTCTTCGTAGACCAGGAGGAGCTCGAAGCCACTTGCGACGAAGTAAGCGAGCTTTTAGATCTCGAGCCGGAAGTTCTCGCGCAGAAGTGTGCCACTGAAGAGCGAGAAGTACTTATCGCAGCCCTGTACGAAGCAGTGGTTGATTGGGTCCTTCTGCAAGCCAACGACGCTATCCGGCATGATATCCGTACTGGTAGATCTTTAGGCTCCGGCACCGACAGCGATGCTGGTGCTGCTACTCCGCCCAGCAGCCACGAGGAGGAAGACAGTGTCAGCATCACCGTGGTGGAAATTCCTGCCCAAAACCTGGGAAAAGCCACGACTTTGAAGACTGTCTTCGACGACAGTGTTGGTATCAATGCAGAGATGAAGGCGGATGGCGTTCCGGTGGCGCCCGCTGGGTCGTCAGTGCTTCGCGAAATGAAGGAAGCAATCTCGGCGAGCGGTCCGGATCTTGGAATTTCAAGCGGTCCCCTAGGACACGAGCACGAGTCTGCTTTGGATCGACGACAAGGTTTACTTGAGAAGATCGGAGCGGAGGCGGATGGCGAGAGCTTTCTGCATCGCATCCTCTATCCCATCTCTGGTGAAGGTATCGTGCTTGGTAAGCACGCGCGAGTGTCTCTTCCTGCAACCTTGGCCAGCAGTCGTGTATGGTTCCAGCTCTGCCTGCACCCAAGTGATGAGGCTCCAGCTCAATTTGCCAATCTTTCTCCGCAAAGTTCCCCGTGGTCCGCGGGATCAGTCTCCAGCCAGATTCGCTCGTGGAGGTTGCCCGAGTGGGCTAACTTTCGCAACAAGCAATTAGATTTCACTGCAGACTTCGATTACGATGAGTTTGCAGATCGCTATCGACCGCTTGGTTGCATGGATGGCCGCGATGGCATCGAAGCATGGGTCACCGGGCGTGGCTGGAGCAATGGTGAAGTTATCCTCGGAACAGAAAGACTTTGGTTGCGTGAGATCGCCTGGTGGGAGGCCGAGAGCATGCTCGATATGAAGCCTGCAGGCGAGATGACGAGTGGAAGCTTACTCGGCGGTCCTTTCGCCACACCTGGGATGGAAAGCACTTACTCCCTCAACGCACCCGCAGGCACCGAAGCAGGCTACTTTGACGAAAGCAAAGACAATTTACTCCTCGGCGACCGCGCAAGTCGCATGGCTCCCAGCCGCCTGGGTGCACGCTCTCTAGCACCGACAATGGCCAACACTGTACGGAGCGTCAGCGGTGGCGACTATGGTCTTGGAAGGAAGGGCGACGACAAACGCAACTTCATCTCCTACGATGGCGAGGTGGATGGCGAATTCACGGAAGGCAAGGAAGTAATCGTGGAGAAGACAACATTCGGCCGTCGCGTGTGGGTAGCAGTCGTTTGGGCGCTGACCTTCTGGATCCCTTCGCCATTGCTCAAATACGTCGGCCGTATGAAGCGACCCGATGTTCGCATGGCCTGGCGAGAAAAGCTTGTGCTGGTCTTTTTGATTGCTCTTTTGAACGCGCTCGTCGTGTTTTACATCATTGAGTTCGGTCGCCTACTATGTCCAAACTTCGACAAAGCCTGGAGCCCAGCCGAGGTCGGTTACCACAATACTGACACCGACTACTGGGTTTCGTACCGTGGCAGTGTCTACGACCTCAGCAAATTCTGGCGTTTGCAGCATTCGGACACCAACATCGAGACCAATGCTCAAAACATGAAACCGTTTGCCGGCACCGACGTGTCTGGGTATATCGTGCCACCTCTTTTCATCGCCTGTCCTGGTTATGTCTCTCACGACTCTTACATCAAGCTCACGCCCAACGCCACGTTGGAGTATCTCTCGATCGCCAACCACGATTCTGGAAACAACACGCTCTTCCGCACCTCCGCCCTACTGCGCGAAGACTGGTACCCGAATGTCTTCTTGCCCAAGATGAAGGAATTCTTCAAAGGAAAACTCGTCTACGAACAAAACGTTGTCCATGACCAAGGTGTCAATGATAACCACCCATGGGTGATCATCAACGGAAAGATCTACGATCTCACAGATTACTTCAACACCCTGAAGTTGATGAACAATCTAGCCCAGTATGCATTCTTACCCGACGATGTCAAAAATCTGATCCAGTCCAACCCTGGTCTCGACATCACGGACGATTGGAACAACAAACTGAACCAAACCACTCGGATCAACGCCTTGAACTGCCTCAACAATGTCTTCTACGTGGGAGATGTTGATTTTCGCAAGACCGCTCGGTGTCAAGTCCAGAATTATATCCTGCTTGGCTTCACTATCCTTATTTGCGCTGTTATCGGCATCAAATTTTTGGCAGCCCTGCAATTGGGTTCTAAGCGACGTCCGGCTCAGCAGGATAAATTCGTCATCTGTCAAGTCCCTGCATACACTGAGGGTGAAGACTCCCTGCGAAAGGGCCTCGACTCGCTTACAGCACTGGCTTACGACAACAAGCGAAAGCTCATCTGTGTCATTTGTGACGGCATGATTGTTGGTGGCGGTAACGATCGCCCAACCCCTAAGATCGTCCTCGACATCCTCGGCGTGGACCCCAAGACGGATCCGCCAGCCCTTCCATTCAAATCAATTGGTGTGGGTAGCGAACAACTCAACTACGGCAAGGTCTATTCTGGACTCTACGAGTACGAAGGCAATGTCGTCCCCTACATCGTGGTGGTCAAGGTTGGCAAAGAGACAGAGCAGACCAAGTCCAAGCCCGGTAACCGTGGTAAGCGTGATTCCCAGATCATGCTTATGAGCTTCTTGAACCGCGTGCACCACCGATCTCCTATGAGCCCACTGGAGCTTGAAATGTTCCACCAAATCAACAACATCATCGGAGTGGACCCAGAACTTTACGAATACCTCTTCATGGTCGATGCCGATACCAAAGTCAAAGAAGACTCTTTGAACCGTCTTGTTGCTGCATGCGCGAACGACGCCGGCATCGCAGGTATTTGTGGTGAAACTTCACTTGAAAATGAAGAGGGCAGTTGGTGGACCATGATTCAGGTTTATGAATACTACATCTCGCACAACTTGGCCAAAGCATTCGAAAGTTTGTTCGGCAGTGTCACCTGTTTGCCTGGATGGTATGTACCGGATCCCGTTTTCTCTCTGACGTTCATTGCTAACGTCACATTTTAGTTTCACCATGTACCGACTTCGCACCGCTGACAAGGGTCGTCCTTTGATCATCTCCGACAAGCTCATCGAAGCCTACGCCGACAACAACATCGACACTCTGCACAAGAAGAACTTGCTGTCTCTAGGTGAAGATCGTTACCTCACGACTCTCATGATCAAGTACTTCCCACAGATGTCCTACAAGTATCTCCCAGATGCATACGCCCTCACTGAAGCACCCTCCACCTGGAGTGTGTTGCTGTCTCAGCGTCGTCGATGGATTAACTCCACCATCCACAACTTGGCGGAAATGATCTGGATCGACCACTGCGGTTTCTGTTTGTTCAGTATGCGCTTCGTCGTCATCCTCGATCTCTTCGGTACTCTGATCTTGCCCGCCACGCTTGCGTACTTGGTATACCTGATCTACACTGTGGCATCACACACCGGTCCACTGCCATTGATCTCCTTGATCATGATAGGTGCTGTGTATGGTCTGCAGGCGATCATTTTCATCGTCAAGAGACAGTGGCAGCACATTGGTTGGATGATCATTTACATTATGGCCTACCCGATCTGGTCATTGATTCTTCCGGTTTACTCGTTCTGGAAGCAAGACGATTTCTCATGGGGTAACACTCGTATCGTCATCGGCGAGAAAGGTGACAAACAGCTTGTGGCCGTTGATGATGAGGGCTTCAACCCTCGATCTATCCCGCTTCAACGCTGGGACGACTATGCCCTCGTCAACAATCTTCCCGGACGTCGTGGTATTCCACAAGAGAAAGACGGCTTCATGGAGATGTATGCCGATGCCCCAGGTCCAGGCTATGAGATGGATGATATGCACTCGGTGTACTCGTCAGGTCACCCGGCGTCAACCATCCTTACCGGCTTCCCTACACAAAATCAAGCTTTCCGCCCACCACAATCGCCTGGACCATACAATGCGATGCAGCCAGCTAACCGCCAATCGACTCTCTCTCACCTGTCTCGTTACACAGACAACCCGGCTGTAGCAACGGACCAACAGCTCCGTGGCTCACGAGTAATGTCTTCCGGCAACCTCAGTGAACACTTCGCAGGCACCACTCCCCGCAACCGATCGGTCGACAACCTCCTCCAAGCCGGCGCCCAAACCCCTCCCGTGTACGGAGGGCACCAAAGCATGACCTTCAACCGCTCGAGCAGCGCCCTCGGCCTCCAGGGCTTCCAGACCCAGGGCCCCACCAACGAGGCCATCACCCTCGCCATCCGCGAATGCCTGGCCGAGGTCGACCTCGATAATGTGACCAAGAAACAACTCAAGGCGCTCACGGAGCAGAAACTGCAGTGCCAGTTGGGCCCCGAAAAGCAGCGCTTCTTCGACCTCCAGATCGACGCCGAGTTGGCGAATACGTTTTAGATAGATTTTCTGTCCTGATGTGGCCTTGTATGTTTTATTCTTTCACCTTCTTTTCATCCTTTTTGGACATTTTGTTCCAAACGGCCACGGGAAAAATCTCTCTCTGTTCATTCTATTGCGATCTTTGCTCGGCCGCCCTGCAAAGATCCTCTTGTTTCTGTGTCCCTCTCTCTATCTGGTTCGAAATCTTTCACAAAGGTGGTGTATGGAGTACATACTATCTGTCGTTTTTTATATTGCTCTTCTGATTCTAATGAAACAAATGACAATTACTGGAATGAGATCGATCGATACCTTGATACGATGTGAATTCCGAACCTGATATGTTTTCTCCAAACTCCTTTTCGGTGTTCCAGGCGCTCTGTCATCACCAGCACCAAGTCGGGCAGCGCACGGACCACACGTGGACACATCTTGACATCAAATGCCTGAAGTGTTTGTCGAGTAAGATCAACTGTACTTGAGACTACAACAAGATGTTTCAGCATCTTCGTGTATGCATGGCCGCGACACATCGACCTTGAAAAGTCCGATCGTGGATGTCTTGAAAACCGACCATGTCGTTCTCTTTTCGCGCTCGCGGCAAGGGAATGTGTCTAATCTTTCAATTCAAGGCGACTTCCTGATCACAATATGCGCTGGCGCTTCGAGGTCTGAAAACGCTTTGCTTCTATTTTTTCTCGATGCCGCGCGACGACGTGTATTGAGTAACTCCCATGTTTCATTTGTGAGATTCCAACCCGCGGCGCGTATATGTCCTTTGATGATCACATTCGATGTCTCCGCGAGGACACATAAGTAGTCAATGATGGCGCGATTAGGAAGATCAATTCAACAACAACAAACCTCAATTTTGAAAACTCCATCTACTCCGATATCGATCTGCGATCATGTCGTTCCCCCTTTCGCTCAAATCCGTCGCCTTGGGTGCTATTCTTGCCATCACCGCATCAGCTGGACTGATCAAAAAGGCAGAGTCCGTCCCTGCGCATGTCTGTTCTACACAGACCATCAGCAAGGGGGATGACTGGACACATCTGGCGAGCAGATGTGGCATTACCCCGGAACGTCTCCAGATCTTGAATCCACTGACGAACCCTACCAAGCTCCTCCTCGACCATTGGGTCTGCTGCAGTGAAGGCACTCTGCCAGACCACAGCTATATGACCGATCCAACAGGGACATGCAAGACCCAGACCGTCAGCAAGGGAGACACATGCGAGAAGCTCGCCGGCCGATGTGGCCTTGAGTCAACACAGCAATTCCGTGCTTTCAACCCGTACATCACCGAGCAGTGCAGTAATCTCTCCGTCGGACAGCTGGTCTGTTGCAATCCTGGGAAGCTGCCGCAGATCAGCATCGAGGCAAACCTGGACGGAACTTGCAGGCCCACGACCGTTGCTCCGGGAGAAACCTGCGAGGCGCTGGCGAAGAAATGTGGACTTGCGTCGCTCGATCAATTCCTCGGTCTCAAGCAGCCGAATTTGAAGTGCGAGAGTCTTGCCGCGGGACAGCAGGTCTGCTGCTCGAAGGGAAACCTATCTCCTTCGCCTGGTTCTGCCCCAAATTCGCACAATGCTCCTCCGCCTGATCCTGCCGCCGGCTCGCACAACGCTCCTTCGCCAGATTCTGCCTCCAACTCGCACAATAGTCCTGATCAAGGCGATCGTCCAAATAAAAACTACAAGGGACAGACCTGTGAGCAGTAAGTTCTCTGCAAGCGATCGATTAGAATCTAGTCTTGCCGTGTGTATTGCCCTCTACACTCATACTCTCACTGACCACGCTCAACACAGAACTCTTGCCAGGGCTGGCGATGACTGTAGTGCAATTGAAAAGGCATTCCACATGGACCCAGGCTCGTTGGACACAATAAACCAGGATTATGAAAATAAGAACCATCCTCTAACACCTTCCTGGAAGGGATGCAACAATATCGTACAAGGGCAACTCATCTGTCTGACCATCTCATGTTACTCATTTGAGAGTTGCACTAAATAGGCTGCAGGAGAATGTTCGGTGTATCGTGTTTCAGGCGCCCATCGAAAATAAGACGAAGAATCGGCTCTCTGGTTGAACGAAAAAGATGTGCCTCTCATCAGTCGCATACCGTGGCACACATGTATCCCCAAGCCAATTGTTTCTGGATATGAGATAACCCTCCATGATTATTGCTCGGCGCCACCATGTATGCTCCAGACAAGTGCCTCTTTTTCACACAGCGCCATGATGCCCTCGAGACCTCTTGCAAGACCATCCCACACAATCCGACCAGAAGCGGAGGTGGATCTCCGGGCGATGCTGCATGGTACCATTTTGGAAATTCGGGTACGCGAAGTCGCGGAAGTTGCAGGACCCATCAGAGCTTGCAAAGGTACCGACGGGTGTATCTTCATGGCAGATAGCAGGCCGAATTTGATCTGCCTACAACACGCTTTTGATCCATCAACAACACAGGCTGGTATACTGTTGTGCATAGACGTTGAAGCTATAGTAGCTTCCGCAATATATATAAGATACACAAGTTATTCAAGGCTCGAGGCTGTTTCATTTTAAGCAAGCAGCTTTAATTGAGAACACGCGGATTCCATCGGAAACACGTAGAGTTTACACGTGGATTTCATCGCAGATACGTGGGTTTTGTGAAAATCATAATTTCGTACGAAAAGCAAGCTTTAGTCTAGAGCGGGAGCTATTGTAGCTTTAATGTCTTCTGACATCAATCCACAACAGGGTAGTAGACATGGTCGTGGACATATCGAAAGCAGGCCGAGTCATTCGCACAAACTTCGAAATACGGGAACTTTTAGGTTCATGCGACTTTCTTCCGCGACGCGTGCAGTCTTGAATGTATAGTGATCAACATATCACATCCAGAGCGCCATTGCGATAGTCAGACCAGCGATGAGAAGCGAGGATCGGCCAGAAAGTGTCGAGGCCGCGCTGAGATTGTATGGCGCGAAGGATTCGCATTTTCCTTTGCTGCCTTGGATGTAGGGGTAGGCGTCGTCGAGCGAGAAGCTGCGAAAACCACCGGGAGAACTTTGACAACGTCCACCCTCCGCGGTCTGGCAGGAAAGAGAGAAGTATGGTTTGGCATCGAGGCAATTGCGGCCTTCGAAGACCCTCACCTCCCGCCCTCCATTCATACCCTCACCGACACCGGTGATATTCGTCGACTTGATCCAGACGCCGGTGTAGTTCAAGTTCGACTGGTAGAGCTCTCGCCCGGCGAGGGTGTAGTTCACACCCGAGAATGGAGGTGGAAGGTCGTTGCTGGGGCTCCCAGACTTCCTTCCAGTATCGTTTCCTTGAGTGAAGAGCTCGTCGATGTTGAAGCAGACGTTATCGACGTTGTAGCTTGGAGTCGTGAAGGAGATGGATGATGCAGGTTGACCTCCCCCGTTTGCGCAATTCCCATTGGCTCCGAAGAACGCGATGGTCAAATTGTTCCTGATGCCAAATAAGCCATTGCCATTACAACATCACTATTTGAATGGCCTTACCCAACGTAGTTGCCGAAGGAGTTGACATCGCTGTTGCCTTGAGCAAGAGCATACAGTTTCTGATGGGATAAACCGCAAGAAGGGATGATAAGACCTGGAACTTCATGTTTGGGTCTGCAAGTCTTTTGCGATCGCCGAGGAGCTGTGTTGACGGATGCGAAATGATCACTGTCACGAAAAGCGGTCGACTTGAGATCTTGGGATGGTGAATTACGCGAAGAGGAGATAGTCGTGCGTTTGAGAAGACGGAAAATCAAGGGAAATAATTTGAAGAGAAGTAGCCGCTCGTTATTTAACACGCCAGAGGGGAATCTCGATCCACACGCTCCCTGAGCGATGGAATTTGTCCGAGCGTCGTTGGGACATGATATCACTGATAATTTCAACATGAGATGACGATGTGTATGCCTATCACTGCTTGTTGATCGGGCTCGCTGATGCTTGGTATGGCATCGAATGTGACGTTGAATCACCAACATCTGCAGGATGTCCAGCTGTGCCGCCTTCATCGCTCCAGCTGTGCCGTCGTCGTCACCTTGTGTACGGTCTGTGCGCCAAAGATCTGCATGACATTGCTGCTGCTTGGCTCTTGGCTCTGCGAGAAGGCGCCGAGCCAAGACAGACCGTGTCGAGATAGTCCGAAAAGGCAGGCTGTGTCATGCCCTGATAGGTCAGAATCTGCCGCTTCTCGGAAAGTGTGGTGTAGAGACCTATCCTACTTCCGCTTCCCGAGCCTTGGGCGCGCCTTCGAAGCATATCGGAATGCTTGGATTGGGGTAGGCGACCGTAGTTTTCCGCCGCTCTCGCTCCATTCAATTCTGGCCCCATATGACGCGCTGGTGATCCACCAGCAACGTGTGACGGCAGGGAGAATGCGATTTGCGAATTTCCTGACAGCTCGAGGCAGAATATCTAAGCTTTACACGCGCTTCCAATGACCATGCCATGGCCAACAACATGGCCCACAACATCATCTCGAATGTCTGTCAACATCAAGGGAATTATCTTGGCTGAAGATACCTCTCTCCGTACGCTTCACTAATGGAGGGTCGCATTAGCATCACGCGCGCTGGAGACGCCGAAGCGAAGCTGATACAGGTATCGGTCAATTCGGACGGGGTGCCCCGACGGCTTGACTAGTATGAGTGATGAGAATACTCTTTACGCTTTACTCTTCGGATACGTGTTTATCTTATCTTTTAAGGGATACATCGGGAATAGTTGAATAGCCAATAGGTAAGCATCGCAATCCTGTTCTTTTCAATGTAAAAAGGTGAAACTATGGTATGGCTCGTCACAAAAATTAATCGATGCCTGTAGGTCATTCGGGCGTGTTGCCAATTCAGCACTCTGCTAAACATGGCTTCAGTACTTGTCATCACAACAATCGATGAGGACCCTTCGATTTAAGCGAACTTAATTGCATGAATTTCTGCCGGAAGCGTCAACGTGTATCCACTCCATACGTTCAGGCGATGCATGTGCTGTGTGCGGCACGATCCTTACATCTTGTTGGCCAACCTCATCGCCACGTTTGTTGGACATAAGACTTTCAGAAGACATGCCCGCCTTTTCGTAACAAGTTGAGCTTTTATGCCATCGAACCTACTATGTCATTGGAATTCCGATTTATGATTCGATCAACTGTTAGTGGAGCCCAAGACAGACTCTTGGGCAGACGCTTGTTTGTAGATCATTGTGAGACCTCATTCGCCATTATATAGTACAGTACACGAGTAAGCACTATTCAAATTCGATCTCGCACGAAAAGAGTGTCTCCGACAAACCTAAGAGTCGCAACTAAATGTGAGATCAATATCGATGACGCGACAAAACAGACCGGTCGATCACTGTTCGCCTGTAACACGGGGTCTCAACTTGACTCATCAATGCTGGACTCTTTTGTTGTTTCAAGTCAAGATGCCATGTGTCCAAATACGCCAGACAACTTGTAAGAAAGCTATCAGCCAGGTTCCTGTAGTGTGGTGGATGCACTCCGTAGAACCATGTCAACATCCCGCGCCACGGAGAGCCTGCTTTGCAGACTCAAGCGCTTTCATATGCTCCGGTACCCTATCAGAATTGAGAGTTAGCCTTGTGACATGCTGTAGGCCATTGTAGAGTATCTCAGCAGCATCGGAAACATACCCTTTGATCGCTGCGAATCGTCTCAGGGCATCGTCCAGCTGTTCTTCCGTGCGAAATGCAAGCGCCTTCTCAGAGCTGAAAACATCATAGCTCTTCGCCACATTCGCTGTGTTAGGGCCTTTCTCAGATATCTGATCTTGTTCGAGGCCAAGAAATTCTGCAAGCGTCGAGAGACGCTTACCCCCGGAGGTTTTGGTCTCCTTTCCTTTAACTATCTCCATGTCTTTGAGACGCAATTCATAGTTCACACGCGCAGTATCTTTTCCGAACGGGACGATCTTCGTGAGCTCGTCATAGGCCTTGATACGAGCGTCCCTTGCGGTTCTTGCGTCACGACTGGCTTGATCTTCGTGTTCCTGTCCGCCAATCTTTTCGGCGTCTGCGTCTGCTTTCGCAGCGGCTTGACGATCCGACTCCCTCTGTTCACGGTTCGCCTCCAAATAGTCTGCGCCTTGGGAGATTGGGTTGCCAGCTCGAGCGAGGCAGTCGTAAAAGTCTCCAACACCAGGCATGAGCCGTTCAACATCGATGTTGCCATTGATGGTTCCGCCCTTGAAGCCATTGATACGCCCTATCATGTCATTCAAATTTCTTGCTGTTTGGTCGGTAAACTTGAATGGTGTAGCATTCGAATGTCTGGGACGGCCCTCGAATATTGACACGGTCGGCCGGCCCGTCCTCTCGTTCGGAGATTGCTCCCAAACGTACGATAGAAATTCATCGAAACTGCAACGACCATGGACACCACGACATCCCGGCGCGATGGTCGGTGCGACTCCGAGATATCCCTCGGCCAGATAGCTGGAGTAGTATAGGATCCTGTCGAGATGTCAAAGGAAAATCCCAACTGAAGAGACTTAGCCTATATACCTCTCTGTCGAGCCTCTCTCCGCTGTCGCGAGTCCTTGTATGACCAATTGGGAGAGACACAGAAGTACCGGAATGGCAAAATACCTCATGTTTTCCAACCAGGCCTGCCCCTTGAGTTTCCAGTGAGTGAGACGTGTGCTGCATGCGAAAGAATCGGTAAAAGGGTGATGGCCTACTCAACGGCAAGGATGAGACTTTCACCGGCGTAATGTATAATTTTGACTTTAGAATATCTTGATTCTCGCTGATATGACCTACTCTTATATGCAAGACAGCGATGAGATGAGCGGAGAGTTTGTTTCACGGTACTTGGCTGCTCGAAAGGGAACGATTGCCCTTCTCACTACTAGCAGTTTTGAGCAGCACAGTAGCTTCGCAAATGAACGACTAATCATTCCGCACGATAGCTGCCTCGAAACATCTTCGGAGATTTGCGCAGACATTTCTGCCGTCCTGAAGTGGTTGAGTGAGGATTCTGGTTGGCTACTTCCTCCCGTTCAGATGCGCGCGAAAGAGTGTTGGGCCGCCGGTGTTGTGGTAAGCGCTGAAGGAAGCATCAAAATGCCGAAACACTGATTCAGAACATTTCCCGCGTTGGCTAGAGGGCGATGCTGCGAGCTCAAGTGGCGCCAACAGTCGGCTTTTCAGGCATGATTCTGGCCGTTGATGTTGCATGCACGCGCGGAAGCGTCTGACACCGAGGCCTAAACCCTCAAGGGCCACCGACGCCGGCAGGAACACGCGACGGCGCGAAATCGGGGCTTCCATTTGGCTGGAATGGCCCGAAGGTCTTGCCGGCATGCAAGGGCGGGACTGCCCCTTGACGCGTGCGGGGCCGCCTCTGAGTGGTGGACGTCCCCTGCAATTACTTGCGGGAAAACTTGTGACGGGAAACGCTGCAACCAGCCTCTCATCTCGAAGCCTCGCTCTTGAATACGTTCGCGCTTCAGTATCGCGAATTGCAATCCGGCGTTGACTGCTAGATGCCGGTCCTCCCCCGGGCGGCACGATGTGGTGGCACAGAGCTTCGAAACTGTCCGGCTCCCACCATGGGGCTTCTGATACTGCGGCACGGGCCCCTGCAATCACTTTGTTGTGATCTTGCTGCAGAAGACACTCACGATCTCGCCGGGAGTCAGAGCAACGTACCGATGAAGGCAACCTGCAACGGGTGCTCCAACATACACCATACCCGAGCCCGTCAAGATGCATTTCGACGTCAAAGTGGGCACATATATATACATCTCTCAATACAGACACCCAGCCCGCATCAAGCACACCCCCTTCTTTCGGATCTCGCACTCCCAATTTACCACTGAATCATTTTCCTGACGGCTCGGAAGTCCATGTGGTCCTTCATATGCCTGTGCCTCTTGGCCACTAACGTGCTCGCTGTTGGACATCGGTCATCGAGGTTGTTCGTCAGAAATGATTGCCCGACGCAGACTGTGAATGCCGGGGACGGTTGCAGCTCGCTTGCTCGAAAGTGCGGCATATCCGATCAAGATTTCTTGCGATACAATTCGAACTCGAACTTGTGCTCGTCTTTGCAGCCTGGTCAACTGGTGTGCTGCGGGCAAGGCACTACACCCGATAACAGCCCGAAGGCCAACCTCGACGGCACATGTCGAACTCAGACTGTAGCCTCCGGTGATGGCTGCAGTTCAATGGTATCAAAATGCAAGATCACAGCGCAGCAATTCACTCAATATAATTCAGACGCGAAGCTCTGTTCTACTTTAGCTGCTGGACAGCGAGTGTGTTGTTCTCCGGGAACGCTGCCTGACATCCGACCTAAGCCGAACCTTGACGGGTCATGTTCCAGGTATGTCGCTGACATTGCACGCGAGGCATAGTGGAGTGTTCTTCTGATCACTCGTGGCGCCGGATCATCTTTCCCGGATCATGACTGACGATCTTACTTCGTAGCTACGTTGTTCAGAATGGCGATACATGCTCCGCAATTGCCGCAGCTCACGGCTTGGTGTTGACAGACCTCGACAAGTTCAACGACAAGACTACTTGGGGTTGGTCGGGGTGTGACCAGCTCGGAGCGCAACAAGCTATTTGTCTTAGTCAAGGCTCCCCTCCAATGCCCCAACCTCTCAGCAATGCTGTCTGTGGTCCACTTGTTCTTGGATCGAAGCCTCCGTCCCCGGGATCGAGCCTTGCAGACCTCAATCCCTGCCCACTCAATGCGTGCTGCACCCATTGGGGTCAATGCGGTATCACGCCTGAATTCTGTACCCCTGCGACTGGACCCCGTGGTAACCCGGGCACGGCTCCTAGTCATCAAAACGCTTGCATCAGCAACTGTGGCACTAGTATCGCAAACAATGCTGCGGGACCGAAATCTGCGACTACAATCGGATATTACGAATCCTGGAACAGTGCAAGACCGTGTCTCAACATGCGAGTTTCGTCGATTGATACCGACAGGTACACGCATATCCATTGGGCCTTTGCAACTGTTGATGATAGCTTTGACGTTGCGATCAACGATAGCTCTAATCAGTGGGCTGATTTCACTAAGCTCCAGGGAAGTAGGAAAATAATCAGCTGTGAGTATCGCTCCGAAAGTTCCCGCGACTCTAGATCTCACTGACATCGCTTAGTTGGTGGTTGGGGATTCTCCACAGAGCCGGAGACTTACGACAAATTACGTCAAGCAATGAGCCCTGCCCATGTGAACGTTTTCGCGAGAAACATTGTGAATTTTATTAGCAAGAACAATCTCGATGGTGTCGATATTGACTGGGAGGTGAGTGATCTCCAGCCGTCGTAGGATCACGTCTTACTGAATGGTTGCAGTACCCTGGTGCCCCAGATATCCCAGGCATTCCGCCAGGCCTGCCCTCCGATGGTCCAAACTATCTTGCGTTCTTGAGGACACTCAGATATATCCTGCCCCGGGACAAATCTATTTCCATCGCGGCTCCAGCATCGTATTGGTACTTGAAACAATTCTTGATCGCGGAGATGTCTGAGACGCTAGACTACCTAGTCTACATGACATATGATTTACACGGACAGTGGGATTACAACAACAAATGGAGCCAAGATGGCTGTCAGTCCGGCAGTTGTTTAAGAAGCCATGTCAATCTTACCGAGACCAACTTCGCATTGGCCATGATCACGAAGGCTGGCGTGCCGTCGAGCAAGATCGTCGTCGGTCTGTCGTCCTACGGCCGATCTTTCCGGATGAGCGATCCAAACTGTGCAGGGGCCGATTGCACATTCCAAGGTCCTGAGTCTACTGCTATCGCGGGCGATTGTACCGGAACTCCTGGCTATATATCGAATGCTGAGCTTCTGTCACTTCAAGACGGTGAGAAACGAGAACTCAATTAATTTATAATGTGCAGCTCTAACATCGGCTTAGATGATATAATCAAGTCGTATTATGATACTGATTCCAATTCCGACATCATGATCTACTACCAGGATCAATGGGTTGCATACATGACAGATACGACGAAAGCTAGTCGCACAGGATATTACAAAAGTCTGAACTTTGCTGGCACCGTCGATTGGGCCATCGATCTCCAAGACTTTTACGTGTCGGATGGAGATGGCGATGATGAAGAGAATCTACCACCAACCGATCCTCTTCCAAGCTGCGACGGACACTTCAACACCATTGAAGATTTGGATGCCGCTGCAGGATCTCTGCCTCAGAATTGCAAGGCTTTTTATACCCTTCAGACGCTCCACAATGTCCTGGACGACTCTATCAAGAAATACAAGGATCTGATGTAAGTGTTCTCGCAAATGATTCAGCATTCACCAGGACGCTGTAAAGAGAACATCTCTGACAGATATAGGAATGGCGGCTACGACGACAAATTCAAGACCTATGCTTCGTCCGTGGCGGACTCGGCTGGTAAAAGCATTCAAAATTTCATGGAAAAACACGGCAACGATTACTTCTCCTGCATCGTTACAGAGCCTACCTTGTGTTGTGCATCATGCAAAGATGAGGCCACAGGTTGGGGCGATCCTTGCGCCCGTTGTTTTACTGGCGACAAATGCAGGAGACAAAGCAACGGCGCCAGGCGCGATATGCAAGGCCGATCAGCTCTGGAAAGTGATTTCTCCAACGTCACGTCGAGCTTTGGTCCTAGCGACATCACTGTTGTCAACAGTGTCTTGTCCCAGCGCGGCGATGGTGGCCCGCCTAACTCAGTACCAAGTCTCAAGTACGTCAAAGTCGCTGAACCGTGCCCTCCCGACTATTCGCAGCGCGGCAAAAGTCAAAGCACCACGTGGGACCAGAGTGTTTCATGGACACTCCGAGGCGACCAGTCCGACAAGTTTTTCGCCGATCTTCTGGGAGACACTGGAATCCCGAAGAGCAAGATCAAATTTGGAACCAACAATCGTGTCAACAGTTGTCAGCCTTGGTTGCGCGAGAATGACGGAAATCTTTGTTGGAACTATGGCTATGACTTCAACTACCCGCAACCTAACGGCTATGGCGCTGGCGATGTTTCGAATCCGAAGGCCGTCGTACAAAAAGCTCTCGAATCGTCGAATAATATACAACAGCAACTCTCTAATGCGCTCACAAAGGTCAAGTTACAAGCTTATTACGCGGACGAGTGGGAGCTTGTCGATGCCGTGAGTATTCCCGTCTTGCTCATTGCCCATGCAATCGAAGAGATGAATCAAGTTGAAGAAATCGCCGACAAGATTGATGAACAAAAGAAGAAAGCACTTATTCTGGCGTTTATTGGTGCGATTCTATTCTTCATCCCCATCGCTGGAGAGGTTCTTGGCAGCGTGGTGGAGGTCGGCGACCTGGCGGCCATTCTGACGCTTGTTAGCGCGGCGGGAGATGTTGCAACGGGTGTGTACAGCATTGTCGATGATCCCCAGAATCCGCTGCTCGGTATCATGCAGATTGTCCTGGCGCCATTGGCTCTGGCAAATGTTGGTCAGGTGGCCAAGGCAGCGAGCATTCGTCGCGGAATGAGCGATGATGATATTCTCAAACTTGGGGGGAAACTCGCAGCAAGTATGAGCACGATCAAGAAGGTCGCTGCGGCGTGTAAAAGGTAGCCAACGGCAGTGGAGATTAGATTGTTCCGATACCGTTCATCACCATCATCTATTGCCTGTGTGCGACGAGCTCAACATAACGCTGCCGTGCGATTCGGTGCACATTGTCGAGGAAAACGTAATTCCATGTGACCTTCGTCAAGTAGCTGTAACCATGGTGTTCACAGGTTTGCGCTGGAACCAAGGTGTTCAAAGATTTGCTTGAGCGGTAAATTTACATTCAAAGTAGCAGCGTGCACCTGTGTCGAAGTCTTGATGCTATGTCCTGAAGTTGTTCATGCTGCATATGTCAACCACATCCCTTGTTATCTTCAGCCTTGGAGGCCGAGCGAGTTGAGTCACGTGTAAGCGCTGCACTGGCGAACACTGCTGGCACCCGCGTTGCTGACTGTGATTGGCCGACGCGCGTCCCGAACTCGAGCACCGCGCCTACAGACTCAATACCTAGGTACATACCTAGGTGGTCACCCAAAGTCGTCAGTCCATGCATATCGACTGGGCATACGACCCATGTGTAGCGCACTCAACATGATATGCCTGGCAATAATTGGTCTATCGCGGTGATGTGCACTGCGCGGCTGTGACTCACGCAGGCTGGTATGGGTAGGCCTAAAGATAGGCCGTCTCATCAATGAGCGACGTAGTTCACTGCGCTTCAAGTTGCTCGTCGTACCTCGATCGTCTCATTTTGGCCCGTAATGAAATGTGGACGCAGAACATGCTTTAAAGCTTCGGACCCGATCTTGCGCTCATAACTCGTCCTTTATCAGTCTTCAAAAGTTGACACTGGTTGAATGCACCGGGGCCCATATACGGGGCACCGACTTCACTTTCAAGATCTACAATGGACGCCGAATTGTGTGCCGAAGACTGCACAATGGCTCAGGACCCGTCCGGTTGGGACTCGCCTAGACCGAGTCCTGGAGTCTTGAAGTTCGGCGATGAGCCTTTGATTACCGAAGGGAATGATCCGAAACAGGTCAAATTGTTGCTGGAACAAGGATGCGTCATAACTCCATCAGCGATCCTTGCCGCTTGTTACCAATCTGAGTCCGACACTCTAATTCTACTCCTGGACCATGATTCTCCTGGGCCGAATGCCAGACCAGAAGCCAAGCTCATGGGTGCCTCACTCGCATGCAAGGACTTGCCGAGCTCTGACGTCGCTCTACTCCTGAGACGGAAAGACAGTCAGTACTATCCTCTTCACTTTGCTTCAATCGGCATGCGCAGTGAATTTAAGGAGGGTCATCGCGCGACAATGAACGTGCTACTTCGATACAAGCCTGACCTCTTCGCCGAATTTCTGCAGCCTCTCTGGTATGACGCGGATGATCGTCCGGGGGCATACATGAGTGACGTGGGTGAGCTGGTATGTGTTGAATCGGATTCAGATGACGAATGGTACGAGCTGTCCAGCGATGGCGAGATGCCCAAGATTGAGACCAAATACGCCGCTCGCTCCCTGTTCCACGTAATGCTCGAAGATGGAGCACTAGTGGAGCCTATCCTGAATTGCGACGGGCTTGATTTTGACGTGAATCGAAGAGATCCGCAAGGGCGTACTCTTATGCACTCCGTGTGCAGGAATGCTCTTGGCGCCGACGTGCATGCGGACGTTGAATCCTACGAAATACGGGAACCAATCGATGGAAGATTCATTGCAAATGAAGGTACCGGACCGTCATTGTTCGAAATCTTCCATCGACGAGGCGGCGACCTCCAAGCTCGCGATTACAGAGGAAAGAATGTATTACATCACCTGCTCGAAGCGCGTTCTCTTCGCTACGAAAGAGCGCAGCCGCCGTTCATCTATAACACCTTCAAATACATCTTACAACATCTTCCAGAACTTGTCAACAGCCCGGACAATCATGGCACATATCCACTCCACGCTGCGCTGAACAGAGTGCGCGAGATCACTTTCCCGACCGTGTGGCAGAAGTTCTCTCCTATTGAACAGGTTGTAAAAGACCTACTGGATGCTGGTGCCCGGCCGCTAGAGATTGACAGTCGCGGCAACACCGCCCTTCACTACCTGGCTGACAGCGGCCTCGGCGAGAGGACTGATCGCGAGCCGCGCCGAGCGCTTTTCCGGTTCTTCTGTGAAGCAGGTGTCGACGTTAACGCACGCAACCACAAGGGTCGGACAGCGATAGAACTCTTCCTCGACAACCACAAGGTAAATGAGGCCACTTTGGACGTGTTGATGTACCTCAAAGATGACAACGGCGGGCCAAGGGTTCAGATCGAAGACGATCTTCTTGAACTGTTCGAAGCAAGTGGAGCAAGATGGACAGACGTTGATCCGAAGGGACAGACTCTCCTACATTGGGTCGCGAGGCACAATCCGTGGTATGTGCGGTCGAGAGCATACTACCTGCTCAAGAGAGGTGTCGATCCGAGAGCGAAGGATAAGAAGGGGAGGACAGCTCAGGACGTGGCGGAGGCTGCAGGCAATAATACTGTGGCTGCGGTGCTGAGAGGATGGCTGGTGCGTACTGCTAAGAGCCAAATGGCAGACCAAGCGTGAATGGGGGATTTGTTCGCGTCATTGGTAGCTAGACGATTTCCTGATTGCAAACGCCTTTTGTTTGAAATCCACCTCCTTAATTTGTAAGATGCGGTCCTTCACGGGGACATACTACATCACGGCCTCGAGATCGACGTATTGGTTCGCACGCCATAGTCTCCAGGTATCCTGCTGCTCGAGATTGCCTAGGTGAAGACGCGCGTTCTGATTCGGGCCCAAAGTGTAAACGGAAAAGCTCCCTGCAATAAGCAGAAGGATGTCCGAGGATTTGTCCACGATCTTAGGATTCAAAGTAGAATGGTGTTTTGAAAGGTTGGCGAAGTCCACCACGAAGGTTTTGACCAGCAAGGTCACTTATCTATGGAGATTGAACTGAACGGCCAAAGTAGGCTCAATCTTTAGGAACTTGACAGCGGCCGTGCGCTGGCATCCAGGGCGGTTTCGGGCAACAAATGGCGATCTCGCGAGAAGTCACGTCATCGGAAATGAAAACATCAATGGCATCTCGCACGTACGAGTACTCGACTACATTTGTCGAGTAAGGCACTGATAGTTCACCGCGATATGTAAGCCTGCTCAACCACGATGATTGTCAACAACCCTGTCATGTGATCTCACCAATCTAGGTCAAATCGGACGGGCTACTCCGACAGCTTAATAGGAACGAGCTGACAATCGATCTTATCTTCTGTGTCCAGCGTGAATCCATCTATTTCATTTAACATGGAAGTCCGGCCGATACCAGTAATCTGGAATTTCCGTCTGGCTTGCGGCGATTGCAGGACGAAACTGACAGTGTCACGAATGGCATCCAGTGATACCGTGATTGAGAACCCGACGACGGTCACATGGAAATGAATGTTACGGTGGGCGGTGAATGCAGGCGTTGTCTGGTTGAGCGATTGAAGCCAAGTTGAGCTGCCCAGCAGCTGCGCTATCATGTGCAGTCCACGAGTATTATCCTGTGTCGTCGCTAGCTGAATTTGGACGAAGCTGAGGAAACGTGCGGCTTTGATTGATGGAAATTGCTTCCTGCTAGCCATCACTCGGCGACGCGCCCCACTGTCGAGAGAGAGAGCGACAGATCATTCCGCAAATAGAGTGTGGCTAAATTCCTCAGAGAGCCAGAGAGAGAGGGAGGGGGAAACGGACTGCTCCGGTCACCGCATTGCTCGCTACCCTCGCTCCGGCTATCTATCATTTACATATATTATATAACACCTATCGCCGCAACAACGACAACACATCCATCCGCAGAACACTCGCCTCCGATCTCTCGCGGGCGTGGCGCATTCCTCCTTCACGCGAGAATGTCATTTCCCAGCCGCCATTTCCATTTCGTTTGTCGTTGCTGCAACCGCAAGCGGAGATAGGCCGCTTACGGCCTTCCAAAGTCCGAAACCACGGCATCATCAATATCAAGCTGGCGCCGCTTCAGGCCACGGCAGGAGTATTTCTCCTCGCCATTCCCGCGCGCACTTCCTCTTGGATCTTTGCATCCATTCACAACAATCGCAAGGATCTCATCTACTGCACACCACAGACCTCTCTATCATCGATCTCAGCGGGACCCGGCGTATCGCACAGCTATTCCACCATGACTGCTCCGAATCGCCCAACTGGTCATCTGCCACCTCCGCCGCCTCCACGCAGCGATTCTGGCGATGATTCACAACAAGGTCGTGCCGCGGCGCCTGGTTCTTACTTCCCATTAGGCTACAAAGAGGCGTTCTCACAATGGTATACAAGTCTGGCACCTGCAGTGACTGAACATCGCGTGCTGTCATTTCTGCCACATCTGCAGAGAGCGCCAACACACATGCAGACCGGCGCGACGAGCGAAGCTGCGCCTGCAGAGGAGGATATGAGTGTCGATAAGTCTCGCGACAAGGAGGCGGCACCTGTACGGACGAGTGCTGCCAGCGATCCTTACGGACCGCGACAGATGCAGAGTCGAATGGTGGAGCTAAGTGGCAAGAACCGATTCCTCAATGAATTCAGCGTGGAAAGGATAGGTGAGGAGACGAAGAATAACCTGGTCATGTTGCATGGATATGGTGCTGGCTTGGGTTTCTTCTACAAAAATTTCGAAGGCTTGTCGAGGCGACCGAACTGGAAGCTTTACGCATTGGACATGCTTGGCATGGGCCGCAGCAGTAGGCCGCCGTTCCGGATCTTGTCCAAGAACAAGGAGGAACAGACGCGCGAGGCGGAGAGCTGGTTCGTGGATGCGCTCGAGGAATGGCGCGTCAAGCAAGGCATCGAGAAGTTCACGCTTCTGGGTCACAGTCTGGGAGGTTACCTCGCAGTGTGCTATGCGTTGAAGTACCCTGGTCATCTCAATAAGCTGATACTCGCATCTCCCGTTGGAATTCCGGAGGATCCTTATGCCGTGAGCGCCGATCTCCCTGATCCGACCGAAAGCACCCTCCAGAACGAACTCAAACCCTCTGCATCATCCTCACAACCCGCAACACCACGAAAGCCTTTACCAAAGTGGCTCCGTACTCTATGGGATGCAAACATCTCACCATTCTCCATCGTTCGTCTCTCGGGTCCATTTGGGCCTCGCCTTGTATCAGGCTGGACCGCTCGTCGCTTCGCTCATCTCCCAGCCGACGAAGCACAAGCGCTCCACGACTACAGCTACTCGCTCTTCCGGCAGCCCGGCAGCGGCGAGTACGCCCTCGCCTACATCCTCGCGCCCGGCGCCTTCGCCCGATCGCCACTCATCCGCCGCATCCAGGGCGTCGGGAGACAATACCTCGAAGCGCACCGACAAGCCACGCCCGACGCACCTCGTCCCGCCACGCCCGACACACAAACATCCTCCCAGCCCGCCCGGCCCCGCGAGACAGGTCTCCCGGTGGTCCTGATGTACGGTGAACACGACTGGATGGACGTCGAAGGCGGGTACGCCAGCGAGGAGAAACTCCAAGAAGCGCAGAAAGCCGCGCTGGTGAACGCCTCGCCCGCCGAACGCGCGCGGGAGAACGGCAGCGTCAAGGTCTCCATCATCCGCCGCGCGGGCCATCACGTCTACCTCGACGGCTGGGAGCAGTTCAACGATGAGATCGACCAGGAGATGCGGGATGTGGAGAAGCGACAGAGACGGTTGAGGGAGGTCGAGGAGAAAGAGGGTGCGGTGGCATCGAAGTGAAGAATTTACTGATCATAGAAGTAGAAGAGTATGGAGACGGGGGAGAGAGCATGTTTTGCTTTTGGATGTGTGATTTTGGCATTGGCATTCGCGTGTTGGCATCGCGAGATGATTGTTTGTTTTGTCCAGCTGCAACATGTCTACGGACAGGGCAGTTTCAGATGGAAGGAAGGCGAGACAGGGGGCTAGAAAGACAGCACTGCAGGGCAGAAGCCCACCACATAGACGATATATGATTTTGAGATTTTCCTCCCTCTTTGCGTATACCATCTACGGAAAAAAGACCCCTCGTGATACAGCATCACGGATGATGGAGTGAACCGGCAAAGGGACTGCTGGCCGGTCCCGCGTCATACATCCTTGACACGGATCTCCCGCCGCCCAGGGTTCGACGAGTCGCCAATCTCCGTCTCGACCATTTCAATCCCGCTGAGCGATGGAAACCGCTTGCTGAAATCCGCGAGGTCATCCGGTTCAGCGTTGCCGACGATCCGTTGCTGCTGCGGCGGCTGAGGCTGCACTGGCTTGGCCGGTGCCGTGGACGTCAGGACCGGACCGGCGGAGTGAGCACCGTCTCCCGCCAGACTGCTCCCCCGAGGCGGGTAGTCGGGGACGCCTTCGAGGTCTTTCGCCAACAGGGCGGCGAGGCCGGTGGGTTTGGGGGCAAGGACGGGCGGTCGGGGTTGTGGTTGGAAGAGCTCGGGGGATTGTGGGGCCGGCGAGTGATGTTGGGACTGAGGCCGGAGTTGGGGTGAGGCGTTCGCTGTGCTGACGTTGACTGTGCCGCTGGGTCGCAGTGTGGTGGGTTTCGGCGGAGCGGTCGGCCGCTGTGCTGATGACGTCAATCGCTGGGGTATTGATTGTGCTGTGTTGCTGAGCTGGGCGGGTGCGGAGTTGACGTGTTGGACGGGAGGAAAGCTAGCGGTGACAGGCTTTGCGGCGAGGACGGGCACAGGTTGAGAGATTTGCTGTGCACGAGTCTTCGGATAGGGGTTGTTCGACGTTGATGACTGTGGAACGCTCGAGATTGGCCGCTTGGCGCCAATCGGAGGTCCCGTCCAAGATGGAATCTCTGGTTTGGCGGCACTTGCGGGGACTGTCGTCTCGTCCGCGGCGGCAGTGGCATTCTGTGCATCGTTGTAATGACCATACCCGGAAGCCGTTTTGGGCGGTGCTGGGGATTGACGGCCTTCATCGAGCAACGATTGAACGCGCTGCTGAATGGTGTTGGCACGAGATGAAGCACCGTGAGCAGCTGCAGGACCCCCGGTACCTTGAGCGAGAACGCGAGCACGATAGTCTGCTGCAGCCGCGGCAACCCTGCGTTCTTCTTCGCTCAATCGCCTCCGTTCCATCTCGCGGCGCATTTCAGGTGGCATATCCTCGGTCTCATCCACAGTAGAGTCGCGATCAGAATGGCGGCTGAGGGCGGCCTCGGATCCCGCGATTGGCGACAACAACCTTGGTTCGTCATCATCATCCCCTGGAGTTGGTGTGATCAGCGCGAGGTCTTGCTCTGGTCTGTTCCCTTCGAATAATTTGCGAGCATCGTTGAAACGTCCTGTCAGCATCTGCTTTGCACCGGACAACGCACTCAGACTAGCTCGCTTATGGTGACCGAAACTATGCTTCTTCACGGAACTCTTTCGGGAAAGATCGCTGTCAACTGCAACAGCTGCTTGTTCTACACTTGTATCGGTGGCTCTGTCGTCTGCTGAAGACTCGCGGGTATACGATGCTTGTCGGCTATGACGGCGCATTTCCATCGACGGCCGCTTCCTGGCCTGCTCTTGGTCGCGCAGGTAATCGATGTCCGAGCTTACATATAAGCCTGGCGTTCGTACTTGTGAATCAGCCGAGCGACCGCGCGAGGTGCCGGTATTATCTAATTGAAGGGAGCTTTGCCTCTGGCCATCAATGTTAGGACTGCTAGACCCAGGATAAAGACCCGCCGTTCCGATCTGACCGGAGCCTGAAACTTGCAATTGCGATTTCGATCTTTGGGCTTCACCCATTACCGGGCGTTGTGGTAGAGACATCTGAGCCGGCTCTATGATCCGTGGGGATGCAGCTTTTTCGGGGACGCGCCAAACAGGTCGATTGCTGACCTCGGGGATCTTCGGCTTTGCCGGCAGTGGTGGCGAAGTGCCAACGGCCGTTGATCGATAAGCTGGATTCGTTGGGATGTGTTCTGCGGCGCCGACATGCCGTGAGTCCTTCGCCGGCTTCACGGGAAGGGTCTTCACTGGTGCTGTGACGTTCGTGGAGACCGGTCGCTGCTGTTGCGCTGTGACCTTGCCCTGAGCCGAGATATTGTTTGCAGCTGCTAATCGCGAGAAAGCCTCATCGGCGAGGGCGTTGGTGACTCGCTCACTCAGGCTGGCTTTGTTCCCGCCAGATGAGCCAGGCGGTGAGGATGAGTTCGAAAACGCAAATTTCTTCGCGCCATCATGAGTGATTGAAAATTCGTCCAGAGAAGGATACTTCTTGGAGAGCTCGTCCACTGCGCCTGCACGAACATCAAAGTTCTTCGAGTCGAGCGCTGCGAACGGGTCGCCCTGAGTTGCTGCTGGCTTGTTGGCAACAGCCGGCTGCGCGCTTGATGCAGCAGGTCTGCCTCTTCGCATGGGTGCGATGTCTGGAATTGCCTGGGTATGCACCTGCGGGGCGGTCTTTTGCAGCCCGATCGTGGCGGTCGCACTCGGGTCCGGCGAAGGTAACGCTTGATTTCTCCGAGCTTCAGAGGCTGGACGACCGGTGTAGATGTCTTTGATGGGCACCTCTGTGCCCCTCATGCTACAGACCTCTTTGATGACCTGGAAGATATTTGGTCGCGCTTGTGGATTTTCTTTTAGTGTCCAAGCGATGAGCTTTTTGAGCCGATCCGAGAATGCTGGGTACGAGGGATATTTAAATGTAGCGTTCAGGATTGCCATCTGACCCACATCTTCGAAAGGCGTCGTGTAATAGCACAGCTTGTACAGCAGAACTCCTAACGCCCAGATGTCCGCCTTTTCGTCGATCGGCTGCTTTCGCCAGACGTCGATCATTTCAGGACATCGATATTGCATTGTAGTATGTTTCTGCACATCCTCCTCAATCAAACGGCCTTCTTCCGCCGTCTTCGCTGCCGGCCGCGGTGGTGCAGTGCTTCCAAAATCGCACAACTTATACAGAGGCGTCCCTCCACTGCCGGGGGCTTTGGAGATCAACACGTTCTCAACCTTCAAATCCCGGTGCAGGAGTGGCGGTTGTAGGTAGTGCATGGTCGCGACACCTTCCGCAACATCACCAAAGATCTTCAGGATCTCGGGCTCGGTCAGGCGATGTTGTAACCGCGTGTTCATGAAGTCGATCAGCCCACCGCCGCTGCAAAACTCCATGAGCAGGAACACCTCGTATCCGCCGCCCTGCAGCTGACTGGCATGACTGTCGAAATACGTGACGATATGTCGGTGCCCCTTCAACTTCTTCATCGTCTCGACTTCCGTGCGCATCTCGGCGAGATGCGACTTGTCCGGAACCGCCACACGCTTCAACACCGCCAGCTCATACTTGCCCTCCTCCCGAGGCACTCGAACCACATAGACATGCGCGAATCCTCCTTCTGATAGATATTTCTCGATGGTGACTCGATGGCTGCCAACGGTCACCTTCGTGCCCGGGAGAAAGGTTCCTGGCGGCTGGGTTTGTGCTGCCGACATGATAGGCTCTCGCTGCGACCAGCGCAGCTTTTGGCGACAGGAAGGGTGATCTCGTAATCGGCCCGCTGTGGTGAGGTCGGAGATGCGTGTTGATTGGGAAATCAATTCGAGGTGAACGTCTTGCTCTATTCGATCGCGCGGACTTCAGGTGAAAATGAAGGTGAATCAAGAGGACCCGTGATCATGGCATGATCATATACACCACTGCAGCGAGCGCGGATGATCGGTATTCAATCGACCTATGTGATCTGTTCGAGCATGTGTCGTGATCCTCGCAATACAGTCTGGATGGTGTTGCCTGGCCTGTGCCAATATTGTCACGTACTCGCCGGTCGTCCAAAAGTAATGGTGGTGTTGGTAATATGCAGGGCCAATGCGACTACGATGAAGCCCCCAGCCTGGCGGCCCCCCTCCGTTGGCTCAGGCGTCGTTGTAATTATTTTACTCCTGATTGCAGTCTCCAACTGATTTCCATTGACCGACATTTCCCCGGCGTGACTTCCTTTCGGTGTACGATTTCTTTCTCGTCTATGCGAATTTATGCCGTGCAAAGGTACGAGGAAAGGCTGTTGATGTGCCAGCCTCCGGCAATGAACGAGCTTTTGAAGTGCCCAACGCCCTGTGGTCGCTGAAACCCCTGGCGAATTGATAAACCGCCGTGCACAAACGTCCTCTTTACACGGATTGTGAGCATTTCGTATTCATGAGAGAAGCTCGTGAGGTATACAGGTTGACTTCAGTACAAAGCCAATACGATAACCATCGAAAATCGATCTCAAGAATGTGATGCTAATGTGCAGTACTCTATTGCTTGACCATCGCTAAATGCTTTCAAGCCCAACAGTAAGAACGCCTCTGCCGATGCCATCTATTGAAATCAAACGAGAAGCCCATGAGGCGCATTCTCTCCGCTTCCCGTGCCTACTCCGCAGCAATGACATTGCTTACTTCAATCACTCTCGCTTCCTGGTCCGTCTGGCCGGTCGTCGTCGTCGTCCACGATAGCATCGGCGCCGGCGATGAGAGTCAATTCCGCCTTCTTAAGCGCATCGCGAAGCTCAGCATGACGTGGATCGACCAGATCGATGGGCTTTAGTTTGGCTTTGTTGCGTATCCTGTTGCGGAAGCATGTGTGGTTAGCAAAGCCATATTTCAAGTCGACGCCCATGCAACCTTCTGCCTTGTCTATGTGCTCTTCTGATCCTGCCACCCTTCTCTGCCCTCCCATCGCTTACCTCGGATCACATCCTGCGTCTACCAGAATGTCCACCACTTCCCTCCCAAAGGGCCACTCGGCCTTGTCCAACCCGTTCGCAAACCGCACCGCCTTATGTAAACACGTATCGCCCTCTCTCCGCTCCTGTCCGTCGATCTCCACGCCTTCTTGATCAAGGATGGTATCGAGGACATCGTATGCGCCGTACTGTGCGGCAATGTGTAGTGCACTGCTGCCTAGGGGGTCGGTGGTGGTGTTGAGGAAATGAGCAATGGCGTCAGTTTGAGAGGATAACGGCGGTGCGGCGAGAAGTTCATTCAAGAGTGTTGTGTTGTTCCTTCGGCATGCTTCTACCAGTTGTTCCCGTGGACTGGCGCCGTCGTCTTCGTTCGCGGCGGGTCTCGACATGATTGTATGCGGCCTGTGGAGGGGACTTCTGGCGATTTGATCGGTCTTGCGATATTTCCCTGAAGTCCGTAGTCGCTAAGGAAGACAGAGTCACACGCTGCAGCGGCGTAATCGCGAATCGTCCTTCGTGTGTATAGAGAGGATGACGAAACGAAATGGTCAAGGAATGCAACGGCTATTCATTGTGAAACACGGCCCAAAGCTGACGTAAAGCGACCCTGCCGGTCCAGATGCCCCGCCGACTTTGAAGGAGGGACTCAGTCATCAGTCATCAGTCAACCGTCCGGGGCTGCTGCAGCTGTTCGGTACCAAACCTCGAATTCTTCAGGGCGCGTCGTCAAATCCTCCCCGCGAGTCATGCGACGCTTCCCTCATCATTCTTCCAAAACCGCTCCATCCGTGATGACAGCACGTGAGAAAGAGTCGCAGTTGCATACTTTTCTACACGGGCCAGATCATGATATGAAAGACGAGATCCGAACGCCATGAAGCATCGCGTATAACAAGGAATCAACCCCTGAAAGATCGAGCGGACAGGCTGCGAAGAAACCAACTCCAAGTCCCCAACACCATCTCAATTCTACGAAAATGCTGCTCTGTAAGTCTCACGTCGACCTGATCGAAGTATGATCCTCGGACCAGATGAAGAGAGGTCCGCGAACAACGGAGGAAATGCTCCGAACCCAACAACCCCGTTCGCCCGCAACCTTGGTGAAATCGTGCAATGAAATCTCCACGAAAATGCTGATCGATGGAAAAAATAAACCCTCCCACAGTCTGTCCCTCCTGCAGCAACATGCTCATAATCACGACGCTGCCCAGCCACCACGTCAGCCCCAGCGAGGCGTCGACGCACGGCGGCAAGAACCGCTTCGAGTGCCGGACGTGCCCCTACCAGATGGTGCTGGACCGGCGGTATTTCGAGCGGAAGAACATGAAGCTCAAGGAGGTGGAGGACATCCTCGGGGGCGCCGACAGCTGGGCGAACGTGGATCGGACGGACGGTGGGTTCCCCCTTCCTTTTTGTTTTTGTTTCTCCCGCTTCTTCTTTTTTTTTCCCCTCGGATGCCCTCTTTCTCGGAGTGGATATCCTCCCTCCGCGTGTCCCGATTTCCATGCTGTTTCCCAACAAATGTTGTACCTGCGCACATACAAACACATGCATTGTGTGAAGGGACCAGACCGTTTCAGATGGGATCGGCCGACGCGACGATGTGGGTGCCGATTGACTGACCGACGGGAACAGCCAAGTGCGCCAACGAGAACTGCGATTCCCGCCTGGCGTACTTCCGCCAAGTCCAGATCCGCAGCGCCGACGAGCCGATGACGAGCTTCTACAAATGTGTGAAGTGCGGGACGGATTGGCGGGAGAATTGATCGGGACGATGGATGCATGGATGGGAGATCCAAACGGGGGGAGATGATGGGAACTATTGCGCGGGCGTTTGTTTTTCATTCCACTTCGCGTGGGATTCCTGCTTCCTTTGGGGGTTTCGGCTCTGCGTGGAGGACTCGGTTTGATCGATTGGGGAAATCGTCCCGATCGAAGGGAGTGGGCCATCTCTCGGACGCTGGTTGTCGGAGCTGAAGTCCGAAATTTCTGCAAAGATGGCACGGTTTAGGAAAAACAGGGTGGGATGGGTACCAACCAACACGTGAGAATTAATTATGTGATTTTATGGTGACCAGATGTGTCTGCGTGGTCTCTTTCTTTCTCTCTTGGGAGGTATTGAAATTTTTTAAGAATTAAGTCGTTTTCCATACAAATCAAGCGTTTTTCTCGTCCCTTCAAAACTCGATCGATCCAATCTAAAAGCAGAAAAAATGGGTACAAAAAAAAACCTTGGCTCTGCTGATGGTATCTCGAGTTCCGTCCCTCCTCTCATAATCCCACAATTTGAATCCAATCGATGTTTTTAAGCAAATGCAAAGAAGCCACGATGGGCACGTCATAAGTAGAAGATCACATGCCCCAGGACAAGGATGGCCATGCGCATCTCGAGGTTCGATCAGGAGCGCCTGGAAGGCGTGGGCATCTATGATCGACCCTTGAGCGACCGCATCCGTTTGAGGAAACCTCCTCCACCGCTGCCGCTCCCGCTGCGCTCCATCTCGCTGCTGCTTCCACTGGCGCGCTGTTCGTCAGTCAGAGTGCGGACGAGCTGGTTCGGAGGAGGCGGAGGCGCAGCCCGAGGAGGCTGGCCGCCACGGGGGTTGCTCGAGGCGCGGGCGTGGCTGCTGGTGTTCTTGTGGCTCGTGCTGTCGCCGTTGTTGTGGCTGTAAGAACGTCCGGAGGAAGTCTTCGGTCGCTCGGTGCTCGACGAGGGCGGTTGTAGCGCCTTCTCGGCGATGCGGATCTGGGTGCCCTTCTTCTCGAAAGCACTGTCGTAGTCGGCAGGGCCATCCGCTTTGTCCGTCTCGAAAAATGGGTTGACTTCGTCTTCCTTGTTGGCGTGTCGGGTTCGGCTGACGCCGCCCGCACTTAGTGATTTGGCATCATTTGGGAGCGGCGGGCTCGACTGATCGATCACCGAAGGACGATATTGAGGGCGTGTGCCAGACATGCCGCGGAAGCGTTGGGCAAGAGACTTTTTGCGGCCGAGTCCCCCGGCGTTTCCCGTGTTGCCGCTCACGCCGTCGCCAAAGTCTCCAGAGTCCCGGCGCTGTTGCTGAACGGCAGCTTTGCTCGCGGGCGCGCCTTCGAGGAATGTGGATGTTCCGAGGCCGTGCGTCTCCTCTCCGTGCACAGGCTCAGTGCGTGCGGTTGGGTCGATGACGGTAGTGGCAGGTCCGCGACGAAGCGTCGTGGAGAAATCATTGAACCCCTCGGCGCCTCGGCCGTGGAAGCGATCTAGATCGATGCGATCACTGACGGGGCCAAAGCCACCCAATCGCATGTTTGCAGAGTCGGCAGGGAAGGCTTGCATGGGTGCCCTGCGATCCTTTTTGGAGTTACGATGCGGGTTGCATGCATCAAATGGCCCGTCGTGGTGGAACACTACCATGCGCCAATCGTTAGAACCGAACGCCAGAGAAAAGTGCATCACATCAACTTACGTCCTTGTCCATAGACACCAGTCACATCAAGCTTGTCAATGATATCCAGACCTTGGGGACGTTTGCTTCGAGTGCTCCGCCCGCCAGCTTCCTTCTCTTTCCGGTGACGTTCTTCGCGCTCACGGCGTCTCTCTCGTCGGCGTCGCTCTTCAGACTCGGTTCGAGGTGGCCGATCACTTCGATCGCGTTCTTCCCGTGGTCGTCGCTCTTTCTCCATGACGGACGATTCCGATGCGCGGCGCTGGTGTCTCTGAGTAGGCTTACCCGGGCTTCCAGGCTTGACAGGTGGGCCGCGTGATTGTCCCCGGCGATCTTCGGAGATGTGCGTGCGATGACCAGAGACGGGCAGAGTTGCTGAAGAACCGACGGGGTCAGTATCGCGAGAGTGGAATGCTCAAGGCATCACAAACTTACTGCTCTTCTTGGGTTTGTCCAGCAGCGACAGATCGCTCTGCAAGGATGGGAAGTCAGCAAAAAGGTCACAGAAATGCTGGAAGCGTTCCATGATGGAAATACGAGGTTGATAGGTACAGTCGCCTCGAGGAGGTGACAGGGTATCGAGGTTTTCGGGGTGAGGCGCACGAAGACGCCGACACCCTCGCGAGTACAAATCAAGTACCCCTCACGCCCAGATACAGGAGCAAGGATCGGCAGGATGAACGTACAAAGATGTCATCCGGAACAGCAATGTTGGCAGATTTGGCGACACCAATGGCGGCGGGAGCAGGGGCCGGGCGGGAAGATGTGTTGGCGACTTCGCTGGCATCGAGGAAAGGATTGTTGTGCGCCATGGGGAACCGTGACACCCGCGGATCGGGGCTGTTGAGCGGCGAAGGCATGAGAGTGTTGCGATTGCGGAAAGGATTATTGGACGCGAGGTTGATGCTGATGCCGCTGGGAGGCGACTGGCGCCCTGTAGTAGTGGTCGACATTGGACTTAAAGCTGCTGCTGGTAGAGAAAACGGATGAGAATGCGGCGATACGGTAATATGTTGTGCAAAGCTCGGGAGGTTGGTGGTGAGGCTGGGATATTGATCGGGAGAAGAAGGCAGGTGAGCAGCACGTCAATCGGGCGAATGGGTGCTCAAATGGAGCGAGGGTGGTGGATTATGACGCAGCACGGTTGGAGCGTCAGGCGTGTGCAGAGGCGAGATGAGAAAGGGAGGATCATGTGTGAGAGTTCCAACGTGGGCAAAAGTGCGTGAGCGAGGAAGCTCGCCCAGACGTTGAGAGGATTCGTCGTCGTTGTCGCGGGATGCGTGAGTGAGTGCGCGGATGTGTATGAGTGTGTGTATGTGTGAGTGTGAGTGTGAGTGGGAAATGCGAGTGGCAGAGGGAGAACGTTGACAGATGACAAGTATGGCGGAGACGGGGTACTGTTTGGTGACACAGTAGGAAAAAGTGGCAGTGGAACAGACGTTGCCCTCGGTCGGCGGCGGGACAGGTTCGGGTGGACGAAACGTGCTGCTGTTTGGGCGAGAAATGAATCGTCTGTGTGTGGGCGAGAGGTAGGTGATGCGACGGGCTGAACGGGAACTGGTGGTGCTGGTGGTGCTGGTGCTGGTGGCAGCGGTAATGGTGGTCGTGGTCGTGGTCGTGGTGGTATTGATGGAGATGTGTGGATTCGCCGTCCACAACGATTGCCGTCGTACCACGGGAGCGACTTTGATGAAATGGGGAGAAAAAGATTGGGCGGTGAAATGTCGCACGGCGGAGGTGACGAGGATGGTGGTGCTGCTCGACTCTCGACGAAGGAATGATGACAGGAATACGATGGCGCATGTAAGGACTGGACTCCAGCTCGCTCACATCCTCCCGATTGCTCATTTACACGTCGAGGATTCAAAAAGATCGGAATGACTTACCCTGTGCTGCCATGGTGGCAATGGACGGTGATGGAGATGACAATGGTCGACGACGACGACGACGACCAACGAGATCGGCCTGCAACAAATGTCTTGCTGCTCAGAGCAAGCAGCCGATTGCCGACAGAGGATTGTCGCGATTGTTTCAGAAATCCGCCGATGGAGATCTGTCTCACAACAAGAGAAAAGGCAGGAGGAAGAGAGAGTGTTCTGGGATGGTGCGAATTCGGATCAGGTTCCGGCGCAGAATTGTCTTGTTGTAATAAAACTGAGCAGGACTCTTTTTCGCGGCGACGGCGGCGGCGGTGGTGCAAGACAAGGATGCGACCAGCAGCAGCAGTTCGATGCTCTCTCCCTCTCTCTCTCTCTTCTCCTGCAGTATACGTGTGAGGAAGAGAACGACTAGACGGGACTATGCTGTATCCACAGTGCACAGCAGATGACGAAGATGTTGATGATGAGAAGGAACGTCTGTCAGGAGGGATGGACGAGACAGGACAAGGGACCACGACAATTACTAACAAGTAGCTGGAGAGGAAGAGAAATGATCTGGTGATGACGAATTCCTTCCTCGGCGACGGATGAAATGCTGGGGTCGATCGTTCGGACTCGCTAGTCGCCGTGTCCCCCCAGGGTTCGTTTTAGCGTCTCTTCTTTCTCTGAGGAAGTAAACACACGGGGCCTGGCTGTCTCGTCCGATGGAGTCGATCCACTGCCACTTTATTCTATTGTTCTATGATCTGTATGGTGATCGCTACCGGGTTTGACAGAAGACAGAGAGGGAGAAGCCGTTTTTTTCTTTCTCTGTCTCGTGCCGACTGTCTGTGTTTGTCGATGTGGTTGCGCGACTGACGAGCAGTGGACAAACGCGAGGGCGCAAATCGAGACTCGGGTACGAGTAGAAAGAGCTGGGGGTTTTCAAAAGAAGGGGTAATGCACGGGATGCTTCTTATTAGCGCTCGCCCAGGTCAAGAGGGGAACAGAGAGGATGGTGGATGGGAGGAATAGGGCACACACGAAGGACGACGACAACGAGGAGGAGGGGCGTGAATGGATGGTTTGATCGATAGGCGTCGCCCGTCCGAATTGGTGGATTTGATGGCCGTAGTGGCGCCAGCCAGCCAGCTAGGACCCTGACGGAGGTCGACTGAGCACCCGCCGGGCTCCAGGGCAGGTCTGTCTTTCGTCACGTTTCAATTATCGCGCGAACGTGTCAGAGTTGTGTAAAGTGCTTCTTCCACTGACTGTCGCTGTCATCCACGGGCGCCGATGAGCAGTGCAATCGTAGTCTGCGCAGTCGCCAATCCCGCCTGCTGCGATCCAGTTCGAGATTGCGATCAATGGTATCGCGAAGTGCGTGCGCGTTCCTGCAGCGCTCGGCGCGCGATCAGCGGATCGTTGAGGTCGATCAGCATGCGAGAATCCCCTATTCGCTTGTCCACCCTCTCCAGAGAGGTGGGCGTTGGTGGTGTGGTATACGCCTGTGTATGCGACCGCTGCAATGTCCCAGGCCATGTATGTACTTGCAGTCTGGGCCTTTTGCTCCCGACGCGCGCAGAACCGAAATGGGAAAATGCTTCGACTCTCTCTCTGGGTTGCGACGTTTGCATTTGCTCTTTTCATGCGCATCAGGCGATGAGCCACCTCGATTTTACAGATTAACCGGGCGACGGAATCTTCCTCGATGGCTCTTTAATTCCTTTTCAATATCCGAATGGGAAGTTGTGCTCGATGTACGTATGTTGACGCTGAGGATGATAATTCGTATGATGTCCGCAGAACGCTATAGCAGCATCTCGTGTGTACAATCGGCAAGATGAGAGGGAGCCTTGCAAGTCAGGTCAAACTCAGATACGTGGATAGAGAAAGGACATTGGTCTATCTTGTCAACAGTGGGATGGTTGTTGCTCGTCCTCCATGGCAAGGTCGACATGAGCGAGGTTCCTTCCCTTGCTACCGTGAGCAAATAATTAACACATTGTCCGCTCAATGCCTCCAGGGCTCATTAGACACTTCGAATGTAGCGTTCATCACGACACTGAGAGCCCACTTCCATCACGATCACTTTGGCGATCGATCCAGACATTCAGGCTTGGAGAATGAACAATCGTGGCGCCTTTCGCAATTGATTCGTGGACTTTCCACCATGGGATCACCCATGATTGGATGACAATCTTATTTGACATCTTGGCAGGATGAAGGATGTAGAACTCGAGCTTGCGAGTCAAATACTGTACATTAAGAAGGGATCTCCAAGGACAACAAGTGTACATGTTGATGACAACGCGGTCCAAATTCATCCACCCGCTTGACACTGATTGCTTATGAACATGATGATGATAATCATGATCGTGGTGATGAGGCAATCCGCAGGCACGTGTGCACATACGAACAACCAATTTTACCTTTTTATTTCTCCGCATAACATTTGCCCTGACCCTTGTCCTGATTGATCCGATGTGCCGGCGAGGATGCACCGGGCTCGGATAGAGTTTAGAACCTCCAAAACGCTCACCACAGAGCGTAATCATACAAGAGCAAGCGAAGGGAGAAACCTCGTGTAGCCCCGGAGACCAGAGTCCGGTGTTTGTTAGCCTACTCGACTCTTTGGCTTCGTTCGACTGTCTCGTGTGCGCAATGCCGGTCCATCGCCCGTCGAGGAGACCAGCTCTGTTTTTATCCGAACTCTGGACACAATTGTCGCACCAGTATGATGATTGACAACAGAGCTGCAAGACAGACAGCTAGGCTAGGTATCCACCTCGCCGGTATCGGCTCATCATATAATATAACATGGGATGGTGTCTTTCGGTCTCAGTGTCGTCTGAGAAGGTGGGTATCTAGGGTATCTACGAAGCCGATGAGTGATTGTGAATCATCATCTCTTTTCCGATTGTTTGGTGAGGAGATCAGGTGACGGTGCGCATTTGGCTGTTTATAGGAGGAGGAGGAGTTGGCGTTGTTTCGGCGTGTGGCTGCAGACCAACAAGGCGGTCACGAGACCGTCGCTGAAATGAGGACCACCAACACCACCACCACCTGGGCGCATTCACGATCTTAATGTCTGGTGTGTATTAGCATGTTTGCTCGTGCTCGGTCATTAGCTCCATCGTCGTCTCGATCGTGATCATCGCCAATCGTGGGTACGTGGACTTTTCCCATCTCCGTGAGGCTTGGGTCATTCTTGGCGCGACAATAGTGAGAAACATCATAGTCGCATAATTCGTGTCGAAAAGTTCCATGTCTCAACGCTCCAATGAAGGTCCGCTACGGTGTCGGAGCAAGGCGCGTGGATGATGATGTCCAGAATCACATCGTCGGAATGTAGCGTGTACATATACATCCATGTTCGTCGACAGAGGAAGACCAGGCACGTCGAGCATACATGCGGTACAGAATCGATGATCGTATTGTGATCCATATTCATTGGCCTCAGCACAAACATCCGATAGATATCTACATACTGCAGTAGCAAAATATCCAATCATAACATCTCGAAGGCCGTCCACTGTCATCATACGCAGGTGTGTGAACATTGACCGTCATCACACCGTCCTCCGTCCGACGACCCCGGATTCATGCCCTCTGCTGCCGGCGAGCAAAGCAACGACAACACCTCGAAACTTTGGATCCCAGCCGCAGACCGTATTGTTCAATCAAATCGACAACGGACGCCGAAATTCGCGACACTCGACGACCGCGCACAGCCGAACGAAACCCACTCCTGACAAACTTTGGAGAAGACGGCATATACAGAAATGTCCGCGACTCAAGCCCAGCCCAATGGCCATCCCTCGCCCGCCGCATCCTCACACACCCAGACCGCCGCCACCGCCTCGACCTCTGCTCTTCCGCGCCTACACTACGGCGGCTACGATCGCTTCGAATTGGAATTAGAGGTAAGAAATAATAATCATAATGCATATCCATCTTCTCCATCATCTCCGAGAAAGGAAAGGAAAAAAAAACAAGACCAAAGTCCTCGGAATCGCTGCAAGGAACCCGGCCGTGATCGCGACTCATGATGTTGCCGATGATGATGATGACGATGATAATAATGAACCCGGGAGAAACGCTGATGTCGGAATCTGCGCGGAAACATTCTAGTTCGTCCAAATGCTCTCCAACCCGCTCTACCTTCAACACCTCGCCTCGCAGAAGATCCTCGACAGCGACGACTTACTCGCATATGTCGACTACCTGCAATATTTCCGGCGGCCGGAGTATCTGCCTTATCTCCAGTCAGTGCCATTTCATCCTCCCTTCCTTCCTTGTTTCCTTCCTCCCTCTTCTTCGTTTTCTCTTCTTCCCTTGTTTTTCGTTTTGTCTCTCTTCCCGAGCCCCGGATTCTGTTTTGCGAGAGCGAAAGAGAGAGAGAGAGAGAGAGAGAGAGAGAGAGAGTCTCCGACTGATTGATTCCGGGGTTACGGAAACCCATTCAGATATCCCGGGCCGACGCTCCGCGCCCTCGAACTCATCCCGCAGGAGGCCTTCCGGCGGGACATCCTCGTGCCGGATGTCGTGGCGCGGCTGATGCAGGAGGGCATCGAGGCGAGCCACCAGATGGGGTGAGATCCTTCGCGCCGAGAGCGGCTCTCCAGGGCGGCGAGGGCAAAGTGCACAGAAGGGGCGGAAATGGGTATGACGGAAATCTGGAGATTGTGGGGGGAACATGAATGCAATTCTTTTGGCAGTTGTGGGGGTTTTTCCGCGAGCGAGGGGTCGGGGACGTTGGGAAGAAGGCGGGATCTGGAAATCTGGCCGTTTCCCACACGTTGAGTCTCGCACTCTCTCTCTCTCTGGGTGTGTATGTGTGTGTGTGTGTGTGACGATGAAGTGGTGAAGATCCATTCCGGTACGGCGATGGCTACCCTGGCGTAGACCCGCGCGTCAGAGTTCTCAGGGTCCTGGGTATCAATCGGAGAGAGGGTGCAACGGGGACGCAAAGATCACAGGCAAAGGAGAGCGGAGGGGGGGGCTCTCTTGGATCGGGGAGAGCGAAGGGGGGGCTTTGCAGACCTCTACATGCTACGTGGCGGAACACATCACAGATACGATGGGGAAGAATAGCTGATGTAATTTTTTTCAAGGCGAGAAAGTGAGAATGACCTTGCGAGCCTCAAATGGAAAAAGGTCTTTGGAAGTTCGAATACATGTGATGGTAGGATAGAGAAGGGGACGCGAGGCATCTCCGCGGAGAACAAAGGCCTCGTTTTAAAAGGAAAAGAGCAAAAATTCTCTCGAGAGGAAAACCTCGAGGAGGATGAAATTGTGGAAAGGCGACAGGGAAGCTAAAAAGAAGTCGCGGCGAAGATGGTACATTTCGGGGGACAGGGGACGAGAGAAAGATTTTAGAGGTGGGGAAGTGCGAGAGCCGCCGGGGCGGTCGTCGAAAGAGAAAGCAGAAGAAGAAGAAGAAGAAGAGGCCGTGACAATCATCCGTCATGATCTAGATGTATCACAGCGTGCCGAAAAGAACAAGGGGGGGAAGGTCCTCTGGGGACAGGGTGTGGAGAAAAGAGACAAGAAGGCCAAGAGGAACTCAGTCGGAAAGCTCCTCGTCGTCGGACCGAGAACACCGAGACGGAGAACGACAAAGAGGAGCGAGGACGGGCGCCCCCGGTTTCACATCTCCTCCGTGAAACGACTCGTCCGATTGGATCCCGCGCGCGAGAGACTTCCCGCCGTGACCGTCATCATCGACTGCGAATCGTCATAGTAAGATGAGGATGAGGACATCAACGTCGGGGTGAGGGATGCACGATAAAAGGAAGAGTCGGCCGATGCTTTGGACGAGAGGTTATTCGAAGGCGATGATGAAGGGGTGCCTGCAGCGGAGGGGAGCGGTGGAGAGGCTGGATGGCGATTGCGCGGTGAGAGAGTCGGCTCGGCGCCCTCGTCGTTGGCGAAGGCAATTTCGCTCCCGTGAGGGGTGGTGAGGATGTAGGGACTTCCTTCGTGGAGGGTGGCTTGGCGCTGCGGGCCGGGGAAGATGGCTGGGTTGTCGTGGCCGTGGGGGAGTGATGAGTTCCTGCGAGCGGGATCCTCGGCATCGGAGTGGTCGTCTTCGTAATCTCCATTGGCGGATAGCAGTCCGGTGCTGTCGCGACTGGAGGAGAAAGGGTTATGCTTCGGCACTGTGGGTCGAGCGGTCGGGCTTTTGCGGAGGGCGTTCGTAGGAGCAGCGATTGTTGCACCGATGACTGGCGCAGCCGTGAAGGAAGTGTCGAGGAGGAGCGGTGGCGCCGCCGGCGGAAGCGGCTCCGAACTTGACATGCCCGGACTGAATTGTGAAGGAAGTTTGCGGCCAGAAACACGAGTGAAACCACGTTCGGAGGTTGCAGGTGACCCGGTCGACGAGGTGGTAGACGCCAGGCTACGGTGAGGGTGACGGAATAGCGCGGGAAGGGCGCCGACCAGCGGCATAACCCCAGCACGCTCGGACATGTTGTAACGCTGACCGGCTGCTGAGCCGTCGTCTGGCCCATCATCCAGGAAGCCTCTTGACATGGTGCTGCCTCCACCGTTCGACGATGGCAGATGCTGATGCCCGCTGAATTGATCACGTCGCCGGTACCAACGCATAAAGAGCATAGCAATGAATACGATCACCGCAAGACCAGCTGCACCACCTACCACACCGCCAGCGATGGTTCCGGGCGGCGCAATCGGAGCCGGAGGACTGGTGTTTGCAGGTGGCGAGCCGGAGCTAGTCGTGGCGACGCCAGTGTTCGCCGGAATGCCGCCATGGCCGCCAGTCCAGCCAGCGCCGGCAGGTACTACGACGGGAGTGGACGTCTCCTCCACTGTATTAGAGTCCGCCTCGGAAGAAGTAGCTGTAGCTATTGAAAAAGCGTCGTCGGAAGAAGTGGCGGTCAGCAATAGCGTGCTATCCGATAGACCTGGAATGGTGTATGTCCGACCGTCGATGAGCGTTGTGTACGAAGAGCGAGATTCGGTGAGTGTCCTGACTTCGCCGTTCGGGAGCGTAATGTAAAAGAGAACTGGTGCCGTGGTAGTGGCATTTGGTCGAGATGTGGTCTGCGGTGGGAGACTCGATTTACCTCTCGTCCCAGTTGATGTAGTTGAGTTACCTGTAGATGAGGTGATGGCTGTCGTAGGTCAGTCACATTTGCTCACGCGCCAAGGAGAAAAAAGCCACTTACTTGCAGGACTAAAGCCGGTTGTTGTTGTCGCTGCTGTTGAGGTAGTATTGTCACTCGCAAAGCTTGAGGTCAATGTCGGTGTGACGCTGGGCGCCGCGTAAGTGGTCGTGTTTCCGATACTGATCTCAATTGAAAGAGAAACAGTTGGAATCGCTGCGGTGACTGCACTGATGGCAACATCCGCTATTGAAGTCACATTGTTCTCGATGGCTGTCAATGCGGATTGTAATACGGGCAATGCACCACCATTCACGAGGGCAGTGCTCGTAACCTGCACCAATTCGACGGCGGTGCTCGTAGTCGTTATGACCGCATCGCTGGTGGTGGACGCGATAGACTCCTGCCGCTTCCGCAGTCCTAGATGATTCGTCCCTCGGTTGTGTCCAGTGTGTGCGGTCGGTAGCAGGGCAGGAGCCTCGGAGGTGGTGTGTTCGTTCTGGATGTCGCATGGAATATCCAGAGGACAGCGAATGTTTGCATCAACCAATTTCCGCCTCTTCACCGGGCGTGCCATGTCGGAGTCCATTTGTAGAGATGTCGATGCGCCGACAATTTATCGGAATGTGATGGGCGAGGCACAGTTCGCAGAATCCAGAAAAGCGAGATGTCGGTAATGTTTGGAATGCCGTGTCCATGAACATGCGACGATCGCTCCGGTCAAGTGGTCGTGAGTGGGAGGCGGCGAGAACGGACGAGCGAAACGAATGCGAGTACGTGTTATGCGTGTGCGTTGGTAGAATATCGCGACATCCACCGAGCTGCGTGTACCCGCGCGCGCGATGTGAGCGGATGCTGGACTGACTTCTTAGAGAGGCTGATGAGCCGACGAGATGTAACGAGCGTGTGAAGGAGTGTCCTCTCCGGTTCGGAGGTGTATGGTGTTGGTGGTGGTGATGGATCTAGCGTTGGTTGGTCGATAGATTGATTGATCGGCCGACCGGGGCTGACATGCGTCGAGAAATGGGGCGGATGAGGCGACGAAGCGAGAGTGAGCCGCAAAAAGCGGACAGATTGACACAGACAGAGCGCGCGGCGCGTCGAGCGAGGGATCGGACGATGATGTGGGCAGTGTGGCGGTGCGGACCGCTGCTGATCGGTTCGGTCGGTTGACAATACGAAAGATCGGCGACAGATATAATGAGAGAAAGAGGTCGTCGTCGGATTCTGTTTCCCACGTCGCAACCTGTCACTCGCGGCGGCGACTACCGTGATGATGATGGAGAGGAGGAGGATGGATGTGTGGTGGAATACGAATGAGCGACAGACTGAGACCGTCCAGTCCACGCTGGGCAGCGGAGAGAATGGGCGCCGGGTGGAATTGGAATCCAACAGACAGAGGACTGCACTGGACTGCACTGGACCGACTGTGTGTGCACTGTGCAGTAGTACAGTAGTGTGGGTTAAATTAAGCCCGGGCGCCTGCCGGTGATGGATTATACTGAGAGGGGACGAAGAAGAGGGTCGGGACCCATCGGGGACAAAGCGTCCATGCAGGTCAGTCAACAGTCAACCCGTACAACATCAAGACACTATCTATGTATTATGTACATAATAGGTATGGAAGGATGACTGGGCGAGAACTGATTGATGGGGTGTGTACTGACTGCATGCAACATGTGGATGTATGCGGGATTGGCAGAGGCCTAGAAATCTCTCTCTTTCCCTCACTCAGATCGTGCTCCCCATCGCTATCCCGAATGGTGCATGTGAGAGAGGATTCGAAGAGGAGATTAGAGGCTTCGCCAACGAGGAAGGGGACTAGGCGAAAGACCTGCTAGCTGCTGCTGTTGGTGGGAATGCTCAGAAACACTCGCGCACATGCACTCTCTCACATCCGACACACGAAGCAGGATACACACACACACATTGTGTGGCACAGTACATGTGCATGATATACAAATGCATTGTACACATTCGCGGCCCCTAATGTATGTATACATTGAAGTGCATGCAGCGACACATACATCTCTCAGTAAGTACGAGAAAGGAAGAAGATAAGGACACACGGTGCACACGCGTACACGAGGCAGCAGCACGAATCTTGGAAAGCACCTAGGCCGTAGGGAAACGGCAACAGGACACACGTGTAATGATAACGTACAAAACCGTATTGTGACGAGACACTCCTCGGGGCCGTATTCGCTCAGCAGGCACAACAACAAAAGCTTTCTACACGTCCACGTACACGAGATGAGAGGGTACAGCAGCCGTCAGTAGTGCGAGCTGTCACGTACAATAGCGCCCGTTCTCTCTCCCTGGCGTTGCAGAGGCGTTTGTGTACCTACATTAGCTGTGTGTCGTGCTCCATTTGGGTATCCACAGCGGGTCCACATCATCTCGAGCATCCACCACGACCGAGGGGGAGAATACAAACATCGAGGAACACTCACCTCACCATTCACAATTGTTTCAGCGTCGTCAACACCTGGGCACCGATGAATAAAGAGAGTTCAAAGAGAGGGTCGTCTTGTGACATTAATGGACACTGCCCAGGTGGATGTATACAGAGCAATGACAAAGAGCGGGTCGGACGTTGGAGCTATATTTATTCCACGGCCAACAGTAGAGATTGGGGACGGGACAGAACACGTTCACATGCACGCAGCAGATGGGACGACATGTGTGTGTGTGGCCTGGACAGCCGACCGCCAACCAGGGAAAGGCAGGGAGAGGGGACAGTAGGAGTGTGAGGGAGGAAACCCTGATTGATGAAAACATCCACCGACTTGACAGATGTGTGGAGTGCGCTGTAGACAGCCAACCCAAAGCCAAAGTGCAGGTGGGCGGGCGAACACGCACATCATCAACCAAAAACCGCGAGCCAAACCAAACCAACCTAGAGGCGTTTCATACGTACAGGACGGTGACCCTCCCTCCTCTGCCGCCGAACCCACGGGCGGAACTGAGTCCTCCCATCTGCATCCCGACCCATAAACCCCACGATTGTGCCGTAGCAATCACGACGCCGAAACCTCGGGAGAGAGACGGAGAGCGAGAGAGAACGAGACAGGTCCTCCCTATGTATTCCATTCATGCGTACAGGCGCCCGAGACGAATGGAATTTCCAAGAAAAAAGTTCCGGGAATGCATGAAACCCGACTACTGCAGATTTCCACCCAAACGTCCACGGGTGGGAAGGAAGGACGCGCTCGTGGGTGGATTGGGTCGCCCCGGTACATGTATCTTTTATTATCACCATATCCATCGGGACATGATACGGGCGAAAACCTGGCTAAATTTAAACTTCCCTTTTCCAGAATAGTATAGTACGCGGCCGATCGACTGGACTGTACAGATCCAGCCTCTGGAATCTGTCTGTTGTGCCGTGCCATGATCTGCTGATTATTGTCCTCTATCGTGGTTGCTTACGTGATGGTTGTTACAGGGTCGTTGGGGCCGGGAGAATTGATGAGCCCTTGCCACCGATACATCCCCTCCTTTCCGTTCGCAGCACCAATATAGAAACGCGCCGGATGTAAAACAGGCGTGGTTGTCGGTCTGCTCTTTCTGAGACTTGCATCGTCATCCTGCATATCGCAACTCGTTTTTTCCCTGCGGGCGGGCAATAGACAAGATGGTTTCAGATAGATGATAAGAAGAACCCGAATTTGAACCCGCTTGTCACGAGGACGACGTCATGGGCACAGGCTGATTTATTTGATCGATCTTGATGTGGTGGTATCTGCCTCACAGTGGTTCTGCAGGCTCTCACACGCAATCCTGTGGGGACAGAGAAAGGTGTCGATAGGGTTCACCTCGATTCTCCCACCAACGCCCGGAATTGTTCTCGATGCTGTCACTTCAATTCAACAGTCGACCATTGTGGAGAGGTCGTACGACATGGACCTATCGCCAATTCTCATGGATCTGGGTTCGCGACGGACACTCTCGAGCTGGACAGAGACATGTCATCGTTGCTGACTCGTCCTCGGGTGGAAAGAGAGAGTACCGCGTGTGAAAACGTCACTCATGAAAGCATCTACACAGCACGGCAGATATCGAGTGCATAAGGACTGGTGACTACGCCAAGGAACGTACGACCCCTTCGTCGTCATACCTCTTCCGCTTCCAATCTCACATTCGAGCTACAGTCGGCACAGCCTTCCTTTGAGTCATCTTCACCATGAAAGGCGTGGTGCTCTGCGCAACGACGCGGTCGATAAACGTCCACCCCTGCTGTCCGGGCTGCAACTGCAGCTCATAGCTGTACGTGCGGAAAAGAAACGCCAGTCCCATGTACAGTTCCGCCATGGCGAGGTTCTGACCCACGCAGTTGCGCAGCCCCTTGCCGAATCCGACCAGATACGAGGCCTTGGTGGCGGCATCGGGCTCGAGCCATCGATCGATGTTGAAGCTGGTTGGGTTGGATCCCCAGAGCTTCGGGTCGTTGTGCATGGTCGTCGATGATATGCCCACGGTCGTTCCTGGGGGAACGATCTGGCCGTCAACAATCAGAGGTGCTTTGCCGTCCTCGTGATTTGGCACTACTCGCGGGATCCGGCCAGGCCACGCTGGCCCGTTGCGAAGCGACTCTCTGATGATGGCGCTCAGGACAGGCGCGGCTTCGAGGTCTTTTAGGCCGGGCATGCCGGGTGCGGCAGCATCAAATATGGGATCCAGCTCCGCCACCAGCCTCTTCGCCAATTCCGTGTCGCGGAGAATGTGCCAGCTTGCAAAGGCCATTGTATAACCCGTCGTTTCGGCTCCGCCGCCGACGAGGTCGCCTGCGTTTGCGATCACAATGCTGTCCGGCAAATCGTCAATGCTCGAGAGGACTGGTGTCCGACCAATGTCCGATTCCCCCGAGCGGAAGTTCTGCACGTGAGTGACGCAAAGTTCGAGGAATTCCTTCACACTCCGCAAGTTGGCGTCGAAATGGGCGATCAGGCCGAGTGGCAGCATGTCTTGGAACCATCGCGTGAAAGGGAAACAGACGCGTAGCCATCGGCTGCTGGCGACGACTTCGAAAGTGCGCCAGACAGGGGTGTCCCAGTCGTCATCCGAGACGGCAATCACATCGCTCTCGCCGAAGACGACTTTGATAATGACATCGGGCGGGAACAAACGACATACTTTGACCATGTCTACGGGCTGCCCCTTGCTCCTCTCTTTGATCTTCGCAGCAAGGTCGATGAGAGAGGTCGCTATCAAGTTCTGCGACTTTAGAACATTCGCGGGTGAGAAGTTGGGCGCGAGTTTCTGGCGGAGCACCTTGTGCAGGCCCATGTGGCGTGTCTCAAAACTCCCTTCTTCATTTGCGAACGCCTTGTAGAAGACTTCATCCTTGGCGTATCGTCCGTCCTGGCTGTAGATTGTTTTATAGAGGCTTGTATCAGTCAGGTGAAGTTCATTCGGCCCGATCCGGATAGCCTGGCTGCCTACTTCTTGTCAACACGTTATCGGGGTCGATGCCCGTGAGATCTGTGCGTACTCACCATAAGCTCGGTGGAGCTCTGCGAAAGTACCCTCCGGGTTCCCTTCCTGCGAGACACGATACAACCAATCTCCCGAGAGCACCGCGGCTCGAGGTCCTGGGAATTTCGCGAGAGGGTGAAAATAAAGGTGATAGATGGCGTGCACCGTTCTGTATGCGACGTAGAGGATTGCAATTGCGACGGATGCGATTAGCAAATCGCTATAAGGCATCGTCGTCGACTTGGCCCAGTGCAACGATGTGCTTTGCTTGGACATCTTCCCAACAGCAGGCAGTGCCTCTCTTAGGATGGATCCGGTGAGTAGAGCGAGTGATGCAACACTCCATGCCCCATTCATACGGGTGATGCATCTCTTATAGATGCGATGGTTGCCTTTGAGGCATCTCTACCTATCACCGGTCTGCGACCGCACAGCATGTAAGTGCTGCAGTGAGATTATCGGGCGGGCCAAGGATGTGGCCCCTGGGAGGACATGGACGTTCTCTCATCATCAGAAATGCAACACCCATTTGCTAATACCTTACAATTTGAGGGAACTGGCAGGCGATCCTGTCATGCGTCGGCTACCCCGTTGTTTCTTGGGCGCTCATTAGACTCCTGCACATTGTTGATCAACGGCCCTTGGAGAAGTACATCTAGAAACATTTTAAGGTTCCAAGGTAACCTTAGCAGGCCATTGCTGACAGCGCTAAGCTCGAAGGCTCCCCTGTGAGTTGAAAGCCTTTAGGGCTCTTCGTGCAACACTTCATCAATTGTAGTTGGTGTGCCGACATGCAGCTGGAGATCGTTTGACGCGTGGGCGCAGCAAGTCAGTGCAGCCGCCCTCCAAGCTATCACATTTGGGCCGCCCGCACTGTCGTCTCTGGCTAGGGAGAACCAGAGACTGAGGTCACAAAACGCCATTATCGCTCGAGGGATAGCGCAGCAATTTTGGGTGAGCGTTGCTTGAGGTTCAAGCCCAAAGCCATTAGGGTTGGTTGTGAGCAACAGACCACTCCTCCGACAAATCAGCCTTCCTCTTCTCGAAGGGGGCTGATCAAGAACCACCATGACTACCTGCGCAACAGTGATGCGTGTGTAGTCATCGTAGGTAACTCGAGGATCTTTCCGACCCTTCTCCTCAAATGCATAGCCTGCCAAATGCCACGGCCGCTGCCTGTCCAATGGCCCTTAGACGGGGCCCTGATGGAGTTTGAGTCAAGGGAGAGTGCTCGTAACGTCAACATTGAGTTTGGAGCAAATGAGCATCGTCCACACAATGTTAGGTTAGAACACAGCCGTCTATAGTATATCAATCACGACCAATGTCCTCGTCATCCAATCCCGTCCCATTGTGCCTGCACCAGAATTGCAAGTTCGATCGTCCATAACTCCCTATTCAATCGAAAGCATCTTCTGAACCGCATTCTCCCAGCAAAAGCTCCACATGTCAGATCCGACAATAAGATTCCACGCTAATAAAAGGGCAAATTCGAACAATCAATTTCTCTTCCGTAATGAGCGACCCGTTGCAGCTTTCGTGGTCGTAGCGGTCACTGTCGTGGCCTTTCGTCCTCCAGCAGTTGTAGCAGACGACACTGCAATAGTGTCATTACGACTGTCACTTTCAGTGCCACTCCCCGCTCTCGTTGCAGCCGTCGCTTTCCGTGCAGCAGGAGCTCGACTTGATTTGGCTGTGGTTGCGACGGCAGTCCGAGTTGCAGCGCTGGCTTTATTCTTCGCTCGCGTGCTGCTGGATTTGACGATGGTGGTTGTGACGCTGTTGTTACTGGCGTCGCTCGGTCGTGAGTCGTGATCCGTAGCGGTAGCAGAGACTGTCCGAGTTGCTGCTTGTCGGCTAGCAGCACGTGCAGCAGCGGCGGTCGGCTTGTTGGCACTGACCACGGTGCGTGACGTCGTGGTTGTTGTCCTGCTATCGTTGACGGGATTATCTGATTTGATCGGCGAACGGGGCATAGTGCGAGAGTTGTGCGATCGTGGTGATAGGACTGCGGTTGGTCCCCCTCGTCGCGAGACCGTGCGCGTGGCTTTGATGTTGGCCGTTGCACTGTTCGCAGCAGCCGTCTTTGTACGTTTCTTTGGGTTCGCAATCTCTTGCTCCATGGGCTGATTGTTTTCTTTGTCGTCCACCTTAGACATGACCTCACTGCGATGGAATTGTCAGATGGGTATTGTAGTCTTCCAAACAAGAACAGTGATATACCTCTTGCGTTTAGTCGTAGTCTTCCGAGGAACCGCAGTGGGCTCTACTGAGAGTGCTGCTGGTATCCTGGCCGTGATAGGCACTGGTGCAGTTGGTGCAGGCTTCGTTCGGACGCCTTGTTCGTCTACAAGCTCTTGCATGGTGCGCTTTCGAAGCGCCTGTGGTATCCGATTAATGCGCATCTCGAGTCGTGTCCGTAATCCCTGCGCCTGTAAAGCATATTGGGTTCGTAGTTTGCGCGCTCGTTCAGTGACTACATAGCACGTCAGTTGTTGACGTTCCAGCTCTCGAACCATGGTTCAGCATCTTACTTTCAAGTTGTAGATTGTTTACCAAGGCCTGCTTTTGTACCTCTGAGATGCCCGCGCTGCGACTCGACGCGACGGGCTCCGGCGTGTGTACATCTCGCGAAGCCATCGCGAGGATTGTGTTGGCGCAAAGATACTGGAGGATGTTTTTGTCTTCGAACTTTCCAAGCGCGATCGATAAGTGACTGTTGCCAGATATTCCAAACTTGTTACGGAAAATTGATGTTCTGTTGGTATTTCCAGATTTGATGTTGCTGGCAGAACCCAACAGCCGACGCGATTGTATTGTTGTCGCGCACCTGCATGTGTACACTGTTGATAGAATGACGCTGGCGGCGGGACGACCCGCAACCCTGCCCTCGCTGCCAGCGTCGCCTCACGTACCCGATAGCTGTTCATCATCACCGTTACAGTTGACTCCGACACACCCAAGCCATCTTACAAAGCCCTCATACCATACACAACCTCTACGAACAATCCATATCCTGTGTTATCAGAACTCCACAAATTCGGCGCAAGTTTTCACAAGCGGGACACAATCACCACAACCAACATGGGTCTCGAAGCGACGATGATCGTGTACGTTGTCTCACGTGCTTGACTGTTTAACACCTCACTGACAGGCGGGCAGTGTGGACAACAGCGAGAGCAGTCGTAATGGAGACTATGTACCTTCGCGATGGGAAGCACAAGTCGATGCTGTCAATTTCATTTTCCAAACAAAGACGCAAGCAAACCCCGAGTCATCTGTTGGCTTGATGAGCATGGGCGGAAGTGGTCCGGAAGTTCTCACTACTCTTACAACAAATCAGGGCAAGCTCATTGATGGACTACATCGGACTAAGGTCAAGGGACAGTCGCATCTATACACAGGAATAATGATTGCTGCGGTAAGTGCTACGCACGTTCAACTCAAAGAGTAGACCAAGTCGCTGACATGTCGGATATTATAGCTAGCGCTCAAGCATCGACAGAACAAATCTCAGCGTCAACGAATCATCGTATTCACCTGCTCACCAATTACCGACTCAACATCCACACTGAAAAAGCTAGCCAAGCGCATGAAGAAGAACAACACCAGCATCGACATCATCGCTTTTGGCGATCTCACTGACGACAATTTGGAGAAATTACGCGCATTTAACGAGGAGGTCAAGTCAAACGAAGGCTCTCACCTCGAGATTATACAGCCCGGACCAAACCTTTTGTCAGATGCAATCATCGCATCACCGATTCTCGAAGGCGAAGGCGGCGCGGCCGCCGCGGCTAGGAGCGGAGGAGGCGGTGGTGGCAGTGGTGAGGGTGCAGGCGCAGAGGCATTTGAGTTCGGCGTGGACCCAAATATCGACCCGGAGTTGGCATTAGTTCTGAGAATGAGTGCGGAGGAAGAGAAGGAACGACAAGAACGGGAGAAGCGAGCGCGGGAGGCAGCAGAGGGCAAGACGGATCTCGAGCCGGTTCCCGAAGGCAAGGAAGAGAGTCAGCCATTATTGAACAGCGCAGGCGAACCTTCGTCGTCGAAGAAGCAGGACAAGAAGCGGGGCGGCGACGATGACAAGATGGACGACGCATGAGCGTTGCCTTCTCCCGTCGCCACTAGAAGTAGCGGAGGCATATTGTAGACATTACGAATCCATGGAGAAGACGATAAATGCGAATCACGACCACCAAGCCATAGGGAACTCGTGAAATGTGACACGAGCAGTGTCAATAGCATTAAAAACAAAGCGACAGTTATGTAACATGTCATAGCATGAAAATGGTAAAAATGTCTCCGACATGCCCAGCACCATCGTGAGATGAAGTGATCAAAAACGAACGAAGCGTGCTGACGTTTTTCTCTGCCAACAAAATTGATCTGTCGTCGGGGTAGTGTATCCAATGCGGCGACATAGGGGGAAAAGCCGGTAAGTTTCTGATCGATGTCGTTGGTTCAGCTCCGCCACTTGAGACGGAGAGTGGGTGGAAGTTTTTAGAACGTTAAAAATTTGCCGAATTGCGGCCGACGGTTTTTTGTGGCGAAGGCGAAGGCGGAGCACGGGTCTGCATTCGGGGTTTAGTGAAAATGTTGCGTCTGGAGAGGGTACTCCTACGTATAAGCGACAGGTGGACAAGGCATGTGCTTGCACTTATAACGTGAGAGGTGCGGGAACAGCGCCAAAGGAGCTATCACCATTCAGACCGGCATCCTCGGGCTTCATGGTACCATTGAGTAGGGGGCAAAGTCTGTGAAAAGGCAAGTAACCAATAGGTGCTTGAGTCAGCGAGATGTTTCGTTACCAATGCGTTGCCGGGTCGGGCAGGGGATGACGTCGGGGCGACATGGATCACGAGGTTAGAGACAGAGGAGAACGTGATGATAAGAAGAAGGAAAACAGAGCCGACGGCTTCGGCTATGCAGAGCGCAAGCTAGCAAGCTTCCTGCTGCCAGTGCCGCCATCCTTCACGACCTTTGCTCCCCTCTCCATTCGCCTCGGCCTCAAAGCACACAGGACAATCAAAGAAGATCACAACATCAATGAAGGCGAGGCTAAGGCCCAGAACGACTCTGCACCCGCCATCCGTCCGGCCTTGCAGTCGTTCGGCGGTGTTGATCGCTGCTGCTGCTTGTGTGGATCCAAATAGATGATTGAGGGACAAAAGAAACACTGTACTGACTTTCGATTGGTCTTGATGTGGCCGACCTGACCACAATTCGCACACTTCCGCGCGGTTCCATCCTTGCTTCGTCCCTTGCCCGTACCTTTGGCGGGAGTGGCTCCTGCGCCAGGACTGTCGACGGCCATGCTGTCGCTGTTCTCTCCACCTGGTGAAGCTGCTACAGTGGAGGCGCGGCGGTCCAGCCCGTGCTTGCCCTTGGCTTTGTCACGAGCCTCGCGGCGTTCGGCGTTGCGTTGTACACGAGCGAGTTCGGCTTCGAGCTTTTGTCGCTGAATGGCATCGAGTTCAGCGTCTCCGGTGGGTCGCATATCGTGGACGCTGTAAAACGAGAAGGTGGTGGTCAGCATGGTATGCACAATGAAGATGGGGAGAATTGAAATTTGCAAACCTTAGTTGCTTGAGCTTGCTTTCAGTGCGTCGCTTCTGATAAAGTGCAATGACTCGTGGATTGGTGACGACCTCAACGCTGTCCTCCATTGGCTGGCCATATTTGTCGTAACCACCCTTACGAGTGATCACCAATGTCTTCTCGCCACGGCCAGTGCTCATGCCGCTGAACTGGCTTGCAGAGTCGTCCTCGTGACGACTCATGGCACCAGCGCCGGTGGACGACCGCGGTGTCGCAGCGCGCCCGTACATGCTGCTGTCGGCTTCTTGTGGCTCATTGTCCATCTCCTCATCAGAGTCTTCCTCAGTACGCGACAAACCGGCCTTCTGTGCGTCCCAAATTCTACGGATTGAATCCTCGTAGGCCTTTTGCTGCTTCGCAACATTGTAGGAATGACCTCCATTCTCCTTCCGGCGACGAGCGTCAATCTTATCCTCGACACTCTCTCCGAAAGCAGTGAAACCTCCCTTCATGGATGTCTTGACAAAGGAGAATCCCTCACCACGACCAGTTGGGTCTCCTTCTCCATGGAGTTTCAGCATAGCTTTACTCTGACATGCGTTGAGGAAATTCTTGGTCGCGCGCCATGGCGCAAGCTGCAATTCAATGTTGGCGCCTTCGTCTACGTCCTTGTCCTCATCGCCGTCCTTGTTCTCGCTGATCCCGAGATCAGCCAAGTGTTGAACACCGACCTGCATAGAGTCGAGCACACAGACTGCCTCAGGTCGAATCCAGCCGCGCATGGTTTCAGCGTTCGGCACTTGCGTGCCTGGAGGAGGCACCCAAACGCCGGATCCTTCGTTTCCGCCAGCTTTGCTAACTTTCTCGTACTTCATGAATTCTCGCATTTTGCTTCTGGTCTGTGGCATATCGTGACCAGGTAAATGTGGCAAGAGCGTGGCATTATCCAGCACTTTGTCCTTTCGCTCTAGACTCTTCGTGTATATCCGGTATGCTAAAGCTCGCAGGCGCTTCTTCGCTGCATCCGTGACCTTACGAGAATGCTGTCCCGGAATCTCTTCCGAGGGGAACTGTTGACCAACAACATGAAGATTCTCCACGTTGCGCAGATAGAAGCGGTCGCCATACTCGTATGTGCTGCTAATGCCGATGAGGAAATCAGTAGGTTTGGGCTGGTGCGAGAATACTGGGGCTCTGTAAAGACCATTCTGGATGGTGGGTACAATTTCCCCGTTGTCCACGCAGCCAAAGGTCGAGAATGGACTTTTGTCTTGCGGCAACAAAATTTGGGTCTCGCCGATTTCTCGCTTGGGTCGCTCCTGGTCATCGGCGTCTTTCTTCCGGTAGTAATTGATCAATCTGTTACCCATACCAAAGTTCGATATCATCATTGGCGCCTCTTCCGCGTACTCCAAGAGTAGAGCAGAGGCGTTGTCGCCAAGGGAGAGATCTTCAGCTTTTGCATAGATCTCCTTAGCCTCTTTCCCACGCCAATTTTTCTTCTTGATATGTTTCGCCTTCTGAAAGCGATACTCTCGGCCGGGTCCATTTTTGAGTTCAAGTGGCGGTCGATGGAAAGATCGTTTCGATTTCGTATCAAGATTGACTTTGTAAAATGGGTACTGCAAGATTGTGGCTGGGAAACTATGCTCGACTGTAGTATTGCCCAGAGTGCTGCGCACTTTGTTTTGATGATTTTCTTTCAAGAGGTCATAGGCTTGATCATTGCTGATATTGTACCGTTTGAAGAGATCGCGACTGGCCGCGGGGTCTCGTTTGATGTCACCAGGTACACGCTTCTTGATCGTGCTTGCGCGAGTGGCATGTTCGTCAATAAGCAGTTTGGGATCATTCAAGTCCAAGGTGACAGTCTTTGCTATTCGTGCGACCATTTGTTCCGGGTCGTCAAACGATAAGTACGGGTCGACAGCGGGCAGCGACACTGCAGTGTCACGAGTCTCGGTCTTGCGCTTCTTCGAAGGGCGCGAAAGCTCTTCTGCATCCCAGCCACCTTCCATGACTGTGTCATCAATCATGTTTGTATCGATAGATTCGCCATCAATACTGGGGATATCCCAGTCTTCGCAGATCAGGGCCAAATCCTGCATGGTGACTCCGCCGATGCGCTCGTTGAGATCAAAATCATCAAGACCAAGATCCTCATCATTCCCATCATCCGATGCGACTCCCTGTCGAGCATTTATGAAGCTTTTCTGATAACTGCTCTCCTGAACGACCTTGTTGGATGTAGTAAAAGCTCGGAAGCTGCGCTCCTGGTCGGGTAGCAGTTCCAAAGCAAGCTTGGTTGGAAGAACCGCTTTTGGTGGCTTGAGAGGTTCCTTGCCACGGAAATGAACCTCACGAGGAGGGAATAATTCTATGAAGCGTGGAATCTGATACTCCTCGTAGCCAGAGAAAAGTTGGTGGAAAACATCGAAATCAGTTTGTGGACCACTCGCAGCCACATCTTCACCCGCATTGCGTTTCTTTGAGATTCGAAACAGCTCCCTTTGTAGATCTCGCTGTTTTCGCGCCTCCTCATCCAGATCGTCGTCATCGTCATCATCATCTGAGGTTGTCTCCGGCGGCGAAAGGATGTGGCTCACTTGCCGATTGAAGGGCTGCGGGCTGAGCGAGGAAGGACTGGGCCGTATAGAAGATGCAGCGGATGGGCGTGGAAGCGCAAGTCCTGATTTGCTGGGTAGAGCTAGGTTCGTAGCTCTTTGCTGTTGAGCAAGCGGTTGTGCCGAGTCCTGCGCGTGACGCTCGTCTTCGGGGGAAGAAAAGCGTTCCCCAAACAGATCGATATCTTCCATGCTTTCTCCAAACAGATCACCTGTGACTGGTTTGGCATCCACAGCAGCAAGACCAGGTGATGACTGAGCAGGTAGACCAGCGAAACCTCCGGGCACGGCATTTGAGAATGCATCGCCCTCCTCTTCATCTTCCATATGCGTGTTCGTCGCTTCTTCCTCTTCAGGCAAAGACTCATCATCGTCCAGATCGGCGTAGTCAAAAGCGTCATCGGCCTTCCCAGTAGTGTCGAAATTCTCCGGAATGTCATAGTCGCCGTACATGTTCAGCATGCCCATCGCTGCCTGACCGTCTGCGCCAGGCGCGCTGTCATGTTTTGTAGAGTGCGGCATGATTGCGGTGAACAGAAGGTATGGTGGTGCGAAATCTGATCGATGCGCGCGCTCTCGTGATGTGGAATGTACTTTCTGTCGGCTGAAGCGATCGCAGTCTGCAGTAGGCGCAAATCACGACACTGCGCCGATAAGAAGCTCAGGACATGATCAAATGTTCCGTTCAGCAGAAGAGCAGCTGATGGAGCCCTTTTGCAGTCGCTGGATGAAGAGGCACGTGTAAGGTTAGCTGTCGAGCACGCACTTGACACGAGAATGAACAACCGCGATAAAGTTCAAAGTTGAGCATCCACAATGAAGTCGTTCGCGGGCGCCCGATCTCCGACGGCTAGGGCCGCGCCGTCGAGCCGGCGTTTACCTGCAAAAGCGCCCACACGTGAGGTTTCACATGTGTGCGGGACTAAGCCGACAGTAAGCGGATGAGCCGTCCGCGGTACAACCAACGACACATATTGGCATTTCTGATTGCATACATTTGATTAAGACAACAAAGAACAACTCAGCAGTGCAATTATTAAGTCATGGCGATGAATCGGACATTGTTTAGAGGAAGCGTTGTGACAAACCACGTTGTGGCCAGAATAACATCAAGACCAAACCTGTGCACGAGATGCCAACAAAGATGGAGTTCGGTGTCCCAAAGACCAGGTTCAGATCGGTAAGTGATCGATGAAGTCAAGGTTTATTGGACCAAAGCTGATACAATTTCTGTAGTGTACAATTTCCAGGAGCAGTAAATTCGAAATTTACAACAGGCCTCAAGTTTCAACGAGCAAGCGAAGATGATGCCATGCCCACATACCGTATCCTAGACCAAGAAGGCAGAATTGTCGACGGCGCCCAACAGCCTCCTGACATTACCGACTCAGAAGCCATCCGTCTCTACAAGGACATGGTAAATGTCTCCGTCATGGACGTGATTATGTTTGACGCTCAACGTCAAGGCCGTGTAAGTTTCTACATGGTCTCCGCAGGAGAGGAAGGCATTGCCGTCGGCAGTGCCAGCGCTTTAAGCCTGAGCGATCCCATCTTTGCACAGTATCGCGAGACCGGCCTCTTTCAATACCGCGGATTCACACATGATGATTTCATGGCGCAGCTCTTCGCCACCAAGGATGATCCCGGTTTGGGAAGGAACATGCCCGTGCATTATGGCAGCAAGAAGCTTAACATGCATACCATCAGCAGTCCTCTGGCGACACAAATTCCTCATGCTGCTGGAGCAGCGTACGCTGTAAAGATGCAGAACATGCAAAACCCCATGGACGAGCAACGTGTTGTGGCGTGCTACTTCGGGGAAGGTGCCGCATCGGAGGGAGATTTTCATGCTGCCCTCAATATCGCCGCGACAAGGTCATGTCCTGTGCTTTTTGTTTGTAGAAACAATGGCTTCGCCATCAGCACGCCGACATTGGAGCAATATCGGGGAGACGGCATTGCTTCACGCGGGGTTGGTTACGGCATTGATACAATCCGTGTCGATGGCAATGACATCCTGGCTGTACGCGAGGTGACTCGTCAGGCCAGAGAACTTGCACTCAAAGATGGCGGTAGACCAGTCTTGATCGAAGCAATGAGCTATCGCGTCTCTCACCACAGTACTTCTGACGACTCCTTTGCATACCGTGCCAAAGTCGAGGTTGAAGATTGGAAGCGACGAGACAATCCAATTACACGCTTGCGTAAATGGATGGAGGCAAAGGGTATCTGGGATGATGAGAAGGAGAGAAATCTTCGCGCTGATGCACGTAAAAGCGTGCTGACTGCCTATCGCAAGGCCGAGAATGAGAAGAAACCGCCCCTCAGCTCGCTCATGAGTGATGTCTATGCTGAGCCGACAGAAGAGCAGAAGGAGCAGATGGCCAAGCTGCGTAGTCATCTTGAGAAATACCCGGATGAGTATGACGTGTCCGAATTCGAGGGGGGCATGGAGGGTTTGACATTAGAGAAGAAGTAATAATTTCAGAGGTCGTCCAGGCCGAGATTGTTCACGGTGCCGAGGAATTCTCCAGTTTTGCCTGCGCCAGCATCTTGCTGCCGAAGTAGTTCGTCTATGTCAACGCGTCCAGAGGTCAGGTACAGCTCACTGACACCAATATTGACGCGCTCCCTGAGAAGCGCATTGAGCTCGGCTCGTAGAGCCCCCATCTCCGACTTGCTGACTCCGCTAGCCTCCCTCTCCTTCTTTATTCGGCCGCTGCCGCGGCCTCGCCGTCCATTGGCCTGCTGCTCAAATTCTTCACTATCGTAATCGACGCCCAGTTCCTCTGCGGCTTTGCGCATAAAGTCATCTTCTTTACTGCGTTTGCTTTTCGCTATGCCTGTGTCTGCAATTTTCTTTGCCAACGTGGCCCGCTCTTTGAGACGATTGACGACGCGCCGGTCAATATCTAGGGTCCGGATATAGAAACCTTGCTTGGCCGCATCTGTTGCATCCTCTGCTCTGGAAATTGCAGATTGAGCATGGACTTTAGCAATGAGCCTTCGAACACCAGCGACTTCTTCTGGTCCGCAAATGAGGATCGAGGATCCGCTTTGTCCAGCGCGTGCCGTTCGTCCTGATCGATGCACGTAAGTGTCTGCCGCACGCGGAAGGTGATAATGGATGACGAGCTCGACATTTGGAATATCCAAGCCGCGGGCCGCCACATCGGTCGTGATGAGGACTACTGGCGAACCGGATTTTGCTCCGTCCTTTGCAGGAGTGAATCTCTCAATCGAACGAAGGCGTGCTTTTTGAATCATGCCGGAATGTAGTGGGATAGCATTGATGCCCAGATTCTGTAAGAACGGAGTGATGCGGCGGACTGCGTTGATTGAGTTTGTGAAAGTCATGGTTCTTGATGTTGGATATAACAAGAGCAGCGCGTACAAATACAGATCTTTCTCCATTCCAGCACATTCGATGAGACCTTCCTTGAGACCAGATGCCAAAGGAGTTACAGGGTTCACGTCAACGAATTTTGGCACCTCGTCCCGGAAGTTGATTTTCGATAGGAGATATTCCATGGACTCCTCATTGTTTAGTATATTGCTGCTGTTGTGTGTATGTTTTCCCGAGAGCTTTCTTTGAAGATCACGGTCAAAGGTCGCCGAGAACACAAGTGTTTGACGCTTAGACTTTGCATCCTCAGTACGTGCAGCTTCGAGTTTGTCATCATCCTCGTCGTCATTGGTATCCACCTTGTCGAGTGAATTAAGAATCTCTTCAACCTCTTTGAAGTGACCTTCACCAAGAAGACGGTCGGCTTCATCAATGATCAGAAACGAAAGTTGCTTCAAAGACGATGTGACGCTCTTGTCCTTGGAAATGATGTCCCAAATTCGACCAGGAGTGCCCACAATAATGTCGGCATCCTTGAGGAGACGCTGCTGCTTGAGCAACGACAGACCGCCAGTAAGGGTCGCGATCAATGGCTTGTGCTCAATCAAACCTGATGCAAGGGCAGTCAAATGCTTGCTGAGTTGATGGGCAAGCTCTCTGGTGGGTGAAAGCAATAATGCCAAAGGCGCTTTGGCTGAGCCTTGCCGTGCTCTCTGTTGTCTTTCTTCGAGGAATCGTTCAATGATAGGGATTCCGAATGCGAGCGTTTTCCCTGAACCGGTTGGAGCCTTTCCAATAACATCTTTGCCTGCAAGAATCTCCGGGATGACGGCTTTTTGAATCGCGGTCGGTTTGGAAAATTTCAGTTGGCTCAACGAGGCCATCGTATCTGGTGATAGCTTCAGTTTCCTCCAAGCGGATACATCGGTCGAGGTTTCGCTGGTTTCTTCAAGCAAAGTGGCAAAGCCTTCGTTGGCAGTCGCAGACTTCTTGTCAATTTTCGTTTTAGTTTGCTTTTTGGCTTTCTGCTTCTTCGATATCGCTTTCGCACTCTCTGTAACACCAGGCTCCGTCGTAGAATTCTCTGATGGTCGAACAGGTTCGTCGTCAAATCCATCCCAAGATTCGGCGTCATCGTTCTCGCGGTCGGTATGGTCATGATCTTGAGGATGAGTGACTTCACCTTTCACCAACTTGCCTGATGATGGCTCGGCGCGTTGAAAGAATGAGACATTTCCTGTATCATCCTTGGTGACTTCTATGTCGCTCAATTCTTCGAGAAAGCCATGTAGACCTTCGACGTCGTCTCGGATGTCAATGGTGTTACTCTGCACCCATTTTTGATCCTTGATGTCCACTTTTCGTCGACTTTGTGGCTTCTGAGGTTCGCTTTCTTGCTCGAGCTTTCTCTTCTTTCTTGCTTGCATAGCCGCCACTTTAGGTGGTAGTGAGCGTCCACTTGCCATGATTCTGATTGCAAGTCGCAAAAATACCAAGATGGCAAATATGCGCTTTTGAGATCCAATAAAATATCGATAATGATATCGAGAAATTTGTCGGCTCAGGGCTTCTGTCACGCTACGGCAGTCCGCCGGCACGCCCCGCTGCGCCCGAGACTAGCCCCAGGGTTCCATACATCTGCGCTACATGGTTATAGTCACTGAAGACCGTCTTCCATACTATCATTATCATCATTACGAACGCCAGACACGTCGCTGTCACCATCGATGCAACTGCCTGTTAGATGCGGCACGAAACCCAGCGCGTCGTATCGCTGAGTCCACTTGTCGATCGTAATCTTTGATCATGTACCGAAAATACAGAACATGTGAATGTAAAAAATATCGCGTCTCTGCTCCTGGCGAATTGAGTCACTTGAAGCGCGCATCATGACTTCCGCCGACGAGATCACACCACATGATGAGTACCTCCTCCACAAGACAAAAAGGATACAGAAAGTATTATCGCTTCTTGTCGGCCAATTGCGTAATGGCTGTGGGAGCACCCAATGTAGACAGATCTTATGTCATACAGGTCGCTCCAATACCAGCAAACGGCCAACACGCAGATACACCATACAAGCAGCCCGAGTAATCGCATTTGATGTATACAGCTCTTCATCCCAAGATCTAGGGTCAATTCTATGTCAATACTACGTTGCTTCCACTGAAGACGATTCGGAAGCGCAGAGTATTGGTCCCAGCCACGATGTTGGTTCACTCCCACAATCTATAGCGACAACCCATGCCTTCCGCCGACCAGACCTCACAAGTGCTCCTGATCGCACAACAAAGAACGTTCATTCCGAAGGGGCTTCTCACTGGCATCAAAAGCTTGATAACTTAAAAGGGCTGGAATTAACGCAGCCACAACTTGGCGAATCCGTTACATCTAATGCTGCACTGGCGGCAGTGCTCGTTCCTTGTCTGATATGGCTTGTCTCCAGAATTCCGGTTCCAGAGCTTGAGGTCATAGTCGGGGTCCACGACCGTATCAACGGCGTCAGGACAGCGCGGCCAACCAGCGATTCGGAGAAGCCAGGCCCTGCCAGAGAAGAGCAAATCTCTGCTGCATGGAATGCGATTGGCGACGAGGAGTTCCTCGGGCTTTTTGAACGAGTTATCGGAGCGGTTTCGAAACGCTCTACTCTTGAAGCCTTTGTCAGAACAAAACTAAATCTATTCAATCACAACCATCACATTGGGTCAGCGTGGAGTGTGGACAGTTTTTCAGATATCGAAATCGAGCTGAGAACAGCATTCCAAAAAAATGCGACATGGTCAGCGACCGAAGCATACACAGTTCGGGTCTGGCTTGAGGTTCTGTTCTTCAAGTACTGGGACGGGAGCGCGAATCTGGGTCAAGCGCCTCTTTGTCGCTGCATACTCAGCATTATCTCATGGGACTGGACGTCGCTTTCTTGGCCTTCAGACTTGACACCGAGCAGACGCCGCACGATATTCCAAATGCCGAGGCTTGCGCTCGAATTAGATGAGGGTAAAGCAGCACGAGTGTGGCTTAGCATGTCAGAACTGGAACGGAGAAAACTACACATCTTCAGTCATTGGACCCTCTTTGATGGGACTCAGCGCTTGACTTATTTTCGAAACGTGAACATCTTGGTCATGAGGTAATTTGCAGGTTCCCGGAATATAAATCAAATTAACTAACGACATCGTTGCAGGAAAGAGAACGCAGAGTCTGTGAAAGTGTCCCGGATGCGTTTGAAGCTTGGCTCTGCGAGCAGTAACGATATTCCAGAGGCTGTGACAAATGCAGAAAGCTACTTCCTTCTTCTGAACGTGAGCCGAAATCACATCTTGCAAGACACCTTCGATCAATTGTGGCACCGCCGCCGCAGTGAGCTTCTACGTCCTTTGCGTGTACGGCTCGGCGAAATTGACGAGCTAGACTACGCGACCGATATGGGAGGCGTCCAAGTTGAGTTTTTCAACCTGGTCTTCAAGGAAATAATGGAAAATTCCCGTAAGTAATCATACATTGAGTGAAGCTGTTATAGGGCGATGATGCTGACGTTGTCTCAAGAGATGTTTGTGGCAAACGAAGCCTCGGGTACATACTGGGTCCGGGCAGGCAGCTTGCAGCCGCTACACATGTACGAAATGGTTGGCATCCTCATCGGCATGGCTATGTATAACGGAATCACGATTCCTATAGACCTTCCCACATTCTTTTACGGCGACCTCCTTCACGAGAGAGGGGACCCCCTTGAGGCTTGCAGAGAGATCTGGCCGGACGTCGTGGCTGGGCTGGAGAAGCTGACCGATGATGTCCTCGATGGAATGGACTTCATTTTCCCGATGGAAGCAAACGGACTTCGGCTGGACGTGTCGTACAAAGGAAGAACGAGGGGAGAATTGATCGAAGCTTTACATGTTCATAGTATCACGCCAATCGGGTCCCTCTCAGCACATAGCTCCGCTTCGAGCGAGACGAATCTGACGGTCGAATCCCTCGGCCTTCGCAACGCCTGGCCAGGATGGAAGCTTGTTGATGCCGAAGATCCTCCTGAGCCGCTCACGCCAGAGAACAAACAGGACTTTCAAACCCGCTACTGTCACTGGCTACAATTTGGTGCCGCACAACCACAACACTACGCCTTAAAGCAAGGTATCAGACAAGTATTCAACCGCGAAGATGAAGCTTTGCACGTCCTCGCGCCATCCGGCACTTTGAAGGAGCTCGTAGAAGGCTCCCGATATCTGGATATCGCTGCCCTCCGCGCCGCGACCAAATATGAACGCTACGAGCCCGAGGAAGAATATATCAATTGGTTCTGGGAGATTGTGATGGCGTGGCCGCAGGAGAAACAGAAGAAGCTGTTGCAATTTGTCACTGCTCTGGAGAAGATTCCTTTTGGTGGAGAGAAATTCGTGAAATTTGTCATTGATGAGAGATGGTATTATGACCAGGAGGAAGGCAAAGAGAACCTCCCCACAGCTTCGACGTGTTTTGGAACGTTGGGTTTGCCAAGATACCCGAACAAGGAGACGTTGAGAGCGAAGTTGGACATGGCGATTGATTACGCTCACCAAGGTTTTGGAAATGGTTGAAGAGTGGGATCTTCTATATGTTTGTACGCAGCCTTTGGTCATACTTTTACCGTATAATCAAGGGAGTATCTGAAAGTGCAAATGCTCTCCAACAAGATCTGGGCCTGGCCTGCATCGTCGTGTTGAGAGAAGCAAGCGGCGACCCGAACGATACGGCAGGGCTATGTATCATGTACCAGTCTTCCACCCATGCGCGATTTACGTGTACAAGTTTTACAATCCTTGATTCTTCCATTGGCCTCCACGGCTTGGAACAGAATCCTGCCCGCTTCTTCATGTTTATTTTTGGATGCGATCACGGCCGCATTCTTTGGATCGTCAAGGTGACCTGCATACGCACCGGCTTCCAGCAGCATCCCAATGATACCGACATTGCCTTTGGAAGCGGCTCGGGAAAGCAGCCAATTGGAGGGCCGGTGCACTTCTTGGGCTCTTATGGTGGCTCCTGCAGCCAACAGCACCTTCGTCACATTGGCGTAACCATTACCCACGGCATCCTCCAAAAGCGCAGCCTTATCGCAGCTGGCTCCTGCAAGCAACAGCTCCATCGTCACATTAGCGTGGCCATCCCGTACGGCGCCCTTCAACAATCCAGCATTATCGCAGCTGGCTCCTGCAAGCAACAGCTCCCTGGTCACATTAGCGTGGCCGTTCCGTACGGCGGCCTCCAACAGTGCAGTCTTATCGTAGTTTGCTCCTGCTACTAACAGCTCCTTCGTGACATCAGCGTGGCCGTTCCGTGCGGCGACCTCCAATGCAGTCATTCCGTTGACGATTTCGTCAACTTTAGCGCCCTGAGAAACCAGTTTTGGAATGATCCGAGCAGAACCAGAATATGCAGCATCCCAAACCAATTTACCCAGGCCACCAGTGATGGTGTACGCTGTTGCGCCGGCAGACAACAGATGGTCGACCACCTGGGCATGGCCGCCTTGTACCGCGACTTCGAGCGCTGTGCACTTGAATACCTCGTTGACGTCAACGCCAATGGATATAAGCGTTGCTACTATGTCTGCACAGCCATCTGCCGCAGCCATTTGCAGTAATGCTGGAAGGCCTCCAGTGGTGGTATCCGCTGTTGCGCCGGCCGAGAATAATTGGTCGACCACTTCGGCATGGCCGCCTTGTGCGGCGACTTCGAGTGCTGATCGCGTGTATACGTCATTGACGTTTACGCCGGCAGATATGAGCATTGCCACCATGTCTACATAGCCATCCCTCGCAGCCATTTGCAATAACGCCGGGAGACCGCCGTCGACGGCTTTTGCTGTGGATCGCTTAGTCAAAAGTCTGGCAACGTCACTTGCATGGCCGCTTGATATCATTGCCTTGAGCGCATCGAAAGTGATCTTGGGGTCAATTTCGGCAGGTACTGCCATCATCAACTCGATCATTTTCATGTGACCGGCTCGTGCGGCGACCTCAAGTGCTCTGCAGCGAGCGGGACCATCATCAGGTTTTTTGTTGATTGTTTCCTGGGCGGCAAGGAGTTCCTCAACATATTTGACCTCACCTGCGGCAGCAGCTACAGCAAGTAAGGTAGGGTAAGCTTTGGCATGGAAAGGCCCGACTTCAGCTCTTATCTCATCCCATTCGAAAAGCACTCCTATACTTGATGACCTCAGGCTCATTATACGACTCGCAGCCGGCGCATCGTCCGAAAGAATAATACCCCGAAGTAATTCGCCGAGCATACTGACATCAAGTGCGAGGTCGAATAGAAATCGTAGAAATTTCGTCACGAAGGCAGTGGCTCCAGTAAAGAATGCTTCATCCAGAATTTCCTTCATTTGGTTCTTTGGAAGCGGATTCGGTCCTGATTGACACCATACTAGCAACGCGAAATGCTTCTCCTGCACGATGTATTTTTGGAACGCTAATTGCGATTGACGAGTTCCATCAAGTATTGGCCATGGTTGACGGATCAGCGAGTCCGTGCTTGATGAGAGTGCTATCCACAATGGCCATATTCGATCAATTGGTTCAAAATCACGCGAATGGAACTCCCAAAATTCCGTTGCATATTGCAAGAATGGATGATCTCGCTGTATCTTGTGTGTTGTTGAGAATTCTGGTTCTATAGCTTCGTTTAGTGTTTGCGCTATGCCACGCGAGACTCCCGAGGACGATGGTGAAGTAGTGTGCATCTTGTTGATGAGCTTCGCGAGGCGAGGCATCGCACTTCCGATTGAAGCTTGCCAGATTGGCCTCGTCATATCGATGTCTTGTAAGCCCGATTGCTTCACGAGCTGCCTCTTCTTGAAGTCGTCAAAGCTTAAATATGTGGTGCAAGTTATTCCAAATCTCTTGGAAGCCTTGTCCATATCAATATGCGCCCAAATTTGCGTGCGCAGCTGTGTCTTGTCTGACACGGTCTGAAGGATAGTTGGATGAGCAAATCGGACCTCGCCTTGAATCTCTTCCTGGATGATCAAACCACCAAACCAATCAAAAATTTGCGAAATATTATTGATAAATCTTCCGGGCTGAGATGATTTAGCATAAGGCTCTACAGCCATGGCTTCCTGTAGTTCAGGTAGAAGTAGCGGGCGACGAGCTACTGCAACAAATTTGAAACACTCCGCAGCTTCCTTACTTCGGCCGGAGGCAGCGATACTTGAGAATATCTGGCAATAAAGCTCCGTCAGTGTAGCCGGCAGTTTAGTGAGAATTTGTCGAATTGAGTCATCAGTAGGTTGACGACAAATTTCTCGCAACATGAGCTCGACCCACAGGAACCTGTTCAATGTGTCAGAGCTGAGGCAAGTTTACGATTGCCAACACATACATATTTTCGGCACCGTTAAGAAGGTCAGTCGCTATTTGTGAGACCAATGCTGGGTCATTGGTCGAAAGATCTTGATTCTCGATGCTTGTCACAACAGCATATTCGATATAAGCTTCAATGTCTTGCCTGATGAATCCTGCAGGTAGAGGATACTCAATAATGTCGACATTGCTGTCGCGAAGTTTCTCTGGAACTTTGTGCCGGCAACTCAGCAGCACTTTGAAAGGACGACTGGCTTGCTTACAGACCGAGCTTAGCGATTCACAGAGTTTTCGCTGCTCGGTCCTGTCCATGTCGTCAAGTCCGTCAACGACAGCAAAATGAAGCGGATTGTTGGCAATCACTCGCAGGAACAGGCTTTCCAAATGAGGTATATCATCTAGACGCTCTCTGAGTGCGTTTTCGATTTCTTCTGACATCGAGTCCTCGCTCAAGCATTGCCGAATTAGACACCGCAATATGCGTGAAGCTGAAAGGGACGCGCTATCGTCAAAGCGGCAGAACATGTATGATATTTGAGAACTTGCTGTCGCTTGGTGCGTGAATAACAATCCGATAGCGTATGCCCTGAGAAACCTCGTGAGTTGAATGATTCGATTACGTATGCCAATATGGAACATACATTACAACGCTTTTTCCGCCTCCCACTGTTGATGTCAGTCAGGGCACATCAAGAGTGGGTATGCCTTACATTTGCCGGTGAGCCACAACATTGATGATGCAGGCGATGTGCGCCACCTCTTGAAGATAGCATCATCGTCCAGCCATTCTATAGTTCCATTGCAACGCTTGCCTTGGAGCTGTGAAAAGGGTGTCTTGAAATCATGCGCCGATAGTTTGTTGAGCAGATCCAAACGTTCGATTCCTGATGTATGTGTGAGTTGAACGGGCCAGTAACAGGAGCAGGTGTAAGGATCTCACGTCTTTGACGTTCTCGTTTTATTGCAGCGAGTTCTCGTTTGCTTTTCCGCTCGTCATGTTGGCTTTGCACGTTTGCGAGCTGTACCTCTTTTGCGACATTGCGTGCCAAGTCCCGAACCTCATTTTGTTCAATGAGAGACCGCGAAGTGAATAGCGACATTGGATTCGTGTATAATTCTCTCCACAGCGGTTCTGATAACTGTCAGAGGCTATCTCAAATTCAGAGTGCGGGGAGTACTTGCCAGGTTTCTGCATGTCCACATACAGATCGGCGCAGATTCGAACGATCCTAGCATAATACGAGCAGAGCGCATTTTGAACGCGGGTTGAATCCTGGAATATGCGCTGATAGGAATCGAAACGAGGGCACTCTCGACCAATCTCCATCAACAGCTCAGATATGCGCTCAAACCGTGACAGACTCCTGCTGACGAGCTTAATGCATTGGTCAGACCTTGCTACGTTCTCTGTGCGGGAGCCATTCTGCTTACCAGGAGCGTGAATTGTACGCTTCCCCATACCAGTGCAGCAGTCGCTGGGTTTGAGGACACGAATGTGGAGACAACAAGACTGAATTGGTTGATCGATTCGAGTACGACATGTAAACGTGACGCAAAGCAGCGGCCTTTACGGTCGCGGTTTGCCTTGTCGAGTTTCGTAACTAAGTTGATAACGGCAGATGCATCGGGGATAGACGCTTGCGCATCAAACTCCTTCCGATCTTCCTTCCCGAGCCTGTTTTGAAAATTGAGTAAGGCGTCTTGCAAAGCATTTGTGTTGGTGCGTACGGCCAAAGCAGTCGCTCGTGTGACCGCCATGATCAACACCGACCGCTTCGCATGAGTCGGCTGATACTCAACGGCATAGCGATTGTTGTGGGCACTTCTCAATTAGAAGTTTACGTCGTAAACAAGCTATGTTCTCCCAGACATGTGAGCGGGCGGCTTGAGGAGGCGCAATGCGTGGGCCAGAGCGCATCCTCGTGAATTTTGGACCACATGATTGGACGTGAGGCGCATGGACTGCACAAGCTTAAGCACAGTCTGTCGAAAGACGTCTTTTCATGAATACTTGGAAGATCACGATGGAGAAGGCGAATACCCAGGTAATTATATATCAACTGTCGTTCGTTTTTAACGTCTACGAGAGTCGTTATCTTCATCCGCCTTCGCGCACAGACGCGCAAGCGGAGGCATCCCACCATGCTTACACGTTGAACATGATATGGCAAGGCTGCAGGTGTTTTTTTAAGCGTCGTCTTCCTGAACTAAACCGCGCATCTCCTCTGCAGTATCTTTTGTACCTGTAACATACCCGCCTCCAACGAGAACATGGCCGATCGCGATTCCCTGGCCTCCCGCACGCTACCATTCATCAAATTGTCAGGCGGAGAGGGAACGCCACCGAACCGCCCACCATCTCCTTTGCCATCAGACCTATCTGCTCAAGAGCGTGCGCAAGTGCGTTTCGAGGTGAAAGGGAACATACTCAGTAAGTCGATGTTGAATGTCTAGCCGTACGCGAGAATGCGAACCCGAGCAGCATGGCGTATTTACGCACCACAATTCGCGCACGGAGAAAAGACCTATTTTAAACAGATGATTATTCCTTAGTCACCGGCGGCGCTGGCAATCTCGGTCTATCTGCTGCCAGGGCTCTGCTCGAACATGGCGCATCGGGATGTAGCCTCTGGGACCTCGAAAGCACGATTCGATCGAGCCAGCCAGAGATTCTGAAGCTGGCACAAACCTTCCCAAAGGCGCGAGTCTTTGCCATTGCGGTAGATGTCACAGATGCCGAGGCCATCAATGAAGCCATAGAATCTGTCGTCAAGATCGGTGGACCAATCCGTCATCTCTTCTGCTTCGCCGGAATCGTGGGATGTCATCATGCTCTCGAAATGACCGAAGCACAATGGAAGAAGATCTTGGACGTCAACACAACAGGGTCTTTCCTCTGCGCTCAAGCTATAGGAAAGCACATTGTGGGACGCAAAAGCAACGGCAGCGACGCCGTCACAGCGGAAGGAGAGTTCACTGGTAACCTCATCCCGAGCGGAGGGACCATCACTCTCATCGGCTCTGTCTCAGCCCATGCTGTGAATTTCCCGCAGGCTCAGGCCGCGTACAACGTGTCGAAGAGTGCCGTGGTGGCACTCAAATCGAGTCTCGCAGCAGAATGGGCCGTTCACGGGATTCGAGTCAACAGCATCTCTCCGGGCTACATGGATACGATCCTTAACTCTGGTGAAGGCAATATTGTTGAGGCACGAAAAATGTGGATGAGTCGCAATCCCATGGGACGCATGGGAGCTGTAGGAGAATTGGACGGAATGTGTGTGTTGCTGGCAAGCCGAGCCGGAAGCTATATCAATGGAGCAGATATGGTGATCGATGGAGGAATGTCTGTATTCTGAAGGCGTTGCTCGCCATCTTCACGGGATGGGTCGAGACAATCAATGTCAAGCCCGACAAATAATCCGATTGTTGAGTTATTATACACGAAGGGAAAGAAGATCAGAGCCTTTCACCGAAATCCGTGGCTTCGAGACGAATGTGCTTCGGAAATTAACGGCGGCCTGTTTAAATCACACTGTCCACATGCGGTCAAGTTCCAGGATGGCTGTTGGCTTTCCGTCGGCGTCGGCCCGCGAGTTTTAGGGCCATGAGGCCCCGAGAATCACGCGCTTTCCATAGGATACTGTGAATACCTTGTGCTAAACTCTCATGGCTCAATGTCATCTCTGTTCCGGTGGAATAACAAAAGCAACAATTTTTGACATTCTTTTGCGAAGATCTCGAGAGGCAGCGCAAGAAGTGCAATGCGCTCACCATAAGCACCATCAAGCGAGCATATCCAAGACTAGTATATGCGAACCGTTCAGGGTCCCTATGAATGGAGGCACGCGCATCACCAGAACATGAACCTGGTGCAAAACAGCCTTTAAAGAGTGTTTCGGTTGCAAAAGTGCAAGCATGGGCCATCCAGATCCATCGTTCTTTGCATTTTTATTGCCAAGAGGCCTGCCCAAGATTTTCGATGAGCCTTCCAAGGCCACCACCCCTCAGAAGCACGCCCAAGCGCGCGTGCCCCATGGGCCCAAGCGAAATGGCGGCACAGCCCTCACGACAGCCCTCACGACAGCCATCACGGCATGCATGGTGCTAGTGCTGACAAGCGTGCATTACTCGCCTAAATTTACACTCACGAGGGTCTCGGGCAGGCTGCACACCTCGAAATTACAGGCTCAGCCTACAGGGCTAAGTCAGGTGTACGAGCCATCGCTCATTCGATCCATACTCCACAGAGGATTGCCATGATCATTTTTATATTTCTGGTTGTCTCCATTCCGTGTTCCACCAATTCTCTCCTGTTGTCATAATTCGAAATTTCTGTTTGCTGCGCGGGATCGTTCATTGTGCTGTCGAAACTACAAGGAAGAATCGCTCCTTCCTCATAAATCCCTTCCACAAGACTTTATTTCACGACGATATCATCGTCATCGCAATGGCTGCTCCTCAATCTGGCTCCTGGCGAAATGGCCTCTTCGGCAAGATCTGCGGTGGAAGCTGCGGTACCTGCGTATGTTTTTCCCAATCTTTTCTTTGAGAGAGATATACCGCGGTCAAATCTCATTCCGGCATGCTAACAACAGAACTCCAGATGGGAGCCTGGTGCTGCACGCCTTGTCTCCACGGCCGCGTGTCCTCCCGCTACGAAGTCTTCCCGGACAGCGACGAATCCAGACTCGAGACCTTCAACGGGGACTGCATGATCGCGTACGCCGCGGGATGTTTCGGGCTGACTTTCCTGCCCATCATGTTCAAGCGGGCGGAGATCCGGCAGCGCTTCGACATCCCGGGAGACGGGTGCACCGATTGTCTGTTGTCGTGTTTCTGCCAGCCGTGCGCCCTCGCGCAGATGTCGACCGAGCTGAAGGACCGCAGCGCCGCCGCTCTGCTCCCGACGCACGGCCTCGGTGACGACAAGACTGGGTATGTTTCTCCTGCGGCCGCGACCGGCGGGATGGTGTATGCCGACAGTAAGCCGACTTACACGGCGCCGATCTACACGGATGCACCGCCGCCGCAGGTCACTCAGCACCGGGCTTAAGGATCACAGCATTCTATGGTCCATGGGCAGTGAAAGTCATACAACATTAAGCGTAGAGGCGGTGGAAGAAAAAGTCAGAGAAGGGAACAGGCTGTTTATGTGAAAATCTTGTGATATCCAATCATTGATGTTAGAAATTCCATTTATTTTTATTTGTTGCGAAGCCATATACTGTTCATCGATCCTCTTTTTCCGCTGACCAGTGGTATTGTTTCCCGTCAACGTCTTCGAGACCTCAATCACGATCCAAAGTCGACTCCTGTTCCGATCTTCATTGCCAATGAACATCAATTTCTCTAAATCTTTGTCTATTACATACACAAGCGTGTGCCTCCAGCCCGCCGAGGAAACCCCACCCCTGCAATGCCCAAAACCGAACTCCAACGAGGAAAATGCGTTGCAATGTAGTACATAATGTAATGGTAGTGAGTAGTGTGAATAAAGATGAGGAGGAAAGATGGTGGGTATCATCACATCATTAGACAAGAAGAAGAGAATTCCCAACCGAGAAAGGACGAAGAAAATGACAAAGACAAAATGAAAACCCAGACCTGGGAGCCAAAGATTCTCAAAAAAACCCCCAATAATCCCGAAATTTCGACAAATAAAAAAGTTCTTGCTCCTTCCTGCATTGCCCTGCCAGAACCGACAAGAATCTTGATGTTTTCTTTCATCTCCTCATCAAAACCTCCACGGCCCGTTCAGCCCTCATCTTGCCCTCTCCAGTGACGCCCATCGTCCTCGTCAACCACAACGCCTCATCGGCCTGTTCCTCGGAATAACCCATCTGAACAAGAGTGCGGCGAGCCGCGTCCTCTTCCTCGACATCCGCCTCGCTGCGGAATCCCAGGGAGGACGAATCTGCGACGGAAGAGGCATCTTCGCCTTCGCCGCTGGCGCCGGTAGGGATAGCGGAGGAGGGCGGGAGGCTGGTTGGGTGGTGCATTCCAAGGCCTAGGGCGGAGAGCGAAGGGGTGTTGGGAGTTGGGAGAGTGGTTGCGCTGTTGGGGTTGGGGGAGTTGGCGGCGGTGGCAGGGCGGAAGTTGAGGGTTTGGAGGATGCCAATACCGAGGTTGCGTTGAGTGGGAGGTGGAGCGTGTGGGAGTTGGGGTGGTGGTGAGGAGGATTTGAGTGGTGGTTGTTGTTGTTGGACCGGGGGTTCTTCTTCGAGGATAGGGCTGATTCGGCGGTACTGAGCGGGTGAAGTGGTGCTGCTGTAGCCGGATGGGCTGTTGAGAAGGGGAGAGACGATGTGAGGGAGGCGCGAGCCGGCGGAGGACATTGGTGAAGTTTGTTCTGGCTCAAGAGGGGAGCAGAGGGCGGGCTGCTGGTGAGGCAGCAGAATCTGCGGAGATTGCTGGTGTTGCTGCTGCTGTTGCTGTTGTTGTTGCTGCTGCTGCTGCTGCTGCTGCTGGTCCCGCTCCTGCCTCTGCACACTTTCTTCATCCTCCTCCAGAATTGAGTCCGCGCACGTGCTACCTCTCCGAGTCAAGCCGCTCGCCGGGATGCCGGGCTGATGGTTCGGGACGACATGCAAGAACGACCTCGTGCTGTTGATGCTGCTGCGGCGACTGACCATGCTCATCGGGCGTTCGTTGTTCATGTCGATCAGCGGCAGGCGACGAACGGCGCTGGTCTGACGGCGAAGCTTGATCTCCTTGGCCAAGGCAGCGACACGCTTGCGTGAGATTTCCTTTTGCTCGACGGCGCGAGGATCAAGACGGCGAGCTTGACTGCTGATGATACGTTCTTCGTAGAGACGGGCGACAGGCTCTTTGAGGAAAGAGCTACGGTTGTAATGAAGGGGTGCAGGTGCAAAACCTGGAGAGGTGGCGGTTGGGTAGGTTGAAGGGGTCCACTTGGTCCAGCCTTGTTTTTGAGCCAACTGGAAGCCAGACTGTACGGATGTTTGAGCGATGGCACATTCGACCATGGCCAGGACAACATCCAGGCCGAGTGTGAGCAAGTGGAAGGTCCATTCCTCGAGTACCTGGTCTTCGCGGTCGGCAATCTCGTCTTCATCGGCATCCTCGCTGAGTTCGAGCTTGTCGAAGACACCATACTTCCGGGCTAGCGCCGTGTAGCCCAAGTAGCCCTGCTGCAGAAGTGCCATCAAGCAAGTCCAAATCTCTGTCATATCGAAAAGCTGTTCGGCGTTGAGTCCACTTTCCTTGTCGGCGGAGGAGTAGGAATAGTTGCCACCCGCGAAATACTCGGGAGCGTTCAGCAAGACGCTGCCCATCTCGAAATCAAGGTTGGTGTTCACGGTGGCCACACAGCCTTGGTTGTTCGCCAAGAGGCCACCTTTCAACCAATCGAGCTGGCCAGTAATGTCCTCCTCGCGGCCCTTCTCATATCCAAAGATGAGACAGAAGCACCAAATCCGCCAGAACGCATCGTCGATGCGCTGAGCGTGTTCGTGCTTGGGATTTGCCAGCGCCAATTTGACCTCACCACGGAGAGCTGAGCATTGCGAAACGATAATCTTCTTCAAGCTGACAATCGTGGCGTAATCGCGCCGATGATTCGCCACCCATATTTGAGGAGTGTATACCGATTGGACCATCACGTTGTCAGCTCTTGGCAAACCTAGATCGGGAGGACACCATTCGCGGAACTCCCACGCAGGCGGAGACTGGTTGTAGGATACTCTGCGTACCAGAGACATGTCGTTCTCTTTGTAGACTCGATACATGCCCTTGTTGATGACCGCCATATTAGCAAGGTCCTCAGTTGAAGTCAATGCCGCGAGGATGTGAAGGAGCACTTCCTCACACGCCGCTGCCTGGATCATTGCCGCATCAAGTTCGACCTCCGGCTCCGCGCGAATGACCACGGGACCATTGACGACGATGAGACCATCATCCACGACGATCTTTGGGATCGTCGGAACGGGAGGAACCGTGTCTTCAGGCAACTCAGCCAGGTCCGGCCGCACAAGGGAGATTCGAGAGTTGTTTCTTGCGACATGAGCAATGCTCGCTGTGCGGCGGAATGCTTTGGCATCAGCTGCGCGCTCGGCGCTCTTGGCTTCCGATTCAGATCGTCGACGCGACGGAGCCGTTGTCGGAGGGATCATCAACGCCTCCAATTCCTGCGAAGTCTTGGAAGCGTCTTTCCAATCGCGTTTCCGTGATCGTCTGGGGATAGAGGGAGCCTGCTCCGGTGGTCGCATGACACTGTGAACACTTCCTGCCGAAACACTCTTCGACTTCTTAGGAATGGTCTCTTTTGGCCGGCTCGGCGCAATCTCACTGTTGGCCACACTCCTCTTCCGCCGAGGTTTAGGTTGCTTTGATTCAGGCGCTGGGTTGGTGGCAGTCATGTTGGTTAGCTGGGCGTTGAGAGCCGACTCTGCTTGGCTTAGTGTCGGGCTGGGACTAGGCGCCGCTTCATCGCCGCCCATTGGCGCCGTCAGCATGAATGCACGATCGAACGCATCGAGCTTGTTCATTGACATGGACTTGCGCATATCTCTTGCAGGTTGCGCACGTGATGAATTGCTGACACGTAGCGACTTAGTGCCATTCGCACGTCGACCCGAAGCTTTCTTCGGAATCAGTGGCGTGGTAATATCTGTCTCTTCAGCGGCAGCAGCAGCGGTGGCGGCGTCGGCAGTATTGGTCGTAAAGGATTTGGGCATACGGGGCAGCGGTTTATCCAGCGCACCTGAGACACTCACGGCACGCACAGAACCATCGAGGGATGATGTGATTGATGCGACTCTGTGGTGAGCGACGGTGTGGCGCTTGCGAATAGCTGCTGCTCCGAGCGGTGTTTTGAAGCCTTCCTCGACACTGGTGGCTGAGCTGCGCTTACTGCAGACAGAGCCAACGTCTTCCACCGGAGAGCTGCAGGAAGATGATGAGTGTGAGGCTCGTTTCGGTTTGGCATCTTGGGCGGGTACGGACGATTGAGGTTTTACTTCGGGCTCTGGGGAGGCGATGACTTGCCGTGGAGCAGGCTCGTCAGGACGCACTGTGGAGGATGACTCCTCGGAGACGGCGGGTTTGGACGTTGCGACGTCCGACTTGTTCTCTGAAGATCCTAGAGGACTGACTGGGCTAGTTGCATCGGGTTCGCCCGTTACCTTTGAGTCGCTGACGGCACTGATGACTGATTTCGCCTCGGGAAGTTTGATGGCAAGATTCGGTCGCGAGACCACCTTTTCCTTCTTCCGTTGCTCAGGTCGGAGCGGTGTTAGTCCTGTCTCCTCTTCGATCTTGGCGTCGAGCAGGAAGCTCTGCGGTCGAGGCTCTATGTCCACTCGCACAATCCCATCCACCCATGTGCCGATCCGCGAACGTACGTCGCGTTTACGCTGTGATTGTGTCCGTTGATTCGTAGGGAGCTCATCGAGAGGTAGGTGTGACGTTGGGTTGGTGAACCCTTGCTGTATCGGTTTGGGGCTCGTGGGTTGTGAAGGGCTGCTGGTCGGGCGCACAATTTCTTCAACACTCGGTCGCGGGACCGTTTCGTCCTCCAATGCCGTCATGCTGTTCCTCTTCGGCGGCGGGACAGCGAATGGGGTCCCACTTTTGTTCTTCTTGGGTGATGCCACGCGGGATATGCTACCGGAAATGCTTCGTCGTCGGCTGAGCCAGGCTTTCTGTCGCTCGGTCATGGTCCGAGTGAGACCTATGGAACCCTGCTCGATAAACGCCGGCTTTCCCTCCGACAACTCCGTCCCTCTACGGCTGAAGATGGAAATGGTGCGCCGAGCAAGGTTGACGGAAGGGTTGGGGGCATATTCGACATCGGGATTGAACATGGCCGGCGCATTAGCAGGTGCGACCTGGGTGGAATCCATGTTGAGCGAGGTCAAAACGGCTGTGATTGAGGTCGGAGTTGATGGTGAATGGGTGAGGATGAATGTTATCGCGTCTCCAATTGTGTGGACCCGAGAGGTGTCGAGATTGGAGAAGGGTGGCAGACTCGAGCCAGTTGTAGGGACGTAGTGAATGTACAAATATGGGAAGGAAATAGTGAAGGACCAGGAAGAGTAGAAAAGGAAGCAAATTACTAGGGACACTAGAGGAGAGAGGATGGGGACGAGGAGGATGGGAGGGATCCAAGCTGCGGCGCGCGCACAGTGTAGCGTGTGGAGAGTGACTAGTGAAGGGGGAGAGAGAGAGAGAGAGAGAGATCGCGAGAAAGATGGGTGTGCGTGTGTGTGTGTGTGTGAGGGAGAGGGAAGTGAGAAGAGAGAGTAGAGATACAGCACAGTCACTCAATCATCCTCCATCAGCGGGCGTACAGTAGTACAGTAGGAGCAGTAAAGAGGCATGCGACGACTCCAGCGACAACGAAGGACTACGGACGAGACAAGAAAGCAGGGAGACAGGGCCGACCAATCTCCCCCAAGCCTCTGATGGTTCTGCGCCGGCTAATACTCCACGAAACGAAATAAGAAACACTCATTCTCCTACATGCATGCCGACGAGAATACTACTACATACAGTAGACACTAATGAGGACGAACAGAGTGAGCAAGGACATTTCTATTCTTTGCGACCGTTGTTGCGCCCACCACCACAGCCTCCCTCTCTGCGCACGACACACCAAACCACACACACACACACATTTTAATGCATTGCGGCGTAGTTTCATCACCACCATCTCCACCGTCACCCACCCACCCACACACACCTCTGCGCCGATTCATCATCACAGCCCGGCTCTCAGCCCAGACCGAAGCAGCCCTGATCAGTGATGCCAGAAGGAACAAGCAACACCAGCAGCAGCAGCACAAGAGACCTCACCCGTCGTCCAATCGCATTGTAAAACACCACGGTTCACACATTACCATATCTGCGCATCCTCGCCTAACCGACACACATCCCCCCAATTTCCAACGACAGGCCACGATCGCCGGCCCCATCCCCAAATCCTCCGAAATGAAAACAGAGCAGAAATGATCGTCTCCGCCGAAGGCGTGTTTCTCCCTCTGCCAGGCCGCCCGCAACGACACGACTGCCCCGAGGCCGAAAAGCCAAAGCCGTTGATATGATGATGGGCAGGGGAAACTAGCGGGATTAGTGGAGTTCTTCATGTCCAAAATTGCGCAGAGAGGTCGTTATTTCAGTGGTGGCATTTAGACGCCAGAGTCCCTGAGCGGAATGGTCTCATTTGGTGACCCTCTCGCTTTGCCTAGTATGTATGGATCGGTGCAACGCGTCGCCTTGTGTGCGCGTGTGATGTGGATGGGTGTGCGGGATTGATGATGATGGGCATGATGCGTGAAGATCGTTCCTCTTCTATCTGATGACACACATTCTTCCCGTGTTTTCCATTCTTCACACATGAAACAGACGACGGTGGAATATCCGATCAGATGTGATACAGGCAAAGCCCGCCCGGGCACTTGCCATGCCGAACCCGATCCTGCCTGGCCCATCAGCGCCCGCTTTCCTTTCACGGCGTAAATCGCCCGCACACCAGATCCCCCAATCAGTACACACAACTACGGTCATCATATCTGGGTCCATAGATGGTCATTCAATGTGTCACACAGACTGGGCTGGGCTGGACACAGCAGCGACGGCGGCGACATGCGGCGAGAGAGCCAAGGCTTTCCCTTTCCTCATCTGATGATCATCAACATCAAACATCTACCGGTTCGCACCCACCATCCTCGGCCTAATCATCTTAGCGCGCAGTGACCAGTTTCGAAATATCCGTCTTCCGTCGGAGTGATTCTTCCATCGAAGATCCGATGGTGTCAGAGAGATGCAGTACATTCCTGTCAACAAAATTGTGAAATCGACGAAAGACGCATAGTCATGTATTGCCAACGACCTCGGCTTCACGTTGGTTTGAAACTCCCGTATGAGGAATTCCAACATGATCTGCATAGGCGGCGTAAGGGACATACCAGACTCCATTCATGACCTCCTGCCTGGCCCACATTTTTATGCCAACGACCACATGTGTCGCGTCTTCCATTTGTTGGTCCTCGGATTGGTATCTACGGTATTCTAGACTGCAGGGAATGCTCTCACGACCAGAGCAACAGTAGGCGACACAGGGAGAAGGAATAGTGTGGGGGGGCGTGCACAATGGGGCGAGGCGGCGGAGGCGGCGGCGGGGGGACGGTCGACCGCATGGAAACAAAGCGCCTCTCACACTGATCTCTGACGAGTCCAAGATCTTTCTCGAATTTCTTGAAACGACATCGGAACTTGTTGGTTCTTCACGTTGTTCGACAATTCTCGATGGCTCGGTCCAGTGTCACAGATGTAATAGAGTTTTCCACCACCACAATCCGGCACTGATGCATCTGCCATGCCTCGCGAGGCACGCGGCGTGCGGCGAGTCTCTCTCGGCCCCGGCTTGGGCTTGTGCTTGAGCTTGTGCTTGGATCAGATGAATCCAACCTTTCATTACGGTAACATGGACTTTCATGAGGCACGATTAATTGCACAAAGAGGGTCTAAGGCTTTGGATCGTCAACATGTGATCTATGCTTTCATGCTGAGACCGTGGCTGCCAAGTCTTTCTCGCCGCAGAAGGCCGTCGCGGCACTGGGCTTGAAACATCGCCAGGGTCATGGATGAATGAATGCGAGATGACGATGGCGACAGGGGTGATCGATCTTGGCGGTGACAAAGACAGCAAGAAGCAGTACCGATGATCATGATAGCAGAGAGACGTTGAGGTAGAAGGACAGGCAGTCGCAGCAGTAGCAGTGAGGCCATGCTACAGTGATGAACCACGATCTGAATTACCGGAAGTCAAATCCAGTCGCCGCCGCCGGAAGGACAGGTTCACTGCGGCGGGCCCACGGCCCTGCTCTACGGTCACTTCTCTCTGATGACATTCGGCTCTTCGCCACCACCAGCACAGGGATAATATGCCAGGCCGTACTAATGGGACCGAGAGAGCCCCATGCTCACTGTGGCGCATACATAACATCGAAATGAACGAGCACGGATTGAGTAGAATGCCAACAATTCAATATGATGTTGAGACTACCGAAACTAAACACTTGCCCAGTGAAACTCTCTCTCACACAAACAAACCTCCAGCGCGCCAAGGGAAGTGAAGCAAGTGGCTGCCATGCTATTCCTGCGTGTGCATTAGGTACAGTAGTAGGTGCAGAAACAAGTCCAGTACAAGGCGGTGCGATGAGCGATGTTCTCTCGCGGGAGAACGACTCCGCCCTGCATACAGTCCAATACACTCGACCAATGCAGCCCGAGGCTTCCTTGGTTTTTTAGCTGCTCTCTATTTTTGGGGGCGGAATCCTCGGGATCTCGCACTACCCGATGCACGCACCCGGAAATACCTGGGTACAACAATCAATTCCTAGGTACTGAACTACTGAGGCTGACGGGCGGAAGGGCGGCCCAGGGCAAGTGAGGACGACGGAGGCGTTTCTTTGCTTGTGTGACGATGGATTTGGTCGTGTTCTTCTATCCTAATGATGACGATGACGAAATCAATGGTAGCCATAATCACGATACTACTGACAAGAATGATTCGCAAGGAAATGAATGCATGAGCCGAATGAAATGTGACTTATGGTACTTCTACACGTTCAATACGACGATCTCCGCTTGTGCCGCGGCATAGCAATGAGTATGACATGAGGCCGGGCGACGTCCATCGATAATCGTTACCCTTCTTGACCTGCCCGCTTTCGCGTAGAGAACGATGATGTATACGCGCATTACGAGATGCGACCGATCGCATTCCTCTCCTTTCTCCCCTGGCTCCTCTCCTTAAGGGAGAATATATTGCTGCCAAGAGGGAAAGATTTGGTCTCGCTCGAGGTAAAGAATTGCCGCCGCCTGTGCCTCTCTCTCTCTGCTCAAATTCCCATCGTTGTCGTTGATCTCCAAGCGACACGGCCTGCTTCCGTGCAAACCAGTGGTGTTGGGAAAGGTCCGAGCGAGGAGCGCCAAGGTTTGCACTCGTCGACCCATGCCCCATGCGAAACGCAAACATGATGAGATCGATATATGTAAGCAAAATCTCAGGTGGAGGGTGAAAGAGGAATCATACGGACTGGGGTTATATCATCGTGCGCGCACACACACGGCACGCTGCAGAGCGTTCCCGAGCCGTCCAATCATCGGGCCGGGCGGATTTGCCGTCTTTTGTTGGTGGTACCCACGATGTGTGATGACGAGACGTGAGCCGATAGACGAATTGGAGCGGCACGTTCAACATGATTGTTGATAACCAAACCTCGTGGCAAGGGGAAATACAGAGCATGTCGCACGATGAAAGAATGTTCCCTCGTAGAGATCGGCCTTGCGATGTGCAGATAGATAGGTGATAGACTTTCTCGACTCACCGACCCACGAACGACTGCAACCCTCGACCCTACTCGATTTTTGACTTTTGTGACCCACGCCCGAACCTTTGTTGCGAAGGCGCTTAGCGACAGGAAACTCGACCGCACGCATGCATGCTCGCAGAGGTGGAAACTCTCTTGTGCCCAACCACGAGGCTCTGCACATGTGTCAAGTGGGTACGATACCTGTATGATGCGCGTGTCAGATCCGGTCGCGTGCGATCTGCTGCATTTCCTGACCGCTGACGGCAAATACAAAAGTATGTACGCGAGGATCAGAAACTGTAATCCGTGGACATCTGGGAAGTTTCACGTTGTTTTGCTCTGCTTTCGTCAGCGATCGGGGCCTGTTTCATAATTGGCCGGGGCAGGATGCGGGCCAGCTGGGCAAACCACTGCAGCCCCGCGATGGCCGAGTCGTGACTTTCTCATCAGCCTTTGTGATCGTCACGGGTCTCGTTGTTGGCTGAGTTGGACATGTTCCGGCAAAGAAGTTTTGATACATGCTCTATGTTTCAGAGGTCAATCCTTGGCTGTCGATATTCATCAATCATGCATGAACGTATGTAGCGTATCCTCCAACTTTGTCCCAAGGTGGTGTGTCGTCGCAGATCATGGTTTGCATGGGCAGAGAGAGTGTCTGGTATATCCTGTGATCTTCATCATGAGATCCTACCTATCGCATATCACGATATGCCTGCCTGTCTGTCGGATCGACGCACCTCTCGCCGCCATGGCATACAGGCTACCTTGACTAGAGTGTCTGCACCTGGCAGCGATCATGTCCTTCCCATCTTGGTCATCGTCAGCAACAAGCTTGAAACCGACGGCCGCAACAATGGGGATGGACGGTGACGCACGCTACGCAGGAGATGTAACAAATCTCTTGGCCCTGCTACAAAAGGCCCAGACTTCTGTTTGACTTGGGAACTTGGCAACGCAAATAAGATCACCGAGACCTTACTTGGAACATCACCTAACATCCACAATTATTGACAAATTAATGCAGAAGAAACCAAAAGAGAGGCCTCTCTCAATCCGGTCCAGTTCCTCGCTCTTCGGACCTTCGTATCTGTAATCAATCAGTCCAAATCCTTTCGCCACCGCCTTCGCCGCCGCCCTGATCGAGGCAATTTGCGGCGTATATGATGAGCAGACTGACGGTCATGCGGCACGCGAGCTGTGCGGTGGCATCGATCTGCGCCAATCATCTGGATTGTAGCACCAACAAACCAACATCTCGTGATATCCTGGGATTTCCCAAATGTATGACAAGTTCATCTCGTTGAGTAGGAGAAGGCAAATCTTGCCGGTTCTGGTGGTATTTGTGTTCGCGACATTCCGTCGATGCATATGGAACTTTTCGAGGTACAGTGGTTAGGGTTGTGGTTATGTGGGATTTGTTCCTGAACACGACGTCCGGTCTCATGTTTGTGCAGTTGTTGTAGACCATGAGTAGTGGAGTAAATCTGCGCTGCAGAGGACGGACATTGAACATCGGTTCCATCAGAACATGAACTGTCGAAGAGTAAACAGAAAAATTGACGCCATATGTCAGTGATTTCATTGTGTTGGTCGTCACGACCATGCCAGACCAGCCTCATGACAAATGCTCATCCACAATCGATGACGTTGTACTGATTACTCCTCATGGCGACGAACGACAATGGCCATAACGGTGACGATGATCACGACATGTAACGACCAACGAGTCTACTCAACCTGGCATTCCGGCCCCCAAAAGCACGCCTCCCGTCTGCATCTAGATCGGCCTCCCTCACCGCAACACATCCAATACCCATACAGAGCACAAGATCTTCCCGCCTGAACCAAGCAACCCGTGCATCTAGGCATCAAAGCCAACGCATTCCGAGTGACCGACCACTCCTCTAACCACGTCGATCTCACAGCAGGATCCAACAACAAGTACCCGTCTGCAAGAAAGGATCGACAAACGTACCGCCGCCGCACCATTCCAATCCTTCGAAAATCCACTGCCGTCGACCGCACAAGCACAACTGCTCAAAGCTTCTAAGCGAGAGGTCGGTTCGGAGTGTTGGTGATCGGTCTCGAGGTCGGGGATTGGACAGGCTAGCGAGAAGCTGGGTGTTTGGAGATGCGCGCGAGCGGCAAAATTTGCTTGCGGTGCGGCGCGACTGCATGGGAGGAGGGGGTTTACGTGGCGAGGGGTGCAGTAGAGGTGGCGAGTGGTGTGTGTGGTCAGTTGGCCCCTCTCGTGATGCTCATTTGCTTGGTAATTCCGTGGGAGGGTATGGTAGTATGTGGTCTCCGTAGGATGCGATGAGTGAAGCGCTGGCGCGAACATCCGGGCTGGAGATGCCTCGACCTCGCCGGCAAGGAGGTCCGATACGAGCTATGAACAGGGAATGGTTTGTCCTTGTGATCGGACGTCACGTCGGATTGTTGACAAGCTTGTCGACCTGCATCGTTCGTCTCTGCGTTGGCTGGAAGTTGCGAATCGCCTGCGAATCCGACCCTGGGATCGAGAGTCAGAAGTTGAGTTTCTGCTCATGGATGCCGAGGCTTTGAATATAACATTTGGGAGCCTATGGTCGTAGCCGGCAAACCAAGGCACTCATAACAACATTGGCATGATGCGAGTAGTACATCAGCTCAAGGCCGATAATCAAGGTGTAGAAGTTGGAGAAAAATCTAGAGACAAAGACCTAGATACTGATACTTCAATAATCGTCCACCTTACTAGAAAGTCAAAAAGTAAGTCTATACAAAATAGTAGTAGAGGTGAGAAATAACCACAAACCCGCCGCATTCGCCTGTGAAATGTACAGTAATACCAATTCCTCTTATCTAAGATTTTTTCCTGGAGGATCGAGGTTTCCATAACCACAATTCTCAAATGAGCCTTGCTTGAATCATCCTTTCATAGGATCATCATGGGGCCCCGAGTACGGAGCTCCTTTGTTTGTCGTTGACGACGAAGACGAAGTGGCTTGACCAGTACCAGCCTGCTCTGAACCACCACCCTCGCGCTCCAGTGCCTGCTGCAAGCGGTCCCGCTGGACATTCTTCCACAATTTCATCGTATCGGCGCGGATCTCGCCACGTTTGACGCCCGTCACCGTCTCGGCGAAGTGCTTATCTCCAACCTCCGTAGATGAGGACTCGCCAGAGGCCGCGGAGGACGAGCCATAAATTGAAGACGACGATGCTGAGGAACCCGTCGAGGACGAGGAGGACTGGGGTTGCGTTCCTATCTCGTGCCAACTCCTCCGTGAAGCTGCCTGGGCGCGCCTGCGCAGTCCGCCTTCGCCCCACATAGATAGACGCTGAACAGCACGCAGTTTGCGGAAGCCGTAGACACAGGCAATGACGGAGAGCACAGTGCAAGTGCCCGAGACGCCGAAGAAGCCCCATGGTGACTCCTCAATGAAGTTTTCCAAATTCATGCCGTACAATGCAGCGATGAACATACCAGCGCTTATGCCGAGCGTGCCTATGCTGAATTTGAGGTCGAGAAGCATGAGACTGTTGCGGTTGGCATCGAGGATGGCGCGGACGATTTCCTCCGTGTTACGAATGGCCGAAACCAAGTTGGAGGAAATCTGGACGATTTCATCGGCGACTTTGTGGTAGGATTCTAGGAGCAGTTCGATTTCTTCGTGGTTGTCGTCTTCGCGTTCGATGCCTTCGGCTTTCTCGGTAAGATACATGGCGGCAAGGTCGTCGTCGGCTTCGAGGAGATCGTCGATGGCGTCCCGAACCAGACGCGCTTTTTGCTCGAATGTACCTAGCTTCTTCGAGTAAATGAGGAGGTATCGGAGTTTGTCTCTATCAATGTCCTCCTCCAGCTCCCGTAACACGCGCATGACCGGCTCGCGAACACCTTCAAACTCGCTCTCAAGCCCGGTAGTAACGCTAATGAGAACGGCTTCCAGCGCACGGAATTCATAAGCAAGGTTTCCGACCGTAGTGGAACTCTGCTTCTGACGGAGTTTCCCTTCAAGATCGTACATGAACAAACTTTGCGAATATGAATCGGTGGATCCGTAGACGTCAAAAACGAGGACACGGTTGTGTTTGATCAGGCACCGCAAGTGCAGGAGATTGATGAGAATCGCCGAAGGTCGAATGAGGATGTGCGGAAGCACACTGTTGTCGATTTTTCGCAAATCGCGAGGTAGGAGGGAGTACTTCGCAATGAGCTCGCTCTTTCGGAATTCGCCGTTGACCAATGTGACATTGCCGTGTTCATCGAATTCTGTGCAGCGCAGCTTCAATTCATTACTTGGCTTGATGATCCGTCCTCCGATACCCGGACTGTCATCTAGGAAGCCCTGCAGAGGCGGCATATCCCCAAACTTCAGCTTCGAGCTCTTCATAGGCCGCAGTCGACGCCAAAAAGCGTTATTATTTGGCTGGCCATGAGCGGCCGAGCTGTGAAGCTCTCGAGACGATATCCTGTCATGGTTTAACGGTATGAGAGATGTGGATGAGGCTGGCGGCTGTCGTCGTATTAATGAAGATGAGGCGCGGCATTGTGATGATGGTAATAATGATGGCGGAGGTGTCGTTCGACGGCCAACCGCCGCACAGGTCGTCACCGCATGACTTGTAGGGATGATGTGAATGTGGCAAGACGTGCGTAGGAGTCGGACACAGGACGATGCTGGCGTACGGATGCCATGCGATGCAGGCATTTCTTGGTGATGGACAACATGTCGATGTTTTCAGCTTTCTGCGGCGGGCTTCTTGAGATATTTCCCGACATGGGAATTGACGTCGACACTACACTAGCGCGAACTCTCCGCGGCGGAGGATTGATGGGGATCGCGCTGCCGACGCGCCATGATCGATCTCTATAGAGTTTCTTTGCTAACGATTATTAGGACATTGTGATCTGGCTTTGAGGCATTTTCGTCCCCAATGATGTTACAATAGCGATGATCTCATTGAAGACTACCCGACTCCTGACGCTGTTCATGCAATTCACGTTGATGAGCCATTTTCCCATGCTCGCCTGCGCAGCACCGATCGGCCCTGGGGTCAGCTTTGCAGATTTGATGCCTGTGCCCGACCTTGAAGAGCCAGAAGCTCCTATGTCTCTTTGACCTTTCCAATTTTCTCAAGCCAGATGCCTTTCAAACCTTTCAAAAATACATGACTACGTCCTCCGCCTTGACTGCCGAAGGGTCGACGAGCTGCAGCCGCTCGAATTCGTGGATGGGCATGTTGGAATCGGCCTGTGTCGATGTCTGAGTCTCCGTCTGGCGAGGTTGTGGCAATGATGTCTTGTCATGGATGCGGCGAGTGCGCTAAGAAGCCATTCAGCATCAATCAAACAACGCTTCCACCAACGAGTGAATAGCTCTTCTGGCTAATGATCTGAATGGTGTATGAAAGCGTGCAGGAAGTTTCGGGATATGTCACTCCCCTTCTTGCCCGCCCGTTGGACAGCATGACGAGCACGTCTGCCCTCGACGACAGGATTGACACCCGAATTTGTTAAACTTCGAGCTTTGCGTCGTCTGTAAAGAACCAAAGCTTTCATTGCTGCGCTGACGTCAAAGTTACGTTGTTTGAGTATGGTAGCGAGCATGAAGTGAGCTTCGTCCGACATGTGATCCTTGGGGTTTCGCATGCTGGCCGTCAATGCCGCTCGTGCCTTTTGAAGTGCCAGTCTGCTGTCGATCACATCTTCGATCAGGGTCGTTTCGGTCGGATCATATGGTTCAAGGATGATTGGCGACTGCATTGCAGAGTGGCCATCGTCACTATCTCCGATTTCGACAGCGTTGCCAATGTGTTCCTCAGATTTGATGTTTCCGCTTTGAGCCCAGTCCTCGCAGGCAACACCATTCGGATAACGTTCGTCAATAGTGCTGTTGTTTGAGCAATTCGTGTCAGCAGTCCAAGTCTGTGACGGACTGATATACTTCAAACAGTCGTGTCCCTGATTATACTCCTGAATTGGCAACAGAAAAGCATGATCCGACATCACCGCCTGCTCATAGCTGGGCAAAATGTCACATCCGTGATTGCTAGCATCGAGGTTGGTGACGTTCGGATCGTCTCGGAAGCGAACTCTCTTCTTAACAGACCGGTTCAAGAGTTCAGTAGGCTGGCTTGACAGAATGAGATGAGGCGGACATGCAGATACCATGTGATATGCCATCGCTGTCAGCAAATGAATGTTTGCTCGTCGATGAGGCTGATGATGTGGAGGAAGTAAAGAAAGGGCAAGAATGGTGTGTGTGGCGGAATGTTGAAGAAAATTGGTGTGTGAATTGATAAGTGAGTGAAGTTACAAGTGAAAGGGAGTCACGTTGAGCCGGTCTCATGCGTGACCAAAGAGAGAATGTGATAGTTATGGAGACCAAGACTGAGATTGAGGGCGAGGCTCACGCAATATATACCAAGCGACATTGGCGATCAGCGGCAGAGGGACTCATCAACAATATCTCCTATTAATCACAAGCTTAACGCAAATGTATCGAGCGGCACATGAGAAATAAAGAAGAGGAGAGTAAGTTCGAAGCAAATATCAATTTCACGATGCATGTCTCCTGACATTTGAAAATACTTGTACCTGCTCAACTGTGCCAATGCATACCTAGGTACCATTGAATTGATCCTCAAGATACGAAGGCGCTAACGCACAGCACAAGGCGAGGATGATGTCTTGCGGGTATGTCACACGGAAATGGCAGAGAAGAAACAAGGAGTGTAATATGAACTTCTTCAAAGTGTGCTCTCGAAGGCAAGGAAGAAGAAACGCACAAAATCGAGCCACAAGAGACCATTGCGCGGCGCAAGAAGATATGTCGTGAAAAGCCATTCACTATAAGGCATAGACTTCTCCATCATCTATTCGAGGGAACTATTGAGAGATTAAATGAAACAGCATCATCGCTTTTTTTTGTGGCATAAACATTGTCCCATTTCGCTTTGCAAATATATACAACAACACAGCGCACACATCTCAACTCAAATCTTCTTCTGGCCCTGACTATACCACATAAAGTCTCAATCTATTTCATCGCAGGAATACCCTCATACTCAGCATAGCCCAGCGCAAGGTTCATGTTCTGCAAGCACTGTGTCGCGGCACCCTTGAGAAGATTATCAATGGTGACATTAATCACCGCACGCTGACCACTCGAGTGAACGGCGAAACCACCGATTTCGACGCCATGTTTACCTGCGATGTTCTTGACCACGGGGCTCTCGCCGGAGACTTTGACGAGCTTCTCCTTGTCGTAGCGGTCCTGGTACAGCTGGCGCACGTCCCGGGAGGCCATGGTTTGGTTGAGAGGCAGGGAGATGGTGTGGTGGATGCCGGCGAACCAGACCGCGACGTGTGGGATGAAAGCCACCGGGGTGCCGAGCTGGGCGGAGATCTCGCGCTCGTGGATGTGGTCGGTCAGGGAGTAGGCGATGAGGTTGTCGGTAAGGTTAGTAACGTCATTCTTGGGAGAAGGCTTGGTTCCCGCGCCGGAGTAGCCGGAGACCCCGAAGACGGTCGGGTGCGCGGGAGCGGCGGCGAGGTAGGGGAGGAGCGGCGCGATGCCGAGTTGGGCGGCGGTCGCGTAGCAACCGGGGTTGCTGATGCGGGTGGCCGAGGCGATTTTGCTGCGTTGGACGAGCTCGGGAAGACCGTAGGTCCAGGCGGAGTCGAAACGGTAGTCGGCGGAGAGGTCGACAATGACGGCTTCCTGGTGGCCAGATTCGTCGATGGCATCAACGTAGGGTTTGCAGACTCCGTTGGGCAGAGCCATGACCCAGCAGTCGACCTCCTTCTTTTCGGCCATGCGGCGGACGTCATCCGGAGACAGGTTCTCGTAGATGATCTCCTTTTTTTCGTAACCCTTGAGCTTTTGACCCTTGAGTTCGCGTGATGAGACGTGACATAGGTCCATGTTGGGGTGGCGGTTCAGGAGGTCAATGAGAGCCTGACCAGTATATCCACGGGCGCCGATCAGGGCGACTTTTGATGGGTAGTCCTTTTCGCTGTTCTTGATGCCGAGGGGAGGGTTGGGGTTAGTGGTCGCATAGGTTCGTACCTGGTTGCTGGTGGTCACGCGTGTCCGCTGCATAGGTCGAGCGCTGGTACTGAATGCGCGAGCCTGTTGCGGTCGTCGGCTGGCGAGATCTGCCGCACGTGCTCGTATCCGCTCTGTGGCGGCCGCTGCTCGATGGATCTGCGACTCGAGGTTGATGTCGCCGAACATCTGTCGACCGTGCTGAACAAACTCGGACATGAGTTCGCGCACCTCGTCGGGGCTCTCAATGCCGTACCAAAACAAGACCTCTCCCTTGCGCGCGATGGAGCCATCAGCCTGCTCGCTGAACCAGGTGAGGTTCTCATCGTCTTGTTTGACGGTCCAGGCGAGTTTGGGGAAGTCACGCTTCAGAGTCTGGAAGACATTGTCGGCGATGTTGGACAACCAAGCCGATCGGGTCATGGTGAGGGTGGCGAGGTGTCCCAGGGCGTTTCCGCCTGCCTCAGGAGGGAAAACAATAGCCAGAGCCTCCATGTTCTCGTCGAAGACCGCTTTGAAGGGCTTCGAGTCGAGAATCTCCAGGTAGCCGTCAACCACGTTGGCAGCATCGAGTCCTCCCCGATCCCGGACGAGAGTCTGTTTGAGTTTGTTCAAATCTCCGACCTCGTCAAGGGAGGAGGCCTGCAGAAGCTTTGTGCCACGGCGAATCAGCGTGCCTGCACCCGAGTGGGTGAAGAGCTCGCGCTCCAAGCTAGCCGGGTGGATGATAGCGACACTGGAGCTGCGAGGCAACTCATCAAGGAGGGTCTTGATGTCCCGAATCTTGCTCCTGGTGCCGTGAATGACCCACGGCTTCTTCATGTACTCGTCGTACTCCTCGTCCAAGTTAATGGCTTCAATGAGCTTGTTGGTCTCCTTGTCGTACAGACCTCCCTTCTCGGACAGGTAGACAATCTTCAGTGGCACGAGAGTCTTGGCCAGCTCCGCGGCCGCCTTGTCGGCATTGACGTTGAGCACTTGACCGTCTTCGCTCTCGGCCATGCACGTGAGCACGGGAATATATCCGTCGGCGATTGCGGCCTTAATGCTCTCGGCATTGACCTGGTTGACCTCGCCAACGAACTCGTAGGTGGCGCGATCCTTGTAGTCAGCCATGAGCACTCCGGAAGTGATGGGACGAGCGCGAACACCCCATGATTCCAGCGCCTCGACGAGCTTCAAGTTCTCCTGCAAGAACAACTTGCGTGCTACTCCCAACGTCTTGCCATCAGTGATGCGAATTCCCTCGTTGTATCGTGGCTCAATGCCCGCCTCTTCCAAGAGCTTGTTCAGCTGCGGACCGGCACCGTGAATAATGACCGGGTAGAGGCCCATCTGGTTAAGGTTGCGGAGGGAGGCGCAGAGGACATCGATGTAGTCGGTCAAGATCGCACCGCCGACCTTGATCACGGCGAATTGCTGGGAAGAAACTGAGGTGAATTGAGCAAGGTATTGCTGAACCTCTCGCTTAGAGCCAATGTTGTTGAGGACGTTGATGACCGCCGAACGGGCGTTGGTGTCTTCTGCTCGTGAAGTAGCATACTGCCGCCGCCGTACACTGATCGTAGACGTGGATGAGCATGCTGGCGTGGCGACAATGGCACGTAAAGCGTCTCTGGCAGGCACACGACGCTGTCGCGCGACCTGCCGGAGCAAGGGTCGGGCGAGTGCTTGCATGATGTTTGCTGCGGCGATGTGTGCTCGATTTAGGAAATCGACATGCGAGGGTGATTCACGTCAGCAGACGACAGCGAGTGGAGTGGAGAGTAAAGCAAGGGAAAAGGTGGCAGAAAGAGAGACGAGAGAAACGGTGGTGAGGTATGATTCAGAGAATGGTCAAAAGTCTGCAGCAGCTCTTATCGTTCCTCCCGCCTGTGATGTAAGAGTGGAGATTGTCGCACGACGTGCCGAACAGGTCGAGAATTATGCAATACTCAGGTGAAATTAACGATTTCGGACGGTAAAATGTGAGGAACAAAATAATATGTTGTGTATGAGGAGTACAATTGAAGGAAGAGGCATTTTCTCCTTCTCTACGGATGCGACGCAATGGTGGATGTGACGGTACTTGTATCCCCAGAACGAGCGATATAAAATGCCCGCAAATATCACTCGTTGTATGCATTATAGTCACTATGCTCAATGGCGTACCACACAGCATCATCCAATGCTCCATCCACGATGTCGATCGCCCTGACTAGCTACAGTCTACGTCGACCGTGGTGGCAGAGCAGTGTGAATTGATCATGCAGCAGAGACAGTCTCATGCATTTTTCGTGGTCGTCCACGATCGTGTCGTCGACGCGCGTCTGTCCGCGCAGGAGAAACGTAATGTTCGTGGTTCTTGTCGACAACGTCTTTGTAGAGAAAGAGAGAGAGGACAGAGGCAGTCTCTCGGCCTCTCCGTTATCGCCGCCCTCCTCTCTCCACACTCTGGTCATCCCATCCAATCCCCCGCACAGACATACTGAAATGCTCAATTGTCTCGCCCAGAGTTTTTGCAGAGGAAACACACAGGCTATACTATAGAATGTGAATCATTCCACGCCCGCCCAGAGCTTCCCTCTCACCGCACCGGAAAAAGCGAGGCAGAAACTGCAAAAAAGAAAAATTCAGACAGCCAGACGAAAATTTGCGGTTTATTCGGCTGCAGGGCTTGGACTACAAGCTGCAAGCCTCTCGGCCAGGATCTTGAGAATTCAGCATTGGAATCCATCAGCTGTACAGTGCAGTACTGTACCTATCGGCTGTATCTCGAAATTTTCCTTTTCCTTATCGGCTGCGTGCCTGATCAAATCATGAGCGATGCAGCAATGGATGGGTCTAGCCTTGGACATGCCAGTCTAGATCGTCTCGCATGCACTCACAGCATTTTCACCCCAATGCGCCGTGTCGTGATTCAAGTAGAGACGTCACTCTCTCTTTTGGATCTCATTCACACGAGAAGTGGAGACGAGCGCACCTGCTGCTGTCAGGACACACTGTGCTTATATAAGCAGTAGCTAGTTTACGATCCTATCTGCCGTGATCCGAAGTAGTCGCCTTGCCTAGTACAGTCTCGAGGTCCAATGACCGAGCTTCAGTGACAGACCCGTCCCAATTCTCAAGCGAACTACTACTTGTACATGACGGAACATGATGGCGATCATGCATAATGATGATGAGATCATTGACCGATCGGTGCATTTCAATTACGCGCGAGCTGCATTGATTGAAACGATTTATTACTACATCTATAGTGTTATTCTGGTGTAGATTTCACCTTGATCCAATGACGGTCGTTGACGACTACAACGTGGGCGCCTCGAGTTGGAGAAATAGCATGTTGGGGGTATGACATCGGTCGATCCCAGGATGCTCCTGGCAGGCATTCCCATTCAAGATGACGCTGTACCCAGCCTGGATCAACGCAAGAGGGAATTTTCACGCCTACTTCGTTCAATGACTGCACAATAAGGCAGACGACGAGCCTTTGACCGCGACGTGTTCACCTAAATTCTGCTACCTGAACTGCATGCCGCTTCGCAGAATCCGCCGTCACGGATGCAGGCCTCTTGGTTCCTGGATGCTGAGCGGGGGCATGAGAGCTTTGGATGTTGGTCGGCCGTGTCAACGGAATCTCTTGAGATGAAGCCGACGCGAATGGCGAAGCAGAGCAGTCGGCAGATTCTGGCATGTCTGCCAGGTAAGTTCCTGAAGTCGCTCCTGATGAGTCGCGACGGAGCGTGACGATTCTCAGAGAGACAACATCGTCCGTCTTCTCCGCGCCGAGGAGAGTCCGTAGGCGATCTTTCATAGCCAGAGAGTTCAGAGAGCGTTGCTCTCGATCGGCTCTGCTTGCCCATCTGATGTGATTATGCTTATACTGATGATGGTGCTTCGTGACATTCAGACTGTGTGGGCTCGTGCTGGCATCGGTCGATAAGGTGAACTCGCCGTCCTTGTTTGAGATATTGCGAGTTCCCATGAAATGAGCACCAAATCTTGAAGCGACGTGCTTCCTGATGGTTAGTACTATGAAAAAGGATTGTGTCTGCTCGTCTGCATCTACCAGAAACCGATCGACATCGTCGCAAGCGTCGCAACGGCCACATCCTTTGCGGCTTTTGATCCAATTTCGGGGTTTTTCAGGTTCGAATCCCACCACCCGGATGATATATGTCTCTATGATGTCCCGAAACCATGCTGCATACTCTTCGGATACCATGTCTCCTGTCAGCGCTTCGAGGAAAGATAGCACATTTGCCTCATCGTCCAGGCCATTGGACATCCTCCACTGCTGCAAGATTCTGTTCTGAAAGCGCATGAGCTCGTCATCCAGCTTCGCAGCAACGAGGCCAGATCTGAGATTGACTAAACATTTGTAGCTCCTGAATGCGCCGCTGGCGAATGTGATCGCATCGATTGTTGAGGGCGCCAGCATCGCGAGGGCTTCCGCGCGATCGACATCGCTGAGAGTCTTTGCTCCTCGAAGAAGTAGTCTCGTGAGCGAAAGTGGGAAGGCTGGTTTAGCCTTGACGTTCTTTTCGATGGCTTTGGGCAGCAAGGTGCTTTTCATCCATTCCGAACCTCGCGTAGCAATCATATGCTCTATAGCTGCGGCGTGGTCGGATGTAATTCCGTTCATTCTGTCCAGCTCCCTGCCGAAGGACTCGGATTTCCACACGTCCATCTCCTTGCGATCCGATGAACGGTAAAACCTCCAGCGTTCTGGAATATGTTCAACCAGACGCTGACAGCTGAGTAGATCTCTCCAATTGTCGAAGACAGCATTCATGCTGTGAGCTGATCAGTGGTGATTCATTCAGAGTAGAGCAAGCGTCAGCAGCTGCTTACCATCCTTTGAGTTCCTCAAACGGATGCTCGGAAGATTTTGATTCGATCAGGGGTAGAACAATCTCAGCGATTTCCAGATCACTCTTGTTGGCGCGGGAGCGGAAGTTGCTGATGATGCGCGCAGCTAGATCGGCACGTTTCATTTGAGAACAAATCTCAAATACCGATGTTAGCATCGCCGCGTCGTGGCAGAAGAGTTTACGAGCGAATTTGTCCATGAGGTCGGCACGCTCGACAACTTGGCAGCTTTTCAGCGCGGCGACACAATCTTGAGGTTCGTAACAATAATGCACATATTGCTGTATGATGTCTGCAGCCAAGATGATATTCTCAATGTTCAAACAGCACCCGAATGCGACGTCAAAGCCTTCGCGATGTTGCAACAGGTCTTTTCTGATGGTAGCCTGGCAGACCTTGCCACAGCTGGCACGATAGCGCTGATTCAACGGATCCTCCACAACCCTGTCCACTTCCTCTTTGATCAACGCGATTATATCTTGATACCCTTCGGTGGAGATAGCAGTGGATCTGAGAACCAGGTCGGACCAGTTTCCGTCTGGTATAATTACCAAAGCCTGTTCAGTCAGTCTTTCGCCATACGGTTCTATAATGAGTCGTTCGATGCTGAACAACATACCATATTCTGAACGAATGCGAAAATTAGCCGCACGGTCTCACAGACGGTTGGTGTGACTTACACGATACCAGTGACTTGCTGTTGCGCCCGCATTCCCTGTATAGCCTTCGAACTCCCCCTGTCTGGCCTGTTTGGACGGAAGCAATTTGCAACAAGATGAGTCGCCTCGTCGATATCAACTTCTCTTGCGGTAACATTTCCTTCAAGATCAAAGACACTTTTCAACTTCAAAGTTTTCTCGTATACTTCTTCGATGGGATGGAATCCTTCGCCTTCGGAAATCTTTTCGCGGAAATTCCCAGAATTATCCCACTGGCCCGCAGGCTCGCCCATCACATACTTCTCTAGACTTGCAAGGCATAATTTGAAGGCACAGTCTGACTCCTGTTGTAACCTCATCATGCATTGGACTCGTTGCAGATCAGTGCCCTTGAGCTCGTTCGTTTGAATACTGGCTTCTGTGTACTGATGATCGAGTAGATAGACGAGGAATGACGGCACAGGTTTCTGCAACCAGGGCGCCAGACAATGTCTGAGCTGTTTGACATTTTCCTCAAAATCTGCAAACGCAGGTGGAGGCGCTGTGCCCTTGAAAACGAGATTAAAAGTAAGGACAACGCGATACCCAGAGGTGACGGGCTTAACTTCATGTAGAACGTCCGAATACCTGAATGTTTCAGTATCAATGGACACAATAATGGCGAGGCCTGGGGCTTACCATGCCATGCAGGTGGAATGCCATTCGGATGTCGGTGCTGTAGCCAACGTTTGCTTCTCGTCGCCAAATGAAAGTTCCAGATCGCCACCCGAATGCATTGAAGGCAGCGATACCACCAATGTTCCAAACATTCGCGGGACCTTTTCAGAACTATGCGTTCATTAGTATTGATTCAATCAAGAATGGGACTGGCCTCACTCTCTGTGGGGCTTAAACATGGCCCCGTTTTCGTAAATCAAAAGCTTGTAAAGCTGTGCTTCGACAGCAGTACCACCTCCAGGGATACCCATTTGTTCGCAAGTTGCGTCGATGATCTTCTCGAGTGCATCCGGCCATTGCGGATGTAAGAGCGAGATTTGGCGACCGTCGATCTTCCATGTCTTGCGAACTTCTTCGTCAACAAGAGTCTCGGTACCTTTACCATAAGGAGCTTTGTGACTTTCCGCAATAATAGCTCTAACGTCATGCTCGACTAATGGCGAGCCAAACTTGCGTAGACCACCTATCGCCAGCCCAGGATTGAGGCCTTCTGATTGGAAAGTTGCGTAGAATCGGCCAGGATTTTCTATGCGTTCGAACTGAGTTTTCAGTGAATCTCTCACATCACCGTAGACAGCTGGTGAACTCGCGATAGATGGGCTTGGTTTGGCTACTTCGATAGCGTATCTCACGTATTCCGGCCTATATGGATTGCCAAGATCGAATTCGCTTTCTTCGTCTTCATCTTTTTCTTTCTCGTCGCTCTCGATCGTTGCGAAATCAAGGATTCCATCATTGAAGTCGTGCTCTCCCACCTCTTCGTCATCCGATTGACCCGTTTGATCCATGTGTGCTGGCCACGCGTTGATCTGCATTGAATATGTCCCGAGGAAATGCAGAACAATCTTGACAGCACGACAAAAAAAATCAAAGCCGATGCAACGATTACAATGTTCAATTGAATTATATATCATCCTACCTAGGCCTACTTAGGTATGACTGCATCATCGGGTATTTCACAAGAGCAGTGGAATGAAATTAACCTTGGAATGCTTTCACTGCGCTTCACATATGGTGAGCGTGATGCCTGAAATCCAGCGCGTTGGGCCACGAGGCTACGTCATTCCAATTTGGCTCGAAACGCGTGTGGAGCGCGACTTGTAAACCTTAACCTTAATTGATCATCACTCAAGCAGGCAGAGGCGACATCACATCACTGCGCGTTGCTGTGCGGCATTCCAATCCGGCAGAATCACAGATCAAAAACACATCAGGCAAGGCGTACCCCCGTGATCGAGATCAAGGACTCTGCATCGTCTGCTGCCATGCGTCGAAGATGATGTCGATGCATAAACCAACGCGAACCAATATCTCAGTCTCCCCGTCATGAGGCTCACGAGAAGTGCAGCTAAGCGCATAGCCGAGATCGATGCGGAATTTGACAATGAGGCACAACATATATTAAGACAGAATGCGCCAGGACGACTGCTCAGTCTTCCTCCAGAGTTGCGCGGTCTTATCTTTAGCTTCCTCTTCGAAGATGAGCCGCCTAAGCTCATGGGTGACATCTATCGTAGAAGCACTGCGATGCGAGACCCGCCTGTCTTGTTTGTTTGCCATCAGCTACGAGACGAACTGTTGTCATATTTCTACTCCCGGAAGGTCTTTCACTTCAACATCTCGTTCTGCGGAGACCTGGCAAAGCTCGAACGATGGGTGGCGAGCATCAAGAATATCCCCTGTAAAGTCCAGCATATGCGCAAGGTGACCTTCTTTGGGCGGTCATTGGGAGTTCAAGCAAGCATTACCGTCGACTTCACGAAGATGAAGATTATCGATGCTAGGTGGACACAACATCAAAACAGTGCCGGCCGAAATCCCAAGCCGATACATCATCATATGGGCGTTCGCCATTGCCGTAAGCTTTCAGATGCAATTGAGACGGCTTTGCTGAGCGAATTACCTCGTAGTCAGTCCCGGGCGTATCGCGCAATGGTTCTGATCCTGGAAGCTTGTCCTGGATCATTTGGCATTCCGCAAAGTGCTCGGACAATTGACTGCGCGGGACGAGCATGCAGGCTCGGAAAGGAAAGCCGTGGACCGTGTAATTGTTCGCAATTGGTAGACCTGATAGTTTAGATATTAATAAGCGTCGTCGGCGTTCGCGGAGTCAGACCGAACGGATGTAGCGTTAAGCACGACCAGGCAGCACACTAACAGCTCATCTGGCTGAAGGATTTCTCTGCATCTGTGTGGCACAGCAGGACTTGGCACCCATGCTCATCGACACCCTCGCATGAAGAATAGTGCAATCATATGCGCCTAATGCAGCTCATAGCCGTATAAGATATCATAAGTATCGACAAGTAGCTGCCTGCTGCTGTTGTTCCTCCCTTCAAACATGGCTGCGAAGAAAACTGCCACGAAACGAAAGGCGGAGGCGGATACTCTCGCCTATCCTGTCACACGCAGTCAGCAGAAGAAGCGTGCAAAGGCCATGACAGCCGGAGGCTCACGATTGCTCGATCTTCCCAGAGAACTGCGATACCTCATCTTGAATTTTGTGTTCCAAGACGAAGCGCCAATTCTCGCAGGCGACATACTTGAAAGCGGTACACGTGTACGCGATCCAAAAGTCGCGTCTGTCTGCCGCACAATCAGAGCAGAGGCACTGCCGTTGTTCTACTCAAGCAAAGCCTTCGTCTTCAACATCACGAAGTTCGGGCAACTGGCGACCATCAAGCGATGGTTTGCACGCAACAAAACCACGCCAAGTAAGGTGCAGAACATGCGGAAAGTGACCTTCTTTGGCCGATCGTACCGGGGACAGGTCTACCTGACCATCGACTTTAAGCAGGTCAAGATTATTGATGCGCGTTGGCGCGCGCATCAGAGAAGCCTTAGGAAAAAGCCGACCGAGGTGCCGCCGCATTGGCACATGGGCGCTTGCCATGTCAAACACTTTCAAGATGCTATGGATACCGGTTTGCAGCAGGAACAGACCAATGGACCTTCTCCAGCCCTCGTTGCGATGGAAAGCATTTTGGAGGCTTGCTCTAGATTTTTCTGGATTCGGGACTCACGACGGGCAATGACGTACGCAGTCGAGAGTTGCAGACTAGAAGTACGCTCCGCAAGGTGTACTTGCTCGCAATTGGTAGATCTAATTGTGTGATGCTAACCGACGCAGTCGACATGATCACCTACTTATTGTCCTTAAGTAACCATATCTTGGCGATAAATGATGGGAGGTTACTAGTTCACGATGAATTTAGATTTATCGTATATACATTACGACTAAGATAGTAGAGAAATAAGCCATCAAGGACGAGAGATCCTCGCTCCTCGCCTCTTTGGGTGATGAAGAATAATAATAAATCCCTTGAAGCCGCCACGGCGTAGTAGGAAATGCTAATCGCAAAGTCCAGCAGATCGAAGTCCAAGAAGGTAGCACTTCCAGGTGCACACACCCTCACGACATGTTCGTTCGCAACGTGCAAGCTGCGTGCGTCTGGCGCAGGCATCCGCACGAGACGGCGATTTCCTTCGAGGAACAGCCGGGCAATCGTGTTCTGAAGCTGTGGGGACGGAAGGTTGATCGCGGGAAGGCAAAGCAGTTTGGGGTATCGAGAATGCCAGTTTAAGTCGTGCTCATCCGCCCTGCGTAAATTGTAAAAGGAGAATTCGAGTCGATCTGTTCTCGAAAAAAGCAGGAACGAAAAAGTTCAAGAAGCAAATCCAAGATCAAAGACGCCAAACCCATGATGTCGACATAAGAAGATCCGAAATTGCAGATGAATAATAAATGATGGCTTGAAGTGCGGCAAGAAATCCAAACGAGGGAAAAAATAACGGTAAGAGGGACGTAAACATGAAGGCCGTCCCGATGAAGGGCCACCACATCGCCAAAGAAGCGTGATTGTCAATCACCGGATCGCGGAAAACGCGTGACCGCGAGTCATGTTGCGTTCATCGCATGACATTCATCATCATCAATTTGGTCGTCCGCCGCTCAGCTTTCAGACCGCTGCGGTCTTGCATCCGGCCGCCACCCCTGCCCGGGCCGTTTCCAACCATGCGGGCTTGTGCTCGCATGGCTGCGAAGGCATGGCGCTCGCAGAAGACATTGCCGAGAATTTCGAAATAATCGTCCACGAGGACGGCCCGACATTCGCGACAAGTAAAGCAACGTGGGTGGTACTTCTTCCGCTCTGGAGGTGCGCCGGCGCGGCCTGGCAGTGTGCTGGTGGTCTCTGTATACTGACCCTCGATACCGCGGTTGCAGCCGTTGCAGATGGATCCGTTTTGCTCGTGATAGTGGCGCTCGCAGTACGGCTCGTTATTGATGACATAGAAGTCAGCAGTCGTAAACGGTTCGTGACAAGATCGGCAGACAAAGCAAGCTTTGTGCCAGCGACCCGTGAGGCGTCCATCCGCGGCCTTGACAGACTTTCCCTCTATGGGTAACGAGCAACCACGGCAGATGGGCTTTCCGATAGTCGCACGACGAGCCATCGGTTTGCGCATAGCTACGTCTTGGGGTTCACGTGGTGGTCTGGGAATGGTCGGTGTTATGCTTCGATCCGAGTTCGCACTCCTTCCAGATGCACTGAACACAGGACTATCAAGAGGACCCAGGGGCGATCTTGGGCCGTGTGCATCGTGGTCACTGAAGGGCAGAACTGGTATAAGCAGCGGCTCGGGCTGGTGCTTTGGGTTGATCGCATCGCTACTCTGGGTGGATTCCAGAGGAGCACGCACTTCTCTAGGCGCTGGTACACCCCATGGCCCGTAACCAGAGGGACTGTGTCCTTGCATTGCCGGATCCATTGGCGACTCTGCGGGCTCAATGATAGGATCTACTTTGGCCAGCTGAGCATCGCGTGGCGGACCGGGTCTAGCAAAGTTTCGAGGCATGGAAAATTTTCTGGGCGGGTCTGCTGGGGGTTGAGCTGGCGCTTGGGTTGATGGCTCTGGTACAGGTACATCGGCAAGAATCTCTGCATGTTTTTCATCTTCTCCACTGTACTGGGCACTCTCAAAATCAAGGTCTGGGAAGGCCTCAACGCCGCTCGCTGCGGTCTCGACAGAGCTCAGAGGTGTGCCCGAGTGCTCAAGGGAGCTTTTCCTTGAAGACTCGAATGATTCGAATTCAGACGACGTATGCTTGCTGTCCTGTCGGAATCGTTGTACAGGCTTGGGAAATGGCGGCCCATCTTCTAGGCTATGGTCGGACAGCACGGCATTGCGGCTGTCACCGCGTGGTGGAGCTTGAACGACTTGCGGGATTTGATTCGGTGCTAGTGCAAACTCGTCGACTTCACTGGCCTCTGGCTGATCGGCGATGTGGAAGTTTTCCATTTCATGGGACACTACCGGAACCGTTGGAGCATGATCGTTTTCGGCTGGCTCTATCTTGGGCGAGCCGAAAGAGAAGTCTAGGCGATCAACCGAAGCATCGATGTGCGGTGCTTCATCGGTGTGGATTGGTAGTGGCTCGGTAGTCATCGCGCCGTTGTACTCGAAATTGTCGTGAACCTCGTGCTCTTCCCGAGAATGGTGTACATCATGTGGCTCAGGGAAGTCGCGCTGATCGTCGTCAGGCTTCTGTTCGTTTGGCAGAATAGAGGCCGGCAAGGGGAACGCAGAGAGCTCAGGCGTAGATGATTGTGGCGGTGACTCAAAGAATGTTTCACTCGGCCGTCTTTGTACATTAGGTGATGGTGCGCGATATGAGTCACCACTGGCACTCCGATTCTGTACACCGTAAGGACCATCCTGGGGAGCAGCAAGAACCGGTGCGATATGACTGTCTGCAGGGATATCATGCAGATCCTCGAGCGGTGGGAGTGACGGTAACGCAGGCTCGTTCGCTACTGGCATAGTATCTGCTCTGTGACCGCCGCGAGATGCGCTTCGGGATGCGCTACGAGATGCGCTGCGTGATGCACTACGGGACGATGCTCTCTCACTCCCTGTGGGCGTCTTGCGACCTTGTGCAGCAGAAGGACGACGTTTCTGCGGTGCAGCACTCGGGAATGGTGGGAATGCGCAATCCAGATTCACAGGAATCTCAATGCTCGGGGGCCGCGGGTCCCACAACCGAGGGCGAGGATTCGTGTGACTACGGCCCAAAGGCGGGCGTCCATTGTTGCTCATGCCGGATCGAGAACTGAATGCAGGTGAACGTGGCGCATCTACAGCTGTGTGTGCGGCGAGATGCGATCCATTCGGAAGATTGGAGTTAATCTTCGGCAACGCCATCCTTGGGTTTCGAGACGGATCCTGATGACCCGCCCCCATGGATGGCAAGGTTGGCCTCCTCATACGCGGCCCAGCGTCGCTCGGACGACGCATGGGATCTCGCTGCTGTTGATAGTTTGCTGGATACTGCTGGTGCATCGATGACTGCTGCATCTGTGGTTGATTGTACGGCTGCTCCGTAGGGTAGTTCCGATCCTGCTGCGGATTCCGGAAGGAATCTGGAGGTGGCGCTTGATATGCTTGGGATTGCTGTCCTACAAATGCATCTTGCTGATGTCCTACATATGTCTGCTGCTGCTGCTCGTGATATTGATCATAATGCGGTTGTCGTTGATCTCCCATTGGCGTTTCCTGGTATTCATCGTGGCGTGGTGCCTGATATGTCTCGTGGTTTGTATCATGGTGAAGCTCGCGAAACGGCTCCGGTTGAGGTGTCTGAACTGTCTGTTGGTATGGGTCCTGTCCAGAGTATGTTGTGTTGTAAGGGTATTGTTCCCTGTCTTCCTGCTGTGGCATTGGCTGCTGCTCATATGAGTGACCATAGGAGTTTTGAGACGAGGTCTGGTGCGGTTGCTGCTGAGATGGCTCTTGGTACGTAGCTTGTGGATACTGCTGCCGCGGTTCATATCCTTGTGAATATTGCTCATCGTGATAAGGATTCTGCTGACGCATATCATGTTCTTGATAGTGCGGCTGTGCCTGTTGGTGGCTCTGATTGAAGGGCGCGGAAGATGGCGCATCGTCAAAGCTAGTCTGACGCAACATGAATGGGTTGCTCGGTTCTGGCGCGTGGCCTCCGTTTCCAGGGAAAGTCCCATTCGCGCCCGAAACACAGTCATGCTCGCCCATCCTCGCAATCTCGATCTCTCTGGCGCAGTTCGAGCATTTGATTGTCGGTAAAAAGCTGGAAGACTTGCCAGTCGCGGCGAAAGGCGTGACCAACGACATGACGTCTTACAGAATGCAAAGCCGTGCTGTGAAGCGATTGTAGAGAAGATATCACCGTATGCCGATATGGACGCAGCCTACGCGCATTGCCCAAGTCGCTTATGAGCGGGAGGTGTCCAAGCAAATATCAAAAAAATCCAACCTGCGAGGTCGTTTGTGTTGCGATGGCGACGGAGCAGGAATCTGCGTGTAGCACGCGATGGTGGTCGTGGATGCTGAAATTCAACGTCGAGGAAAACGCCCGAGCCGTTGAGCCGCGACAATCGAAGAAAGCACAAGGAGATAATGTATTTTGGAAATTCAGACAGCCAAAAGAGTGTGGTTCGCTCAAACGCGAATGACGAAGGACCGTCTATGTCTAGGCAAATCGCCTGCTTCTCTTGACGTGTGTGTAGATCGAAGGCGTTGCTCACTGAGCTGGTGGAGATTGCCGGAGATGGGAATTCAGTGACGGAGCGATAGAGATGTGTTCGAAAATGCGCCGAGAGGGTTTATATCTTGTAGACCAAGATTAGATCGCGCAGCGGTGTCCAAGGTAGCTGAGCGATTCGTGGACGACAGTGGTCTTGGTTGTAGAATGCGATAGTGATTATGATGATGCCTCACGGATTCGAAAAAGTGCTTGTTCGGTCGCGACAGGGAAGGAAGAGAGACGCATGAATGATGAACGATGCAGTACCAGACTTGATTGCTGTCCGCGTGGTGCACACTTTTCCAGAACCGACGGGACACGCACACGAGTAAGTCGTTCGGCAAAGTACTGCACTATAGCAGATCAGTAGCCTGCACCCCAGAGAGTACCAGACTTTGGCTGGTGCTGATGCTGCCGATGCTGGTCGCTAGCAATGATCACGTCGTCCGCTCCCTGTGCGTGTGCGTGTCTCTGTCGTCCCAGCGTGCCAAAGGAGAGAAATGATGTCTTCTGGTTGTCCACCCGATTGGCATATAATTTACGTCTGCGTCCGCCTAGTGGCACGGCCTGTCCCGCCGGGCTGAAATGAAAACTCCGCTTTGGGCTTTTGAGCGGTCGCTCACCCTTGCGCTACAGCGGACCGGAGGGCGCCACCAACCCTTCCCTGCACTTCCCCCTTGTCCACACGGCGTGCCACACAGCACTCTTGATGATCCTTCTGCGCGCCCTGTTTAACATTCTTCCCATGAATTCTGTTGGCGGCGTTTTTCACCGTCTTCAATCCTTGCTTTACACAATTGGGGTGACGATTGGAGACCAGTAGACGTTGATTCGCGTAACGAATGAAGTCTGGAATGGCTATGATGACTGCGGAAATTGACGCTACCTGGGTGGCCTGTGATGGTCGAATGGGCCGCCTCCGCGTTGTCCATCGGTGCGGAGAGAGAGTGCACACTTAGACTACTAATCACAGTCAGAATCGTGAGGAGAGAAAGAGTGTCCACGACTCCACGAGCATTCCGCGATCACAATGCCAAGTTGCCAACACCACGCTCGACCCCACTCACGAGTCACGACACAATACTACGCGCGGAAATGACATTAAAATCAGCCCTCGATCAATCAAAAGATACTCATCGTAGTGATAGGACCGAGCAAGCCGACCACTGGCGATCCGCACGCACGGCCTGGTGTGGACGCCATGCGATCGGGACGGCCACAATCGCCAACGTCTCTCACAATAGTCGTGGGTGACAAATGTCCCCCCAAATCACAGCAGCAATATATATCACCGTCGGTCATCTCGATCGATGTTGGTGCAATTACCTCTTAGGACAAGATGATTTCATCGACATCATAGACAATGCTTGAGCTGGACGATGCGTTGAACACTCGTGCTTGAACGTTCCTTATGATAGCATTACTCGTCCGTGACCGAGGCGTGACTTACTCTCCCAGCGACAAGAGGCATTTGCCGACTGCTGTATGACATCCTTGATGCCAGAAGTTCCCCCCTGAATTTCGAGATTGACGAAGCGCGCAACCCCACTCGGGCGGTCGTACCGCACCGACCCCCCTTGCACTTCTTAGTAAGCTTAAACTACGCGGGAGTGGAGTATGCTGTGACTATGCGACATACCACTTCGGTTCTATCAATTAGCGATACACCTGCGATTTGATGCTATTGAGTATAACATTCGAATCGGCTATAAGGAGCATATCTATTGGTATCGTCGTAGCTATGAACTCGAATCCTTGAACAGTAGAAACGACCTATCGTGAGGGTGAGGATGTCGGCTACAGACATACTTTAGGTCACCAAGCCTACCCCTTCTCTAGCGGCGCCCCCATAGCAAATAGCGATCAATCACAGCCCTGTCACGTTTGATGACCTGGTTTTGCGCATGCATACTTCCACAGAACTGCCGACTTTCTCTCGAGGTCGCGTGCCTCCGACTGGAATTTGACATTCCTTCCCATCTGGCAGAGTTTTCATCACACAATCTCTTGGTGATTGCCAAGCGCATTGCGACCCGTGTAGGCCCCCGTCGCCAAGCATGTCGTCGACCGTTGGGAAAGTCTCCCGTGTCCGAGGACAGAAGCAGAGACATCGTCGGAACAGCCGCACCTCTTTGGCAGCCGATGGAGGAACAGCATGGTCGGTATTCAACATACCTTTAACTTTTCCCGTGCGTCACGGAGTTTCGCGCGTTCGGAAGGTAGTCGTCGGCGATGGCATGGCGAAGCTCCTTAGCCATAGTTTTTGATAGGCGCCACGAGTCTTCATTGCTTGGACCTCGTGAGCATCCTCGAATCACATGCTCATACGTTTTGTGCAGACTTCCGATGGTATTTCCACGCGCTCATCTCAGCTCTCGAGGTCCTCTATAGTCGAAAAGTATTCTAGTCGTTCTCACATCCTGAGAAAGTCTGCATATGGTGAATAGCCGATGGAAGCGATATGGACCGATGTCATTTATGCCGACAATTATCGAACTCCACGATTGCAAAATCGCCAAACTATCGTCAGCGCCGACTTTCTCGGATGGAAATCGCTGATCAGTCTAGCACATTGACGATTTATAAATTCCGATTGTAAGCAAGGATTGACGTGCACGAAGGTTGCTCCCGTCCAGAACAGCCACCATGCCGCAGTAGCCACCTAGGTATTTGCTATTTCAAAGATACTCACATCAGACGACACTCTATAGATTCTTATCCTGATTGATACTTTGGAAGTCTCGAAACAGCGATAGGAGTCTTCACGATGGACGACTTAGAAACAAAAGCTCCGGTAGAGCAAGAACTGAAGTCCATCAGCAGTCCAAATCACCCGTTCTTCACTGAAACGGGATACCATCTCCGAAGGCCTCGATCAGATCTGGCTCGAGCCATATCATCATGATATTAAGCTCTATATGAAGCTATACCGATTACGCTTCGAATTCTGCATCAAACCGCTACGGGGAGGCCGTGGAAGTGGAGGTAATTTCAATCAATCATAGGAGCTCTTCCAGCGACTTGGTGAATATCTACGAAACTCCTTGCCAAAGATTCAGACCAGAATCATAGACGAAAGTAAGACGAGCAAGGACGCTGCACTGACAATGTACCTCCACGAATGGGACTGGTATAAGCAATTGGCGAAACAACTTGATTACATCGTCACTGTACGCGGGCCGTAATAGTAGGTTGAAAAGTCGGAGTATCATTATAGCCGGACTCCTAGCACATAGTCTTTACATCTCTTACGGTAGAGAGAGGCCTTTTGAAGGCAGACCAGGCATCTCAAGGCCCGTCGATGTTTAGTATTAAGGAGGAGTTCTCCGAGCAAGCTGACGACCCCGGACCGATCATTCAGCCTTTCCAAGAGATCTCGGCTCTCCTCGAGCGAGGTCCCGGGGAGTCAAACGTAGAGCCGGTAAATCTAAAGATAGGCCCGGTGGATTACAGGGTATTGTGTCCGGTACACAAGGAAACAAAAGCCGCCGAGAAACAAGACGTCGATCAACAAGACGATGATCAACAAAACGCCGCTTCACATGGGATGCGAGGCGTTAGGGCTGGCTTGTCACGCGGAAGGTCTGTGTATTTCTGTGGTAGCCGTCGGCACGCTCCAGAGACTGGAAACAGTGGCAAGTAGGTATGCACGCGAACATCTGAGCTGCATTGATTAATAACCACATATGTCCATTGTTCACATGTCTACTGTAGAAGGGCTAGAGCAGAGTCTTGGTGGCACGTCTGTCGCCAAATGATAGCGCTTGACCCTTGAAGCAGAAGTCGCGAGAAAAGCTGACCTTACGTCGGCATGACTTAAAAGGTACAGTCTGATCGCGCCTCATAGATCTGTCCGCATTTGAGAACAGGCGAACATACATTTCACGCATTTTCACTTCCTCAGTGAGTATATATCGTGCCTTGTGGGCCGTTATATGTGCGCACAGCATATCCTTGCGTTGTTTCCTCCACTGCGGGATGGCTGTATTTCGGGGTTGTAACGACACAAGCTGCCCACGTGCTCAGCGTTGAGAGAATGGTCGGATGTTTGAGGTGCAGTTTGGCGATGAGCCTACTTGGCGATATGGGTCTTGGAAGTCTCGCGATTTCTTGGGCTCAAGACTTGCGCCAGCCCGCCCTGTAAAGGCTCGCTAGCACCGAGGCGCCTTCAGGAACAAGCGACGGGGCAATCACGAAGGCTGTTTAGAGATCTCGTCCTATAAGTCTCTCCAGCATACGGGTTCCTCCGTGAGACCCTGATACGAGACAACACATGAGATCTCGCATTGACTTCCAACTCAATCGAACATTGTATCTCAGACAGGAGCGTCATGGGTAAAACATGACAACGCGGAACGGTACGCGCGTTCGGCTGAGAATCTTGGAAGCTTGGCCTCCATGACAACAGCACCCCACCAAAAAGTCCTACTCTGCCACGTGCGTTGATACACGAATACGGGCAGGCAGGAAAAAATAACACAGCAGGCCTGCGTCAATGACATATGATGTGTGAGGCGCCGCCATCTCGTAGCGATTGTCTTCGGCGCGCGCATGAAGGCGAAAGCTCAGTAGGCGTACATATATACAGATTTTGAACCATCGCCATCCCGCGAAATAGATCGGATTGTCCTTGTTCAGAGGAGCGTACTCCGAACACGCTGCGGCTCCATAGCTGCGAGCCCTTTGTTCTACTAACATAATCCGCGTGACATCGACTGTCGTCATTTCAAGCATATCAGAAGCAAGCGTTTGCGACCTCACCTCTTTCGCTCCATCGGGATGTCGAGCAGCGACACAGCCAGTGATACGGGCGACATCCGAGAATGGCGCTCCATCGTTACGCTTGTCGTTTTTGTCATCGCTAGTACGTCCAAGCCAAGACAAAACATCATTCCGACGAGAAGTGAAAGGCACAAACATTAACTCGAAATTGTGTACCTGCAGATTGCATTGTCTTGTTCCCATTTCACTTGCCAGTCCCAGTTCCGCAGTCACTGCGGGATCGTTGGTGGGACCTCCTCGGATACTGGCGCGTTATACCAGAACGGCGAAAAGATCGCCGTGCTGACCCATGGCGATTTCCCGTGAATCTCACGACCGGACCATTGATCGCAGTACTGTTCTTACTCGCCATCCTCGCCATTGGGCGCCAAGAGGTCCACGATGGCACTGTGGGCGCTGACCACATCTATCCCATCGACGTGATGGTCTTCTTCGTGACGCTAGCATACATCGCCATTTCTATTGACGCCTCGGGACTCATTCGGTTTCTCTCATTCAAGGTTCTCCAAAAAGGAGGAAAGAATGGCCGCTTGCTCTTCCTGTATCTCTATCTATTCTTCTTCGCGTGCGCGAGTTTTGTCGGCAACGATCCGATTGTGCTCTCCGGTACTGCTTTTCTGGCATATCTCACCCGCGTTTCTCGTAATATCTCCGAGCCGACGGCGTGGATATTCACGCAGTTCTCCATCGCCAACCTCGCGTCCGCGATTCTGGTCTCGTCCAATCCGACCAATTTGGTGCTGGCGGGAGCTTTCGATATTTCTTACGTTGAATACACAGCCAATATGATTGTACCAGTCATAATTACGGCAATCGTCCTTTGCCCATTCTTGATCTTTGTTCAATTTCGCAACAAGAATCTAGTCCCTCATGAGATTGAGCTACATGAGCTCCCCGAGGACCGGAAGGCCAGAGAACCTGTCAATCCCAACATTCCAAGCGCACGAGCGGAGAAGGCTGCAAAGGAGGAGGACGAAGAAGAAGAACGGCTTATTTCTCTCGAGGAGATCATGAATCCCTACCTAGATAAGAAGAGCGCCATATTCGCAGGAACGGTCATGGCCATCACGTTGATTTCTGTTCTGGTGCTCAATGCTGTGTCAGACAAATTCCCCAACCACTTCCAAGTCTACTGGGTGACGCTTCCGGCAGCGGTCATCGTCTTCTCATGGGACTTGGCGTATGGATGGATTCACCGAGAGTATACGAAGGAGACGATGGCGAAGCTGGAGGCTGAGGTCAAAGAAGCTGACGCGCAACGATCGAAACGTCTTGATGTAGAAAAGGACGAGAGTGGCAAGGAATCCGAGAAGGAAGTCGCTGCTCCAGCAGCTATTGTTAAGCGGACATCGTCCGTAGGCGAGGTATCATCCGCTAGAGAAGATCAGCTTGAGAAAGCGGACGATTTCCACTCAGATGAGCACGAGCCAGCAACATTGCAGTCGGAGCTACAACATCTGTACAGGCGGGCACAGGTGACATTCCCGACTGCGACGATGGTCCTCACGCTTCTACCACTTCCGCTTGTGCCCTTTGGGTTTTGCATGTTTATCCTTGTTCAGGCGCTGGTGACCAAAGGTTGGGTGACTGGTGAGTCTGGTGAAGAAACATTCCGCCCTGATGTACAGATGCTGACGTTCTCCTTTCATTGCAGTGTTCGCGCATGGGTGGGATCATTGGGTTAACGCGACGGGAACTGTCGGTGCCATCGGCGGCATGGGATTTCTCGGGGTCGTACTTTGCAATGTAAGTCATGCAATCACTTCCTCGATCAACATCCAGCCTCGAAGGCAACAACCGGCAATGACGGGTCTCACTGACGTTTTGCTTTCCTTGCCAGTTCGCCGGCACCAACATCGGCACCACAATCTTACTCTGCCGAATCCTTCAAGCCTGGGTGAGCCTACACACCGCCGACCCGAACAACCCGAACGGACCGCAGCCCACGCCGATCAGCCAGCGGACCTTCTGGGCCAGCGTGTACAGCATGGCGCTGGCGGTGAACTACGGGGCGTTCAGCACTGCCTTTAGCGCGTCGCTGGCCGGTCTGCTCTGGCGAGACATTCTCGCGCGTAAGAAGATTTTCGTGTCGGCGAGGAGTTTTGTCTGGGTGAATCTGCCGATTATCACATTGACGATGGTGGTAGGCCTCACGGTGTTGATTGGCGAGGTCTATCTTACGAGGTCGGATGAGCCGTATGTTTCGAGGACGGCGTGATTGGGTGTGGCGCTATAATGCAATTTTCATGTATGGCTTCTGGGCGTTCTTTCTAGTCATGTCCGGCTCGCTTTCAGATATTCGTTAAAATCTGGCATTTAGATGAGTAGCTTGCTCAATGTCAGTTCTCAAGTCTGTCCAAAAGAGTGACCTTGATATTGACGCTCGTGGATGAGTAATTGATCGTCGAGATTTAAAAGCACGGTTGTAATCCACACAGCGTACGTATCAAATGTACGATCAAGCAGAAAGCAGTCAAATAGTTCAGCAGCAGTCAACCATCAAGTTATCCTTCCAGCTTCCCAAATAGACACCGGCGACGTATCTACAACTTGAACTTGTTCAGCTCAAACGAACCATATGAGCAGCAACCAAAAGTAACCCCAACCCTTCCGTCGCAACAACCCTAAGCGACCCCCCCATCTCGCATCGGAGGAAATATGATGAGACACAAGCACGCAACGACGATCTCGCGGACAAAGCGCGCGCTCGAAACGATCGACCACCAGCGCTTCCTGACCCGTGCACGACATATCAAAATCTCCCTGTGGCGGAATGATATCTAAAATAAAGATCGTCGCCGGGATGACGTTGTTGCGGTTGTGTGATCTTCCCCTGCACTGCAACTGGCAGAGGGATGTGGCATGGATTGGGTCTCAGATCATCGATCAGAACAGTTGTACAGTGCAATGATGAAACATCGTGGTTGGCACAAGGAAATATGAAACATGGCCCAGCTTGACGGGGGAAACGTCGTCGCTGTCGATCTATATTTTGCGCTGCTGCACTGCAGATCAAATGTGTATTGATGATGACAGAGATCAGTTGGCAGGAAGAGATCAGGACGGTCTGAATCGTGGAAGCGTAATTTCAAAGATGAAGCGAGCGTTCCGAGAGAGAGCCTCCTCTGCGCCCGTTGAGTTTCGACATGGCATGGCAACCAGAAGCTGTTGAGATTTGGTCTTCTGGGTTGATGATACCGTCGGCGATGAGCTGTTGTTTCGATCAGATTAAAATGTGCTGCATACAAGGCACAGTGATGGATTGTCGCCGATGAACGCCCGGCCGGGTTGGACGATGTCATCACAGGGTGCAACCTGCAGGTGTTTCGAAGTCGACAGCTGTGACACGTTCGGCGGGAGAGAGACATGGCAGTAACAGTGGAAGGGTCAACGTCGCGCCGCTGGGCCAAGACCGAACGCGTAATGAACCATGCACAACCACCTCCACCACGAGGATAGATTCCCCATGCAACCGCCGCCCCGACGTGAATACTATACATGGTGCAACAAGGGTGAGAATTTCGATACCACCTGGGCACACATCGAAAAGTTGCACATGTATGGTAGAGCACAATTCCAGGTCAATCGTCTATTTTAATAAACAAGTAACGATAATGCCGCCCAATCAGCAGTGCGATATGCGAGAGACCGGGAACGTATGGCGCCTGCCATGAGCTACTGTAGCACCAACACGACCTTGAAATCCAGGTGAGTGGATAGCCCGAGCCGTGGCAAGAACGATACGTGGTAGACTTGTGCTGTGACAATGGCTTGCAGTATTCACAACAAGATGTTACGTTTGCGTAAGAATGGACAGGCCAATGCTGGGCCTGTAGAGAGCGAGAGAGACTGTCTCCGATGCTGTATCATCTGGGAACTGTGGTGTGATAAACACCAGCCAACATGGCAGAGTGGCACCGTAACTAGTACACACGAAGAACCTGCCCAGGTGGGCATCGTTGGATGTTCCGAGCGTCTCGCCCTCGCGTGTGTCCCGGCCCAAAAGTTCAATGGGTGGTGACGAGCCTCTTGGAAGTCGATGCCATGCAAATACGACCATTCCAAGGTTGTTCGTATGGCTACCGTTGATAGTAAAATAAGGATGTACTCTATCACGAAGGGTTCCTTCGAATACGCGCGCGAATGCCTACTCTGACTGAACCACATGGGATCTGTTCCATCCATTTCCCTCTCGCGCCAGTCCGTCTCCACCTGGGCACCTATCCGCCATTATCAACAGGAGGAGGACGATGACCATCCGCCCGCGCGTGGGCTCAGCCGAGTCTCCGCTGTAGTTGTTTATTAACTGGAGATATTGCAGTGTTAACTACGTGACTACACAGTAGCGAATGGATGCATCCACGCACATACAGATGGACCCCTGCGGCGGCCCATCCATTCCATCCGCTACGGTCATCCGTCCAATGTGCAATACGAGCCATGCCCGTCCACTAGACAATCGCCAAACCGAAAGAGGAAATACAAAATTGTCTTGGCCGTATCCCCCCAACACCCCTGCTCGAACGACTTCCGCGACCTCTTCAGACAGCAGTTGAGAATTCACATCTTCTTCCGAGACATCAACTCCTTCTTCATTTCTCCGATCGCTTTCTTTGCGGTTGTTGCTCCCATCGTGAACACCAACCTTTCCGACCACCAGCCTCTCATTCGCTTCGAGGCTCTTTTTATTTCAACCACTTCAATCGCAACTTCCCTTCGTTCGACCTTCGAAACTCAATTCGTTTGTTCGCGCTCGACTTCGACCGACTCATCCACTTTCCAGTTCCGATTAATATCAGTCGATTCACCATGAAGGTTACTCTGGCCGTATTCACCGCCGCGGCGACCATCGCCCAGGCTGTCGCCACTCCCGCACAGTTGACCGCACGCGCTGGTAGCGTGCCCGTCGTCACTGTCAAGGGCAATGGTAATGCAAAGACCTCGACGCAAACACAGATTCCGCCGTGCTGACATGACCGCGCAGCTTTCTTCGCCGGTGGCTCCCGATTCTACATCCGTGGTGTCGACTACCAACCTGGTGGCTCTTCCGACGCCAAGGACCCTATCGCCGACGTCGCTGGTTGCAAGCGTGACATCGTCGAGTTCAAAAAGCTAGGGATCAACACCATTCGTGTGTACACTGTCGACAACACCGCCAACCACGATGAGTGTATGTCTGCGCTTGCGGCCGCCGGTATCTACCTCGCCCTGGATGTCAACACCCCGAAATACTCGATCAACCGTGCCAACCCGGCTCCGTCATACAACGAGGTGTACCTCCAGAGCATCTTCGCCACCATCGATGCTTTCTCCAAATACGACAACACTCTCCTCTTCTTCTCCGGAAACGAGGTCATCAACGACGACAAGACCACCAACTGTGCGCCCTTCGTCAAGGCCACCACCCGTGACATGCGCCAGTACATTGCCAACCGTGGATACCGTGCCATCCCGGTCGGTTACTCGGCTGCCGATGTCGAGGAGAACCGCTTCGAAATGGCCCAATACATGAACTGCGGTACCTCGGACGAGCGCAGTGACTTCTACGCCTTCAACGACTACTCGTGGTGTGACCAGTCCTCCTTCACGACCGCCGGCTGGGACCAGAAGGTGAAGAAGTTCAAGGACTACAGCATCCCCATCTTCTTGTCGGAGTACGGCTGCAACAAGAACGCCCGTACCTTTGGCGCCGTCGATTCCCTCTACAGCAGCGACATGACCAGCGTCTACTCCGGTGGTCTGGTCTACGAGTACTCTCAGGAGGAGAGCAAGTACGGTCTGGTCCAGATCAATAGCGACAACACCATCGAGGAGTTCTCCGACTTCAAGAACCTCATGTCCGCCTTCTCCAAGACCAAGAACCCCAGCGGCGACGGCGGCTACAACGCCAAGGGCGACGCCTCCAAGTGCCCCGACGCCTCCAAGAACTGGCAACTCGGCAAATTCGCCGGAAACGCCCTCCCGGCCATACCCAGCAGCGCCAAAGAGTACATGATCAAGGGCGCCGGCACCGGCCCCGGCCTCGCCGGCGACGGTAGCCAGAATTCCGGCCCTGAGGATGTCGCTACCGCCACTTCTGGTTCCGGAGCTGCCACCCGTTCTCCCGGCACGTCCACCAACACTGCCAGCCCGACGAGCAACGCGGCCGTCACCATCGGCCGCAACGCCGAATCGATTAGCTTCGCGCCTTTCATCGTCTCCGGCGCCGTCTTCTTTAGCGCGCTCTTCGGCGCCGTGCTGATGTAGATGACCTTTTTGCATTTTTTCCCTTGAACGCTGGCGGAAGAGATTGATGCAATGAAAGTCCCCCCTTTTCTTCTTTCGTTGAGGAAGGATGACGAAGACAAAAGAAGATGACTTGGAATCAATTTTGTTTTGGTGTTTCTTCTCTTTGCCCTTCTTTACCCGCCTTCCTCGACTAGAGTATCAATTAATGAATCGCACCTTTTTTGTTCGACACTTGTTCCGCCTGTTCATAAAGGCCGTCCCCAGACGATGTACTTGGCCTCCTGTATCGTGAACATGTCTTTAATATCATCGTTACCGTCATCGTCTTCTTCCTCATCGTTGCGATAGATGTCGCACGTCTGCGCTAGAGAGATGAGAGCTCTTCAAGAGGTGAGAGGAAACCTCCAGCACGCTCGTCAAATAGCAATCATACCGTTCGATCTCATCGTCATAAAAAGGTCCGAGCTACCTTCCGATGGAAAGGCCCCATCATTATTTGTATACCTTCTTCATAATCCACAGCTTTCTCCACGAAGAAAATTCGGTACGACCCGGTATATATATGGTCCCGTGTCCATGTGTCTGGTCTCATATTCCGGGCATTTGTGCGAAAGAGCAATAGGGGCCGCACATCTCCCTGCAAAAGCCACAGCGAGACAAGACTTGCCAAGGAGAGTTTGTAGGCCGACCCGACTTAAGGCAGGACGTACTGCAGAAGAGAAGAGAGTCGGCCCCGTTCGACATATTGAGGAAACTCATGTCTTCATCGGAAGAAGATTGGAGGACGGCAGGTGTAGTTCAGACATGGGCTTGCGTCTTCCACGAGCGACTGTAGATCAAGCTCGGCGAGGAGACGAATCGTGGGAAGTTCACCAGAGGAGAAGCGAAGGATCAATTCTACAGGCGATGGCCGATGTGGTCGATGTTGGGATGAAAGGACGTGCGGAGATCCCGCCCGACAGGCTCGGTGGGATCGCATCGACAACTTCACCTGAAGCGCATGCACCACCCCTTGATCGCCATCGCCTGCTCTGCTTCTACTCTCACATTGTACGGGTAAGTCTCAGGAGTGACCGATGTCCCCGCTGATGGCATGGGATTGCATATGAGTTATGTGCAGAGCACGAGGGAGTGATGAATAACGGGCGGGATCTTTGGAAGGCAATGTTACTCTACGTACGTGCACAACGTGCGTGCTTCATTTGAAGGATCGTTGATAAATTCTAGAGCTGGGGCAGGATGTAGGCCTTGACTGGAGGACATTGGTGTAGATTGAGGTGGAAGGATATCTGGAGAAAGACAGTCATGGTCATGAGTCATGGCAAGCGGACAGCGAAGCGAAGCGGTAATCACTGGGAAATAGTTCTTTATTCCTTCCATATCAATCAGAGTGAATTTCTCCCTTCCTGCCTAATAATACCGAGATAATTCGCCGCCGCACAAAGTAAAGCCGTATTGTCTTGCTCGACAAGAGATGTCCACAACCGTGTCCCAACCATATTTTAAAGTGCGAGAGTCTTGCGCTTCTCGGCGGCGTTCAACACTCCACCGAGCACACCGAGCTTCTTCCTCGTAGCCGCATCGACCGTGACGGGTGTGACAGGCGTCAGCGGGGCCTTGTACAGCCCATTGACGTCCTCGACGCTGCTCGACGAGGAGATGCTAGATGCACTGCGGAGTGAGCCAAAGTAGCTCTCGTCAGCGGACGAGGCTGCCGCTGCGGTCGCGAGCGAGGTCGTCGATGACGAGCCCTGGCTGCTGCGCTTCTCCTGCATCTCTGAGCCAATGGGGCTCATCTTGCGGGTGAAAGAAGAGCTGCGGCTGCCGAGAGGAGCACGGTCCTCGGAATCGACACCAGGAGTCGGCGTGACCGAGGAAGGCGGAGCAAAGTAGTAGTCGACATCATCGCCGAGAGGGCTGCCACCTGCAGAGCGAGTGGCACCGCCACGACGCACGTTGCCAGCGCGGGTCAAGCTATCCAGAGCACGACGGCGCTGACGTGTGGCGAAGTTCTTGCTACCTTCATGACGGCTAGTAGGAGCGGCAGTAAGCTGGTCAAGCGGAGGAGGACCTCGGGGCTGACGAATGGGGTGCTCGCCCGCTCGGGCAGCACCGGGACCAAAGGTGCCAGTGAGAGGAGGAGCAGCAAAAGCGGCACTGCGCTGAGCACCAAAAGTTGCAATCGACGCCGTCTTTGGGCCATCCAACGTAGTGGTGGCAAATGGATTGATGGCGAGCGAAGCAGCTTTCTTGTGGCCACGGCGGAACGCCGTGGCAGACGGAGGAGGCAACGGCTCAACATGTTCAATGGTCGTCGGAGGCGAAGGGGCCTTCTTAGGAGGTGTGAATGATCTACCGTTGGTAGGCGTGATGCGTTCGATTGAGGGTGCAGGCGCAGCGCCGAAGGCGGAGGGAGTTTGCTCAAACTGCTGCTGAGGAGCAGCAAATTGGGGCATCTGAGTCTGCTGAGATGGCGAGATGACTCGCTGCTGTTGCTGCTGCTGATGGTACAACTGTTGCTGTTGTTGCTGTTGCTCTTGCAATGACTGACCGACCACGTAAGTGTAGCCCTGGATGGCGGGGTTGTAGACGAGGTAAACACCAGGTTGACCAGGCACCTCCATCGGGGCTTGCATCTGCGGTTGTTGCATTTGTTGCTGGCCATAGTAGGGTTGTCCGACTTGCGGAGACATAGGACCCTGCTGGTATGGCATGTGCTGCATATTGGTGTTCAAGTTGAGGCCCTGGGCGGTAGCAGTGAGAGTGGCCAATTGCTGCTGCAGCTGCTGCTGGCGCTGAGCAAGGAACATGCTAGTAAGTTGCATTTGCTGCAGCACATTGGGATCCATCTCCTCTGCCTGGTCGTAGACCGAAGGTGGAGCCAAGACCTGCTCTGGCAGGGAGTACATCTGACGTGCACCACCCATTGCTTGCTGAGCGGATAAGTCGAAACTGGATGCAGTGGCAGTCTGGGGCATGCCACGGTGGTGTCTGCTGGTCTGAGCATCGGACCACTGCGAGGCGTTCAAACCCTGCGGCAAATGCTGAGTCTGGTGGTACGGAGCAGAGGCTGGAACAGCGGGAGTCTTGGGCTGGGTGCGAAGACCAGCGAGAAGGTGCGAGCGGCTAGTGCGAGGAGTCGGGTTCTCCACAGCATTCTCGCTGATGGAGGCGACCTTCGGTGGCAGTGCGACACTCAACCTCTTAGCGTTGAAGCGCGAACCACGAGTGCCAAAGCCGGTAGAGGGAGCACCAAGGCCACCGGCCGGGAAACCATTTCCGTTGAAATTCATCTGAGCGAGAGCGCCGGCGTCAAAGCTCATTTTGAGAAGGATATTTCTGGAGTGCGTGAAATTGACGGGTGTCGTGAAATCTGTCAAGATCTCTGATAAAAAGCACAATCGTGTGATAAAATATGTTCAGCACCAATGTGTGGCAGAAGTCTCGCAAGCAAAGCGGAGTCACAGGCCGGCTTTTGCTGGGAGAGTTTTCGAGCACCTAGCAATGCTCGATGCAAAGGATTGTCAAGGCGATCGTTGGAGATGATGCTGGACCGAGCAGCGGATGGTGTAGAGTACAGATTATCGGTATTACAAGTTCTCGAGTGTGTCTCTTGTCAAGGCAGTGAAACCAGCTGCCACGGAGATAGGTTGTGTTCGTTTGATGGGTCGTAAAATGGCGTAATCGGATAAGATATTGGCCAGCAAAGAAAGACGTTAATGATGCAAGACTAATAGAAGGGTCGAACCGAGCTGGGAAGTGACCAGACGTCGGACGGAGATGGAAAAAAGCGGCAAGTTCGTGCGAAGACGACGAAGTTGCAAGTGCTGATGATGGAAAGAGCAAAGGTATCCAGAAGCCTGGCGAGCTGGTTTAATGTGGTATAACAACAGCGGCACGAGGCGGTATATAAGTTTTGTTAAAATTGCGACGAGGCCGGCGGGTCGCTTCAGAGGCGGGCGGAGATATGGTGTGAAGGTAGCGTGGTGCACCGAGTAGGTGACAAAGTGACGCGTCGGTATAAGACGAAAGCTATGAGATTGGCGACGTGATGAGGCGTCCTTTGGTCGAGGAACTGCGACGTGTGAGAGCGAGCCTGTCTATCGGATCTTCGAGTGTACGTCTGTCTGAAGACGCGTGTCGATCAACAGGGTAGGTATATGTCGAGCGTGTTGATGCAGTCTGATGAAGGTTCTTGCCGATGGTGGACGGACAGAAGTGGTTCACACGGGCAGGTCGATTGCTTGAACAGTCGTCGGATAGATTGGCGGGCGACACAAATGCGAGAAATTGATGCAGGAGCGGTAACAATGACGAGAAGAACGTTTGCGAAGTCGAGCGACGAGATGCGAAAGACCACTCCCCGGATGGTGACAAGGTAGAGAGAGAGAGGGAGAGAGGGCGCGCGCGTACGCAAAAGAGAAGAGAGAGAGAAAGAGGTTGTTGAACAGGCAGTCGGTACGAGGACAGGGAAAGAATGGAGGAGAGAGTAGGAGGAACAGGAGTGGAAAGATGGGGTAAGCACGATGCGTGTGTGCGTGTGCGATGGGCGGCGGTGTGTGGGCGAACAACGGAGGGAATGGAGAGGGAACAGGAGAGATTAGCAATAGAGATAATGATTAGTGAGAGAGAGTGTGTGTGAATGAGCGATGGTGGACCAGGACGCACTCTGCAGGACAGGGAAAAGCTCGTTGGGTCTCTGTCGAAGGGGAACCAGAAGAAGGGGGGATGAAGGAGAGAGAGTGATGAGTGAAATTGTGTGTGAGTGGTGCGTTGGCGGCCCCTCCGTACTGTACTATGGGTGCCCGGGGGTGTGTGTGGGTGTGTGTGTTGGTGTGTTGGTGTGTGCCGGAGTGGGTTTCGTCCTGTGCGATGATGCCAATAGTATCAAGTACTCCTGCACTCCAAGGCTCTCACGGCTCTCTCCAATTTCGAGGCTTGCTGTTGGTGGTACGGGAGGGTGGATTCCACCAAAACCCTTCTCTCGTGGCTGCCACTGGTCGATCCAACCCTCTCACACACTGCCCAGGTGGTCTCTATCATCATGGCCTTGGAAGGAAAGTGCGGCCGAATTGGGCGAGAAATCATAATCCCAAGAGGGAGCACTCAGATGATGATGGTGAACGAACAGGAACCATGGTTCTTCCTCGATTGGTCATTCCCGCACGCACATGAACTCACTCTCACTTCTCCAGTACCTAGTATGCTGTTTTCAACGTTTTCTCTCTTTCTCCATCTTACATAACGTGATCTTTCCATGATGCAGGAAAGTACTGACCCTAGATGTCTCGGACTCGAACGAAGCGGCGCAACCGGCGGCAAGCGATCCCCATCTGATCATCATTCGCATCATCGGAAACACCGATCGAGAACGGGTTGACATACAGTTTACAGCAGGAAAAGGCGATCCAATATGCACAAAATACAAAATGGGCTCGTACACCCCCTTCGAGAGTGATCGGGTCTAGTGCCCTGCAATCTGCTGTAGTCTCGCATGGTCGACAGGGGTCTTGTCGCATCTCAATTGGCTGATTCTCACAGACGGAAGCGCCCGGGCGGCAAATGGTGCACCCCGAGACTCGAGTGATGGTTGCTGGTCTGCTTCAAGGAGGCCCGCTTCACGCACACGGCTTCGTCATTCGTTGGCGTCGCTGTGCTGTCTTCATGCAGTCGGAAACTCTCAATCAGAGCTGCAGGTTCTGACAGGAAAAGCTCTTCCATGTTGCATGTGCATGATATGTACGGCAGAGCAAAAATATCTCTTGGAAACCCGTGCTACTCTCACTCTCCGAAACTTTGCTTTAAATAGCAGTGTTGTGTATTCTCGTCATTGGCAGCATTGAAAAGAAGGTTGACGTTCTATGGTCGGGCGGGTATTGCACACGACTGCGAACAGTGGTATCATAGCACATCGTCATTTACTAGACGAACAAGCAGCGTTTCCCTGGGTGAGAAAAAGTGGAAAAGACGGGATAGGCAGCGGCGGCGGCAGCGGCAATGTGCATGCCCAACCATTGAACCCATCAATGATGACGGCCGCCTTATCGCCGACCAGGAAGGGAAGGGGGAGTTCACGCTCTCGAGATATGCAACCACCACCACGCACTCAGCAGATACCTAGCCAATGAACACTCTAGGACACAGCTCTCTAAAGGACTTTCCGCCTGTTGGAGTGTTGTCAAGTATAGTACATTCCTCGTCCTCCAGATGTGACGAACATCCAAGGACAAAGCGATACTCCATCCAATCATCAATCTCGAAAGCTCTCAATCTACATAGGTCTTCCCGGCAGTGGAGCTTTTTGCCCGACCTCGTGACATTGCCCATCCCCTTGTTGCTTCTCCCTCATTGGAATACTTCAGTTATGCACTACTCCAGCGGTGTGATACAACGCCATGCCCTTGCCCCTCGCACAAGTTCTCATGGGTGGCGAGTGAAGCGCCGGAGGAGCGTAGGATTCGCATAACCCAATGTGGAAGAAAGGAATGTTAGTGAGGATTCGGAGGGGTCGAGAATCACAATGCATGAGCGTAGGTGTCTGTCATATGCGGTGGACGGCACGTGAGTATGCATCCTCGCCGCCAATCTAGGTCCATAGCTACCTAGTATAGCTCCTAGGTATTGTGTTATTTAGAGCAGTGGTCGATACAGAGGCATCTAGCTAGCTGCTGCAGGTATGCACAGTCTAATCATGCGAAAACTGCTACATTTGATGTCACCGCTCTTCGGTATTGGTGCAGCATATACTGCTCGTCACGGGATTTGCAGACTCATGATCATCGTCGTAATGCTATACACAAATCATGTGAAAATAGAAGACTTTTCCATATTTTATGCTCGCCCGTGCTACCCATTCTCCGACATGATAAATGAAAGGCGACAAGAAATGGCACGACGCTGAAGCCGCTCCTGACATGTAATAGCATGTGGGAAATAGAATGACGCTCGCAAGCGAGGAAAAGGAAAACATGAGACCGTGCAACGCGCTACACCTCCTTTACCCAACTCGAGGGCACAATGCCCTTGCCTGCTCGTGCTTCTACTTCACACCAACCATCCCCTGAATCGGGAGCGATCAGAACCATTCGTTCACCCTCGACCATGTCCACCTCACCGGGCCCACCCGCCGAGTAAGTGTACAGTGCAGTGACATGCTTGACCTTCTTGGCTCCACCGCGTCGAGGGGCAACCGCAGGACCTTGTTTCTTCTTGGGCGCTGAGGCTGCGAGGGAGTCGTCAGCTCCAGCGAGACTCGATGTTGAGCCCGAGGTCGCCTGGCTATGTGGTCGTAGATCGCCGTTACCTGAAGCGAGGGGCGATGGCCTCGTTGCAAGATTCACTGGTGGTGGCAGTGACGACGTGTTGATTTCGGCGTAGCTCGTTGGCACAAGACCTGCCACAGCGCCAAATCCTGTCGTCGGAAGGATCTTGATCCAACCTGACCCATCGTCTGGCTCGACAAGGGTGAATTCTTGGCCGTCGGCAATGGATATTTCGCCCTCGCCACCCGCTTGGTAAGCATAAAGCATTTTGCCTCTGGGCTCGGTACTATCAACAGCAGAATCGTCGTCATTGGTTCGGTACGATGAAGGCGGAGGTGCCATTACTCGTGGACGAGCCACGCCAGTTGAGGTCGGGACACCCGCCGCGCCAGCTGGGCCATCGTCGATGGAGGATTTGGTGGTCATGTTTGACACGCTCCGCTGAGCACTCGCTGCATATCCCGAACTCAGCGTATTCATGGAACCGACAGTGTCACTGCGTTGTAGACTCGATCGCTGCGTACCACCACTGCTGTCTCCGTTGGATGGTGGCGGCGGTGGTGCTGCGGCTTGTGCCTGCGCAGCAGCTTGTCGTTCTGACTTGATGGCCTTTTTCTGTTCTTTTGTCAATTCACCTGGGCAGTCCGCAGGCACCTTGAGCTCGCATTTAGTGTGGCAAGTAAAGCCACATTCCTCGCAAGCCATTCCCTTAGCAGTCAATCCCCATAGTCGATCTCCACACAAATCGCAATTCGTAGGGATCTTGTATGTTTGATTCTTGAAAGTGTGATTGCGGGCTCCGATAGAAATGTCACCAACAGCGGATACGATAGTGCTAACCTCGACCTCGGCTGTGACCCTTTTACGCTCGGATTCGTGTAGGGATTCTTGGTTGTGGAACAAGGCCCGCACGACCTCACCTTCATCTCTATCATCCTTTCCATCTTTGATGAGTTGCCGAACCTGCTTTGTTGCTTCGACTTCTCGCCGTTTCCCGTCACAGTCCAGCCGCAACTCATTCAGGGACGACTTCGATTTGGTGAGGATGTTCATCAAGAACGTTTTGCTTGCCGGGTCTGCCGCCATGACATCGTCATCCAACCACACAGGTGAGGGTTCGAAGACGAAGTCTTGCGGCTCTTGCCATGGTGCAGCATTGTGACGCACGAACATCATGCTGTCAAGGATAGGATTGTTGCGCGGAATTTCGGAAGAAAGGTGCTCTAACAACTCAGTCGATCTGGTCAATGCTTGTGTCTCGAGTGACGATGCGGTGCTCCATATGCTGTTCAAGGCTGATACACGTGATTCGGAAAGTGCTTGCATATTCTAGAGGGTCAAGATCAGTCAGTGAGATGACGGTCGAGTATTGGTTTTGCTCAGTGAACAGCCGTACATTCATCAAATCAGGAACATATTCGTTGTAATACCTCTCCTTCTGCCGATTGGTGACATTGATCGCAATCAAATAAGTGTTCTGCAGAACGTTAGCGGTGCCGCTCAACCCTCGCACTCATCTTCCCCGTGTGTAGACCAACCTTTGTATTCCGCATCTCTCCCTGATGCTGGTAGAATGCCGACTGCGCCTTTTGTTTGCCATGATCGAAACTTGTGTCCGTCTTCTTTCTCCGATTCTCAACATCCTGGCATATGCTATCGTATTTGCCTTTCGTCTTTTTCAGATCCGCATAATTCGCATCGCGCTCCTTTTCCAATTTTCCTGCGTACTCTACGTGCTTTTTCCGGAGATCCTCGTACTTGGCCTCCAGGTGTTTCAGCGGCTCGGCCACAGATGAGATCAGATGCCCAGCCAAGCGATCATGTTCGGCGGCGCGTGCTTCCAAAGTATTAAGCTGTACGGACCATGTCGTCATTGATGCGCTTTCTAGAGATCCTGGCGTCACAGTGGGCGTCTCTCCCACGCTCAGTATGCTGGTCTTCTTAGACTTCTTCTCAAAGTATCTCTTAGCCAGCGCTGTTAATTTCTGGCTGTATTCCTTTTCTATGGCGCTACGCTCGCGGTAGAATTGTTGAATGTCGTCTAACCAGGCGATGCCATTGGTGACCCACGCATTAACTGGCTTGAATCCGTCCTTGAGTTCCGCACCGAAGTCCGGCGCAATCTCGAGTTCAGCCATGTTGGATGGATTAAAGGCTGTAGATGATGCGGCCTGCGCGGGTTTGAGGTGTGTTCGTCATGCACGCAGAAGGCGGCAGGTCGCCCTGATGGAGGCGTCGGCGTCAACAAAGGCTGGAACAATTCGAAGACGTCGCAAAGTGAGAAGACTGATCGCGTAGGAGTATGCTGTGTGCTGTTTGTGTGGTGATCTGTACAATGCACACCTTCTCTGCGACATTGACATGGACAGTTTTATTATTAGCCGCTCTCCCAAAGGAGCACCGCCACACCAAGCGAAGCCCAACTACGTCGTTGAGAACGTGGGGCAAGCTCACACATCACGACCATTGTGGCGCCTCTTCTTGGAGAATTCCGAGGGGAGACGAAGTGCTGAGCGTTCTTTACATCTGTCATTGACCTGAATCTAAGGTGAATTAATAACTCAAGGGATATGACGTCCGTTCACATGAACGTCGTATCGTACGCTTCGTCGGGTGCAGGTGGGAGTGAGCGGAGCACGTGACACCCAAGGAAATTGTCATACTATGTAGTCATCAAGAGCATTGTCAAGTGGCATGGATGGCGGAGGGTGCTCTGTAGTCGATGGAAGCAGTATCCAGGATAGTCACGATATAATGAAACATGGCATATGGAGATATTCGGTCCCTGACATACATATGTTGTTGATCGGTAGTGTGCATCTCCACGTTCTCAGTCGCGCTGCCTGCATATTTTGAACTGTAATGGCCCAAGCTTCGCGAGCTCAATTAATATTACCGAAGGGACTGTTTCATGTTTTCCCATCACCATTTTCAACGTTGACGCATTCCACCCCACTTCGACGTCAGTCACAAGCACCAGTTCACTTCTGATAAAATCCTTACCATACAAGAAGTTCTGTGCAAACTTCATTGTCCACACTTTGAGATTTCCACTTCACCACCGCAGCCATGTCAACGGCGGCAGACAAGCCTGCAGCGGATCCACCAGTTGAAGAAAAGGGCGCAACCAAGGACACCGTCGCAGATGCGCAGAAAGATGGAGCAACTGAATTCATGTCGGGATCCTTCGGTCTTGATGAGCCAGAATTCGATGTCAATGTGAAGCTCGCAGATTTACAAGAGGATCCCAATAATCCTCTCTACTCAGCAAAAACATTTGAGGACCTTCACTTGTCGGTACTCTCATAGTCTTACAGCGCTACACAGTCGCTAACACTCACACAGGCGCGATGAGATTCAACGTGGTCTCAATGCTATGGGCTTTGTCAAGCCCTCCAAAATTCAGGAACGCGCCCTCCCACTCCTCTTGAAGGACCCGGCACAAAATCTCATCGGCCAGTCACAATCCGGAACTGGCAAGACCGCTGCGTTTGTGCTCAATATATTGTCAAGAGTGGATCTCAGCTCTCCCAAACCACAAGCAATCGTGCTTGGGCCCACTCGTGAGCTTGCGAAGCAAATCGCAGGTGTCGCGCGGGTGATGGGAGTATTCTTGGAAGAGAAGGGGTTGAAAATATTCGAGGCTGTGCGAGATACCTCAACACCGACGAAACCGGCAGAAGGACAAGTCGTGATCGGTACTCCAGGCACAGTCGTTGACATGCTACGAAAGAATCTGATCGACAAGCGTAACATCAAAGTCCTCACTCTAGACGAAGCCGATAACATGCTCGATATGCAAGGGATGGGTGACCAGTGCAAGCGTGTTAAGAACATCTTGCTCCCGAATACTCAGATCGTGCTGTTCTCTGCAACTTTTCCCCCTCAGGTGCTTGAGTTCGCCAACATCTTCGCACCAAAGGCAAACAGCATCACCCTCGAAGTTGACAAGCTCACCGTGAAGGGCATCAAGCAGATGTACCTGGACTGCCAGAATGACGAAGAAAAGTACTCAGCGCTTGTCAAGTTTTACGGTCTCATGACTATCGCCTCTTCCATCATTTTCGTCAAGCGTCGAGATACAGCCGCCATTATCGAGAAACGCATGACCGAGGAGGGCCACACAGTCGCTTCATTGACCGGTGCGCTAGAAGGCGAGGCACGAGATAAGGTCTTTGCCCGTTTCCGTTCTGGCGAAGCAAAGGTGCTTATCACAACAAATGTTTTGGCACGTGGTATCGATGTGCAGACAGTCACCATGGTCATCAACTACGATATTCCTGAATGCGTCGACGGCACACCTGATTATGAGACATATCTGCACCGTATCGGCCGTACTGGTCGATTCGGCAAGACCGGAGCTGCGCTCAGTTTTGTCCATGATCGCAAGAGCTGGCAGGCGTTGATGGCAATCTGCAAACATTTCGGCGTTGAGCCAACAAAGCTTGACACAAGCGACTGGGACGATGTCGAGAAGCTGCTCAAGAATATCATGCGCAATGCACGCGCTGCGGTTGACATTTCTGACAAGTGATTCGAATGAGCAAGGATTGAGAAAAAATTATTACCAAGTGTGATGGCTATCACGAATTTGATGAAGCAATGAGATACAACAACAGAGGATTGCAACGAGTACGTAGAGATTCGATCAAGACGCTCAACGACAGCAAGATCATGGAAATGGTGGTCGAATAAACACCTTTGTGTGTGGTTGAGAGGCCATCGTGCCAGGCCGAAATGTATTCAAACTTGCCTCTTTAAGTTCAATGAAGAACCCCCGACAAGGAGAGGTTGCCAAGATATGATGATTCGATTCCTTCCAGAGCATGTTGACCTTTGATTGCAAAGACTGCATTCGGATAGAATACTATGCTGGGCTACACATGCTCTCTATTTGAAGATGTTCAGAATCAATGGTCTATGACGAATACAATATGCATCCAGCACGCATTCGAAACCTTGGAGTGCTAGTGAATAGATGACAATTACTGTCAACCTTAGCTTTTCCATCGATGATATCACTCAAACCCACTGCGTTGGGTGAAGCAGTCCCTTGTGATACTCATACTCATCTCGATCCAAGGGAGTTGGACAAAATCTGGCGCGATTCCAGTCTATCGAGCCTAGAATCATTCCATCCGGGAGGAAACATCGAATGTGCCGAAAAAGAGATCCACATTCCCCAGTTCCAGTCCGAATAGAAGATCTCTTCGCTGGAACGGCTTCACTCGAAGGGGTCTACATGATCCGTTCGTTGTGCACGCCGTCATTACCAAACATCAATCAAGTCAGGAACAAGGTTATGGAATTCCAACAACCGCTGGGCGCGCTGGATACACATGCTTGTCTGGGTAAAGATCGACCAGCGTCACGGCTGCTGCTCTGACGCTGGGAGAGGAGGGGTCCGAAGCGGAACTCAGGGAGCGGATGACCGGACTGGCGCAGTCCCGAACATGAGAGGAATAATGGTCCTGGAGTCAAAGCACAGCTAGTTATGGAGGTACCTCGTACTGCACTGCTACGTACGCATAAAGGGAATGGGTATCTGGGTCGGAATACGTGCAGTAGCTTACGCCAGGATGTTGACCCTTGAAGTCTGCTCTGGAGCATCAATATCGAGAGGCAAGTAATTTCGAATTGCCGGACTTGGATTGCATGACAAGCTGTTCTGCTTCCTCATTAGCACATTGGTGAATTGAGACAAACAAATTCAGCTCTCATTATCTTCAGACCGAGGTGCTCAGCATGGACTGCACTGTATCAGTGAAGATCACTCATCAACAATGCATTGCGATGAGAAAGATCTTCATGTCCTAATGCATGAAATGGAGTGTTGGCGAGACACGCAAAAGAGGAGAAAGCCGAGGACCCTGAATCCTAATGCCACGTTGGTGTACCTTTCTTCACAGGGTCTGGCGCGCACTGGAAAGCGTGCTACAGCCGCCAGCTATGGGCGTGACCGAGGGTCGGCAATTGTTGTGCACCATGGGTTGGTGAGACACCTCCTCCTCAGGCCGACAATCTTCACCACATTGACTACGCCCTGGATCATAAACAGGGGAATGGAGATGCAGGGTCATCAATTCCGATCTGGAATCCCGAGAACAGCCACGATACCTAGGTAGATTCATAAGGGTACAGTGTTCATTTCGTGAGCCCTCTGTGATTATGGATAGTCCTCCCAGTCTATCCTGGACAATCCGTATTACCGTAATGAGAAGATGAACATTGGTGAGAACCATTCGGAATGACAAGGAGAACTTAATGTCGCTAAGGCAGTGTAACGTGCAGCAAGGCGTGTGTGGATTCGTCAACAGGGCAAAGCGCTACGACGACAAGATATGAAAACGGGAACATGCAGGGCAATCAGAACGCGCCCTTGCAGAATACGGCCGCAGTAGTACCTGAGCAACACTGCATGAGATTAACGGGGGCGTTGTCGTGGAACATCAAAACAAACCAACAGCTGGTAATAACAAAGGAAAATGTTATCATTCACAAAGTTACATGCCGCGGCTGACCACACTCGTCGCCAATGAAAGCCTGCTTTGCTATTAGTCTATCACAGTAGATCTGAGTGTCGGCGCAAGCGCTCGCTCGTGTCTGGTCATTTCAGACGCTCGAAATTAGAGTCTTTGCAGCCGAACGAATTTGCCGCGCCGCAAAAGCATGTCTAAAATATCATTCCAATGGCACCTATCGCCACCCAGGACCGAGAAAGGACGAGTGCGCTTCAGAGGAAAGCCCTGCCGAAATCATCGAGCCGGGTTCAATGTGATAATGGCAATCAGACAGTGCACTCGGGTGCGACGTGGCAACGACGCATTTACAGGATGGTCACCTGTATATAGTGCACCGTATGATCGTGTTGAAGCGCTGGGCGAAGGAGATAGAGAATGACTTTTTTCAAACCGTCATCAACGAGATCCAATGACCGTTGCCGTCGGTCACGGCGATCGATCTCCGCACCAAGAGAGGACAATTCTTGGATCAGCGAAAAGGCCGTGCAAGGGTGCAGCTCCCTTTTCGGTCATCGCTTCGACATCACAGCGACTGACGATGAAACGGTTAGTGAGCCCGCGAATCGCCCGAGCGAGATTGGATTACTATTATTACTCCGATTATGATGATGATCGTTATTATCGTCGGCCATGTACGTCGCCGTCGCCAGCGCCAGGGGCAATGGGTGGTCCGCGGCCGTAGAAGCTGGAGAGCCCTGCCGTAGGTCCATGCTTATCCACGCGTCTCATTTCTCATTTCAGTCTCCTTCACGACGACGCTCGTGCCTCTTCGTGCCATGCCCGGAAGTCAAGTCAGCTGTTGAACCCTCCCATGAGAACGTGACCTCTGATAGAGTTGTGAAAACGTCCGTGTTGCTGACATGCTGAGTAAGACTCTACGTGTGCTGACCTCTGGATCGAGCTCAGAGTGATGACTCCGAACATATGAGTCCTCGTCTATCTAAATGCCGTCGCTTGTAGCTGTCGTCATACAGATCGATATCGCTGCCAGGTGATTGTCATGCTCGCCGAGTCCACTGTAGATGATCGCAACACGCAGCAATTGGACTGAAGAAAAGACTTTGGTATGATTCATGCCCGCGTGGGAGATCATTTGTAGATGCCGCAAATTCCAACGGCGACGCACGGTTCGGTCGATCATGCACGAGACACCTTTTCTTCCATCTCAAATATCAAATTGTCAATTTGCGGCCGCCCGCCGCCGTCCGGCAGTAGCCGAAGCACAATTCGGACACCAGTAGTGACCTCAGAAACTGTGAATGTGTTTCAGCCACAAGGGGATTTGAAGATCTGGTCGCACTACTGTATTTGAGGAGCGTGCAATGATTCACTCGAGACTACATTTGCCGACCGATCGCTTCGATGGAGGGCGAGTGCTCTTTGGGAACGACGCAGTGTGTTGTGAGTTGGAAACACAGACGAGTCCATTGTACCCGTGGGGAAGACAACTAGACGATGTACATGTCGGCGAGAGCCGACTTGGCCAGACCGATGTTGGATGATATAAAGCACGCGAGAGCAAGGACCTCAACTGGTCTGACGAGTCTGTACAGCATCGCGCCACCACCATGAGCCACAATTGTCAGCCATGGAACGCCCCTGGGTAAGTGCGAATGTCGGCGCGACCGTCGAAGCTCTATACGGACATGGAAGCCGACGAGTCTGCGATGTATCCTGAGGTCATCGCAATGCAGTCGCCGACGACGATACTTGCTCAGACGACTGCTGTTGTCATTCCGTCCGAGAAAGTTGGAATTCACTCAACGTTTGCACGACAACAAAACATGGAGTGAGTGCTCATCGGTAAGCGTCAGGTACCGATTGCACTAAAGATCTAGCTGCATCAGTACTTGCATGAGCGGGTCCGAGCACCGCAGCAAACAATTTGAACGAGCATTAGCCCCGGGCGATGATGCAGCACACGACGATCGCTATTGGCCACAGGCGGGACACGGCGGATCGAACAAGGCGGTCGGACGACGCGATGTGTGCGCAACACAAGAGCGAGCCACCGAGGGGCACGGTTTCAGTCTGTGCGGCGATGCCAGCAAATCTCTCCGCATTTCAAGGTTCTCCTAGATGTCGCATCCACACCAAGACCGTTTCTAGCTGCGCACACGAACAACCACCATTCCTCATCATCAGTTTTCGTGTGCCCCTACCCAGTTCGCTCTTTCTACACAGGTCTTGGTATCGGTGACTTCCACGAGCAGTCCAACTTTCAGTGTGGTGTCCGCAGCGATCACTTACCCAGACCGACAGCACACACTCCACCAACACGCACGTTTCACGAGATACTGGAGCCCTTTCCCCTCAGGATGCAGCGCCGCATAATCTCTGCTGCCGAAGACCCACCCTCATTATCCATTGGTTCTGGGATCATGACCGGCTTACACCACGCTCTAGCAACAGCTGTCATCGGCGCATTATCCGCTGCAGTCTGGCAGACGGGCAGGATGGTCGGACGACCGCTCGGAGCACTCCTCACTCAAGTCATGCCAGACTCCGAGACAAAACGGCTCTCGGAGCCGGGCGCAATGAAGAGGTTGCAAACCACCCTGGGTGGCGTCATCTCTATTCTCTTGTGCTTCATCGCGTTGGCGACGAATCTGGTCGTTATTGGCAGAGAGGAAATGCTGGGAGGCTTTAGTACAGACTGGACCTGGGCGCGATTTACAATCCTGATCTTGCAGTCGGTGTTGGAGGGTGAGGTGGCGATGATGGTGCTTGCGGGACTGGTTCGGATTGCAGGCATTTCATAGTTTCTATGCCACAACATCTATTCATGGTAGCTCACTGGCAAAGTTGGTTTGGTGCTACATTGTCTGTCGAGCCGCATCTGCATACCCTGCTTTCGCAATAATTCGCTCATCCTGGTTTCACAAAGAAAGAGTTCCATTGCAGACGAGTCCAAGCTCAGCAGCCAGTGAATTCACAGACCCGAGCTAATCTGTCGTTCGAAGCCTATGTTTTGTGGGGTTGCGACTCTTTGTCACTTTGCGTTCGCTCATGGGCCGGAGTCATGGCTGTATGGAAAGGGTCGTCCATCGTTCCGGCCCTCCAGGGCTGTCAACAACCACTCCCGGGATGAGCAGAGTCTTGGATGGGGACGCAGCAGCAGCAGCAGCAGACACAATATGTTCACCTCAGTTGACTATGGCGGCGGAAGCTCTCTTTCGTACCAGCTTTTATTTTACAGTCTGGTGACACGGCGGAATCCGTCGTCGCCGCACCGTTGTAAGGCTTGACATTCCTGACATCCCGACGCCGCCAGAATTTTCACGGCATGATGTTTGAATTCCATAATCCTTAATGAACTGGAAACCGTGTAGTTTGTACATTTGTTACAGGGACAGCATGGAGCGGCTTGGCCGTCGTCATGACATTCATGATGTTTTCTATTGCTGTCGCTGTCACCATCGGTTTCCCCAGGACGTTTGTATAGCGCAAACATTCGACTCGAACGTAAATTGCAGCGTTTCATCGTTGAACAAGGTGTGCAGGGGTATGACATGTAATAATGATGCAGGACAAGGGCAGATCCAAGGAACTAGTCTCGAACCCAGCCTGCAGCTGCAGGTACATGCCTTGACCTAAACAGTCCACTGCACCCAGCAAGGAACGAATTGTATTCGCTCCTATAACCAAGCGACACGAGGATGGTTACTATCATTACATCAAGCTGCTGAACATCCATATCTTTGTGCGTATGCACACACCATGCCGCCTGCATGCACCCGGGCAGTCTTTTCTATCATCGGGACGACATACATAGACCGAGGCACGCACTCTGCTCCGGCCATTGCCGAGTTTCATAGTCACGGGACATCGTGCTCTGTATTTGTTGTACAGAGCCTTGCGCAATCGGTCTGGTGATGATCATGAGGTAGCGGGTGAGTCGAGAGCGGTGCAAAGTCTTCCTCCGTCGTTCGCAAATTTAGCGCGAGTCCGAGCGTGAGATGCGGGCGGTAGAGGCGTTCTTGGCGGCGGCGACGGCGGTGGTCACGCCCAACACCGAAAAAAGAGAGAAGTGATACATGGATCTTGGACATGACCCGCAGGCACACGAGTGCATTACACCACACGCAAATTGCGCCCATCCATTTCCCCTCCCCTGTACATCCCGACACACACCACTTTCGTCCGTCTGACGATGCGTCTCGTCTTCGATGGTCCGACTAGGGATCCTTCGTCCGAAGTGATGGCATGTAGAACAAAGTATGGAAGCATACGTAAACGACCAAACAATCACCACTCCGACAAGCTCGCCTTTGCCGGAAGAAGGAGGGTAATCCCATCGATTCACTGTCTCAATCGAAGCCATTAGCACAATTTGCCATCTGTCGCATGTTTGCCGTTGATGAGTGGTGATTGTCAATCAAAGGTCTTCTGGGGTGCGAGAAATGAGAGGGCGAATTGGAAAAGCCCGTCCGGGAGATGATTAATGAGCTGGATATCGGACAGTGGGTAACGATGGTAATAATGGTAGTACGGCAGTATTGTTATGATGAGTAAGTATCAGGCGGTCCATGCCGCGAAATGACCGTAAAGCGGACTTGCTGCCTGCCCTGCCTGCCCGCCGGCTTAACACCAGTTGCAACTGTTTGTCTGTCGGTTGAGGGTGTGGTGTGGGTGTGTGAGCGTGCGTGAGCGTGCGTGCGTTTGGGTGTGGGTGGTGGGTGTGGGTGTGGGTGTGTGCGAGGAAAAGCCTCGAAGCAGCAGAAGAATGCGTGAGGGCGAGATTTCTGGTGGGTGGTGGTAGTCTCCGTCGTACATTGAAATCCTCCATCAGCCATTTCCCTCGTACGCTGTTTCACCTGTCCGATCCGCTGCTACTTTCCACCGCGGCCAGCACACAGTCAATCGGTCGGTCGGTCGGTCAGTCGGAGTCGAGGCTTTTGCATGAGAATTCGCTTTTCTCTTCGTGCCTGCCGTTTGTACCTGTCGTCGTTCATCCTCTGCTGCATCTGCTCTCCACCATCACCGTCCTCTACCCTCCTCCTCCTCCGCCGCTACTCCTCCTCATCATTATCTCTAGCCCTTCTTCCTCCTCCTCCTCTCTCGTCCCGCCGCTCTTCTCTGACCATCGCGACCGCTCGCTTGGCACGAGTTTGCAGTTCAGTACGCCTCGTCGTGCTTCGTCTGTGACCGTCGCCGTCCGTTCATTACACCTCCAACCCACTGTCTCTCCGTCTTTCTGGACTCCCGGCATCTTCAGCTTCGGGCTTTGTTTTCTGCTTTTCCGGCTGTACCTCATGCTCTGCGAGCTCTGGTATAGTTTTCGCAAGACTGACACGCAATTTTACTCATACATCCACCTTTGATTCGTACGTGAATCACCTTCGACCATTGCATTCGCATACGCCTGATACGCCATACTGATCGCTCGCATTATCGTGAACAGTCAATTCATACACCGCATGCAACATTTTTACTCTCTCGAACGACTCACTCAATCGCCAATCGTGCGACCTATCGCCTCGACAACTTAGCGGCCTTTCAACTTCGCGACTCGCCCTCTCCACAGCTCAATTGACCAGCCCAATTGCTGCAGAGAAGCCGCATGTAGCTTGGAACCTTTCACACACTCGACATTCGACTTTATCAGGATCGGAAAGACGTGGCATAATGGCAGAAGTCGCATATTCCAGGCACCATGCGACGTACTCGGAGGATGTGGATGCGTTTGGATCCAACGCATCACTACTTCGTACTGCACCTCGCATTGAGATGATGGCCAACCAGGACTTTGTCTTTCCGAGGACAATGCCCTCCGCTTCCCTTGAGCCTCCTTCAACTCAATCTCGGCGGCCGCAATCATTCTCTGCCAACCACCACACCTTCCGACCTCCTACCGTCGAGCACCGACGAGTCAAATCGAGTATGCCACTCCCGAGTTTCAGCTTTAACGCAGCCGACACATCGGGATTGCAGGCCGAGACGACGTCGTTGGAGCCAGACAACGAGCCGGTTGCGCCTTTGACACCGTCGAAAGGTCACAAACGGACGACAAGCGAATTTGTTGGTGGTGACTCGCGACTGCTGGGGACTACCGCCAAAGCCCCGCCAATGCCTGCTTTCACATCTCAGCCAATCCCGATTCCGAGCAACAGGCCGACTCACCGACATCGTCGGTCGGCTGCCATCTCTAGCCACGATGTGGCAGCGGCAATGCGCGTTCCTGAATCCAGTGCACGTCTTAGTACCAGCGCACCAAATTCACCCGTCGAGTGTTTACCCCAAACAGAGGCACGCAGCGACGATCCGTTTGGCCCAACCACAGACGCAGCACCCGAGCGACCGCCTTCACGACGACAAGTCGAGTTTTCCGACAAGGTCGAATTCATTCCTCGACCACTATCAACCATCTCTTCAGGCACCGAAGGTTCTCTTTCTACCAGAAATGGTCACTCGATCAACGACAGCATCTCATCTATGCTGAGCCTGGGCACCCCAAGCCCACCGAGTACCCGCTTGGCTGTCACTACTCTTGCAACCACACTAGAAGCGGAGATCGATGCCAAATCAGAGCCAAGTAAGCTTCCCGTGAAACGCGTGGAAAGGGAGGGCCAATGGCTCCGGACCGGTTCTCTTCGATCGGGTGCTCCCCGACCTATTTCTGCGCCACTCTCCTCGACCGTCCATTTCCCGCTGCAAGACTCCCCTATCAAGGCTCGCGAGTCACGCAGAGCGAAGGACGCGCAAACTCGTGCCACCGAGTTGGAAAGACGACAAAGCGAGCCGGTGATTCAACCTATTGAGCACCGACTCACTCCCACTATGTCATTCGAGGCTGTCCCCGAGAATGCTCAAGATGACCGCTCTGCTCAAAGACGATCATCCTCTCGCAAGCTCAAGGACTGGGCCATTTCTAAAATCGCCCGCACCAGTATCAAGAAACACTCTCGCGGCCAGTCCGAATTCCTCGCGCCTGCTGAACCAATGGTAGACGCACTTCGGCTTGCTCCGCCACCGCTGGTAATTCCTTCAGCGACGGCTGAGACTGACCTGGATGCCGTGTTTGGTGGCCCGGTCTCACCACGCGAGCGACGAGCACCTACTTCCAGCATGTTTTCACGACTGGACGAGATCACGCCTGCTACGAGTCAGAGCAGTCTAGGAAAGTCAAATGGCGCTGACGAGGAACAATTCATGCTCGATTTGGACACAGCATTGGGACCTTTTCAATCTCCTTGCGCTGGCGCACCGAAGCAGAGACGTGGGATGCACAGTGGCCGTGTGAACCGCGAGTTTCTAACCCCGGGTATCTATCTTCCCGCTAACCCAAACCATCGTCGGACCGAGAGCGCTCCAATGCTCACGCCATTCGACCACGGCAGACTGTCAACTCCTGCTCTCGCTGCAATGGCGGACGTGTTCGAGGAAGACGAGGAAGAAGCAGATTCGTCCAAGCCGGAACGACGAGGAAGCGCCGAATCTGACGAAGCGGGTACCGGTGTTCAAATCATCGATTCTGACCCAAGCTCCACCACCGATTCTCTCGTCAGTCTGGATGCCCTGCGGAATCAAGACGGGCAATGGGGCTCACCACGACCAAGCACCGGATATCCACGTCAGATGATTGATATGACGGCCTCGCTTCCCGAACATCAGCCATCTTCGCTTGTTGAGGAGACCATCGTCGAGGAGTCGACTCCCTGTGCTTCTAGACATTCGATGCATCCCGTTGAAATTGTTTACGACCACGAGGAGCCGCGTGCTTCGTCCTTCACCAAATCTTCCGACTCCAGTGAGACGCCCACAATTCTTCCGAACGCATCGGATCGAGATACTTTCGACACGTCACGACCTCAGACTAGCTCGGATACTTGCGAATCGCCTTCGGCCTACTCCACGCCGGATCTCAGTCGTGGCCAGACATCCTTCGATACCTCCCGCCTCGGCACATCAGCTTCATCTGCAACAGACAACCGCACCATGAGCTCGTATGCCACCACTACAGAGCTTTCTGGCGGCTGTGACCCACGCCATTCCGTGGAGGATGTGCCATCACTCACAAGCTCCAGGTCGACCATGATGAGCACATTGCACAACGTTCTTCGTCCATCGTCGATGCATCGCGATTTCTCTGCTGATGACCTGCGTCCTCGCCTCTCATGTACAACTCCAGCATCGTCCGATGTCCTCGACCCTTCACCTCTTTCAAGAGTTGGGGTCATCGACTACTCGCCTGCCGCAGAGGAACGACCACGCCGGAAGCGCCAGAGTATCCAAAGTCTGTCGCAACTTGTTGGCGTTCCATTCGTTTCCTCTCGCAATTCCGCTGTTCTGTCTTCCGCTTCTGCATCGCCGATTGATTCGCCGATGCGACCACAGACTGCCAGCAACATCCTTGGCACGTCCTATGCACCCTTCCACACAGTTCGCTCCTCCGTTTCCAAGGATTCATTAAATACAACTGATGGATCTCAACGTCCGGTAGAGCATCTGCGGCTCAAGAAACTCATGTTCTGGAAGACCAAGGGTCGTCAATCGTCTTTGCCCGCTTCCGTTACTCCTCGTCCTCGCTACTAGTAGAACGGACAGCATTGCAGAGGACCGACTTTCTTCACCATTGAATCATACGCGCGGCACCTCTCGCGTGCACGACCTACACAAATGTCCACTCTACACACGGAAAAACCCACCAACACACAATTGGTGTACACACATATACTCATACCCCACTCTGTAATTTTCTACAACTCTCTACACGGTACGGCATCGGCGGCTGCTGCGGTGCCAGCGGCGCCATGCCGGGCAGCAGAATCAGGTCATATCAGGCTCAGGCACAAATCAACACAGGGGTGATTTTGGGCGACGATGGATGGAGCAAACTGTATTTGGGGGGCGCATTTATATTGGAATGGCGCCCGAACACTGACCGAGAGGAGAAGAACGGCCCTTACTTTTCGATTTATTACTGGCCCACTGCTTCTTCTTCTCTCGGTTCTTTGGAAGAACGATTGTTAAGGCTTTGATGACCCGGTTATGTTATGCTCGTCTACTCTTTTTTTCCATCAAGTTTTTACTACCTTTAGTATCAATTATTCCTTGGGCCAATGTCCATGAGGGAGAGCGGAATATTATTACCTTTGCGCCTCCGAATTATACCTACATTTCCCGTCATCTGGTGGTAAAGGTGATGAACAACCAGTTATGCAGCCTCGCACGCGGTCGGGGCATACTGCAAGACGCTCCTCCTCTGTAGTGTTCGGACGTCGTCAAGGTCCGCTAAAGTAGTCGGAGGACCTACAAGCAAACAGGCGACAAGAATGTGCATGTTCTCAATTCCAGATGTGTCTCCTGTGAACGACCACTTGTGAGTAGCTCGCAATTTGTTCTCAAAACGGTTAAATGTTGTACACCAACCAGGCCTGAAGTGAGGCTTGCCATTCTCTAGCTCTTTACTTCCAAGGACGGGTCGCATAAAACACAGAGAGAGATAGAGGACATGGCAAATGAGATCGCTAAGGGCTGCAAACATTCAGCAATTTGATATGGGCCGAAGGCCCCATCCACGATTCGCACACGAGCATTCAATTGTCTTGTGTGCGGCGGACGAGGGCCACAGCATCCGTGGAAACGACTTCAACTCCGCATTCTATCGTGGATTTATTGAATCGTGTTTCAAGGCCGTGCATGATAAGTAACATAATAAAAAGTTATAAACTCAGCTGCATGCCCGCGAGATATACAAGGTCAGTATCATTCAGGAAAAGTGACCCCGACAAACCCCCAGATTCTAGCCTCCAAGTTGCTTGAATATGATTGTTGATCGCCTTCGCTCCTCCACAGATGCCAATTACGTCAGAGACACTTGATCGTCGTACCATGGCGTGTCTTGAGGCGAATTTTCAGCCATAAAGTTGTACGAATGTGCTGATCAGTCGCTGATAGTATTATCAATGTTGGCCTTCACTTTGTCGGTGAGGTGCGACGAGTAAAAGCAGGCGTGCGGCCAGCGAGAAGAAGAATGGGAAGGATGGTAAGGCTGCGTTGATGGATAGCGTTCCGCTTCGGTTCGGGCCGCTGCATAGCAAGGCTGCGTGGAGCGATAGGAATGCTGCTAGACTAAAAGCGGTCCACAGATGGCAGCGCTGCAGTGCGATTATGTGATACATGCGGGACACATAAATGGCGCCGAGCATGACCCAGAGTGTCATTAGCAACACCGTGAGATCGAGGGTTCCAGATTCTTTCGCTGTGGAAGCTACAGGCCAGAGACAAACTCCACAGGCAATGGCAAGATCTCCAAAAATGTCTGTAACTTTGCTGGATCGCTTGGCTCTTGCGAAGGCCCGATCACAGATCAGCCAGATGATCGCACAGACTATCGCTGTTGCGATACAGAACCGCACCACAAACTCAAACCAGTTGTACAAATGCCAGGTGAAGAGTGCGGAAACATTGGCGCTGCTTTGTTGTATTTGTTGATTTGATGGCAGCGGCAGGCCTTCGACGAACGGGGGGAGGCCTGTCACCACGATCCATAAGAATGTACGGACCGCTGCGGCTCGCCCAACTAGCGGCGGTCTGTACGGAATGGGATCCCCGATAGGGCATTGTGACGTGTGCGGACCGAGGAAGGCTGGTGTGAGAAGATGTATCATTACACCGTCTAGACGATCGGAGGAATGAAATGATAGAAGTGTGAAGCACCTAGGTATATTCATACTGCTGTGAGATGGTTGGTGAAACAGGTTGGTGAAACAGGTGCCTTGTGCGTGTCTTACGTGCAGGAGCCACAACGAAATCTCCAAACCCGTGCACGGGGCGTCTGGCAATGGGGCCAGATGTTGAGGTCAGAGGTGGAGTGGGTGGATGTATGTACTCCAGGGCTGTATGCGCAGATTGGCATTATAATGTAGGATCTCACCGGTAATACTGCGCGATCGTGGCGGAGCAAACACAACGGGGGCCTGTGTAATGATGGCCCGAGCAGGAAGGTTGTCTGCACAAATTTGACCTGACCGGTCCCGCCGGTATACAATCGTTGGTCAAATTGGACGATGCATCTATATGACCGGTCAGGCCTGGAGAATGTAGGATGCAGAACAAATCATCGTCGTTTCTATTAAGTTGCCAAAGTGCCGCGTTCGATCTGACCGACAGCTGTATCAAAAAACACGATACTATCCAAAATTGCGGCCTATACTTACCTGACTCCTGCCAGACAGAACACAGGTCACTACCTGGGGAAACTCCAAACTAGCCAAATCTTTTAACGTTGATTGTAGCGAAGGTGGCTAGTTTGGGGGTTTCCCAGGTGGTCACTCTGTAGCGAGGTTCACAACACAGAACTTTGATGCATCGTGGACCATTCAGTACTCTTGTCCTTACACGGCATTCTAAGGCCTTACCTGATATTATGAAAGGTTTCGTAATAGTTATAAACTACTGATGATTCAAAAAGAGAATATGAATTCAGAAATGACAGAATCTGAATATGATAAAAATCGGTCATCCTTATTTCTGAAAATGACGGACCCACGCAGGGCTTCAGTTTTTGCGTAATCTCTCGAGATGGAATGAACATTGTCTGGGAAGGACGTACGGCCTATTTATAAGTAGGTTAAAATCTAAATCTGGAAATAAGGTTCTTTCCCTATGGCACCGTCGCTCTGTGCTTTCCTCCTTGCTTACATTGTAGTCTCGTACCGAGTCGATTCAGAAGATCAGCGTCAGCTAGGTCGGTTGCGTGCGAGGCTTTCCACAACAGGAGTCGCAAGGCGGCTGTCAATCAACTTCATCAGTGTCGACCCGGTGATCTCCTTCCTGGACCTCCGTAACCCACCCAAATCGATCAGGGATTTTTTCCTGATTGGATACCTTTTAGTTCAGCCAGCAGCTGCTTATAGACTTCTCCCGCATTTGGGTCCGCATCCGAGTCGTAGGTGAACGTCTCGAGTATGTCGGTGGGTCTCAGCGAGCCGGTCTCAGGATAGAGGACCACCTGGGCAAATCATCGGACCAACGCCGCGTTATAGATCGTATCTGAATCAGTCCCACAGCAGTGCCTGTCCCAATCACCTCGCTGAAATTGTTAAGTTCCGTATACTTGATCCGGCGCTTCACCACATTCCAACCCCAACTCTTCGCGATGTGCAAAATACTGTCGCTGGTAACACCGACAACGGCGCTCGGGGAGTCGGGAACAACGATTGTGTAATTTGTCACCTTATCGATATGCAGTTTAGAAACACCAAGAAATCCGCAAGTGCTGAATTGGTCTATGTTTTCATGTCGAACGCTGTCGAGGTGCAGCGTGATGCCAAATCCTGCTTCGCTAGCTTGTCTACTCCAGGATGCGACTCCTGCGTAGTTGGTCCCGATCTTGGCACGTCCTGTGCCTCTCGTCGCCGCGCGATCGAAATCGTCGAGGATCAAAGCTTTCACGGGAGCAGAGTCGGCCTGCGACCCTAGAGCTGTTAGGAAGACATAAACACAGAAGGTGCATTCTTCTGGGAATCCGGGCATGAGTGTTGGACTGGTGGCGAGCAACAGTGGACCGCAATACATGCTCCAACCCGAGTTGACGGGAGGGACATAGGTCGCGTTGACCGCGACTGCCATACGAATGGCCCTGATGAACATTTCGGTCGGCACTTCTGGTAGGCTAAGCACTCTTGCAGAGTATTGAAAACGCAAGGCGTTATAAACTGGTCGAAAGATTGATATGCCCCCAGGAGTACCCGTTTGTCGAAAGGCCCCGAGGCCTTCGAATGCTTGTTGGCCATAGTTGAGACCAGCGGCAAGACCATGAGCACGAATATTCGGGTCTTGAACAATCTGCAGTAAAGTCCATCGTCCAGTGGACTTTCGGTAAGTTGCCTGCACATGGCCATTATCTGCATGTTTTCGTTTATTTCAGTGCGAGCAAGCAAACCAAAACGTCGACTAGACCGGCTTACATTGGTGCGAGAATAAGTCTTTTGGGCTTGACCAATCGATATCCGCCATCGGCAAAGGTGGCCAAGACGACATTTCTGCTCAAACGCCCTTCCTATCGGTTAGTCTGAAGCAATTGCGCGTGTGATCATCTGATGTCGGTAACGACAAGCTCGTTCAGCGCGAGGTTTTCAAAATGTAAATGAGTAGACAAGCTCAGCGGGCACCTTTGAGGTTTGGCCATTGAGTTGTGTAGAGCTTCGACACGAGATTATGTGCAACGGTCTCCTTTACTTATTTGCGCACTTCATTGATACGTGCAACGGCCCCACTTCTTCGTACATATATGTGATGCTGCATTCACGATGAATTCAGGCGCACTTGCAGACGTGTCAGAACACTAAGCCTTGCATGCTATGTATCGTAGTCATGACAGACCCAGCACAATCGTGGTCGCTTATCGTTCCTCTCCCCTTTCCCAAGGTCGTGGAGACTACGCTGGGACCTTGGTCTCTCCCAAGAGCCTCAACTGCACATTTGTCAGAAGAAGAATAGCGTCAAAAGTCGGGGCTCATGTGCAGCCAAAGGACCTCATCATTCGTAGCGATTGCAATCCCCTAGAACGCGATAGGACAACACATCAGGCACATGCATGTCCTAGCTTCCGCCAGGTCGTACACACCGTTCGTGCGACGTCCAAAATCGGGCGGAAGTGTGCGGGGACCAATAATCTTTGATCGGAGGCTGTTCCGCAAGGCGAGATTGGTGGACTTAAGCATTCCAGGAGTAATCGAATCAGTTCTGTCAGCAAGAAATGAAATTGCTGAAGAACAGGAACGTAATTCTGTATGCTACTCCATGAAAGTTGCCACCATTGTTTGCCAATGCCCATGATATTAGATCTGCCCGTATATGTACCCGAGATAGCGCCTGCATAATGCCTTAGTCTGTTCAGTCGTGTCATGAGCATTTGCATGGTCTTGTCTGGAGCTTGAAAGCAGTTGAATTTGGAGATATCATCTTCGTTGTCGCGTCGTCGAGACAGAATTTGATGGTTGCTGGGCTGGACCTCGACATACTGACATCAAGATCCCGAGAACCGAGGAGATGTTATCACAGTCAACAATAGCAGGAAGCCGCTCTGGCATGTCGTATGGCCGTGTATTTATGAATGGGTGAAGTGCCATGATCCAGGGCGGCTGAAGCCGCGCTCTGACTGCCTGCGAAATTTCAGCTGCCGTTCCCCCAGTGGACGGACCACAAACGTGAATGAAAATTGCAGACATCGTTGTTGCACTGCAGATATTCCAAAGACCACAGTACTTATCAGTTCGAGGTCGCATGATCATCGTATCCTGTAGGTAGAACGATATAATGCACAATCACCGTAAAAGAAGTCGTCCTGATGACGCGCGCGACTCGAACCAGCTCGGCGTAGGTAGCACATTAGCACTATTGAGGAATGAACGAGCACAGGATGGTGAGGACCGGGCGAATGGTGAGTTTGCCTTCGACGTCCAGGCAACGCCATGGCTGACTTGAACGTAGGAAGTGGCAGATCTGCAGAGAACGATGAAGGTGATTGGCAAATCGCCGAAAGCAAGCGAGCGAAGAAAAAACGCCGCCGACAGGATGGAGCCAACGACGACAATCGGAATGAAAGGAAGAACGACAACAGCGAGAGCACTGGGAACTCCGGCAACTATCCCGCCATCACCCATTCGGCCAACGCACGCCTACAGAGCTTCGTGAAGGTGTCTGATTTGCAGAATCTCGTGTTATATCTGCTTGCCGATGGCACCGCGCCGCAATGGTGTTCTGTTAGGCATCACCACAACTTTCGAAAGGTCGTAGTTGTGATGGTACCCGGTCTAGAAGCTGGCATGTTTGATGGAAAGATCTCTGTCGACGCAGATGCCGCCGCTCATTCTGCCGCATACGAGGATCAAGAACCGCCCCCGGAAGACTCCCGAAACAGATCAAATGTGACGCCGGACGATTACTACCCAAAACGACTCAAGAAAGATCGCTTACCAGACCCTTTGCAACCTCTGGCGGATCTATTCGACCATCTATGGCCAATCAAGGCACCCGGAGATGATAAATTCGGTAAGATACATTCGCCCTTGGCGGGCATGCTCTCTGCTCCGGTGCCCAAATCCAAGGAAGACAAGCAGACGAAAGGACCACAAGCCCCGTCAGAAGGGAAGAACTGGCAAAACCGTCGTACAATTATCACTGAGCTATTGGCGACGACCGATCAGTTAGCCGACGCGGGTTTTCCATTACATCCGGCACATACGGGAAACGACAAAGCTAGGGCAGCTTTGGAGGCTGCAAGTCGCACAGCTTCCAAGAAGACGAGCGCAGACGGCTGGATCGACTTCCCTGGCATTGCGAACCTCGCCGAGGGCAGCGCTCGCGAAGAGAACATCCAAAAAGGCTCGGTGACTGTTGGGCGAAAAGTTTTAACCATGGACTGTGAGATGTGCCTCGTGTCGCCACCAGGCGAGACACAGGTCTTCCGTCTGACGCGAGCAACCGTCGTCGATTGGAATGGAGAAGTTGTTTTCGACAAATTAGTCAAGCCGACTGAGCCGATCACCGACTATCTCACACCATATTCTGGCATCACGGCCGCCAAGTTGGAGGGTGTCACAACTACACTGGCCGACATTCAAAAAGATCTCATCGAATTGATCACACCTCAGACCATCCTCGTCGGCCACTCTCTAGACAGTGATCTCAACGCTTTACAGATGACCTTCCCATTCATCATCGATACCACTCTTCTATACCCACATCCGCGAGGACCTCCTCTCAAGTCATCCTTGAAATGGCTTGCACAGAAGTACCTCAGCCGCGAGATTCAAAAAGGCCATGGTTCAACCGGACATGACAGCGTTGAAGATGCGCGCGCAACCCTTGATCTTGTGAAGCAGAAATGCGAAAAGGGCAAGGCTTGGGGTACACCCGACGCACACTCTGAAAGCATCTTCACACGATTGGGTCGCCACCACCGTCCACGACGTGACAAATTACATCCTCATGCCGATGAAGAGCCTCGACTAGGCGCCGTCGTAGACTGGGGTGATCCCCGACGTGGCTATGGCTCAGCTGCGGGAGTCGTTATTGGAGCAGAATCCGACGCAGAAGTGGTCGCTGGAATGTGCCGCGCCATCAAAGGCGACGCGATAACTCCAGCATCGAACGAAACTCCTACTACTGGCTCGGACGTACCTCCCGGAGGCTGCGACTTCATCTGGGCGCGACTCCGCGAACTCGAAGCTCACCGCGGCTGGTGGAATCGCACCAAGGCCGCGGACACCGAAACACTCCGCAGCCAAGCCACAACCAACATGACCACAGTCCCACTCTCGACGCCTCTCACCGCGCTCACAGCTCACCTCACCGCGATCCACGCCGCGCTGCCGCCAGCCTCGGTGTTGATCGTGTACAGCGGGACGGGCGATCCGCGGCCGTTGGCACGCATGCAGGAGCTGCAGAAGCGGTTCAAGGAGGAGTACAAGGTGAAGAAATGGGACGATTTGAGCGTGCGATGGACGGATGTGGAGGAGAGAAAGTTGCGCGCGGCGTGTGAGGTCGCGAGAAAGGGCATCGGCTTTATCACGGTGACGTGAAAGATGTGGAGGGCCCTGAGCTCGCTCGTGTGCGACTAATGCTTTGGTTGCGATAATCGCTCAAGGTCATCAATACGCCATAATGTCAGCAACGGGTAATGAGCTGTGTGCCCTGTCGCTCTTTACGATGGCATTTGTTTTGCTCGTCACTCAAATGTAGAGAGACAACGAAGCGTTCGTTGGCCTGCGAGTCCTGGCAAAATGCCGAGTCATCATCCACGGAAAGTTGAGATGCACGAGCATAGAATATCACAGTTCGTATTCAACGCAATTCAGCAGTCCTGACAGCGGCAGATATATATAACGCAATGCATCGTGTGTGAACATTTCTTCTTAATGCTGGTGACAATTGTGCATGTGCTCATAAGATGCCGTCCATCAAGCGAGTCAAAGTTGAATGGCACATACTCCCAAACTCCCAAATTCAGCACAGCCCTGTACATGATCTCATACCTAGCTATGCTCGTCCTACTACAGGCCCCTTCGCCTGGATAGTGTGACGATATGACATGGGAACTCCGTCGTCGTGATTTTCATACTCAACTCAAGCTCCGTCAAGGTGCTGGTCGCAATAAGAAAAGAAATCGGCATATGCGGAAGTGTTGGAGCATCGTCCCCACAAGTGCCGCAAGGCCTATCAACGGGAGAACTTCTTCATGAAAGCATCCAAGCTATCCGCCTCAAATTGCAGATGCGGATGGTCTTGAACAGCTTGAGCCGCGGTATCTTTATGCCCGAGCTTTCGGAGTGCTTTGTCAACGTGCTCGCGTGGCACCATCATACCGGACTCAGAACACTTCGCTTTCGTGCGAAGCTCTGAGCACAATTGATCGAGATCGAACTTGCCATCCTGGAAGTCCGGGTTGTTTTGAAGTTGCGACCTGTGGGAAACGATCATGTTAGAATATTTGCTCAAAAACACAGCAATTTGGGGAGAACTGTACCAAATCTTGTTGCAACTGATAAACTTTCCGTCAACAGACGTAGCGCTTTCATCGCCGTCCCGCGCCTTCTCCATTTCGGCGATAAGACTCTTACTTGACGGCGCCCCGGCTGCGTTCGTTTGTGTGGCGACGGGTGACGCTTTCGTTTGCTGAGGCGATTGGAGGATTCCAAACAGCGAACTGGGCGAATTGTAGTCAACTGGCGCGGAGTAAAGTGCATCATCAAAGAATCCACCTGTGAAATCTCCAGCACCAACAATCGCTGCTTGGCTTTCGCGATAGTCTCCGAACAACACCGGGTCGAAGCCAGCCGTTGAAGGTACACTGTAGTCAATAGTTCCAAAATTTGATGTCGAGCTGATTGGGCCAGTCGGAAGCGTGTTTGGACTATCACTGTTATACGAAGACAGAGCAGAGTTTTGTGGAGAAGCGAATATAGTGGTAGTCAAGCTTTTGTTCCTTGCCGACGGAGCGTCATTGTACGGCTCCGGCGACGTTTCGCATGAGCTGCTCGTGATACCGTTAGCATTCCATTGACTGTTAGAGCTAGCGCTGGGGGATGTGGTGTCGCTAGCATTGCTGTCTCCATTGAATTGGAACACGCGGTTCAGACCTGCAGTCGAGTCACCGCCGTTGTCTGCCGTGTACGTTCTCGCATTGCCCAAATCAGAGTTGGATTGGGTGTTGGAGAAATATGCATCGAGATTGGCACTCTTGAGCAGTCCAGGAGAGAACAAGTCGGTCAAAGTATTGGTCGGAAACAGGTTAGGAAGTTCGTGTGCATTATTTGAGCCGTATACTGGTAAATTTGACCCGCTCCCAGGCGAAAGCGAGGCTCCATTATTTGATATATCCGGAGGGCTCAATGATTGTGCCGCCTGGCTTCCGTGCCCAGATTGAGCTCGAGGTTGAGAAAAGGAGCTTTCTGAGAGTGACCGCGATGTGGGATTTTGCTGCTCAATGGTCGAATGTAGATTACCGGGAGGTCTGAGTGCTCCAATTTTGTTTTCATCAGTCTGTGATCCGAATTGAGCGAAATCAAACTGGAAATTATCGCTTAGCGATCCAGAAAGACTGTGATGCTGCGAGTGAGACACAGATGATGATGGCGATCGCTTGATTGTGCCCTGGAGCGATAGTCGTTTCTTGTATTCCCGCAACTCTGCTTGCTGTCGTTCGATTTGAGCTTTGAGTACACCATTCTCATGCCGGTTAGCCTCGCTGGCCTTTTCCAGCTCCGCAACTTTTATCTCAAGATCTTTGACGTGCTTTTCTTTGCGCTCACGGAATGCGCGTTGCGCAGCTCGATTCTGCGCCTTGCGTTTCTGAAAACTGTTAGTGACATGTCTTTGGCGATCCAGAATATTATGATTGGCTCACTGTGGTAGGCTCATTGGTAAGTGGCTTACGGCCAGGCTTCTTTGTGCTCCTCTCTCCTTCTTGCAGTTCTTGCCTTTTGGGGTCAGAAGCATCACCGGAGTCATCCTCGGTCGACATCTTTCGCTTTTGATCACCATTCGTGGTCTTTTGATTACCAGAGCCATCGCGCCCGGGAAGTGCTCCAATGAGATCATCACCAAACTCCGTGTCGTCGAAATCGAAGCTTTCATCGCCATCCAGGAAATCAAGTTCAGGAGTGAAATCGACATCGAAAGAATCGAATGTGGCGTTATGCTGGCCCGTGTAGAGGCCGTCTTCGCCAAGGGTAGCCATTTGACGAGGCGACGTTGTTTTTGGTGCGATTGAGTTTGGACCTGCCGCGATGGCAAACTTAGAGGGGGGGTTGGCTTGTGAGTGCAAGGCAGCCGCAAGCAAATCTTGTTGGTTGCGAGTGAGGTATGGCTGAGCTGATACCGCAGACTGCTGGAGCTCACCAGCCATAGGAATTCAGCTCGGTTGGGTCCAAAATTTTGTTGTAGTGTTGATGCCAGTCGAAGCCCATGCAAGAATGAGCCTGTGAGGTGTCGGAATAAGCGTGACCTAGAGGCTGTGGTTTGCTGGTGTCGAATGAAGAATGTCGGGCACGCGCTTATTCGTAGTCCTCGTGGCGCGTCCAACCCAGCCAACAGGTTTTGGTTTCGGCAAGTGAATGGAAGATGTAGTGGAATGTAAGGTGGAGAGAACAATTGAATGTTGCGTGGTAGTAAAGTGATTATAGTGTGGGTGGAGGAGGATCAGGGTCCAAAGGCGAGAAAGCGGCGTAAAACCAAGCGGGCAGCAAGCGGCGGGTGAGACTGCTGATGGTACAGGAGCGAAGAAATGATCGGTTATGTTCCACCTCTCGGCAACCACTGACCGGATGCTGTGATATTGGAGAGATATAGATTCCGATCAGTTTCCTTGGACCTCGCAAGGGAGATTCTTTGTTGTGAGTATACGTGGGTCCTGTGTCTCAGTCACGATCGGACTCTCTTCTCTTGCGGGCAAGTAAAGCTCCGGTTTTCAGGCAACAAGGCAGCACGGGGATAAGAAAGGATAGAACCGGACTGAAAGAAGCTGTCCTTTGAATGCGCGCGACGTCCAAGCTTGAATTGAAGACCCTTGAGTTGTCACCGCGCGAAGGGCAGAACAACAACAGAAAATTTTGAAGGTGAAGCTGATTGATGGCGATGACAGTGACAGATTGCAATGCGTGAATATACGGTGCAGTGCAATACGAATCCCCAGCTGGCCTGGGCAGTATCAACGGTACAGTACAATGCAGCACGACGGGAGCAAAGATCACTGTTGGGGCATGTGGTGGACGATGATGGAAAGATGGATTGGTAATCCAACTTTCGCCTGTGCCCCCTCTCTCCACCTGGGCACCTTCGACTATGGAACAGTCACCCGTGCATGCCCAGCCGTCTGCACGGTTAGTGAGGCTGATTTTCCTTCTAGAATCACCTCGGGACAGGACATGCCCATGTAGGCAGTCTCGCACGCCGCGAAGAGTCCAGATCATGTGAATGGCATGGCATGTGTTTCGGAATGCGGCTGTACCAATCGTCGCCAGTCAACGTCTCGTTACAGTGCACGACCATTCCCAAATATATACTATGGCATATATGTGCGCACTTTGCCGCAGCCTTCACACCAGGCATTCGAGGTTGAAGTGGCAACAGACATCGGATAGCATCCCGACATTTAACAACCAATACAAATCCTTCGTCGCCGTGCTGTACATGCATCATGACTCACAGACCCACGTGTAAGTAGTCAGGCGAGCGTCAGGACGGTGAGTGGTCCCATGCGCCAGACAAAAGCGCTTTTTATATTATCCCGGCAAGGAGGCATGATAGTTTTGTCTGTTCGACAGTGATGGTTATGAGGTTACACACATCACGACATTTCTTGCGCGCCATCCTGACTCGGCAGCGCTATTAGTGATACGTTATTGTGCAAATGCACGCACGCGATGCAAAGATCTGCTACCCTCAGCAGGATAAAGTATTCAGTACTCGCTCGTAGGCAACATGGCGGGGCGGGATGCGGTCGTCGCGAGCAAGCCCCGGCTGAACTCCGGACAGCTAGTCCCGCACATCGTCAGATGCCGACAAGATTATCGGCTTCGTAAGCGTCGCGTTCGTGAGCCATATTTATCGAACATCCAACATGAGCACATTAGCCGATCTTGAGCAGCAGCTTCGTGAGAGCCAAGACGATCTTCAGTCTTGTCGAGAAGCACTCGCCGAGGACCCGGAAGATGCGACGGTGTTGGAGCTGATCCAGGCCCTCGATATTCAAATCGCACAATTCAAACGCGACATTGCCGCTTTATCTTCTGTTTCTCCTGCTGCAGCGACACCGCCTCCACCTCCACCACAGCAACATCATCAAAGCAGATCTGCCGCCGATGTATTGCCGCCGCCTCCACCACCTCCGCCAGGCGCAAGTCTGGACGAGCCGCCGCCTCCACCAGCTGAGGTCACGTCGATCAGCTTCAATGTTGGAGACGTCGTCCTAGCGAAGTTCTCCCAGGACAAGCAATATTATCAGGCGAAAATTATCAGCAAGACTGGAAGTTCTGCCGATCCTGTATACTTCGTACACTTCATTGGCTATCCGGATAAGGAGAATAAACGGAGCCACGAAGTCAGACCAGTTGAGAACAAGAAACGCAAGAACGATGGGACACCTGCTGCCACCACGCCTTCAGTTCGGGTCCCATCGGTACCTGTGCAGAACGGCGCTGTCATATCAGCCGGACCATCCCTGGAACCACCACAGCCAGCGAGGCACGTGCCCAGCATGGTCAGCGATGGACCGACGCGAATGGCGCCCGAGCCGAAGAAGCTGAAGCCGAACAAAAAGTTGGAGAAGGCAGCAAGCAGCTGGCAGAATTTCCGGAAGACTGGTCCGAAAAACCCTGTCTCGGGATTGAGCAAACAGCAACTGAACAGGGATAGCATGTTCCGCACTTCGGATCTGCCTAGTGCAAAAGGTGGGTTATCAAAGCATGAAAGACTGATAAAACAAGAAAGTCGTGTACGTTGACTGACTGATTTCTCCTAGTCGGATTCATGGGTTCCGGCAAGCCGATGCAGAAAGATGCCATGCCCACGTCATGGAAGCCGAAGAAGACCGATTCCTACGAGACTAACGGCGATTGAAATGATGATGGACGGAAATTGGAGACCCTACCCCAGCAGCCATGCAGCCAAAGCTTCGTGAATTATGAAGCTGTCACGTTGGCGCGCTCGCTCACGGGGAAACTGCATGCATGGCCAGATTACGAGGATACGGCACTGACCATTTCTCTGCACAGAGTTGACGCCATTCTCGCCGCTTGAAACCTCACTCGAGTGATGAAAGCTGCGTGAGCTGAATCGTTTTTTTGAGAAGTATCCCTGCCACCCAAATCGACGGCGTACTCCGCTAAAATTGTGCAATAGCTTTAAAACACTTTTTACGAATTCAATAATGCTACTCCGGGCGTGAGCCATGATGCCCAGCCATTCCATCAGGGACTTATCCAGTGCCGTATCGTGACTCCCGTGCTTTTTGGGGGCGATTTATTTCGAGACCCTCACAGCACCACCGCTTCACCTCGCCATGAATCTTGGTGACTAACTTATTGTGAGCTGCCGAATGGGCTCGAAATACTGTAGGCTTTGGTGCCTCATCTGTCAATTTGAGGCTCGATTGCAATGTAGGGCTTTTGACCCTGCTACGGCGAGAAATTTGTCGTCCCCAGAGTGGTTTGCACAGGACGGCGATTAAGAATGCCCCACTTCGGGCTCGCGACCCTCGCCTGTCGAACATGCACGAACAGCGCCATTCCCGTAACCATCCGTGGTGATTGCTGCAAATACATGACGTTGACACGAGGCTGCATAGCCGTGTCGGTGACTGCGACAGATATGTATCAAGCCTCGACCAAAAGGCTGAAGTAGACAAGCAATGGAACTCTTCAATTGTGCATCAGACTTTATGCTCTGTTCAAGCGATTCCCGCAAAGTGATATGGGTCCGGCGCCTCGAAGAAGACCTGGGTGGGCAGCGATTCAAACTTCTCATTTTTAACGCCCGTCAGCCAGCACGCATTTAGATTGATCCAGACGAGCATCCGTTCCAATAGGCCATCGAGTCCCAGGGTGGACATTCCGCCGCGGAGGTTCAGCATCATGTGTACGCCTTCCATATGTGCCTGGAAACGTTCGGTGTCGCCGAAGACGGCTTCGTAGGCGGCCATTTTCGCAACGGCGCCGATCATGGCGTCGGTGATGACTCGGCCAGGCTCGGAGATGGCGGCGATGATTTCGTGGACGGCTCGAGCACGGAGCAGCTCGGCGTTCCTTTTGTTCTCCTTTGTAGGATTGATGACAGCGTAGTGGGATGCTGCCATTAGTAGGACGGCATACATCGTTGCGGGCTCCGTCACTAGGTTCCGATGTCAGCAAGGTTGCATGGCTATGAGACTCAAAAATGACATCTGACGTACTGCACAAAGGGAACCAGACTCGACGAAGAAGCCCTTTTCGTCCCGGGCCGTCTATATCAGGAATGTTGACAGCGATGTTTTGAATGTCTATTTGAATCGATTAAGATCAATTCTATGAGGCTATCGTTACACGCGTGGAAGCTTACAGTGTGCAAATACTGGAGGTAGCCATGGTTGATAGTCTACCGGAAACGTCCAGAATGGATCCTCTGAAGCGCCGCCTGTCGTAGGCAGTCTGGGACTAGGTGCTCGAACAAGAGCTTGAATATGATTCGGCGAGCCCGACGCCTCTGGCTTGTCTGCGTCCTCGGGCGCTGATGGATCCTTGCTCGAGCTCGAAGTGGGTGCAGCTCGTTTTCGTTCAGGTGCTCCTTTTGTCTGCAGTTTCCTTCGAACCGGCAGGGACTCTCGAGGTGTGTATGGTTTCACAGTCCATGGCTGCAGATGCATGTGGCTCCCAGGCGTGCTAGTTTTGGCATGTTGGACTCGTGTGACATGAGCTCGTACAACTCGTTTCGCTGCACCTCTACCTTGAGCAGCCTCTGCACTGGAGATGGGGACAAACACGAAGGGATCTGCGATTACGTGTACTGGCATCGTGATGAAGTGGAAGATGCTCGTCGATAACGTCAATCGGTGATAGCCCCACGCTATCACACCGGCACAGCGATAAGGTTTGTGACCGAATGATACTATGTGAAAGTGAGGGAAATGTTAAGCAGTAGCGCCGGGACAGATGTTCCGAGGCTGGAAATCAAGGTGGGAAACAAAAAGAAGAAGGAAAAAGAAACGGGCCTCGAGATGTTTCGTGATGTCCTCGAGGATTCGTGCTGAGAGCTGCCGCCACTCCTCATCCAAGGCTGTGCTCGCTGCCACGGTCGGTCGGTGAAGCGCGCCACGTTGTCCCGGTGGATAGGCCAGTCGTGCGTGCCGCTAGATGCGAATGAGGATACACAATTGCCGGAAATGGTCAGGAACTGCTCTCCGAGCTGTATGTCATTACCCTCAGGTCCATTTCCCCACCTCCAGCATGAGACACATCCTTTCTTCGGCCTCTTCAGGCGGTCCTCTAGGCCTTTGCTGCGGTATTGTGGACTAATCAACAGAGAAACCTCACTTAGTGAAAGGCCTCACGATGGGTCACTCGGTCAGAAATACATGTACAATAGTTCACATGCTTTCTCCACAAATTTGCAAGTGATCCAGTAAATCCGACCACCCACCTGCAGTACATAGTACCAAGGTAGCCTGCACGAAATCAGGATTGATCACCCCGTGTCGTCGAGTCCGACAAGTCTCGGGCGGAACTTGTGCGGCTTATGGATATGCAGACACTCTGTCGGTTTTATAATGTATGTTATGAGTCCCAAAACGCGATGTGCTTTGTCCATTTCCGCTTGTCCATTTTCGTTCGTCCATTTCCGGAAGGGTGACTACGCATTGTAGCTAGCCGCACTATGCTCCATGACTATCTATGATCTGGATAATTCTTAAACTTTTCTGTCTGAGTGGTCTCGGGTGACACGAGAAATATTCTTGAAAGTGCGGACGATTACCTGGTAGGTCATGGCTCGATGGATGGATGACAACGCGCTGGTCAGTTCCTGATCGTAAGTGTTGCGTGAGAAACTATTCAGCGTGATACATAGGTAGCGACATTTCCTTCTCGATCGAATCAAAATGTGGTCTTCCTGTGAACGTGGTACCGTGAATCACTCTTCGGTCATTATAGACTACCCAGTGACTGACAGATTCTGGCCGAACAAATCTCGATCAGTCCCTCACATCTCAAAACAGATCGCAATGTCCTTACAAGGGAAAGTTACGTTGATCATAGGGGTTGACCTCGACAACGGAGCCCATCGAGCTCAATCATTTGCAAATCAAGGCGCATCATTTGCTCTTCACTACTACTCTACTCATAATCTGGCAAACATCCAACGACTGGGAGCTGGGCTACGTACGCTCTGTCCGAACAGCAGGATCACCTTCCATGAGAGTGATCTTGAGTCAGCCAGTGATATCAAGGCAATGTTCCAAGACGTGGTCGCACACCATGGTGAGATTGAATACGTCAGCACTCCAGATGGCGGTGTTACCACCCGGCCAGAGAGCGTCCCAGCCGGATCGAATCACCACGATATGTTCTGGTACAGAGTCTTCCTTTATCAACAAGCCAAGGCGGCAGAGCGCAGACACGCGGATTTCTTGCTCAACATATCATTGGCAGGCTGAGACTGCTCCGCGACTACAGCAATGATCCTGCAGTCTGAAACCTTGATTCGAAACATTGCCGATCCTGAGCACCAACATCGCACGCTGCGGACCGCATTTTGCCATACCAGTCGCATACAGTACGATCACGGCCAGAGAACCATTTGGATGGAAGGCAGCGACCTCCAAAGTTATGGACAGCCTTTCAGGGTCGGAACACATGCTTCCGAACAATATATGAGCTCCTCCTCATGTTCGGATAGACCTCTTGTTTTTGTATCGTTGGGTTTAGCCTTGAGCCCAGTCGATGAGAAGTGCCAAGGGCGACATAACATTGTCGATGAGAGAGATGGAGTTGCGTGAGGCAAATCTATTGCACTGTGCATGTGTCTGGTCTGTGCACGGCGCGGCGCGTGCCAAATTGGAGGGAATGTGGTGCATCATGACGCCGCTCGTTGACCCTCTACAAATATATACTTCGATGCTGTAGCCATGTCATTCCATTTACCAACCTATTCTGTTCAAGAGTAAATGACGAAACCAGTGCAGATGCATTGCTAATCCTTCTAGCCCTGGTAAGATATGGCAGAGCAAGTGAGCATTGCTGCTCCTTTCCCGGCTCCGCCGCCCTTCTATAAACACTTCTCGAAACAAAATCTTGCGGCACTCAGGCAGTTGCGCAAAGCAGCCAGAGACTCCCGCGATGGGGATAGTGACGGCAATAATGAGCTCGATGTCTCCTCTCTGCCTTCCGAGCTACAATACTTGATACCGCCGGAACCGCCTAAGGACGAGAAGTACATCAGTTTCGGTATCGAAATCGATCGTCATGCGCCCGATACCTCGCTCGAATCAGCAGGCATTGAGCAAGTCTATCTGTCACATCCTTCCGTGCGTTCAGATCCGCAACCACATCTCATAGCGCTCGCGCGATCGCTTCTAGCCAGCTTCCTTTCTCTGGTTGGCATTCTCAGCACGAATCCCGAACTATACCAGGAGAAGACGCAGGATCTGCAGACGCTCATGTACAACATGCACGATCTGATCAACCAATATCGCCCACATCAGGCGCGCGAAACATTGATACTGTTAATGGAAGAGCGGGTAGAGAGGATGAGAAGGGAGATTCAAGGAATTGAAGATGCCAAAGAGAAGGTTAGGACAGTCTTGCAGACGTTGGAGAGGGAAGATTCAACAGTTTCTGGGGAGCGAAATGAGAAGAGCTTCGTCAAGACAGGGACCGATCCCAGCACTGCCGATGCGAAACGAAGGATTGTGCAACTGCAAGCGCTCCGAGCCATAGAGGACGAGCTTGGGTGAGAAATCATCAATGCCAAAAGTAATACGACCGTGTCCGATGACCGATAAGGACAAATCATGATATGCGCTTTGCTGACGAGCGAGTGTATCTCGCTGTCAGAAGTCGTCTCCTCCCACGCCATGAACGAGGAGACGGCGCCAAATTCAATGTATCGCGAACTGCCTTATCAGTGATGGCCCACCAGTGCTGGGTCGAAGTTTGGACCCGCGCTGCTATGTATGACGTGGGGGTGTATGGATTTCGGAGCGCTCGCCAAACCGCTCATGTCCACCTCATAGAGAGGCGCGAAGCCGAAAGAAGCCAGAACACGCGCTCGTGCAATCGATCGCTACCATAATGTGTTGGCGGGACGATGACTCGCTATTGATCATGACTTGTTGTGATCAATTTATTCAACGAACACGATGTTACTGGAGGAAGGAAGTCCATTACCTGGGATTGCACAGACGACTCGATGCCGCGCATTATGCGAGCAGCTGTGCTCACATAGTAAAGCCATACTTCTAATGATAGTGTCAACTTCTCAAGGTTGATTGTAAATATACAACGAATGATCGAAATGACCAAAATAGTATCACACATGTTTGACCAGTGGTGTATAACCGACAACCGGCTTCGATGTCTTCGCCGACGATACAGCCTGCTGCACCAACCGTAATGTTCGCTTAGGCACCCACACCCGGTTACCCAACGCGAAGACACCCGTCAACAATGCCAACGCACCAGCCTGGTGCGCTGCCGCTAGAGGTGTTGGCACTAAGTACCACAACGTCGTGATACCAAGTGCAACCTGCAGACATGCCAGATGCACAACACCCATCATGCCACCACGTGCAGCTTTAGGCAGCGCTGAGCGGACAGCAGGGCTGAAGCGCGAATACGCCCACAAAGCAATGATAGCGGTGAACGTCGTTGTAGCAAGGATCCGGTGGTCAAGCTGAACCAGGACGGGATTCTCCAGAGCGTTGCGCCAGTATAGATCTCGTTGGTCTTCGGTGTGGGAGTAGAACGGGTCAAACATCTCGCGCTTCGGTGGGAGCAGACCCTGGCCCATCCAGGGGAAGTCGTTGTAGATCAGACCGGCATCAAGGCCAGCGACGAGTGCGCCAGACATGGCTGTGATGAACACCAGACCGGAGAGACCAACCAACAAGCGCTTAAATGGCCGAAGTTGAGGGCTTCGCAAAGTCTCTAGCAGCTTTGCACCCTCGATCGGATTCTTGACCAGGTGATTCTCGCGTAGAATGTGCAGGCCATTTGTGAGCATTGTAAGATATGCAATGAACGCTGTGCCGAGATGGGCAGCCAGGCGGTACTGACTGACACGAGGATGCTTGCCTTGTTCGAACAAATCATCCTTGAGACCACTCTTTACCATCCACCATCCAATCACGCCCTGAAAGCAGATGAGACCACAGATTCCAACGAGTCGCCGAGCCATTACCGGCGTGACACGTCGCCTTGCGATGAAGTAAGCTGTTGGCATGAGAAAGGTGATTCCGATCACTCGACCCCACAGCCGGTGTGCCCACTCCATGAAGTATATTTGTTTGAACTCATCCAGATTCATGCGACTGTTCAGCATCTTGAACTCTGGGCTGAGCTTGTATCGCGCAAACTCCTCTTCCCAGATCTGCTCGCTGAGTGGTGGGAATGAACCCGTCACGGGCCTCCATTCTGTGATACTCAAACCCGACTCTGTGAGCCGCGTGAGTCCTCCGAAAATAACAATTCCAAACACGCTAGCCGCAGAGCCGAGCAGCCAATAAGCCACTGATTTCGAATTGGTCTCCGGCCATGAGGATGCCCGGGAGGGATTTGATTTCGTCTTTGATGCGATGTCCTGCGCCAATGCGCCAAGTGGCGATGTCGACGATGCAGATGGTGTAGAAGCTATCGCAGAGCTCTGATTTCTGGTGAACGTAGATAACGTGCGCTGTCGAAAAGCTGAAAGAAATGGTGTTTGTCGTACAGACGTGTAGGCTTTCGGGATGGCTGGTTTCTGGTGCAGACAGCGTCGGCAAATGGGACCGTTGCTGATGAATTTGTCGAGACCAAAGACAAGCCTCGAACGCAGCGGCGCAATACCCAGTGATGCCGCCATCTTGAATTGCCTGTCGTCTCTAACGGCACATTGGAATATGGAAGAGCAACCAGTTGCCGATGGCAATGTGAAGAGGACCTGAATTGAACACAGACCATGCACTCTAATAGTCATGCATTTCGATCTAGATGCAGGGTCATAGACTTCGTACCAACACGATTGGAGAGCTAAAGGTTTTAGTGGCGGTGCCATGATCCGGCCGCTTGGACCCCGACATTCTGGAGTGAACTGCCGTGCAGGCGAAGTTGCGGGAACTGGCTTGTGACTGCATCGTCATTGCTTGTAGATGCGCGAGGCTCCAAGGTTGTTGATGTGGGAGTAAAGCGCCTGATTGTCCGTTTATTGCAGCGTCCCTTTCGTTAGTCCTGTGCTACAAAAATCTCATCGAGGAAGCTTGGTGCCCCTCTGTTACACCACTTGGGTATTCTCCTCAACAGCTCATTCATCGCCAGCGCATGTCTGTCTCTCCGCTGTGGGCGAGGATGAACTGCACAAGGCTGATCAATCCGAGTCACGCCTGCGGGTGACAGGAAGTCGAGAGTTCTCTCTATTGTAATCTCTTACTCATCGACGCTGACAAATAATCGCATCGTTCACCGTCTGGACTTGTCATTGACGCTCGCCTTGGTTTCAGTCACAAGAGACATCACTCGAGTCTTCTGTCGAAAGACTGCCCTGTAGAGCCAATCTACTCACTGAGCTCGCATACAAAACCCGTGGCTGTGCCACCATCAAACACTGCCGAAAATTGAAGTATCGATCCCATATCCACGCACGTCGTAATGGCCTTGGAGGATTCTCCAGAACAAAGGGCTATCGCCTATCCTGATGCACCATCTCTACATGTTTCTCCTCACGGGGTGTCGGGGAACGTGTTAACGGAACCGTACGCCAATGATGCTCCGTCCCTGTTTGGTGAAGATCCCGTCATCGACATCTCAGCCGGTTATGTCGACCTTGGAAATGGCCGGTATCAAGGCATCGTCTCAGATTCGGCATCTGCTCCAACTCTGGGCGCCACGCTAGATCAAGCACGGCAATCGCGAGGACATGCTCTGAACGGTTTCACTCCGTCTGGGACCCCAGGTCTGATTCAAAGAATGCAGAAGAATGCGGATGATCCGTCTTCAGCTTCAGCATCGTCATCTCGTGGCTTGGCTAGACAAGAGTCAACAACTTTGACGACACTGAGTCGGCTTTTTGCTGTCAAGAACGACGTCTCTCCCAATCTGTCCCGCCATCCTTCCGATCAATCGCAGGTAAGAGACGGGGCAGTGTACCACCGCGTTTCCCCACAAACAACGGGACTTCCTGCCTTGCCTAATCACCTCTATACCCGTGGTCTTCTTTCCGGCCAATATTCGGACATCACAATCCATGCCTTTGGTCACCAGTACCGGCTTCATCGCTTGATCCTCGATCAATCTCCATTCTTCGCTGGAGCCTTGAGCGGGTCATGGCTGGAAGCCAAAACGAACGACGTCACGATACGTCCCGATGACATCGATGATGCTATCACTCAAGTTGCGTTTGAATTGGCACTCAGTCGACTTTACGGCCACATTGATACGGCAGGGGAAGAGCAGGATCCTGTTGGAGTGTTCGCTACAGGGTGTTGGCTTGAGGTACCAGCTATGGTAGACTCCGCTGTTGAATCAATATTGAGACAAATGGCATTAGAATCATTGTCTCTGCTCATCAAGCTTGTGACGCGAAATTATTACGGTCGAGCGGGGGACAAGATCTTGGCCAGCGCAAAGTGCATGCTGTGTAGAGATGGCTGGAAAATGCCATTACGCTTTTGGGACGATATTCCGGGAGACGTTGTCCGAGAGATTGTCGGTGGCGACGGATTCTTCGTCAACAATGAATGGGATAGATGGGTACTGACTAAACGTATTTTGGACCGAAGACTCAAAATACAAGCACAAACACAAGGACTCGTCTCATCTCACACTGGCAACAAACTAGCAAAGGCCCCAGATACATGGGGGCTCATGGCTGTCCGATTTGACACTGTTTATCGGCGGAATGGCCACATCAACGGACAAGGCTACCCGGATCATTTGCACAAATGGGTCACTTGCTACACACATCCTGCCGTCGAGCCACTTCTGGTTCTGTTGGATGAAGGTATCCGTTATATTCATCTCGAATTTGAGCAGCTGCAACGTATCCGCAAAGCTCGAGATTGTTTTGGACTGCCTGTCATGTCCGAGGACGTCATTAGTAACGCATTGTGGCAACACATGGAATTGAGGCAGAAAATCATCAATTCCGGCGAGAAAGAGCTAGAAATCGGGTTGAGTGTGCGCTCGCAAAGCGAACGGATCGCAGACTCAGGTGATGGTTCTGCTCCATCTAATGGACTCCTTTCTGGGCAGCGCCCTACCAATAACGACACTGATCCGGAGATCTTGACTACTTTGGATGCCGACATTCCTAGCGGCTCATGGGATGGAAACGGACATCCTCGGAAGTTCTGGATACCAAGCTCTGATTGCAAGATTGTAGTAGGCGGCAATGTTGAGCCCTCCGCGAATTCACCGTACGGCATGGCCGCTCTCACACAAACTGTCCATCCAGAAGACGTGCAATGGATCACAGATTTCTCTGCAACCATATCGGCCACATCAACGTCACGCGTGCCAACGACAAACCACAGCGGTGCCGCTCAGGATGTACCTGCTGCTGTCAAGTATACCCATTTCCCCCCTTTTCGCTTCTCCGTAGAGTTTCCTAACCCTCGCTCTTTGCGGGACAAAAAACGTGTCTACAGTCGAACTGTGTTCTATGCCGGAAGCCTCTGGAACATATATATTCAGAAAGTGGCGACCTCACGAAGCAAGCAGTTAGGAGTCTACCTACACCGCGCTAAGGAACACGATACAATGGATTCACCGGGCAACAGTCCTGCCTTTGTACAAGGGAGCGTAGTCGATCGTATCAGTGCCGTTGAACGAGGTTCAGCGGCAAGAGAAGAGCGTCGCCAGAGGCGGCACCACCAGAGATCACGGCCATTCACATCGGATCGTTTTGTGTTTGTCGACGATGCCGATAGCAGCGGTAGTGCGGGTGATCATGACAGCTCCACAGTTCATACTTCCACGCATCATGAAGCCTCCCGGGATTCTCGCTCGGATCGGAATAGTCGTGGTTACGGCAAGTCGAGCCAGACAGACACGATGCAGACGCCTTCCACGCGGCCGACGGATTCCTATTGGACCAGGTCTTCCGGCACTCTCGACACGTCCGAGTCTGTGTCTGATCAAGACTCCGATCCAAGCGTCGACCAAATACCTACTACTACGGCTGCGCCTCGTGTTCCTGCCCTACCATCCTACATCGATGCGCGACCGACGATCAGGACTTACTTCAAGATTTACAGCCCGTCTCGCGGTGGTAGGATGCTTTCGGTATACGAATCCGCGCCAGACCAATTTAATTTTTCGCAAAGCTGGGGATGGACGAGCAGCAATTTGATGCTCGATGAGGGATTCTCGGGAGAAGAAGAGAACGAGGACGACGCCAAGGAAGGAGGTGGCACTGATGGCGGCAGTGGAAACGTGGGCATGTCGACATCAGCAAAGGCCGGAGGGAAAAGTCGGGCCACGACAGCGAAGAAGGCGGAGGACGGCAATTTGAGGTTCATGGTCGTCATTGGCAACATCTGACGAGGAGACAACATGTATGTGTGACATCATGCTTGTAGTGATGATTTTATGAATTGGCGTGCGAGCCGGATGAGACATATATCGTGCACATGAATCATACTGCGGAACGATGCGCATAAACTCCGCACGATCATCGAGGTACAGATAACGAGACAGCCGCAGATCAGAGTTCGGCGTATAGTCGATCAGAAATGCTTGAAAACGTTGGAATCCGATTCAAGAAAATTCTTGAAACTTGGCAGGCATTTGCTATGTAACGTCCGCATGTGTGTGTGTGTGTGTGTGTGTGTGTCATGCATGAGCGGGCGCGTACAGGACATCAATGACATAGGCTGTAAATCGTGGAAGGATGCGGAGTATTTCATGGAAAGGAGGCGGCGGATGGCCCGGTTCCGCCTTTTCTCAGCTTGCACGTGTCCGTCGACTGTTTGAATCGTGCGATATTATTGATTGCACTCACTCATGTTTGCGGACGGAAAGGAGTCTTGCGTAAGGCCTCGATTAGTTGATCACCACACGGAGGTCTCCGAATCTCACGATCATCATGTATCATCTCGCCCGAGCAATGATTTACTGTGGAAAGATTGTCAATTCCGTAGTACTATCGTACCGTACACATGGGAAATGCTCAGCCACTTGTCAACGTCGTCTCCTGTAGGTCACACGTCATGCCGAGCGTCCGCTGTCGAAATATAGCCGAGTTGAACCAATCCATCGCCGCGTTGCGACGCGCGTGGGCTTGTAGTAGATGCCCATTATTTAGGCTTTTGCGCTGTATTCATGTCAACACTACTCTAAAACATCATTCATTGTCATCACTCTCTTGGGCAGGATTCGTCCTTTGCAGGCTGAGGCTGACACACACTCGTTTCACGTCCAGCTCAGCCGCTACGTTAATATACATCACATCATACACCACTTACCACACTGCTCTACCTCTCTCGCTCGCTTTCGCGCACGCCGTCGTTGTTGAATAGATCTGCGTCCTTATACGCTCACCCCTGTAACATTTGTTAGCCTTCTTCTGTCGCTCCAGGAGTTATTTGCCCGACATGAAGTACGCGCTGTCCGGCGCTCTGGCGTTCGCCCTATCCGCCTCTGCGACTTCAGCCGAAGGTAAGAATCTCGTCGGTGGTCGCCCTCGAAAGTGAAAGCAATTTCGCTGATGCCATGCGTCTGCAGTCGTTGCAGCAGGTCTCGCTCTCGCGGAGCGCGGTGCTCCTGCCAACCAGCCTCATGGCTACGTCCCGCAGACTGTGTCCTGCCCACAGGATCAACCGACAATCCGCAGTGCTGCGACCTTGTCCGACTCCGAACTGTCATGGCTTCAGACTCGCCGCAATGCGACTATCGACCCGATGCGAAACCTGCTTTCGCGCATGAACATCGCCGGTCTTGATACCAATGCCTACATCGACAAGTACAGAAACAATGCGAGTGCGCTGCCGAATATTGGTCTAGCTATGGCAGGTGGTGGATACCGCGCCTTGTTGGTGGGCGCTGGTGTGATCGAGGCATTCGACAGTCGGACGCCCAACTCTACGGCACCGGGCCAATTGGGTGGTCTGCTCCAAGCTACTACTTATCTCTCTGGTCTCTCTGGCGGCGGCTGGCTGGTAGGCTCCTTGTATGCGAACAACTTCACCTCTGTCTACGACATCATCAACCGGGCTTCGAGCAATCCCAAGCAGGCAGGCAACCTCTGGCAATTCGATCAGACCATTTTCGAAGGGCCCGATTCCGACGGCATTCAACTGTTCAGCACGGTTGATTATGCCGGCCAGGTCGTTGGTGCAGTCCAGGGCAAAAAGGACGCCGGATTCGACACCACTATCACAGACTACTGGGGCCGCACGCTCAGTTATCAGCTGATTAACGACACTGATGGTGGTGTCGCATACACTTTCTCTTCGCTCGCCTCGCAGGACTTCATCACGGGTGGTTCTGCGCCGCTTCCTCTGCTTGTCGCCGATGGCCGTACTCCTGGCAAGAATGTCATTTCACTCAATTCGACCATTTTTACTTTCAGTCCTTGGGAGCTTGGATCAGAAGATCCAAATCTGTACGCATTCGCTCCTCTGAAGTATGTTGGTACAAACTTCTCTAATGGCGTTCCTGCAAAATCCGACTCGTGCGTTGTCGGCTTTGACAACTATGGCTACGTTATGGGCACAAGCAGCTCGCTCTTCAACGCAATCTTGACCACCGCCAACTCGACAGCTTCATCTGCCACCGGACTCCTCTCGAACGCGTTCAAATCAGCCATTTCCAGCATCGTTACAGCCATTGGACAGACTGAAGAGGACATTGCTGATTGGCCGAACCCGTTCCGAAACTACCGCAGCGGAAGCAATCGTATTTCGCAATCGGACATGTTGACCCTGGTCGATGGCGGCGAGGACGGTCAGAACATTCCTTTGCACCCACTGATTCAGCCTTACCGACACGTTGACGTAATTTTCGCCGTGGACAACTCTGCTGACACCAACAAATCCTACCCCACCGACCAGTCTGCAGCATACTGGCCAGCTGGTGTTTCCCTTATCGCCACGTACGAGCGCAGCTTAGGGAGCGTTGCGAACGGCACTGCTTTCCCTGCAATTCCGGATGAGAGCACGTTCCTCAACCTTGGTCTTGCCAACCGACCAACGTGAGTTGAGATTCGTGTTCGACACCCTTGACTCTAAACACAAAGTACTAACTTACGTTACTAGATTCTTCGGCTGCAATGCCTCCAACATCACGGGAACCGCGCCTCTGATCGTCTACCTGCCCAGTGAGTTCCGTAGCTTCTTCCTCGCGCTATTCATCCCGCTGACCTTTTGGCTTTTCCACGACAGATGGCCCATACGTCTACAACGCGAACTTCTCAACGTTCGATTTGGACTATTCCGACTCACAACGCGACGCTGTTGTTCGCAATGCCTACAACCTGGCTACTCAAGGCAATAGCTCCCTCGATGCTAACTGGCCCGCGTGCGTTGGCTGCGCCATTCTCAGTCGTAGCATGACCCGCACTGGCACACAAGTGCCGCAGATCTGCAACCAATGCTTCGACCGGTACTGCTGGAACGGTACCCGCGATTCGCGCCCGCCGGGCAACTACGTCCCACAAATGAAACTGAAAGAGATCGCGAACGCTGCCGGACGTGTCATGACGGCATCAGTCTCGCTCAGCCTAATCGCTGCCTTTGTGGTCGGAGCGTCACTTCTGTGAAGTGACGATCTTCTCTTCTAAAGTTTCTTGAAATTCCCTTTGCATGACCACAAAATCCGCCTCCAAATATGAGATGACTCGTAGGATAGTCCACAAAAATTAATTTTTCTTAATCCAAACTTCAATTCCTTGCTTAGGTAGCTATTTCATTCATGATAAACTCATATTCAATAAAGTCACGCCGCATCGTTGTTGTGTGCGACTCGATCACCATGGCAGTACAGCTACAGTAGTACCTAGGTAGTACAGTACGACAATCAAGATCACGTGGCATCGCGTCTGTGTCGCGTCTCAACAGATGTTGGTGTAGAATAGCAAGCCAACTCTCTAGCAACCATCCATTCTTATTGTTTTTGCATTTGACAACATTTACAGCTGCCCATTACGAGAAAAGTCATGCCGGAAGCCATAGCGACAACAAAGCGGAAGTTCTACAAGGCTCTCGACGCGTTCACGAACCGCTCCCAAACCTCTCTCGAAGCTCCAGCTGAGGCACGAACGTCATCCACAGCGGGCGCTGCATCATCTCAAGCATTCGACGAAGCACGCGAGAGGGCGCGCAAAAGACTTCGATCGAGCACATCCGCAACATCACTCGCGAGCCTCACTCAGATTGGTTCGACTCTGCAAACATCGAAAGCTCCTCTCACAGTCCGCAGTGTTTCTAAATCAAGCGACAAGACCCAACCTCCTCCCAACTTTTCTCCCTGGTCCCAGGAATTATTCCTTGCGAGGTTACAGAGTTTCAGTAGTGTAAGCAAGTGGCACCCGAAACCTGATTCGGTGAACGAAGTTGTTTGGGCGAAACGGGGATGGTCGTGTGTAGATGTAAATACGGTCGCGTGTCGGGGCGGATGTGACAGGAGAATTTTGGTGGATTTGCACGTGGACTCCAAGGTAGGTGGCTTTTGCAGTCGACGTTTGAAAGCATCTGACAGAAGAAATCAGGTCACATCAGGCGAGGTCGATGACGATGACGATGAAGAGTCCGAGAACCTTACGGCCCTGGAGACGGCTCTCGCGGAGAAGTATCAGAGCTTGGTGGTACAGGGCCATTCAGAATCATGTTTGTGGTTCAAGGCTGGATGCAAGGACGACATTTATCGATTACAAGTCGTGCGCCCGTCAATATGGCAGCCCGAATTGCGGAAACGATTTCTCACACTCCTGGACATTGGCGACGCCATCACTGGTGTTACAATCCAAGCACCAGGAGACGGATCTGCTCGCCTGTTGTTAGACGACTTGCCGATTGCCATCATAAGTCCCAAGGAGAGGTCGAAAACAGCTTCCAAAAAAGCATTAGATTTAGCCCTTTGCGGCTGGCGAGGCTCAGTCGAGTCTGGTAACCAGCTTCTCCACTGCGACGCCTGTTTCCAAAGAATCGGGTTGTGGATGTATCAGCCCGAATACATCGCCTCGCACCGCAGACCTGACGAAGCAGCCGATGGCGACGAAATCACTACTTCCGAAGATCACTCCGGCTTAGACATTGTCGAACTGCATCGGGAACATTGCCCCTGGCGTAGCGCCGACTCGCAGTGTGCCACAGGTAGTCTCCACGGTCTTAACGCGAGCCAAATCCTGCAAAAAATCGCGACCACATGCGCGCGGGATCATCGCAGGAGATCCGATGACAAATCACGACATGTTGCTGCAGCACAGGATGACGAACGAGATAATGACCATGCTTCGGCCAGCGAAAGACCAGCTGTGTCACGAGAGGAAGTGGCAAGGCAAGATAAGGAGCGCGAATCGCGTCTAAGGAAATTGAAAAACTTGTTCAATATCAAGCGGAGAGCTCCCAAGGCTGCTACATCGAAGTCGGCGGTATGAGAATGCTTGAGGCATGGATATGACTACACCATCACATAGTACGGCTTGCTGGACTCGGATCTATTGGCGGATAACGTAATAGCTGCCACAGCAACGAATACAATCCACAACATGGAAAGATATCATGTTGCGAAGAGATTACTCCGCGTCTGGGTAAGCGGCACTTTTCACATCAAAACTCAAGAATACGTGAACAGTATATCATTAGTCCGAATCTCCTCCCGTAACGAACGTAAATCATTATAGAAACTCTTCTTTCCGTGCCGCAACCGACCAGCAGGATATAAGGCTGTCATCTTCGCGACAGTGAGATGTCGTCCCTGCATCACCCCAAGGGGAGTACGATCCGACCGCTTCTCATCTACCAACTCAGACCAACAGGGGCGACTGCCGGGAGTCCAAGTAGACGATAGCACAGCCAGAGACTCAACCCCAGAGAAGAGAGGGAAACACTGCTGTCGACCAATGAAAGACATCGATCTGCCGTTAAGTATAGAAAATCCTTCGCCGAAAAGCGAGCGTGTATGCGGGCCAGAAGCCCTCCGATTCCGCACCCATCGGACTTTCAATCCTGGTCGTTCCTGCGCCATTTCTCCAAATTGACCGGACGAAATTTCATTCTTCAACATCAAAAACAATACGCTCCATGCTCCCTAGAAACAATGCGACACAATATCCACGCGTGTTTCAATGCGAGTGTTCATAAATTCAGGAATCGCCGGGCAGGCTTCCGGCATCACTAATGCCCTCCCACGGGAGATCCTCGTCGTATTCGTCTTCAGCGTAGCTCATGTCGTCGGCGCCATCGAGCCCGACAGATGGTGCGCTCCTTGCGATGTGACCTGACAGTTCAGCAGGATTGAGGCCGATGCTCGTCAGCGTGTCGTTGACCTCTCCTTCTGTCATCGAAGGCGCCAGTTGGGTCTTGTCGTTTGCCTGTTGCTGCTTCTGTCCCTCGAGGACGTCGTAAAGCGCGTAGACCTGATCGCTGCGCTTTTCAATCTCGGCGGTGAGGGAGTCGAGCTTGGCTTTCACGTCCAGGCGTCGGCGTCGGGAAAGAGCGGGTTCGTGTTGGTTATATAGGCGGTTGGCGGTCTCACGCTGAATTTTAAGATGGGTGATCTCGTCCTCGAGATGTTTGATGACGGTCGCCAGAGCTAGCTCTGGCGATTGCGAAGGTCGGATAGTTGCGTTGGTAAGATCGAGATCACGATCGGTCACGGGTACGGGCATGGGAATGGAAGGTTCCTCTGCCGCAGGGTTCCGGGGACAGGCTGTGCATTGCGCGGTATTGTGATTGATGCAATTCTGATCTTGAGTTGATGAGATGTTCAGAGTGATGTCGTGAATGAGGAATGCCGATGTCTCCTCTCCGAGACTGGCACCTCGGCGTGGTCGCCGACTCGCGGTGCTCAAGACTGACACATCTCCTGAAGCAAGATCACTGTGTGCAACATGGGAGATCTCATCTGATGTGTGTGGAGATTGCACGCGCACGTTTTTCGACATTCGTGTCTGGTCGGCAGGGAGCGAGTCATTGACCGTAAGACCGCCATTGGTGCGAGCGGTCAAGTCTTTGAGTGATGACTTCCTAGGCAGCTTTGGCAAGCTTACCGAGCGTGTTGTTTGATCACGCTCGGTGTAAGCAAGAGCCGAAGGCTGTTTTACGGCATGCCCATTTCTCAATTCTTCCTCGATCTTCTGGCGCATTTTCGCAAGGTCTATAATTTCTCCAGTCTGCCATGGGCTCAGCACAGTGTATTCTTTGCCCTCAATTTGTGCATTATTTTGCTTCACTGTGGCCTGTGAGGATCTTGGTCGGGTGCGTGCCATGACGTTCAAAGTCGTCGTGGATTCGGCCTCACTGAAGTCTGCCTCTGACTTCGACATAGACGGTCGGCGTGGGAGTGAAGCAGCCTCGACTTGATGTTCGTTCGAGCTGGAACGGCGCTGCTGTCCTGGCTGCGATGAGTCGCGTGCAGTGAGATTTAGAGACCGAGCAGTCTCATTTTTCTTGTTAGCTGCCTTTGCGCGATACTTCTGTATCTCCTCTTCGATGCGAGTGGCGAGGCTTTCCACGCTGTCATTCTCTGTTTGAGCTGCAAATGACTTGCGAGAGCGGCTAGTGGAGCGTCTGCGAGTCATTGCCAAACCACCCGGAGCAGTGAAGACTGACTGGGTGTTGATGGACTGGTCATGTACAGTCTCGACGCTCGAGTTGACGTTCCTCCGGGAATCTTTCGTAGGATCTACGTCCTTCGCAGCTTCTGTCTCGGCGCTGCGCAATTGATTGCTTCCCTGAGATCGAGATGGCTTCGAGCGCGCTGCCTTCTGCAGACGCTCGTTGGCATGCCTAAGTTCCGTATTCGCGGCTTTGAGATCCTCATTCTCCTCTTGAAGTCGACTGGATGATTCTCGGAACTCCTCATTCTCTTTAGCCAGCTCCTCGTTGCGGAAGAAGGCGCTGCCAATTTGGGCGATCAGAGCGTCACGTTCGTTTGTGATGCGCTTGATTGTGATCTCAGCTACGCTGGTCTTGCGCTCTGATCTGTCGACACGTTCTTGAAGAGTCTTCATGCTGGCATGAATCTTGCCAGATGCGGCCTTGAATGGTTCCTGTGTACGCAGCTCCTCATCTGAACCCATTGCACTATCATGTCGAGGTGGACTCAGTCTGAGCTGGTTTCGGAGATCTACAATCTCGTTGACGTATTCCTCTGCGCGCTTGTGCGCTTCGCCAGCCTCGGCCTCCAACTGAGTGATCCTATCCTTCAGCAGTTGCAACGAAGCAAATATGGCCTTCTCATCCTCCGGGAGCGTGATTGATTCAATGGGATGGTAGGACGGAGGGTCTGGACGATACGAAGCAGAAGTAAAGCGGGATCGAGTCTTCGAAGCACGTTTGAAGACCGGGGTGCCGTCCGTCCGCAAGCCGGACACAAGCTCTGTGAGGTTTGGCAAATCGGGCAGGATAAAGGATTGATTCGCAGTATAAGTCGTCGATTGTACCGTTACATTATTGACGGTGGTCTGGGGCTGCGCTGACTGCGCTTGAGTCAAACCATGACTCAAGGTAAAACGCGATGGAACAGGTTGGCCGTTGCTTAGCTGGTCGTTGCCAGACGCGAAGCGCGTCGGCACAAAGCGCGAGTCTCGGCCACTGTTTGCTGCCATCAAATCACGAGTGTTCTGCAAGACCATAGAATCCGCAGGCGCAACCGATCGTTCAGGCAAACGTTCGGAGACGGCGCGAGTCTTTGAGCTCTGGTTTTCCCTTTTGAGCGCCTCCGTCGACTTTGTCGTTTCCGTGGCGCGACGCAGAGAGGCCTGCTTGCGTAGGCTCCCATTCACTTTGCGAGCACTGTTCCGAGCCATGGAGGGTGGTGTGGTCATGACATCCAATTGGCTGTTCTCATCACCCAATCTGAAGGTCGCGTGTGAAGACAGGTCATCATTGTCGGCATAAGAGAACCTTTTGCCTCCTCTTCCAATTTCGATTGACATCTCGTCACTGCTCACGCTGGCAGGGCTAGGGACCTGATCGTAATGCAAGGGCATGCGCTGTTGTGATGCGGTCATTTGATCGTGGCGCTGGGGAGTGGAGTGGATGAGATCGCGAAAGCTCGTTGCGGTCGCGGTTTGGAAGGTGTTGTCGTCGTACGGGGAGCTGGCACGGTTCCGTGAGACCCCATTCATAAGGTGAGCCCGGTACGCAGCAGTATTTGAGGACGCCATGTCACGGCAGTGGCCGAGCAGTGGGCGCGTCGTCTATGTGTACAATGGTTGTCGTAAAGGTGCAATTATCTGAAGCGATATTTGTTGTGAGGATATTCCAGACGATAGTCCTCATAGAATCGAGGAGAGGTGCGAGAGGTGGGCAATGCAAACCAAAGTCGCAGGCCTGCAATCAATGTCGAATTACGAGGTCACCTGGGCAAGGCGCGTTCAGTAAACAAGAGTGGTAAACAGTCGTTGTGCATCCGAAATTTGACTGCGAGGCAGGTCTGCCGAGCTGGTGCGCGTCACAGTTGCAATGCCCCATGGACAGCCTCAGGAGAAGCCTCAGGTACTCACGCCAAACATGAAACGACCCGTGGACCTCTGACTAGAGTACTCTAGTGTATGTAAAACCCTTGGAATGCTGCAGGTACTGGCACTTTTCCGTGGTACCGCACGCGCGCCTCGACCTATGGCTTCCAAGGCTCCTTATAGTCATTGATCCGGTCCACAATCACAAGGTAGTAAAGACCAGCCATGCTCGAGTTCTTGCATAGCTTGTTGTAGCTCAAGCTGCGCGGATTATCATACTGGACGAATTCACAGCAGGACTCCATCATAATCGAAGCCTCACGAATCACATGCATCTCTACCGCCTGGAAGCCGTCGGTGATTATACTACACATTGCACAGGAAAGAGAACAGCAAAGATACCTGGGATGATGCAGTGTCAAGGAGAGTGTCCTAGGGATATGTATTATATCGGGACCGAGATGATCGCCAAGCGCAATGCATTACTATCATTGTGATTGTTATTATTGACATTCGCGAAATGACAATCGCCGCGGATCTTTCCTTCTATGTTGTTAGCACTTCTTCCTTCGACGTGTCCCCGACATATGAGTGGCTGATTCTTGCGGAAGCCGAAACAGCCCATACGGGTACATGAGAGGGTACTGGAGGGCAAGATTTACTGTACCCTGCCCAGGTGGTGTCCAGCACTTGGGCGACACACAAAAGCCCGCTTGGACCGTGGCTGATTTTAGATGTCAGGGGACAAGGGCCTCTAAGCGCGCTGACCGTCCACTCCAGCTCGCATGCGCCGCTGAGCATTGGCTAGCTACCTAGATACAGTGCTCCAGTCACTCATCATCGGTGGCTCCAAGGATTGTTTCATCACATCTGCACCTCTACGTAGACCCTTGTCGTCGCGAGTTGGCATTTCCTCGTGTGTTATGTATGCGCTGACGACCACAGGCAAGTTTGCTTCTTTCCTTCTCATCATTCTCTCTGTTTGCATATCTGAATTCACACATTCCCTCCGCTCTCTTTCACGATTCTGTTGTCGCGTGCGCTGGTTCGCACGCTTCTCTTGATTGCTTCCTTGCTTGCCTTCATTGAATACAAATTATCGCGCATTACTTTAGAATCTATATCATACCGGATCAACCCATTTCCGACCGGATCGGGATGGCTTCATCTTTCCGATCCCAGTCCCTCGCCGATCTTGAGGATGGACGAGGCGAGAAGATGGCCGCTGCTACTGTGATCTCTGTGAACACCGAGAAGGACTCGCGTCCGATTCTCGGTCGTCGTCATGCAAGCACCAGCGCAGGCTCGGCCCATCAGCAGTCCGAATTGAAGATCGACAAGGACGACGACACAATCAACAAGGTCGGAAACATGTTCTACAAGATCCAGAATTCTTCGATCATCGTGCGTTACGGTCTCTATATCCTACCAGTCGCTGCTGTTCTGGCAATTCCACTGGTGATCTCGGCCTTGAAACCTGAATTATCCGCCGGCAACATCAAACTTCTGGGTCTTTTCGTGTGGATCGAGATCATCTGGTGCTCTCTCTGGATCTGCAAGTTGGTCGCTCACTCGCTTCCGTTCGTGTTCCATGCGGTCGCTGGACTTGTCAGTGGGGGTGTCCGGAAATACTCACAGGTTCTGACTGCTTTGGAGGTGCCTGTGTCTCTGTTCCTGTGGACAATTGTGGCATTTGCGACGATCGGAGTCATTTCAACGTTCGATGCCGACCCGCGCCCAGACGGTAACTGGCCAGAAACCTTGAGAACAGTCTTCAAAGCAGGTATCATCGTCGCGGCCATCTTCCTTGCAGAAAAGACCCTCATCCAGATCATCGCGATCGATTATCACCGTAAGCAATATGACGAGAAGATTACCGAATCGAAACGACTTGTGCGAATATTGGACCATCTCTATGATGCCTCTCGTGCGCTGTTCCCCGAATTCTCGCGCGAATTCGAGGACGAAGACGCAGATATTCAGGGCAATACCCTTGCAGATGTGCGTACGACGCTGGCTAAGCGTGGAGTGGATACAAAACTTCTCAACAATCTCGGCCGAGCCAGAGATAAGGCTACCGCGGCATTCGGCGCCATGGCTAGCGACATCGCCGGGAAGCAGATGTTCAGCACGACTTCCGCTCATGCTATCGTTCTTGAAGCACTGGAATCTGACCGTTCCTCAAGAGCGCTCGCGCGTCGCTTGTGGCTTTCGTTCGTGAGAGTTGATTCAGATGTGTTGTACAAACAAGACTTGGTTGATGTTCTGGGTCCTCAACACAAGGATGAAGCAGACGAGATTTTCGCACACCTCGACAAGGACGGAAATGGGGACGTGAGCTTGGATGAGATGATCATGTTGGTCGTAGGCGCAGCGCAAGACAGGAAAAATCGGACGAACAGCATGCAGGATATCAGCCACGCTATCTCAGTTCTCGATCGGCTACTCAGTCTTGTTGTATTGATCGGTGAGTACTGTTGAACGTGAGGCTGTTAGACAGGAGACTAATAAGTTCGCAGCCATCGGTTTCATCTACGCAGCTTTCTTCAGTGCTGACTTCTCCAAGTCATCCACCCAACTCTGGACGACTTTCACCGGTCTTGCTTTTGCCATCGGAGGCACTGTCACAGAATTCCTCGGCTGTTGTATTTTCCTCTTCGTGAAGCATCCGTATGATGTCGGTGATCGAGTCGACATCACTCAAGTCGAGTTGATCGTTGTGCGAATCAGCCTCATGTACACAGTGTTTCGTCGTGTCGATAGCGACAAGGTCGTGCAGATTCCGCACAACGTTGCCAACACTCTTTGGATCGAGAACGTTTCTCGCAGCAAAGCCATGAAGGAACGACTCACCTTGAACGTAGCGGCAACTACCAGCATCGACGACATCGAAGCGCTTCGCTCTGAATTACACAAGTTTGTAACCTCGCCAGAGCACAAACGTGACTTCCAGCCCGAATTCGACATCGAATTGATCGGTGTTGGCGACATGAAGCAGCTCGAACTACGGGTTGAGATTCAGCACAAGGTATGTTTTTTATCGCATTTTGCGAGGTCCACACGAGCCATATATCTAATTCAGTCTCTCCCCAGTCTAACTTTGCCAACGAATCTTTGCGCTCTCACCGTCGCAACAAATTCATGTGCGAGCTGCTCGCCAGCATGCGCCGCGTACCTATCGAGCCTCCAGGCGGTTCTGCTCTACCTTTGGGCAACCCGCTCAACCCATACTACTCCGTCTCCGTATCAGACGACGTCGCCGTTGCCGCGCGCGCAAAGCATGATGACGAAGTGGATGAGAAGAGGCTGTTCCCCAAGAAGACTGGTGTCATCGACGCTATCACTTCTGCGCTACAATCTCCCGTCAGAGATGTCGCAGCTTCGGTGACAGGTCGTCGTGTCAGTGCACAAAGCGGCGTCGAGCACCTTCTAAGGAGAAGTACGGACTCGAGGAGGACCTCGCACGATAGAGTACCTGATGCGAGATATTACCCTCGACAGTCGTAACTGGCCATTCAACATTGACTCGTCGTAAGCACCTTGTTCATGTACACATTTTTTAATCTGAATCTTTTTGAATATGTTCGGCAATTGTGTCTGGTGTCGGTCAATTTTTGCAGCGGACGGCTAATCGAACGTGATACTTGAGAACAGCTAAACACGGCACTTCAAATAAAAACGCGATTTCGTGATGATGAAGGACATCAATCATAAGATGTTGGTGATACGGTCAGGACCACTTTTGTTTGACATCATGCTCCTTATGTCGGTGCAGTAGCCAATCTTGGAAGTGAAGCAAGAATGGCCCGGGATGGCGCCATCAGGTCCCCTTTGGTGGTACAACATGAATTAGTGATCGGAACTTGCAGCGACAGCTTTTACTATCGCTTCTTTTCAATAATGCTTTGGAACAAATATCATTATGCTGCAGCAAGGACGAAAAGGCACGCCAGACGCGACTATCCAGCTCAGTCACGAATCTGGCCTACAGGCACACGACGTCTAGATGTCCAGAGTAGCAGATACGGGCTTTAGCAGTGAGTACTTAGTCAGCACGACCGGCTCTTATCGCCCAGGCGGAGTTCGGGGCACAATGAGGCCCTGGAGATAGCCCTGGGAGATCCTCCTGAGACGCTCGTCATTGAGCGCGCAGTTGAATGATTCTGAACAACTCGCCTTGAATGCGTCAGGATGAGCTCAGCGGCGTGCTGGATACCTCGCGCTCATGTCGAAATTTGGTGCTCGCGGGCAATTGCTGAGAGCTTCCTCGTTTTATGCAGGTTCGGAAACCGATGATGCTCTTCTAACACCCATCATTACCGTACCAAATCCACAAGCCTCAACGGCCACGACCAGCACTTTGCCGGCGCTGAGCCAACGTTTGCGGCACACCAGCTCGATTCTTTCGATCGCTTTATCTGACGACTACATATACGCTGGGACGCAGGCAGGAGAGATCCTGGTATACAGTTTAGCAACATTCGAAAAGAAGGCAGTCGTCGAAGGTCACAATGGCAGCGTGCTTGCGCTATGCCTGTCACAGGACAAAACGCAGCTCTTCTCGAGTGCTGGTGATCGGGTTGTGAACGTCTGGGACACTCGAACGCTGAGGCATTTACTATGTCTCTGTTCGGCTTTCGACGTCGGTGACGTTTTCTGCGTCGCCTATTCGTCTGCCCTCAAGACGGTATATTTGGGCGCTCAGAATACGACCATCCAATGGTTTAACCAAGGGGAACACGAGCATGTGCTCCCGGACATCACACTCTCTGCTACACCCCGAGGAGCTGATCGGTTTTTCGACTCTACTGGCCCAGGTGGCTTTCGAACTCCTAGGCAATCAGAAGTATTGACTGTGCCTCGACATGCTCGTGATGGACAACGGGTAGAGATCGACAAGGAGAATGTGCGACAATTCGCGCATTACGGCTACGTCTACTGTATGCTGCTTGCAAAAGATGGAGTTCCCGAGAATGCTGGAAATGAGACACTCATAACAGGTGGAGGCGACGGCATGATCAAGCTCTGGAAACTCGACGAGGAAGAGAGTGGCGCTATCGTGGACTTCTACACCCTGGAGGACGGTCGAGAGGAGGGCCATGCTATCTTGTCTATCGCACTAGACGGTACCTTTCTCTACGCAGGAAGAACTGGTGGTGAGGTAGACGTATGGGATCTGGAGACGCGACAATTGATGAGAAATATCAAAGCGCACCGAGACGACGTTCTGACCATCTGCGTCGGCGGCGGTTACATGTTCAGCGGAGACATCTATGGCAATGTGCGCAGATTCGATCGTCAACATCAATTGAAGGACAAACTTCAAGCGCACGAAGGACGGATCCTGGCATCGGCCTTTGGCCTACACAAGCAAAGACCTGTGTACATCACAGGATCAAGCGACAGCAGTCTGGCGGTATGGGACGTCAGCGACAGCCTGCGAGGCAGTACAACGATATCAAAGACCAGCAATGAGCAGCTGATCGACGCACTGAGTCGTTTCGTCTCATATCGCACCGTGTCCTCCGATCCTCGTTTCAAGGTCGATTGTCGTCGAGGCGCTTCATATCTGCGCTCAGTCTTCAAGAATTTTGGCGCGACGACAGAAATGCTCACAACAGAGGACTCCTGCAATCCGATCATCCTCGCTCGCTTCCGTGGCAACCCTGCCACAGCAGCTAAGCGCAAGAAGATTTTATTCTACGGGCATTACGATGTCGTTGCGGCTAACACCGAGTCTGGAAAATGGATAGTCGACCCTTTTACGATGCAAGGTATCGATGGGTATCTGTACGGCAGAGGCACATCTGACAACAAGGGCCCTATCATGGCAGCTATTTTCGCATGCGCAGAATTGACTCGGGAACAAGCTCTAGGCTCAGATATTACTTTCTTGATTGAGGGTGAAGAGGAGTGTGGCTCACGTGGCTTCGAGAAAACCGTTAGGGCCAGTAAGGATAAGATTGGCGACATCGATTGGATCTTGCTTGCCAACAGCTATTGGCTCGACGACCGAACCCCTTGCCTGACGTATGGTCTTCGGGGCGTCATCCACGCCACTGTGATGATTGAAAGCAGTCATCCGGATTTGCACAGTGGTGTGGATGGCAGTTCTCAGCTCGACGAGCCACTCAAAGACCTTGTGCTGCTGCTCGCCACCCTAACCGGCAAGGGCGGAGAAATTCGCATTCCTGGGTTTTACGATCCCATTCCAGAAGTCACGCCACAGGAGTCCGAATTGTACGCAGAAATTACCAGTGCACTATTGCAGCGCAATCCTGATCTAGGCAACCCAGAAACTGTTGCAGCTTCGTTGATGCGGCGATGGCGTGAGGCGTCGCTTACTATTCATCGCTTCCAGACTTCAGGCCCGGATAACAACGCTACTATCATTCCACGAATGGCAAAGGTGTCGCTCTCCATGCGAGTCGTGCCCAATCAAGAAGCTTCTACGGTCGGCAAATCTTTGATCTCATTCTTGGAGAAGGAATTTCACAAGTTGGACTCCAGTAACCGCTTGACCGTCACCATAGACCACCAAGCGGAGCCTTGGCTGGGTGATCTGACCAATCAACTATTCAAGACCCTGGAAGAAGCCATCATGGAGGCTTGGGGGTCCTGGGATCATACCCACCGTCGCAATGGATCTGTGACTACCTTCAGAGAGTCTCTACCATCCCCGCCCAACGGGTCCTCTACAACGAAGCCATCCCCGGCCACATCCTCAATGCTTGCTAGCGGCAGTGTACCGTCAGACTTGGAGCCTCTGACCCCCGTGGGGGAAGCCTCTCGACGCCTGGAGGCGCTGGCACCGCCCGACCGCAAGGCTGTCAAGGAGCGTAAGAAGCCCTTGTACATCCGCGAGGGCGGGTCAATTCCTGCGATCAGGTTCCTGGAGAAGGAGTTCGATGCTCCAGCGGCACATTTCCCCTGTGGTCAAGCCAGTGACTCTGCTCATCTTGACAACGAGAGGCTGCGGTTGGTCAATTTGTACAAGAGCAAGGATATTTTGAAGAAGGTTTTCCGGGATTTGCCTCAGAAATGATGATGAGTTGAATTGCCTGGCCAGGAGCATGGCTGTATTCTAGCAATCTTTGTGTACTTTAACAATCTTTGCATGTAGCGGCGCAAATCATTCGGCAAACCCTTGTATCATGCAATCTCAATCCAGCCAACTTTCCACAAATATTGACGCCGGTTCTTTGATTTCACTACATTCGCAGCAACAAAGCATGGCCCATTGCTACCAAGCGTTGTGTGGCATGCAATGCTGCTCGCCTCGGTTCGGCATCATAAGTAGCAGTGCCGCACTGTCCGAGAACTCACGAACTATCTGCAACATCGATCCATTTGACTCCCATTGTCATGAGTCTTTTTCCAATGATCTCCAAGATGCGAAACCTCGAGATCGACGTTTCAAGTGATTCATCAGCCTGTTCTTCCACTCCGTCGTCTCCGGCGTTGTCTCCAATCAAAGCCCAAAATTCTTCTTATGAGGATGACAAGCTTCGCTATCCGCGCAAGTACTTCAGCGACAACGCCATCCTGCGCGGTGGAAGAAATGAGGAGATACGCGTCAGCCCTCTCTTCACGCTCGCTGTCCAGCATGCTTTGAATAATACAGCTCTCGAAGGCTCTATCGCTCCGAAATGCGGCGGTCGACCTGCGATCCTAAACGCTGAGCAGCTTTTACCTCAGTATGGTCTGCTTGGCTTCAACTTCGGCACAGAAACTTCCGGAATTACGAAAGGCGAACCGGTCTTCATGAATGTGGATGCGCCTAGCTCCACCTTCATCTGTGGCTCTCAAGGTGAGTTTGCCCGCAGCCGAACGAGCAAATCATTCTCTGATCAACGTCAGGGGCCGGAAAGTCCTACACCCTGAGCACGATGCTGGAAAATCTGCTCGTGCCAGACGCGGAGACAGGAAAGCTGCACATACCGGTTGCGGGCGTTGTCTTCCACTACGACGTGAACTCATCTATTTATACTGCAGAAGCTGCGAGCTTGTGCTCTCTGGGCATCGATGTCAATGTCTTTGTGTCCAAGAGCAACTTCCATCATTTGAAGAATGAGTATGGGAAGCTGAGCAATAATGGCAAGATCAACGTGCAGCCGCTGCTGCTCGGATCTTCCGATCTCAGCGTTGAACGAATCTTGAAGCTGATGGCCTTCGATGAGAAGGAAGGTCCGCTTCCCTTGTACATGGAGGTTGTTCAACGCTTGCTCAGGGAGATCAGCATGAAGGCTGATCAGAGTGGTAAGCCTCAAAGGCTCAACTACTTTGACTTCAAAGCGCAACTTGAAGCAGAGGATCTCGCTCCAGCACAGCGGAACATGCTGAACATGCGCCTCTCTCTCCTCGAGTCATTCATGAATGTGTCTTCTCCCAGCAGGAAATCCGGTGCGCGAAGTGAGGTCACCAGCTCGCTACAGAATCTCAAGCCCGGATCGCTCACCATCATCGATCTCAGCGATCCGTTCGTCAATGCTTCCAGCAGCTGTGCACTCTTCGAGATCTGTCTGAGCATCATGCAGCAGAATCGGAACGTCGGCCTGGCCATCGTCCTTGACGAGGCGCACAAATTCATGAACAAATCCGGGGCCGCAGAGTCCTTCACAGATCGCCTCTTGACCGCCATTCGCGAGCAGCGCCACAACGGCACCCGGGTCATCATCGCGACGCAGGAGCCGACCATCTCAGAGAAGCTACTGGACTTGTGCTCGACGTCCATCATTCATCGCTTCTCCTCGCCGGCGTGGTTCGAGGCGATCAGGAAGCATCCGGCAGCCGCATCCCGGCAGGTCTCGTCAGACGTCTCGAGCCATGAAATGTTCGATCGCATCACGGCCCTGGATACTGGCGAATCTCTTGTCTTCTCGCCATCGTCTTTCGTGCTGGTTCGTCATGGCGAGGCTGCCAAGTTGCGAGCCAATGTTGTCAAGATGAAGACACGGGTGCGCCGCAGCAATGATGCGGGTATGAGCCTCTTGGCTTCGCAGCAGGTTCGGGTGGATGGTTGAAACAGCATAAGCATATGGTATTACTTGAGCTATATCATTGTTCTCGATGATTGTATTTAGACATGGGTGGGGAGAGAGTGATTCTTATTTCTGGCATGCGCCCCAGGAGTAACGCTGCTCTCCAGATCTCTCCATGCCAACCCGGCCGGAGCTTGTCATGGATGGCATTCTGTGATATCACATATTTTCATACTAACCTCGTTCACCTCGTTCGGTCACCTCGCTTGTTGTGGTCTCGGATCAGGCATTGCTCGTTACAAAAACACGATCTCTTTGTCGACATTGGTAACACTAGGGTTGTATAACCCTATGGGGTTACGGGTCGCTTTGGGAATTCGAATGTGGCTCAAGCCGCATGATAATGATGATGATGATGATGATGGAATCCACCTGGGCAGGGCAGCGATGGATCTGATGCAACCGCCCGATCTGCGGGATCTCACGCGATCATAAGCGCGCGACGAGCGGGAAAGACTTCGCGAGAGTCCATTGTCGTCGATTGGGCGGTGGTCGGTACTCTTCACACTGACGATGAAACCGTGGATTGCGATGCGAGGGTTTGGTTCGATTTCCCGCTGTGGGGCGCCGATTCGAACCCATCGATGTGTCGGCTGAACATACCGTGCTTGCAGGCAAGTCTTCAAGGAGAAAGCAGCTTTCGTTAATAAATGACTCGCAGAAATATCGGCAAGTCACGGACGCATCATTGAGTAATAATGGCGGTGGAAGCGTTCGGCTCGTGGTCCCGCCCATGCACACCGTCACCTGGGCACCCAACCGAACCCGGCGAGACATATTTCGCGCGGTGGCTTTGCTCTCGGCTCGCATCATTTTCGATATTTTTGACTTTTTCCTCGGGCAGGATCTCGGGGTTGGTCGGTCCCAGCAGTCCACTGGATTGTTCAGGTACCCTTTTCAGAAGCTTCCTAGCCTTTTGAGAGTGTGCGCAACCGTGGTGCGTTGGCCCATGGTACCGAGATTTCTTTGATCCCTGACAAAGCAAATCCCAGCCCACAGCTGCAGCAGCTGTAGCTAGGTGGAGTCAATTTTTGCTTGGACAATGGCCATGAAAATAATGGCAATATTTTTAGAGGTTGTCCGTGTATAAAAACATAAGTAGCTCGGCGTTTGTTGTGAAGATCACCTTCTCCCGTCAGACCGACCAGCTTCCCGTGAAATCTGCCTTCGTAAAACGAACGCGAAGCCAATCATAAGATTTCATTGACGAGCAATATGGCACCGATCATCCACTGTGTTCGTCATGCGCAGGGCTACCACAACCTCTCCATTGCCAGCCATGCCATTCGGGATCCCCTCCTCACACCGTTCGGTCAACAGCAATGTCAGGAGCTCCAACAAAACTTCCCACACCACGAAAATGCAGAGCTCATAGTCGCCTCACCCCTCCGACGTACCCTCTACACCGCGCTCCTGAGCTTCGCGAGCACCATCAAGAACAAGAATCTCACAGTTGTGGCCTTGCCCGAAACGCAGGAGACCAGTGCGCTACCGTGCGATACTGGCAACCCAGTGCAAGACCTCAAGCAGGAGTTTGAAGACCGGCCTGTCGACCTATCGTTGCTTGATGAAACCTGGGGTCAGAAGCGAGCGCGGTGGGCACCTACAGCAGAAGCCATCGAAGCGCGCGCCAAGGCTGCGCGACAATGGCTGATGTCGCGTCCAGAAAAGGAGGTTGTATTGGTGACACACGGTATGTCATCGATGACACATAAATGACCACTTTCGCATTGCAGGTACTGACCGAAAATTCAGGGGGGTTCCTGCACTACTTTACCGAAGACTGGGCTGGCTGTGAAAAGTACGCCGGCACTGGATGGGCCAACACCGAGTATCGCAGCTACTCGTTTATCGATTCGGACTCTGGCGAAGCTCATCTCGCCGAGACTCCTGAATCATACCAGCGCCGTGCTGGCACCAATCGTCCTCTCACACCAACCGAGCAGGCTGATTTGAAACGTCATGCAGAACTAGAGTGGGATCGTGATGGTTACGTATTGCAGCGGCCTTTGGCGCATCACATTCAAGAGGTTGGTGTGAAGGCGTGATCTGGAAAGGGTAGCCGAGGAGCTTCAGGTGTTGAACTTGATCTCATGTAAGACCTGCGTTTCCGAGTGGGATTCGCGATTCGAATCAGGGTATATAGCTTCAGAACGAGCGGGATAATGTTGAAAGCAAGAGCAATAATAGCGCAGTACGAAAAATTCTTCCCGAGCAATTTGAAGGACAGGAATGATCCGTGCATTGGAATCCGAGATCTAGCAGATTTTGATTAGTTCAACGAACTCAACGCGACTTCGCGAATTCGAGTCGAGCGCGATGATAAGGAGTACTGCCTTCGGCCCCAACGCCCCTCGTTCCATCTAAGGAAGGAAGAATATCGCTGCAGGTCCTTGACGTGGCTTCCGTGTGGCAGCTTTCGGGGTTCATGCGTATACCGCCCAGGTCAGACAGCGTGCCCACAGACATGCCCGGAGCGCTTTCCGGGGATGCTCGTGAAGCATGTGTTGAGCTTATGCCGACGGGCGAATCTTCTCTCAACGCGACGCTGAAAAATTCCTTATGATTGGGTCGCGTCGGGGACTGATCATAAGGATCGAAGCCGACATGGTGCACAGCATCGCTTCTGAGCTTCTGAACATGCTCTTGGCTCAAACCAGATTCAGCTGTTGAGCTCGTTTCAAGGAAGAAGTTCAATAGTTCATCTTCAATTGCAAGGTGCGATTCTTGTCTGAATTGCTGTAATGCCAAAAGCTTGAGGAGAACCTCGAGTAGCGAAAGCGTCGTCTTTATCGGAGGATAGTGGGAGATCGCGTGTAGAGGTATAGGCATAACGCGATTGGACCCATCATTCTGTGCCATGGTCGGCCCTGAAGAGGAAGGCGTTGAGATACATCCTTCATGTAGAGGCAGTACATCTAGGTCACCGGTTTGGCTGCGGGTCTGCTCTATTTTAGATGTCTCGGACGAACTGTCGGAAGAATCCTCGGCATATACTTCAAACGCCATCCATTCTGGATCAAGGTCGGCAGGAAGTCGCCAGTCGCTTCCACTGTGGGTGCGAGAGTCGCGATGCGTTGTCGGTATTTGGCCGCCTGAGTTTGGCTTCGCATCGGAGACCAGATCCTCGAGCTCACAGTCCCTGAAAAGACTGTCCAGTGAACGTGAACGGTCCAGCAAGCGACGAGGAAGCTCAGCATGAACATCGCGCTTCAGAAGAATGACAGGATTGTTGTTCTCTTCGTCCATACGTATGTTGAGAAGCTTGCCAGTGTCCGCGAAAAATATCTTCGAGATCTCGTGGACGGGTATAACGTCACGATACCCGGCGTTGGTTATGTCGTCGAAAGCGCCTGGTCGGGCATCGTAGTCATCCAGGGTGTGTACTCGATCGTCATCGAGATCTTCCACAATCGACAACTGGTACGCATATTCGGCCGTCTTTGCTTCTGCTGGAATTGAGTGATCTGTGATGTCGATAGTAGTGCCTGCATCGTGGCCGGGCAATGCATAAACCTTGCTCAGTGGCACACGCCATATCTTCACATGAGCCTTGTGCATGACCTCTTTCCATGTCGAGCGTCGTCCATCCTTACTGTCCTTTGGTCGGGAAGGGTGTGCGCTGAAAAGCATGTAAAGGGAAAGTATATACGTGGGGCCGACTTGGACACGATCGAACGCATCTGAAATGTAGGCTCGATCTGCTGCCGTCACAAAAGCAGATGCTTGAAGCAAGCGACTCGGGCTGATCTTCTCTGTAAGTTTGGTCGACATGCTGACGCCCGAGGTCGTGATGGCTAGATTGATTAGTGGCACTACATCCTCAATGCGATGTAAGAGCGTTTCCATTTCCAACACAATGGAACGAAGTTGATCAACGCTGGATTCTACCACCCTGCTACCGTAGGTCGTCGTATGCTTGCCGCCTTCATTTGCATCAGTGTACGCCATGTGAGACAGACGTGTACCTAGTCGCTGGATATGCAGGCGAATGTCTCTGGTGAGGGATACCACAGATTCCAGAGACGTATTGCCTCGTGCAACGATCAATTCAATCATATCTATCGAGGGTGAAATGACTCGTATCTTGCTCTCCAGTTGAATCTGCAAATGCACGAGTTGTTCACGTTCCTTGCCTTTCGGAGTGGCCTTCAGCAATCGATGACATTGTTGAATGGCAAAGCCTGCGGAGATTGACACGCCTGATCGGATGGCATATTGCACGGCTTGCTGAGTGATACGTGTGAGCAGTACATCCATCCTTACCTTACGTATGATGGTTGCTCATCAAGTATGCGAATATTGACGCGAGAAATGTAGTTGATACATGTCTTGAGGATTGGGAAGGGGATTGCGTGAAGCATATAGCAATGGAAGGAAGTCAGCTGTCGATCGCCTTCTGGCGTTTTACCAAACACGACCGTCTGATGGAGCGCTGGAAACTACCTGCGTGACATTGACTATTGCAAAGCAGGTTGAAATGATTGTGGTGGTCGAGAGGCAGGCGCGACGGACAGGCATGGGCACGCGAGCAGCCTCCCAAACAAGTTTAAGGCGAATGGGAGAAACGGAATCTTGGCACTCGCGAAACTGGCTGGCGTTGAGTTTATGCCTGAGGCTCGAATTCGCCCCGCGATGGTGACGCCCCTCCAAAATTCATTTTATATCGGCACACTGCCCGAAGACTTTTGATGCGCAAAGCAAGTCTCTCTTTGCACCACAACTCCGATCTTGCACTGCCCCAGTGACTCACGCATATCAGCCAGTCAATCATTTGTGCCGTCGAAATTCGATTTGCAATCTCGCAGATCTCTGACCTGAATACTACCGCCTATCCGTAATCTACAGCGAGCTAAAGGCTAGCATCCACATTCATCATGGCAAATGGTCAGCCAGACAATTGGGAGGATGCGATGCGGGACGAAGATCTTTCGAATCAGACCCAACAGCAGATGAATCTTCAGAACAATAACGGACGAAACAACAACTTTCAGCCTGGCATTCCAACATTCACGCCGGGTGCGCAAAGCTTCACACCTGGGCAGTCATATCAACAATATGGATATGGCCAACAGCAACAGGGCTATGGTGGCTATCAACAGTACGGCCAGCAGCAGGGCTACGGTGGATATCAACAATACGGTTATGGTCAACAGAATTACAATCAATACAACCAGAACTACAACCAAACAGATTACTCTCAGTCCCAGTCCCAGTACCAACAACAACGAAACCAGCAACAACCGCAGCAGCAGCAACAACAACAGCAACAGCAACCACAGCAGCAAGCCTACGTACCGCCGGCTCAGCGACAACAAGCTCCCATGATCGCCAAGCGAGGTGAGGCACTGCCCACAACGAAGCCAGCAGCGGCCCCTGCGGCGAATACCAGTAGCGGTCCTGCACCAGTCAAGACGCTCTCTCTGAGCGCATCAGACACGGGCATCGCTCCCAAAGTCGAGAAGGCAGTGGGCGGCGCGAAAGTCCTGTCTCTCGGCGCCGTTGCACCCACTCCTGCCTCCGCTTCAGCTAAGGAGTCCGCCAAGACGAAAGAAGCAGTTAACAAATCAGAGCCTGAGGCTGGATCCAAAGCTGCCGCCGCCAAAGCGATTGAGAAGACCGGAGAGCCTACACCCGCATCCGCCGCGACCACTGGTAACACTTCGCCAACTCCGTCTGGACGATCTTCGCCTTCTCGCGCGGAACAGAAAATTGAACAGCGCAAAGCTGATGCTGTCGCTGCAGAGCAAGCTGCTGAGGTTGACGATGAGGCCCTTGAGGAGATGTACGGCAAGGAGCATGTCAACGTAATTTTCTTGGGACACGTTGATGCGGGCAAGAGTACGCTTGGTGGATCCATCTTGTATGCCACCGGTATGGTGGATGAGCGAACTATGGACAAATACAAGCGAGATGCCAAGGATCTTGGTCGTGAGTCGTGGTATCTTTCATGGGCGCTCGACCAGACGAAAGAGGAGCGCGCTAAGGGCAAGACGGTCGAGGTTGGTCGAGGATTTTTCGAGACTGAGAAGCGAAGATACTCCATTTTGGATGCACCTGGTCACAAGACTTATGTACCCAACATGGTGCAAGGTGCGTCGCAGGCCGACGTAGGTGTCCTCGTCATCTCGGCGCGCAAGGGTGAGTATGAGACTGGTTTCGAAAAAGGTGGACAGACACGAGAGCACGCCATGCTTGCTAAAACGCAGGGCATTAACAAGCTTATCGTGGCTGTCAATAAGATGGACGATCCGACCGTAGAATGGTCAGAGGAGCGTTACAAGGAATGCACGGGCAAACTCACGCTTTTCCTGAAGGGTCTGGGTTACAACCCGAAGACCGATCTGCACTTCATGCCCATAGCAGCACAAGTGGCCATGGGTATTAAAGATCGTGTGCCTAAGAACCTTGCTCCCTGGTATGATGACGTTTCGCTGTTGGAGTACCTCGATGGCATGCAGACGCTCGAGCGCAAGACCAAGGCGCCTTTCATGATGCCCATCGCTGCCAAGTACAGGGACATGGGTACCATGATCGACGGCAAGATCGAAGCTGGAATTCTCAAGAAAGAAAACAAGTACCTCATGATGCCCAACAGGGCCGAGATTCAGATCAGTGCCTTGTACGGTGAGACGGAAGAAGAAATCACTCGTGCCAACTGTGGAGAACAGGTGCGCCTACGCATCAAAGGTGCTGAAGAGGAAGATATCTTCCCGGGCTTCGTCTTGTGTTCACCACTCCGTCCAGTCCACTGCGTGACCGCTTTCGAGGCTCAGATCCGTCTGCTGGAATTGAAGTCTATCCTTTCCGCCGGTTTCAACTGTGTGCTCCATGTTCACTCGGCGACTGAGGAGGTGACTTTCGCAGCATTATTGCACAAGCTGGAGCCAAAGACAAACCGAAAGTCAAAGAAGCCTCCAGGCTTCGCCAAGGCCGGTATGAACATCATTGCGCGATTGGAGATCACCGGAGGAGCAGGGTCCGTATGTGTGGAGCGCTTCGAGGACTACCCGCAACTCGGTCGTTTCACACTGAGAGATCAGGGACAGACCATCGCCATCGGAAAGATCACGAAGCTGATCACTGACGCGGAGGGTGGCACAAGCGCGGCTTAAAGCGAATGTGGTTAGCAAAGGTTCATTGGAAGAGTAGTATTGGGAAATGCACGGGCGATCTCTTGCGCAACTAACGCCGGAATCTCGGAGATTTTGAAAGTATTGTTTTGAATGTTGTTCGACTTTGAACCGTGTATCTAAGTTTGAACAGGCGAAATACGATTTGGTTCCGCCTGCATGAAAGACGACATAGCACAACGTCCTGAATACTTCCCAATCTCTCCATCTCTCTAGTGCAATCGAAAGTCTGATTTCCAATGGAAATTGCACTCGTGGGACGAATACAAACCGGAAAGAAGAATGGTGCGAAGGTGCGGGCATCATGTCAGGCTCGAATGTGGGTGAAAATTAGACGGAAGCTCACGAGTGAGGCGCAGGCAGCGTTGCGCATATGCCTCACAGCTGATGGGTACTGAGTGCAGGGTACCGTCCGCCACGGAGCTCCCGCAATTGCCTGTCGGATGTGGTCATCAAGTCATGCGAAATGACGCACCGCCACACATTCCGCATGTGAGCGGGCAAGTCCGATGCTTTTCTCACCCCACTCGTCACTCGCACGCCAACACTGGCTGGCTGGCTGGCTGGATGACTGCACACTGCGACAGTCCCATGACAGAGTGAGGATAGATCTATCACCACCTTCATCTCAACGACTTCTCTCTCGTCTCTTCCCCCTGCCTTGTATCTGTCTTCCAACGACAAGAATACATCAACATGGCGGACTACGCTGACGATCGCGGATCCCACGTCCGGCACGATCGACCTTCAAGACCCTACCCTGATGACAATCCCATGGCCGTGGATGGATATGGGAAATATGAACATGACTCTCGCCAGCCGCGACACTCACGCCCTGATGGTCATGGCTCACCAACCGTTGCTGGAGATCTTCCACCGCCGCCCATAGGCGATGGCGCTATACGACCCGCCATGAAAAGAGAAGGCAGCCGCAGCAGAGTACCGCCGGACATGCGACCGGAATTCCCCGAAGAAGCTTCGTATCTTGGACGCAATGCCCGCGACCTCGAAGCCAAGAATCACCCGCACAATCGCAGATTCAGAGACAAGCGAGACGGATATGAGAGTGAAGAGGGCGAGACACACAGAAAGATGAGGGATCCACGCAGAAGACCGGAGTCAGACATCGATTATGACAGGAGGCCTAACAACAACTCTTCTCGCCGATCAAGAGATTCAGAATCGTATGGTCAAGGTCCCTACGACGACGAACCTCCACGATCGCGACGCCCACCCCGGGATCACAGAGATCCCCGCGACTATGATGATCCGCGCGACCAAAGGTCTCCCCGCGAACAACGACCTCCACGCGAGCTTAGATCTCCACGCGAGGAAAGAGACTCTCGAGACCCACGGGACTATCGCGATCCACGAGATTCTCGAGGTGGTAGAGACCGTCACGAGCGCGACGATTATGAGGAACCGCCGCGTCGCCGCCGCGGAGACGACTATGACGACGAAAGACCACGAAGGCAAAGACCGCCGGTAGAATATGGATCCGATCCTGTTCCTGTGCGCCGACGACACAGCGAACGAAGAACTGAGCCCAGCCGACGAAGACGCGACGATGACTATTCGGATGAGGAGAGCGACTATGATGATCGTCGATCTCATCGACAACGACGTTCGTCTGCGCCGCCTCGCCGAAAGGACCGATACGATGATGATGACAGCGAGTATGATGGCCGTCGGAGCGAAAGAAGCCGCCGAGACGGAGATCGTGACAAGCATGATAAGCCGCCAAAGGAGATCAAGATTGGCAACTATGAGTAAGTTCCTCTAGCTTCCAGCACGCCATGGGATTTTGTTCAGCTAACACATCTTTGCAGCGTCGGACCGCTGGTCGAAAAGGGCCAGAAACATTACGCTGTGCTCGCACCCGTTCTGACACCGATTGTGCTGAACATGGCCAGGAAATACCTTGGGGGCGCTGGAGGCAAGAAGTAAAGAACAACGACCGATAAGACGTGACGAAATAGGAACGATTCTCAAATGAAGCTCTGGGCAGAAGGAAATGACTTGGGTTTCGCGTTGTTAGCAGAGCGCATGCGACATCAGTTAGAGTACGCGGTTGCTAGATTGCATTATTCTACTCTTTTGAACCTAGAGAATTAGTCCATGGCGATGTGCAGGTTGACTTGTACGAACATCTGTCCTAGGTTGGAACACGGTCCTTGGCATGCAGACTACACGAGTCTGCTTGCCGGTAGCTATATTCTTTACGTCGACGATTCGAATACTAACCGTGGTTCCATACATGCGCTGATCAAAGCCGCGTGGTGAAATGCTTGGGAGCCGTGGAGTGGTTCTAATTCGGGTACTCGCAGGTATCAAAATTACAGAAGGAGGCTTGTGAAACACAGGCGACCGCCCGGCGTGAACGCTCCCTGCCCCGCTTCCACGTCATCAGCTGAGCGCAGTCATCGGTCGAAATGTCTTGTCGCGGGCGGAATTGGGCGAAGCACACAGTGCCCCAATTCATGGTGCATCATGAAATTTTGAAGTCCGCCTGATGGAGACATTCAATCATTCCATAATAGCCAACTGGTCAGCTGAAATACAAGCGATAAATATCTAATGAACCTCGCCGTGGAGCCTCTGTATTGACCTCGAGATTGAGTCTACAAAGGTCCGATTACGCTCGAGCAGAGCACGACAAAAAGCATCGGCGCCGTCATAGGTCGCAAGACCATCTGTGCCGAGCATCGCTTTCGTGGCAGCCTTGCAGCACAGCCTCCTCGATCAGGAGTTCTGATCACACTGGTAGTGGTTTGACTATTGAATACATGTAGCAGTCGATACCCACACTTTGCTCGACGGACGCGTTTCATCTTCCATTCGCACGTGCTGCTGCTGTCTACTGTACTCGTCGCACGTTCCCACCGAAGTTTGATGACCCCGGCTGGACTGGGTGTCTGAGCGTTTCGCGAAAATGCTCGACGAGTAAGTCATGGCGTTCTCGGCCCAACGTGTGTTCGTCCGAATGCGTTGAAGCTGATGTAGTCTATAGGAATCTTCCGGCCTTCATTCTTCGACCTTCAGGCGATGGCATAAAACATCACAGGGACATCTATCTCACCTACCAAGGCAACGAGCCGGCACCAAACTACATTCTCCATTATGCAGACCCGGCATCCACAGTTGCGGCGCATAAGAACTGCTATGCAGCAGCCATATTCGATTGCTTCAACCCAGAGATTCTCTACGGAGAAGTCCTTGCGCGGCCGGACTGGACGCAACCTACGCTCTCCGCAGAAGAGTTGAGGCGCAATGGCGGCATCCCTCCTCCACCACAGCCGATTATTCCCAATGAATTCGTCATTCAACTTTACAATCCAGAGCAACAAGTCAAGGTGGAGCTGCGCCCAGGCAAATGGGGCTCGTCCGATAGCTACGAGTTTTCGTTGCCCCAGCATACGTTCCGAGAACCATCAGCGAGCAATATCGATCGAGGACAGCACGATCCTGCAATGTTGGCCACTACACCGAAATTAAATTTTGTTTGGCGTAAGGAGAGCGTGTTGAGCAAGGATCTGACATGCTTCATGACCGGCAAGAGCACTGATACATGGGACAAAAGGAAAGCGAGGAAGGACCCAGATATTGCCATTGCGCTGTGGAGAAGCATGCGCGAGCTGACGCTGTATGAGCCAAACTTGCAGCGGCTCGAATTAGAAGATCCTAAAGGGTTGGAAGTGGTCCTACTTCTCGGAGCCATTGTTATCAGAGATCTATTCTTCACGGGCAGAGAGCACGTACGTGAGCTCTTCAATGTCGGCGACGCGCAATCCAGTCGCAAACTTTCTGCCGGAGGTAGGACTTTGTCGAATGAGGAACCAAAACATTTCCAGCCTGGTGCGCCGGGTCCCCATGCTCCCCCACCGATGCCTTTGCGTCCGAACGACAGCAAACAACAGCCTGGTGCTGCTGCACACAACACACCTCCACCACTTCCCGGGTCGAGACCGCCACCTCTCGCAGATCCACGAAGTCGATGGGAGCTTGAGGCAGAGACTGCGAGGTTGAAAGCCGAAGCGGAAGCCGAGGCCAAGGCGCTGGAGAAGCAGAGGATCAAGCGCCAGAAAGCTGACGAAGCCGAGCGCAAACGTCTTCTGCACATCTTTGAGCAAGAGAAGCTCGCCAAAGAACGAGCCGACGAAGCCGAGCGGCTACGTCTGCTCAAGATCGTCGAGCAGGAAGAACGAGACCGGCAAGCCGCGATCGAACGTGAGACTGAGCGCCTGCGCCAAGAGTATGGCGTGCCAGGGGAGCCGGAAGGCCGTGGGTCCAGGAAATCCCCTAAAGCTGGATCACGGGTTTCCTTCATGCAGCCTTCGAACAACGAGCACGGGTCTTCTAGCAGCAATGGAGCGTTCATGATGAGCGGCGCAAATGGCAACACTGGTGGACTTAATGTTCAGAAACCTGCCAAGAAGAAATCATTCTTCAGCTTGCGGAGTGCCAGCTAAGGTGGTGGGCACACAAGATAAGTGTATTGCGACGAAAGGCAATCAGCAACGCGTCAATACGATTACGACCGTATATTGAGGCACGTTAGAGCATCTGGTCTCTCGTTTCCGCCCTTTACCAAAGGCGATTGGACGAGGGACCCAATCGACCACCCGCCGAGACGACCACGCACAAGCTGTTCTTCCACATGGGAAAAGTCACTCCACGAGGTGAGTTCGAAAACACCACTATTTTGACGGCCATCTGACTGATCTCGATCTAGATTGAAAAACATCAGGCCTGTAGCAGCCGCTTCGAAGGACCAGTGACGGGCATATGGCCGTGAGGCATATCGAAAGTGTTAGCAATGTGCTGCTCTTTTGCATCGGCCTCGCCTGGAAGCAAATAGGGAGAATATTGCGTTGATGTTGAGAATCGAGGTCTAAATGCAAAGTACTGGGCTCTCGCCTTCGCTGGTAAATCAAAGCCTTGAATATCACCTTTGTTCTTAGCGACTCTTTTATCCAAACGTGTGTTGTGTAAATGAGGCACGCTCTTCTGAGAAATCTGGGCGCAGTTCGGACGAAGCGGCCCGCTGAAGTGAGCGGCTAGAGCGCTGACCGGTCACGAAACACGGGCTAGCAGGTGAACGTTGGAATCTGTGGCCCTGGAAATCTGCACTAGCCCCCTCGAAGGATGCGGCTGAGGGGGCTCATCAGATCTGGCGCATGAAGATGCGCTCCGTTGTACTTCGCATTCAACAGTCTCTTATGCCCATACCTGCTCAATATCCAATTACGTTCCTTGCGATACTACGAGCTGTCGGATCCGATACCCAAGATATCGACGACGAGCCTCCAATACAGTCATTCACACAACATCGCCGTGCCCACCCGCAAACATGACGCGACTTTTCGAACGAAACGCGAAAACTGCCCCTTCGAAATACCCACGAATATTATTCCATGGCATCAGAACCGCCCAACTGATCTCCAGCATCATTGTCGGAGGAATTATGGTCTACTTCATGTGGTTCCTAGCCCATGACAGCAAGCCAATTCCATGGACCTTCATCTGGGTGAGGGAGATCAGCCATCGTTACGTGCTGAGAACCTTCCGCTGACTGCGCTACTGAAACACAGCTCACGGCCGCATCTCTGTTCTCCATCATCGCGCTCGCGTTCACAATGGTTCTCCACTGCTTTACTGGGCTTAATCCGAGATTCAATCTTGCTCTCAACGGATTCAACGCACTGCTATGGACTCTAAGTTGGTCTCTACTAACTTGGTACATGAGTCCTACTTTGCGGAGCATGTGCGACATTGAGCACTGGCAGGAAGAAGCAGGCATTATGGTGTGCCGAATCTACAAGAGCCTCTTCACATTCACGTTGGTTGGATTGTGAGTGTTAACCTGTGAAGTATAGCTTACTCAGGTCTGTTCTACTAACACGCCGCATCGCAGTGTCTCCACCATTGCGGCGCTCTGTCTGGACATCTACGTCTTCCGCAACGATACCCGTCGCGGCATGTACCAGCTACCGGACATCGGTCTCAACCCTCAGCCGGGATCTCGTTCCCCTGAGCGATACACTGAGGATAACACACCGTATGGACACGGTGGCCTAGCCGAGCCGCGCGAAAGTGAGGCTTGGGAGACGCCTCGACCTTTCTCGAATACATACGACTCGGACTCTTTACCGCCTCGAGAGCACATCAATGTTCCGCATCGCGACTTCGATCATGATACCGGCTACCATGGCGGTCCTGCGGAGGGTAGGAATCTGGTCGACAAGTATTGAGAAGGCAAGCTGGGTTGATTCATTTGCTTTGTCGCCGGTCTGCGCCTCTTAGCGAAGCTCTGTTCTTTCGATATCGGCATATATATTTTGTGAATTTAGACAGTGCTGTTTCCGCCCTCCTTCTGGCTGCCTTGAAACGGTGATCTCCTAACCTGCGCCGGCAATGTGTGCAGCCTGGCAGCCACGACTTTTGGCTGGCAAAAATCCCTTGGTCGCTAAATATAGGCGGCAAGCACACCCGCGGGAATTGACCACACATATTACGTACACCAAGGCTCGAATGGTGGATTGCTTGAGTGTCACTTTGCCCAGGTTCCAAGGTTCGGAGGATCTCCGAGCTGCAAAATTCCAACCACGTGCTGTGAGGAGGTAAGCGATAGACAGCTCCTGCAATATGGTCCAGACCATGTTGCCAAATTGCACCGTAATTTTGAGCAAATCTCGGATGTAAACCCATTAAATGCGAAAAAGACGAAAAAAGTGTGCCCATGACATCAAACCTGGCCCGAGCTCTCATCACTCCCAGCGCCTTACAAGTCGTCCATGAAGTGTTCGCAGCATGAGTTTGACGCGCTGGCGGTCACCGCCGACGTCGCCTGTGTTGGAATCGCCAGATTTCCGCTATGGCGCGCTCAAGAGTGTCAAGACCAGCATCCGCCTGGCTAAAATCAAGCCCGGCTGTGGACACAAAGGAATCACCATCGAGTTGATCGAGTCCTTCGTGACTGTCCCGGGCCAACGGCCGCAAATCGAATATGATGCCCTCTCATATACATGGGGTGCGAGTAAACGTACGAAGAGTATCATGTGTAACGGACGCCGGTTGGCGGTGACGCCCACCTTGATCGAGGCATTGCATCACTTTCGGCATCCGGACCACGAGGTCATTCTTTGGATCGGTTCGTTGAATCGGAACCCTGTGATTGCGATATATGCCTTGCTCATATTAATTGCCGTCGTAGACCAGTTGTGTATCTGTCAAGAGCGCGTGCTGGAGAGAAACGCACAGGTAAATTTGATGGGGGACATCTTCGCCGGCGCGCGCAAGGTGTCAGTCTGGCTGGGTCCGCATTCAGGGGACTCGAAGGCAGGACTACAACTCGCCAAGCAGCTACTATCTATCACTAGATATACAAATGTCACCCATCTGGATTCTGTCCAGCTTGAAGCAAATGGGTTGCCGCGGAGAGGGCACCGAAAATGGATGGCTCTGGCAGCGATCCTACGAAGACCGTGGTTTTGGAGAACCTGGATTGTGTGAGAATCTTCAAATATTTTGTTCTGAAGTGGTTGTTCGGAACTGACTTGGCTTACATAGGCAGGAGGTTGTCTTGAACGACAATGTCGAGCTCGTCCTCGGGGATCGCATTCTCCGCTGGGAGGATCTTGAGGCCATTGTCGAGTTGGTCGAAGGTCCCAACCCTCATCAATCGCAAAATGATCCTACCATGAGTGCTTGGGAGCTACCTTTCTCACGGATCAACCGAATTCGAATTCGACACCAGCAGCGAAAGCTTGCTCTGCCAGTCGCATTCGAGATGGATCCTCACAACGAGAGATGTAATGAAATAGTTGAAGAGCCGGTCTCTTTACATACCACACGGAACAGCGACTACGAACTCGATCTTTTGGATTTGCTCCTGATGTCACGCGATTTACAAGCTACCGACCCTCTGGATAAAATTTACGCTTTACTTGGCCTCGGGCGTCATGAAATGATTCCTGACTATTCTTCCACCACCGAGACCGTTTTCTGTGATTTTGCACTTCAGGTTATCGGCGCGGTCACTCGGCCGACTCCTGGATCTGAGGAGAAATTACTGTCCGACGATGAGAACGTTCGGAAAGCTTTAATTCTACTTTCATGTGCAGGGAGGTCAAATCAAAACCTCGAGGAGCTGCCATCATGGGTGCCTGATTGGACAGCAAACTTGGCATCTCGTCCGTTCATTTTCGATCCGAATTTTTCGGCTGGCGGAAGCGTTATGGAAAAGCTGGACTGGGATTATGAAACCGGATTACAACTCTGCGGGAAGTTGGTGGACACTGTAAGCGCCGCGGGCACAACACGGCTCAGCTACGACGAGTCTGGCGACGCCGTAGCACAGATCCGCAGCTGGTGGAAAGAAGCGAAACAGTTGGCCAATGAACGCATAGTGCGCTCGCCTGGGAGTAGCATGAACATTGACGCATTTCAGTCTCTTTGCCATCAATTGTCATTCGACAACAGTGGATTCTATCGCGGTGATGGAAGAACCAAACGACGCGCTAGCCTATTGGTCGAGCTTGACCCGACACAGGACGCCGAACATCGTGCGCAACAGACTTTGATCTTCGGCTCCATACGAGGTAGAATTCTGTTCGTGACAAGTACTGGCTGGCTGGGTTTGGCGCCACATGGAACACAAGAAGGCGATTTAATCTATGTGATCCTGGGTTCGAGTGTGCCGTATGTCCTGCGACCACGGAAGGACGAAGCGCAAGCGTTTGAATTGATAGGAGAAGCCTACGTGCAAGGCATCATGAACGGCGAAGCCCTCGAGATGGATTGGTTAGGCATTGAAGATGTGTGCGTGCGATGAAGTATCTGTGGACGTTATCTAATCTGGACATAATAATGATCGCGTCAATCACGCGCTTTGGACATGCTGCGTATTTACATCATTCCTGCAGCAGCGTGAAACTCTCCTGCATATCGCATATCAACACCTTCTCGGCGCCGAAATTTCGCACGTTGCATGACTCGACGCCACTCCACCGTTGGGCGAAATAAACTTCTCGACTTGAAATTCTCTATCAAAGTGTTCACTGTGGACGTCGTGTTTCGGTGATCAATATCGAACGCAGTCATCGCTGTACCCGGTCCAGGCCATGAGACAGCGAGAACAGAGAGCCTCGGCTGTGTGGTCCCGTAGTTCGCCGCTTATTAGGGGACATCATAACGCTCCAGGGCTGGTATGAAGGCTTGGTCTCTGGGGATTTGACCCTTCCCTTGACCCTCGTTACCGCAATGCCTCGAGCAGTGGGTAGAGAAAGGCCAACAGCATGCGCGCGATGTCGCAAACAGAAATTGAAAGTAAGCTTTTGAGGACTTTCCTACTGGCCAGCATCCTGCGCCGGGTTTGTTGTGAATGTGGAATTTTGACGCTCATTTCATCCATTGCTATAGTGTGACAAGGAAAAGCCATGCACCCTCTGCTACCACGCCGGCGTTCCGTGCGTGCCGCGAGAGGACATTCGCGCATCGAAACACAAATCCAAGGCTGCTGGCGCATCGTCTACGACTGACGGCGGAGTCGGCTCATGGTCCGGTCGGAAGGATAACCATTCTCAGCTTCATCATGCGGCTTTGTCGACAGACTCGGCAGCACAATCGACGGGCCGACATCCCCAGAAGCCGGGTAGCGCGAATCGACTGGCAGCGTCTAGTTCAGCGATGCGATTTGCTCGCAAGGTCCTGCATGTCAACGACCCCGACGACAACAATGACCGAAAGCTCGGCGATGATATTCTACATGTTCTCGTTGGCGATCCATGCCTCTCAGAAGCCGTACCATGGGGATTGAAATTCATGTCACGACCAAACCTCACGGTGGTCGACATCTTACTCGATGTTTACATCGCCCGCGCTCACTGGTTCATGCTTTTCATCCATGCACCGACCATCAAAGACCGAGCGAGGATTCTCTGGCGACGGCCAACATGGCAGAGGACTGAAGCGGGAGAAATCCTCGTCATCCTCTCGATCGTGGTCATGGCGGCTGTATTGGCATCAGAAGACTCATCCTGGTCGGGACATTCTACCATGGACAAGCATGGGATCAACCTATCGACTTTCCGAGACGAGATTTCTCGTGAGATCAACGAGAATCTGTTGGACGTGATGGGTGATTGCAGCGTCGAAAGCGTCCAGATCTGCCTCATTCTCGCACGCTATCGTGCTTACACAGGGGAGACCAACATTGGGTGGACACTTGTTGGAATGGCAGCAAGAAACGCGTATGCAGCTGGGTTTCATCTCCAGCCTTCGAACAACGACAATCTAGTCCAAAATGAGATCCGTCGGCGTGTCTGGTTGGCTGTGAAAACAGTCGATACATTCTCGGCCATGTTCAATGGGAGACCACCATCCCTCGACAGCAACTTCGTGCACCGTCGCGAACCTTACCACATTGACGACCTTGCCATACATCCACACCTGGTTAACCATCCTATCCTCCAATGGAACGGCCGTGCAACTAATTTCTTGACGTTCCATGACTTGAAATATGAAGTCTACGAGATCATGAGCAAGACGCTGTCGGCTTTCCGCCAAATCCGCGAAGACATGCAGTCAGATGACAATCAACGACTGCTGTACACGACCGTCCGGGAGACCAACGAGGCACTCATGAAGTGGCGTGCACGGGTGCCTCCCTTCTTCGACCAATCTACCTGGGACGATAACGATCCTCTTGACTGCATGGGGGGACAAGATAAACCCTGGGCGGCCGACGCGCGAACACTGACGCTACAAAGTCTGACCATGCAGGTCATGTTCGACAGCCTCATCATCCTTCTCCACCGACCCATCATCGAACTCAGCCTACAACAAGCCTCCCGATCAAGTCTCCGCCTCACCAGCGAAGACATCTCCTGGTCGATCCAAGCCGCCGTGGACGCCGCGCTCCGCACCTCGCGAATCTCCATGCACACCATGGAATGCGAATCCAGCCTCTCCTACATCCTCATGAACTCCCTCACCATCTCCGTCATTTTATGTATCCCGCCCATCCAGGAGCCGATGACGGCCCGCGCCCAGCAAGCCAAGGAAGGCCTCTACCGGATCGCCTCCGAGTGCAAGCAGTTAAGCGGGAAAGTGCCCTTGGCCGCACAGATCCACACTCTCCTGTCGTCGCTGATCTCGACCGTCGTGCAGAGGGAGTCTGCATCGGTGCTGGCGCAGCAGCAACTGCAGCAACAACAGGGCGCCAGCCGCACCGCTACCACCACCACTTCAAACTCGCCGCAGGAAGCTTGGCAGAATGCCACCATGTCGCCGCCGCCACTCGGCTCGGTGACGCGACCGGCGGGCGCGCCCGGCTTGAGTGTGAGGATGAACAACAATTGGTATAACGCCACGGCAGGCCCGTCGACGGGTTTGCTGAATGAGATCATCTCGCCGATCACGGCGATGTCGCCAGCGAGGTCGAGTGCGAATGATCAAACGTGGACCACACTCGATCTGCTCGGTCTGACACAATCGGAAGGAGCGGGTCAGTTTGGTGGGCCCTGATGGGCATCATTGATATCCAATATGAGTTTTTTTTCTCCCCAATTCTTCCTGAGCGTGGAGTCCCTTGTTTCGTTCCTTACACGGCTGTACAATTAGATTTGATCTCGAGCACAACGGTGGTTGTTTATTTGTTTTTTTGGAAATGGAAGTCATTTTCTTTTGGAAAGTAAGTCTATGTGGAGAAATGCTATCCGACAGATCTATCGATGCATGGAAAATAGTTTACATGGGAGAGGGAGAGAAGGAGAGATGCTCATGCCAGCCTGGGTCGATAGCAGCCACAACACACGGCGACAGAAACCGGCTCATAGGCTCCGCAAACCATCGCCATCGTCTATCTCGACCAAAGGATTGCTGTCGAACCAACGCAAGAGATTTTGATACACGACCAGCATGGTGCCACTTTGCACACTGGTCCACACGGCTCGGGGCCCGACACCACGGAACCACCCTGCAAGTCCCTCGCTCTTGTAGATGATCCGTAGCGCTTTGAAGACGGACTCTGTGTCGAGGCTCACTTGGCCGTGATGCTTGAGGACGGTGCTTGGGCCTGATGTGGAAATTGGGCGCGTTTGAGATGAGGCGCTAAGTGGTGCCGATGATGGCCGATGCGAGCTTTGAACGGGCAGTGGATGGGCCTCAGAAGCGAGTGGTGCATTCTGCCCCGAACCTTTGTGAGCCGCAGCATAGATGCTTGGATCCAGCTCCGTCTGTATCCTAGTTTTGACAACATCCATCGGACATGTGAGCACACCAGCCATTCCTCCAGCGCTCGCACCGGTCAGAATCTCTAAAGGGAGTCCAATCTCATTTCCGGGTCCGACCCATTGTTTGGCCCATTTCTGCTCCTGTTCATAGAATGCGAATTGCAGTGCGGAGAAGGGGAGATCTCGGAACAGTGTCGCCTTGTATCCAGAAAATAATTCAGCAATTCCTTCGGTGCGGTAGATGGTGCGCAATGCATGCATGGATGATCGATAGTTGTAGCCAGATGTGAAGAAGGGGTTGTTGTATCGTCCCTGGAGCTGAAGCCGTGTTTTGAGGACTTCGGAGGGCACATACAATGGACTCGCAGCGAGATCGGCCAAGAACCCTGCCGACATGTACGCAACGGAGGGATTTAGACCGTAGTCGATGAGCCTCCTCTTGAACCATTCATAGCTTCCGAAAAACACCACGGTCCCTGAAAAGCTCCCCAGAAATGCAGGCGTGACTCCACCATAGAGACCCCTCCAGACACCCTCTTGTCGGAAAATGGTGTAGTATGTGTTGCCCATGCCCGTGTACTTGGGCGGCAGGTGTGGGTCTCCCTGTTGCCGCGTTTTGACCGTGTCCAGACTGTGCATCAACATATCCCCCATCGTCCCACCCAGACCGCCTGCCAGCATTGCATGGATATAGGGAGGACGATAAGCTTCGCCATCAGGACCATTCGAGTCTATCTCCGCCGCGGGTGTGAGGGTCGATTGTGACTTATCCGAGGGAAGGCTTTCTGCCTTCCGTCTCGTAGGATCGGACATAGTATGCCCATTGTCGAAGTGAGTGAGCAGGACGGTGCTGTCATTCGATTCCGACGGGAAGAAGTATTCAGCCACTCGGGCTAGTACCATGAAGATTGCGCTGACTTGGGCGGAATGTGCATAAGATGGTGTTTCAGTTGAGGTGCTGTCGCAATCGGCTTATCGTCTGGAGATGACAGTTCCTGGTTTCCGTATCGTGTTGTTGGGTGAGGACACAGAGGGACCGTCAGAGATGCGGTCAAGGGTCGAAATTGGATGCGTGATTTGCGTGATTTAGATGGAAGCTACAGGAGCTGGACTTTTAGTGTCGGTCGAATAAATCGTTGAAGCCGTGACGAAGCGGACATGTGCGGAGCCCCGGAGCGGGAGTTTTGAAGGGTCAGCAACAAGGCAGTGTCGGTTTTCGTTCGCGATGGCCAGAAAATATATATGAAGTGCGGATTTTCTTAAGGAATGAGTATACAACCCATAAAACAGGTGGAGACAATGTTCATTCCTTCACACAAATGCCTCCCTTCAAAGACCGATCACATTGATGACATTGGACGAAACTCCTCTCAAAACGCGAAACACGCGAGTCATGCGGGAATCAAGGGTTACATGTCAACTGTGGAGTCTTAGTCACGTGATATGCGTATGAATTGAGACGGGAAGAAACAGACGCGCGCACCCTGCCAACTCTACTGTTGACCGCTTTGTTTACTTTGCGCCCCTCCAACGACATCATTTTCACGATACTTTGTCACCGACACCCACGGCGCGTCACTTTGCACAAGACTCCTACATATTTCCACGCGTCATATCATACATGGTTGTGATCGCAACGCTTCCGCGACCCTGAATATACCCATATCGTCGACCTCACCATGTCGCATTCCTGGCTGTCGCGTCAGCGCAAACAGAATCTGCTAGATCTTTCCGCAGAGGCCGGACTCCCCCAGTAGGTCCCGCGTTCGCGCCACAGACACGATCCCACACGAGTACTGATCTCGCGGCTGTAGAAATAAAGATACGCTCAAAGATGACATCGTGGAAGCTCTGGACGCGCACCTGCGCCTCAACGCCGCCCGGTTCTCCTCCAACTCGAACTTCGCAGGCTATTTCAACGGCCGCTCCAGCACGCCATTCAAGTCGCGCCAGAGCCTTGCCGCGACCGGCGACGTCCCTTCCGGCGACGATGCCTCCACAGCAACCCACAAGCCCGCCTCGAAGCCGCGCGCTCGTAAGCCAACCAAGATCAAATCCGAGGCTGAATCAGACGAGGTCTCGCCTTCGTCGCCGGTGCAAGCGGCCACCAGCGCCCTCGCCCAGACCGCGACCAAGATGACGACGATGATGCACGAATTCTCCGCCTCGCCCGTCACGACCGCCAGCGCCGCTCTCCAGACCGTCACCGCGCCCTTGACCGACATCATCGCGCCCACCACCACCACGACCACCACCAGCGACCGCAACACCTCCCCATCCGCCGCGACCCGCACCCCCGCGGCCCGCCGTCGCTCGGAACTCCCCGGCCCGCCGTCGCCGTCCGTCGTCGCCGACGTCGTCGAGCAAGAAGCCCGGCGCCTCCAAGCCGGCGTGGACGAGTTCTACCGCGGCACCGGCGTGGCCGAGGGCATCGCGTACCTGCGCGAGACGTGCTCGAGCGTGGTGGCGGTGCAGACGACCTTCCTCCTGCTCGAGGCGTACGCGCTGCAGCGCCACCTGATGCCGTGGAACTACGCGTTCGACCTGCCCGGGGTGGCCGCGCTGGGGGTCGGCCCGACGGCGGTGTTCCTCCCCGATCTCTTCGTCATCCTGACGGGCTACTACTGGTCAGCGACGCTGACGTGGGCGGCGACGAGCCTGCTGGTCCCGGGCGTGTTGGGGTACTTCTACAACCTGACGCTGCGCGAGGCGCGGCGGGGCGGAGGGGCGGGCGGCGTGGCCCGGTACACGACGGATCCGCTGAGTTTCAACATCGCCAAAGCCCTGGCGACGTGGTTGGTGTATGTGCAGGGCCTGGGTTTCGGGGCGATCAGCCCGGCGGTGGCGGAGCGCGTGGACGGTGCGATCTACGGCGGTTCGACGGCGGTGCTCATCGGTTCGGGGATCGGGATCCTCGCTGCGTTGTATGATGCTGCGCAGAGGAAATAGATCTGCGTTCTGTTCTTCCTTTTGATTCATCGGCGCTTGAGCTGTGGACCGGATGGGATTTGCCACGATGACGATGATGATTCAGATGTGCAGGGAGGAAGGAAGGGGGGGAGAGTTCCGGATGTTTGGAGGATACCCAATGTTTTCTGGATTTTGGAATTTATCGTCGGACCGTTGTTATGCTGCTGCATGGGATGGGTTTCCCCTCTCACAGACGAGGCGAATCCGGTGTGCGCGCTTTGCAATTAATGACTTTTGTTTCGAACATGTTTTTATTCTCCTTCTCCTATTGTGCTCATCGTCAACTCACAGCTTCGCAGCATCGGAGAAAGTGAACAGATTCCTTCCCGAGTCCTTCTCCGTTGAGACGAATCCACCCCGTCCAATCGGCTCCACCTCCTGACTACACAACTCCTTCAACGTCCGCTCGTCAGCATGATTCGCGATGAAACGGAATCCATTCGCTTTCAGCCGGCCGACGACAAAGGCCAAGCCGGGGGTCCCATCACGCTTGAATTCGACCGTGTATGTCTGTGATTTCACGCAGCCGTGAAGATTAGTGACTCGTGCCGACACGCGCCGAGGGGACGGGATCCTCCGACTCCGGGGAAGCAGCGAGGGGGAAACTCACCTCGACGATCGCCGCGCCTTCGGCTTGCTCGGCGATCCGTGGGATCTGGACATCGGTGACGGAACCCGGCAGCGGATCCTCGTCGGGATACGGCAGACCGTCGCTGCGCGGGCTGCGCGAAAGACAGATGACGTGCTCGTATGTGATCCACCCGCCGTTGGCCAGGACCAGACCGTTCTTACCCTTGCCGGCGCGGAGCTGGCGGGTCATCTCTGTGATGGCCTGATGTGATGAGGGAAAGGTCAGCGGTTGGAGCCAGGACGAATCGACGTCCGGTTCAAAGGAGAAATTATGAGTGAGGAGGGGGCGTCACTTACGTGTAACGAATAGTTGTTGCCGGCGCCGCCGAAGGAGGTCAGACCGCCGAGTAATGTGAGCGGCTTGTCGGAGTTGAGGATCGGGATGCCGAGATGGTGACAAGCCAGCTTCGGCACGATGGGGAAGCATGAGTAAAAGTCGTAGATGTCAATGTCCTCCGGTCGAAGCGCAGAGACGTCCAGTGCTGCATCTAGACTTCGCGAGATCGAGGGGCTCCACCAGAAGCTTGGACGTTTCCAGACTGTGTGGACATTCAATGTTAGATGACGACGGGACGCGTTATCAGAAATATTATTCGGATCGTTTGTGATACTGACATTCGCCACTATCGGAAGTTCCTCCGCCTCCGAGAGGGTAGATCCATTTCTCAGAGGGTATTCCGAGCCGTCGGGCATTCTCCGTCGAGGTCAGGATGCAGGCCGCGGCACAGTTGACCGTGTTGAATGCGTTCATGAGTAGAGGATCTAGAGCGAAGCGACATAGAAAGAGTTAGCGGAGCGGGATTGGACAATCGGCAAAAGGAACTTTGGGAGCTTGCTGAGAAAGACACGTCAACATACATGGCAGGCAAATCATGCGATTCCGCTTCTCGACTGTTGCGATGCTCTGTTCTGTCTCGGCTTTACTGCCGAAGTTCCAAGAGATCGGATTCCTCTCGGCGACTTGGGCGAATTCGGCGTAGAGTTTCGCGGACTCGGCGTGATTGTCCTTGATGGATTGATTCCGGTGCGCGCGGAAACTGTTCTCGTACAAGGGGTAGATGTGAATGGGGTTGCCGATCGCATGTTTCGCTCCGAGGCCTTGTCATCGATAAGTAATGTCTCCGCCCCCTGGACAGTCTGTGGAATAATGGACAACTCACTCGTTTGGATCTCCCGCGTCGTCGGCGAGAAGACTTCCCGGATGTCGCGATTCGGAGCGGTCCAATTCTGAGGCGGGATCTGACCGGCCTTGACACAAGCTGTTACTGTTTCCTCTCGAAGAAGGAGAAAGAAGAACCGTCAGTCAGAGGAACTTCGCGAAGGATTCAATCCTTCCCCCGATCGATCGGAGGACTTCCTTACACGATGCCAAAGCTTCACCGCCCGTGACGACCGCAACCTTGGCCTCGCCCAATGAGATCCTCCTCGCCGCCTCATCGACCAACTTCGCGGGTTGGTTCCCTCCGTGGTCCGAAAGGTGTAGATGGAGACGGCTCTCCCCATCGCCCCCCAGGGCCAATCGTTCGGCGATGAGGGTGGGATAGTCACATGGCCACGTCCAGGATTGGACGACGTCGACGCTGTCGATCTGGGATTGGAGTTCGGCGCTTCGTGCGGCTTGCAGCCCTGAGTCTTGGATGGCGTTCTGGATCGCGGAGATCATGAGCTGGAGGGGCTCGATGGCGTCTTCAATGCTTTTGGAGCGGTTGACGATGTCGCCGACGCCGACGATCACCGGGGTGTTGCGGAGTTTGGACATGGTTTTAGACACTCGATGATGATATGAATGTTGCTCTTTCAAACAGCAGTCTCACGTGAAATTAATTTCGTAAATCTGAATTACACAAATATCATACAGGTGCTATGTATTAACATTCGTCAAGCGCATTGGTCGATCTTGAAGCTCATGTCGTCGTGGGAGACTCTTCCACGTTTGGAGACCTCGGCAGTTAGGGTTGAACAACCCTAAGCCACCGCGAGTCCATCGAGACAATTCATTGATCTCCACTCCGAACGTCCACCGTCGAGTCATTCAACAGTACATAGGTATAGCGAATATATTCCATCGTAGCAATGACGAAGAAGCATCCATCGAACATGCTGGCGATATCTAGAAAGCCCGGAACAGCTGTGATCGCGATCAAACATTCGTCATCATCCACGCCAAGGTCAACCGTGGACGAAAGACGGATCATCTCAGAGGACTTAACTCTGGGTGCTATCAACCTGTCTGCATGGCCAAGACATTGCCGTCACTGTTGCCCGTGGTAACCGACCGGTGTCGACGTCCAAAGAGAGGACACGACGAGTCACCAATCAAGAGGGCGGCGGACAACACAGCAGACAATGACGCGGCCCTTCAATTGGGGATCGCCAAGATTTTCCTGCATGGCCTTATGGAATGTGTTCGAAGATCTCTGAGATGGACTACGCATGCGCCATCTCCAGTCAACGGGCGTTCTATGTGAAGACGGGCGTCGGGGACAGATCGAGCAGGTATGCAGGTGCACGAAGTATGACTCCCCGCCCAGCCCTGGAGGGTCGATGATCTCGGGGTGTGAATGCGTCACCGGAACGGAAGGAGTCATAATTCGATTATTAAAGGCATGCGGGAGGGAGTCAGATGTGTGTGAACCTGCATCTAGAACGAGCCGTCTGCTGCGAGTGATGAGGGTGAGGGGAGAATGCGTGCAATGACGATGTGTGTGAGTGTGTGTGTGTGCGCGCGCGCGTGTGCGGGTGTGTGTGTCTGCGCGGAGTGGTGTACGATGTTTGATCTGCTGCTCCTCGTTCTGCTGAGCCACTCCTCCACCAATGACGCGTCTTATCGGGGGCCGAAAGAGAGCTGTGAGGGCAGGGGAGGTGTTCATTCACGAATGTGTGAAGTGTCGTGGAGATGAATGGCGCGCGTTGTGGATGCATGAAGGGGCATTGCTCGCTCAACTCAAGGGCATCCGGAGGCGCATTCTCGAGCGAAAGTCTATATTTTCCGTCGGCGCGCCGAGAGGATGTGCATTGGGAGGGAACTGAGGGTTGCGGATGCTGTGGTGGTTCCTTTCCAGAAACGAACCAGATCAACGGTCGCTGCGGATTCCCTTCGGGAGGGAGAGAGAGAGAAAGTACTTTATTGTTGTACTGTGGATGCAGGTGACGGGCGCCATCGGCCAGCCATGCCATACCATAGGCGAGAGGCTCCGGGTCACATTGCTCTCATGACATACATGGATTACGTCCAACTAATGCACGCTTAAAAGGTTGACTCATTGTTGAGGGAATGTCACTTTGGGAAGACCTTGGCAGGTGTCCGCGCGCGGAGACGAAGACGGGAAGAATAGTAGGAAGTTCGCAATCGCGGTGGTGGCCTGTCGTCGAATCTCCGGTATCGCTCCCGGCGTGACGATGGATGGGAGTAAGGTCATGTTGCCAAGTTGATCCCAAGAATGCTCGGGTTTGATGACATTACGTCGTCGTCGTTGTCGTCGTCGTCGTCCTGACTGTGGGTGATCAATCATGGATCTACAGTCGAAAAGCACTGGCGGCGGCGGCTCGGCGCAAGGACAAGCAACTGCATGGCAATGATTCCTTGTCCCTGTGAGAACGACTGGACCGGAACCGATCTGTTGAGAGGAAGAGATGGAGTGGGGCGTAGCAGAAAGCCACAATCCCCCACCATCGCATGACGAACTGCTGCTGGTTGCTGACAGTGATGGTGGTGGTGGTGGTGGTGGTGCTGCTGCTGCTGCGGGCGACGGAACGCTGGCTGTGCTGTGTGCAGTGGTGTTCCCGGCCGCCCGCCGCCCGCTGCCCGCTGCTGCCCGCTGCTCCTGCCCACCTCTGTACCGACCGAGGGTCCGATCATTTGGGCAACGCTGGGACCTCAAGAGAGATTCTGTCCTTCACCTGCGGCCCGGATCTTCATCGTTACCTACCTGGGTAGGTAGGGACTTTGCCAGACTCCACCACTATTATTCAAGGGTGACAATCCTTGAGAAACCTCCCTGTCGAGGGTGAAAGGACATGTGGAGCATCGCAGACACGGCGTCACACATGTAATATCAAGGATTGAAGAATGCACCATCAATCGATAATAAGAGAGATTGAGAAGAATCATTATTATTATTGAATGTGGACTCTCCGTCGTCGTCGGTGGTGGCTGTGAAGGGGCAGCCAAACAGCCACAGGTTACGCGAGACGGGCGCACCCGGGCCGCGTGAATCCTTCAAGAGTCCGCCCGCACCCTCCTCCTCCTACAGTGCACAGCCAGCAGCCGCTGATGGGTGGTGCAGGGCAATGGACCGTGTCTCGCGTCGGACAAAGACGTAATGGCGAGAGGGCTAGCGGTCGCGGTGGGAGGATGGTATGCTGAGCGACATCACGCTACCGACCGGTATCGAGGTCTAGCAGTCCAACTGCTCTGGGGTGAGATGCGCAGCACTTTTCGATGTTGGAGATGGGCACGACGGGCGCGCTCGTGACGAGGCACGGACAGACATGACGGCCGGTCGTCATGGTCTTGCGCAGTGCACACGGAAAGCGAATTCGAAAATGAGGCTTGTTGTTCCATCATAAGAACGTAAATTCGTTGATCGCTGTGCGTATACATGTACGGTGCAGGGGACATGCAAACCATGGTGCATGCGGAGGGAGTAAGCAGAGGACGGTTGTTCAGGTGTCATCTTCATGTGAGGGACACATCCTCCTGGCAGGGCTATGCGACAGTACTAGGTATGTGTGCACACAACAGTGCTGTTTCTCTGTGCTGTGCCTGTTGGCGACCGCACACTGGGAAATCGAGTACATTGGGCCTAGTGTTCCCGTCCATCAAGATCCTAGATCCCGCGCCCCGCGTGCGCCGGATAGGTAGGTAGGCAGACAACGTGGAAAATCTTGGTGTTGCCGTTCCGTCCAGTCATCAGCCCTCTCAACGGCGGCGGGTGGGCGATGCGTAAATGATGGATGATGGAAAAGAACACCATCCTTGACAGGACAAGAAGACCGCATCAATGTCGGACGTGTTGGCGCGCACAATACTCGACACATGTTCGAATTATTGCCGAACCCTTGGCGCCCATCGGAATTGTACACGTATAGATAGAGATCCAGCGCGCGGGCGCGTCGTGGGCCTGGCTTTCGGCAGCCCAGTGGCATTTCCAAGATGAAACGGAATTTCCTCAGCCAGTCGATCCCACTCCCCAGCTATACACCCGCCGTCCACGACAGGCCGACCCGGCCGCGCGCGCAAAGAGAGAACACAGCGACGCCCATCAAACAAGGCCTCGAAATACATAAATATCAAACGGGAACAATTCGACTCCTGGGCCGATGATGAAACACACGTCGCACATTGCCGCGCGGATCCCCCAGTATCTGTTTCCAACCCATCATCCTGTACGATATTAATACCTGATACATAAACCTCCTCCGTGTTTTTCTATCTCGGTGCGCATCGATGCCGTAGCTGTGTGTGGTGATTTCCATCCACGTGGTCTGTATCACCCGTCGTCTGTATCGCACACACCCGCCCAGCAAGGATCCCGCATCATCGGTTCGGTTGAGCGAAACGACTCATCGATACATGCTGGCCGATGGTGATGACAATAATAATAATAACAAAAAACTTGGTTGTTGTTAGCAAGGGCCGTCGTGGTCACCTCCAGGAGCAGCAGCGGATGAGACGCTGAACCCTTCATCCAGGCCAACGAAAAGTGGAGAAACACGCTGCCTGCCTGCCTTGCGTGTGCCGGTGTGGGTGTGCACTAAGGGATGACTCCTCCGAGAGGACCCTTCGCTCGCGTGGTCCACCGTGAAGATCCCATGTGCGTATGTGTGTGGGGCCGTCCACCAGGCAGATGTGTATTAATTATTATTACTACTGTAGGCTTCGACGCAACACCGAGCGATGCACGCTTTGCCGATGGACGATTCTGGCTGGGAGTGCTAGGGAACCGAGATCCGGGAAGAAATCCCAAGGCACCTCATCGGCCATTGATTAGTACATGCACGCGATACGCTCGCGGCGTCGTCGGTGATGGTTGGTCGCGGGAGAAAGGTGCGCGGTGACCATTTCTGGAAAGCGCGTCCATGGGGAAGAGGGAATGACGAAACAACCCGTTTGAACCCATTAGCTTGGATGAATGACGGGATGGGACAGGAACACCACAGCCGCCATTCGTTTTCTGCGCGCGGCGGTGCAGTAGTCATCCATCGCCGTGTGACATCGACAGGGTTTAATAAAAAAAAAAAGGACAGGATGTGCTCTGCGAATGGTAGTTACTGGGACAGAGATGGATTGCGCAGTCGTCGCGTGTCCAACGGGCGTCTCTACTGCGGTGCACTCGGGGTGTCCCGAGGACGGATGAGGGAGTCTGTGCTTGCAGTACAGCCGCAGAGGTGTGTGTGAGAGGACTCTTTTTCTACTGTCGAACCCGTTAAGGGCGGCTTGCTAGCGTCGACCTCTTGGACATTGCAGCCAGCAGCGCTCCCAACAGCACCACCACCACCGTCATCACCACCAGGACAAGCACCACCAGGACAAGCCTTATGACATACAGTGAGAGAGAAAGCCAGAACAGAGAATTGTTGAGGTTTCGTAATCGGGGCGCCGACTCCCCTGTAGCGCTTGTGGGAGAGCAAGGGTAGAACGTCCGCGCCTCTCAAGTCGCTGCCTCCCTCTTACGTCGTCTCGGTCTCAACTGGCGTTTCGCCTCGTGCGTGTGTGCGCGTGGGCACGTCGGTAGATGTTGTAGGGGCGCATTTCGCTGTAGGCTGTAGGCCGATCGGGAAGGGAAGGCTAGAATTGAGAGGCCTAGCTGTTACGGATTTCCGGTGCACATGGGCAAGACTGATACCTGCCCCGTTCAACCACACCCGAAACACACACACGCCCACCACACACGCAAATGGACGCCGCTCACAGACAGACACATGCACATCTACGTTTCTTGGCTCCTCCGCTTGTCGAGCGTAGCGCTGTAGGGAAAGACATTCGTCTGAAAGTAGCGGAGACGTACGTGTGTGTGTATAGGGCCCTCTTATGTATAGTGCACTTCAGTCCAGTGTGATGTAGGAGGATTGTCCGGGGCGTGTTTCTGCCTAGCGCCCGTTTCTGCCTGCCCTCTGCCTGCCTATACGCTGCCACCTTGCGATTTCTCTGGCTGTTCTTTTTTGCTTCGAGGGAGATGTTAGGTAGGATGACAGGTGTGCAGGCGGCAGGTATGTATGGCCGGAATCTAGCATCAATGGGCATAGTGTTGTTATTAAGTGAGGAAGTGTGTGTGTGTGTGTGTGTGGTCAAGAGTGTACAGTATACACCATAGTATAGTACTGGAGTGAATGGGTGTTGGTTGACTGCTACCAGGTACGTACGCGTCGTCCTCAGGCGCCCTGCCCTCTGCCCTCTGCCCTCTCTACCCTCTCTGCCCTTCTGTTCCCACGGCCCTCCCCCAGCTTCTTTTCCCCATACACCACACACACACACACTCGTCCACCCATTGCCCATTGATGACTTATTCCTCCTCCGACTCCTACACACACTCACTCACACACACTTCTCTTCTCCCTTCCCTCTGCACTGCCCGGCTTTAGATATATCTCTGCCTCTGCCCAACCTCTTGAACCTTTTCCTTTCACCATTCCAATCATTGCAATTCCAATCCACAACAACTGCCTCTATTCGTTGCTACCTACAAGCAACGATCATCTAGCCTCGCTGCCCAAGGCTTGGTTCGACCACTCAACAACTACCACCACCACCACCACCACTACTACAACCACCACTGCCGCTGTCCAGTCCAACCTGGTCTTGGTTGGAACCCGCCAGCCCAACGTCGTCCCCACAGCAGCCCTACTACCACCACCAACGATACGCATACTATATTCCACCGCCGGCCCACCGCTTAGTCAGCGACCCCGTCGTCGCGCCCGACTTCACCATGACCACTTCTCCGCGCCGCGTCGCGGCTCGCATTGTCGAGGTCCGCCCGGCTGGCTACGGCCCTGCCCGCCCGATCACTCCGCCGAAAGAGGTCCGATTTGCCGTGGGCTCCGACGACCTCACCCGCAACCTCGACGCCGATGAGCGATGGGCGGTATTCCACTGGGAGGCACACGCACGGAAATGCAACAAGGCATGCGGCAACTTCAATGACACCTCCCGACACCACGCCGTCTGCGAGACCGGTCGCCCGCTCGCCCACGCCTTGACCCAGCATGCCGTCTACCACAAGCACGAAATTTACAGCACCCGCGCGCTCGGCCTCGACGCCGTCCGCCTGGAGCTCAAGTCCAACTACCGCGCCGCCCGCAACCTGCTCAAGGCGGTTTCGCAAGGCTTCAGCCTGCAACCGACCGTCCGCATCCACCACTCATACGCACCGCTCACTCCGCCCTTGACGCCCGTCATGGACGACCGCGCCTCGTCCCACCGCTCATACTCCCCACCCCGGGACAACGTCATCATCGAGCCCGCCGCGTCGTCTTCGCCCCGCTACACCACCCGGCGGACCTACCACCGATACCCGCGTGCAGCGCTCTTCCCCGACGACACCGTCGACTACTCGGGCTACTCGCCAGCGACGTCGTCACAGCAGCAGCACATCCTCGTCGGCAACAGCGGCGCCGTCCAGTCCCCCGCACCGGCGTCATTATCGCCCTCGCCCTCGCGCCCGCGGTACCGCACCGAGTTGCACGAGCCCTCGTTACGCCACACCGTGTACGAGCAAGGCCGCGGCTCGTCGCGCCTCACCATCCCGGCGCGACAGGACCGATACTCCACTTACTACGCGTGAGTGCGAAGTGTCTGGATCCGTCTTCAAACGATGACCTCTTTTCTATTTCTGGGACGAATGTATGAGTCATGACATCGGATTTCTACGAACGGGACGGGAAAAACAAGCCGAGGCGTTTTCCTATCGGCGTTGACCTGTTTCACTGCATTGGCATATCGGATTTCACCGCTATGATCCACGGGCGTTTGTTTGTCTGTTTGTTTGTTGTCGCTGTTGTTATACCACCTGCCTCGTCGCCCCCCGCTCTAATCAAGTCGGAGGAATCGGCTTGAGAGCCTTTGCTTTAGCATTTTGCTTCCTTCATCTTCTAATCATCGAGACCTTGGTGTCTCTTTTCTGTCTGGGCAACGAGCAGTGCCTTGATGGCATGTTCTTATGGGAGGACGTTTATCAGGATCATGATACCCTTTACGAAGAAGTCGCTTCTGCTTCTTAGCTAGCTAGCTGGCGATTATTATTACTACCATTGAACGAATTGACAATCCGATCCGACTCAGCTGCGCTGGTCAGTTTCGCTTTATCCTTCATCCTTCCACTCCCGATCTCACTCTCTCTACCTTTCTCTGTCCCACCCTCACAATCTTGGTGCCTTGCCTCGCCTTGACACATAGGCATCGGGCCTTGCAACGGGTGGTCTGAGCATGACACCCTTGTCCTTCCTGCTTCCCTTCCCTAGTCATCACCGTAGGAGCCCTATGCTCGGACGGCCTGCTGCCCCATCGAGCCTCACCCAATCCATAGGGCTGCCTTGCCTGCCGCATGAACGCCGCCGCCCGTCCGCGCTTCCGAACGCCCCTCTGCTGCATGCGGGATCTCGTCTGCCTGCACCCCAGGCTGGCTCTGAGTTTGAAAGACGCCACGAATCCCAGTGCGATGCCATCGATGCAGGCATCCATATTGCGAAGATCCTTCCCCCCTCCCCCAAAACCAACCAAGTCCACACCGGACGTTGACCGCCGTCCATTCTGCCGCACGACGTCTGATGGAGGGAAAAGGAACCGTCTGGAGGGAATTTCTTCCCCAAAACGCGTACGGGATGGAATGGAATGGAAAGCACGCCTGCGCCTGCGGAGGAACATGTGGTCATCACCACCGCGTGCGACCGGCGCGTGCACGGAGGTTTCCCGGCCGTGCGCCGCTCGTGTCTGTTGGACCGTCGAACAATTCTCTCTCTCTCTCTCTCTCTCAGACACATCCCGCTAATTCATCCACCGTATCTGCGTCGGACCGACTGTCCGTTTGACGAGGACTTCGCGGCGCCACCGCCTGTGCTGTCTAAGAGAAAAGGAGTGGAAGCGATAATCGGACAGGGCAATTACGGCGACGTGAGGATTCGAGACTGGGCGAGGTTGACATGACGAAGATCAGGTGAAATGGATGGGACCAAAGGGAGGCGGGAGATGGTCATTATTGAATTGAATCCCAAGGTTGCTCGTTCAGCAGAGGGAAGAGAAGCGGGAAAAAAAAGGCAAGACATCAGTCTGTGATCAACGTCCAGATATCAACTCCCGCGCGCGAAAGCATTCTGTGGACTCTTGCAGCGATAGGATGCATCGGGCATGTCTTGTGTCCATTATCTTCACTGCCGAAGAGGCAGTAAGTGTCTAAGGGGAAGAAAAAGGAATAATAACGCCCAACTTCTTGGAAATGAACCAAGACTCTCATCGTCAACTCCCCCGAAATGCATAACCTCGTACTCCACCGGCCCAATTACACACAGAGAGAGGTGACCTCATTAAACAAAGGGAGCAAAACTCGACCCTCCGAGTCGCTTGAATGGATTTTCCTAAGCGAAGCATCGTTCACACCATACCTCATCCACACACAGAATGGAAATGGCCGCCGAGAAAAACAAAACCGTGGATTCCTTCATCGCCGTCTGCCGCCGCGCAGGCGCGCCTAGATCCCCGCGCGCGACATCCGCGCTGCGGGAGCAGGTCGACTGTGAGGGTTATTCGGTTCCGCCGTCGAGCTCCCGCTCGCTTCTGAGGGAGGAGACGTTCTGGTTGGTACGGAGAGGCCGAGGGGGTGGGAGTGGGGAGAGGCGGAGCGCGAGGCGGGTGGTCTGGTGGCTGCTTCGGACGATAAGCCGGAAGGAGGCGTAAGACCGACGGTTCCATCGACTGGAGAAGGGTTCCGTGAAGATGTCGCTGTGGCTGTTGTCGCGCTTACGGGCGGGCTGGGAGGTCGACTTGTGGCGATGATGTAACTCGGCGGACACTCTGATAGGGGTGTCACTGCGCCTGGAGTGCGGAGGGCGGTGTTGTAAGAGGGTATTCGGGCCAACTGATCGAGGTCAAAGTCGGATTCGACGGCATGTGGGGCGATTCCGTTCGTGCCAGATGGAGGTGACGGGTTGGGGTGTGAGGAGGAGTTGCTCGAAGTCGTGCCGCTGGTTGCGGGGATCTGGAGACTGGAGGGTTGCCGCAATAGGGATGCAGCGGATGGTGGAGTGGTATGGTCAGCTATGTGTGACGAGGTACCATCCGGCGGACTGGTCCCTGTTTGCGGCCATTGCTGACTTTGGACACCCTCGGATTCTTGTAGACTGGTAAGACGTGAATGCAGCAGCTGGGGCACAGCACTGCCGTGATGGACATCAGTCATGACGTTGAACGAGGCGATGTTGTCGTGTGAGCCGCGTCTACTCAGTGTCGCAATTCCAGCAGGTGTTGCGGGACCACTAGCTGCGCGGCTCACGAAACCACTGAGGCTAATGTCGCTATAAATCTGATCAAGAAAATGCCGTCCATACTGTGGTGGCGCAGTCGCGGTCATCTCCGCGTTGTTGAGGGCCTCATCTGAAGCACGATTGCCAGAATCTTGTACACGATTTGACTCGTCGACCGGCAAGTTTGGAGAGATGAAAAGCTTAACTGGCAATCGGCACACCAATTGCGAGGTGTGTCCTTCCGGATTGAGGATATTCACAAGTAAATTGAAGCGATGCGTGACATTGAGTTGGAAGAGATCCACATCCTGTCGGCAGAGTGTGAGTGATTTTGGCAGTGGTAGTGTAGCCTTGAACCTGTACATCTCATCCGCGAGAACTGGTTCCTCCAACGTTTCATCTTCATAAGTTACTTTGCAATCTTCGGGAAACTCAAGCTCGGTTTTGGCTACTTCCAGCTCCTCGATTTTCGATCTGTCCGTCCGTAGGTCAGGAACCTCCGAGGTGTGTAATCTTTTGACGACAGTCTCAAGTAATTTTAGCTGCACCTTCCCGAAACGGAGACCCTTCTTCAATGGAGAGAGCTCAACGTCTGCCGTTATCGATGTACCATACACCACCGCATCCGTCGGTATTGAGATGTTGTAGGAGACTTTGTTGGCCCAGATATCCGCGTTTGATCGAGATCGGGTGCTCTCCATTGATGCCGCTCCCAGTGTGCGCACAAGTCGTACATGCTCCTGCGCGACAATATCCTTCGCGTTCCATCCCGGCCGAGACACGCTCGCCTGCAAGTGGTACACGATATATGTCTCTCGCATGCCTTCTACACTCTCTGGCATCGAAGGTGGCAGCTCGAATTCAAAGGCCCACTCCATAGAGCCTGCATTGATCTTATGTGCCGTCTCCACTCCCAGCTTTTGTTCCTGGTTCCAAAAGATCTGCTTGTCTTCTATCGCGCTATGCGACACTGAGCTCGATTGGTACCATCGGATCTTCCTCTTGCCCTGTAATCTGATCTTCGGTCTCAGGATGCTGGTCGCTTCGGGTGTGGTCAAGCGCACTCGGCCGGTGAGCTTGACCGAGGAGGCTTCATGCTCGCTGCCATGGAATGTGATGAACCTTGTATCGGGGATGATCTCGAGGGTAGCTTTGGATTTCAGATTACCGACGATCGGGACCTTTGATGAAAGGACCATGGTCGATGGTCTCGGTATGCGAACAGTGTGTGGAGCTAGACAGCAGCGCAAGCCGGTGGAGAGATGGCTTCAGAAGGAGCGCTTGATAGATTGCTGGACGACGAAGAATGAAGATTGATTGCCGAAGAAGCGAAGTGAAGTTTTATTCCATTCTTTGGTAACAGCAAGGAAAAGGTGCAGCTATGGATTTTACCTACTTGATTATCATCTAAAAGGGCCGCCGTGGACGACTCCTAGCGGCATCGGCCATTGTCGGCGAATGAGCACAAGACCGTGATGTCTTCCCCAGTGAAAGCTTCCAGGCACGGCGCCACCAGAGCTCATTGATCGCGTTATCGACAGGATATGATATGCATGAAGAAGGTGGTGGGTGAAGACTCATCAAAGAGATATCTGTGCAGGGCTGTCAGGCGCGAACTACCTCCGAGCTGGTCGGTGTATGGTTGGTTACCCACCCATGCATGTCATGGACATGTGCAGCATCATGCGGCTCAGCGAGAATCCTGGAAAGAAGAACCGCGGTACGGCCGCCTATCTCCCGCCCGACACTGCACGTGTTGGGACTGCAACGATCATCGACTTTTCTGAACTCCGACATGCCACATGGAATACACGAGCGTTTCAACGGCAAAGGCGCGTATCAAAATGCTTGTTGTTATCATGCCCGCGTGGGGAGGCGTGGGAGACACAAAAGTTGGATTGTCGCGAATCGCGTAGTTCGATTTTCGTTCTCTGTACTTGTACTCCAGGGCTGTAACAAAGCGAGTACTACCCGTGGACGTCACAAAGGTTGCACGTTCGGAGGTCGACGTCATCGCCGACGAGGAGATATTCACGATACAGCCCGTCTAATAACAACATTGCGGCTCGCTCGCAAAACCGCGTCGTACACAGACAAATTGTTATTCACATGCTTGGGGAAACAAATGCTTCGATGACCTGGCAAGAAGACATCTCCATTTAGAAAGACTATATACCTATCAATAGAATGTTGCTTCAAGTCGCAAGCAACCTTGGAATGCGGGCGTCCACCGTAACCCTTACCCCTGCCTAGGGTTGACCATGGGCTTATCATCATATTTCAAGGTTCTCATCGAAACGAATGTACCTAGGTATTATTATTTATCAGATCAGGAGAGCACATCCCGAAACCCCATCACTGCCCAGACGAACCTTTCTACATGATCTATTGTGAAGACCAAAGACGCGCAACGGTGAATTACTTGGTGAATTTGAGATCGAAGTTTAATTATTCCCTGTTCAGGTCTACAATGGTTTCTGGAAACAGCCAAGTCGCCGGCAAAATCTCACCACCACTATGGACATGCTCTTTTGATTCGAAATTGGATTCATCAGCTAGCCTAAGCCACCACATGGGCAAGGACAGCCTGGAAAATAAACAACCCAGCGATGGTAGCCCCGCCGCGCCGAACAGCACCCAAGCCGGCTTGAGATGGACGTGTCGTCGTCGGCGCGGCGGGAGAAGCAGTCGTGCTTGTGGAGGTCGTGGTCGTGGTCGTTGCAGTCGCAGTCGATGAGTGTGACGTTGTCGGGACCGATGCGCCGCCAGTCCCATTGTTGCACGCCAGAGGAAAGTACGTGCCCTTGCCCTCCGTCAGACAGGAAAAGAAGGCGTTGAGGGTAGGTAGCAACGGGTCCTGCCCGCCGGGCACATGAACCAGATCCACGGAGCACCACACGTAGCAGTCCGGTTTGAGTTGGGGAGTGGAAGTCCCATTGCTCAATTCGGAGCAACACTGGTCCATCCTCGGCGACCTGGATGGGGAAAAAGGTGTAAGCCGTAGTCCATTTTGCACTTCAGATAATTCCATGTGTCTGCGGCTCTTACTCACCCTCCTGGCACGACGCAGTACGGCGACGGAGTATCTATCACTGGTATGGCCGTGGTCCGACACTGGTAGTGAGGATAGCCCGCCGTACCATTGGTCGTGTTTCGGGATGGTGCATCATAAGACGAGGTGAAGCCGTCCTCGACGACTTGTTGATAGGCTGAGGCTGCAGACATTGCTTCCCCTTGCTGCTGTAGTATGTTTGTTGTGATACGAGTAGAAGAGGATGTCAGGATGGCAGTCCAGCTTGATGAATAAACATCTCGTGCTCCATGACTAGGGAGGAAAAAGAGCGCAGAGCACACTTTTGCTTCTCATGAGTGCAAGGTTACGTTACTGTGCCGCTGTGGTTATCACTGCCTACCTAGGTAGGTAGGTAGTGACTGAAAGAGGTGCGGAGGACGAGTGACGTACTCGTCGTTTGAATTATAAGACGCGACACGCTGCAGGATTTGCCGCAGACGTGTGCCTTCATCTCTCGGGTCTATAATCAAAGTTTGTGCCCTATCTATATCCCCAATGAAACCTGCTGTCACACTATCGTAGAGGCAAGATGTAGGCATTGTAGCAGCTTTTGCGCACGAAAATATGTAATTATTATAATTCGTGTACAATATGAGCAGAGCCTGGGGACGCAGATTCCGTCGAAGATACATTCATCAAACACAGTCGGTGTACGAAAAGACCGTGGTGGACGGAGGAGAAGCGTGTTGTAGACGCGACCACTTCGGCCCATTAGTCCTGCGCCGAGTCTCCACAAGCACAGACAAGCTTCACGCTTGAGCGCCGATGGCCAGGCTTCTGCTCAATTGAGGCGTTTCTGATCGGTTGTCGTGCCGCTTGGTCCCCATGTTGTTCAACGGTGTCGTCAAAGGTGGAGCTTCAACTTTACTACACATGCAGCGTGACGAAGCCATGTAACTTCGTCCTCCTTAAGAGGCAAGCTAATCAGGCCTGGTGACACGCGATTACACGAAGCACGCATGTTGCCTACCACGCTATATAGCTCGATAAATATATTGTTACGGGTCAACTTCCTGTGAGAGAAGTAACTCGAGGGGATTGTTCAGAGCAACGAATACTACGCAGGGATCAAGGGTTTGGTCTGGTTTCAAACAGAAGGTCGATAACATGAGTTGAACACGAGCAGACATAAGGTCCGCTCGTACTACCTACCTAGGTGGGTATCTATGTTATTGGGATAAATATTCACAGAGTTATAACGTATTTATTTTTCGGGGGTAGATTGCGACGAGATTTGGCCCTTTGCCCTCCCATAACGTGCCAGGCATAACGTTGCTTACGATTGGTCATTCCCGCATACATATCGGGCAAAGTCTCCTACAGTGTTGGACCCCCAGTATTGTACCTGGAAGCGCAATCGGCTCAGGTCAGACTCTGAACCTCTCACATGTCACGCACAGACTACCATGGCGTTAGAAAATGGAAGAAATACTGTGCAACTCACTCCGGACCTTCGCTTTGGGCAACGGGAACGTCTGGCGATCGATGACCCAGGTAAACCAATGAACGTTTACTACTATCGACGCTTCTCGATAGTCTGGGAGTTCCTCTTGATACCCGCGACCGCATTCGCAGCATCGTGGTGTTCGTCAGAGAACTATGGCACTCCACTAATCGCAGGGCTATGGTCGCTGGTCTCATTCGAAATCGTTTTCTTCGGCCTCGTCATGCCGATTATGACCTGGGACAGCGATGAGATCGACCAGAACGGCTCCGAAGTTAAGACACGGCGGCCAATCGTGGGCTGGGTCAGTCGAGAGCTTGTACTTGAGGCCGAGAGATGCGTTGATGGATGCTACGATGGCCGCTCGTCCATGAGGGATCCCCGTTTCGGCGACGTATGTTTTCCACCCGATGGATCGTGTCGGACTTAGGAAGATAAACAAGCTGACCCTTGAATTGCAGGGTTTTCGGTACAAGTACGCGTTGATACGCTTATCAGATGCTGTTGAGCTGCTGGGATTTGTGGGAAAGGATAGATGCATGTAGCACTTGCAAACCACACGAACGTTCGGACTCCACGAGAACTTCATCGTGGCAACGGATGAAGGCCCCGCCTCCTTTGTGCGAACGGTGCGGTGTTTTGACCAATGATTGAGTTTCTCGTACAAGAAATACTGAAGAAAAATGTATGGTGCCAACAGGTGATGGCCCTGTAAGGAGCATGCCGGAGAACGATCACACGACTGTGACCTAGGTATGAGGTATGCGATAGAAGTCTACGTAGGATGATCTTGCACTGGATGGAGTATTTCGGAGATTCAGATGACCTGTGTGTCTAGAGACATGCTGCGGCTGGTGAAATTGCCTTCGCCTAGAGATGGAACCAAAAAACATGACAAGTCTCTCAACCCTGAATCCCATCATCCAGGCCTCTGTCTCCGCGGAGAGAGATTAGTTTCCTGAACACGCCTGTAGAGGTCAACTCTGGAGACAATTGCTCTGAGCTCCAGGCGATCTGTCATGTACAGCCATTCGCGCGATTGCTGATGCACGCATCAGCTCCATTCAAGATGCCTCGGGCCTTTGCGCTGCTTCTGTCAAAGTTGACGACACTTTCTGCATCCTCGATGAAGTACTGTCCACTGTCGTGGTCGAAAGCCTGTACGCTAGACCATGAGAGGTAAGCGTTCGTACCGCGATGAACTGCTGCGATAGTGCAGTGGGAAAACCCTTGTCATTCGTCCGCCATTTTATACCTTTGACTGACTGGATCCACTTTGACACTGCGTAGCTGCGGCTCTGTCTCGTAAGGGTGTATACGGTCTCCACGAGAGATATCATGGGAGAGCGAGACCCGTCTTCGCAGGCTCGAAGCAGCGCTGATGAAACCTATGAATGACGATCACTGTCTTCATAGCTCTTACTGGTTGCTGTAGAGCGCCACGGCCTTGATCTATCGTGTCCATTGATCCCAAAACGCAAAGTGCCGGAAAGAGAAAAATGAATCAAGCCGGACATCTCGACCGCACGAATATTCAGCAGCTCTCCGAGTAAAAGGGTATGCAACAACGTGCATGATACAATTATTAAGACGGGCAAGGAACAGCGAACCTTTCATTCCATCTCCACTTCCGTAATCTATGCTCGACTATGCCCGACGGCTTTAGTGATCAGCTCATCATTGTCCTCTGCCAGGAGACATTGAGAATCTGATATTGATCAGGTCACATCAGTTGGTCGGGTCCACTCTCGAATATGTCCTGTTGTAACTCAGAATCAGCAATCAGCACATTCCTGGTCTCTTTCACAAACCACATGTTGGAAATTGATCCATAGAATATTGATAGAGCGCTTACCATCTTTGCATGCAGTAAGAATGCAATGTTCTTCGAATCCGAGCCAGCTCATGGGCTCCTCTCCAATCTGCTTCGACATGACCGGAGGAAGATTGGCTGTGCTTGCCTTGGAATTGACCTCGTGGATGATCTCAGCTGCACCGGTCCGCTCGGCCGTAGCGAGATTTGTTGCACTGCCTATACGGCTGACCGTCGATACGCTCGTGCGACGGTCTGCATGGTGGCTTGAGACACTACCTCTCTGGCGCATGGCCTTGGGTCGACCAAGCATGCCGACCGAGAAGTCCCACAGTAGTAGTCGACAGTCTTCTCCAACGCTGCCGAATCGATAGTTGCGCTCGTCGCATCGCCATGGGTCAAATTTGACATCGGTAACCCAAGACTGATGGCCGACGCACCTCGCTACAAGCGCTTGGTCTGCTATCGACCAGATGCTGACCAGGTCGTCTTGTCCACCGGTAAGAACATATTGGCCGTCTGGTGACCATGTCACGCACAGCATTGCGCCGTAATATGAACGATACACATCCAAAACCCTTTCATGCATGTAGTCGAGGATAGTCAATGTGCCATCTTCGCTGACAACAGCTAACAGTTGCCCGTCAGGCGAGAACGCAACATCATTGATGGACATTGTTGATACCTTCCATGCCGCGACAGGGTTCGACTTTTGATTTCTTGAGTTGACCGATTTCTTGACGTGAAAAGAAGTTTGTGGCACGTCTGATGCTTTGTCGGCAGCGTCATCTTCGGCGCTTGACTCCTCGGCGACAAACTCAGCATCCTCCTTCTCTTTGTCATAGATGAATATCGTGCCATCGCGATGTGCGACCAGGAAAAGGTGGTCCTTGCCTGGAAGCCACAGAACAGAGGCAATGACAGCAGAATTAATCACGCCGTTCTTATTGAGGCGAGTGTATTTCTGTGAGAATGGCTCGTACCAAATGATGTCTCCAGTGTTGAATCCGATGACGACGTCAATGTGATTGCTCGACTTGGTCAATAAATTGATGTCGTGGCATGATGGGTGCGCTTTAGTGAATAAGATCTTGTTCAATTGGTCCGCTTTTGTCTCGGACGAGAGATCAAGCCACAGGAATGCGCGGCCGATATTCGAAAATGCAAACATGCCCTCATGTGATCGTTCATTGAGTCGTTTCTGTAGAGACTCATGCGGCACAACCCTCGAAACAAACGTTGAGCTGGATTTGACAATGTTCGTCTTGGGCTTCGGCTTTTGATCCTTCTTCGTTTTCGTGAGTGCACCAACTGCTAAAAGTGGATTTTCGTCGCCGAAACTAGGCGTGTGGTTATAATATGATGCGGTACCAAACCCATTGGCCAACGAGCCGGCATCGCTTTTCGAGCTCTGTGTCTCCTCTTCAATGCTTGGCGGGATAGAGGACCGTAGACTGCCACTTGTAGCAATCCTGAACAGTTTGTTAGTTGGCGGTTTACGTGGCGCTAGGACAGTGACCGAGAGTTTGAGTGTCGCCGTCGGCAGACCGACGTTGGTCGCGAGCGGATTACTGTTGACCAACGGAGCTTCACTCGGATGTGGAGCCGGCGTCACAAGATGAAGATCATCCTTGAGAGTATAGGATCCTTCTCCGAGCACGAGCTGGAACTCTGGACCGCTAGGTCGCTCCAGAGTATTTGTCGTCTCAATCAATGGCGTCGCGCTCATAGACATGTATGGTGTGCCAGTGCCATTGTTCGAGAGAGCTCGAGGAGGAGGTGGGAGGACGCTGTATCAAGGATGTCAATTGTCAGCCAATTTAGCCTGATCCAGCTAGCAAGTCATCCCGGTGTGATCACTGCAGGGTTGTGTAGCTATTCTGCCTTGGAGTCCGTGTAACATGAAGACAATTGGGGTCCTGCTTACAACATGCTGGCGCTGGGACTGGCGCAAATTCGTGGTAATGTGTTTACTCTTGATGTCCCGGCCTACAACCGTGTCCAGAAATCAGGCAGAGATGGAGCTTCGGTGAGGGACTCAAGCCGGAAGATAATCGCAACGCGAAGTCTAGATGTGATATCTCTCTTCATGTACTTTCAGATGCCATACCCATTGACGCCGTTCACCACCTTGAGGACATCTTGGCGTGAAGTATGGCGCTCCGTACGAGAGGTAAAGCCCCACGCTTGATAGGATTCCGGGTGCCTTTTGAGACGTTTAATGATGACCGCGGTGTTTGACAGAGGTTGTGATTATGCGTCAGACTTGACGGATTATGAGCTTATGATCGATAGTATCAGATACATGTTCGCTGTTACGATGCGCAGCATCACTACTAGACTGCTTTCCGAACTCGATCTTACCACTCCAGTGAATAATGCAATGACGCGACAGGCCGTGTGAACCCTTTCGCGGACAAATTGCACTTTACGCCGCTTCGGGCCTAGCATATTCGGGGAAGAACTTTAAGGGAGACCATCGCTGGGATTGTTTCATCATCGTAGGTTCAAAGGCCATGGCTACAGGTATGTCGCATCGTCTGAACACGATTCATCTGCTGTAGGTACAAACTAAAATCTTCGATAGTTCGGATCTGTATTTGCGGCGATGAGTCCGTCGGCAAAAGTTCACTTCTCACGTCGTTGGTCAAGGATACTTTCGTGACAGAGAAGATCAACGATGTCCTACCACCTATCACTCTACCGCCTGGACTCGGGACACCTGACAACATCACCACAACCATCGTAGACACTTCACCACTTCCGCAAGAGCGTGAGACCCTGCGGAAAGAGCTGCGAAAGTGTAATGTGGTCTTGTTGATATACAGTGATCATTACAGTTATGAACGCGTCGCGCTCTTCTGGATGCCATTCTTCCGATCTCTTGGTGTCAACGTCCCAGTCGTGCTATGTTCAAACAAGAGCGACCTCGCGCCTGGCACGAGTACAGCGCAGGTCATAGAAGATGAGATGCTGCCATTGATGGCAGAGTTCAAAGAGATCGATTCATGTATACGCACAAGCGCCCGAGAGCATCACAATATCAATGAAGCTTTCTTCTTATGCCAGAAAGCTGTCACGCATCCGATCGCGCCAATATATGATGCAAAAGAGAGTCACTTGCGACCTGCGGCAGTTGATGCCCTCAAACGGGTATTCTATTTGTGTGATAAGGATGGCGACGGATTGCTAGATGACAGAGAAATAAACGACTTTCAAATGAAATGTTTCGAAAAGCCGCTCGCTGATACTGATTTGGTCAACATCAAGAAGTCCATACAGCAATCTTTCGAGGAGACCTTTGAAGTTCCATACCCTGTCAGCGAAAAGGGCATTGACGTGAGAGGATTTCTACTTCTGAATAAGATGTTTGCTGAAAAGGGTCGACACGAAACCATCTGGATCATCCTGCGGAAATTCCACTATTCGGACAGTCTCAGCCTCAAAGAGAGCTTCCTCCATCCGAAATTCGATGTGCCAGCATTCTCTTCTTGCGAGTTGTCTCCTGTAGGATACCGCTTTTTTGTGGACCTCTTCATCCTTCACGATAAGGATAACGATGGTGGATTGAATGATGCTGAGCTTGCGGCGTTGTTCGCACCTACGCCAGGTATTCCTAGCGCCTGGATCGATTCCGCATTTCCCGGATGCACGGTGCGCAACGAAGCTGGCCACATCACCTTACAAGGTTGGCTAGCACAATGGAGCATGACTACATTTGAAGATCCGCGAACAACCCTCGAGTATCTTGCTTACCTCGGGTTCGAGATGGAAGGAAAGGGAACCACGCCAGCACTCAAGGTGACCAAGCCACGGAAAATGCGAAATAAGCCCGGTCGCGTCGAGCGGAGTGTGTTCCTTTGCTATGTCCTTGGTGCTCCGGCGAGTGGGAAATCTGCCCTGCTCAATTCATTCCTCAGTCGTCCTCTCAATGGCACGTACCATCCGACCATCAAACCTCGAACTGCAGTGAATAGCGTTGAATTGCCAGGTGGTAAGCAATGCTATCTCATCCTCGAAGAACTGGGCGAACTGGAGCCAGCAATTCTCGAAAACCAAGTGAAGCTCGATGCTTGCGATCTGTTGTGCTTCAGCTATGACAGCAGCGACCCTGACAGTTTTGCATATATTTTGGACATTCGGAAGCGTTATCCCAAGCTCGACGCCATTCCTGCGGTTTATGCTGCACTGAAGGCGGACAAGGACAGCGCTGTGCAACGAACAGAACTTCAGCCAGATGTCTACTGCGAACAACAGAAGGTCCCGAAGCCACTCCACGTCTCCGTCGGTTGGGCGTCCATTAGCGAATTCTTTGTGCATTTGGCTGAGAGCGCGACATTCCCCTCACAGGCATTCCCCAGAACCGAAGAGAGCAAGACCGATCGTACAGGTTTATACATTGCGCTAGGAGGCTCTATCTGTACGGCTATCGCGGTCGCGTGGGTTTGGAAACGTAGTATGCTGTCCACTGCCTAATAATTCCGAGAGGCATCACCAATTTTGCAAGGGTTTGCGCCTGGTGGAAGGATGTAATAATCTCCAGGGCTGTGTAGGTTTTTCTGGCTTGATGGCGTTTGTATTAGATACCCCTCTCATCGCGGCTTTGACTCTTGTTCTTGAACAAAAAGTGTGGAACAAATATAATCTTGTATATCATCGGTACATTTGAGATGAATTCATTGCGACGCATCCGATCTGATATCTAGGAACATCGCAATATCTAGGATAGTAAAATGTCATTCTGATGACAGCGGATGGCCCAGGATCCGTCCCATGTGAATTTAAGATTTCCAGCTAGAAGAACCAATCCCTGTCGAGAGCGGCAGAAAGTGCTGCGCCCGGCCTGTGTTTGGCCCACTTGGCTCGGGCCATTCTACGTACCCGCCATTTGGTGAACACGCGATCTCTCGACGAGGTAGCGGAACTGTGCATGACGATAACCGCTACCCACCTGCATGCCGATTATTATTACTTATGACCACTGCACATATCACCACACATTAACGCTTGACGACCACGAAATTATCCCCTTGCCCACCCTTTTATACCGACTCGAGACATCTTTACGACTGATCTGTCCTACATGCCGCAAGCACGACGAGCCAAGGTCTCGGCTGTGTGATGAGAGCATTCCTTCCCCTCCCTCCTCCGCAACGCCGGGCGTACACCTGGAATGCATGAGAGTCTTTGAATCGCACCAGAGCCCTGGCGGCATCACTCCCTTCGCCTTTGAGTGAACATTCACGCGATTTGCAGTCGGACGAATCGAGCCAGCTTTGATGAGGATGCAAGCTTCGGCGCGACAGCAAGAACTCGAGCGCCTGTACAACGCTCGCAAAGGCCATGGCCCGCAAATCTCCATTTCTGACGACAGTCAGCATATTACTGAAGCGATCGGAAGTTATTATGAGACGGAAGATGCACCTGGTATACAACCGGGTGGCCTGCTGAGGGACACTCGTCCGTTGAGTTTTGTTCCGGGAGAAAAGGAGACCTATGACACAAAGTCTCGGCGACAAGGTACATATCTAGAAGGCCCTCCAAATGGACTCTTCCAGGCGCATTCGACCACGAGAGAATATCGAGGTACCTCGCCAGGCCAGCCAACATTACGGTTAACCCCAGTGGAGAGCCTCGATGGCCAGCAGTCGCCCGGTCAAGATAATGGCTACAACTCTGCATCGCAGCGAACAGGCTCGCCAATATCTCCTCACTCGTCCCTCCAAATAAGCGCCCCGCAATCGCCAAATGTATCGCGACCACAGACACTAAGCCGACAGCCTTCCGCGGAAGCTGTTGTGCAAAAGTTCCCACTGAACGACATCGATTATGAATCCAGTCCCGCAGCTGTGGCTCAAGAGCTCAGCAATTTGCAGGCAATACGCCGAATGTCCATGAATGTCGATAAAGCCGATCCAGACTTACCCTCCTTTTCGGGTCCGTTCAGCAACATTCCGGCGGCACCATCGAGACAATCGGACGATGAGAATGATCCTTCGAAGCTATTTTGGGTTCCGGCTAGACTGCACCCGGAGCTTGCTCCCAAAGAGTTCAAGACTTTCATTGAGGAGAGGGTTGAGAAGATCAGGAGAAGGTCGGGTAGTGAGGATAGCCTCTCTGTGGATGGATTGGAGAGGTCGGGGTCGGACAGCAGCTTGCGGCGGAAGAAGAGTATGCTCTCGCATCAAATTGATGCCAGAGATCATTACGAGGATGGTGCAGAACGTCTGTCCAGGAAAAGATCGAAAGGGATGCACGTTGAAGGACAGACTATAGTGGAAAATCTTTCGGATCTGGAAACTCTGGTCAAAGACCCGGCCTTGCTGCTTCGCCGAATGAGTCTGGACACTTCGAGGCAGTCATTTGATTCTGGAGTCGAAGTAGCCAGCGACGAGGACCCGCCCATATTACCGGCAGGCGGTTTATTGAAACGATCTACACGCACAACCTACCGAAGAGGAAGTGTTAAGAAAGGAGAGAGGAATTATGCAAAGCGAGGACACCGTCGCACTTCTTCTGATGCAGACGAGCATCCACCTGTTCCTCAAATCCTGCGTACCGGTGACAGCGATCCCGCGCTCGATATCACACGCGTGCTAACGGATCCAGCCCAAATTTCTGGTGAAGGCTCGGGAAATTTCTCAAGACCGCATCAAAGACCACGAAACACTGCTCGCTCTCCCACCTCCGAAGAATTTCCTTATGAAACCGAGTATGCAGACAACAACGAATCCCTTTATGCGCCGGAAGAACATGAGCACGAAGTGGAAGTCCCGCTAGTGCAACCTCAACCGCAGCCTAAACGGTTTCAGTCGCGGATAGCTTCTCAAGGCCGTACAACTGCGCAACTTCCCGGTTACAATAATACGAATCCCCTGCCAGATGTCCTTGAAACGCTTCCGGATGGTAGTAAAGTCCCCGCGCCGGGACTTCTACATAATCTGCCTGAGCGCAAATCATCGCACGACGTACCCCGTCAATTCCAGCGTGGTGGGTCACAGTCTCGCAATGCACCTAATCGACAAGGTTCTCAAGCATCATCTTTCGATGACCTCTCACAGAGTCCTTCTCCCTTACCAGGCAGCGGCAACAACCGTACGGATTCGTTGACGGTAGTGCCCACTTTCGAGGAGAAGAAAGTAGAGAAGAAAGAAAGCTCAAAGAAGAGTGGTTGGAAGTGGATTCTGGGGAATGATGACGACGAGAAAGAGAAGAAGATTAAGGAGGAGAAAAACGAGGCCAAGTCGAAGGGAGGCAAAGCTCAAAAGGGTTCGTCAGATAAGGCAAGACTAGATGTTCTGCAGAATTCAATCGATGGGAACGCTCCGGCGCGCGGACGAGAAAGCCTTGTTCTAAACCGCGAAGATATCAAGATTGAAGAAGAGCGCAAACCAAGCAAAAAATCCGAATCCCGCAAGGAAAGCCAGCCTGGTCTCCTGTCTGCTTTGTTCGGCGGCAAGAAGAAGAGCTATGACGGTGATCTGAAAGACAAGAAACGCAAAGCCGATCGCAATCATTCCCCCGATCCAGTGCTCCGATACCTGAAGCCTGATATCGATTACAATTGGACAAGGTTCAGCATACTTGAAGAGCGCGCCATTTATCGCCTGGCGCACGTCAAGCTTGCGAATCCACGAAGAGCATTACACAGTCAAGTACTACTGTCCAATTTCATGTACTCGTACCTTGCCAAGGTGCAAATGATGCATCCTCAGATCCAAATTCCAGCTGCACAGCGAGCTGCGCAGCAAAAAAATCAACCAAAGAGCGAAAGTCAAAAACAACAGACGCAGCAGCAAGAAGCCCAACAAAAGCAGCAGCAGCAAGAAGCGCAGCAAAGGCAACAGCAGCAACAGCAACAGGAACTGCAGAGACGGCAACGACAGCAGCAACCGCCGCCACAACGAACGGACGAATATGATCAGTATCAGCAATGGCACGAGGTAAGCACACGAAGTCAAAACATCAAGAAAACTCGTGCTGATGATGACTAGCAACGAGCCGAGCACGACGATGCTTCCGAGCATAATGGTCCTGGACGCCGCAGCGCAGATGCCGGCCATGACACCAATCGATCAATGATTTATGATGATCACGATGACGAGCGACATTCTGGAGGGTACGACAGGGGTAGCTCCTCCGAAGACTATAATCGATATCAGCAGTCCTCACAAAATCCCTCATATGGCCAACGAACAACATCTTCCACAACAAATGGAAGGAAAACCGGATCGGACAATGGCTACAGTGTGGCAAGCACACACGACTATCTGGGCTACCGACATGATGAGAAACCTTTTGGCGAGGGGAGCATGTGGGATGACGACGACAAAGGCAAAACCGAAGAGTTGTGGTGAAGGGAGTGACTTGTTCTTATCTTTCTAAGCCTAGCAATTTTAAACCTCAGGATGGACGCATCGAAGTCTGTCACTGTGTTGATGTGCTTGCGCCGGCCATCAAGAGTTTTTGGGGAAATATTTTAGAACGCGACCCAAATGATGATACTTTTTGGCGATCTCTTCTGCTCACGGCACAATTACTTGCCTTTTCGGCCGCACCTGCAGGCTTCGGTGCCAAAATAATTAAGCCATCTCCATGAATGTAATACGAGAATAAAGTGCCAAATTGATTGTCACGATTGATTGCATAGAACGATCGACCTGAGCATGACGAATGAGGGCCGACCCGACAGCCGCTAAATCCGATACGTAGTGCGGTGCACATTCGTTGCTTCCATGATGAATCGCATATCTCAGGTGTGCGCGCTTGTAAGTGGAAGTTATCGCTCCATACCGAAGCAGCATAGTTTTGCGACCAACGACACGCTCTGCAGACTATTGCGATACTTCTCACTACCGCGAAACGACCTCCGAAGATCAGTCGTCCATAATTGCGCCAATGCAGGCTCGAGAGTCTCCGAGCTTGCCCAAGAAACGAGTCCAAATGCCTGATCGCTGAAAGGGCCCCCACCATTCTCAACGTGCGGCGTCCATACACGCGCCAACAGCACCGCCGTCATGGAACGGCATAAGCGACGTATGATCATGTTGGAGCGATAACTCCAGATCTTGAAATCTCACAACCGACCACAGGTGACCTACGCGAACAGAATGCAAGAGCTTGGAATGGCGAGAAAGGTGCTTGAAAATTCTCACGTGCAATCACTGTCGCTTCTCACAATGTCCTGACACGAGTTGAGCAGATGTCCTCTCGGATGAGCAGCCGCTTGACTCCAGCTTGAAGAAGAACACCGCATTCATCAAACGACTCAGGCTGGCCATAACCGCATCCAACACGGCAACATTTTTGCAGGAGATTCGCACTCTATCTCTGCATAAATACCTGACCGAGGTCATCTCAGCATGCTACGAAGGATTGACAAAGCTCAAGGGAGCAGCAGACATCTCCGCGGGGGTCGAGATCGTCAGTGCACTACACCAGCGTTTCGGTCCGGAGGAGTTCACGTGCTTCCTGGGATGGTACATCGGTCGTGGATTGGCAACACCAGACAAGGTACAGCTCAAAGCGTTGGCTCCCGAAGTACGCGAACGTGAGGAGAAAGAGCGTCTTGCTCGCCAGAGAGTCCTGTTGCGGGTTGCGACGGAGCTCTGGCTCGTAGGAGTACTGAGGAGTCTCGACGATGTCGCGAAACCAGAAGAAGCAGGCAAAGTGCGCGATGTAGGGAAAGCTGTCGAGGGTACTTCCAAATTGAAGTCAGGAAGCGCGCGGCCAGACTCCGCCGATCCGGAACCATTTCCACTGGAAGTCTTGAAGGATATGCTGGGCCATGATCGTGAGCATGTCAATCTGCCACTCGTGGTGCTTTTTGTGAAGACATTCGCTTGGGATATCCTAGGATCGAAATCTGCCAAGCAAGAGGGTCGTCAGGAGGTTGCGGAAGATGGCACGACGAACGCATCCGGAGAGGCGAATGCGGAAAATGACGACGGCTCAGCACTTGATCCACCTTTGACGGAGCCACCGCTCAGAGCACGTTTCAATAACATCCTGGTTCGATACTTTGATGACGTCAAAGATCACATCGTGAGAGATCAAAAGCATCTGACGACGCAGAGCAAGCGCAATGCAGAAGCATATGTTAAGTCAGGCGAGGTATTTGAAGACCGTCAATCAAATTACGAAAAGCTCCTCAAGGCGCAAGAAAAGCTGATTACTAACGCGCAAACGCTGGCGGAAGTCCTCGGAGTCGATATGCCCGATCTCTCTGCCAAAGACACTACAGCTAGCGCTTTCGAGGGCAGCATCGGACTAGTCAAGACGGGAGAATACCTACGAGGTCAAACTGAAGGCGCTGGCATCTGGGAGGACGAAGACGAGCGCCGCTTCTATGAAAACATTATTGATCTGAAGGATCGAGTGCCGGGAATCCTGCTCGAGGATGGTAAAAAGAAAAAGGTTGATACAGATGAACAGGTCGGCAAGAAGATCGACGAGACTGCTGAAGCTGAGAAAGCTGCGGAGTTGAAAGCGGCCGAGAGCGACGAAGGTTCTACGGCTATCGCCAACAAGACCGTCGGCGCACAAGTGGACGCGCTTCTTGCCCGTCTTCTGGAATTGGTCACCAAGGATCAGGTTGATCAATTTGCGATCGATTTCTGCTTCCTCAACTCAAAAGCCTCTCGCAATCGTCTCATCAAAGCCATGGAGGAGATCCCCAAAGGTCGAAGTGATTTGTTGCCATTGTATGCTCGCCTGATTGCCACGCTAGGACGGCATCTCCCAGATGTCCCACAGTCCATCATCTCGTACCTTGATGACGAGTTCCGAAGCTTGCAACGTCGAAAAACGAAAGACTTCTTGGGACAGGTGCGAATGGTCAATATTCGTTACATCGCTGAACTGACCAAGTTTGGTGTTGTGCCCGAACATGTCATTTTCCACTGTCTCAAAGTCAGCTTGGACGACTTTTCCAGAATGAACATCGAAATCATAGCGAATTTGCTCGAGAACTGTGGACGATATCTTTTGCGCAACCCAGAGACATCCCCGCGGACTGCGTCCTTCCTAGAAACGCTCCAACGGAAGAAGGCTGCACAACATCTTGGACAGCAGGAGCGCATGCTCATCGAGAATGCCGTTTACTATGTCAATCCCCCTGAAAGGGCGGCGATCCTGCAAAAAGAGCGCACTACCCTCGATCTCTATGTTCGAAATCTGGTCTATGTTGATTTGAGCAAGAAAAGCCTGGATAAGGTCATCAAGCAGATCCGCAAACTGCATTGGGAGGAACCTGAGGTAGTCGAAATGCTACGTAAGATTTTCGTCAAGCCTGGTAAGATTCGTTTCGGCAACATCTATCTTCTGGCGATGCTGTTAGCTGCGCTCTATCGGTTCCACACCAGCTTCGCCATCACCGTCTTGGACGAAGTCCTCGAGCGCGTCACTGTCGGTCTTGAAACCAACGACTTCAAGTTCAACCAGCGACGTATTGCTGAAGTCAAATACCTCGGAGAGTTGTACATGTATCGCATCGTTGACTCGGCCCTGATTTTCGATACTTTGTACAAGGTGTTGAATTACGGTCACGAGGGAGGATACGCGCAACCTGGCAAGATCTGTCCATTTGACTTACCTGACGACTATTTCCGCATCCGACTGGCCTGCGCTTTGCTTGAGACTTGCGGTCACTGTTTCGAGAAGGGTGCGGCAAAGAAGAAGCTCGATTTCTACCTGACCTTCCTTCAGCTATACATCAACCTCAAAGACCCTCTACCAATGGATATGGAATTCGTCGTTCAAGACACATACAACTTGTTGCGTCCGCAGTGGAAGCTCATCCTCGATGACGCTACAGAGGCAAGCAAGTCATTTGCTGAGGCCTGTCGACAGAACTACCACGATGCCGCTGCCGGCAAAGCCGTTGAGCCAGATGAACCAGAAGAACAACCCGATGACGATGGTGATCTTTCAGATGATGCTCATGCTGAAGGAGACGACAACGCTCATGAAGACGGAGCCAAATCTGACAGTGATGACGTTCAAGACGAGAACGAAGAGCGAGCAGCCGAGTCTTCGGAGGACGAGCGCATCGTTGTCACTCGCAAGGAGGATTTCAGAGATCCCGAAGCTGATGCCGAGTTCGATCGAGAGCTGGCTAAATTGATGGCTGAAGGCGTTGAGTCTCGGAAGTTCGAGCGCAAGCCTCTGCTGGATGTCCCGCTACCTATGCGCCGTACCACGCGCGAGGTGTCCTCCAACCACGCAGATGAGAATGATCGAGAAGCACCACAGCCTGTCAAACGGAATGACAATGGAATGATGAAGTTCGACCTCTTGAGCAAGAAGGGCAATCGCCAGCAGGTATGTAGACCTCGGATGGTACTCATGGAAACGTGTGACTACTGCTGACCACGAGAAATCATAGACTCGCCCGATCGATCTTCCAGCCGATTCAAACTTTGCGATTGCACTCATCAACCAACAGCAAGCCGAACGTGCCGAGCAACAGCGCATCAAGAACTTAGTTCTGAACTACGACCTGACCGACGATCAGACCGATGGTGAAAATCCCAATTTCCATTTCGTTATGTCCTCTAGCAATCGTCGTTCGTTACGCCTTGTGGGAAGTGGCTCGCTCAACCGAGGCCCCACAAGGTCTGATTCTCTCCCACATTCGAACAGACCTGCCCGCCGTCTTGCGCTTGGCGATCTCGCGTTCTTTCGTTGACCTTCGATCGTTTCTTAACACATGTTTCCATCCTTTTGACGTTCCATGGTCATTGCATTTACTTACGAGATATCTTTATCACAGGGCCCTTTGAAACAATTCATAATCAGCCTCGATATGACAAGTCGGGAAACACGCGCAGCAAGCAACGTGCTCGGAAACTGCAATTGGGAGATCTGGACTGGTAGGGAGGCCTACAGATTGACCACAGAGTTGTTGCTAACATCCGCACAGGACTTGATGTGTCATTTTCGAGACGGCTTCGAGGCTTTGCCCAACGCACCTGAGCCATTCATTTTTCACCCCATCCGATTCCATGGGAAGAGAGATCAACCACCGTCATCAATTCTGCTACATCTTCCGCATCTAGCACGAAGTCACCGACGCTACCACTGCGACGAGCTCGCCTGATCAACCACGGCTCTCCATCGACTTCCGCAACAACGCCTGCTGGTGGATTACAACTATCGAACGATCTCGGCTCACTCGGTCAGGAAGCACGTATGCCATCACGTCCTTCCTGCTGTATACTGCACAGTAGCGGAACTCGGGTGTGGCAAGTCCTCCTGGGCTAGTACGGCCCTGTGTAGGAAGAGAATTCCCAGGGCTGCAGGATTACGGTCTGAAGCCTGAGGAATACTGTCCAGAAAGTTATGGTTTCTATATGAGCTGCTGCCTGCCATCCAGGTAAAGGCACTGCTTTGGGACTACATCTGCCTGTGCCAGCAAAGCTGCAACGATCGACCGCTTGACGTACCTGGAGTTGGCGCCGATGCTCGCGTGCTCGCTTGTACCAATCCGGCAGAACGTGGACAGGAAAGCATGGAATCAAATAATCGCCGAATGATGGAGTGTGTCTTGTACTTGAGGGCCACCCAAGGGAGTATTCAAGTTCTTAGGAACAATTAGGTTGTATCATCGCTCGTTACTTGCGATCGGGCCCCCTCCCATCGCGCTCAAATTGAATCGCTATCATTTCATTCGAAATTTCGCTTTTCTCATTAGGTTTGAAGAATGTGATATTTACAGTCCAGACACAAAGGCCAACCTTAGGACTTCGCCCACACGTGAACTCATACACTTAGGTCCTGCTCTCTCCCCTCTATCTGATGCCATACCAAAAGCACTAAACCATTGGCAATCTCCCCATCATCGCCGCCTACGGCCCTGCCGTCGAGCTATAGTTCTGTCCCTGATGATGTATGGTCGGCGCCGCCGCTAGGACATCTCGGATCAGCGTCTCGCGTTTGAGTTCCTGCATGCTCCAGCTCTGTTGGCGGGCGAGGCCGGGCGTGAACGATGACGGTTTTTCCTGCTGGGGTTTCTGTTGATTTTGATGATGGGCGTCGTCGGGAGTGGTGCTGGTGATGGGTACGGCGCCGGTGGTGGGATTGCCCGGTAAGGACTGGCCTGCAGTGGCGGCGGCGTGGGCGTAGGAGCCTTGGGTTGCGTCGTGGGAGGTCTGCTTCGCCGTCTTGTCTTGGTCGTCGTCGTCGAGGAGAGCGCGCGTGGCGAGGGTGGTGGTGGACGGGAAGGTCTGGGTGCCTGGTGGCGGGATAGTGGCGGAGGTGGTGGTGGAAGACATGGTTCTGGTATTGACTTGATGAGGCTTAGATTGTAGATCGAAATCAATTGGTATTGATGGTTGGAGAGGCCTTTCTCCGTTCGACCGAATCTGTAAGGCTTGCAGTGGTGGAGGGGGCAGTCGTCCACGTCACAAATGGTATGGATGATGCTCACTGGCGATCAGTGCGAGACTGATGTGATGACAGAAAGTGGAGAATGGTGAATGGATACTTGAATGCATGTACGTGTGCGTCGGTAAGAGGGTCTCAATCGTCAGGAAGCTTCTCTCTGGTTGTCAAGGTGCTACGGTGGAGCTCAAGCTCCGTACATACTTGTACGATGGATGTCCTTCTGCCAGGAAAGAGCTGCCTCGACGTGTGTTCATCCTTCCTTCAGTATATGTACTCTGTGTTGGCAGTCATGAACTGTTGGCATCATCGTTCGCCTGCAGCCCGCCTATAGTGATTACGACCACGGCAAGCACTCCTCAGCTTTACGTACACTTACATGTACCGCTTTACCGACAGGTGACGGACCTTTCTGTCTCGTATATTTCACATCGACACCTCGACCAGATGCCGCCATCAACCACACCTGGACACCTTTGAAGGCCGCTGTACATATCGTCACGCACAGAAGGATTCCGGCCAACAGTGGCGATTTGAGCGGAAAGGAAGCATATCACCCGCACTTTCTCCCTTCCAAAAATCCGGTCATCTTCACTCACAGCGCTGCTTCATCGCAGCAGACGCCCGGTAAGATCTGGTGATCACCTGACACTGTCAGAAACTTCGGTGTGCTGTGCGACGTCTTCGCAGCTGTCTCTCGCCCGATTCGATCGTTGATTGAACTCTGATCGCCTGGGGTTATGATAAGCAACGTGATGGTGTTCAGACTACGCGACTATTTCCTGTAGGAGACAGACTCGATGGAAGTGCTGGGAGACAGCTGGAAGGCGCCGTTGCATTGCTAGTACCTTGAGCGGGATATGCAAGTCGTGGCAACAGGTTTTGTCGAGGGTCGGAGGTTTGGCAGTCTCGCAATTGGGCACAATTCGTGCAAGCAAGTCGGTGTTACATCACTGAGGGATGCGGAGGACAAATGGTTACCTAGGGAGCAGGCTTGTTTACAAACTTCCGGCTTGGGACATGCGAATACCTACCTCTCCCCATATAATCAAGACAGGTACTTGCTTTGTTAAGCATACCAGGTGACAAGTCTCGAGTCACCAGTATTGCTACCCTTGTTGATTAGAAGTTTGAGTGTACGTAGGTGAATTGAAAATATCAATTATCAGAAATCGCTGGCCTCTCCCTCCGAATGCCTTTGAAGCCGACTCACCGTGTCTACAGCTGTACGAGATTCGTGGCGTGAAATTGAGGACAACACTTGGATCATTGGCGGCAAGATAAAGCTCGTCCGTGGGCCAGCTCCGCTCCTCGATTCATCTTGGATTGATGACGATGGCACTTATTTCACCGCATTCGAAGCGGACAAGGAAGACATAGATGCAGCAATACAGCACCCGGCTCCGAAGACGCCTTTCAAGCTGGTCTACGATGCCTGGGATGCCCACGCCGTTTGGCAAGTCGGCAACGCTTTCGTCAAGATCACCATCATCGCCGGCCCATTGATTACAAGGGAATATGTCACGCTCGCAGCCGTCCACGCTATGCTTGGCCTGGGTTTCCGACTTCCAAATGTGATCTACCACGACGAGAAGGGAAGCCGTTACTTCTTGATCATGAGTAGAGTAGTGGGAGAAATATCACACAAGATATGGCCTTCATTGAGCGTCGATGAGAGGGGTGATTGCGTCGGTCGTGTCGCAAAGCGCTTGCACACTCCTGACGACTCACGAAGCATCTGACATGGGCGGAGTTGACGGAGGTCAAATCCCGAAATATTACTTGGTGGCAAAGCAGGAGTCCGGCAGCGCAGCCAACTTCGACACTCAACTTCAGCTTGAAACGTGCAAGGCGCTCGGAATGGACTGCCCAGGTTTTGTTTTCTACTACTGTGATCTGGGACCGGGAAACATCCTGCAAGATCCCGCTGATGGTTCGATCGGTGTCATCGATTGGGAGTGTGTTGGGTTCTTGCCCCGAGCATGGATCTTGACCGAGTTTCGTGTCAGTGGTGGACACGATTTGGAAGCACCCGGTGATGGATACGATCAATTCGACTATAGGGTTCGCCTGATCAGAAAGCTTCTTCAAATGGGCTTCGATCATGTTGTAGAGCAGTGGTTGTCTCTGGGAAAGTCTTGAGTCAAGGTAGCTGGAATCACCTCCAACAAGTCTCTAACCCAAACCCTACCTGTAAGGGTATAGGTACCTGAACAAGCCTACATCCTTGTGAAAAGCTGCCGAGAACATGCATTTTGGTGGTCTCGATGTCCTGCAGTCTTCCTCTCTCATAAGGGGATTGATTCTGTACATGGAGCTTTTACCTTCGGTAGAAAGGATGAAAACAGGTCGAGACGGTGATGATCGGTAAATGACACAGAGAAGTGCCTTGTCTCTGCTCGCTTTCTGTTCCTTCATGTTGAACAGAATTACGACGACAATCCCGTACTCTGCACTGATATTGTCCTGTATGACACTGCGGTACTGTGACTATGTCAACGGTGGTCGTGTGTGTATGCCTGTCTGGTACAGGCGTGGGCATACGTGTGCGCGTTTCATGGGTTGGTTGGCTGGCTGGCTGGCTGCCCCTTTCATCTGTTTCGTCAGTGCGGCCAAGGCCTCTGTGCTTTATTAACAACAATCCCGCCGAAGCAATTGGCTCCTTTTGGGGGCCGATCGAAATTTGAGCTGGTACTGGAGTATCTTATTGCTCTCCCTCCGCCTCATGGCGCACCCAACCCCGACCGCGACTAGACAATCCTCAACACTGCCTCATCTTGTCCTGACGGTGACATTAATAAAAATAGACAGATCCTTTTGAGCGGGCAGGGTCTTTACACGAAGGAAGGACCGTTGAGCATCGGGAAGTCGGTGTAGAGTAGCGCATGGAAGATATAGACCGATCTCAGATGGCCGCCGCCGCATCCCTGCGTGCTGGACACTGTATTTCTGACTAGACGGTAAATTGAAATGCTCGACAGACGCGATGAAAAAAACAACAGAAGGGTGCGCCTCCACGTGTGCCTCGCAGCGGCATAATTAGTGCTGTAGAGAGTACTTGTGGTCGTGTCGGCGTTGGGCAATGATGCATTGAGAACCATCTTCCCATAAATTATGATGTGCACGGGGTACATGATACACCACCGTCTCATCTTTCCAGTATACTACAGTATGTTCTCCGCGATCGTCTGAGGTGATTGATTGAGCACGCGACACTCCGAGTATCCGTCTCTTCAAACGGTGCGGTTCGTCGTCAGGTTCGTACTCGTCAGGTTCGTACAGTACACGCTTCCGATAGCACCTGGATGGCTATCCCGTTGGATGGATCACTCGTATTCCAATGATAATTTCGGACTGCCAGGTGTGTTTGATGTAGCATAATAATTCCCCACCTGGAGCGATTCTGGTCGGTGAGCACGCGATTGTGGTCAATTCTTCGACACTATCCGGAAAAGAGAGCATCTATTTAGAGCTTGGTTCCTAATCTGTCCGCTTGGACTTGAACGGCAATAAAACAAACAGGGAGAAGGCTCATCTTCCCGTCGCCTTTCTCTAACAAAATGCAGTATGTACTGACTGCATAGGACATAGTACAATATTCTGATTCCAGGTAGATTTCCTGCGCAGTGGACAAATTCGGCGTAGTCGGCACGTTGGTGCCTCCAAAGCAGTCCGTCAAACTTTCTTCTGGGCAATTTTGGCGTACCATTTTTCATTCGGTATGGACGACATTGATATTCATCATCTCGCTATAATAAATTCCCTATGGAGAAAGGGGAGACAGAGCCGCGTCAGGGCATACGACGCCAGCAAATCTCTGTATCTTCACATACATTCCGGATAGGTGTGTGGGTGTCTACGGGCAGGAGGTCATATGAGTCCAGGAAAAAGGATGAAACGCCGTCGGGGTATCGATGGGCGGTGGCGGCGGCACCTCTGACCCCATTCCGTCTCTTCTTTTCCCTGTCTTCGTTCCATGTTGTTCCATATCTGCGCATGCACGCGCCGCCCACCTACAGCAAGTACGTCCAGTTCACCCACACCCACCGACCCACACCCGTTCCCGTGGACGACTCGAGTCGATGGTTAGGTGCGTAAATGGGAAATGCCGCCAACAACGCCTTGCCAGCACGTTTGCAGTAGTCTGTACTATATTCATCGCGGCCAGCGAGAGTGGAAGAGTCTATTGTACACGGACGATCGATGGGTGGAGACGGAGGAGGGTCCACGCCGACAACACATTCTTCGATAATTATCGTTATCCACTACGACTTGATTAATACACTGCCAATTGTATTATTCGTGGCGGCTCTCCGAAATCATCTTCTTCTCGACTACTAATGAAGCACGACAATTGAAAAAAATCAAAGGCGATCACCAGGTATCCGTCCTCCAGAGCATAAAACGACCATCCCATATCATCACAAATCATCGCACCCGAGAACCTTCGGATCTTCTCGCTGTTGAACTGTGTCTCCTCCGATCTATCTCATTATTTTCGCTCTCAAGGATCACCGATATATCGGACAAGCCAAACCCAGCTGTCTAGACTACGCGTCTGATCTCCACAAGCATTGCTTCATCGCAACATCGAGCATCTGCTCCCACTCCGAGACTTCCATTCTTCCTTCGCCCAGCCCGCACTGCATTACGCTGCGCTGCACGTGTCTCATACTGCACAGCCTGATCCGGAAACTTTTCAGACGATCACGGACCTCTTTCAGCGAAGAATGCAACAGACGACATGTTTCCACCCTCGCCAGCTCTCAGTTTTGTCGACTCCCTTGACGGCATCGAGGATCTAGAGGCATACCTCGACGCTCAACCTGCCCTATCCCAATTTCCGACACCACCACCTGGTGTGTCCAAGAACGGGAAAGGCCTTGCTCGGATCACTGCCACACCGGCGGGCATCGTGACGCAGCAACTACTACAAAACCTCGACGAGAACCCTTGCAGTATTTCACATGATGACCGTATGTTTGCTTTCTCAATTCAAATCCGTCCATTTCCTCTGTTGGAAACAAGCAATTGCAATTCTCGGTCTGGTTGGGACTATCACGCTAATCTTGCAATCTGAATAGATCACACAGCGGCTACAACGCTTAGTGAAGCGGTGAATTTCACAAACTTATCTTCACCAGAAGATATTGATCTTATCCGACTCCTGCTCATCCGAGCAAATCTATCTTTGGAGATTCTCGTCATCGCCCTCAACATCCTCACCTCATACCGGCACCGCCAGGAAGCTCTAGCCGCTGAGCAAATTCTCCCACCATCATCGTTATCATCACATCAGCATGAATTTACGAAATCGCCTTCCCTCCTCATCACCTCAGCTCTCTCTCTGGCGGTGTCCTACACGACAGATCAGCCTCCTCCCAAATCATGGTGGGTCCAACACGTCGGCGGGTCCACCTGGCCAGGCCAGAGTCTGCACGCCGCCACGTTGGATATCCTCATCACCCTCGACTGGCGCCTTCACGCATACAGCTCGAGCGGGAATCTGCAAAGCGGGAGGTCCGCGCTCTTACGTCTGGACGGTTTGGCCCAGGGGAGGTCGACAACCGCGGGAGCAAGCTCGAGACATCGTCTGAAAGTGGACCTCATGGAGCATGGTCGCCATGGTGATGACGGTCATCGAGATCTCGGCCTCGGACGCGGCGCTGATGGTCGCCGGACAATCTGGGAGAATGGCCAGATCACACCCGGCGACGAAGAGCAGTCGGTGCTCTCGAGGTTCCCCTCTCGCGCAACCTCGGTGACGTCCCTGGCTGCCGGGACAACGACGCTCACGGTCCCTACCACGACGTGGAAAGCCGGATCACAGTTTCTGCCACTCCTGTGAAGGATTGTGGTCGTCTTCATGGTCGGGACACGCTTCTTGATCTGGTGCTGAAAGGCCTGGACACAGATGTCACGAATCCGGGCATGTTTCCCGCTGCGACCTTGACATCCGATGGCGGTCCGTCGTGTGCGAGACGTGCGATGTTCTCACACTCTTCTCTCTTATCTGTATGCGCTCAAGCGAGATACCTCTATGCGTTGGATTCTGTTTTTGGATATTCACTTTCGATCATCATTATCATCATAAGCGAGGGCGTTTTGGTCAGGCGGCAACCGGCGTCCTTTCACATCGATTCGGGATGAGGCCTCGTAATCAGAGATCGATCACTTTCTTCGACTCTGGTCGCGCGTCGGAGCAAACCCATTGTTGGGAGATGGTCAATTCATACTTGGCCCATTGGCTTCGACAATTTACATTAGCATTAGCATTAGCATTGGTACTTATATAACATGATGGCATTGATTCTCTTGTATCAGTCATGGTCGTCATCACTTTTCCCGCCTGCGATCAAGCCACGGAGCTCGATATGACATGTCCTCGTCCGAGAATAGCAAAAAGCACATTGAGGAATTGACCATCACGAAAGATCACCAGAGATGGAAAAAACGTCTGACGACCTCGCAATGCTTTGAGAATAGTACACGAAAGACAAAGTCTTCATCTCGTCCATCGTTCTGATTGAAAGAAAGGGTCAAGGAACGGATACTGGTCGCCCGACCTCGACCTCCAACAGTCTGCTCTCCGCCGGCCTCCTCTCCACCAACCTCGTCCATCTCCTCCGCCTCCACATCCCAAACCTCTCCGGTCCAACCACGCTTCCAAAGTCCCTCCTCTGCGCCATCCTGTTCTCCCCTGAAACCCCAGCGCCTTTCCCTTCGCGATCGAATTCGCCCAGCTCCCCCGTCAGCGTGTTCGCCGCCGGCGACAGACTCAAGCTGTCCAACAGCGAGGCCGTCTTGGCCGCCTCGCTCGGGTCCTCCGCCGCTAGATCGTACACCCATCGCTCGCCCGCCTCCTCGACCGCGACGTCCGCGATCAGCCTCTGCTCCACCCACTCGCGGCTGAACAGGTCCAGCGCCCACTTCTTCTCCGCCCAGGTCCAGCCCGCGGGGGGGAGGACCTCCTCGAAGAAGGCGGTGCCCTTCGGCCGGCGGCTGGAGGTGTCCGCGACCACGCCCCCGCCCCCGCCGCTGCCCGGCGCGGGGGCCACGCGCCGCTCGGGGCTGTGCGGGTCCCAGGGCGTCGCGCAGAACAGCCAGGCCTCCCACGTCGCGCTGCCCGGCTGGAACTTCTGCAGTTCGAAAATCTCCACCTGCCGCGCCTCGGGCGCCGCGTCCAGGCTGATGTCGGCGTCGATCCACGCCCGCAGGCGCGCGAGCCCGGTGTCGAGGTGGCCTTGCAGGCCGTCGAATGCGTTGCTGGTTTGCAGCGCCTTTTGGACTTCCGGATGGGCGGAGAGGACGGCGGCCCAGCCGCCGACGAGGGCGACGAGGTGGTATGGCACGACCCAGGTCCCCAAGAGCGCGGCGGCCCCGAGGGTGAGCCCCGCGATGAAGAGCGAGGAGCTCAGGCGCTCGTCGCCGAAGTTCACGAGCGGCGTGATGGCGGTGGCGGCGGCGTCGTGGCCCGCGGAGAAATCGCGCATGGAGTTCTGCAGGTCGCGCATGTTGTGCCAGAAATCCCGGCTGACTTCGGGCGCAGGTTTGATGCGGGTCGCGGGAGCGGTCGCGGGCCCGGCGAAGCTGGGTCCCATGCGTGGGTCGTTGGTCGGCGTGGGATGTCGGGAGACGAAGTTCGGGAGCATGATGGCGAAGAGGAAGCAGGCCAATGGAGGGATGACGGGGATCAGATGCGGTTGCAAGCAGAGTAGAGTGTGAGCGGCGAGGAAGGAGAGAGTGTGTGTTGGATGGTGCCAGGTGAAGAGCCGGATCATCATGTCTTGAAATACGAAGACGACGCCGATGCGTGCGTTGAACAGCCGGAAGTTGACCGCCATGGTGGCGAGATTAAACTCGGGACGCCCACCGCTGCCGTCAGTAGATGGCTGGACTTTTTTCTTGTTGCCGCCGAGCGAGGGATTCGCCGGAGATTCGTCGTCGTCGCCCTCGTCGCCCTCGTCGATGGGCATGGCTGGGAGAATCTGGCTCATCACCTGCGTAAGGAGGCGATCTTGTATGCTTGTGCGACGGTCGCTCGATGCACCGCTCATGACGGAAGGGTCTCGGGAGTAGGAGCCGACCATGGAGTCGCGTAGGCGATTGGCTCGTTGGCGCCATTTGCCGCGGCCGCTCATGGTCGTGTCTTGGGTAGTGACAGAGGCGGCATCGTCGTCATCGTCGTTGTCATATCGGTCAGGATCGGTTTGAGTTGTCAAGGGAGCCAACTGTGGAGTCCGTATGGCAGACGTGCTTTTCGTCGATGATGTCGGAGTTGGCGCCATTGTGGGCCGAGGACCCGGGAAAATGCGCACGACGGTGCAGTGCGTATTAGTTTCTTGCTTTGCAGTCAAAGAGATTTCGCTTGTCGCACTCTTCAAACGCGAAGCTCGTGAATATTTTCTTTCTTATTACATGTCGTGTACGCGAGTCAGGATCTATGTACGGTATATCACACGTCTAGGCAACGATGGCTCGAAGACACGAAGAGAGGTCAAAGCCCGCACCCGTTCGGCTTTCGTCGTCACAAGCTCGGCTCTGAAGCAGGGCGTGACGTCTTGTCCCACATGCCCGGAATTGGCCCCGGACCATCCAAATTCCTCTGACATGCCTGTGAATATTTTCTGTCTCACGTTGCCAGTATCGTTGGACAGCCACGGCTGCTGGAGCGAACTGTGAGGCAGGCGTAGTGTTGGGTCAACTTCCTCAGGTAGATTAAATAGACATAAAACAGGAATGCTGGGATAAAAGGCTATCATGGCATATGACTGTTCAAAGGCCACCAAAAAGCACAATGTGTAGTGAGAGAAGCAGGGTCAATAAAACTCCTAAATTACGCTGAAGAGGCCGAAAGATACCTCTTCCAGTCGCGAACAAAATTCACAGAAACACGACAACTCCACTGAGGAGCACTCTTACAAGAGGCGAACATTCAATCACCACCTGCACATGAGCGCCCTCCAGATTTAGATAGATCCAGTCATCAGACTCCCAATCTTCGCCGTCGAGCTCGATATCGGGCTCGAGCCTTCTGACCCCGAGACCTCCGACCCGTACCCACTGTCCCGTCCCGCTTCATCCCAACCGCCGAATTTCCGGCCAATGTCTACGCACAATCGCACGACGATTTCCCGTTCCAGGGCGCCGATCACTCCGATCGAAGGTCCCGAGTCATGAATTGTCGACGAGTAACCCGGTTCATCGTCGTCGCTGAGGGCGTCGGATGCAGTGGAAGGGGCGCCGGTGCCGATCCAGACGCGGAGACCGGCCGCGAGGTTCTCGATGCCATTGATGGTGGAGCGGGGAAGAAGGGCGTTCTGAGCTGGACTTTTTGACGTGACGATGGTAGCGGACGACAGGTTGCGACCGTGGCTTTTGTTGGGCCTGGTGTTCTTGCCGTTGCCAAGCAATCGTAAGAGACGGTAGGTGGCGACGGCTGTAAGGAGGGAATGATGCGTAGATGGAAGATCAAGGTTTGCGAGAGCGTCGTGGGCACGGGCGCGGCTTGAGCGAGCTGCGTCCGATGATGGCGAGGTGGAAAGAAGGGAAACGAGCTTCGCCAACGTGAGTGCGGTGCAGATATCAGGAGACGCAGGTGTGTGAGGGACGAGATTCATGCCGATGCTGGTAGTTGAGTTGGCGTTGTTTTGGGTCGTTGATGGGACTTCGGACGATAAGACGGGCAGAGCCTCCAGAGCGGCGACGATGTTCGCATCGCGGTTGGAGCTGGATAGCACGGCCTTGGCGGCCAGTGCGCGCACGTGGGTGTGCGACGCAGGCGGTGCGACCCGCAAGGCAAGGCCAATGTAGTATTCTGTATCGAGGCAGGAAGTGCCCGTCGAGGCGGCTCGCAGCCTCTCTTCCGGCTCGGCAGATGCGAGAAGAGCATCGGCGAGCGTGGTGTCGAGGGTGGCGTTGGCATACCATGCAGCGACTGCATCTAGAGGCGATCGGATGGCATGGTCCTCAACGACACTGTCGCGCGCCGGGTTTGCAATGGTGCCGTGCGCGCTTGGTTTGTTCCACGCGAGGTTCCACGCACGTTGAATCATCTCGTCGCTCAGTACGTCGTCACATTCCAACTCAAGCAACATGGCGAGATGATCGGGGAGCACTTCCACCTCATCATCATCGCCCTCGTTGGGCCGACCTTGTTGCTGTGCTTGAATGAGATCCTTCTGCAACTTCCGTGCCGAGTCCCAATAGTATGCCCCGACTTTCTCCGTGAAACGCTTGAAGCCAAAGAAGTTGCCATAACCGATATTAGCAAGGTCCCAGAAGAAGACACGGAAATGTACAGCCTTTTGCATGAGTCGCACAGGTGAATCGGGTAAAGTTCCACTCTCCATGAGCGTTAACAGGAGACGGTAGTAGCTGACTTGAGCATCGCCACCGGCCAGCTGCGCATCGATAGCGATATCCCATGCCTTGAGACGAGCGGCCTCTTCTTCTTTGCTGGTGCCGGTGATATTGGTGAAGGCTTCGGAACCGATAAGCCTCCTCACGCTCAGTTGAATCATCTTTGCGCACACCGCCACGACTTCGAGCAAGAAATGTTTTGGCACCCAAACTGATTGAATTGCAGTAAGCCAGGCTTTCCGTCGTACCTCAACTGGTGATGCCAATGATGGCGCCTGAGGAAGTCTGACAGCAGATCTGGTCTTTTGCTTCTTCGACGCGGTGAACGAGAGGAGGAAAGGCGCAAAGACGTAAAGCAGGACGCCAATGACGAGAGCAACTTTGATGAGTGGTAGCGCGGCTTGTCGAGCAAGGGGCATTCCTTCACCGCTCCACGACCGTCGGAAGAGTGATAAGGGCACTCCAGCCAGGGATCGATCAGAGGAACCGCCGCCAGAAGACTGCTGTTCGTTGACGCCCTCCATGACCATGATGCCGGCCATTGCGCCAAGCATGACCTTGTTGGCAACGCCGCCTTTGGACTTGAGGGCTTTGGGTTTGTTCTGCGCATCCACGGGGGCGTTCGGGGGACGAGCATACGTAGGTGCCGCTTGTTGTGACCTGTATTGTTGGGACGTGACCGGTTGGGTGTAGCGTATCTGCTCAGAAGGGACACTCAAGAAGGAAGAAGGTCCGGATTGCGATGCAGATGATGCTTTCCTGGAGGAGGTAGAGCCTGGCGATGAACCCGCACTGTGGCTACCATCTCGACCCAACGCCATCTCTACTGCCGCCAGGCGAGCCTTAAGTGTTGCCATCTCATCGGCCATTTTTTCATTGCGCTTCTCCAAATGATGGATGTACTCGGTCGCCTTGGCCATTACTGTTGCCTTGTTGAGCTTATGGGCTGCAGTCAATCCGTCAAGGTCTTCGGCGTCTTTCGCACGACCTTTGGCGCGCAAGCTAGGCACACTGTTTCGAAGTTCGATGATTTTGTCGTTGAGGTTGTTGCGGTAGCGTTTCTCAATAACATTGTGTGAGGTTTTCTTCACAGGAGGTTCGTCGCCATCTTGCATGATACCCTCGAGGAGCATTCCCTCTCCACCTCCCTCTGTCGGCGATTCTGCCTTTCGCTTACGTCCACCGCGCTTTTTGGGAGGTTCGGGTGACGTCGATGATACGCTGGATCGCTTGTTTGATGTGGATTCGGGAGAATTGGAGTAGCTGTGTGTGGTTGTGGCTGTAGATGGCGTAGCCAATAGACCTTGTTTCGGGTCCACGGACATTACGGATGATGCAGACCTCGATGTCGCATCCGTGGTGGACGGAAGATTCCAGCCTGCAGTATTTGTGTCGAGTCGGGGATAAGACGGTGCCTGCTGTACAGCTGTGAACGGTTCGGTATTGGCAAAGTCGAATATGCCTGTGGACTCGTCCTGATGTCCAAAGAGGAAGGGTTCTTGTCTGTAATCGTGATTCGGCTGGAAGTTCGCGCCATCATCGCCGACGATGAGAGGTGCCTGTGCCAGAGAGGACCCGAGGTTCTTATCGAAGAGATCGTTGCCAGCCGGGAATGCATGGGTCTGCATGGGCGAGGCATCTTTGGAGGACGTCGAGCGCGAGGCGGTGTCGTCTGGAGACGTTGATTCAGCAGCAGGATCCCAGCGCAACCAGTCCTCCCAATCCTCGCCGGTGCTTTGCATTTGACTGGGAGTCATATGAGAATCAAACATTGACAAGTCTTGCGACATGGTATTATGCCATGACGGATCCATTGGGAGGCGTGTGCGGACCACCAGGTGTGATCTCTCTGTTCAAAGCAAATTCGTGATGGCGGATGTTGAATATGACGCGACGAGGCGACAATGTATGTACGTGTGGATTAGATCGGGCTATTTGTCAACCGTCATCTGCGCCATCACAGTTTCGACACGGGACGGCAGAGTCGTGCGATGGGCGGTATATTCGTGCTGCCGTCGCCTTTATCCAGGAAGATCGGTGAGAAGCAGCTGTACTCAAATCGGAAGATCCGGAGTGCCGTTTGCGTGCGCAGCAGGTGATGCGTATGCGTTCGTGAGAAGGAGGTCGTGCTGTGCTGCGCTGTGTGCTGTGCTGTACCGAAGTAATTCCAAAATCGAACCACTTATTGCGATTATTTCCCAACTGGGCGAGCGCTGGGAGGGACTGCGCAGCAGAACCAAGAGACGGGATGCAGGGCTGCGGCGATGATTATGTGATGAGACGGGAGAAAGGAAGGAAACGCGGGCGGAACACTTCCAATCGAGCGACGAGGGGACAAAACGTATGGGGGGACACGGGGAAACCCTTCTCCCTATATACAGCAATGGCCAACGAATAAAATAATAATAACCACCACCGCATCAATGGAGCGAGGCGGAGGGAAAGAGCCGCGTATACACACTTCTCGGCTGTCCCTCTCGTCCTATTCCACATGTCCATAGGTAGTAGTGGTGTCAAATGACCATCACCTCGCTACTGAACCATGAAACTGTGCTAATGATGATGGCAAGGAAGAGTCGGATTCTTCCAGTCTATGACCCTGTCGACATATGTACTCGCTCGCGTGGCTCTCCGCTCCGACCGGGCCAGCAATCGCCGTCCTGAACCACCCTGGACTACGGTATGAAGATGAAAGCTAGATGGTTTGTCTGTCAAAGCGGGATCTCCAAGCACCGTCCATCATCATCTACCGATAAGGAGTGGTGGGGTGGAAGCACCAGTGCGAAGGAGCGAGGAAATGGAATTCTCTTTTCGGGGTGTCCCGCCTGTGATCCCCTTTGCCAATTTCGCCAGTCTCAGCGGCTGAAGCAACATCCGGGCGAGGAGAGGCCCTGAGATAGTATTGTACTAGACTTCTCACCTCACGATGGCTCATTTCGTTGTCCAGGAGTAGGTACTGTGGTAGGGCCGTTAGGGTTTGGAACCATTGCGGGCGGAATCTACCGCTCGAAAACCTACACATTCGCGCCGTGATCTCGAGCACGTGAGCTCACGCGTGAACCGTTCAACATACCCGTGGACATGATTGCTCACCGTCACCATCGGGGTTTTTCCCGCAGCGCCTCATTGGCGATAGAGTCCGAACTGCAATTGGGCTGTTGCGAACGAGCATACTTGATCTGCTTCCGCGGTTTTCCCTGTGTCTGCCACGACTGGAAGGGATACGGCGGAGCACTTTCGTCCCTGATGGTACCATCGCGGAAGAGTATACTCGGCCTTGCCACTAACTTGCCACATAGGAGGGAGCATGACTGATGGCAGACGCCGAACGAACCTGGCTAAGGAACGCGGTATAAGCAGCATGTGGCTATGACGAGCGCCTGCAGGGAAGAACTACTCTTGCTTGATAGCAAACATGCCCAGGTGCTATCGGTGGTCGGTATTGGCGCAATGTTGAACATCTGTCAATACACATGGCATGACTGCTGGAGCACACCTGCACCGTACGTTGTAGGCAGATCGCAGTCATGGTCGATGTCAATTCACCTTGCTACAGCGTGCGAGCTGCCATTCACGTGTTCGAAAATCAGTCTGGTGGTGAGTGTTCAGTCAACCACATGATCCGGCGAAATCATGACCCTCACGATGTATGTCGTAGTTAGGTACTGTAGCAAGGTACAGTAAGATCTTGGTATAACATCCTGCACACGATAGGTAAAAGTACCTAACGTGTGTAGAGTCGGCCCAGATCTCGGGGCGAGACTCCATAGACGCTTTGGTCGCCCCAGACGACTCGCCGTATTGCAGCCAGTCCCTCACTTGTGTTTTACAGTACAATTTGGCTCTTGCGGAGGAGCATATACTGTACCAGCCGACTTGTCCACTCGTGTCGATGAGTTGTACTGTATATCAATGACTCTCTCTGTAGGCGCGGCAAGTCGCACTTCGACGACCGTATGGACGTGAAACCGTGATTGGCAGCTACCGAACAACAATAATTTGACATCATCTTCGTCATGACTGGACATTGTTCTGGAATGTGGTTCTTTTTTCGGTTTCGACAGTCACGCGCGTGGTATGATTTCTAATCATGGAGCCAGGAAGACAGGCGGTGCTCGGAATGCTGCGTACATTTGCACATGAAACACTCGCTCGTGCCATTCGCAATGTGTACAGTATTGCAGCAATATGTATGCTGGTCGGCAAATATTCTTCCTCCGAGCGCAGATGCCCATACAAAAAAAAGTCGAGTCCGGGGACTGGAGACTGGGGGCTGGATTTGACCGCCACCACCGTGGACTTTAACCGCCGCCGCCGCCCTTGAACCGAGGCTGTTGCTGCTTTTCCGTCTCGCTCACACGTGGACGTCGTACTGTGCATATGCGACAGAGTCTCACCAGTCTCTAGTCCAGATTCTATTTTATCTACACCTCGCCGTCACCGGTTTTCTTCTCTCCCGTCTCTACACATCAACAACATCACACACATTTCATCATGGCAACCTCAAGACTTCAATCTGTTGTTTCGCAGTTCATCCCGGGCGTCAAGCCTTTGGACAAGATGTAAGTCGCTCCATTTCTAGTCCATACCCCGCTGTCGCCCACCGCTGTTCCGCGCGATCGCAATTGGGTCCCTCAATGTCAACTCCACCTTCAAGTATAGGTACTGACAGATATCCCTCGACTGCAGCCAACAGAAGAACCCCGACGATGTTGTCATCACCCTCGCCATCCGTACCCCATTGACCCGGGCTCGCAAGGGTGGCTTCAAGGACACACAGCTCGATGGCATCCTGTTCAAGCTTCTTGAGCAGGTCAACCAGCGCAGCAACCTGTCCCCAGCTCTTGTTGAGGACATTTGCGTAGGAAACGTGAGTGCAATGGACATGGCTCGGAGGACAGATTTGGCCTCGATAGAGTTTGATATACAGCACATGTGGAGCGATGCTGACCGGGGACTGTCATTTCTAGGTCAACGACCCCAAGGCCGCGTACTACGCCCGTGCTGCTGCTCTGGCCGCCGGTTACCCAGTCACCACCTCCGCCTCCACTGTCAACCGATTCTGCTCCTCCGGTCTCAAGGCCGTCCAGGACATCGCCAACGCCATCACCCTTGGCTCCATCGAGATCGGTCTCGCCGTCGGCGCTGAGAGCATGACCGACCAGGCTCCTCCGTTCCGCGCTTTCGCCGATGAGATCATGGCTGCCAACCAGGACGCTGTCGACTGCTTGATGCCCATGGGTCAGACCTCGGAGAACGTCGGCAAGGACTTCAACATCACCCGTGATCTCCAGGACCGCTACGCCGCCGAGTCTTACCGCCGCGCCGAAGTCGCCCAGAAGGCCGGCTGGTTCGACGACGAGATCGTGCCCATCACCGTCACCCAGGAGGACGGCAAGCAGTACACCTTGACCAAGGACGAGGGTCCCCGATGGGGCACCACCTTCGAGTCCCTCTCCAAGATCCGCCCTGCCTTCCCCGACTTCGGTGACAAGTCCACCGGTGGTAACAGCAGTCAGGTCACCGACGGTGCCGCCGCCGTCCTCCTGATGAAGCGCAGCAAGGCCCTCGAGCTCGGCCAGCCCATCATGGCCAAGTTCGTCGGCGCCACCGTCGCCGGTCTGCCCCCGCGCATCATGGGTATCGGCCCATCCGTCGCCGTGCCCAAGCTCCTCGCCCAGCACAACCTGTCCGTCGACGACATCGACCTCTTCGAGCTGAACGAGGCCTTCGCCAGCATGGCCGTCTACTGCCGCGACACCCTCAAGATCGACTGGGAGAAGATGAACGTCCGCGGTGGCGCCATCGCCCTCGGCCACCCGCTCGGCGCCACCGGTGCCCGCCAGATCGTCACCGGTCTGTCCGAGGCCCGTCGCCGCAAGGCCAAGGTCCTGGTCACCACCATGTGCATCGGCACCGGCCAGGGTATGGCTGGTCTGTTCGTCAACGAGCAGCTGTAGAGGGTGGAACCGGATGGAGAGGGGAAGCTTGATTTTGATATGAGAACATGGCATGACCCCCGAAAAGAGACCCGAATACCATATTTCGATTGTAGCAATGATGTAATTCAGGACATTCCAAAAAGGAGCAGTGACCAACGAGAAGTTTTTTTTTCGGGCTGGAAGAGTTTGTGATGTGAATGAAACATTATTCTCGTTTGAATCTATTTCCTAAAGGGCGTCATGATTGAATGGGATGATTGCTCATCTTCACATGTTCTCACCGCTGCCTCTTCCGCGTCCTCCTCGATGCCGCTGCCGATGACGATGCCGTCCCACGACCTCTCTTCGACCGCGAGGACCTCGTCGATCTCGGTACAGGTGTACTCGTCTGACTCTGATTCTCGTCGTCGTCGTCCTCATCGTCCTCATTGTCCTCGCCGTCATCCTCATCTCCTTCCGCTCCGTCGCCGTCTTCCTCACCTTCTTCCCCGTCGCCTTCCTCGTCGTCGTCTTCCCCTCCCTCGTCCTCTTCACCGCCGTCCTCCACCTCGTCTTCTTCGTTGTCGTCCTCTTTATCGCCTCGACTGCTCGCCTCGTCCGCGTTGCTCTCCGCCTGTCGCGTAGACCTCCTTTTCGGCCCACTCGCCGCCGCTGCAGCAGCTCTGCTTCCACCGCGACCCCTCCCGCGACCGGAGCCTCCTCGCCCACCTCTCCCCGATGGCTTCGGCGCCGGCGTGGGCGCATCGCTCGGCTCGACGCTGAAGCTCGGCGTGAAGATTATGGGCGGATCGTCCGCGAGATTTAATTCCGCCAGTCCGAGAGGGCTCGTGCTCTTCCTCGTCCTGCGCCCGCCGTTGTGTGCTCCTCCGCCCCTCCTTTTCTTCTGCTGCTGCTGATGTTGCGCCTCGTCTCCGCCCTCGATTCCTGTCGCAACATCCTCCTCCTCGTCTTTGGTCGGATCCGCGAATCTTTGTCGCCACATCAACCTGGCGAAATCCTCGTCTTTCGGTAGTGCGAATACGCTCGTCTCGATTTTATTCGCCGCCTCGCTGTATGCGTGGGAATCGTCGTCGTCGGATGACGACAGCTCGGCTTTGTCTTCTTCCGTCAGCAGCGGGTTGACCATCTTACTCAGCTGCCGGGCGTCTTCGCGCGCATCGAGCGCCTCGAGGTCGTAGAGGGTTTTGAGCTTGGCACGGATCCCTGCCGGCGAGGTGTGTCGCTGCCCGGGCGTGATGTGGTTGTTTTGGAGGAGCCAGTTGTGTAGTGCGAGGATGCGGAAGTGTTTGTGGATGCCTGTCCTGCGCTGTTAGCAGGCGGAATCTTTCTTCCATCGAGCGCTGGTTCGGCGGCGGTAGGGACGGCGCAATGGTCTTCAGGGTGATCGCGTACCGGTTGGTTTCCAGCGCATTATGCCCTTGAATAGGCCGATCTCTTCGCTATCGGTCCAGAGCTCGGCGAGCTCGCGCTCTTCTACTGTGGCATTGCCTTTCCTTCCCTCATCGTCTTGGTTCTCTTCTTTAGGATCTGCTGCTGCATTGGCTTGAGCGGGTGTATCAGGAGGAAGACTCGCTTCTGGTGAGGCCGCTTGTGATACTCGCTGGCGCTTCTTTGGCGGCATCGTGACTTTGCGATTAACGGTGTATGTGAACGAGATGAATATCAAGTAATGCGAAATAGCAATGCAATTGTCAAATACCTAGTTAATTCGCGATCGCGACAGGCCTCGGAATACTTACCTCTTCGCCGGCGCGGACCGTACCCTGCTCCGAAGATAGACGCGACACGCGACTGTGGGGCCTTTCCGCTGCAGAAATGACGATGTTTCGTGCACCTGGGCAGTGACAGTCCCGTTAGTTACCATTCGCATGCACCAAATGGCTGGGGAAACAGCCCAGACTGCCGATATCCTATAGTACTTTTTAGCCATCGGCTTTGAAACGCATGTGAATCAAACAGGTTTTTTAATACCTTTATTACCCGCACATCCGATCGTGAAGTTTCTGTGTGTCTAACATATCCGTCCACTCGTTCAAGGATACATATGAACACTGTCCGTTGACGTTCGCGACAGTATTCTTGGAGGACAAAATTTATATCATAGGCATTGACAGAGAGTCCTATCTCATGCAACAAGATTGCTACTCTCGAAACACCTGATCGCGAACCAGGTCTCGTCTTACTACCTGAGAACCTTGCCGACTCTTCTCCGACGACATGGTCAAGTTGAATAACATCTTCACTTGGCGCAATGGCGAGCATCAGCACGATGAGGCCTCGCTCTTGCTACCACGGCATCATCGTGAACGTGAGATAGTCTCTGCGATCCCCGCCAAGGATGTAACTTTGACCGCCATCCGACTCAAGTATCAGCTCGAAGCGGTTATTCCTTGTGAGCTCCCTGAGGAGCGCATCGTGAAACCTCACAGCGACATCATCACGCCCGCTGTGATCAAAACAGCAAAATCAGCGGGGAAAGTTACCGGCTCCTCCGATGACCACGGCGCATGTGTCGTTTACTGCCTGCTTATTGTCAAGCACTGGTTCAAGATTCAGGCGCAAAAGGAACTATGGGACGCTGACCTCCATGAGTTGCGCGCTGTTGCGTGCGAAATGCTCGCTAAGCACATCATCGAGGACGAGGACGACACCGAGTATCTCATGCGGGAATTGCTTCTGAAACGCTATAGCATCCTCGTCGACGGTCAGCCGACGAAGCCGGCCAATGCGATAGAAAAGGCCGTCGATCTGCATGCAGTCCGCGTGATTGGCAGCTCGGGTTATCAAAAGTGTATTGCGCACCTCTGGCGGGGATGGCTTGTCCAGAGCGAAGATGATCCGAGTCGGTTCGTCGACTACAAATCGAAGACCGATACGCGATACTGGACGCATTTTGATCCTGACCGTATGAGGGTCCCACAGTATCAAAACGCCGTTCAGGTGCTCATATCGATCGCATACCTTGCTCTGTACACGGGCGCTATTAACACCATCAATCCGACAGGAGACTTGGACGTGATTGAAGGTCTTCTCTACATCTTCACCTTGGGATACATCTGCGACGAGGCCATCAAGTTCTTCAAGATCGGTCGGTTTTACTTTGGCTTTTGGAACATTTTCAACAGCACTCTCTACGCCATGCTTTCTGTCTCATTCGTCACTCGCATGATTGCTCTTGCGCACGATATCGACTCTGAAACCCGCCATAAATACAACGAACTAAGCTACAACTTTCTCGCCGTTGGTGCGCCCATGTTCTGGGCCCGACTGTTGCTCTATCTGGATGGTTACCGCTTCTTCGGCGCCATGCTGGTCGTTCTCAAAGTCATGATGAAAGAATCTCTCATCTTCTTCGCGCTGCTGTTCGTGGTCCTGGTCGGATTCTTCCAAGCCTTCATCGGTCTCGATCAAGTCGACGAAAACGTCGATGCCACCTCCTTCATCATCTCTCAGATGATCAATGCCATCATGGGCAGTCCTGAATTTGGTGACGACTGGGACCGCTTCGCCCCGCCCTTTGGAATCATTCTCTACTACATCTACAACTTTGTGATCATCGTCATTCTCCTCAACGTGTTGGTCGCCTTGTACAACTCTGCTTACGAGGACATCACTGATAACGCCATTGACGAATACCTTGCGCTCTTCGCCGCCAAGACGATGCAATTCGTCCGGGCTCCTGACGAGAATGTCTTCATCCCGCCATTCAATCTCATTGAGATCTTCGGCCTCGTCCTCCCGTTTGAATGGTGGATGTCTCGTGCGCGATACGAACTTCTCAACGACCTCGTCATGGGAGTCATCTACAGTCCACTTCTACTCGTGACAGCATACTTGGAAGTCCGCACCGCGCGCAAGGTCAAGTTCAACCGCAAGCGAAAGGAGGCGGATGACGACGTGATTGAGGTCTGGGAGCAGCTGGCGGACGATCTGGACGTGGAAGGTTCTGGCTGGGGCAAGCGGGTCGAGGGCACTTCGCCGAATGTCGTCGGTGATGCCGCGTTAGTGGAGTTAAAGGCTTTGAGAGATGAAATGAAGCAGTTGAAAGAAATGATCAAGTCAGGGTTGCCGCAGGGCACTGCTGTGGAGGAAGCGGGGGCTGCTTCTTCGTCATCAGCGTCGAAGAAGCAAAAGAAGCAGCAGTTGAAGGAGGGTGATACAACAGAGGGTGACGACACGAAGGATGCTGCCAGCGCTTCGTAGGCCATTATCATCACGTTTACTCGTCTTTGTCTCCACATCCGCTATTCTAGAACCTATTCAATGAACCTACATAAAACATTGATTATTGACTCGATACACAAATGCCTATCTATGCTTGAATGAATGTTTGTCCCAAATCTCGCGAGATAGCCTGTCTTCTAGAAGCAAAACAAAATGCGACTCCTTTGTTCCCTCCTTTATCTTCCTGGTCTTACGGAGTCGGAACAACCTGGCTGTTTCTGCAATACGACCTAGATTGCGTCACCCGGACGGGGACAATCCTAAAATGTCAAGATGAAGTTGGTCCTCCGCGAGGAGTTGAGGACTGCAGCAAGAAGCCATGTCTACTAGAGCATACCTGCACAATCTGCCGAACATTCAGCCATGATTGTGTTCTACCTCGCGACATGAGAAATGGTACAGCAGTCTTAGAAAAACCGCCATCGCGTGTTGTGCATTGAGCGCAGCACACCGGCAATGCGGAGGATAAAGACAGCCGCCTGGTGGTATGATCTGCTGATCGCGTAAAGACCATTCAGATTTAGGGGCAACGCCTGGCTGATCAAGCGATGGGAAGCGGTCCTTGGAAGTCTTCAGAGAAGATCGCGCTTGCCGAGACATCGTGGTTCAAGTTTTCAGGGTGGGACAAAGCTGGCGACCTCATTCGAAATTTCTTTCCACTTTGGGCGTCCAGCAACAAAGATTTCGTATCTAAACACTGCTCGATAACACAATTTCAACCTATACAGGTGCACAACACAAATTATTCAAGTGTTACAAGATCGCTGCTCATAAAGAAGTGCCCGATCGAGAGAGAAGTTTACAGTGGCACAAGATTCAACGTCCGGACACGGCGATCGTGGGTGCCATTCAAATACAGACAAGGAGAATATTTCGAATTACTTCAATCAGAGGAGGAATATATAAAGGTGACCACTGAAGGCCTCGATAAGAGCAGTTGAGAAATAATATCTACAAGTGAACAGAGAGCAACTTCAAATATGGCATCGTCAACCTCTTCCTGCAAAGTCGTCCTGGCTTCCTCAATCGCAAAAGCTCTTACCAATCAAGTTCGAGATGAGATCGCGTCCTTGCCGCGACCACCACACCTCCATGGTTTTCTCGCCAATCAAGATCCTGCCGCTCGTATGTATGCGGATTGGACAGCCAAAACATGCAAGGAGCAGTGAGCATCGCCCTCCCATCAGTCTTTGCTTTTTTTTTTCTTCCAGCTTTGCATTGTGTCGTGGCACTCGCAGCTGATTCCAACAATCATCTTTTGCTCGCAGCGGCGTCGAATTCACCCTTCGCGAATTTGATCGAGAAGACCTCGAAGACGGACTACAGAATGCCAACCATGACGACTCCATCGATGGCATGATCGTCTACTACCCTGTCTTCGACTCTCGCCGAGACCAGACGCTGCAGTGGACCGTCAGCATGTATAAAGACGTTGAAGGCCTCTCTCCGCAGCTTATCAGCAATATGTACCAGAACATCCGCTTCCTCGATGTCCCGACCAACACGCAGAAATCCCTCTTGCCGTGCACACCCCTAGCGATCGTCAAGATCCTGGAACATCTCCAAATCTACAACACATTTCTCGATTACGGTAAGCGTTTGTTCGGCAAACGTATCACTGTCATCAACCGCAGCGAGGTCGTCGGCCGACCACTGGCAGCTCTGCTCGCCAACGACGGTGCAGAGGTGTACAGCGTGGATGTCACGGGTGTGCAACAATTCAGCCGTGGCTCCGGACTCAAGAAACAAAAGCACGAATCGCGCGAACTGGAAGGATGGACATTAGAGCAATGTCTTCCCTTGAGCGAGGTCGTCATCAGTGGTGTGCCTGGTGATAAATTTAAAGTTCCCACATACTTGATTCGTGAAGGGGCTGTTTGCATCAACTTTTCCACTGAAAAGGTAGGTCGCTCGGAATTTCTCATATGCATAGTTTGTCGTTCGTGGAAAGTTTATTGACGAGTTGGATTTCGTCACAACTGTATACTGACTGCCTTATTGTGCAGAACTTCACGCCGGATGTCAAGGACAAGGCGTCCATCTTTGTGCCAGCCATTGGCAAGATGACAATTGTGGTACTCATCCGCAATTTGATTCAATTGGCAAGAGCGCATGACGCTCGTCGCGAGAGGGAATCCCGATCGCTTTAGAGAACATTTCGCCATGAAAATCTCGTCAATGTCAAAGATAGTTGGGCGTTGTCAGCAGTGTCCGGACGTGATACTACTTCAGAAGTAGAGAACAGCCAATCGGATCTTCATAATTCTGGGCATGAGCGATCTAAGAATGGCATAGGATATCAGGCGAGAACACAAATGTGATGATACATGAGAATCAAAATCTGTCTTGCTTGCAGTCTTCGTAATGTACTACCGCATACTTAGGTCTTCATGGTCGATTCTCTCTCTCGGGAATGGAGTGATCGTCTCCGCATCGTGGTCCGTGCCGATGTCAATTACATAATCACGTACGGGCCCCGGGGGCGACGCGAGAATTTCTGGATATCTTCGAAATGGTAATTCCAGGCGTGATCACTTACATGCATTGACTCTATTCATCTCTTACCATTCCACTCATCAAAATTTCGCTCTTCACGAATTTGCAACAGCACTCCTTACTGCAATCGATTATCTGAAATCATCTCCACGGGGTGTTTCGGTCCATCATGTACGTTTGCGCATCATTTTCCTTCCGCTCGAGAAAATCACGGGAAACCTTCATTGATTGCTAACCATCAGCACAGGTTTGCTCTTCGTTGCGCCACTTCGCGCGCTTTTGCACACCCCAGCAAACAGCTTGCTACAATTCGTAATCCTTCGCGTGCCATCATCTCACAGATCTCTAAACCTACTCTCCAACGATCATTCTATCAAGCAAGATGGCTTGCGGAGGAGCGGAGAGTCGGAGCTGCAGACGGCGAATCACCGACCAGTCCTCTGTCCTCTGAAGAGATGTCAGGAAACATCAGAGAAGAGAGCGTTGCTTCATCACAGGTAACGGGAGGAGTGCAAGGTGCGCTTCGCAGCGCCGCCGCTACAGTGGGAGATTCGCTATCTGCCGTATCGGATGCCATCACTTCAAGCCCTAGAAGATCCGGAGGACATTCGCAGTTCACCGAAGGGAGGACAATCTACATCGGCAACCTGTCATTCGACGCCAAAGATGCGGATCTTGAAGCGGAATTTTCCCGATTCGGAAGCATCACTTCAGCGAGACTGGCCGCTGATCCCTCAGGTCAATTGCGTGGATTTGGATTCGTCGAGTTCTCAACTCCCGAGGAGGCAACCGCGGCCATCGAAGGTGCCGATCAGAGACAATTCTTGGGCAGACGGATGAATGTGCAATTGCACGTACCCAAGGTTCGCCCGGGTCAGGTCGGAGGCAACCGCGGCCGCGCGCCTTCTTCGAATGGGCCTAGCAAGACTTTGTTCATTGGTAACATGCCGTTCCAGATGAGCGACAAGGATTTGAATGGTGAGGATTACCTTTGCATATCTCTGCTTCAAAGTCATTCCTGACTGACACACTCTACTACAGATCTCTTCCGTGAAGTCAGCAACGTCAAAGACATTCGTGTCGCGATTGATCGACGCAGCGGACAGCCTCGTGGCTTTGCGCACGCTGATTTCTTTGACGAGGAGAGCGCCGCAGCAGCCAAGGAGATTCTTCAACAGAAAAGTGTCTACGGCCGCAACCTTCGGGTCGACTTCACCGAGAACTCGAATCGCCGCCGTAACAACCCCGACGAGTAAATCGCGACAGGCCGCGGTCCAGAATGAATGCAAATCCGATTGAGTTTGACAGTTCGAAAGGGCATTGTATGAGATGAAAAGGACAAGGATATGCACTTCATCGTCGGCACAACAAGCAGTGCCGGCATGAACGCCAGACAGTCGACAAATTCGACTGATCGTGTGTGTCAAAAAGCGGAGGAGATGTTTTGTACATGTATCTTGGTTGTCAGCCCACGACCTTCAGAGTGCAAAGCCACTTTTTTGTTGTATTAGTAAACTATGATCGTCATTTCAACTGTATTATTCGCCTCTATGAAACGAAGAGCAATCGTGAGGGATCCATAGAAAGAGGACATCCCTACTCCATCGACTGGGCATTATTTCAACATGGACACAGTGAAGAGATCTGTATACATTGACTCGAAAGGCACGTGACAGTTATAGCGACCCTGAACGGAATTGTTGGTGTTTTGCGGGGCCGAGGTGGTCTAATGAATCGTGCCGCGCAATTTGGCCGGCATCGTGAAGACAGCGGAGGGAGCCTCATTAATAATCCTCATCCGCTGATCCATTAATTGTTGCACACCACTCTCGTCTTTCACTCAAAGTGACGCGCACCCGTTTATGAACACGACAGTAATTCACAGTATTCCTGAAGCACTTAAGACTCTCGACTTCGGCGATTGCGACATCTCCTAACCGGGCATCTTGAATTGTCCCCGACTGTTCGCTTGCCACCCCGCCTGTCAGAGATCCCACCTTCACGTTCGCAGCGTACCACTTCCACAACAATGTCTTTCCTCGGCGGTCCAGAGTGTAGCACTGCCGCCAATCCTCTGGCACAATTCTCCAAGCAGACATCTACCGACACCTCCCTTCAGCGTGATCGTCTGACCTCTCGCCAAAACCTCAACCCAGCTGGCTTCCGCAGCGGACAGCAACTACCCGAAGATGCCGCCTTTCAGGAATTCGCACAGCAGCAAGGTCCCGCTCGTTTGGGAGATATGCTGCCGAACGAGGCATTCCATCTCGAACAGCTGAGGCGGGAAGCGGAGCACATTGAACGGGCAGGCAGCAGAGGATCAGGTGGCGGGTGGGCGAGCGAGTTCTCGCAACAGGGACCACAATTCGCTGGCGATCAATTCGGCCCTCAGCAATTCAATGGCAGCGCAGGATTCAGTCCGCAAGATTTTGCCAGCTTCCGCCAGTCGCAGATGTCACCTGCTGCACAGCAACGGACGCAAAGCCCGGCGGCGTTTCAGCAGAGCATGTATCAACGACCATCGATGTATGGCGGTGGATTCGGCATGCAGCGGCCGATGATGTTCCAATCTGCTTTCGCCCAGCAGCAGCAGCCGGAGCAGCAGTACGAAGGCAAGGGCAAGGGTCGGGTGCAGGAGTTGAGCGATACCGATTGGGAGAAGCAGTTTGAGGAATTGTCGACGGTGGAAAAGGATGCGCATTTGGAACAATTAGATCGCGATGCGCAAGAAGCAATTGAGAGGGAGTTGAATCAGACAGACAGGTAAGTGTCATTCTTCGTAAGAGGCTGGAACGAACCTTTGAGGCCGCTGGCTGCAATATGATAAGGTGCTGACTTGACTAGCAGAGACATGTTCGCCAATGACGAGCTAGCGGACTCATTAGGCGATGAGTATGACCAGTGGAAAGACTTTGACGGCCTCAACCACAACTTTGATGGTCTAGGAGCTGAACTGGACAATGCGCCCAATTTGGGCACGTATATGTTCGAGGAGAACAATATCTTCATGGATGTTCCCAATGCGTTTGAGGAAGGTCAGAAGATTATGCGAGAGGGTGGAAACCTCAGTCTCGCTGCGCTGGCTTTTGAGGCTGCTGTGCAAAAGGACAAAGATTTTGTTGAGGCCTGGGTCGCCCTTGGACAAGCACAAGCTCAGAATGAAAAGGAATCGCCAGCAATCCGCGCTCTCGAACGGGCGTTGGATATCGATCCCAACAGTCTCGAAGCTCTCATGGGTCTCGCAGTTTCATACACTAACGAAGGATACGACACGCTCGCCTATCGCACCCTCGAACGCTGGGTCGGCGTTAAGTATCCCCAACTCGGCGTGCCTGCCCGTGGTACAGAAGCAGGCCCTGACCCGGAAGAAATGGGCTTCACCGACCGACATCAACTTCACGAAAAGGTCACCAACTACTTCCTTCGCGCAGCCCAACTCAATCCCTCCGGCGGCGCCGTCGACGTCGATGTCCAAGTCGGACTCGGTGTCCTCTTCTACGGCAGCGAGGACTACGACAAAGCTGTCGACTGCTTCACCGCCGCGCTCAACAGCCACGCTCACGGCGCTATGAAGCGCGAAGGCGAGGAGCACCTCCTGTGGAACCGTCTCGGCGCCACTCTCGCCAATTCCGCTCGCTCGGAAGAGGCCATCGAGGCGTACTCGCGCGCTCTCGAGCTCCGACCCAACTTCGTCCGCGCCCGTTACAACCTCGGCGTGTCATGCATCAACCTTGGCGTTCTCGACCAGGCCGCCGCGCACCTGCTGGGCGCGCTGTCCATGCACAAAGTATTGGAGCAGGAAGGCCGGGCAAAGGCGGCGGAATTGCTGGGCGGAGGGCCCACTGGTGAAGGCGCGGACGCCCGCGCAGTGGAGCACCTGCTACAGGCGAACCAGAGCACGAATCTGTACGATACCCTGCGGAGAGTGTTCACCAACATGGACAGGCGGGATCTTTCGACCATGGTCGGACCGGACATGGACCTCGATGCGATGAGGAAGGAGTTTGACTTTTAAAAGCATCTGTACCTAGACAGATGTGTGGGAATGATCAGGACGTCTATTGAGAGCGAAAAATCGACGGAATAGTGCGGAAAATATGTTTCAACAGAAAACAGGGTTACGGGGCAGTTGTCGACAGTGGGTATTGGAGGGCGCAGTACAATGGGCGGGCATGGTAGAGAGGGAGGCATTTCTGGCGCGTATGTCGCTGCTGTAGACCATCTCCATGTCCTGGTTAGGGATGTTTGTTCTTGGAAAATCGTAGACAAGGAAAGAATTTTATTTCCCATCTTGCCGTGGGTCCTCCATTCTTCCTGCAATGTCGAATTGAAACTGCTGCATATTGGCGCAGCTCCTTCTCTTTCAATGGGATGAAAATGGCAAGAGGAAGAGTAGAGGCAGATCAACGGTGACCGGCTGATCGATCTCTGCTGCCATTGTCAAACCTTCTCCTGTGACAAATCATATCCATTCACACGACCATCAAGCAGTTCGTACCGAGGTAGCCCTTTCCGTCTCGGAATGCGACCCGTCTCGCCACGACGTCCTGATCACCTTTGGTGGAACAACCTTTGACATGATCTGAGCAATTTCTCGACTCCGGGAATCAACGCTTCATTCACCGTTTGCGGGCAAGGATAAATGCACAATTTCTCTCCGGGAGGAGAAGGTCAAGAACTAGTACGTATCCCTTTCTCCTGTGCGCAGAAAATGAAAGAAGTCTTAATTATTGCGCTGTCATCATGTACATTGAAGATTTGATTTGCTTAGAATGCGTTTGGGGGGGAAAGTTTCAGCTAAGAACCTCCCTCCCGCTGGTGCTCGCTCCCATGACATCGTTTCTCCGGTCCCCTCGCTGTTGACGCCGTCTATGAAAATTGATGATGATCCAAGTTTCCCATGCCCCCATGCTGCTATCGCTTCCCTGGGTTTTCGCGCACGAAAAAAACAAATCACAATAGAAAAGAAATGAGATCAAAATGAAGCAGAAAGGGCGGCGCTGGGGTTTTCGCCTTTCCTGATTTTCCAAACGCCGACAATGGGATAAAGGTGTAATTGACAAAGAAAAAAGAGGATTAAGTGTAGGGTGTCGATAGACCACATGTCGTTTTGTTGCGGGGCAAGCAGGATTAATGCTTGGTGCTATAGGACAAGGCGCGTCGTGCCCATCTGAGACGCGCCTTGTTGCTTCGACAGACTTGACGACAGGTTTTGCTGACGAAAATATGTAATTCAGATCGATGAGTTCCTTTCTGAAGGTTCTCCGACCTCGACCCATTCCGCATTGAGTTTGTCTTGGAGATATAGGGACATAGGAGGAATCAAAGCCGAATCCTTAGACCTTGACGGCTTCAACAGCGGGAAGAGCAGGCTGCTCGAATTGAATCACATCAACTCCCGGCTCGACGTTAAGCGTCCGCTTTGGCTGATCTGATTCGGCGTCGCGTGAAGCATCGCGCTCCCGCTCCTGTGTTTGCTCCTTGAAATGCGAAGGCGGGCGTGAATTCGACAAGGAAGATTCCGTTGGCGCCGTGCTCACTGTCGAGGCGCTACGCTTGGACGCATCTGTTGGAGCCTCGGAAGTGGTCGATTCGATGAAGGATGCGCTGCTTGATTCTGACTGCATCGGTGGCGGGAGCTGCACGGCTATGGATGCTGCTGTACCGGATTCTGCAGTTTCTGTGGGCTTGACCTCGCCCGAGGTCGGTTCTTGCTGCTCGAAAAGGGTCGAGTAGACTCGCGAAGGCGATTGGCCAGCTGGCGAGTGGCGTCGAGAGGGTGTTCTGATCGTCGTTGCTGCCGTTGTGGGACGTCGGAGGTAAAGTCCATCATCATCACTTTCATGTTCTTCGTCAAACACCGGTTCGAGGATGTGCTCATTGCGTAACCGCGATGGCGCCGTAAGTCGCAATTCTCCGTGGTAACCATACATACTGCCGCTTCCTGGTCGTGAAACGGGTGACAACGTCTCAGAGCTTGCGCGTCCTTTGCCTTTGTCCATTGGGGCGGGGTTTTTGGTGACGTTCAAACTGCTTACGCTTGCTCGGCGCTTGTCTGGAATACCCTGGTGGTTAAAATATGATTGCTGATTTCCGTTGATGTCGCTGGTATGTACGGTCCGTGGCGGTGCATAATTGTGGTGGTTTGTTGACCAGCCTCTGCTGTGGTAGCTCGAGGAGGAACTCTTTCGGCGGTGTGGTGGTCGGTCAAGCTCGGAAAGACTCACGGAGCTCATGACTTGATCGAAATTTTCCCACATTGGTCGCTGGTGAGGAGAGTCCGAGCCTATTTGAAAATCTTGTAATGACCGGGGTGTTGAAGATCCTGCCTCGCCGCGCCATGAATTGATATTGGAGAGATTGGCGGAAGATGATGAGCCACTTGGACCATGATGGCTGTAGGATGTCTTGATGCTGCCGGGTGTAGAGGTGCCGCTTCGACTGCCGGAGAGTCCAATAGGTGCGCTGACATTGCGTGGCATCAGATGAGGGCGTACAGAGCGGATACTCCGCGAGGATGAATCTGTAGGCATGAACCCAATGTCGGAACAAGCACTTTGGTGCCGAACGCTTTGCGGTCGACCGTTTTGGTCAGGCCTGTCAGCGATGGGGACGGACATGAGCATGTCTCTTTGCGCATAACGTGGGACATATGACTTTCGCTCTGGAGGTGGAGGTGTAGCCTTTTTGCCATTGGCCGACGATCGAGGCCTGAGCTTGTGCGAGAACCAAGATCGTAATCCTCTCGAGGTGGGTTCGTTTGGTTTTGCAACTTCCGCCATGATGACACGATTTTGCGACAGCTGGCGACGAATACTAATGAGAATGTCGACGAGCAATAGCCGGTGAAACTTGATTAACGTATAGACAATATCTTCGTGATGATAATGCTCGATTTGCGTTTAGATTGCACGAGCGACTGCGAAACGTCCAGGTAGTAGATATCTGAGAATGATGCCAAAGAATTGAGTTGATACGGGCGAAGCAAGCAGCAAAGCGACGCTGGAGTACTGGACCAAAGGGGAAAAAAACAAACAATGCTGTATATGATTAAGTCGAGGCGGTCTCAATATTCACTAGTGATGATGAGAAACACGAATCTTGGGAGTAAAGGTGGTCGCTGCTGTCGTGATGCTGACTGATGTCCATCCACAGCCAGCTGGTGAAGGAGGAAAGCGAGAACAAAGTTGAGAGATATCTGCAGCTCTGCGGCGTAGCGAGGTTGAGTGCGCCGAGAGATGATGGAGGGTGAGATTTGACAGTGGACGTGTCAAGTGGAAGTGGTGGAACGCGGTACATGTACTAGGGACATGGTTGATTGATGTTTTGCTGCTGCTGCTCGGTGTATGTAGTAGGAGTGGTGGTGGTGTTATCGTCCAGTCAAAAGAGCGAGAAGCAAGAAAGATGATGACGGCGCCGCTGGAGGAGGTGGTGGTGGTGCTGCTGCTGCTGCCGACGACGACGACGATGATGCTGACCGTGTAAGCCACCGACCTAGAACCGACAAAGAAAGACCGGAAGTAGATTCCGCTAAGGATGAATGGCCGATTCCCGAAGCAGGAGGGGGGAGGAGGGAGGGAAGAGAAGGGGAGACGAGGCGGTGGTCAACAACAAGCGCGCGGAGTGAAAAGACCAAAGTAGTAGTGAAAGCGTGTAGTAGTAGCAGTGGTGGTGGTGGTGGTGGTGGTAGTAGTGGTAATAGTAGTACTGTGTATGTAGTGGCCAGCCGCCGGGGAGAGAGAGCGAGCGAGAGAAGGAGAGGTTGAGGTCGAGATCGAGAAAGAGGGAGTGTGCATGTACTGTACAATCCACTCGACTCCACTGTGATCTGCGTCTGACTGACTGTGTTCTTCTTCTGATTATTTTACAGCGGAGTCCTGCCGAATGCTGACGACGCTGCAGCATGCGCTATTGATGAGGATGATCGTCGCGTAGTAATAATAGAATTAGCACGGTGGAGACCTTGCTTGCATCCCTTCTTTCTTCCTTTCGAACTGATGACTGTTCCGCCAATGTTCCACCCTTTCTCCATCCATCACTCAGGGCTGAACCTTCTCACCCATCAATACGAACGGGAAAGAGGGACAAGCCCGTTGAAAGTTGCTGTTGACGATGAGATTGGATGGGATTGGTGAGAGTCAGGGAGGGAGGAGTGGACCGGGATGGGCTTGTGCGGACGATACAGCAGCCGACCGATACGACAATGTATCACCACTACTACCACCGGGCCGCTGCATGAATACAGTAGACTCTTTTGCAACATTTCCCTCGTTACGCTGCATCCAATATTGCTCGTTTGTCTAGATCCGATCCAATGAGAATGAATTGCATGTAATATTAAGGATGGATGATGGATTCCACATTCCCTCTACATTCTTTCCCATCTGCCAACTGATGTATGTTCGTCTTCCATTGTCGCCGTATCTCCGCCAGCCAGAGGCTACTCATGTGCGCGCGCAGAGACACATCCAATACATCACCGGCATGTAGACCTAGTCCGCCAACAGAAGATGCGCAGAGAAGAGGAGACGAAGGTTTTTACCGTTGCTTCCGTTTCGCTTGGCACGCCAAGGCTATGTCGTTGGCCATGACTACTGTGTTGAGTTTACCATTACAGCCCACATGTTTAACCATGTTCGGTTTCCATGAGAAACTCTGTTTACAGTATTGCTTCTTCCTTGTGGCTTGATAACGGCGCGCCATTCCTCGGTTCATCCCTCCTACGGAGATTCAAAAGCCGCCATCGTGATGATGCTCAGTGATTCACGATTGAGACCCTGTTTTATCTCCAGGTTCTGTAGAGAGAGGCATGGTGCGATCAATTCAATCGACCTGAAGCACGTCTGGCCTGTTCCGCTCATGTACAGCACATCCTCGACGCGGCGGAGATAAATTCCTTCCCTCCCGGCAGTCATCCTTCTGAGCGATCGTATTCGTCGGATGTCGGATCTGAACGAGGTCAGTTTGATGGTGGGCAGGGCGTCGTCGGCTATCTGCAAGTCGTGCCTAGCTCGGGCTTATCATCATCATCCTTGCGTCGGGATGGCTTTTGAGGCTTGCGAAACGGGGGTGCATAAGGCACCGGCCCATGAAATGGACAACCTTCCCCCAATGTTGGGTGAACTAGCTCTCGCCTCAAGCCTTCCTGTGCCTGCCACGCCAGCATCTCTGTTTCGTATCGCATGTACTCTGCACCCACATATCCCCATTGTTCCATAGGGATCTTTGAGGCGCATGTCGCCGGGCCAATCGGCGCAATGCAATGAATGTCACTGTTAATCGATGAGGAAATATCCTCAACAGATTCGAGAATGGAGTACAGTACTACATTGCCTGAGCCAGCAACCAGAACACAGCCATGGAGAAAACTCAACACAGCGACTGCACTGTCATCGTCGTGCATGGTATGCGAATCGATAAGTCATATCTAACCTACCCACTTTGGGACGAACCCGAGCAAATGGTGGTCATTTCCGACTCATCTCCAGCTAATCATGAACATGATGGTACTGCATAGCTGCTAGTCATCATGCTTTTGATGACGAATATCCACCGCTGCGCTGGGAATTTCCGTCAAGTTCAGCCGAGCTGGTACGTAGTGAGACATTGTGTCTGTCTGACACAGGCGAGATCCTCTCTGTACCACTCATGATGAAATGACTCCACGTCATGTACCGCTTCTATCGCGGCCAAGGAGAGCAGTTGACCTGTTGTCTAGATTTTCTCCCCTTGCGATCTTCCCGGTAGGATCGCACTCCGTCTTGAGTTGGCGCCCGGTGTAACCAGAGTGACGAATAATCTGGAACGTTTGATGATATGAACGGCGCGCGCCTGGTACCTCGCAGCATCCCTCACCGCCAGGACTTTAGCTGAAAACTAGCAGTCCCGAACTTGAGGTTCCTAGGTGTTCGTGCCGGGTTCGATAATGCCAAGTCGAAGGTACATCTTGTCACGATCTTACGGGCGCATCAGAGAATCATCGAGGCTGTATGTGGAAGCCTTGTTGGATCGGAGATGCAGGTGTTTCTGTACTGCGCTGTACCTGCATGCCGTTCCGTTGCCGCCGCCGCCGCCGCTTGAATTACGGGACCAGCGCCGCCCGTTTCCCATCATTACAATAGAACATCCATAGAAACAACAACGAGTAGACTTTTCTGTCACACAACCGTCTCCACGATCGGGATCTGGTATCGCATCGTATCGCCAACCCGGCAACGAAATTTCAAATTCTCCAGAGCGGACGGGTGCCGATGACCAATGGGTCAAGTGAACCACGGGTCGTTAACTGAATCTTGTCACAACGGTTCATTGGATGGCGTCTGTCCAGCTTTCGCTATGCCCTTGGCCTGGTCATTGATGTGACGAGTCCCCTTGTTCGTTCACACTCCGGCAGCGCACGTGTTGCTGCCCGCCTGCCCTGCAATGGTTCACCTGTAGGATAGCTCTCATCTTGGAGATGATCGGCCTGTGTCTATGCCAATTGCGACCCAAGCAACCAACCGCCGCGATTCATATGTCCGGTTATTAGACGGAATCGCGCAACAATCCTTTTCCCTCTCAAGGTTGCGCGCGCGATCAAGCACCGTATAACATCGTCGTCATCGTCGTCGACTGGGTATGACCATGGCGATGAAGGAGAAGCGCCAAGTTCCCGGTGGTAGGCACCTACTAGGTAGCTAGCTAGGCATGGCAGGGCAGGGCACCTACCGGAGCGGATAGGGTTGATGTGCTATAGCATACAAATTTGGCTGTACAATTCATTGCCACGATCGAAACATTGAGGAAAAAGACATCTGCTGCCAGGTCATTCTGCCAGGTCATTCCCTCTAAGGACCTGAGATCAAAAGGGAGCCACTTGGACGTCACCTCGTAGCTAGGCAATTGGTAGATCGTGATCAATTGCTTTGAACGCAGTCATTGCCTAGTCAGGCGTCGAGCAAACACACGTTGAATATTCAAGCACCAGGTTATCGTCGATCGAGCTGACGGCCGTATTCCGGTGTGCTGGTGACGATGACACTGTTTCCTACGTAGCCGCAGGGAAGACCCATGATGTTTCTCCTGAATTGTGCTGGACGGACACTGACGAATGGGCATCGCATGGCAGTACGTACTGTCATCAATGTATCACCTTTCTACAGTATCACATTAAGGCTGTGTCCTCACAGGCCTAACTGGACTTTTGGCAGCAGATGTCTTTTTCCTCAATGTTTCGATCGTGGCAATGAATTGTACAGCCAAATTTGTATGCTATAGCACATCAACCCTATCCGCTCCGGTAGGTGCCCTGCCTATCGCCGGAACTGAACTCTGGTGCTGCTCATTCCCATAGTCGCCTGCCTTGTACGCGTTGTCATCGTGGACATCCTGATCCTAAGCCGAAAACACAAAACACCAAGGTACTGGGCTTGTGAGCATTCATTTTGTGAATCACCATAACAACAGCCGAGACGATCTGCAATACAACGCAGTGCTCACGTCCTCAATTCCCGGAAAGTGGACTTAGTAAAGCGGTTGTCGTGAGTGAAAACTGATCCTCGGTGGATACAAGCACCTAATGGGTTGTCAAATCACGTCCATTGAGGTGAACTTGCTTCGCCTCGGTAGATGTAAGCAATCTCACGACCGGCCTAAATTTTTGCACCGTTCGAATGTCGAACGCTTTCTGGAATCAAACGATTATACTGCGATGGCGCACTCGACATTGCCCGGAAGTGTCAGCACATTTTCTTTCGTGCATGCGTGAGGGAATGTTTCAAGGTTGAGCTCAAATTCCAGTGTCTTTGTCGCCAATGTGTGCAAGTCTAGGTTAATACTCGCGACTGTCTGTGTTGTCGGTCGCATCCTTGCAGCAAGATGTCGCTGCAGTAAAGGTCTGTCTGGGCAGCGGCTGCTACCTCATTGAAGCCGTGAGCGACGCAAATTTCACATGCGGCGCGGGAATAGACGTAGTTGTGCATCATGGATGATCTTCAAAAGGTCATAAATGGAAGCATAACCAAACGAGACGCGTAAATTCGCTTATTGTGACGAGTCTATATTTGATCGCCTGACAGCAACTTCAATTTTGCGCCCAAGCCGATCCGGTAGCGTGAGGCTGCTGACGGTCCCGTCATCCTGACTCCGATTAAAGGCATTCCTGGAAAGGAGTCGCGGATAAACTCGCAGTGAACGCCACAGAAGGCGGCAACTTGCCCCAGTGGGTCACCGAAATCTGGCTCAGAATCGAGATCAAACGCAAAGGGCCACACCCTTGCCCACATCTTCGCATTGCAACCTCACACCCTTGGTCAACTGCAAATGTCGTTCGTCAGCTCGCAATTTGTATCATCTGAAAACAACTTATCGGCAATGATCTGATCTGGCATTCTCGATGTCTGACTGCCCTGCCGCCCATTGGCTCCCTTGATCCACAATTTGGTGCAGCTGTGGCTCTCTGAGCTTACTTGATGCATGAAACCCATCAAACTTTCCAAGGGAACCAGCCCGTGGACAACTGGTTGCGTGAACCAAAGCCCGTTATGGTCAAGGATGTCACATTTGATCGCTTCTCCAATGGTGTGGCGGCGAAGGAGAGTGAGTACAAACCAATAGTTGTGGAAGCTAAGAAAGACATCAACCTCGCCAAACTAGCGATGCTAGCGGCGGGTCTTCGCAACGTTGATGGTCTGTGGCAGAGTACCGACAAAACAAGTACGCATCACCATATTGCTGGTCACAAAGCGGGTAAACCGGCGACGCTCATCGAAGCCATAGAAGAAAAACCCAAGTGTGAGAGGAAAGAGATTGATGGAAATCTGCTCAATGCGTGCTCGGAGTGTTTCAAGCTGAGCAACCCGTGTTCCTGGACGCCAAACGTTAGATCTAGTCGGCCCTGTAGCTCTGCTGCTGCCAACCAAGGAGCGTGCTGAGTGTTTCCATCATAACCCCCAACACAAAAGCATCACAGCGCCTTACTGGACGCCGAGGATGTGCACTTCGCACGCGCAATCGAAACGGCGAGATCGCCGAGAGGAATGGACCCTGGATTCAATGTGCCGAGCGTGAAAGACGAGGAGTACGACGACAAGGAAGCTGATGATCCTAGCCTTTGAAATGACGAGGCTTGAGCTGAGTGGTTGCGCAAATCTCGGAGATTGAAGAGTAGACTTCAATGGGTGAATGTGATTGCTGTGATCAAATAGAATGGGATGCTATGAGTCGTCGAATGAATCTTGAAAGCCTCCGGAGTGGACGAGACGAAGCAATGGCTCGGTGTTATTTGGTTCTTGGTATCGTGACACCATCCTGCTCGTTTTCCTACAAGCTCACGCTATCACAGCGTACCTGAGCATGTCTCAGAATAAATATCATTGATGTGTTGACATATGCTGCTTCCCTTCGTGTTTCGTCACTTTTTCAGACCCGTCATATAGTTGCTCAAAACAAAGATATCAGCATTTTCATACTTCATGGCCGGGAGTGTGAGCCCGAGTATCTTTGTTCGACTGTGGAGTTACTACCGTGTCACGCCCGAGAGACGGTCCGCGCTCGAGACGTCCCGTGATGGTAATGCTGTACGATAAAATGGATCCTCTCCGTTTCATGATCTACCGCGCTATGCACAGGAAAGACTGCGCTTCAGATAGCATTATGGCGTTCCACTGTTCATAGCGGGGATGGCGGAATATAATCGGTGCCAGAAAGATCGAGGGAAATTCTACGCCAGATGTCGAGTCGCGCTGATGACACGTCCAATGGAATTGTGATGTGGCTGTCTCCATTCAATTTGGAAATCATCATGAGGGTCGTGTCTTATTGCAGCGCCATATAAATCTTGCGTGTATGTCATTGCGACGAAACGATTTTTTCTCACTGGAGCATTCTGACATGGATGTCGAACGACGCTGCGCCCGAGATCAACCTGGAAGACCATGATTTTGATGCCATTTCTGTATCGATGTTGGACCAATCTGAATATAGGACGTTCACGCAGTGCGGAAAGTGTGCCGAGTTTGAACGGTCGGCGCTCAAGCTATCGGACGAGGAACTCCGACAGCTCAATTGAAACGACATCATCTGGACGTGCTCCTTTGGTCGCGGGTGAATGACTGGTAATCACTGAAGATCGGTATTTGATGAGTCATCGCGCTGCATGATCCGATTTGAACGATGCATAGAAGATCCAAGAGGGTAATGTGGGGAGATTGATAGTTATGCATATAAGTTGTATAGCAAACCTTAGGCGAATGCACCCTGATGTTGCACCGCTATCACGTATGACGTCTGCCGGCGCTGCTGTTTGCAAGCCGTCGCGAAATGACGCATGTTACGCGACTCTGCAGAACGTTGGGGGAAAAGTTTTCATTCCAAGGTTCTTTTCGATCTGTAAAAGAGATGGACCCCGCTTACAAATTTCAGGGCTTGCTAAATTATCCCCGCGTTCGAATTTCTGAAGCGCTGTCTCACCTTCTAGCAGCAAAAGTCCAAGGCAGATTTTTAGTTCTTGCTACAACCATTTGATCGCCTCCAGAGCTACAGCAAAAAGCTGATGTTGAACGAGAGGGGATTCGAACCCCTGCTACTTCCGTAAGTGGGAATCACAGCGAAGTATTCTTCGCTAAGAAGCCTAAGGCTGCTTGAATCCACCGCCATAACCTGATACCAACTATTAGTCCACCATTATAGATCAGGAAACGATCGGCGCTACTTGCCGCTCGGCCACTCGTCCTTTGACACTCCTTCCAGTGTTGTGGTGAAATTTCATGTGATTCAAGATTCAATATGATACTAAGACTGCAGCAGGACCTTAGTCGAGGAGGCTGAAAGAGGGGTAGGGTGTTCCAAGAGTGAAGGAAATCTCAGGGTCTTGAAGCTGACTTAGGTGGTAGCGCTGACTCACGCGATCATTTAGAGCTTCGGATGGTGCGAGTTCGACGCTGACTCGTTGGGTTATTGCGTTTTGAATTTACTTATCTATGCCTCAAGATGGGGAGTGTCGCAGCGGCCGAAGCCGGACCGAAGACGAGATGACTAACAGCGAGGTGATGTCGGGCTGTTCGGCCGGGACATTGTAGGGCTCAGATGCGCGATCGCCCGGCAACCACGCCGTGCACGCTGAGACGGGCGGAGATTGTCAACGCATACGAATGTAAAAATATCTACCCACCTGGGCGCCTGGGCAGATGGTCATTCTTGCCCCGAACTCAATAATAAGCTCAGGAGTTCAGAGTTGTGCTAAATTGGTGACGATAAAAGTACGGGAATCTTTGCAAACGCTACACCGGACTACACACTGCCCAGCAACTGTTCGGCAAATATTCCGAAGTGGAACATTTAGCAAATAGATGGAATTTGTCTTTGCGTCAAGCAAGCATATGACACATGCATTTCGGGAATGGCGATGAAGAGCTGCGATGAGCACTTTGCCAGCGAGTCGTCGTGCAGTCGCACACCACGTGGTCATGCCTCCATCAGCCAAGCATTTCCAAGCGCGTGCGTTTCACAGATTGCTTGAATTGCTTGATGTGAAAGCCCCCGAGTCTGATGCCAGGCAGAACATTACAAAAGTGTTGACACCATGCGCCGTCGGATACAGTGACAGCCTGGGTTCTACGGTGCCGCATGCGCACGACGCCGAGCTTGTCGACATACATCACATTGGAGGTCCATGGTGAGTTGATTAAACGCATTGACTTTACATACGGAGGTGGCCTTGGAACCTTGGAAGCTGACGTCGACGCCCAGACGATGACTCATCAAAGATATCGCTCGCAGATTAGTCACCAGGCCGCCGGTGTGAGACGACATTCACGTAGTATTGCATGGTCAGAGCTGTCTATTGTTTTCGACCGATTCTGAAGCAAGTAGTAAAGGGAAGGGAAGGGTGAGAGTGTGGGTAAAGGTCGTGAACGAGCCACAGCCTATTTGAATCGTGAGCCTATCCGAGCAACTAATATGTGATGCACGACGATGTCTACAACTACGTCTACTCCAGCATCACGTGTGAAATATGCTCAAGCATGAACAGCCCGTCACAAGAACTTGAGGACACGCCCGTTCTGACGTCTTAAACTACATTTTGATGTATGCATTGATCAGTGGTCAATTCTCGATCATCTCCTCACTAACCAGCCTGAAATCGTTGGAGCAAGGTTGAACCTTTTCCGATCAAGAACACAGCCCTTTACAGCAGACAAAGCCTGCTGGGTCCCAGTTGCCGATTTGCAATGATGATGCAACGAATACCGGCGGAGAACCGGGGGTCAATGCAATACCTTTCACTGGCGGTGCAGTCACGAACCCGCTGCAATTTACGGCAGCATCGTTCATGCTCAAACTTGCCACTCCTTGCACACTCCAAACCAATCATAGCCGACAGTCACACAGATTCCACTGCACAGTCAGTCTCAGCAGCCGGTAGGTTCCAGTTTCAGTACGCAGCGGCATCTGCTCTGAATGACACGGCCTCGGAATTACTCAAGCGGACTCTATCTGGCCTGCGATGTCCAACACCGTATGACGGCCACGACAAAGACACTCCCATCGACACGAAACCGGTCACTCCGATCAGTAATGTAATACTGTCTCGAGGGCACCAGGGCTGCGTTAGATGAAGCTCTGATATATATGAGGTGCACCAACGTACATTCTCGTCCTGGAATGTGTGCCACAGACGCCTGATGCCTTTCCGAATGATTTTCAATGTGTTCAAGCGGTGTCGGTCGCTGGCCTCGTCCTACCTGTGCCGAAAAAGAGCCAGGTCGTAGGAATGGCGACATGGAAGAATACCTGTCCTCCATCTCAGTGCTGTGGAGAGGGTCACCATGTCCCGACCACACCTGCATCAAGGAGTACCGATTGACGTCTTAGCAGTGCGTCCTAAAGTTCTCTATCCATGTGGCGAAACACTGTCACTACATGACACCCAGACGCCATGTGTTGCCAACAGAGTGTAGAAGCACCACGAAGACTGGGCACGGCCTAACAAGATATAAATGAACCTGAAACACAGCATGCCCCTCGAGTGTGAAAAGGCCCGTGTCACATGCTGGTCGCTATGAATGATGTTCGGAATTCACCGGGAAAGGGTTCGTCCTTTCACTTCCCACTGTGATCAAACCTTACCAGCAGATATTGCCATACTCAATGGCTCGATTGAAGAATCAGTACAATCTTGGCGGGATCTTGCAATTTTCTCTTGGCAGTCTGTTTTTTAGCACTTGCTCTGCCAAACACTTGTTTCCTCCCACTTACGCTTTTATTCAATCTGGTCAAGCTCTTCGCCAATCATGGCCAACAAGCGAACTCTCTGGCTCCGAGTTGACTATGGAGCAGCGAATAGGAGCATCTTTGATTTTGTACCGTGCACTGTCAACGAGCAGATAGGGGGCACTTTGTGTCTTCTCGACATACAAGGATCAGAGGGTCGCATGCAGTTTGGCATGAGTCCGTCTGACCGTGATGGAAATTTTCCGTCCGTGGGTACGCAGATCTGGGTTGCGGTCGAGATCATGAATTCCGGGCCACATCCGTGCCCATACTCATCTATTGCGACCTCGTTTACGTGGTCCATCATCGAAGACGTCCGCCAGCTTGGTATCAAGATCTTCTGGCAGGAAGAAAATGGAGCGTGGAGCTTCTACCATGTGACAAGCTCGGGATACTACCCAAACAATGAGGATGTTGACAACATTGCGGCCTTGAGAGCCTTTTTGATGCATGAAGAGTACGAAAACCGACCTGAATGGATGAAATCTCTCGGTCTGGCCCACGTGCGCGTGGTGGAGTTTGACCGCCTCAGCGAGACAGAAAAGATATGACCGTGCACAGAGAAAGTAGTCCACAAGCTTCTTCGTTACGACATCAACATCGCCAGCGCAGCCATGCTTGAAGCAGGCCTGCAGAACATTCCGTCCAAGTGGATGTCGTTCGACAAAGAGCCTACCGAAGCCTACATTGCGAAGCATGGTCAAGAAATTCCCCCTGAGACCATCAAGCACGTCAGAGATCGAAGCAGCTGCGATCGATGCTACTTTCATGCTACCATCCATGGAGAAGATAAGGACTGCCATCGGGCATTTGAGTCGTCTGACACTTGCGGGTCGTGTCACGAACTCGGGCGCCCGTGCTCGTGGACGGCATCATCGGTCCTACTCGGCGACGCCCTTCTGCAGCCGAGAGATGCAATCAACGTGTTGGGAGAATTCCCCTGGTCAGCACAGTCTGCGGCATTCCGTACTGCCTTGCTGCATGCGGACAATGACATGATTAGAGAAGCCACAAAGCCTGTGACACTCCCGCTCGGCATGGATCTGGGTTTCCGCACGGTCAAGCTGTCGTGCGAAGAATTGTCAGGCGACGAGTATAGTTGTGAATGAGCGCCGCTCGATCCAATCAGTTTTATTTTGGCATTGCAAGGAGTGATTGCTCTTATGGAAGCGAGCGTGCCGGTGGCGCTCATGCGAATAGCTTGCTTGAAAATCTGTCTGCGCCGCAGGTATCACTTTGGCCTTTCGCCAGATGTACTTGTTCATTCCGATAGTTTCAATGAAGTTCCATCCAAATCTATCCCGGATTAAGTCCCTGCTTGTGACTCTTGAATAAAGCAAGCATGTTTGACACTACATGAGATACTCTTTCAGTTGCGAACACGTTGATGAGGATGCCATTGAACGGTATGTCATTCCCTCAAGTCCTAAGCTTGTACCAGGGTCATGGTTCGCAGGTTCTAGATACTCCTCATTAGGCGGCACGTCGCACGTTTTCATGCCAACCAACAAAGCACCTCTAATGTCCAAAATCAGATCCATCCTGCCCGCTCTATCTCCTCCCGTTCCCTTGGATGCATCTGCCTTGGCCCGGCATTCGGTTTGGAAGGACTTTTCCTCAATACGAGTCCCTCCCACCACCCAACACCACGCTCCTTCAAGCTCCTTCCGCTCGCCTTGCGAGCCACCACCGCGCGTAGTTCACCTCGACCTCGGTCGAATCGATCACGAAAGCTCTGCGCTGTACTCGGTCGTTGTTCCTGGACTGGCGGAGGGGACGACGCCGATACAGGCTCGTCGGGAGGTTTCTTAACGACGGACGCGCCGTCCCCAAAGCTGATCTGGCGATTTCTAGGAAGGATACTGTTGCCGTCGGCAGTCAAGCCGAGAGTCTGTGGCGCAAACACATGCCGCTGATGAGCCGCCGAAGATGACGCAGAGGAAGTAGCGGACGCCTGCCGCCGGACTGCAGGATTCGTGACAGGAATCCCAGGACGGAGGGAGAGCATAGGCTGAGTATGTGCCGGAGGTACGACATCGGTAGCATGACGGATAATCGAGCTTGTGCTGAAGGGTTTGCGTGGCATTGGTCGAGGGCCGGCGGGGTGATCGCCCAAGTGAATACCCTTTGCAGATAGCGGACGAGCAAGATCGCTTTTCTTCCGTCGCAGTGGCGGCTGTGGTATTGATGTGGTTTTCAATTCGCTCGGTCTCGGTGGTGTCCGATAAGACATCGCGCCAAAGACGCTTAAAGGGGTCCTTTGCTCTGGCGAAGGACTCTGAAGCGTCTGCTTGCTGGAGAGCTTGCGGATGCTGAAGCCTTTTCGCGGCAAGAGTCGTGATGGTTGATTCCTCCGCGGTGACTCATCGAGAACTTGCTGCAAGTTTTGGAGATCGATGCGATGCTCCTTCTGCCTGTCGCGTGACTGTTCTCGTGGGGCTGCAAAAGCTCGACCCGGAGTGTAGGAAGGTCCACGCCGAACCATGTTCGTCTGAGCCGGAGACGACATCGATCTTCTCCGGTTGTTTTGGCTACTGTCTTGCAATCTAGATCGAGATCGCTTGCTCTGTGCCCGCTTCTCTTCAATTGCGGCCGCAACTTGCGCGACCGAGTTTGGAACCACATCCAAAGAAACCATGTGAATGAGGACGATCGGTAGCTGGACCGTCACAAGCTTTGTGGTGGAAATAAAGACCGTCACATTGAGGAAGTATCGCACCTCAAAGTATTTTCCACAACGAACGGTAGCGTGACCACGAGGGAGCTCAAGTTCGCATGTTCTCATGTCTGTAGCGTGCGCATCGACGCCATTCCAGCCTACCGTTCCTGTTTTGAATAGAGACCGTGCGAGAATAGTTCGGTCGTTGCTCTCAAAGATCCTGGCTTGCACTGCGGATTTCTCCATCGTCGCCGCGGCCGCATGCTTATAGCACAGGATGTCGCGTTCGAGAGTGAGTTCCAATTTCTTGATCGGCCTTTGGGTCTTGTTGGAGATATACACGTCTACGAAGATGCTACCGCCACTCACCCATACTTGCCGGTGTAGGCCTGCCGTAACTCGAACGCTTTCAAGTCCATGCAAGCGCGCCATGATAAATTCATCTGCTGCGGTAAGTGGACTCGGTAGTGACGTCAAAGCTTTTTCCGGATCATACGTCGATAGCACCTGAATGTCTTGGGAAGTTCGAACCTTGTAACTCTTTCCAGTGTCGCGAATCATAGCGGTCACTGACAACAAGAAACGAATGCTTGCATGTTTGCTCTGGAACGGCGGAGGTCCAGTTTCCAAGGGAAGACTGATCATGAAGGGTAGCAAGGTCGATGAAGCTGCAAGTGGCCAATACCCGTCACCTGTGGTGATGATATTTGTCGGCTGAACCGTATCAGCCGGCGGAGGATGGTTCGCATCGAGGAGCTCAGTCCCAAGGGCTAAGAATGTGGCCGTACGCCCGTGGGTCACATCTTCGAAGCCCAGCAAGTCAATCGCCATCTCGCCAATATCCAGACTTCGCCTATATTTGCTTCGGTCGTTGCTATCAACAGTGATTGTGACATGGCCCTCGATACTTCCTCCACCCACAAACAACGGGGCCGAAAGTTGTAGTTCTAGCCTGACTCGAGGATGACGATAAGTCGGATATTGGATGATGTCGACAGGATGAGGATGTCTTATCAAGGTCTGCGATGGCACTCGTCTTGCCTCAGCTGAACCATGAGCATCGAGTCTCAATCTCGTCTCTTTGACCGGCGAATAGCTATGGCCATGGTTGGCCACAGAAGGTTTTGGACGAGCTGTGATACCTCGAGCTGGCGCTTGCTGGACCGGCGCGGTGGTACTCCTCGTCTGCGATGTACTCGGTCTACGCGCATGGGCATTTGAGGATGTGCGTTGAGGCACGCTTGAATGCGGGATGCTGTACAGGCTCGACTGCTCTGGGGTGCTACTGTATGATGAGGATCCATTTTCCAGAGCCCTCGGTGCGCTTTTCTGCGATCTGATCGCTGGTGGATCGACGTGAGAGGGCGCAACGGGGGGAAGAGGACGAGTAAACTTTGTCCGCGAGGAAGGAGAGCCGTTTCGTGACTGAAAGGTTCGAGAAGCGGCGTTTCTGGCTGCGATGCTGATGAGGCTGGGTTCGCTGAGCTCTCTGATGTCTGAGAGAGGGCGAACAGTAGCTGAAGTCCATGGTGCAGGTACTGGAGGTTCGAGGTTGAACGGAGTGCGTGGCAGGGATGGCAGCAGACGGACTGTCGGTCCCGGCCGACCTGGATGATCCGCCGCGACTTTTTCCATCTCCTCATGGTTGTGATGGACGGATCCAAGCTCGAATCAAATCACGGAGTATCCCTTTGTGCGCTTCCAAAGATATCCATTGCTGCATACTTTTCCGTTCCCGACCGAAAGGATATTTTGTGCGAGAGGCACCGGCGAGCTTTGGACAGTTGAAGCGAGGTAATCACCACATGGCCATCACACTGTACTTGCCTTTATCTTGCTGCATCTGTAAGTCGCATGTGAGAGATGGATGTCAAGTGCGGCCGAGGAATCACAGGCAGGGGCGTGATAAGAGATGTCAACATCAATAGATGGACTCATTTTTTTCGGATTTCTGGCATATGACTTGGAAAGAGAGCTCCTTGCGAGAACACGAGGGACAGCAGCGGCATCAACTGGATCGCAGTGCAAGTGTTCGACATCAGCGCTTGTTGGGTTCATCACTACCGTGAAGTGAGTAGAATAGGCCATTGACTCAGCCATGACATTGAATAAATCCATGCCAGCCTTGTCTTGGCCTCTCGAAGATCAAAAACATCAATTTTCCGCGATTGACTGACAGCCTCAGGGGCTGTATGTGGTGGGTATCAGACGTTACGGCGAGACGTGTAGGAGAAGAAACGTCGATGGGAGACTTCACACATGGAACAGTTGTAGTTCTCTGCCATAAGTGAGGAAAAGTACGGCTGTTTATGGAAGAGGAAATTCTACCAGGCTATTTTGTGCTGAAGGAATTGACAGAAATATCAGCAGAAAAAGCCAAAACTCGGAATATCGGATTAGTCCACGACAACACTTCTGATCATCCTTATCTAACGAGATTCAACAGGATTAGCAATGTTTTAAACAATGAAAGCGTGGCTGACCATTTCACCACGTCTGGATGTGCAAGTGAAGGTTGTCCAGGCGGGCGACCACCATGGCACCTGGGGTGTGTTTTGAATAGGGTTGGGGTGTCAGGGTTTGGTTTGGGGCAATATCACCCGTGGTTTTGCAGCACCATGCCATTTGCTTCACGCACATATTTCGGATGAATTCCAGCACATGATAGCGGATGCGCGGCATGAGCACCATCGATATATTGTGCCAGCATAGTGCAGATAAAGCATGCAAACAGCCCCGATTGACATCCTCATCGTTCGTCGGATCCACGCCGAATTTCATGCCAAACTTACATTCGGCAGGAGAGGCGGCCGCTTGAACTGTCGAAGAACTCACTGGCATTTCTCCGAAACTCCACCGTTCAGATTGAGGTGGCTCGAAGCGCGTCTGCATATGCGGACTCACACAGCCGACGACGGACTCTGCCCTTTGAAACCCGTCTAGGCTGCGAAGACATGGGTACACGACGCAGCCGACGTCCCATGCCAAGCTTAGAGGGGAAAGCTGATCCACCATTGCATCCGAACTCGCTCGATCCGTGCCACAGCTTTGATCAGCCCATACATTCTCTTGACGGGTTGTCTTCCTGCGCAAAATGCGACAAACATGCCATACCGCCGTGACTATGCCTAGCCGTACATGTACCGCACCGAATGTGTGTGTCCTTGTGGCACCTGGGCACCCATTGGAATTGCGGGGTGGACTGGCCCGTCGTTAGCCGGCGCGTGTCGCAAGAACGGGCCATAATCGATATGAAACTACCTGCCTTCCTTTGGGCATCTGAATGACCGGAGGAACTGAGAGAGGGGTGTTGAGTACACATGAGAGCAACAGTACTCGTCAGGAGATACGCGGACCGTGTAGGAAATATGAAGATGCCGAACCGAAGCGACTCAGCTAGACCGTTTCCCTCCCCGGAACAGGCGCGTGGGCAAGTGCGAAGAAGCTAAGCCATGCTCGGCTTACAGTCCGAAGAACGGACGTCAAGTGGTCCGTGGGCCGGGACATAGACCACGCGGCAGCTTCGATTCGGTTAAAGGGGAGAACCACCACACTCCAGCTCGATTCATTGGAAAATGCTTCTTGAGCACAGGAGACCTTTTCCGGTAACTCACTTTGGTAGAGCGAGGGTCTCTCAGAGATGTATCAGTTTGCAGACCAAGCCTTCTGCACCAAGAAAGCGACGAGTGTCGCAAAACGACTCATAAGGGAGCCGTTGCCCGCACGCTGGTGGCCGATCATCAGACGAGCATGTCTTGTTCTTATTAGCCCCTCGTAAGCGCGGCAATGCCATGCGGAGAAAATTTTCGTCCACGCGGTTCTTGGGCAGGTGGAATGACTGGTACGAGAGACGAAGAGGAACTCGTCTAAAGTCTCTTTCTTCACATTCCTGGGTTCTGATGGTGGTTGTTCTTCCACGCCATTGATGATGCACGCGTTGTCTACTGCACCAGAATAGGGCGTACCTGCACTTGATGCACAATACTGTTTTGTTTTCGCCAACCAGAGGGGACACGATGAAGCTCATCTGGGAGCACAAAGGAGGACTGCACCACTCCTCCGCCGATTTTTAGTGATGGTACTGGTCCTCTTCAGGCTACCTCCAGCGACAACGACTCTCGCCAAGCGCAACTGCAGCCGGCATCCGTATACAACCTACACACCTGCGTACTTCAGCAGCAGCAGCAGCAGCAGCAGCGTTATTGCAATACAATATCATGCCATGCCATGATACGACATCATTACCATCATCGCCATCTGCGAGACACACACTCCTGAACTGCTGTGTGCGGGAAACCCTAAGAAACGGTGCATTAGTAGCAAACGATTTGATGTGACATCCGCCCATTCCCATCCGCCCGCTTCGCCTCTTTGCTGTGTGATATTGAAACCTCCCTCCTCCTCCTCCTTCCTTCCACTACCCGCCGCCCGCGTCGCGCGTGATTGCTGGAAATTTTCCTACTTCTTCTCTCCTCATACATAGCTATTAGCAATTCCATTACTCAAACCCTGGCTTTCATACGTCTTCACTCTCCCAAGATTACCCTCATTCTGTACCCCATCCACTACGCACGCCTCTTCCTCGCAAGCCTGTCGCCCTTGTTCTAGACAGTCGGCTATTGAAGAGCGATCATTGCCAGGTGGAAAGGGTTGTCGCGCCGCCACCTCCACCACCACCACCACCAGCCCAACGTCTGTTGGATCTATCCGCCAGCCCGGTGTCCCGCTTTTCGTCTCTACACCTGGTTGGCACTCCCGCGACATCTCATTATCGTTCTCATATACTCAACCGCCATCATCGCTGCTAGGCGCACGTGTTTTGAATTAGCCTTACTCAGAGTGTCCTCAGTCTCTGCCCTAAGATCTGCCTCAGGGATCGGGATCTCCGCTCATTCCCGCCGGCCTTTGGTGGTCGGTCAGAAGTCAGGTTCCTGCAACACGAATGGACGACGACCACCATATGCTTGATGGCCATCAAATGGTGCCTGCCGCCAAGATGGAAGTGTCGCCGCGTGATGGCACACCAAGTTCGATCGGGTCCTCTCCGGAACAGGACATTGGCATGGAAGCCGAGCAGGAACCGGCCCAGCCTCAGAAACGAAAGGGTGGTCGAAAACCAGTACGTCGCATTCAAGTCGTTGGCCATGGTCGATCGGGAGATCTGTCCGTTGCGATGAAGCTCAACTGGGCGATTAGCACAACACTAACGAATCGTCGCCGTAGATCTATGCAACCTCCGAGGAGCGCAAACAAAGGAATCGGCAAGCCCAAGCGGCGTTCCGCGAACGTCGAACCGAGTATATCAAACAATTAGAAGCCAATATCAAACAAAATGAAGATCTATTGCATTCGCTCCAGGAGAACCATCGTCGAATCAACAATGATTGCCTGATGCTAAGGTACAAAAACTCACTTCTGGAGCGAATTCTTCTTGAGAAAGGTAAATCAAGGCGCGTCGCAACACTTTGGCCAAGACCTATACTGACAACACCCCAGGTATCGATGTCCAAGCCGAGCTGGAGATGAAACAAGCCAGTCCACCTTTAAGTGCGAACTTGATAGGTGCTGTGCAGGGATTGTCTCAACAGCAACCTTCTCAACTACAGCGCACAGCATTACAGCGACAGCAGGCTCGGCTATCTGGTAGTCGCAGCTTTCTACCAAAGCTTGCTCCCGGTCAAAATGCTGTCGATGCGAATCATGCAACATCGCCGCATGCTCACCCTACCCCTTCTTCACACGCGTCATCACCACCCCAACTATCCACTCGTTCGCCGATGGTGGCGCCTCAGGGCGGCATGACATCTCCTAATTCCCTTGTGCAACCGCAGGGACAGCAGTTCCAGGCCTTCCCACGCCCACCACAACAACCACATTCTGCGCACTTGCAGGAACAGCTATCATCTCCCCAGACCATGGCTCGACCTTTACAGACATCAGCGCAGCCTGCCAGTGTACCAGCGAATGGAGCTGCCAACCATCAGCAAGGCTTTGCACCAGCCTTTGCCAATGATGCGAGCAAGCAGCATGTCAATTCCGCCTCATCTTACTACCCTAGCCCGTTTCAAAGACACTACGACCAACTTGGTGAGTATTGCGTATATCTGCCTACCCCTACCCTACTCAGGTCTTTGTAATCCAGAAACTTACCATCAAGCCAACAGAGCAGGAATATGACACACAGCACTCGCGATCCATACTTGATGACCCTGATGTAGATGAGCATCAGCAGCACGTATCACAAACAGCCGGTGGCCTTCAGGAAGCGTATACGCAACGATATGGCAACCAAGCGGCCATGCCAGCTCCACCACTCCAGCAACCGACCAACACAGAATACTATCACGCGCGTCAATTCCCTCAACAGATTGCCCCGCAAGCGTCCTATGAGCAGGCTGGCCCTATCGCTCCACCCACAAGCCACCCTGCTGCGCTAGGGGATGGGCAATTTAATACCACCAACATAGATCCCAATGATCCTCTTCTTGACCAAGACCCATTCGGTCTGAGCGCGAGCATGCACTTTCCTACTCCTTACGGATTTGATCAACAACTTCGGCAGAATGGCCCTCGTTGATCTCAGCCGTAGTCTCTGCATCTACATTTCGGCGAAGACATGGAGCGTCTCACCCGACCTTTCTAAGTCCACCGTTGGAGACGATAGATCTGGTCGAGTCGCGCACCGCGCCACCTTGCTGCATACACTTCAAATCTGACCATCAGAACCTGGATACGGCTGTAATATTGCGCTCACACGCAGACGAATTTAACGACAACATTGTTTTGCACATAGCGGGAAAGGCGGGTTCAGTTTCCACACAAAAAAAAGCATTGGGACGCAGACTTGGCGAGTGCTGCTGGCGCATAGCGGACGGCGCGGAATTGATTATTACCCTCGTGGAGAAGCAATTCTTCGACCGGCGGCGTTGTTTTCCATTTATTTGATCTTCTTTGGCAGGCACCAGCATGACATCCAAAAGGGAGGGGCAGTTGCTTTGCGAGGCGGGGTCCTTTTTGAGGCCATAAAATTTGTGAGGTGCATTTTTGCGATGCTCTTTTGAAAAGTTTATGCATTTGACGCATGCATCTTGAATAAAATAATGTTTGTGCAATTACAGAATTCATAATCCAGTCGTCAGTAATGGATATGATCGAACAGACGTGTGCTATGATGCGCGCCTCGGATTTTGAGATGATGGTCCTGGATTGCTGGATTGCTTGATTGCTTAACTGTAGCAGATGACGATGACGACGACGATACATGCATAAAAACTTGAACCACTGCCCACCTGAGCAGTTGTGGGCACCTGCAACAATGGATAAAATCAATTTCGCAGAGAGCCCTGGCGACGAGTGTCAATCCCCAGGAATCTCGTTTCCCGCGACTTTAACACGTGCCCGTGCGGACCACTGCGGTGGGTAAAGCGGTGCCAAGCCCAATTTCACCTCCAAGCGCACAAACGCAGCTGCAAGCTCCTCGAGGCCGCTCCCACCCTCGCCCCGATTATAGAACCTTCCCGGAAGGGCAATATGGGTCTGTACTGCTCGTGACGGACATCAACATGAGTACCATCGCAAGCAAGGTGAGTTGCCAACATTGATACTTGGACGGGAGAGGATAATTGTGTGAATATGGGTCATGCGACCATTTCATATTCGCGCACCTCACCGTCGCCGTCCATATGCAAAATATGATATTCAACCTTTTTCCCCCGTCACCTGGACTGACATGAGTGCATTTTAGAACCTCTACGACCTCCTGGGTATGCAGCGCTTACAGATCCCTTTTCAGATGCGGAGCAGGACTTGTCAGACCGCGCAGAAAACATGAACTCACCAAATGATCTCGTACAGGCAACGACCCGGACCAGGATCCTGACAGGGCGCCCGACCCACCTGTCAAGGTCATCGACAAGCCAGTGGCACGTACCGGCAAGCGAAATGCTGGACCCGAGGCTCCGGCGAAAGATGGCCTAAGGGGACCAACACCGGCTGCCCCAGCTGGCGGACGTGGTGGACGATCGGAGGGAGCTGGCCGTGGTGACCAAGGTACGCGAGGGAGAGGTCTGGGATGACGTGTTGGTGGTCATGTGCAGAGGATTTCTTGACACCACCGCGTCACCAGTACCGCGATTCCAGTAGTCGGGGATGTTTTATTGATTGGAGATACAGCCAACGGTCGCCCTGAGCGTCGTGACGACGGTCGCGAGCGCCGCCCCAGAGGAGGTTCGCAGGATGCCTTCTTCCTATGCAAATATACAAATGCTAATCGATAATTCAGACGGCCAATTCCGTGGCGAGGGACGTGGTCGCGGACGAGGAGGTCGGGGACGTGGTGACCGACCACCGCGTGACGACCGTCACAGCCACACTGGCATCGGGTACGCATAACCGTCAATTATACCCGTCTGCACAAGATACTGACCGGTCTCCCGATAGCGAACAACAAAAGCAAGCCGCTCAAGGATGGGGTGGTGAGAGTGGAAACGCCGAATGGGCTGACGAGAAAGCCGGCGATGCCATTGCCAACGCCGAGGCCAAGAATGACCCCAACGCTGCCGCCGACACTGATGCCCGGGATCCTGCTTTCACTACCGGACCCGACGGCGAGGTCGGCGCTGATGCGGCCGAGGAGGAGGACAAGACCAAGTCCTACGACCAGTACCTTGCCGAGCAAAAGGAGAAGCGCGCCGCTCTCGGTGCCGGCATTGAGATCCGCAAGCCCAACGAGGGCTCCAAGCAGAAGTTCCCCGAGGGCAAGGCATTCTCACGCAACCCAGAGGAAGAGGAATTCATGTCCGGAGCTGGCGGCAAGACCCGCAAGGCCAAAGACGCCGGTCCCAAGAAGGAGCAGATCGTCGTCGACGGCCAGTACTACGCTGCTGCTGACTCGGGTGACCGTGGTGAGTGATGGCCATGATCTATGCGTGTGAGATGCCTCGCAGATATGCTAACATTTCTTCCCCAGGCGGACGCGGTGGACGTGGCGGTGCTCGTGGCGGCTCTCGCGGCGGCCGTGGAGAATTCCGTGGCGAGCGTGGCGGACGCGGACGTGGTCGCGGCGGTGACTTCCGAGGAGGTGCCCGTGGCGGCGCTGACCGTAAGTCGAATCAGATCTCAAGCGCGTAACGATTCCACAGCAACCCAGCTGACATGTCTCTTCTGCTTAGGTGGCCCAGCCGCTCCCCGTGGCGGATTCAACGCTACCGACGAGTCTGCCTTCCCGGCCCTCGGCGGTAACTAGATCCATAGCCCTCATGGGCCATGAAGACAGCACAATCGAATTGATGCTGCAACACCTCAGCGTTCCATGCGGGACGACACGTGGGATGGAAATGGACATCCGGGTCGACCCTGCCTCTGCTCGCATGAGTGAAAGTACGAAACGTTCGACGGCAATTCTTACGTAGGGCGTGGAAACATTTTGATGGGCGGGAAACGTTTCACTTCTCAATTTTCCACTTGGTGTTCAGGTATCCCGCATAAATTAGGTTTGCCGACTGCTGCTGGAGTTGGGAGAGGGGAATGAAAACACATCCACATACACGCACACCTTCGATTGAACCCTGTTGTCGTTCACGTTGAAAATTGACACCGATGTCATATCGTGAGCGTGCCCAACAGACCGTGAATGTGAGTCGGTCGCTATGAAGTCAAGCCCATGCGTCGTAGACATGCTGGATGTGTGAAGTGATTCGGTGCGGCATCACGCAAGAGTAGGGGTCGCTGGTTCGAGCCTGGCTTGCTCGACAGTGGGCGACCTACAGAGGGCCGATCCTCACATTAGGAACCTTGGAAGTTCTCGACCACCTGGGCGGACGGCAGTCGTCTCTTCCGGAAGGAAGGAAACGACTTGGAGGATCATAGCCCCCAACCCTAACCTCAGATCTGCCATGTCATGGGAGACACATGTCACGGGAAGGAGACAGCTCCGGGCGGGCACTGTTCATCCTCCAGGTGTACGCACCATCACCAACAGAAGAAGGACTGAATCCATCTCGGTTCCATTGTCATCTGGGCACTTTTCCGCAAGGGAAACACGGGCCTGGAAATCCTGCCAAAGATGGTGGAGGCGGTCACGACGACACAGCCTCTCGCCATTACAAATAAAGAGAATGCGGACATGTGCCCTCAGCTGCCATGTACATCAATCTACGTATGTGCCTCACCGAAATGGATGGGTCTACATCAGATCGGCTGTCATTGCCAGTCAAGGTGTAAGAATGGGAAGTGTGAAGTGTGAAAAGGGTGATGTCGTCCCAAGCCACCGGAGATGCATGATCCGGTGGGGGGGTTTAGGCTTCGTGACCATTTGCAGCAATCTGATACGTCGAGAGCTTAATCAGATCTCCACACGCCGTTGGCCGGGGCCCTGAAGGATGATGGGCGCTGCATCACGCGAACTGCAGAAGGCCCGGGGACCACCATTATCTACAGCTGCAGTCAGTCCCATCCGATGAGCGCATTGGCTGTGATGGTAGTCGTGGACGAGCACCTTTGGCACCACATGTGTCTCTGTGGCGATGATGATACCCAGGTGGCACAATCGACCATATCGTGATTCGGTTAGAGACAGGCAGGGCAATTGAGCGCGCGTTATTGCTAGTGGGAAATGTACCATTGATGGCACGGGCTGGGTCGTCGCCATGGGAAGAAATATCGTCGTCGTCATTGATCACCGTTGTCGTCGTCCTCGGTCGTTGTCGTCGTCATCCTTTGCGACGTACAACCCATGTACAATAATGTCAAATTGTATGCACACCTAATCAGCAGCGGCGCCTTTGAACTGTTGTGTCATTCGACGCTTGTTCGTGGCGCGAGCGCCAATGGAGACACGGACGCTGCATGTGAGGATTTCCTTTTGGCCCTTATTGATCATTCCAAGGTTATTATATTGCTGGGGAGAACCATGGCGGCAGGCGGGAAGCCGGTTTCCATAGGTATAGGTGTTGTTCTTTCTTGGGGCCGCGTGTCGAAATGGAAGGCGTGCGATTCTTGGCCGGGAGCGTGCCAATTGCGCAGCGCTTGGGAGATGCCCAGGTGGCTTGCACCGCCCTCATTTCCACATAACAGCCCCGGAGAGAGCGCTATATCAACACGAGAGACAACGGCATCTAGACGTAGCCATGAGAAGTCCTTTCTCTCGTTCTCCGGCAGGTCATCGATCCGGGGGCAAGCAACGTTGGAGCTAGCTGCACTGGCGACCACCGTTCACCAGGCTTGATCTCAAGGATCGGCAGCACTATCTTCCGCTGTAGCAGCAGCAGCCAAACCTTCCCAGCTTCTTGAGCCAATCGAGACTCGACACTTATTTCTCCGCGGCACCATTTGTGCACCGTCTCGACATTCGATTGACCGACCCTTGCCATAATCGTGCATCTGGGAACGCGGTTGTCTGCTCGACTCTTCGAAGGAAATCAAGCTACTGCCATCTCTAGTTATATCATCTGCCTGGCCCGTTGATCCCCGAAACGTCCAAATCGACTTGATCATCGTTCTTGTCGACAAATCCCCTTCAACTTTACTTCTCTCCCTCTCAGACTGGCAGCATCAAGATGAGAACAACATTCGCAAACGCAGCGGCATCGTTGCTGACATTAGGTATGTCCACTCACTCATCATCCTAAGATTGACAAGCACAATACCTTGTCCAGTGACGCGTCGATTTTCTAACACAAGGATCTCACAGGCACCTTCGTCTCGGCAGCCGTGCCCGTAGCACGAAACTGCCCTTTCACAAACGTTTGCCATTCGATCAATATTCCCGATGTCACAGCCTCTTCCGGAACGGGAGATATCTTCCTCCAGATCACAGCCCCGACGTCGTACTCATATGCCGCACTCGGACAAGGTCCTGCCATGGCCGGTGCCAACATCTTCGTCATTTACCCATCATCCGACGGGAAAAATGTCACTTTGTCGACCCGCCAAGGTGTCGGCAACATACAACCGCTGCATACCACGGCGGTGCAAGCAGTCCTCTTGGAGGGCTCGGGCGTCTCCAATGGAATCATGACGGCAAACATCAAGTGCAGCAACTGCAACAGCTGGGATGGAGGTTCCATGGATTTCTCCAAGTCATCCACCGACTGGATCTACTCCGTAGGCTCTGGCTCTCCGTTCAAGAGTGACGCTCTCGACGCCACCATCACATACCACGGCCCCTCGGGAAGGTCTAGCTTCGTCTGGGATTTATCCCCAGCCAAGGGCGGCAGCTCAGTCAACCCGTTCGTCGCCGTACGCACAAACGGCGGCAATGTGACCAGCGGCGGCAATGCGACCAACGGCGGCAATGCGACCAACGGCGACAATGCCCCCAACGTCACGACCACAAGCACTGGAAGCAGCAGCGGTTCCTCCCCCAGCGCCAGCTTCGACCCGGAAAAGTTCGACCGCATCCTCCTAGCACACGGCGTCATCGCCGGCCTCGTCTTCCTCGGCCTCTTCCCCATCGGCGGCATCGTGATCCGGCTCTTCAGCTTCGCTGGCGTGATTTGGGTGCACGCCGCGATCCAGGCGATCGGCCATCTCCTCTTCATCGTCGCCTTCGGCCTCGGGGTCTGGATGTGGATGACCTTGCCACTGGACAGCCTCGTGCACCCGATCCTCGGCTCCATCATCTTCGCGATCCTGATCATCCAGCCCCTGACCGGCTTCCTGCACCATCGCCTCTTCGTCCGGTCGCACGCCAACGCTGCCGCCGCCGAGAAGCCCGCCGGCCGCACGGCGGTCTCCTGGATCCACATCGGCACCGGCCGCGTGGCGATCCTCGCCGGCATCATCAACGGCGGCCTCGGGCTGTGGCTCGCGGGCGTCATGGGCGCCGGGAACATCGCCTACGCGGTCTTGGCGGCGTTCATGGGTTCGTTGTACATCGTGTCGATCGTGATCGGAGAGCGACGTCGGAGCGCGAGTCGGCGGGCACAGCAGGTCGAGGCCCGGGATGGGACGCCGGCGGGTGTCTCGAACGTCAACGCCAATCACCCGGGCCAGCAGCCGATGAAGCAAGTCCAGCCGAGAGCCTCGGCCGGGTCGGGGAGTGGAAGTGATGTTGACAGCCCGACGAGGGAAGTGCATTCAGCTAAGCGGTCATGACTGGGTCAATAGGGAGGGGGTTCGAATAGGCGCACATCATCACGAATTTGTGGAATATGAATGCAGTTGCGATTTGTTTCTGGGGCCTCCGTCTTCTTATAAGCGTTCTGTGACGTTCGTCTTCTGTCCTATCGTAGAAAGCCAACATTGTTGTTCTTGCGGTCATGCGGTGTGTCGGCCGCCATGCGCAACTTTGACGACATATTTCTTCCGCAGGTTGCGTGGGAATGCCGTCACCTTTTGGCTCCCACGATCTCTGATTTCGCGGTTCGCGTTCCTCGTTCTTTCTCTATCGTCGGCAGTGCATGGAAATAACTCTCGCCGCATACAGAGATTGATCGCAGCCCACACAATCGACACCTCGGTCTTGTAGACCGTTGATCTTCCCGTCTGTCCGGCGTACATGTATGTAGTGGCCATTTCCAATGACGCAAGTCGTCGTCGTGACTTTCCACCCCGCCCTAGGCCATGCAATCAAAATCCGACTCTGCTCTGACTCCTCATCATGGTCTTGTCATCATAAATATCGTGGTATCACACAGCCCCTTCGATTTAGAGTCCATCGTTCCCGTTGCCTTGCAAAAGTAGGGAGAACGTACAATATTGACGCAATACTTCCAAATTCTCCTCCAACCCATACGCCGGTTTAAAGGATATAGAAAAGGGTTATCATTTAAAAAGTCTCCTCCTCTCCCACTATCTCACCCTCGGCTTCTTGAGGAATCTCGAATCCTTCCTGTTCGTGGTGATAAAATGTCAGCTGGATTATTACATACTAGCTATTCGGGCATAGCAAGCCTTTGGTAGAAGCTGCTGCACGTCAAACTTACCTCAGTAGAATAGAGGATTGCTTGGATCTGCTTGAGCAAGCTGTTCTCGTCCTCGTCGAGCGACGGATCGGCGTCCATAGCCTGCTGAATCAGCAATTCAATGTCGCGAAGTTTGCTGAAGTAGAAATCTCTCTCGCGCTCGAGACCTTGCACAGTCTCGGTCAACTCTGCATTCTTCTGTTGTAGTACTGCGCTGGACCCAACACCACCACCCATCTGACGGCTGGCCGCACGAGGTGCAGCGGCGCCTGCGCTTCCTGCTGGTCGCCTGGCACCTCCACTGGAAGCACTCGGTGTTGACCGTGCATTTGACATGGCTGGCGGACCGGGAGCGCCCTTTCTCCGAGCCAGCGCATCGTAGTCACCGCCGGGATAGTACTGATCCCAGTATCTCTTTGTCCACTGCAGAAACTCAAGGTTGTCCTGCATCTTGCATTTCACGAGTTGCTCGACGGGGATAGGACGGTCGACATGATGTTTGCGGAAGGTGTTGCTCAGGATTTTGAAGTTCTCGAGGTAGGCGTATTCGGCATTGACGGTGAACTTGACCCGGGCCATGGGCACATCGAGGAAGATGCTGTCATATATTTGACAGAGTGCCGCACTGTATCGAAGCTTGGGTCAGAGACAATAATATTATTGTAGGAACCACGTGGATCGTGTCCCACGATTCACGATAGCACGTACCCTGTGCCGCATTGCTCGACTTTGCTGATATTCAATTGCAGAAGCCCGTTCAACCAGGCCAGCAGTTCCTGTCTTTGATCGGAGTCAGTGTTGTCCGTTGTATGAGTATGCCTCAAGTCAGGTAATCGAGTGCAATGACGGGCGTTGATGCCTACCTGGATTCCGCCATGTTGCTTGAGTGCCAGCGCGGGTTGTCAAGCGATGTATTCCAATACTCGTCCGGAATCTGGCAGACGCGATGTGCTATGCTGATGAACAAGAAAAGCTGCTGAGGGGAGTGACGGAGTTACGGGATCAAGTTGGAGACGTCGTGAGTCTTGTCACGATGGTCGCAAGTGCAATGAGGAATCAACAATTATCCACTCCAGTGTACACAATAGGAAGTATTGTCACAGCCCTGCCCTCGCGCGTTTCAACTCTCAGCCAGCGGGGGGGCAACCAGTCAGGGTTGGGCTTGGCGCATAACCCCACCAAGGGTTCGCTCTCATGATGTTGCGTGCGTGATGACATGAAATCATGTATGCCCAGGTGTAGGTGGAGAAACAAACAACGCGTTTGTGAGAGGGAGAAGCAGATTCATTCTCGTAATGTTACTAATTAGCACCAACCTTGTGTTCGATTGGCGTCGAACGCCTGCTCGATGGCCCTATCATATATCAACACCATCTCGGACGCACAACATAAGTGGCCATATAGTCACCAAGGAGGAATGAACACTTCACGGAGATTTTGTGCGCTTGGAGGATTTTAGACCCTTAGAATCTGAACTAACAGCAGCTTCGAGATCATGAAGCACTCAATGCAGCTATCTCCTTTCAAGTCCTGCTATAAAATCGTTCCCGACCAGGAAACTCACCGACGCACCCTAATGCAAAACGATGACATTGAGTCATTTAAACTTCTATCTTTGTCGCCGTCTATCTCGCCCAGAATCACTCCGATCAGAACTCGGAGAGCGATCTCGTCTGACCTCAGCACGCGCGTCGGGATTGTCGCGTCGCCTCTGTCGATCGCCTTCATGCTCACGTTGCCGACGGCTTGTTGTGCGCCGTCTGTCCTCCTCATCATTGCTACTAGCGTCATCTCGATACCGACTCCGATGGTGGTCACGATCCGCTGCACTAGATTCGTCATGCCTCCGTGACCGGTGATGGTGATGTCGGGAACGATGGCGATGCCGATCACGAGTTCCAGCATCGTCTGGATCGCTGCGTTCGCTGCGCTTGTCTTTGGATCTATGCTTAGCCAAAGCCTTCAATGCTTCCGCGACCTCCTCCTTCTTCTCCTTTACCAGATACGCCTTCATGGGGTCATCATCGTCGTGCTCGCGGATCAGCTTTGCCAACGCAATCTCCTCCTTGATCAGTGGGCGGTCACCATCGCTAGCACTCTCGCTGGTTCTCCTTCGTTTCCTCCTATTGCCTTCTTGTAACTCTTTGGCCTCTTCCGTCTCCTCCTCCTCGAGCTCTTCATCGCCAACACCCTCGATTTCGCCGTCCTTTTTCTTATAGCGCGTATGATCGACGCTGATCACGCGACCCATTACACCAGCTCCACTCAGGTTGTCCACCGCCAGATCGCAACTCCTTTGATCCTCGTATTTCAAGAAACAGAATCCTCGGCTCTTGCCCGTGTCCTTATCCCGCACTAGGTTGATGTGGACCGGGTTGCCATATTGACTGAAAATTGTAAGAATGTCGCCTTCGCTGAGCTCAAATGGCAGTCCGCCAATGTAGATATAAGCCGTGTCGCGATAGTCCGTGTGCCACGACGCATTGGAAGGAACGCATTTTTCAAGCTCGGCTTGATTGAGCCTTTCGACTTGTCGTATTGATTGCATATTCGTGTCAAGCAATGTGCACCAGGATGATGTTGTCGCCGGAGCGTTTCAGCTAATCTGAGTAGAGAATGACTCCAGCTGCGCAATCATTGAGACGCGACAAATTTGACGGGCACGGCTGCTAGCAGATCTACACCGGACAGTGCGGAAGTCGACGGCTACAGACCGACCACGGTGGATCGCGTTCGACGAGAAAATATTAAATGACTGGCCTCGGAGTTATCTTGTTCACAATCCGACCGGCAAAATCGTGCAATTAGATTATGGTTGCGATTTTGTTTCTCCAAGTCAATCCATGGCATCGACATCGGAGAAGTCGCGAAACATACGTCATCGGGACAGAAGGCGTGTGACCTTTGAGGGCTCCAGCTTGATTGCACGTTGTCTAGTCAGCGAAGCGTAAATACAAGCCTTGGAAAGCCCGGACGAACACCGTGAAACTTGCTTAATCGTCCCGCACCAGCTGCTCAGTTGATACAGCACGGTGAACGAGTATATCCATCTTCCCGAAGTGAACACTCCAATTCCCGACCGAAGATGTCGCCTGCCTTGCAGATATCCATCCCGACCACATCAGTTTCCACGCCAAACGAAGGAAAATCCTACACAGTCTATCACATCACACTTCAGCTGCCTCTACGTAAACTAGAGGTCCGCAAACGATACTCCGACTTCCTTACCCTCCATGACGCCCTCGCAAAAGAAACCAGTCAAGCACCCTCAGCGACACTACCTGCCAAGTCGTGGATCTGGCGAACAGTGAATAGTGCAAACCTGACGGAGGAGAGGCGAAAGGGGTTGGAAACATACTTGAAGAGCATCATCGAGTCAGACGACGCAAGGTGGCGGAGTAGTGCTGCTTGGCGTAATTTTCTGAACTTGCCCAGCGGAACGAGCACGATCAATGCAAATGGCTCCATATCGGCTGCGCAACGGCCAGGACATTCGGGCCCCATCTCGGATCCCAACCAGTGGCTGGACATACATCGTGACCTGAAGACTCAGATTCAGACAGCGCGACAGCAGCTGACGCAACGAGAAGCCGCGACGACAGCTCAAGGACAACATCAACTCTCAGCCGACTCCAAGGCGAGTCTGGTGCGCGCCGCTACATTCATAGCACAACTCGACGATGGATTGAAGAACATGACGAATGCGAGCAAAGGCGATGCGGCAGGTTGGGGAGGGAGCAAGTCGCTAGGCGAGGGAGAGCTTCGCCGACGACGCGATCTGGTCGTGGCCGCCAAGAAGGAAGTAGAAGGTCTCGAAGCCGTATTGCGAAGTCTCGCGACCAAGAACGCCAATGCGTCGACAAGCCTCAACACTGCTGCAGTCGCTACCACGGGCGACAAAGAAGCGCTGTGGAAAGGCACTTCGGCCACGCGTCCTGGTGGTCGGGTTCTGGGAGGGCCTGCGAAAGAAACCGAACGCACGCGAGAGCTGGGCAATGCCGGCGTGTTGCAACTCCAGAAACAGATCATGCAAGAGCAAGACGAAGATGTCCTATCGCTTGGCAAAACTGTTGCGAAGCTCAAGGACATGGGCATCATGATCAACGAGGAGCTTGCGATTCAGAACGAGATGCTGGGCATTATCGAAAGCGATGTGGATCGGCACCAGGCCAAGCTGGATATTGCGAAACGTCGCATCAACAAGATCAGCTGAGTAGCAAGCCTCACCACTGCAATATATTGTTGACAGCCCTACTGTCGTGCCACGGAGGTGTCCGCGACATTTTGATCAGTGCAATCGAGCCACCTGCTCGAGACATCGGCATGATGGTGAGGACCCCCTAAAGTGCGATGATCATGCAAATTCTGAAGAGTGATGCTACCGCAGTAAACCCACAAATGATCAACACAAGAAGGATATCAGAAATGCCCGATCTTTGTAGCGAACGAAATCTAAAGCACGCGATGTGCGCGCCGATTGCTGTGACTCATTAGTGAGAGGTTGCGGACATGTAAAGCTGATACCATCCAGCGTATGATGGGAGCGGATGCTTAGCGAGTGCCTCGCTGTAATCGGCGGCGTGAATATTGAACAAGTATAAGCTCAGCAGAAGAGTATCGAAGATGGCGGCGATGAGCACCTCCGAGATTGCGATCGTTGGAGTAGGGGGAACTGTGGCTCGAGCCAGAATTTACAGAGGACAAAACATTTTATGAAAGATGGAGAGTTGATGATCGTTACCAGTTTAATCGTGATTGTCTGTGGTATATTTAACTACTACGTATTATTAATCTATGTATGGGTCCTTAAGAAATCAAAAGAAGGTCTGCGCCAAACACTCCAAGAAAGTCGACAGCCGCAGCGACAACGAAAAGGCATCCAAGACTGCTCGACTCAGATTAGGTGTATGCGCGAAAGGAACGGTGGTCGGACAGACATAAATGAGAAGCAAAATGAAGAAGCAGAAAGAGGATCGCGTCAATCCTGGACCCAAAGAAAGGAAAAAACGCCTTCGTCTCGTCATATATGACTGTATTCGTGAATGATGTCGCCCATCCAGTAGCAATGTTCGTACATGTCTTCATGGTCCGCTCCCATGTCATTTCGAAAGCAGGCTAGCGACTCTCAAATCGCGATATCGAAGCTGATGAGGAACCTCCGCAGGTGATCGATGAGGATGCCAGCGGCCCCCAGATCGATGCCGGAAATGACGATGAGCGTGACAGTAGTAATAATAACAATGATGATGATGATGATGATGATGATGATAGAAAAGCTGGTCGTTGAGGTGGCGACGGAAGGGCGGCGTGAAGAGCGATTAACTGGCAGTGGTTGTGGAGACAGCGAGAACCAGCGGGATCTCGCAAGACGGAATGGTGCATGACGCGGAGTGGATGACCGAGTCGGGTCAAGCGAGCAGTGTTGCATGACATGAATCGCATGTGTAAGCGGTTCTGGTTCACTTCTCGTCGATCGGCTTGCTGTGGGACACGAGAGCAGTGAACGGACGAGGAAGTGGTCCGAATGGTAGGCGCTTGTAGAACGATGCGATCGTTGGCCATGCGATACAGAGCAAAATGTCCATGAATGTGATAGTCCTGCGAGCTTGCAAGTTCCCAGAGGGATCAGGTGGGGCGTCCTCAGATCGGATTGGTCGGTTGTTAAAGGCGTCATGAGGGAAGGTGCATATGCTAGCGTGTTTGTTGGTACCAGATGCGGCTAGCGCAGACTCGGGAGTCGCATGATCGCCTAAGGATTGCAGCGATCACAGGTCATGGCGTCTACCTTACGTTCACGAGGAGGGGGCCGGATGACTCTGCGCATCATATTCATGTAAGGGTGCAAACTTGCTGGAATCGTCGGAGATGTATGATGGCCCGGTCAAAGACGGAATTCGTTGCTGGTATGGGACCGCCTGTCCCATACCTGGGAGTGCCGATGCTGGCGATGTATCGAGATAGCTGCCCAAGTACCACGCACGGTTTGCTGCCGTAAGATCTGGTTGAAAATTCGGAGAGGTAGGCTGCCATGAGTTGGACCCGTTGGGCTGTGCTACCCCCGGGTTGGGCATGACCATGGATTGTGATGGACCGATCCCGAGTCCGGTGACAGCAGCCGCCCCGTGAGATGCATATGCGTTGCCCACCATGACGGGAGCGTACGTGTGACCGTATGACGATGTGCCAGAACTCACGGATGAATGTGGCGAAACGGTCGAATGATGGTCCATGGTCGAGTCCACTCGAGTCACACCATATCCAGGAACACCGTTATTGTGTAGAGTGCCGGCAGTCGGTGAATAGCTTGCAGACTGTAAGAAAAGTTAGCGTAAGTTCATGCAGGAGGGTGCATATGCATGCAGGAATGACTTGCATATTTGCTGATGATCTTCTTCAGCGCTCCAGCAAGGATACGCCAAGGGAAGACCTTGACATCTTTCTCGATGTTCCGCGGTTTGGGGTTTGGGAACCCCATGATCAATTTGAAAAACTCCTCGCTCTCTGGTTTGGCCTTGGAGACAGTGGCGGGTCGAAAGCCCTCCAGGTTACGGCGGATACGATTCTTCTCCTCGACAGTGAATCGAACGGCGACCAAAGATTCCAGTAGGGCAATAGTGTCCACAGAGGTGACATAACAGGCACCCTTCTCCTCCCACCAGATACAACTCACACAGGTACTGTTGGGAACGCGATCCTCCAAGGCGACAGACTCAAAGGTGGCGGTGATGACGCTTCCAGATTGCGTGCGGTGAAATTGAACGAGGCGTCGCTTCACTTCCCACTCTTCCTCGGTCCATTTGTCGGCCATGCTTTCCAGATTACCCTGGATCTCAAGGCTAGCCTTGTACTCCAGCGAGACATTTGCATACTGATTGAATCCCGTCAACATTGGAGCAGTTGGCGATCTTTGGTTAGTAGGTGTCCGGATTAATGGAGGATTGGCTCCGTTGCCCGGAGACGGCATCAGCTGTGAACTTCTGCCGACCGTTGAAAGTCCGTGCGACGGGCTATGCCCCACTGCGGAGTGAGGATTAGGTGGTTGATGGAGCAATGGACTGTGTCCAGGTTGCATCGAAGTCGTTGCCTGCGAGGCGTATAATGATGGGATCCGCGGTACTGGAGGAGCGTAAGACGACTGTGTTTCAATCCCGAAGTTACTGAACCGACGCCCGTGGAACATCTCAGGCGCGCTTGGTCGCCGGAAGGGAGATGTCGAATTCATGACTGGGCCACCAAGATGTTGCAAAGAGGGCTTCTTGGTAGGCGACCGACGCGGGGATCCTTCTGGAGACAACTTACGCTTTCGAGGTTGCAGCTGTTGAGTCGGCATTTGAGGGGAATCGAGCTGATAATTGAAGCCATCAAGATAGCTGAAGGTGCCCAATTCGATTGATGGCTCTTGCCACGGAATCCCGCTAGATCCATCATCCAATACTAGATGGATTGGAACCAACGTTGAGGGAGAATTCGTCGAGGACAGAGCAGGCACGTCTGTGGAGATCGCATATTGATAACTGTTGTTTTGTTGGCCAGTTTTCATAACCACGGTTTCGCATCGCTTGTGGCCAAACATGACGAGCGGAGCTACAGGCGGCGCGTCGAAATCGTAGACACTTCGCAAAAAAATGTTGATGCGGGTGCCTTCTTGACCTTGCACTGGAGTGTATGTGATTTCTTGAGGCGACGAACGCGGCATTGTCTGAAGATATGTAGGATAATGACCAGCCTGCTGACCATAGTATGCTTGATCATGCGCACCGTATTGTTGAGCAGAGGAAATGAGGCCGATATTGTTAGAAGAGTGTTGAGTCAAACCCGACGATGCCTGCGCCTGAGGGAGAACATATTCGCCAGCATACGTTGTGTGAGGAGCGAATCCGGTATAAGAGTGTGCCTGATCGGCACGCGGGCCTGGTTGACAGTCTGCAGACTACATGTCAGTCATATGCCCCGATAAAAGCTCAAGCGCCGCCTCGAGTGGCTGACGATGGATGTATCAGGCTGTGAAGTCCCGTGCTCGGGAGACGCCGCACCAGCCGAATCCCTTGGGAGGAATCCCCGTCTGCACCTCAAACATGACCACACCACAACTTTCGCACGCACTCACCTGTCGCATAGGCATCGAAGTTTTGCGATTTGTCGAATTCCGACATTGATAGCGCCTGGCTATTGGGAGTTCGGGCCACGGAGCCACGTTCGGGGATTGTTGCGCGACAGTCCCCCGAAAGCAATGTGGTCTCACTGCCGCAATGCTTTTCTGTTGTCGAGGTAGATTTGCTATCCCTCCGCTCTGGGGTCGACTGAAAAAGGTATGCTTGTGATTAGTGATGTGTGCTTGTAATCCGTGTTCGCGTGTCGCATGTAGACAATGATGAGGAAGGAAGAAGGGATCGTCGTGGTTGGTAGCTGCCGAAAGCAGAATAGGAATAGAGCATTCAAAAATCAACATACCGGATGACACATAAGTGTGTTAAGAGCTATGTCGACCTATGATGTATTCAAAACACTCCGAGGTGGAAGCCGGTCGCCGTTGGAATGCGTCGCGAGGCGGATGCGGCCGTTTGAACAATTAATGAGCCCAACCACGTTCTGTTATTCGAATGAACGTTTTCCACAAACGATGCGTGCGACGTTCTGATGTATGTGACAGTATACCGCTGCCTATGTGCATGCACCCGGCCAATACTCGTTCTTGAACGGGATATTTTCGGCGCGACTCTCGCGATTGTGCATGAAATTCGCACACCTCACAGAAGCAAGGTGTAGCACAAGCGATATGCTTTCCGTCTTCAAATCTATCGATCGAAGGACTGCGGCCGTCTCAAATATTTCGTAAGATGAGAAGACTGTTAGTAAATCGAGCGTGTTATTGTTGTATTGTGCAGGGGTTCCACCAGCGGAAGAGATGACCTGGAAACGATTTCCTGTGAGTCGCAACAATGATGACAATCAGACCCGGTATCGATTGATTGTCCAATCAATTCGGCACCGGCCAGCTCTCCGTGGTTGTTGTTGATACTCGACGAGAGATGCAGTGCCCGAGCCAACGAGCGACAGCAAGCCCCGTCAACTGACGATGTGTTTAATGAATGTACCGAGAAGCTTGTAGTGTTGCTTTCGCGATCACTGCGATGCATATGCCAGTAAATGAGACGTTGTTATGCTGCCTGGTCAATTGAATGCAAAGGTCATGCGAGGTCATGCAAGGAGATATCGTTGCGTTTATTGGTGCGGTACGTGTCCAGCTTGCATTGACCGATGCCAGTGCTCCGTCGCTTGCCTTGGGAGAGAAATCTGTTCGAAGTCTGGCCGTGATGCTTAGATGGTCCTTAGCGCCTCCAAGAACAATTAGTCGCGGATGGTGATGCAGTGTGATGATGACTTGTAGATCTTGTTACATGAGAATCAAGCTCTAATCATGCGGGTTAGAGTAATCGGACCCAAGGGAAGGTTTTACACTGTTGAGCGGGCTCGTGTTGCCGGTGACGGCGCCTTTGACTACAAATTGGTCTCCAATCAACGTTCCCGACGTGGTCATGGCCTGAGCGTTAGAGTGGAGGCGGACGGCACCTGGTCTCTGAATGCCGTGATGCAGAGTTTGGTACATGTCTCCAGACCTTATCGAGGAGCCTTGATGGTTCACAGAGCGTATAGTGTGTCTTACATCTTGCGCGGTGGTTGCGCCCGCCCGCACGGGCAGACGTTGCTTTCTGAGCAGTGATGACTGCGTAACACCGGTCATGAGTGATATGGGGCTGTGGCACACCACATTCGTCCGAGTAATGTGAGCGTTGCACCGATGTATGGGCCAAATCCTCATTGACTGGTACAACTCCATTTTCAGACCTCAGAAATCCAGAGTCACTATCCGACGGCCGCAGCAAATTCCGCTGTATCTTGTCGTGTCGAAAATCTCTGCAATCCTTTTTGCAAACCATCAGACTAGGTTATCCTTGTCCGATCTGACAAATGTTCGCGCTGCCGAGCAGTTTCTTGGATCAGATCGTTGGCAGTAGAAGACGCACGAAGTCCAGATTACTAGGATCTCTTGGTCCACCACCGTGCCGGACAACAGCAGCAACGACTGTCCATTTTCGGTAGCTGAGGGTGATGTGAGTGATCATCGACAAGCGGAACGATCATCGAGTAACAGCATTCGATAATTGCCCATTAAGAACGTTAGTGACACATGCAGCCAGCGGCCAGCCATTCCAAAGTTGAGTTCGTGGTGTGCAGTCGGTTAGGCCGGGGTTGAGCCGGATATAGCCCTTTTAGAAAGCTCCGCATTGTGTGCCCTCGCACAGGATGCACGACTGTGCTGAAAAGATCTTCACGGGCACGCACACGCTTTGGGCCCAAGAGCCTACATTACCATGTTAATTGAAGTAATCAAAGGTGTGGTGGCTGCTGTTGTTAATATCACAGCCCGAGTGCAGCGAAACAAGAACCCGCGTTTCCGCAAGAGATGTGCACGGGCCCAATGGGACTCTGCTAGCAGGGCTTCGTTCTTGTGTGCGCTTGATTGGGCGTCTCTCTTCACACCTACCGTTCGGTGACGAGCTTTGTCATACCTTCCGGCTTCGAAAAAATTCGCTGGCGGAGCACCGCATTGGTTACGTCGCCGCTGCCTCACGTCTCCAGGTATGGCTTTGCCGTTCCGTAGCTGATGAGATTTCGATGCCTCGCTTAATGCGTGGTAGCTACATCATCCGCATCGCTACTGCCCGACTTGCATGCAGCAATGTATAGCAGTACGAGTGGCCATGCATCGTGAAGAACTGCATACGTACCTCTGGTTTTCATGACGCATCTTGGCAGTTCTGACCCGCATCTTTCTCAAAGTCTAACCAGATGTTGCGTTTGTCAGCGGTGGCCACCTCTGCTGAAAGAATGGTACTTTCTAAGCAAAGCTAACCCAAGAGGTTGGTCGTCAGGACACGTTGAGCCGAGCTCAACGTCCACACGTTGCAATATGGTGTCATTCTGGCGCACCGTGCTGACATGTGGACATCGCCGGCCATCGCGCGAGGCTTTCCAGTCTCTGACAGTGTTTTCATGCAAGGTACGATTGCAACGCCTGCAGACCATGATGTTCGACCACGAGCAAGCACACAGCGCACAACGACCAGGTACAATCTGTATCGTGATGTATCGTTCTAGTGACCTAATTGGCAAGTCTAGGTTGCGCCATTTTGTGCCATGCCCTCGCTTTGCTTGAGCTGATATAAGCGTCCAAATCGATCGGGCCAAGTGAGAGAACCACAATGTGGCATAGTCGTGATCATGAGCTTTATTGATTATCTCCAATAGTTCACGGGATGGCGTGTCCGGCTCTAGCGTCCGAACGAACCATGGAATCCAACGGCTTGATTGCATGGGGCATGATCTCAAGACCAAACAATTTGTAGAACAGCTCGGCAGCTTCCGGTGCCGAGCTTTTCCGAACACGGAAAGGCGCGACTCAGCTGACAGGTGAGCGCCGTCCACGTTCAAGCCCTTCCAAGAAGACTGCGGCCACTGTTTGACAGACTCACCGTTTGCGGCAATCAACGTTGAGTTCTCCCAGCCTCGATTCCATCTGGAAGACGGCTTTCGCCAGTTCTGGCACAGGGTAGCTTGCTAGTTCAGCCACTCGCGTGTACAGCGTCGACGAAGGCCCTTCCAGCTCGCTCGCTGTTTTGTGCTGGCAATATAAGGTACCGAAACGAGCGGTATTCCCGTCCTCGTTTTCGGACGCCAGCTGCTCTGGCCTGAGAGAGGCCTGGATTTGCTCAATCCGGCGTTGACCGTCTTTGACGGACGCTTTATAGCTGCGATGGACATACTCTTCACGCCGGGTGCTAGCATCTTGCGGGAACATGTCGAACAGTGCCCTGCGAAACGGCGTATCATCGCCATTATGCCGCCGCCGACGGATATCTTGAGAAGCCAATTCGGTTTCACACCAATTCAAATAATCGTCCAAGGCTTGTCCACTTAGCGCCTTGCTTTGGTCTTCTGTCATGTTGTATGATCTCTCGAAACTAGGTCGACGGTCGCTAAAGTCTTCTTGCTCTTGCTCAAGTCGAAAGTTTTTCTCCCATACATTCCAATCCAGGTGGAGCGCAGAGAGTGCATTGCGAGAGTCGATAAATCGCTGCGTTGTGTCCAGGGGAAAAATCAATTTAATAACGATGATCATGAGTACTGCCAGTCGAACTTCCGGATAGGACAGTGCTTTCCCCTTGGATATGACAGGGATTGCATAGTCAAAGTGCAAGCCATTGAGACGACTAAGTCGTTGCGTGGCAACATACACCTCAAGTGGAAAAGCCAATTGCTTCACCCATCCATATAAGATCCTTACATGATTTATGGCCGGGACTTCCATTCCGAATCGTGTGTTGAAATGCTTGACCAAGCTGAGAATGCGAGCGTGGAACTGCTTGCAAGAAATGAGCTCCTGTGGATCGAAGTTTGCTTGGTGCGCGCCCGACAATCCATTTCGCATCGTGAGCGGCACCTGCTTAGAAGCTTGGTAGTACAGGAGTTGTCCTGAGTTGGTCCACTTGATGAAGTCCGCGACGGTCACCGGAGCCCGGAGCAAAAGCATGGCGATGTAATTGATGGCAAGCAATTCGAGCAGATTTGGACCTCTGACGTTTGTGCGATGCCTACCCTGGCCTCTATGCGATGCCGTATCGGTTCCGGAATCGCCCTCAGATTGTGAGCTGAACTTATGCGATGATTGGATCTCTGTATCTGTGCCGGCATCATGTGACACTAAAGAGTGTAGTTCTTGTAGACGCAATGACCACAGATCCTTGACCAAGGTCTCGAAACAAGTCAGCATGGCATCGACATTCTGCGTAATCATCGAGACGCACTTCGATCTCTGAGGGTAATCCTTGTACGTCAATCAGCCATTGCACCTGCTTTCGAAGTATGAGCTGGAAACACAGCAAGTACTGCTCGTATGCTCGAACGCTTTGATGCCCTGCTTATCATGAGTCTGTGGTCTTTCTTGAATGAAGATAGCGACCCACTGCCGTCGAAAGTCGAGTCTGCATCGGATCGTTGCCTTCGCGATGTTTGACCTGGCACTATGAGCTCTCCAGTATCCACAGTGATCACGGTCCCGAGCTAACACCATCTTAGCCTTCTATGTTTGCTTGAGCCATGCCATAGATTAATCAACCTCGGATTGTTGATGTCCGTTTTCACAGTAAGTGTATCCATCTTCACCGATATCAAATCGACGAGAACCGCAGCCATCGCTAGAGCAACGAGGTCCATTCCTGCGTCTCGACGACATCACTACAATGATGGCGACGGTTGCGCAATTGTCTGTCAGCACTGAGCCTGCGGCCCGCGACTGCGTCGCATTAACGTATGGATGTGTATGCGCCCGGGCGGCAGTACATGACCTTCTCCGAATGACGACACTTCAAAAGTCCTAAAGTTTGGTGTGATGAAATATTTGAGGTTCCAATGTTCGGGATGTTCTTAGGGCTTGCACATATCCCACTGCTGTTGTGCCAAGCCTTTTCCACCACGCACGGTGTATGTGTGAGCAGTAGGAGAGGTTTTGGGAAATTGTGTGGAATGCACAGCTGAGATCATAGTGTTCGGGTCACATGACGAAACGGTCCTGGAGCAGGCCTCACGTAGGAAACATTAGACGTAACTTTTGGACTTGTTCATTGTGATTGATTCGCTGGGCAAAGCCTATGAGCCGCTTCATGATGCAAGCAAGGACTTCGCGGCTGATCCTCAGAGAGAACACCAAAGTCCAATTGACCCGCTCTACAACACCATCCATGCCCTCATTTCCCATTCCCTTTTCTTTTGACGTACACCCATAAATGACGCTCGAGTCCGCATACAAGCTTCGTTGTCGCATTGGATTCGTGACAATTTGAACAAAATAACAGGAAATCTAACCCTTGGGGGCTTCCTTGGCATCAATGGCGGCCTCTTCACCCATGGCAGCAAGGATGATAACGTCTGCGACAGATCGTCAAGATTTGAAACTTTGCAACATACACATAATAACTTACTGGTGTCCTTGCCCTCCTCGGTGAAGAGCTTGTTGATCTTGTCTCCGGCTTCACCGTCGGGAACCTTAACGTCGTCCTTGGTGGTACCGTCGTCGGACATGAGGGAGAGGAAACCATCGTCGGTGATGTCGAGCTATGGCTCCGTTAGTGTTATCCTCCGTTCAAGTAACAACATTGCCATCTTACAAGCTGGAATTCGCGGCGAGACACGTTGGGCACGTTCATGTTGTGTGTGGACGGGCACAGATCTTCCATCTTCTTGCCGGTGAAAATGTCGACAGCGACCAAGTGGACTTTGGCGTGACCGTGCTTGCCAGTCTTCGAGGTGGACATTTCGACGATCTTGCACGGGCGGTTCTTGATGCAGACGTGTCCGTTCTTCCTCAAAGCAGAGCACTGCATGGGGAAAGTGTCGGACGCACCAGCATCGGCGCTGTCGAAGGTGTGCTCATGCTGGAAGACAATAAGAGTGAGCGATGACAAATTTTTAACAATGACACTACGATGCTCATGTTCTCGAGATCGTGCAACTTATTCGTGCCAACGCAAGAAGGCCCGGAATCGAAAGCGCGAAGCGATTAAACGTACCTGGGCATCGTCCGCCATGTTTGCTGTTCGTGTCCAAGGATGATTGAGAGAATGATGTTTGCGAAGCAAGATTCGTCAAATCTCAGAGCGCAGGAAGTGTGAATTAACAGACTACCGAGCGAAAGTGGAGGGGCAAAATCAATCATGCACGGACCAAGAGAAGTGGCGGCACGTTCTGATTTGCCCAAAAAGGTCGTCTTTGGTAGGGGTCTCCTCCCGCAACCCGTCACCCGTGTCTGGATCTTTGGGAAATCGGTGCAGGCAATTGGGATCTATCATTCATACCTCTCCCACAGTGCTCCTATGGTGTTGGGTAGTGTGAGGCGCTGTGTATCCCTGACGATGTTGTCCAACTTGGGGCGGCCCAGATTCTAACCCACAGAGAGAAAAAATCAATCAGCCCACTCGTTCTTCTTCTTCCGGAGGTACAAACTCTAACGCGTTCGCGCACCAATCACTCATGGGCAATCTCCAATCTCGGACGGGCGTCCCCACGCGCGCGTGGTCGAAGTAGTTGATGTGTCACGGACCAACCGAACGACCAGTTCACTTATTAGCTGATAACCTTGGAATACAGCACATCATTATAATAACATTGATACACTGGGAGTCGCATGTTCATCGCCGTCACAACCGCGCTGCAGAATGTGTCGAAGATAGTATTCATGCGTCTTTCAACATGTCGCAATGGCTGGAGCGCCTCGCTGCGCAGACTCGAGACGCAACGACATCGCCGGCGCCACATCGTCCCTACTCACCTGCGTCGAGAAAGTCCTCGCAGCTAAGCTTCAACGCCATCCCCCGACGCCCTGGCATACCTTCGCGCAGTTCATCTCTCACAATCGCCTCGCTCGCTGGATCATCTGATAGCCTCCCCGCTGCTGCTCGAGTTCCTCCCGGTGCTCACTTAAAAAGTCAGCTGGCCGACTCCGCTGTTGTCGAGGCACAAGATCCTATCCAAGTGCTACAGGCAATACTGGGCCCGGTACGCGCGCTAGAGACCTTTGAAGATGACGCAGACAGTAGCGCAGGCTCGACACGGCCGTCAGGTTTTATTTATGAGGTGGATTTCGATGGGCTGAGTTTGTCGGAATTTGCGCAGGCTCCTCTTGCTCCCACAGGGGCCGATGGGATCAGTGTTCCCCACGAGGAGACGCAGGTGTATAATTTCGAGAAGGAAAGGGATAGATTTGAGGACCTGCACAAATCAATACTAGCCTGTGACGACGTGCTGAAGTCTGTAGAGACTTACCTCACTAGTTTCCAAGCAGATCTCGCCGCAGTCTCTTCGGAAATAGAAAGCCTTCAAAACCGATCCACAAACCTCCATGACAGGGTGGAAAATCGCAGAGCTGTCGAAAAGATTCTTGGCCCTGAAGTTGAAGCACTGAGCGTGCCTCCGGTAGTGGTACGAAAGATCGTCGAAGGCGCAGTCGATGAGCACTGGCTGAGAGCACTGCAAGAGCTGGAAAAGCGATCAAAGGCCTTGGATAACAGATTGAAGGATGGGAAGGAGATCAAAGCTGCCCAGGACGTCAAACCTATCATCGATGATATCTCGACAAAAGCCGTCGAACGTATCCGGGATTATGTCGTCGCGCAAATCCGAGCATTACGATCCCCGAGTATCAACGCCCAGGTGATTCAACAGAACAATTTCTTGCCGTATAAAGAAGTCTACGCCTTTCTCGCACTGCAGCAGCCCGTCATTGCGGGTGAAATCTCCCAGGCCTACAACAATACCATGCGGTGGTACTATGCGCACAACTTCACCCGATACAGGACAGCGTTGGAGAAGCTGAAATTGCACATCATGGATCAATCGGACACCATTTCGGACAGCGGCGTGCGAAAAACCGTAAAAGTTGGTGCTCCGCATGACGCTTTTTCCATCGGACGTCGTTTAGACATACTTCGCTCCACCTCTCACGCAGCGCTACCATCCTTTGCCGCGGAAGATGACAAGGGTATTCACCACATCGAAGTACCCTTCCGAACCTTCAATCTGGCTCTTGTCGATAATGCTTCCGCGGAGTACTCATTTCTGACAGAGTTCTTTGCCAAACAACAATTTCAAAGTACCACAAAGAGGTTTAACGAGATTTTACAACCCACTTTTGATCAAGGTCAGCTGTTGACAAAGCAATTGATCGACCAGAACCTCGACGCCATAGGTGTTTTGCTATGCGTCAGACTTATGCAGCAAATGGCTTTCGAGCTCCAGCGTCGCAAAGTCCCCGCAGCAGAGTCCTATATCAATGGCACAAACATGCTCCTTTGGCCACGTTTTCAGAAGATCATCGATAGTCACTGCGAGTCGATGCGGAAAGCAACTGCGATACTGCCAGGAAAGCCGACCGGGCCCGCCTTGACCTTGACTTCAACAGCCCCACCGCTAAGCACAGCTCCACACGCGCTCACACAGCGATTCGCGAACTTTGTCCAAGCGATTCTTGCTCTGAGCAGTGAAGCTGGAGACGACGAACCTGTCTCCAACAGTTTGCACCGTTTGCGCAGTGACTACAATGCATTCCTGCTCAAGTTGAGTAAAGGTATTGCAGATGGGCGCAAGCGGGAGCGATTTTTGCACAACAATTACTCGCTAGTATGCACAATCATAGGCGAGAATGATGGAAAGTTGGCGGATGAGATGGAGGAACACTTCGTGGACTTGCGAGATTCACTGAAGCTGGTGCAGTGACTGACCGAGTAAAGGAGTTGAGGGAACCCTTGTCATCATGTATAACGATGCGCCATGATCTAGTCCAATGCTTAGCAGTTCGAAGCCGTGTATACTACCGAAAACTTGCTGTATGACAGAAAACTGCTTCATGAATCTGCTATACCCCTGTGCTGCATCAACTACCTACCTAGGTAGGTAGGTATTAATTTCTATTAGACAAAGTGATGTGGCGCTCATGATGTCTAATTTATGCCTCAGGTTTCAGATGGCGGAAATGCCAAGATATGATTACATAATTCTCAACAGCGCACATGAGCACCCGCGCCCACCTGCAATTTGAGGATACTGCGAGGACTTCACTGACGACATATCCAAACCACAACTTTGCGAAGGCCGGCACGAGTAAGTACTTCCAGATTGTAGAGCAAACGACTGTTTATTGTGCTGGTAACGTGTACTGACATCTTTCGCAGTGCAGATGTATGTTCAACAGCAATTGCCACACTCCAGACTTATCGTCCTCATCATTCGCGACCATGTTACTGATTAGATTGCGACGACAGCTTCGTTAAGACCCTCACGGGTAAGACCATCACCCTTGAGGTCGAGTCCAGCGACACCATCGACAATGTGAAGAGCAAGATCCAGGACAAGGAGGGAATCCCCCCGGACCAACAACGATTGATCTTCGCCGGAAAGCAGCTCGAGGACGGCCGAACGCTCTCAGACTACAACATCCAGAAGGTACGCTTGCAGCTGTGAAGATGAAGGGGGGGAGGATGGTGGAAAGGAAAAGAAAGACGCCATGGGAATTGGTCGGGAAGGAGAGATGTTGACGAGTGTGGTCTTTGACAGGAATCTACCCTCCACTTGGTCCTCCGTCTTCGTGGTGGTATCATTGAGCCCTCGCTCAAGGCCCTTGCCTCCAAGTACAACTGCGACAAGATGATCTGCCGAAAGTGCTATGTAAGGACGACCCCCCATCCGACTATTGTCACACAGGAGTTATGAGGATCCGGCGATTGACTCATTAAACAGGCCCGTCTTCCCCCGCGTGCGACCAACTGCCGCAAGAAGAAGTGCGGACACACCAACCAGCTCCGCCCCAAGAAGAAGCTGAAATAGAGGTTGTGCGCTTATTGCGTGTCTGGAGTTACTTTTTTTTCGGCGGGGATTGCGGTGGGCAGAGAAAGGGAATTTCCAATGCTTGCACTGGCAGGGCGTGTAAATCTGTTTAAGACGCGAATCATGAAACACGAGTCCTAGCATGCATGCTCTATCGGCAGGCGGGTTTTCTTTGATTCCGAAACAATTTGGCATTGAATCTCGTTCATCCGTTCAACCTTTCTGTTTGGCTTGGCCGACCTCCCGTGACCCATTCATCTTGTAGTCATCGGCACGTGAAGAGGAGCACAACCATGCCTCTGGGAGACTTCTCTGGTCGTACTTTTTTGTTCATGATATCATCACTATTGCTCCATGTATTACAGGTCGGCTTTCTGTTGCCTCCCCTTGCTTTTGCTCTCGGGCCCGAAATATTCCTTAAAAGTCTTCTTCAGCACCTTGTCATCAAGCTGCATATGATCACCCCGGTTTTTGAGGAAGACCAAGCCACCCTTCTCGCCCAACGCTTTCAATCCAATCCAGTCCTCGAGGTATATCGGCCGTCTTTGCAATGGTGTAACAGCGCCCGACGTGCCATTGACCTCGGCGAACCATCCGCTCTCCCGCGGGATGACCGTAGTATCCTCATCGAAAATGACCATGACAAACTTCTCCAGCGCCGCGATCTTATCCACGTAACTCGCATTCTTCAGTACCCGTTCGTTATTGATATCCGCCAAGAACCCGCTCTTCTCCAAGTAGACATCGGTCGGTAATCCAGTGGCATCGTCAACAGTCCGGAAGTACTGTGCCGGCACGACATGTGACTGGACGTAATCCGACCAAACATTGCCCTTCATCAGCCCCGTCGCACCTTTACACAGAAGGTCCCAAGTCCCACACGGACGAAGCCCGGCGATACCGTTATGCTGGCTGCCATATGTCATCAAAGTGCGCACCTGGAGAGGCTCGCAGCGCTCGATCAGGCCGCGAAGGAACTGGCCGCCTTGACTGAAGCCTAGAGCATCCACGCGGAGATCGCCGGTGTGCGCTTGTCGGAGTTCGGGCACGGCTTGAAGGGCGGAACAGACGCCATCGATTTGGAGGTTGAGGTCGCCAAAGAAGGTGTTGGTGCGGTCGTTGTCGCTGTTGTCGTCTGTGCGAACATAGTAGACGAAGGTTCCTGGGTGGATGCTCTCAGCCAGGGCACCGATCGAGTGCATTCCATCTGCGTCGTAGCGGTCGCCGAGGCCATGCCAGACGATCAGTGGTAGCGGAGCAGCGTCATGGGTAGAAGTACTCTGAAGAGCGAGCGCGGCCGAGATCGTGGCGAATGGAAGCGCTGTGAGGAGGCGCATGTTTGTTGACTGCCCCCCACAAGGTGTTCTGTTCAGAGTTTGTGGCTGCAACCTTTACGCCCAAGATACCAACAGTGATGGCAGGGCTTATATAAGGCGTAGTCTATCTGACAGCGACAAGCCGATGTAAGGTCTCTTCCACCGACGCCGACGCCGTGATAGCTCACAGCTTACGATTCATCATGGCGATGAAGATCATCTACGATGCCGAGTAACTGTATCTGGTCAAGTGGGATGCGGGCCGAGCAGGCCGCTAAGCAGTAGACGCACGTGGTTCTGACATCACTTCAACTGGTGCATCACGAAAGATATCATCAAGAACACAATATTCATTGTTGTCCAATCTGCGAAACCCAATCAACTGGCTATTTTGACATTCTTCTCCTTCATTGCAGGTGTCTGCTGATGACGCTGATGATAGCGGACAATTGCACGCTCGAACGCTAAAGTCTTTCAAAAACGGAACAAAAACCAATGACAACAGATCCGAGGCTTCATGCACGACCGTTATGTACGCACGTGCACCCACACGTCTCAATGATGATGATCGTAGGAGCGTTTCCGTGACGCTCCTCCACGCAATCTCTGTACTCGCCGTCGTAGACCCAGACAATCGTGATTTAGGTTAGCAGCCAACGCTAGCATCAAGAAATGCAAAAGTGCGCAAACAGGTGAATGAAGCAATGTGCTGACGCGATGATTGCGTATCGTGGATGGAGTCGGCAAGGATGTAAGCAGATAGGCATTTTTGAAAACAGCAAAGACAAAAACGTGTTTAATGGCGGGGCTTCTTCCAGTAGTATTGCTGTAAGAAGAGTTAATAAGGTTGTTCATTGACCATGTCAGCAGACGGTGCAGTCTTACCTTGTGTTGCTTGCGAGCGGCGCGAATACTGGTCTTGCCCAAACTCAATGTGACGGTGTCACGACGGTTGACATCGGTGTCCATCTCTGGGACGTAGTAAAATTCACTCTCGAGCAGCTTGCCGGCGGCATCTTTGCCCTCTCGGCTGATCTCGCCCACGCAGGGCGTCTCATCCAGTATGCTCTTAAGCTCAGATGTCGTCAGGATCCGGCGGTTTTCGTGGTCAGATGGCTTTGCCATAGCACCTCGAAGCTCTGCCGGTAGGTTGCTGTGAATGGTTGACAGCGGCAGTGAGTGGATCCGTGAAAACGCAAGCTGGTTGATTACGTGGTTCTTGACTGGACTCCAGCTCATGACTTCGTGGCGGAAGCTGTGCCCAGGAGAGTTCATGGAAGCCTTCAGCGGTTTTCGTGGACGCTGAGGCGAACCGTGTTGGAAGGATTGAAATCGCGACATGACATTATCAGCATCGTAGAAGGAGAGGATGACCGGGTCGTTCTCTTCGTCATGCTCAGAAATTTCCCCAAGCTCCGACGAAAGGGTATCATGAGATCGCTTGAGCGGATTTGCAACTGGTGATGGTGGAAGTGGTTTGGATGCTGGAGTAGGTGTACCAGGTACTGGTGTCGGATCATGAGGTGCGTCGCCATCAGATACTTCGTCTTCATACACCTTGACCACGCCATCATCCTCTTCTTCGTCATGGAAGGTAGCCTCAAAGGTTTGACCAAAGTCCAAAGCACGGATGGGCGAAATGGGTGAGACGAGCCTGTCAGCCAAGAGTGCCGGTGGACTCGAACCAAACGGCACGTTTGTCTTGCTGGGAGATTCGGACAGACGTGACGGCTCGAGTTCAGTCAAGAGGGTCTCACGCTGAATGTCCCCAGGCCATTTGAGCATAACACGCGTATCTTGCACGTCCAACAACAGAGGCTGGTCGAATTTATCCGAAACGTATATCTCGCCCTTGGCCAACTCGATCAACCTCTCACGGCAGTGCACCTTGATTCCATTCCAACCCAGACACTCCACCTCGAGGGCACCCCTAGGGTAGGCATCGTTGGGGCTGATGTAGCATGCACGCACGTGCACACGCGAGATGTTGCGATGAGAGGACAATTGGTAGTTGGAGGAATTGCTGGATCGACCCATCAAGAGTGACTCGCCACTGGATTGCACCTCGAGGGTAGGGACGTCGCCGAGTGGAGCACGTTCCGAGAGCGTGGAGTAGGCACGCTGTAAGCACGGACGCGTCCGACGCGCTGGTGGTGATGAAGGTAATATTCCCGTCGACGATGTGGGAATTGGCGTTGGGTATGACTTGCGTAGCTCTGCATCGGACGTGTCCACGAACTTACGCTTCGGTGGCCGTGGTAGAGCTGGTGAAGAGAGGAACGGCTCAAAAGCTGGCAGCAAAGTTGGACGCGGCGCTGGGACCGCGTCTGCCGCCTCTATCGACGACAGTGGTAGGTCTCGATTCCTCGAAGGAGAAATCATTGTGTAGATGTATCGTGAAGGTGGATGTAGCGAAATGCGTGAGGACTCGCAGTGCGCGTCCACGCTCTTGAGCGTGTAGATTACGCGAGAAAAGCAAGGTTGGACGTCAGTAGGTCGACTCGGCTGGGTTGGAACACAGCAGGGCACGCGATGCCAGTGAGCGATGTATTGCTAGACAAGCGACGAGATAACACGCAGAACAAAACGACAGGAAAGGATCCGAATATCAGTCGAAGATTGAAAGACCCAAAGTGTGGTCAAGCACAAGCGGCCGAGTTGAGAGAGGATAGATGAAATGCTGGTGGAGAGTTCGGTACAGTGGATACATAGGTGAACACGCTTTTTGGCGCGTACAGGCGCTTTGACTGTGTACACGCCCGGGCAGTTCGAGTCGCGCGAAGTCAAGCCGGAGCACGCACGCACTGTGGATACTGCACCCACGCTCCAAAAGCCTGTTGCGTGCCGACCGACCAGCCAACCTGTTATTATTACAGCACAATCATCTTCTAACGCGAGGAATTTTCTTTGACGATGCATTTGCTATCCGTACATGATTGTTTCCATTAGGTGTTGGATACGGCACCGACTCCACTCTATGCAGAAGCTTGGAACATGGTGAACTACTAGCTTCATCGCGTCGGCTTGGAATCCTCTATGTCCGGCACGTCTCTCGCGTGCCTCGTGATGATGGATATACAACATATAATTTTCAATTGTATACTTAACCGTTCTGCTATCTGTTGGACCCTCTTGAACGAAAGGCGTCATCTCATCGACATGTTCAGACAAGCACACTCGTGGTGATGAAGGATATCCGTGGTCTGGGCGTTGGTGACAGTTTGATTGGATACCTGCAGCACGCGGAAGGATCCACGATGATCCACCATCATCGCCCACCGTCTGCATCGAGCCATGGGGACTGGTAAGACCGACAGACCCTAGAGTGGAGACTCCGCGAGCCCGAGGCGGAAGCAGCAATCGAAAAGAACAGAAAGGCCCGCTCTTCGTCTGTTCCGATGAATTAGATGTGCGATCGTTGTATTCCAGGATGATAATTACTATTACCACTTGCGTGCTTGGAGGCTGCGCAAGTGTGTGCTGACGCGCATGGATTACATGAAATGCCCCGCGACGGCGGCGGTCCGTGACGTAGAAACAACGTTTCCAAGGTTAGTTTGTAACCATTTGGAGGACAGGCCCCGGCCGTGCCTCTGCTTTTCTCGCGTTTTTGCGTGTCTTGGACGCGATTCAGGAATGGCTGGACTGCACTTCCTCATGCACGCTCTTTACTTTTCCATGTCCGGCTCGACTGGTACACATGAATGTCTCCATCACCGAGGGAGCACATTCCACCAGCCAGACAGAGCACCCGTCCGGCACCACCAGCACCAGCATCGGTAGCAACACCCGCACCAGCGAAGAGAGGAAAACGCATCCGTGGTGGGATCCCAGCAGGATCGAGCACATGTCTCTCCCGTCGTCCAGCACTCCACCTGTCTTTGGTTGTGCATGACTGCATTTCCGTCACCTGCCTTGTTCTTGTTGCATCATTTCCGCCCACACGGTCGCACATCGCAATCTTCATATGCACTTCAATCGAGGAATAAAAATAGGATCGATTGTACTGCATGGTAGTACATTGCATGCATCTTGCGGCAGAGCCCATGTACTTCTCCGGTAGGGACATGCCCAGGCGCAGGTGGGTTTTCAATGGCGGACAGTCTACAGGGCTTGCGGCATGAAATTGCAGCTCCTGACCGCGTGCAGGGCGCTTGTCTGCCCCGAGCGATGGCCCCACGTCATTCGTGTTCTCATCACTGTGTGCTGAGATTGATTGATTTAAATAATCCAATGGTGCTCTCTGGCGCTCGTCTCATGCATGATCGATTTCGACGATCATACAACCTCGACATTATCGACAGTACACGAGGGGCGGTTGATCACTCTGGAGAGTGCTTGAAGGAGCGCAGAAAAGTGAGCATATGTCGTGACAATCTTTGACGATTTGGCGCCCAGCTGTCTCGTGCTACTCCTGCATTCAAAATCCACGCGTTGCAGTGTGCCACTCTGCTCTCATCTATCGTTCCTCTCCGGCGCGTCCGGCTGCATGTACTACATCCATGTAGTCATCAATGGGCAAACTCGCTAATTTGCGATTTGATATTACATGCCAGGGATTTGGCCCGGAGGCTTTTGCTGCGATACACATCGTGGTATACCGGTATGGACATAATGGTTACAAAGGCCGGCTGAATCTATCCTTCATCGTAACTCGCTCTCATCCGGGAAACCAACTCGGATGTGTTCGTGTCCTGTAGCATCGAGGCAGAGCCCCAGATCGCTTCATGGTGATTTCCTAACAGTCAGATGTGCAATGTCACAATGCTGGTCGAGCGATGCACAGTACTCCGCCTGGTGACCCTGACGAGTCAATTACGTGGTACTGACTGATTTCGTTTCATGGAGGTTCTTTGGTTCGGAGCAATGGTGCCCTGGCGACCGCTGCGGAGGAACGAAGATGGACAAACTTTCCAGGGAAACGGATGCAGACTCGAGACCAGCAATTTTCCTCAGCGGTCTGAAGACTTCTGCCAGAGAAATTTTCGCTGCCTGGACTACGGTCCGGCTGAGCAGCGGTCGAAAGCCATTGAGCTGGTCGGCCGTTTCCCGCCACGAGGTATCAAGATCGATGCAGGTGGGCGGGTAACCATATCATGGTGCTCTCACATTGCCTGGCTGTACTACTGTATATCAACACAGCAGCGTACTGCGGGCGGCTGGGTCTTGCGTGTGCTTTGGTAGTGGGGGGCTTCAATGCTCATCAGGCCGGAATGCGGGAGCAAATCCACTGGAGCATACATTGTGCCGGTCCTTTTCCTGCAGATTTTGCTGCGGCGTGTATTAGAATTGGGCACATCCATGGACCACAGTTCACAAATTGCACATTACATCTACACGCGTACACATCATGGCAGTCATAGTGTTGTAAGGTGACACGCAACAAGTCATAATGATAAGGGTGATGGGGATGGTGATGGACGGAATCTGTGACTGCTCATGACTCGTCACCTGCGTCACTCTCACCGAGGCACGAACAACCGCTCGTCAGAAGTAGACGCCGTGTTCTGCGATATCTACATCCTGCCGTATTGTCTCACTGCATATGCGTGCTGTACCAGAGAGGTCATCTGTGCTCTGAGGATGCGCTGCAGTCCTCCTTTCCAAGGTTCTCATCAGTGAATACTTTCACATAGATCTTCTTCCAGGCACAAGTGGTGATCTTTGCCTCGTGGAAGGTGTCAGTCATCTACCCGCCGCCGTCAAATTCACTTGCGCAACGCTCTTTCCCATCATCGACCACTTGCAATTCTACCTATGTTGCGCGGCACAGGTTCCAGGCAACAAACTGCCTGTTGTCTTCACACGAAACATCATCGCCATACCAAACCCGACGGAAACCCTTGAATCTCCTCCGCGAAATCAAGCATCACAACGCCTCCAATTGTTGCATACCCTATCGCAGCTGGGCTCAGTTGACGCTCTGGACCTGTCGAATCTTCGCCATGGCAACCTCAAATGACTCACTATCATACCCTCACCGATCAGATCACTACACATACCGTGTGCCAACCCCGCCACGTATCGTCGTTCCACCGCCTGCGTTGAACGCGGATGCCAGACCGGACATCAACTTGTCGACACAACGCAACTCTCCATACACCTTCTTGCACAACTTCAACTACGCAAATTTGGTCCAGTCAAATGCACCGCTGGAATGGAAGTATGAATTCCGAAGAGAAGCGCAGTCAATCTTGCCATACCTTGCCCTTGGGCCTATGCTTGCTGCCAAAAATGAGGCTCAGCTTGTCAGCAATGGGACAACAATGCTCGTGGGCATCGCTCAGAAGCAACCCACGGCGAAGAGATTGATGACTTCGGCCCTACAAGTCGTTGAAAGAATGGGACTAGAACATCACCTCATTGACGTCGCGGACAATCAAGATCTCATTCACAATTTCCCTGAGATCACTCACCTGATCAACACACATCTATTACGAACATGGGACCAGGGTCGAGGACGTTTGGGTCAGGTGTTAGTGTTCTGTGAGTCGGGAAACGAACGTAGCGCATGTGTGATAGCTGCCTATCTCATGGAAACGCATGATGATGTGGATCATATCAAAGCAATGCAGCTCTGTCAAGCACAGCGATTCTGTGTAAACTTTGACGACAGTTCAAAGAGGCTACTTCAAGGCTATTGGGATATCCTCTGCGCAAAGCGAGCTGTGGCGAATGGTGCTATGATGCAAGTGGTGCAAGCGGCAGCTTCATCGGCAGCTTTTGCTAGCACAGCAGCGTTTTCTGGAGTAGCGGCGACAGTAATGCCGTCCCAAACACCCTTCGGCGGGAACGCCTCTGTGCAATCACGACCAAAACGGACCCTGGAACGGGATGACGACGGCGACGATCTGATGGAGCAGGACGATGATGATCAACAACGCTTCGCCGGGCGTTCGTTTGCACCATTTGTAGACGATTCAGTCTTTGCGGCCGCGGCAGTACAGGGAGAGGCCAGGCGGATCTCCTGACAATTTGGTGCTCGGAAACATGCCAAGTGCATGCTGCTTACGATGTTACGAATTAGATGAACGGTTCAGGACCATTTGAGTTTTACACGCCACGGACAAGGCTACGATTGGCTCTGTACATGGCTTATTCCCGCGCACCGCGTCCTGTTCTTTTCACAGCGAAGGCGTAGATGAGTTTCGATTAGTTTCCTAGGTAGATGACGGGGTCATCTATGGCGTCCACACATTGATGCATGCGATATCCCATTCATATCGGTCTCTGGTCTTCTCACCTCATTTCGTGCCATTGCATGCAAGCAAACAGTGAATATCTTAATCCCTTGCTTATCACACGATGAAGCCAACCCAATTTTCGAAGCATGTCTTTCGTCACAGGTCACATCACACAACTTCACACAATGGGACCGTATTCATTGTTGCAAAGAAAAATTCTTTGGTTTTCCTTCCAGTGATGGATAATCCTTTTGTTCTTCTTCTCTTCCCAATATTTTACAGGCAGGCGGGGCCACTGAGCCTCACGGAATAATCATTATTCTTCCTTCTCGCCTCCATCCTCAAACAGGATAAATACACTGACTGGCAAATAGACTTGCCTTCCAATAATCCGTACGTGAACAAAAAATCAAACAGAACGATCCCAGACCCGGGGGAATTTTGGTGGAGCAGCCGTAAAAAGCACTTTCATATACATCAAATCGATCGAAAAGAAAAATTGTGTGTGTGAGAGAGAGAGAGGGCGCGAGAGAGCGAGAGAGAGAAACGTGGCGGGAGATAGCCGGATCGATACGTCTTCGCCGAGATTGCGTGGTTTGGAAGGAGAAAAATCGATGGAGATGATCAGGTCGCGAGAAAAATCCATGGAGACAGTGCAACGCTTGCGAAACGTGACGGAAAGTTGGATCGAGATCGAAAAGGGAAATACGAAAAGTATGCCGTAGGTATGTCGATAGTGAAGTTGGGTTTCTCAGAACAGGGCTGATCTGTCGCCGCAGCGTGTCGTGTACGGCGTATTCATTATGATCCGCCTACTTCAATCCCGAGGCCGGTGAGTGGTAGCCGCGGCGGTGTTGTTGGTGTCGCCGAGCCCGCGCGGGAGTCTCCGTCACTTGAACCATCGAGGGATCCACCAAGAACGGATCCTGGGCCACGAGTGCGGCTGGCCATTGAGGGGATTTTGGGCAACGGTGCGGAGGGCGGTGGAGCGGGCGGACCCAGGCCGACGAGCGGAATGCCGAAATCGAGCTCGGGCAGAACAGCTCTCGAGGGCGGCCGAGCACTTTGCCTCCTCATAATCATCTTTTGCGGCGGGCTCCATGTAGCGGCCTGGTTGGCCTGTAGCTGGACGAGTGACATTCGCTGATCGGCGGCTTCCTTTGCGAGCAGGAGGAGATTCGGGCTGGAGATGGAGGTGCGTGGCTGAGGCAGAGGCAACGGTGTTGGGAGAAGGGATTCCCGGCGGGAGCCAGCTCCAGGAGTGGGGCTGGCGGATGGGTTATAGGTAGGTATGCCACTGCGGGAGGGTTTCAGACTGCGGATCGGTACTGGCATGCCGTTGCGCATGGCGTTCGCGGGTTGAGGAGTGGCCGTCGCTTGTGCTGGGCTGCGCACGTTGGCGAGGAAAGGCGCGCGGTCCGAGCGGATCTGCATGCTTGTCGGACGGCGCAGAGAAGGAGTGTTCGAAGCCTGTACAGCTAGTGCTTGATAATTACCAAGGGTCATTAGAGCGGATGTGGAGGGCGAACGATGAAGTCTGTCGGCACTTATCGGCGGTGAGGGTAAAGCGGAGGGGAACAATGAAAGTCTCGTAGAAGTGCTCTGTCGAATGATATTCGACTCGAAGCTCAACACCGAAATCGGAGGGCTGAAGTTGGATGATGTCCGAGGTGGAATATGCATAGGCGAAATGGTCCGTCGTTGGGCCGGGTCCACCTTTGCTTCTAGAGTGTGCACAGCCGCAACCGGAGAGACTAAATCGTCCTGGCTATCTGATCGCGCGAACCGTGTCACCAACTTTGGACTGGTGACCTCATTGGCTCGAAGAGGTAGGCTGAAAGACTGAGCGGAATTCCTCCCAGAACGCAGAGGATCTGAGTCGCTCGTAGAGATGCGCTTGGGCGGGGATTGCTGTTGCGGCGAGCCACTCCCACCGTCATGTGCTGCCTTAGCACTTGCGATTGACAATCTGAGATTTGGTGAGGATTTTGTTGCCCAGATCGGCGAAGTGGGCAGCTCGGCGACGAAAGAGATTGGTCGACTGCTAACGGATGTTGGCACGGGAGAGGTAGGCTGCGTGAAGTCGTGCATCTCGCCCACCTCGGCTACGGTCTTCAGGTCGGGCGCACTTTGCATGGCCGATAAAGGCTTTCTTGGCGACGCATCGGGCATCAAGGCGTGATGGCCGAGTACCGGAGAGTCTATGGGCGCTTCAACGTTAAGCTGCTGCTGTATTAGCAACGGGGTCGGCCTCCTCATCTCGGGAGACGTCGCCGAGTCCTTCGGTGATGGAAGGACTGATCTTCGTTTTGATAATGAATAAGATGATGAACTGCGGTAAGGGAGCTTCGCCGGAACAGCATCCTGCGTGCCGTCTCTTGCAGCGATAAGAAGTTGTTCAACAGGGGGTGAAGATGTGAGTGAATTGGTGCGTGATGTGGCGGATGTGTTCGCAGTGGACGTATGCGACATTCTTGTGCTTTCTCGTAATTTGTCGAGATGTTGTTGGTCGACTGAAGCTGAATCTGACGAGCCAAGCGAGCCTGAGTCTGAATTTCCTCGTAGTCGTGATGACGCATCGTCTCCGCCTTTTACTTCGCCCTCTGCACTCAATTCGACAGGACCAGTTTCGAGGCTTTCCGCCTGTGTGATGATCTGAATCGGCGAGGCCAATGGCGACTCAAAGAATTTTTTATCCAGCGTAGGCGAAATTATACTCGCAACTTTGGCCGGATCCCTTCGCACTTGATAACGATGACTATTGCTGGGAACCTTCTTCAGGTCTAGATCAGCAGCCTCGGCATTTGCCGTCTTTGGTCGTCGTGTCACCGAATCTGGGCGAGCTCGTTTACCGCCTTGAATTTCGATCTGCTTGCGGACCGTGGACATCCACGATGCCAGTGCTGCTGCATCCTCCATGACCAAAAGAAAATTCGAGGTTTGCCGTCGTGCGGCCGCACTGCGAATCCCAAATTTGTGTAGAATGGAACCTGAGCCATTCGCCATGCCACCTTTCTCATTGACGCATTGCAGAATCTCGAGAACGTGCAACCGACCGGGGATCAGATCGCATGCAAAGGCCGCCGAATCCTTCCCAAGTTGCAGTATCTTTTCAGGCGCGCGATCACTGCTCCCTTTCTCGCTATACTGGAGGATGCATCCGGTCGTTGATAATATGAACAGTTTTCGCGGGAGCTCAATGGTCGATAGTGAGCCCTTTGACATGTGTTTCGACGATGACTTCGCGTTCACAGGTGCCCCAGATCCAGTGGGTGACGTAGCAACAGCTTCACCCTTAAGACCAGTGCTATCATCTGCACCATCTCGCGTCGAATTGTCAAAATTAGAAAGCTGCATGGTCGTAGATTGGCGGCTTTTTGACTGCTGGGAAAGCAGGTCCGAGGTGATGGTAGAGACCTCCAGCACGGCATGTTTGATCGCCTGGGGCCATGCCTGAAACAGTGGTAGAGGATCGCTAGGTCCAGGTTTGATTTCCTTGTTGGATGAGGCTGGTGGAGGTTCCTTGAGTGTCATACGCGACGCTTTCGTTGACAGAGTCTTTGGTCCAGAGGTACGCGACTTCGTCGCTTCTGAGTCGGTTTCGCGTGGGGTGATGACTGCTGCTTGCTTCGCGGCGCGCAGATCAATGTTTGAGCGGCTCGAGGTAAGAGCTTGTTCCGAGTGGCCTCGAAGCTTCTCAACTTTCGGTTTGCTGAACAAGTTAAACAGTGACATTTTCGAAGGGCGCGACTGCAACCCCGTGGGCTTGGCATTTTCTCGCAGCGGTGCGCGCGACGCAGTTGCTTCTTTGTCCGATTGCTCGGTTGGGCGTAGTCGGAGACTTCTACGCTTGTTCAGCGACACAGGTTCGGATTTGTCTGTTGGGACACGTAGAAGTTCCGCCGGCTTCTTCGAGTTGACATCGCCTGTAGGCAGCCCTGCATTGGCAATGGGTGCTTCCATGGCAGATGAAAGGCTTTCGGAATTATACACTCAAGACAAAGCTTGAGGCGCACAACGGCGCGCCGCACTTTCGGTGTCGTCTGAGCTGCACGCGATGGTAGGTTGCAAGCAAGTTGCGCGCACGATACGATGCATTAGCAGCACTGCCCTATAATTCAGTTGAAGGTATGAATGAGCGAGCGTCGTAGGATCCAGACGTGTTGCATCCCGGATTCTCGGCTCGTAGAGGTGGACCGGAACGGATTCGTTTTCCAGCAGTATCAGAGATGGTTCATTGTTTGCGCATGACGCCCTTGTGCCGACAATTGCAGTCGCGATCTGTCGAGCGAATCAATTATTCGCAATGTCGTCCAGAAGTCGTCAGAAATAGCCGGGAATGGTGAAGAGAGAGAGATGTCGCAGGTGCAATCAGTGGAGGTAGCATGAGAAGAGGGACAGACATAGAGGAGGTCTCCTCTGGGATGCAGATATGCAGGTACCACCTCTGACCATCCCACATTGGATGGCGGCGGCCTTGGAACGTAAAAGAGAAGTGCGTGCGAAAGGAAGAGACAAAGGCGGCGACACCCTCTTCCTTCCGTGGCACCACACAGTTCGCTCCCTTTCCCACACGAGTGTATCAATTTAGGTGCCGGCCGTCGTTGACAACCCTCAGGTACAGTACTTGATAGATGATTTGTGTATGAAGGGATGGACGGGTACGTGTCTCTGTGGGTTTGTGTATATGATGTGGGTGATCGGTCATGTCTGAGTATGCGCAATCTTCTGAAACTCCCCTCCCTTCTGCCGATGGTCCACGGAACTCGGTGTCTCTTCCAGGCTTGCTGTGGACATCCGTCTGTTAGATTGTTGCTGTGAGGCGGTCCGCAGGCAGGGATGGACAGTCCTAGACCACACGAACTTTTGGGTCGGCTTGTCCAGGACCCATTTGCACGGATTACGCTAACATCGGCACGGGGAATGCAGCACGCTTTTCCACATCAAGGACTAGACCGGCCGTTTGATGAGATAGTACATGCCTCTAGCCTGTGCTTGAAACGCTTGGGGCTCCTGAATGTTTCTCCATTGTCCACGCTACAGTCTCATCAACGCACGCCGTCGGCATGAATATGAACATTGTACTGTACATACATGGAATCAAATGGACTGGACACTCCGTCAGTAGGAGCCGGCATTGACGTCTGTCGCTCGTGACCTGCAGCTACTCCGCGCAACTAATGCAGACCTTATGGCCTACTGCGGTCTCACATGAAGCAGAGCGAGAGACATCACGCATGATATGCAGGAACATACTCGTTGTCGAAAGATACGGTCGTCAAAAGATTTAGACATGAAGAGCTCGATACTTGTGCGCGCGCCAATTCTGCTCCTCGAATCCTCTGACCGGCAAACTCTGGAGGAAGGTACGCCGTAAGGAGACAATCACGATGTGCTTATCACAATGGTCCTTTACATTGCGGCGCAAGATTCGTGTCCATAGGGCCAGTGTCTTTGTCACTGTAGCCAGCCCTGGCGAAAATTTTCGGCTTTTGTGGGTCGCAATGTTCCTCGACGCGCGCACAGCTCGATGGCATTCCTCATGCTCTCCCTTCTTCCTGCATTGGTCCTGCATGACTACTGTCACAATCGATGTCGCCAGAAACCTTACTGTAGGAGCCTTAAATGAATATCGACCACCAGAGGTACATGTCATTTTCAAACCAGGATAGAACAGTTCCTTGACACTGTACCCTCCTTCCATGTCAGTTCAGTCAGAGCCTCCCGCCCACAGCTGCCGCGAGGGACACAATACGAGCGCTATTACGAAGGTGGGGAAACTTTGAGTGCTAATGAGACACCGGAGATTTTCAGTAATCCGCATTCAATGGAAGGTTCTGTCGGGGCATTGTAGAGATCTGTTCTGCGTTGGAACGTCCAGACCGAGATACTCTCCCATCGGGTCGACTCTGCCGTGACTCCGTCCGTTTGGGAAACGGTACGGTCAAGGGGGCTCAGTCACAGCGATGCCACTGCATTGACGCCTCCTCGAGGCAACGGGCATGTCGAGGCGTGCACTCGGGGCTCCTGGTGGACATTTCATGTTGGAAGGCACGGTGCCTCCAACCCAACATTCTCAGCATAGCGTGTCGAAAACTGCATTGCCGGTGACGAAATCCCACGCTAGCCATCCTTGCTTTAGTTTCCAGTGATCACCAATTTCGAGGCCCCCGTAAGGACTGGGATCCATTCCAAGATTGTGTCCACCAACACATACTGTCATTGTACAAAACAAGGCACATTGCTTCCTTGTAGTGCCCGGATAGTCTACAGGGCTGTACGACATCCTCGTCGACATCCTTGCAATCATGTGGCGTGATGGCCTCGTAAATCTTTCAAGTATGTATATGGGCACTTTGCGAAATGCGAACGGCTATATTGAGACTATTGGAAAAGTACAAAGGATTCTTTATTTGTTCCTTCATCAATTGATCCCTCCCGCCCTTGGTACATACAGAAATGGCCTGGGCGGCCACGATGCTTGTGTTCGTCGTGAGTCCATTGCCGGAAAGACAGCCGCTGCGATCAACGATTCAGGGGCTCTCCTCCGACGTGTGCGCGCACCACCGCTCGATGCTGTTGGTCTTTGCAGCCTCAAATCCGTCCCTTGTGCGTGACAGGTGCCAATGCTCTCTCGACAAGACGGTGACCAGCCTCCCGACATTTCGAAACGTGCCAGGCCATGTCATCCCGAGGCTTGCTAGTTTACTGTACGTCACTGTCAAGACCAACCAGGCCTCACAGCCATTGGTCCTCAATCCTGACAGCGAACTTTTATTGAGGAGCCCTGAGAGCGAGATTGAAGGTTCGGGCTACATACCTTCTTACATGAGTAGTCTGCACCCTGTCCTACATGTGCGGCACATCACGAATTGCAGCCGCCAAAATTAAGTATATCAGCTGTACAGGCAGAAGAGGTGTGGTGGAACTTCCGCCTAGGGGTGCACGAGCGAGAGGTGGATGTCAACTCAACCGTTTTCCATCGTTGTGATGAGTCTGCATAAGCAAACGCGACAGAAAACATAGATTTTCGGTCAGACCCGTCCGTTCGCGACACTGATGGAGTTGTGAAGCAATCACAGGAGATGGATCAATCTGATTGAGACAATCCGCGTTCGCAACCACGATCTCGGGATGTCATCGATCTCCAGCTTCATGTCGGTCGCTCGCGGAAGTCTATATTGCTCTGTCCTACAACATGATTGCGTGATCCCACCCCGTTTTTTTGAGACAGGAGCCAATGCCCTTATCTTCTCCCGTCTACTGAATCATGCCCAGGTGTGCGGCACTTCAAGAGCTTATGCAGAGGGGCAGAGCGGCTTCCTGGGCGGAATAGGTCAGGTGACGGTGACGGTAGCGATGAGTATCCCGGAATGCTTACAAGCTGGAGCTGGAGGTTGCCGTTTAAGGTGCTTACCTAGGTGTCCATGGATCTAAGCTCGTGTACGAAACGCACAATTCCAATGTCTCTCAACCTGCCCAGGTGGTGAATGGAGCAGCTGCAATATCTCGAGCTGACAAGCTTATCATTCGGACAGCACCTGAGCATTCACGCTGACCTTGATAACACATTAGCATCTCAACCAACATCAAGCGACCATGTCCCCCGACATCAATTCAATAACTACGGCTAGCGCACCTACGCGAGACACAAGGATGACAACACAGGGGACGAGTGACATATCCTTGACCACAGTCTTCGCAGCTGTACCGAGTCCGCCCTCTCCACAATCCCCGTCGCTTTCCTCGTTACAAGCTGCAGCAGCCATCAATGCCGGGCTCCAGCGTTCGCCTGGGTCATATGCTTCACGACTTGAGCGCCGGAGATCATCACTCTCCACTAACCTTGAGATTAACAATCCAGCAATTCCAGCTCCAGGTGAAATGCAGCCGAGCACGATAAGCCATTCTGGTAGCCCCACTCGCCGCAGACGCTCTTTCGCCTTGCACCCGACACAGGCACAGCATCGTCGTCAGCCAAGTCTGGGCGAGCTGCACCAGGAGCTGGAAAATGAGCAAGAAGCTCAAGTGAACCGACTGCTACACATGATACGTCTGCAGCAAGACGAGCTCGATACACTACGAAGGCAACGAGATGATCAGCATGGCCTGTCATTTTCTGCGACAGAACTAGCGGGTATTTTGTCATGATTCCTGTTATTGGCTGACACTCAGGAACTCATTAAGACACAGTTCTGGAACACGCCAAGTCCAGCGTTCCATCGTCTTCAAGCATCAGCACTTCGCAAAATGTCCCACCGTCCTCAAGTCGATCATCCACTAGATTTTCTATTCCTGGTCCACGCAGCCAAGATACATCGCCTCACTCGATGCGACTCTCTGAGAGTACAACTCTAGCAACAGACCGTGCTCTGTTGGAGATTACTCGGGATGAGTCGGCCTTTTACCAGGCCGAGACGCAATCACTGACCCGAGAGAACCAGATGTTGAAACTGCGGATTCGTGAACTTGGTAAGCTTTGACAAGAATGGTCTGATTCGGCGTCACATGCTGAATCACTTTGAAAAGAACGTCAGATCGACAGTATGGCTAGTGATCCTGACGTGAACAGCCGAGGCCGAGCTGCTTCACAGCAGTCACCACTCGCGGATCGTCCTGCCGCGGCTCCTGTCAATGTGTAGTACGAGTGGTCTAGCAAATGTGAGACGCTTAGGGAGAAATTGTAGTGATTTGACCAAGCAAGGCCGGAATCCACGATTGGTGATCCGCATCGATGAGACAAAGCGATTGTTCGACAGTGAGGTGTACTGGGCGACTCTTGGAAGGGCATCGCTGTCTTCAGCTGTGTTAATAGCAGGAGTTATACCACCGACGTTTCGGGTCGCGAGGCGTTTGTTTACGCCATGAAATACAAGGCGTGCTTCCTATCGTTCCTGGCAAACAGAAAGGATGTATGCAATATCGCTTTGATCGGCATCACAGGCTCGCAATGGCCTGTAATGAATAATACTGATAATCCTTGACATCTTGGGAGCCCTCCCTCCAACCCTCCTCCCTCCCTCCAGGGCTGGGGTTGGAGGGTCCTAGTAATCGGCTCACCTGCCTTCTCATGCACTTCCGCATAGCGTTGGAGAAATCTTGGCGGAACTTTTCCGAGACAGCTCAGAAATTTTGGAATGCGCTGCGTTTGTGAACATACCAATTTTTCACAAATCTAATATCAATCTTCGACAAGCCATGGCACTTTCGAAGGGAACCGTCGCTAAGCGCGCAGCAGATTCAGAGCCTGGTCTCGATCAAGCTCAGACATTACGCGCCTCGAAAGCTCTTCTCTCCAAGATCCAATCGGACGCCGTCGCACAGAAATCTTCGGGAAAACCCAGCTTGCTTGATGATGCCGATGATGAGGATGCGGAGGATGAGATTCCGGTCTGGCTAATCTTAACGACCAAGAAGCACATCATTGACAAGAAGCGGCTTAAGCCTGGCAAGGTCCTTCTTCCACACCCATACTTGAATGTCGGCGATGCGAATTTGAGGATATGCCTCATTACAGCCGACCCCCAGCGCAGATACAAAGACATTGTCGCCGATCCGAGTTTTCCTGTGGAGGTGTCGCAAAGAATACAACGGGTCATTGACGTTAAGAAATTGAAGGCAAAGTACAAACCATTCGAGGCGCGAAGGCAATTGTTCGGCGAGTATGACGTCTTCCTCGCCGACGACCGGGTCATCACACTGCTGCCAAAGATCCTTGGCAAGGTCTTCTACAAAAGCGGCAGCAAGCGACCGATTCCCATCTCGCTGGAGGGCAGGCGCCAAAACACAGACGAGCAGGGCAACAAGCGTCGCAAGCTTTCCGAGGGTGGCACAAAGGTTATCAAGGACGAGGTCAAGCCAGCGACCATTGCACACGATATCGAGCGCACATTGCACAGCGCGCTCGTACATCTTGCTCCATCCACGACGACCGCTGTCAAAGTTGGAATTGCATCGATGGAGGCCGAGCATGTACAAGAGAATATCGAAGCCGTCGTGCACGACATGGTAGAGCGCTACGTGCCACAAAAGTGGCGTAATCTACGAGCTGTCCACATCAAGGGCCCCAACACCGCCGCGCTACCGATCTGGCTGGCCGAAGAGCTATGGGAGGATGAGCAGGATGTCCTGGAAGAGGCCACACCCGCAAAGGAAAGCCGCAAGAAGCGGACGCGCGGCGCACTAGAGGCTGGTGATGCGGATGAAGGGGTCATTGAGGTGCCAGGTGCCGATGGCAAAATGCGCCGCGTGGAAAAGCCACCGGCTAAGAGGAAGAGCTCCGAAGTCGACGGCAGCAAGGCGAAGAAGGCAAAGGGAACCTCAGCAGATGAGAACAAGGCGACAGAGGCGCTTGAAGTCGAGAAGAAGGACAAGGCTGCCCGGAAGGCTGCCCTACAGAAGCAAAAATCCGAGGCAAAGGCCGCGGCTGTGAAGGCCAGGTGAGAATCGCCAGGCTGTCATAATTCTTAATAGTCTCTGTCGGCGGGTAAACATGGAGCGAAGGCGTTTCGGTTTAGCTTTGTACGAAATGTTATGTTTCAATGACTGTGTACAAATCTTCTATGTCCCAAGTCTCTCGCGCCTTCAGGGGGTCTGTCACGAGTGGTCGTTCAACGGCGATGAAACAGGCCTTGCCTTGAGGTTCTCTACGAGAGTGCAAACAAGTCGCGGTTCGTGGACACATAAGTCACAAATAGTTCTTAGACTTGATTTCTTGCTTTCATAATCAAACACATAGCAGTCCCGGGGTTCATCTGGATATCGCATATCGACGTACTATTGAATATCATGCGCTTGAGTACGTCTGCTCGGAAAGTACCCCAATTTCGTCAGCGCTCGCCGAACCTGCCCTGTCGCATCCGCTCAGGCACAGCCCTCAAGGTGGGTAGCTGCAACATTACGCAACACTTCCATGACCATTGAGCTATTCAATCACGACGAATTTATTTTCGATTCACTTTTTTGATTTCGGTATATTTCATCGATCGTCAACGTGAGTCGCTCAGGGCGAGACTTCGACACCCTAGACAATATGGCTCCGGTCAAGCGCATAGAGAAATGGGAGATCGATCGCTACTGGGAGATCTTCTCGTCTCTGTCCAACAACAGCACACATCTCGATGGCTCACAAGCCGCCTCGGTCTTGAAGAACTCTCGCCTTCGCGATGATCAGCTTGAGAAGATCTGGGATTTGGCGGATGTGGACGGCGATGGTCGGCTGGACTTTGAGGAGTTTTGCGTTGCCATGCGATTGATCTATGATCTCATGAACGGCGAATACATGGATGTGCCGGCGTCGCTGCCAGATTGGCTAGTTCCAGAGTCGAAGGCTCATCTGGTTCAGGCTAGTCGTGCAATGGCGACAGGCGGTCGAGACGAACGCTTCACCAGGGACTTCGACGACGACGACGACGATGCGCAAGGCTTGAAGGATGGATTCGACTGGTACATGAGCCCATCCGACCGGGAGAAATACAGCGAGATCTACACAACTTCACGCAATGCTCGGGACGGACTGATCTCTTTCGAGTCGCTACAAGATTTATATTCGAGCCTCGATGTCCCAGACACGGACATCCGCAGCGCCTGGAATCTCGTCAACCCGAAGAGCGAAGAGGGCATCAACAAGGATGCCTGCCTCGCTTTCCTTCACATCCTCAACAATCGGCACGAAGGCTACCGCATCCCACGAAATGTGCCTCCGAGCCTGCGCGCCACGTTCGAGCAAGGAAGAATAGAATACAACGTAGATCGCGCGGCTGCACAGCAGAGCGCCGCTGAACGGTGGGGCACAAAGCGCGATGACAACACAGTCAGTGGCCGAAAGGCAAAATTCGGCGACACCTATCTCTCGCGCCTTGGTGTCGGAGAGAAGAAGCCCAAGGGTACCGATTTCAGCAGCACACCGCGGGACAGCGAATGGGAGGAAGTGCGCCTGAAGAAGCAGCTGCGGGAGTTGGAGGAGAAGATGAACAAGGTTGAGCAAGCGGCACAGAAACGTCGAGATCGAGGTGGTCGGAGAGACGACTCGCGGCCCGCTCTGGTCAAGCGTGAGCTGGAACAGCTGCTGGACTACAAACGGCGGGAGTTGCGTGGTCTTGAGAATGGAGATGGAAAGGCACAGACTGGCAACACGTCGCAGAATTTCAATGACGAGATCGCTATGGTGAAAGAGCAGGTAGATGGGTTACAAGATCACCTGAGGACACGCGAAGCTGTGCTGCAGCAAGTACGGGATGAAATTGAGGCAGAAAAAGCCAGCGGCCGGTGATAGAATTCGTACTCTAATCTATTGGTGACCCTAGAGCAACATTGGCTGCCTTTTCAAAATGCCGTTCCACTGTAATTGATCTTCGAGGCGTCGCTGAACGTGCAAATCACGCCAGGATGCTGTGTTTCAATGTAATTAAATGTCACCTCGTCGGATGGACCTCCCTGTCTAGCTGACCAAGAACAGCGCGGTGAGTATGAGGGATCGACGCGAACGTCGATGGGCACATAATCTCCTTTGCACCAAAATAGGCCCAGACCAAGGTGGTGAGGGTAAAGGCCAGAGTGTTGGCAAAGTGAAGGCAGATGGGGGGCTACGGTGGCAGGACGGAACACGGAAAACATGCTCATGGTGGTGTAGACCTGAAGAAAAAAAATCTGGATCGGTCTCGATCCATACTTTTGCGGTATGGCTATGTTGATTGCATATCCGTTGTGTCAACCCTGCAAATTTCCCAGCCGAGAACGAAAGCGCCAAACGCCACGAACAGCCAGCCGATCTTTTCGCGTACTCTTTTGTCACAGTCCCGAAGAAGAAATCGTTGAAAATTCGTTAAAAGCATGATATTGCGAGTGCAAAGCAACGAGTGCGACTATGACTCGGGAATCTCGATCTCGCCGCTCTCGATGTCATCGCTGACGGCCTTGGGGCTTCGGCCATCGACCTTGCAGCCGGTAGAGAAGGCGGTTCCGAGGATCTCCTTGACGGTGCCCTTAAGGTTCTTGGCCATGGACTTGTGCTGCATCTTGCGGGCGATCTCAATGATCTCGTCCAATGGGATGGACTTGGTGTGCTTGATGTTCTTCTCCTTCTTGCGGTCACGCGGCGGCTCCTTGAGCGCCTTGATGACGAGCGAAGAGGCGGATGGGACGACGGAGACAGCAGCTTGACGGTTCTTGATGGTCAAGCGAACAGTCACACGAAGACCTTTCTGTTCGAAAGTCAGCGACCGAATTTCCCGCCTTGGTTTTGCGTCGATGATGCACATACCCAGTCACCAGTGGCCTTGGCGATGTCTTCACCGACCTTCTTGGGCGAGAGACCAAGAGGACCGATCTTGGGAGCGAGAGCGGATGAAGCACCAACCTCACCTCCGGTGGCACGGAGGTGGATGATTTTCTCCTCATTGGGGTCGAGCTTGGGTGCTGGATTACGTGTGAGCAGTGGAACAATATTTCTCAGCCTGTGGCTGCAGCCAGGGAATGAGAGGGGCGATACTTACCCATGGCTAGTAGGTAAGGTAGTCTGCCTCGACTCAAGTGGTTTTGTGCAAAGAGTGTGTTGGGTTGTCCAGGTCGACAATTCCGAGATTGAGGAATAGGATTTTGTTGCAAAGTGTGCGACGGGAGGAGCCGCAGCTTAGTAAGCTTCGCTGACTCGGGGAGGCAGAGACCTCCGACTTGGCGGCGATCGGATCCGAACGCATTGGGCGGACAAGAGCACCTGCAGCAGACTATTCCATTTTATATCACTGAAGGTTTGACCCCTACGGTTGTAACAGCATGGCGGGAAATCTGATCAACCCTTCAATCGGTCGCAAAGTGATTTATTGCCCCAGAATTGATAGCTGCGAGCGTGGAAACAGTCGAGATGATCTACGGCTGCTTGACTACAACAGTATATACGCGCCATTTTTGCCTTGAGCGATTTGTTCACCCACTCCGAGCGGTAATCTACAGTAGAACAGTACCTAGGTAGTACTGCAAGCAGCAATTTAACGTTGGTTTTTCTGCAGCGTGACATCACCTGATTCGCGCGTTTATACAAACATTTGGTCGAAGCAGAAAGCTAGGTGCACATCGTTCGCGGGCCGACGAATGGGACCACTAATGTGATTTCGATTGTAATCTCTGCGTGTCGCGACGAGATAACAACGCAATTCACTATCTGGACTCATGCATACAATGAGGTGAGCGCGCGTCATTCTGCTCTTTGACCTCGCGAGCATGTCGTCTTCCAATCGATCATCGAGCGAAGTCCCACCGCCCGCCGACTTTACTAGTAGAAGTGCCATTGCTGGATCTTCATCCACTGGTACAGCCCACTCACAGCACATACCCAAGCAGTCTTCAGGATTAAGATATTATGAGATGCCTCCCGAAACTCCGCCCGAGCACGCCTATGTACGCACCTCTGCTTCAGACGACGAAACGTTCGACTCAGATCATTCGATTAGTACGGGACGAGGGGCTGCCAATCTTGACGGAGCCCATTCCGACGCCCCAACGGAAGAGCTAGGAAGTGCTATACATGAGCGATCCAGGCTGTTGGGTGAGACCTCTGGTCGCGATCCAGTTGCCGGGCAAGGAAACAGTGCAACTCGGCCGGGTCCTGGGCCCGGATACGGCAGTTTCGCAGACTTTATTTATACGGGCAAGGCGAATTGGAGATCGCGCAGGAATGGAACACGGCCCGCCACTGCAGAGGGTCAGCAAGACGATGGGTCACCAACAATGCTGAATCGGTCGGATACATACGCTGCTAGTCTTGCAGAGGACTCAATGATCGATGGTCTTCTCGGCCGTTCCAAGCAGCGCGGAGTGAAGCATTGGTTCTCCTCAAATCCAGCCATCAAGCAGGAGCGATCAGTGTAAGTGCATACCTGTCTCTTAACCCAAATAGCCATCCCCTACTTCGCATGTCCACATGAGCATGTGCTGTTTCGTTTAATGGACACTGACTGAGCTAATGGGGTGTGCCAGGTATGTTCAATACTACTTTCCGGTCTTCAAATGGATGCCACAATACCGCTGGGACTTTCTGCGTGGAGATCTCATTGCAGCATTGACCATGGCGAGTTTTTACATTCCCATGGCACTGTCATACGCAAGCAACCTCGGGCACATGCCACCGATCAACGGACTATATGCTTTCGCTTTCAATCCGTTCATATACGCCCTCTTAGGAACTTGTCCTCAGATGGTAGTGGGGCCTGAAGCGGCAGGATCCTTGCTTACCGGAAGCGTTGTCACCGAGGCCATTAAGGCGGGTCATTTTGACGAGAACGATGGCATGCGAGCCGCACAGGTGGGCGGCATGGTCACAGGCCTGGCCGGAGCCATCATTCTTGCTGCCGGACTTTGCCGACTGGGGTTTCTAGACAGCGTTCTTTCCCGTCCGTTCCTCAGGGGCTTCATCAGCTCTATTGGCATTGTTATCTTCATCGACCAGCTCATCCCAGAGATGGGACTTGACGACATCGCAGCCGAGACTGGAGGCTCCCACGGCTCGCCACTTGATAAACTTGTCTTCATCATGCGGAATATCGGCAATTCGCACAAACTGACATGTATCGTTAGCTTCACGAGCCTTGGCATTGCCCTGGTCCTGAGGGAGCTCAAACGAAGACTTTCGACAATATCGAAGCTGGGCTGGGTCGTCTACTTTCCCGATCGATTCCTCATAGTTGTTCTTTCGGCAGTCTTCGCCTGGAACTTTGGCTGGGAAGCCAAAGGAGTCGACATCCTCGGCGACATCAAAGTCCCAAAAGGTCAAGTCCCCTTTCAACCTCACTTTCCATTCGCCGAGAGCAACTTCAAATATGTCAACGATGCATTCACTACTTCTTTGATTGTTGCGCTGCTGGGTTTCTTTGAGAGCTGCGTTGCTGCGAAGAGTCTCGGCAACTCTACAGGCAAGGTCGAGAAGAAGTTGAGGACGAAAAGTGACGGCACGGTCGAGGAGGTACACGAAAGCGATGGTATCGTGGGGATGTCCGTCTCATCCAACCGTGAGCTCGTCGCGCTCGGCGTAGCCAATCTCATTGGCGGCGTTTTCATGGCCCTGCCGGCCTTCGGTGGCTACGGGCGAAGCAAAGTCAACAAAAGCACAGGAGGCAGAACGCCCATGAGCAGTATCTTCCTCTCGCTGATTACTGTTATCTGCATCTACTTTCTGCTGCCATATTTCTATTACATTCCGGTACGGCCATTCCTCCATTGATGATGAAATCTGCTCGCGGGCATAGCTGACTCGTGAAACACAGAGAGGAGTCCTCAGCGCCATGATCACAGTAGTCTCCATCTCGCTACTTGAAGAGGCGCCGCATGACATCTTCTTCTTCTGGCGCATCGGAGGCTACATTGAGCTATTCCTGATGGTCCTAATTTTCCTGACCACGTTCTTCTGGTCATTGCGTGGCGGTATCCTGGTCGGCCTAGGCTTCAGTCTGATCCGCTTGTTACGACACTCGACACGACCGCGAATCCAGATCCTTGGCCGCGTGCCAGGAACCAACGATTACGACAATGCCGAGATCCTCGCGCAGGACGGCAACGTCGAGATGGCGCCGAACTGTCTGATTGTCAAGATCCCGGAGCCGCTCACATTCGCCAATACCGGTAGCCTCAAAGATCGTCTGCGGCGACTCGAGGAACACGGTACCAACCTGGCCCACCCGGCGCTGCCGTCAGTACGGAACCAGGAGCACAACAAGAACATCATCTTCGACGTGCACGGCGTCACAGGCATGGACTACGCCGCCAGTCAGGTCCTTCTGGAGATCGTCAGCGACTACATCGATCGTGGCACCATGGTCTTCTTCACCCGTGTGCCCAGCAAGCGCTCCCACGTCTGGGAGTTGTTCGAGCGCACGGGCATCGTGGAGCTGTGTGGCGGCGAGAAGAACTTCCTGCGGAGTGTCGATGAGGCCCTCCACGCGGCTGAGCGGGCGACCACTTTCACCGAGTACGCCGAGCGCCGGGTCAGCACGGCTGTGCCGGAAGGTTTCCACCCCGATGAGGGCGGACCGACACCCAACATCTCACCAGATCTGACCGCCCGGTCGAGGAGGAGAAGTGGGGATGAGGACGCAAGCTGATTTCAGAGCTGCATGGGCACAATCTGCGCTCTTTGTCATCGCTCCGATCACGATCTTACGTTGTGGGATTTAACAGATCGCCATTTCAGGATGCTTCGCTATGCTATGTACTACCATTTGACGACCTTCAAGGCCGAAACAAAGTTAGCGATTACCGTTTCGTGGATCATCCCTCATGATTAGTATTACATGCTTTTCTGCAATAGAATGAAAATCATGCTCGCTTCATCGCATCAATTTGGAGTGAATTCCCCTTCGGAAGCCATCTGCGGAGTCAAGTCTGACGACTCTGGCACACCCTCTATTCATGACCGATGGCCTTGGAGTCTTTGACCCAGGCCAGCGGTGCAACAGTGCCAAGCAGAGCACTTGGTTGACCGGTGATGTGAGGGTCGGCGCCGACGAAGTTGTTCGGGAAACCAGGCTCGAATGGGGTGATGCTCTCGAGGTACTCGATTTGCTTGTCTGTAAGCTTGATTTCGAGGGCCTTGATATTCTCCTTTAGGTGCTCCACCTTGCGACCACCGACGATGGGGAAGACGTTGGGGGTCTTTGCCATGACGTAGGCAAGAGCGATGACCGTCGGGGACTCGAGGCCGTGCTCTTCAGCCACCTTGGTAAGCGCCTCCGAGATCTTCGCCTCCTGCTCGGTCTGTTCACCACCCATCATGTTGCGGAGACCTTCGTTGTTCTTCTTGCGCTCTTCGAGCTGCTTCTTGGATTGGAATTTCCCTCCACCGATAGCGTCCCAAGGGGAGAGAGCCATTCCAAAATGGCGGCACATGGGAATGATTTCGCGCTCCATGTCACTTTTGCCGCAATCAGTGTCTTTTCCGCAACATTTCGAGCTCTACAAGTACTCACCGGATCATGATGTTGTACCGTCCCTGGTAGACGCTGAAGGGTGTCTTGCCTTGTTGAATGGCATAGGTGTTTGCGGCGGCCACGATGTAGGCGGGTGTGTCCGAGACTCCCAGGTACAGCACCTTGCCCTGTTTGACGACGGCGTCGAGTGAGTCCATCAGCTCCTCGATACTCGTAGTCCAATCCCACCTTGACGAGATTAGTCATGTTACGCAAGGCTTCGAGTGGGAGAGACTTACCAGTGGACGTAGAGAATGTCGATCCAGTCGGTTTTGAGCTTTGCCAAGCTGTCGCGTAACGACATGTGGAGTGATCGCTTGTGGTTGCCAACGTGGTTGACAGTCTTACCTCTGCCTTCTTGAGCAATGTTGTAGCCTGTGGTGAACTTGGTGGCTATGACCATGAAGTCACGGTTCTTCTTCTTCTCCATCCATTCACCGATCCAAGACTCGGATTCGCCATCTTGGTAGTTCTGCCTGAAGTCAGCAAGCCGGACTCCAAACAAATCTCAAGACCCACGACGAATTAATATGCGACTCACGTTGGCGGTGTCGATGAAGTTTCCTCCGGCCTCCTCAAAGGCGTCAAGCAGTTTGAACGAATTTTCCTTGTTCATTGAACCCATAAAGCCATTCCATGCCTCTCCGATGCTCATGGCACCCAATTGTAGCGGGCTGACTCGGATGCCTGCTCGCTTGGAAAGGATGCGGTAGCGACCAAGCTCCGTTGGAGGCTCTGGCGCTGGCTTGAATAATTCGTTCATGGTGCAGAGACGGCGAGGCGGTTGATAGAATTGGTTGTTGTGAGCAGTTTTGGCAACACAATTAGGTGTGAATGATCGTTCTGCCAGGCGACCGATCGGAAGCGAGTCGTACTTATACTTTGATCCAAGTGGATACCTCAGATAAGCCGTGGCCACTAAGGTCATGGCATGGGCATGCTGTGGAATAATTATTTGACGCGTTTATGACGTTAATGCCGGATCTGTCGTGGATTTAAGCCATATTTCCGACCTGCCAATGCATTTCGGTTGAAATTCATGCGGGGAGTTGCGGGCACAGACGTCATGAAGCTTCACAAACTCGATCCGCTCCATAGAACATCCAATATTTATGGATCAATGGGATAGATTGTTTGTCAGCACCACCACCACAGAGTCCCTGTAATCCACACATTGCTCGGCGTATCACTACAGTCGCCTTTTATCAACTTACCCAGGTGGTGCAGAAGCGTGGAGACGTTGAATTAAGGTCAGGCGATGCGATCGGTTCGGTTTTCGCGGCATGGATCTGCCGATCGGTGTGCGATCATCACCCCAACTTTGGTATCACAGCACACTAAAACAACAAGGTAATAATTTTGGTTTCAAATCGCACATGTTCTCCGGTCTGGGCAGCAATAGAGTGCTCAGAGGGATTTCTCAGCGGATCATGCAGGAACTCCTTCGTAATCCCAACCATCGTTGCCTCTCCGCCTCCGACGCTTCGAATTTTGACGATTGCCTGCGCATTTGACGAGCAGAGTCAACACCGTCACCAGAAGAATGATGGCACCGGCGACCGTCGGGACAACAAGCTCTTTAGTCCTGTCGTTAGTGCTATCACCTCCATAGGGACAGGTAGTGTTTCGTCCAGTGACCCAACATGTAGGAACATCGAGGTCGTTGTAGTCTATCCAAAGAAGAGATCCCGCTGGATCCGGAGTGGGACCCAACGCCATACGAAACTGTTGCAGAAGATAAGCATTTTCGAGCGCTGTCGAGGGCACTTCAAAACTTGAACCCTCGGGACATGCGTCGTCGACCTTGTAATACTGTGTTGCAGGAGAACTGATGTACCATACGTATGGCTGTGTATTTGATTGACAGGCCCCAGAACGGTAGCTACCACAGTCGGAGACCTGCCAATGTCCCGATGATGAGTTGAGAGTGGCACAGCGGTTGCTGCTGGTGGATGCCATGGCCGAGGCGTTGCCAGGCTCGCCGGCCGCCCATGACCATATGGAGCTTTGAGCATAGGATTGGTAAGGTAGATAATCCTGATCGGCTGTGCGCCCGGCGAGTGTTGTATTAAGGATTGGGGAAATCCCGCATTTCATCATGTTGCTTGCCTTGTTGTAAAGCAGCTGGAGATCGCTCTGAGTTGCGGACTGGTCCTGAGCAACACTTGCGACAGCCCAGGATGAATTTATGCTTGAGAGCGAAGTCTCCGCCGCATCGAAGAAGCAGCCGCTACTGACGGCGCCATTTGCTGTCAGGTTGACGCCCCGTGCCGCCTCTAGGTAGCCTCTGGGAAATATCGTGGCAGCATCGGCTGAGAAGTTGTACGCCGCCATCTGAGCATCGATTGAATCGATGCCGACAATCAGCCGTTTGTAGTTGGCCAGTTCGATGTAGCCTTCGCCCGGCCACCCATCCGGGCTCGACTTGATCGGATCACCGGTCAAAGTGAAATAGGAAGTGCTTGGCTGGTACGATTCCCCTACTTCTAACCAGCCGCCAGGATTGTTCAGGATAGATCGTTGGATTGCTAACTGGCTGGGAGTATAGAGCAGGCTGCCGAGATTCTCTGTGAATATCGGTCCAAGGCGCAGGCTACCCTGCGGCAGATCCGCTGGACCGAGCTGTGGTTGGCCTTCGACTGGCCCTGAGGCGGCTCTGGCGGCGTGTATATTCAGGGTCATGGTGACCATTGTTGCATTCACATCAGTGTTGGTCTCAGCAAAGTGTTCGAAAAGGACACCCAACAAAAGATCCAGATTGGTCGAAGGTGAACAATCGTATCGATCAGCTGACGACGGAGCGCTGCTTGTGGCTGTCGCCGCCGCAGTCGTAGATGGCTGTGATGGCGACTGCGCAGTCGTCGTGGCTTGCCACTTCTCATTGATGGTTTCCAGCACAAAAGATGTTTGCAACGCATCGACGTCTGTAGATCTCCCTCCAATGGGCCGGCTCGACAAGCTCAATGTCGTTTCTGGCAATTTTGTTGTCGTTGTAGCAGTTCCACTGGTGCGCCCTGACGGGGTGCCCAGCTGAATAGGACAAAGACTCCATTCACCCCGCGTAACGTCCCAGAAGATATCGACGACAAACCTGCGGAAGTTCATCACGAGGAGGTTTGAAAGGCAACTGACGGTCTCGTCGCGCAGGTATTGGCCATTTCCGAAACACGCCGCCGACAAGACGACTCCAGCATGGTTCACATAATTGACGGGCACCTGCGACGACGCGTCTCGCTGCGACTGTAGGGGTTTGTCAGTACATTATGATGGTGATCGGCCATAGACGATGGTCACAAACCAGAAGCGCAAGATAGGTGAGGTTACTTGGTGATGCGCCTGGATCTGGGTTATATGAAGACATGAGCGGAGCACTTTTTGCTTAGCTCATCCTCCAACAACAGCATTTCGCAAACACGGGCTCAATGCAGCGAGCTTGTCAGGCTGGGATGGCACTTCGAGCGCAACGTCGGTATTTGTTCGGACCTTACGTGAGGTCGCTCCGTCGGATGGTACAGTACCTAGGTATTGAGCGACAATAGCCGTTGTTTTATTTTAGACCACCTGCACAACTACGATCTCACAGTTCAGGCGTCGGACGCGCGCGCTGACGGGCCGTGACGGCACCCGAACTTCACAGAACCCAGGCATGCGGTCATTGGACACGACTACATGGTCCTATCCTTGCTAATAGATATGGATGTCTCCACCTGGCAGTGTCTGGGTGCAGGTGGGCTCCTCTCTATATACCTCTTTTGGTACCATACAGTGTCAGGACAAGGCCGAGGGGATGTAGTTGATCTTCCGCGATTGTATACTGTACACGCATAGTCCGAACACAAAATGAATCCACGAGATACATTCAACCGGGATGTTGCGCAAGGACAAGGGCGCCGCCATTGGCCATTGGACCACATAGCAATTACAAGAAAGCACACATCATGATTAGCTGCAATGTGTATCCCACCTCGCGGTACGCGACGGTAGCATCCCTTGGCCTCCATATGGGCGACCTTGTGATATTGTGGACTATGTGGCTTCCAAGGGACCGCTGGAGTCGTCGTCAAAGCGAGCATCTGGACTGTGGTGCTGATGATCTCCTCCGCGGACGGCAACAGCCGCTGCAATCAAACGTACCCAGGATCAAGGCATGCATGACCTTCATCACAAGCTGCATGAGAGGCATATTGAAGTGGCTGAATGTGATTTCTCGATATTGGGACCATCAAATTTCATTGATCGTGGCCCAGCACTACGCCACAAGCGTTGGTTGTAATTATGCGGTGCAGAGGATGAACAGGTGAGAAGTCTACCCAGGCGCCCTTGATGAATCCTCTTGCGAAGAAACGTGCGGGGTGCAAAAACTCGATGGTCTGCTCGTCTGCTCATCACTTGAAATTGCTGCGGCGGAGGAAGATCGTGGCGTCCGTCAGAACCACGGCACCACGGCCAGCTCCAGCGTGCGCAGATTCGAGCGTATCGAGCACCACCCATGAAAGGTCCGTTGAGCGAATTATCCCGAAATGTGCTGCACGATCACGTCTCGGGGACGTGGTGGTATGCCAATTCCAGTACAGATAGATTTCAGTGCACAGACGAGCCAGAGGAAACCAGTTATCGAAAAAGTACGCCTCGTCAAGCCATGAAGAAATTCGGCTGCCGTGGCTGCCCCATCTCCGCGGCTCAAAAGGGCAACCACATGGGTGGTAAAAAGTAATATGTACGTACCGCCGTCATCGTCCAGCGAAGGACTCGAGGGCCGTGGGTCCTGTGCGGCGCACCCATATTCTCCCGAGGAAGCAATTCGGCGCGAACTACGATGTCGATCCAGGCCCGTGATCTACCTGAAACTGGAACGCTCCGGCCGAAACGGTCATCGCGCGCGCCCCCGAAACGGGTCTGCTTTCGAATTGGGTGTGAGCGGGACAGGGCGAAGAGAAATACGGTTCCCTGGGATCGGCCGTTATTACGAAGCGGGTGTCGATGGGCGGAAGGCGCCAGGGCAGGCGCGCGATTTTAGCCCCGAGGCTCAGGGTTAGCGCAGGCCGGGGGGACGATGGAGTGGGCGGACGAAGGGGCCCGGCTGCTTCGGTGCTCTGTGCACCGCAACAGCAATTTCAACGTCTCCTGAACCTTGGCAACGGCCCTCGACACCAGCGGCGAATGGGCGTGGTTCGCTGACCTAAGGCGTGTTTGCACCTCCGAGTGCTGGTTGGATTGTCGTGTCGCTTGTGCGAGTCGCCCTTCCGATGCGGCGCTGTGGACGATCGGATTGCGTTCACGCCGAGTCCGATCGGTGGTCTCAAGAGGTCAGGTCTGTAGTAAGTCAAGCCGATGCGGGAGGTCAGGCGGGCAGGTCATGATCCAACGTTCTCGAATTGTAAGCTCATCGACCACAGGTCGCTGATGTAAATTACTACTAAAAGGTATATATATGTATAAGATTAATTAAGTATGCGTCCGAGTGGATGTGGTACGCCGCCAACCACCCAGTGGCTCGTCTCAGCCACGTCCGTCCTCGCGGTATGCTTTCCTTTCATGTTGCTTGAACGCTCATCAACAAAGTACAAAATAAAGTGTCTCGGCAAAGGGCCAACGGTATCCTTCAAGGATGGGGTATAGTTCTTCTGATCTGCAAAAAACGCCGTTCCGGGGTAGCCGGCTGGTGGGGGCCAAAGTGAATGAAGGTTTCTGTCAAAGATAATGTGGCAGTTTGAATGGCAGGGGTATTAATTTAGTGCGTGAGGTTCGAGAGGCTCATCTTATCCCGTGGGGAATCATCCAGAGAGAGGCCGGATGGGCCAGGTGTGGAGAGCGCAGGGTCCAGCTTCGAGTCGTGGCTGAGGTTGGAGATGCTGGGGAGCTGCATCGTCATGGGGGTGGACGGCACAGGTTGTGACGGGATGGGGTATGCTGAGTGGCGGCGCTGCAGAGTCTGCTGATGTTGCTGCTGCTGCTGCATCGGGTACATCTGCTGCATCTGGTGGCTCTGGTGAAGAGGCGACGGCTGACGGACTTGAGAAGGCAGGTACTGGCTAGGGTGCAGCATTCCTTGGGAATGCGGCATGAAAGGCTCCTGCAACATCGGTGTGTTCTTGCCCTGAAGATCGTATGACTGCATTTGAGCAATGGCGAAGTCGTTGTCCTGGATGAAGGTGTTGGGAACTCCGACGCGAAGCATAGGCGCCGAGGAGCGGCGGCGGTCGTCACGGGCAGCAGCGAGCGGGGGGAGCTCGATGGGCGATGTGCCGTTGTTTGGCGAACGAGCGGAGATGGAGGAGCAGTCCGACATGAGCGATGGGGCGCCACCGTCCGAGAGCTGAGAGTAGGCGGATGGCGAGGGCAGAGGAGCGTCGACCATCTGCTGACGCGCGTACGCCGGGATGTTGGTGGGCATGCCCATCTGACCGGCTTGGTACATCTGCTGGCCGAAGTAGTGTTGCTGCTGGAGCTGGTGCTGGTGCTGCTGCATCAGCTGGTGTTGCTGGAAAGCTTGCGGCAGGGGCTGCTGTTGTTGCATCATCGGGTGGGCGTGCATCTGCGGTTGGTTTGTGTGCTGAATCTGCTGGCGGACCTCCAACTCGGTGCGGCGCTGCTGAACACTCCTTCGTCGGCGGTTGTTTCCACCATTCCACCAGTTCTTGACGGCATTGTCGCTTCGGCCTCGTAGTCGTCGGGCGATCTCGGCCCATCGCTTGCCCATCTCCGCGACCATCTGCTCGATCAAGATTCCCTCCTCAGGGGTGATGGGATCATGGTTGAGGTTCGGCTTCAAGTTCTGATGGAAGCGCTCTCTGCATTGCTTGGGAGATCGAGTCTGAATGCCATTGGATATCCGGACCCAGTTGCTTGCATCGTGGACAGTGACGAGATGCAGGAGCATCTGGTCTTCCTGTTGTGACCAAGGACCGCGCTTGTGTTGAGGCATCGTGCTGAGTGGTTGTTCGAATGAATGTGAGACTCCGGAGGATTATTCTACTTGCTTCCTGTGTGAACGCTACAGCTGAGCGGCGTCAGTTCAATGCTGTTCGACAAGGCTGTAGCAGGTGTCGTTGGGCAGTTGATGTTAAGACCAACGGTGGGAGGAGCGGACGAGAGATGGACTGACCTTGTCGATGTCTATTATATGAGGAGATACTGGGATGACAGCCGTTGGGATTGCGACAGAGACGATGGGATGTTGAAGAGAAGGCAGGCAAATGGTAGTGGTGCGAAAGACGGATGTTATAACTGTCCGCACGATTGTTGTCCAGGAAGCATCACCACAAGTACGCATTGGGCAAGGCGGCAATTTGCACAGACTTTTGGCTTTCCAAACTTTAAACCAGAACGGTCGGCGTCCATCTTATTTTATTATTCTTTGGTAGGGCCGCCCATCCAGGAATTGGGAGGGGGGCGAGGGTGGAGAATAGGGAAATGGTCAAGGCGGCAGATTTCCTTTGGGTGGATCTCCCCTTGGCCCAAAGAAGGTGACGAGGGTTGTATGCATTGTGGCATTGTACACCTGCAGCATTGGGATCATCATCATCATCATCCTCCTCATCGTCGACAGGCCTTGTGCTGTAGCCCGTCGCCCCCCGGTCTCTACACCATTCCAAGGTTATTATCATTCGGCTTGTTCGGTCGTGAATGGGATGCGTATGGTATTTTTTCCAGTCGGATCTCGACCAGGCACGCGAGGATGCAGTACCGTGAGCACCTAGTTACTGCATGGATCGAGGTTTCATGGCCGTGATGATCCTTGCACAATGCCTCACACTCTCGAGTGACTGCTACTATCCTACTATGCTGCTGCTCCTGTGTGTTGTACTGACCACTGTAATCGGTACCCACTGCCTAAACTTCCCCATTGCAAAAGTGTACGTACACCCGGGTGTTGCACTGGGTGTGTCGATCATACCTTTGGTTCACCCAGACGCCGAAGAAGATCCAGTACACGGGTGGCGCAATATCAGTGATAATAATGATAATCGTGTTGTTTGTCAATGCTTGCAGCCGTCGCTGCTGACGATCGGACTGCTGGTCGGGCGGGCGGGCAGGCACATGCAGACCGCCGACTCTCGACCAAAGAAAAGCGACATGGTCAGCGTACGAAGACTTGATCGATGGTGTTCTCTTCCGTCTGCCACTCCGCGTCCTTTCGTTTGCTTCGCGTCGTCCGCTTCGTCTCTGCCGCTGGCTCGTGACTGACTTTGTCGCGCCCTCGACCATGGATCTGTCCTCACGGGAAATATTGTGTCTGAGGGACTTCCACCTCTCGCATCTGCATCTGCGCACCGTCCCTGTGCCCCGTGCGGCCGGATCGGAGGATTCGTTGCTGCAACGTAAGGTGGGCTTGTCTCAGGCTCGCTGGTCAATCCCCTCGGTCCACAGACCCGACGTGTATATGGGCCAGAGTAATATGTGGCAACATCATTTCCGCGGTGGATACGACCATGATCGATGACCGCAAGTGCACCGCGACTTCCCGCACGCGTCACGGGTCCCAGTTGGCAGTGCTATCAACAATGATCCAGGTGCCGCGGGTGGTGCCTGGGTGTCTTCCCGAATGTCGGCGTGGAATGTGCTGCCTCGCGGGCCTTATTGGTGTTTCACTCTCCTCCACGTGATGGAAATGTTTCAATTGGAATGCGAATCTTCATACGACAGATCGCCATGTCTCGGCAGAATACTCCTAGTACTCCTACCTAGGCAGGTTCGTATGAATTCTACTCATGCCATTGAAATACCGATCCTCATGATATCATCGCATAACAGTGGTCGTGTACGTTTCCTCCCACCAAACACAAATACCGACTATCCACAATCTCTGCTGACAATCCCCATTTGTGCTGCAAGTGAGGAGTGTCGCGCGGTGCAGTCGGGTACCTACATTTCACGCTGTAATTACTAGACCGTCCTTTGAGAAGCCATTAGCTGCTAGCTGCATGCACCAAGGGGTTTGTCGGCTCCAGCCGTAGGCGAAAGGTGTTGTGATGTACTTGAGAACAGAACAGCCAGACCTGGGTACTGGAAACACTCAGCGGTGTCATGATGAGCCATCCTCAGCCCAATGGCGATGTCACCCGAGATCCGACGATCTTGGGGCCCAGCACATCTTCCGGGCTGCAAAGCTCATTTCTCGACGCAACATACGAGACTGCGGGCACGGCGGATGAGGAGCCGCCTATACAATGTCCACATGTGTGCTGTCTACAATCCTCGTGATAGAGCAGGTCACGTCTGCCTCTTCTGCCATTCAGACAACCACTGGACAAACAGAGCAGATAGCGGCGGGACGTGGCCAGGTTTACATTACAACCCGCTTGGAGGGCTTTAATCTCCCGCCCCTCACACGTCTTATCTAGCATCACACAGTGTCGGGACACGACCCGAGAGAAATACGAGCACGCCGCCCTCGAACCTGCTGATCATGGTGGTGAAGGATGATGCATAGAGCTGTCCACCCTAGCAAGTCAAGTTTGGTCGGAGTCGATGCAATTTACTTCATGGCATGATCAAGCCCAAACCATGCCTTTCCAGATGAGAGCCTGGTCACCTCCACCGATGCTTGCCATTCCACATCGAATGCGCGTCCCGTGTCGTCGCCCATCCCTACAGTGCGATACATGCTGTGAGGTGGATGTCGACGTGACAAAATGTACGTCTACAGACTTGCGGTGCACTCGCTCACAGCGCATCCTGAAACATGCAGCGCGCCGATGCTCAATGCGGCCCGATCTTCGAAGCAGAGTCCATATTCGATGTGCTCCAATGCTTCCCGTAATATTGCCGTGCCTCAGCAGAGCACTCATCGTTGTCGAACCGTGCCGTCTCCATCCCGTGATCAATATCGGCGAGAAAGCGTTTGCGACGCTCCGGCCCCGTGATCGAGGGAGTATTAGTTGCTCCAACCTCTCCCTGCTCTGATAAAAAAAACCCCCCGCATGCTGTCAGGGTGCCGAAAGCTGACGAGCAAGGATGGAAAATCCCCAGAAACTGTCGTGCAACTGTTACGGCACCACCACCCTGCCTGCACGTCAGTGCAAACCGCCATTTCGTGCCCGTTTGCATGATCGGAGCCAAGCGAGACGGTGTGACAGACCGTTCTTGAAGAGCCAAGGAATGATCTTCTCGCCTTGCAGCCTCATTGATGTGAGGATGGGTAGGTGCAGATACATGTTATTGGCAATTTTTTTGGCCAGCTTCAATCGATCACCCCTGCTGCCCACCAAACTCATCATTCAACACTCATCCCTCACCCCTCATCCAGTAACAACGACCCGAGCGTGATCGCTCCCATCATCATTGACGTGACCCGTGCCGGTAATGAAAGGATTTCGCGTAGCGACTCATGACTGCCGAATCGCGCACAGCACATTCCTACCTAGAAGAAATGCTCTGCGACCCGTCCCAGAGACCACCTGGCCTGGGCACTTGAAAATATTTCCGACACCATTTGTCGTGTGGGCGTGGCATTGTGGTGTAGAATCATCAGACCGTTGCTGTATGAAAACGTCCGACATCGTGCAGTGTGTGACGCTAGCAAATGTATCCGAGCTGCTAATGCTGCAGCTAGCGAACTGGCGGAATTTGGCAATGGCAAGCACACACACGCTACAGCACCGCAACTAGGCGAGACCTTTCCCTGTCTGTCTCTCTATCTCAAGTGAATTGACCTGATGCGACAAATTCCGACGACGACATCTTCGCGCACAGTCCCACAATCCAATGTCTCCCGAGGGCGATCAAATGATGAGTTAGAGGGTGGTGGTGGGTGCCATGGCTCCTTGTTACGCCTACCTCTCTTGATGTGTGTGGCAGTCGCCAGATTGCTGTGAATTTCTGATTAATGTGGTCTGATCGGATCGAGCTGCAACTTCAGGCGCGCGCGCCCGGGCGAAGAACAGCAAGACCTGGGCAGAGCCTGTCTGTAGGGTCGCTCGTTTGTGACATGTGTGAAGAGCCGTCGCGTGGCGTGTTCATCCGGTAAACAAACGTTGTACAGTTGACAGGACAGATCCAACGTCGAGTTCATCAGTCGTTATCATCGTCGTCTCCAGCCATTATCCGTCGGCCCATTCATTGATCATCGTTACTACGGTTTCGTGTCACAGGGTAGAAAGGCAAACCCGTTTTTTTCCTCCTTCGCTTCCCCTTGTCGGGTCCGTCCGAGACACCACGTACACAGCCGGTACTGGAGCAGAGGAAATCGGAAAGTTGGGCGCTGGAAATTTTGCCCCGTCACCGCTGCGACCTGGGGTTTGAAGGCCGTTTCAGGCAACGGTCTGATCTCTCTCGCAGGAAGGAAGCCCTGGAGGAAACCGATCGTTCGCGCCTTACAGACCCCCTCTGGTTGGTAGGCACGGTGGGATGGCACTTGCCCATTGAATGATCGACAGTGATCAAATGATGGCCCTGCGATGGAAATGATGCAAAAGCGACGGACTCGGTTCGAGCGACCAGGTTTGGGAATGTGTTGTGTGTACAGTATTGTTGAGTGCCCACCACGTCCTTCACGCGCTGATCTGCACACCCCCCCCCATTGATCACTCCTTTCATCCTGGACCGTCCCTGCTCACTGTCCCTGCTGCTACAGCTCTGTAGAACGGCAGTGAGAGCGTCGTCGCCACCGACTTTGTCCATAACAGGAGCGATCGGGTCCCTAACCAGTGATCGAGAGGAGGACACGGGAAGATGACCAGGTAACTCGATGGCTGAATCCTCGCGTCGATTGCGCGTACCAAGCACGAGCTCAGGGCTCCCTGCATCGTACGGTAACCAACCCGATCGTAACCTGCCCGCCCTCGTACATCACCTTGACAGGGTGGCCTGAGGGATACTGGGACTGCACCGATGTCCCTCTCTGCGGCTGGTCCGGACAGGTGGTGGACAGGTAACGCAAATGCTCACACATCGCCCGTTCTACCTGTACTGTACTGTACATACAGCTCTGGTTGGTCTCCAGGCCACCAGGACGGAAGGACGACCAGCTCATCACATTATCATCAGCGCTGTTCGAGTTATCCCAGCAACCCGCGAAACGGCAGGGTTGACGCGTAGGTCTCGCGTCGTAATTGTCTACATATATCAGCCCGGGACATGCCTATCATACTAAACCGTGGTCTGGGCTGCAGGCATATCTGAGCTCGCCACCGTGCAGTCTACGATCCTTCGACAGAAGGCTCAAACGCGGAAAAGCGTAGGTCATGATAACATGTATCTCTACGCGCTGCCTCTGCCTTGCATCGCATGCAGATGTAGGTAATAAAAGATCAAAAGGTACGTTCGTGTCACTCATGTGTACGTGAATTGCGGTGACAGCAGCACTTGCATTCCGTGGCCGAAAGCTGTTTCGGTTCGTCTTCGCCTCACCGCCACTCTCGTCCGCATTGCAATCTTCAAATCTTCGCTTCACAATGATATAGATCGCCATGACGCACGATGCTGGCGTCAATACGTGGAATTGGTTGTCGCCTTCTCGCTTCCGTTGACGCCGCATACTCGCGTGTTCGATCATGCAACACTGCGATCAGGACACTTGTGAGATCAACGTCCACGTCGGTCTTTCTGAAGTAAGTAACAATGTCAGAGAGACTGAGACAACAATCGAAGACGACAATTAAAGTATGATGCATTGTTCGTTCGAGATTGTCACGTTGTCTTCTGGTATGTTCGTCGACGGATAATCCGTAGCGTCGATTTCTAATCAAAACTGATCTTCTTTCCCTGAAAGGCCACAGGCACGCTTTTCTTTTCTTTCGCCCTCTTGGCGGCCTCCCAACTGGGATGCAATGGGCCAGTATCATCCCGCTTGGGCTTCTTTGTTTCACTTGAGCCCTTTGCGTGTGCAGTTCTATCCCCAGAACCCCGTTCATTAGGTCTCCTGACCGGTCCGCCACGGCCCATGGGCTGCCGACCGCCTCTGACATTCCTGTCCGTCGCTCCACGCTTCGGGTCCCATCGTGCATTGCCTGCGGGCTTTTGTAGATGCTTCGCTGTGACGCCGAATTTCTTCTCCCATATCTGTTGACGCGCACGCTGCCCTCGTCGATTCTTCCGTGGTGCGAGCGCAGCCGCGTCGTCGATGTCAGAGCCACTGCCGGAAATGTAGCCGCCGAGCGTGAGTGAGGGCATGAAGGCCGATTTGTTGGGAGCCGCGACCTTGCGTGGCACCGGTATGTCTGCCTCAGATTCATCGTCTGACAGCTCGAGGTCGGACTCGGCGTCGTATCTGCGCTCCTCTCGTGGTTTCTTTCTGCCAATGCCTTCTGCCTCGAGCCGTCGCTCTATCGCCTCGATATCAGACCCAAGTTCCTCATCCTCATCCTCGTCCTGGTCATCGTCCTCGTCCTCGTCCGAGAAGGCCAGTCGGCTGCGATACCGGCCAGAGCCATCCTCTTCATCGTCGGAAATGACACCGTCGTCGTCAGAGTCGCCGCTTTCACTGTCCGGTCTCTGAGCACCTAGCCCCAGAGCATTTCTCAGCTTCGCCGCCGCATCTGCGTCTACTTCGTCCTCTTGTCCTTCGGCCGAATTCTCCGCGTCTCCATTCTGATAGTCCTTTGCTCGTAATCGCTTCTTCTTGCCCGGTCGTAGATCATCGGTTCCTATCCCTAATTCACTCTTGACTTCTTTCATGGCGGTGGGGAGCGCATTCCTGACCGGTGTAGAACTGCATAGCCTTGCGGTGACATTTAAGACCGCAGGATCTGTGGACGGTGCAGCTGGTTTGCCAATGTCGGGCGGCAGGTCAGGATTTGTGATCACGGCTTTGATCTTGATCAAGTTCTTCGCAATGTACTGCTTCGCTGCGACGTTTGCGTCGATCGCCTGTATCCGAATGGTCAGACCTCATGCTCGTGGTGACGAATGAACCCGTCCACTTGCCTTCAATGCTGCGACCTCCTCGTCGATCCTGCGCATACCCCGATAGTCCTTCTGCGCCTCTGCATCTTTTCTCCGGCGACCTAACTTTTGTCGCTCGAAGCCTTTCGCAAGCTTGAACGCCTGCGCAAGCTGATGTGCGCCCTGGGAGAAAGCATATAATATACGGCGCTGTTTGCGAATGTCGGGGACGTGGCTTGTCGACTTTTCTAGATCTTCGGTGCTCCTTTTCCTTTTGGACATCCTGAAGTTCGAGTAGGTGGATGGTTTCCTCTGTGCTATCGCAATTAAATTCTACTGTAAGCACATGCGCAAGTTTGACCACAAATTTCAAGGTAGCCCTGCAGGAATGACGCTCGTGAGCCCAGGGTCCGTCGCAACCCTTATCGTTGGCGCAGGGCATCACGCCGAATACAAAATTTATCTGCGCCTTGTCAACAAGGTTATTGAGGCTCATAACATGATCTGGTGGAGAGTGCTAGATGCTGTATAATCTGACGGATGCGAACCAACTCGTCTCGACTTCTGTGACATTACGCTCGTTGGGACTTGACGCCAACGTACTGCAGCTTTTTGGTCATACCATCAAAACTTCCATTCAGACAGCTTCATATTACCGCTGCTGCACACGTCTCCACTGATCTCGTGGATGGACATCAGTGCGCAGGGTTGGAGGCGTTTTAGAAATTGATAAACTCGATTTCGCTTTTGTACTACATACATCTGACATGCTCAAGGACCAAATGTTATGATGTTACAACAGGGTTTGAATGAATACAGAGCCAGGCAAGCCAGATACAGCTCGATCCACCATGTGTCCGAACAAGCCCGCCGTTGCTGCGCTAAGTTCCATCATGGACACTCTGGCGTAACGCAAGCGCCCAGATCATCGCGAGCCGATGAGAATCGATGGGTACGACAAGGAAGGCTCTATGCGTTGTTCTGTACGATCTCGAGGATGATATCCCTCGCCTCATCGACTCCGCTCTTGGTGCCCAGAATCTCGATAGCCTCACCTCGTCCCTGGTCCCGTGGGACTTGGATTTTGGTGCCCGTCTGCTTGCGGATGCGGTTGATCTCGGCTCCGCCAGGACCAATGACATGCCGATAAGCACGAGGGTCGGGCAGGATGAGGAATCCGATGGTATCCTGGTTCGCAGCCTCCTCCAATGCGCGCTCGAGCTTCACGCGCGCAGCGGCTACGGCTTCAGGGGATGGACCGGAGAGGACCCAAGGGATCTGGCCCTCCTCAGTCGACGAATGGAGGTCGTGCGACTCCCATGAGTGACTACCCGCGCTAGCAGACGGGTCGTCCGTGATCAACGGCATGGCTGCTCCGTTGCCGCGACTCGGTGCAGGTGTAGATGGCTTCGGAGGCGGGCGCTGGCCATTGTGGTCGACCAAGACCTTGTGATCACTGCGCAGTCTGCGGAAGAACTGTCCGTTGTCGGCAATGCCGTGGTGGAAACGTCGTGGCACTTGAATCGTCTCGCCATCCTGTTCCTTGGTGACTTCCAGGATGTGGGCCTTGGCTCGCTCGACGTCTGCGGGTAAACCCTGAATTTTGACCTGTGAGCGTTGTGGGCCAGTCTCAGTCTGCCTCGGAATGTTGATCGACACATTGAACTGTTGCTCGAGGTTGCGACGCGTCTCGCCACCACGGCCAATCAATAAACGGTGCTTCTCTGGCTTGACCTCAACAACGTCTTCCTTTCTGGAATCTTGGTCGCGGACGATTGCTTCGATCTCGGCGATGATTTTATCAACGACTTCCTTTTGACCTTCGACCCGAATGGAATTTCCTTCGGTGTCAGTCTTGGGTAGGCGAACCATGCGGTTGTGGAGTCGCTGGTCTTCAGGTCCACCGGATCTGATCACGATGCTGCGAAGAGTGGAACCTTTAAAATGTCAGCACTGCATGAATATGCGCGTAGAATTTGAGCTTACCTGATGGCCCAATAATGTGCCTGTGATGCCGACGATCAACGTCTAATGTTCGCTGTATTGTGTTCTCGAAGATGGCTGCCTTTTGCTTGATCAGCTTCTCAGCGTTCTCGACATTCTTCTTCTGTCCCTTGATTTTGATATCGACGCGTCCATTCGCGCTGGCGGCGTCCCGTGAGCCAGGCACATCGATCTGCGCGCCGGTCTCTAGGCGGAGAGCATCCATTTCCTTGCCACCGGCACCAATAAGTGAGGGTAGCTGGCTCTGGTTGACAGACACAATGGCCACGTGTGAATTGTCCTTGATGTATTGGAAAAGACTGAGCAGCTCATCACGGCACTCGTTGGCTCCCTTGCTTGGGCCCTTGACGATGACCTCGTTGGGCTGTTGATCGTTCTTTCTGTGCGGAACGTCGTCGGCGACAGAGGCATCATCGGCGACCTGTCGGCTACGTGGGAAGTTGACACGGACGCCGTAACGATCTTGTAGGCGGTTTACTTGAGCTCCTTGTGGACCGATCAGCTCCCGGTGGAACTCTGCGGGAATGTTCAAATGGTGAGTAGACTCGTCTTCCAGCTTTCGGCCCATGTCCAAAATATACTTCTTGGCTGCATTGGCCTTGGCCTCAGGTCCTTTGATCTGGCATTTACCATCATTGAGCTGAATCTCGACATCGAATTCCTCACGCAGGCGGTTGATGTTCTCTCCCTTTCGACCAATAAGGTGGTTGGCATATTGTTGCGGGAAAGGAAAGTCGATAGTGAAGCCACGTTCAAGCTCATCTTGTTTCTCTTGTTCGATGAATGCCAAGAGACTTTGTAGCAATGCGTCGGCGGAGTCTTCCGGTCCGCGCACGCTTACACTCGGCGCCGTGGCCCGCTTCTGCGCCGGCTGACTGCTGCCACCGTAGAACACTTGGACAGGGATCTGTCCCTGAGGCTGCGATTGATGGTGGCGATCGACATGTCTCCTGATCTTGTCGTGGAACTTGACAGGTGCCTCGAGGTCACGTGTGACGATCGACTGCTGACCTTCGAACAGTCCAAGGATCTGTGCCTGAGCTGCCTGAAGAGCCTGCTGGAATGCTTTCGCGTCTTGGGGTGAAGGTTGACGCCTGGGGAATTCATAGTCCGGCGCAGCAGCGTTGTCCTCGTAGACAAGTATGACAGTCCCCTCTTCTGTATCATCAGGAACAACCACGTGAACACCATGCTGCTCTCTGATGCGTGTGGCAGCTTGACCCCGGAGGTGCTCATGGAAAAAGGGGTTGACGTCAACGGCATGGAATCGTGTCGGAGGATGGCCGCTAATCAAGTTCATCACGTCAGATCGAGCTTTCATAGCATTCTTTCCATCACGAGCATAAATCTGCCACGCGCCCGTGCTATCGGGCACGATTCGAGCATTGTGAAGTCGCTCGAGTTGCTCAATTCCCTTACGCTGCTGGAGGTATCGTGTGACATCACGAGCATGCGCCTGAGCACCTCGCGGAGCGGTTGCATGTTGACGCGCGATGTCCGCGCTCGCCATTGCCATGCTGGACGCCAGGTCCATGATCTTGTTCAGACCCTCTTCGATTCGCTCTGGCGGGCCGACGACCGTCAACAATTCCGAATCGTCATTGTCTGGTGGCAAGATCACGGAGCAACCTGTTTCAGCCAAGAACTCATTCAATGAGGTTCCCATTTCGCCAACAATGAACTGGTGACGACCACGCTCGATGGCCATCTGCTCCAGCGTTATCCGACGCTGAAGCTCCTGGACCTGCCGCTCGATCTCAGCCTTGAGCTCAGCGACAGCCTGACGCTCCCCGGATATCTGGATGGGTAGTCCTGATTGGGGCACGAATACTGCCGGCTGACGGTTAACGGGATTTTGAGGTGGTGCTTGATCTTTCCAAGTGTGGTATTGAGGAACGTTATACTTCAGGTCTCGACCCTGAAGTAGAGCGTCGAGTGCGGAATTGTTGGCCCCCGACAGGAATGGGTAGTACTCCGCAGGAATGTTCTTGAGACGAGTGTTCACAGTCGAGGTGTGCTCATTCACGATCTTTTCGATATCCTGCTTAGCCATCTGGACAGCAAAGGGATCGCCCTCAATGGATACGTCAATGGTGGCCTCAAGATCGTCATCCTCGAGGATGTCAGCGGCCTCTTGCTTGGAGATGTTGATACGAGCCCCAGTCTTCTTTGAGATAGCTTGGATCGTGGCTCCCTGTTTGCCGACAATCTTTCCGCGAACGCCAATTGGAATGGAAACTTTGATGTTTTGCTGCACGATGTTAGCTAGGTCTGGATCTGTGTGTGGGATCTAAATCCGCCCAAACCTACCTTGGCGCACAGTTGGTTCGCAACCTCCTTGAGGGCGATACGAACCGCATCAACTGGACCAGTCCCTTCGAAGATGATGACACCGCCAGGCCCAGACTTCATCTCAACATTCGCCTTCGAGCGTTTGTTGATTTCGCGCAAGATCTCGGCCACTGGCTTCTTGAGATCCTTTCGCGGAGTCATGACAGAGGGGTGCAGCTGAATTTGCTCGCTGTAACGACCGGGCAGAGACATCTGTGGCACGGGTCCTCGAGGAAGACCGGAGGAGGCTGCACCCGAGGAGTTCGTAGACGAAGCTGCTCCATTGGCTTGACCGTTAGAGAGGCCATTCGCAGCCTTGCCGACCGCGGATGGCTTCTTGGACCACATTGAAGGTGCAGCAGCGGCTTTGCTCTTCGGAGCTCCAAGCGCTGGGAACAGCTCTTCGGATTGAGTGTCGAACGCCGGCTTGCTGACATTGTCTCGGACGGGTTGCTTGCCCAATGCCTTGCCAGAGCTACCAACGTTGCCACCGGCATCACCTGTGAGCGACGGCAGGCCTGAAGGGGGTGGGTGAGCCAGAATATCCTCATCTACCACCTCTTCCACAGTTGGGTTGTGTGAGTGGTCTGAAGCATGCTGCTGCTGCAGACGCTCAGCGGCAGACATGGCATCTGCGCCGGAAGAGCTGCCACGGGTATCGGTAGCCATTTTATCAGGAATCCAGGTGGAAAAGTCACGTCGATGCTGCAGGAGACGTTTTGAGGTAGAAGTGGTGTGAAGGCGAGCTCATGCGGCGAAGTGTGGCCTATACAGTGTAAGCAAATGTCGTGAGCGAAGTACAAAGAGATGGACTCACGAGAACGATCGATCGCGGGATTATATTCGCAATAGCGGAGAGTGCAAGAGATATTGGAGCAACACACTGTATCACGACGAGCACAAACTAGAATCTGCGGAGCAATGCGTGGGAGAAGGATGATTGCTAGTACTGTCTCCAGGGTCAAGATACCCTTGACGACACCTCTCGAGAATGTTCCGAGACTCCCAGCCCTGGAGGCTCCGGCTGTGCTCCAAAACGGTCTAGTTGCACCGGTGACATAAGAATATACTTCAGGTGCAGTTCCAGGGTACTGTAGTAATAATTCCAAGGGCTGTACTTACTAAGTAAAGGTAGGTCTGCTACACACCACACACTATATATATACAGTACTTGCCTAGGTAGATACTATATGTATTACAAGATTGGTGCATCGCAGAGCCTTACGAATTGTCCAGGCTCTCTTTACTTGTGGAATAGCCGCTCAGGTACTGTGTGATATCTTTGCGTTGACATCACCCGTTTATGCCTGAGGTATCTCTCCAGCCAGCTGGCCTAAGGCCTCAACCTGATGGGCCTTAGCAGCTGGACAATACACTTATGTACCTACCTAGGTAGGTAGCTAGACAAACAGATACTCAGGGCATCAAATCCTCATTGCTGCATGCAAGGTTATCACAACTGTACAATGCAGCGCTACGTTTTCTTTTCGTGATCGGCGCATCCCACGGCTGGTGTACGCGCACCTGTTCGAGCCGTGTTCCGTGCAACTGCATCAATTCACCGCCCGGACATCTGTTGTGCTGAGCGCGCCGCCGCTTATTCGTTCCATCGCACTACCGATCGTGATGGCTGTTGGCACTAGTTCTGCGACTACCGCGACTACAACCGCATAGGCTGCAGTAAATTGGGGATCGCTGGCTGACTATGTGACTCCAGTCAAGCGCTCTCATCATAGCTCAAGATTACGCCGAAATACTCAGGCTCGGATGAGGCACAGTACATGCTATTCTTGAGCATTTGCACGCATTATGATGCTTGTTAAATCACGTTACGGGAGCCCGGTCTGAGAAATATGCACCGCCCTGAGATTGATGTTCCCATCTACTATTGTCTCTACTCTAGAATTCTCGCTCTCATCTTCTCGCAGTTCATTCTTCGTTCATTTCGAATAAGCGTGTTGAATACCAAGTCATGTCTGCCGCACTCGCAGTCCTCAAATCTTCCATCGGCGGAAATGCCGGTCTCAATGTCTCGAACGGGACTGATTCTCCGTTGTACCAATGCCAGTCGGGCGGTTCTCCTACGGTGAATTCTTCGCTGCCTTACTGTGGTGTGCCAGGAGGGTGAGCAGGCCTTTTGTCCCTCAGATGTTGAAATCGTCACTGAAATAGGACAACAGAGCTAAAAGGATGGGTGCTTGCTGCTCCACATTCAATAGCGGCAAGTCATCCTTGTATCTACAAGGTGATTGCTTCGTCTGGTGCAACGTCAACATCACCGGCGTTTCTGGAACGAATCCTTTGGGCACCATATAGGACGATTTCTCGTCTTGTCTTGCGGAGGGAGCAGGACAAGATGCCTTTTCACCGCTGGCCTGTGGTAAGGGTGTAGGCTCTGGCACGTCAAGCCCATCAAGCACTACTCAGACCACTACAAGTATCTCGAAGCCCACGAACCCTGCGACGCCGACAACGACTGCACCCTCGCAGGCTGGGCCGGGCCTCACCGGACAGAGCAGCAACACGGTCGTCGGACTGCTCGCTTTTCTCTTCGTCTCCGCGGGAATGCTGTAGAGTATGGAGGACCAGGAACGTGGCTTAAGCAGCCCGAAATCGCGTCGTCATTGTCACGAGGTTTTGTCCAGTCGCTATCCTAGGGATCTTCACCTATAGCTTTAGACAATACGAATTGAGTGTTTGTCCAATGATTGCTCATTGACTATCTGTGGAGAATTGACCGTCCGGCCCGAATCGTCATTGTACATCTGCGCCAATCTTCCTAGCTGAAGACTCTTCGTGTCTCGTTGCAACCGTCATCAACGATTCGCGATGATGACGTTCGGCGGGCGCTTCCCACATAGTAACAAAGTCTGGGAAGCATCTGCTCAGTCTGCGGCCGATGCAGCCAATAAAAGTGGGTCGTAGAACGAACGCGAGCTAGACGAGGGCTCTGAAGCTTGATCACGGTGCCTGATCGCTTCGCATGGACTCCTCTTGAAGCGGCTCGTTTGACGGCGGCTAGCGTCTGTACATCCCTCGTAATCCCATTCCGACATGTAGTGCTTCGGTGATGATGCCGTCCGAGAGCCAGCGACGTAACCTAGAGTATTGACCTTGGTGGCACAGAGGAGTGCAGCGATTCACGCGGGCTGCTCTACCATCTTTGGGACTCCCATTTGGATATCCGTGTAGATCGTCAGAGTGCAAAAATAGGCGCAAACCGTGCCGCGTTGGTTTGCATCATCAACATGACAGTCACTTTCAAGCGTCACACGCTCATCAGTCTTACGATGCTTTGTATCGAACGCAAGAATTCACACCACTCGTGTCGCGTTGGGTGAGACAATTCGTATGATGGTCGCCCCCCATTCAAGCAGCTGTACGCAGCATCATACGATCGCGATGCTTTTTGTCGGACATGGCGGCCGAGCGAAGGAAGTCGAACAACCGATACCTGTGTCGATCTCTTCGACCGCCCAGGCTGTGGAGGAACCTTCCTCGAAAGACGCTACTAGAGCGATGCGACGAACAGGGTCTGCAACACCTTTCCCGAGTACAGTGCATGTGAATATTTTGGCCGACGGGGCTGTCATCTCCGAGCCATTTTTTAGTAAGTGGTATTGGATTGAATACTTCTTCTTGCAAGTGCTGACGCTCGACCAAACGTCACCATTTGGGCATCGGACGCATGCGGCGGGGCAACAGTTGCCAGCATGCAACAAGAGTGTCTCGATGTCACATATCTGGATGTGAACGACTACCCTCGATATGAGGCCAAACCGTATGAGCTGTATTTTCTGCAGGAGTTTAGCCCAGGCAGTGCGAAAATCTGAGGGCCTGCACAGTTGCAACCCTGTTACACAAGATCCTGCGAAACATACCGCAATGGTAGACCAACCGAAGATGGGCAGCTATGTGACATGATTCGGCTCGACAATTTTGTGCCTCCAACGCATGTAGTGTAAGTAGTTGCTGCGGACTCCGGAACCTGACCTCTACGGCTGGTCACCTTTGTATGCATGGCGACCAAGAGCGCTTAGCTTCGGTGCAAGGCATCCTGGTGAAGCGCGGATCAAACACTTCAATGATGAGGCAGAAGTGTCACATCTAGAAAAGGGGAAGAGTTTCCGTCCGAAGACACAATGCGACCATGTCTGTAGTGCTGCCACACGCTGTGGATTCGGCGTCTCATATGGCCATCATAAAGCTTTTCTTGGTTGCGTTCCTTGTCGAGATCTAACGTTGATACGGACGAGTCCATCTCAATGTAAGAGACTTCTACGTCGAGGTATGGCAAAGGTGGCCCAGCGTTGTGAACTTCTGCATAGGCGCGCCTGGACGCCTAATTCAGAGAGGGAGATGTTCCGCCTCGCACTGCAAAGAAATGATCTCCATAGCAGAATCGGACAGACGAAAATGATATTTCGAGGCGCCCCGAACCCTAGCGAAGACAGTTTGCACGGGCGTGTACCTTACGATCACGATCAAGTCCATTCATTCATTAGGCGACGGCGATGTCGTTCCAACATACAGAACTTGTGCTATAACGCCGCGAATGTACTGTATCCTCGTAGATCAGGAGTCAGATTATGATTGCTTTCTGGTTAGATGTAGTGTGACGCTGGGGTTGGAATCGTCTAGTTTGGAGCCGATGTCATCGACACCAAGAAAGCCCCTGGATGGTTGTTGGAACAAGAAGATCATCATCATCATGGCCTTTGCCTTTGCCATACAATATGCCAACGTCTGGCTAGATGTCCAAGATTACAAATTAGTCCATCGCTTGGTGAGATCATTTTACTTGTGTGGCGGTGCTCGAAGTCGTCATTCCCCCCCTCTACATGCCGTTTCCTGGCCAGATGGACTCAATTACGCAGAAGCCACTGGACTTTTTCGAATTTCGGGGCGTCTGTGAACCACGAACGCCGTTGTATTAGATGACGTCAGGGGTCAGAATTTCCAGCCCCTCCAGCTCGAATACGATGAAACGATAATTTGTGGGCAACAACGTAGTAGAGGTAGCTATAATCTCTGATGGCCTTTGAATTCGGAGGGATTCATCCGCAAAAGAGTGTCTGATGATGGCTGTAAGGGTGAGGAGCGCAGATTCGCACTCTCCCACCGGACAAAGTGTGATCTTCTCGACGATGGACGCTCAAATGTAGGGAATTTGGAGGGCAACGATACCTAGGTAGGTGTAGAAACTCATGTGGAAGGGGATGGCGACATTCTGTCATCGCGTCGATAGTTTGCCGCCGTCCGGATCCTATTGACAATCCTCGTCGGGCTAACAAGAACAAGTCGTGTGGACTATGGTGAAGAGCTATGGTAACACCAATGGACTGTTCATCACTACTGCCGGAAAGTGCCAGAGCGCGTTGGGCACGAAAGGAAGCGAATTATTTGGAAGCTTAATTTCTTGAAACCTTGGAACTTGCTCCTTTCCAGATGACGTCGCATTCATTGTCGTCAGCCACTAGAGTAGATTCCGTAGTGGGGCCCTGGCTGGTTGATCATTGTCGACCGATGTTATAAATGAGATCTACACCGCTCCTAAAGGGCATTTCTTTCCCAAGTCAGATCACACTGTACAACACACACAACTACTTCTAATACCACATACACATCCAACATCATGGCCACCACAGCACAACACGAGGCAACTCTGCCTACTCGCACTGCCACCGCTGGTACTGACTACGACGATGCCATCCCGGACGAGGATGCCAGCGAGGTGACCAAGCTCTTCCACGAGCGTCTGCAGGCGTGGAAGCATGCTTGCGGGTACCTCGAGGACTACGTTACTGCCACTGAAAAGCTCGCTGCCTCCAACGGCAAGGAGTACGAAAAGGTCCTCAAGACCGTTAGCACACCTTTGAAGGAAGGTCACCACTTTGAGACTACCGTCGGAGGTGTTGCTGGTCTTTTCGAAAACATCCGCACCAACACCCAAGGCTTGGCCAACAGCAACGCCGAGACTGCGAAGACCTTGAAGGGCACCATCTTGCCCATCTTTGAGCGCCTCCACGCCGAGATCAAGCACAAGACGAAAGAGTTGACCAAGGGCGCCGGCAAGGGCTCAAAGGCGGTTGACAAAGCTCGTACCGTGTCCCAGAAGCATATCGAGTTGCTGGGCCAGCAGACAGCTTCCTTCGACTCCAATGGATCCGTCAAGGCCCACGAGGACCCCTACCTTCTTCAGCGTCAAGTTCACCACCGTCTCCACAAGCAAGTAATTGAGGAGAACAACATCCGCGAGGACATGCTTGCCGTTCAGAGCAACTTCTCCCAATTCGAGGCTCACGTGCTTCAGACCCTTCAGAGCGGCATCGCCCAATTCAACCAGGTTGTGTCTGGCCAAGCTGAACACACCCGTACTCTCTACGGAGACATTACTGCACACGTGCAACGCATCCCCGCTGACCACGAGTGGAACGCCTTCGTTACCCGCAACGCTGGTATCCTCATCGACCCCACCGCGCCGAAGCGTGCTGTTGGCAACATTGCCTTCGCCAACCAGGACCACCGCGCTTCGCGTCCCTTGATTGCTGGATCCCTCGAGCGAAAGCAGGGTCTGCTCAAGAAGTACGACGCGAGCTACTACGTCGTCACCCCGTCCAAGTACCTGCACGAGTTCAAGACCGACGATGACTTCGCCAAAGACCCCTCCCCCGAGAACAGCTTGTACCTGCCCGACTGCTTGATCGGAGCCGTCGACGGCGCGAAGTTCAACGTTCGTGGCAAGGACAGCAGCAAGGGTGCCCTTGCTAAGCTCGCCATGACCAAGGAGTTTGAGTTCAAGGCCCACACCCCTGAGGACGCGAAGAAGTGGCACGCCGTCATCGCCAGCATTACTGGTGCTGTTACCAACGACTTGCCAGAATCCGCCCCTGTCAGTCCTGCTACGGCGCAGGCCACAGACATTGCGACCCCAACCAGCGCCACCAGCACAACTGCAACCACTGGTGTGATCCCCGGTGCCGCGCCCGTCACGACAGCTCAGCCAGTGACTACTACCGCTGCCGCCACCGAGACTGCTCCTGCGGTCCACCACGCTTGAAGTCATTAGTCGACCCGTCACGGGATAAGACTGAGGATGTGCACAGAACATGCTTTACGAATCTCTTTGTCAGATTGCAGATACCCCATCACGTCTGTATGGTTTTCTACTGTTCAAAGCTGGGACAATACTGCTGCGTTCGGTATTACGATTGCGTAACTTTATATAATCAAAATAATGAATCCCTACTAAATTTATCTCCATGCTGTACCGACGAGTGTTAAAAGTGATCTTTACTAGTAACTTGTAAGGTCGTGTTTTCCAGCACACTACATGCCAGTTTCCGCGACAGGTATTGGATGGCCGTCCTCCCACGGAAGCTTCCGCACGGGTTTTGGGGTCTGCATTCATAGCATTTCAAGGTTCTCAAACAATTCTCAGCAACGACAAAGACAACAGCGATCATCGCGATTCTCCGTTCGCCGCACCTTTCACCGCACGCGAATGTCGAATAGTGCGCGAAATCCGAGTGGCTGATCATATCAAAGCCAGAATCAGTTTACGTTCTGCTGCAAACACGAGAATGGTCAACTTTGCGGTCGGCGCATGACGTCGTTTGGAGTACTCCAAGTCCAGAAGCCATCCTCTAATCATAAACCGCGCCGAAGGTCATCATGGCAGACGACGAGACAGCCTTATCCTCGCCAGGCTCGACAGGAGCCGCGAATGGCACGAAAGCATCAAAAGATCGCGCTTGTCCCTTCTGCGGGCAGGCGTTCACCTCCTCTTCTCTCGGGCGACATCTTGATCTTTACATCAAGCCGAAAAACCCGAAGCCGGCAGATGGCGTACACGACGTGGATGAGATCAGGAAGATTCGTGGGGGTATAACGCGGCGACAACCCAGGACTAGCACGAAAGGCGCAAATGCAGGAGCAGGACCCGGCAGCAACGATGGCCCAAATGCCGCGAATCACGATAACTCTAGACGCTCTGAGAGCGTGGCAACGTCTCAGATTGCATCGAATAGCAAGCCTTATCGGATGAGTGATTACACTTCCGAGAACAGCCCAACGGCAAGACCTACGCCTGGGAAAGAGACAGATCTGCCACGGACGGTATTCAACAGCGCGAATTGGCTCACAACAGGTGTCATCAATGATCTACCGCCACGCTCCACTACGCAGACTCACGCGGATATACACATTTCGGGCCAAGCCCAGCGCATGCAAGAGATGCGTCGCCATGTTGATGGCAGCAAACTTCCCAGGCCTGAATATGAAAGTGAAAGCATGTCAAAGCTCCAAGAAGCTGCGGAACTGGGGCGTGCAGCGGAGATGGCACTCCGCGAAGTACTCGGTAGCCTCGAAGCGGCGCAGAAACGAACGAAGCCAACCACTTTGTTCGAAGATTTTGACTTCTTCTCCCTTTCCTTTCCCGGTCTATGCCTGGCTGTGCTACCAGCGCCCCGCACGCTCTTTTGCGTTACGCCATTCCCATCCGCAGATTCATGGTCGATAGGTCCGCCAGGCTTGCGACAATTTGAAGCATTGAGCAAGTGCCTGCGGGTAAAGGCAGGGGCTTCACCCAGAACGGATCTTGTCACCGATGATATGGTCGTGAAGCACCAAAGTCATCTCGCGGCGACTTGGGAGCATTGGCAGACGATGTCTGAATCCGAGCAAACATCTACCTGGAACTTGGAGATACTTCGCTCGCTTCATCATGCACAGGAGCGATCGCACAACTTATCGACGGCATTGGAGACGGCACAACAGCGGGCCCTCCATCTTGAAGCAGAGTACGATCGACTGTCTCGATGCCAGCTCCCGCGCGACTACCTCAACCATCCGCCCAACACTGTTCCAATCCCCAATGCAGTCATGCGTTCTGTGAACGCCATGTCTACCAAAACCACTGCCGCAAAAATGGACTATGACGCCGAGGCTCTAATCGCAAAATGGCGAGCTAGCATTAAAATCAACACGCGACCGTATCGAGCGTCAGCAGGGCTGCAGCAGGCACAAACAGTGTCAACGCCACGCGCGATGCAACAACCGCCCGTGACGCATGACATGGTCATGAATGGCTCCGTCTTTGGACTCAATGGGCCCATGCATCGGGAGGAAGCGCTGACCCATCAGAACCTGGAAGGGGCGGGTGTGTCGTACGAGACTCCCCCGGAGCCAGGTGTTGTGATTGGCGTGGAAGACGCCGACGCCACTGGCGACACGGAAGACGACAACGGCGATCCCTATGCTGCTGACACCCATAACACCAACATTGCTATCGTCAACGAAACCAATGGCGATGCCAAGTCTCACAGAGGTGTAGATCGCAGCGCCCGAGCGCAACGGACAGCGCCGTCGAGGAGAATCGTTGATGCCAGTGGAAACGCAGCAGACCCGGCGTCAACATCGAGCGCTACGTCAGTCAACGTCAATGGCAAAAGATCGCTCAATTCCACGACCACAACTGGCAGAGGAAACAAGGCTCAAAAGGCGAGCAATGCGGACGCGACCGGATGAGACACCCCGACCGTTGGCTCTAGGAAGTCGACGCAATTAGCGATTTTGAGAATATGAAGCCTAGCCATGCACACGAGTCCAGTGGACATGATCACGCATTGCCGGCGAGGACGACGTTACTGAACCCCAGCGACGTCGGGCGCTGTGTAAGCACGCCTTGGAATCTCATGTCGCAAGCTTCACAGACACTCGATGCATGCGCTCGCCCTCGGCAGATCCTGCGAGTGCGCACGGAGCCACGCTGTTGTGACCAGTCTCTACTGGACGCTCGTGGCGCTAAACCATGCGCTTCGAGCAAGAAGTGAAATGTCTGCATTGCGCTTCATTCATCATCTACACGCGGATACTCCGAAGTCGCTTCAGCGCCTCGGAGATCAAATGGGATGGATGTTGGTACATCCGGAGGGTACGAGCTCGTCCCATTGCGTTGGCATTTGCTACACATTTGCTCAGATTCCGACATCCGCAAACCTCGTTTGGAGGCAGGATGACGACTCCAGCTCGCCATGCGACGTGCGTCGGGGATTTGATGTACATTCGCGGGGAGCGTGACGTCGATAGATTCCTATATTTTATCGTATTTATAGAAGCTCGTTTTCAATAGTTGATACATGCATTGTGTGATCGTCACCGAGTAACTTCGCCCTCTACCTCTCGATCGTATCGTTGTCGAACGACGCGGTTCGTCCTACAGGCAGCTTGAACTTGTCCAAGTTCGGGTATCGCTACGATCTGCAAGCCTAGCGAACGCCGGCACGTGACTATTTGAGAAACGCTTCGAGACATGGACATCGTATTCACGCAGAACTCGTTCCCCCGATTCAGATTGGCGAAGAGGTCACACAGACAGAAAGCCGGCCGGCTGTTCCTTGTCTGTTCGCGATGTGACGCACCGAAAGGGCGTCTCTTCGGTCGAGAGCGCGATTTACCGAACATAGAGAACAGAAGGGGCACTGATAAGAGACGGACGTCTATCTCTGCATCGTCGCCGGCGACAAAGAGGTCCTTATCTCGATTATGGGAGCTATAATAACAGGCGCAGCGCGAATCCATTCCTGCTATCAATGGGGCAAAGCTCTTTGAGGATTCCATAGTTCAACCGGGGCTCGTTGTTCTCGGGTGACGAGTTTCTTGGCTGACCCAGTCGTGGCTATTCTACCGACCCTCAAAAAGTGAATCTGTGCATTTGCGTGAGGGTCGCCTAGACTAGACTCGTGATCGATCGGCTGTCTCGTGGACCCTTCCCAAGGATCGTCACTAGCCGCCGCCTGGTGCTGATGAGACAGAGTGCCTGCTGGGTGGATGTGCGATATGGAGCGCAGGACTGTCGTGTTCTTCAACTCGACATGTGCCTACCGCGCTGTACCTACCTCTATCCTTTCATCTGCAGGTGGATTGTTGTGATGGGGAGCTGTCGACTGCATTCCCAGGAGAAGCACCGGCGTCGCGACAATGTATGTGTGTGTGTTTGATGGCGGCGTCATTTGACGGATGATGCAATGCTGGGAGTCATCTGCTGCTGGCGGCACTCCCTCCCTCCCTCTCGAGCGCCCCTCCCCAGTTTCCGCTTGAGCCCTGCCATGCAACTGGACCGCCCTTTCACCGGGCCGCTCCCCTTCCATTCCAGCGGTCAGCTGCGTGTCACGCGCCGGTTGTGGGGGATTTCCTCATGTGTTGCGGGCGGCGGTGGCCTTGGGAGGATGAGTGTGAAGGTGATGGACAGGGAGGCCGCACGTAGCAGGAGCATCATCCGGCCATCAAATGCATGTTGCCGTCTAAATACGCACAGACAGATTGAGTTCTGGGAGCAGCACGGGAGTCACGAGGAAAGGGCGCGCGAACGAACCCAGACGGCCACTTTTGGAGCATGATCAGCGACAATCAGCAGCCGGCTTTCCAGTCATTTTCAGGCCCGTCATTGCGCACTGTTCCAAGGTTATTGTATCCTGTCGTTCCCGCAAGGACATGCCATGCCACGCCGCGCGTGTGACAGAGTCGCCTGTCGTCCCGGCATGATGCCGAGTCGATTCACCACGCCAGAGTATCGACTGTTCTCTTATCATATGGGGGTTTTCTACCTTTACCATTGTCCGTAAGGCCTGCCTGATGATGATCCCGGAGCCTCCAGGCTGGGAACAATGTAGAGCCGGTGGCTCATGTCATCCATAGTGAGAGCCATAAAAGGCGACAGCATAGTTGCAGGCAGAACGTGCACACGGACTCTCTGGACACCGGATAGGACAATGCAGAGGTACTGGACCGGACTGGATACATGGATCATGATCCTACCCGCAGACATCGTCTATACCTCCCCAGCTAGCTTCTGAGGTGAGTGAGGGTAATGATGACTAGTACTACAGTATTGGCATCACCGCAAGCATCCATGGATCCCGGTGAACTCATCGGCGCACCTTTGTGAGTGCGACAGCCCACATGCAGTACCCCAGTCACCGTATACCTAGTAACCATGCCCTTTCCAAAACAGTCCAGCCTGTCAGGTATGATGGAGGACTCGACCTGCTGCATACCTAGGAAGCTTCGCTGGCGCCTCATCATGGTTCTGGGACCCAGCAGCTTCACCTTCCCTTCCCTTCCCAATTCACATTGATGATCTATCGCTCACACGGACGTAGCTCTGCCGACGACCTACCTGTGCATGTACGGCGATGAATAGGGAGATCATACACGAATGACCGACCGTAGCACCTTTGTCGTGGGTCCGTTTCGCTCTCACGGGCATCCAGTAGTCATGACAATAAGCTCGGCCAGTCTACCGATGAGAGTACTGTAGGACCCTTATCTCCGTCCATTTGGCACTAGTTTGGAGCAGCTCCACCATCATCGCCGCCCGTCACGCCAGGCAGTCGTGTGCCTCCCTCCACTTCTTATTATTATGTATTATTATACACCACCCGACTGCGATTACTATACTACCACACGACACTTGCGGCCTGTCTGTCTGGCTGGCTGTCTGCCTACAGTGTCGCTCTAGCACTTCCTGGTCCAGTCCAGCATCTGGACCCATTTATTACATACAGTACTGCGGTCCTGCTCCTTCCGCTGCTGCTTCGACTCATCATTATCTCCATTCTTGTCGTTCCTGCAATCTACCTAGGTATATCACCGTCTTCCGTCATTGCTGCTGCGGGTGCCTCAGTACCTCTTTCGTCCATCCAGGTAGTCATCATGTCGTCTTCCTTCTGAGCTAGGACGACCTCTACGATCGCTCTCTCACTCTCTCTCTCTCTCTCACACACACACACTTCCATCGTTCAACCCCATCCTCGTTCTGTCTCTGCTTCGTTTGACCTCGCCACGACCGATCTCTGGTGCTCACGACATCCTACGGACCTCTCCTAAGCATTCACTTGTCACCATCATGGAGCGATTATTTTGCGATTCCCTACCCATCTACACGCCGTTCTAGTCACCGCCAGAATACAGACGCCCATCTACTATCCCAATCCATACACTAAATCCGTCCATACACCAATCCTCACAACATTCCGCCATGCATCAACTACCGCGACCTCTCAATCGAGGCACCGGAGCTGCCGCGAACCCCGAACGCAACAGCTCAAGAGATCGACCACCAATGCGATCACGGTCGAGTCAAGATCTTGTCTCATATAACGAAAGAGTACCGCAGGATTCTGGCGTCGATGCTCTGCGGCAGGGTCCGGGATCGACAGCCTTGGACAAAGAAACGCAGAAGCTACATCAGATCGTACAGGTTGGTTCACCCACAGGCGCTTTACTCCGCAAGCGCTGATGTTTCTTCTTAGAATTTCTACACGAAGGCTGCCTTGACCATATGCTCTGCTCGAGCCAGCTTACCGCGGGTCGAGAACCATGACGGGGAACCAAAGATGAACCGATGGGTGAGTTCAACATCAAATTTCTATTCTGCTCATCGTCTGCTTGCAGTGTCTTCGAGTTGTGAAATTAAAAGTTTCGCGGAGTAGCATACACGCGGAATGGGCAAACGCTCGAACGTGAATATGCGGTCGAGGAGGTGGACAGGGGAGTTGCGACAGCGTCATAGGTACAAGCTCCGGTGTGCGCGAGGCTCCATCTGTTAGAAGATATGCATTCTACTCTCACATAATTGGCGTGTCTATGATTTTTCCCATACCGTCTTGGAATTTGCCATTTGAATGATACTCATTTAATGCTCTTTGCGTGTCGACACTTCCCCGATCTTCTCCTCACATTACACGCAGGCTGACAATCGCTGTAGTTCAATCTAGTTCTCGAGGATACAAATGTGCTAGTGGAAGACCTCCGTCCGTGGAAACGAGCCAATCTATTCGAACGCCGACCGCAACCCCTCGTCACAGAAGTCTACATCGATACCTCACATTTATCTTACAATCAAGCACTGGTGATCGTGGACGAAGCCGATAAGCGATGGGATGTTGGTGGCGCATTAGGCTCTTCCTCGGAATTCGAGCAGCAGCAACACAACTCCTCCAAGAGCAGTTCCAGGGCCCAGGAAATCGTGCTTGAACGGTGGACTATCGAATTGGGAAACAAGAACGACTATCAGCCATCTGAGCTCGACGATGCTCTACCAAATGTCTACAAAAAAGGTGTCGTCGTCTTCCGATCCCTGTTCACGGTTGCACGCTATCTACCCGCCTGGAAACTGCACAAGAGACTCGCTCGAAATCCCGGCAGCGCACAGGCGTTGAAACTCAAATATCGCATCCGTCAAGGCACTGGTCATGTTCGAGACGATCGAGACACCCTATACACTCCACTCTGTCCGTCGGAGGAAGCCTCTGGCTCAGCCGTTGGCACGCATAGTACTGCACCTCTTCTATGTTCAGCTGGACCACTCTCGATATCGGTCGATTATCGGACCAACTGCGATTTCGAGGTCGATGATGCTGAGGCACTTCTGAGCTCACGATTTCGAGGATTGGACAATCGTGCACCTGCTGTGCAAAGCGGCCGCTCCTTGCCGAGCGCCGCCCAGAACGATCAAGCCCGAACATACTCCGGCAACTCAACTAATACAGTGCTGCCGCAACGGCTACCAGCGGGCGCTTATGGAAGTCTTGGCACCTTTCATGGGATTGACAAACGTGGTTCCCCGGTTGCAGAGCTTAGGCAGCGAATGCTTGACGAGGAAACCAGCTATGAGGAAGCCGATCGTCCACGGCAGGATCGCGATGCCATCCTCATCCGCCGCCCATCGGTAAGTCTGGTGTCAAACCCGCCCTTCAAGGCTGGCTCTCTGGCGTCGTCTCCACGCTCGACAGCAGGCTTCAGTACTTCGGCCGGCAGATCCGAGTCATATTTCTCACGTGTTGCCGGAACGTCTGCGAGCAAGCGTCTCTCCCTGAACACCCTGCCGCAGCAAGCGCTCCGCGCACCCTCCCTTCCGAACGAGACCGCCATTGCATCATCCGGCTCTGCTAGTCCCAAGCCGGCGCCAGTGCATCGCTACAGCAGTAGTTTCGCGGGTCGCAGCAAGCGCTTCACTTCGCAGAGCAGCAAAATCGGCGAGAGCGCCACAAGCTCTGGCCGCGGTAGTGACTCGTCCAAGGAGAAATCAGGACAGCTCAACGACCCCAGTGCCGTGCCCGGTAGCTCTGGCAGTGGCAAAGAAGGTGGAGGCGGCGGCGGCGCCGGTGACGACGACGATATCGCTTCATTCATCTCCCAGATTGAAAGCGTCAAGGATCTGCCCAGCTTCCGATCGCGCCCGGTCGCTCGCGATAACACCGTGAACTTGGCCAAGTACAGCAGTCGACGTGATCCGGGGTTGCAGCTCGCGGAAGAGATGAGTTCGTCTTCTTTGATTCAGACTTCGAGCACGCCGCCAAGCCGCCGACTCTCGAACGTGCCAGGGCTGTCGACCTCGTCCTCACCGTCCCGCGTCGTCGCACACATGCCTTACGTTCGCTCGCGACTATCTACTCACAGTATAGTCGAAGAGCGTTCTCCTTTGAGCAGCGGCGCAGGAATCGGTGCGAGTGGAGTGGCGGGCAGCGGCGGCGTTCCGGAAAGTCCTCGCCTGCCCGATGTGGACGAGCCCGACGAAGACGACGAAGAGCCCTTTATTTTCGCGCAGGACAGTGTGTGATGACGCGACTTGAACGACGATTTTTCTAATCTTACTTCAAGAGCTGCTTGGTCCAGGGCATCGAAACCGGTACAGGAAATCGCCAGCGAAGCATATGGTTTGTTCACGCGACCATGAGCACTGCAGACGAGGCGGAGAGCCTGCTGTGCGGCTCGACACAGATCGCCCCTGCCATGGTCTTTTTTTGGATCTGTTCGCGATTTTGTCCCACCAAAAGCGAGGAACAACGCATCCGCATTACAGCATCGAGAGGGACGTGCAAGGCGCATCAGCGCAGTGGACAGCGACATGTTTCTGGCAACTCATGTACAGCTCAAGCGGGATCGACGTGGCCTGCACATGTCCCAGGGGCTGCCGTCCATCAGGACTCCTGCATTTCCTTCGGGCCAAGAGCTCGTCTCAGAGCACACCTTTGCCCCCTCCCCACAGAAGCTCAACTTGTTACATGTCAGCATGCGACCTGTAACTTCACTAGCTGCCCAGGACCAGCAGCAATTAGTTGCTCATGGCTCGCTGGGGAATTTGATGAGACGACGGCTGCGAGTATGCGTTTGGGCATGGCGTACGAGTGGACGAAGGCGTTCTTAGCGATCTGGATAGGCAATTTCTCCCAAAGGGGGGGGGCTTTGGACTTGGAAAACATTCAGGGATCCTGCGCCGGCCATGTATCCGCCGGTCCCGTGATTCGGACACGACATGACGCTCCGGTCGGAGTATCTACCTCTCCGTCCACAAACAAGGGAGACGGCCTGGACGGGGACGATGAACCCAGACAGCGTCGGAGATGCGTTTGGCGGAGATCGCCTTCGCAGCCGAACCGTCGTCCGGCGATCGTCTCGTGCTCTGCACGTCAGACCGAAGGAAGGAAGAGAGTGGCCCAGACCTGCGGGAGACCACGAGACAAAACCTCGAGAATATTAAAGAGAAAAATAATTTAACCACATTTATGTACCCTCCTCCCCCCAGTTTGCCTGAGCCGTCCGAAAGAGTGCAAATTCACGTGTAGGAAGACGAACCAGATTTCAGCCATATGGGGGGAGAATAGCATCGATCTGTAGGGCAAACCCCCCGACACTGCTCGTGAGAGCTTCCGTGTCAGCCCCTCCGACTCGCGCATGAGCCGTGCGGGAGGCCGTCCCACCCATGCCGGCTCCCTTTCACCAGAGAGAAGCCATGATAGAGAAAGGCGATGGGCGCCGACGATCTCTCGTCCAATCGCAAGCGATCCATCGCCTCTCCCTTATCCACAACCTCCTCGAGGCAGGACGACGGCCTCCCCCGTCACCGCCGCCACCCTTCTCGCCCTCCAACGACGTCTGCTACCCAAACCCTCTCCATCTCGTGTCCCGCGAGACCCGTGTGTCCCACGCGCCGTGAGGCCTCTATTGCGAGATTTCCCCAAAAAGAAACCCCCCCCCCGTTTATGCCTTGGTGGAGTCCTGGTTCAACGACTGGTAGGCCATGTAGGCGCCGACGGCGACCATGCCGACGAAGAGGATGGTGCCGAAGCCGAGGCCGCCGCTGGCGGCGGGCTTGAGGGAGCTGGACGAGGTGGCGACGGCGGCTTTGGGCTTGGGGTCGGAGTCCTGCAGGGGCGAGCAAGTCAGTCGGTGAGCTCTCCGGGGCCGTCCTCGATCGTCGTCCGCCTGTCCGCCGTGGCTGTGATGGCCCGCGCGCGCGGAGATACTCCTCAACGGATTGCGGCGCGCCGCAGAGGAGGGTGTTCGGGAAGGGGCTTAGGCCGACTTACCAATCGCTTCAGGTCGCCGACGAGCAGACGCTCGAGGATCTCGCGCGCCTCGTCGCTGTGGCCGACGTCCTCGAAGGCCTCGGTGGCGTCCTGGCCACCGACGTCGAGGAGGACCTCCTCACCACCACTATCGAATCCCGGGGATGATTAGTCTTTTTTTTCTGGCGCTTTTCGTGATTTGGAGGATCGGGCCATGATCGCCGAGCGCAGTGCGGAGTCGTTCTGCTTTGTTTTTTCTTTCTTTTTTTTGGCTCGGCTGGGTTATTGGAGGGAGAGGTTCGTAGGGGCCAGGAGCCATTGGGAGGGGGGAGAGGGAGAGGGAGAGGACATACGGGTGCTCGTCGACGAAGCTGGAGGTGTCGTAGACCTTGTCGTGGATGACCATGTAGAGGTCCTTCTTGGTGGTGTGCTCGGAGACATCGGAGTAGGTGAAGGTCTTGGTTGCCGACATGATTGCGGTGTTGTGTGTGTGTGTGTGCGCGCGTGTGTGCGTGTGTGCGTGTGTGTGTGTGTGTGTGTGTGGGTTTGTGTTGTGTGAGGGAAGGAGTCGCGATGGTGAGTGAGAGAATGAGTGAGAGGCGTTCGGCACAAAGATGTGTGTGATGGCAGCTGGCGGAGAGGCGGGCAGTTATTAGTAGTCTGAGGCGGACACAGGCACAGGGTGCGAATGTGGTGGTGGTCTCACTCGTTTATATTCTTTGTACAGTTGTACAGTAGTCGGTGGAAGATTGATACTCCATACTACATCTACGACACTACTAGCACTGCACTACCAGTATTACTTATTACTGTAATAACAAGGGCAGGCACCGTCCAAAAGGGAAAAAAAATGGTCCCAGATTCGCCCGGGAACGCCTTTGAGGGGGGTGCAATATGATTGTTGTGATTGGCCCGAGGACGGGCTTGGGGTTTTAGACAAAAGACATACTCGGGCGACCATCTACAGTAGTATCCGTCTCCTCCATACCGTATCATTGGGACACCGACTGTTGTTTACTACTGTTCAGAATAAATCCTATGCGATCATTGAACAACAGATTGCTGACGGCGGCAATTTCCCACGATGCATCATAATCCAATAAGTTCATGTGCTTCTGCGATACAACGAAAGGAGCAACTTTCCGCGTTTTGCTTTCCCTCGGTCCTTCACGTCCAGCGAGCCAGCCAGCCTGCCAGCCTGCCTCACACAATGTTGCCCGCTGACGATAAACGAAGCCGATCAATCTATGCAGAGGCAATCGGCGGAGGAACAGCCCTGCAACCAAGACGGTGTGTGTAGGTATGTCTCCTTTTTTTGATTCCTTTTTTATTCAACTATTATGCCGGTTCACAAATGAAGCGTGCCACAGTCGATTGACATGTGTCATGTGTCATGGGGGACGGGAACGCAACGAATTGGACATGCCGAGAGCTGGAGAGTCGGGCGAGGGAGCGAGGGAGGGAGCTCGGCGATCAATCCAATGCACAATTCCATCATAAAATAATCATAACAATAATCTCCTGCCTGGACGTCGGGGAGGGACAACGATAAAAATAATGATAAGCAGCTTTCGGCTCGTTGGGGATTCGCCGGCCGTCACGGTCTCGTTTGCTTTGGATATATGTATCCCCACGCTGCCTTTGTCGTGGAATGATGATGCTCTGGTATCATCACAATCATCTGCGTGGTGGACAGCGGGTAAGTAGGTGGTCTCTCTCTTGATCATCGTCTCGATAGATTCGGCTATGATTATCATGACACTCGTCAAGCGTTTGCCCATCGGGGGACGGGGGAGGCAGTGCTAGGCAGCCTCATTCGAAGCCATCCGACTCGCCCGTCCTCGGAGGGACGACGATGGACGATATCGTACGCAGGAGACACACACACAGAGGAGGAGGAGAACCTCCGAGAGAGACCGAAGCGAGAACGATCGATCCCTCGCAAACGGCCGTTGCATGTGAACGACCAGATCTAACCCGCCGCCGCCGCCGCCGCGCGACAGAGATTCGGCCTCCCTTCTCCGCATTTCGTTGCTCGAAGATTTCCTTGGTTGCGGAGTGATTTGATTGTAATAAGGTGTATTGGACGCGCGGGTTTTCCCCGGACCGACCCCGAGGATCGTCGTCCCTTCTCACAGCCGGCGACGGGCCTGTTTTTGTCTTGTGAACAGCTGTTACCCCCCCACTAATAAGCCGGGATGGGAACGATGTACGAACGAGATCCCGACTCTGACCTGACAGCACACACGTACGGCAGAACGACGGCCTGTCGGACCACAAAGAGGCAGCCGGCCACATGACGTGATGTGGTTGTTCAAAGAAGCAGCAGATGTGGAAACACGATGGGACGATGGTCGACTTGTCAACCGAAAAGACATCGAGCAGAACCGCACGTCGGACGGTGATCGCTCACATGTGGGATTTATTTCGGGATGGAATCTACTATGCGCAGATGGGGGGAAATTCGGATCTCTTCGTAACCTTTACGGTAATAATAAAGCAATAGGATATAATGGTAGAAATGGTCAAGTTGAAGCCTCACGCATCCTCAATTCGAGCGGGCTATGTCGGGGGCGGGGGGATTGTGTTCCTTCTTTCGTATGCGAATCCCGACGACTGTCGGGGCCTGCCCAGCGGAAGGTGTAGAAAGCGTCGCGCAAAATCAATTCGCTTGCCGGTCATCCTCCAAGGTTGTTTCTCTCTCTCTCACCACCACCACCACCACCACCACCACCACCAGGACCACGGTCCCGCTGCATACGCTTCCCTCCTCTCCCTCTCTATGCCGCAAAGGCGTTCTCGTGGCCTTCCATGTTGCCGTGTCCATGATGCCTCCTGCTCCACTGGCTATACCGCAGGGCCTTGCGTTGCTCTCGCCGCACAAATGTCGTGAGGCGACTCGGCGTGCCTTCTCGCACGCTGATGTCGACTCTTCAGATTGAAATGATGTCCTAACCAGATGTCACGTAGATCTGTTCGACGGAATGCACGGAGCGTCCCTGTCCGGCCAGCGTCGAATGCTTTAGTGCTGACCGCGAAAAAAAAATGATGGCCGCGGACTGATGGATCTCAGGCTTGTGGCAGGACGCGGGAATCCATCCCCTAGCAAGCCCTTGACCGACTCACTGCGCGTAGTACTCATGAACCTTTCTTCGCTTTCTCCTCGGCTCTAGCGATGCGAGCTGCTCTGACCAGGGGCGCGAGCGTACTGAGCGGCTCGGCCATGTGCATGAACGGGTGCTACAAAATAATCAATGTCAGTCTTGAACGCCGTCAGTCATCGATGTGGGAAAAGAACTTACGCGTAGCAACTCTCCGGCTGAAGCTCTTCGCTCCGGGTCGACCTCTAGCGCGAAATCCAGGAAGTGCTGGAATGTTGGTGTGAGTTGATGCTCCTCCTTGACCTTGGGCGTGCCGTTGGTTGCGATCAAGAACAGCGCGCGGAGCGGCGATTCGTTGAGATACGGTGGCTCGCCTTCAATCATCTCGATGGCCATGATTCCGAGGGACCAAATATCAATCTTTCGTCCGTATTCCTTGCGGCCGACGACCTCAGGCGCCATCCAGTACGGAGTGCCGACCATGGTAGTGCGCTTCATGTGGGATTCGTTGATCTGCGCACAGAATCCGAAATCGGTCAATTTGATGACTCCTTCCATGGATAAGAGGATGTTGTCCGATTTGATGTCACGATGTATGACTCCCTTGGAGTGCAAGAACTGGAGACCGCAAAGCGTCTCGCGGCAAACGGCAGAGATTTGGCCCTCCGACATCATGTTGAACGTGACGACGTCGGTCAAGCTGCCGCCTTCCATGTACTCCATCACCACCCAAAGATCGCCCTTGACGAGGAAACTGTCCATGAAGTTGACAATGTTCTTCTGCTTGCTGCCCTTCATGACAAGAATTTCGTTGATGATCAAATCCTTCTTGGGCTGCTGCTCAAGATTCATCTGCTTGATGGCAACGCATTGGTTGGTGCCGTTCTCGAACGCGGTGTACACGCCTCCTGACGCGCCTTGGCCGATCTTGACGAACTGCCGATAACGTTTGGTCGGATCGGCGCTGTTGCAGATGTTTTGCAGTCGGCTGAGAACTTCGGCGTCCGATATGGACTGTCGCGCACGCTGTCTCGGACGGGGTCGCACACCTGCAACGGCAGTCGCCGTACTAGCCGCATGCTGGGCGGGTACAACCTGTGCTGGCTGGGCCAACGTTTGAGCCTGCTGGATTTGCTGCTGCTGTTTCTGTTGCTGTTGCAGGAGCAACTGCTGGGCCAGAGTGTTGGTCGGCTGACGTTCCGATTGCGAGCGCTCGAGCATCGGCGGTGATTTGAGTGCTTGTTGAGCTGCCTTCATAGCTTGTTCTTGCTGCTGTTGGTAATGCGAAGGTGATGCAGTAGGTTGTTGCAGCTGCGGTTGGTAATGCTGTGCGGGCCCCGTGTTCGAACGAGTTCGGTTTTGCGAGTTGGATGTGATCTCCGTCATTGTTGCTCCCGAGTGCTTGACGGCGGAGAAGCTATCCGCGGCGTGGTACACCTGCCCTGATCCAGACAGGGAAGACTTTTGAGGAACCATGTTGGTAGACATGCTCATTGGCGCCTTTGGAGCAGGTCTCATTGGTAGCAAGCTGCCACTCGACGCTTGGCCAGATAACGATGCGAGTCCTAATCCCTGATTTGCACCCCGAGGGACCGGCGGAGGTGCGCGAGGGTTTTCAAAGCTTTCGCCCTCGTTCCTGGGGAAGCGTGGACTTCCCGGCGGACTGCCTACTGAGCCAGACTGGCCAGGGCTGAGGGGACTGTATTGAGAGGTACCCGCTGACATCGACTGTTGTGGGCTCTCTCCCGGATTCGCATGGTCGAATTTGTGATAGAGATAATCATCGCTGCCCGTGTTCGTGTTCTCCTTGTAGAATGTAACAACGTCAATGATTGCCTGTGGGTTTTTCTTCTGCTCCTGTTCGGTAATTCCGTTGGCCTGCAATGTTCGCTGCCATTCCTTGGGCAAACCCTAGCAACAAGAGAAATTAGCTTGACTGTGAAGATGCGACCACGAACGCGGTGCGATGCGATGAACATCGCCGGGCTCGACCCACCGTGAATTCACCCGTTTCCTGATCATAGCCAACATGCGTGACATGGACAGGGTTCTCAGGCGCGGAGATCGCCGGTCGTCGCGGCGAGCTGACGAGGTTCGTCACGAAATTTGTGAAGCCCGTCTTCTTCCTCAGAAATTTGTTTTCCTTGACCTCTTCATCGCTGTAACGTTGTTTGGGGTTGCGGGCGCCGATCGCGTCGCTCTGGGGGACGGCGATATCGTCCATCTTTCTGCCGGTCGCCGCGAGGCTCTGCGTCAAGGACGGGCTGCCAATCGTTGGCGTAGTACCTGTGCTGTAAGAATGTTGTAGTCGCGGTGGCTGTGATGGTAGAGCGGTGACCGAGGGCGCGCGACTGCTCGCGGTCGACGCCTGGAGGGATTGTGTGAAGCTCTGATCGGCAGACTGGCACGCCGCTTCCAGATTACTCAACAACGCCGCGGAGTCAAAACGCTGGCCCATGAACTCGTTCGAAGTGCGCTGGGAAAAGGAGAGTCGGGGCTGGTAGCCGCGTGGTGTAGCACCTTGGCCAGTGGCAGAGGGCCTTCCGCTATCGATCGACGGGCCGCGTGAAGTGTAAGAATGGCTCTTCACGGTGTTGGATTGAGATGAAGTGGACGCCTTATCGCTGAGGGAGCCGGAGCCCTGCATGGAGGGCGAATAGGACGCGGATGGGACGTTGGAGTGGTAGGAAGTTGGAGCGTTGAACGGCATCGCGAAGCTTATCGCGGGCGGACCCGCCTCGTCAAGACGACCGTGATCACGCCACGGCGATGCGAGCGCGAGTTGCTGATCTCCAGAAGGCTGGGGAGTCCAAATACAGATGGGCGACAATGTCGGTGCAGTCGTGGCGAGCAGATATAATGGTGGGAAGGCTCACGAGCACGTGTGAGTGTGTGTTGTTGCGCGAGGTGAAAGAATGGATGGGGGGGAACGGGCCAAGTCGGTTGGTACATCCATACATACAGTACGGTATATACAGTACAGTATGATGAATTTCGCGGGAGAGAGACGGAGAGAGACAGCGAAACAAGGCCGGCCGGCGGGTGCAGACAGATGGTATAGGACGAGTTTTATTAGTGGATGGGCGCTCACTCTCTCAGCCAGAGGAGGAGGAGGAGAGGTTGGTCAGGCGAAACAGGTTCTGTTGCGACGGGGTGGGCTCTTGCCCTCCACAACGGCTTTCCCTTGTTCATTCGACCACGGTCACAACCATCGTGACAATCCATGGATACCTACCTAGGTAGATAATAATAATAATAATAATGATGATAATGATAATGATAATGATAATAATAATGCGTGTAGATACCTGCCCAGGTGACTGACTAACCTACCTAGTAGTACAACAAGTCGCATGTACATCTGGTACAGATTCAACACCTCTCGACTCTCGCCTCGAGCACCTGCCTGAGCAATACAACAGGGGGACGATTCTCACCCGACGAAAGCATCACCCACTCGGCTCGTTTTTGTATCAATTACATACCTGAGTATACTTGTTTGTATGTACTGTCGTGGCATGGTGTTCCACATCCACCACATCCAACACCACCAGCCTCCAAACCTCCAAACCTTGGGTAACCAACGAGGAATCGGCTATGTATCCGCATCACACACATGTGTCCGAGTGGCACAGAGCTTCCTTCGCGTGTGTGTGAGAGCGAGAGAGAGAATACTGTAGAACGGCTTGGCCTTACAGTACTGTACTGGAGCTTCATGGCCGTTGTCGAGATCGGAGGTTCAACCAGTACGACCACATGCAATTCCAGTATTACCTTCCCTTCTCAGAATTTCCACAGGATCTTATTATTCCGCTTGATGCGGCCGACGTGTAGGCCGGCAGGCCTGGTCTTCAATTCATCGTCGTTTGTCGTTGTCCTCACCACGCACAGAGCTCCACATCCACTCCTGTACAGCACACAATGGAATCCGTCCCTAGGTATTCGACGGGCCCAAATTCCGCGCTCTTCATTCCGACGCTCTCGGGAACGCCGTACGACGAAGCGCGCAACATACATATCACAATCGCATCCCTGTTCCGGTCTGCGAACGGCCGCATGTAGGTCGATCTTGGTCTTCATCATAGTCACCCAAATCCACCCCGTCGTTAGGATGTATCTGGCGTCTTTGGCCCTATCCAGGTGTCCATCGATGCGTTTCCTGCTGACGTTGAGGCCCAACTGCCGTCCATTCTCGATCAATACCAGGATGCTGGAGTTTCGATGAAACAGCCTGCATCATGTCTTGCGCGGGTCCCCCGCACATAAAAGTATGTGGCTTGCACGGCCGTCAACCCTGGTGCAACGCGTTTTCGAATCCGAAACGATCCATGAGATCCCATTCCTACGTGTGCCAGATCTGCGACATGGCTCGTTTGGGATCTTGGGGGTGGTCGCAAATGCATCGCCAAATTGGGCGGGAATGGGTACTTCTGGGAAGCTACGGATGTATGTACTCATGACTGGACGTGCGTCGTGTATGATGATGATCCTCTTGTCACAGTCAAGCCTCGCCCTCGGCATTTTGGTCCTCGGCAAGCGTGCAGCACCGACTCCTTCCACTAGATATGCAGTGAAGAGATTTGTCGCTGCCACCCGTCATGCCACAATTCGCCCAACCGATCCTTGTCGCATCCTCGTCGATGTTTCTCAATCGAGAACCCGATCCCGAGCGATTTTCCGTGTGTCCCTGTCGCGCACGCAGCAGTGACGGAAACGCGCCGTGCACACGCGTCGCGAACGCGCCCGATGCGATGGTCGCTCGATCCAACCAGGCTGCAAATACTCACCTCCGTCGGACACAACGCCAAAGCCACAGTCCGATTCAAATCGCACCGCTGCGAATCTTCAGCTCGTCCTCAAGCCAGCGTCCAAATATCAGACTAATAAATCTCAAACTACCCAGGTCATTCTCCAAGTCGTACGCGATATGAGAATCTCAGCAACCATGAAAACTCATGTCAATGTGCGAGCTCCTGGCCACGGCCGAATCGCATGACCGGCTCGATGCAGACCGCGATGAGTGCGTATGTTCCGTCTCCAATGGATCTTGCAATGGCCTCTTGTTGTTCAGTAAGCTGAAGTCAGCGTCGATTGTGACCCGCGCGCAATCTTCAACCTCGTGACCATATATCAAGGCATGGCAGAGAGTGGCAAACATAAGCGTGAATGCGCCGTAAATGATCTACTGGTCGAGGACTACGGCTCACCGATGCAACTCGGACTGTTGAGCAACCTTTGCCGGCTTTTTCAGCATGACATCTAGCGCAGCAAGTCGTAAATCAGATGCATCTTACCTGGCGACCGAGGACGGTTCGTTCCCTACTCTGCCCGGTTTTTCGCTCACAAATCTGCCCGCTCGTGATTTGTGTACAAGGCCGCCTATTCCCGTACTTCTGATCGTGTTGCTTCGTGAAGCAGGACCTGGTGGTCGTGGTAAAGATGGGATCCGTTCGAGTGCATAGGAAGTGTAACAGAATCTTCAAACCGGGAATCACGAGGACTGATAAGAAGTCACACAATCATCAACATTGGAATTCATAGGCTGCAATATTGCCATTTACTCTACGTCCGCGCTTATATCAACGGTAATAATCTCCAGGGTCATTGCTGGGAGGTGGGCCCTGCTGGGGCTGACTCTGCGGCGCATAGCCTTGGCCGGGATTGTAGGCCTGGTAGATCGGCCCGGCAGCAGGCGGTGCGTGCGCCGACGTCTGTGCCGGAGCGTTGCTGTCAGCTATCTGCGGTGGTGGTGCTTGGTCTGCTCCGGTAGCATTTCCGGACGGCTGCTCATATACATATGCGTTTGATGAAGCTTCGCCACTGGGCACTCGTTGCCGGCTCGGCAGACCGTCTCGATCACTGAATGGGATCTGTGGAGGCGCATGTTGGGGTTGTGCAGGCACAGACAGAGGTGCGGGCACTATAGTGGGATCGTACGCTGGCGCCTGGCCGGCTACTTGCTGCTGCTGCTGTTGGTGGTGTTGCGGCGGCTGCTGTCCCCCTTGAGACGGTGGATACGAGTTGCGGTGATCGGCTGGTGATTCAAGTCCGGGTGTCGCGAGTTCGGAGGGATTGCCACTGTTCAGAGTATGAATGCTGTTCGGTCGACCTTGTCCCTGAAAGCCCTGAGGGGCATTGTAGGGGCCGCCATTGTGCAAACTTGCCGGCGCTTGCTGTGGGCTTGGCTGTCTTCGCACATCTGCAGCTGATGGAGGTGGCGCTGCCTGTAGACCTCCGGGTATGAAGTGAAAAGGGGCCACGCCTGGAAGTGCAGAACCTTGTGGTTGTTGGCTTTCGGATGTTGCGTAGGGTCGTGTGTATGATTGTTGTGGGATTGGTGCTTCGGTCGGAGCTGGAGAGTAGAATCTTTGCGGTTCTTGCTGGGCCGGCAAGTGCTGGTGGTTTTGCTGTTGGAACGGCTGCTGCACTGGATAGCCTTGTGGATGGCCTGATGCTTGCGGCGGGTATTGTTGTGCAGGTGGCGCGTGCGATTGATAGGCTTGACTAGGCGCTTGTTGGGGAGCTCCATGTGGAAGCGCTTGGTTGGTTGGTGCACCATACATGGACTGTCGTTGCTGCTGGTAGGGGTATTGCTGGTATTGCGGTTGCGACATAGATGATTCCAAAAGCGCTTCGTAATCTCGCCTCGCTTTGATAAACTTCTCGTTCAGTTGCGTGAAGTCGTCTGGACATCACATCAGCAATAATTCCTAAGATGGCTGTCTCGTCAGACGTACCTTTCTTCTGCGAGTACCTTGCAATCAGTTCGATCAGCTTTGGTCTGATACTCAGAGTCCGTTGATACAACTCGCTGATTTCCTCCTCCTCGCGTTCTCCTCGACGGCCACCAGACTCTCCTCCGACACTGAGCATAGCCAGTAGTCTCTCAACGTTCTTGATCTCACCAAAAACTTCGGCCTCCATGTTGGCATCTCGCTCCAACTCCTCTTTGGTTGGGTCCTGTATCTTTTCCACATAATTCAACGGGAAAATCCCAGTCTGTCCCCGGAGGCTACCTTTCCACCAATCCTTGTATACGGACTCCAAAACCGCAATGATATCATTCTTCCGAAAAGCCAATTCTCCAGCTTCGGAGGGCGTGAAATCGTACAGCGCTCGTACTCGGCTTACAGTGGCAGCCGTGGTTCCCTGCTGTGTGCTCACCTGAGGTTCGACCGGAGCCCCAGACGACTGTTGGGCCTGGCCGCCACTCGATTGTCCTTCGCCAGCCGAAGCGGCTCCTTTGTCTTTGATGCTTAAAGCCAACGCCATCTGTAGCTCTTCGTCCTCCTTTTTGCGATCCTCGCTGCTTATCTCTTTCTTGACCGGTTTACTCGGAGGCATCAAGCTTGGCTGTCGCTGTCGTAATTTGTGGTAGGCCTGCTCCATGATGCCCAGTTCGGGTTGATTTCGAAATTGCTCTGTCCACGTGCTCATCCTTTCCATCACCTTCTGTTTGACCTGACCGTGCGTATTGCGATCGTCTGCGAGTCGCAGCAGCGCATCGGTGAACGCCTTTGAAGCGAGTTCGCGATGTAGCGCAACATCGCAATTTTGCGAGAGCGCATTTGCTAGCTCAAGTGTATACAGCTGAACATTCGCATTTCGGTGGGCTAATCGTTTGATGAGTGAGGTGATTGCTTGCTGAGGTCCGGATGAGTTTCCGCTGACGCGATCGCAGACGTCCAAGATGAGCTCCCAGTTCTCGCTCGTGAGGTTTTCGTCTGTCGCCTTGACTGTGCGTGTGTCAGTGCATGCTCCACATATTCCAGACGATGCTGTGGTTGGTGCTCACCGACGGCGTCATCCATCGGGTTCGTCTGTGTACGAAACATTTTGTTGGGTCTTGGAAGATGACAGATATGCTCTGTTCAAGGATGTAGCCCTCATAAGTTCGTGAAAATGAAGTTTACAGTTGTAGGCGACGCTCGAATGTGAGTGCCTAGAGTGCAAGCCGAAGCCGCACATGGCCAGGACGTCATATGTTCCTCAGCCACGCGCTTGGCGCGGCACATGTCGCCCAAACGCATGTACGACTTCGAGGGGTAGACGACGTGCCGCTCCAGGTACTGTATCAATCACCACCTACCTCCGAGTACTTCTAAACTGTTGGCGGTTGAGACCATACGCATCAAACAGATGTAACACTATGGCTGCGAAGCGTTGCTGTAGCTGGATGTACATTTCGTGCGTTACGCCACACGATCTGGTCTTGCCTACGGGTTGCTGATTCGAATTCGCGAATCAATACCGCGACTTTGCCACTCCCGACCTCCGAATGTGGGACAACGTAAACCACCGTTTGCCGAATTTTCATTTCCAATGATCTTATTATTGAGATCTGACCGGAATCAGGATGAAATTCTGTCAATTGCTCGAAGTTCATAAGGGCAGTGTAACGTCATGTCTTGGTTTCACCTTCGTGTCTCGAGATGCAGACCATCCAAATTGCTGGGCATCTCTCGGACGACTAGGAATATCCTTCGAGGAATTCTCGCCTCTGATCAAGTGCAGACCATCCTCCATGCTTCTCTTCAAGTGCTCTCAAACGTCTTGCGTCACAACCTTGCAAGATTCTGTCATCGGATTCGCTCCACACGCCAGGAACGTCACGAGGCAATGCTCTCCCATTTTTGATCTCGAGAAGCACGTATTCCGCCAAGTCTGGTCGCAACGATGTGCATTTTAACGCATCAATGATAGCCGCTTGCTTGTAACCCTCGTGGGCCATCCTTTCCATCCACGTCTCCATGTCGACTTCGGTTTCGTCTGGTTGAGAGTGCTCATGGCTATCATTGGTGGGCTCGTTGAGTTGTGCTGATGATGTGAAGCTAGCTCTCGGGGTCTCATGTCCATCATGCTGCCCCGAATCAGATTGCACCGGATCCGGTATCGTCATATCCACGTCCTGAATAGCTGCTCCAAATATTTCCTGCGTATCGAGGCCCGGTGCGCCAAAAAATGTTTCAACAGGTTCAAGCTTTTCGCTTGCAGATGTCAGCTGAGAAGACTGAGCAGGAGTCGACCCGAGGAAAAACCCGCTAGCAGGCTCAGGTATCGAAAGATCAAGATTGAGGTCAACGCCCATCCCATCACGACCGTTCGCAGATTGGAGCAGATTAAAATTCGTTGTGGGATTCGTATTATCTGCACTTGCAGCCTCATTTGTGTCCGATACAATGATCTTCATTTGATGGGGCCGATTCTGTACCTCAGGTAGCTGCGGCAGCGCTGGATCTTCTTCACGGTCATTGACTGAATCGCCTTCGCTAGGTGCTGAGTGTTGTGCTGAATGTCGTGCTTTGCCAGGTGCCAGCTTCTCTGGATCGACCGAACTGCCTTGAGCACTTTCTTTGGCTTGAATAGTTACCCCCTGTAGGTAATCTATGAATTCGCTTCGATCTTTAGCTTCGTCATCTTCAGGAATATCGATGCCGCGCAACTGCGCTTGATGGTGCGCCTGCTGGACAGCAAGATTTTCCTCAGTCAAGGCATCTCCCAGATTTTTGAGACCTCGCGCGGCGAGGCTGCTATCAGTCCCATTTTCTCGCGTTGCGACACCATTTTCATCCATATCGCTCCTGACAACCTCCCCTGACGACGTGCCTGGCGGCCTCAACTCGGCCATGAGCTGCGAATTTGCCGCCCGGTTCTCGTCTGAAGTAATAAGCTTGCCAGCTTCCGCATCATCGTTTATGACTTTCGATGGCGTAGAGGTGACAATTCCGATGGTACTTGTCGCCGATGGCATGTCGAGAGCGGCCTGCTTCGTACTTATATGTGCTTGTCCCGCTTGTCCTTCGTCCTCAACTCCGGGGTTGTCCGACGTTGCAGGGTCCAATCTCTGTCGCGATCGACTCGGCTCATGACCAGGAGATGAGCTGGACCGCCTCCGTTTTCTTGCCGATGTCTCCTCGGTCGCCTGTCGTGGTTGATCATTGTTTGCTACCACAGGCTCAGTCTTACGGTTTCGCTTAATGTATTCTGGCAGGACTCGTCGGTGGAAGAAGTCTCGCCACTCTCGCGCTCCATGTGTGCCATAAGCTTCAGCCCACTGTTGCCAAGCTTTATCAATCTGACTTGGATCGACATCAAGAATAACTTCTACTGACCCCAATAACTGGTCGAAATCGGACTGGTCGAATGGCAAAGCGGCGCCAACTGTTCTTGAGCCTTCTATGAAGCCACTGCCGCTTCGACTTAGTTCTGATGACAGGGCGGAACTGACACCGGAGAGCCGGGGTTGTGAATTGCTTGATTTTGCTGTCACATAAGACAATGTTCGCGGTGGAGCACTGCTGGTCATGGATTGGCGCGGATGGTTATTAACCAGATTCTTGACATAGCGCGACCTCCATGCTTGAGCAGTGTGTCGAGGATTCAATGCTGCAAGCGTTTCATAGATGGCGTTGCCTCTCACTGCGTCGCCAGCCGCTTCTGCTTGTTCAACCCAATCAAGCAGCACTCTGTCATCCTCATTCGTGAAGGGCGTCCGGGTGCCTTTAGGTACCGTGGATGTCCTATTGGCGGTCGATCTCGGGACTTTGGCGACCGCGTAAGCGCTCGTCTCCAGCAGCTGCCCATGCTTGAGAGTTTCATCGATCCATTGGTAAGAAACGCCCGCTTGCGGTGCATCCTTCCGCATATGGTCACAGATCAAATAGTCGGCAGTACTCTCAATCTTGACAATTTTGCCGCCATTATCTGTGATCTGTTGCACATAATGCGAGCGGCTAGGTAAGCGCTGAGTTACAAAAAATGTAAGATCTGAGAAAACTCCGTCATGAGCAGAGCCATCTGTGTTCCGCTCAGTGATGATCAGAGGCGCACCCGCCATACTTCTGCTGCAAAGCTTGTTCACGATTAATCCTCCAGAAGATGCAGCTGTGGATCACGGTGAATCTGGCAGTCGATGCATACTTACAGAGACCAGAATAGTAAGACAATACGCCCGCTGCTTTGATGTGACAACGTCAATCAAATGGATAAATAGAAAGGTTCACATGTTAGATAGATCAAGCCCCGGATTGCAAGTCCGAGTGACGCGACGGAAGACGCGTGCATAATTTGCCAAGCTTCCGCTTGCATTTCTACCCTCTTCAGATCGGCGACCCAATCAACGTCACCCTCATGACAGGTCGTGGCAACGTCTAGTGGTGGATTATGGTACGTCGCATTGAAGACTGAATCGTCGAGAATTGAATACTGATACCCGTCCAAAAAATAGGCCGACAAACTCCGCACGCAGCAGCAGCTTGAAGCGCTACAGACCAAACACATCGGAACTGGCCATGCAGATACAACCGAGCACGAGTGGAAAGCCAATATTGCCCGAGATTCATATGCCAGCATTGTGGGCCATCCACCGCTCATTCACTACATGTCTATCGGCATGGGGCTTCCGATGGAGCGAGTGCGCATGATCTGTATGGAGAAGATGGTGCTGCCAGTCGGTCCAGCGCCAGCTGTGGAGAGAGATGATGACGAAGGGGAAATGGAAATAGACGAAAAATGAAGCATATCAATCTCTCCACTTCCACTGCTCAATTTCATTCATTCGACACTGGAGCAATGCAAACGCTGGAAACATTCGGCACTCGCAAGCCTGCCCGCCTCACCAGGTGGCCTCAAGCCAAGACAGTGGAAGGTTGTCTTTCCAAATTTCAGAGCCGTACAAGACTATGAGCTTTCTCGCAGGAGACTATTTACGGCCCTCCACCATCACGATGTGGTAGCCTTCTGACGATTTCACTTCGCCATATTTCGGGTTGCTGGTCGTTGACGCTTCCAGCTCAAAGGCAATGGCTTCAAATTCAGGCATAAGATCTCCGCGGGTCTTCCAGCCAAGTGCTCCACCTGTTGAGACTTAGTTGATCGTCGAACGAACAGACCCTTCGAGAACTGACCTGCGCGGGCTTTGTCCTCCGAAAACTCGCGAGCTACTTCGTCGAACTTAGTCCCAGCGACGAGTTTCGCGAGCGCTTCCTCTTTCTTGGAATGCTTTTCACATAGAATATGGCGGACATTAATGCTCTGTGCGCCTTTCACTTTGCTGCTAGAACCTTTCTCAGAGGTTGCTTCCTTTGCTTTAGCTTTGCCCTTGGGAGCCATGGTGTGACGGAGGCAAATGTGAATGGTTGTAATGTTTGTCACTTTTGATTTAACTGGGAATTGATACTCAGGTTGCCGCAGCACCCCACGACTTTTGGCTGGACGACCTCAGGCTTAGATTTCGCACCTCGAAGCGCGAGACCATGATCGCCAAAACTAGTGGGACGCTAGGGACAGCAGGCTCCCATGGACTGTTTACTTGTCAACAATGATGAACCTCATGCACTGAAGACCACATTCTATTGAAGGGCATCTGGAACATTTTGGAAGCATGTCTAACAAAGAATATAAATTATGCAAACATTCCAACACAGTAAACATTGATGACAATATATGGACCACCGCACGATGTAATCGACTATTACGATCAATTAATACTCGCATTATTGCACTACGAAAAGCGTGTCGCGAACTCGAGCAACGTAATAAAGCCCATGCAGGATCGAATCCGAGGAAACGAGCGGCCGAGGATCCGAGTTGGCTGCCACAGCCCAAGACGAAGAAAACGACCCGGACGTATAGCGGTAAATCGAATCCGCTGTGTGAGAAGTCCAGCAAGCCTGGTCAACATCGCCTGCGATCGGTACTCCCAAGTCCTTTCGTTCGAAGGATACGCTCAGCAGAAGCCTACCAGCTATATTGCAATCAGGAGGACTCTCTAGACGCAGCAGCTTCAATCCCTGAGATATGCACTGTCGAACGCTCGAATGTTGCTCCCACAGAGGTTGCCCCTCGTCGGCGAAAGCAGATTACTGTGGTTCCTCATGCGCCAGTGGAGAAGGCTGAACAATACCTTTCGGCCGCCTTCGCAAACTTTCTCGCTAGTACGATTTCATCAGATGCTCACGAGGTGATGCGTTGCGGATCAAGATCACTGGCGGGGACATGTCTGCGCAGGATACCCCGATTGCTGGACTCCGGGTCCATCGAGTTCGACTTCGACGACGCTGGAGAGGCGTTAGATGACTCCTCAAATCTGTATTCCTACATCGAAGAAGAATTTGAAAATATCTCCGGTCCTGGTTCTCCATTTCTGCGCCAAATCGTCCGAAGCCACGGGACTGAGCTCGTCCGCAAAGCTATCGTCGAGGGCCTGCTCTCGGACAAAGCCATTCGAGATTTGATAAACATATGCAGCGAACGAAGCGCATCCATAGAAGGCGACTTGATCCTACAAACGTGGTTGGATACGTCGATTGATTTTCACAAGTCACATTCGGATGGACTGCTGCACTTCTGCGACTCCCAAAACAGCAATGTGTTCTTTTTCCGGGCTTTACAGCATTCCCTCACCACTGATCTGTGGCGCATCACACAAATTCTTCAAAAACATGAGAAGCTATGCTCCGCAATTCCTACTGGCTTGGAGGGAAGACATGTCGTACAGCAGTCAACCATGAACCGTCTGGGCATGAGAGCCAGATCCACGGTTCCGCTTTATGAAGTTGGGAAATTCTTGGAGGACTGTGTCAGCATGGCTGCCGATATGGACCTTTCTTCAGGCGGCCATACGCATATGGCAGATTTTTTTCGAGATCTGAACAGCACAGCCATCATTATGACCATCATGGGGCTTGGAGAAGCGCTTACGATCAATGTTGCAACTTGTCAGTCTGGTATCGTGGGTGAAACAGTCGTCCGCGTCGCAGCTCAATTACTCATGGTTCGAGAGCCTGAACTTGTTGGTCTTTCGGAATGGAAGCCTAGCCAGACCAGGACTTCTGGCAACGCTGCAGATATCAATCAAACACACAACACAGCAATTTCCTCGCAGACAAGCCGCGCGAAACGCAAAATACACCTCAGCACCAGTGGCGTCGCGATTCCCTACTTGATCTCTGCGTTCCTCGTGATGGCGACTCAGAAAGACGGCCGCTTTGGAGTCATCACTCTCGATGCCCTAGCTGCGGCGGTGTTGATACCTACAAAAGCTGCAGGATCTAATGGACATAGGTTTTCGATGCATGCGACTCGTTTCATGCATCAGTTCGTGAAAAGCCTAAGAGCGTTCGATCAGATGACAAACAACAACATGGGCTCTACGCTCCTGAAACGGCTGTCCGAAGCTGTTGAGGCACAGACGGGCGACGCGTCACTCCTGCTCAGAGCTCTTACTTCAGAGATGTCAATGCGATGTCACACAGAGTCCGACGCCCCATTCTCGGCTCCTTCTTACAAAGCAGTTCCAACTCAAAACTACTCCACCGACGACCAGAAGGAGAATGTTTTCAAGACACCGTCTAGGAAGTCACCAGGATATCGATGGGAGGACAGTATATCAGAATGGATCACGGCCACACCGAAACCCGGAAAAGACCAGGATTGCGCACAGGAAGAGCGAACGAGGGAATCACAATCTCATCAAATCGAAATGAGTTCCCCTGATGCGCTCGCGTTATCGCCTGCCTTGATCAGGCACAAACGCATTTCTCTAGATCGGAGACCGCTGGCGAAGACTACAATCAAGTCTCGGAAGGCGCTACAATTGATCGAAAGGCGGACAATCAGGAGGAAGAGGACTGCCGATGGCCTCTGTAGTGGTGACGAACTGGGATTGTAATCTGAACGTGATTGAGAGCATTGGGTCCTTTGGTACGCCTAGTTCTCTGAGTAGAACGACCGAGTGTACACTGTATGTCTTGAATAACTCATTCTGATCTGCTAGAGAGCGCTCCAAAGGAAAGCTCAGCCCTGTATCCGCGTTTGTCATGAGGACTATTCTGAAGGATGTTAGCATTCGCACATGATCCCATCATTGATCGAGGACCAGTCTAGAAGAGTGCAGGTCGCAACTGGTGTCCCGGGATGACGCAGTCGGTCGCCGTGATCACGATCTTCGGATCTCTCGGAGCATTTACGTTTGGAATTGTGTCACGTTAGTCTCCTGCTACTTCTCGCCATGTGCATTGGAAATGCAGAAGCTACCGTCAACGTGGAGTCAATCCACCCGAGGACCGCTCGGTTTCTGCAAAATATCTCGACTGCATCCGTAGCTTCACGCGGGCGAGTCCCAATGTGCTTGGATCCTGGAAATTCCCATGGAGGCCACCTCGGCAGCGTCCCAAGTTTTCACTTGCTGCTCGCGACGCATGATCTTGAAGACGGAGCAAATCTCAAGCGCGAACGAGCAGTCCGAGAGGAGCCGGCTTTCGGTATTCTCGTGCTTAGCGTAGCTTAGGAGAAAGGCGTCATATCGGCTACCTAGTTAGATAACGACATGATGTCCATGCGGATATCGGCATGTTCCATTCGGCATCAATCGTTGGAATGCTTCTATTCACACCCCGAGGTCATGGTTCACCTCACACCTTGTGAACGCTCAACTAGCGACACAATAGACAGATGTTCTGGAGACTAAGCAGTCTGTCTTATATCGAGTCATAGTACAGGCGTCTGGTTGGATCACTGTTTACGGTTATGAGGTGGGTCATATTTATCGAAACAATTTGCCTTTCCGCTCGAGTGGATGGGCAAATCTGGTAGGGCTACATGCTTGCCCATAAAACGTGGCCGCCAACCAGTGCGGGGGTCATACTGACCGAGGGAGCCGAGCCGTCCAACAAATTGACCCAGGTGGGCTACAGTTCACCAGCACAATCACCTACTGTACACTACAGGAGATACTCCGGAGTCCGGGCTGACACAAAGCGTTATTGGGCAGATCAGGAGTTGGACAGCATCGTAATCCTTCGAAAACATGACGATGATGATGATGATGATGCCACGAATTAGTGCATCCATGAGCATGAATCAAGCCAGCGGGCGGAATGTTCCATATTTGCTCGCCAAGACAAAGGCTGAGCGCTATTAGACAACGGAGGAGGGCGATGCCGCGCGTCCGCAATATGACAAGGCGCATGTGCACGAGAGACTGGCCTGAAATGAGAGCAGCGGGATGCCCAGAATCTCCAAGAGCGGAAACAGCCAAGCCAGCAGTCCGCTCTTGGCGGATTTTAGGAAAGTTGATGCTAGATTGCCCCATGCGCCCAGCGGACTTGGGCCTGTCCAGTCGTTTCGCAACATTCAAGAAGACGTGCGTCGCCCATTCCCTTGCGAAGGATCACAGATACTCGCACCCGTTTCTAGAAGACCTCTGATCGACAACATCGACGTTGCGCTTTCAGCCTACGCCATCGCGGCCATGGTCCACGTGCAGTATCAGCAATCCAGGGACAGGCTTGGTAAATGATTGCTTACGCGCCGTGACGATCTCCAGTCTGCCTGGAGACCAGTACGAGGCGCTCAAGTTCCAATACTGTCCGCGCGCGGACGTTGATTGATTCAGGATCCTTGCTGTTTCTGAATACGCGTGAAGTTGGGAGGCGGTGTTAGGGGCGTGGGCAAGCGCTACGTCACTGCCAGACCATCCCCACATGCGTTGTACAAGTGGTTTCTCGCCATTTGTGCCCCGACAAACCTTGCCTGGGCCATGAGAGATGTGTTGCAAGTGTCTATCACAAGCAATTGCGGGTCTGTCGGAACATACTTATCATACTACGTGTGAGTGTAGACCCGCGTATGTGAAGACGAAACGTGCAGGATGGTCAGTGGCAAGAATTGGACTTGCCGAGATTCCAATGTGCCAATTCCTACGTGATGGGGGCAAAATGAGTTAACTGCACCTGCAGCAACCGTGGATGTGCGCGCAGTGTACAGCACAAGGCGTCATACTGAATCATGTGCGCAGCAGCGGATGACATATCGCTAGAACTTCGGGAAGGGCAAGATGAGGAGGAAGAGGTGGAGGGAGTCATCGACGCAGCCACGTACGATCTAGCGAGCGAGGACAATTTGCCAAGGGGCTTTGGTTACGCTTGCAAACTTGGCGCCAAGAGCGGCCAAGAGCGGCGGCCAGTCAGAAGCAGCGAGGGTAGGAGACGGCGAAGAACCTTCTTCCTTCTCCCATTATCCGACCACGCCCGGGTCCACATCCAACACCTATCTCACTGCATCCTGAGTGTACTCCAGGGCTGTGTAGATGTCTTCGACATGCCGACGTTCACGAAGCAGAGATCCGCGAGCCTGTCCTCATATGCCCTCTCAAGTTCGAGTAAAAATCGTATACATGCGGGGTCGCCTTGTAGAATTTGAGCGTGATGGGCGAGTAGCGTTGTGGTGGTTATTATTAATGTCATGGTAGTGAGAACGATGAACGGATATTGTCATGCTCATGTCCACGGATGGAGCGGGCATCCTTGTGGTGGAGTTTAGGATGTGGCTCGCTCTTCCGCCGCTTCTATTGATGCGCCCGGTCTACGCTGTACCCTTTTGCCCCCTCCCAAGAGACTGAGCTGTACTACTGTCTGCTTGTCTGTCGCTCCGAAACCAGCATCCGTTCTGCCAGGGAGAGGGGACGGGCCAGATTTCCTATACATATCGTCGTCCCTCTCCTCCTCGCCGTCCGCCGATGCCCAGACTTTCCTTCCTCTGCCTAACAACGACCGCCGAACGCATTCCTGTCATATCGACTCCGCCATAAGACTTGCACCTCTCGGTCGTCTTCTCTGAACGACCATCATCCTCTTGTCACCCCTTTCTCATTCTCTGCAACTTCGTCACTTGATTCTGGAAGAATCGTACGTCTTGACGTCGTCGCACGAAGCAGTTTGCCTGAGGCTCATCTTGCGCCTCAACGAGAAGACCCCGTTTTCCTGGGATTTTTTCTCGACTTGAGAACTTCACTCTTGCGGAACTTCAAAGGTTCTCAATTCCCTGCCAAGCCTTCCTCCCAATCTCACAACTTCCGACTTGTGCCAAGCACTGCCCTCAAATGGACGCAGCACATACCCAAACTGTCGCGCAAGCTGTCGCTGCCGCCACACAGCAAGCACAACAGGCTGCGCAGCAACAACACGCACCCTCACCGCCAGTACAAGCACCTCAGCAGATTTCCACCATCGACAACTTGACATGTCAATGGCAGGGCTGCGGTGAACGCACTGACTCTGCGGAAAGCCTTTATGTACGTTGTCGTCTAAGCCTGACCCCGATTGCGGGCCTCACATCTCCGTTGCGTCACCGACACTAATACCCATCGAATAGGACCATGTTTGCGAGAGACACGTCGGTCGCAAGAGCACCAACAACCTCAACCTAACCTGTCAGTGGGGCGCTTGCCGGACGACCACGGTCAAGCGTGATCACATCACATCACATATCCGCGTCCATGTCCCGTTGAAGCCTCACAAGTGCGATTTCTGTGGCAAGGCCTTCAAGCGACCTCAGGATTTGAAGAAGCACGTCAAGACTCACGCCGATGACAGCGTTCTGGTCAGCTCGCCGAATGCTCAGAACGGACGATCCCTCGCTAACAACTCAGGTGGTACGTTCTCCCTCACCTCTTCTCTGACAAGTATCACGTCTAACGATTACAATTTAGCTCCCACTGGTTACTACCCTGCCAGTCACGATGCGCCGATTCACAACCCTTACTCATCGTATCAACCCAGTCTGGCAGCCGGAGCCCACAACACCTACGCTCATGCTGGCGCGGGCGGCCAGTATGCTGGATATGGATCTGTTAGCTATCCCAACAGCTCCGCCCTCGCCGACATCCAGAGCATGGACACACGACGCCGCGCCATTGAAGCTTTGAACGACTTCCTTGGCGACATCAAACGTCGCGCAATTGACCCTAACAGTTACTATGATGTCGGTCACCGTCTTCAGGGTACCTCTCTGCCTTTGCCCGTTAGCACCGGTGGTTACAACACCGGCTACAACAACAGTGGCTACAGCGCGAGTGGTGGCGGAAGCGGTGGCAACAACTACGGCACCGCTGCCAGTCTCCTGGACTCCTTCAACAGCAGCAGCATGAGCGGTGGTCACGGTCCACAGAGTGGCGTGGCCAGCCACCACTACTCGCTTCCTCTGCCTAATGCTCGTACTAAGAACGACCTCCAAGACATCGATCGCTTCCTGGAACAACTGCAGGCCACCGTGTACGAGACCAGCAACCAAGCTGCGGCTGCTGGTGTGCAGCAGCCTGGTCTTCACTCCACTTTCACTGGTGACTTCGGCATGGGTCACAACTCGGGCCAATTCCGCTCGAGCCACAGCCCTTCCAGCTTCGACGCCCACCTTGGCAGTAGCAGCATTGGTCACAGCAGCGCCATGAGCAGCGCGTCCCTCACGCCCGGTCTCGCGTCGCCGTCATCGGGCATTGACACACCTGCTTTGACTCCCGCCTCCGTGTCATCGTACACCAGCTCTGGTCATTCTCCTATGAGCAGCCACAGCCGCGCAAGCTTCGGCAGCGGCAGCACCAGTGGGAACATGTACCCTAGCCTGCCTGCAGTCACCGGCATGTCTGACCTCACCTCGAACTACCCAACCGCAACATCCGCGCCTGCTTCAGGTCTTGCGTCTGGCTTCGACTTTGAGAATCGCCGATACAGCGGCGGCAGACTGCAACATCAAGCTCCTCCTGCCAGCGAAGATGCTGAAATGAAAGACGTCGACGACGGCAGCCGCACTCCTAAAGCGAGCGACGCGAAGCCTGTCAAGGCTGATATCGACCCGGCCCTCCGGAGCGAAGACGAGAAGCCTGCTGAGGGACCTGCTTCTCCCAACGCCGCCGAGGACAAGCGTCAAGAGGAATGGGTTGAGAATATCCGTGTCATCGAGGCTCTCCGTAAATGGGTCAGCGATCGTTTGCACAACGGCGAATTCGATGACAAGGCCGAGGGCGAGGCTCAGTCCGCTGAGACCACCGAGGCTGAGGATGCCGACATGAAGACCGTCGAGACTGCTAAGATGGTTGCCGAGAAGCTTGCCGTCGTGGAACAAGCCAACAAGATGCATGATGAGGAGGTCAAGTATCCCAGCTTGCCACTGTCAACATAGACAATCCTCTGTGCGCCGGTTTCGTCTCTGTCTGGTCTACCTTATTGTCGGAGTTTGGGCGTCATGTTTAGGCGTCATGTTTGGGATTGTATGTCACCAGTGAGCGATCATCATCGCCTCTGAGCTAGGATCGGACAGGAAACAGCGGGAATAACGCTGACGTTTTTCATTGCATTGGTTCTCTATTACCCTCTTTCGCGCTATATCTGAATGTACTTATCCGTCAATATCTGCATTGTACGCAAAGAGTCCCGAAAGTATTTGTGACAAATCGGAATGAAAAAAGCGAGCCTCTGATCGATCACTCAATTCGAATGTGTTCGACCCATTCAATCTCCCGAGGTCCCGCATTGACTTAGGGTTGCAAAAGGCAACCCTGGGATAAGCCTAACATATCATCATCGTCACATCAGAAACGGGCTGGAGCAGTTTATGGTACGCTCCATTTGTTTCTATGGATCGTTATACATAGCTGGAGAGGTCGATTTCAGACATCTGTCACTTCACCAGCTATTGGAAATATTTGTGCGGACCTCGAGGATATTACGCAGGCTTCAGCAATCGTTGGCTTCTGTGTTGTGAGTACATCATTCCGTGCTGACATGCCCAGATTCGGCAACATTCTGCGGCTTCCGGAGCCTGCTCTGTAGGCCCAACCCGACGTCTTCGGAAAGCGCGGGGCTATATATTACCGTTAATCGCATGTCAGACAAAATACTGTGACGAAGAGAACTTGTCATGCCTACAGACAATCGATCTGAGATTTAGGTGATGTTATTTCATTGTCAAGAATGTCTGGTGGTTGTGAATCCCTCTGGCATATCGATTACTGAATAATCACAATTGGAAAGCTCTCGAATCTGACGCAATCTCCGTCACGCAGAAAGTGCCCCACCTAAGCAACCGAACCAGGTCCCGCCCGCCATGCACTTCTCCAACTTCTCTCTCGTGCTCGGTCTATTCAATGCAAACGCCTGGATGGTGAACTCTGCGCAATCAAGACTTCAGTCTATCCAACAAAGGTCAGTACCGCCGTGACGCTTGAGCTCGCTAGCCGTCGTGCTGCGACGCTATCATGAACCATTGACTGACCCAGAACGTTGTTCTCAGTCTCGGACCTACATCGTCCAATCAAACCGCAAAAATGGCTTACTCTCTTCCTCCGCTGGGCTACGCCTACGATGCCCTTGAGCCTCACTTCGACAAGGAGACCATGGAGATCCACCACTCCAAGCACCACCAGACCTATGTCAACAACCTGAACGGTCTCCTCAAGGACCACGACCTCTCCTCCCTCTCCGCCGACGAGGTCGTCACCAAGCTCGACCAGGTCCCTGCCGACAAGAAGGCCGGTGTCCGAAACAACGCCGGTGGCCACTCCAACCACAGCTTCTTCTGGAAGAACCTGAAGACTGGCACCACCCTTGATGGCGAGCTCAAGGCCGCCATTGAGAAGACCTTCGGCAGCGTCGACGAGTTCAAGGCTCAATTCCAGAAGGCTGCCACCACCGTCTTCGGTTCCGGCTGGGCCTGGCTCGTTGCCCAGGATGGCGCCCTCAAGATCGTCACCACCGCCAACCAGGACAGCCCGCTGATGGGCGAGGCCGTGTCGGGTGCCAAGGGCTTCCCCATCATCGGACTGGACGTCTGGGAGCACGCCTACTACCTCAAGTTCCAGAACCGCCGCCCTGACTACATCGGTGCTTTCTGGAACGTCGTGAACTGGGATTTCGCCGCTCAGCGCTTCTCGGAGAAGAAGTAGGGGAAAAGAGCTGAAATGGGTGACGAGTAATGAATCAACGATTCTGGCATGATAGCAGTCTACATACAATTGAAGAGACATACTTCGCCTTCCATCGATTTGGCTCCACAATCCCCTGACCATTGACTCGTCGTTCTCATTTTGTCCTCCCGAAAAGTTTGTTGCCTAAAGATGAGACCTTCAGCACATTCCGATACGTAAGGCTGATGCGCGTCGTTCGTTCGTTCATGTTTCCCTTGGCGTTTATGGCCTCACGGTCACCCAATAAATCCCAATTGGCCACCGTCTCTGGTCGGAGATCAACATCCTTATGCACCTCCGCGATCCCATGTAAAGTCTCAGTGTAAGCCGCCGCCGTCGTGACGAGCAGCGAACGAGGCTCCTGCAAAATCCGCCACCTCATCAGCGACGCGTCGCCAGCGTTCGACGGTGACTTCGCCGTGACATCGAGCACGATCGTCCCGCCTAGGCTCACAGTCGCCACGACGGGATGGTACGCGCCGCCGTCCTCATGCGGCATGATGCCCTGCCCGGGGAGATACTCGTTGATCAAGCAATGATTGACGCCGTGCGGCGCCCCCTCGAAGATGCCTAGGTCGCGGAAACGATCCGTCATGGGACGGAGCAGCCATTCTGGAAGAGGCGTCGCTGCGAGTAGGGTATTCGTGGCCGTGAGGCGCGCGGGGACGGCTTGCAGGCGGCGGTGCGAGAGGGTGATCCAGCGGTTGCTTGGAATCTGTGTGAGGTATCGTTCGTTAGTGGTAAGATCATTAAAACCTATTTTGCGATCTTCGACTGCGATATTCGATTCGATGTTGGCGCCTCTCCGAAAATGCTGCGTGACGGCGAGGTACAGCAAGCCGCCCGTGTGACACACCTTGTCTATAATGGAAGCCTCTTCTTCAGCTGAGATAAAATCGGGAATGTAGTACATTGACGACGGAGCCGATTGGATCAAATGCTTGTCCATTTCTGTTTAGAGCTCGTCGCAGCTTGATCTCTGTGCTTGATGCGAGTCGCTGATAATTTAGCCCACGTCTCAGGCATTACTTGAAATTGGTATTCGATATGCATTGTGCGAGGAAGATGAGTTCAGAAGTCCCGACGTGACCCTTCACTCCAGGTCATGGTTTGACCTTGAAATGACAGCGTGCATTGGCGAGGATGGGATCGCCATGAATCCGTCCCGGGGAGGAAATCATTATTGAAGGTCAACGATAAAATCAAGAATGAGGCTGGCAGCGATAGCGACAATTTCACAGATGACCTCACGTTCGAGACGAACCTTACGTATCGGAGAAACCCGGTCAAAAATTATGTGACTTTTGATTTGATTCGCACTCAATCTAGTTTCTTACTACGATCCATATCGTGGCATCATTTCCGTCGTTGCGCAACATCTTTCGCTCCCTGTCTGTCATTTCGTTTCGTGCTAGAGAGGGCCGTTGAGCAGCTTCACCCCTGATGAAACATCCTCTCGCTGTTGCATCTGATATGTGTTGCGATTGCTCCGTCATGGAGGCGGTGACATCTCTGGTTGCACGCTATTCCTGTCATGCTCACTGCTGTCTTACTGATGTCGATGATGGTGGATGATCTCTTTCCCGCGCATGAGGCTGTCTTCCCGTGACTCCTCGGACTGTGGTGGCATGGCTCTTTGTAAAGACCATTCCAGCAAGGAGAACATAATCATCTTCGAAGGCCCAATCACGCAGCCGCACGCTCACCTATCCGCCACGAGCATAGATCATCTTGAACGTCCAACTCACTAATTTCGGCGGCGCCTCTACGTGAGGAGAGAGCCTTGTCGTCAAATCCGCGAAAGTTATGGGGTTGAAAGTTCAGCATCGGCGTGCGAGCGCCATGCCCATTCGATGAGTGTTCGCGCGCCACCGCATCATGGCCTGCGCGAGGCGTAGACGTGCCCGACGAGCTCGAGTGGGCATGAAGGGATGACGAAGGGCGGCCATTTTTGCCCCAGCCGTCGCCGCCCGCGAAAATGTCCTCAATGCATTCGTCGGCGCGGAGTTCGCCGGGCGCGCCAGCCCAGTGCGCCGCGAGCGTGCGTCGGTACATGTCCTGCAATTCGCCGAGCTCTTTACGCGATGTGCTCAGGGAGGGCACTGCATCATGAGCGTCGCGTGCGCCATCGCTCGTGGTCCCGGAGCCGATGCCGTGCGTATTTGGCACTGGTTCTGACGATGAAATGATGCCCGCAATGCCGCCAAACACTGGCGCGGTGCGCAGCTGTGGTGTCCTGAAGTCTCTAGTCCCATCTGTTTGCTTCATCGAAAGACCAATCTTCAACGTGCTGTTGATCTTGCTGTCCTGCATCAGGTAACGGCGAGTGACACCTTCTTCGGCCGCTTCCTGGTCGACAGGACTGGTCGGACTATGCAGGTCTGCAATGTCTACATACTCGGCGAGGTTGATCCGAATCACACCAAGATCAATCCGTTCTCCGCGACCGCCGGATGAGTATTCTTGTAGCACCTCGAATTCGATGATGCATTCTTGCAGCACTCCATCCTTGCCCACGATTAAACGTACAGGTATTTGCTTGACATAGTCGTATTGCACACGATGGTCCCTAATTGCGCATCTGTGTGTTCGACCGCGGTGCTCGGCTGCAATGGACGAAGGCAAGTGCCATTTGATGAAACTGGTGCCGGCAACCAGCGGCACGTTATTGAGGTCGAGAATACGCAAGGTCAGATCAAATCGGACCCGCCGACTTTTGGAGACGAAGGCGCTGGCCATTGTGTTGCACGCGTGACGGCAGAAGTGCAGGGCTTGACAGAGCTCTGCATCTTAGAATAACGTGAGTGTGACGCCGCATCATATAAGAATGAGAGATGAGCAGCACTGTCTTCCGGCGAAGGGCGATATGACGAGGTCGAAACTAGTGGGATTCGCGTGACGCGCTTCCCGACTTGAGGATTCTCGGACCTCCGAAAGTCCAGTATGGCAGTGATGTACGAGATCAATCGATTCCTTCAGACATCATGATGATATGGCTTCAACGGTATTCAACGAACCTCTCGAAATCCGTACTCATTGATGATGCCTTCTCAACGTTGGCCTCGCCTAACCCAGACTCAAAAGGTTGCCCAATGGCGCCGCTCACCCCCGAAGACGTCGAGATCATCGAGAAACGACTAGCTAAGGGCAAATGGGCCGAAGATCTAGTGAAAGAATTTCTCGCCGAGGGACGCGGATCTAAGACCGCAGTCTATCGCAAGATAAAACGCTGGACGGAGACGGGCTCCGCGAAGCACATTCCCAAGCCCAGCGGCCGCCCGCGGACAGTGACGCCCGAGGAGAACGCATGGATGTTGGAGCAGCTGCGCAAAGATAGCAGTCTAGCGTTGGATGACCTGCAAAGTCTGCTCCTGACAGAGCGCGACACGTATCGCTCCAAGTCGTCCATTTATCGCGCGATGAACTGATCTGGCGGAGTGATGAGGAAGATGAGAAACCAAAAGAAGCAATTAACATCGCAATTACCGCCCACAGAAACGGCACCTCCAGAGCAGCGAGAGACCGCAAGTTCAGCGACATGAGGTATGAGATATGATTGACGATCGAGCTAATATTGCTCTTGGGAGCATGTCGCGATGATCAACCGCGGATCTCAAACCCGACCTTCTATTTCTGCAAGATTTACAACTGAATTTCGTTGCAAGAAGACGGTGCCTCGGACCCTCAACCTCACTGCCTGTCCAGCTCTGGGTAGTGACGGAAGACACCCTGACTATACGGCAACCTCCTCGAGCTCGACAAATACTCCTTGATCCCTCCCTCCTCCTTGACACTGCCGTAAAAAGTCTCCAGCAAATCAGGGAATTCTCCCTTTCTGGCCTGCAGTTCCTTCGGAAACGCGAAAAAGAGTCCGTCGAGGACTTGCCACACAGTAAGATCTGCGTAGGTGAGCTTTCCGCCCACCAGATATCGGCCTTTCCCGTCGTCGTGATTCCCCTTCAGCGTACGTTCGAAATGCGAAAAGTACTTCGGGAGACGATTTTCCCGCAAATCTTGACTTTTGAGCAGAGATTCCTCCTTTTGATCCTCGTAGTATTTGCTCGACGCGATGGGGTGGTGCGTGTCGTGGACTTCGTTGTTCAGGTCTAGCGCGGTGAGCGTCAGCTGGCTGACATACAGACGACCGACCTCATCACCCGGTACGAGTCCAAGTCGTGGTCCGAGATAGAGCAAGATTGTTGGAGTTTGGTGAATCACCAGCGAGCGAGCGTCTTTGCCAGCGCCAGCGACCCGAAGTGCTGGTGGAGCGAATACGGGAGGATTGCTGCCCTCGCTCTGCGTGTTTTGGCTCATGCAGATCTGTTGGACCGTACTGTAGCCATCTTTCTCTGTGTTGGCGACATCTGTGTATGGGACTTTTGCGGCTTCGAAGGCGAGTCTGATGAATTCGCCTCGACCGGGGATGACGGGATGGTAGAGCAATTCGTACTGTGGTTGGGATGATTGTGCCATCGTGTTGGCAGCCTGGCGCTTGAATGCTTCGATTGATTCCAGTGGGACCAGTCCTAAGATCGATATCGTTACAGCTTGAGAGTGTCGAGTGCTCAGCTCTTCCAACCTTCGGAATATACGCAATATGCTAGATGGAGGTTTGGACTCGTTCGACAACCCGAGACAGCTCTCAAGGTAGCGGTCCTTCGATTTTGATTGCCCGGCCCAGCTTTGTCACCTGGAGATTACATCACTTGAGATCTGCAGTACGAAGCAGCTCCGGAGCTTTTCGGTAGCTCTGATGCTATCTTACGTGCCCAGGTGGGGACAATCACGTGTGATGCTAGTTCATCGCGCTCTCGAACCTCACCTTGCTGCTCGTTTACACGCACTCCAGGTGTGCTTCGTAACGACGACGACCGACATACAAGCTCGCGGTCATAGCGTGCCGTGAGACGTAGCACGTTGAGAGCTGCAATAGACGAGGCTCCAGCTTCGGGAAACCTACACTTGCACACAAATACACAGAGGGACGCAAGCAATGAAATGTTCACAATCATGATTAAAAATCTGGTTCATTATAATTTGACATATTTGTAGTTTAATCGAAGCATTGTCCAGCCATTTCTCCTTATCCTCAAAACATGAATTGATGATGAGTCCCAACAAGGATGTATCCCAGCCCAAAGCTGCCGTTGGAGATTGTTCTTTGTCGCCCTCCGACCCCGCAGAATGATTGTGCGACGTGCCATGCGTAATATTAGCGGTAGATGCCAAAGGGAAACGTGGTGTCCCGGGCAAAAAAATAAAAGGGGGTAAAAACATAGAGAGAAGAGAAAATAAGAGTATACGAAAACGCATGGGCCGCACTAGACGAACAACGAGCCTCGCCGTTCGGTCTGCATCGGCCTGCTGGACTGATAGGCAGGTCCCACTCTGATGTGTTCCGGGGCGAAAGATCGCGTGTATTGTGGTTTTCCGTATTGATCGGGGACCATACGTGCGGTTGATGGAGGTTCGGCGTGAGGCCGAGAGTCACGATAACTTGACTCCCGGCGCATCGGCGGACGGCTTGTCCGGATCGGAATGTCCATGGCAGGTTGCACGCCACGGCTCTCCTCATCCCAGCGGTAAGCCGTCGCAGTGCTTCGGGGCGTCGGTAACGGCACGTGCGGCTCTCTGTCTGCATATTTAGACGAGGCGTTCAAACGTGAACTCGCTTCGCGTACTGCTTGCGATTCTCGCACGGGCGATGGGCTCCTGGTCATTTTGCGCGTGAACGATGGAGGCCTGACTTCACGAACCTCACGTACCGATCGGCGGCGGGTTGGAGGCTCGCGAGCGTGGCCTGCCGGCTCTCGAATTTCGGTCTTGTACGCAGGAGGGCCACGATAGGCATCTGAAGGGGGCGGCGGCAGGATATCGTTATAAGCCTGTCGGCCGGAATATTGTGATTGAGCGTTGTATTCTGGTGGTGACGTTGAGGAACTCAGAGGTTCTCGGATCTCCGTCTGGTAGTGCCCGTACGAGCCACCAGTGGGCATGGTCTCGGATCGCTTCACGGACGGATGCCCCATCGGACTTGCGTCATGCTGCATCGAATGCGATCGAGTCTTTTCTGATGGCATGCGCATTGATTGCGACAATCCTCGCAGATACGATAATGGGGGTGGTCTCTGTGATCGAACTCCCTCTTGTCGCTCGCGTTCTCGCGGAGAAACTCGGGGCAGATTCTCTTGATCGCGGCTCGATGCTCGTTGAGATGTAGAGGGGCGGCGTGCGGCCTGTTCTGGCCGAGTTTCACCTTTCGGACCGTAGCTGTGCTGGTCCTGCGAGGACGCTCGCCGACTCATTGATGGCCTGATCTCTGAAGCTTGCCGACTGCGACCGCCCGATCTCTCGATATACTCGCGGGCATTGCCTTGCGCAGAGGCCAATCGTTCGCTGCGTTCTGCGTGAACACGGTCCTGCTCGTGCATTTGTCTGGCAGCCGCTTCCCTTTGGCGGGATAAGTACTCTTGAGCGTCGTCCATCCTTCGGGGAATTTCATCTCGCCGTCGGTCATCTGGCTGTTCCCTTCGGCTTCGCGATTGTGCGTATTTGTCGTTATCTGAACTCTCGGAGCTTTCAGATGTGAAATGCGGCGTTTTGTATTTTTGTTCCCGCTCTCGACGCGTGTCTTTGGTTGTCTTTTTCGATTTCTCGCGTCGGTCCGCACGTGTGCTCTCTTTGGCTTCTTTTGCGCTTTCACGAAGCTTCTCCTTCAAATCCTGTGCCGTCCGCCGGGACCGTTCAGTCTCTGTTTCCTTGCGTGTGGAGCGTGGCGGAGGATCGAACTCCGCCCAAGAAGGACGGTGCTCCTCGTAGACAGGCCGAACATTCTCGTATGAGGTGTAAGTGTACGGCGACGACTTGGGCCACTCTTGCGTCGAATGATGTGACTGGCGTAGCGGTGCTTCTGATGTGCCGCGACGTCCTGACTGCTCGCTCCTCAGCGCTGCAAGCTTGACTTCTGCGTCATAACGAGCTCGCGCCTTGTCGTCGATGAGACGCTCGTAGGAAGTTTGAATGATGTGAAATCTGTCGGCAGCAGCCTGCTTCGCACTCGGATCGGGGACCTTGTCGGGATGACATTTCAGCACAAGCTTGCGATATGCGGATTTGATGGCGGCAGAATCGGCATCTCTCGCAACCCCGAGCGCTAAATATGGATCTGGAGGAAGATCCGCCATGATCGGTCTGCTATCGAGCGTGGGTAGAGTCGTGGGTGTGATGCAGCGACTCTACTGCGATATGACCGAAGTGGAGTGAGGCAGAGTTGTGTAACGATCCTGAAGGTTGAGTCGAGTGTTCGCAATAGTAATGGACTGAGGTATTGTAGTGTTGGAGGGATATTAGTGAGCACGCCACCAATGATGGAAATCGTGACGATCCGCAGCAGAGTGCGCAAGCCGAGAAGACAGCTGAAGTCTGCCGGGGCGATGTGCACAGCGAGCACCGACCGTGGCGGCGTGGAGTGAGTAACTGACTTTGGACGATCGCCGTCTAGAGTGAAATAAAGTATGGGTTTGGGATGTGCACAAAATCGGTCCTGGCCGGCCCGTTGAGCGCCAAAGGGAAGATAGATGTCTGACTGACTGTGCACAGGTGCCGGGCGTCGAGGTTGTGCGCGAATGACGTCGATGCGGCTAGATGCTTCTGCGGAAGGGTTGCTGCGCAAAAAAGAATGCAGGGGCTCGAAAGAGACTGATACAGCGTGTCGACGAGTGAACGGGAGTATTAGAAACCCTTTAACGTGAGCGTGGATGAGTTGGGCGTCGTGATGTGTTGGCACTGATGAAGTGTGTAAAGCCCTCTCTCGTCAGATGTTGCGGCGGCGGTGAATCGGAATGTCGGCGGCGGCGGCGGCGCCAGCGTTACAGTGTGAGGCCGGAGTAGAAGAGAGGCGTGCGCGCATACGGTTGGTGCGTGAGGGTGAAGCGACGATTGCTTTTCGGGTGGGATCGCTCCAGGGCTCTGTTTCTTTCTGGCCTGTCTGTCTCTCTCGGTTTCTCCCAGGAAATGGGGGCGAAGTTGGCCCGTGGTGAGACGAGGAAGCCGTGGGAGCGAACGGGTGCAAGCGGCCGAATTTAGGGTGAAAAGACCGAAACCGTCCTACTGCAATAAACTGCTGGCGGCAGAGAGAGAGAGAAAGCAACAGGCACCTGCATGCACTCCAGGGCTCTGTGTGATGATGCGAGAGGGAACGAGAGACAGAAGTGAGACGGGAGCTTCCGAGTTGGGCAACTTCGCCGACTTTTGCTCGATGGAGACTGTCTGGATCGGCTTTTGGATTCCGGTCTTCGCTGATCCCGGCGTTTTGCCAACAGACGATGGCTTGATAATTCGAGATGGTGTTCGCCTGTAGCCAGGTAGTTACTCCTGTGTGCGAGTCTCTTCCCGTCGCGTATGCAGGGTGCGCGGAGGTAGGATCTCAGGCCTATACGACCGATGAATCCGGAACTGCAAGTATGAAGAGTAGAGAGCGTGGCGACCGGGAGAGGCGTGGATCCAATACCAGAATGCCTCTGATTCGACACAGCAACGGGGGAAAGGATTATTCAAACGAACGAGACCGTACGCAATGATGGTCGTGGAGATGATCGAATGACCGAACCGGAAGAGATGGCGCTGCGACTCGGGCAGCAAAGACGATGCATATGCTTCCACGTAGCGACAGGTCAAAGCCGGTCTCTTTAAGAGCATGCGACTCTTTCTTCCAGTCACGTTTACGATGCTCTACTCCACCCGCCGGCGATTGGTCGTGTGCTGCAGTAGTCTCGCAGCGCTTATTGTGCGAAGGTGGACACAGGATATCACAGCACAGAACAGCACAGTACATGTCGTTGATAACAATGATCACAGTGCAATACTTCGATTTGGTCGCTTGGATGTTCCTGTGACGGGGCTGCGTGCGCTCATCATACCGCCTCCAAGGTGACCCGCTCCACATCCTGCTGACAATTTTGTCGTCATCACGTTCTCGACTTCGGTGCTGTACAGTGAGTATATTGAGATGCATGAGTGTACATCCACGGATACTCAATTCAGTCCCTGGTACGACCTTGCTCTGCTGTATCTCGATATCCCGGTCCCTGCAATGATGAGACCATGGTGATCCATGTACAGTGCGTGAGACACATTTACACCACTGTACGTACACTCGGTGAGGGATGTACTAGGGTTACCACCTGTGGCTCGCCGAAACCGTCGACCTGCTTGTCCAGGTCAGGTGCTTCTTGGCGGCGATCTAGAAGACTTGGGGTGCTGCGCACGCCACGGCGAACACCAACCATGAGTGAGAGAATCCTGTGCCTGCCACGATAAGTGCGCTCTACTGAACTTGCTGCGCACAAAAGCCTCGCAACAGAGTTCGATGCCCTCGTTCTCGCTGTTCTCGTGTGACTGGCGGACTTGATCGCTCCCATCGTGTACCGTCGTGACAGACGTGGCTCTTCAACCGTTGCAAATGTTCTAGACGCTGCCGCGCCAACCAACCATGGGAAAGCATGGTAACGAGACCATCGACCATCGCTTTTCGTTCCGCGTGGACAGAAAATTGTGTGTGCAGCGGTGACTGTACGGTACAGAGTGGGACTACCCCGCGTTCGTACTATCGCATCCGTCGATGGAATAATAAATGACTCGCGGTATTCCAAGGTTGTCCTGTACTGTATGGGGCAGGGCGCTTGCTCGCTGTGAGCACCTGCCCTAATTCCGTAACGGTTGTGCAAGTTGTGCCTGCCTGTTTCTCCAAAAACACTCACCCCTCTGACCTATGAGAGGGCGGGATTGCATTATCCTTGCTGTGACCAATCGCAGATCAACCTGGGCTCTGCGACTTCCCACTCACCTGCGCCCGGGGGGATAGATGGCTGCAGACGAAAGGCATTTTTGGCGCTGAGGCACGGCCGTAGGCTTGCAGTTGCCATCGTCACAGTCGGGATCGATCTTCGACAGGTCAGTGGTTCCCTCTGCTCCACACGTCGCCCGCGGGCAGAGACGCACAGCTCTCCCGAAAAGAATGTGAGTATGGGTTCGACGAGCTGGAATGCCCTCGTCCATGTCATGAGAATGTACTGTGATGTGGGATGGATATCTCATATGCCTGTCCCACACGAACCTGTGTATTTTTGGTATTATCACAGTTCTTCCTGTAGGACAAAGTCAGCTTGTCCGCAGCCCTTGCGCTGTTGTGATCTAATTATATTAAAGGCTGATTGTTATATGGGAGTGGACCCACAACGTGGAGTGTGCGGGTCGGCGGTGGAGTGCGCAGGTGCTCTCATAGCCTCTCCAGGTAGGTATTCTCATGTACAGTACATCCCGCGAGCATTTCCGAGGCACCATTCTGGACTTCCGAAGAATCGATGATCGAGTGCACGAAACAGACAACACGGAGGTCTGCAGAGTCACGCATCTGCCACGACCAGATTCAAAGATGCAGGGTGGAGCACTCTCATGTCATCAGAGATCCTGAACCGTTGGTCTCGCGTGGCCCTGCGGCACCCATGTGTACAGTTCAAGCACATTGCATCCGTGCGTTGTTCTTAGCATCGTCATGGACTGGCCAATATTGGCAGCATCATGACTGACATTGCAATACTGAGACTGGGCTCCGTCTCTTCGATCACTGCGCCCTAAATCTGCTCAATCGTTTCCATCGTCGACACCCTTCGTGCTGCAGTTGGTTGTCTGTCTGTCTGGGACCGGGTTTCTCCCGTGCTGAAAATCCGCCAACACAACGGACATGTGCCGCAATATGACCACCAACTGCATCACCTCAAACACAGGTGCCGCCGCAAGGATGCAGCAGTCCTTCCCGCACTGATGTCAACTATTAGCCCCAGCATCGTGTCTGTTTACTGCTACTGCAGGCAGATGGCATCATGAAAGCGGGAGATATGCCTCATGGTTCACTCATCACTGCGGCATCTTGATTTCCCCGCGGGTGCCCGTCTCTCCGTGGAATTCTGCAGCATGTGTACTGTGGACTACCTCGCGTGCAAATTCCACGAGGGGATAGTCCTGCAGAGAGCCCACGACAAGATTATGCATCACCGCCTGAGCACAACCCGTACAGCCAGTGCACCTGGGCATGCATTACATTACTCATCCAGACAGATCCTGACCGTTTTCAGAATCTGCTTTGTTCGCATTGCAGTTGTCATTATCGGACCGACGCCGTGGCCGAGACGCCGATCGTTTGCGCTCTCGCCGATCTTCAGGTACCCGTACCTTCCAGCAGAATATCAACGACAATCGGCTTGTTGTACGTTTTGGTCCCATGACCAAATGACCGTGCCGTGATGCTCGCGTTGACCACGGCAGTCGTCTCGCCGGCTTGTAGAGTATAGCCACGTCGACCCGTGAGATCAAGTAGCGATTGTTTCTTCGAGTTCTTTCCAGGGTCCTCCCACGGAAGCACACGCGACACTTGCTCCGTGGTCGATGATGACGACGGTTGCTCGTTCCATTCGATGATCTCGACACCACGTCCCTCGTGACAGTGACCACACACGTGTAGAAGTGGTCTGACCCTGGAAATGGTCCGAGCCAGCGTAGGACAGCCTCCTCCCTGCCAGTGACGGCTGGTATCACAGTGTCCTCGAGGCGGGCTGTGCGTAATCAAAAGATCAATATCGGAGGTTATGTTCGACCAGCATGCGTCTGCATCATCCTCAGCATACTGGAAGGCCCAATTCTGGCGTTTGTTCGTGTCCGCGTGTGAATAGGGCGAGCCGAACACTCGTAGTGTCACTCCTTTGCTCGGGATCAATACATCCTTGCGAACGTGTTGTAGATATACGATGGATGACTCGGATGTTAGAGATTCCCGAATATCTGCTACATCTTGAGGCATCACCGACCACCCTTCTTTGTGCTTTAGAGTATATTCTCGGTCCAGGGACAGATCATGGTTGCCTTTGACAATTGTTAGCTTGTAAAACCGAAGTGAACACGTACATCTGCAAAATTGACCTGCGACAACAATCTTGACCTCAAAGTCCACCTCTGTGAGCCACTGTACTGCCTTCTTCATCTCTGTGTGACTCCCTTGATTTGTGAGATCGCCGGCATGGATGAGAATATCGCCCTTTGGTAGGGTGTAGCCTTGTCCGGGAGCGGCATTATGGGTGTCAGAAATACACACAATGCGTACTTTGGTCAGCATCGTGAATGCTTCACTTGATTGCGATGGCGCTTGACGTCGTTTGTATTTTAGCTGAAGTCGTAGCTCGCACTGGATGGCTGATCGATTCGTGGATTGTATGAAGCAAAAGGATCAGAGATTCAAGCAAGCAAGAAAACGTGACTTCTACTCTGTCCGCCCGCTTGCACACATCATCATGCCCTCAGGTTTGGGCGATACGTCGATCTGTCAAGATCGTCATGTGTCAATAATCTACTGTGTTTTGACATGCTGAATATCGACCTCGCCGCCCGGCAATGTCTACAAAGTTGAGGACGAACACGTTGACGTCAGTCTACAAGTCGTCCAGGATATTCCATATCACGCCAGGTGGCGAATTTCCGATGGAAGGCTCCGTCCGTCTGAGATCAATCCGACTCGAGCCTAGACGCCACTATCAAGCATTACAATGCTATTGCGTTGCTGCCGAGTGAACCTGGCAATCAGAATTGACGTTACATGTTGGTAGGGAGACTCCTCATAAGCGAATGTGAGTAAAGACCTAGGAGCTACGCTTGTCTGGGCGCCTTGGATTGTCCTCGTTCAAACATCCTTCGGCTACTGAATATGTATCCGCAATCGACGATTGCAATATAGAAGGATATCGAGCCGGATGCAGGGCGATGTTTGTCGGCGACCGTCGCTAGCATATGCTGACGCTCGGGATGTTGAATGCAACGCCTGTACTCACCGATCATTTTCGTGCCGGTCGCTCAATACCGAAGTTCTGACTCATCTTCGTCTGCTCCTCATGAGGCTGCCATAATCTAGTTCGGAGCTGTCGAGACTCGCCTGAAGGCCGAATGTTGCTCTGCAAATGTTGGAAAATGTCCTTTTGAGCGTCCGGGGTGGTGCGGTGACGGGAGGCTCATTAAGCTCACTCGCTTCAATGGCCGACTGTGTGGATGTTCCGCGCGGTATAGTCACCTCTCCTTCTGTGATGGACTCGCCCGGATCATCAACAGCAGGATTGATCCGAGCAGCTAGTATTCAGTCTGCAGCAACCAAAGCCTAACTGTCGAGCATCGAATGCTTGATGAGAGGTGTTTTGAATACAGTTCCGCCAACGCCACGCTAATACTCAAACATTTATTGTACACTGCTCGTAAGCTCTAGCCATCACGAGAGACCTTTGTCTAAAAACTCTTTTGCTTCGTTGATTTTCGTCGCCAGGTAAGGACTTCCGCCGCGATCCGGGTGATTGAGCAGCATCATTTGCCGATGTTTCTTCCGGAGGATTTCTTTGGTGAGGCCTCGTTCGCTGATTGATCGAACAACTTAGTATTTGGAAACAATCTTGCATCGCAAATGAGGTAATGGTAACGAACCTTGTCTCCAAGATGAGTGCTGCTTCTTTTCGGCTCATTTGCCTCTCAAATCCGCCTTTGTAGAACGCCTTGCCCAGCGCATTTGTTCCGCCTCGATGCCGTCTGAGCGCGACTAGACCTGCGCGGCCCTGGAGATCGCAGTCAGCATGGCCCATGGATGCTGTGAAGCACGCGACCTACAAAAAACGCAGCAGCTGCGACGCCCACACCAAGCGCGATGACTGTCGCCATGTCGAGATAGGGTAGATGTAGAACTGGTGTGCGAAGATGATGTGACGCCCGAAGATGGGTTGTCTACTTCCAGGAAGGGATCCTGATGCCTGGGTGTAGTAATAAAATCATCGGGAATGCCTCGGAGGTCTTCTGAATCGCCGCTGCGCACGGACCACCGAACTTTTTGCGCCCACTCTGCAATAAGATTTCTCTTATCGGAATCAGAAGGTTATATCGAAGACAAACCACCATTCACCGCCAATATGAGGTAGGCCACCGCGATCGCACGGTCACAGCATCCACTGACAGGAATAGAATCGAGACGTGTTACTTCTGCTCGCAGCCATGCTACCCTTCCAAGGGCATCACATTCGTGCGCAACGATGCCAAGCTGTTCAGATTCTGTAGATCGAAATGTCACAAAAACGTGAGTTTGACTCGTGCTAGATGCATTCGTGAATGATTATTAATCTGTGAGGCACAGTTCAAAATGAAGCGCAATCCACGAAAGCTCGCCTGGACCAAGGCTTTCCGCCGAGCGCATGGCAAAGAAATGACAGTCGACTCTACGCTCGCCTTCGCACAGCGCCGCAACATCCCTGTCCGATATAACCGCGATTTGGTTGCAAAGACTCTACAGGCTATGCAACGAGTCTCCGAGATTCGCGTACGTCGCGAACGCCAATTCTACGTGAACCGCATGAAGGGCAATAAGGCCAGACAACTCGAGGATGACCGAAAGCTCGTGGCGGAGAACCAGCACTTGTTACCACCGCAATACCGCGACCAGGTACAAGACGTATTGACGGAAGACCTTGATGCCGAGAAGGTGGAGATGGAGGTCGAGGAGGACGAGCTCGAGTTGAAGAAGCAGGAGAGAATTTCCGCGTCTACGAGATCCAAGACAAAGGCGAAGGGAAAGCAACGGCTAGTACGAGGCCAGGGTCCCGAAGAGATGGACGTCGACGAGTAAAATCGTGGCGTCTGGCGAATCTGTCCTTTCCGAGCGATGGCGTTGGGGATTGTTTCTTTCGGGTTTCTGTATGCTACGATTGACGAAGCGTTGGCACTATCCAACTGAGAAAGTGTCGGATATGGAAACGCAACTTTGGCAGCAAGCTGGTCACAACTTCGCAACCACGAATGCGCCGACTGTTTTTATTATCCAGGTCATCTCCAACTACGGACCACCAGAGGGCCACAGCAGCCGCGGTTCGAGACCAGGGATCATACGGTTCTAGGTGACACTCAACCAGCGGACGCCCTATGAGATTTCGGTACACATTGTTGCAGTCATTGGAGTCGGTTATGACCGGAAAATCATCAACATGATGGAATGATTGCACGGACCTTTCACAATCAGAGCCATCGGACTTCTGTGCCGAGTGGGAAATGCTGTATTTTCATGGTTGCCGTTAGTCAAGAAGACACAGGCCGGGGATGCATCCGCACGAATACAACGCCTTTGGGACCGAATCGGCTATCCGAGTGGGCATACAATGAACAAGCTGAAGCCGTTGCAATAGGCAGTGATCTCCCGGTACACAATGCATAATGTCAGTCCATTATTTCCAATGCTGTAGCAACGAAAGAGCCATTTTGCTCCGACGCTAAAACCGATTATCGGGTAGCTTCATAATAGGATAACAGGCACTATGTGTACGGCGAAGTGGACGATGTATTGCACGATGCCTTGCCATCACTGTAAGACTCGGCAACATGGACATGGTACCAGGAAGCGTTGCCGGAGGAGAGGCATTGCATGGGCGAGCCAGACTGTAATGAGCGATGACTTGAAAGACTCGACGGATGGGCAGAGATCAACCACCATTCTTTCCGGACCATGCCGTCTTGTACCCCAAACTTTCGGTTGGTGATGGCGGGAGGACGTGCTTTTTTTCCAAGCCAGCCGTGAGTGCTCAGGCGACGTTCAAATTGACGCATGTAAACCAACCGTGGAGGAGTGCGTTTGGAAACCCCTTCTCATTTGCGAGATTCATCGATTTGCAATGATGTTGATCAGCTCTTTGTCCTGGAGGGTGTGGCGCAGCAGAGGAGAACGACGCAGGCATCCGAATGAGTGAATATTTAGTGCCTGTGCAAGCCATGGGCTGGCCCACGTGCAGACAATACGCGGGGCGAGCAGCAAACAAGGTGAGAAGCAGCTAGCGATTGATGGCGTCGAGGGAGAGCTCCCGTATGTGCAACAGTGGTTGGGATGATGCAGTAAAGTACTTGGCTGCATCACATTCGGAAGTTTCGGATGATGGGAATACATACCACGAATGGATGGAGACTTTGAGGCCAGTGTAGAGCCGCACCTGGCCGTGATGCTGAAAATGAATGATCGTGAGGGTGAACCTAGAGTGTTGTCGTTCGCCCCAATCTACTCCTACTCAAATAACGTGTTTCTGCGCCGTCAATGAAATCAAGATTTACACATAGAGTTCCGTCATGAGTTCTGTTTTCTGAGTAGCGGGATTGCTTGCCAAGCGACGATGTCAGAGCAAACGTGAGAGGCTGACGCCTTGATGGTCACTTCCCGCATTCTCGATCGTCCATTGTGGTCCGTCGATGGTGGAGGCCAACAGGAGCTATCTCGACATCAATGCAGCTGCCCACGCAATTGATCATCAGACCGACCACCACCTGTAGGCATCCCGCAATCGATCGTCATATTGTTATGATGATTACTCTGCAGCCATGAAACCTCGAGTTCAGTCCGACAATGTTTACATACCCTGCAATAAATATTGTTATCATTGCAGACACCTACCTGGGTAGCAGCCATGAAGGTGTCGCAGTCCCGTAGCCACAGTACTTCGATCCCCAGATCGTGTTCGTTACATCCAGAAAGAGCTGCGAGCTTTCCCCAGTGTCATCATCATCAGGAAGCGCCAGACGGGAACCTAGGGCCTGGCACGACCGTACAATGGATCTTCGTTCCGCGTGCAGATGAGAGCCAGCCAGTAGGCGCGGAAGCTCTGTTCTACATCCAGCGCAACCGTTCCAAGTTGACCGCCACGTATCGACGATTCTGATGGCGCCCGTTGGCCTTGCATGCCTGAGTGCTGTATAGAAATGATCTTTTCATATAAAAAAAAACTCTGATCGTGCATGGAAATGGCCTAGCAGCGATGAAGCCAGTGGATCACGAGTTCACTCCGACCATCGTTCCTGCCGTCCGAACAAGCCCCGACTGGATTAGGTTCAGACAAAACATCGATTGTTGCTGGGTAAAGTTGGGCTAGCTCACAATCAAATTCGTAATGCCGTCATGATGCGTGTACTTGTGCCTACCAACTTGTCTGTGGCTGAACACACCCGCCCCACCTCCTCTTGCTCCGAGCGCTTCCAAGCTTTGGTCGTCGGTGCCTACGTCCTCTTCATCATCTTCGTGAAGCGTCTTCCTCTCCTTCTCCTCCCTCATCATTCTCCATCACCGTCAATAATAATCGACTCAGAAAGCATTTGTCTTTCCAGCAGCAATCATGATCGACCCAGTTCAGGCTTTCGCCGCGGCGGCGTCCTCGGTCGCTCCCCGTGAGTTGCTCTCTGTTGGAAAGCGACGAGTTGCGTCTCGAAAATAAACTAACTGTGACCAGTGCCCACCGTGGTCCCATCTCTCCCTGAGTACCAGGTTGCCACCGAGACTGGCTTCAGAACTCTCTGGTAAGTCGAAATTTGGTCACTACGGTGATCGGAGAAACGATGCCTTCCCGCGTGGTGATGTGTTGCGAAAGAACGCATTTGAGCCTACCTATGGCATCGTTGAAACTTTGAAGCTTGACGAACTGAACATCGTACTGACTGGTCCTCCAGGGTTGTCTTCGTGGTCATGACTGTCGCCTCGGTTGTTTTCACTGGTTTGGCCTGGAACGTTCCCGCTGTAAGTATCGTCATATTGGATGTCGGAAGTGTTGAAACTGACCAAATCACAGTCCAAGCGCGTTTACCACATCATCACCACCTTCATCACCGTCATCGCCGCCCTTTCCTACTTCGCCATGGCCACTGGGCACGGTGCCTCTTACCACCACGTTAAGGTCAAGGAGTCCCACAAGCACGTTCCGGACACCACCCACGAGATCTACCGCGAGGTCTACTACGCGCGTTACATCGACTGGAGCTTGACCACTCCTCTCCTCCTCCTCGACTTGGCTCTGCTCGCCGGTCTCAACGGCGCCGACATCCTGGTCACCATCTTCGCCGACCTGATCATGATTCTCACTGGTCTCTTCGCTGCCTTCGGTGCTGAGGGTACACCGCAGAAGTGGGGCTGGTACACCATTGCCTGCATTGCCTACCTCGTTGTCATTTTCGAGCTTGTCTTCCACGGCCGTCGCGCCGCTGTTGCCAAGGGTGGCAAGGTTGGAAACTTCTTCAACGCCATCGGTGGCTTCACCCTCCTCATCTGGACAGTCTACCCTATGTAAGTTTCCGCAATCACAGAGACCGACGAATTTGGGCCAGTGCTAACCTGACTATACAGCATCTGGGGTATCGCTGACGGCAGCCGCAACCTCAACATCGACGAGGAGATTATTGCTTACGCTGTGCTCGACATCCTTGCCAAGCCCATCTTCGGTGCCTGGCTCTTGTTCACCCACGTCAGCATCCCTGAGTCTAACGTCGAGATCGGTGGTTTCTGGTCCCAGGGCCTCAGCTCCGAGGGCGCTATCCGCGTTGGTGACGACGAGGAGGGTGCTTAGATTGACCCCAACAGCCGCACACGCTGAGTCTCGCTCAACGAAATTGCTGCAAATTCAAAATGGCTCACGCGCACCAATGCACATCCTGTCCACTTGCTCTGAGGCGGTTGAGCGTATGTCAGCGCAGCCTCCATCTACGACAACCAAGCATGGAATGATGCGGTATACTATCTTGGCATGATACCAGAGGGTTCTCTTCGACAAAAGCCTGTCATTAATTGTTCTCGACCTGATGATCTGCTTTTGCGAATCACGCACGAATCGTAGTTAATGTATGATGAGAAAAGAAGCGCTACAGCTTATTTTCTAAACTTTCCATTTTCATTGTCTTCCGTCGATGACACTGTGTCTTGCTTCGTTTTGGATTGTTCGAAAGATCCGTGGTACGACAGACTCGATGGATCAGCGACTACTCCATGACTCTAGCGACGAGCACCTATGTAGTGCGTTCAAGCAGCTTCGAGTTGGTTTTGAGCTACCGTGAGCCGCATGGTGCTGCAGCTTAAGCTCACTTCTGCCGATTGCAGCTTTCCCCACAAAAGATGGCAGAAGCAGCCGTGGGGCAGCTGTAGTCACCAATCAAATTGAGCTTTGGAGGTTACAGAAGATCGCCGCAAAGCTCGCGCCTCGCCCTACGTCAGGGTTTGATTCCACAGAAGGCACCCTGGAGTGCCTGTAAGGTTAACGATCGGGAGGTTTAGACATTTCACTCCTCGCCGACACCTCCAAACTTTCATCACCCGTTCCCATCTCTGCATCAGTCGCCAAACTTGCAAGCAAACCACTACTGCCAGATTCTCAAACATGTCCGACGATCAGAACAAAGGCGACCGACCGTCTGGTGTTGAGCAGACCACCGGCACAAAACAGGAGCTTCAGCAAAACCTTGAGAAGCATCTGCACAAACGACCTGATGCGCAGGACCTGAAGGACCGCCACATTCTACATGACACCACGGCCGCATCGACCTTGCAAGCCCGACAGGCGGAGCTAGAGAGGCAGATGATCACCGACAACTTGAAGAAGGTGAGTGCGTTAGCAATGAAAGTCAAGCTGCAGGGACGACCGTTCGACCCGGATTTAACATTGAATCGCCCTCTTTGCCATCGTATCTGTGTCGGCGTTCGCGAGTAAGGCTGGCCGTTGACAACGAAGTCTGACAATTTGAAAACAGGGTCTGTCGAAGCGACCTGAACGTGGGCAGCTCATTGAGCGAAACATTCTTCCGGATTCCAGCGTCGCACCCGCAATCATCGGACAACAGAAAGAGCTGGAGAAGAGCATGAAAGCGGATCAGCTGGACAAAGCACTGCAACAGCGACCTGAGAAGGAGACGTTGATCAAAGGAGGAATCTTGAAGGATCAGGAATAGAGAGTCCTTCACTTTGTGCGCTTGTTTTACAAGCGTCCTTGACAAATGCGATGAAAGCCAAAGCTGTGTAAATGGTACACGAGTCGACGAAACGTCTTTGTATAGTTTCAATGGAATTTGTACTGGTGGAGCAACGTGCCACCGCGTACGAGAGACGGCCAAGTCTTCGTTTCGTCGTAACAATTATTGCGTCGGGGCGATAGAGAAGTGGTCATGCCGTTTACTCGGATTGGATCTCACGTACTGCGAGGATCCCGGCAGCCATCGGAAGCTGGTGTGGCCGCGCGATCATTGCTACATGCAAGCCAGGCGACGGCAGACTACCCGATTAATGACAGGTGACTCGAGGTTTACGCTTGACAGCTTGGTGACATGCAATGCCAAATTTTGGCGCAGGTTCACGTGAGGAGGCGTTCGCAGGTGGAAATGTCGCAAATGATGCAAGTTCCGAGTGGCATTCGCCTCAGCGAGATCACGCAGGAGTCAGGACGAGTGTTTCAGCACCAGTCATCACAGAGAGAGCAAGGATTACACGCGATGTCGTAGCCAGTACAGACCACGCCACGAGCGCGTGAGAGAGAACTCCTGAGTAGCGCATGCGCTCTTGAGAGCGCGCCATGGCACTGACGTAATGTACAAGGCTGTGAAATGAGGATCAACCCGCACTGAAGTTGCAGATCGGAACGTTGTTGTTTGCTGATGGGTTGATGTGCAGGGCGACCGTCAGTTTCAACCCGCGATCAGGGCCTTGAGCAACGCTCGTTTCTAGAAGGCTGATTCGCCTGTCTGAATTCAATACCACCATTGCTCATGATCTACATGTTCGTTGACAGACAGTGTCTGACCACCCTCATGTTCGTACTGTTCAGCCGTGTCTGAGAATACTGACTGATGCACATGTGTGAGCAAGAGAGATTGGACGGATGCCTGTAAAAGCCATTCTCTCCGTTGGGAAATCACAATACGATCGCGATGCGGGATCCTTGCGGAGGGCGTTTTAATTTGACGTGCAATGTATTGGATGGGCCGAGCTAATGCCGAACGGGCGTTAGAGCAGTAATGAAATCACGTCTGAAATAGCAACCCGCTTTTAAACGACCCTGAACGAGGCGCACACGAAGGCGGCATCGGCGTGTCGGAAATCATGCGGATTGATCATTGTGACCCGATGTTTGAAGTTACTCCGGTATTTTCTTCATACAGGACGTCTTGATGTCCTTTACATTCGCCATACTGTAGCAATGACATGGAACTGGAAGTGGGCAGAAGGGCAATGGAAGGGCCAGTAGTTTGCTGAAATGGTATTTTTAGTCCCAGTGTTCACCGATGTACACACTTATTTGTTGGAAAGTCCTGTTGTTGCTATCGACCATATCGAGCATTTGCGAATCAGCAGCACATTCTCGACGCATGGGGTGGGATGTGAGCTGCCGCATCTATGGGCCCCTTCTGGTGCTGGAGGAGCTTGTCATAATCCCCGTCTTTGATGTCACCACAGCAGACTTTATTAGCCTTTCTGACATGTCGCAATGAATCACCACTTCGGCACTGCATAATGTGCGACTGAGCTGAATGTAGCGACGATGTAATCCCGGCAAATGTGCGGAATGCTCACCAAGCCTTGTAGTATTGTACAAAACAGAAGTGAAAATCTCTCGCAACTGAAGGAAGAGGTATGGATCTGGATCTTGAGGGGGACACAGTAGAACAGGCGCCGTTGAGTTTGATGCCGATGCAGCTAAATGGAGTCAGCATATTATTATTACATTCCCAAGGTTGCCTGTGTTTCGAGCTATTTTTAGAAGCGGGCGGAAGCTTTGTCCAGAAGGGTTAGCCCATATTCAGTAAGAGCGGCCGACGAGGACGGATGCCAACCAATTCCCTGGGAGGACCAGACACACACTGGGAGCAACCCAAGCAGGTCGTCCGTCGCCGTTGAAACGAACCTGTCTACGGGATCCTACTGTTATAGTAATATATCGCAGGAATTATGGTAATAATAATAACTAACCTTGTAAGAGAGAATGACAGTGCTTCTCACACGCGCACCCACACCCCATCCGCTCTGGAACTGCCCGAGACTCCATGCACGTTTGTTGACCCATTCCTTTTAGGGCAATCGGACGAGGCTTGCTGCAATTGCACCTGCAGCCAGGCAAAGCGAGCAGGCAAATCGACACCTCCATTCGTCTCCACTTCCTCTGCGACCCTTCCTTCCTCCTGTGTGCAAGGGAGCACACCTGCACCTCTAGTTGTGCTCGTCGTTCACTCGCATACGCCTTCACCTACTGACCTTTTCTCTCCGTCTCTGTTACTCATTTTCTTTCTTCCGTCAATTCGTCGCCAGTACGACACCTTCAAATCATATCCTCCGACTTCTGCGCCTCCGTCTTTCGACATCACCGTTCACGCCATAGCGACCTCGACGACAAACGCGTCCACTTCCTTTGCGACTTGTGCTCCGCCTCAAAGCCGCGCATATTTAGAGTGCCGCGCAGCGCATCTGGCCCGACGGGAGAGACGAGTTGGAAAGTGCAAAAGACTGCGGAACACATATCATTTTCGACGAGCGCAACAAGTGCTGTAGCGCTGAGCTGCGCCTCTTCCTTTCAAATCGATCCTGTCGCAACCTGCCTGCTTCGCACTGCGCACGCTTGGCGACCGGCTTACAACACCACAACGAGCATTTGGACTCGATTCAAATTCGACTTCTTCGCAGAGACTCACATCTGCACTGGAAATCTCTACATTCTCTCAAGCGTAATCCACGCATCATTTCGTGACGTCTTCGGATCAAGGTGGAATTAATTCGAGACTCGTCCGTTTAACCCAGCTGGTAAGTTGACGCTTTTCGCCTCACTCTCGTTCTATGAAAGCGATTCCACCCTTCTATAGCAGAGGGTGCAGGCATTTGAGCAGACGATCATTGCGTCCTCTCTTGCATTCCTATGCACTTCCGGCCACAGCAGTGATGGCTGTGCGAAAATGCATGCTGATTGGTTCACAGCGCTTGTGGTAGCGGCTCGTGCAGACTTCTCATTGGCTAGCGCCCAGACGAGCACTTTCGAAGCCGGCTCAGTTCATCGGCAGCTGCAGCTCTCACACAGAGGATTGGTCCAACGCCGATTCTGTTCGCTGCTGTTCGCGAGCGTCTATCTGCAAGGCGTGGCAAGACATTTCGAACCCACTTTTGAATTATCCTGCCCAGCTCATCACACGTCGCGACTATGTGTTAAAGCATACTATAGATCGACATCCTCGCCAGCTGAACAAGTATCGAGTCCGGTTCTTCCACTCCTCGTCGTCCTAACAAGCTTGTCGCTGCTCACGCGATATCACCCAAACTTATTTAGAGATCTGGTATCTCTGGTCATATTTCTTCCTGGTGAAGATCTATCGGTGCGTAACTTCGTGCATGGCGCAAATTGCGCGCCACTATGCCTGCCCGAGATTCCGTGCTTTCAAAGCATTCGTTTCTCTCATCTTCGTCAGCCTGTGTCGTAGGACAAATCCTTGCTCTGCAATACTAACATGCTGATCCTTAGATCATTTCCCGTCACCAGTGAAATCACTCAATCATTCACTGCGCCTGTTTCTGTCTTGCACTCTAATTCGCCCCTACGCCTACTTCACAAGGATGAACCATTACCAGCACACATCGTCCTTGCGACCATCGACATCGCATTTTCCATCAACCACAGTGTCGATAATGACAGACTCTGAGCCCTTGCCGCAACAACAATACCAACCAGAGGTGTCATTACACAAACCTGACACAACATCGTCTAACTTCATGGGGTCCTACTCGAGATATCATCACCACAAGCTCAGTGACTCAACCAACACGACGGCATCCAACGAGTCGTCGCCGACAGCTACTTACTCGGTTGTTGATGACTCGAGCGCCACAGAACCCTCTCCAGGCTCGTCACCCGAATCACCGCCGCCCACCTCATTCAACGTCGGCCTGATGCGACCGCGGACGGCCGACGAGGCCCGTGGAACTTTCTTTGAGATGCAGAAGCAGCCTATGCCGAAAAAGGGACGAAATCTCAAGAACTTGGCGGTCAACACAAGCGGCAAGCCGGGCAAGGCTCCCGCCCCGTTGAACTTACCACTCCGCGCAGCGGTAGATCCGAAGCTGTCGATCCTATCGCCATCTTTTGTCAAGCCACCGACACCGCCGAGGCGCAAGCCCGCTGCGCTCGGCTTGACAATCATGACGCCGGGCCTGAACAAGGCTCCGCCGCAAGAAATCCGCCTGGCTATTCCTCCAACTCCAGGATTCAGCAAACCTGCTACTCTGAGACATTTCCAATCATCTCCTTCATTGCCATTAGTCAGCGGCTTGAGCTTTTCCAATGGACCTTCAAATTCAGAAAAGCGTCGACCGCAGCCACTCGACACTCTTTTCTCTCCTCTCAAGGAATCTTTCCATGTTGTGGAAGAGGAGGAACAGAACTTCGATGTTCCTTTATCACGCGAGGAGAAGCCGGAAGCATACCCCAACGGACCGATCTGCATTTATGAGCCCAACGTCTATCTCTACCTCGAGCCGACAGCAGCACAAGCCAGCACATTCGATGTCATTCTCAATGTGGCGAGTGAAGTCCGAAATCCTTTCGTCAAACCAGCCGAAACACCGGCTATAGAACCTGACATTCGGATAGACGGTGGTGGGGGCATACAATATGCCCCAAGGCGTGCTCCCGACGTCGAACAGAAAGCGTCTCATGCATATCAAGCCAGCGAACCTTCAACTCAGAAATACGTCGCTACATTGGCCGAGGAAAAGCAGCCAGAGTACATTCACATCCCTTGGGAACACAATAGTGATATTGTACCAGAGCTTCTCGGCCTATGTAAAATGATGGATGAAAAAGTCAATGAGGGCAAACGGGTACTCGTTCACTGTCAATGCGGCGTGAGCCGTTCTGCAAGTCTCGTGGTCGCATACGGGCTCTACAAAGCACCTCAGCTCAGCGTGCAAGAAGCTTACGACTTCGTCAAGTCAAGGAGTAAGTGGATCGGGCCAAATATGAATTTGATCATGCAGTTGCAAGAATTCCGATCTAGCCTCGCGAACGGTGGCCGACTTGCCAGCAATCGTGGAAGTGGAATGAGCCCAATTACCCCAACGTCCGCTTTGAGCGATTGGCGTTCACCCTTTTCAGTAAGGCAATCATCTTTCGGATCTCAAGATGGGCCTTTCACCGGCAGAATCTCGCCTTCGGTCGAACAGAAGAACTCTGTCGACCTGGGTAGGGTCAGCCCTGCCCCATCATCTGCGCCTGGTGGGGCTTTTTGGCAGAGAAACGGCAGCACTGCGAATTCCATCAATTCAATTGGAACAGTCCGAACTACGAGTGCCTTTGTCGACCCCTCAGGTCACGTTGTGCCCGTTCTAAATATCGTAGATTCCAATCATCCGGATTTCGGAAAATCTGTCTCGGCCCTGGAGGCTGCGCCAATGTCACCTGCCCTAGAAGCTCCTCCAATGGAGTTGCCGCTTTCACCGCGAGCAACCGAATTCGCCATGCTTCCTCTGCAACCGTCACAAGAAGTGGACTCGGTCGACAAATTCGGCCTGATGTCGCCAACAGCCAATGGATTCGGTCAATCGTTGTTTGATCGGTCAGCACTTTTGGCGTCGCTCGGCATGGGTTCTATGGGTCGGGACGAAGACACGCCGCGGCGCTCACTGTCAGGTCGGAACCGGGATTCTTATGTTCAGGCCGAGCCACAACCTGCGCCGCAACCTGCACCTAGGCTTGAACCATTGTCATTCGCACGCAGACTCCGGAAGAAAATCTCCGCGCCGAGCATTCGAGAGCAGGAGCAGCTTCAGAGCTTGCAGGCCAAGATCAAAGCTAGTCTACCTCTCCGACGCGCTGTAGCCAATCTCAGTACTGTCGACGAAGCTCTCACGTCGCCTCGCGCGACAGAATTCACACACAACCCCTTCGCTTTGACCATCCGTACCGAGCATCGGCCGCACGATCCATTACGCCCACGAACATCAGATGGCTCAGATCCTCGCAGTCCTGCACTAACGGGCGCGAATCCTATCACAAGGAACATCTACGACGTTCTGTGATTCCGCAAAAGTCCAAGACTTATTCCTGAATACAGTCAACTCGACGCTCCTCAACTTAACAATATCCCTGCTCCTGATTCATTTGTTGCTATGTTGGCGTAACGGAGGTTTGGGAATACAAGATATACCCTGCTGAGTAAATTCATGGGGCGCACGGAGTTCTCGGCATAGCATCTGGATGATGCGGCAGCTTCCTGTGCAAAGGACAAGCAATGGCTCTGTCCTCGGTTTTGCGGGTTATCGACATGCAGGATAAGCATGTCTGGTCCTATGTATTTCTACAGCTCCATCGCGTATATGACCACAGGTCATCGAAATATAATTCAACTTGCTTGTATGTTTGCGCTCGTGGTGTCCCAGCTTTGGTCTCATTATGGAAGTTTACACGTAGTTCGTTCCCGGGTATCGTTGCTCGGTCATGTTCTCGCCTCAACCAACGAAGGAGAGTGCCCGAATAGCATACATATAAAACGGGCATTTACGCTTGACCCTTGCGTACCTTCTCAACCCACTCCATAAAGAAGCCAACGTCCTTCGTCACAGCACCAGGGATGCCCACCTTTTGGACCCACATAGGCAAAGAGCCGCCTGCGTCACTCGCGGTCGCCATCTGCCACTTAACCTTGGTCCCGTTCTCCAGGAGTGACCCATACTCAACACTACAGTAGACACCTTCCGTCATCTTCGCGTCGTTTCGGTATTTGGAGCCCGACATGTGTGTTGTGTCCACCGGGATTTGCGCCACAAAGAACTCGCCCTCACGCTTCGCCGTAACGACTAACACGCGGAAAATCCGTTGTCCGAGCGGACCAGGCATGTTATGGGCCATCTCCATCACCACCGCACGCGCTTCGTTCCAGACATCACCCTCGGGTCCGACCTGCGCCTCTACCGGCCACGAGAGCACCTCGTGTGCATCAAACAGGAGCGGCGTGTAGTCCTTCTCGTGCTGGCTGTGGTCTTGGCGCAGGCCGCCGTCGAACTCCTCCCAGCTGGCGGTGCCGGCCTTGGCAGCATTCTCATGGATGCTGGTACGTCCACACCAGTTTTCTACAGTCCGTCCATCTTCAGCGCGGGCATGAACAGGCAGCTCCGAGCTCTGGATCTCGTGCGTGACGACTTCAACTCGGGCGGTGCTGGGCGGTGAGGGCTTATCGCGCGCCTTGACGGTGAAGTGTTTAGGCCAATATTGAGTTGTGAAGGCGTAGCCTTCGGAGAGGACGTTGTGTAGGAAGGCAGATAACTGGGGCTGTTCGCCGGCGGTTTGGTGTGCGGCGAGATCTGGGTGATCGGGAAGGTTGGCGGGCTTCAAGATGCGCATACGAACCAAGGGTCCAAGGCCATTAGCAGCGGGCGAGTGTGCCTTGATGTCGGCGACATTAGTTGCGACGGGATTGTTGTTCGGATCGGCTATCGTTGCTGGCGGACCAACAAGGCCGGTCGTAGGTACTGCGCCTCCTGACATTGTTTCGAAAAATGTGTATGAGTTTAGGTCTATGCGAAATGTGATGTACTATCTTGGGAGGTCTGATCGTCAAGTATATCTATAGATGGGCCTGCCGCTTCAGACGCGGCGACTCGAGCTTCCGGCGCGTCATTGAAGGGCTACTTTAGCTACGCCGAGGAAGCGATAATGACGTTGCCCAATGACTTGCACAATTGCCTCTACATTTTCTACGAGAAGACATACTGTTTTGTACATAGTCAATTACACGGGCACGCGTGAAGCATTAGGCTGATTTTCGAAAAAAATATTCTACAATCTGGCTCTCTTCCAAAGGGATTGGCAGCAATCAACCAGGATACTCTTCCTTACTATTGTCTAAGAAAACCTCCCAGCAACTAGAGCTGACGTCAGTCGTCCGCAACGATGCCTTCCAAACGCGATAAAGCAGATCATAGCAAGCCATGTTCACTATGTGCAACTCGACGCGATGTCCTCATCCGGTGCCAAATAGACGAGACCGGCAAATGGAACTTCGTCTGTACCGGGAAATGTTGGAAAGACGTCTCGGGCGGCGTTATGGACGGTGATGGTACCGAGGAGCACAAGTTCTACCGCTACGGAGGCATGTGGAAGAACAAGCACGAGGCTGTGAGCGCGAAAAAGCCCAAGGGTATCGGAAAGAAGAAGGAAGCAAATAGTGCTGTCGATGCAGTTCAGTCGGCGCATAACGGGAGTTCAGATGCTGTATCATCGTCAAGTGCCGATCACATGTCCGATGGGACTTCATGTCCCAATCACATGTCTGATAAGACGTCAGGTTGAGGCGGCATATTCAACCGCCTCAGCAGTCAATTGGTCTCCAACATGATTACATGGCTTCGGCTGTAGCTGTGGCTGTGGCTGCTAATAGCATTTCCTATGCTTCTTAACGATCGGGATCGACATGGGCTTCGCTTGCATCATTCTTATTACAGAGCCTGAGAAATGAGTCATCGCCGGCTACTCTTATGGTCGCGTACGCATCCGAGATCTTTCCAGCGGTGGCTTCACTTCCGAAAGCTACCATTCACATCGTCATGGATGCAGCATTCTTATGTCATTGCTCAAGTCTCTGCAGGGAGCTCTTTCAAAGCGCTATAGTCAAGTGAAAGTGAGCAGATTTAATTTCGATTGCACCACTTCTACGATTGGCAGATGCGGACATCCTTCAACATCTTGACTTTGTACAGAACTTTCGGCCGCAGATCGACCTCGTTATCGGGATGGCCAAGTCACAGCATACATCATCTCGAAGAGGCGGCGTCACCAAGTCACCCTCCAACCGCCCTAAAAGGAGCGGACCATTAATGAGATGGACATATAATTTGCGCCTTGGGTTGCAGCTCATGTTCGAAGCCCTCTACGAAAAGCAGAGTGTAGCCAAAGTGTTCGGAGTCGTGTTCAAAGAAGAACTTGAAGCTTGTGGCTTCGAAAGTGACGCTGACATTGCGGAACGTCTTTATGCTCAGTATAAAGACAGACGACCCAAAGACTGGACTGTCATTTCCGAACCTCCTCGTAGCCTAAGCGAAGATCGGCGAAGAGCAATGCTGAAGCAAAAGATCATGTCAAGTGCCGAATGTCTTCACCTACACCTGCAGGGATCCGGAACTATCCTTTCCAAAACTCAAGCGAAGGAGGGCGCTAGGCAAGATCGAATTCGCATTGATAAAGTGACGAAACCAACAAAATCCATGGTCAATACACAGGCCTTGGCCAAGCGCAAGACAGCCAAAGGACAGCATTTCCCAACAACACCACATCTTAGGGATGACGGCAAGACTATCGACGTATCGCCTCGCGGATTAGCCAAGATTCGACGACCTGTTTTCCCAGTCACCGAAGTCGAGGCACACCTCGACACCATCCAATCAAACGGAGTTCTGTGGCGATTTTTTATAGACCAAGGACCCACAAGTCGGAACAGCAGCAACGGCTTCACTTCCCGCAAGCACTTTGGGGTACAGTCTCTATATGATGACGATCCGGGCCCTGCACACAGTCACTCTGTTGATATATTCCACGTGAGCAAATTTTGGGTAGGTTGAGATCCAACATATATATACTGACGCTCGCCCTTTAGCACCTGGACCGAAACGTCAAGTTTCTCTCGCCATATGTCGGTTGCAGTAACGTACTGATTTGGTCTATCGTAAATGCGTATAAGAAGAAGCTCGAGCCAGGAAACAATAATGTTTCGTGGGCAATCATCGATCGACAGCAATTTTCTAAACATCATATTTTCCACGCAAAGTCATACCGCGAAGCTCCTGCGAATCAGCATCTCTTCAGCTACGGTGGTCATCGATGTCCTACGATCTCCGAATTTCTGGTCTGGCGCACGATCCCAAAACAAGCGATACTGCAAACCATCACTATCAATGAGCTTTGTCAAGAAATTGAGAATGATTCAGACATGAAGAGAATTTTCCGTCTGGAGAAGCTTTTTCGTAAGAGAGGGCGGAAAGACGTTGAACCTACTCTCAGAGACGATCTCAAGGCCGACCAGATTCCGCTTTCTTCTGAAAGAGGAAAAGATACAGTGTCTGGGATTGCCAAGTTCGTGCTTCTAACAGGCGTAGGATATTATCCTTCTGGCATTCGACACGTCGTCTCGGACATCATCCACGGCTTTTGCATCCAACCTCAGAAAGGATCACCCGAAGATTGGTTTGCCCTCTCCGAGCAATTTCTAAACGCTTTAACTCTACACGGTAGCTTAGCATTGTCGCATTTCAATCGAGATAAAGCAAGAATCGCATTCCTGCAGGGAGTCCAATTTGGCTTTGCAAGCCCCAACATTGCGCACAAAGAGATCAGGAAATTGCAAAAGAGATGGGCGGAAGTCGGGCTCTCTTCATTACAGCCCATTCTCAACTGCGAGATGAAATTGATGGCCGCGAGACATCAGGAACTACTCATCTATAATCAAGCTGTACATCAGCAGCTTGAGCGACATCAGCAAAGTCTCGAGTCAGTGACAGCAGCAAGAGTTCGAGCTATTGCCCCTGGATTCATGCCTGTAGAACGGAGTAGGTATTTCCTGCAACCCGGTCTGGCCCAACCGGAAGATGAAGTTGATAGCGATATGGGGGATGACAGTGCCGACAATGATAGTGAGGATGACAGCGATGTGGCCTACGATTGGCGTGACAATCTTATGCAGCAGATGTAAGAATGGCCATGGTAGCGATAGCGATGTGTATACAACAGGCATCGAAAAGAACAATCATGCAAAGTTTGAAATACAATCCGAATTTGCCAAATTTTACAAGTGGATGTGAACGAGACATTATATACAAACGCCCAAGCCGCCGGTGTGACCTCTCACAACCTGATTTTCCCGCCTCTGCTTCGTGCAGTCTACTCATATCTCGGGCCGTCATCTGCAGCAGGTGTCTCGGGATAGGCTGCTGGGGTTTCGGGGAAGCCACCGGGTGTAGCATAGGCCGCAGGAGTCTGGTATTGACCAGCTCCTGGCGTAGGCGCGCTGAACCCAGGAGTAGGAGCCTCAAGACCGCCTGCATACGCTGGTGTTTTCGAGCCAGAGACGTAGGCTGGGGTTCTGCCGCCGCCGCTGTTGGGGTTCCATGTTGATTGCTGTATTGGAGGTTAGCGATGTTGAACCAGATATGAACATAATGGTATTCGTGACTTACTGCGCCGCTTCCTCCCCATACGGAGCTTCCTCCACCGCCTCCATAGCTCGTGGCGCCGCCGTAAGATGTCTGTCCGCCGTTGCCGTAGGCAGTCTGTCCTCCACTGGCATACGCTGGTGTGCGCGAGCCAGTGTCTTGCTTCCATGCTGGAGTCCGTCCGCCTTGCATTGCGTACGCAGGTGTCCTGCCACCGGATTGCATAGGGGTCGAGCCGAAGCCTCGGCTTGGAGTTTGGCCACCAGGGGCAGGACCTCGCTGCATCTGCGGTGGTGGTCGACCGGTACCGAATGTTTGAGCATCAGCGTGAACCACGGCGCCGGTTTGAGGGTCAATGACGGCCAACTTTTCCTTGGGCAAGGTGATCTTTTTGATCTTTCCGTGCAACTCAATGATGGCGCCAAGCGCGGTAGAGTCCTTCACAATGCCGATCATGCCTTTCTGCGGTCCAGCACGAATTTTAACCGTCCTGCCAATGAGCTTGTCGCGACCACGCTGTGGTGGCGGCATGGCCGCTCCTGGACCACCGCCACCCTGCTTCAGCAATGGATTCATCTTCGTCAAATCTGGACCGTTGCCGATCCGACCACCTTTGCCTGCGACTGTGATCAAGTTGTTCGATCTCGTGACGAAAATGCCTGAATTCTCGCGGCTCTCGCGGTTCTGAACAAACGCAAATCCACGATGTAAGTGGATCGCGCGACCTCCGCGCTGCTCGCCACTCCATTCCTTAACAGTATCATCCTTCTTCATCTCATTGCCATCACGATCAGTGGCAACAGTTTCTGCTCCGCGGTTGTTGCTGAGCACATTTGAGATGCTGGATTGCAGTACAGTGCGGACACTGCCGTTTTGATCAATAACTCGCAGGGTTTCGCGATCCACTTTAATGACGCAGCCCACGGTCGCCGCGTCAAGTTGCACAAGCTGGTAGAGATCGAATTTGCTAAATCCCATCATTCCACCGCTGTCCGTGGCCTCGCGAAGATCCTTACTAAAAACCATAAGCTCCTGTTGATTGCTGTCGGTGAGAATGGTAACGCGGTCATCTTTGACCCGGACAACCATGCCGACTTCATCGTGATATTTGCTGCCTCCGATGACCTTGACATGATCACCCTCTCGGAACAGCTTCCTCAAGTCGCGGATGGGCGCTTCAATGATGTCGCCAGTGAGCGGACCTTCGTCCACCTGCATTCTAACCACATCACCATAGACCTGCACAGCATGACCACTGAGGCCTTTCTGCTCACCACGGAAGATCTCAACTTTGTCGCCTGGCAGATAATCGGTTCCCGAGGTTGTTTTCAAAGTTGCAGAGAGAGCAGCAAGATCCAGATTCTCGGTTCCGTCATCGGCTCCGGATGCAAATTTCGTCACTTCCTCCAAGGTCGGGTTAACGTCTTCTGAAAGTACTCCCTTGACCTGGAAGGTCTCTAGCAGGAAGCCGTCCACGTAAGTTTTGTTGTTGTAAGTGAACGAATTGTTGCTTAAACCACCATTCCTTTGCACTAATCTATTGTGGCGCTTTCTTGCTTCGTTTTCGCTGAATAGTCGAGGTTGTGGACGTTGAGTGGAAACTTTGGGCAATCTCTTGCGCTTTTGACCGCCAAATCCGTCAGGCTCGTACAACGCAGCGGCATTTGCATCCTCCGATAGACCGTAATCCAGTCGAGGAACAATCTTGAGCGTGATCTGCGTGCCATTGGGCTCGACGTCCTCAACAAGGGCAAGATCGCCCTGATACAGACCACGTTTCGGTCGGACGTACATGCCAGGCTCCAATTGTTTGCTTTTCTTCGTTCTTAGCAGATCAGGCATTTCTTCTACTGGCACCATCAATGGTTTTGTTCCGAGGAACATATGCTGGATACCATCCACAGCTGGCATAATGTCGTCCAACTTGTATGCTTCCACATAAACGTGTCCGGGAATAGTTGCACCTCGCTCAAAGACTGTGATGATCTTTAGCGCTTCTCGAGATCCTTGACGCTCGATGAAGCGATCCTGGATCCTGCCAATAGCTTCGCGTTCCTTGCCAGGTTTGCACTTGAATCGCCAGATACGTGGGTCGCTAGAGCTAGGGAGGAGCAAGCGCTGGGGAACGATCGCTGAGCCAGTGCCAGTCCCCCGCGAAGCTCGACCATACCTCTCCTTGAGTCGTGCGGCAGTCTCTTCTACGTCCATGGCATCTTGCTGTTCGCGCTGCCTGTCGAGCTCACGATGCATACGGTCGTCTCGATCAGCGCCAGGCGGAAGTTCCTGTAAGTCATCAGGATGCATCTCCTCGCCTGGTAGATCGTCCTCCTCTTCCGGCTCTTCCTCATCATCTTCGTCTACTTCTGCTTCCACGTCGATGAACTGGTTGCGTCTCCTTTTCCTTCGCTTCCTTGATGGCTGGCCCTCAACGTCGTCATCGTCGTCGTCCTCTTCTTCCTCCTCTTCCTCATCTTCCTCTTCTTCCTCATCCTCCTCGTTCTCGTCATCTTGGCCATCGTTCTGCGCAAGTCCACTCTTGGGCTCACGTTTGGCATCGGATCGGGACCTGTTCTTCGGAACATCGTCCTCATCGTCCTCATCATTGTTTCCGCCGTCCTTGGCGTCTACCTCGTCATCAGAGGCGATTTCAGGTTGAGGATTAAAGTCATCCTCTTCATCCTCTTCATTGTCGGGAAAGTCCTGATTCATGATGTTGCTCATGTTGATGTTTGGATTTGACTGGGACGCACAAGGGCGACCAGCAATAATTGTATCCTTCGTCCACGACTTCAAGTCCCCCACTTCTCTTGTTGGTACGTTCGACGGGTCGTAGGACAACAACTGTGTTGCGATTTGAAATTGGATGTTTGGAGTCTCACATGCATATGTACTAGGTAGGTTGAATTGAAATGTAACGAGCTTATTAGGCAGGCTGCGCGGGACGTGCCGCGCGTGACCGAAGCGCGCGACGACAGAGTTCACAGCCGTGCACATACGATTCGCGCTAGGAAATTATCACATCAACCTTGGAAGTTTGACATATTTGGAGGCTGCACGGCACACAAGTTCGCAGGGCCGCCACCATGAATACAGCTTTTAAGTCATCGGTACTTTCAACGTGCAGAGATAAGTAAAACCTGTCACCTGGATGTCTTGATGTCCGCCCATCGGGACATGATGAATTGGAGAACCGCTTGATGCCATATTTGTCCCATCCAAATTTCCAGAGTACACCCGCATTAAACCGATATCAATCAGTAAATACAATGATAAGTGTCCACAGCAGATTAGTGGCAGATTTAGTCGTCTATAACTCGCTCTAACAAGCGTGAGAGCTCCAGTAGAATGTCCCACCAGATATCTTTGCTGCGATGCCTTTCAGCTCAATGCGTTCAGACATGAGGCAAAGGTGTAAGGAATTTCGTGAGTCCGTAAAAGTGATCTACCATTGCGCGCCACCTAGATGTTCTAATTTCGTGGCGTGATGACAGCCTTCGGTGTTGGAAGTCCCAGTCGGTACTGGAGTCCGGCTGCTCCAATCAGCGAATTTGACTCAAGCAATGTCGATCTAGGACGATACGCGGTCAAAGCTGGAAGCATTGACTATTTCTGTCCTGCACTTGCCGCATGCACTCCCGACTCGAGGCATGAAGAACCGGGCTCGTAGGCTCAATCATATCATGGAAGGGTCATGACAAGAAATGACGCTGCTCAGCCAGCATCACGGAAGCTCAGAGCGATAGAGCATTTGACAGAGAATTTGACATCGTTCTAAATTCGGTCTAGATGGCAGTATTGGTGCGAAAATTGTGCCCTGGCGCCCCAATTATACCATGATCGGTGACACGAGGCTCCAAGTCTTGCTCATGGCTTGCTGTCAGGTTTGAGAGTTCTCAGGTCAGGTTCAGCACAGGCACACCAGGTGAGCATCTTTAGTGGTATGGCGAGGATTGATGTACATGATGATGACTGGCTTGAGAGGGATCTGTGATAAAACTCTGCGGCTGCTCATGTGGTTGTTGATGGAGATGGTAAGCCTGCTGTTGCGGATGCGAATGCGGATGTGGGTGCGAGTACTGATGTTGCTGTGAGCGACTGTGAATCGGGACCTGTGGTTGTGGTGGTAGTGGCGGTGGTGGTTGATGATGATGGTGCTGCTGCTGATACACATTGACATACACCCCCTGCACCATCTGTGGAGCATACACAGAGTCTAAATTCAGAGGAAAGGTTGAAAGGAAGTCGACATCGGCGGACATATCCGAAAAGTTATTTTCCGTCCCGTTCGATAGTGACGCGGGGTCTGGACTCCAGGTCTCCATCAATGATAGATCTTTCTCAAAGCCTGACTGATTCACTAGGGTGGTGCTTGTGATCGGACTCCGTTGCGAGCTGTCTGTATCCTTGGACTCACTCGTGAGGCGTACAGGACGATTTAGTAATGCCAATGCCTGTGTCATGAAGAATGCCCCGGCCTCACCAGAAAGTTTTAACCTGAACTTCAATTCTTTGAGCTTACGTGTGTAGAAAGCTTTCTCTTCTTCTTGCCATGCCGAATACTCGAGAATGTGACCGATCGAATAGATCAATGTGCAACATTTGGCAGAGCCAAAGTACCAGAATGCGCACAATTGTTGAGGCTGCAGACTGTGCACGAAGTCGCTCGCACTGATGAAGCGCTCGCGGGATGCCTCGCGGCATATTCTTGACAGCGTCAAATCAGGTTTCTCGACAGCAGTAAGTATCTGCATGAGATGACGATAGAGACAGACCTCGAGCGACAAGTATGCCATGCGAAGATAACCGATAGAGGAGAGTTTCAGATAGGCGGTCGTATCCCAAGTGAGGGAGTCGGGCAAAGCGAGAAACCACTGTTTAAGCGCCGCCTGAGGTGATTTGATCGCTTCTAGTGCATTCGCTAGAGGGTCGGCCGTGTCACCTTGCTTCCTCCGAGCGCGAGCGGAAAAGAGATCTCTGAGGATATCCGCGAGAGTTTCAGTGAGCTTCGCCATGTGCATAAAGACTAAACGCCCTCTGCCCACCTCGCTGCTGCCTTCTTCGTCATCCTCCAGATTCTCGGGAAAGTCTTCTTCGGTCAGATCTGCCACGTCCCACTCTTCGTGACTTATTAGACTAGGACGACCTTCGAGCAAGGCAGTCCACTTGTCTTGTATGTATAAGCCCCATCCAACGCGCCGCCTTAAGCTGATCTCCCAGTCAGGAATGTCCCACGCACTACAATCTAGATGTATGCCGAGACCATGGGCCAAGTTAACAAGTTGCACGGTCAGTCTGTCTTGCTGTTCGACCGCTGCATTTCCCGCGAAGGCCTTTTGGTACTGCGACAGCAGGAGGCCCGCCTGGAGTGTTGATATTTTTGGGCGCCTCAGGGTATTTTGCAAGGATTTGAAGGCCAAGTGTTGCAGAGCCACGGTGTCTATTCGCTTGGAATCCGCCAAGGACTCGCTAAAACTCCAATAGCCTGAAGCCAGTAAGTAGACTGCTGCCAGTAAAGGTGGCGAAAATTCACGGTATGATCGATTGTACTTTTCCAAGAAAACATCCTTGTGCAAGATTGGAAAACTCGGATGCACAATTCGAAAGTAAAGTCGAACCAACTCAGCACCGTGACCTTGCGCTGTAGACTGAATCTCATCGATCGAGCGTTGTTCCTGCTCATAACCAGGAATCTGACTGTCAGGAATTATGCGGAAGGCGTGCGACTTATGAACAAAGCGGATGAAGTCCACGCCCTTCTTCATCGGTTCCTCCGCGGTCGAAGCATCGAGATTTTGAAGACCATGTGGCCCGTAAATATCGGGCGTAGCATGGAAGCCGACGTACTCGGTATGATGACGATTTTGTAAGCCCAACGTTCGCTTCAGCAATGATGGACCTGGTAGGGAGTCATATTCTTCGACACCCGTACCGGGTTTGAGGTGGAATGTCTTGTTGCGTTTGGTAGACACCTGCCGAAGATCTACACCTGCCGAAGAGTTTGAAGAGCGTTTGCGAGGCTGGGGAGCCTCGAGGTAGGTACATTCCTGGTGATGAAGTCTTCAACCCACGTGGAAGATGTGGCTATTAGCAACGCCACGACTTCAAGCATACAATCCGCCCGTACTCACTTGCACAAGACACAAATCGAATTTCCGCCTTCAGTAACACACTTGGCCTTACGTCGTCTGCACGCATCGCAAGGTCGATTGCGTTTGCCAGCACCCGCCGCAGATTCGAGGGCCGCCGGGCCATGGTTTTCGAGGGCGGACATCCCGCCCCTGGGGCCGGACCTGGAGAAGTGCCGAACCGGCGATTGGAGCGCAGTGGCGCAAAAGACAATATACGAGATTCGGGTCAGGAATCTTCAAGGGCCATGATGGTTGCCGTGCGATTAAGCGATACTGGCGACATTCCTAAGCTCACCGAATGGTGCTGTCGATTTTACAGTTTGACAGCCTTAGCCTCCAGGTTCGTGGCAGATGACCAATCCAGGGCTCCAGCGAGCAGCAGAGACCGTTTAGTATATTGCGTACTGCAGAATGCTGAGACAAGACCGGACTTGGGAGGGCTTCTGGCGTCGTGATCTGCACAAATACTCGACGGTGGTGAATTGGCGCGGGCATTGATCACGGTTTCAGGTGAAGGCAGACAAGCCCATACGACAAAGCCCCGAGCGAATTGCCGCACTACAGACTTCCAAGGTTCACCTGCAGGTTGGGGGGGAATATGACGTCGTCCTAGCTCTTATCACAACCTCAATGATCTGTGTCCGAAGTCCTTCATCATTTAGGACGAAACAGCAACACTCCACTCCAATGGCTTCCAGCTTAGTCGTGAATATGAAGCCAGTAGTATCACCATGGGTTTTCATGCCTTGCCAAGAGTGACAGATCTGCACGACTGAGGTTGTTGCGCGGAACGAACTGCATGGACAGGTACTTTGCATACACCACAGTACCAATTATAGCAGTGTAGCCTGTCAAACGGGATGATTACCTCATTACTTTACCTAACGCGGGGCACGGGGGTTCCGGACACACGGGGGTTCCGGACACGATTCTTGAATGCGTTGCATTCAAGAATGAATATCTTGATCAATAATTTATGTATAGTCTTCAAAATGAAGGATATAATACATCAATGCTATCTCTTATGCTGTACAAGTTCTGGCTGTATGAGCTGTTGATCTGCATTTGCTACACCTCGCTGTCCGCTTGGCAGGCCTTGGCATCTCCTCTATTATTTGTGCTTCTACCTCCTCTGTGTCTACTAAGCGTTGTATTGCTTGGACTGACAAAGCATCATCTGCTGGGATTGACTTCCTTTTCCTTGATTTGCGTATGTGCGTTGCAGCATTAGCTGCTTCTAGATCTGTAACTCGTGATTGAAGAAGAGCTGCTGAAGTTGCAATCATTTGAGCTCCTTTAGAAAGTTGATTTAAGGCTTCGAATATTGGAGTTAGTGAACTGCTCTGATGCCTCTCAAGCCTCCGTTTGATCAATGTAGCTTGTTGATCAACTTCTTGAGTAGTCTTTGGGGTCTTTGTACACCATGAACCTTGTGAAAGAGGCCGCGGAGGTGATGGAAATATCGGGTCCAACGTGGACAACACTACTTCAGGGTCGAAGGGGTGCAAACCAGAGCCTCTGAAGCCTGCTCGGATGTTGTTCGATGTTATCGCATCGATATATGCTGCGTAGAGCGTTGCCATGAAGGTGCTCTTGTCGATATGGAAGATATGGTTGCGAATCAAGCCTTGAGTCCGTTTTGAGAAGGCTTGCTTCAAAGGGCCAAAACAACCAACATCAAGCGGCTGCAGCATATGCGACGTATGAGACGGCATCCACAAAAGGACAATGTTGTTATCTTTGCAAAAAGAAGTGAACTCTGGTGTCGTATGGCTCCCATGGTTGTCTAAAATCAGCAGCCGCTTGCTACCAATTGTCTTCGACTTTGTGTGTTTAGCGAAGTGATGGATCCATTGTAGTCCAATTTGATCGTTTGTCCAACCTCGTGGACTTGCTGTAAACATCCACGTTGCAGGCAAGCCTTCGCAGACCCATCCATAGTTGACTTCTTTGCCTTTGAAGATGATAAAAGGCGGTATAGCTGATCCGTCTGCACAAGCTCCTTGGATCACTGTGACCCATTCAGTACCTGTAGGTTTAATCTGCTTTGGCCGACCTTGCTTCTCAACAGAAGTGACTACTTTGGAAGTAGATATTTGTCCTAGTTGAAAGCCAGTCTCATCGAAGTTGTACATGTCTCCAGGCAAGATGCCATACTTGTTGATTGTGTTGCGTACCAGGGCGAACCAGCTTTCAATGACTTCCGGAGTCTCACACAATCTTCTTTGGCACTCGTAAGTCCTTCCTAGTTTGATTGTCAGGGCAGGAGTACGCTTTATGAATGTCCTAGCCCAATTTTGGCCGACTGGTGGAGTTCCTTTGGCTTGGCAGATAGAATTGGCCATTGATCGTACCAGGTTTGTGGTTGGCGATAATCCTTGAGAATCTAGCTTCAAGATGTCTTTTAGAAGTACCTCTTCTTCTATAGGACTGAGTTTCATCTTCGGTGGTACATAATCTTCTCGCGAAGGAGTTCCTTTCATCCTATCGTATAGCGTTGATTTCGGAACTCCATAAGCTTTAGCAGCAGCTGTGATTGAACTGCACGTATTTGACTTCAAAGCAGATAAAGCAAGCAAGACACTGCCTTCATTTGGACTTATTCGGACGCGTTTTGACGATGCCATAACGCGTTGAAGTCAACGTAGTAAGATTCATGAAGCTCGCGTCCGGAACCCCCGTGTGTCCGGAACCCCCGTGCCCCGCGTTAGGTAGTTTATTATGTATTTTTACTGGCAGCCCGAGAGCTGTCCCCGTGAATCCATTTGAGCTTTGACGAAGCACCGCAAAAAGCCGAGAACAAGGCTGGAGCACACGTGCAGTGCGTGTCAGCGACCAAACCTCTTGATGATATTGTTCTGCAAAAGGATTGGGAGGTCCATGTGGAAGGGGTACAGACACCGATTCTGAAGCGAAAAATCTCTTTGTGATAACTGCAGTGTCGGCGTGTCTCTCACCTCGTGAACAATACGCGCATTGGCACATCCATACGGGCGAATAACTAATAGAATTCCAACACGACCCTGTCCGCCGAAAATGTCAGTGCCGCGTCCTGCGAGGTGTTTAGACAGTGGAGCACAGCCTCGTCACGGGAGTCACCGATACTACTATACGCCTCGCAGCTTACACGTGGTATGGTGTATGGCTTGATCCGCGAGCTTCACCTGGCTGTGAAAGCTTGCGTCCTCCACGAGGCCTGAGGAACATTCGACATCAGTCGCATACTGCAGAGCCACTGTGGCAGCCTCGCGGGAGGTTTTCTGCAATAGATTTGGTTGCTCTGCGATGAATTCACACAATCGTGCTCTTCTATGGGATTGATCGACGTGATTGACGCGGCCTGGGCGTATCACACAAGGTGCTGGGACAGAACTGACATGCATGGCCATGGCATGTTGCCAGCAGTCGGGACATGGGTCGATCGGATAAAATGCATTTCTCATGTCTAGATGTGAGCATTTTTCCTCTTTTACAATAATGAATACGCCCCTACTCGCTGGAGCTCAGCTGACTGGATATACGTCTTTCGATCGTGTACCCTGTTCGACGACAAGAAGGATATTGATGCAATAAACCTGGTGGACGCAATTTGCTAGACAGGTTGGACCAGAAAGTACTCGTGTGTGCTCACCGAAAACGGCGCTCTTGCGCAGCACCATTTTCCGTCATCACGTCGATACAAGTACGGCGGCTCCAGGAGATGATACTGTGCACTGCAACACTGCACTGCTGCGAATCAATGTTGGCAAAGCACTGCCTCGTTGCAATATCGAGAGCTGACATCCCTGGATGGCGGTCACCCGAGGCCGACTTTATGATGACTAGATTATGCGCCTAATAAAAGGCCTAAGGAAATGTTATTCACCTGCATACTGCGAATGGACACCGCTGTCAGCCGCAGGCGGCACGGTAACCGTAAACCTTCCCAAACCAGTGCTTTCGGGGCTCTCTAGGGCTATGTGATTAACGTAGAGCGGTGTTCGCGTGCCTGTCCACTACAGTAGTCGTTGTCCGATACCTGCTGCGGTGGAATGGCGGAGTCCAAGCTGGATTGTACCGTCCAGTACCTGATGACTCCTATACGTACAGACCAGACGGAAAGTATCCATCCACGGAGCATCGCCTTGGCCAGCACCTGCATACAACATCCAGGGTTTGCGACGTTGCACGAATTACAAACGGTACAAGCTCGGGGAGTCACAAGCCACCAATTGACATAAGCGATAATGAGTGGTCGCTTCTCTCCAATCTAGACGGCCTGTTGCCTGCTGCCAGAGTGCTTCGCTGCCTCCAGGTGATGGTGTGCCCGATCTTGTCATATACTAATTACATTGTACTACACATCCTACCAGCCTTGAGCATTGTAATGGCAACAAAATACTTAAATTGTGTTCACATCCCATGTCTCGTCTCTCTTTTCCCTTTTCCTGGTATCACCTCCATCTTACTTTTGTCTCACCTTCGCACCCTGGAACTCGTCACACGATTCACAGCATCTCAACGTCACGCCATCGTCGCTTTGGTCTCGAAGGGCTAGCGCATGTCGCGGGCTTATAATAATTGTCCTCATTTCCAGGAACTCGGTACTCGTTAAGCCTCGACGCCAATTAGACTGCCCTATGTGACTACCTTCGTTTCCAGCAATCATTCTCATGAGCCATTCTGTGATTGCCGTGCCACGTCATCTCGCAGCTAAGAATTCACAGGACGATCTCGTCTACACTCCAGAATCTTCGCCATCAGAGACAGGCGGACAGGATCGAGCCTCTGATATGTCAACTCTTTTGACCAATGTCGCCATGGAGTCGACCTCAGGCGCTTTGATGGATAAGGAAGATTCAAACTCTTCAATAGACGCTTCAAATCCTACGACTACAATTCCTGAGCAAAGTAAACAATCGCTCAAGAATCCCGGCGGTTCAAAAGAGTGTCTCGGGAAAAGCCATAAAAAGTCCAAACCGAAGCACAAGAGTTTGAGTGCTCGTAAGGACAAAAAGAAAGGCAAAAAGGTCAAAAGCCGCGTCCTGAGCTCCGAAAGCGACAGTAGCGACAGCGACTCGAGCGATTCTTCGTCGGATAGCGATTCTTCTTCCTCAGAGGATGATCGCAAGAAGAAAAAGGCCTCTCGCAAAGCCAAGAATTCGCGCAAACTCAAGGAAATCCGGCGCCGAAAGAAGCTCAAGGCCGAGAAAAAAGATGCAAGCGACAATTCCGACTCTGAGTCTGACTCGAACGCCGAATCCGAATCGGACGACAGTGACAGCTCAGCCGCGGAGCAGAGGGATCGTAAAAACAAAAAGAAAAGAAAGTCATCCACAAAGGCTCGTAAGGCCACGAAAGCCGCTACTGATTCGTCTCAGAGCGAAGAAAGCGAGGCGGTCGAGGCAACCGAGACAACCGATGGGATGGACGCCATAGAAACCCAGCTGACGGATATCGCCATGAAAGTTTCTGAGATGATGAAGAAGTCATTGCGTCGATCATCAACATCCTCGAGTTCGTCAGCCACAAAAGGTTCCCGACGCAAGGGCTCCTCGGAACACTCCAAGAAATCCAGCCACAAAGCCGACGGCCTCAAATACAAGCGCGTCGATCAGATTTGGGATTCGACGATCCACAATTTCGCGTTGAAAGAAAGTGCTGAGGACGATGACGGCGAGTTCGCAGAATTCGCTTTTCTCGTGCGGCGAGTATTCGATTATAAGAATCAATACACTGAAACCGTCATCGACATCAAGGCGAAACAACTGCGGCTTGCATTGCAGGAGGTCCTAAAAGAATGCAAAAGCATCAGCCTTGAAACAGAAGAACCTAGCGTTGATCCGAATGTCCTCTTCCTATACCTAGAAGATCTCCGCAAGTATTACAAGAAAACTCTCAAGGCCAAGATCAAACGGGAGAAGAAGAAGAAGATCATCAAACGACTCGAACAGCAAAGAGCGCTCGTCAAGTCATTGGTCGGCTTTATTGACGAGGACTACGAAAAGGTCAAGAAGACTTTGTTTCCTCTACTGGCGGCTGGCAACATCACCTACGATCTTCTCTGGGCTCTCTTCAGGCCAAACGACATTGCCATCACTTCGACTTATGGTCATTGGGACGAACCTCGCTGCTTTAAAATCGACTTTGCTACCAAGCTTTCATCTATGATGAAAGGAAATTGGTACTGCATAGAAGGCAAGTATTTGGAATACGATGGCAAGAACTTTGGTTACGGCGATTTCCAGATTGATGTAGAGAGCTTCAAAGGACCTCGTAAGATCACAAGTCTCGCGACGTATCCTCTGAAATACCACAAGGATCCAGAAGGTGTCCAAAAGAAAATCATCGAGCGAGGTGAGAAATTCGTGGCAATGTCCGGTATGCACTACAAATTTCACAAGGGCCTTGCCTTCATGAAGAAGAAGAAGCAGGTGCTCAAGATCAACATCAACAGCCGGGTGATGGTTGACCCCGCAACCTTCCGTCGGATCAATGCCAATTATCCCATCTCATTTATCCAACCGAAAGAGGAAGAGGAGCTCTATTCAGATAGCGAGAGTGAGTGTGGATGTGGTGAGGATAGTGATGATGAAAGTGCACAGAGCGACCACGGACTGGAGGAGCTCGATGGCGATGAGGACGCTGCTGCGGCGCGCAAGTACAAGTACAAATGGACCACAGACAAGGACGGCGAAGAGCATTACGTCGCTGTCGAAGTAGATGAAAATGGCGAACCTGTCCTTAACCAGGACGTGGAATTGCTGGCCGGACAGTCCGACGGTCAGAAGCCTCAATTCAGTAAGGAGCAGCTACTGCTTACCTCCTCAGTCGTGCTGGGTTTCGCCTTCGCAGAGAAATATTGGCTGGAATTTACCCTCTCCGGCATCCATGAGATCACTTACAACGATAAAGCGTTCGAGTCGCTGGTACTTCCGCCTGACCAGAAGAAGACGATTCATGCTCTGGTCAACAGCCACAAGTTTCACGGTACCAAGACCATCGACGATGTTGTCCAGGGCAAAGGCAAAGGTCTGGTGGCTGTGCTTCACGGTCCTCCTGGAACCGGCAAGACTCTCACTGCAGAAGGTATTTCAGAGCTGTTGCGCTGCCCACTCTACATGGTTTCGGCTGGCGAGCTCGGCACAGATCCTGCACGACTGGAGGCAGAATTGCAGAAGATCCTGGACATTGCACACACGTGGGGCGCGGTGCTACTCCTCGACGAAGCCGATGTCTTCCTCGAACGGCGTCAAGTCCACGACATCCATCGCAATGCTCTTGTCAGTATTTTCTTGCGCCTCTTGGAGTATTTCCAGGGCATCTTATTCCTTACAACGAATCGTGTGGAGACCTTCGATGATGCATTCCAGAGTCGTATTCACGTGGCACTGAAATACGGTCAGTTGACAGCCAAGGCCCGGAAGACTGTTTGGAAAATGTTCATCGACATCGTGCGCACGACCGGCGATAGCGGAGACGGGACGCAAAAGGTTGCAGAAATCTCGGACGAGCAGTACGAGATGCTGTCACGCAAACAATTAAACGGCCGCCAGATCAAGAATTCCGTCCGCACCGCACAAGCGCTCGCGCTCAACGAAAACGCTATCATGACACTCGAGCACATTCATCGCGTTTTGGACGTTGCTGAAAGCTTCGAGCGGGATCTTAAGGGCGGCTCAGGATACACCGAAGCCATGCGAAGCTACACCTGAGCGACAGGCATGTGGGCTACAGGAAAGCATACTTCAAAGAGAGTGCTTTGGGTAAATCTCTTCGATTGTATATTCGGAAAGCTGTGTACTTATCAAATTGGGCGTGGCATCGATGTAACTTGATGATAGCCACTTATCAACAATATCTCCTCTTCACATGAATGATGTTTTGATTGGTATTGTGCTTGACTCTTGAGAATCAACATCTACCTACCAGTACTAGGTAGGTAGATAATTTGGAATACTACCTGGGTGCCTAGGTACCGTACTTTGCAGTAAATTGACGCTCCCTGCCTCAGGCATACATGATCACGACTCGTGCTGTTTTGCCCACCACTTCCACCCCGCGAGGGCATCGAACAACGGCCATAAATGATGTAGCCCACTTGTCAATTTTAGACTTCGACGACACAAGACACGAGATCACAAGCTGTTGAATCCTCCGAAGTCTCGACTCGCAATCACAATGGACATCACACATTTCATTACAAGTCATCGCGAGGCGCTCCAGGTCGGTGATCACAATGCCTACAGAGCGCAGCTATCTCGCCAATTACTCGCCGCGCGCAAACGATTCGGAAGGGCCACTCACAAACGCGAGAAGTTCGCCGTGAAGCCAGTCACCGCAGAGGACATTGGGAATAACCATGAGTTTGCACATTTACTCTTGCTCACATCTGAGCGTGCATGGGCACATGCTATGCATATTAAAGCATCACATGCCGACGACAATGCTGGCAAAGGCATTACTGGTACAACACGGAGCCATCTCATCTCACGGCTACACAAGGCAGCGAAAGTCGCTGAAGAGCTTGTAGAGCTATTAACTGATCAGGCTGTATCGAAAGCTACCCGACAGAATATCTTGGAGGCGCGCGCATACTCGGCCACCCTCGCTGGTTCGGAGGAGTTCGAGAGACAATCTGAGGGCCAAAGGTCAAGTGACGGACAGAGCAGTGAAAAGAGATGGCAGAAATGTCTGAGATACTTCTCCGAAGCTCGAGTCATCTATGCAGCTCTTCTCTCAAGGGATAAGAAGGAGTTGTACAGGGATGTACTGAGCAGTACTATTGATCCGACGATACGGTATGCTGCGTATCAGGCGCATCTCGCCCGAACCCTCACCAATGCGACTGTCGCGATACGATACTTTCCCAAGGAAGACGCCAAGCTTCTCGAGCTCGTCGAAGATGTGGACCCAAACGCTTTGAAAGATGTCCCTGTGGTAAAGGCCGAGGATGCGGAGATGACAGATGCGGTGGAGATACCGAGCAACATCGACTGGCGCGGAAGGAAAGCGAATATTGTCGACTCGTCGATTGGCCAGGCGCTAGCCAATGTCTCGGTTGCAGAGGCTCGCCTGCGGGCATACTTGAACACGAATGCGAGTGCTTCTGCCAAGGACAAAGCCGCAGCATATGACGGTATCCTCATCGCATCACAAGATGCCGCAGATGCAACAAAACGAGCAACGGACGAGCTGGAAAAAGAGCGCGTCGATGAAGGTGACCGTCGCATGCAGGACCTACGCGTCACAAGTCTATCTATACACTACGGTCTTGTGTCATGGCGAGTCGGACGCAATCGAGTCCTCATTGGCGATGATGATGGATTGGCGTTCGAACCAACACAGCCGAAGCACCCTCGCCGGACTCGCAAAGAGGGAGCTGAGCCTCGTCCGAAGGAGGAACCCCGCGGAAGACGTTTGGCCAGGTTGCGGGAACGTATCGTTCTTTACGATGCCATCATTCAAAGCATCAATTCTGTCAAGGATCTGCGCGGTACTATGCGCGACACGAAATTTGTGGAGGAGCTTGACAGCAAGGCGGCGTACTTCAGGGCACTAAAATGCGTCAATATTTCGTACTCGTACAGTCTCGTGGACAGCCACGTCAACGCTCTGGCTTTGCTCAAACGAGCGCAAGATCTTCTCACTGAGCACTCCTCGATCCCGCAGGGCACACATTCTATGGACAGTCCACCAACCTTGGACGTGCTGCCATCAACAACGGAGTTGGTCAAGGCGCGCGTCGACTCGCTCGTAGCACGAATGCATGCAATCGTGGAGCTGCACAACCACGAGCAGACTTCGGCGAAAGCAGCCTCCAAGAGCCAAATCGCTGATGCTCCGCTCTCGGCTCGTCTCGATCAGTATCCCGCGCCGGGCGTACAAGTGGACCTGAATAATTTGGTGGCCTATCCTCCGAAGCTTGAGCCGGTGCCGGTCAAACCCATCTTCCTGGATGTTGCATTCAATTACATAGAGTATCCTGGACGGGCTGCTGCGCAAGTCGTGAAAGCTGCTCGACCGAGTGAGGACTCGGCGAGCGAGGAATCGGCGCAGCCTGCGCCCAAGAAGGGCTGGTTTGGGTTTGGTCGGTGAACTTGTTAGGGTTACATCGCCGGCCCTGATAGGGTTTGGGTAATACGATGTTGTGCACAGTGCCAATATACGCCTGTCGAACGTGCTACAATTATGCGCGCTCGTGGTCTCTTTGTTGATGAACTTCTTTCGTGCTCTGTCATGAGATTAGCTACTTGTGGGCCCCCGGGGGTGTAGGATGACTGTTCTCAGGTGTTTCGGTGAAAGGTCTGGTCACGGGTAATGAGAACCACAGATTGGTCGAAGCTTGGAGGCGATGGAGAACGCGGATCTCTACATGGTTTTAATGTACTTATGTCAAAACAATAACAAACAACGAACATGGAGGTCGAAAATCTATCGAGCGACCTGGTGGGGACCCTACGGCAACAATACCAAGAAGCTTCTCGGCGTTCGAGTCATAAAGAATTCTGCGATGACTACAAAATTTCGTCAAATCATGCCGCAGAGTCGGCGGGCTGTCACTATGAATTCCCTCGAGTTGCTCCGTCGACTGGGACACAGAGCCCTTCAACAACCCCCCAGCAATGGACGCCAATACCGCCACGCGTTTCAATGCGGACGCAACAGCAGTGACAGGTGTAATCCAACACCCAATGTCAATGGTCTTCGAACACGGACAATCCGACACAGCTCTGGAGATCGATAGAATCGCAGCTAAATGGCAGATGAGGGTCATCACCATCTGCCTGGCTTATAGTACAGGCATCACCACATATCTCTCAGGGATCGTGACCATCGCAACACCTGCGATTGCTTCAGATCTGCGTTTGTCTCCTGGACTGACACTCTGGTGAGTAATATCATGGCAAATTGAGTCGTCTCGCACGTAAAGATGGATAGTTACTCGTCTAACATATCCTTCCACAAAGGCCCGTGACCATCTACTCCTTGACATGCGGATGTACACTCCTCTTATGCGGCTCGATATCCGATGTTGTGGGCAGCCGCCAAACATACCTCTTCGGCTGTATTATGTTATGTGTCTCTACAGTCGCATGTGGGCTATCGAAGACTGGCGTCCAGATGCTCGTCTTCCGGGGCATATCGGGAGTAGCAGCTTCGTTTATTTTGCCATCAGCGGTCAGTCTGATACGTGATGTTTACCCGCCGGGCAAGGCACGTAACATTGCGTTTGCTACGATGGGCGGAGCTCAGCCTGTCGGATTTGGCATTGGTCTCGTCTTGGGCGGATTCATCACGGGCGCCATCGGCTGGAGTTGGGGATTTCACATCGCGGCAATTTCCAACTTTGCAATGCTCATCGCGGCGGCTTGGGCGCTCCCTCCAGGTTTGCCCGGCCATTCGAGTACGTGGCGGAGGTTGGCGTTTGAGATGGATTGGCTGGGTGTTTTCCTCGCCAGCACTTCTCTAGCATTATTATCTTATGTCATTGCGTAGGTCACCAGGACTTCTCAATCCGGTACAATTCGCCGACTTGCTGATCTGGCATACACAGGATCGTCACAGGGGATTCATCGATCATCCGTCAGGCCCAAAACATCGCATTTTTGGTGCTCTCCTTCGTTTTTATGGCGGCATTTGTGTTCTGGATGTCGCATCAAGAAGCTCGAGGCCGCCCAGCGATCGTCCCCAATTCACTCTGGAGAAATAAAATGTTCTCTTGCATTTGCATCAACGTGTTCTTGATCTGGTCTGCGTTCAACGCGTTCGAGCAGTATCAGAACTTCTTCTTTCAAGATCTGCAAGGACTTAGCACTCTGGATGCAGCCCTACGATTCATCCCTGCGCCGGTCTCGGGCGCTCTCACCAACGTTGTGGTGGGACTCGTGGTGCATCGAGCACGAGGTGATTGGATTATTGTCTTGACGACGATTCCTTGCGCGGTAGCATCGCTTTTGATGGCCATCGCACAGCCGCAGTGGTCATACTGGGCCTGTGCATTCCTGGCCAATTTCCTCAATCCCATTGGAGCAGACGGCATCTTCACAGTATCCAACTTACTGATCACGTCCATGTTTCCGACCAAAACGCAAGGCGTCGCCGGTGGCGTTTTCAACACGGTCTCGCAGACGGGAAAGAGTGTGGGCTTAGCGTTGGCAGCGCTGGTTGCAGAACAGACTAAGCGCAACATGCAGAGCGCTGGCAGCGATGATAGAAGTGCACTCCTAGATGGATATCACGCTGCCTTTTGGTTTTGTATGGCTACTGTTTTAGCCAGCTTGATGGTCACCATATGGGGCTTGCGTGATATCGGAAAGGTAGGACAGAAGGAGGATTGAAGGAAGATGATTGCATCAAGAGCTACTTTCGAGACGCGTCTGACCGTGGGTATTAGACGTGTATGTTAACTCTCTGAATCATCTGTGAAATTTCGGATGCATAATCACACCCTCATCAGAAGCAGTTGATATGACGCGTATCAACATATACTTGACCATGCAAAGTACGTTCCGAAGCATGATCTACAGCTGTACCTGGTCCGGAATTCCTGCGGTTTGGTATGGAAGAGATGTAAGCATCGTGATTCGAGTCTCGCGTGTCAGGGCATCTCAACTACGCAGTCTATTACCTGTAACGGGGCGAACTAGTGCTGAAGCGCTGAGGTGGAAGGACAGAGAATTCAAGCGTGCGGTGTGATGTTACTGAACCCTGCAGTCCGCACCCGATTGTTGAAGCTTCGCCAGCAACAGATTCAGAACCAATCAAAGGTGGAAAGGGTCAGTTGCGCGAGACAGCGCCATGGTAAGCGCCGCACGCTTGTCCCAGACTCGAGAAAGAACACGCGATGATCTGATGGAACCATGGAACCATGGAACTTTTCAGCTCTCCATGCAGCATGTACTGTTTAATGATACCTATGTTCGGGTCTGTGTGTACCAATGAAGTTTTGTAAACCTTGAACGTCTGCAGGACTGGCTTGAAGGTCTCCCCGGTCTCTCCCACGTTGTCGCCGCAGAACGCCTATGCTGATGAGAGGCCAGCTCAGGTTACGCGCATGCATTCAACCACAGTAAAAGACGGCATGCGTGCCGGTAGACTCGTGGGATGCAGCAAGCCCGACTGTGCAGGCCACCACGCATCACGCACAAAAACAGGCACGAGGCCTCGAATTTGGCATATCCTTGTTCTGCGGAGGCACTGCATCTTCGTGGCTCTGATGCGAGACGGAATTGTGACAGAACAGTATCAAAAGCCGAACACGATGCCCACCTGCATCGTAATAGTGCGCGTGTGAGAGCATACACACGGTGAGCTATTTCTGTTGCTTCTGCTGTGATTTCTTGAGGCTTGACCTACCACCCAAGCGAGGAACGCGGTCTCCACAATGCACTCTGGTTTTTTTTGATAGCGGAAAGCGACCAATGAAGGCATGTGAGACGTCTCACTACGCCGGAGCGATGTGTGGTGTGGCTGGCGCAAATCCCACAAGTGCGCCGCAGCCTTTCCAAAATTGGGCAGGAACCTTGGAAGTGTGGATTCAAGTCAGCGTGGACGATGCTGTACTGTGGATCACCAAATACATGTACATGCACAAGACGCCGGGCGATTTGGATATCGTTACTGTAGTCATCGCAGCTAGTCGCCGACTTTCCGATGCCTCTCTAATGTAGACCATCACCAGATGTCGCGATGATAGTAACGCGGCAGGTGGCATTTGACGCATGCAGCTGTTCGGAGTGAGCAGCAGAGGACGGGACAAGCCTGCATGATTACCCATATGCATCGAATTTGGATATATTACCTGTAGTCGTTCGTTTTCGTGATGCAGATCCACGCGTGATGCATGGCGAGAGGTAGTGGTGGCATGGGTGGGTTGTTGGTGGGCACTTCGGGTGGGTGTGGGTGAGCGTAGTGTGAGCTCGAAAATGGGTGTGCTCGCTTTGTCCGTCTGTGGCGCGCCCGTTGGCTCAGCTTTGCAGAGGTCCACGGGTAGTCCAAGGACCATAATCATGGATTTCTGCGCGCCGCCGCCGCTATGAGCAACTGGGAACATGTCACCGCCGCCCTAATGAGTATACTCTCACTGGTACGTGCGCACTTGTGCATGTGGGCACTCACGATCGCATCCATCAAACCGCACCAGAAAAGATACGGATAGGTTCGATACTCAGTCGTCAACTTCTCCCCACCATTCTCAGCTGGAGGTCAACCTTGGAAGATATGCATGCTTCTTCGTCGTTCCATGACTACTCGAAACGCGACACACGGTGAAGAAGAACCCACCAAAATAACACCACACGAATAGGCGTCTCTGCAATTGGTCGCCAGCACCAACAGACTTTGTCCATTCCACGCTTGCACGGAAGTTCTTACCGCCGCGCATCGCGTTCGTCTGAGAGCTGTCGAGACGACCGATCTCACTTTCGTCGCCCGGGTGCATGAAGAAACTGCGGGTTTCGCGCCCACGCCTCGCATCGCAGCATCGCTAATCACCAACTTCTGACGCGCGCAATCAGCACCTCTACGTCCACGATAAGCGCATAACCATCCGACAGACTCCGCGCTGGTCGCCGGATACCCCATTGATGAAGAGCTAGGATTCCAGAGTCTGGTCGACGACCTTCGGCGGGCGACGTGGGAGGAACATCTCAACCATCCGGATGCCGTGCATCTGAAGGCGTGAATGAATCTCAGGGAAAGGTCATGCGGAACGAATCGGTAACAGGATCGCAAATGTGCAGGCAACTGCTCATATTCGCAATAAATCAGACCTTCTCAGCGCTAGATCCGCCTACTTGAGAGAAGCTTGGTTCGAGATGATGAGCGCTGATGTTGCTCATGACGCTCGCCTTTCGTGGTCCGCATCCATGAGCGGCAACGAACCCATTGGTGGACTTTCATTTCCCACAGCTGCAAAACCGCGCCTGGTCCAGCGCTACAATGTGTTACCAATGCATAATTCAGGTTGGCACCAAGCCCAATCTGCAGTCTTTCCGAATAATCCTCAAAGTATTCCTCGGGCAGAGAATACCTTGAGAAGAAAGACACCGAATGGCACATTGAATGCTGGCTACGATGCTTCTGTAGAGGACCTGAGCCAGCCTCTCAAACGCCAGTTGCTGCCTCTGAGCGAAGCCAGTGCATTGGCTCCCATAACATTCGCAGCTTCCGCGAATGGCAAGCGCACGTTTCTGGAGCATGAGCGAGCGCTCCATCAACAGCAGTCGGCCGTGCAGGGACAGCTTCCCGGCTGGTCCGGTTCTGCAAGCGTATCTTTCCCAAATGGTCAGCCGATGTATGATCGGTCTGTCGACTCTTATTCAACCTCGCATTTTGATCCCCATTTAAAGCAAAGGATGGGCGGCCACCCGTACCAACAACAGACTGTACCGAGCGTCATGCAGCCATCACTGCAGCATCTCGGCCCGACGGCTTCAGGAGGTCAAGCCTCTGGTCCATATGGCCCTTACTGGCATGATGGCACCTTTCTTCCCTATAGGCCGGCTGCCATCCATGATCCTCGATTTTATCCACAGCCTGCCGCAAACACCACCAATAAATTATCGCACAACTCCGCTGCATACTCAGGCTATGTTTGGCAACAAGATCCGCGCCTGGCGCATTCGCCTAGCATAGCCCAGCGACCAGATGAAAGCACAATTTCCACATTTCACACAGCCAGGCTGTCACAGCATACGACCACCTACCATCAATTTGGTGCTCGAAATACCTTCCGCGAGCGCCTACCTCAAGGCTCAAGTGGTCTTTTTGAGAACCACGATATTCACGAGATTGGCTCCAGGGGAGTGGAGATTCCGGCTGCCTCACTTGACTATGGTTCTACGTCCGCGAATGGCATGCACCGGGACAAGATATTCTCGTGGGCGCTTCAACAATACAAGGAGCTTTTGGCCTATATCCATCACAACCGACAAAGTCAAGGTCAACCACGTAGCGCTCAGCGACCTAGTTTCTATCCCCGGCCTCCACGGCCGACGGCGAAGTCACCGATATCAATGAACACGCAATCTCGGCAGATCTATGACGAGGCCACGAAGGGGCTGCAAGTAGATCTACAGCCATCGATACCATCTGCGAAAGCTTTCATCAATCGTGTCGAAGGCACGCGCCGATTTGATCCGTCGACCTCTCTAATGTTACCGTCCCCTCGTCAAGATAGCATCTCTAACAGGCATGTTAGAGAGAAATGGCAGCATCCTCCGGATCAGCCTCGTGCGCTGCCACCTACACCTGCTGTTTATCGGACTGATACCTTTTCAGCACTAGCAAAAACTACTAGCCCTCCCCACTCAACATTGACTTCGCCTCAGGTGCAGGACGAGACACCACCATCGCGCGCTCTTGTCGCCCTCCAGCAGATTGATGTGTTTTGCCAGAAAGATGGTTGGCGATGGGTTGATGGAATGCAGCTTGGAGGTTGTCTAGCGTATGGATTGAATGACCACTCGAAAGCTCAAGTCTGGTTCAGGAGGGTGCTCGACAAAGACCCCAATCATCTCGAGGCCACGTCAAATCTGGCCGCCACGATGCTTGCACTCGGTCAGAGGCGTGAAGCGGAACAGCATTGGATGAAAGTCGTCAAAGTCGCACCGACGTATTTCGAGGCCGTGGAGCATCTTGTTGGCCTGCTATGTAATGAGCAAAGAAGCAAAGACGCTATCAAAGTGGTAGAGTATGTCGAGCGATCCCTACGACAGCGCCAACCCTCAGATCAACTCAAGGTGCTTGACCGCCAGAGCGAATGTTCATCTTCAACCGCCAGCCGGTCACCCCGTATATCAGAGCTTTCCGAGACAATCACGTACGATTACGATCTGGACGGGGACAGCTTCGTGAACGATTCTCGTGATACCTCCTTTTTCTCGCAAGCCGGATTCGGCACGAGTGGATACGCAATTCCTGGAAGCGAAAATGGACGCATGCTAGCTCTCATTCACGCTAAAGGCAACATGTTATACGGTGTTGGTGACAATGGCGGCGCGGCCAGCGCGTTTGAAGAGGCAGTTTTAATCGCTACAGGACGGAAATTCGACAACATTCAGAGCTTGGTGGAAATGGTCTTGAAGGTTGTATCTGCAACTCTACGGCAGCGTCCTCAGCACGCAGGTGCCACCTCAGCTCTTACTACAGACCCTGTCCTATTGTCGCCAGAAGAAGCCCTCAATACTGCAAAGCTTTGTTTCTTGCCCCATGGAGAGCTCCCTGGACTCGTGCATATAGCTCACAACAGTCTTGCACGCAAAGCAATTGTCTCCACGACCAGCAATTCGCTGCTATCTCTCGCAAAGATTTTTCAAGATGGGATGTCTAACCCGAGTAGATCAATTGGTGTTCGCCCTCTAGCTCACGGCGTGCGAGATATTCTCGCTCTGTATTACATGTCGCTCGCTCTTCAACCCAGCCCTTCGACTGCGAACAATGTCGGGATTCTTCTGGCGAGTGTACAACAAGTGACAGCAACAGTCCCGCCGGGGCAGCGATCTGAGATTCCTGGCGTTTTACCAGGCAGTGGTACTGCCCTAGCTCTCTCTTATTACAACTATGGCCTACAGCTAGACAAACACCACGCTCACTTGTACACCAATTTGGGTAGTCTCTTGAAGGACATCGGTCAACTGGACGCTGCGATCAACATGTACGAGCGAGCAGTCCAATGCGATGGAAATTTCGACATAGCCCTTGCGAATCTCGCCAATGCTGTCAAAGACAAAGGCCGCACTAGTGATGCAATCATGTATTACAAGCGGGCCGTTAAGGTCAGTCCCGACTTCGCAGAAGCAGTCTGTGGGTTGGCAAATGCGTTGAATTCCGTCTGTAGTTGGCAGGCTCGGGGTGGAATCGTGGGCGATTGTGGTCGTCGCGATCGTTGGCATGTCGACCCAAACGGCATGCTTTTGGACGCGACCAAAGCTGGGGCTGTTGGCTCGGGCTGGATCAAGAGGGTCGTGGACATCGTTGAAAAGCAGCTATCTGATGGAGAGAACTGGGGTCGATGCACAAGCTCGTCTTGGCAAATTGATGCACTGGTACAACAATTGTCGCTCCTTGAAGAAGGAACAGCAAACGCGCGCGGACATAGAGAGACCCTGCGGAGTACTGTACAGAAATGGGCAGGCCAAAAGTGGGAGGGCGCTCGAATCACCCGATTCGTCGAGCGTGCAACGAAGAGAATCGGATGGCACTGGTATCGGGATCGATATGTCACTCGTGTGCATCGACCTACAGCGAGCTACAATCGGCCCCAACTCCCGGCAGGTCTTGCGATTCCGACTGTGCCAACGGTGCTGCCATTCCATACCTTTACCTGTCCCATGTCAGCTAAGCAGGTCCGACAAATTTCGCAAAGGAATGGCTTACGGATTTCGGTCTCCGCGCTTCGATCTCCATGGTTGCCAAGACAGGTGTATCCACCACCGAAGCCTCCGTCGCCTTGCTTGAAGGTGGGCTATGTGTCTTCTGACTTCAACAACCACCCGCTTGCACACCTGATGCAATCCGTCTTCGGGATGCACGACACGAATCGTGTCCAGGCCTATTGCTATGCGACAACCCCCAGTGATAATTCAGTGCATCGACGGCAGATCCAGTCTGAGGCGCCTGTGTTTCATGATGCCAGCTCGTGGTCAGCAGAGAGACTTGTTCAGCAAATCGTACAAGACGGTGTCCACATTCTGATCAATCTCAACGGCTACACCCGAGGGGCTCGAAACGAGGTATTCGCGGCACGACCGGCTCCGATCCAAATGTCATTTATGGGATTTGCCAGTACTCTTGGCGCTGAATGGTGCGATTATCTTCTTGCCGACGAGACTGCTATCCCAGTGGATACACTACGCCCATGGCGGAGGAATGTAGATTTGAAGGACCAATTTGTGGAAGACAACAATGGAGGTGATGATGACGAGGATTGGGTGTATGGCGAAAACATTATCTATTGCCGGGACACATTCTTCTGTTGTGACCACCGGCAGAGCGCTCCGGATGCGCAGGAGGAGCGACTTAGTTGGAACGAGGAGCAGAGCAAACGATGGAAAATGCGGAAGGAATTGTTTCCTCAGATCTCGGATGACACGATTGTTTTTGGTAACTTCAATCAGCTCTACAAGGTAAGCCGTGTCACAGGCATTACGGAAACGAGACAGTGAGACTAATTGAGCAATGCAGATCGATCCAACAACTTTCCGAACATGGCTACGCATTTTGGCGCAAGTCCCCAATTCCATACTCTGGCTGCTTCGCTTTCCGGATCTCGGCGAGTCACATCTACTGGCCACTGCCCGCCAATGGGCAGGGCTGGAAGTAGCAAATCGGATCATCTTCACCGACGTGGCGCCCAAGCACCTGCACATTTCTCGTGCGCGGGTCTGCGACTTGGTCCTCGACACTGCGGAGTGTAACGCGCACACGACTGCGGCCGACGTCCTGTGGAGCGGCACGCCACTGCTAACTTTGCCACGCTATGGCTACAAGATGTGCAGCCGCATGGCCGCCAGCATCCTCAAAGGTGCGCTGCCCAAGAACGCTGAGGGCGCGCAGGCGGCGTTAGAGCTCGTTGCGACGAGCGAGGATGATTATGAGCACAAGGCAGTCGCACTCGGAAAAGCTTTTGCTTATGTTGCCGGCAGCGAGGGCATCGGGTGTGGGAGGTTGGCCGAGCTGAGGAAGATGCTCTTCCACGCTCGTTGGAGTAGCGCCCTGTTTGATACGCAACGCTGGACACGCGATTTGGAGGATGCCTATGAGGAAGCCTGGCGCAGGTGGGTGGAAGGAGAGGGAGGGGATATTTGGCTGGACCAGATCCCGCGCAAATGACCAAACTTGTGAGCTAGATCGTGTATTGGTCGCTCGGTTTGAATTAATGAATTAAGATATCCAGCGCCTATGTGCGTCACATGTTTACCGTGTTCCTCGTGCTCAAGGAGCCCACTACATAACGCTGTCGTTTCTAGGTCGAATTCGTCACCGTTCATGTTGCGTGACTTTATTTGTGAAGGCCAGTTCCAACCGCACAGGTCGTAAAACAACCGTTGCGCTCAACGTCAATCAGAGACACATGGCAGTGAAGAGAGGAAAGAGAAGACACGTGGTGGGAGCATTGGCTCATGTATGTCATATCGGCATCCACAACCTCACCATATCTTGTGACGATGATACTTGCCTACCTGGGTCGGAAGAGGATTGGTTGTCGGATGTTCGAGAGACGCTCTGAGCGCTGCGATTGGGAACGTGCCTGCATCAGGCCCAAATCAACGGCGACCGAGGGCATGGAGTGATGAGATGAGCGACGGGCTCGGAAGCCAGGGCGGGGCATACCAGCGTGACGATGAGCCCCGAAAGTCCCCGCTCCCTTTTGGCCCGCCTGACAGTGCGCCATAATTCAGGTTATATCGGTCCTCTACTGTACTGCATGCATGTATCATAGGTGACGGTGTTTCCAACCAATGCGGGATTATCATTATGTCCACCTGGGCACACAGAAATTGTACACAGTGCTATCAAGAGGCAGATGTTCCACGCGGTTCATCGATCCACGCGGGAGACAACGTACAATAGTCACGATGCCGAGCAGCGCCGACGACCTTCACGATACAGTCAGTACCCACTCTGAGGACTGGGATGGCGTCGTCTCGAGTATGTCATACAGCCAGCCATCACAGGATCAATCCGCAATCGCGGTTTCTTCACATTTCTTGCTTTCATCCTCTGCCTTATTAGCCAGGCACTATTAGTTGCGCAACAGGTGCAGTCGTCGCTTCCTGCTATTCCTGACAACCACACCTTGCGCCGCCCTCAAGCCACAGCCATAGACCCAAGTCCCCTCCATCCGCCGCGGGAGTCAGTCATCACTGTTACGTTGCCACCATCTCCATTTGCGACGCACGCTATTATCTTTCCTGGATCCATTTGATATCCTGTCAACCAAGCTGCTCCTCCCAAACCTTACAACTCATTGACCTTTTCCAGTGACGCCGACCACACATTCCTGACGCATCGAGGACATCAGCCACGTCATAGCAGAGGTTCCGCTTCAAATCCAGATCAGCTCAACACCTTCGCGCCACACCTTTAAACACGCCGTGATCCGTTGCGATCACAGCCAGGTGTCCCGTGCGATAGTCGTTCAGCAGGTCCTCTGTCAATACTTCGTCGCGCCGGATGAGCAGCCATCTGTGGCAGGCCTACTACGAGGATGATGTCGATATATTTCGGCAATTGCTGGCGCCCGCAGTCAGCAATGTCCGCCTGCACAATACAAAAGCAGGGCCGAATTTCCATGTCGGTAGCTTGGGATCCGCTATAGGTAGTCCAGCTCAACACGGAAGTTCGCCGATTCATAGTGCGCGATCGCGCAAGCCCAATACGCCGGGTGGCCATTCATCGCATCTCGTCCTGACCAAGTCTGACATCAACTGGCGCGACGCCCACGGGTTGACCATCCTCCACCACGCTGCGTCTTCGACCTCGGAGAATGCGATAGCCTTTGCAACGGCATTGATCGAACATCCTCTGATCGACCTCTACTTGCAGGATCTGGAGAATGGTTGGACCGCACTCCACAGGGCTTTCTACTTCGGCAATATCACCATAGCCCGGATGATCTTGGAGCGTAACACCAGCGATGTATTGGGAAAGACCACGGGTCATGTACACCAGACGCTGGGATTGATTAAGATTAAGGATAGGGAAGGACTCGGCCCACTCGACCTGTTCGCGGCCACGATCAAAGATCGCACACTGAGACCCGAGGCGTCAGGAAGAAAACGATCCAACTCTCAAGGCAGCGATGAGGGCGACATGCGAGATGAGAACGGCGACAAGCTGGTATCGACCAGCCGCATTGCATTTGGCAATATCCACGGTGACCAGCTGTTCACGTTTGGAAGCAACAAAAACATCTCACTCGGTTTTGGTGACGAGGATGATCGCCAATTCCCAGAGCGTATCAACTTGCGACGTCCAGAACATCTCTTGCGCCAATTCTACGCAGACCACTTGGAGCAAGCCGAGAAGCAAAGACCCACGGGTGCCGGGCCCGCTTCGGCTTCCGGAATTGCATCAGAGAAGGACATGTGGATTGAAGACATCCCTTGGGTAGTCCGCTCGCGGCCGCTATCGATTCAGGATGTGCAAATGGCAAAGCTTTCCACAGCGGTACTCACGAATGACACAGAATCCAACCTGTATATGTGTGGGCACGGCAAGGGCGGTCGTCTTGGGACTGGAGACGAGAGGACGCGATTCAACCTGGTCTGTGTCGACAACCCTGCGCTGGCCGGAAAACGCATTGTGACGGTAGCACTAGGTCTCAATCACACACTCGCACTGTCGGAACATGGCGAAATCTTCAGCTGGGGCAGCAACGGCTTTGGCCAGCTGGGCTATAGCCTGCCCAAAGTGGCAAAGGACGAAGAGCCCATCAGCACGATTCCGCGTCAGATCTACGGTCCACTAAAGCGTGAAGCCGTCATAGGAATCGCGGCGTCTCGCATTCACTCCGTGGCTCACACAGCATCCTCGCTGTACACCTTCGGAAAGAGTGAAGGGCAACTCGGCATTATCGATTCCGACGCACGTTCACTCGAGAGCCAAGTCATTCCTCGCAAGGTGGCAGCATCGCTCTTCACATCCTCCATTGCAGCTGTTTCGGCCATCGATCGTGCGACCATCTGTTTGCTCGAGAACCATGATGTTTGGGTATTCGCCAATTATGGCTACGCTAAAGTGCAATTCCCGCTCGATGGCTTCTCCAACTATTTTCTGAAGCAGAGTTTCATGCTGACAACCTACGATCAAGTCCCAAACAAAATCACCAAGATCGTATCCGCAGGAGACACGATATGTGCATTGTCAAGTCGCGGCGAGGTGTACACCTTGTTCGTGAGCCAGAAGCTAGATTCACAAAGCAGCACGTCAACAACAAATCCGAGCAAGATCCGTAGCGCTATTACGCAGCCGCTCCCTATCTGGTCCCCGAAGAAGAACAACATGGCGGCACGGGACGTTGGCATTGATGCGGACGGTTCCATCATTGTCTCAACCGAAGAAGGAAGTGTCTGGAAGCGTTTACCGCGCAGCAATGCTGTCATCGGGGTAGATTACAAGTCTAAGGATTACAAGTTCTCCCGTATGCCAGGTTTGACTCGCGTGCTTGGCGTGCGATCGTCGGGTTACGGCGCATATGCAGCTGTACGAAAAGATTGCGACGTACTCAAGACACAGATTGTGGTTGAAGAGCCGACTCTGTGGAAGAATCTGATGCCACTGTTGTCTCTGACGCGACTTGCAGATGGGCAGAGTAGCGTTGATGACAGCGAATCGAAGCCGAGATTCTGGCAGGCTCCTCGCAAGACTAGCCAGATCTCACTCCTCCGCAAGGTTATCATCAGCAGCGCCGATATCGAGGCTGATGTCGCCCGTGTCGTAGATGAGATATCTGCAGAGGATGCGAATAAGTACGATGCTGTCCTGGCGACTACAACTTCCGATGTTGTCGTTCCGGTTCATCGCTTCATACTTACAGGGAGAAGCCGCGTACTACGGGAGGGATTCCGCAGTCTATGTGAGAACAGTACCTTCACCATTCCTGATGTCGCTGTTGCCGAAGTCATGACTTCTGGGCAATTGAAGCTGGTTTTCCAGGGCGTCGACATCATCAGCATCATAAACCTTGCGCTATATCTCTACACGGATGCCGTGAGCGATGTTTGGCATTTCACTCGAGACGCACCTTCCATGGCCTATCGGTATCGAACGACGCGCACTGATCTCATGAAAATTGCCTCGAAGCTTGAGATCACTAAACTCGAGGCTGCAGTCCGACAGATGATCCCTCCGCAGCTAGGCCTCAATCTGGATTTTGAGGCGGCTTTTGACGACCCAGCATTCTTCCACGACGCCGATGCTGTTGTACAACTAGAAGATGATGAGGTCCGAGTACACAGCTCGCTCGTCTGTACACGCTGCCCATTCTTCGACGGCTTGTTCATGGGTCGCGCTGGTGGGCGTTGGCTCTCTAACCGTGGCGACGTCGACGAAGTGTCCATCGATCTCAAGCACATCAGCTCTAGAACCTTTCAGATTGTCCTGCGTCACATCTACTGTGACTCTGGAGCCGAGTTGTTCGATGACGTTGTCAGCACGGATCTCGACGACTTCCTCGACACGGTTCTTGATGTGATGGGGGCAGCCAACGAATTGATGCTCGACCGCTTGTCTCAAATTGCACAGTCGGTTGTTGGACGATATGTTAATGTGCGAAACGTCTGCGGCCTTCTCAATGCTATCTCGCCCAGCTCAGTGCGGGAGTTCAAGGATGCTGGGCTGGAGTACCTATGCTTGAATTTGGAAGCTATGCTGCAAGGGCACTATCTCAACGAGCTTGACGAGGATCTTCTTGAGGAGCTCGATGAGGTTGTTAGGCAGAACCAATTGGCATGTATGCCTTTTGTGAAAAGCGGTCGCGCCGAACTACTGCTTCATGACCGGCATCCCGAGCTTGTTGCAATTCTTGATCACAATCGGCGGGTTAAGATCGATTCGGTGATTCTGAGATCAAAATTCCATGATGCTGGTGTCTTCTCGCCCGGCTCATATACCGAAGAGCTGGCGGTGTCGCCTACAACGCAGCGGAGTCGCAGAAGGTCGTCGACCGCGATGAAGACAGAGCTTGATCGACCATCTTTGAAAAGCAAGGCAACTTCCAAAGATCTGATGTTCGAGATGGACGAGGAATCGGACTTCAATCTCCAGTCTCCGCGCGAGTCTCCCGCTATCCGTCCAATGACAAGTCCCCGAGCACTAGATCCTCTTCTCGAGGACCTAACCATAGAGGACACATGGTTTGACTCGAGAGGAAAGGTCTTGCCTTCCCCAAAGCTCGCACCGCAAGCGTCGACACCGGGTGCAATGACTCCTCGAACGCCGAAGTCGCCGCTCATGGCAGGACAGACACCTCCGCATCCTGCCAAACCTTGGACCCTTACACCTCTTTCAGGCCGGAAGACTGCCATGAGGGACATCATGGCACAAGCCGCTAGCACGCCAAGGACATCGAACCTCACCCAAGATCTGAACCAGGCCAGAGGATCTCTACCAGACATTCCGACCCCATTCAGTCTGCCAGCTCCAAAGATGTCCCAAAAGGATCGGAAGAGGCTACAGCATAGTCAGCAGGCAAGTAGCTCAACAATTCAGCCTGCCACAACCCCTCTGGGCTCCTCGCCCTTTTCATGGCAAGCCGTATCTGCGCAAAGCAAGCCCACACTCAAGGATGTTATGACTAGCGAGCAGATAATTTCTAAGCCCAAGGGATCTGCTCCAAACACCCCCAGAACGTCAAGTACTCCACAACTCACGATGCGGCAGACCGTCGCCAATGTCAAGGGCACTGGGAGCCCGAGTCCTTCGACCGGTTCTAGCAGTCAGCGAGTGAATCAGCATAGAAGTGTTTCCGATAGTAGATCTGTGGCATCACCAAGCCTTGAGAAGTCTCCAGCCCACAGTGTTACGAACTTCTCGAACAGTAGGCCGATTCCGCAGTCTATCCGTCATCAGGCGCCAATCATCGATCCGGCCTCCTGGGATATGAGTATGACAGAAATTCTTGCTCAACAGCAATTAGAGAAAGACTTTCTCAAGGGAGTCGTGGCTAAACGTGACCTTCAAGAAATTCAAGCGGAGCAAGAGTTCCAAGAGTGGTGGGACAAAGAGAGCGCTCGGGTTCAGGAGGCGGAGAACCGGAGCGCTACTACGACGAACTCCTCTTCTAAAGCTCCATCCTCAAAGAAGCATCGAAGTCGAGGCGGGCGTAGCAAGGGAGCGAAGAATGCCGGAGGAGCAGAGTATCACAATGAGAATAGTGGCGGTGGTGCTTCTATCAAGCGCACGACTTGAGAGTCACTGGTTGTTTGATAACGTGGACATTAGATTTTACATATGAGCATAACGAGCAATCGAATAGAGCTTACGAAAAACATGCACGACAAAGCGGTTGTAGTACTTCATTCACCCACTGAGCCGTAGTTTGTCAGTGATACATGACTGGACGCCTATCTTTCGCCATGCTCGTGTTTTGATGTTGCCGGAATTCGAGATAGCTGGATCTTCAATCGCCTCAAATGATGTTGTGAAGCCCCGCCGCGCGCGCGTTAAGCCGGGGAAATCGGGTCAACAGCAAGCCGTGAGACAGCTCCACTTCTTCGGCTCTTCTCTCCACATGGAAGCGGCGACTGCTAGATTACACGCCGCGACATGTTACATTGATCCCCGGACCGACCATCATTCTCCGATTCATATGAATTCGCCTTGATACGGTTCACGGAGCCTGGATGTTCTGATCTCACAGCATATCGTCCCTATACCCGGGATCGTTGCGTCAATTATCTAGTCTCGCTCACTGAGGGACAAACGCGCCACTCTCCACACGGGAGGAATCCTTATCGTGAAGCAGCTAAAGCGAGTCTCATGCCGCTGACGCACCCCCTCTCGGCTGCGTGAGCGCATGAAGACCTCGCGTGTCACCACTCATCAACAGCTACTGTACGTATCGAATCTGGGAAACGCGGGCGACCCCACGATGCCGTCTTCTTCTCTGTCGCCAAACCCGAGCTCCACGGCCACCGGCCATTCACCGCGTAGCAATGCCGCAGCGGAACACCACAAGTCCGTTCGTCCGCCGGCTATGAGACGGCAGAGTAGTCAGACACAAGCTCAACTGTCGCGACAACAAATGGCCAGCCCAGGTTCAGCCGCCACCGCTGACGGACTAGCTCCTCGTCATCACGTCAAACCTCGGCACGCAAAGATTGTCTTGCCTCGAAACCAAAGTGCAAGCGGACGCAATCTGACCAAGCTGGCGCGCCAGGCTTACAACAATATCGAGGATGGGCGTAAACATGCGCGGCAGAGGTCGCATGAAGGAGATACTGAAATCCGGTTGCCGGGGAGTCTTGAGGAGAGGCCGCCGCCGATGCGACGCAACATGACGGCCATACAACTGCCTCGAACCACATCGAACGCCAAATTGAAAAAGAATCTCTCACATGGGCAGTTATCTCGGATGGGAACGGGTAAGGGCGTCACATTTGGGGGCTCGACGTCACAAAAGGCACCGCCGTCTCCGGGACTAAAGGGGCGGAGTAAGAGGCCGCGATCTATGGACGTGACGGCGTTGAACAAACACTACGATGATGATCAGGAGGAGGACACGCGAGTAAAGGGGAAAGATCAGCGAAAAGGAGCAGCCGGATTCGCCGTAGGCAGCGCGAATGATTCGAGTGATGATGAGAATCCGGAAATGGAGGGCAGTGGATTACAAGAAGACGAGTGGACGGAGGAAAGCGCGAGTGTCAGTCCGTACAGCACGCGACAGAATACCGCTAACAACTCAAGGCGCGCAAGCGTATCCGAGAGACCGGCGGACAGGAAGCCATCCGTCAGCTCTCCATTGAAAGAAACGCCCAGTAACGTCGCGAACGACACAAGCGGCGAAGACACCGACACAGGACAGCTGCCGACTATCCACTCTGTGCAAACCGGCGCGGACCAAGCGTCATCGAGCTTCCATCCAAGCAAAGAGCTAGTCGGCGCACAGCGCAATGTAGAAAGAAGCCCTCTCCATTTAGCAAAGGAGCTTCCCAATCCTGCCACTCGACACTTACTCAACAAGGGCTATCAGCTTCCTGCACCAGCTCTGGTGAGCACCATAACCACACTCGACGACAATCACAGCACTCGTGCATCGCCGGTTGCGTCTCTGCAGTCATCACGGTCGAACCTCGCCGAGGCCTCCGGTTCAGGGGAACACGATGATCCGGAGGAGCTCATCTCGCGATTTGTCCCAGGGACTTCCAATCCTTCCACAGGCAGTGGTGGAAACACGGTGTCGAGCACACCACGAGAGAGCGGTCTGCAGACACCCGATGAGCGCGAGCACCCGCTGGGCTCGCATCGCGACAAAGGCCCGTTGAGCTTTCAACTAGGACTGGCGAGTCCCGGCTCGACTGTCTCTGCTTCATCAGGAGCTGTCACCCCGGCGACTGCACAGTCACGCACAGAATTGCGTATGGCACAGGAAAAGGCTTCGGCAGATGCCGAGACAGCTGGGCAGCGACAGCCTTCGCTCCCGGTATACAAATACGACCGGCGCAACGAGACCCTCAAGACTTACTTGTCAAGCTGGCCGACTCTGAGTGGAGAACAAAAGAACGCGCTTACAGCACATTACGGAACCGCGCGCGGCTCCGCCATCTTCCAGGGCCGCTTCCGAGCGGTGAACACCGAGCTTCGGGTCGTGCAAAAGTACCGTGACCCGGTCGGCGAGTCCATCGCCCGGCTCAAGGTTTGCAAAGCCGTCAAATGGCCGCACAAACCACAGAAATCGGCGCCGCCATCGAGACAGTCGGCCGTTGCCTTGCCTACCAGCCGTAGCTCCACAGCACTGCCAGTGCGACAGCACTCTACGCTTTCCAAATCTACCTCTCCGCCGTTACATCCATCCCCATTGAAGCGAGCAATGTCCACCACAGCAGCAGCACAATCGCAGCAAGGGTCAGGAAATGGCCACGTACAATTCGCTCCGGCTCCGGCTCCTGCAATCGCAGTGGGCAGTGTCGGCGCTGGAGGTGAGCGCCAAAAGACAAGACGCGAGGTCAGTTTCGCTGCTGCACCGCCAGAGACGAGAGAGTTCGAACAAGACCTGGCGCCCGGGGTTATCGCATCACAGCTCTGGCAGGGCATTGACGTCGAGTGAGGCTTCACACGATCAGCATAACTTTTTTTTCCACTTTTCGCCGACTTGGCCCGAGAACCCTGTGACATCGACGAGTGTGTCTCGGCGGAGAAGAGTTTTCTGTGTGATTTTTCTTTTGCAAAATCAGCATCGTGGAGGCGTTTCTGGGAGGGATAATTTTGCGTTTGGGCAATGGGTATGGCTTTTTTTCTCCAATTTTTTCCTTCATGCATACGATTTCCGACTCGCCTGCTCGCCCAGCCCGGCCCTTGTTCGCGAAGTTGCTACCTGCACATGTCACATTCAACACTGCTCCGCTCTTTGCGCATCTGCTCTCCGTGTAAAGAGCGGTGGGCTCGGTCTTGCTCGGATAGCGGCCCGTATGGAATGTCACGTCAGGGAACGAGTACGGGTGGATATCTTTCCTCGTGATTCTATCTTAGGCCCTGCATGTTCGCGAGCGAGTCGTATGCAAGCGAATGGGAGAGAAATATTGGAAGATGTAATATTCTGGTCTCGGTCGGTCCGATAACGAGCATCAAATGTGTGGAATCTTTTACTTCACTTGTCTTGTGTTCCCAACCCGAGGAAAGCAAGGAAAATTCTGCGACGGATGCCGTCACGGGAAGATAATTGGAGCGGTATTGTCGTCGTTGGTCCAATCGCGTTGCCTCGAGGCGATGGGATGGGTGTAGTCCCTTGCCTCGGACTGAATTGCCTTTTTCTCCATATGCGTCATGACTCGGCCCGGTTAACTAAAGACAACTGAATCACGATCATATTGGCCCTATGCAGGTGGCATGCGGATGGGATGCGATGACAGCGAGACTAAAGCAGCTGTCTGACCTCGTTCGTCGTCATATCGTGACCCGCTGGCATCGTGGTCGGGCTGAATGAGACGTGGAGCCAGACGAGTGGGTCGCTCGTCTGTTGTGGGTTGCTTTTTGACTGGTGGTCGTGGAGGGAAGGTTGTCGTGTGTGTCCGCCGTTGGCTCGGGTATAGCCGGGAAACCGATCCACTTTCCTGTGCCGTAGAATCATCCATTTCAATACTGAATAGCACTGCTGATCTGCGAATTCAAGAGGGATGGCGTTACTCAATCGGGCATCTTTGAAGAAAACGAATCACGTGCATGCATACATTGAACGTATGCACAGTCAACCGTATGCAGACACTTTCCACGGTGGATGCTGCGCGTTGCGGCTGCTGTCCGGTCTATCCTTCGTCGTCGGCATCATCAGTGGCGCATCTGTTGAGCGGTCGCTGGGAAGGACGGACGGGAGAGAGACAGATATTGTCACATGCGCTCCCGGGCGAAATCGCCAGCACGCCCGCGGGCGCAAACAGCAGATTCGGGCTTAGTGTGGCTGCCCAGATCACTGTCTGGGAAATCCCATCCAAACAGTGGTTCAGCGCGGGCATTCTGTGCAGCGTAGAAGGCGGAAAGCACAAAGACGTCGCTGTACCACTATCTCGATTGTCGCATTGTGTCCTTTTGCCATCCTCCTTCCATGCAACTCTCATGCGGTCAGCGGCGCTGTCGTCCAAGGGGACGATGTCACGAGAGCAATGTCAGCGTCAGAGCGCGTTGGAGCAAGGCTGTGAGTGGCAATGTTGGTTGGCATTGGTTGATGTGGCACGCGCGCTGGGAGTTGAGTCTGGGGGCCAACTTGTTCGTTCGCAAGCCAACTCCGAGGCAGTTCGCGCGCGTGGGTCTCCATTCACCATTCACGAATCGTCGCATTCTCAACACCCGTCTCTCGCCACCGCTTGCTGAAGACTCTTAGATTGACACGGTGACTATACTTCCTCGGCGCGAAAAGACGTGTGCGGCTCGGGCCATCTCTCGAATTGCTCCCCGTGATGAGTGTGCATTGCGCGAACAAACAACGTTGAGCTAACCGAAAGGCTGCGATCTGACAGGCATTGTGTGATCGGCCGAGCATCTGGACTCGAGACCAGGAGAGGAGGAAGATGGGCCTGCCCTCGCGATCGCGTGTGCAACCGCACCATGCCGCCGCGTGAAAATTGGCGATGAGCCTCGATGTACGCAGTCGTTCCTGCAGATTCCACTAGTCGTCTAGTGTGTATTGCCTGCCAGGCACCACGAATTTGGATGGCCCAAGTGGGAAAAGAGGAAAATCTACGGGAAAAGGGTGGGCGTCCGGCTACCGAGATGCGAGTGGCACTACTGCAGGTACTAACGGAGATTTCAAAGACTAAAAGGACATTTCGCGCCCAAAAGAAATGAAATGGCCCAGCGGCTCGGGCAGGAGTAGAGTTACGAAGCGCACTGTAAATTTGTGCTGCTGTCGTCCGAGCATCTCATGTGCGCGTGCATTGCTGGACCAGTTGTACCAAGCAACATCAAGGGGAAGAAAAGGACAGGACTAACCGCGGGCATTGAAGACCATGGGATGGATCGTGCGTGGTAGGGGTGCAAACCAAGGGAGAAATAAGAGATTCCCACGCAGGAAGGAATGGAAATGAATAGAACAATGGAAAGGCGTGGCGGGAGGGAAAATGTGTGGGAAATGTTTGGCACAGTACGACCATTTCAGCATTGTTCGTCTACGGTCATCAGCAGTGTGCGTGCTATGGTCGTTCGTCGAGGGATGCGCCGATGGATGGCCGCTGCGGCGCATCTCTGCGTTCCCGGCGGTTCCTGTTCTCTTGCCGCCCTCGTGCCATGCGATCTCCCAGACGTCGGGCGTTGTGGTCATCATGCACGCTGCACATATGGCAAAGGTGTCCATGGCGATGCCATCGTCGTCCGCCAACGGGGACGAAACGACAATGACGACTCTCGTGGATGATGATGTCGATGATGTCTATCAGAAACAAAGCCTGAGACATGCGTTGCCTACGCCGGGTCGCCCATGGTGTCGGTCCGGATTCATAGGAGAGACCACTGGACAATATTTGCACAGCTATCGAGAATGAGGGAGAGAGACATGGGTTCAATAGTCGGAACAGATCCCAGAGACAAGGCAGAAATGTCAGGGAAAAAAATAGGTGAGACTCATGATTGAAACGAAGAGCAATACAGCCCTGGAGTACATACAGGCTGGTGGAGTGTGGACAGGAACTTGACGGTGAGCAGCGACAGACGGATTTGTCTGGATGCGCTGGCAACCCACACTACCTGGGTATGTTGATTACATCCGTAGCGAATTATAGGACTATACAGTAGTGTGTGGTGGGAGAGTCCATGGGATGTAATAAATCATCGGTTGGATAGTGGTTGGGGTGAGATTCCTCTCTCTCTCCGCAATTCAAATATCCGAGTCATCTGGCCGCACCCGCCCGAGGGTCCCGTCTCTTCCATTAATCTGACCACCATAGTAATCACTAGCGGATGTCCTGTTAGGCGTGGGCTTTTCGACTCTAAATCAGTCGTGGATGTGTGCGGCTGCCCTCTCTCTGTCTGCGGCCGGCAAGTGCTGTAATTTCCACGGCCCGCCGCGCTAAGTGTGTGATAGGTCGACAACGTTGCCATGCCATGTCCCAACTTCCCCCAGAGCATCGTGTCGCATATATCCTTCGCGCTGCGCACACCTTCGCCTGGCATTTCTGACCCGTTCGCTGCCTCCGTTTCGTTACAGACAACAATCACATTCCTTACAACCAGCACGCGTCGTCTACAATAACAAACCGCAACGTCCATACCATTCTCTCAACTACCTGCACATCACCGTCATTATCCAAACAACACAAACAAATAACCACGATATCATCATCGTCATACATCCAACTACCGTCATCCGCGTCCTCGGATCTTCAAAGCTTCCTTCCAAATACAGCAGTCCATCGAAAATCGCGACTCACACAAGACTCTTTCGCAAGACTTCATCTCCATCAAGATGCGCTTCTCAATCCTCGCTGCGGCTGCCCTCTTCGGAGGCGCCCTCGCTGATGCCACCACCACCTCAATTACCACCACCTACACCATGACCCGCACTCTCTCGCGCGTCGACTGCACCACCACTGCAACTCTCAGCGCCAATGGCACCACCATTGTCCCCACTCGCCTGACTACCTTCACTGCCACTGCTGCGGCCGGCGCTCACTCCAACGGCACCATCACCACCTCCACGCGTGGCCCTGCTGCGACTTCACCCATTGCTGCCACCGGCGCCGCTTCGCGATTCGGCATGGAGGCTGCCGGCCTCGTGGCCGCTTTTGGTCTCGTCGGTCTCGTCATTTAAGCGACCCCAGCTCTCAATATTTTCTTCAACTTTCCTGTCCAACTTGGTCGCGGCGCTTGCGGCTTCCACCATTCTTGGACCTTCTTGATTTTACAAACTTGACGTTTCTCATGATGCTACGCGCGACGCTGGAGCGTTGAATTCCCTGGCTGGCTCGGAGTGCTTGGTGGCTTGGAGAACCGTTTCGTTTCGCAAATACCCCCCATTTTTCGATTTGATCATTTTTTCCCCTGGATCAGTCTGCTTGTCTATCTTTGTTCGTGTTTTGGATTGTCTTTTTGGAATAGCGGAAGGAAAAGCGCTGGGCTGCGCAAGGTCGATCATTCCTCAAGCCTAGGTCTTGAGTCGTTGGATCATCAGATGAAGAAAAATTCCAAAAGCTATGCTGATTTACTATCATCTCACTACTCGTCGTCGCCTTTCACGTGTGTGACATGCTATCCGTTACCGCTGATTGTAAGTAGAGAGGCGTCTAGCCCCAATGCCACTTTTCATATTCGGAACAATGTCCTCGGCCGGGGAAGCAGACATCATGCCGTATATCGGAGCGTCGCTGAAAGGCTTCATGAACGAGCGTGATGAAGCTGCCGAGCGATTGTTAAACAGGCTCAATCATGCCAGTGAACGTGCCTGAAGATTTCATTTGTGTGTATTTCAATCAATCAAAAACAGTATTTGGCGAACATGCTGTGAGAGGGTGATGTTCCGGTAGTGCATGCGAAAGGAGTACGGCTTATCACAGCAAGAGGGGCATCAGGCAGCGGGGCACGTGCTCCTACGCTCAAGTTCGCGCCCAGAATACTATGGATAACGTCACTCCATCTAGTAGGCAGAGCTACTCTACGTATTCGACAGTGTTGCTCGACAAGCTGTCTCCGTAGAAATTATCGCATATATTGACTGCATCAACCGCATTTTTTGGCTAAGTTTTGATCGTTGTTAAGACGCATAGCCATGACGCACCGAGTCAAGAATATCGGTTATGACGAAGACGATCTGTTTGACCAAGACGACTACGTGGAAGAAGAACAAGGCTACAGCGCTGAAGACCGTGACAATTTTGCCAGTCTGACGCCGGTTGTGAGGGCGGAATTGGAGGAAGCCGGAGTTCAAGTCTCCGATCTTCAAATAGAAGAAGCTCTTTGGCATTACTACTGGGACGTGGGCAAAAGTGTGACCTTTCTAAAGGGCGCCCGCAAGCCCGAACCAGACGCAAAGAAGGAAAAGCCAAAATCGAGATTTGACGAAGCGGCCCACAAGTATGCGAAGAAAGCAGGTGAGTCGTGCTGCTGCTCCCCTCTGGCCCGGAGACAATCACCACCGCCACGTTTGGCGCCCGGAATGGACAGTGAAGGTGGGCATGCCAAGCTAGACGCAGCTCGCAAGATGCTAATCATTCGAGGATCAACAGACAATGTGCACAGGCCTCATTTATCTGGGGTTGAGTGGTTTCGAAATACACCTTGGAGGGATGTCGATCCCGAAAATGTTGGAATTCTTGTTCCTGCACCCGATAATCGACCGGAGCCTCGACTTCTTGGTGGTTCGACCAAATTGGCCAAGTTAGCTGAGGAGCGTCGTAGGAAAGCTGCGGCATCACAAGGTGCTCCAGCTCCTTCTACGGGATCTCTCAGCTCACTGGACCGCCTGAGCAAGCCGAAGGACATAGTTGACAATAAAGAACCAAGTCCTCGTGTCGAGGTCAAGAAGTATCCAATCCGGAGGAAAGAACCTAGCCCTCCACCACAGTCTCCGACGCCGCCTCCAGTCGAGCCAAAGGAGATACTCCCAGATTTACGTTCTCAGCCAACGGCTTTTGGTCGCACGCTTGCCGTCAGTCCACCGCGCGCCTCAACCATCTCAGCAGCGATGCTTCGCGATATCCTCGGCGTAGAAACCAATTCGGAGCCTTTCAATGAACCCTCGCCGGATGATAGAATTCTCGTTGCGCAAAAACAAAGCAAAGGCATGGCCAAATGATGTAGCTGACCTAGACGTTTACCCAGATAATGCCAAGGGTAATCCTTCAACGAATGTTATCACCAAGAAGGCTGCTGCTGTCAAACCTGAGTCAAGCGCGGCCGCTCCAGAGCAGATCAGAGTCCGAAGTAAGGGATTGGATGTGCTCAAAATCTGGTTAAAAGACCGACCGAAGCGTAAGCCGTCGGCAGCCTTTGTCGTCGTTGGTCATGTCGACCATGGCAAAAGCACACTCATGGGACGATTGTTGCTCGACACCGGTGCCGTGACTCAACGAGACATAGACAAGTATGGAGCATGACTCTGACCCTGGCTCGGAATATCAAAGCTGACGATGACAGGTACAAAAAGCAAGCCACTGAGCTCGGCAAATCGTCATTTGCACTGGCTTGGGTGATGGACACCGGAACTGAGGAGCGAGAACGTGGAGTCACTGTGGATATCGCGCAACATCACTTCAGCACTGACAAGGTCGACTTCACCATTTTAGACGCGCCGGGCCACAGAGACTTCGTACCAAATATGCTCGGTGGTGCCTCGATGGCAGATTTTGCTGTCCTAGTGGTCGATATAAACAATCTCGAATCAGGGATGAAAGGTCAGACCAAGGAGCACATTCTCCTTGCAAAAGCCGTCGGCCTCCAAAGAATCGTGGTGGCAGTGAACAAACTAGACACGACGGTCCCACCCTGGAGTCAAGCAAGATTCGATTCGGTCAGAAACGAGGTTACTGGTTCCCTGGAGAAAGAAGGCTTCGACATTGGAAACATCATCTTCGTCCCCTGTAGTGGTCTCAGCGGTGGCAACGTCGTCAAACCTTTGTCTGGCGAGCCTACTCAACAGTGGACGTTCAAAACATATACCACGTTGTTACATGCTCTAGAACAATCGATACCTGACGCAACCAAACAGGAAAAGGTTGAGAAGCCGTTTCGCATGCAGATCACGGATGTGTTCCGTGGTGGCATCACAAATCCCTTGTCAATTGCCGGTCGCATCGCCAGTGGTCAGATACAAGTCGGCGATGCCGTCATAGTACAGCCCAGCGGCGAGTCAGCAGCCATCAAGGCCATCGAAGTCAACGCAGATGGCAGAGACTGGGCGGTCGCCGGCGAATTGTGCAACCTTCATCTTACTGACGTTGATGCCCAATATCTACACAGCGGTGACACCGTGTGCGACTCACGTAAGCCCGTCCTGGTTGCGCACACAGTCACAGTGGATATCACTGCCTTAGACAGTCTTCTACCACAGAGCGTGGATATCCACATTGGTCGCCTGAATGTACCTGGTGCTGTGAGCCAGCTCTTGTTCACACTGGATGCGAAAGGCGAGGTTCTGAAGAAGAAGCCTCGAATTATCAAGACCGGCCAGCGTGCCGTCGTCAAGATCACCTTGGAGACTCCTGCGCCACTGGAAGCTGGAGATTGCGTGGTCTTACGAGCGGAGGGGAGCACCATTGCCGCTGGCGCGGTGGACAATGTGAATAGTTGATGCCGTGTTACTTGGCGTCTCCCAGGCTCATGCGTCCAAATTGCAAGCTTGTGTTGCCCTGTGGTGACGTGATATATGCCACAATTTCTGCCTGAATCTTACATGTCGTGACCTGGTGTGGTCGTGCCGGCAAGTTGGTTCCGGAAGACCCTATTTTCACAAAGTATGCAAGAAGGATGCCATCGGCTGAGATGGAGTCCCCTCGAGCAACCCTGACACTTAAAATGTGACGCTGAAACAATGGTTCATTGGTCATTGAAGTGTCAGATGCACTAAATGCTTGCTCGTCAATACATCTCACGTGCAACAGCTCATCCCGTCATTCTATTGCGTAGCTTTACCTGAGAATATGGCAGTGCTTTTGTGAAGCACTACACAGCAAGGTGGTGTATTATACGCTTAAGAGCTTATGCGTAGCACGCAGAGGCTACAGTGCTGCTAAGCGGAGGATGCACTGCTCGACATCAACCAAGTTTTACATCGGTACAGCTTTTGCGATGTAGCTTCTGCACGATGGATGCGACAAGAGACACTTTAGGTATAGCCTTTCGCCAATTTTGCTTGGTACGTCGAGGTCAGATGCGTCTTCACAAGCTGCTATGAGATTGGGGTCTTAGTGAGATCATCCATGTGAATCACTCGTAGTGTTTTACGTGGAGGAGCCACCTTGCAAACTGATTATACATTCTCGCGAATTCCGTTTCGATTCTCGAGGGCAAGCACTTACGATTGTAACGACAATATTCCTATGGGCAAGGAGATTGCGATGTGCGTAGCTTTTCGATGTCTTCGGGGGGAAACTCCTCAGGAGCAGAGGCCTCTCGCAAAAGGAGAGACAATTTGATGGCATTGTAGCCAACAATAGCATGTGTCGAAGTATCACGAATCCCGATTGAAGCTACGACGGCCAGTGATACCGTGTCAGGTCGCAATCTGAGGTTCATGTCAGTACAAATGATCATGCCAAGGAGCATCATATCCGGAGGATCTTTCCGGGTGATGAATGGGGGCCTCAAAAGTGACATCTCACCCATACGTGGTGAGATCAATGATTGTCGGTGGAGCCAGATGGGCTCGCCTGCGAGAGACCCACGAGGCACCTACCCTTGCCCATGTGGGTACGGTGAGAGACCTCCTCCACACGGGAGCCCTGTCATTACCACCAAGAAAGAGTTCTCGTAGATGGAATCCGTCGTGATCCGAACATCATTTCAGAATAATTTTCAAAGTGACATTGCAATGATTATCGTGCGCAATGTTAAATTTCCGGATCGTGGCGAGACTGACCGGCGGCCACCAATACCGCCAGATCGCCACCATTTATCTGAAAGTGTTGTTGTGTGATGAATTCCTTGTGCATGCTGAAATCAGGATGCAGAGCTCGCTTGTACCACGGCCAGCTGATGCTGCGCTCGCACAGCATCTGCATCTCTGCAGTGCTACCACGTGGCCTTGAAACAAAGCGATGGTTTTGCAGCAGACTCATCATCTGACGCCGCGTATCTCGTGTAGCATCGAAAGAAGTTGTATCATAATTGCTGATACTGAGATTCACTATGGCAAGGCATTGTGGGCTAGCTTTGTGATACACTGGTGTCTCTGTTTGCAGCGACGACGTCGCAGACGCCTGGTAATTGACTCGACTTCGACCCTTTACCATCAAACATCCCACATTCATCAATTTTACATTGTACAAAAGTGGAATTAGCACGGCACGAACATGAAATCGTGTATAATGCTTTGGATTGGGGCCAAATCGTCCCAGGATCCTGGCGACGACTCCCACGATTGACGAGGAGAATTGTCCTTTGATGCGGAAGAAATCACCCGACATGAACCCAGGACTTGTGCGCATGGCTATCTGATTTGGAGGATGAGTTCAGTCTTGTCGAGACCGCAAAAGGATTCCGAAGTTGCCCGAAGTTCTTTCGCGATGCAGTCGTGACGTGCAGTTGTCGCGTGGGCAGCTGGCCATGTGGCAGAGGGCTTGGCGATGGCCCGGAGCCCTGAAGACAGCCCAAGTGGCCCGCTACAGTCTTGGAACGGCTTGGAAACCGGGTCTGCCCAGTTCATGCACTCGTTCGTTGGAACTGCTTCCATGAGGAGTCTGAATACTCAGGAGAACGGCTGCAGGATTGTCTGACGAAGAAGAGTGTGGCAGCGACATCGGATTCTGTCAAATTACGTGCAACCTGTGAGGCGATAGTGCATTCTGGTTGTCGCAATTGTGGCCACAGCATAATGGCCTGCTGTAATAAAGAGGTCGTTGGGCGATTGTGTGGACGGCTCTTGTGTGGTCAAAAATGTACCTTCGGTTGCAACAAGACCGTACGACGAACGCACTCGGATTCCTGAACCATACCGCCGCCTCCGTACAGTGTTGCGACACACAGTCCGCACGGTCAATCATCATTGTCTTGCTGTGCCTCGGCGCTTTGCGAAATACCGTAGGCTTCATAAAGGTCTCAAGGGAAACGCGCCCACGAGCCGGTCTCAAGCCGTTCGACGCGATGCCGGTGTCGGCAGTCGGCGTCTACTGCGGACGAATGAGAATTGAGCAGATTATGCTCAGGCATGCCCGCACCTCATATGGATTACGGCACGCAATATACGTCTGGGCTAGTCAAACACCCTGGGACTCTCTCACCAATATCTTCAGTGCTGCAGGAAGCGTGACAAACAGAAAATTGTAGCATGCATGTAACTGCAATTCATGCACGGCGACGGGCGCATGTATCCACATCCAATCGATATTTCCCAGCATCGAATTTAGCACATCGTGGAACTCCACTCGCGAACAGTCACGAGACGTTTGTTTAATTGGCCATGACGCGTGTGAAATGCCCAGACGCCGGCTGACTGACTGTATGCGCACTGTTCACTCTACTCGAGCATATCTCCCTCCCTCCGTCTTCCTCTCTCCTGGGACCAGTCTCGATATCATCTTGAGGCTTGTAATGAGAAACGAGAATAGTAGCACGAGAATGGTTGACGGAACGTGTGCGGTGTCCATCGGAGAAGACACCTTAGGAGCTCCCGGCCGTAGACCACTCTCATCACAGGGCGATCAGGTCGTGATGTCGATCATAGCAATGCAAACATGTATTACCATCACGGGATGGAGACAGGGAACCTTACAAAGACAGTTGCGGCAGCAGCAACAGCCAGCAGCAGGGGGATGTGAATTGAATTACAAGCAGGTTTGCCCTAATTAGCAGCAGATTGACGAGGTGGTGTTCGCCGGGTGCGTTTACCCGAGGATGACGCGAAACAGCAACAAATGCCTCCGATCATGTGCCTAGGCCTGCGCGGGGCTTGCAAACATGGAGTCTTAGTGGAAGCAGAGGAAAAAAACCTACCACCACTCTCAGGAACAGGTGCTCCATGGATATCACGTCTTTACTTCATCCCGTTTCCTTTGATTGCCTCTCCCTTGAGCTATTTGCGGCGCGCGACATCTCTGGATGCACAGAAATTCCCCGCTACAGTGCAAGGCGTCCTTGGCTGTGTCACCTTGATTCAGACAGACACCAGAACTCGTTCATACGACATCGGTCTGGGGCGCCGACGACTACTGCTATCCGCTTTCACAATCAATTTCGACAACGTACGATTCGTCAGCATGATGTTCAAGACGGTGCAATGAGTACCGGCAGCAACAAACGGCAGCAACAAGTCTCAGACCTCACTCTGGACTGTCCAATGCCCTCAGAGAGCCACGCGCCACCACTAATAGTCATACTAAGAACGATTGCTTCACATCTTCTTGTGCCTGATTGAGGTACTATCATCGGATCATATCACACCATTCGCATATAACAAGCCTTGTGGGCTTCTATCATCTTGTCAAACTAGTGCTCACCGGTTCACCAACGTGCTGGAAAGACAACGGATAACTTCGGCCCCCAATTTTACCGTGAGCAGACTTGTGGTGGTGCTGTAACACAGCATCATCCTTGCCCTTTCGCTCCGGAGTTCTCGCAGTACTCTTGAGGATTGCGGTACCCGGCACTACGCTACATCCCTCTCCTTTGGATCTTGGATCTGTGGACCCGTTGAGGTGGAACGTACTTTGGCGAGTACGGGTAGGCGGCTGAAATAAGAGTCCGAATTGAGCATTGAACCAATCCTGAGCTCAATTCGTTCGGATAGGGAGCACACCCCAGACGCGTTTGGAGGGAGCTCGTGGAGCTCGCACATATATAAATACGATGGCGCCGGTCGCGGATGATGCGTCTCCTTCCTCGGAAACTGGCACCGATCATGAACACAGTACGATGTGTGGGGACAAATTAGATCAGGACTCCGCAGACGACAAATCCCCTCACCAAATGGACGGCGAAGCTGGCGCTGTCGCCCGGGCCAATGCCAAAGACCCATCAAGACCTAGGCGCAAGAAGGCTCGCAGAGCATGCTTCGCCTGCCAGAGAGCACATTTAACGTGTGGTAAGTTCACCGTCACCTTCACATGGTATTGAATGCTGAAAATTTTCACAGGCGATGAGCGACCCTGCCTACGATGCGTAAAACGTGGCCTACAGGATCAATGTCACGATGGCGTTCGCAAGAAAGCCAAGTATCTCCACGATGCGCCGGCGGAGGCCTTAGTCCCTGGTTTCCAAGGCTCCTATCATTCCAACGGAACGCATGGTGGTCCAAATATCCCAAGACCATCTCCATCTACCCAACACAACGGAAACTCTTCGCAGCACAATAATTACTTTCCATCCAACACCCACCAAAGCTATCCTCGTTACGGACCAGCGCCACGACAAGGTCCTATTGGACCTCCCATGCTGGATACGAGCAGTATGATTACTGACTTCGCGAGTCATCAACACATCGAGACGCCGAATCGCTATTCTTCGGTATCAGGAACGCAAGTCACTCCCAGCCACGAAATTGGTCTAGATCATCCGCGCCTCTCCGCGAATCCCACGTTCGATCACGCTTATCTCGACCCGAGTGATCCCAATTATTACGACTTTAGACTGAATATGGCCGAACTCAATTTTGGCAACACCTACGGAGCCCTCGAATTCGGCATGCTCGGACATATCACGTCCAGCGCTATCGATACCAATGACTTGGATGCCCTTAACCCCATGGGTCAAACGAGCTCGAACATGGGATTCGATCGCTCCTCCGGATTCTCTACGAACTTCGGCTATAATAATGGCTATGCTTCCAATTGGCAGCATATCCCTTCCATGGGCTCTCGCCAGAACAGCTCAAATAACGTCTGGGCGCTGCACAACCATGCTTCGGATGCTTTCGCCATCTGCGAACATCCTCCATCTTTGACGGCCTCGAGTCCTAAGTCGCAAAATCAGGACAGTTCAGGAAACCATAGCGGATCGCCCGATACTTCCGCAATACTCCCAGAGCAGCGTGAGCAGGAGCTTCTGCGATTGTCGCACCAGAAAGCACGCAGGGCACCGTTTCCCTCGGGCGACCCTAGTATAGATTCTGCGCGAAAGCGGAAGCGTGACACCTCATCCGTGTATGAATCTGTTAAGAAGCCGTACGACTATACCAACGCCTTTCACGCCATGACTGAATTCATGAGGAAGCGCTTCGACCAGCACAAACTCATTCTCATCGCGAAAGCTCTGGCCACTGTCAGGCCTTCATTCATCGCTTGCAACAAAACCCTCACCCAGCATGATCTTGTCTTCACTGAACAAGCATTCCAGCGCGCGATATATGAATATAAAGAGATCATCACCCAGACCTCAACTCCAACGATCGTCTGTCGCCGGACGGGTGAAGTTGCAGTCGTCAGTAAGGAGTTCACCCTCATGACCGATTGGCAGAAGGATGTATTGCTTGGGCATGAGCCCAATCTCAACGTCAACACGGGTGAGACCCTTTCTGATGCCGAAATTGAAGCTAGATCAAGAGGGTCGATTACACCGCGAACGGTGAACGCAGAAGTTGAGAAAAAGATCCAACCAGTGTTCCTCGCGGAGCTGATGGATGCCGAGAGTGTGGTTGACTTTTACGGCGATTTTGCCGAGATCGCGTTCGGCGCGTCACGAAGCTCAGTCGTAGGAGAAACCTGTACCCTCCTCAAATACCGGACGAAAGAGGATCATCTCGCAAGTTCTCTGTCCCACATTGGCGATGACAGCCACATGCGAAGGCATTCATCGAATGGAAAGGCAGACAATCATATCAAAGGCGAATCTGGGATGAAGGCGCTAGGAGGGAAGGAGGGCAGAATTGACTGCTCATTGTGCTGGACGGTCAAGCGCGATACCTTCAATATGCCGCTGTTGATTGTTCTCAACGTGAGTTTTTCACCTGCAAGTTTTGTGACATTTTCATGACTGACAACCCACGTAGTTTCTTCCAATCACCAGCAATTGAAGTGCGTTACCGGCATTCGAGACAGCGGCTTCTGTCCGTGATAGTTCACGTAATTTGGGGTTAATGGTATCTTTCAATGGCAAACGCCCGGGCATATTTGTTTCCTTCTTACTGCATTTTGCTGGGCGATCCAGCTTGTCGATTGCATCATTTCGGGCATACGATCATCGGGAGTATTGAATGGGCGAGGCAATGGGAAAAGTTATGGGCTGTATGATGTTGATATCCATCGTCATTTCGAAAGTTACTATCGCAAATCGCATATGCATTGTGAGTCTGAATTCATGGCATTGGTATCAGGGAGACCCTATGGCGTTTGTGTCGTGACGATCTTCATACGTGTGGTGATGGTGCTAGTCACGTGCCGAGACTAATCTAGCAACACTGTAGACGTTCATTATTACAAGCTACCGATCGCCGTCTACGTCAACATAGCCCTGGAAGGTTCCGCTGATTGTCAATAATTAGGTATTATTATACAATACACATTCTTTCCCTCAGTCTATACCGCTCATTCGTGGTTCGCAAACTTGGCAGCGAACCGATCATTGCACGATGCGACCCGACGGACCACGCGATCCGGTTGCGGGACCAGACGATGGCCCCGCTGCGCCGTTCCCACTCCGTTTGAACGGCAAAGTTATCAAAGGATTTGGCCGTGGCAGCAACGAGGTCAGTTCAGCAACCCGCATTCTTGCCTTGGCTCGGAAAGATTCATACATCAAGACCTTACATTCCATCGATACAAGCTCAAGCATTGGGAACTTCTGTTCGCTGCCTTTGCAAAGCACGTTGCGGCGGAATCCCCAAGACTCGTTATCGCAATATCTTATGAACGCAGTTGAACATCCATGTTGTTGACCGTCTTACTGATGGTATAACTTTCAGCTGGGAATACCTACGGCCAACATTCCTTTATCCGGACTCTCTGTTGGAGGACATGACGAGATCGAATCCGGAATTTACTATGGATGGGCGGGTCTGTCGCCTTCGAAAGCCATTGAGCAGAGTGCCTATGGCCCAGACTCTAAGTATAAACTCATGACCGAGAAGATCTACGAAAACATGAAGAGCGTCCTATTGAAAGACGACAAAGCCGATAGCCAGACACAGACTCGCGGCGCAGTGTTCCCAATGGTCATGTCTATTGGATGGAACCCATACTACAAGAACACTGTTCGCAGTATCGAGGTGCACATTATGCATGATTTCGAGACCGACTTCTACGAAAGTCACATGAACGTCATTATTCTGGGATTCATCCGGCCCGAGTACGACTACGTCAGCAAGGAGAGCTTGATCGACGATATCAAGACAGACATCGATGTCGCCGGGCAGAGCCTGTCACGACCGGCGTATGTGAAATATCGTACAGAGCCTTTCCTACTTGATTTCAACGACAAGAGTGATGTTGCAAGCTAGATTGAGATCAAATAGACTACTTCAGTTGTCCCGAGATTTTCGTTAAAAAGCCAAAGTCGAATGTTTCCTTATTGCAGAGCTCAATCCGCGGCCGAACAGGGGGAGAAACACTTCTACGCACCACCCTCACGTTTGGCATATCTGTCACACTGTTAGAATGCGCGAGAATCAAATGATCGTGACAGGTCAGTCGATTAAACTTACTCTTCCTCAATCCTCTCCTCATATTCAGCATCGCGCTTGGCTTGCTCTTCCTTGCTAAAATCTTCGATGACACGTCCGCTGGAGTTTCCGCTGGACTCGACGGCGCGGCCTTGTGAGTCGAAATGACGAGTCTCAGTCACAGCGGGTCCACCGTAATTCTGAGAGGATGAAGTAACGGTAGTACCAGAAGGCGTAGCCAGAGTTGTGTGGCTGGAGCGATATCCTGTGGTCTCGCCATTGTTGTTGCTAGTGCTAGAGCTCGTGTAGCTTACAGAGCTGGAGAATGAATTTGACGATTGGTTGGACATACTGATGGTCGGTAAATGATGGAAATATGCAGAACGATTGATATCATTTGTCGATGATGTGGAATATCTTTATATATTTCGTGTCATTCGGTACTCCGATACTACGAGAACCTGCTCGCGTTGATGTGGCGTAATCTGCGATACTGTGACGTCAGCCGGCGAAAACGAGACTGTTTCACAGGGCGACTGTGGCTGTACAATCAAGCTTAGAGTTGCACAATCATCATCTGATAGAGCTTCTTTGTGCACGTTATGCAAGCTTCGGGAGAATTTGGGAGCATTTAATGGTTTCGCGACTCGTATCACGCGTGCTCATCGAAACCTTGCCAGTATTGATAGATTCCTCGCATGAAAATAATCTGCCTTTGGATATTCATCTAACGATAACAAACTTACTCCTATTTATTCCGCAACGACCATAGCACCCAAAGGTTCCGACCTCGATATGGAGAAATCGCAGTGGGCAGATCCGCCTCAGCCAACCTATTCGATACCTCCGAGCGAGTCATTCGCGCAGACCGGTCCTCAGCAAGATGATCTCTTCGATGATATCATCCCAGCCGATGAGGCCATGCGCCTCCGTTCAGACGAGGATTTGTTCAACGACGATTTCACACCAATCCCAGAACCAGTGACGGAGCAGGTCGCGCCAACATCTGCTTCTCAACCGCAACAGACGGCCTCTCCTGAGATCAGAGGCCACGGAGAGAGCTCGCGAGGTCGAGGTCGTGGTCGTGGAAGAGGCCAGGCTTCGCGTGGTGCGGCCAACGGAGACGCGCGCACTCCGGCGCAAGTCCAGGCGCAGACCAATGCACCCGAGAGTGCGCCTTCCGGTCCTCGCAAAGAAACAACATTCGCAGTTCGAGGGGATCGTCAGGCGACGGGTGGTGTGAAGAAGCCGAAGCTAACGGAAGAAGAACTTGCAGAAAAATTGGCCAGCATGCAGATCAAAAATGCGTCGGCGGCGGCTGCGCATGCTCGGGCGGAGGCTGACGCGGCCGCATTTGCGGAACGAGAACAACAGGCGAAGCAGGTTGCGGAGCTGAAGCGAAAAGAAGAGCGGCGCGATCGGCAGCAGATGATGGGTGAGCGAGAAAAGAACAGGCAGCGGAAACTCAAAGCGATGACCGGACGGGAATGGGATGCAGAAAAGGAAGAAGTAGACGCAAGGCCTGATGCGCGCCGGGGCTTTGGAGGTTAGCAACTGCAGTCCTTAAACGTTCATGTTGTCGTGCCATCTTACTGACTGCGAGCCTCCAGGTGACAAAGACAATTATAGTGACGGGCGAGAGTATATGTACCGGGATCCCAAAGCAGCAAATAGAGGCAAGGATCGAGGACCGGGGCGCGGTGGGCGTGGTGGTCTACCTGAAGCGCCAATGCCTCCCAAGCAAGAAGATTTCCCAGCTCTTGCGCCGCCTGTATCCAAGGCGAATGAGAAACCAGCGGCCTCGGCAACAACTCTTGAGATCAACACATTGCCTGAAGCGTCAAACGGAAAGTCATGGGCTGAACAAGTAGAGTCACCAGCTTCATGAAGCAGCTTCGCCAATGAAATGAAAATGATTGCAAAACACGAACAAGCCGAAGAAAGTTTGATGCGGCCGATCATGAATTGTGAGGAGTTGGCTTCAAGTGAAATCGATCCTAGCCCAAGCGACACCTCTCCACTGCGCTGGGAGCAGAGATCAAATTGTACATGGGCACTTTAAAGCCGGCACTCCATCATGCTGATGTCGGCGGAAACAGCAGTCGTCCTTCCATTCCACCATCACACATCAAGGAAACGCCCGAGACGTGGCCGCTGAGCGTTGGCGACGCAACCACGACGATCTGCCGTGCAACGTCTTCCGGCTTGGCCATTTTCTGCAACGGTGTTGTCGCCAACGCCTTTTCCATAATGCTCTTATCGTTCAACAGGCTTGTGGCCATTGGTGTAGCGACCCAGCCTGAGCAGGTTATCAGTAAGGTCCTAGTCAGAGAGAGCTTCGCGAGGACACACCCGGGTTTATACTGTTCACACGCGCCTTTGGTGCAATAGACACGATCTCGTTCTTCAATGTAGGAACGAGTCCGTACATCAATGCTGCTTTCGATGCAGCGTAGTCGCCATGGCCCGCTTCTCCAAATTTGCCAGCCGTCGAGCCTATGAAAATAATGCTTGCTGTGTCTTTCGCATTGTCAGATGCGGAGCGCAAGGCTCGTAGATAGGCCTTGCTAAGAATGAATGATCCTGTCAAATTTACTGCGAGTGTGTTCGCCTAGTCCAAAGGTTGTCAGCGTGTTTTATGTGTTTACAAGCTCAAGCGCTCTAACCCATTGATCAATCTCCATATCCGCAATGTGCCTGCTTCAGAGGTCAGCTGGCAACTATGCGACATGAGAAAATAACGTACGCGTCATTGGTCGCAAACACTCCATGATTCTGAAAAGTCGGTATTTAGCAGCGACCTTGCTTTCTCATCATTCCACACGTACCACGATAAGACAGCTCACAGGACCGCCTTGTTGCTTCGCGGCCTCGTCAAATAGCCTTTCCACGTCTGCGGCATTACGCACGTCGGCCTTGAGACTGACAACATCTGATAATGAAGCCAGCTCGCCGATATTCGTGTTGTAATGAGCGGTCACTCGAGCTCCGACTTGGAGAAATGTGCGCACGGCTTCAAGACCAATGCCACCTGACGCGCCTGTAATGAGAACATGGACATTTCGAAGACCAAAGTCTAACGACATTGTGGAGTTCAACAAAGCTCAATAAGAAGAGACAAGAATATTTCTGTAGTGTTCGCTCTCACGGTATTTGTTGCCAAATAGACTTCTCATCATAACTGGCATTAGAGCCTGCCCAGGTGCCTAGTACAGCTCCTACTTGGAGCTGCCCTGTAGCTGCATCTCGTTTGACGACAGAAATCCGGGAATCGCGAAAATTGCATGTTTGTGAACCTGCGGCAAATACCTGCCTGACAGATTATGGATGAGGCACTGTTTCGATAAGGATCATTGTAGCCACAGGCGATTTGCATTCAGACGACTACCAAAGTGAAACCTCATTTCAAATTTTATATCTGTGGCGTGTGAAGAAAGTCATAATTGTCATTGAAGATTGTGTCTAGCGAAGACCCCCTGCCCGAGGGATGTTAGATAGCCGTATCTTGTCAACATGGTCGGTTCAAAATTAGCTCGCTGGCCACCAACTGCAGCGTCAGCAAGATGCTGCAGACCACCGCTGTGCTGCATCATTCTCTCTTTCTTGGACTTGACTAGCTCTCGAACCGCACCATCCCAACCCTCGCTTTCCAATCGGCCAGCCAATCCGCGACCCTCTCCTAAGCACTCTATCATCTGATCCAGACCTCTCATTGCTTCTGCCCTTGTCTCGGCTACATCACATAGTTCACAAAGCGTCATGGCAGCGAGCGCACCAAAATGATGATTGAGAGGCGTCACGGGTGTGAGGCGACTGTTCAGCACTGTTGCGACCTTGACGGCATGCCCGACAAGCTCACTAGGCTCTGTTGTCGGATTGAGACGCTTGATAAGCAAATGGCAGTGGTGATAGCTGAGATGTACAAGATTTAACGATCCCCAGACTGACTCGACTGATTCCCTGAATCGATCAATTTCACCTGCAAGCGTCAGGCCGAGCAATGATGAAGCAGGATTTGAAGGTGCCATCACGTCGGTTGATGGGGTCTTCGTTGTGGTCAGTATCGCCGCCAAGTGACCAATGATGAACGATAACCGAGCAAGATGGTACGTAGACTCTCCTAAGAGGATTTGATCTTCTGGTAAAAGGACCACACTATTCTCTGGCAACTTGAGTAGGTCGGCTGTAGAGGACGCGTGCCACCGATCGAGAATAAATAGTACCCACCAGACTCGCCGCGCCAGGCGTTCTTCGGAGTCACGATCGCCCTCCATAACCGAGTGAGAGGTGCTCTTCATAGCATTGATCTCCAATTGCCCTGCAACGCCCGCAGCCCTACCGAGCCACTCGGCTCGGCTGGGCCCAGCCTGGCCACGGATCGTCGCAGGGCCATGATTGTCGCTCTCAAGCGCCATGAGGAGTAGTGTTTGCAAATAAAGCAAATTACTGGCATTCGTGTGAGAACTAGGGTTATCAAAGGGATACTTCGCGAGCAGTTCTGCAGCACGTTTGAGTACCTGTGGGTAGCCCGCATTTGGAGGAAGAGTGGTGGTCGGGAATGTTCGCATGAGACAGTCCAAAGCAACGAGAAATGCCTCTCTCAATGACGCTGGACAGATGCCAAGACGCTGCCGTAGTCGATTCTTGCTGTTTGGAAGTAATGGGAAAGTCTGATGAATCAAACGGTAATATTCGTCGATGACGCTCTCGTTCCAGTCGAAGCTTGCCACAGGTATTGGAGGCTCGGCATCGAAGGCCATGCCGACAGTGTCGAATCTGCCATCATTACTGCCTGACCGCCAGAATGGTTGGTTGGAGGGCTGTGCCTGGAGAGACAGGTTTATATTTTGTGCTGCAAGCGGATGTGTACCCATGTTGTTATGTGACTGGAATGCGTGAAGCGCTTCCGCTACATCATGGCTTCGCTTATCACCAGCTTGCGGCTCGTGAGGAAGCCGGCCATCAGACAAGTAGCCATGAAGATCGTCAACGACGGCCAACGGGAGCTGCTGGATCTGCTGGGGATCATTTCTATTTTCACGTTGCAGACTGGATGGATGGACTTGTTGTTCGAGGCTGTTAAGCCGGTCTGCAAGATCCCTGATGTAACCTTTGCTCGGACCTCTTTTCAAAGGCTGACGACTGAAGGCACATCTCACTCCCGTTCTTACACAGTTCGAGCATGCGATAGAGCCTGACTCGTCAACCGCATCACACCTAATCTTCTTACGACGACAGTCATCACACGCACGGCTTACTTTCGTGCGCTTGTCGCGGGCTTTGTCTGGAGATTGTGGCGATTCGTGGACCACGTCAGTGACTTGCGCATATGCGACAGGGCTTTCAGCTGTCACCGATGGATTCACAGCGCCCGCGTGCTCATTCATGTGGTTGGATAAGGCTCCAAAGTTCCCAAAATTGCCCATCATGCTGGCCAGGTTCGCACGCAGTTGAGGGTCATCAGGCACTTCCCGCACCAGATCGTCCGCCATTGCGGAAGAGCCAGAAGCAGTTCGGTCATCGCCAGCGATTTCCTGGTACTGCTGTGCCGATGGGTCTTGCTGATCAACTTGTTGGTAGAATGGAAGAACTTGGGTCTGTTTCGGCGATGGGTACGACGCGCCATGTGTGCTGGGCGACACCATTGTTGGCTGCCGCAGTGCTTTTACCGGCTTCGACGATGACTCTGAACAGGAAGACAGTGTTCACTATCTTGTGCAGTCCAGCAGCAGCAGCAGCAGCAGCAGAATGGCTCGCGATTGAGAATATGAATGCCGCCGCAACGAGGTTGCGGACATGATGGCGAGCTTTTGCACAGCCAAGGTCACACAACTAGTGGCATGCAAGCGATCTAACCTTGCTACTGCCAACAAGCAGTTCAGTCGTCTCGAGTGTGAGGCTCACCTCGATGTCTACAAACTGTGCGACCAAACATATCTTTTGAGATATCACAGCTTTGCATTATACAAGACGAGAATAGATTCAACACAGTAGTTGAATGTCTAGGCCGTACGTCGTCGGCGCGGATTAACAATTCTTCCTTCTCCATCAACGCCTGGCTTCCCCGGCGGCTGACCGCTGGGAGGGCGGTTTTTGCACACGAAGGTTATGCTTGGAGAGGAAAGGGTTCAATGTGAATTGTGAAGTCACGTGTTATCGTGAGCGAGACGTTGGCTGCCTACGTCATATGACGCGGTCACCAAATTTTGATCTAATGCGTGCCAGGGACCTATGGATGTCAGGAAGGCATTGGGCAACCACAATACTTCCGGACTGTACCAAACGAAGCGATGCAGCAGCATTGAACGATTCAAATTTTAGCTTCTTCCTTGATCGATTGATCCGTGGAGAACAGGGACCCACCAACGCCATGGCGAAACACTCGCCGGTTACCAGCAAGCGTCCGCGTGTAGAAGTCGATATAATGGGTGCTGACGACGAGTCACAAACCGATGGCAATAGGGGGAGCAAGACAGCACGACACTCAAATAATGACGATGCATCGAGCAGGCGAGCATCAGTGAACTCTTCGACGCCGCCCTCAAGTTATCGAGGCGGCCCAGATATCCTTCCCGAGTCTAGCTCTTCGCAGCACACTGAGGCCGAAAGGCAAAGTTGGCTCGCAGATGATAGTGCTGATGTCAACGAACTTATAATCTCGTCGCAGGAGGTAGCTCACGGAAGTGATCAATGGCAACATTACGGCGATCTTCCCATCAAAATCGTTGGTGTCAGCCACTACAAAGGCAATGCCAATCCAAACGAACATGTTGTGCTGCGTCGTGAGCCAGGAAATCCATACGATGGGTTTGTTCGATTTGATCTTGGCTTGATATTCCTTAGCTGATACTGAGAGGTGAAGCAACGCAATACGTGTCGACAACGTCAGTGCAGTACAGATAGGTCATATTCCCCGACAAAGCGCTGCGAAGCTAGCCAAATACATCGACAATGGATGGTAAATTGGAATCAATCGCGCTCGTTTCAATTCCGCGCAGTGCTGATCCATGAGATAGGCTCAACTTGGTTGCAACGCTCGCAGGCCGTATGGGTACCTATGACTGCCCGTTGACGGTTCAGATGTTTGGTCCCGACCCAACATCTCAAGCTGGCCAAGAATTGATGGAACGTATGAACGCCGATAAGCTGTCTGTAAAGGCCATCAAAGCCGCAGAAAAGCAACGTTTGAAGACGGCCAGACAGCAGGCTGCAGGTGGTTCCAGCAAATGGAAGTCTCGGCCGATGGAAGACGGAGACGCAGCTAATTCGATGATGGAAGACATCATAGAGAGCTCAGAACGCTTTGACGTCCAAAGAGCTGAACGCAATAGCGATGCCTATGGGGTCAAAGAATCTGATCTCGAAGACATGCCTCTGGCTGCTAAACCGGAAGGAATCAAGACCGAAATGCTACCCTATCAGTTACAAGCCCTGCAGTGGCTCATCGATCATGAGAATCCAGAAATCACGGCTCATGGACCAGAAAACTCGGTGCAACTCTGGTCGCGCGAGAGCAGCGGTAAGAAACTGTACACGAATCTGGCAACGAATCACTCGACACAGTCGAGCCCAAAGCTTGCCTCTGGGGGCATCTTGGCGGACGACATGGGTTTGGGCAAGACGCTGGAAATAATCGCACTCATGGTTGCCGACACCAAGGACTCTGGACGAGGTCCCACTCTAGTTGTTTCTCCACTTTCAGTCATGTCAAACTGGTCTGGCCAGATATCGCATCACGTTCACGAGAAGCACGCACTGAATGTGTATACTTATCATGGAGCGGGACGAGTCGACATGTCAGCTGCCGACTTCAGAAAATACGACGTGGTCATCACGACTTACCAAACACTAGCAATCGACTACATGCCCCGTGGAAAGGGCAACCAGAAGCCCACGAGTGAGCTACGGAAGAGTGGCCTGTACAGTCTTGAGTGGCGGCGTATCGTACTTGATGAGGGCCATATAGTACTCAATCCTCAATCAAAGGGTGCCGCAGCCGTAACGGCCGTCATGGCCAAATCTCACTGGGTCCTCACCGGAACGCCCATTATCAACTCGCTAAAGGACCTTTACTCTTTGCTGCGATTCATTGGCATAAATGGCGGATTGGAAACGCTCGAAGTATTCAACAGCGCTCTCGTCCGCCCATTGAAGGCGGGCGACGAGAGCGGCGTCTTCCTGCTCAAGGCGATCATGAAAGCATTCACCCTTCGCCGTCGCAAAGACATGGAGTTCATTGATTTGCGACTTCCCGCTTTGCATGAATACATACAACGTATTGACTTTGCACCAAAGGAACGGAAGAAGTACGATGCACTTGCAACTGAAGCGAAAGGAATGCTCGAAGCGTACGAGGAGCGAAGAGGAGCTCCAGATGGCAAGGCCGGTGACACGTATCATCACCTGTTGGAAATTCTGCTAAGGATGCGACAATGCTGCAACCATTGGCAACTCTGCTCGGAACGCGTCACAAGTCTGTTGACACAGCTAGATTCTCATAAGGCCGTGGAATTGTCCACAGAAAATGTGAAGGCGTTGAGGGATGTGTTGCAGATTCAAATCGAATTGCAAGAGGATTGCGCCATTTGCCTCGAGACGCTCCATGACCCTGTTATCACGAATTGTGGTCACTTTTTCGGGCGATCCTGTATCGCTCAGGTGATTGATCGGCAACACAGATGTCCTATGTGCCGTGCCGAACTGAAAGACGAAAATTGCTTGGTCTCGCCAAAGCATGACTGTGGAGATGAAGACGTCAAGACTGATGAGAATGATCTTGATGGCTCAAGTAGCAAGCTCGATGCCATCGTCAAAATCCTTGCTGCGAGCAAATCGAGCGATGGCAAAACGATAATTTTCTCTCAGTGGACCAGCTTCCTCAACATCATTGAGGCCAGACTGAAGAAAGAAGGCTACAAATTCTGCAGGTTGGATGGCACGATGCCCGCGATGGAGCGTGACCGAGCTCTAACGGCGTTGGAAGAGGATCCCGCGACGACCGTCATGCTAGCCTCTCTCGGCGTATGTGCAGTAGGCCTTAATCTGACTGCGGCAAATCAAATTATCCTATCGGACACATGGTGGTAAGTGGCAGTAAGATCATGGACAGATGGAAATATGCTAACACTGCTCAGGGCCCCAGCCATCGAAGACCAAGCAGTTGATCGTGTCCACCACTTAGGACAGAAGAAGGAGATTCGTGTGTTCCGCCTAGTGATCAATGAAAGTATCGAGGAAAAGACACTGGAGATCCAAAAGCACAAGAGAGCGCTTATGGTAAGTGCATTCAAGTGCCAAAGCCAGTGCGAATTATCCAGCTGATCCGAATGACAGAATTTAGCATTCTCCGAAAAGGGCGGCAAACGAGACAACCAACGACAAAGCCGATTGGCCGATATCGAACAGCTGCTTGCATGAAATTGATCGACAATGTGGCGCGATTGCACGCCGCTTGATGATGAATCTGCTACGACAATTGAGCTGTCGCGGCGGCGTGCGCAGGCCAAATTTGAGAGTCTAGCAGTACCGCTACCTTTTACCTCAAGCAGTGCAGGCACAGATTATCGATATCGATGTGAGTGAGCACAGGCGGAATCCAGTAACTACACGGTCATGGATGCCATACACTCTTGCTGGTAGGAGTGCTTGCTGGCAGGGCTGGCTATGACCTGGCAGCTAGAGGGCATGTTATGCAGGACATTTTATGGCTATTGCACAGTTTCGTCTCCGGCAGATGGTCATTCCGTACACCTTGCCAGAGGGCACTCGTCAGACCGACAGTCGATCGTCGGGCATACTATGCATCTGACCGATGTCGTGAAGGCTTGACTACGTAGCATTTGCACGATGTCCATAGCTCAGCCATTAGGACAATTCTACAACATACGTGTGCTACGACAAGTGACGATGGTGGTGGACGCCCCGCAGCGAAGTCGGATCACCGGCAACCTGTCAATCTCACATTTGGCACGAAAATTAGGATGATGATGCAAAGCGCGTGTTGGACTTTGTTAGGCCACGAGAAACGGAGGGTGATTTGGCTAGCGGAGACCAGTGCGCGCGCGAGTCGCGAAATGCGCTTGGTGTCATGATGCTTCGAATTGACCGTTTCCATTAGGTATGAGGTTGCGAAATGAGAGCATCATCCTTGAATGTTCGTAGTGAAGGCTGTTAGTCAAAACAAAGTGGTCGTCCACAATGATCCGGTCTACAGGTCGTTCCGTTCTGGTGGAACCATGACCGAATAGGCGGCGTGGTCTTCAGTCGTAGATCCTCTCAATCCAAACAACGGAATCACGAATGTGCAGTGTATTCATCGCCAGCGCTCATATCGAATGCACTGTCGCATGTTCTTCGATGTGCGCGGGACAGGAAAGAAAGGACCTGCACAGGGTGACTGGTGGCTTGCGCAATAGAAGGGTGAGGCACTTTCTCTCGCTGCACCCTGCGTGGACATGCCCAATTGCGCAAGCGTGCTCACAGACACGCGCCGCGTGGGCATACGGCGGTGACAAAGTTCGGATCGCCAAAGGAGTCCAATTCTGTTGGTACCTCAAGATGTAAGAGCAGATCTTGTTAAGTGGTGTGTGAATACTGCACAGCCTCCCGACGGTGCGAAGCATGAGCATGCCCGTTTAGATGAACAGGAGCTTATTACTGCATGCCGTTAAGCAGATACGCTTGAGAATTGTCATCAAAATACGAATGGAACGAACGAATACAACGGCACGACGAGGGGAAATTTAAGCCCGTGGGGGATCAATCGCCCAATAGCGGCCCATCAAACCGCCGGACATTTGTTAGCGGAAAAACAAGACTTCCAGGGAATCGGGCGTGATGGGCCTAACGACCTGTTCGGGACGTGGACCACCGAAGTGACCAAAGCTGCACAACGTCGCCGTGCCACTGCGTGCGTGCCTACCTAGGCAGGTTTGTCGCGGTTGGAGACGATGTCGCAGTTGTCGGCCTACGACCACAAGGGAATAGCGCTTCAGGTGCGCACGACGATCTGTTCGACAGCTGCGAGAACCGTTTTCCACATGCGCTCGCACACTCCTCCCACCAGGTTCAGGTGGTGCAGGTGGTGATGAATGATGGATTGACGCTGGGGGCGCGTGCATACACGTCTTGTCCAATCCCACCGATTGTTCCATTGTCCAGCGCTACAGGCCCATCACACTTATCAATGTTTCTCAAGACTACCTAGGTGTGTGGCTGTTTCCTTGTCGAGTGGACTACTTGCAGTGGTGAAGCATTTCTTCCACGACATATTGGATGGGATACTGGCAGATGGCCCCACGAAACTCCACTCTGCCCTCTCCACTTGACAACCTCTTGGTCGCGGATGGGATGCACGTGTGATGCAGAGTACATGATGCGACGCTTGCTGCTTCAGAGCGAAGCGCAAGGAGGAAAGCATAACAATCACCAAATTCGCGCTGGTGTCGTGGGCGTGAAGAACGGAGGGTGAGGGGCAAGCAATCGGTCCCCTTTCCCACACGCCAGTCATGCCGTTTCCCATGGCTCGCTCAAGTCTTCTTTTCTGCTTTCCCTGTGTGCCCCTCCGCCAATATACCGTTAGAGGTAGATCGTGTCTGCGTGCCCACGTCTTAGCTGGACGTGCATGGAGAGTTTCGGTCCAGCATGTTTTGCGCCATACTGGAGTACCTAGGTAGTCTGCGAAAACGCGATGGCCAGCGGTGCAGCGGCCAGCCAGCTTACCAGCCATCATTTCGACGCACCCACGATGAGAAATCATGAGCCATCGTGTAGCAGTAAATGCCGGTCCAGAACTCCCGGCTGGTCACGCATTGTGCGTAATAGCTTAGCTGTCGTTGAAAGCATAGCAAGTATGCATAACACTGCCCAGGTGGATGCATTTATTAGAGTATCCAGAAGGAAGGATGTGAGCGGAGGCGTGTGTGGTCAGCTTAAGGTCTCAAGGGCACTTCCTCACTTTACCCAGGTCATCTGCCAAGGCCCGTACCCTGTCGCCGCGGCTTCCATCTTCCTCACTTTCTCAGCTTCACCTCTCCTCTACCTCCTTCACTCGCAATCACCAGGCTTCGCAGTCTTTCTCGTCGATTTTGATCGTTCCCACGCGACTTGTTCGGTTCGGCCATTCACGGCCACCGCCGCTTGGTGGTGTTGCCAGGGCCTTTCCGCGTCGCTTTTTCCATACTTTACACTGCGAAGATCTTCAAAGTCTATGTACAAGATGGACTTATAGAGATCGCCAGGTGTTTCACAGTATTCACAAGACGAGCAGTTTAAATTCAAAAATAACGACCCGGGAACGTTTCAAACTTGTGTAACTGGTTCAGCACTCGACATTCATCTTCGATCCTGACGTTCCAGCCGACTTTGAACGGAAGTGGCACTCCAGGTGACACATCATTCAAAGATCAATTCGTGTAAGGGGACTTGTTCACGGCGACATATTCATTACATCTGTAAAGCAAGAGTACAAATTATCAAATCAATCATCATGGTGGTCAAGGCTGATGGCTCTAAATGGGCCTGCAGCTCTTGCTTGAAGGGACATCGTGTCAGCGGTTGCAACCATACCGACAGAGAACTCACTTTGGTGCCCAAGAAGGGTCGTCCGGTCACTCAGTGTCATCATTGTCGACTTGAGCGCAAGAAGCGATCTGCGCATGTGAAGTGCGATTGCGGCGAGACGGAGAAGGTCCATCACCCAAAGGAGAAATGCATACATCTTCGTGAGGCAGAGGAACGTGCCAAGGCCGGTCTTCACGAAGTTTTGAATCACGACAAAGATGCCGGGCATCTGGTAGCTGTGGCTGAGGAACAAGGTTGTTGCTGCCACCACGGTGGCAAGTGCACGTGCTCGCTCCTCAAGAAGGAAACCAACGACATGCTCCTTGACGACATTCCTCACGGACCGGCCGTGCAGAAGCCTCGACTCGAGTCAACCAGGTCCGATGGTTCCATAACAGTCTTCGCAAACGGCCATCACAAACCTGTGCATCGCAAGAACAATGCAGCACACGAGACTGGAATGCCATATAAGATGCCGCTTTCGCGATCCACAACCGACCACACTCTACCCTCTGCGGCGCGACGTTCAGTGGACAGCCTCAGCCTGAACACCAACTTAAACATCCCCCACGCACCATTCTCGATGTCTACAAATATAGATTCAAATGCCTTCAAATCTGAGCAGCATTCTCCGACGGTACGAGAGACGAGTCGCAGTGGCTCCCTGGGTGCGAACTTCTCAAACATCGATTTGAACGCGCTCGGCCTCGTCCAAACTAATCAAAGTGTGGATTCCATCGAGTCGAACGCATTTCCTATGTTTGATCCGTCATCGGGCGTGGACAGCCAAGACCCCTGGTCCACCTTCCCATCGAGCGACTCTCTCGTCTTTCCCAACAACAATCCATTTGGCGCATGGGCGACCACATTCGATGCCAGCACTCTTGTCCAGCCCGCCCTCACTGCTGGCTCATCTTGCACACAGTCCGACATTGATGAAATTCCTCCCACAGACGACATGTACAATTTCACAATGCCCAGCATCGCCGAGGACTTTGATCTGAACGATGCTACGGCGGATGGCAATAATGTCAACCGACGCAGCTTGCCGCCGAACTTCTTCGGAAACACTGACTTCACAACAGCGTTCTCCGAAAATTGGCAGCAATTGGATGATGCGCCCGAGCAGAGTTTCGATGCCAATAAAGCAAAGTCTCCGATGCATATCTTCAACGTTGCAAACGGCGACTCGTGGCCAACACCAACCATGACCAACACTGCCCATCGTGGTACCCTGCCGACCGGGCGTCCGCAATCTCACTCGATTGGCCCGGGCAGCGCCCCCAATGAGGATGTGATCAAACGACTATTTCCTGACATTGATGTCACGACCACGTTTGGAAGTGTGCCCAGTCCAGGTGATCTAGCCTTTATGGCCATGAAGCGTTTCGGTGATGGTTTGCCAGCCGATGATCGCACTTCCGCTCCCATTGATTTCACCACAGATGAATCTACGGCCATGACATCGCAGCCATGGACAGACGGCTCCATGCCCCTGATGAATGACGTCTTCACGGGCGCATACAACCTTGATCAAGACTTTCCGATATCAGATTTCTCCAACAGCTGGTCCGGCAATCAATAACCATGGTTGGGCGGCAAAGTCGTCCAGAGATGAAGAAATGGGAAGCTTAATTTGCGCTTTTCCAGCGGACACTGCGATCGCTTGGAATTCTGCATTTGGGCGAAGATGTCATACAATTGCTTCACCCTTTTCATGTGGCAGATCTACTTTTCCTGCATTTGACACGACTGCGGCGATACCATGTTTACGAGCATTAAAAATCTAACGACACGAGATGCCCCATGATAGAAGCACAAATAAAATTGCATATCGTTCTATCTACCGTTTTCATTTATGATGTACATGTTGCCCATCAGCCTGCGTGCATGAAGTCATGATGTAGTAATCCGTGTGGTACATGTATGATTTGCCTGTCCTCGAGACGTCGTGCAGCTTGACCAGCTTGGTCAATGGAACCGCCGGTGAATCTTGCCAAGTCATCAGGAATGCCTACCCAGGTAGTCGACATATGCCAATCGAACGCTTCATAGGCCTCTCGGGTGCGGATCCTTCATATTTCGCTGTGCCATGCGTCTGTGTCATTTTGTTCGGCGTTGAGCATTGCGATTCCGCTTGGAGCCCTCTTTAATTGATTACGACGACATCCATGCCGCCCATCTTCATGAATCATCAGCCAATCCCAAAGTATCTTGACAGGCAAAACAAGAAGGGCCGACTAGAATAAAAGATGTCTGCTCATTCCAAGCGAGGCCTCTGCTGGCCTAACGAGAACACCGACCCAGTCTTTGTCTTCACCAAACCTGGCTCCAAAGTATCCTGGCTCTGTCCGTTAACCACACCGTAAAGATTGGATCCCGCGCAAGTGAACTTTTGACTGACGGCACACGCACAGACAACTGGTCGCCCAATCCCACCCAGGGTGCCCAATCGCTCGAGTTCGTTCCCATGCAGTGGAACCACGTCGCTATCGACGAACTGAGCGGGAAAGTCCAGGGTGCTGGCGCCACCGGGCTTCTCGGCTTCAACGAGCCCGAACTGCCCGATCAGTCCAATATGTCCGCCGAACTGGCCGCTGCCGAATGGGTGCGCTGCATGGAGCCGCTGCGCAAGGCTGGCATCCGGTGTGGCAGCCCGGGTATCTCCTCGGCGCCGCATGCGGTGGGTTGGCTGAAAGATTTCATGTCACGAATCCAGGCCGCTGGGTCTGATTTTGATTTCTATTGCATTCATTGGTATGGAGAGACGCTGGGACAGTTCTATGATTACATTTGGAGCACGTGAGTCGTCACCCGATCGATCCCATCTTTCTGCATGCACTACGAATCGACTCTGAAACTTATGAGATACTTTTCTGATCACGGCGTTAAGCAGGCATCATCAACTGGGACCGGGCAAGCCGGTGTGGATCACGGAGTACGCGTGCACAAATTGGAACGAGCAGAGTCCACTCGCTCAGGACCATGTTGAGAACTTCGCACAAGAAAGTGTCAGATATCTCGATACACTGGATTGGGTAGAGCGGTACGCATGGTTTGGTCCGATGAGAAACACAGGTACAGTGGGCAAGTGGGCCAGGATGTTGGACGACGAAGGCAAATTGACGGCTCTGGGAAAGGCCTATAGAGATGCGTGACAATGGAACCAATAGGGAGGCGTGTGACGAGTGAGACATGAGACGAACGAATGGTTCCGATGTGGCAGAGGCGAGGATCGCTCACGATTCTGGTCCTGCTTTTGCAGCTTCTAGATGGGTCTCACGAAGCTGAGAGTCAAGCCCCTGTTTGCCTACTGCCATGGCGCTTTCAAGCTCGCGTTCCTCCTCACGAAGATCTCTTCTGGCTCGCGCCTCCTGTCTTTCTATCACTCTCCGTTGCTCTTCAACTTTGCGCTCACGCTCTGCTAGAGCTTGCTCGCGATGCCGCCTGTCTTCCCGTCTTCGTTCGTCTTCAAGTCTCTGTTCGTCCGTCATATCGCTGTCCGTGGGCGCAGGCGGCAACTTCCGTATGTGGGATTCGATGACCAGATTCCTTGTTGAGGAAGGCAAACTTATGAAATGGAGATGTGATAGCACCTTTTGCGGCAACGCATCGATCGTCGTATCTCGGTTGAATTCCTTGACTGGTACGCTCTTCAGTAGTGTCATAAGATCAGCTTTGCGTGCTGATTCCGGTAATTTCAGACGATTGACGTGGTCTCTGTATAACTTTTCGCGATCTTTGTCGCTCATTTTGCGATCGTTTAATTCCGCTTCGCGCTTATATTTGCGCTTAAACTCTGGCCAGTATAATTTCGATGTAGCCTTGGAGTCCAGAAAGGCTAGATATGGTATCCTGGGGTCCAATTTGTTCATGGCCTGCCGATCTTTCTGTATCTGAGCTGCTTTGTCCTTCGTCCATGCATCCCACACTTCTCGCCGTGCCCGCATGTTGGGCAGCACTATATATCGGTCGTCGTTCATGATGCTCGTTTCTGATTGATCTGCAATCAAATTATCCCACGGTGTAAATGGACTAATTCGGTAATCGTCGAGTAGGTCGCGGAACAGATTTGCAGCATCCTCCTCGCTCAAAGGCAAACCTTCGTCTCCTTCTTCCCAATTTTCACCTGGACTACCATATTCACCGGGATCGAGACCATAATCCTCGCCCATTGCTGCAAGCTGGTACGCGATGTCATCTTCTCCAAATTCCACGGGTGCGTCATCATCATTATTGTCAAGATCGTTCTTTTGTTCTGCGTCTCCGCCGGGCGCTGATGTCTGAGCTTGATCTTCATCGTCCTCAAATTCAGAATCCGTAACCTCGATCTCGTCGTAAGAACCTTCGCTATCATAGGCAACTTTCGCATTGGTCCTGTCTATTGCATTCTCCGATAGACGAGGATCCTGATCATCGACCACTTCCGTTTGAGCAGCAAGCTCTGCCAGCATTGCTGCCTCATCCTCACGCTGCAAGCTTTCGCTCCTGCGACGTCGGGCCCTGCTTTCCGCGTCGTTCGCGGCGCGAGGCTCATATATTTTGCCGGACTGGTGTGTCGATTTGATCTGGGGTTGTGGTTGACTGGCGTTTCCGCGCTCCTCTTTCCGTTCTCGCTCCCTTTGTCCAAATGCTACCACACCTGGTACAACGGCTGCTGGGACATGCCACGAACTCTGTTTCGTTTCAGTATTGTGCACGAATTGTCGGCGCAGCTTTGTCTTGATCAAAATCCATGGCTCGTAACCGGGAAGAACATGTTTGGAATGTGGTCGATCTGTCGCATCGCGCCGATCGTAAGGTCGCTGTTGATCTCGCCCACCGGCATTGGCATGGTTTCTGCGAGTATGCGACGTATTTTCTAATCTGGATGCCGGAGAATGTGTTCGTTGTCTTTTGGATGGCGTCTCCATCGTAAATTTGTGAAGATATTTATACACTCAAACTGATCAGAAGCCTTTGCTGGCGTGCCATCAAAAGTTCAATTTGGCTTGGCGTCGGGGACGCGTTGGAGCTCGTCGCCTAAAGTGGTACTGCGCAGCCAACGCCTCCATCATCACCACATTTCTTCTTTTCGACCATTCGACCATTGCAACGAGCCACGACGATTTTGCTCGATAAAAGAGCACCTGACCTCATATTTCGCCCAATCTCGCCTCCAGAAAATGTCTCGCCGATACGATAGGTAATCAGCAACATATATGATGCAATACGTATAGTCCAGCGTACTAATAGCGACCATTCAGTCGCACGACCATCTTCTCGCCTGAGGGACGTCTGTACCAAGTCGAGTATGCGCTCGAAGCCATTTCACATGCTGGTACAGCCTTGGGAATTTTAGCAACAGATGGCATCGTCCTGGCAGCAGAGCGAAAGGTCACAAGCAAGCTGCTGGAGCAGGACACTAGCGCTGAGAAGCTTTACATTCTCAATGAGTGAGTAAATCTGGTTGTTTGCTATGCGTTGGAGGTGAAGCGTGCTGACGGGAACATAGCAACATGATCTGCGCAGTAGCAGGCATGACCGCCGATGCCAACATCCTGATCAACTACGCCCGTCAAGCCGCCCAGCGCTACCTTCTCACATACAACGCAGACATCCCATGTGAACAGCTGGTACGGAGGTTGTGCGATCTCAAGCAAGGATACACGCAACATGGTGGTCTGCGACCGTTCGGTGTGTCTTTCATCTATGCAGGATTTGACAAGCAGAGACAGTTCCAGCTCTACCAATCCAACCCCAGTGGAAATTACACAGGCTGGAAGGCGACAAGCGTCGGTGCCAACAATGCGAGCGCACAATCTCTCCTCAAACAGGATTACAATGAGGAATGCAACCTCAAGCAGGCATGCGAGCTTGCTGTCAAGGTGCTCTCCAAGACCATGGATAGCACCAAGCTATCAAGTGAGAAGATCGAGTTCGCAACCGTGGGAAGGACAGCGTCAGGAAGCATCTACCATCATTTGTGGGATGCTGACGAGATTGACACACTCCTGAAGGAGCACGGCCTTGCGAAGAAGGAGGAAGAGCCTGAGACTTGAAATGAGCAGCTTTGACAGCGTTCTAAGACCAATGTATTCAAAGCATGATGACGGCGTATGAGTAAAGGATAAAGGAATGTATCATGTCAAGCGCACTGTCCCTCCGAGCTCAAAATTTTACGCACATGAACTTGATCAGGTTGCATGTTGCATGTGAAAAGCAATGTCGATGAGGTTCTGCCATGGTCGCACATCAGGTATTTTACATGCGGACGAAGCGACTCTCTCTACAATCGGTTCTAATCAACCGACATCTTGCGACAGCGGTCACGTGTTTTTCTAGCAAGAACAACAGTAGTCGTCCACGCATGTTGAAACAAGAACCAGAATGGCCGACTTTCAGCCGCCAGCTTCGTGGCGCTCGGCTGCTGAAGTCGACAAAGACTTAATAGCAGCTACCTTGGTTCCAGATTTTGATCTCAACGCATCAAGTCTCTACCGATTCCCCTTGGTGATATTCCGTTGCAGACGGTCGGCAGTGACCTGTACGGTGCGTTGATGAACATTCTTTACAGTATATGGTCGCTGACGTACAATCTTCCAGGCGATCAAGAGATGGCTCAAGCATCGCTGTGACCGTTTGGCGTTACATCATAGCATGCTACGCATCGAAACCCAGCACATTCACGAGCTCGACGCAGCCTCAGACGCGACGTTGCTGTGGATGCCTGGAGTGGCCCAGATTAAGAACGTTGAAGCATCGATCTTGGCGGGACTGGTACCCAAGGATCACAACATTCGTTGGTTCTACGTAAACCATTATGCTGATAATATACTACGCAGTACGTTAGCTGACAGATAGCAGAGCGTGTTTCCAATGGATACTCTCATGGTCAGTCTAGACGCTGTAAATTACATCACTCTCAGAAAAGTAATGCCATACGACACACGTAGCTACCAGCGCTTGCTCACCGTTTTCCGCGAAGAATTTCTCCGTGCCTTGCAAGTCCCACATTCACCAGACTACCTCAACGCTATGGCTTTAACCGACTATGCTCCAGAGGTGCTAGATCACGAAGCAGCTCTCGTGAAATTATCGCGTGCCGATATTTTGCACACGGGAGAGGAGAGAGACCTTGCGGCTGATCGTTACCTCCTCGAGCTCTCGCCTTCGGAGCGGATGCTATCCGCGCTGGTGAACCTGGAGTGTGCTGAGTACTTGTTGATCAAGCGGATGTTCTTCAAAGATAGGTACTTGCACATACATCGACGCCCGCTCAAAGACAGGCCTCGAACAGGTATGTACCGGAAGCGTCGTAATCGATATTGGCTGAACGCTGACATGGCGAATCCGCTCAGAAAGAGAACATACTAGCTGGCTAGAGGATAACGTTCAATGCACGCCAGCTCAAGCAAAGAAACTGGTGCTTGGGTGGCGTGAGCTAGGAATTCTCAACGAGAAGCGATTCACCTTCCTCGTGAAGCACGGGGGGGTGTTCGAACAGGACGAATGGGGGAATGACTTCGTCTGATAGTCAAGGTAGGGAGCAGCCTGAACTAATGTGCCTTCTGGGATTTCTGAAGTCGGTTCAACTTCGATCTCGAGTCTCAGAGCACATTTAAAACGCAATTGTCTTTCTTTTCACAGTCGATGACAAGGGTGTGTTGAAGACAATAGTTCATGAGGTGAACGAATAGCCCGCGAAGTGAACAAAGTCGACACAAGACCGAACCCTACGAGGTAGGCAGATAGCGTGACAAGGTCCACATGACAGGGGTGCTATCGCGGCGTTATCGCCAATTCCCCGCAATGAGCCTGAATATGTACCACCTGCCCGTGGGCAGTGAAGCATTCTAAGGTTTATTGAAATAAGTTGCCCATATATGAATTGATGCCGACCCCGGGGAATGGGAACTGCGCTCGTGACAATCCCCACTGTCGGCTGTGAGTGATATCGTGCATCCGTGGTCGCGACAGTCTTCCAATATATTCCGACATCTGGGCGGACTGCAAACACCAAATAATCCAAGCGTATGAAGTATAGTACGTCTATGTTTACGAGTGAGCACAAAACACTAGCCGAGCCATCTCACAGCCTCGTGTCACGACCTTGCTGGTTCCAATCTGCCTGAAGCCGTCATTCCGCAACAGTAACTCGCAGCTTCTGCTTTTAATCAGTCAACGTCCAGCTTGTCACTTCAGTCAAACACACATTTTGCGCAATCCTTACAGTGAGACAATAATTATTCACTCTCTCGCTCGCCCAAGCTCGCGACCAACGTGCGACAGTCAGAGGCTGCGGCAGAACTCCAACCTAAGCGTCAGAACTCCGAGATTTGTCCTCTCTGCGTCAAGAGACAGACTGTAGAAAGAGACAAAAAGAAGTAAGAGCTATTGGAAAACCGGCGGCGAAATGAGTAGTCCAAAGCGTCGGATCGAGACAGATGTAAGCAGGATGGAATCCCAGAGGCGCAGGCATCCAAGTCTGACATGAAAGACAGGTCATGAAGATGTGAGAGCAGGCGGTGGAGTACACGGAAGATGCGAACACGCTCTGATCTCGCGCTCCAGGCTCATGAGTGACTACGAGGTGACTTTGGTCAATGACAACAGTAAGTGGATTCAAATTGGCATCGCGCAAATAGGGACAAAACTGACAGATTGACAGTGTTGGTTACACATCGCCAAGCCTGATTGGACGTGCTGACCCCTGCCAGGCAAGAATTCTACGTACGATTCAAAGGCCCAGAAGAAAGTGAGTATGGAAGGTGCGACTATGGGACCTCCAGCTAAGCATCTAGCAGCTCCCTTCGTCGGCGGCCTATGGAAGATTCATGTCGAATTACCTGATCAATATCCATATAAGAGCCCGAGTATTGGATTTGTAAATCGCATTTTCCATCCGAACATCGACGAATTGTGCGTAGCAATCCCCAACACAACACAGGACGTCTATGGGCTAACAATCTTCAGATCCGGTAGCGTCTGCCTGGATGTCATCAACCAGACGTGGTCGCCAATGTACGACATGATCAATATTTTCGAGGTATTCCTCCCACAGTTGTTGCGATATCCCAACCCTACAGATCCCCTTAACGGCGAGGCGGCGGCACTATTGATGCGGGACTCCAAAAGCTATGAGAACAAGGTCAAGGGTGAGTGCAGCGATGCGCAAGAGATAGAAAACGCCCATTTGTTGGAGACTAATCCGCTTGGGAATTAGAATACGTGGCCAAGTACGCATCGAGGGAGAGCGCCGACGAAGCTGGACACGAGGCAAACGACAGTGACGAGATGAGCAGCGTTGGTAGCTACGACGATGACGGAGAGGATGATGAACCAGCGGGCACTATGGATGAGCTCTGATGATTATCGCCGTCCTTGATACTGTCATCTGCTGAAGGCGTTCCGGTCGGGTTCAGCTTTGCGTTGCGACGTGACTCTCTTCTCATTCGTTTATTTGCTTCGTTTGTTGCATGTCCTTCACGTTGAAAGGATAGTCATAGTGATATTTAGCAGGCCCTGCGTGTCCAACGCTATTCTTAGCAAATCCAACATCCATTATTGCGGGCATGCCGATGAAGAACATGGCGGTGGCACATCGAACGGGAGGCTAGCTACATCCTGCATCCCTAGTCGCGGCCAATTCATGCCGGGCATGACATTGTAAGCGATGGACATTGTCGCGCGCAACTCGCAGTGTCGTTGGAGTCAAGATGTTCAGCCGCACGAGTCTAATGATTTCATTCGGGGAGCGACATCCGAATGCAGGCATGGCACGAATCGATTACTAGCCAACCAAGATCGGGTGAGGCTCGACGATCGGAAAAGCGGAAGCCACTTGACGATTGATGGGAGATCCACCGGACGGATCCCGACATAGGAATGACCTGCGACCGGCGCTTGACCGATGCAGCAATATTCCAGAAGCACACCGCCCACGGTGGCGCTGAAGCCATGATCTGGGCAGGTCAATACGGTATGATCATCGCGAGTGCAAGATGGGCGTCAATTCAACATGCAAAATGCATCGAAGTAATTACCACGAGACTGACCTCGGGACAACGGGCGGTAGTTTGTGTGGCTCGAATGACAAACGTCCTGCTGCATGAACGCCCGAGAGCAGAAATGTTTGGACCGGGTGAGTGTCCGTTTGAGGCGTGTTTCGGCCACGTGGGAGCCAAATTGGTGCAGGACGAGGGATGAAAATAAGGTGGGACCCCTCGTAGCATCAAATCTGGCGGCGGGCATGCAAGCGCGAACAGTAGGCATCACAACCAGGTGCGCCAGGGTCTACATCTCTGGACCGACCACCGACGACGAGCACGTCGTAGCACGTCGTACCGCTGGCCATTCTAAGGTCAAAGGCTGGTCCCAAACACGGCAGCAATGCTTGATCAAGTCATTGCTCAGAACAGTACAAATAAATGCCGAGTAGATATCGATCGAAAGTGATCAAATCAGTGGAAATTTCGCTCGACACGAGAAAACGAGCCTAGAGCCTCTAGACGCCTCCAACGTCTGTGCTCGCCCGGCCAGGTTGACGCTGATTCATGAACCAACCTTTTCGTCAGTGCATTCGGTGCGGAAAGGCAGACCATGGACCGACCTGAAATGAACATGACTCGAGTGGTAGTACTCAATCGCTGGACACAGGACATAGCCTGCCAAGTGAATAGGATGCCAGGCCGAGCCAAGGATCAGATGGCGGCCATGTGCTGGCCACGAGCGCAGTTCCAGCACAAGAGTACACACCGTAGGATTGATGAGTGCAGGATCATCATCAGCTCGTCATCCTATCGAGCGATGGAACCTTTCCCATTAGAGAGACATGACAGTCGCATGATAAGTTTTATAGGATCAGCACCGTTCACCCGATGACAAATCGTGTTCAGATCAGGCAGGCATATCTGAGAGACCCATCAAGTGGATCGATGAGAGTCGCAAAGAATCAAGACAATGTCAAAATTGTATTTACTCGACATGCTATCTCCTGCTATAGTACAAGCGCGCACACAATAGCAGCCGTCATGCATGGGCGCATGGGCGCATGGCTTCCTGCCAACACTCGAGGACACAACAGCAGGTGTCGATGTGTGCGCACACCGCCACCGGTCAGCAGGCTCAACGTCCACAAGCGCCTCTTTCGGAATGATGAGATGAGCAGTTGCGCTTCTTGGCCGTCTGAGTGATGGATTCGCAACACCGCATACATATCATGAGCGCCAGGTTTCGATTATGGCTGAGGCGGCTGCAGTACGGAATTGTCGTATTCCGCAATTTCACGTCAGATGGACACGCCACAAGTGCACACGCTCCAAAGCTGCAGCTCGGCATTTATCAGGATTGTAGCATATATAGAAGACAATCTCGAGATGCGTCTTGTCAGACTGAAAACCACCGAGCTGCTGTCGTGATTCTTCGGTTGCTGTGGCCATCACAAGCAAATGATAAGTGGATTCGAAAAGTAAAGTGCGGCTGGGGAAGCTACTGTCGCAGGCGAGGGATTGATGGTCCTTCTGCATGCAAATGCCATGCTTCAACAACGTGCTTCTCCCCTCTTTGGAACCCCGTGGCAACCCTGCACGACGGCTGCCCTGTGCTGCGCGGCCCTGGGCTGTCATCGGCCATCCTCCCTGGTGCGTACTGCTTCCACGTCCCTGATCCCGGTCCACCAAAATGACATTCGTCGGGCGAGTGACGCTGTGCGCTTCCAGGCTTGCTGTCCTCGTATACTTACCATCGCTATCTTTCACTGATCAATTCAATATTCGGCCCAATTCGTCGCAACCGAGATGACGATACTCCTGGGGTTTTCACCACGACGCCGGATTGAGCTTTCTCGACGCACGCGCGCCTCGGTCATCTTGTGAATATTGATTAGACCATCGCGCGGACGCACCCGGGAGAGGGAGAAATCCACGGTGGTCGAGCTAGGGTGAGGTCGGCGCTCACATGGCGTTCGACCATGGCGCCGGATTGCCCACCAAAATTGGCCGTGTGGACAGCCCTTTCGGCTAGACCCAACACTGGCGGCGACCAGTGCATGCGCCGGCTCCTGTTCCCTGCCTGCCTGCTGCTACCTCGTCCTGGAATGAAGGGGGTTACCGATGAATGACTGATGTGAAATGCGAGAATACCTCGTAAAGGATCGCCAACCGCTTACGTTGTGGTTTTCGTCCATGGAGACGACAGTCTGATTGCGTTCAGGGTAGTAAAAGGCGACTGCCCTCGCTGAATTCGGTCGATCATCGAGCAATCTATATCTCATCCTGTGTACAACAGCATTGTTGTCCATCTGTTCGCCCGACCTCCGCACCGGTTTTGATCGGCCAGCCGCACCAAATCGTGGGAGACGGAGGACATCGCATCTCGCTTTTCCCTGACCTGACCTCTGTCACCTGTCACCTACTCGCCCATTGCATTCCATCTACATAATAACCTTTTTTCAAACCCTTTCTCTTGTCGCACCGCCGGCAATCATCTCTCCAAAAGGCGGAGCAGAACCAAACTTTGAATATTTGAAAAGGCGAGCCCGGCGTGTTTCAGGGTTACATCATCGCCGCGAACGTGCTTCGAAACCCTCTCCACACTTGCGCGTGGCCGATGAAAGCGAGCTGAAACCCATCCGCCGCTTGTCCTTTTCTCTTCTCATCTTCGAGATCATCACGACATCCCGTTCTTGCCCGGATCGTCAAGATCGGAATTTGGATCTCGCTCGTGGCTTTTGAGTTCCCTCGTCAGGAATTTGTCCGGCATACCTCATCGCTCAACTCATACCGCTCGGCTGCCTTGCCTGTCTTGCCGCATCCGGCGCGTTCGTCCTTGCATTTCCAACATCTCGTCACCAACCTCTTCCGTACCCGACCTTGAAGGCTCTGAATCTCATACTCAACAGCAAGTCGCTCCTTTCAGCTATCCACTTGATTACATCCAGCAGCAAAGACAACAAAGACGAACCAAACGAGACCTGGTTTGCGTGGATCGCACACTGGAATCGCCGGAGATTGTGGAGAAAATAATGAAGTTTGGAGATAGTGCTCAAGTGACGCGATCGGACTTGTAATCGGACATCGGAAATACGCAACAGCATTTGCAAGGACACCTCTTCGGCATACTCAATGGGCAATTCCAATGGGAAGCCTATCGATCTCAACGATGATGTCAACCTCAATCACTTCCGTTTGCTGCGAGTTGTCGGCAAAGGCGCATTCGGGAAAGTGAGAATCGTGGAACGCAAGGATACCGGCTTGACGTTTGCCCTCAAGTACATCAGAAAGGATGAGGTTCTTCGTTCGGAAAGTGTCAAGAATATCATCAGAGAGAGGAACATGCTGGAGCACCTAAATCATCCTTTCCTGTGTAATTTACGGTACTCCTTCCAGGATGTGGAATACATGTAAGTGCCGGGCAAACTGATGTCCTCTGTCGTACAGCACTGCGATCACTCCGTGCTGACAACTCTATAGGTACATCGTGGTCGACCTAATGAACGGCGGTGACCTCCGCTTTCACATCTCACGGAAAACTTTCACAGAGGATGCCGTGAAGTTTTGGATAGCCGAACTGGGATGTGCTTTGCGTTATGTTCACCAACAACGCATAGTCCATCGAGACATCAAGCCCGACAACGTCCTCCTTGATGCTGAAGGTCATGTGCATTTAGGTGATTTTAACGTCGCAACGAATATCGTTCCAGGCAGACCATGCAGCAGCAAATCTGGAACACTGGCTTACTTGGCTCCTGAGGTATATGCTGGTAGAGGTTACTATGCGGAATGCGACTGGTGGTCGTTAGGAGTCCTATTTTACGAATGCATCTACAACAAACGACCCTTTGTGGCCAACAACCATGAGGAACTGGCGCAGCTAATCACCAAAGCCGACCCGCCTTTTCCGCAAACTAATCCTCCCGTATCAAATCCCTGCTTGCACGCGATCAGCTCGCTCCTGGAAAAGAACAAACGGCATAGAATTGGTGCAAGTGGTTGGAACACGTTCACAGAAAATCCATTTTTCCAGGACATCGACTTCGAGGCGCTCGAACGCAAGGAAATTGAACCTGTATTCATCCCCTCGAGCGAGAAGACCAACTTTGATGCAACTTACGATTTGGAGGAGCTGCTGTTAGAAGAAGCGCCACTCGAAGCACGAGCACGGAAACAGAAGCCTAGGCCAGAGCTGCGCGCAGATGCTACTCTGCAGGAGATCCAAATTGAAAAGTGGCATCGCTACATCGACACCTACTTTACGCCATTCGATTACACATCTGTTCCTCCCGACAGAAGTCCTGTAGATCCCTCAACGCAATTGCCTGGCACTTCTTCCGGCCGCCAGACTCCTCTTCAACGCTCACCTCGCGGCGACAACTCAACGCCTGCAGTCATCGACAAATACACACAAGCAGCATCCAGTCCCGAGCGGCAAAGAAATGATACGACTAGTGCTGTGCGACTCTCAGAGGATAAATTGAATCAAAATTCGCAGCGAAAGCGAAGCAAATTCTTCACGACAACTTTGACCCAAAATCTTACGAATGGTACGTCCGAAGTAAAGACAGACCATTCGACACGGTCATCAACACTTTCCCCTAGGGTATCGCCAACGTTGACGCCGATCACTCTGGCGGAGTCGGTGGCGCCGGCGGATGTTATATCCTCACATGATCGTACAACGCCTGGCGCTGATCGAGAGCCTGATTCGAAATATACACACTCACGAGTATTGCAAAACGATCTAGCTTCCTCGACGGCTGGTCCAATGATCCGCGCAAACACGTCTTCTCCGTCACAACGTCCTCGGGGTCCGAAGCGCAGCATGTCGATGGGCGGCGTCTACATCCGAGACGACACCCCGCCGAGACCGAGTGTGGAGCAACGGCGAATGGACAAACCTTCCGGTATGCTCGGCTTCTTGAGCCGAAAGAAGGGCCGAGATCGGAGTCCTAAGGCTAAGGAGCGAGAACGTGGTGTCCTGGGCAAGGACGGCGCACGCGTTGTGGTCAAGGATTGAAGTAGCAACGAGACGGCTATTTTCATAAAAGAAAATTGATCGGGCTACACGACTGGCCGAATTGGTCACCACCAGGTCGCTACGCTAGATGTGCCCTCTGAAGCCATACGGATGGGCGGCTGTGCTTGACATCAGAAGGATGTCTCTGTACGCGATCATATCCATCACACCAGTGCGACAGAGTCGTTTCACGCGACTCAACTCTTCGCACCCGGTATCCGGTCCCAGTGCATATCAAACACATGCCAGACCGTGATGCAGCAACATTGATGTGGCATTACTGGGTGTTACCTGAGAACGAATCAGTAGGTTCGAGCCCGCTGGCCGCAGGTGAATGGCACTGTGCTCAGCCTGAGTCAGGCCCGCCAGATTTCCGACTCGCTTCTGGCCTTTTTGACTAGTGATATCACACACACACACGGCTTCCGAGATTGGGGTGGAGAAGGGCCATCCCACACGAGTCGCGCGGAGGCATTAGTGCGCCCATTGCGGTCTGGTCTCGGAATTGGGGCATGTAATCTTGAAGCCTGAGGCTCCACATCGGCTTAAGAAATGTTACTGTAGCAGGCACTTCCTGACACACCATGCCGAGGACGTAACCGTCCGGTTTTTTATGTTCTCACACGTTCGCATGTAGAATTGTGTCCACCTCGCCAACAAACCTTTTCGCAGCTCCCACGCCGCGAGGATGGAGTCAATCCGCTTCTTACCCTCGTGCAACAAAAGATATCCGTCGTCGACAATTCACGACGCGCAACACTTCTCGCGCAGTCTTTGTCCCACCTCCGAGTCGACCCTGATCAGCTCCGAACGATGTCGCGTGCCCTGAACCGAACCCTGCAACATGCTACACGGAAACCAATAAACGTCACACACCCGTTGTCGCAAATGAAATGTCCAGTACAAGCGATCTTCGGCCATGGGCCCTCACCAAACTGTCCATCGGGTGTTCGACACTCGTCACACTCGCCTATGAGTGCGTCGCCGTTGCCCAAACGTAAGAAGGTCACATTGCACACCCTCCAAGCGATGCACGCCCGCCAGGAGCCCATCGCCATGATCACAGCACATGACTTTCCCAGCGCTCACGTCGCCGACCACGCTGGCATGGACATGATCCTGGTAGGCGATAGTCTCGCCATGGTCGCCTTGGGTCTGGCCGACACGAGCGAGGTCACGCTCGACGATATGTTGCTGCACTGTAAGAGCGTGGCACGAGGCGCAACGGCGGCCTTTGTCGTCGGGGACCTCCCCATGGGAAGCTATGAGGTCTCGTTAGAGCAGGCGGTGCAGTCTGCCATCCGCTTGATCAAGGAGGGCCATGTGCATGCCGTGAAGCTGGAGGGTGGGGTCGACATGGCGCCGACGATCAAACGCATCACAACAGCTGGAATCCCTGTGCTGGCCCACATCGGTTTGACGCCTCAGCGACAGAACGCATTAGGTGGGTTCCGCGTGCAGGGCAAGTCCACCAGCAGCGCTCTTCGGTTGCTCGCAGACGCCAAGGCAGTACAAGAGGCTGGCGCCTTCGGCGTAGTGCTGGAGGCGGTCCCCGCGGAGGTCGCGGCGCTCGTCACCAAACAATTGCAGATCCCGACCATCGGCATAGGCGCTGGCAATGGCTGCTCCGGGCAGGTCCTCGTGCAGATTGACATGGCGGGCAATTTCCCACCCGGCCGCAAAATTCCCAAATTCGTCAAACAGTTTGGAAATGTCTGGGCTGAAATGGCCAGGGCCATCGACTTGTATCGTGTGGAAGTCAAGGATCGCTCCTATCCGGCGCCCGAGCATACTTATCCCATGCCCAAGGAGGAGCTTGCGGAATTTGAACGCTGTATCGCGGAGGACTCAAGTGGATCAACTCCTCGCTCATGAAGCGATCTGACAGGATTTTCGATTGTCTCTGCATTACGTTGATTGCATCTCACAGGAGTTGGTGATATCCCGGGCGTTGTCTGTTCTTCCTCATGTTTATCTCCTTCTGCTTGTGTGCATCTCGTATTGATCATTTTCAGAAAGCAAGCATGATGTAGGAAGATGTATCGCGGTTCACAGTATCGCAGAGAAAAATCACTAGGTAGTTAGAGTATAAATGCAGTTTGTCGTTCCCGTTGCCTGGATATGAATTGTGCTCTTGATGGAGCTATCCAAACGCCGGTGTGATGCTGTAAGAGACCACGAGGTCATCGCCAGTCTTGAAACACTGGATAATTCATAAATCGCATCAGCCATGGTCATCTTCGGAAAGCTTTCAATTGTACGACATAGGCAGAGTCGAGACAAACCAAGGCTGATCAAGGACAAGGTAACGTGAGAAAGCAAGCGCGGCAAACACTCACCCGCCATAAATTACCCACTCCCTCGTCAAGACCAGGAGCGAATACCGAATTGACATAGCAAAATACCGCCTCGTGATCCTTGAGCGCCAACTTCTTTCGCAGGAATCGCACGATATACTCGAACCGTTGATGGCTCGCGCACTTGAATCGCGGTTGGCGCAGCTGTGGCGTATTTGGTAGTGGCGAAAGGCGGATGGTAACTATCCATTTCCTATTCAGTCCATGTTTCCACACACGAGTGTGAAGGATAGCATAGGAATGGAGGGTATCCAAAAGGACCGATCGTTTAAAAAGCCCAAAGCTGAGCTCACGATTGGTAGACGATCACACAGTGTTCTTTCTCATTGTGCGTACCTTTTTCTTGTTCCAATGCGCCCGCAGTTTCGAGCGCCTGATGGGCGTCTTTGGGGAGATGCTCGAGCACGACTGAGGCGGCCATCGTCATGGGAAGGTCGGCGGCTGCGTCGTCTTCGTCGTCGAGGGCCGGTGGGGCCTCGGGCGAAGGCGGCGCCAGAGGCTGTGTTGATGGCGACGATGACGATGCCATAACTTTGTTTCACGACAAAGCTCGGAAGCGCGTTGTATATCGCGTACAAACAGATAAGAGTTCGATTAAAAGTCAGAGTGTACAATGGACTGGTCTGCTAAATGTCGTGTATTCAAAATGGTGCTACATGGCTTGTGTCCGGGGGCAGCTGGGAAGCTTGGAGAGCTGATGCTGTTGATAAAGAGATATTATTTCACCATGCAGGTTAGCCCATGAACACATCTAGCACAGCAATCATTCACACAACATCAGAAGCTGATAAGATGCACGATAGAGTAGCATGGTTCTGAAACACTCAATTCGAGCGCAATATTGGTCTGGTGCATCAATTCTAATGCCAATTGGTGACCGAGAAGACCCGTGGTTTCTTTTTCAAAATATATTGATTCGCTAAGACAGGCGCTTCTAATGCTATCGCTCTAATACAATGCATTACATGATAACGTTAATTGTGCTGACGGACCTCAAAGGTCCGTAGATGCCGACTCTGTGCACCATCAGTGAGGTTGTGCCGTAGTGTTGGCTATATCGATAATGATTAAGGACAAGGGCGAAAGCACACATGCTGAAATACTTCTGCTGATCATAATCCCTAGAAGTGAATGGCTTCGATGACCGACACGTCGAGATCAGTCGAGGTAATAGCCTTCCAGGAGGGTCCTAACGAGCAAGGTGCGCACGAAGTCTTTCAGGCTCGTTTGTGAGGTCGTTTGAGTAGGTTGAGGAGGTCATCGAGTTCGGCCCAGTTGTCTTTGGTCAACGCGAACTTTCGGTGCTTGCGAGAGACAACATGCTGAACAGTAGGTTAGTAAAAGTCTCAAGTGCGAGGAATAGATTCGTTCAAGATACAACTTACCTTGTCGAAGTCGTCGAATTTGTCGCGACAATTCTCACAGTAACCCGCTTTAGGCTCTCTATCGATGACCTTTTTCTTCTTGGGTAGAGTCTCGACCCTGTTTTCATGGTCGTCGTTGTCCTCGTGGAGGACACCCAGTGTCTCTTGAGCCTTGCGCTTCGCAGCACGAGGAGGCGGTCCAGGCTCTTCGTTGATAGCTGCTCTCACATCGTGCATGTATGACGAAGATCCCCTCTCCAGCACCTTCCGTTTGAGAATGGACACTTCCTTGGTGTCACCCACACGTCGATTGATACCAGGAGCGGTTGAAGAGATTGCAGCAGATGAGATGACTTGCGATCGAATCGCCGAAGTGATGTTGGATTGCTGTACACCCGAAGCGACCGGCTCTCCAGCGACTAGACGTGGCAAGCCTCGCATATTGGCCTGTGTGCTCCCGAACATTGGTGGCATGTTGTCGATAGACGAATTTCTCTTCGTCGAAATGGCGTCTAGACCGTTGAATGCATCATTCTTGCTGCTCTGTGATAGCTTGCGCGGCGAGCGACGTAGGTTGAGTTCTCGCTCCCCAGGAGCTTGTGGTGCGACGAGTCGGTAAGCTCTCCCGTCATTCTGCTTGTGAAAAGCTTCAGGCTTGACCTGCGCCTCTTGTTCTCGGTTTTCCATTCTCTTCTTATAGGCTGGATCCTCGATGAATGGACAACGTCCGATTGGTGTTAGTCTGAATTGAGGCCATTTTCCTTCTTCGCGGTTTGCGGGTTTGGTATACTCTCGAGCCATGGTAGGCTTTGTCTTCTCGTCCATATCGTGTATGTAAATAAAGCATCCACGAAGCGTAACCATATCTTGCGTCACTACAGTCATGTCTCTGTCAGCCGGCCCGTTGACTTTTTCATTCCTGAGCAGTTGCTCCAGGTCGGCTGTCTGGGCAGGCTTGACAGAGTGTCGAATATTATGGACTTGGACACGGTGGTCAACGGCGACGCCATCCCCTGTGTCAGTCTCAAGGATAGTGCTCAGAACGCGCTGGAGTTTCTCGAGCGCCCATATCTTGATGCCCAGACCGCGAGCACGTGTCAAGATGTCTGCGGTCTGCGTAGAAGGTCGTCGACTCTCCAATCCCAGTTGGTTGGAAGCCGATATTGCCTGAGAACGCCGATGGAGATGGACGTCGAAGAGGTTGGCCCCACGGCGTGGATCATTGGCAAGCGATGCAGGCTGAGCAGATTTCAGAGCGGCGTTAACATTCTTGAGGTTGTCGTCGATTGCAGCGCTTGAATTTTCCGGCGGTATTGGGCGAGTGGTGACGACGTGAGTGACTGCCTTTGAGAAGAATTGATCTTCTCTTGCGCCGAGGGACAGGATCTGACGCATAGCTTTGAAGCGGGCATCTTCTGGGACACCATCGAAGTAGAAGACAAATTGTGGAAACTGCTTCCGGTAATGTCTCTGCCATTGTCGGACAGACTCGATGCCATTCCCTTGTGTCTTTTCCACAACTTGCTTTGGCTTTGTTTGAGCAATCGGTTTCTTATCCCGAGACGACACAAGCCTCCTCTCAAATGCAGTCGGCGGTGCTGCAGTGGTGCGCTTTGCAAAAGGTTCATCGAGGCGATCCCTCCCTCGGGCAGACACGCCAGGTCTTGTGATGGGATCGACATTCTCCAAATGATGAGCAGACGCGTCCAGGATCTGCTTTTTCAATGGCGGTTGCCCGTACACCGTGTCTCTCAATTCTCCTGCTTTTCGCTTCCCGCTCCCGAGGGTGTTTGTGCGCATCGGTGAGTTGACAGCATTGGGCACGTCTGCCAATGGCAGCCTTCTGCTCGCCATGTTCATTCCAGGCACTTCTTGTGGAGAATGGATTGCTACTGCCATGCGTAGCGGACGTGTTGTGTGGACTTAATCAGCGAGCGAAATGAGAGCGTATCGTTCGCAAGCCAGCCAAAACCTGTGGGGAAAGCACGCGTCCTGTGACGCGCTTTGTCACTCGAGAGTGACGACCGGGACCATTGCGTCAGGGTGGACAGACTGGCAAGAACCAAGATGGCGTGCAGCACGTGTAGCAGAACAGGCCAGATGTCCAGGCAATGCCCAACTATTATTATTATGGAAATGTATTGGAGAAGGCGGATTGCTCGCGTGTGAATATGATGTGCACGCACGTCCACTCGTTTGGTGGTTGGTGCTGGCGTTGTTTATTGGCTTAGGTCATCAGCCGGTCGACGTTGCTGGGATGGGCGTCGGTCCAAACTTGAAGCGGCTTGGTCATGAAATCTCTCGACAATTCATGACTTTCCACCCACCTAGGTAGTCCTGTTATTATGAAAGGAGCGAGCCCTGGGGTAATTTATGCACACACATACACGTAGGACCGACTTCGCTCCCTCACGTACGATTTATCATTGTTATCATACACGTTCAAACCGCGCATGTCACGTATAGTAACACCCAGTGCTAACCACAATACTTCTCCACCGGAACATTCAACTGATTTCGAGCAAGAATGTACGAATACGTTTCTGTAGAGTATTCGAATCTCGCAGGCAGCGAACAGCACTGTACTTTACAAGATATCGTTTCGATATGCTGTACAAGCAAAAGAGCGTGAAAGGCAGATCCGTGGTCTGTTTCTATGTCGTCACTGGCGATTTGAAAAAAAAAATGGCTGTGGATGCTGTTGACATGTTTGATCCAAGAAGAAGGACGGATGGATCTGGGCTCGATCGATCCACCCAAGCAGAGTGGAGGGCATGTAAAGGGAAAACAAACACGTGAAACCCTTGGCCAGAAACCCAATGATTTCCATGGTTATTATTGTAAATGAGATGCTGTGTGCCTGCTAGGTATGATTTCGAGACTGTGACACCATTGAGGCTTCAAGTGGGGCGTCATTCCCAAGGGAATGCGTGGCCTGGAGCTGCACCAAGCCTTCTCACTTCATCAAGCATTGATTGCGACGCAGCCGCTTGCTGCAATAACAAATCAGGGCCCCGCATGAACAGAACTCCGTCGGGTCGGGTACGGAAATCAAAGCTCTCAGCTATTGTCCTCTATTGATCGATCCTCATCCAACTCAGATATCCTCTGTGTTCTTCACTTCGTTAATCTCCGTGCAAGACCACAGTACTTCCGACAACCCTTGTTGGACGTTGTCGTTTTGGGGCAACCCTAGGGTAACCACAGGCGCAGTCTGATCGAACAAGCAAGTGCCGCAAGAAACGGTCATGTCTTACGACGGAGGCTACCAGAGGAAGAAGTCTCTATTGATTGGAATCAACTATGTCGGTAGCCAACATGCTCTGCAAGGCTGTCACCAGGATGTGAGCAATATTCAAGAGTTTCTCGATGCCAATGGTGCTGCAGCTCAAACTTCAACATGCTCGAGATCTTCGGTGTTGACCACCCTTTCAGGCTACTCAAGGAATGCACGAGATCAAGTCGTTCTTCGTGACGATGATCGGACTGATCCTTCAGGACCGTTCTGGCCAAATGGCCACAATCGTAAGAACTCAATATCCTCGTTAGTAACTACCGGCGCGTCGACTTACACTGCCCCTTGCTCGCGTCAGTGCTGGCAGCGATGAGTTGGCTTGTGTCTGAACCGGGAACGACGAATTTCTTGCACTACAGCGGCCATGGTGGTCAGGTACGGCCCTCAACGATCGATTTTACGATCTGTCTAATGTTGCACCAGGTAGCTGATACGGGCGGTGTCCGGGTTTCTGGATTTGACGACACTATCGTAAGATTGCTTGGCGCCTGAACTCGTAATTCTCATGCTGACCAAGATCACAAGGTTCCATATGACTTTGAGAGTATGTGTTCTCCGTTCATGTGCAATGCGGTGCTATTCTGGTGACACCCCTAACACGATTGATAGGCAATGGTCAGATTCCCAGCGGAATTCTTCATCGCGCCCTCGTCACGGCTCTTCCACCCGATAGCACCCTCTTCATCATATTTGACTGCTGCCACAGCGGTTCTGCTGTCGAATTGCCATATATCTATCGAAGTGATGAGGACGGCAACATCTCCGTCTTAGACAACGTCCAGGCCGGCATGCAGCTTCTCGGCGAAGCCACACACCTGATCCAGGGTGGGTTCAATATGAGCAATATCGGCGAAGCGCGTCAACTGTTCGCCGGTGCACAGTCATTCTTCAAAAGTTTGACGCATCAGCAGCCCGATGCGGATCAATATGGGCTGAGCCAGCAGGACTTCGCGGCTGAATATCAATCCGAGCAGCCAAAGCAGGTGTGGATGTATTCTGGCTGCCGTGATGATCAGACCTCTGCAGATGCCTCCATTGCTGGCAGTCATGTCGGCGCCATGTCTTGGGCTTTCCTGGAGTGTATGAAGACATGGGGTCCGCGCCAATCGTACATCGCAGTTCTGCAGAATACGCGACAGATCCTCGCTGGACGTTACGCACAGATCCCGCAACTCAGCGTCGGCTACCAGCAGGATTTGAACTATGAGATCCGAGTATAACGCTTCAGTCTGAACGAGGCGAGCGTTCCGTGGGTTGCGCTATAGAATGTTGGATAAGACTGTTGTAAAGATACAGATTAGAAGTACAATTGGTATCACGCTCGCAAAGACTCTATCTCGTCAACTTCCTTGACGGCTAGCTTCGTCAAGACTTCGACTTCTTCCTTTCCGATCACGACCGAATCCTCAATACGGATCCCGAGCCCTCTGAAATGCTCAGGCCAACGGTCTTCGTCCGGGACATAGATCCCCGGTTCTATGGTGATGCACTGATTCTGCATCAAGAGCTCGGTCCGAGAATGTCCGGGTGCGTCGTGCACGTCAAGGCCAATGTAGTGACCCACGTGATGCGGAAACAGCTTGTCCAGAACTTCGTGGCCTTTCGGGAATCCGAGCGCCTTGAGGCCATCGCGGAGGCCGTTCTCACAAATCTGGTGGAGTTTATCGAGCGACATATTTGAGTCCTCCCGACAGAGGCTAATACAGCTTTTTTGCACCGACAAGATCATGTTGTACATGTCTCGTTGAGCGTCGGTAAAGCGACCATTGACCGGCCATGATCGAGTGATGTCCGATATGTATCCGCCGTACTCTCCACCCGCATCAACCAGAACCATTTCGCCATCATGTAACAATTCGTCATTGCGAACATAATGTATAGCCAGGGCGTTTTTACCGCCAGCAATTACAGGCACGTATGCCTCTCCATCCAGACCCTGGCTTCGATATCCGTAGGACAGATCTGCCCAGAGTTGTTTCTCGCTCGTGTGGGTCCCTCGCATAGCTTGTGTCATGACAATTCCGGATATATCACTAGCTCGGCGCATACAGTCCAGTTCCGCAGGGCTCTTGTTGACTCGAAGCTCATTAATGAGAGGTCGCAGTCGCCGCACGCTCGAACTCTTCAAGGCTTGGGCTAAACCGTCAACTTTGGTCGAGCCGATGACGAAACGTTCGAAAGCGCTCCGGGGCCGCGTCGAGCCGATATCAGTATATACCTCGCTAGCCCCTGCTAGGATGGCTGGCAATGTGTTGGCGATGTTCCCAATGTCGCCTGCCTCGTCCGCGTTGAACACGTCCTGTGCTGCCTGCACGCCTGATCTTGCACCGTCCCATTTCTCTGCCTTCTCATCCTTGGGTCGAACGAATAGATGGAATGTGTACTCTACATCCGACTGTCCTTTCTCTAGTTGAAGTCAGCATCGCGACAAGTTTGTGGTTCATTGTTCTTTGACGACTGACCAATGACGGCCACGGCTTCGGGTTCATTGAAACCTGTATGTGAAAGTCAGCCGAGTTTCGCACAGAGTAGAGTCGCGGCCATATACCGGTCAAATAAAGGAAGTATGGGTCTTGGTGGAACTCATAGAAAACGCTGCCTGATCGATATTTCAAGTCGGCTGCTGCGAGCACGGCGATGCTGTTCTGTGGGAGTTGCTTTGCAAGAGCTGCTCTGCGGTGATGATACTCGAGAGCGCTGATACCGGGTGTCACTACACGATCACATCAGCCAGGGACAACTTTGCTACCGTCGAGTACATGTCACTCACGCTCGCCGGGCTTGAGGATATGTGGATGGGTCTCGTGCACCGGCTGCCCGAACTGCACGTCTGCAGCACGAACAGATGCACTTTTGCGTGCATCACCCCAAAACGACCGTGTCGAGTTTCTGAATGTCCGTCGACATACTGAGCGCAATGCCGGCGCCAGATGCGTCGTCATGGCTCTGTGAGCATGCGACACCTAGAACGTCCCGGGCCTGATCCAGTAGTGGGTGAATAATTCCGTGACTTTTGACAAGCGCTCCCGCCTCCGCATTGCCCGTTTCGCATTCCAAAGTTCCCAGCTTGCTTCGTGCAGAACTCCAGTAGGTTCAGACGCACATGTACATCATCACGTCACGTCACTCTGCAGCCCCCACCGTTATTGACCGGTTCGTCCCCCAAATTGTATCACCATGAACCTTGGAATGCAGAGGTGTGCCTAAAAAGCAGCCTGGACACCATGAGCCGTAAGTTTTGTTCGTTATAAAGGCATGTGCCTTACGCTACGAGACTACCTAGGTATGCACCTTTACTCAGGCACGACTGTCATGTTTCGCATCTCCCTTCGAAACCGGCTTTCGACCACGCAATTGCGAATTGCTCTCCAATATGCCGTCGCACCGCCCGGGTCTGCGTTCAGTTGAGAGTCAACTGCCATCGTTCCATGGATGCCTCTCGAAATCACGTCGTATTCTTGCCGTGTGCGGAGCAGGGTTATCAGCCTCATCTGGCCTGCCAACCTTTCGTGGGGCTGGAGGGTAAGCTGCGACAGAAGTACTTTAGCTGTTGGGAGTAGTTATTGATCGATTAATCTAGCTTATGGCGAACTCACGTCTCGCAAGAGCTTGCTACTCCAGGAGCGTTCCGCCGAGATCCGGGCCTAGTTTGGCAATTCTATTCCTACCGGCGCCATGTGGCTCTCAATGTTGAGCCCAACCCTGCCCATTACGCGCTTGCAGAGCTCGCTCGACGGGTGCCCGGATTCCTTGCCCTGACGCAGAACGTCGACGGATTGAGTCCACGCGCAGGACATCCGGAGGCCTCGCTACTTCTGCTTCACGGTAGCTTATTCGATGTTGCGTGTACCCATATTGCTTGTGGATACAGAGGGGTGGACTACGTCGATCCAGTGAGTCGTCAACTGAAATGGATGCAAACATGAAGATGTCAACTCATTTCTCAAGATTGTGCCCTCTCTTGCCATCCCTCGTGGCGGACAAGATCCGACTAGCATCGAATCTCGCAAAGCGCATGCAGGACAGACCCACGACAATGAGCAGCTCGTAGAACTCGACATCAGTCGAGAAGACGTTCACCTACCGTCTGTGGCCTTGGAAGATCTCCCTGCTTGTCCCAAATGTCGCACGTATCTGCTCAGACCTGGAGTAGTATGGTTCGGCGAGAGCTTGCCGGAGGATGTCCTTAACGCCGCCGATGCATATGTTGAAAGTGGGGAACCCATCGACATCGTAATGGTCATTGGAACATCAGCTCGAGTCTGGCCAGCAGCAGGTTACATTGACGAGGTAATGAACCCAATCTTGAAAGTCACAAAGCGCATACCTAGGTAATCTTGCAGCGCGGCTGATTAATGCACAGGCAAGAGCTAAGGGCGCTAGAGTGTGCATTATCAACATGGGTAAGTGATACCTAACTTACGACAGGGCCTGTCTAACCCACAGCATAGATGCGGACGATACACCAGCGGCTGGCTGGAGCAAGCGCGATTGGTTCTTCGTTGGCGATGCTGCCGAGCGTAAGTGATTCGACGCCAACTAATCAAACTGTTCATTTTGCTGAATCTCTTGCAGTCATGCCGAAACTTCTGTCACCCATCATTGGAGAAGTTCCAGCTCAACAATAGGCGGGCGTATCCCGCAATCAGACTGAATGCGTTGATGGATTTCGATAGAAGCGAGCGATTTTCGAAGGATCTTGGGACCACTCTGCGCTTGCACGAAATCACCATTTGACAACATTATCGGAACATGTAGAGAGAATGTGACAGGGAGCGCGGCAGAGTGCGTCGTGGATGTATCGTACTCGTGCATTCCGATCGGAAGGCGGCTCAAGATCAGTCGAGGTCCCACGATTGCGGACCGAGCCGGGCTTAGAAATGTCCACGAATTCATGCACCGCCGTGACCGTCAGCGAACTTGTCGTTGCTCATTGTAACCCAACAGATGTCGTGGCTCTGCTTGATCGCGTGAACATGTGCTATTCCATGACACACGACTTGTCTCAGGCTTTTGCCCGATGAACTACTCTCAAGGACATCTATGTGTGTCAATTATGAATTATGAGCGACAATCAGACACCTAACGTCATGTGCTGAAGTTCCGGTCGAAATGGAACACGATTGGGGCGAGACTGCCCGGTTGACACCATTCCCGAGCGCTTCGAATACCTCGCCGTCTAATATATGCGCGTTCGCATTTGATAGTTTTCAAGAATTACTCTGGGTGGGAAATTTGAGAGTCAGTAAATCCAAAATACGCTCATTTGCTCCATCTCATCTCCATACAGGGTATAATCACCTCCTTTCATGGCTTAGAACAACAGAAATACACATCCTATCGCGGGCATAGCAATACGTCTCATGTCAGACAGATACTGTTGTGCGAGCAAGGCGTGATATCGATCGCCGCCGAAAGCGTTCATCTCGCGAATCGCCGGGGTGTTACGCAATGGCATCTCCAAGGCAGCGACATAGCTGATCTCAATTGCATGGCCTTTACCAGCCGTGATTCCTCCGAAATTGTGGTTGGTTCACGTCAAGGTGTACTCCTACGGATCGATGTCGACAAGGGTACTGTACTTGACGTCGTCAGATCGACAGTGCCTATACCATACAATCTCATGAAACTTGCCGGTCAGCATGTCGGAGCCGCCACTAGCGATGGATCTATCTATCTGCTCAATCCGAAGACTTTGACTGTTGTCCATAGTTGGAAGGCATACTCTGGTAGTGTGAACGATCTAGACGCGCGAGGGGACTATCTGGTCACTTGTGGCTGGATTCACTTGCCATACACAGGGCTTGCACCGGAGAGACTTGTGCGGGTATACGATCTTAAGAACCAGAAACCTGGACCACTGGTTGCCTTCCTCCCCGGGGCTGCATATGTGCGCTTGCATCCCAAACTCTCTTCTACCTGCATCGTGGTATCTCACAGTGGCTCGATTCATTCCATCGACATCCAAAACCAAGACTCGCCTACAATGAGATATGCGAATGTCTACGACGGACAAATATCTGGACTGGAACTCATGCCTTCAGGCCGAGGCTTCGCACTTGTGGAGAATAGTCTGCAACTTGTACTCTGGGGCTCATCTACTAAATTGCAATTGACCGAGTATGGCAAGCCTGCGGATTATGCAGATACCCCAATACCTAGCAAACCCTTGGATTGGGCAGTTGCTGATGCACCACTTAACAAAATTGGAATGCCCTTCTACCGCGAAACACTCTTCTCGGCTTGGTCATACAACATGATACACGAAGTTGGGCTGCCCGCTCCGCGCATTGATTCTAAAGACCAACATGGCAAGTTCGTCGTGAATCCTCGCAAAACGCGTCGTTATGAATTCGACAACACCCGGACATTACCAAAATCAAGCGATCCTATGGCAGCGCCAAAGTTTCTCAGTGAAAAGCCCCGCGACGATGAGAGCGGTCCCGATGCTGACCGTCGGCCGAGTGAAGACATTGGAAAGGCACTGAAGACTTTGAGTCTGGATGGCAGCACGAACTCTGATGTAAAATTTCTGTACAGGATCGTGGAGATCAGATATAGCAAGTTTGGCGTTGAAGACTTTGATTTTCGTTATTACAATAGGACGAAATACGCCGGCCTGGAAACCCACATTGTCAACTCGTACGCCAATCCACTGCTGCAAATTTTAAGATTCACGCCGACAGCACGCAATCTGGCTCTTCACCACACTGCGCGAGACTGTCGAGCTGACGATTGCTTGTTCTGTGAGCTCGGATTCCTGGTTGACATGCTAGAGAAGGCCAGGAGTCCAAACTGTCAAGCAACCAATTTTCTTCGAGCGCTGAGTCATCAGCGCGATGCACAAGCGCATCGCATTCTTGAGGAACACTTCAACAGTGCTGGTAGTCTTGGTACGATGATACAGGCTTTGAACCGGTTTCTCTACCTTCGGCTAGAGGAAAATTTCAAGTACGTGTCCAGCACGCTGGACAATTATCACTTGGCATTCGGTACCATAGGAGTTGAGCTCACGCGATGTACACATTGCAACTATGAGTCCCAATCGGAAAAGGTCTGGTACGCGCATGAATTGATTTATCCGCCTAAGCCCCCGAAGCATTCCCCTCGGCCTATGCCGACTTTCTTCTCGAATGTGCTCAGCCATTCTATCAAGAGGAACAGTGCACATCGCGGATGGTGTTTGAGGTGCAATGGTTACAAAGGCCTTGAGTCACGGCGCGCGATTCACTGTCTGCCTGCAGTCCTGACTCTGAACGTAGCGGCGAACACTCCGGAGAACAAATCTTTATGGGCCACACCCGGATTCTTGCCCAAGGAGATTGGGGTCATTGTCGAAGGCGGTCGCTCTTATTGCTACGAAGGACAAGACTTGAAACATCATCTACAGCGCCGCCAACACAACATGACGGTCTACGAACTCGTTGGGATTGTAGTCGAAGTCAACCTGGGTGATAATGAGAAGTCTCATCTAGTTGCTGCTATCGACGTCAGTATTACTGATCCAGACAAAAGTTGCCAGAGCAGCTGGCATCTCTTCAATGACTTCTTGGTACACCCTATCGCAGCAGAAGAAGCCCTTCACTTTAATCCTCAGTGGAAACTGCCTTCCATCATCACCTATCAAATCAAGACCATGTCGCATGTGATGGATGACAGCTGGAAGTCAGCCATTGACAGTCGAATCTTGTACAGGAGTCCCATTCAGCCGGCCTTGTCGCCGAATTATCAATGCCGTGCGCTGTCGGAAAACGAACCTCTGCCCGGCCCAGAGTCGCATTGCGCCATTGATGCCGAGTTCGTGCGTCTGCTTCGCGAAGAAATCGATGTGGGTGCTGATGGCTCGCGCACAATGACTCGACCTGCCCGGTCCGGACTTGCTCGAGTCTCTGTCCTACGCGGCGATGGACTCGACCAGGAGCTACCATTTATCGACGACTATATTGCTATAGACGAGCATATCGATGACTACCTCACACAGTATTCTGGGCTCAAGGACGGAGACCTCAGCATTGCTCGCAGTCCTTACACACTCGTCCGGCTCAAAGAGGTCTACAAGAAGCTTTGGGTACTCTTGAATCTCGGCTGTGCTTTCATTGGACATGGACTGTCAAGCGACTTCCGCATTATCAACATTCACGTCCCAGAGGCTCAAGTTATCGACACGCAAGAACTGTTCTCGCTCGGCAGTCGAGGACGACGTAAGCTTTCGCTACGCTTCCTAGCCTGGGCAGTGCTCAAAGAAGATATCCAACACAACGCCGAGTTGGGCCATGACAGTATCGAGGATGCACGGACTGCTCTGAAACTTTGGAGAAAATATCTGGAGTATCAGCACGCTGGCATCCTGGAGACTATTATTGACGAGATATGGCTGAAGGGTCGTGCGTGCAATTTTGTTGTCCCTGCGGATCATCAGCGAGATATCGGCAGCGCTCCAGGCACGCCAAATCGCCAATCTGTGAATTTGGCGCGTATGTCAACACCGAGGTCTGACTTCGCAAGTCCACTGCGTTGAGAATAGGGCAGAACGTCTACGAAGACCAGCAGGATCGGCAGGAAGAACGACAACTTCCACGAAATGACATTGTGGACACTCTTGATCTGGGTGCTGTCCGAATAAATTCCTGTCCGAACACCCCAGAAATGCTCCATGTGCAGCAAGACTGGCACACCCATGCTTTTCTGAAGTCAGAGCCAGGCGAGAAATGTCACACGTTCATCGTCTCTCTTACGGGATAGCGTGCCGGCACTGAAGTTCTACACCCGAGATGTCTTTATATATGGAGAGTAGCTTGTCCACGGATCTTGACAATTTGTAGACTTGAGGGCAAAACTTCTTTCGAGCAACATTGAGCAACATTGAGCGACATGCAGGCATAGGCGATTTCAGTACCTTGGAAATGCCTCGATTTTGTCCGGGTCACGAATAAGTGATGTCATCTTGTCGCTCGTGATATCAACGACTTCGGGAACGAACAAGTCTTCTCGTCACACATATCCACCCACACGGGCCGGGCTGTCCGTTCGAGTAGAACTGATCATTGCCTATTCCGTGTGTGTCCCATGCTTGTCATGGTTCGGCCTGGAGGTTGAACAACCATGGAATGATACAGGCGCAATGATAGTCATTACTTCTTCAACGCTTTCGGTGTGTGATATGCACTCGCGATGCCGCGCCTACATGCTATGTGTGGATGGTAACCTTGGAAGCTTTTGCGCCTGTGTATCATGTCCGAAATGAACTTTGCACCCTGGTGTCCATGTCTTTGTACTTGTCATCACAGACAGATCAAAGGAGGGCTGTTTCGGAAGTCCAGTCCTTCATCCTAAGAACAGTACTTTCTCTGTTGTTCGTAGGATGGATAGTTGGACAGGGGTGACTATGTAATAACTTCAGCCTCCTGGTGCCCCGAGTCGTACTCCAACGTGTCCAGGTGAAAAATGGACTGTTCTTTGATGGCGTGCGCAGCCCTAGTGATGAATCTCCAGCTTGGAACTTGGGCACGCTGGGAAATGATGGGCATTTGTACGGGACACATTGAGGTCAGAATGATGTTATGCATATGCAACAACAGTACACTAGAGCAGTACCGTTGAAGTGGCGGCGGAGGTGAGGTATACTGAGGATACTGTAGATGCATATTGTAGATATGCATGAGCTTTACTGAAACTTGATCCCAAGGTTCTCTCATCCCAATGAAGATCCTCACGGTATGCAAAATACTGTACCATATTCCTCTCCGTGTGCATTGTGTGTGGCAGCAGCGCGACGATGACTGATGGTTTCCTACCACCAAGCTAGTTGCCGCAGATTGGTCTTTATTAGTTCGGCAGTAGAACTTGAACGGCGGACGGCACACACGGCAGAGATCGTTGGCTTGGTGGTGCATCGATCACATACTGATAGACTTCTTCCTTGAACGCCGCCGCCGTCGCCACCCTTCATTGTCCTTGTCACGATCGTCGCAGTATTCACCCACCAGCTTCTCGCCTAAAGACTTTCACCAATCCCGCTGCGGCTACCTAGACCATCTCCGCCAACTGCATGTCACTGACAGCCGGTGCCACGCCATCCCTCGAACATTTAACGTGTGGCGCAAAGGCATCGCTTCCCATTGTCATTCGCAAGGACGTATTGGTCACGCATTAGTCACTCACTCTCACTTGCAAGGCGAGACCGGCCTATGCCGACGAGATCTCTTCTGACCGTTTGAACAACATACACCCAAACACGCTGGGATCTGCCGCCTTTGAGCAATATCCTGCGCGACTCCAACGACCGACACTGTATGGCAACGTCCACTTGATGGCAACGCCGCCGTGCGTCTCATAGCGAAGGAGGCTCATGCTCCTCACACCGCAAGCGACGACGTCCGACGCAGCGAGAAGGCTTTTAGGCCTTCATTACCGCTGATCTGGGACGCTTCCACTGCCCTACGGAGCAGAGCGGGGATATTGCACAGGAGCAAAGAAGGCAGATGAGCATATAGAAACAGGGAATACCTATAGAATTTCGCTTCATTTCCGGAAAGAGTTGGCTCTTTCGTGAGCGCGATTTGCGCGGCCAAGAGAGTCGCAGTGATGTCCGATTCGGACCCCCGAGAACAGCAGCCTGACGAGCAAGGAAGCAGCGCTGTCCACACGGCCGACGAAATTGCGCCTGCTACCTCTGTCGAACCTGAAGGACGAGCAGCCCCACCAAGTCTTGTGGGCAGGATACCATTTGGGAGGACAAATACACACGCCGCAGACAGCTCACTCCTGACGCGAGCTAGCATCAGTGATCGCCTGAGTCCTACGGCGAACGACCGTGTCTTCCCAATACGATCAGTCATCTCGGTCGACCCTGTGCCTACACCTTCCGTTCGCCATGAACGCGCAGAGAGTTTCTTCCAAAACATCGGTGCTCGACGAAAATCTCTAAGCCACAATGTCGATACTTCTCATCCGCCCACACCCGCTCGCCCACGACAAACAAGCTCGGAAGTGCCGAGCTCTCCCGGAGTGGGAGACGAGGAGACCAAGACGCGGCACATGTCCAATTCACTTGCCTCCGAACCACCCTTCAATTTCCGGCCGCATCAAGCGCCCCGACAATACTTGAACGACATCATTACCAGTGACGGAGATAGTGTTGGCAGTGGCAAGAGCGCGTTGACTAATCTCTCCAATGACAGAGCTGGGTCGAACCGCATCGGCTCGGTCAAAAGCAGCAAGAGCATTACAGATGACATAGGGCCATTAGTGACTGCACGCTTTTCTCACGTCGTTTCCGAGGGCGGACACGCCATCATCACTGGCAGAGACGGAGACACTTTACAGAGATGCGAGGACGAGCCTATTCATATCCCTGGAGCCGTTCAAGGTTTCGGGGTTCTTGTGGCGCTGGAGGAGCAATCGGAGGGCAAGCTTCTGGTGCGTGTGGTCAGCGAGAATTGCAAGGCGTTTTTTGGCTACAGTCCTCGACAACTATTCGAATTGGAAAGCTTTACCGACATACTCACTGAGGATCAAGCGGACAATCTGCTCGATCACGTCGATTTCATCCGCGACGAGGACGCTGATGTCGTTACAAACGGCCCTGAAGTGTTCACGATTTCTGTGCGTACTTTATCGAAAAAGACCCAGAAACTATGGTGTGCAATGCACATGAACGAGCGCAACCCAAATTTGATCATCTGTGAATTTGAGCTGGAGGACGATCCCGTCAATCCATTGGTTCCACCCGGCGATCACACGCCAGAGCCACCTGAAGACACTCTAGACAGTCGACCGACAGAGGAGGAGTATACGGAGAGTACTCACAACCACAGCAAACCTCTACGCGTTCTTCGAAGTGCCAGGAAGCGGAGAGGCGAAGCCGCGGCCATGGAAGTCTTCAACATCATGTCTCAAGTACAGGAACAACTAGCAGCGGCTCCCAATCTCGACAGTTTCCTCAAGATTCTAGTTGGCGTGGTCAAAGAATTGACCGGGTTTCATCGTGTCATGGTCTATCAATTCGATCAGCAATGGAACGGCCGGGTGGTGACCGAATTGGTCGATCCACGAGCGACGAAAGATTTGTACAAAGGCTTGAATTTTCCCGCTTCTGACATTCCTAAACAGGCCCGAGATTTGTATAAGATTAACAAAGTCCGTATGCTCTATGACCGTGATCAGGAGACGGCGCGTCTAGTCTGCAGAACCATGGAAGATCTGGAAACGCCCATTGATCTGACATATTCTTATCTTCGTGCGATGTCACCAATTCATATCAAATACCTTGCCAACATGGCCGTTCGCTCCTCCATGTCGATCTCCATCAACGCCTTCGACGAGTTGTGGGGTCTGATTGCTTGCCATACCTACGGCTCGAGAGGAATGCGTGTTTCCTTTCCGATCAGGAAGATGTGCCGGCTTGTAGGCGACTCGGCCTCCAGGAACATCGAGCGACTCTCCTATGCATCAAGATTGCAGGCCAGAAAGTTGATCAACACTGTCCCCACACAAGCGAACCCTTCAGGGTACATCATTGCTTCATCTGAAGATCTCCTAAAGTTGTTCGATGCTGATTTTGGCTTGCTTTCCATTCGAGATGAGACCAAAATCCTCGGACAGCTGGAAAATACCCAAGAGGTACTTGTCATGCTGGAATATCTCCGCGTTCGGTGTATCACCAGTGTCATGACCTCTTCCGACATCAAACAGGACTTCCCAGATCTTCGCTATCCTCCTGGGTTTACAGAAATCGCGGGATTGCTTCTGGTGCCTTTGACGACGACTGGTCAAGATTTCATCGTCTTTTTCAGGCACGGTCAGTTGAAGGAAGTCAAGTGGGCCGGTAATCCTTACGAGAAATTCGTGAAGGAAGGCACAGAAGGCTATCTCGAGCCCCGAAAGAGTTTCAAAACCTGGAGTGAAACAGTGGTAGGCAAGTGCCGCGAATGGACGGAGGAAGAAATTGAGACCGCAGCAGTATTGTGCCTGGTCTATGGTAAATTCATCGAAGTCTGGAGACAGAAAGAAGCCGCGCTGCAGAACAGCCAATTGACGAAGCTATTATTAGCAAACTCTGCTCACGAAGTTCGCACGCCCCTGAACGCAATTATCAATTACCTTGAAATTGCGCTCGAGGGCACATTGGACCATGAGACTCGGGAAAATTTAGCGAAATCGCATTCGGCATCAAAGTCACTCATTTATGTGATCAACGATCTGCTCGATTTGACCAAGACCGAAGAGGGTGGCGATTTGGTCAAGGATGAGGTTTTTGGTCTCGGTGCCACACTCTATGAAGCTACCGATCCATTCAGGGGCGATGCCAAACGGAAGAACATCACATACGAAGTCATTGATCACCCTGGGCTTCCGGCACAGGTCATCGGTGATCAGCGAAAGATTAGACAGGCCATCAGCAACGTCACTGCCAATGCAATTCAGAACACGACTAGAGGTGGCGTCACGGTCGATATGTACGTCGTCTCGCGTCAGGCAACGCGCGTGGATGTTGAAATCAGCGTCGCTGATACTGGGTCTGGCATGAGCACCAAGAGACTCGACGCTTTGTTCCGAGAACTGGAGCAGGTCGAGACGGAATCGGAGGAAGCTCTGACACCTCCTACAGCCACAACGGTGGTCTCACCTAGTAGGGAAGAAGGAAAAGCGCTAGGTCTTGGCTTGGCGGTCGTGGCCAGAATCGTTCGAAATATGAATGGACAGCTCCGGCTCAAGTCAGAAGAGGGCAAAGGCACACGATTCATTATACAATTCCCGTTCGAGATACCTGAGACAGATGTGCCAGAGAATAACGACAGCCTTGCAGGGACTGAAACTCCGCACGTGGAGAACACAACGGCGCCTGTGACGCCTCCTAACGACGGAATGGTCACTCTCATTGAGCGCGGCAGTGGTCAGAGGCGAAACTCCAGCGATACGAATAACAAGAACGAGCTTAAATTGACCAAGAATAAGAGCGTTGATAGCTTCGGTAGCAAGCATAGCTTCAGTGGTAACAGCTGGTCTTCCAAGGCTAGCGGACGAAGTGAAGCTGATCGATTGATCGAAGCGATTCAAGAGCCTCATCGCGTGGAGGGGTGGCACGAAAACAATGCTCAGCGTTCTAGCAGCCGAAGTAGTACATCGACTGGCGCTTCTCGGCCGAGGATGGTCAAACGCCACACTTCGAGCGGTGCCGCTGTCCCCCAGAACAACCTAGACACCGCGATAGCGACATCGGGTAGTCATTTCGAGCCGAGGATCATAAAACCTGGCGAGGCTGGCGTACGAGACCAGGGCGTGCCCATCAGATCGATCCGAGTACCCGAAGAGCATTTCCCGGTATCCCCGGGTGAGCGGCCGTCTTCGATGCCGGCGACTCTTTCGCGTTTTGGGGAACAGCCATCGCCAATAGTGCCGACGGATGGCTCGACCGTCAGTGATACAACCACCAGTGCTGAAAGGCTGCGTGTCCTTGTTGCCGAGGACGATCCTGTCAACAGTCGAATCATTCAGAAGCGTCTGGAGAAGCTGAACCATACAGTGAAGTTGACGGTGAACGGTGAGGAATGCTCAAGCACATACTGCGACAACACCTGCGATTTCGATCTCGTTCTCATGGACATGCAAGTAAGTCAAGTTTTACGGCCGACAGATGTTCGTCGGCAGATGTTCGCTAACATGAAATTATAGATGCCTATTGTGGATGGCCTCACCTCAACCAAAATGATCCGATCACATGAGAAAGCCCACCCGTCTCAAAGTTTGTCGATCAGAGCGTCTCTCAATGGACGTGTTCCCATTATCGCTGTTTCGGCCTCTCTGAAGGAGAAGGATCGACAAGTTTACATGGATGCTGGATTTGATGGTTGGATTCCAAAGCCCATCTCGTTTGTCCGTCTCACCGAGATCATGGAAGGCCTTGTCGATCAACCGATTCGAAGGAAAAACCTCTACAAGCCAGGTTCTTGGGAGCGCGGCGGATGGTTCCTTGAGGCCCAAGATGACATCTTCGCGGCTCAGACGAAGCCTAGCGCGGATGTACCTTTGGCGGCGCCTGTTTCCGCACCCTCGGAGGGCCTACAGGCTGCTGCTTCGTCAGATGACCCTGCCGTGAAAGAGGAGGTGGACAGTGAACAGTCTCAGGAGCAGAATCGCTTGTTGGCTGAACAAGAGGCAGCTCACGACAAAGCGCCGGCAACAACCGCTCCGGCTACACTAGAGTCCGGCGACGAACCTGCTCCGTCGGTGATCTCAGAGGATGGCGCAAAAGCTTCATAGTGGCTCGACTTACACTTTATCAAGCTCGCGTTAGAAAAGCGACGAAGGACCGTTGCAGTCCGGGCTGGCCTGATAGACAAGCATCGGCACACCCTAGCAGTCGCAAGCTCCTCCTTGGCCAACATGTCTGCAAACAGGCATCGCCATGTGGCAGATCATTACTCCATCTGTCGAAGGAAATGACAATGCCCTGTAGCTACACTGCGGCACGAGAAGTACACGTCACGCCATCACGCGCGCTCTCCTGGATGTGTACACCTTGCACTATGAGGGCTATATTGAATACACGACAAGTTCTGCTCATAGCAATTGATTTGCGGCTGTCCTCCTCTGCCGAAAACATTAAGATCTACTGGAGCAGAAGAAAAGCAGCGTGTTTTGCATCGCTGCGAAAACATAAGAACACTGGGGCCTTCGCATGCTCTCCGAAACCCGTGTGCAAATTTCCTCGACATTACAACCACAATTCAACTGTTGACTATCAGGATCCGCTTCTCGCCTGGCGCGAGGAGCGACCAATCGCAAAGCAGGCTTGCGGAATCAAGTCAGACGAATCTGATGACTAGCTCAAATGGAATGATTCAAGATCACCAGAGTCAGAGTAGGAATTGGACGATACAACATATTTGCTTGACGAAGAAATCACTCGGGCGGTGGCGTGATTTCGGTTCCGGGACCTACGACTTAACTTTTTTCCTTTCCTTTCTCCACACCGTACATGAATTAACGATATGACTTTTCTGTAGACAGTTTTGCTGATATCCGTTGACGGGCAGTGTCTAAAGGCCCATTCGGCATCTCAGTACAATTGCAATGAACGAGATGGTTTCGAGTACACATCCGGGTGGCGTCACTCTTTATATAAATAGCACGAACCGCTTCCGGAAATTTCATTCCAGCAGACCGACCGGTCGCTCCGTCAACGCCGAGGGCTTTCCATAATGTCTACCTAGGTGCTGTGGTGATCGGGATAACGCCTTGCGGTTGTGCGTGTCTCTCGTTTTGAGTCGGAGCAGGTCGGCAGGAGGTGATCGATCTCGAGCGGCCGCCAGACCCAACACAGCTTGGTGCATGATTTTAGCTCGACCGAGACAGATACTTGGGTACAAGCGCGATGCAAGTTGTGTCGTGTGAGGAGTCCGAATGTGTCCCACACTTGACGATGATAATTAGAAACTATGAGGATGTATTGCTACGATGGATCTCATCCTTTCAACTCGTGTGAATCGAGCCTCATCGTCTGCCCAGACATGACCGCGTGAGCTGCCCAGGCATCTGAATATCCTCTCATCATGCCCTATATTCCTTCGTGGGGCTGTACCCAGACCGAGAGAACGGGAAGTGATCGTGTGCTCTCACGTCAGCTCACAACGTCCCATCAGAACAGATGAATGCAGTATACATTCACCAGTGCAGGTCCTAAATCTTCCATAACTTTTGATCAGCAAGAGTGCAGATTGGAAACCCCTCTCGCACACACGTTCAATGTGCATACTAGACCCCTTCTTCCCCTGACTGACTTTTCTTACGTCCTTGTCAACCTCAAAGAACAGTAAAATTCTAATAGCGATCGTGATCCTCGTACGGCCGACTCCGCCTTTGAGCCCTCACTAGGTAATCGTGACAGAACATTTGTGTATCCTGCTGGCTGTAAGAGGATCCATCCGCGGGATCAAGCTGACGGCACCGGCAAGGTAGAAACCACCACCTGTGCCACTAGTGCCAACCGTCGACATGGCAAGAAGCCTCGACTTGCCTAGGTTTATCAGGTATCGACAGTATCCACAGCTTGCGCCACGAAAAACTCCTTGGTGTGTGCCAAAAATGGCTCACGATCCCTCACGATCCCACATGTGATATTGATTGTTATTAGTATGGACAGTGTAGGCTTCGATAACGACATGCGGGTGAACAATGAACACCCTCTACGGGTGCCGCTCACGTACAGACTCCGGCTCATTACAGTAACAATGTGCACGTCCTGGACAAAAGGTGAACCGCCAAACCTAGCGTCTTCCGCTTCATTGTCTGGGCTAGCTCCTGCAAGTCAAACATGCTCTTGTCACAGTGTCGTTATTGCTCTAGAGTCCAACATGAATCGCCTGATCGTGGGAACGAAATTCTAAATTCCAGTTGATTCCAGTGTCGGACATATTGGATCGCGCGCCTCGCCTGCGATCAGGCCGCTATCGATGCTGCCGATCCGCTTCCTTCCTCGCTTGTTCAAGGATGCAGAAAAACAAGAAAGAGGACGGGCATATACGGAAAGCCTCTTGGGTCACGATGTCGACAAATGTAATACCGCACACAAAGACTGGAAGTGAATTACGTAGCTATCCAATGATCGTGAGAAGAATTTACCCGTCCCAATAGTCATTGTGAGCATCAGAAGCTGCGTCCCGTGACTCGACAATGTTGCAGCTTCGGCTCAACACCACTTGCAACTTGTTGTCCCAACACGCAGATTAAGCTGAAGAGAAGAACTGTTGCCACTTTCAAACCAGCAACACACAAAGGAACCTCGTCTACAATGCCACGATCATATGGATCCATGTCAACTTGCGTGTGATCGAAATTCACGGCCGTTGGTCTCGTCAGAGCCATTTCACGATTGGCTCATTCCCGCCTCCGGTGCGGGTTCGGCCGGAGCTTGCCCGCCGCAGTAACCAGCGTCTGCCCGGCATATTTTCGTGTGAGGACGAGTCCAATCCGCAGGAACCTCTTCCGAGGCCTTTTTGCGCCCAATCATGCTCGGGCGAAGGGGCAGAAGCTGGACCAGCACACGCCCGAAATATCACCAAGGGAGTGGTGGGTCCCTCAATGCGGCGGGTTAGTCTCGCTGCCGTTGCCCTGCTGGGTTGGTGTCGTAGGAGAGGTTTGTTCCGACTGCTCGCGCTTTCACGGCTTATCCAGGCACGGCCACCCTCGTGAAGCGTGTGAAAGGGCGGCAGCGGCGTTGTCGTCGTCGTCAATGGGTCCCACGAGAGCAGAAAATGTCGCAGGTTTCCATATCTACTTAAAACACCGCTCCGACCCACTGCTTCGTTTTTATTCGCTTTCTTTCATTCTCTCCTCTTCCTCCTCCTCCTTGGTCATTTGTGCGATCTAATCCCAAATCGATTCGTTGATACTCATTGCTAGCAGACGAGCCATACTCACTGCGTCTTCGTTCCTCCATTACTGAAAGCAATCAAATCTCCACTCATCACAATGTCGACCGCTGTTCCCGACCCTACCAAGGAGCCCGTCAACCAGACGGCGCTCCACCCAGCTGGTGTCCAGTGAGTTGCACACTCTGCGGTCCCATTCGAGAGCATTTGTAGACGTTTGCTGCGTTCGAAGACAGCTAGACTGACATCTCGTTCTTCTCCAGGCCTCACGTCGAGCACACTGAGCTCGAGGAGGAATTGCACACCCGCGCACACATCGACTACGACCGTGTCGCCATTGTAAGCTTCGCCCTTCAACTCAGCCATACATGAGAGTCCTTGGCTCTGAGCTCGATTGTAAATTTCAGTGTGCTAACCACAGTCTTCTGTCCTGCTGTAGATTGCCAACCCCTCAGTCCCGACTCTCTACGAAGATGCCCTCGTCTACGAAACCGGCTCAGCCATCACTGCGTCCGGTGCTCTTTCCGCATACTCAGGAGCCAAGACCGGTCGTTCGCCCTCAGACAAGCGTATCGTCCAGGAGGAGGACTCATCAAAAGACATCTGGTGGGGACCGGTCAACAAGCCCATGACCCCCGAGGTGAGTGGCCCGTTGCTTCAGCCCCGCATGCACAGCCATTTGTGGGCCTATGACGCCTTACAAATACCTCTGCCCTTGCCGCACAACATGACACAAGTCATTTACAAGTGTGCATTTCACGTACATACACATACATGCAATTGGTGTTTGTCTGGGAACTTCCCACAATGCACAATTTATTGCTCCCACACCTGCATGGCGCACATCGCGCGACGCGACTGGCAGCGGTCCGCGGGGCTTTCCGGCGACGTCACATGCCCCTCGCATATGCCGAGCTGCCGAGCGGGCCGTTACCGCTCAAGCGATCTCGTCCGACGCCCGTTCTCCCATACCCTACCTGCCCCGCGCATCGGAGCCATAGCCGATATGATCAATTTCATCCCGAGCATTGCCCTTCATACACAATCATTGGTCGGAGATAATCGAATCGCTTACTGACCTTCCATCGCATGTCTAGGTCTGGCTCATCAACCGTGAGCGTGCCATTGACTATCTCAACACCCGTAACCGCATCTACGTCATCGATGGTTTCGCCGGCTGGGATGAGCGCTACCGGATCAAGGTCCGCGTTGTCTGCGCGCGTGCCTACCACGCTCTCTTCATGCGCAACATGCTTATCCGCCCTACCGCTGCTGAGTTGGAGCACTTCCACCCCGACTATGTCATCTACAACGCCGGTGCTTTCCCCGCCAACCGATACACCACCGGCATGACCTCGTCGACCTCTATCGCCCTCAACTTCCACGAGAAGGAGATGGTCATCCTTGGTACCGAGTACGCAGGAGAGATGAAGAAGGGTAAGTGGTTCTTTCTACTCGGACAACTAAATGTATTGTTGGTACTAACAAACGATCAGGTGTCTTCACCGTTCTCTTTTACGAAATGCCCGTCAAGCACAACGTCTTGACCCTGCACTCTTCCGCCAACGAGGGCAAGGACGGCGACGTCACTGTCTTCTTCGGTCTCTCCGGAACTGGCAAGACCACTCTCTCTGCGGACCCCAAGCGTGCCCTCATCGGTGATGACGAGCACTGCTGGTCCGACACTGGTGTCTTCAACATCGAAGGTGGTTGCTACGCCAAGACCATTGGTCTTTCCGCCGAGAAGGAGCCCGATATTTACAACGCCATCAAGTTCGGTTCCGTCCTTGAGAACGTCGTCTTCGACCCTGCCACCCGTAAGGTCGATTACGAGGACACCACCCTCACCGAGAACACCCGTTGCGCTTACCCCATCGAGTACATCGAGAACACCAAGATTCCTTGCATCTCCAGCGGCCACCCGACCAACATCGTCCTCCTCACCTGCGATGCCCGTGGTGTCCTCCCGCCGATCTCCAAGCTCAACACCGAGCAGACCATGTTCCACTTCATCTCCGGTTACACCTCCAAGATGGCCGGTACCGAGCAAGGTGTCACCGAGCCTCAGGCCACCTTCTCCACCTGCTTCGCCCAGCCCTTCCTTGCCCTTCACCCCATGCGCTACGCCCGCATGTTGGCCGACAAGATTGCCACCCACGGCGCCAACGCCTGGTTGCTCAACACCGGTTGGGTCGGTGCCGGTGCCGCCACTGGCGGCAAGCGTTGCCCGCTTAAATACACCCGTGCCATCCTCGACGCCATCCACAGCGGCGAGTTGGCCAAGGTTGAGTACGAGAACTACCCGACCTTCAACCTTCAGGTGCCCAAGACCTGCCCTAACGTTCCCGACGAGATCCTCAACCCCAAGACCAGCTGGACTGGCACTGCTGACTTCAAGGATGAGGTCAGCAAGCTCGCCGAGCTCTTCAACGAGAACTTCAAGAAGTACTCGGACGAGGCGACCCCCGAGGTTATTGCGGCCGGCCCGCAATTGTAGAGCCATGCCTCGAGGCAATGAACTGGTCATCTTCAAATGATGATCGTCTTTCAAAACAAACCATGCCCAAAAAAATGTCAAAATCACATAACAAGAGGTGGAAACACAAAGAGATTGATTACTAGAGGAGGAACCTTGGCAGGGATGGAGTTGACAACCTTGCCATGATGCTATTACCACTGGCTTCCCGTATTGCTCGGGACAGTCCACGCTCGATGTCTTGATGCATGAACTGACAGGATGACAGGGAAGGACGGGTGCATTGGGTGTACGGCTGAACGCTTTGGGTAAACCTCGTGCATATACTTATTCCATCAATTGAAACCCCATTTTATTCATATTTGAGACTCCACGTCTCGCATGCACCTTGGAATTGTTGGTGCATCCGTCAGTGCCCGTTTGTGAATCCCACGAACATCTCGCTCCATGAAGTAAACTATCATCCCACAACGCGTAATATGCATTCGCATGTGAGGTCTGCCAGCATTTGACTGTCGGCACGATCGCATGCGACCGCAGATCACGCGAATCCACCTCATAATGCTGCTAGTGCTCCGCAATATTTGAACCCATCGTATTGTGAGCAAACTATTTTCCTCTCCTCTTAACACCATTCCACCACATAAGTGCTCCTGATGTTCTAGATGGGAAAAGTCGACATGTGGAATCAACGCCAAGCGAGGATGTTGCATTCTATCAACAATCAGGCAAATCGACCCACAGGCGAAGGGCGGGAATGCAGGCTTTTGACGGCCGAAGTTTGAGGTGGTGGGGACACTCCGCTCTCGAATGATGCCCATCACGGCTCATACACAGCCAATCAACCAGCCCTGGGCCCGCTTGGCCTCCGACACAATTGAAGGAACGCCTGAGGCGGCAACCACTTCCGATTCGCCTCATCTTCGCGTGCCACGCAGCGAGGCTAGGGACGGGATGGGTTTGTCGATCCTATTGTGATTATGAATCTTATCGATTTGGCAGTTCATCAAGAACATGCTTCCACGGCCGGCCGAGCTCCACCCATCAACGTGGTTGCGCCTTGATATACGCCGCCGCTGCACCTTCACCGCTGCATCCGCCAACCTGCTTCACATCAACTCCAAATCTGGACTCGTCGACCAACACAAAGCGTGCGATTCTAATCAGGTCTCATTGGTCCCTTTGTGGCCTGCAATCGATTCGGCACATTAGCTGCCATCGCCCTTTCTCGAATCAGGCAGCGGCTTGTGTCACCCATATCTTTTGGGCGGAAAGACTTGCGACAATAGTTTGAACAAGATTAGACCCTGCAGTAAAGCGTACCATCCACCCATACTTTGACACATCGTCGCCGGAGCCGACAGACCAATCTTGACATTAGAAATACAGAAAACAGACCTGGAGTAGCGAGGACAGTGCCGAGAAATCACGAAGGATAGGACCAAGGCGGGTTTTGCAAACCATCGACGGCGAAACATGTCTGTCCGTCGTCGTCAGGTCCCTCGCGATGCTCGTCGAGCGTTGCAGGACACCGCGCATAGTCACCCAGGCGAGCTGAATGTCATCTTCGCGTCGGTCGGCTGCAACGATGCGTACATCGTCGACACATTGCTTCCACGCATCGCAGACCACCCTGACGTCACCGTCTGTGCCATTCTCGACCCAGGATTCGGCGACCAACAGATCGCACGGGCGGCCTCCAACGCTTGCAGTGCCTTACCGAATGCGAGCCGGCACACAAATGTCCGGCATGTGGCCGATGTTGAACAAGAGGCGGCGGAACTGTGTGCGTGGGCGAATATCCTGGTGCTGGCACCGATCGATGCGTACAGCCTCGCAAAGATGCTGACTGGACAAACTGGTAATCTGCTGCTAGAATTGTTGCGCAGCTGGAACGTATCGCGCAAAGTGCTGATGCTGCCGGGAATGTCACAATTGATGTGGAGGAATCCAATGACGAGCAAGCAGATGACAGAAATACGGGACAACTGGGATTGGGTACGGACATTCAAGCCTATCCTCTGGGAATTCGATTCATTTGGCACAAAGAAGGTTACATCATGGGATTCCGCGAACGAGCTGGTGGAAGCTGTGCACAACCAAGTGGAACTTCTCAAACTCGGAGAGGGTCTCACAGTGGCGCCGATACCGCGTGCCATCCTACCCAAACCGTCGACGAGGCCAAGCAATCGCCTGCCACCCGAGCTATGGACCATAATCTTCGATATGGTAGGAGACTGGGAGCTTGCCCAGAACTTGCATGTCTACACAAATTTGAAGCCACCAAGTGATTGGTATGCCCATATCCGCCACAAGGAGTCTGAGGACCGACAACTGAGCGACATGGAGACTCTCGAATGGATTATCTTGTGCGGCACCCTCTGTAATGTCAAGCAATTCGTTCAGGACCGTGGCGTGCCTCGCATTCTTTCCCGGATGTGTCTCACCTTGATGATGCGTTTTGCGATGACGCCCCTCTTGGCCTACCTGGAATCAGTCGATCATAAAATACTGCTGTGCCCTCCAGAGAGGTCCTTCTTCCCCGACAAAGCCTCCGCGGTGTTCGGTCGCGTGGAGATTCTCGAGTTCTGGTGCAAGTCACCGACATTTGCCGACCGGGAATACACCGAGGCGGCTATGGATGGTGCTTCGCGGATGGGCTTTGTGCACGTTCTGGACTGGTGGCGACGTTCGGGACTGCCTCTGAAATACACCGAAGCGGCATTGGAGACGGCGAGCGGCAACGGTCACATCGCCGTGCTGGAATGGTGGAAAGCTCAGGCCTGCATCGACAGCAATAGTGCCAGTGGTATCAGCGAACTAGATCGAGTCGACACCACCGGACGCACATCACCCACGGGACTCCCCCTTATCCGCCTCAAGCCCGGCAAGAGCATCTGCTTCGCCGCGCAGAACGGGCACACGGAGGTGGTCCACTGGTGGTTGGAATCCGGCATCACCTTTGCGCACGAAGACACGGTGGCCAAGTTGGCCAGCGCCCACGGGCACGTCGCCATCTTGGAGCTCTGGTACGAGATGAAGGGCGGCAAGATCATCTTCGATAACTCGGTGCTCCCGTTGGCCACCAAACACGGCTGGATTGCCGTTCTCGAGTGGTGGCGCCGCTCGGGCTTGACGGTCGAGTATCGCATCTGTGACGTCGAGGAAGCTCTCGAGGATGGCTTCGAGGGCGAGCGCGGGGTGGAGATGAGGCGCTGGTGGGCGCACAATGGGTTGAATCTGGGTAGTCTTGGGACGAGCGAATGGATGAAGACGAAAGTTTTGTGATTGGGGGCAAATGTGCGCGGTTCAACGATTGGCATGTTACATGGGGTTTTTCTCGCACTGGATTTGTGGTTTCTTGGTTTATTCGAGCGTGGAGTCTGGGAGTACCGACGAGTCATTCGTCTTTTGCTTGGTTTGGGATTGTTCTTGGGAGGCTCGGGAGGGCGTTTAGTCAGGCGCACGGGATGTCCAGGACGACGGATATGTGCAATATGAATCTATGCCAAATTGGAAAGTTTTCATGCCTAGGCAGTTCATACGAGAGTACAGGAAGAGCGAACGTTTGAGACGAAGTACCGAAAATTGCTACTATTGATCATCGCCCATGAAACAGAGTCATTCGTAACCATTGCGCAGCATCCGAAAGTCTCGCGCGGCCATCACGCCCGCTATCCCAAAGTCCCAGACCTGCCGGGCTTTGGATATAGTCGACCATGTCACTTTCGAACGACGAGCTCGGCGGCGCTAGCATGTCATCTAAAGCCCGCTGCTGGCGCTCGTCGCTCTTCTGTAATAGGCGCACGAATTCGGTAACCTGTGGCTTGAGGATGGAGTCACCGCCAGTTGCGATGTGAAAGGGCGGGAGGCGGAGCTTCAGCGATGGACTCGGATAGCGGCGCGAGGCTTTGCGCCTTTTGACGAGGGGAAGCGGTGCAGCTGTGGGTGGTGGCAAGCCTTGAGATGGCGTTGAGTTTGCGCCTAGAGCGAGCTGTGACCGGAAGAAGTCTTGCTCGTTACTCTCTTCGCGAGATAACTGAGCCAGGAAGTCCATGTCGCTCGATCCTTGCTCTGGTCCTTCTTCGTCGATGGGTGGCGGCGGGGCATCAATGCCTGCAGAACGGAAGAACAGTGATGGAGAAGCGAATGGGTCAAAGTATGCATCCGGCCTGCGGAAGATGGTGCGACGGTGATTCAATAGGCCATGGAGCGACAAATCGACCTTGAGAGGCTCGCCGCGACCGTTCGTGACAGGTTCGGCCGCACCTTCGTCGTCAAATGCGACCCAGTCGACGATAGGGCTACTCACGGCTGCTGCGACGATGCCGGGTTCCCCGATTTTACACTCAGTCAGGGCCAAAGAAGTGGCAAGCGAGCCACCTAGAAGTTCTCCGACGACGGCTATGCGACCGACGAGGTCCGATCGCCCTGGACGACTGATGGCGCGCTTCGCCAGCAGATTTTCGTACACCCAATCATAACCAGTGACAGCGTCGTGGAGCGGAGTCGGGAAGGCATGGCCTGCGAAACCACGACGTCGACAGCGATAGTTGACTTGGACGATGGGACATGGTAGTACCGCGCGCAATTCCGCGACGTTTTGCGCATCCAAAGATGGATCGCTTGCGATTGGTCCACGCGGAAGATAGATGGCTACATGGGGCAGATTCACATCCGGAGGTGTTGATGTGAGAGGATGGTAGATACTGTTAGGTGGAGCAGAAAATTAGTATACTCCAGAACGAAGATGCACTCTTATTGTTTATCGTCTCGTTGGATGAACTTACTCGAGCGATATCTCGCCATTGCTCTTGCAAGGCACAGTGACCGTTTCGTGTGAGGACGAAGTCACGGGAAACGTTGTGTTGGTGAATAGTCGGAATGACGGATGAACGGCATTTCGTCTCGCCGCGCTGTGTCGACCACAGAGCCACACGGACATTTCATCCCTTCGGAGATCAGATGAGCGCCCAAATGACCATCGTCATTCAATCGCGTCGTCGATGAAAATTGATATACGATGTTGGCATTTATCCTGCAAGAAGGGATGGAGTGTCGAATTCGGCCAATCACAACCATAGCTTCTCGTCCACAGCCCGAGCGAGTGCAAATCAACACAAGCGCGCTAGGCAGTGATACGTTACGCATCACCATTTCACGTAATGCATGAAATATCATGATATAATAGCCAGATACATCGTCCATTACCATTTAGAATTGACCTCTTCTTCTCTGCCCAAAATCGAGTTTCAATTATCGCCGACACGTCGAGATTATCACATCTGAAAATAATTATCGAGAAATCGGACACCATGTCAGGTTACGAAGGTGGGCATTACCTAGGTCCTTTATGACTTCGAAGTCGTCGGAAGCAAAGTGGTAGAATCGTACGCTGAAGGATCTATCTTTTAGTCGAACATAATATCGAAGAGAGGCGGCGAGAAGAAGAGCAACGTGCACCGCGAAGGCCGGATCTGGCCACCTTTTTCAGCACACTCGAACTCGTCGATACCTCTGGCAATCGGCAACCACAAAACATCAACTCTGTGCCTCTACCTCAGGACATCTCCGCCGCTGTAAGAAGTCTCGTGTGAAAAGTACAGTGCGCAGGGTTGTACTTACAAGGTTGTGATCACCCTCTAGTACCGTAACCTCGCCAATGCCTTCAACACGATGACACGGCCGGCCGACGATCCGAACACGGCGCTCCTTGACCAGCTTGTGGAGCAGCTCATGGCTAGCGCAGAGCATCCTCCCTCGCAAGTCGACGGCGTCTCGGATGAATTCCTCGAGCAATTAGAGCGAGTGCCTAAGAAGAATCTCAAATCCGAACAGTCATGTCCCATCTGTTCAAATCCGTTCTTAGAAGGTATGTCAATCAGGCTCACCCATCAGAAAATCGTGTTCCCTTCTATTCCGATCGCTTCGAAGCGTGCTATTACTTACAAACCTTCCATCAGACCCACATCCGTTGGTCGTGCGCCTATCGTGTCATAAGGATCACATTTTCGATCTCGAGTGCATAACGCCCTGGCTGAAACTCAATCCGACTTGTCCACTGTACGTTTAGTTTTTCACAAGCCTCCTTTGCGGACAATAGTAGATTCGACGCCTTGGATCAGTGCTAACGAAGCTCGCCACTTTTAGCGACCGTCAGGTCCTCATCAAGAAGAAGGTCGTCGTTCCTCCGCCGGCAGACGATGACGAGGATGAGTACGATGATATGTATGCTTAGCACGATGGGTACGCGAACAAATTCAATCACCAAAAAAACCCAGACCTATGTGGATTTTCTATCAATTCTTATATGTCTATGGATATCATCAGAAGAATTGAGCCAGTGTCGTAAATAACCAACAGTGATGACATCAATCCTGAAACAAAAGACCTGCAGCATATTCCACATTCCCACCCGTCATCCTTAACGCCGCAACAGCCTGCTGTTCATTGAAGCCCAAATCGACCAAGGTCTGGATGTTCTCAGGAGGAAAGGCAACAGGTGGCTGTGGCGGCGCTGGAGGTAGAAGAGGAGGTGGCAGCGGTACAACCGTACGCAAAGTCGCCGCCATCTGCGCCGCCCACTCCCACGGCCGTGCCAGATCACCCGGCAGAGAATTGAAATACTCCCATCCCATCACTCCTCCGAACTCGGGATACCTCACCCGCAGCGTCCGCAAGATGCCCTCCAGGACTGACCAATCTACATGGCCAGCACCATTCCCCGGATTTGTCACGAGCCCCATGACGACTTTTCGTGCGGGCCAGCCGGCACCTTGCACGATGGCATCGTACCACCGAGTTGAAGTCGCATCGCCCCATCCACAATAGAACTGCGCGTTATACCACGCAATCTGCGCGCCCCGCTCGCGCTCCAGCTCGAAATAGTCAAAGTCGGGCCCAGACAGCTGGGGTTGTTTGCCGGATAACAAGGCACTCGCGACGGGCGCCAGGGTGATGAGGAAATCAGGACCCATGTCCGCGCGGAGTCGATCGATGAGGCGATACGCGCAGGCAAGCGTCGTGGGCTCCTCGATGTCCAGGTCCAGCCCGTCGAGCCGGTGGGCGCGGATCATGTCGCGTAAGGGCACGTAGTGGCTTTCGAAGCTGGCGGTGTCGCCGGCTAGTCGCGCATAGGAACCCTGCGCGGCGCCGCCGAGCATGCCGAGGATTTTCACGCCGGCGGCTTGGAGCCAGGCGGTTTCGGCCCAGAGGGTTTGGAATCGGGCATGATTGGGCGGATGGTCGTTGAGGGTGATGGAGCCGGGTGGATCGTTGAGATGGATCGCGGCGACGATAACGTGGGTCACGCCGGTTGCGTGTGTGAGCAGCGGGAGTAAGGAGACGGGAGGGCCGTCGTTTGGGCCGTGGTGGGTCTGATGGTAGACTATCACGCGCGGACCTTGATTGATCGGTAAGAGTGAAGTAGCAGCATCCGTTGTCGTCGCCGTCGTTCCATCATCGGGGTTTGGAAGGGCTGGGGCCATGATGACGAGTTCGCCTTAGGGTCTGTAAAATAATGACACGGGTTGAGGTGAAGGTGCGACAAGCCCGTCAGACGGCATGCCCCGCGACGCGTCAAATTGATGGAGAGTTCAAGGTTGTCATCATCGTTCTGGCTGATGGACCCCGCTGTAAGGGTTGCGATGAGGCTCTGTTGGGGCTAACTGAGGGAATGCGGAATGCGCATGACACACGTTGCAGAGATTATTCATTGATTGGGTCTCATCTTCTGTGTATGGCCTTTGCCGTTGGGGTAAATATGCCTGAATGGTTTTTTCACGACTCGGAAGTATGAATGGCACCGAGACTCGAATGCTGAGCAGGGCAAGCAAGATGTTCATGTCAACATGTGGAGGACCAGGGCATCGTCACTGGAGACAAGACACGCAACCTCAGGCATTCAATACGTGCCCAGGTGTTGGTAGACATCTGACGAAGCGGTCTAGGAGAGCTACGTCGGCAAGACGTACAGCGGAAGATGAGCATGTCGAGACACATACACGTACGTACACAGCCTCCGAATGCAATAACGAGAGGACATGGACATGGACTGACGATCAACGAAGGAGGACAACGGGCGACGGAACTCCTCCGAACGCCGAAAGCCGCCAACGCGAGACCGTCGCGCTAAGGAAACAAGGAAATAAGCATCAACGCTAATAAACAGCCACCACTGTCGGATGGAGCAAGTCGGGGATCCGAGAGTGAGAGACACTCATGATTAGGTATCATTCTATTCGAGTCGCCATCTCTCGCTTTGCTTGTTATCAGACATCCTCATCCATCTGGGCGATGTGTATGTCATCAATTCTGGGTCAACATCGGTCCTGGAGGATCGCAGATCATCAGTCAACATCGGTGCCACGACTGTGCCATCTGTCAGCATGCTGTCATCATCAGCGTATGGCCGCGTTCGCGGATGGAACAAGAGGACATCCACAACGAATCCTGAGCCATGATCCGATGAGAGTTGGGTGTAATTCACCTACCAGTATGGCAGAGTTGCCTTTGTGAGCTTACCGGCCAGGTGTCAAGATGGCTCTCTCTGGTACTCTATATATATCTCCGCCTCGTGCTGCATCAAGTCCACTTCCAGAAGCATTGATCAAAGAGAACCGGAATGTCTCTCTCCCTCTGCGTAGATGTGTGTGCATCGGCACCCCACTTGATACATCCCCGTCCTGGTAATCGTCACGTTCTCCTCTCATCCGGATGAGGTTGAAGATGAGCCATATTGCTTTGAACAGATCTGCTCTTCATCATGTCCTCTGCTACCCTGCCTCATCCATCGCCTTTAATTGGTACATCACTTCCAAATGGCTTCTTCAGATAACCTCAAGGTAATCATCCTCGGTGGTGGCATCGCCGGACTCACCACAGCCCTCGCGCTTACCAAATTTGCACCTGCTGGCAAAGTACCTACCATAAACATCTACGAGATCCGACCTGAACCTGCCACCATCGGTGGCGCAGTCAACCTCACGCCAAATGCTCTTCGAATGCTCGATGCTCTCGGCGCCCTACCAATCATCCGGGAACGCGACTACGGACACGATATCGACTACCTAGAAATCTTCGATGCACACAGCGGCAAGATTGCCGAGTCCAGCTTTCGAGGGCCCGAAGGCAAAGGCGTCGGCACGCCACCATACAAAGCCCTACGGATCACTCGCGGAGATGCGCTCAAGGGAGTCCTTGCGGCGATAGAGGCCCAACCTAACATTACCATGACCTGCGGCAAGCGTACCATTAAGATCGACGAGACGGCCGACAGCGTGACATTGACCTTCGAGGACGGTGAGACGGCGACAGGCGATCTGCTCATGGGCTGCGACGGCATTCACTCTGTGACACGGCTGAAGCACGTCGAGCCAGAGCGCAAGGCGACCTATTCCGGCGTGAGCAACGCCTTTGGCTTTGCGCCCATACCTAAAGATTTCAAGGTCCACTTCCAATGCACCGCCATCAACTTCGCCCGACGTGGGATGCTATTGACCAGCTTCCACTCTTCGGCGCGGGACTCGGTCTATGTAGGTGGTCTGATGCAGGTAGCGGACATTGGCTCCCGGGACGGCTGGAAGGCCGTCGGCGGCGACGCGGAAGCTACACGCAAGCAGCTCCTGGAGCGATTCGGCGACACCAAGATTGAATGCATCGTCCCGCTGATCGAGAAGGCGCAGGACTTTTTCCTGTGGCCTGTGTTCACCCTGAGCAAGGAGGGAAAGTGGTCGACGAATCGAGTCATGTTACTAGGAGATGCTGCAGTAAGTCCATGTCTTAGCGTTTTGCTCCTTTTGTCGAGTATTAATTTGAGTGCCATCGCTACAGCACGCCATGCCACCTCAAGGAGAATCCACCGGCATCGTCTTCGAAGACACCGTCCTCTTCGCCCGCTGTCTCACACGGTGGATCGAAAAGGGCCAACCGGGCGGAAATATGAAGGAGGCCTTTGATGCCTACGAGAAGCTCCGACGGGATCGCATCGGCGTCGCCTTCGAGGAAAGCAAGAATGTCGTCAGCACCGTCTCGGACGCCGGCTGGTTCGGCCATTTCATGAAGACGACCATTGTGCCGTGGTACCTTTGGTTCACGCACAGTTATCGGGAGAAACATTTCATTGAGGATGTGACTAAGGTGGATATCGGATATTGAGAGAGCATGTTTGGGGCTACGAGCTCGTTTTGTTTGCCATATGATGAGGATGTCAGACCGGGAACATTTTCTTGAGTTGCAAAGTTCAGGGTACAGGGGGGTCTCTTTCGGAGTTCGGCATCGCGTCATTTCATGGATTGTGTTAACGTCATCTTCGCACTTCTTCAAATCACGCAAATTGCCTTCTATTTATCCATCAGAAATGATTTCTCGACAACAGTGTGTGGACAGAGCACAGACGGGTTATGTGTGACGATTCATCGATCGCCAAATACTCGCTGTGGCATTCGAGGCGGAGACGGCAAGTACAGCGTGTTCGTACACGGCAGAGGGAGCATGCACACATGATGTACACATGCAAGCTCAAAACCAACAATGAACCAACCAAATCAGCATCATAATGGACTCCCATTCTTAACTAAACTAGTTCACATGGGCTTCTAGCTCAACCTTCAAGGCTCTGGCTCCGTGAACAGAAAATCAATCGTACCTCCCATGATAGAGCGCAAACATTAATCCCAAAATCCCCCTCTCAATCACAAGGCGAATGTTCCATGTTTCTCAAACATCATTACCATGACCGTCTCATACCTCAGAGCATGTACGACCGTTGATGCACCCCAGATGCACCAGGTGCCCCCGGCGCACCAGCACTGCAATTCTGCGGCTTGAACACACCGAGGTCGACCAACCAAGCGCCCGAGTTGAACTCGGAGTAGACGGTGTTGATGAGCCAGACGCCGTCATTGCCGCGGACGGTCTCGAGCACGATGATGCCGGTGATGTTGGTGGGGCTCATGCGTGACATCCAGCGGAGCGTGACGGTCTCACAGTTGTGCCATAGGTTGAGCTGTTGGAAGTCGATGGCCGGCTGGGAACCTTGGCCTTTCTCGAACTCGGTGCGGCTTGCGAAGGTGGGGACGCCGCGCTAGAAGGGAGAAGACGAGTTAGTCAGCGGTCGTGTTTTGTGAAGTTGAGATGGATGGGATGTGATGTTGAGGTGGGAGACTTACAGGTAGAGGACCGTTGGGGCATCCGTTGTCGATGAGCTCGATGACGCTGTCGGTGTAGTCGTGGAAGTTCTCAGTCAAGGTCTTCCGGGCGAGAGCGTCACTGTAGTTGGCGATGAGTGCATCAAAGTTGTCGGCCACCGTCTGGGCATCTGAAGCGGTCATACAGGCATTGTTTCCTGTAGCGCTCCAGTCTGGTGACTTCCAGACGCCCCAGCTACCGCCCCAGGTAGCTGCAACGGCATTGCTGACGAAGAGAAGGCTCGAGGCCAGAACGATGGAAGCTGAACGCATCTTGATGATTCGATTGAGGAATGGCAGTGTAAGTAATTGGTATCCTGAAAGTGCGACTTTAGTGGCGTTGTTAAAGTAGTATGTTGGCCTTTGGGGTATCTGAAGAGCTGTCGATATCGAGCAAAATTCCAGGGAGACCTGAAGAACGATCAAGTATATAACGAGAGACTCAAGTGAGTTGATGAGCGAGTGTCAGGCTTGATGGCCAGTAACGAGAGGCGGGGGACGATAGAAGATAAAACGTCAACGTGGCACCGGATGGACGAAAGAAGAAGGAGGAAAAGGGCAGTGGTTAGAAGGAGGAAAAACGGAAATGATGTTTAGGTAAAGGTAGCCAACGAGGGTACGCGTGATTCAACGGACAAAACGCACGATTTTCCGGCCGGTAACAAGAAATTCAGCAGTGGCACACGACATAGCGAAGGCGGCGGATATTGTAGATCACACGCTTTCGGACGAATGTTGGTCTTGTCCTACAAGTGTCATGCTCGCTTGCATGTCTGCTTGCTCTTCGTAATGCTGCCTGTCCTATCCGAGCTTCTATAGTGAATGTAACGATTTCCTGTTGATCATCACGTAGCCCGCTTGGCTGTCCAAATTTTTGCAGCGGAGAATTCGCGAATATGATCATCGGACACTCATCAATCTTAGCGTGGCAGTCTTCCACGCGAGAAGCGATGGACTTGGTATTAATAAATAGCACTCCAAGAAGGGGTACTGTGTCTCGACCGGAGATTAACGTCCATTGACTCGTGGCTGTCTGCTCAAAGCACTTGTTCACTACCCACTTGCCTGCTGGTGGTCCGCTAGTCCCGGCGCGCACTTGTTCGCCAGCAATCAGTCGTGTGGCACACCCTGCTCCTTCGCAATGATACGATATTCTTGAATATTGGGTGATATGATTTCTTGTAAACCAGCATGACTTAGAGTCTCTAGAGATCATTAGCCATCACTGATTTTGCCAGGGCGTTGGACGCTATGCGTTGTTATGCGGCGATCTTCAAAATAGGCTTCGCAGTGGCCGGACGAGTGGGGCTTCAGAGCACGACTGGATACGTTGTCAACAGATCACCCAATCATTTGCTGCAGGCAGCACTATAGACTTTGGGTGGTTGTTAACAAATCAGCCATGAGAGGTTCATCGGATGATGTGGCGGGGAGCCGTGAGGTCGGCATTTGGGCGAGGCAACGTCGAGATCCAGGTATACAATTAAGCGCGCTAATGCAGGTCCACCCATGTGCTACATGTTGCACTGTGTTAAAATTGATTTACCGTCCATGAGGTCATCTTTGACCTACCATGGGGTGCGCTGCCTCATCGCATGTTTCACCCTTTCTAATTGCGGAGAAAAATGCCGATACAGTAGCACCAGAATGAAGATCATTTGTAGATCGAATCGCAAGACGGGAATAGGGGGTTAAACATATTGAATTGTGCTCCTCGGTCCGCATGTTGACGAAGCCCATCGTTTCGATGGATGCTTGACCGGCTGGTCACTCACGTGTCACTCTGTCATTTCATGAGCTCCGCCGACCGGATGCAGGATTGACATCTTTCCTTCCCGAAATTTCGCATTCCTCATCTCTCGGCACACGGCACATGATCCGCACCAGGCTCGACATTAAATCACCAGCCTCCCGAGGTCCACTGATTTTGCTGCGATACGAACGTTTCGTCGGTCTCACGTTGCGTTGTTGCTGGGATATGGGTAGTGGCAAGCCCTTTGGGCCTGTTCGGGACATACCCAACTTAGCGGCATCTGAATGTACATTCCCTCTGTCTGCTACTATTGCCCAACCTGATTAGGCCGATGTCTGCACATTGCGTGGGACACGACAAAGTTTGGCACAGATGAATTAGATGGCCTCACGATTGTTCGTACCAAGTGTTCGAGCTCATGTTCCAAACGACTGTAGCAATGAAGATGCCGATGTCTTGGGGTATGCTGTAGGCGCACGGCAGGCCATAGAAGATCATTCCGCTCGACTGCAGGTCAAAGATGATAGTGGTGCTTAGTAGGCCGCAGTATTCCTCCTGCGCCGGGTGTGACACAGCGTCGTATGTCATTCGACAAGCTGCCCAGGTGGTCACCTTGTTTTTGTGAAGGACATGAGTGGATTTCATGAGACAACTCACGCTTCATACAGTCGATGCCAGCTTGGTCTTGCCATATGCCCCACCCATCTTCTTTCTCTCTTCCAGTGCCATTCGATACGGCGGTGCCGTCGGAGGCTGAACAGGATCCAAGCTGATATGACCTTCAGGTAACTTGTGACTCGCATCGGCATCGAAGGCACTTAGATCGCCACAGGCTAGAAAAGGAGCAATCCACCTTTGAGACGAATCTGCCTTGCCGTCAAAGTCCACATCCATGCGGGCTACGCCATCATCACCGACCATTGCTTCTGTCATCGCAACGTTTGATGTGGTGTTTGGTAATGTTGGATCGCCCAGCGACCCCAGAATTTGACTGCCCCCAAGCGGATCGTCTAAGCTTGCCTTGAAGCCAGGTGGCGGACGGAAATCCAAGCAAACAATGAACGCTTCGACACTGCTGGCGCGACTACTCCGCGGCTTAGCCACGTGCACGTTGGCGAAGACCACACGCAATTGGGCGTACAGTAAATCGACATCCCGACCGCGAAAGATTTTGGCCACAAAGGCTCCGCCTGGTTTCAGCACGCACAGTGCGAGATTCAGCGCTGCCCAGAGTAGTTGCGATTGCACATACATGTCGAGGTCGTGCAGACCGGTGACATCAGGTGCGCCATCCGAGATCACGAGGTCGACGGGATTGCGGGAAATGCTCGTGTCGGCAGTAGGTTCGGCAGGAGCAGTTGTCACTGATGTCGTAGCTGTATCTGTAGGGTCCAATGCCTGGAGGAGTAAGGGAATGGTTGACGGATGTGTGATATCAGCCTTCAGGCAGATGATGCCGTCAAGCGGCGACATAGGCTGAAGGTCAATGGCGACGATTTTGATGTCTCGGCGAGGTCCATCGAAAGCAGTGGGAGGAGCTGGATCGTTGGACAACGCTGAGAAAGTTTCGCCAGCGGGTGTGCGTTTGGCGAGAAGTTCGGCATGACGTTTGTCTTCCCATGTCCGCCGACCGATTCGTTCGCCTTTGATTAGCACTCGTGACAGAACCTGGGACCAACTCCCTGGAGCGGCGCAAAGATCAACCACTCGCGTCACGCCTTCAAAAAGATTGAATTCCTCATCGAGTTGCAGTAGTTTGAATGCCGAGCGAGCTCGCCAGCCTTGTTCCTTTGCGAGACGATAGTATGCGTCGCGCTTATCCTTGGATGATTTTCCCATGACGGATCGCTTCCTACTCTAGTCGAATTGTTACAGCGTCTTTGGATGTGTTGGGACGTGGCATTCGAACGGGTCGCAATTGTTGATGTCGGCAATTTTGGTGAATGGCGGGGCAGCGTGCCACTGGCGTTACGTTCTTCACCCAACGACAGGATTTTCGATTCAAAATTTCCTTAGTCGACGCGTCTACATCATTTGATAGCCAATTTGGCGTATATAGAATGGATGACCACTAAATATCACTTTCGAGATGCTATGTTGTATTGTTGACGCTGCAAAGTGAGTACTGCGGTTCACTTTCCCAACACTTTTGCGCCGCCTATGTGCACAATTACAACCGAATGATGAACGTTGATCCATATTGTTAAATGCATCCATTTGTTCCTCAATCACTTTCCAACCAATCTGGTTCGGCATCATCGTCTTCGGGATCATGCGACAATATCGAGTCTCCATCGCTATCATGTCGCTTTATGGGGCGTGGACTTGTCTGCGAGGTATCCAGATCCAGATTCAGATCCGCTCGCGAGGTCGGAGGTATCGATGTTATAGGAGGTACTGAAATTATCGGAGCGGGACTCACCAGAGCAGGAGATCTTGGACCTTCTTGCTGTCCCAAGTCGGTTCTCTGCCCAGCTACTGGAAGGACAGCCGGTCTGAGGTCAGCTTTATCGGATTCATTATGATCCGGCCCATCGTTATAGCCGTCAATTCCCCCAATTTCGAAGGGTGGAGATCCGGCCTGGCGATCGGTAGTGGCACTGGTCTCTAGAGCGCTATGACCAGCGCTTCCATCTTCGATTTCCAAACCTGCAGGCACGAAGCCGCTACCCATCGCGTAATCAACATTATTCGCGTCCCCAGACAAGAATCCCCCTCCTGTCATTTGATCGTCGCCATCGGCATCCTCAGGGAGAAAACCACCTCCCATTGTATGATCATCAACATTTGCATCTTCCGGCAAGAAGCCTCCACCGCCTTCATGATCCACATCGTCAACTCCACTCGCCGAATCTAGATTGTCATCTGATAAATCATCGTCTTCTGCAAAATCCTGGCCACTGAAGTCTTCTTCTTCTCCGTCGTCCTCATCCTCGTTGTCGTTATATTTCTTCTTCCTCTGATTTCGCTTTCCAGGTGCTCTCTTCGTTTTGGTAAGCTCCGAGATCGAGAATAGTCCAGCCGTTGGCATTGGGGCCTCCTCAGTCTCATCGAGCAAGAAACCACCGTTTTCAGTGCATCGATCCATCGCGCCTTGTTCATTTTCGTCACCGCTGTTTTGAACAGCTAATCGACGTGAATCCGTGCCCCCATAAGCACTGACACGTTCAGTGATACGTAGACCGATGACGAAACGCTTCCATAGACGCAGTGCTTCCAAGCTTCTCGCACGGGAAGCCTCCTCAACAGCGTCTTCCCGGAAGCTCTCGAGTGCGGCATGTACAGCGTCAGCATGCTCAGTAGCAACAATGATGCCATCGATAATTGCAGTCCCATGCCTGCCTTTGAAGGAGAAGCCCGTGACAGCGTCTGCAAAGTCAACTCGCAGCAATAGTGCAGCTCGGCTGGCTTGTGCATCACGGATGTGTGTACCGCCAGCCGGAATCATTGACGGCGCGTAAATGTCGAGGTTTCCAAAAGCATTCCTGGGCACCCGCCCATTGCGCACAGGAGGCGGGACGTAGAGAGATGTTTGAGAAAAAGAGTACAGACCAGTTGTCGCAGCTTGTGCTGGATCAGCAGCAGCATCTGGGTTGGGTGACTGGTCTCTTCGTGTACGAGCCCGGACGTATTTGAGTGGTTGTTCATTCGGTTTGACCTCACGCCCGGCACGATACCATTTATCAGCACTTCGACATTGCAGAACGTCATTGCGACGATACACTGACTCCATGCGAGGTTTCTTCGCAGACCCAGCATTGACTTTCCCAACCTCACGTTTCGGATGAATGACTTCGTTTCGCTTGAGATGACGTTCGAGAGCATAATAAGGATGCCCTTTGAAATCGAGCACATTTGCTGGTAGACCCTCGCGTGCTTCTTTCTGTGCCATTTCCGCGTCTTCGATTTGATCGCGGTCGAGTTGACCGTCCAAACGTCGGAAAATGCGGAGGGTTCGCTTCCACCATGAGACTCCTGATTCGCCTGCGGCCTCGACTCGATGTCTGCGTGTCTTGGCATTGTATGATTTTGCATAGCGCCGAGTAACGTCTCGAACTACGCCATCGGCCTCAAAAGCCATGACGTATGTCATATGATTCAGGCCATAGGACAAAGGAGGTTCAACACTTGATGGAGTGTTGATAGTGTTCGTCACGATCGGGTCGACGACAACCCACTTTGAATAGGACGGATTAAAAGCTTCAACCCAGAAGACCGGATACGAAAGCTTTTGGATTGATTTTGATCTCTTCCTAGACGACTGAACAGGTACTGTGACCGAATTCAGCGAAGGCTGCCCTAAACGCCTACGTATAGCAGACAATCTCCCGAGACTGCTTGAGGTCATGACATTGGCCTCATCACCGCTGGCATCATCTGGAGGGAAACGCTGATCCGAAGCCATTGCTAGATACCTGGGCTTGATAGCCTTCTGCGGCGTGCTGGCCTTGGGGACGCTGCCAAAAGGAAGGACTTGCAGTGAACAAACAATTCGAGCATTGACACCAACGGATCGAAGCATGGCACAGAACAGCTGATTTCCAACATCCTGAGATCCGCGGACGGATTTGGCAGCCGAGATGAAGTCATCGAGATCCATGCAGCCAGCGAGATCAATGTGATCGTCAGCTTTATCGTCACCGACTTGCCACTCAGGCATCTTCAGACCAGGTGCAGTAACGCGAAATCGTCCCGTGAAAGCAGCCACAGCTTGTTGCAAACCATCCATAAACATCTTGTTGCGCTGGTACTGCGTCGTGTTAGGATCAGGATCCAGAAATGGTAGCGCACGCGGAGGCAGCAGTGAACGCAAGTGTTTCTGTACGCCGAAGTTGTTGCACCGCCCATTCACAAACATACAGTGCCCGAGCAGGCAAAGCACATGAAGCTTGTGAACCAGTAGACGATGAGCTTTGTCAACACCGCTGGAAGGTTTGCGCTTGCTCGATACACGAGGCTTTGGAGTTGTCTGCGGGTCCAGCGATATGGAGACATCCTCAATCTCACGCTCACGCTCGGATTCAGAATCCCCCTGAAAGCTCAGCGCGACGTCTTCGAAGGCAATGTCACTGCCTTCTGACTCGGATGAATCCTCAACAGTCTGTGGGCTGATTTGCCGTCCATGTATGTTGGCTTTCGAGAGCGAAGGAAGATCTTCAGGATCCGACGAGATGGGCATTTCGGCCACGGCCTGCGCAGACCTCGCGATCGGTGTGACTTTACGTCGCTTTATCGGTCGCTCCTCAGTGCCAGTTGGGGGAGTCGCGTCGGTCTCCGCAATCAGTGATTGGTAGACATCGGGCAGGTTTCCGTAGTCGGCGGATTCATTGCGCCGAGAGCCAGAAATCCTCTTACTACGCCGTGAGCCGGAAGCTGTTGCTCCCTTTCGACCTCCACTGGGCGCCATGATAGAATCAAAAACGCGCTTTTGTAAGGGAAGTGTTCAGGTCGAGGCGGATGGCTTGCGGTCCAACGTCCGAGCGAGTGGACGCGATTTGGTTACGTAACAGGCGATGGCAAAGCTCGAATCAGTCAATCGACATCGTAGACCGTCTCCGCTTGCATTGTGAAGCGAAGATGGACGCACAGTATTGCGTCCACGATCGTGCTGTAATCGAAGTTTTCATACACTGAAGGAGTAGAAGGATTCGAGGTCTGATGGATCAAATTCACTTCGCCGACGGAGAGGGAGTCACCAATGACGTGGTAATCCTGCGAAAGTCCGGGCAAGCACGAGCCATCAACAGATTTGAACCCCTCCGCAGGCTCGTTGATGTGTTTTCTCCCGTGATGCGGATATTGATCCAAGACCACTACGGCGTATTTTGATGTATCTAAAGCAACCATCTCAGCAACCCCAACGAGATGCATTAATCGTGTCATTATCCATCTGCTGCTACCGTTCAAGCTATCCTTTGGGCAGTTTGACTCATGGTGATCAACCAGGCGGAAGTCCAGTAGATTGTCGGAGGAAATGTGCCTAAGGCCGTCTAGATCCCGCGACACGCTTTCTGCCCGCCCGCCCTTGCCACATACGCGTCTTCCTCGTGAGGATTGTTGTATGCCCAGTGCAGGCGGAGTTGCGGATTGTGGCAGTGAGAGTCCTCTCCCCGATTGTTTTTCTCAGTAGAAGTGGAAGTGGCTCAGATTTATACCAAATAGAATGTGCATGTGTTGAAAACACCTGGGCAAAATTATTGTGCATTTGTATGCTGTGACTCTCTCTTCAATCACGTTTATAATCCAGAAGCTCCAATCCATGGAAATTATAGGCGTCGTACCAAACACACTGTACATGTTCCAGATCAATCACCGCCACGCCACGTAGGATTAACCAAATCGAATTCTTGACCAGAGACCGGGAAACAGCAGGAATCTTGTGCGATTCATTCTGGCGCATTCCTCTTCCCTCTCATCACACAACTTTCACCAGTAGCATCGTCAACGTCGCATAGCTCAACATGGAGAACTACCAGAAGATGGAGAAGGTGGGCGAAGGTACGTGTTTGGCGCACTGCTTCTCTACATAGACACAGCGCGGTCTGTTCAATATGACAAAATGAAGCTCACCACTCGCATCAATCTACAGGCACATACGGTGTCGTCTACAAAGCGCGTGATCTGAGCACTCCTGATCAACGTATCGTCGCACTCAAAAAGATCCGTCTCGAAGCCGAAGATGAAGGCGTGCCGTCGACCGCCATCCGAGAGATCAGCCTGCTCAAGGAGATGCAGGACCCCAATGTCTTGCGCCTGTTGAATATTGTTCACGCCGACGGACACAAATTATACCTCGTCTTTGAGTTTATGGACGTCGATCTCAAGAAATACATGGAGGCACTGCCAGTCAACCAGGGTGGACGCGGTAAGCCACTACCAGAGGGTGTTTTGGAAGGCAAGGGTCACTTGGGCCTCGGCGAGGCCGTGGTAAGTCGTGGATTGCTATCAACGCTGGCATCATCCATGTGCAAGCATGCTGACGGTGTGTCTAACCGTACAGGTCAAAAAGTTCACGCTGCAACTCCTACAGGGCATCCGCTACTGCCATTCACACCGCGTCCTTCACCGAGATCTCAAACCACAAAATCTGCTCATTGACCGCGACGGCAACCTCAAAATCGGTGACTTCGGTCTCGCACGAGCATTCGGCGTTCCCCTCCGCACCTACACCCACGAAGTCGTCACTCTATGGTACCGCGCACCCGAAATCCTGCTCGGCGGGCGGCAATACAGCACGGGCGTGGACATGTGGAGTGTGGGCTGCATCTTTGCGGAGATGGCGACGCGCAAGCCGCTGTTCCCAGGCGACTCGGAGATCGACGAGATCTTCAAGATCTTCAAGCTGCTGGGCACCCCGACAGAGCAGGAATGGCCTGGCGTGACATCGTTCCCGGACTTCAAGCCCTCGTTTCCCAAATGGGAGCGGAAAGAGAATGACGAGCTGATCAGCATGGACGGAGTCGTGATCTTGGGCGATGAGGGACTCAACCTGCTTGACGCTCTGCTCGTGTATGACCCTGCGGGTCGCATGAGCGCCAAGCAAGCGGTGAATCACGCGTACTTCCAAGATGCTGCGAGTATAGCCCTGAACAACAAGATGTACGGAAACAGCAGCGGCGGCGGTGGCGGCCGGTATAATGGATATCACTGAGCGCAAAATGATTTGACGCAGTGATGAGCGATTGGAGAGCATTGTCACGAGTATCATTGTGAATCGGTGTGCAGAAGCAAACTCTCCCACGTTGATCACCACATATGTTTCTCGATCATGAGCATTGGGATAATGAACATTCTTCTTTCTCTGCGCCAGGTGTGTAGAGACAATGGCCCGGCGAACTTGACCACACAAGAGGATATGAGTTGGGCAGAGAAGGCCAGGCTGTTCAAAGCTACACGGGTTCGGCGTTCTCATTTTGGCAAATTTCACTTCAAAAGTACTCTTCGAAAGAGTAGACCTTTTCGTTTGATCAAAATTCAATTGACATCTTTGAAGTCCGTACCTTTCTCCTGTTATGTCAGGGCGCGAAGTCGATTGCACAGGATGTATCTTTTACTCGATTCTGAGCTGTCGACAACGACAGCAGGCCCGACATTCGACTTTTTGAAGACGATCGCGGAAGTCAAAAATCTGTCATCGTGCTCAGGTGTGGATTACAGATATTGTCATATCCGATAGCGATGAAAAAGGGACCAGCAATCCGCGGTTTATCCATCCATCGCTCCACGGCACGGCTGGAGTCCGTCACACGCTTCGATGCGGTTTGTTAAGATAGGACTCCACTTTATACTGCTCAATGGTGTGCTGCAAAAGATGAGCTCTTATAGCGCTGCTCGAATCCCCTCAAGTCAATGCGCCTTCACCAGCATGCCTCCCTCAAAGGTCTCGCCGGGCTCCAATTTCTGCCAACCCTCGACCGCACCAACCTCCACGCACACCATCGTCTTGTATCCGTCCTTTGGCTCAAAGTCGCCCATGCCTTTTGACTTCTCGATCCAAGGATTCCAGACTACGGTATCCGCCAGGTTGTCGCGAATGATGTCCAATGAAGGCCGACCTTCCTGCACGACCGATGTAGTATCTTGCTGCAGTCCAGTGTAGACGCGATCAACCTCGCCTGCAATGGACAGACTCGGAGTGGATTGTTGGTGAGTGGTGGCGTTGAGCATCTTGTCGACATAGGTAGCGCTGCCGAGACCATTAATTTGTGTGCGCGTGATGTCCTAATATCTGAAGTCAGCAGCTGCAAAGGTGTGATAAGTCACAATTCTCGACTGACCTCGACACGGAAGTAGGTGTGCAACAAGAACTGGAACTCGAAAGCCTCCGTGCCCTCGTTTCGCACGTTCAGCATGGTCTGAAGGCTATCCTTGCCCAGTGTCACGCTGTACACGAGCCCGAAGCCAAAAGGCCATGCCTTCTTCGTATCTTCGCTCAAATTTGCCGTTGACAGACCAAAGTCGAGTTTGATCGAATCATCGCCGGCTTTGCCCTGGGCACCAGATTCAGACGACGACTTGCCTAGGTACTCCCAATGTGAGTTTCGTGCAAAGCCGTGCTGTGGGAGACTGCCAGTGACATGGTCCTTGTTTGGTGGGCCGAACGCCTATATCTGACTTCAGCATGTGCACGTTACAATACAAGCCAGCCTGCCGACTGCGCGCACAATTCTCTTACCGGAAATACGATCGGAACACCTCCTCGCACAGGCTTGCTTCCGTCAAGCTTGGCCGCTGTACTGAGCCATAGTCGCTCTTTGCCGTTGGTCTTCCAGCTTGTCACTGTCGCACCGAATAGGAGAATCTCAACCGAATCGCCCGAGGGAAGACTAGCGATGACCTTGCCTTGCTCGACGTGAACGCTCGGTTGCGGTCCAGCAGCGATTGGCGAGATGGCCGAAGGTCGATTCTTGCGGTCTATGATGGCATGGATGTTTGGATCAGAATCTTATCATTGGACCGCGCGAGACAACGTTGTCCAATCTCACCCATTGTGTCGACACAGAATGATATATGATGATCGTCACGGTCAACAGGCCTTGGCTATGCACGATATTTCGCGCGAAGTGAATGTCGGTTTCCAAGGATGGAAAGAAGCAATTATAGATTCAATTTTATTTAGCTGCGATTTGGCAGCTTCCAGCCTGTTGTATTCGCCAGTTGAGCTTCACATCAAGAGGCGCGTTTAGGCGCTGTACCATTCATTCATCGACTCCTCCGGCACAACAAAAGCCCCGCCATGCGGCGTCTACGCAAAGAGACCGATTTGGCAAGCGGGGTACTCTCCGAAAGTTTACCACCCGCCGCCGAACTGGGGGCCTGACATCATCCACGTGTTTTGGTGTAATCTCGCGATCATGAAAGTCTCCGCTTCGTTGCAGGTCCGGCGTGGTTGGTGATAGTTCCCAACAAGACCAGCCCTACGAGCGCCCCTGAAGAATTGACCGGTCTCCATGAAAACGACCTACTGTGTCTCTCATTATGTCAGATTGCCATCGAGCACCTACTCATCTTTAACGCAGATCAAAAAAATAGGGTGTCATTGTAATCCTGCCGAGGAAATTTGACACGTTCATCTGATATACATTGACGTCCACAAAAGAATGACGTGGGTCATAACGCGCACCATGAAATTTCCCCGATCACTTTCTTGTCCTTCTACCGTATCATGTCGATGATTCATTCCTGCTGCGTCGCCCAGCATTATGAATCTCCCGACGCATCTCGAACAGAACATTGTCGAATTCGCGCTCCTCTTGTGATCCCAGGATCATGTTCCTACACTCGGCGAGAATTTCGCGTAGACGGCCGAGCAAACTCTTAGGTTGCGCGATCTTGCGTTCGTTGACCGGGTCGCGCGGCTGTTCCTGAGATGTGGATGGTTCATCAGGATTCGTAGCTTCCACAGGTTGCTCGTGATTATCTTCTTGAACTCGAGCATGTGCAGCCAAGGACGATCGTCTCGTAGCGCGAATTGAACGCGGACTTTCTTGTGATGGCTGCGAAGTCCTGATACGGCCTACACTGCGGCCTCCACGCAGCTTCATGATCTCGAAGTTTCCATCCTGAACTCCATCGTCCGAAGCAAGATCAGCGCTCATGTTTGATGCTCGTCGTTTCAGTGATTTGACAGCGGGCTCCCTTCCGATGTTCATGCCTTTGTCCTGCTTGCGTGGTCTGCCCCGACTACGCTTACCTTGGACAGCTAACGTCTCGGCCACAGCGATATCGACTGCTTGATTGCCAGCTTGATCTTCTTGGGACTGTCCTGTCTCCTCTACGGCATCCGACTCATCGTCCATAAATGACACTCCAGGTGATTGGTTGCTGGCGACGACGATCTCTTCACCAATATCCCCATCTTCATCTTGCTGCTGCATTCCAAGCATGTTTGTTATGAGCTTCTTGAGTGGCGACGAAGGCTTGCGCTTCCGTGATGTGTATATTGTTCCTGAAGCGCGTTTGCGTTTCTTGCCGTTCGCGCGTTGCTCTGCGGGCTCCTCAGCTTGTGATGCCGAGACTGCACTGAGTTGTGTCATATCATCTACTTCAAGTGGGCTTGATGCTCGCGATGATTCTACGTCTTCGGTTTGACCAGTGTCACCGGCCACGTACTTCTGGCTCATCTGTGATCGAATTTCGGCGGCAGATCGGTCGACTACAGTTTGCTGTTCTGGCGATGCTTCACCATTCACCGCAGCGGCTTCTTCGCGAAGTAGCTGGGCCGTTGGTAGTGCTGAATCGGACTGCAGATTCAATGCAGTCTCAATATCTGATTCAGTTGTCACGTCAGATTGTTCAGTTCCCATGCCACCATCCTCTGTCAGCGAGACTTTGTTGGGCATGGCGACCGCGTCAGTCGTGAGGGGATTGTCGTCCGGGAATTTCTCGTGGAGCTTGTTTTGATGGCCCTCTTCGCTGATATGAGGAGGCGATGACGGTGGAGCGGAGTCGAGATCACTGTCGTCATCATCACCATAATCTTCCTCTGCGTCTTCCTGTAGAACAACAGGACCCGCAATTTGTTTGACAGCTTTGGGTGTGGGTGATGATGGAAGATCATCGCTCATAGGATTCGCGTCATTGAACTCCCCTGGCGTTTCGAGCGCTCCAGACGTGCTCACGCTGACTGAAGGTGGTGCGAACACAAGCCGTTTGATAGTCGGGTCTCCCGTTGGCAGTGGACTCGAGGACATCTGCGGATACATGTGCGCATCGTCCCTTTGTCTCTCACGGATCTCCAATTGTCGATCGGTCAGCAGCTGCGAGGTTCCTTCAGAAATTGGGGATGATGGCTCGATGGCAGCAAACTCGATCTGTGAGTCATCGTGACGGAGCTTTGGAAGCGAAATTGGTTGTTTTGGCAGTGCCACCTTCGCAGGACTTGCTTGACGAGCCAACGCTGTCTGCGCAAGATGCTGTCTGATCAGCGTATTCTCAGTCTCTGGTCTACGCAGCATGGTCGCGAGCCGAGATGTCATGCCCAAGTTTGGCACAATGTCAGCTGTCGTTATATTGGTCTGCGAGAGGTCGATCATCTCTGGAAGCTCAAACGAGGCGATGTTCTCAGTATCTTTCCTCAAACCAGGCAATAACAAGTCAGCCTGTAAGGAGCGGGCGAAAAGCACTGCCTCCAATGTGGGCGGGTACCGCAGTGCAGTCTCAATACCGAATGTTGTGTTCCAGAAAGTGATAGTGGCATTGACCACGTCCTTGCACGGACTTGAGAAGCCTGCAATAAAAAGTGGCTCAAGCGACTTGAGTGGGGATGGTTCTTTGCGAGGTAGTGATCGGACAAGGTCGAGCACAGACGTCCAGCACTGTACAACGGACGTTGAGGTATTCGCTTCATGCTCAGGCAGAACAGACCCCCTGAATACTTCTTGATTTTGATCTTCGACCCAATTTGTGATTGTCTCTTGCGTCCGCCTCAACGCAGCCCCGAGTATTGCTGGAGGGCAGCCCCGCAGGAATTGAATGAATGATTCGAAGAAAAGCTGGAGACACTCTGCCTTCAAGCTCGTACAGTAGGCTTTCTTGGAAGCCGTGCAGACCATAGTATAGACACAATCGAAAGGATCGAATGCTGTTGTCTTCGGTGAGTCGAGACTATAACCTCCAACATATTTCCTGCCAAGGTCCAACGCTTGACGATTCTTGGGCCATCGACTATGTTTGAGGACAACTGTTGTGAGCTGAATCACGGTTTCGACCGTCACCGTCGCGGAATTATCAGCAATAATCTTCGCAAAGGGCTCCATTATTCCTAGAACAAGGCTGCCGTCTCCGCCGCGGTGCAAAGCGAAAGTGCACAAAGTGGCGTAAAGTGTCGTCATCAAGTGTTGGCTCGTACGACTCCCGGATGTCAAATGGATGCCATGCTGTAAGATGAAAAGCGCTGATTTCAAAATTGTATTGATCGGCCCTTCACGATTCGAAGTCAGCTCGTTTTGTGAGTCAATGAGTACGACCGCCGATTGAGCGATGGAGGTCCATATGATTTCGTTAGAGTCTGGGTTCTGATTCATGGATGTTGGGTCAAGGCATATATGCAGCGAGCGTTGTAGTATGAGCATATTTGTTGATAAGGCACTCTTTGTGCCCACAAGCAGCCGCAACAGCCATACAGGAGATCGCGCATAACTTTCAGTTTGACATACTGCCTTAGTCGCTCTGCAGTGCAAGGCCATCAGGAGTACGGCTGGGGATCGAGTTGGCAGTGGATGTTTCGAAGCCCGGGAAGAAGGGGTCACTGTTGCTGCCACTTCATCTGAGCCTGTCATAGTCAGAAAATCTTGCACAAAATGTCCTTGTCCAAGTGTATCAATTGCCGCTTCGACCAAGGACTGAAATCGTGCAAACCATGTAGAAATTTCATCGGCAGACAGAAGCTCGGCGCTCGTGCTCCATAGTCGCCGGAAAAGATTCGTCAACTGAGCAATGACCTCTTTCAACTCGTTTGAAGTTTTGACCTCCTGCGTCCCAGCTTCCGCGATTGCTGTCAAACATGATTGCCAACATCGATCAACATGCGAACGATCGGTCGCCTGGGGGCTCAAATGCATTGCTAAAACCGGTTCCAAGAGCCCCACAATCAGCGAGAATCTAGAGCGTATCCACCTGGGTTCGAGCCGTGCAAGATCCTCAGGCTTGATCGCCCTGGGCTCATTCGCTGCGTTTATGTTCCATACGCTCTCGCTCCTTGAGAATAGCCCCTGAAGGACGTTGCATGTAAATTGGGAGCCTCTGCTGCTGAAGCTTGCCACTGGGCCCAGAACGCCATCGATGTACATATTCCATGCCGCATCGATCTCATCGTGGGAGAGCCCTGGTCGCATAGCATAATGTACTAGATTGCAAAAGCTCTCCATTGCCAGCGCACGTTGTACTTGTGAGTGTTTGTCCTTGACGCGTATCTTCAATCCGACCTCGATTGGCACTTTCAACATAGCACGAAAACTGTCAGAGGTCGAAGAGTCCGGCATGACAGAGAATACAAGTCTGTTCCAAGCAATGTGTGCTTGGTGTCGGATTGCATTGTCTCCAGAGTTGAGGCACCTCTGAAGTAAGCGCAGCCAATGCTTGATACTGGGCCATCTTTCAAACGGCCTTCGCTTGGAGCGAAGGAACAAAATGACAGCAGTCCAAATCTGGGGCACATAAGGCGCCATTCCGGGATCTTCGACATTGTCCCACAGCTTTCGTAGGAGGAACTCCCCGTACTTCTCCTCTTCACTCGATTTTTGCTCAAAAAGTTCATAAATTCCTTTCGCCGCTTGGAAGTTAGTGCCCAGACTGAGGCCAGCTGCCGTCAACGTTTCCAACGCCCGGGTGCGGGTCTCTTTATGGTTGCTTAGCAATCCATGAAACACATGTTCAACCCATTCCCGCATTTTCCCAAGCATCGTACCAGGTGCCTGCTCCAATATTCTGTGGTAGATGATCAGACGAGCGGGTATGAAGCTGTTCCCAGAACACCGGTCTTGGATGGTGTACAAGGCCGAGATGAGCTTTTCAGCCCGGGCCGGTGTCAAGACAGCAACATGCAGTCTGTGTTGGCAGAGTAGCAGCATGTGTCCCTTGATGACTGCCTTTGGCATCTCCGGTTGGTCCAGAACGACGAGAGATCGCTCAAGTAGAAACGAACGGAATTCTTCATCCAGCGCATGTGCTGTACGTGCGTTGAAGATTATGGCACTAGCCAGATGTAGTGCCTGCGTGACGATATCCCTATCGACACGACCTTCGTCGTCTTTCCATGCCAAGTCTCGCGCCATGAATTGCACAAGCAAGCTACTCTTACCCAATATTGCCTCTGGGTCGGGGATTCCATCGTAGGTTTTGAGCGCTCCATTGAGCGCAAGGTAAGCATCGAGGCGAGCACTTCGCGAGGGACGCCCAAGATGTTGTAGAGCCGAATTTAGCATCTTGCGGAAGCTGCCAGGCTCTTGTGGTGAGAAGCAATTAAGTGCGGTGTTCAAATCCTCGGGCGAGAGTGGGGTTTGGCCTTGAGTAGGCTTGAGGATTGACCTGAGAGGTTTTGTGGACCGACTGAGGGCGGCTTGTTTCGATGAAGTGTAAAGCAGCGGGCTTGACATGCCAGGAGCAAGCACATCGTGATATGTGTGATTGTTCGAAAATCCGACTCTTTTGGCGGTTGGTGTAGCCTCGATCGGCAATGGACTCTCTGGTGGAGACTGGACAACCTCTACTGAAAGATTCGTCTCAGATACAACCGATCCTAGAATGATGTTCTCATGACCGTCACGTAGAAATTGTAAGGCGTCGTCCACATCTTTGGAGAGATCTCGCGGTGGTGTTGGCGGCCGCTGAGGTAGGGATTCGAGTTTCGAGCCAGTCGGAGAGGTGCACAACATGTTTTGCGCTTTTGATCAAGAAGTTGAGAACAGACCGATCGCTCAACGCATTGCGTTCAATTGCCCTCGAATAGAATCCGCTCGTGAATACATTTGTGGTATTCAGTGCAGCAGACGAGCGCCGTTATGACCGAGCGCCGTTGCTATGCGGAGTTGCAAAATGCACTTTACGCGTGTAGTACGCGGAGGACGTGCACCGTGAACGCGACTCTCGCAATTATGTAGGAATCTGCGGATTAGCGGCACCTGGGTATACTGTAGCCCCGACCGGGCATGGGTGCCTCAGGCTTGGATTCGTCTGAGACGCTCCTGAGTCCAACTTCAGACGGAATCCTTGTGCTTCTTCTCTGTACAACGAAGTATAGGTCGTGTACAATGTCCAGCTAGACAGCCACGCTCTTCAGTATGCCTTCCGATCAGCTCCGATATTGGTTCTAGTCCACAGCGCATCAAGGTTCCGCCTTCATTGACCACTGTCAAAGACGCATACCTTTATCATGTCTGCTCTGCAAATCCAGGCAGGCCCACAAGGTCTAAACGGCGCTGGTAAGCCATCGACCGCGATGAGTTGACTTTCATATGGAACCGTTCTGATCACTTTCACCCAGGCGCCATCGAGATTGAGAGCCTGCTGCGGGACTTGATGAAATCTATCGACAGCAAACATCTTTCAATTGACCGTATGATTCTTTCTACATCACATTGACGGCGGAAGTCTTACTCGTGAAACAGAGCAGACTACGGCTCTCGAAAGAATTAAAATTCTCGGCAGAGACATAAGCCAAGCTGGACCAATTTTCACCAGATTGGTAGGTGTGTACAGACAGCAACATCGTTCCTTGCGGACTGATCTCTCCCCAGGGAATATCAACCCTCGCCCATTATGGTCTGGATTCCAAAGAGGTCGTCAGCTCCAGGGAAGCCCTTCGCTGTCTGGCCAACGCTCTCCTTCTGAATGAGTCATCGAGGCAGACCTTCATCGACATGGATTATGCTGGAAAAGCCGCAGAACGACTGAAAGCCGATAACCATGACGACGAGTTTCTCATCTCGCGCATTTTATTCTTACTTACATACAACACTAACCTTGATTTTGGCAAAATGATCGATAAGCACGGCCTGGATTCAAGCGTAAACCGAAACATTGCCCACCATGCAAGATCATATCAGACAACTGCCCGCAAACATGGCGCTTCGTCTCCAATTCAAGACATGGCCATGCACGAGACCTTGAAATTGCTGTTCAATGTTACGTACCATCATCCAGGTCTGGCTGTGGCATTTGCGCCCTCATTCAATCACTTGGTCCATATTTTGATCAATTATGAAATCCGCGATCCACCGTTACAACCGCCCGTCACACTTTTGATCAACGCATTGCTGAACCTTGAGCTAAAAGCCGATCCTGTCACGTCAAACAACAAGGCTAGTGAGGAGACCCGAGGAGGCATCTCTCTTCATAGGAAACTCATTGATCGCCTCATAATTATTCTTGACAGGGCTGTCAGGAGCCAGACTGAGAAGGAACTTGATCAAGCCGCAGCTCCACTCTGCACACTGCTGCGGCAGCTCTATGCTTTGGACCAGCCAGACGTACAGACTAAAATGAAGACTCTACTACTCCCGGCGGACAGTGAGCGCGAGGTGCCATTGGGTCAAGCCGATTCACTACCATCACGGCTGTTGCGAATGTCAACATCTTCTGATCTACCTATGCTCCGCGACAATATCTCCAGTCTACTCTTTGAGCTAAGCGACAAAGATGCATCTAAATTTGTAGAGAATATCGGCTACGGTTATGCATCTGGTTACTTGATGAACCATAGAATTCCCATTCCCGCAGGTCCCATTCCCGCAGCTCGCGCATCGGACACTGCCCAATTTCCTGTTGACAAAGCATTCAATCCTGTTACTGGCCAACACTTGAGTGCGGAGGATCAAACTGCAGCGCAAGCGCTTGAAATGACCGAAGAGGAAAAAGAGCGGGAAGCTGAAAGACTTTTTGTTCTATTCGAACGCTTGAAAGCGACAGGAGTGATAAATGTTACCAACCCCGTGGAGCACGCAATTAGTGAAGGGCGTTTTGAAGAGGTAGACTGAGACTTGCGCCAGAGCACCGTCTTGTTTCGCTTTCGCGCATGAGAGGAATGTCGTGAATGTTGACATCACTTGAATACGAGTGCGATCACCACCGATGCGGTTTGATATGACGAAGCCCACCTTATATTGCAATGACGAATACGCGCTGAAAGGCAACGCAATTGGTGTGCGCTGATTGACAACCGGTTCCAGACGAGGCCTACCATGCTTGCCGCGCGCATTGACCTCGCGCAGGGGTCATGTATTGAGTATTTTCGGCCGCTCCAATCGTCCCGCAATATTCGACCATCTTAAAGGATTGGTGTACAGCCTCTGGTTTGCAATGTTTCAGAACGACAGGGATACGATAGCGGCTTGCACGCGCGAGCGTTGTAATCCGGCGCTGAATTCGGGAAGCCGGGCGCTTATTTGAACGGGAAACCGACAGAAACTCGAAATTTCGAGGCTTTGGACCCCTCAAATTGACATATTCGGCCCCCAGGCCCGAAATAGTGGGCCTTCCAATCGGCGCATAATGGTGTACGCGGCAAGAAATGAAAAATGATAAATTGAAAGACAAAGACGGTTCGCATCGACCAGGTGAGTATCGTGAAAACTAAGCTCCAGGTGCCCAACCTCGCCCGCGACCAGCGAGAACCTGTCTCCAAATTGTTGCAGATATTTAACGATTGACACCATGGCGATGCGCCGGACGTTGACCCAGATTTCGAATATTATTCAAACGCGGAAGCGTAAGGGACAAACCAAACGGGCTGTCAGTGACCGCAGTCCCGTCAGCGAATCCCTAGAGAAGAGCCATTGTGGCCAAGTCACCACCCCAGCAGTATTCGCCTCTGTGGACACGGTCGCCAACATTGAAGACGACAAAAATATAACATCACATCACTCGCCTTCGGTACAATGCGACACAGAAGCATTGTCAGCACTGTCTGAACCAGTCTCAGCTCGTGAAGTCTTGATTTCATCATACGAGGGCAACGATGACGAGGCCATGCCTGAATGGTCATCGTCAATCAACACAATCGACAGCACTACAGAGAGTCTCGACTATAGAAGCTCAATGGCAGTAGTTCTCTATGACACTGATAGTATGAATGACGCGACCGAAGCATATGCTCCGGCCACCGATTGTTTGTCCTTGGATGGTCCCCGAGATTTGTTGCGCGCCGCGTCTCGTGGCCTGCACAACGATTGTTCACCATGTGAGCACGGAAATACTCTGGCGTTGGTACCTAGACGTTCGATAGCAACAGACGACGATGAGGCGTATCGTAGCATGAGCTCAAGCGATGACGGCGATGCTGCTTCTCACGCCGATCGGCGCACGTACGCACAGCGAGACCGTCCCCGACAACCGAGCGGACCGTCACTGACTTTCCGCGGCAAAGACTTGTTCACTCTGAGAAGCATCCATGCCGACATTGAGTCGACGGGAAACGAAATCGCCCATCATGTGGAAGAAGTTTCGGACCTTGATAGATCGATACGTCACCGGGAGGCTGACATCGATAGGCAGCTCGAAATGACAGGAAATGTAGACCGCATTGCACTCGAAGATGTCCGCCACTTGAGAAATGAGCGGGAAAGACGGTCACGTGCGTATGACTGCGTTCTCGTACGGCAGCGCGACAACTGGGACGACCTCCGAGACTTTTTGACGGAACATCTTTGTCTGCACAATATCCCGCCTCTCTCAAGAGCCTCATCACGATCCAGAGTCGAAAGTCCGATCAGTTGGGACGCCGACGAGCGGGGAATGAGGGAGACACGGCCCTCTCGGGGACGCACAGAGACCCCCTTCAGTCGAGGGCGAGGAGGATCTTCTCCAAGTCAATGTCCCTCGGCGCCAACCTGTCCTCCGGCGGCATCTTTAGGGCGTCAGTCTTGCATTCCCTCGTTTGGAAGTCGAAGGTCTTCCGGGAGTTGCGATGCTCACGAAAGTTCGATACGGCGTCCAATCCGCCTACCCATGGGAGTGCCGCAGCGTGATACCAACCAGTCCGCAAGTGTCCTCAGTACATGGGACCTGCGTATCACAGAAATTCAGGTTAGGAAAGAGGCTGATGCTGATTTACTAGCGCGTCACGCTAAGGCTGTGAAGCATCGACACTTCGCACAGGCTGTTTTCCCAGATCGGGACGGCATTGTAATACAGCTATGGTCTCAAGCCAAGCCAGCTCAGTCTTGCGGTGTACCTCGGGAAGCACTGGCAGGAATTCTAGAGCCGATGGGGCAAGAAGTACACGATCTGAGCTGTATCCTTGACCCGCACGCCTTCCGATTTCGAATGATCTCGCGCCTGACGAGAGGGCTCATCGAAGCGGAGGAAGCAGTCGAGCTGATCGAGAAAGAGATCCACAAGAGCGGACTGCGGCCTGTGTATCGCCCAGAAGATCAATATTCCAATTTTCCCGATCGATCAGACGATGGATACCGCATGAGCGAAGAACAAGCGGTGATCGACTGGCAGGACAAATCGGCGATCGAGTCCTGGATGAGCAAATTTCCTCGCAACCCTGTTCTGTTCGCCGATGCGATCACGGATGCTAGCAAGGTGGCCAAAACGAGGAGACGCATCGACAATATCGGCGACGAGTGGGATGGAGCGTCGTTGCAATCTCACGAAGGCTACACTGAGGATGACTATTGCCATCCGTACTTCAAGTGCAAGATTGACCGATGGCGAGCCGCCGTGAATGAACTACGAACTCTGGCGACGCGGACGCGAGCCGAGATCCTTGGAATACGTGTCGAGGAAGAAACCGATGCATGATGCTAAGGATGTGAAATGTGTTGTTGTTCTTCAAATGTGATACCCCATTCATTATCTATCTGTTATTAATCTCACGTGATAAAAGCCCTTTGGAAATATAGCAACCATCCCTCTTACATCTGCTTCTGAACTCTGCTCTGCTTTGTGCTTGGTCAATGTCTGTGTTTAACGGCATTGATCGAAAGACTCAGATGCTAGCCAAAAGGATTTATAGTTGTGATCATAATTTTGTGTTGCAAGGACTGGACGAAATAAAGGCATGCACGAGGGGGCAAGAAATTTATATATATACACACCATGTTCGAGCTGGAAATTATCAAGTTTGCGTCAATCATTCAATCATTACACCTCACCACATCCTACGCCGAATGTCCCTTGAACAGCATTCGTATGCCCGATGCTCCTTTCGGGGCTATCGCTTTGGTTTTGGTGGTGCCCGTAGCACTTTTTGGCGCCTTGCTCTTGCTGCTGACAGTGCTCTTCGCCTTTCTCCTGCGGTGGAATCGGCCGGCCTCTGAGCTCGGAGGTTTCAGATCGGCCTCTGTCAATCGGCCCTCTTCGACTAGTGTTCGAGTAGCGTGTGGCGTGATGAATTCGCCGTCGACGCTGGTGCCGAGCGAGCCCAATTCCGCATCAGCGATCCCGCGCCTCCATTTCTCAATGGAACTGATCTCGCGCAGTTCGTCGACCAATTCCTCTTCCAGCACTTCGGCGGGCTCTTCTGTGATTTGCCTCATGGCGACGCCTTCTTCGAGTTGGCGAGCCTCTTCGTTCCGTGCTTGAATCTTTTTGATGATCTTGTAGCCTCCAAAAGCTATGATGGTCACGCCGACACCGACACCGGCCGCGATGGCGAATTGTGGACTGGCCAACAATGCGATGATAGCAGGAAATGCGGTCTTCATGGAGGCCAATGCCCCTGGCGCCATCTTCATCGCAACGTTAGAAATCTCTCCTAACGTCAGGGCAACTGCGGCTAGAGCTTCAGGGTTCTTTTGCAGATTCTCGATGGTCGCAATAACAGAATGCTGCACGCAATTGCATTCGTCAAGTAACGTCTGGAGTGCTGTCATCTTAGTCCGCAGTTCAAGCTCATCCTCGGTTTTCTTGGTCGGCAGGGGTGGAGGTAGGTACCCATAAGCCAGGTCCATATCTATGCCGTCCAGACTTGCGGCTCGCTTGGGCTTATGCTTATTTGAATATGCTAATGCCATGCCGTCTGTATGCCGCCTCGACAACTCCTTGATGATTGGCTCGTTGTCGCCCTCGGGCGCACCGGGAACCTCCTTCTGAAGTGGAGATGGTTTATGTTGTTTGTCGGAATGGCGTTGATGTTGCCGCTGGTTCTGCGACGATCGATCGTCGTTGGCATAAAAGCTATCTGAAATCCCACGCTGCACTGCGGGTCTTTCCTGGTCATGTCCAGGCACAGGCTTGCGTTTTACCGATTTGGCACTGTCACGCCTTGTCACAGAACTTCTTTTGGAGCTTGCCACTGAGCGAACTTCATCTTCGTCGGCGATGGTCATGACTTCCACCTTCTTTCGTAAAATGCGCTCAGCATCCTGTGTTGCGAAGTAGGCATCTCTTTGTGCCTTGAGCTCTGCTTTTTTCTCGTTGTATGCAAGTTTGGCTTCGTTGAAGACGTTGACGAGATGTTTCGAGCTCTTCACGATCTTTCCAGATTTATTAACAATCGTGATGGTCTGTCCAGCGAGTGCCATTGTTTTTATCGGCGGTAAAGATATATGGGCTGTCGATGCCTACCGACGAGATGGAGGAATTCGAATATGTGACACACGTGAGCGAGGATAGGTATGAGTGATGAGCAGGTTGGAATTTGTTGTGCAATCTTCGCTGGATGCTAATATGTTTCTTGTGAATAGGAAGCCTGGCAGAGGTCCCAGGAATCGGGCTGATGCGTTTGCGATACCAAAGTCTCACTGTGACAGCGACAACTCAATCATTACATCACACTGAATTTAGCATTGCAGGCGGGATTTAACGGTTTCACCGCGTGGGCGATCTCTGTCCACCAGGTGGGCGATGATGTGACAGGCGACCGTGTCGCGACACGATTCGTCGACAAATTCGGTGAGGATTTCTTGGGCGGCAACGCTGATGAGGTGGGCGCATCGGATGCGAGTGTATCCCCAACCACTGGAAAGCCGAGACCTTATGTGCTGGGAGAGATGACAGTGTACCCACAAAGACACGACGGTGGTAGAACGCTGGACATGCCCACGACAGCGTGGATGGCGTGAATCATAGCGGCAGCAGGATTTACGGATATCATAGCATCAGAGCGTTTAATTAATCTAGATTGTCATCGGAATCGTCGTTTCTCCCGTCTTCGAACCGGCGGGCAGACGATGAACAAGCGCCACACACGGGAGGCTGGAGGTCACCGGGCGGCGTCACTGGTGTGGGGCTGTGCAGGAACTCCGAAGCTGTTCATGCCTCGTCACGGCCTCTAGAACCTCCAGCCTTTTTAGCTAGGTACTCGCGTGGATTGGCAGTTGATAGCAGCTGAAATACGACATGTAAATTTGTCGCTTAATTTTTTGCGACTCCCGTTCAGTTCTACAGGTACTGCGCTTGTCAAAGAGAACGCGCGGATCCAGCTGCCTAGCCGCATGACCAGTACGAATTTCTCTCGCAAACGCGATATACAATATCTAGACTATGCGCATTGAAAACTGGCAATTTCGTGGGGGACGCTGTTGGCTCCCTACCCTCCAAAAAGATGTCCTGACTCCATCGGGTGAGGTTCACATCAGGATACGCTCAGGCTTTTTGAGAAAACCAAGATGCAGGATTGGCTCTTTGCTCAGGTGCGGGTCGCGTTCGCTGTTCGGTATACCCAAGCCGATATCGCAACCAATAACGGACATCCAAAAGTGCCGCATTCGCCTTCTCAATCGTGTCAATGAATATATATTTGCAGGATCCGTGGATGTCTTGGAATCGATTGAAACGTATTGCTGGCTGAAACCTCATGCGGAGCTTGCAGAAGCCCGGAGCGGAAAGCGTCGATTGTCGCAACCGCTAGCCACAATGCTACACCGCAACTCGAGACTTGAGCGTTTGGTCATTGTAGAAAGCGCAACAAAGCTTGACCGACATCGTTATACGAGATCGATCATTCCGAAAGGTCAGTTTACTGCATTCGGCAGAGTGCATGCCTTTGTCTCAGCGCCCGTCGAAATTCCAGTATGCGTCGTCATCTTCGTCATCGCTACGATTGTCGTCTTCATCTTCGCCGTGATCAGCCTGTTGCGATTGCGCAATTATTGCAGCAGTTGTGTCCGCATCTATGTCCTTTTTGTGACCCCCGTTTGAGTCAGTATCGACTGTCCTGAGTGCCTCGCGTCTAGCCCGTAATCTCTGGGCTCGCATTTCCAGTCCCTCCATCTCTTCCAATTCGTCCTCAAGGATTTTCGCTGCATCCTCCCTCTCGTCTACGATCTCGAGATCTCTTCTTCCGCGTTGGGCACTTTGTTCCTCTCTAGCTTGCGCTGCGAGTTCAGCGGCGGTCAGAGGTGCCGATAAGATCGTTGCATCGCCATATGACTCGGGTCGAGCGGGCACGGAAGCCTCAAGCTCTGCTAGTTCGCGCTCAAAGTCATCCAAAGTTACGACATCGAGCTTGTCATTCGCCGGGACATTTTGATTCAATTCCGAGAGCTCTTCCGCGGCGTTGTCGATCGTTACACTTTGCGCCTGGACAGTTCGTGTGGTGTCTTCATTCCCCTCATACACTGCGGCATCTTTGAAATCCGAGATGGCAGCTGGTCGTATCTTTTTCCTCGATTCCGCGGGCGGACTCGCAGAGCCAGAAGCGCTACGCTTTCTCTTGCCAGTATCCGTGGGTCGCGCACTCGCTGCGTCTTGTGCTCGAGTCTGTCGAAGATTGTGTTGCGTAGTATGAAGGTGACTCTGCCATGCTGATTCGTGTTTGATGACCGTCTCACATAAATTGCATACCAATTTCCCGCTCGAGGTGTAGGAGGCGTGAGGGTGGGTAATTCTTTTGCGCGCGTCGCGTGACGCGCGCAACATTGCACGTACATCCGCCATTAGAGCAAGACTCCGTCGCTGTAGATTTGCCAACCTTGAGACTTGATGATTTATTGTAATCGCATCTATGTGCAGCACGACATCCGAGGCCCGCCTCGCGCTATCACGTGAGATTTCTCACAAGACACTGCCGTTGCTAGTCCGAATTCGCACAAGAGCACAAAGCTCCGCTTCCCGCAAATGCGGAATCTTCGGTCGCATTCGCATGATCCCTCCACCATCCATCATAACGAATTCCGCCAATTCCACCACCACCAGCCGCTTCTTTTCGCACGCCTCATTGACTTAACACGATCGCAAATCTTCCGAGCCACTTTGCGTTTCTCGCACTTCACAATTGCATCACAAGCACTCCAGCGAGGAAGCTGCAACCGGAACCTTTCATCGCCCACCAGCATTGGCGCATTCGCGACAGAGTCGCGTGCCAGAATTGAAGTGACTTTGAGTCGCGCCGCTGGTCGAGACTCGCAACATCTGCAAGCGCATCTCTCGGCGAGACTTTTGCCTCGTGTCGTGGGGACTGTACTGCTGTCAGGGGGGATATTGCAACTGGAAACGCACCGTCGCGACTACGTGCTACAATTGCGCTGCTTGCGCTGTCATTCACTTCAAATTTGCGTGCCACCTTTGCTTGCTGTGAGACGGTCGTCATCAAGGCCTGCTTGTGCACATATCCTTTTTAGATACCGACTTTAGATGAAGTGCTGGTACGCGTGAATCGTTGTTGTCTATAGCTAGCCTCCGAGCTCACGCATCACACCATCATTGTCGTTGCCCCCCAACATGCCAGCAGGTAAGCCATGTTCTAGTCGTCTGTTGTAGATGACAAGCAAGCGAACAAACCTGCTTCCACGGTGGCGTGCATTCATGGAGGGATATCCACTCTTCGGATTTTGATCTACCATACTAATCAATCCCATTACAGACGAACCGCGCCGGTCGGTGCGGGCCAACAAAGGTCAACACAAGAACGCGTCTCCGTCACCAGTACCAGCGCCAAAGGCCAAAGCCACCAAAGCGAACAAGGGCAAGGCGAGCAAGAAGCAAGCTGAGCCCCAGGTCGACGATGAACCGGCTCAAGAAGACGAAGACAACGAAGAAGAGGAGGACGAAGAGATTCGCTGTATCTGCGGCAACGATGATCGGAAAGACACTCGGCCATTCATTGCGTGCGACGCATGCTCCGTGTGGCAACACAATGTGTGCATGGGTATTCCTGACGATGAGGACGACGTGCCAGAGCATTACTTCTGCGAACTGTGCCGACCAGAAGAACATCAGGAAACTATCCAGGCCTTGCAGCGAGGCGAAGAGATCTGGGATACCCGCAATAAGATCTACTTGGCCGAGAATGAGTCAAGCAAGAAGGGTAAGAATCGCAAGAGGAAGGGCCGGCAGAGCGAGGGAGGGGTTCCTGGGTGGCTGAAGAAAGACGTCCCCCCACAAGATTTTAAAGTTCCTGTAGATGTGAAAGCATTGCCGAGCGACGAAACGCCTGCCAAAGAAACCCACGAGAGCAGTACGAAGCGCAAGCGCGAGGAGTTGCAGGAGGAACAATCAACAGAAACCAAGCTTGAGACCGATGAAGAGGCGAAGGAAGCAGGACGACAAGACAAACGGCGAAAATCTTCAGCCACCGAAAACAAAGGCTCTAAAGATCCAGATACCGCTCTCGTGCCAATTGATCAGCTTCCTGCCGATAGAAGAAAGGTCGCCATGGCGCTCAGTCAGGTCGTTGCCAGTGACGTCCTTGAGCGGGCGAAAAGGTCGGCCTTGAAGCTACCTCATGGGCTCACCAAGAAGAACGTTGGGGACCACTATGGAGCGCGAATCGAGTATGCACTCCAGATGAATCACGGTAGCACGAAAGATGCGGCATACATGACGCAGTTCAGAGCGCTCCATGCCAACCTGAAGAAAAACCATAGCTTGATTACACGTTTGCTCAGCAATACGCTCACCCCAGATCAACTCTCAATTATGAGTACAAGCGACATGGCAAGCGAAGAATTGCAACGCGAGCGAGCTGAACTAAAGGAAGTGTTGGATCGACAAGCAGTCGCAGTCAGTGAAGAGGGCCCGAGATATCGTCAAGATCACAAAGGTTATCATGCGATCGAAGGAGAACCAAACCCGACTCCCGATACGCGCTTGCCCACTCCGCCTCCGGCAGCAGCTGGAGCGTCACCAGATGTCGCGCAAGGGACCCATCAGAGTAATGAGTCGATTAAGACAGACGGTGAGGTCGAAGGTGCTCCAAGCAAGCCAGAAGAAGCGCGAGATGGTGCCGCTGCAGGTCAACAATTCGATATGAAGGATATCTGGGCCAAAACAGCGCAATCGCCAACAAATGCAAATCCGCAGAACGGTTCACGGGGAAAGCACGCAAGTGCACGTCGTTCTAGCTCCGTCCAATTAGCCGCCCCGGCTAACACTGGGGCAAAGGATGATCCTGATGTCGATCGCCTGCTGGACGACAATGACGAGGCCTATTCACCGGCAGCGGCCACTGGATCGGAAGCTGTCGTTTGGCGTGGCAAGCTCATCCAGAATAGCGAAGAAGCTGCTCCAGTGCTCAACGCACGGTTTGTCGCTGGCAGAGACCTTGTGTCTACTATATCATGGCAAGATCTACTCCCTAGTTCCCTCTCCATTGATGGACGGCTACAGATCCAGAAGGCCGAGGATTACCTCTGCGGACTCCGCTGGAGCACGACTAGTGACGTCTCTGTTCTCTCCTTGACACCATACGATAATGCCGATGCGTTCAACAAGATCTTCGATTACTTCCACAGCAGGCAGCGATATGCAGTGGTCGAAAAGGGAAAGCCGCCGCTCGTCAAGGAGTTTTACATAATACCTGTGGAGGTTGGCGCAAATTTGCCCGAGCATATTGAGATGCTGGAGCATTGCACGATCAAGAAACCGATCGAAGAGCGGCTGTTGCTCGCTTCGCTGACCGTCTCTCGTGCGCCTGAAGAGGCGCTGGCGCTGCTGACCACGGCGACGCCGGCTCAGCATGCTCAACCAGGTCCCAACGGCGGCGTGCCTCAGCATCTCCGTCAAAGCATCTCGGGACCGGCGGCTTCCCCTATGACGGGACAAACACCAATGTCACCAGTCGTTCACAATGGTCCGCTCTCATCACACATACCATCTGCAGTCTCTCCCGCTGGCTTCGGAACGCCGACGCCCTTTCCACCCAATCCATATGGTAATCGACAACCGCAGCCCAACCCGCTGTACGCGAATCCACCACCACAGCAAGCCGCTCCTCCCTGGGCAAATCCTCGCGTGACGGAGATTCTTGGTGATTTGCAATTCACGCCTTCGGCAATGCAAATTCTTCAAGCATCACCACATATGAGTGACCAGCAATTGCAGGGCTTAAGACATGTCCTCACAGAGAACCCGCATTCGAGGAACGATTTTGCAGCCTTAAGTGCTATCCTGAGGGGATAAGGAAGGAGGCACGGGCATCTATGGTAGAATAATGCATGGTGACAACGGACTCGGATGAACGGTATGGCATCGGCGGAGAACCTATCTAGTGAATGGCTCGATTCTAATTAATGCAACATGAAAAAATGGACAAGCAATGGGCCCTTTCCAGAGATTCGATCCAGCCCTGTCGAATGTTCCGCATATCAGGATTCGCGATCTTGGGTCTGTGCCACTGTTTCCATCGCTGTAAGAGTCTATAAAAGGTTTCCTCGCCGCGCACGATGGTTGTAATGTAAGAATACGCACAATCTACCGTGACTCAATGCGAAATTGGCGCGAAAATTGAACGCTGACGTCGGTCCACGATCAAAATTTCCCCACTTCAGAACGATGTGCCCCGCTTGGCCGAATTTTGATAGTGGTGACTCTTGCGGCATATTGTGTTACGCTATGAGTGGAATTGGACCGGCACCCGCATTCTAGATTGTTGAAGTCTGCCAAATTCTGCAATCATATACATTGCAACTTATCTGCATGAAACATGGCCGCCGAACAAGCAAGAGAGGTCGTTGAAAACGCCGTGCAGGCTGTGGCCCAAGGCGTGGAACAACTCACAACAGGAGAGGGGAGTCAAGTCAACTTGATCCTCGATGAAGTTACCGGCGAACGTGTGTCCAAGACGGAGTTGAAGAAGCGTCAGAAGCAGCGCGAAAAGGAGAAGCAGAAGGCTGAACGCGAAGCAACCAGGCAAGCGCCGCCTCAGCCGAAGAGGAAGGCCGCAGAAGAAGATGAGGAGAAACTCAATGCCAATGTGAGTACGATTAATGGAGCGTTCCACGTCTTAGAACCATTGCGAAAAAGCTAGCAGATCAGGAAGTTGACCAAGCTGACTCAATCTGCTGTATCCAGCAATATTTCGAGATTCGTTCTCGTGCAATCAAGCGCATGAAGGAGACAGGAAACCCACACCCTTACCCACACAAGTTCCATGTCACCTATGATCTTCGCAATTTCGAGAAAGAGTTCGGTCATCTCGCCAAGGGAGAGCTTGTTAAGGATAAGGTCATCAGCGTGGGATGCCGCATCTACAACATTCGTACATCAGGAGAGAACCTGCGATTCTATGAGGTTGCAGTCGATGGCGCTGAGATTCAGATCATGGCACAGAACCTGGAGAGCACCAGCAAAGTTCCTTTCGCAGACCAGCATGATCATCTACGACGTGGAGACATCATCGGTGTCACCGGATACCCGGGAAGGACTAGCCCGAAGAGAGCAGACAATCCCGGCGAGTTATCCATTTTCGCTCAGGAGGTAGTTTTGCTCGCTCCCTGTTTGCACCAGATTCCCTCCGAGCACTACGGGTTCAAGGATCAAGAAGAGCGTTACCGTAACCGTCATCTTGATTTGATCATGAACAAAAGCACTGTCCAGACCTTCAAAACTCGATCACGTATCGTCAAATACATTCGCAACTACCTCGATAGCAACGGTTTCTACGAAGTCGAGACACCGATTCTCCTGAAGAACGCCGGTGGTGCGACGGCCAAGCCTTTCTACACTGAACACAACGATCTCAAGATGACCCTTGCCCTGCGTATAGCTACAGAACTGCCTCTCAAGCAGCTTGTCGTGGGAGGAATCAACCGTGTATATGAAATAGGTCGCCAATTCCGTAATGAAGGTATCGATCTTACGCACAACCCCGAATTCACGACTTGCGAATACTATGAAGCTTTCGCCGACGTCTACGATGTCATGGACAGAACTGAGGAGCTGGTGGAGGGCATGGTGAAGGAAGTCTGTGGCTCACTACAGACCAAGTTCAACACTCAAACAGGCGAGGTTTATGAAGTCAATTGGGCCAAGCCTTGGAAGCGCATCGAGATGATTCCAGCGCTTGAGGAAGCCTGCGGCGAAAAGTTCCCTCCTGGAGATGAACTTCACACCGATGCAACCAACGAGTTCCTCAAGCGTATGCTCAAGAAGACCGGCGTCGACTGCACGCCGCCGCTCACCAACGCTCGCATGCTGGACAAGATGGTCGGAGAGTTCATTGAGGAAAAATGTATCAACCCTACGTTCATCACTGGTCACCCTCAAATGATGAGCCCGTTGGCAAAGTACCACCGCGAAAATACCGGTCTGTGCGAACGGTTCGAGGCGTTCGTCTGTAAAAAGGAAATCGTCAACGCATACACAGAGTTGAACGATCCCTTTGACCAACGTTTGCGATTTGAGGAGCAAGCTCGACAGAAAGCTCAAGGTGATGACGAAGCGCAGGTCTTGGACGAGACATTCTTGACTGCCATCGAGTATGGTCTCCCACCCACTGGTGGATGGGGTATGGGTATCGATCGGATGGTCATGTTCCTTGCCAACCACTACAGCATCAAGGAAGTTTTGACTTTCCCAATGATGAAGCCTGATGCCAATGCGGCGGAGCATCCCAAAGCTGCAGAAGTCACTGGTGTGGAGCCGCTTCAAGCAGAGGGAATCCGTAAGTGAAACCCAACAATTTGCCCAACTTGACTGAAACCATTTTTGCTAACTTCACAAAGCCCACAAATGAATACCCAGCGAAGTTTGGATCGCAAAATCGATGATTGAACCGTGTCTACAGAACATACACCCCCAAGATATACGGCACATCACCAAATTCTTTTCGCAGCCATAGCATAGCGATCGATATGATCCAACTTGAGCTCTCCCTTCTCAGACTTCGCCTTGCGTGCGTTTTCTTTCTCGCGTAGATCCTTCAGTCCTTCGTGATCGTCTTCATATATCCATCTTCGCTTATCGTCGTCGACCTCGACAGCCCCGAGACCTCCGACGCGGCGGCCGTGGGCATCTGCACTGCGTCTCTCGCGTTCTTTCATACCTTCGTAACGACTCCTCGCAAATGACAGCAGGACCATTCCGAGCAGAAGTTTGAACGCCAACAACAAGAGGTAGATGACTAAGAAGAAAATCACCATTGTAGCAAGTGCAATGGCATCATCAAGGCTCCATGAGAATCCACCAGGCCCTGATTGTGCTCCGCCTCCGAATGTGGACCTTCCGAGCGCCCTCCGGAATACTTGGTCAATGTGTTGCAAGGCTGCCGTTGTCGCCGGCGAACTTCCACCCAATGTCTCCTGCTCCAAACTTAAGGAGGTTCCCATGGAGGGAATCGGCATAGGCATGTGCGTTGCAAGGAACATGTGATAGGTCTGCATACACGCGCGGATGAAGAGGCAACTCAAAGGGATCACCGGTAAACCTAAGCGTTTCGTAAGGTTCTGATCGGCGAAGGCGTGTGTGTAGTAGTCTTTTGCCAGCATGTCGAGGAAGCGGCCATAGATATTCGGTTTGACGTTGTTGAACTTGGTGATGTAAGCATGCTTGATCCAGTCGACCAGCGCCTCGCTTCCGAGCACTATAAGGAAAGGGCCCAGCACTTCTCCTGACCAGGTTGGCAGAAGCGTAAAGGCTTTGGGAATCACGAAGCCCGAGAGCAGCGGCATGCCCGTAGCGTTGACTGTGGCGCTGCTGCTGGTGGCAGTTGCAGATCCACCACCAAATGCACTGCTCAGACTGATGTTGAGGCCGCCAACCTCGACAATGTTGCGAAGAGCGATGATGAGCAGCATCAGCCAGAGCTGGAAGCGCTCAACGATGTCGGCGCATGTCAACTGGAACAAGTTTTCTTTCTCGATCTTCTTGAATACAGTTCCCTTGATTTCGACAAACTGATTGCTCATCAAGAGTGTGAGTAGTGCGTTCGAATAGGAGTTTACTGCCACATTGAGCGTGACTACTTGGTAGAATAATGCTGTGGAGTGGATGACGTTGTACGTCAGTGCCAAAAAGAACATCCAGAGCGGACGGAACACCTTACTCCGACCTTCCGAGTCTCTTTCCAGCGTCTCCTTGGAGAACAAACACTCCAGAACATCTTGCCCCAGTGCAGATAAGAGACGATCGAATACCTCGAGGACATTGTATATGACGTAGAGTTTGATAGCAGCTTGGCCACGAATCGAATGATACATTCGGCTTGCATCAAAACACAGGAGTACGGCGCAACTCAATGCTATAAGAAGGCCCTGCAGGATGTCCGCTTTGTGATTGGGCAGCAAGGCTGAAGGTGTAGATCTCGTACGGCGATGTCGAAAGCCCGATCGTCTCCTTGGTGGCCTGGCTGGTGAGGGCGAGACGAGACGAATGTTGCCGTATCCCTTGCTCTCATGAGTGACTTCTTCTGCATGTTTTTTGACCTGCAGTGCTGCAGCGCCGCGTCGAATGTCGCTCTGGGCGTTATGTCGGCTGCGCTGCCAGATTCGACCCAAGCCTCCGTAGACGTAGCTCCCTAGGTCAAGCATTTCCTGTAGTGCGTTGCGACACAGCCACGACAGCAGAATTCCGGAAGCTTTGAAGAAGCGTAGAGGTAATATCGTGAAGTTATACAGCCAAGCGTCAAGACAAGCCACGGCGCCAAACCAAAGCACCTGCTCAAGGTGAGGTGGCAGGAGCAAGAAGTTCATCAAACGTTCGAACTTTACGCTCGAAGACTCATATGGGAAGTCGCTCGCTGCCGAACGATGTATGTATAGAGCCGAGGGTCGTGCAGAAGACAATTCTAGATGCAGATATGTGGGAAGTGAGAGGGGAGGCAAGGGCATGCCGCTGGGCATTGGAGATGCCGATCTGTCACGTCTCGGTGAGACTTTGCTCGAGCTTCCACGCCGCATGCCCGAAAATTCTTCTGTCTTAAGTGGTGAGAGCTGCGGTCTCGTCTTTGAGCCCTTGGAGGATGATTGCTTCCGCTGAAAGAAGGGGGTTGAGGCGGATCGCGGCGAGAACATCGGCCGCGTCTCACCAGCAGTCATCGCATCCAGTACGGGATCTTGGAAGGATGCATCATGCTCGGCCTGCTGTTCGGCAGGGCTATGACTGGGTTGAATTCGTTCGCTGAGTGATGGTTTAGGAAGGATGAACACTGTATCGCTGACCATTTCATCGTCGCTTGACACCGGCAACTCGTCGTTTAGAGTGCGTACCGGCAGTGATTCGGGAGATATTGTCAAGTCTTGTATCTATTTCTGCTTTAGAATGGTGCATTTGATTAATCATGGTATCTCTTTTCTTACTTGTTTGGGGGACAACTTCCACGTCCGCGCTTCACTGCTGGCACGACGATCACTCGTCTGTTGAGCCGGTCGTTGCGCATGTCCGGCGAGGTCTGCTCTGCTAGATAGTGAATCATGTGCATTCTCATCGATGGGCGATAGAGCTGGAGTCGTTAGTTGCCCATTTATCTTGCCCTCGAGACTCGTGATATGGCTATCACCGGAGAGCTCTGACGAATTGGAGGGAGTCATTATGCGGGCGGATATACTGATTGCCCACTCGAGGCTGTTGCGCTGAGTGAAGGACGATACCGGCGCCTAAATCAACGGAGATCTTAGGGATCGCCCACACATGAAATAGCATCGGTCTTGCTAGGGAGAACAATCTTGGTGGCACACCACCAGCATAGGTATGTGACTTCGAACAACAGGGCTTTGCCTGGCAATAATCGAGGGATCTTGTAGGGACATGTAGTATCGGTAAACGAATGTCAGTCCATCAACTGTCTGATAATACGCTCGCGTCAACATCTGAGTAACTCTCTTGTCAACGAACGATGACAAGCTGTCGTGTCCGTCAACCTTTCAAGGTTGTCGTCGATACTCGAATAATGGACGGAACGAGATGTGACCACACTGCGACCTGACGGCACCCGCGCTAAAATTCACATGAAATGCGGCTCAATTTCATGAGTTTGTTAGTGCGGAGAAGCGCGCCAGAGCAATAATGAATGTCGGACCTCCGCTGTCATACTAACCACTTCTGTCACCGTTTCCAGAATTGTTCGCGCAAAGTCGCGACTGTCGAAAGACCCTGGCCAACCACTTTCGGGGAGCATCCCGTCCAGCGACCATTGGTTTGCGACGACTTCTTTTACACAACCACCACACTCGAGCGGCATCTCGAAGTCAGTGTTCTGGTGGACATTGACTTGCTTTCGGACGCAGCTATTACACCCGTATCAAAAAGAACATCACTGGTGCTACCTGTGCCACCGACAGCCGTGCGATACGCCTTCAAGAGCTGCTTGAAGGGCTCACTCAAGCTACTGATCACGGAACATTGAAAGCGACAGCGCATCATTACAGAATCTGCATCTCACCATGGTCAACCCTCCTGCAGGCGCTGATGCCAAAAAAGTCACACCACCGGTCTCTTCGAGATTATCGGTCGGCCCCAGACCAACTGCTTCGTCGCAGGCACCAACGCGGTCAAGCACGGCTGCGTCGCGGGCAACTACATCCACGCCTGCCACAAGAACGCCAACTCGGCCGTTGGCACCCTCGGTCCGTAAATCAACCACTGAGAAATCTCCGACTGTTGCTTCGAAACCGGATAGCTTGGAGGCTCGGCGCCTTGCTCGGTCAACCACTTCTGCGACAACTTCTACACTTGCCTCGCGCGCAACAAAAGCCGATGCTGGATTGGACAAGACTCGAAGGACAACCTTGGGTGGCACACCTCCAAAGCGACCGCCAAGCTCAGCCTCGACTGTTTCTCGCACCGGAACTATCGGCACAAAGGTGAGACCTTCAAGCCTCGCTGCAGCGGGCGTAAAACCGGCGCCAGCTCGCGCGAAGCGGTCTTCCACTATCGAATCTGTCGCCAGCACGGATAACGTAGCTCGTCCTGTGTCCAGAGATACCATCACCGAGGAAAGCTCAGCGCGCCAAGAGGAGGATGCGGAAATTGCCACGGCGCCTGGAGATGAATTGGAGTTGGATGGAGAGGTCGAGGCGAACGACAACGCCATCGGTCGGGATCTTGCTTCACCCAGAACTCCACTCGATACATCTCACTTCGACCATACCTCGAGTCCCAACTCTGTGCATGCAAATTTCGAAACATTATCCAATATCACCAATAATCTTGACGAGTCCTTGAGTTCTCAAGATCAAACCCAAGGCCTCGGCGATGATCGGGCAATCGGCCAGGAGAATGAGCGTCAGGCTTTGTTGGATCGGCTCACCGCGGCGAGACGCGACCTTGCCTCCGTTACCTCCGAATGCGATCAACTCAAAGCGCAGCTCATCTCGAGCCATGAAGACCGAGATGCAGTCGAAGCGGCGCTAGAAAACACTCGACAAGAATTGAGCGCCGCAACGAAGCAGTTAGAAACTGTCAAAGAGATGTCAGACACGGTAACTGCTGGGATGAAAAGTATGAAAGTACAAGTAGAAGCCCAAGATTCCGGAACCAGTAAAGATGCGCTATCACGAGATATCTCATCCCAACAGGCGAACGAACCCCGACAGGTAATCGCACTTGAAGAGCATGAACATGCACTGCAATCGCTCAGAGACAGTCACGAAAACACAGTGCGTCTTCTCGAGGCGCAACACGAAAAGTCCCTATCACGGTCAAAGACGGAGCATGCATCTGAGATGGCCAAAACGCTAGAGTCACAGGACGCGGCCCTCAAAGCCATCAAGGCGGCCCATAAACTTCATCTCCTCGCGCTACAGGAAGAATCTCAGACAGAAGTTGAATCACTCAAACACGACTACCACTCATCGCTAGAATCATATCAGGAGGATCATTCGAACGAGATCGATGCACTGATAAGCGAAAAAGAATTAGCCCTCGCCGCATTAGAAGAGTCGCATGCAGAGGAGATCTCGAAGCTGAAACTCGAAATATCTAAGCATCCGACCGAGCTGCAAGGAGTAGAATCAAAGATCGCAGCAGTTCAGGACGCCCTTAGAAAGGAACTCCTTGAAAAGACTGATGATCGAGACAAATTGGCGCAGGTTGTGGAAGATCTCAAGCAGGAGATAGATCGATGTCAAGTGCAGCTCGACGCCGATGCCGATGCCCAGGACAAGCTAAATGAAGAAGCACAGATCCGCATAAACGCGCTCCAGGCAGAATTGGAGGAGGAGAAGCGGCGTAGTCAAGCCGCTCAAGAGCGCGTCGCGCAGGCTCACACCGACTCTGAGACCCGTCAAGCTGAGGCAATCCAAGAATTGCACAAAGCGCAGGAGCTGGAAATTCAAAAGATCAAGGATGACTCTGCGGAACAAAACAATGCTATTCAACAACAAGCGGAAAAGAATCTAAAGGAACTGCGCGAACGACTGGAGAAAGATATTTCAGAGATGCAGTCGAAAGCAGCGGATGAGAGGACACTGAGCGCCCAGGAGTCGGACAGGTTGTTGCAGGACGTACGAAGACAGCTTGAAGAGGAGTTCGAGCAGGCTCGTGCCAATGCAACGAGAGTTCATACTGAACAGTTGGAGAAAACCCAGAAGGAGTCATTGGAAGAGCAGGAACGGGCTGCAACTGCGAGGGCCGAGCTTGAAGCCACTTTGCTAGCGCAAGAGAAAGAAATTCAGACTCAGCTTGACATCGTACAGACCGAATTGGCTGAGAAACATAATAAGCTAGAAGAGGCCGCGAGGCAGTTGGATAGCGAGAAGGCTAACAGCCGCGAAGCAATCGAGCAGCTGCAGAACGAACTCCGGACTACACAGCAACTCAAGGAGGACCTCGAACAGCAACTCAAGGAGGAACTACACAAGCTGTCAACCGCGGACGACAAACATGTGGAAGACCTTCAAGACGAGCTTCGGACCTTGAAAACCAGTGAATCTAGTACGCGAGAAGTACTGGCGAACCTTCGAGACGCGCTTGCGAAGAATACTGCGCTTATCGAGGAAAAGCAAACTGAGATCGACGGCCATGTTTCAGATTTAGCTGCGAGTCACGCGGCAATTGAGAATCTTCAGGACGAGGTTCGAAAATTGCAACAAGTCGGAGACGAATCAATGCAGAGCAGTTCCAAGACTATCGAAGATCTGCAAGATCAGATCAAGATTGCGGCGCAGGAAAGCGCTGATGCGAACGACAAAATCAATCTGCTGGAGAGCGCGGCCGCACTTCACGAAAAAACTGTTGACGAGCTCAAATCCGAGTTGCAGCGTGCTCAGCAGACTGCTTCAAACCTTGAAATCGAAAACAATGAAAAGATTGCCCGACTACAGAGCGATCTTGACTCGCTCGCTCAAGAAAAAGGCAGATTGGAGATTGCCCAGGCCGATGCACTGACTGAGAAAGACAACATCGTCCTCGTCAAGACCAATGCCATCGAAGAACTGGAAGGCACAGTGGCATCGTTACAGCAGGAGCTGTCACACGTCCAGTCGTCCACTGCGGTCGAGAATTCAAGCTCGGGCCAGATCGCAGAGGAGTTCCAAGACCAAATTCAGATCCTGCAGCACAAGCTCGAAGACTCTCACGACGCGCGCCAAAAGGCAGAACATGAGTTTACGCAGCTCAGTGAAGCCCACTCCACCATTCTTCAGAAGTTCAACGATTTCGAGGCGCAGAATGTTGAGATCGGAACGCTGCGACAGGAGCATGCAAAGGCGAATGAACACCTTGAGGAGCTGAGGACGAAATTCGATCAGGTGGCGCGAAGATTCCAGGATAGTAATTTACAGATTGAACAGCTGGAGATTCAGCTCAAAGAAGCCACACAGGCGAGCGCGACAGCCATTCATGAAAAACAAAACACGGAATCGTCTCTCAGCAAACTTCAAGACGAACTGACTGGCTTGCAAAAAGTGCTTGACACTTTCTCTCAAGATTCAGACGAGCGTGAAAGCAGGCATGTGAAGTCGCTGGCTTCGTTGTCCGATCAGCACACGCACGAGGTAGAACAGATCATGGCAAAGCACGCCAACGATATCGCTGCAGTGCAAAAAGCGGCCGACGAACAGCTGCACAGTGCTGGCATTGAGCGCGACCAAAACCATGCTGTGGCCTTGGCAACATTGAAAGGAGAATATGCTCTCCAGCTTGCTGCCGCGGAGGAGAAAGCGTCGCAAGATGCACACGCTCTTTCAATTGAACGTGAGCGAAACTATGAAATGACACTTGCTAAAATGCAAGATGATCATGCTGCTCAGCTGGCCGAGGTCGAGGCGAAGCTATCGCAAGACTTTGAAGCAAGCGCAGCCGAACGTGGTCGTCTTCATGGACTAGCGCTTTCTGAGTTGAAAGCGGAGCACACCGCACGCCTTACTGAAATCGAGACGAGGTCCATCAAAGGTCAAGAGGATAATTCGGCAACCCGCGAACGGGAATTTGAGGATGCGCTGTCCACGCTGAAAGCAGAGCACGCTTCACACGTTGCAAAAATCGAGAGTGCGGCGTTACAGCAGTCTGAAAAGATCAGCAGCGATCGCGATCGGGAGCATGCTGCCGCACTCGCTGCACTGACACAAGAACATGGCGCTCAATTGGCTGAGATTGTTAAGAGATCTCAGGATCACGCGCAAAGCGATCGAGCAGAGCGTGACTCCGCACATGAGGCAGCGGTGGAGGAGGTCATTCGGGGGTACACAGCACGGATCGCCGAGATCGAGCAAAGCGTTACGGCGCGGTCATTTGAGCTGGAACAGATCCACAAACAGACTGTGGCTGACCTGCAAGAAGAGCACAGGGCCCAGCTCGCCTCGGCGGAGCGGCTTGCCAAGGAAGCTTTGGACGCGAGCCTTCGCGATCGGGACGGCGAGCATCAAAAAGCCATTCAAGGACTTGTTCAGACGCACGAACTACATATTGCTGAAGTCGAACGGTTCTTTGCCGACCGGGAGAAGGGCGAGCGCTCGTCACTTGTGCAAGCGCACGAAGGTGCACTTGCACAACTGCGTATAAGCCACGCAGTGGAGATGGATCATCTACAGGAAACTGCGGCGCGAGAGCTTGAGGCCGCGCGAGCCGAGAGAGACAAGCTCCCACAATCGGACGAAGTGGGCGACCACAACTCCAATCAGCTTCTGCCTAGAGACCGGGCATTGATCCCGCCACAGAATTCAATTCAAGAACAAACCCCTCCCAAGGCCTCCGAACCCACTTCACGGGGCCTATCTCACATCTTCTTCAATCACGAACCCGAAGTTGTTGAGCACGGTACAAACGAGCCATTTTCACAGCCGCAAGACTCCCTCACAGAAGATCTTGTCAACGAAAGCATTGACGAGATTCCGATCGCCTACATTGAGGGTGCGCGAGACGTGATCGAGGCGCCCGTAAATGACTCGTCCAGTCATGCCGCAGTCCAGCAGCTGCAAAGCGACAATGCATTGTTGCGTCTCGCTCTGAACAACGCACAGGAGGAGATAACATCCCTCAAAAGCCTTCCCACCACCGCCACCGACACGAGCGCCCTTCAACAAACACTCATACAAGCACCACATCCGGGCACATCACTTGACAACGACGACGTCTTTACGTCTTCCCATACACCTGAAAATGGTCTCACTCTAGAGGGCGCACTTCACAGCCTTCAGATGCAAACTGCACAGCTGCTCGAGATCAACGATGATTTCCTCGCGGAGCAAGATCGCTGGCGCAGCGGCCGATATGTAAGCAGCAGGAACCCGTCGGCATCGGTGGTGTCGCCCAGCGCATCGTAGCGTGGTGGCCGCTTGGGCGCGAGGGAGATGCTAGCACGCGTGGCAAAGGCGCAGAAATTGCCGACTGGTGCCCCTACATCAAGCAGACATAAAAAGTAGAATGACACCATGTATTAATGCTATATGATAAATAGCCTTGTATCAAAAGCTAATTTCCACGAGTCTTTTTTAGTACTGTGCGAGTAATTGCGAGGATGGTGGGAAGGCGAGCTTGCAGCACTATTTTTTTTAAATTGCTTTGATAGAGTACTGTTCTTATTCCATCCCTACACGGCAGATGCCGAAGGACATCATTGCCACATATGAGACATGAGTCATTCGAGTCCCATGGCAGACAGGAATACCTGCGGAGTTACAGACCAAGTGGTCAAAGTTGTACAACGTTCGGGGTGCCGAATCATTTCGAGCGGCCGCCTCCAATGTCTTGTCCCAGCTGTGTTCTCCCGTCAGCCATTTTTCACGGTGCATAACGCCGATATCGAAGGAGCTTACTCTGTAACCTCCAATCTTCTCCCACTCCACGCGCTGTCGCGTAACCGGTAATTGTCGTCGCAGGCCCTTGAAACTACCCTCGGCAAGAGCAACGAAGGCGCGGTTGAGCTCCTCCTGGAACTTGTTCTCCGCCTTGACGATGTCTCGCACGATGGCCTCAGCGCTGCCCGAACTGCTCATGTCGACTTTCTTTGAGGTCGCCATGCGCACGTTACCGTCTTCATAATAGTGCACGTCGGCTTTGATGGTTCCACTTAGTGCGTTAGTCGCGGTGTTGAGGATGTACGCGCTTCTCCAACGACCGTTCCAGAAGTTTTGTGGGCTGTACTTGTTGGCCACCAGGACCAGGGCGATAGACGAATCATTGTCTGTCGGATAGACACCAATCGAGGAGGATCGGAAATGCTCTGCCGAGGCGTTGGTAAATGATTTCTGCAGCGATCGGACCAGATCTGTGTGGCGCGATTCTAGGGGATATTGTTGAACAGCTGACGCTTTCTGTTCCCGTTGTCAGATACATTCAAAGTTCGAGTTCTATCGGAAACATTGCGTATACAGACTTGCGAAGCATGGTCAACTTCGAACGAAGTCTGACTAGTCGTGTCGAAGTAGCGTCCGTCTCCCAAAGAGTTGTAAGTGCTGATGAGTGTCTAATCTAGAGTAAGTCAAGTAAATATGGCGTGCAAGCGTCTTGTGGCGTACTGATTCACTACTGCCGGGCAGTTTGATTGTGGTAAACTGCTCCTCATTATACTTTTGGAAGGCCGGGTCGAGAGATCGCAACAAGTTGGGATGGCCGCCAGCAAGAGCCTTAATGTCTGATGATATGGTTCAGCGTTTTCCTTCCTCCGTTCAAGAATCCGCAAGTCACAGACCATTCACAACATTTGACAACTGCGCAAGTCAGCTCAAGCCGGAACTACAAGAATTGGTCTGCTCCTACCAACCTCTCCCGGTGGTGCCGACTCGATAAACGAGGCGATCGTGGTTTCTTTTGAAGGCATGATGATCGATGGTGTGGCTAATTGTTGTGAATGCGGCGCATGTGTTTTGTTATTGAAACCAAGAACAGTGTAGTTTATACTAGACGCTTGGTGAGAGCAGCAATGCGGGTCGGCATATACAGTCCAGCGGGCGCAAGCGAGCTGAGGGCCAGCCATATTGATTTGCCTGAAGGCAGGTTGACCGACAGCGTTTCTGGTTTTGGCCTGAGGCAAGGTATCTGGGGCACGCCCACGGACTCAAACAGCGACAGCGACAGCAACTGCGCACATACAGTATGATGAGAGGAAACTTGTAAGATGCCGCCGGTTGGATTTCATAATGCGTTCACGTTCGATCAAGTAGAAATATACACAATTACGAAACAACGCCGGGTGTCCCTAGCAAGTAAACGCCATTCCGGAGCGGAGTATCTCATTCGATGCTCATTTTCATAAGGCCGTCATTCGTATCAGTCATAGGCTGTAGACCAAGCTTCTTTCCTTGGTTCACAAGATTGTTGTTCGGTGTCATACTTCCTGTAGGCGTAACGCTCATCGATCCGCTTCCGCCGCTACTGGCTCGAGTGAGGGTGGCGATGTCAATACCACTTGAGGAGGGCCAATCCTTGCGCTCCCCTTTGCGTTCCGGTGGTTGTCCCCAAGAGTTCGCATCTCGATGTGAAGGGGATGCTGCCAATACTGGACTGTTCTGTGAGCTCATTCCTGGAGAAACAGCGCGTCGTTTAATGGTCGCAATATCGAAGTCATCTTCGCGTCGACGCTTGAACTTTTTGAGATGCATGTCGTCGTTCACCCCGGAGCTCGCGCCGTTGTGGATGTTATTATTGTTGCTGTTGCTGCCCCCTGCCGGGAAGAAGGCTTCTGAGGCGTCCGAAGCAGATGATCGCGCTCGCGGCCGCCTGAACTGTATACCTTCTCCAAAGGGAAGGTCAAGATTCAATTCGGATGCGCCACTGCCATGCCGCGAGAAAGCAGGCGGTGGTGGTGTTCGCATTGCGGGATCAAACCTATTCCAAAATTCGGGACCTCCACTATTTCGATTGGCGTGGGCAGCAAAATTCGCGCCGAGCCCCTTCATGGTGGTGCCTTCGCCATCGAGATCTTTGCCAAAGTCTATCTGGGCGGCCTCTGGCACCGCAGGCAGCAGATTTGGCGACGAGGCAGCAGTTGCGGAACCCAGCTCAAAGTCAGAGGTGCTGTTATCACGTTCTCGTACCTGCCTGATTGTCTCGGCTTCACGTCGCACGTCGGTATCAATCGGCGCAGCTTCCTCAGCTAATGCAGCACGGATTCTTGCGAAACCTTTTGTCTTGGGAAGAAGATTCCCACGACGAGTGACAGCTCTACGAACGACGCCAGGGGTTGATGGTGGCATGCCTAATGCTTCGTCTCCACTGTCGTTGCCACTAGAGATCTGTAGGCCATCGGTCCCCAGAGCAAGGCTCTCCCGTCGACTCCGAGCGGCATGCGACATGGCAAAATACCCGCCAGATTCAATGCTCTTGATAGGCGGCGGAGAATAGGCCCGCGGAGATGCAAGTGAGCTGTAGCCACTCCCACTCGCGCTGCTCGAGCTCTGCCTATTCTTTCGTCCGCTACGGCCGAGTCTTTGCTTCCGAATCGTCTTAACCAGAGACCCTTGAGCTGGCGAGAAGTGTGCTCCGCTGCCCCACAGTGAGCCGCCGATTGCTGTCGTGTTTGTCTGGAATGGCGTGGCCACGCTGTGGTCGACGATCTTTTGCACCTGGGGAGTCATGAGAAGTGGGTCGTCTCCCTCGTCACCCGCCATACTCGTATCCCCATCTTCACTAGAGCTTTCGCTGTCAGAGGCCAACATATTTACACTACCGACAGAACTGCTGAGTGTACTCCTCTCCGGCCCGAAGTGGTTCCAAGACACATTGCCGGCGCCATGGAGACGCGGAGAGTCCAATCCCATTCCCGTGAAGGACATCTTTCCACCAGGTATATTCAACCCTCGCTGACTTGCTCTGGGTGAGGAATCTGGACTGCTATGCTCGGCAATCGTAGAATGAGCGAGTGTAGTACATGCTCTTGCAAAATCGAGGCCTCGCGAGTGCCTTGGGAGACTCGTAGCAGGAGAGTGTGTCTGGTTCTGAGACTGCATATAGATGCTTTGCGCATCTAATTTGGGTGACAATGGAGCATCGTGAAAGAGAGAAGTAGTCGGATCTGCGGTGCGAGCAGTAGGAAGCTGCAGCGTCAGGCCGCGGGCGATCAACCCGTGAGGACCTCGTTGCTGGTCTGGAGTGGAGGGTGGTAGCGTGTCGTGGTCGTCCTTGCTGTGTGCTGTATGGTGTTGGAATGGTGCGCCTAACACGCGGCAATGACCTGCACTATCGCTATTGCCCGAGGAGCTGGCAGGCGGGTCCGACAGCGCGCGAGATGAACGCCGATTGCTGGTGACGAGCTGCTCGATGAACATCGCTGCGGAGACTTAGACAAATCTGTGGCACTGGTGGAGATGAAGACAGTGGCGCTATTCATATTGAGACTCGCAGAAAGAGAGAGAGAGAGAGAGATGTGAAGCTGTCAACTGAGGTGAAGATGGACTGAGCAGGATCTATCTATATTTGGCATTCCACGAGTTCCAATCGCGAGAGAGGTGTCGCGTTAAGAAGTCTGACAGCATCAGTACCAAACATCGCCAATGGAGGTAGTATGAGTTCTCAATGTCCGTTGACGAGCATATTCTTCCAATTGCGTTGCGTGAACATTATTCGGTGAGGAGACGCGCTTTGGCGCAGCTAGACTGGTTGCAATCCGAAGTCCTGAAGTGCCCCCGGGTGTGCACGATAGTAGTCCTTCTCCAACGACAATCTGCAGTATCCATACACGGGCTTCTGACATGTATTTTCTGCGATCGTTTTACGCCAGTGATAATGTGCTTCGGCAGATTATGTAGAGCATTAGCAGTTTCAAGCGGATCTTTCGGTGCGCCTTCTTGGAGCACTTCGACAATTCCTGACTATGGAGGACCAGCGCAATCGGTTGAAAATTTGCGCTTTCTGTTCGATCAACGTTACTCAGTACGTTACAGGAGCTATATAGAGGTGTGTATAGGACACTGGCAGCCATGCCGAGTGTCCGATGACAAAACAACAACGCAACTTTACGTTTGGCAGTGGTTCTCAAATGCAACACACGTCTGCGACACACCTGATGTCTTCCCAGCTTGCCTCCCAAATGCTTAGAATCTGGAGTCTCCATTGCATACCATCGCGTTTCATCGTGCCAATGACCCTGGCTTTGATTCCCGACCCTTAGCGGCATGGAGGAATACTTCACTATCGGCAGCCCATAGCTGGCCTTGGCTCCAATGTCCATAGAGGGCAAGGAGATGCGGCGGCTTATCATGGTAGAGGTCCCGCAGTACAAAATGCTGCTTTCGCCATGGCAGGCCATCACGCCATGATTCTGTCACGCGTGCATATAGTTCGAGGATAATGTTCTCGTTGTGCCGAGTGCCATGACAGCCTGCATTCAGCGCTTCGCCCAGACGAAAGCAAGTTCGCAGCATGGCGCTTTTGGATACTCCGAGGATTACAGAATGGTCTGAAACTGGCTGTGGGAATAGCTTGCGTGTGATTGGCAAATCACGGGTGTCGGTTTGCAGCTTCCTCTTTTCTGAAGACAGTCAGCAAAGGATGGTATGAATGGTTTATGCGTACTTAGAAGTTCCCTTTCCAGCATTGACAATAGCGCTCCACCATAGTCATCATGCTCATCAACCTCGCGAACGTTGAGTTTTCGGTTCCGTGGAGGTGACCCTTGGACCGCGGAGCATTGCAGGGCACTATCTACTCTCGCTGGCGGCTCGTTATCTTTTGCACTTCTAAGGTCTTCCTCTTCTGTTTGAGCTTCCTCCCAAGTCTGCATTTGATCATTTGAGTGAAATTTGGTCGACGTTCGCGGAGGTCCCATCGCTGTACTCACGTGAGGGTGTGGCCGATTACGACGCGACAACAGATCTTGGGACACGCTTGAGGTGGCGGCCTGCTCTTGATCGATGTCCGATCGTGTCCATGGTAGAGAAAAGTTCGATTCGACTGCACGAATCTCCGGTCGCTGATACAATGTGACACAAGGCCCTGGTGCCGCTCGTATTGCATCGACGGAGGTTGGCGTGAACATTGTGGTGACTGAAGTAGACAGTGGTCCAAGCAGTGGAGCGGGCCTCAACGTTTCATGACTATCCTTGCTCGATTTCCATCCGCTGACCTCGTCACGGCGATCAGAATGCTCCGCGCTGGAAGTTTGGTCAAGAATATCTTTCGTCACATAACAACCGATATCATCGTCGAGACCACCAGCCTCGCAGAAGATCGAGCGATGCCCCATGGCCGCTCGCTCGTCATCATTCGTAGTAGCTTCTCGATGCTCACGTCGAGTCAATGGCTTTTGTGAAACCGACGATCGCGAAGTCACGCCGTCATCTCGTGCTTTCCGCTTGATCATCTTGCTCGGAATTTCACCTGGAGACGGCCAGTTTCATCAGCATTTATAACAGCGAAGACAACCATGGTCATATATTCTGCTGAATTCACAAAATGAAAAGTCGTTCATTGATAACAGGGCGTGACGGAGTCCTGTAATAGCCGGGCCTCGTGAGAAGTTCATATGACGTCCATGAGGACATGGGTATGACTTGACAAGCCTATTTTACTACATGGACATGTTGTTCATCGTATCAGCAACAGGTGCAATACATTGGAGCCTCTATTTCATTCCACTAAGGCATCAAGCGTCTGCCTTATCTGATACCGAATGTTACCGAGCACCTCAGTTGTCATCACCCGGCAAATGTAGTATCCCTTGCCAACTGTTTCTTCGGAGATACCGACGGGCTGTACTCGTCACCCGATACGATTATACTTACCTACCTCGCTTTCAGTGTTCGATGTTCTCACCGGTAATGAATGAGATATGTAGTCAAGCAGCAAAATACGATAGCAAGAAAGTTCGACGATGCAATTTTCTGGTATATATAAGGCAGGTCACGACCGTAAAGCGAGAGACCAATTGTGCATCGAGTGAGGCACATGACTAGATGGATCTTGGAAATTGAGCGTCTCCGGGTTGGAGCAAGCTGGACCTGCTCAGGTGTGCACCACAGCAGCTAGCCTCCAGGGCTGCCTTGGACTTCACGGGCAAAGATGTCCAAAGAGGAAGGAGATCACTTCTGAAGCGTACTTCATGCTCTTCTAATGAAAGTCACGCCGTGGTTTTATTCCAAGGTCTCCTGTTATCTCTCCAGTTACCCAGATACAGCAGATTAAAAGGCTGGCGGTTCACATATAGTACCCTGCAAAGACGTTCAGATCTCTAGCACACACGTTATTCGGGTCTAGACCTAGATCCATCCAACGCGCTTTTACAGCTCGTGAAGACACATCCGACTCCCTACCCTTCTGGTGCGGCAATATCTGCCATTCAAGCTCTCAAGATGTTCAGTGGCTCGGTAAGTTGCATGTCCTTTGAAGTCAATTGCGTCATTCTGAGGACTGGTCGGTGCATGTCAACGGTCAGACTCCACGGGCCATTGCCGCATGCTCGTTGCGTACGAACCTGCTCATGCATGCACCGGAAGCTTAAGATTACATCTATCGAGCGTGAACGCAAAGCGACGGAGAGCATAGTGCTAGGTGCTAGGAGCTGACATGGACAAATGACCTGTAGAAGAAGCCGTACACGGCCGTCACAGTTCAAGTTGATCAATTGACCAGTGAACAATACGAAGAAGACGATATCGGCGGCATCTTCAACCTTGTCGAGGTGATTCGCATTCAAGATTCAGGCCCTGCTGAGGCTGCAAGGGCACTAAGGAAGAAACTGTGAGTCTAGAGTTAAGTAGACATGAACCATTAATTAACCCAAGTTACTCTATAGTAAATATGGCAGCCCGCACCGACAGATCCGAGCACTTGTAATTCTCGATGGACTAATTGAAAACGGTGGAACCAGATTCCAACGAGCATGCTCGGACGAGCCTCTGTTGGAGAGGCTTCGTCTGATGGCAAGGGACGATGGCGTTGATCCGCAAGTGCGGAAGAAATGCAAGGTGTTGTTCGTTCAGTGGGCCAACGCGTACAAAGGCAAGCCTGGCATGGAACGCATCGCCAATCTGTACAAGGAGTTCCCCAAGACGCAACGACCAGATGCCGCCCGTCAGAAGGTCCTGCGAGACAGCGAACCACTCGATCCCGATGCGCAGCCAGATGCATCTCCCTTTGCCGAAAGCAGTTCCAAGCCATCTCCTAGCAAACCAAAGCCTGCACCGCCTGCTCCTAAGCCCGTCACGCCGGCTTCGCCTCCCAGTCGACCTGTTGCTTTGACAAACACATCTAGTCTTACGTCGAAGCTCTTCCGGGACAAAAAGAGCGGGTCAAGTAAAACTTTCAATTTGTCCAAGGAGAAGGACAACATGACAACGGCAATTGCGCAAGCAACAATTGCTTCCACGAATCTGCTCAATGGTCTTCAATTGGTCAACCGAGAGCAAGAAAAATTGTCCGAGAATGCTGAAGTCATGCGCCGTTTTGATGCTTGCAAAAACTTGCGCCGAAAGATATTGTACTACATCCAACACGTCGAATCAGACCAATGGATCGGAAGTCTCGTTAATGCCAATGATGAGCTCGTGAAGGCTTTGACCGCCTTTGAGATTATGGATCGAAGCATCAGCGATGATAGCGATAGCGACTGGCAGGATGATGGGGCACCGACGTCACCAAGAGATGCTCACACTGCCAACATCAATCAAGGAATGGCAAAGCTGGACGTACATGAAGAGGCCAAGCCACCTCCACAGCCACAACGACCTGTGTCTATCCCGATGCCACCTGTTCCTACTTTCCACAAAACTCCGGTCGAGGACGACGACGATCAGGACGACGCGGAAGACGATGACAATCCGTTTGGCGATTCAAACGCAGTTCCGACACCGATGGGAGAGCGCTCAGGTATGACGTGGAAGGAAGTGTGATGATTTTCGATATCGCTTGCTTCAAGGGACGAATCAACGGATCGCATCTGGCATTCGGCATCGGCTCAGAACTTCTCTCATACAGACGCTGTTTGTGGGACAGTGCGGACGAGGCTGTGGATAATTACGAGAGGCACTGTTGGCTCATCACGACGGAAACTTCTTCGCTGATCAAAACCTGCATTTCCTTGCTACATAGGTCTAGCATTCTCCTCGTAGCACATTGAAAGTTATGAGCCAAGATGAATTTCTCATTGCCCTACATCACGGTGCACGGAATGCAGCAAAGCTCGCTACCATGTAGTGTCAACGAGGATACGCTAAGGACAAGTATGATGGTCTACGTACCAGGAGCAATCCGGTCCACAGGGAATCTCAATGCAGCCTGGTTTGGGAGCCGGCTTCATGGCTTTCGATGGCTTAGCGAGAAGCGTAGAAGCCATGGTTTGTTTGTGCTGGCACATGTTGCTTTGTTTTATCTCAATAAAAGCTTCACTAGTAGTCTGTCAATGTCGATGTTATATACTGACGAGGTTGCGACAGTAGTGAATGATCCTCACCTATAGCAGTTCGATGTTATCGATTTCAGCATTCGGTACTTTGTTAGCTGCTATGCTTGATAGTAGTGGGACATTGGAGGAGGTTTGCTAGATCGCGGAGAGACTTCTGTTATCTTATGATTAACAAATGCAACAGGCTGTGTACATTGTTGGCGCCTGCATTGGCACAGATGTCTCGTGGCACATTTGCGCCTGCTCACGAAGTTCCTGCTTCATAGACGCAGTGTTTCTCTCCAATTGCCACATCGCTAATCGCCGGCGCACCGAAGCATCACGAGCATGCAAGTGCACTTGCATGTGGGGATACGTCGGACGGTCCGGGAAGTCATTCTTTGAGCTGCATACTGATGACGTAGGCGTCCTCATGCGCACCAATGATATCCGCAAGACAACTGTATACACACTTGGGCACATGTAATGCCGCGCCGCGTGGAAACCCACAAAGTTGGCACACTCCGTTCCTCTTGTAGCACAGTCGAAGACAACACGCATATCTCAAGTATTGTTCCTTGATATTCACATCGTACAACTACAAGAAATCAGTTCAGACCACATCGAAGATATGCCTCCATCAACAGCTTCGGTCTCATCCTCGAGCTCAGGTTCGTCGTCACTGATGAAGGGACCTCTTGCCAAACCCCCAGTGAAGCTGCCATGCTGGTGTGGAGATGATTGCCAGTGCTGCATCATTCCTTGCGTAAGTTTAGACCACTCCTATAGGAAATGTTGCAGTCGTGCTGATGATTTTCTGCCATTAGACTGTGATGTAAGCCCTGGAGCCCTTCAAAACGAACAATAGGAGCGACTTCCATAGGTAGAGCCGAATCCGAATAGAGTCGCAAGCACAATCTGTGTACAAGTCTTGTTTCTGAAACTACGACTGCGCGCGAGATGGCCGTGTGCGCCTTGCTCTTGAAGCTTTACTTGAATATGCAGTTGGACAGCGGAATGATACGTTCGCTCAACAGCTGACGGCCTTTGGAATGCGGTTTACAGCCCGACCGTCGGCTATGGGACCGAGAGCAAACGGGCGACGCTGTAGAGCGGCCGAGAGTGTACTTTTTCAATTGATGATACAATGATGATCGGGTCAATGTTACAGTAAGGTACATTTCATCCTCGAATTGCAGGTCAAGAAACGACAATACCCGGTATCTGAACGCCCCAACTCCACGCTAAAATTCAAATGGGGTCGTAGAGATGGCGAGAGAAGAGAGCCTATGCCCCTTTCACCATCGCCCTCCTCTTCGACCACCACCACCGCGACCGTAACCACCACCTCCTCCTCCACCTCTGCCGTAACCACCACCACCTCCACCATAGCTGCCTCGTCCATAGCCGTCATCGTACCTTGAGCCGTCATCTGTGGGCTCGTTCCTCACTGGTGGTTGACGTCCTTTGAGCTCTTTTGACAATTTCTCATTCTCCTTGCGCATTTGAGCGTATCCCAAGTGCATTTTGCCAAAGAAGTGATCCGCAAGACGACGATCATTGTCCAACCGAGATAAGTATGCACCACAGACATCGCAAACCTGAAGCTTCTGGTGGCCTGATGGTCCTGATGTATCTGCCAACGCCTTGAGCTCCCGTTCCCGCTCTTCCTTCTGTAATTTTTTGAGTCGAATAGCGTGGTAGTCCTGGACTGCAATATTGACCGCGCCTTCCTCTGCCATGATCTCAACCTCCTCAATACCACACTCAATCGTTCCTCGCAGGTCGTTGATCTGCTTCAATAGCGCGTTGGTCTGGCGTATCTCGTCCGGGGTCTTCTCAAGACGTCGCTGTGCTTGATCGATTCGACGATCACAGTCGCCCACATACTTGGCTATGTCGCGCTGATAGTCGAATTCAAACCCCCATTCTCGCTTTTGCTCCTCTGAGGCATTCTGGTACTCTTCGCGGAGGTTGGGCTGATGCGCTTTGCTGCACGGACCGAGATCTTGCTTCGTGTTGGTGAAAAGATCATGCGGGCAGCTGCCACAGAGATAGGATCGGCATACTTTGTAGTCGGTCATGGTCAGCGCCGTCTGACGCTGTGCGCCTGGCGCTGCCATGGCCTGCTCGCCCATGAGCTGCTCAAGCAGCTTCCGTTGCTCGGCCGCCATGCTGGGCGGGCGTTCAAAGAGAAGGGCTTTGTTGTGTCGATTACAGGCAAGTTTGTCGCGTTTCGTTCCGAAGAGTTGTGTTGAATGGTCTCGAGGTCAAAGCCGCGCGAAAATAATTGACTTCATGACAAGAACATCGAGATTCACGAAGAACTTTCGATCTAATGCAGGTACGCATCGTATCGCGAAAGTCTTCGCCCTAGGGTTGTTCAACCCTAGTCCCTCCTACATCCGGAATCTCCAAACTGTGGAAATAAGTGGGCGCTCAATGGCGCGACCTTCGCCATTTCAATTACGAGATATGAATGCCCATGCAGCGCAGATCTAGGCTAATATCCTAGTCCGTCGTTGAATTTACAGCATGCTCATTCACATGAGAGGCAAGTAACTGCCTAATGTGTGTTATGATTGTAGATGTTCCGACGCGAGCCTCTCCTCCGCGGCGAACTCTCACTTGCTTCACTCGACAACACAGACTACACTCATTTGAGTCGTACACGAGGGTTGTGGTTGTCAACCGCGAATTTATTGCGGAGTACCACACAGGTACAAGATCTTTGCATATCCAAGTATATGCTTCTGGTAACTTATGATAGTTGTCGTTCAAGATACCGCACCTACCTAGGTAGGTAGAATGCCAGAAGGTTCCCGTCAACCACGCAGCCCTGAACAGCCCAGACCACCTTGTTATTCAGCAACGTCGGCGAAACGCGAGGGACATAAAGGCCACTTTGGTCGACAGCATCACTATTCACCAACTGCACGCGCGACGTTGCGGCTGTTCGGGCACAGAGCAAGATGCGTGCTTCACTATTGGTCACGCCGCCAGCACTGCTTGCGTGCCTGGCATTGGCGTCAGACCTTGGTGCTCCGACCATTCCCACGCCAGAGTATGAGGAGCGTCTACATCTGAAACCGCTTTCGGCTCGCGCTGTGTATGCCGGATTCAATTTCACTGCTTCAACAACAGCTACCGATTACGAACGTCAGAATTTTCGATTCTTCCCGCGATCTTTGGGCCAGATTTTGCAATACACACATGCGACGGAACTTCATCTGCGATTCGCGCTGGGAAGATGGGACGAAGAAAACTGGGGGAGCCGACCCCGAAAAGGAGCTCGTGAAGGAGGAACCGGAGTTGAGCTTTGGGCCTGGCTCGAAGCTGGCACACAATCAGAGGCGGAAGAGCGATGGAGCAGCCTCGTGAACAGCTTGAGCGGATTGTTCTGTGCCAGTCTGAACTTCATTGAACAGACCAAGACGATACAGCCTGTTCTTACATTCGAGCCTGAGGGGCGATCGAACACTACATCAAGTCGACTACATCTCATGCACGGAATGTTGCCTCACGAAGTAGTCTGCACCGAGAACCTGACGCCGTTCCTGAAGCTTCTTCCCTGCAAAGGCAAGGCTGGAATTGCAAGCTTACTGGACGGTCACAAAGTGTTCGATGCGAATTGGCAGACAATGGCTGTGGACGTTCGATCAGTCTGCACGGACAATCATTGTGTCTGGGAGATTGCACAAACTGTGGACATGGTTCTTGACCTAGAACGAAGTATGCGACCGCGTGACGACCCCATCCCTCGCCCCTTACCGATCGAGAACATCGCTTGCGACCAAGACAAACACTACAATGCTGAGGACACTTGCTTTCCAAAAAGCATATCAGAAATCAGCACCGCATGGTCCTTGGGCCGCATATTTGGACGACCAATCAAGGGTAGCTGTCCTATCGGAGATAGACCGTCCGCCGTAGACGTTGTGCTCGAAGTTTCGGCCGAGCAACCTGTCAATGTTAGAGATGGTATGTCGGATGCTTGGAATACCTCCACTTCTGATGGACCACGAAGGCAATATCGGCTGCAAGAAGGACACGACTTTGATCTCGAGCTCTCAAATACAGCGGTAAGCTCGCCAGATACAGGAAGTTCGCTCCTACGCGCGAGTCGACAGATGACAGGTTATGGGCAAGAGCGTGGCGGCATGCATACGGTCATTACCAATCTGCACGACAAAGCCCAACGAGTGGTCTACTTAGAAAGTTTGCCTTGGTTCCTTCGACCATACATGCATACCTTGAAAGTTGACGGCGCGACAATTGAGAAGATGTTCTACACGCCCGCAGCAGATCGTCGCAAAGGTTCGCATATTGAGCTGCTACTCGAAGTCCCTCCACACGCCGAGGTTGCATTATCGTACGATTTTGACAAGGCAATTTTGCGGTACACCGAATATCCGCCGGACGCAAATCGCGGCTTTGATGTTGCAGCAGCCATCATCCGTGCCCTGCCCGCGGACAACACAACCGACGAACAAGGAAGTTTCCTCCGGACGACCTCACTTTTGTTGCCGCTTCCCACCCCAGACTTCAGCATGCCATACAATGTCATCATCCTGACATCTACCGTGCTGGCTTTAGGATTCGGCAGTATCTTCAATCTCCTCATCCGTCGCTTCGTGCTTGTCGATGAAGTACCGGCATCGCCTCTCATCGCTCTTGTAAAACAAGCCGTTTCGAAGTTGAAGGGCAACAGCGGTACTGCGTCAATTGATACAGACAAGAACACAGCTAGAAGGCCAGGAGGGACCGGTACAGCGGCAGAAGCTGCGGCAAAAGAACCTGTTCGCGATGTGACACGCCGCAATGGTACTCTCAAGGTGGTCGGTGGCTCATCGAAGGAACCGCAATGACTGTTCATGCCTTATCGGAGAGACAGCCCGAGAAATTGAATATATAAATTACCATGTCCTTGCGCTAAGCCCCGGAGCCCTAGGCACTGAAGAGCATTGAAGTCGAAGCTTGACAAGGGCGGGCGATGACGATTGCGTTTGCCCCACCGCAACGTGGGAGAGGGACTAACATTGGTGCAGCTTCCAGCACATTTTCTGCGCGTGCATACGCGAGAAACCCCCATTGTGTTAACGCCAGCATATCCACGTCTCTCGCAATTAAACGACGTGTGTCGAGGAATGGTACGATCGATCTTGTTTTCTCGCATCATCATCTTATCCATCGTCATCCTGGCTACCAGCCTTCTGCCCTCGCTGTTGCCCCGCCTTCGCTTGTTATCCGAACAGGTCACCCGAATCGCTACCGTGGCTGGTAAATCGCATTACAATACGATGGCGTCGCAAGAATATTCGAAAGAGCTTCACATCGCTCTGCTTGCTGTTCAGCGTGCAACGCTCCTCACAAAGTCTGTTTTCCACTCGCACGCGAAAGGCACTCTCAACAAGAGCGATGCTTCACCAGTGACGATCGGGGACTTTGGTGCTCAAGCACTAATTATTGCCGCCCTGCAGCACAACTTTCCGCAAGACGAGATCGTTGCTGAAGAGGAAGCAAAAGACTTGCGGGAAAACGATCAACTGCGCGAGACTGTTTGGGATCTCGTAAAGGGTGCATCGCTGTCAGATGCAACCGCTGAGAATGAGCTGGGAGGGTCGATCAGCTCGCCCGAAGCCATGCTAGACATTATTGACAAAGGAAACAGCAAAGGAGGAAACCGGGGAAGGATCTGGGCGATTGATCCCATTGATGGTACAAAGGGATTCCTGAGAGGCGGACAGTATGCGGTCTGTCTCGGTCTCATGGTGGATGGCGATGTCAAGGTCGGCGTGCTGGGTTGCCCTAACCTTCCTGTATCGGACAGCGAGCGTTTGAGCGAAAATATTGGTGCCGATGCCACCGATGCAGAAGGCAAGGGCGTGCTCTTTTCCGCTGTGCTTGGCCAAGGCGCGCAGAGCAGACCTCTCTCTAAGGACACTGTCTCAAGCCCATCGTCCATCCACATGAAGCCCCTCGCAAACATCTCCGAGGCTACTTTCTGCGAGTCCGTCGAGGCCGGGCACAGCAGCCAAGGCGACGCTGCAGCCATTGCTCAAAAGCTCGGCATTACCAAACCTTCAGTCCGTATGGATAGTCAAGCCAAATATGGCAGTATCGCTCGAGGCGCAGGCGATCTCTACCTCCGTCTGCCCGCACGCAAGGATTACGTCGAGAAGATTTGGGATCATGCTGCCGGTGACTTGATCGTCCGTGAGGCGGGCGGCCAAGTCACCGATGTGGAGGGTAAGCGTCTCGACTTCAGTCTTGGACGGACGTTGGCGAACAACAAGGGCGTGATCGCGGCGCCGAAGGATGTGCACGGCGAGGTTATTGAGGCTGTCAAGAGTATACTGAACAAGTAGAGAAATTTTATTGCCGGTCATAGTCGTGTTTCAACTGTACATGCGTCCACGGACCTTGTGTCAGATTTCGCCGGAAGTGACTCCCAAGTAGCTCAAATCCACCGTGGATCTGACAAAGATAGGACTCTCGCATTTGCTCGCAAGACTGGTTGGACCCCAGTCTGCTTAAACTTCCACGATGAGGTTACCACCGAGCCTTCTAGATCTCAAGCACCTACATTTCACTCATCGCTCTTCCCGTGAGCTCCTGGAGCTGAAACTGTCAATATCTGGCTACGATCTCGGCACCACTTGAAGGAACAAGAGGAGAGATTGGATGGTATTGAAGCGTTGGATTTTTTCGGGGGTATGAGTACAATAAAAACGGGATATAAACCAAGAAGGCATAAAAACTTTTAGCTTCCGCTACGACTCGAAAAGAATTACGAGTGAAGCTATTCTCCCTCTCCTTTTTCCCAGCAATTTGCGAGAGTGCCATGCGGAAGTCGATTGAGCTGTGATCCATTTGCCAGAGACCATTCATCTCTTGCGACGGATCGTCCGGATATCTGCTCCTGCTACCATGATTCTATTCCGGGGTCTTCTCTTTCGGCTTCCGTTGTTCCGTGTTGTTCGCCTGTCCTGCTTGTTCCGATGGATTTGGTGGTGCTTCCTTCTCCCCGAGAAAAGACGCATGCGTCTCAGCAGGTTTATCCGACACCTCGTCTTCTATCCTCTGTCTTTTCCGCGGCGAGCCGCCGTCATTCCGTTGGGCGTCGACCTCGGCGAATCGCTTTTCCAGCTCTGCGGCTTTCGCTTGCATAGCTTTCAACTCTGCTTGTAAATGTGACAACTCCTCATCTTTGGCTTTCTCGCTGCGTCGTGCATCCTGTTCGCTCTGCTCGAGCTGGGCGACGCGGCCGCGAAAAAGATCATTGATGACTTCGAGCTCGCTGACACGGGTGCGTAGTTGGTTGTTGTGTGCGCTGAGGGCATCGTAGCTGAGGGTACTGTCGCCATTCCCGTTGGTTGTGCCATTGAGGGATGCTACCGATGGGCTGGGCTGGCGAAGTGCGAAGGAGGGCAGGTTCGGGCTGATAAAGGCATCCGTCGTGAGCGAGACGGTGTCAAAGATATGTTGTGGGGCAATGTTCGGGTTATGCGTGCCATAGGCTGAAGTCGATAGGGAACCTGGAGAACTCGTTCGGGCCAACGGCTCCCCAGCTAGAGCGGCGGTGAGGTTGTTTTCGGGATTCTGAAGGACCTGGGTGTCTGTGTGCGCCGTAGGAAAGTTCTCCGACGTGGCAGTTGCATTAAGTTCGGCGCCTTGGCTGTCTCGCTTCTTGGGTTGTGCTGACTTGACGCGATTTCGACTCTTGATTACGTCGGTCTTCAAGCTGATCGGCCGAGCTCTGCCATGCAGCTTGAGGAACAAGCCGCAAGCATTACAGAGGATAGATCCTGCCTCATCGCGACGCCATAGAGGTGTAGTGGACGTCCCGCAGTTTTGACAGACTGGCTGCAATCGATTGTCAGTTGATTGTTACAATGAAGAGCTCAATGGCTTTATCGATAAGAGCTATGATAGTGTTTTGGCGCGTCATGTTCGCGAGATGCAAGCGGCTCTCCAGCTGAGTTTGTACTTACCGGTCCATTCTGCGTCCCTCCCGCAGTAGCGGCCGGCGCATACTGAGGCTGATTCATGCTGGGATCGTTTGGCGACGATACGCGTTCACTGAGATATCCGTCGTGTCAGCAATATTTCTTGAATATCGCGATTTGAAGCCACAGATCTTGGCCGAGATAAGAGCCCTAACGCGCAGACACGCGACTGAGAGTGAATGCGCTCGTCTACAGTTGAAGCCATATCGCCGAGCGCAACGAGACCGACCATCCGCAAAGGCTCAGATTCATCGCGGTCATGTAGAAGTAACAAGGTGGAAGGATACGAGATGTCCGGGGATGGCTACCTTTTCGCTGGTGCGCTCGGTGTTGTAATTACTGCGGCCGGCACGCTCGCCGCCAAGGAAGCGAGAGCAGAAAGAGCGGGAATATCAATCGATCGAACGCCTTCTGACGATCCTGGCCGATGATGGTAGTATCTGTCCGCGAGCTGAGATGCCGATGTTGAAGAAGATCGTGGGCTTTTGACGTCCCGCTCCCGCTTATCATATGCTGCCGCGACTGCGGGTTTCGGATGAGAGGGCGTCTCGGCGAAGACCGACGACGATCGCTGGAAATGCTGATGGTTCGAATTGGGAACGGCGTAAGAAAGCATCCTGCTCTCTGTTTGAGGGTATGAATGCGCGCCCGAAAGTTATGCGATGCGACCGCATGCGCCTCGAGCTGGGTTGATTGGACTTTTGGTCTTTCGGAAGATTTCAGTTATCACTTTGGCGCGCAGTGCGCGGAATTTGGTCCTGATGACGCGGGTCGATCTTTCGTGCAGGCCGTCAAAGGAAAGAAATAAGTCGTAAGAATAACGACAGCGGCCAATGTGAGGTAGCAGTAGTACAGATGGTCTGCTCTGAGAGATGAATGTTGATGGATTGCGCAATGATAAAAAAAGTACCCACGTATCGATAGTGATAACGAAATGATACAGTATATAGATCCGTGGGAGCCATGTGCATCGATCAATGCAGTCCAGCCTGTAGATGTGCGTGCACAACACAGCAGCGTGCCAGTTGGCCGGAACTTTTCCAATGATGAGACGCGCGCACATGAACACAATATGATGAGGGGATCCATCCATTATCACCATCAGTATCGCTATCGACAAGCCGCCGCCCGCGGGCTGGAATGCTTGATCTGCCCAGGTGGGCACAGACAGACCGATAGATAGGGGCGGGCTGCGCTTCAGCTTCTTCGATACTGCTGTTGGAGACAGAGATAAGATGAACTCGATCCATTGAGGGACACATTTGACCGTGCATACGTTCATCTCCTTCGATGTCACCTCTGTCACATCGGTCTAGCGAAGAATGACCTCCGCCATGGACGTTACTGTACACTCGCAGAGCATGATGTCTTGTCTGTCCATTATTTATCATTGACATGGAACGTCCGTTCACACGCTGCCCACCTTGGACCTCTCCTGTAGAACATGCAAACATTGCGCTCGATGATGCCCTATTCGCAGACTATAACTCTCATTGCTCATCTAATTTGTCCATCGCCCAGTGACCGAGGGATACCCCTGCATGCACAATACGTGAAGAATCTATTAGATCTGTAGCGGTCGGTCTTCATATATCCGCCAGAGTGATCAATTTGGTTAAGCCCCAATGAGAAGCCGAAGATGACGGAAATTACCAATGTCGTCGTGACCAGTCGATGAGCCACGAGTTGGCGACACGTTCGTCGCTCTCCCGGGCGGTGATGAAATACATGGCATTCCTAAGCGAATAAAAGACGATAATCGACATCGAAGGATTCTTGCTGCCCTTCGGCCTCTCCAGAAATGATCGATACGTTGATGTCCGTGGCGCGCGAAAACAAAAGTCCCACGTGTGGAGTTCTCCTTGGATCTGGCCAATATCCAGCTTCGACGTCTTAGACGCATAAGGCCCATGGACCTTCAAACCTGTCTATCTCACATAACGCCCTTGTCCTGGCCCTCATTCTTCGTAATCGGAGTGCGCATAGAGTGTAGTCCCCGAGATAGCTCACAAAATGCACATGGGAGAAATGATCGGTTCCCTATACCGTAGATACCATTCACCTGCGCATACACTTTGGGAGCAAATCGTTCGCCGTTGGTTGCCTAAAGTCCGTTAAATGCGACGAGACACCGCCGAGGCTATCCGAACATCACTCAAAGTGCGGTCAAATACTGTTCGTATTTTGTTGTCTATCCAGACATGTCTCGCATCCATGTCTCGAACTGGCGCTCTCGAGTCCGATCTAATGTGACCTGATCACACCGATTCGATACTTGCTCGCGCTTGCCGTTCGCACCTAGTCATTCTTCTTCGAAAGGTGCGATTCGTGCGCTTCCATGACATAGTTTCCCGCCATCCTCACGACTTCCATGGCGCAGTAAGACACGTATACTGTGCGCAATATCCACAAGCCGTGATCGAAGTGCATCGCTGCTCTCGCGCGCAGTGATTGACGAAATGTCGAAGAGACCTGCGACCTCAGGCTATGCCCGCATTGCGCAGATAGAGGACGAGAATGATGACATCAGAGGTAGTTACGATAGTGACGAAGCCTTCAACGACAACGGACCATCAATCTCCTTACGCGAAGAGCAAAATGCGCCGATTCAGCCCAAGCGCTGGCAAACTGGCATGCGGATGCAGAAAAGCGAAAGCATAAAGTCATGGGGCTCGAAAAGAAATCGCGCGAATGCGGGTATCGATATTAAAGCGATCAACGCAAGGTTTGAAAGGTGGGCGGAGGAAATCAAGGATAAATTCACACGGTTACGAATTGGGGGAACGAGCACGGAGCAAGAGCAACTTGAGATTCACTACTCTGTGTTTCAGGCACCAGAATGGATCAGGCCGGCCTTGAAGGAGGAGCTTGATTCGGACTTCGCAGGGAGTGGAGAGAGGATATCAAAGCTCGAATTTGACGATCTTACAGAATCGGTCAGGACGGCCATAGAGCTTGGAGTCCATCCGAAGCTGATCGCGCAAGGCAGCAGCGGTTCCTACTTTGCTCGGAATAGTGGTGGTAAGGTCATTGGTGTATTCAAGCCGAAGGATGAGGAGCCATATGCCAACAAGAATCCGAAATGGACAAAGTGGCTGCACCGCAATTTGCTTCCTTTTGCCTTCGGTCGCGCGATGCTGATTCCCAATCTGAGTTATGTTTCGGAAGCCGCCGCCTACGTCTTGGACTGTCAGCTTAGGACGCACATAGTGCCCTACACAGATGTTGTGAACTTGAGCAGCAAAAGCTTCCACTACGATTGGATGGATCGCCGTGCATACTACCGGAAGAATAGACCATTTCCCGAAAAGCCAGGATCGTTTCAGATATTCCTTAAGGGGTACAAGGGAGCCACGGATTTCTTCCAGGAACACCCATGGCCAGACCAGCAAGGCGTCGCGGTGGCCAACTTTGAGCCAGATGACCAGTCGCCTCGTGGTTGGACCGACTCCTGCAGACCTAGAGGTCCTCGCAATGATGGCAGCGAAGAAGAGACCGGTGGCCTCATGTCCACAGATACCCGCCACATGCGAGCAGAATTTTGGACGCCAGACTTGCAACAAACATTTCGGGAAGAGCTGGAGAAACTCGTCATTCTGGACTACATCATGCGCAACACAGACCGTGGAACAGATAATTGGATGATTCGAATGGATCGTGAAACAACGGAAAATGCATCAGGCAATGTAAATGGACCGACAGAACCTGCGGGACCCACGGACGAAGAATATACACGGCGAGCAGAGACCATGACCACTGCTCCATCTAATTCAGGTTCTGTGAGAATGGTCCCCAGACTCGGCGCGATTGACAACAGTCTCTCCTGGCCGTGGAAACATCCAGATGCATGGCGAAGCTACCCCTTCGGTTGGCTCTTCCTTCCAGTCAGTCTTATCGGTCGGCCATTTTCGGACAAAACTAAGAAGCACTTTCTACCCCTGCTCACTTCGAAACAATGGTGGAGCGACACAACGGCCAAACTCAGGAAGTGTTTCGAGATCGATGCAGACTTCAAAGAGAAAATGTTTGCAAGGCAGATGGCTGTGATGAAAGGGCAAGCCTGGAACGTAGTCGAGACTCTCAAATCGAGCGATCACGGTCCGCTCGAGCTCACCCGGCGGAACCGGGTCATGGTATGGGATGACATTGTAGAGGTTCCGGTCGCGGTGTCTCTGCCACAAGCCTCGGACGAGATGCGACGCCGGAAGGGCGAACGCGAGCAGTCAAGTGCTACAAGCGCTCGTCATTGGCGCGGCCTGGACGACGACGATGAGATGGACATCTCAGCAGCTCTCTCGAGTACAGCACCATCCAATGCGGAACAAACGGCCCGACCATCGATTTCGTCCAAAAGGCAGAGCTCCGAAAATCCCTTCAATGTTGCCCGCGACAACGCTCTGCACTCTGTCCCTACGGACGAGCATGACATATCCACAGCGCCAACCAGCTCGTCGGAGAATAAAATCCTCGACATGGCGAGTGCTGCCATATCTGCTGTCCGTCCGAAACCTCGTCGCCATCGCACCGCAGCCTCGCGCAACAGCTACGACATTCCACATTCGCAGTGGCGGACTCCCGCGCGTCCGCGCCGTTTCAGCTATGGGCTCGGGGCGAGGAGCAACACCGATCCCGACCTCGGGGAGGACGGCGACCTGGGCTTTTCCGCCACGGCAACGCAGGAGGGTAGCACGCGGCGAGTGATTGTGGAGCGGCTGGAAGTGGTCAAGAGCAAACAGCCATTTTTCTCATGGTGTTAATCCGAATCTTCCATTTCTCTTTTATTATTATTCTGGTTTTAATTCAGATATTCATGTATGACTATGAAGGATTTGACATCAAGGGACGACTTGATTCCATGGGTTGAGCAAAGCGTTGTTTGAATTAGAGAGATCATGGCAGTCAAGCTGACCCACAATATAGACACTGGGGCGCTGTCTACGTCCGAACCGCATCCTCATATACAATGAAAATATCACCTGTGTTCGGCGGCACAGTGCCAAACACGTTGGGATGCAGTGAAACGTGAAATTATTCATTTCATTCTAGCCATCCCCCAGGCTTGATCTTACAAATCAGCAAGCACAAAGTTCATCGAGACGACATGCTCAAGAGCGGAATAGCAACGACCGAACCGTACTCCATATCCTTTGCTGGGTTTCAGAAGCCGTTGTGAGCCAATCTGATCCTGTCGTCGGCCTCCCAAAGTACAGCGCAACAACCGCAACAATGATCGCCGCGCCGGTCAATCCCGCTGGTCGCTTGTATCGTCTGAACAGGATCTGGGCGCGTAAGCCCAACTGTTTCCGCCGTTCTTGTCGGCGGATCTCTGTGGCTTGTTTGAGGAAGAGTTCTTCGCCGTGTTCGACGGTTTGCTGAGAGAGTGCCGAGATGCTATGCGTTGTTTTGAGGACGCTGTTGGAGCTGATTCGGCTCCACACGTGGTACGGTAACGATTTTGGAGGATGCTCCTCGAAGAGAGTTTGGGTCTTCTGGATGAGTCCTTCAAGATCTAGTGGCTTGGGGAGTTTCGAGAGGATGGAATGGAGCATCTCGGGCTCGTCTGGCTCGACTTCTAAAAGTTCCTTTTTCCGCGACATGACAATCTGACACATCCAATCAGTACAGGGATTAGTGTTAGGTCAGGAAATGATAAGGCTTACAACAGCAAACAAGTAGATGGGAACCGCCGCCTCGGACGCAAGTAGGTAGTCGAATAATCGTGCGATGTCTCCATATTCTTCGATGTCGTGCGCGTAGAGCGTCAAAGTTGCCGCGAGGGCGAAAAATGGAGTTGGCCTTGTCGCGCCTGAAAGATGTCGGCACAAGTCGGGATCGGCCTTAATCAAGATGGCGGGCAGCAAGTGCAGATGAACTTCAGCCCCGGCTAAGGTCGGAAGCATGAAGTCTCTGATACGCAACAAGGACAACCTTGCAATGGTCCGGTCTGCGATTTGTGCGCCAAGTACGAGTAGAAACACTTGAATGATGTCGTGATATCCTTGAAAATAGCAAAGCAATGGGTGTCTGCGCAGAACACCTACGATCAGATCCGATAGCTCGCGCTTTCGGGCATCGATCCGTTGCTGAGGTTCATCTAGTCTAATCAGCAATGTCGCGGCGGTACAAGTTGTGTAGGATGGTAAAAAGCTCACTTTCGGGATAGTACACGAATGAGCGGTTGACGTCTAAGTCAACCTGTTCTTCGTCTCGGTGTTTGGGCAGCTTCGCCCAATCCGCCTCTCGCCCGATTAGGTCCCCGTCGCAGCCCAGTAGTAGCGGCCCTTGAGTGAAAAGTCTCAGTGATTGTTGTTCTCGTCGATGCAAATCTTCAGGCAGGAGATACCATACATGCTTCCCTCCGCACGTCGTCGTTGATCAAACCGCCCTCGGTTTTTGCAAGGGAAATTACATTGGTGCAGTCGCGGTCGTGACAAGCTTTTCTGATCTGTTCAATCTTGTTCGATCGTTGCGGTGACGGCGCTTGAGTATCTGCAACCGTGGCAGACAAGGGTTGTTCGTTTGTCCTTCTGGTGTTGTCCTCATCCAATTTAGAAATCGGCTGGATTGGCAGGTCGTCGGAAGAGAAATCGGACATATTGAATTTTTCCTTGCGTTTTCCGTGAGCGGAACCTGAGAGGGTTTTTTATAAGAAATGAGTCGACTCTGCTCACATTTTGTCGTGTCGTAACGATGATCTGAACAACTGCTCGATTGTGATGACATTAACTACGACCTGCCGAGCTAACCTTATTGGGCCGACTTTGAAGCCTTGGGGAATCTTGGGCACAACCATGTAACCATGCAGGCGTTCAGTGCACAGAACCTCCCACGGTCTTCGCAAGTTGGGCTTTCATAATTTTGCGCGAAACCCTTCGGGGAAATCGAATTCAGTGTAATCCCTTCGGTTGTGCCATGCGCTTGGAGCAAGCAAGTTTCTAAATTGCAGTAGCTATAGCAGCGCGACATTGTTCCCATGAATGGGGCGCATCTTCTGACGGATCCACTGTACGCTTTCCCTCGATGCTGTTTGCAAGATTCGAAAAGCCTTTGATCGACCGTTGCGCGGGCCAAACCATGTTGCATGATTGCAAAATTCATCTGTGGACAAGAGACGCTGGCAGTCTACATACATCAACGTCCATCCCGGTCTTGCGTTGCCCATCAAGCTCATTGGATTGAAACGCGCGAGCTTTAGTCACCTGGCATAGATCACGATTTCCTCCGTCCAAAGAAGCGAGTGTTATGTCTACTACCAGCTCACTGAGTGCGATCCGTTTGCAGAGCTGCGTTCGGGCTGATTAGATCGTCACAGAAAGCAGGCTCTGCAACCAGATTTGGACTGTCCCTGTGCAAGCCTCTTCGCAGCCTCTACATCTTAATGAGAAATGGCATCCGCGGCAGAATATTCTGCTGTAGGGATCTACACTCGGACAGTGGCTCGTAGTCCTGTCATTAGATGGATATTCAATGCTCGTATTCGCTCATCGAAATACGAAGATGTCGTTTTCGTTGGCGAGGATTTTGTTCAGGTGAAACAACTGTCGGGGAATTGCAATCTTATTGACATTACGATCAAGCACGACTTCGATGCTCGAATTCGAGCAGCATCAATATTGGATGTCGACTCAGTATCCCAAGATAAAGCGCCTTTCGTTAAGCAGGAGCTGGATTCAGCTGATTGTCCCTTACACATCCTGGTGTTGACACTAGACTCAAACGACCTCGTATTCCTTCACGTCAAGGAGAATGCAGACCAGTCAAAGCGATTCATCCACACGGCTCGATCAATCCCGGCTTTTGCAAGAACTATCATGCAGCCCGGAGCACATCTAGCCATCGATCGCCGTTCACGAGCTGTTGCCATAGCCGCGCTCGAGTGTGAACTGATCTTGTACTCTATCAAGCCGCGAGGAATCCTTCGAGAGGATCTTCAAAAACATGATGTCTGTGATCCTATCCTGACCGAGAAACCACTGGCGATCAGTGGTGTCATTCAGGCCATTGACTTTCTGTTTTCGCCAAACGCTAACGACGAACATGTCATTCTAATACTCTTGGTTGTTGATGAACACCGGACCAAGGCTATGTGGGTTGACTGGCATGCTACGGCGGGACCTCATCACGCTCAAGTGCATCCGGGGCAGGTTCTCGATCTGGATCTATCTCTACCACTATTCTTAGTGCCAATTGCAGATACTGATTTCCTCTTGGCATCAGGAGATAAGATCACCCACTGGAAAAACTTACTCTCGGGTTTTGCTATTAGCGAGACTCTTAACCTCACGACAGAATCACCAGCATATCCTGGCAGCTCTGCCAACCTTCCACTGTGGACCAATTGGTCTCGACCACAACATTCCAACCGGTCCAATCCAGGCAGTGACCGGATCTATATGCTCAGAGAAGATGGCTTGCTCTTTCTGGCTGAATGTAGAGCAGCCGCGTTGCCAAGGCTGCTATTCGTCGCCGATCTTGGCCTCCACCATGGCTATGCGCTTGGATCGCATGAGAATAGCCACGATCGTGATATCATCGTCGCTGGAGGCGATATGACCGCCGGCCTAGTGGCATGTGTCGAACGACGCGAAATGTCCCTCCATGATATCACTGATGGTAATTTCGGTGCCGCCATTGAGATCACCGAGCATGTGCAAAATTGGGCAACAGTGACGGATATGGTCGCGACAGGCCATCGTCGCACTGGGCAGGAGGAAGCGCGATATGCTGAAAGTCTCCTGGTGACCTCCGGCCGTAATCCTTTCGGGTCTATTACGGAGCTTCGAAAAGGCCTCGAAGCACGACTTCTTGCTTTCACGGAAATGAACGATCTGAAAACCTTCACGGACATTTGGGCACTTCCTGACACCTCTGGGTCCATCACTATTGTTCTGTCAAGCCCCTCAGGAACAAAGTTTTTGGCCATTGCGCCTGATGAAAACTTAGAAGAGGTTGCCGATTCTTCAGTGTACGATACGGAGCACCGAACTTTCGCAATTGATCTTCTGCCGGATGGGTGGGTTGCACAAGTCACGGCACAGAAGCTTTGCGTCTCGAACAAATCAACTTCCGCGTCATGGAAGCGCGATATAGTTGCTAACCAACAAGTTCTCATTGCAGCCGCATTCGAACGCCGAACGTCCGCTCTGATTACTGTTATACGCGGGCCAGAACAGTATGAGGTCCGCTGCACATGTTTAAAATCCTTGTGGAATGGTCAATCTGATCCAACAAGCTCCATTACACTTGGATTCGAGCCGATTGGTGTCGTAGCGACCACATTTGGCACATCTCTAGTAACTTGCGTTTCTTCCGCAGATGGGAATATTATCGTATTTGTATTCGCGGACACGCTCGCGCAGCCCATCAGCTACAGCGCTCAAATACCGGCTTCTGATGATCAGGTAGACACTTGCGATTCTCTTGCCGTTTTTCGACGGCCCCGGAGCATGAACCAAGGGCCAGAACTACTCTTGGTGTGCGGACTGAGAGATGGTCGAATAGTCACATTTAATCTCGAGCCAGGCTCCAGCAGTGTTCTGTGTTACGCAGAAACCATACATCTCGGCTACAGCACGGTCAAAATATCCCCGGTTCCGTCCGACGAAACGACTGCCATTGCCGTGAGCGGTCGCGTGTTGTGTCTCATACGTTGGGACAGTAATCACAGGCAATTGCTCGTAACGGAGAATATATGGATTACTGATAGAAATCGACCGGAGTTTGCACAAAGTTCGATTGTGGCTTGCGCTCAGGCTCCATCGTCGGAGCATACAGACTCTCATCCATACTCCGACACGCTGATTATGTTGTCTGACGACTCATTGCTCATTGCTACAATCGATCAGACCGTAAAGACTGTGCCGAGGCAAATGCAACTGATTGGGACCCCATTCCGACTGCTATATGCAGAGAGTATTCGCTCACTCGTTGTCGCCTCCCTTCGCTCCACCGTCGATGACCGAAGGCGCACAAGGCAAGTCTGGCCAGTCCTCGAGTTCATCCCAAGGAGAAGTCCAAACGTCAGCTATTATCATGACATGCAGCCTGGAGAAATGATCCGTACTATAATCGAATGGCCCTATCGCTTCGACGGCGACAAAATGTACTCCCACATTCTGGTCGGAGGTAGTTATCAGAGACGGAATGGAGGCCGTCGTGGAAGGATCACGTTTCTGAAGCCGATCATTCGGAATTGGATCGTTGAAGGTGTCAAAATCGCTCGCAAGAATATCTATGACCACGAAGTGACAGCGCTTGCGATGTTTGACTCGGTCACATATGTGGCATGTGCTGGCACAAAGGTCTACCTCGAGCGTTTCGTCGACGAGACCCGGACGTGGGATCGACTTTGCCCACCATTTCAGTTGGCAAGTCCTGGTGTTTTCTTGTCTGTTGAGCCCCATGCAGATTCTGCCCCTATAATCGTGATCACCACCTCCATGGATTCTGTCATCATGCTGCGATTACAAATATGCGAGCCGGTTTTGGGAGAGTCGCCGACTTTTTCATTGGAATGCGTTGGCGTCGCACCTCAAGCGGAGAGCTCACTAAGTCATCTCGCTATCCCCACATCAACGGCGGACGAGCTTGGCCTACGCAACGTGAAGATAACGCTACTGAGTACCAAGTATCGCAAGATCGTGGGTCTTGCCTGTCCCATCGGGTCCCCCTTCCACAATGGTCGTATATTATTCGATGCGTATTTACCGCAATCTATCACAAGAATGATAAGGTCTCCGCCATCAGCACGCAAGGCGTTGCCACCAGGAGGAATTGTTGGTGACAGGATGGTCGGCTGTTCTGCTGATGGCAGCATCACAGGCCTCGTCATTCTTCAAGCACAAATCTGGAGCCGACTGTTCTGGCTTCAGCGTCTGTGCGAGTGGAGTGATGAATTGTCTCCGCATTCGCATCGCAGCCCCAGATACAGTACCAGCACTGCAGACAAGGCCGGGCAGTCGGACAGACCGTTGCCGGCTAGTTTGAGCAATCACAGCCATCTCGCCATGCTGCGCACGCCAACCAGCAAGCCTAGCGACATGCATATAGACGGAGATGTAATTTCCCGAGTTTTGCGTCCAGGCGGAGCGGAAGCGATTCGTCGAGTTATCGATGCTTTGTCCCTTGTGCCTGATGCGATTGGGCTTTGGTTGAGCCAGCACAAAGAGGAGGAGTTGGTTGCTATCGACTCCCTGATTCGGCTTGTGAGACAATTCGAAGCCTGGATCTGAAAATTGCAGCCAGCCGAGTTCGTTCCTTGTTATCCAAGACTTCAATGCCCTCAGACTGACGGAGACTTTAATAGCTGACTTCAAAATCTCAATTATCGCATCTGGCGCAGCCGCCGCCTGACATATTGCTTAATGTCGCGATATGATAAAGTTCGTGCTCTCGTCCTCGAGGTTGATAGAACATAGACTCAAATGGCCAATGTCTTGGTCATTCACAATCAGGCAACACAATTGCCATCTTTCTCGACCCCAGTCCGCGTCTTCCCCGGTTCATAGCAGTTGCGAGACTCAAGCCGAGACAGGACCGTATGCGCCCATAGATTGTAGGGTGGTCATTAAGAGCGTTGTGAATGAATGGTCGGAGAGGCTATCGGCGTAAGCCTGCTGATTCGGAATGCTCAAGGCACTCTTTTCACCTTGGTGATAATTTTACCAAGCATGTCGATCAGTTCCTCTCGCTCGGCTTCCTTTCTCTCCCTCAACACTTCAACGCTTCGCAACTCAAGCTCCAGCTCTCTCATGCGTTCTTCTTGGTCACTTTCGCTGTTGCCAAGCCCGGGAAGAGAATTGATAAGATGTTCAACTTGTTGCTCTTTGACGACGAGATCCTGTGCGATTTCGCGGAGCGCGTTCTGAAAGACATCGGGGGATTCCGGCAAGGGTGTGTTAGGATCACTCGGCCCATTTTGGGCATTCAAATCGCCGTTCGCCTGAATTCCTGGTGTTGCATTTTTAGGCTCAGCAGCATTGGCAGAGTTTCGCGGCTCCGAAGGCTCAGGCGCCTGACTCGGTTGGCCCTCAATAGTCGCGTATGGATGTTTGAGTTGGATGTAATTCAAGGACGCATACATTTGAGCAAGTAGCTATGTTCTGATTAAGAAATGATTGATAGCTGAAACGGGAGATATCCTTACGTCGTCCAGGCAATCCTGTAGCTGCGTCAAACGATCCGCCATGGCCGAAAACGGTTGATGACTATGCAAAGGTGCCTTAAAATGCTTGTCTCGTCGCTGGAGATTTCAATCAGATTGTTATCTCCATGATGAATAGCACATGATGTTGATGGTATAATAGACTTTGAGGGTGTCGCGTGGAGCCTGAAGTGAAGATGGCCAGAAGTCGTGGTGCCACATCTGGTGCAGTAACGCGTGGTCATGCCCCTTGATTCGCGAAAAGTCGCGACTACTGGCTTTCGCATAATCGTTCGTCCATGTGCGGGTAGCATGGAAGAGTTGTCACCTTCATGCTTTGCAGCGCTACTATAAGATGGCAATGCCTGATCAAGTGGACCAGACATGCATCTACTACGACAAATATCACGCCGCGGTCAAGAGGGAGGCCGAGGAAAACCGTTGCGATTGAGACTGAACAGTTATCGCTCACACCAAACGTGAAAGCAAGGAGGGTGACAGAGGGCGAGAGAAATTCTGGCGAAGATGTCCTTTCCACGACGATCACCGACTTACCGAAGAAAAGAGGGAGGCCGCCGGGCTCAGGCAAACGCTCAAAACCCTGTGCTGTGGGACTTCTGCATGACACGAAACCAAGCCGCGTGGATTCGACGGAAGATCGGGCACCGCGTGTGGCACTCTTACAGTCCTCGCTGAACCACCATGATCTGGCTTCATTCCTCGAGCACGCGTCGCGGACCAAATTGAAGACCACAACCTCTGTCTACAAGGGTACACACTACGAATACACTGCTGCGGAGGCTTTGAAGACCTACAACTTCGATCTACGACGGATTGGCCGATCGAACGATCTCGGCATAGACCTGCTCGGGATATGGCGACTCCCACAGGAGCCGCGCGAACTCAAAGTCCTCATTCAGTGCAAAATGTCGAAGCCATCTCCTTCTATGGTACGCGAGCTGGAGGGTGCATACGTTGGTGCACCTGCAGGATGGAGAGGCAACGATGTCATGGGGATGCTCATCAGCGTTCACCCGACCACCGCGGGCGTCCGCGAATCGATGCAAAGAAGCAGATTGCCGCTCTGTTTTGCTCAGATCACCGCTACCGGGGAAGTGTTACAGTTCTTGTGGAATAGCGCGGCCAAGGAGACTAGATTGACAGGCATGTCGGCAACCACGATATACGACGCTGCGGGAGCAAGTAAAAGTTTACGGAAAGCCTCGAGCCCGACTGTGCAAGGAGTCGTGTCTCTCCTGTGGCTTGGGAAGCCGTGGAAAGGCAAAGCGCAAACCATGAGTACAAGCATCAGGGAGATCCTCTCTCAATCTCACCAGAATTCGGTGACAACAACGACGCCAATTAGATGAAATTGGATGACGCCTATAATATCTTCGACTGGATCCAGTAATGGTCTCGATACCGTTTGTCAGACTCACAATCGTTCAGTTCTTTAGGTCCGCCAAGACTTGCTTCAGCCTCTCCCAACCATCCGTGTCTTCCCAGACATCTTTGCCTCGGCTGTTGATCCCTCGAACGGCACTACGTGCTTTGAACTTCCAGTCTTTCGCGACGAGCTCGCCCGCAGATAACCCCTCTGTTCTTTCGCGAGGTCCAAGACTCTCATACGAATCACACAGACGTACAGTGGCTTCGACGACTTCGTTCCATTGCTTTTCGTTTCCAGTCTCCCATCCAGGCTGATTGATCACGATACGCCAAGCTTTCTCCTCGGCGTCAAGCGCGGTCGCAGGCTTGTCACGCCATAACGCCAGCCGGCCGACCAATCGCCAGAGACGGGCAGACTTTGTTATCAGAGGCGTAACGCTCTCGTCGACGAACTTGACCACCATACGCTGAATACCGGGCTGGGCCGCATCATAAGTGCTAGAAATCGAGATTACGTATAGCACAAGCTTCTCGACCAGGTCGATGTCGACAGCGCCCTCGCCGTCGCTAGCAGCTCTTAATTCAATGATGCGTCGCATAGCTGATAGCATTACGACGAAGTCTGGAGGGCGAAGCGACGCCGCAACTATGAGTACGTTCTCCCATATTCGGTACGATTCCCGCTTGAGTGTTGCCGCACGTGTCAGTGCTTTAAGTGCATCCATCCGAACTGCCTGACCAGCGTCAAGCGTTTCAGCGCTCGAGGCATTGACATCTTCGTCGTCGAACGTTGGACTTGGCTTCGCGGCGGCAGCTGCAATTGCATCCGGCTCAGTGCGAAGTAAGGCTGCAGCCAGGTTGCTCCAGGATTCTGCATCCGACTCGTCAAGCTGGATACACCGTGAAAAGGCCTCGACGGCCTTGTCGAATTGACCTAGCTCAAGCAACGAGCAGCCTAATGCGAACCAGCTTGCATGGTTCAACCGGTCCACTTGCAAACTTTTACTGTATGCCCCAGCGGCTTTAACATGGTCGCGTAACGCCAAATAGTGCCGTCCGAGCGATCGCTGCGCACGTGCATAACGTTCGCCAGATATATCCCAAGCTTTCTCGTACATCTCCACGGACTTGTCGATGTCTCCCAAAATGCAGTACAATCGTGGTGCGTCAAGTGGGGGCGGTGATCGCTCCGGCCCTGTCCATTCTTCGTCTTCGCCAGCATCACCATCTGGTACGCCTGGTTCGCCGCCTGTGGTATGATATAATTGTCTCCGCACCATCCTCTTCGCCTTGTCTTCCCGTTCCGTCGCCGCCCAGCACAACGCAGCTTCAGCCCACATCTCAAGCCGCTCATAGATTCCCAGGGCTGATCGCAAGCCGCCTAATGATACCCAACGCGACGCAAGCTCGGCTTCGAGCTCCCAGCGAAAAGGGGTAGCTATTTGAAAAATGTATCTGACCCGATCGGTGACAGGAGCACTCTCTGAATCTTCCGCTCGAGGCAGAAAGGTTGACGAGGGCGCTTGATCGCCATCTGTGTTGTGTGCATCCGCTCCTTTCGTGTCGGCTATAACCTGATCCACCAGAGCTTGCAACTGCAGCAATCCACGTTCTATGGTACGCGACTTGTATCCCTCAATGCGGCTGCGAACCAGCAACGCTTGTGTGTATACTTGCCAGTTTGAGCTTCCGCCTTCAAGGACTCTCGTAGCATATGGAAGGGTTTCCTCTCTGGTCAGACCATGCTGCGGAGAGGTGTTCGTGATTGAAGACGCCAGCGCAAGCAGAATTATTGAGTCGATCGGTTCCAATTGGGGTTGGTTGCCAGGGTCTAAGCTCTTCAGGGTGGCAGAGAGTGCATCGGGGCCTCGCAGATCGGCAGTCGTTCGGGATCCCACTTCGGAAAACGATATTGACTCAAGGAGGGTATCGTCGTTCAGATCCAGATTGGTCGGGCGATTTGTCTCCTTTTTGACATCTGCATCTTTGACTCCAGAGTCGCCGCCAGATGTGTCGTCACCGCCATGACTTTTCGCAAGCACCACAAGTTGACTAGTCTCCTTTTCCTGGAATTTGGTACGCTTGCCAAGCAGTCCTGTTAATGCGAAGTCAAATTGACGTTGCTCCGCCGCGGCGTCGATGTCCTTTCGAGCCAGCTTGTCAAGACCATGGTGGATATGTATCGCTGACCGTTCAAGCAGAAATTCGGCTTTGACATTGGTTGCTCCTGCCGCATCAAGACCACTTTCAATGGTGTCTAGGTCGTCGTACAAGCTATTCTGGATCGTCGAAGAAGTTTCTGAAAGCAACCTTTGATGAACGAATGTTGTTCTCATGCGAGCCCATGTTACGATCTTGACATTTTTTTGAATAGTGGCGTTGTTCATGACACTCTTCGCGAAACAGTAGAGCTCGATGTTCGGTGTTAATTTGTATGGTGCAATGCCATCCACGCTCAACTCCGCGAGCAATTGCGTTTGGACCTTGCCGTAGAGCTTTCGATTTGTCGCAATAGGCTCGGGAAGGATTATCGTTGAAGGTCGAAACTTCAAGGGTGATCCAGTAATGTTAGCCTGGACGAAGGCAAGAAGGGCCGCATATCCGATACAGAAGAGGATTATTGATTGCGTCTCTCCCGGTCTCGCGCTGCATATCGCTTGTAAACGTCGGACGACAAAGGCACTCCAGGACTCCGATTCTGTAGAATCATTGCTTTCAAATCTTTGCTGTTGGTCATCTGGGAAAAATAGTTCTTTCGCTTCTGGGCTCTGGAGAAGTTGTTGATATTCGCCTTGCTCTAAACGTTCTAGATATGCGTTGACAACACTCAATGTCTCGTTCGGGAGTTGACCCTTCAAACGTGATAAGAATGCATCTGACATGTTGGATTCATATGCCGTACTTCAAAAGTAGCCTGTCGCCGTCTTGAATATTTTATGAATCGTCACTGAAATTTATTACACCAATTAGGAATACACTTGCAGCACCGTCCGTATAGGTGCCTAGGAGGGTGAGTAATAATTCTGTGCCCATGTAGCTCACATAGCAGCTCAGAAAAGAGAAAAAGCCAACTAATTCTGGAGGGACCTCGAGTTCTCAAAAGTGCGTGACCCGGTCCACGATATTCACGCTCGTCACGCTGCCGTTTGTGCAGACTATTGGGCCGCCCGTGTCCGGAACAATGTACAAGCCAGTTCATGATCATTGATCGTTACATCGATGTCGGAAGATTTGGCTGTCAATTGAAATTGTCTACTCGTTCACGTTGAGCCAATATTTGACGATCTAAGCAGCTGATCCCCCCAAGATCTTAGCAAAGACCGCATCTGGTACTTCTTTCTCCAACAACCATGCAAATCCCTTTCCGATATCAGTAAACGCTTTGTCGCCAATCTCATATCCCTGCATCATCATAAAGTGGCCATGAGGGCAGCCAGGATAAAGATCAATCCTGGTGGGAACGCCGGCTTTCTTCAATAATTCATCATAGATTAGTCCATCATCACGAAGCGGGTCCATGCCCTCAACTTGTGTATATGTGCGTGGTTGGCCAGAGATTGGAGCTTTCGACAAGACCGCGTATCGTAGATCGGAGGTATTATCCCACGCGCTGGCTTTGGCCATCATTTCCCGGGATTCCTTGCCTAGGAATGCCGTATCGCCATTCTGCTCGTATGCGAGGTAGACGTGCTTGTATTCCTCCGGACAGCTGGCGTGGTCCATGAGAGAAGGAATGCAGAGCCATTGGCCAGTTAGCGGGTGCGCAAGCTTTTCTTCTTCTTGCACCTTGCGGGATACGGCTGCAGCGATCGAACCTCCGGCAGAAACTCCACCAATGATGAATCCTTTGGAGGGATCGGCGCTCAAGATCGACGCGGTTGCGTTTTCTGCAGCCCACTTGGTGGTGTCCAGAGAGTCAAGTTGACCGTATGGGAATGGATGCTCGGGCGCAAGACGGTAGCCTGCTGATACAACCGTGGCTCCGAACAGAGACACCAAGATGCGGCCTATTCCCGACATCTGGTCCTTGTCTCCACTTACAAAGCCACCACCGAAATACAAGACAACGAGTGGGCCGGCAGGACCACTTGCTGGTTTCTGAATCTTTGTAGTGCTCAAGAACCCATCTCGCATCGGAACATCGTGGTACGACTCGGATATGGTAGGCGGTGCCGGACCTAGCTTGTCATTCATCATCTTGACACCAGCTGCGAGCCGTTCACGAGCGGCGAATACGTCAGAGTTGTCGACCGGCGTGGACGGCATTGTTTTCATGAACTACGTATCGACATAAGTAAATACTAGGTGTGATGAAGTTGGTTATTGCCAATGTGAAATACCTCAACGACCTGAGGGTGCATGCGGGCCGTTTCGGCCAGTTCTTCTTGAGTGAGCAACATTGTGCCGATTTCCAAGTTCCCTGTCGAGTTGGTTCCTTGTTGTGGAAGATGCGAGTAAAAAGTAAAAGTGCGTTCTTTGTCGCAGTTAATGGAGATGACAGGTCAGCCTTGAAATTGTCGCGAATATTCGTCGAAGCGAGAGCTCGGATGCTGATCCCGTCCCGACATGATCACTACGAGAATCTCGGCCTCGAGAGTGGCCGAACAAGGCATGCATAGCTCCGGTCCCCTCTAGCATAAGTAGATGTGCAAGCGCAAGAAGACAGCTGTGGTTGTAGATCACGGCTACCTCGGAAATGTCACCGCCACTATGTCTCGAACGTGGGCTGATGATGTACCTGCAGGGTCAGCACGAATCCGAAGTTTTGTTCGACGTCGGCGCTTGCTAGAGCCTTTGAATAGAGTTTGCATTCAATGTTCCAATATCATCAGTGGCAGAACTTGACAACGGAAAAGAAAAATCTCAATACGACTGTGAGACCACAACGCGTTGCATTCGATCATTATGTTGCCGATGTTGTCAGCCTCGTACCGCCACCACATGCATCGCGCTAATAAGAGCACTATAGAGGAAGGTGTAATATTCGATTGCATGAAGTACACTTTCTCTGAGTATGCACGCAAGGACAGGACTCGGATCTTCGTCATTGCATTGATTATATCTGTTTTATAGTTGCAGGGACGTGGTATTTGGTAGCTAGGTAGCATGGGCACACACGGCAAAGTCACGGTGCTCAGGAACAACGCCCGGACATGGCCGAAAACCGACTGTTGGTTGGCCCGCCCGTGCCGCTGACAGCAAGTGGCGGGGGGCCTGGATTGTAGGCAGCACAATTAATCGCGTCTACATAACAGCTTCAACGAAGGAATCCATCGGAAGGTGGGCGAACACATACTGTACAACGATCGAAATCGCACTTTCCGCCAACTCGTAATCATCATGGGCAATGCCGCATCGCGTGAAGCGAACTATGAACGACTTGAAAAAGTTATTCCGAATGTGAAGGTTGGTGGCTTCGGGTCCCTACACATCGGCTCCGAAGCTCGCGACTGACGTGAGATTTTCGTCATAGAACGATAAAGGCATGGTTGTACCGAACCTGAAGGACGCCTTCACAGACGAGGGTGATCGCAAGCAATTCATACGTAAGTTTGCCTGCCGCGATTTATCTGCCTCGCTTTCAATGGCCAGATACTGATGCCTATTCTTTCTCAATTCAGATGCGGTCCTGACGGTCTTTCAAAACAACACCCCAAATGGCTTGGGCTTCAGCCGATATCGATTGCTTTTCTCGCGTACCGAAAATGATCGGTACATGGCGCAGCTGTTGCAGCAGAGGCCAGATGGCGTCTTGTCAGCCAAGATAGCCCCTCCCAATAACTCAGTTGACCGTGCTGAGGCCTTCCTGGCTCTGAAGACAGAGGTTGAGCGCCGCCTGGACAGTGTGCTTAGAAGTATTCCAGACGTGGGTAGTTCTCCCAGCGAAGTGCGCGAAGTGCCCCGAGCCTCTGCTTCAGCTTCACAAGAGCCAGGGAGCGCGCTTCGAGCTGCTGGTCCTTCTAACGAGACATTGGTCATCGACGGTCCCGAAAGCTCAAGACCGCTCGCGAATGCCAACGATGCTCCACCTTCGTACGAGGACAAAGATGCTCCCGAAAATCTACCCAGGGATCGGAAACGATAGTTAATGCTATTCATGTCATCCTATGCTCGCACTTGTACTCATTCGCTTTGTGTCTTATGTGCTGTTTCATCCAAGGTCGGAAATCTCGATTCGTGAATCGTGATCAACTTGTTGTAAAGTATGTTGATGTTAGCGCAATGATCTGTGCCTTCCACCGCTCAATGCCAAAATTCTTCATGGCGCAGGAGGGAAGAATCGACTGTTTCCAACGTGGTCAGCTCGAACCTGCGTATGATTTCATGCGCCCACTTACGGAATTGAATGCTCGTATGCCTTCTCATCCTTTTCGAGGAAGGAGCAGAATACAATACGTTCGAGCTTCTTCGCTCGCACATCGTCCTCGCTCAACCATCGATGGACAGCCTGAGCAACCGCTTCTGCCGCTTCTTCACTAGGGTAGCCGTAGATGCCAGTGCTCAAAGCACTAAAGGCAATGCTTTTGCAACCATTTTCAATTGCCAACGTCAAGCTTGTGGTGTAACAGCTCTGCAAGAGAGAAGTATGCCGGCCTTCTGCTTTGGTCTTATTGTAGATAGGGCCGACAGCGTGAATGACTTTCTTGCAAGGAAGATCGTAGGCACCGGTGATTTTCGCGCTCCCGGTGTTACACCCTCTCAGTGTTTCGCATTCTCGAAGAAGGCCAGGTCCAGCTGCGTAATGGATAGCACCGTCTACTCCTCCGCCGCCCAGGAGGGACTCGTTCGCGGCGTTGACGATAGCATCGACCTCGAGTTTCGTAATGTCGGCGCGGATTAATGCGATCTGGTCGTTGAACGCGGAAGACGCGGTGATTTCTTGTTGTTCGGAGCCCTGGATTTGTGAGGTGGAGTATAGTTGGGTGAGGGTGGGAATGTCTTGCAGACTAATGAGAGCCAATTTGTTGCCACGTGAAAACATTCGTTGCAACATGTTTGACACCGGACTGATTCCGGAGCTCACCTGTATGTCAGCCAGAGTAGTAAAAACGAGCAAATGATGTTCACTTACACCCACGAGACGACGCGTCGTTTCCAATTGCGGTGATCTATGAACAAAGTGGTGGCCTGCATGGCGGGGCAACCATCAAATTCAGGCGTCGCAGGTGGGCACCCAATCCTTATCTCTTTATCGGCCGATCGAGTCATTCATGCATACCTACTAGGTAGGTAACAATAAATTTATCACTGTACGACATCTGTGTCTCAAGCGACCAGTGAAACCCGAAGACAGGTTGTATATGTACACATGATACATCGCGACTCGTGAATGAGTCATTGAAAACTTGTCTCTGACATTGCGACTCTTTGCATCAACGGGATTGGAGGCCTGCATCATCCTTGCAACCACATAGCCAACATGGCAGAACCTCAGGAAGAACCTAAGATCTCAAAGCGCGCTGCTGAGAAAGAGGCCAAGAAGGCAGCAGCAAAAGCTAAGAAGGAGGCGTCCAAGGCTGCCGCTCCGACAGGTCAACCTTCGCGATCGAATGAGCCAGTCGATCCATTCAAACAAGGATGGCTGAAGGGAGTCTACAATGAGAAGCCCGTCAAAAACGTCATCACTCGATTTCCACCCGAGCCCAATGGATATCTCCACATCGGTCACGCAAAAGCAATCACTGTCAACTTCGGTTTCGCCAAATCATATCAGGGCCAGTGTAATCTGCGCTTCGACGATACGAACCCTGCCAAAGAAGAGGAGCAGTTCTTCACAAGCATCAAGGATATGGTAGCGTGGCTCGGGTTTGAGCCGGCGAGGATCACCTATAGCTCGGACGAGTTTGACAAATTGTATGAGCTGGCCGAACAATTGATCGAACGTGGGAAAGGCTATGTCTGCCGCTGCTCAGCTGCGACCGTCAAAGCAAACCGAGGTGGTCCAGAGCATGGTCCACGAAGTGTCTGCGAACACTGGTCGGCTGATGTGGACACCAACCTCGCAGAATTTCGAAAGATGAGGGATGGAGGATACAAAGCTGGCGAAGCACATTTGCGGATGAAGCAATATCTGGGAACGAAACCTGAAGAGTATGAAATTAAGGACGACGATTCGGCGGAGACGAAGAAAGAAAAGTTGAGGATGAAGTCGTTGGCTGAGAACCCTGCCATGTGGGACGTTGCAGCATATCGAGTCAAAGAGAAGAACTACCACCACCGGACAGGTCTGAAATGGCGTATATACCCGACTTATGAATTCACCCACTGCATTTGCGACTCACTGGAAAATATTTCGCACAGCATGTGTACGGTTGAGTTCGAAACTCTCCGGCCGGCTTACAATTGGCTGTTGGAAGCGTTGGACCACAAGATAGTCAGTTCTGACGAGAAGGGTCCAATGCAAAGAGAGTATGGAAGGTTGAACGTTGAAGGCACAATTCTCTCGAAGAGACGGATTGAGATGCTTGTAAATGGTACCACAGTTGGTACTACTACACAAGCCCAGCCTATCGACCAGGTCACGGAGGGCATAGATGAGATCAAACTCGAGGAGGAGGGAGACGAGGAGTTTGACGATGCCGCAACGGCGACCGCCACAGCCGGAACAGCAGAGGGACGGAGGATTCCACCGGTGGTACGCAACTGGAACGACCCTCGACTCTTCACGTTAGTAGCTCTGCGACGACGAGGTGTCCCACCGGGTGCACTCAAAAAATTCGTCTTGGACCTCGGTGTCACCAAAGCCAATGCCAACACGATGACGCACAATCTGGACTCGACAATCCGAACCTACCTCGAGAGGACCGTACCACGACTGATGCTTGTATTGGATCCGATCAAGGTTGTGTTTGACAACCTTCCGGACGATTACATTGAAGAGCGAGAAGTACCCTTCGACCCGAAGGATCCCGCCAAAGGCACGCACAAGGTCCCATTTTCCAAGATCATATACATCGACCGCGACGACTTCCGCGAGGAAGATGACCCGGACTTTTTCCGACTGGCGCCTGGCAAGAGTGTCGGCCTGCTCAATGCCGAGCACCCAATCCGCTGCACATCATTCTCTAAAGACTCTGCCACGGGTAAGGTCAGCGAGATCCGGGCAGAATACGGCGCAGAGGTACCGGCTGGCAAAGCTCGTATCCACTGGGTCGGAGAATCTGCAGCACATAAATCCCCGATTCCCGCCGAATGCCGCATCTTCAATCCCTTATTCAAGTCGAGCAAACCCAACGAGTTGGATTGGAAGAACGGAGGATACTATGACAACGTAAACCCAGAGTCGGAAGTCATCTTCCCCAATGCCATGGTGGAATGTGGTTTCCGCGAGATCCGCGATCGGGCACCTTGGCCGAAGGAGGAGGGCGAGGCGACAGGTATGCAGGACAAGAGCAGTGTGCGCTTTCAGGGTCTCCGAACGGCGTTCTTCAGCGAGGATCTGGACTCGAGCGATGACAAGGTCATTCTGAACCGCATCGTTAGTTTGAAGGAGGATACGGGGAAGAAATAAGCTGGTCTGGGGAAATGATTGGGAACGCGTGGCCGGGACGATCGGGTAACATTGCCCCGGGCAGTCTGCCTGCGTGGGACGCGCAATGGTTGCGTTGCTGAATTTTTGTTCGTGGTCAGAGAGAGCGCGGCGCTGGCGGGATCGGAGAGGTTGTTTGGTGCGATTCTAGCTCTTGCATAGGAAATGTGACTATAGTAGTGGTGGTGAAGGTAGCGTCGTGCTATCAATCCGATAGTGGTTTGCAGCTATGCGTCTGGCTTATGGGCCACACGTGCAACATGTGGTAGCTCCTCCCCCTGTAACGATGCTGCCACATATCATCCAGGGAAATGAATTCCAAAAATGTTGCTAATCGCCTTGGACGGGATCTGACGGCAAGCCGAATGTCTCGCTTGACATCACGCCCGAAATTCAAGTACCTCAGAACTGGAGATGTCCTCGTTGTGGTGAATGGAACGATATTCATAAGGCAAGCGACGGGACGTGATGAGTCGTACCACCAGCAGGCAAGGTGCAGTGAGATCGTAACGCTCGATGAGCGACCACTTCGCACATCAACGAATTCCATGATATCAAAGTCATGCCTTCATTAGCCGACATGATCGGAGCATGACATCGTATTGAACCAGGATTCGGAAATTCCATTGACAAACTCCTTGACAACGGACGGGCGGAGAACTTTAGCCGCCAGGTCTCCTCTTTTTTTCTAGAGCAAATCGGCCGCCCCGATAGTCCATTGAAAGCCACATTGACAACGTTCACGATACCTAGTCAAAGATGGCCCTGACGATGGAAAACACGGTTAATATCGCGTGGTGTTGTCACTGCCCGATCTTTCGCCGTCCAGATTATGCCTCCGGAGGGTGAAGCCACACGCGGCAAAGGGCCGAGATCGCGAGGCGGTCCGAACGTCTGAGCCGTGCGTCCATGTGGTTGGTCATGGGGACAAGCACACGCATTGAAGATACATGTTGATTTGCGTTAGACACTGAAATCTCCGCTTCATCTCTATCGGAGTGAGTGGCAACAATACGGGGTATGCGTCAGTCACGAGATGGGAGAGTTGAGTTTCGAAATTCACCCAAGCGAAGGGTAGACGCTCATCACTGCCGAGATGGGGCATGATCCGCAACTGATCCGCGCAGCAAGCCCTACACGCCTTCCCGAAGCACCCAATTGTAACTGTATCATTATCTTTGATGCTCGATAATTACAGGACGAAAGAGGCGAGAAAGAGATGCCTGTTGGGACGGGGGAGAGGAATCGTGGAGAAACGCCCAGCCTCCTCCCACATGATTTTCGTGAGGGGAACCTTGAAGCTTTCGATCCTTCGGCGCGCGGCGACGAGTTGATGTGTGGGGAGGGCAGCAGTGATGTTGAGTGTGAGACGAGACGTGATTGAGCCTTTCCGGACGAGTCCCGCCATTTGGCTCAACGGCGGAAGGGAATTTTCATTTTCCCATAGAGAAATTCGCACCACCGGGAATCCGCGACCGATATCGTCACAATTATGATGGAAAGATGTTCGCGCCGGACCGCACGCACCGATCCATCGTTAGTTTTTCACCTGCGACTGGCAGAGATCGCTAAAATGATCCAGTAGATGACGGAAGGTTGCGAAGCTTTTTTCGCCCTGGGTAGCCATGGATTTTCCTATCCCGGGCAAGTCGCTGTGGAGAAATCCGGGAGGCCCCGTCTTTGATTTCACCAGACGGTGAATGCAGCAATCCATGGATCATAGAGAGGAGCACGCGATTGTTGACATCGGACGCTGCACAGGATGTGATATTGCTTCAAGGCATACATGGATGCGGAATCAATCATTCTCTGAGAACTGCAAATACTGGCAGTATCAGCAGTGTCAGTTTCCAGCGAAGACTGTCACTCTATCATTGGTTCGCCAAACGGCACACTCGGAACGACAGTTTTTGACTTTTGGGCTAAGATTTGCGTAGTTTAGCCTACACTTTACTAGCGAGGAAGCCACGATGTTCGCCTGCATATTTTTGGGATTTCACTGGAATAAGCCCAAGTGGGTGTGGTAAAGTTTGTTATCTTTTGCCCTGTCCTTCGTAATGCTGATGAAACTCAAATCGCTCGCCATTCGTCGTACAGCCGTGTGGGGTGAGGAATCCGACCCTGCTGCGTCTCAACAATCGCACATCGCGTAATGTGCTTTCATATGTGCAAGGGGTCATCCATTAGCATGGCACGGAATATCGGGCATTACGCCTGTTGATGCTTGACATGCCCTGCCGGAGTTGCGGAAGGTCGGAGCCAGTCGCCTGGACTGTACGTCCGGCGTGCTCTCGTCTACATCTAGACGGGATGATCCCGCAGCGCGCACCGATGCAGCAAGGCAGACTTTGTGTATGTGGTGCGTTGAACTGCAGGCGATAGCTCTGAGTGCAAGCATGTGATGAATGAGGGTAAAAAGTGTATGTACTGGTGGTGACATGGTGGCGGAGAGAGGTGTCGTGGATATATCCGTATGTTGTGTGAGTGTGTGTGTGTGGTGTGAACAGTATCTAGGGACATACCTGGAGTTAGGATTAAACAGATTATCCTTCCAGTTTAGATCCCTCGGTAGCGCCGCCACCACACCAGACAAAGGCGTCCCCCAGTGCGTCGTCGATGGCCTTGTGATGCCCACCAAGCCTTGCGGCGTTGCTTGTCAATGCTTTGCTATATAGTTGGCTTGCCTCGCAAGCGACCTGATCGGGGTAGCACTGTCTCTCGCCCGAGTCCTCTATCTTGTCGCCTTTCAACCTTCCCGACCGACCGTTGAGAATATCGCAGCGGTCGTCCCTGAACTCTTCTCGCCCATTGCGTGAGCGAGTGAGGAGCGAACGATCAAACATCCGCGACATCTTCCGCGAGACACAAGAGGATCTTCTCGTGAGACTCGTTGACGTGTGCAAAATAACCATCGCACGCTGCTCGTCGTGGGCTTAATTTCCCATTTACGCGAGACACTCCGCGCTAAATGTGAGTTGATCGATCCTCAACACTACTTGCAGCACCACGACACTCTTGATCCATACACACTATGCACCCACGCTCATTGCAATCACACGAGAGCTCGCCGTGTAGCACGTGGGCAGCCTATCGACATCGTCAATGAGACAAAATGGCGTGCTGCCAACGTAGTTTGTTCGAGAACCAGTCTCGACTTTGCAAGAGATCAACAGATCCTCCGTCGTCGTCTTCATAGAAGTTACCTGCTTTCACATATTCTCCTATCCTGCACCTCAGAGGCGCCGATCGCACTCGTTTCGTCCTTCGACCACAACTCCTCGTGGTCGTTCTCCCGCTGACTCGAAGATGAATAGCAAAATGAGTGACGAGAAGCACGACACTTCCGTCGACAATTGGGTCGAACGTCGCGATGACGACTCTCTCCCAGCCGCGGGTGAGACGCCCGAGAAGATGAGCGCGGGTCAATATATCGCGACACGATTCTCATCACTCAAGCCGCCCATGGACCGCGTAGAGAACCCCGTCACACTGTTGGCTTCTCTAAACCGGAAACAGTGGCTATTCTTTTTGATCGCCTTCCTCGGATGGACTTGGGTTGGTCTCTCTCCATGGATCCATGATTGTCAAATCATTATGCTTACATTAGCCATTAGGATGCATTCGACTTTTTCACTGTCTCTTTGACTGTCTCCGAGCTGGCTACAGATTTCAGCACGCCCGAGAGGACCGTCTCTACCACCGACATCACCTGGGGTATCACTCTGGTGCTGATGTTCCGCTCAGTTGGTGCCATCATCTTCGGTATCGCTGGTGACCGATATGGACGAAAATGGCCATTCATCGTAAACAACCTTCTGTTCATTGTGCTCGAGCTCGGCACCGGCTTTTGCACGACCTACGAACAATTCCTAGTAAGTTCAAACGTGAATCTAGCATTTCGCAAGGGTATTAATTTGCGTTCAGGCGGTTCGTGCGCTGTTCGGCGTAGCTATGGGAGGCCTGTACGGTAACGTGGCGGCCACGGCACTGGAGGATTGCCCGGAGCGTGCTCGCGGTATCATCTCCGGTATGCTTCAACAAGGTTATGCCTTCGGCTATCTGCTAGCAGCGGCCTTCTCGCGTGCGCTCGTCGACACCACTCCCCACGGCTGGCGACCGTTGTTCTGGTTTGGAGGCGCCGTCCCGGTCCTGCTCATCATCTTCCGATTCTTCCTCGGTGAGACTGATGCCTTCATCGAGCGTCAGCGTGTGCGCAAGGCCGGCGACAACGTTGGCAAGACTTTCATCCAAGAGGGCAAGGTAGCTCTCAAGCGCCACTGGCTCATTCTTATCTACATGGTCCTTCTCGCTGCCGGCTTCAATTTCATGTCCCATGGTTCCCAAGATCTTTACCCGACCCTCCTGAAGAACCAGTACGGATTCAGCGCCACTCAGGTTACTGTCACTCAGATTGTTGCCAACTTGGGTGCTATGACTGGCGGTACAACCATCGGTTATCTCTCCCAGATGTTCGGCAGGCGGTTCAGCATCATCGTCATCTGCATTATCGGTGGTGCCCTGCTCTACCCATACTCCTTCATCGGCGACAACAGTGTCATCGCTGCAGCGTTCTTCCAGCAATTCTGCGTGCAAGGCGCCTGGGGAGTCATTCCCATCCACCTTATGGAGCTCAGCCCGGGCAGTTTCCGCACCTTCGTGGTCGGTACCAGCTATCAGCTCGGTAACCTGGTTTCATCTGCGAGCTCCACCATCGAGTCCACCATCGGCGAGCGTTTCCCTCTGCCACCTCGCGGCACCACCAAGCGCTATGACTATGGAAAAGTGGTAAGTCCTGAAAGAAATACCCGCCTCCTTGTAGTTTTAATCTGCCTCAACTTGTGCTGACTGTTCGTTATCTTTTAGATCTGCATCTTCATGGCCTGCGTCTACGTCTATGTCATCATCCTCACCTTCATCGGTCCCGAGTACAAGGGTCGCTCAATGGCCGCGCATAACGACCGTGACCTCGCTGAGGCGACCAAAGGTGGCACCACCGACGACGTCGAGAAGGTCGCGCATCACGGTCGAACTGGATCGAGCGACGACGAGCAGGTCCACAAGGCGTAGAGTGGGTATGAGGTGGGTTTGATCGCTGTGGCAGATATCTGGTGTGGGAACGACGGCGGCTATGTCGTCCGCTACAATCTACAATTGTGCGAATCTTTGTCGCGATTTCCATACCAAAAATGCTTTATGAATGATGATCTGAAAATTTATGAAGGTATTTCCTCTTCACGAGTATCTCGTCGGTGTATCTGCTTTGACGGTGTGGGTCGTATGTAGTCTGCTAGACGATTGAGAACTCCCATGACCTGGATACGCACTCGCATTGGCGAAATGGCGAACCCGATTCACATTGCACCAGAAATTGAGCGGTCTCCAACGAATTTGCGCAAGTTACCTTGGTAGTCAAACCTCAAGAGAAACCCGGAGCCTTCCGCACAACCTCGGTGATGTCACGGCAACTTTTTGGTAATAGTGAACATGTAACGATTTCATTTGCGTGTCGCGAAGAGGAAATAGAGCGATCGCTCTAGCCAAAAACGCCTACGCTTTCAATCTTCAACCTCAAATTCCTCCCTTCTCAACAATTATCATCATCATCAATCTTCCTCCTCCACGGTGGCCTTCAAATTCCGATGCTGCACAGCCCCAGCATCTCCCGTGTCTGTCGCCGAAGTATGCGCCTCTTCGCCCGCCTCAACTTCTTCTCCGACCTCTTCCGCTTCCTCCTCGATCTCCTCCACAGTTCCTGGCTGTTGTGCTGCTCCGCCCTTGCGCTCGGCCTTTTCATTTCCCTTGGCCTCCCGACGCGCCTTCTTCCTCTGACGCTCCTCCTTCTTCCGCTTCTTGATGGCCAGCTCGTCCTCGTGCCAGGCCCAGAGCGGCTTGAACGAATCGAAAAATCCAACATCCTCGAACAAATTCGGGTAGAGCCACAGGCCCGGTGGCGTCACGAACATGGTAATGACGAAGAGTATCAATCGGAAGATGGCCATGGCGAAGAACAGACCCAGCAGACCCAACATGCCCATGCTGACATACCACACGCCCAAACGCAGATGGTATGGCCACACCGGGAAGAACACAACCGCTAGAATTCCGACCAGTGCGCCGACCGCAGCTAACCGGTTCTTCCACTGCGGACCTTCGTAGAACCAGGCGTAGTAGAACTCATCCGCGGCCTCCTGCTGCGGCTCAATTTTGACCGTCCACAGGCCCTTGACGTGCTTCTTCTTTCCGTGATCGTGGCCCTCGTGGCCCTCGGCCTCGTCGATCTTGCTGACGCGCAGCGCCAGGAACGACCGCGGGAGCAATTTGAAGCAGTTCTCCGCCGTCACCCGGTCGTTCACCTCGGGAAGCAACGGGTTCTTGGCCTGCGCCTTTTTGTACGCATCCGAGTGCAACGCCCGGATCGCACGCTTCACCTTGAACATCTGGTGCCGCTTCTCCTGCAGGATGCATGTGCGCGGCTTGAGGTCCTGGCTGCGCAGGAACGCCGCCAGCGCCAGGGATTCGGGAGTTGGTGGTTGGCCTTGTTGGATGATCTCCTGCTGGCCTGGTTGGGCGCCGCTGGCGGCGTGCTGGGCCTGTTGTTGCTGCTGTTGTAATTGTTGCTGTTGTCGCTGCTGCGCTTGCGCGATCAGTTGCGCTTTCATCCGTTCGACATATTCTGGGACGGTCAGCCCGGCCTTTTCGGCCTCGGCGGCGATTTGCTGTTGTATCTGTTGGATCTGTTCGGGTGTGGGTTGTTGACCGGGCGCAAATTGGATGGGAATGCCTTGAGGCTCGGGGCCTGCTTGCTGTTCTATTTCCGCCATCGCGAACTGTGTGTAGGATGTCGCTTGTCGGGTCAGTGGGAAAGTCAAAGGTTGCGACCCGAAATTTCGATGCGATTGATTTACTGGTCAATGGACCCAGCCAGTGACGACGTTGCCTCTTCGAAACAAGGGTCTTGGCGTAATAAGTTACAGCCGCGGTCCTTCAAATGGATATTTCCAGAACGTTTCAATGGAGCACTAGGATCGCAGGAAACATTATTATTGTTGCAGACACAGCATCCAAATATACTGCTGATTTTAAATGCTGCAACAAGAGACACATGTCTCGAGAATTTCCATGCTTACATCTGAATAGGCGGTTATCAATATTTTCCCTTACAACTGCTTAGTGCAGCTACACAGCACGTCTAGAGCACAATAATTTTAGGCACAATGCTTCTGGACTTTCGATTGGGCCCAGCTGGCACTCGTAAAGAAGATCTAAATGGTACAGGAATGCAATGAATGCCAGCACGCCGGAAATAAAAGTGTTGTTACAAAACCACGTTGAAAATCACCTCCGGCGAAGATACCAGTTAAATCCCAATGCCATCGTCTCTGCTGAATATGGCGTTGGCACCTCTGCAAGTCCTGGTCGAGCAACAGGATGTCGCACGTAGACGGCCGAACAGATGTTCTGGTTGACCTCCAGATATCTCGGAATAAATGCGAAGGCACTCATGTAGTCCCTCGGCTTCCAAGGGGTGGCATAGGGTTTCGAAGGGTCATACGGGTTCTCGCGAACTCGCTCTAACGCAGCAGCCAACAATTTCGCATCTTTCTGAATCTTGTAATTGTCGGCCTTGTCAGCCTTAGCCTGAGGATTTGACGGAGCGTTGGATCCAGCAGTGGTTGCGGCGGATGTCGGCGTTATCAAGGCGCCAGCAGGGACTTTGCCGAGAATCTCTGCCAGATTTGCTTGCATCCCTTCGATAGTTTCGTCCAGCTGCGATTCCGGAACACCTCGATATTGCGAGAGCAGCTTCTTCACGGATTTGCTCAAGTCACGCAGCTCACGCTGACGCTTCCCGGAGAGCTGGTCTCTCGCATCCTCCAGAATGGATCTCGTCCTTTCCATAAGTGCTCTGAGTTCCTTCCTCGCTTCGCCCTTCGTCTCTGCTGATGGCTCCACTGGCTCGGACTGCACCGGCTCGACGATCTCGCTTTTGACTGAAGTGCCCTCGCTCGTTTCGCCCTCGGCTGTCGTTTCGCCCTCGGCTGCAGCACCTGATTCGTCTACAGCCTTCTCAGCCTCGGCGTTATCAGTCTCTTCGTCCTTTTCCTCCTTTTCGACCGGGTCCTTCCGAGCTCCTGTGGCAAACATGACCCGTTCGGGATCCACGGAGAACATATCGCCAGGATTTAGCTGATAACTTGGGTACTTCATCTTTTTCCCGTTGACTTTGACCCATCCGTGTGTTACGAATTGCCGCGCTTGGCGGGTTGAGCTGGCGAAGAGTGCGCGAAATATTGCCGTGTCTAATCGCCGCTCTAGAGGGTGAAATGTCATGTGCATGTAAGGAGTCCGCTCTGCGGCTCTCTTTCGCTCGTATCCTGCATTTTCCGCAAGCTTTTCGACACCCATACCACGACCTTCTGCTAACTCGCTGCCGTCATATCTTGCTAAATATCGATGATCCATGGGTACTACCGCGGGCAAACGTCGATCGAACATTTTGGTCCAAGTCCCTTCTCGCACATCGGGGTTGTGGTACGCGCGCAGCATACTCTTGGCGGTCCATTTTTGCTGAAAGAATGTCCTGTCACGAATCTGAGGATTTCCCACGCGTGAAAGGTTATAAAGGTTCCATTTCGACCAATCTTGGCGGATATTCTGCGATACAGAATCAGCAATGTGGACGATTTGACGATAGTCATTCTGTTCAAAAGACTCACCGGCCGCTTCAATTGATGAAGGCGCTTTGTGCGCGGCATTGGAACGAGATGTGGAGATTCGCTATGATGTTGGCGAGAACTCTCAATACTCGTCAAGTCTCGTGCCCTTGTCAACCCATTCGTCGCATCGAGGTCAAAATTCGCCGCGGAGGTCTTCGGATGCTCCCGTCGACTGACTCAGTGCCGCTATGCGTCACGGTTCGCGTGCAAGTGCACTTATTAAGCCCCGCCGCCGGATTTCCATTGGCGCCAGGAAGAAAGCTCTGCATTTTTGAGCTCCGAAAAGTTGCCGATGATTGGCGCGCAAATTCGATATTTGCTATTGACGAGGCTTTCACCCAAATTTATATATTGTTCGCCGGTTTGCATTAACTTCGCGACTGAAAATCATGGCCGACACTGAAGCAAAGCCTGCGGCGACGGGCGCCAAGCAAGATCGAGACAACAGAGAACACGGACGCAACGATCGCGATCGCCGCGACGGTCGAAGCGGTGGACATCGTGGTGGTGGACGCGGCGGTGGACGCGGTGGAGGGCGAGGCAACAACCGTGGAGGTCGAGGCAGCCGTGGAGGCTCACGAGGTGGCAATCGCAACTTCGACTCGAAACGTGACGACCGCAAGACCCGACACGATGTTCCCAGCGACGACCCGGACGAAATCCGCAACCAGGTCGAGTTCTACTTCTCTGACTCAAACCTGAGCAAAGACAAATTCCTATTTGAACAGTCTGGAGGACCGGAGAACAAACCCATCCCCGTGGACACGATTGCTTCCTTTTCGCTTATGCGCCGCTTCCGCCCGATCGAGGCCGTCATCAACGCACTGAAGGAGAGTGACGTGTTAGACATCTCAGATTCGAACCAAATCACGCGCAAGACCCCGCTTGTCACGCTATCGAACGACTTCGAGGAGAACAAGAAGCTGTTAGTAGAGCGCGCGTTGCCCGTCACACTGTACGTCAAGGGGTTCCGCATCGATCAGGACTACAGAGACTCGCAGCGCAAGGTACAGGAATTCTTCAAGCCATATGGCATTGTTGAAGTCCGCCTTCGTCGTCTCGGCGATGCGAACAAATTATTCAAGGGCTCTGTTTATGCAGAGTTCCCCGATGTAGATTCTGCCGAGCAATTCCGGGCCAAGAAGCACCACTTCGAGGGTAGGGACCTCGAAGTGCTATTCAAAAAAGACTACATCAAGCGCGAGGTGGACATCATCATGTCCGATTATGATGTCGCGGATCTTGAAGAAGGCAAGCGAGAGGATGCCATTGCAGAGGGACGCAAGATTCTTGAGCAGGAGTACATGGAGCCTCAGGCGCCACTCGTCAATGATGCCAAGAGGAACGGTGCCCAGTCAGAGGAGACAGATGCTGCCAAGAAGGACATTCAGGAGCGTGTCGCGAAGGCGAAGGCGAAGTATGTCGCGGCTCAGGACAAATTGCGTGAAGAGCGACGTGCGCAGCGCGAGGCAGAGAATGGCGCGCGCAACAAGGACAAGCGACGCGGCAATGGTAACGACAACCAGAAGCGGCCTCGCGAAGACGACCAACAGGACAACGAGCCGGAGGCCAAGCGTCCTCGCGAAGACGAGGTTGCGGCTGATCGCGAGACTGCAGCGGAGACGGATGCAGCTGCCATCAAGCCAGAGGAATCTACCACCACCGCAGCTGCCGACGACGCCCAGCCCAAGTCTGAAGACGTCGCTGACGAGAGCGCGGACGCGAAAGTACCGGCAGCAGAGTGAAGCAGATTCTTCAAACAATCTACCTCTCGTGTCCCTTTTTAGGTCAAATAAGCTCATTGTTATGACTCTCAATCAGGCAGTGCCTACACGAAATCACGGGGTTTCGCTCCAGAGGAAGCAGAGGGCCCTTCAATACTGTTTGCATATTTCGAATCGCGTATCTGGGCGTGGCACATCTGGGTTCAGGGCCTCAATAAATATTGGAATGCGTGCTGTGAGGCACGAATTGATTGTGCCCATTGGGGTCTGCAACATTACGATTACGGAGCGGAAAAGCTTATAAACTGCCAGCTGATGAACACTACCCATCGCTGATGTGTATCTCATAGACCATGCAACCAAAAATAATCATTTTCATGAAAAAGCCACTGCATTCGCGAGTTCGAGTGATGCTTCTTGCGTTCCACTGTGTCATATTTCTCATAGCCTTCGATGACTCTAAAGATCCCTGAAAAACTCCGCCATTGTCAGGGGCTTCCGAACAGCATTGGAATAGCCCTCGTTGTAAGCAATGCGGACCGCAGAGCCCTGCCTGCTCTTCTCCTGCTGTCGACTTTTCTGCTTTGTCTCATCTGACTCACTGCCAGCCGATGGCGGCGCGGCCTGCACGATGGGTCGGCCGAAGAAGTCCCTTGCAATGCGCTTCTTGGCTGGTTCAAGAGCGTCAGGGTCATCGCCCTCGCGGTCTGCACCGATTCCCGAGCGTTTCGTAGTTGCCGGTGCCGATCCGCCCATCCGCGCTGCCCTTGTCTCCTCTGCAAGTCGGAGCTCCTCCTTGCGCCACTCCTGTTCGAGGACTTGACGGACTGCGTATCGCGTCGTCTTGTTCGCAGTGTCGCCGACAGCAGCCGCGAGGGCTTTGCCGCCGGTTTCAAAGGTGCAGAGTAGATCCACGGGCGGCTCCATGCGGTAGATGAACTGTTGCGAGCCCCATGCAGGGCCACCGCTTGCGTTCTCTTGCGATACTCTCATGCGGTCGAAGCGAACACCACTCGCGCCCATGGCATTGAGCGATCGTTTCAACAGCGTCTGCTCGGAGGCTTTGCGTACGGAGGCGATACTAGCACCTTTTTCCTTTCCGCTGCCGGCGATGATGACGGGGTTGACGTCAGGAGACAGCATGCGCAGCAGATACGGCTGTAAGTCCACGACGATGTCGGCTGGAGAGCTGAACATCCTTGTAAGGGGTAATGACAAGGAAGTCTGGAGCGACTTGAGGTGCTCCGCGTTAACCTTATGTGCTTCGTGCGCTGCCCATGAAGCATTTGGTCCTGTAAATGGATGCGGGGCCTCGCCTTCGGTCTCAACTTCGTACGTGGGACCTGCAGCAGCCGCCTGGAACTGTGCTCTGGTAGGCGAAGCGAAAAGGTGGTGGAATGCTAGAATCGGTGAGCTCAGATAAGGAGCGAGCTCCCATTCATTGCTGCTGAAGACAGCGCTGGAGAGCCGGTCGTGAAAGTTCAGCCATTCATAAGCTGCGTCAGGTTTTGAAAGGTAGGTGTCGTCTTGGAACGGTCGATCTGGATATGATGTGAAGCAGTCCATGGCGATGCGATCAGTGTCACCAAGAGTGTCAATGAGCTCGCGCAGACGTTGCGTCGCTGTCCGTCTCAGGCCTTCAGCGACACCTTTGACACCTTTGTTTCCTGTCTGATGATCGGGAGTGGACAGGTTGACAGTTTTTGGAAAGCCAGCGCCTTCCTGGAAGACACGATCTGCGATATCCTTTGGACCTCCTCTACCAAGACCTCTTGCAGCACCACCGCCATGTGCAAGATCTCGTAGCACATTGTCCTCAACCCACTTCCGTGTCAAGCAGACGCTGCTGTCGTTAGTTGCTCGCAGCTTACGCGCAACCCATTCTCCAACCACCATGATTCCTCGCATGTCGCCTTCACCAGCACCATTGCCATGTCTGTCTTCTTTCTTATTGCTCACACCCCAGGTCGCTTCACATAATCTTCTGACACCATCAGTTTCGCACGGCACGTTTTCCTTGACGAAGATTGTCTGTAGCCGAGATATCAGACTGGTGACAGCCGGTTTTCGAACATGGATGACTTCAGCCAGTGAACTTTGTCGTAGAGGTCGCAGCGATGGGTGGTAGACGTCGTTGCAGACCAGTATCAGGGGTCGTAAAAGCCTGAACCGATCGCCCTTCTTTTTCCTTGTGGGGGCTTGTTGCAGAGTGCCCAGCACTGTAGAATTCTTCTGATCAAGCAGAAGTAGATCGATCAGGGCTTTGATGAAGCCACCTTCACCACCAGCACCGGCACTGCCGCTGACGACGCCGTCGACTTCATCTACGATTACGCAGACAGGCTTCCCGGCCTTTCTGGTCTTTCCATTGGCAGTTTTAACATCAACGCCTTTGACGTTTTCCGTGCCGACCATATCTCGAATCCGTCCTTTCACGACAGAGCTACTTCGCTCATCGCTTGCGTTGATTTCTTGGACTTCATAACCAGCCTGTTTGGCACAAACATGTGCCAGAGTAGTTTTGCCGAGTCCAGGGGGCCCTGTCAACATGAGAATTTTGCGATGGGGTTTTTCCTCGTTGGCATCGTCATTGGAATTCAATCTAAATTTGGGCCTGGATCGTGCAGAGCCAGGGAAAACAATCTGGTCCCAGCATTTAAGCCAGTGCATCACAGAACGATGAGTGCGCTCATCGCCAATCAAATCCGTAAATTTCCTGGCGCGATACTTTTCGGTCCAAAGAAGGGATGGTTTTGAATGATTCGAGACTGGTTCTGCAGGGGGCGATGGTAGTGGAATACTGGCTACAGCGGCCGCTTCTATGACAGCCTCAGCCTTTGCTTCCTCTAGCAGCTTGTTGACGTCGATGCCGTAATATGTCTTCTGGGCTTTGACGGCTCGAGTGAGCGTGCTTGTGCCCAAATCGAGTTCGGTTCTTTTCCTTTTCCTCGGAAAGCAAGGACTTGCTGGTGGCGAGGACGGCATGAGAGCCATTTGAGGAGGGGATGATCCGTCTGGTATGTTACAATCGCTGTGAAAGACGTCTTTGGTTTTCCAAGATCTATGCTGAATGACAATGCCTGCGGCGGTCTTGGAGCGTCTAGTCTCAATCTCAGTTTCGTGCAGAGCGACGATGTCGTCCGAAAATGAGGTTGGCAGCGTGTCAGAACTATGTAATCTCGTGGGCGATGAGCACAATAGTTCTGCGAGTTCGTCAGAAGTTGGCTCATCCATAGTATGCCAGATGTGTTTCTGGCATTAATTCCAAGTCCGAAGCATTACGCGTGTTTTGGGGAGACGCGTTAAGTGGACATCGCGTCGCGCAAGACAAAAGTCGTGGGCGGTTGTTTGACGTCCAGGGCTCAAACACTTCTTCGGTCACCCGAATATAGCCCAGCTGTTTCTCATATTTACATGCACAGGTGGAAAACTTACCTGCATCATCACTCTCAGATATTATTGCTATCGGCGCCTTTGATTCCTGTAGAAAGTGCACTCAAACGGTCATAATTTTTGCAGCCTTTACAATTTTGGAATTTTTGATCGATTCATTTACGTAAAATGCAGCAGTTGCACCGTATCTATTTCTTCATCACATCGTTGCTCGCAGCAGGAAGTCCAAAATGACCCTTTTCGGCACACAATTACGCCTCCTCGACCTCGGCGGGTGCGGCGCCGTCAGCATCAGCCGGCGCGTCCTTCATCTCCTCGTCCGGCTTTGAGGACTTGTTAGCCTCCTCGGCCTTTCGCTTCTCCTCCTCAGCCTTGCGACGCGCTTCCTCTTCGACCTTGCGTTTAGCCGCAGCCTCTTCCTGGAGCTTCCTCCGGGCTTCGTCCTCCTCCTGGCGCTTGTCGTTGAATCGCTGAATGATCGGGCCTGCTGATGCACGGAGCTCGTCCAATTTGGCAATGTACTGGCCCTTGCTAGCGTCGTCACCATCGTCGTACAACCAGTCCTGTGGCGGAACATCGTTAGAAACATGCCAATCATTTTGTCGTCCAGAACCGCATCACTTACCTCCAGTTGTGAGCACTTCTCGCGGATCTTCTCCTTCTCTTGCTCGCTAGCAAAATCGGAGTAGCCGTTGCTTGTGTAAGGCTCGTCAATTCTTGATCGCATCGAGTAGATCTCGGACTCAAGTTCGTTCTTCTTGTCCTCGGTCTCGGCGACCAGCTTGTCCTCTGCGATCATTTGACCTTCTTGCTCGAGAAGCAAGTCCTTGCTTGCTTGGTCAAGAGACGCAGTGCCCGCAGAGAGGGGCAAGTCGCCCTTGGTGACTGCTCGCTTGACTTTGCGTGTCTTGGGTGCAGCCTTTGCGTCGCCCTTCTTGTCATCAGTATCCATGGCCTACCGAAATGGTTAGTCATAAGCACGGTCTAACATACGCGCGTAGAGAACTTACATCCGCGTCTTTTGATTCAGGAATAGGCTCCTCGAACTCCTCATCCTCGACGTAGTAACCCTTGTCAAGGTTGAGAATACCGTGAAGGTTCACACGCGCCTTAAGCTTGCAAACCATGAAGTCGTCCTTGCTGTCGGCCTTGACACCCTTCACGCTGAAGCGACCGATCCATGGGTTGACCTTGCCCGGAAGGCCTTCTGGCTTAGCGTACCTCGCCTCGAGATCAAATGCTTGCTTCCGGTAGAATGTGAGAATCTTGGTCGATGGCATGGGGTTGCCCTTGTTGAAGACTGTGAGGTTGGTGTCTTCGTCCGGGATCTCAGGAGATTTCTCCCAAGCGAATTCGATCGGGTAGCTGACGATGTCCTGGACGCTGAAATCGCGAACGCGGAACACGGGTGACAGAATAGCGCAGCTGAATGCACAACCTCGAGCAATCGCCTCGTCAGCGTTCATGGTGAAGGATAGCGGCTTGCCGAAGAAGTTCTGGATGGCAGCCTTGAGTGCTGGCACACGGGTACAGCCACCGACCAACTCAATCGAATCGATGTCCTCAACCTTGAGCTTTGCCTCAGTCAAGGCCTGCTCAAGCGGAACAATGGATCGCTCCAGGAGGGGCTTGAGAAGTTCCTCCATCTCCTCGCGCTTCAATTGTCCACGCACATCCACGTCATTCATGAGAGATTCGATGTTGATCGGGGCAACGGCATTGGCGGAGAGAACCTTCTTCAATTTCTCCACAGCGGCAGCGACACGCACTCGCGCTTTGGGATTCTCATTGATGTCTAGAGAGGAAAATTTGGTTAGACTGGGCAGCGACAATGTTGAGAAGAAGAATTGTACTAACCGATCTTGTTCTTCTCCTTGAACTCCTTGCGGAAATGATCGATGATGGCCTTGTCGAAGTTTCGTCCACCAAAGTGGCGGTCATATGCGGTCGACACCACCTTCAGCTCACCCTTCTTGAACTCGCAAATCGAGCAGGTGTAGTTGCTGTGTCCGATATCCACGAATGCCACTCTGCGCGGCTTCTCCTCAGCAGATGGCAGGTCGACCTTTGTGATACCGTAGCCCAGCGCAGTCGCAGTGGTTTCGTTGATCAAGCGCAGGACCTTCAGTCCCGAAATCTCGGCGGCGTCCAGAAGGCTGCGTCGCTGAGCGTCTGTGTACCAAGCCGGCACCGCAATAACCATGTCGTTCACGGGCAGTTTCAACTCTTTCGAGGCCGTCTCCCTAACCTTTGTCAAGAACATGGCGGCCAACTGGGTTGCCGTAAACCTCTCTTTCTTGCCAAGGTATGTAACCTCAGCGCCGACCTGTCCATTGACATCAACCAGCAGCGCTGACAGGTATTCCTGCTCAATCTGGACATCGGGATCGTTAAGAGAGCGGCCTGCCAATCGGGTGAGGGAGCCGACGGTGTTCTTCAAATTTGACACTTCCTGGGTCTTGGCAGCTTCACCAAGGTATCTGTTCTTTGGACCGAATCCCACGAGAGATCTGTGCATGTATTAGATTTCAAAATGAAATGCCGAGAGTCTTTTGGAAACTTACGGTGTGGCTCTGTTTGAAACTTCGTTGGCGATGACATCAACACCTTTGTTACGGGCGACCGCCTGGGAGAATTGTCAGTCACAAAAAGTCACGTCTAATTCTGATTGATCAACTTACGATCACGGCATTTTGCGTGCCGAAATCGAGTCCAACGACACTCATCTTGAACGTCGATTTATGGAAGCTAGAGATCGAAGAGGGAGCACTAGGGTTGTGCTGGCGATGTTGCGGATGAGAGAGCGAAGTAGGACTCTCTCACAAAGATGCTGAGATGGTGAACTGTAGCGAGAGGAGGTTTGAGAAGTAACGGATATTATCAGCTCAAGTTTCGACACTCAATTCCTGACACTTCTGCATTCGTCGCTTAGACTGCTGGTTGCTTCGTTGTCCAGCGGAATTTTTGGACGCGAAATTGCGGGAACTTTCGAGAAACCAGCTTGGCGCCCGCGGTTCTGAACACATCCCACCTTCAATGTATGTGAAAAATCACGTGGAATGGGATTTGCCCCGCCATTCAATCGCTGCAGCAACCCACTCGCAGCAGAAATCCTTCACCATCGCTAGCTTAGGGTTGTGGCCTCAGAATTCCGTCATGGCTGGGGTTCATTAACCACCTGGGCACTGCAGTAGAAGGGTTGTTGTTGACAGGTGCTCTTGCAAATGCGAATGGTTGCTATAGCCACCTGCACTTTGTGTTAAAATAATATGAAGGTGTGCACATGCAAGTTGCTTATGGCTCCAACGACGTCCAGTTTAAGCGTCCCAGTTGCGGGTTATTCCAGCATATCGTTGCTTCAATAGCGCATTTGGCGTTCTCGGGATGTTCGTATCAACATCCTGCCGGGTCGTTCCCTCGGTGAGATCGAATGTGACTGGAATGGTACGTCGATGGAGATTCTGATGCTGGGCCAAGGCAGGCGGGCAAGCATTGGTGCAGTACATTTTGGAAGCGAATGCAGAGTTTCACTCCACTTTGGTGTCCCTGCAACGACTGATCATCCGGTCTGCCTCGGAGACGATCGCCAAAATATCATCGGAGCGCATTATACACCGTTGAGGGCAATCGTCAAAACATTCCAAATGTCGCCGCATCTCGCTCGAAGCATGGCTGCAGAAGTGGATTACTGACCCACGGACTCATCGTGCACGCCTAGGTGTGTGTTAGCCAGTCAAAGTGAAGGATTTCCCTCCAGGGCTCCTTCAGGAGTCCTCGCCCACACGGAACTTGACGTGACAGTGATGGTGGTGATGACTATGCACTTCTTCAACCCCGGGTTGACCCCTCGACATGACGGGAGGGCTGCGACCCGATTCGTTGCTGTCGTGGACGCGAAGTTCGGCTCGTCTTGCATCAGGCATATTCAACATGTCACGGGATCGATGATGAAGGTGCGGACAGTCGAGACCTCAACGATCACTCTCTTCAATGCACGCTAAAATGACCTCAAATGGACTGTCATCTATTACCAGCCAAGCCGGAACGTTTGCAGTCGATCGGAAATCGGCATCATGGAACCAGCCGAAGGTTTGCGATTAGCTCCTGTCTTGTGCGAAAACCTAATCTGTGTGAACATTGCATCTCTTTGTCATAGATGGCGATGATCCCTCAGGCAAAGGCCACTCTAGCGTCGGTGTGACACATAATAGACAGGCGATATAATGCGTCGGTGGCCGTCACGGCCGTACGCAAGCCAAAGTGCATACATCCCCGTCTCAGCAGATGTTGCAGTATGCCGCTTGCCATGCCGAAGCCCTGAATGGTCGTTGGTGGGGATTCATGTATTGCACGTGGGCGAGAGACTCATTCAGAGTCACTCTTATCGAGCCGTCGAACCATATAACCGTACGAACCAAGGACTCATCCTGCAATTACTTTGCATGGGGTCGTCTCGCGGCATAAGGGTGCGAGTTCCGGATGTTGCAGGAGGGAAGCGTCTGGGGACTTGCAACAAAATCACGGTAGCCAGTCGTGATTGAGAGATGGACTTCTCCCATTGCAGTTGCCTGCATAAAATCATAAGACGATGTGGTTGGCCGGAACGTTCTGGTTTGGGATTGTGATGCAGCAGTGGTGATGTTTCCTGCCGGCATTTGGGATGCCCGTGCAGCAGCACAGGCGCCCTAACGTGTGTGCGGCTAGCGGCTAAACCGCATCGGAGCGAAGCTGCAGGACGACGCTCGCGGAAATGTCACCTCACTTTTTCCATCGGAATGGCTGGTGGAATGACAGCGCCATCTGCATCTGTTGATGAAAGAGATAAGATGTGTCAGCGGTGTTAATTCTTTGGGTGAATCTGTGCATGATAGATTTCGGTAGGATGATTCAAGTCTGTTGATCTTAATGCCTGCGGAGAGTTTCGGTTAAAGCATCGAGACCGAACGCAAGTGAATCTCAGTCTTCGAGGGCTCTCGGTCGCAAGGGATGCGCTTCTTCACGTCAAAGCGTTTCATGCGATCTTCCATTTCCAGCGCACGCCTGATTGTGCAACAGCATGTCAATTACGCGTCGTGAACGGACATGGGTCTGACTTGCGAGGCTTCAGGTTGTTCGCGGCAATACGGGCAATCGGAGACCTTTCGGCATGGCCAATGCTGTTGTGCAAATTAGGCTTTGGCTACCTGACAACCACACGATTTGCCGTCAGTTTCTCCACTGCCTTCGTGAAACTCAACTTCGGGACCATTTCTGTGGCAGACATTTGGACTAACGACGCCCGGGTTTGCTATGTATACTATGTACACAGTGCAGGTCCGTCGAACGCAGGTGCCTTTGAGCATTGACTACGATGGACTGAGATCCGCTTCGTGGTGTGATGGAACGACGAAGCGCCGGGAGGATGGTGGTGCCGGGGATTTGGTAGCGTAGAAGTCATCACCTCATAACCTTTTGTCCAGCTATGTGCATTCGATTTCCTCCCTGCTCCCGGCCTCGCATGCCCGCCATCGCCCACTACACCCAAAACGAGCCTCCCGTGCACCGGCCCGTTCGGAGTGTCCAGCACGAAGGATCTGCCCTTGAGGAAAAGGGTTACTCTGTGGGTGAAATACTGCAGCGCGCACAGCATGTAGAAATCGCCTCTTGCGCGGTGGGAAGCCCTTTCGGGTGAGTCGAGACAACCATGATTTGCCGTGATGCAGCTCGGAGATATTTGTGCACTGTCTGTGATTTGAAAGAGATCCCCTGTAGGCCAGATCTCTGTGGGATGGACGTATCACCACACCTGCAGCAACTCATTGATCTTGTTCATCTTGGACCACACCTGTCAAGTCGACCCTCCTTTATACTCTATCGCTCTCCCGGGCCTGTCCATCTGTGATCATTTCGGTTTCGCATTGCAGGTGCTGCTAGGACGCCTCATTGTACGACCATCCTCATCGGTCGAGGTTGCCGCGCTCCTACAATATAAAGCTGGGCGTCTATCCCGATCTTCTGTCTTGGCCCCGACACTTCAAGCAAATCCTCCAATCTATACCAAGAGTGCAGACCGACCGACCGACTGTGGTGACCGTCTTTCGACCTGCTTCTCATCCACATACCACGGGAACGTTTACTATATTACTCGCTCTGCCACCGCGATCAATTTGAAACACCCGACAATCAGCACCAAACTGGCGTCGAGTAGCATTGACCGCCTTTTCGACGAGATCGTTCTAAGTCAGAAGTCCTCCAAGGTAGACCTCCTCTCGCACAATGCTTCGTCGTCTTCGATGAAAATGTCTGACCCAAAGCAACAACAGATGGCCCGTCCCGTACACTGCACACACAGCTTCGAGGCACTCAAGTCGACGACATCGCTCATCCTATGGAATTGCAACATGTGCCACTCCGGACCACACTGGTGGATCTGGGAATGTCAGAAGTGCAAGCTCAAGGTCTGCACCCCTTGTTCTGAGAAACTTCCCGGGGGTGCCAACAAGCCGAGCCACACCAAGCGTTGAGGGTAGGCTTCACCTGCCATTTCCTGTCCATGTACGGGCAGTCTGCTGATCTCGTCTTCTTCAGGTTGTGTCTCCCATCTTTCCTGGGTCCGAATTGTTTCCATCCTGCTAGCAAGATTTCTTTCCAATAGGTGGCCGTCGTTATTTTACATACCTTGACGAGCGAGGAGTTCTGGAGCGGATTTGTCTTTGGAGGAGTGGTTGGCCTTTTGTTTCTTGATCACAGCGATGATACACACGACGTCAAATGATGGTCGACGTTTTTGTTTGGGCTGGCATGTTCGCGAGAACTTTGTTGATAACTTTGTTAATGTACGATCTTACGAGAAGAGAGCTGGATGGCGTCGCGATATGGTCGAGCCTGTCATCTTCGTATACAATTACTTCCAAGGTTGCCTTGAGCCGACCTTCAAACCCCACTCGAGAGTTGTTGATGCAATATGTGCCTATGTTCTCGTAAGCCGATGACACGCCCTGATGTAATTATTGCGTCCGCCATGGGTACGACGAAGCAGACGTGTTGACGATGCGGGTCAGAGGTCCACTGAGCGAGGTCTGATAAGATATTTGATTTCAACTATTGATGGCAGTGACAAACAGTATCTTAATCATCATTTCAAGACCTCCCCTCTTCCAATCGTTCCTCATGACTGTCGCTCATCAACCAGACTCTTCCCCGATGCTCCGTTCCGATGACGCAAGTGCTGATTGGCGATGTCGTGTCGTTAAAGCCGACTGCTTAGTTGGGGCAGGTCTAATCCTCACAGCGTCAGCAACCGGCAACACTTACTCGTGACTTGGAGAGGCATCGAAGACAGCAACGATGACACGTCACTCACCGCACCGCACGAGCCGCAGGTCTTGCCGCTGTCGATGGACGAGCCGCACGAAGGACCTTGATGGATGGTCAGTACGCGATGTGGCGTGAAACACAGATCCGTTTCCGCGATCGATCTACGCACAGGAGGAGTGGTTCATGATGGCGATTGGTGGTGCTAGGTTGCAAGTGAGATGTCTTGTAAAAGTTCTTTATCTGGTGGGTTCGAATGACAAGTATCACAGCCGGGACAGGATTGTCACGACGAGCGTCTGACGACCTTTATACTGCACCCTCGCTTTCGACCACCTGACTGCCGCTGACTGATTCCAGAGTGGGCGGCCCCAGTGAATGCCCAGGTGGAAGGCACATTCTCCGAGAGCTCCCCACGTCAAAACCCGGCCGGTTCTCGTACATCGCGAGTTCTTATCAGCATACAGTAAGGCCCGGTGATGAGGCACGGCTCTCCAGTGGCGGGGTAAATAATATCCCCAGCGTGGGCGGGCGAGCGGGCGACGGAGAGCCGGATGAATAAGCGCAACTGGGGGCATTTTCTTGTGATTATTACTGGAGCTCACTTGGGCAGCAGCGATAACAAAAACAATTACAGCACTCACTGTACGCATCGCTATCCTGAAATACACCAGCGACGTTGAAGGGCGCCATTCCGTTCTGAGAGTGGGAAGATCGTGGACGAGGCGCCGGATGTGGCAACATCTCCGCCAATTCTCTTGTGCACTGGGCGTACAGGTGATCAATTCTGGAAATCTCAGGGTACAGAAGCCGCCGTTTAGGTATGATGAGAAGACGCCCGACTGATGAACCACTACCATTTTCCGACATCGAAATGCCACGCTGCTCATCATTCTCAAGCTTGCACAACGGCTGGGTACCGAACCTTTGATCCGGACGTCAAATGCAGGTGGGTGCACATGAGACGCACCTACAAACGACCGACGATGAGACAACGGCGCAGTGCGTATCATCTCCATAGCGATTATGATAATACAAAGCTGCACCCGGGCAGCTGTTCGGAGCCAGTCCCTCTTTCATCATTTCCCCAGCGCCTCCAGAATCCATCCGTCTGGACTTTCTGGGTTTGGCCTGTGCGTCCCCGCATCCACCTTCACGCCAAGACGATGTGACGATGCGTCTCAGGCGTCCGATTCGCTCTTCGTCTTCGTCCTGTCATCTCTTTCCACACCCGCTCCGTGCGCCGCAGACGTCGCGGTGTGAAATGATCGTCCGTATGGAGCCACTGCCGTCTCGAGAAGCCAACTTCTTCGGACTGACGGAGTGTGACCTTCCGAAATGGCTCGGCGATCCGGCCAACGCGATCGCTTTCGGTGTCGTAATAGCCGCCACCCTTTTAGACCCAGTGACCATACCGCGAGCCGATTTCCCACACCTCTGCGGACGGCGGAGAATAAACCGGATTGACTCGCGCAAGTAGCGGCGAAAGTCTCACATCGTATCCACATGGCCCCCGACACGACCGTCTCAGATGGCCGGCGGTGTTTGTATATATTGTAGACACTCCTGCTCCGGACAGGGTTGATCGCGACTTGAGGACATCGCTCACGAAGTCGATCTTCGTCTGCAACGGTGGACGATTCGCACACGAAGCCGTTTCCTTTCGTTCATTCTTTTATCCATTCAAGATGCTTTCTTCACTGTTATTGATCCCGGCTCTCGTGTGTGCGCAAGGCTTCGCGTCGCCTGTTCTGAGGCGTCAGGCTCCAAGCTTCGTCTTTGACGGAGATGCCCCGTTCTCCGTGGACGATGAGACACTAGCCGCGGCGTTGACCTGTCCGAATGGAGCCCCCTCTCAGTCTTCTCCGCCTGTGCTGTTGGTCCACGGCACGGCGGTGACTGGCGATGCGACCTGGGGAGAGGGCTACGTGCCTGCTCTGTTGGCGGATGGGTACACCGCCTGCCATGTGACGTTACGTGAGTCGTGCAATCTCGACCGAGGGAGAGGATCCATCGTACTGATGAGCTTGACCAGCCGGACGGGCCATGGGTGACATGCAGATCTCCTCCGAGTACATAGCCTATTCGATCCACCACATCTCGCAGATCTCAGGGGGTCTGCAACCCGCCATCGTCGCCCACAGCCAGGGCAACCCGGACACACAATGGGCGCTGCAGTTCTGGCCCAGCACGCGCCGTGTCGCGCGGGCTCTTATCTCTTTGAGCCCCGACTTCCACGGCATCTCCCTGTTCGAATCGCCCCTGTCCGGCGCCTGCGAGGGCACCAGTCTCTGCCAAGCGGCGCTCTGGCAGCAAAGCTCCGGCAGCAATTACTACAAGGCGCTTCACAATGCGGACTTCCAGGCCCAGGTCCCCACCACCTCGATCTGGACGCAGGTGAGAGATGGACTCTACGCCTTGTCGTGATGGGCATCGAGAGACTGATCGGATCCTAGTTTGACGGTGTCGTCATGCCCGCCGAGGACAACGCCCAGCTCCCATACGCCAATATCATCAAGCTGCAGTACGTGCTGAGAGTCAACACCTGCATCGAATTCGTTCCGAGGCTGACCATTTTTTGTGCCCCAGGGATCTCTGTCCGCTGCGGCTCGCCAGCCACATCACCATCACCATCGACGCGGCGGCCTACAGCATCGCGCTCGATGCCCTGGACAACGGCGGAATCGCCGACCTCGATCGCGTGCGACGCGGTTCGTGGACGAGCTGTTTCCGCATCTCCGCCAAGGGCATGCAAGTCACCATCCCGACCCAGCTCCAGGAGGCATTCGATGTCGTCGTGAAGGGATTCCTGTAAGCCATGCCTCGTCGTCGAGACTCGACGCCCAATGCCCCAAGCTGACATCTCTTATCAGGACCGGACCCGGCCGAACAAGCGTCGAGCCGCCGATCGCGGCCTATGCCGTTCGCGATTGAGGATCAGATGGACAGTCACGTGGATCTTGGGATCAGGACAGGACAGGACCTTCACATGTCATCAAAGTCTCGTTTCCATTCATTAGTTATTCAAAATCTATTTACCCATAGCCTTGGCACGGGCGTCGCGGGCCGCGATCACCGACGGACGCGCCTCCAACCGTTGGTTCCAGGCCCAGGCGTGCGGGAACTTGGCCTGCCACTCGGCCGGGAAGCCCTCGCCCATCACGTGCGGCTGGTAGAGGATCAGCCAGAACCAGGGGACGAAGGCCAGGTCGGCGTAGGTGACCCGGTCGCCCACCAGGTACTCCTTGCCGGTCTTCTTGAGGTGGGAGTCGATGACGCCGATGACGCGCGAGATCTCGTTGCCGTAGCGGTCGAGGACGCTGGTGAGGTTCTTCTCCGAGTGGTACAGCGAGAACCAGACGCGCTGGCCGAAGTACGGGCCCTGCCCGGACGTCTGGAAGTGCAGCCAGCACTTGCCGTCGTACTTCTCCTTGCCGCTCGCGTAGCTGAGCTTGTGGGTCGGGTCGTACGTGTCGAGGAGGTACTCGATGATGGCGCCGGACTCCCACACGGTGAGGCCGGTGTTGGGGTCCTCGATGGCGGGCACGCGGCCGTTGGGGTTCACGGAGATGAAGGGCTCCTGCTTCACCACGCTGAAGTCGAGCAGCTCGTTGTGGTAGGGCACGTTGAGCTCCTCGAGGATGATGGCGACTTTCCACGGGTTGGGGCCCTGTCGGTGAACGTCGAGTCAGCATTTCCGATCTCCTTTGTGTTTCGAGCATCGGGGTCTTTGAGGACTTCTGGTGATTGGATGTAGTGGTGGTGGTCATGAATGGGGGACACGTACACCTGCGTGTGAGTAGAGCTTGATGGGCTTCTCGGCCTTGACAGCGGTGCTGCTGCTGAGGACGTTCTTGATCTTGTCCATGTTTGCGGTTGATTGGTGTGTTGAGGGGTGAGTTATATGGTCGAGAGCAAGCCGCACTGAAGGAGAACCGAAAGGGAATATATATATGGTGAGTCTTCACATATGATGTAAGGACGATCATCGCTAGACGGTTGGTGACAAATCAATACAACACCTAGGTAGCTATCGACACTATCCGAAAAGCGCATTGGTATTGCCCCTCACTAAATCATCACTTGAGGGTAATAATACACGGCCGATACGCGCCAGCGTCGTACCATGTGCAGGTGATAACCGACGACGATGGGCCGCAAATCATGGCGGTGTCCACCTGCGTGTCGCCCACTGGTGCTGTGTCTGGTCCGTCAGGCGGAATGTCCATTGATGTGCTTGTTAATGATACAGAGGGACTCAATTTCCATCGAGGTGTATAGCGGAATTTGGACTAGTCGGCTTCGTCGATCAACGTCATTCCTCGATCGGAGGAGCTCACGGACGTCAGGGTCTGGCTGCGTATCCCCAGCACCTCAAAACCCGCACCTGCGATCGTAATCCCCCCCCCCCCCTCCCATCATTTATTACTGTTATCATTGCCGGTAGTGTTGGGTACGATGATACCCCCGAGTCGGCGAATTTCACCGGTAGGTGCAAGCTTGCGATATAGGCGTCTTGCCCCTCCACTGGGTCGGAAAGCTTCCTACTGTAGACATACGGTAATGACGGCAACAGAAGTTGTTGGCGGCAAGGTGACAATGGCCGTCCTTGCCGATCACTCGTCTTCGTCCATTTCTTCATCGTCATCAGCTTCTCCGTCATCGTCTCCATTGTTGTTGCGAGCACGCCGATTGCCGCCATTTGGCGCATTTCTACCGCGACGTGTGCTTTCGGCTGGTGGTGCCGCCGCCTTTCTCGAGTCGGGTTTCTCACCCAGGCCCAGAGAACGAGCGATCTTGCGCTCGAGCTCTTCCTCGTCTGCTTCGGTCTCCATCGTGCCGAACACGGTCTTGGTCAGACCGCGGACCCCGTCCTCGCCGACCTCCACCTTCCCCCTCGGTCCGACGACCCAATAGATGTCGTCGTCGCCGGCCCCGGAGCTCTCTTTGACCTTGACGATGTAGCCGTCCTTCTCCATGCGCTTGATCAGCTTCTCCGTACGATCGTATTCCGGGATGGGTGTGCGGTCTTCCATCTGGAGCCGTGCCAGACAGCGTTCCATTTTCGCATCGGGCAGGCTGCCTCCCGATAGGCTGATCAGGGAAACCAATAATGTGTAAATTCCCGTATACTTGCTGTCCTCGCTCGCGGTTGGCACGGCCGGGGGTTGGAGGACCACCGGATCGCGAAACTCGGATGGCAGCTTCGTCGTAAGCATCCACGATACGGTCGGTTTGGTCGCCGGGGCCTTCTGCGCAGCTGGTCACCTCGGAGTTAGAAACCACACGGCACTTTCGTGGCGGGACAGATGGTCACACACCTCGCCTCTGCTGCAACGTGAGTTTCTCTCGCACCGGCAGCTCCACCATCTCCATCCCGAAGACGTGGCTGAGCTGATCTTGCGCTCGTGCCCATACCGCCTTGAACTGTCGACCGTTGGTGCCGAGGACTTTCTCGCTGATCTCGGTCCTGCGGATCGGCCGCCGCTGGTACTCGCAGGCCAACGCCAATCGCACCAGCTTCTTGACCATGTCGTCTAGCCCGTCGCCTTGCGTCGCATGGCCGTCGGCCTCATCGCCAGAGCTCGCATCGTCCGAAACGGCGTCCGTCCGGCGTCGTTGGGTCGATGGGCCTTGAGACGGACCCGGGTCCTCGTGATCCTCAGCATCCTACGACGGGTATCAGAAAAGTGTTCTGCAAGACTACGGCGCCTTCGAAAGGCATACATACCTCACGCCTCCTTCTCTGAGGCATCTTGATCATGTCGCAACCATCGATGCCCACACAAAGGGCCCGCAGACTTTCGTACGTGGGGCGGAAGGTCGCGGGGGACGCGTCGAGCGACGCGAGGTCACGTGCGTCATTCGAGAGTATCCATACATGACCTTCACCACCATCGACCACACCTACTGCACACAACATTCACCACGCTTGCGATCAATCATCGATTGGAGCCAGACATGACTTCACTCATTGTATAAACATACGATATAACTCGGCTTGACTGTAGCTTGTAAATTCATATTTTCTATATATTATCTTTCTCTACGCCTTTCCAGCCCACTCAGGGACTTCGGTAACCGGAGTTCCCTCCTGCTTCCCTCGTCCGCCGAAACCCCATCGGATCTGGTTAGGCATGTTGACCTTGACACCGAGCTCATCGGCCCAGGCGAAGACCAGGCCGGGGTTCTTCTGGAAGGCGCGGCCGACGATGACCAGGTCGAGGTTGTCCTTCTCCAGGAGCTCGTTGGCCAATTTGGCGTTGTCGATGGAGCCGACGGAGCCGACGGCCAGCTTGTCGCCGACGGCCTGTTTGGCTTTGATGGCGAAGGGGGCCTGGTATGCGGGTTTGCTGTGAGGGTGCTGGAAGGGAAAGCGGATTGGTCAGCTTGGTGTAACTTCTGAATTTCAGGCTGATAGCACGAGCCATACCTGCTTAGGGTGGTTGCCACCCCCTGAGACATCGAGGAGGTCTACGCCCCGCTCGGCAAGTAGAGGAGCCAGACGGGCGGTATCTTCGGGTGTCCAGGACTCGGCAATGTCGTCTTGCTCTTCGAGGTAGTCGGTGGCACTGATTCGCAAGAACAACGGCATGTCCTTGGGGATGATCTTGCGGGTCTACGGACGACAGCGTCAGTACGAGGATCGGAATGAAAGCCATCAAATCGTCGGCGACGTACCTCCTCGACAAGTTCAAGGGTGAGACGGGTGCGGTTCTCAAAGCTACCGCCATATTTGTCCTTTCGCTGGTTGCTCACTGGGGAGAGGAAAGAGTGAAGCAGGTATCCGTGGGCTATCGATCGATCAGTCATATCGTTGGCGGAAAAAGCTAGTCAGCAAACATGCGTACCGTTGTGAATTTCGATAATGTCAAAGCCGCAATCGACCGCGCGGCGAACTGCCGCCAAAAACGCTGCTTTGAAATCTTCAATGTCTTGTAGGGTCATCTCTTTGGGGTTGGCGTGGTGCTCGTTCCACGGGATTGCGCTTGGGGCGTAAACCTCATCTGGCCTGGAAGAGACGGATCAGCATTGGTTCTCCAGAACCCGAATTCCACCTTGTTGGATCTCCTCACCAGCCATTTAGGTCCTTGCCGGCAACAGCACCGGAGCTCAACCAGGGTGCAACAGTCGACGCTTTCCTGCCAGCGTGTGCGAGTTGAATCATGACCTTCTGGTTCTGCGAGTGGGCAAACTCGACCAACTTGGTGAGGTTCTCCTTTTGACTATCCTTCCACAGTCCGACATCTTCAGGCGTGATACGACCCTGTGGGGTGACGGCGGTGGCTTCAACGCATGCAAGTCCAGGTCCTCTTTGGATGATGCCGCCCATATGTGTGAGATGCCACTGCTCGTTCGTCAGAATCGCTTTCATGACGTCTTTAGCCCTCCTCTCTTCTCACCATCGTGTAGTGACCATCCTCTGCGCTATATTGGCACAACGGCGACAACATGATGCCTGTACATCCATCATTAGCATTCCTTCTCCCTGACCAAGATCTGCATCACCGAGCCATACGGTTTTGCAAAGTGACCCCGCGAATCTTCAACGGCCTGAAGAGCTTCGGGACATCCTTCTTGTCCGCGCTCACGAAAGCGGTGCCCGCGGGTGGATCCTGAGCCGGAGTGAAGTATGGCGTGTTCGGGGCCGCTCGGTTGACGAACTGCGACTCGCCGGCGACGCCTTGGGAGACGTTGTGGTGAGACATGATTGTGATATGCTGGTAGAGAGTGTTGTGTGAGGGGAGGATATGCTGAGGACGGGGATGTATTGTCCACGATGGGATTGTTATATATATAGCTAGGTACATCGCAGCTGTCCCCAGGTGTGTGGCCATCGAGGTCGCTTGTGAGAGCGATTGTTGGCGTCATTTCACCGTGACAGGTGGGTCCACACCGAAGACGGACTGCTGCTTGCCGGTGTACTGAAATGATTAATAATGAGCAAAGTCCACTGCTCAGATGGATTTGAAAGCATCTCCTCCTCTGGAGCCTCCTCTCCTCAAGTGTTGTTGGCCGCCGCCGCAATGCATCCGCCCGGGAAAAAGCTGTGAGAAGATGGATTGGGATTGGGCATTGCGTCATGGGTCAATCGCGGGAGAATTGTCATCAAACTGTACTGTACTGTACCACCACCACCCACACAGTAACCCTGGAGTGGATCGACACACAGACAGATGATGGCCCAGTCATTTCCGATGATAGAAAAGAGAGAGAGAGATATATATATATAAACATGTACATGTATGTATGCCTCCTAAATTTACCTTACTGTGGGTATTTTTCATGGGCGGAAATTTATGTCTGGGGATTGTTATCACAGTAAAACAACTCGGCACAGGTGAAGGAAGTCAGTCAGTGGACTACGTTCATCAAATCGAACCCCACCTGCACACACATACACACACACACACACACCCCTGGGCACTCTGCCGATTGATGATACAGTACAGTCTTTCAGTCCGCAGAGTGACGCCCTACAGTCGCCAGTCGTCGTCAGTCGTCAGTCAGCCGCGGCGGTCGCTGATTGACCGATGACATGCCCAATCGAAGGCAATTCCCGTCCCATCGTCTGAGACAGACGGAATGGCGATGTCAGTGGACTGTGTCATCAACCAAACCACAGCCATCCAGGGCCAGGCCATGCTTCTCCACCGAGTCTCTCCGCCGAGTCGGTCGTAGTTATTATTACAGTACTATCATATCAATTCCTGGGCCATGTCCCTCTCGCGCTGAACCCTGGCGACCCGAAGCAAACCGAATTGGAGAGAGACGACAGTGGATTACAGTACAGCAGGTAGAATGCCGCCTCTCTTGACTGGGCGGGATGTGGTTGGTCTATTGAATGTGTAGATGACCGGCATGGACTGCGATGTATTGCAGCATAACAATGGTATTCACCGGAGCGGTCAATCGTTGGAGAAATACCAGGTAAATGTTAGAACAATGGTCATGGAGATTGAAACACACCCGGGCAGGCAATGATCACGGAGAATGGATCAGGTGATGAGAACGAGCGCCGCTTCGATTGATGTGTGTATTGTCAGGCGGTGCTTGCTTGGTTCACACACACTATTCCGCATCACGTTGCACACTGTACTGTACCGCCCAATCCATACACTATACACTCCAGGGCGGGCTGGACTCTTTCCATCAGCCGGAATTCGTCCCCTCTTTTCACCAGGATATCCTCCGCATGATTAACAGAGTCATCACAAAGCATCGAATTCTTTCCGACAACTGCGCGAAACAACGTTGCGTGCCGAGTCGCACTCCTTCGCTCATTGATCTCCTCGACTGCATACCATACCATACCATTCACTCATCCAACAGAGAATGAGCGCCACTCAGCGCTTCGAGCTGTCTTCCGCCGTTGCGACGCGCTGACGGCTTCGTTTTCTTCCACCGCTATGAGGACTGCCGTTTGGCCTGAAGACTTGACGCCAAGTCCACCATTCGCATAACACCGCCGACCACGTCGACCGACCTCTACCCGGCATGGCGTCGACCGGCAACGCCCCTGCGGGCAAATCGCAAATGGTACGCCCGTCCTCACAATCGTAATCAGAGTGATGCCGTCCACACGCAGAGCATACCACGATACACACACACGCGCGCGCCCGCCCGCCCGCCGAAACCTCCGCTCGTCGCACATCGTCTGCTTTGCCTGCCCTTCAACGCAGATCCTCATGTCTTGTCACAGAACCCGCCCACCCCGAAGATGCGCCGCTCGCGACCAAACTCTTCTCACCAGAGCAATTCGGCCGCTCGCAACGCCACTCGCCATGCGACGATCCGTCCGACCCGGAAAATCTTCAACTGTATCGTTGATGAGACCGCGCTCGTGGCCGGGGTGAAGAAGAGTACTCGCAATGGCATCAGACAGTGGGTGAAGAACAGCCAGATTCGTCTTTTTGTACCTCTCCGTGGTGAGTCGCGAAGGGGCATGTCCGCCTGTCGGATCATCCCGCTGATGAATCATAGCTTTGGAGGAGTTGAGCAAGCAGAAGAACCAGACCAACCGCCATGGCGAAGACGTCCGCGAGACGCTCCAGTGGCTTGACGAGGTCACCACGAAGTACCCCGATGTGGTCGCCCTTCAGGGAGCTGACGAGACTTTTGAAAATTGGGAAGAAGTGGAGAAGTTCGCGGTGCCGAGGACGTTGTTCTCCGAACATGATGAGTACGAGCTCGAGAGCGATCTCGAGGCTAACTCTGTTGGATCGCCCGGCGGGCTTGCGCTCGGACATGGACACGACGAGAACGCACCAAGCTCTCGGTCTTCGATGCTGTCCAGGCCAGGAACTCCAGCTTCTCAGATGAGCCTGGGCGGGGCACACAGCCCGGTATCTCCACCTACGAGTCCAGCGAGAGCACCGGCGCCAACATCACGGACAAAATCCGCCGTGGCAGCCAGTGCGCGTCCGACGTGCTCCGATGAACCCGTGCCGCGTCACATCCAATCCCTCTTCAACTACATCCTGTGGCGGGTCCACCAAGAGCTTGACCCTGTGGCCGCCCTGGAGTCCTTCATCTTCCTCTGCAACGACGCGAATAAATTGAAGTTTGCCAAGGGCTTTGACATCAAAGTCAAGCGGCTCGAGCAATTGCGAGAGGCTGTCGGTCGCGAGGATCGGGAGTACAAAAATCGCCAAGCGGTACTCACTCGTGAGAATCGACAAGAGAACAGTCCGCCAGCTGTCCCGATCCCGAAGCCCGAGCAAAGCGCAGGAACGACGTCGCGGGCGACAGTACCGCCCAAAGCGCCCGTCGCGCCCGTCAATCCCGAGAAATCAAACGTCCTCGATCCGAATGCATTCGGTCGCAGCGTGCCCGTGGCCAGAGCCGAGCCCGCGACCGGTGGGCCACGCTCACCACGCCTCAACCCCACGACATCAGCGCCAGGTTCGCCGCGCGCTCGAGCATCCCAGACAACGACTCCGAGAGGCTCCGTCAGAGGTTCCAACCGGGGATCGCTTCGCGGGAACCCCCGCGGCCGTGGAAATGCCGGCGGCGGCCGCGCCGGTCTTTCCATGTTTGACAGCATCGACAGCATCGACAGCGTCAGCCAACAAGGCGGCCAGATCGACCCGAACAGCTTCGCTCGGCCGAGCTCGCGCGGAGGGATGAATCCGTCGCGCGGCGGACGAAAGCTGTGGGTGCCGACGTGAGAGCGCATCGACTGGGATCTGTCGCCTCTCTTCTTCCGATCTACCTTGACCCGAACCCGGATCGAAATGCCCTTCGGATCTGACCACCAGCCCCATCTCGGCCCAACGCCGGGGAACTCAAACCGCCCCGTCGTCCCTCGATTTTTGGGGTGGAACGAACGCGCCAGGCCATCAAATGCTGTGTGAGACTGCACAATCTCCAGGGGGCCCCGACAACAAGCCGATGGGGACTCCGTCGCTCGCGGAAATCCGCCCGGAACGGTCAGGCATATCACCGTTTCGGCCGACGCATACATCCGTTGCGGAGGAAGCGCTGCAGGGAGGCATGGTCGCCCCCCCTGTCGGAATCAGGTGCTGGTGTTCGAATCGAAACATACCGGGCAACTCACCACCAGGTCATACACTTTGTGTCCGACCAGGACGTCTCCCCGATCCCGCAATCTCTTGCGCAACCGAATCTCGGGCAACGAGGACCGCCGGCCCCGAGGCGCCAGCGTCCTCCGTCCGACCTGTCGCTCCCGGGACGACGGTACAATCACTCGATTGGGCGTGTCCCCGTCGACCATCGCCCCAAGACTGGATCCCCTCTAAATTGATCAAATAGCAATCGAAAAAAAAAATCTTGTTCTTTTCCGGGCGTAGGCGCAGAACGAATCCACGGATATCGGTCATAGCTCTCTCACGAGGTAGTCATCGGTGCGGTGAATCACGTCGGGGTGACCAGATCATCCGCGTTCCATTTGATATGACGAGGGTTGTTTTCCGTCTCAGTCTCAAGGCGAGCCCCCAACCCTCCTCCCTACTATATAAGTCACCCCCTCGTCCCACTCGCCTCCTCCTCCTGCTGCTGCTGCCGCTGCTGCAGCTCCAAGACCGCCTTCTCCATCCTCTCGAACCCCACGACCGCCTCCCCATACTGCTCGTACACGCCCTGCTGATAGCCGTCCGCGACCTTCTGCACGAAGCGCTCCGCCTGCCACCGCGCGCCGATCAGTTCCTCGAACGTCTCGTGACCCTGGCCCTGGCCTTGACCCCCCTCGGGGGCGCGCGACCGCCGCTCGCAGCCCCAGACGGCCTTGTACGCCGCGCCCAGCGCGCACGCGTTCCCGCCGATCTCCAGGCGGAAGACGCCGTCGGTGCCGCCGAGGACCTCGCCGCAGATGGACGCGATCGCCGGGTTCGCGGAGCCGCCGCCGACGAGGTAGACGCGGCGCGGCTGGGGCGGGGGGCTGCCGGTGGTGGTGTGGTCGTTGTCTCCGCCGCCGCCGTTGCCGCCGCCGACGAGCGCCTGCGAGCGCAGCCGGAGCGACAGCATCTGCGACTCGACGATGGTGCGGGCGTCGCGGGGCTCGAACGTGGCAGGCCCCGGCGCGAGCTCGCCCGCCCGCGCGTCGTAGGTGTACCGCCACTGGCCCGCGGGCAGGTGCGGGACGATCTCCGGCCGCGGGAAGTAGAGGCCGAGGCGCATGGGCGCGTCGGGGTCGGCTTGCGCCAGGGGCGCGGTGCCCAGCGCGGTCGCGTCGAAGGTCTTCCAGGAGCGCAGCACGGCGAGCGGGAACGCGCGCGCGTTGAGCTGGTCGCGGATGGCCTCGCGCGCCAGCCCGCCGTTTTTGTAGCAGAGCATGAACTGGAGAGAGAGAGGTGGATCCGTCAGTATATATGGGTGGAATTGCGTTGTTAGATGGGGCAGGGGGGGGGGAGGTGGACTCACCATGTACAGCCCCGCGGTGGTGGGATGGTTCATGAAGTGGTACGCCGGGTCGGGCTTGTACTCGGACGTGCTCATCAGGAACGTCGTGCTCGTCCCCAGCGACACCATGGCGTCCGATGCGCGGAGCGGCAGCGAGAGGATCGTCGCCGGGTTGTCCCCCGTGAAGGCGATGATGCGGCAATCCGAGGGGAAGCCATAGCGACCGATGAAATAGGGGCTGACGGTCCCGAACGTCGCGCCGCCGTCTTCGGGGACTGCGCCGAGTTTGGCCCGGAGGTCGGCGGCGGCGGCAGGGGACCCGCCGGCGGCGAGCGAGAGCAGGTCTTCGTGCCAGGCCCCTCGATGCGTGTCCCAGAGGTTGGTCCCGCCGACGTCGCTGATGTCGATGGGTGCCACATCGCCGAGGAAGATGGAGGCGAGAAACGACGAGACCAGCGAGATCCGTGAGGTGGATGCGTAGTGGTCGGGGTATTTCTCGCGGTATCGCATGATCTGGGGACCGCTGAACCGATGATGTGCTTTGCTGCCGGTGATCCGTGCCAGGGTCTCTGGGTCCCCGAGTCGTCCGTCGAATGCATCGCATTGGGTCTGAGTGCTCGCATCCTGCCAGTTCGGACTCATGGGATGCGCGAATGCGCCGCTGCCTGCGTGGCGGTCGCCACCTTGGCCGGAGCGCACGTCCGGATGTAACTGCTCGGTGAGGGGCTTCTCCGGGTCCAGGTTCGCCAGGAGTCCCGTCGCTTGCTTCGACCAGAAGACCGTCCCGTGCTGCATTCCCGCTCCCGATAGGCCTTTCACTCGTGCAAAGTCGAGTCCGGCATCGCGTAGGCGGTCGAGGACGAGGTTGACGGCATCGAGCCAGAGAGCGACTGGGGCGAAGACCTCGTTTTCAGACGGATTGGTCAGGACGCCCTTGTTGATGCCGTATTTCGATCCGAAATCGGCGTCGAAGTCGACCTTTGCTTCGTGGACGAGCTTGAGGTCAGATTGTATCACGATTCCTTGAGCATATTCACTTTAGCGACATGGTTCGCCGGGCGTCCTGTTTGGATTTCGACAGGCCAAGTTTGGCTGTACCTTTGAGTTGTTGTGTAGAGAGGTCAAACCCCTAGAGATCGATTAGCAGACGAATACGGTGTTTGCGTGGCATATAAAAATCAATATTCAAGCCGCTGTAGCTTCCCGAGATGGAACGACCTACCATGTACAACGGTCCTTTCGTCTCGGCCATATTTGCTTCGAGCTCGTTGGTGTAGGTTTCGTGTTGGGATGAGCCTCTGCTTATATGTGTTTATTTCTCATGACGTGAAGACAAGAGGAGAAACATGCGACTTGGTGGAGTATGAAGATCTTCCGATATAACCTTTGCCCTGACGTGCTTCAAACGTAACGGGGGATTGAATTTAGCCGGATGGCGGCATCACACATTTCTCCCGGGCGCGCAATATCCGATCACAGGAAAACGGATGCAACATTTATTTACACGAGTCGATGGGGTTCAGTCGCATAGAGTATAATCCCCCATCATGATGCAGGCGTTTCGCAAGTCCCTCGCCGACCATCGACTCCATGTTGGCACATTTCCAACACTTGGAACTCGACATTTCCACCTGAGAAGCAAGCGGGGATCTGCTCCACTGCACCACATGTATAGCACTTTGCCATCTCGCTGATCACTCGGTTCGAACAACTTCCAGGAGCATATCGTCCTTGTAAGGTAGTCGGTGGTCTTTTCCGTTGGCGGGATAATGCCTTATACGCATCATCATCATCATCGAGAGAGAGAGAGAGAGAGAGAGAGAGAGAGATTTTTTTCCCGAACAGTTCGGACTTGATTCTCGCCCGGGCGATGGAAAGTGGAATTACAAGGCGAACGTCAAGATGGGCTGCTCTGCCGATCACGACATGGTTCACAACAGAAGAGGGAATGGAACGAAACGCATCGTCAGGAGAAGATAAGAAAGCCATTGGACTGGTATAGTCTGACTGATAAAGGAAAAACGTTCGTCGCACATGGGTGTATAGTTCGCTGCGAAACAATTTTTTGCAGACAGCAATGCCAATATCATCATCAAAAGAAAAAGAGGAATGCAAGGAAGATGACGCGGGTGGTCTAGGAATGGCACGCGATGCATGCCCAATCTTCTTGTCAACAAAATTCTGGAAGTTCCCAATGTCCCGACTGCAAGCCATATCGTTCCCTCCGTCGCGCTGCTTGCATGCGTCAAGCCGTTTCAACCAATGCCAATCCACTGTCGACCGACTGGTTAAGCGACGAGACCAGGCCGATGTTAGCTCTCTTGATGCGCTCGTTGAGAGCCGGGAGACCGTTTGTAGAGAAGTCCTTGCGACAGTCGCCGCACATGCGCAAGGCGCACCAGCTACAGCTCCAGTGGACGGCATCCGAGTCGGCATGGCAGACGGCACATTCGACAGAAGCACAGTTATTGCGGCTGGCCAGCAATCTGTTGTGGTCTCGGTAGCAGTTCAGTTGGAGAGGTTTCAGTGGGCGGCTGTAGGAGAATCCCGAGGACTTGAAGCAGAGTCCTTGTTGTCGGAATGCGTTCTCGTGGTGGTGGTCTGCGGTGTCGTTGCTGGCAATTTGGGTCACTGCTGTGTTGGGGCGGAGAGTGGCCGGTGGAGAAGGGTCTTCTGGTTGTGGTTCCGTTGCGGTCTCAGCCCGCCTTCGAGACGTGCTCAAACCGTTGAGGAAGTTGGAGGTCGATTGCAGAGTTTTGGCCTCCTGTGGATCGTCAGAACATTCCATGCCTTCATTTTGAGGAATGTGACATACGTTGAAGACCTCCAAACCACTGCTACGACGCCGCGCCCGATTCGTATTCATCTCTGGAACATTGGGAGTATCCATGGCATCTCGCAGTCCGTACTTATGTGGGCTGTCTTCCGGTAGAGGCGACGGAGCTGGGATGGTAGGCGAAAGTTGGCTGAAATGACTATCGAATTCAGTGTGCGATGCAGTCCGGTCGTGCTCGAGAGATCCGTCTAAGCGCAAGTCCTCGGCTGAAGTTTGCCTAGCAGCCGCAAGACCGGAGGCCCGAAGGGTGCTCGCCCTACTCATCGGCTGCAATGACCGCCGTGGAGTCATAGTAGTGTCGGATGCTGAGCGTGACGGCGGACCCGCGTAGACACGAGATTCCTCTTGCGGCCTTCGTGGGCTCATAATGGGATTGCTCCTATCCGAAAGTGTAAAGCCATTGCCCGTATGTACACTTCTACGACTCTTCAGCAGATGACGCGCGGTCTGCTGAGATTCTCCTTGTAGATATGCATCGCGGGCGTCGTAAGTACTGATCGGACGCCTGGTGGTATCGCTTTGCTCGAATCGGCCAGCATGCCGGGAAGATTTGCGCCATTTTGCGTCCCGGTGAAGATCGTGGCTAGGGTTGGTAGTCGTATGAGCAGCCGTTCGAGAAACTCGATTGCCCATGGCGCGAGGCGTGAAAGGGGTTGGTGGAATGTTCCAATCCGAACGCTTGTCCGTCGGGATCTGAACCGCAGTGGACAGCGACGGATTGATCAGACGAGCATCACAAATCCGTTGTCTCAACTCGCTCGTCGACAACGTGCTCTGACCATGTGTAAGGGCCAGCTTCAGGGCGTTTGGCCTCATCCTACCCGAACGCATGGTTGCTGGGGCAGGTGCGAAGCGTGGCGGGTTCATAGGCGTTCTTAAATCTGAAGAGGAAAGGTCGAAGGCCTTCCTGTCTGATAAGTTCGCAACAAGAGCGCTTGGAGGGATTTGTGATACACGTCCTTTCCCCAAAGAACTTGTCGATTGTGAAGACGACGGACGGGAAGAGCTGCCTGCTTGTGTCGTCGACAAACTTGGAACAATATGCAAACACGCCGCAGTCGAACGTGACGAAGAATCAAAGTCATGAATGGCAGCCGCCGTAAGTGCAGCTCTGATCGTTCCTGCCGTTTTGCGGTGATCGATTGCGTCTGTCAACAAGTCATGATCAGTTGGAACGAATGCGTCTATCAACAAGTCATAGTCGGTCGGAACGAATGCGTCTGACTGGAGGTTGATGAGAAGCGCTGATGTGCAGATTGAACAGGTCGGGATACAAGCTGGAGTGTTCGGAACATAGGCCTCCTTCACTTTTTCTTAGTGCTACCCGACCGTCATCCGTCCGTGTCATTATCGAGGCGACAGCTCGGTGATGACCTTCACTTGAACGACGAGTAGGACCCGAGCTGACAGCAACCTCTTCCACAACGGCACGTCCCAACCATCACATCCGCGGGTCACGATTGTAAGAGTAGTGCAGGTGAGGGGAAAGAATCAAGAATATCAACGACGATCGAAGAGTCGGCGGAATGCGTACGTACCTGCGGCCGTTATCGTCACTTGCGGCACTGGACCGCGCAAGACATGGAGCTTCCCATTGGATCGTGGGAGAAGGTTTTCGCGAGACCCGATATTCCACAACGTATTGCCCTTTGCGCCCATCGCCATGATCGGATCCGAATGAAGTGCCAACATGATGCCGACGACGACGACGACGACGGGTAGATTGTTGCGACCAATGTGAGGGAAGCACCGGTGGTTGCCTTTTTCGCGACGATGGGTGAATGCGACAGCTCGTTTGAAAGCGTGTCGTTCCCTTTGAGATCCGTCGTCAAGCCTCCATCGTCGGAAAGAGTGAAGGCAGTCGGACAGGCTGGAAGACAATCGTGACCCAACGAAGAGGAATGACACAGGCTGTGACTATATCAAGTATGGAAGAGGGAAGCGTCAGGATGTCAGAACGGTACATGGTACATACTATATCCGACTCTCTTCGGGATAGGCTCTCTTCTAGTTCAAGAACTTCCACGCGACGTCTATGGATTGGGAGGACGGCCATGAGCAATCATGGCGGGTATCGAGATGACCATCGGAACCAAACCGGGACAGGGTGCTGGACGATGGCGCCAATGAACAGACCGGAGGGCACATGCCGAACAATGGGACAAGCGCAAGAGGGAAGCAGACGACGGCGCGGGATGCAGACAGCCATTCTGCTCTGCCTTGTTTTTTCTTTGTTGTCGTTGTCACAAGCCACCGGGGAGAGGAATGACAAGCTTGGAAGTTTGGCATGTCACTCACTCACTCCATGCCAACGCGACATCGACGTGGACTGCTGCGCGACGCCCGGCAAGCCCTCACACCACCTTTCTTTCATGCCGGGGAGTGTGGTGTCATGGGTGCACCTGTCTTCTCCTCCAAAATTCTGGTGAGCTACGCACGCACATATGATACAATCCAAACGTCGACGCGACGAGGCCTGTCGTCGATGCGACCGACTCCGGCCATTGAGAAGGTCAAGCGTGGCACGAGGGCGGCGGCGGCGGCGGTGCGAACGATTCCAGGGGATTGATTGGCGTGCAATAGAGTTTCCTCGCTGGGATGGAGAGAGAGAGAGAGGTCGAAGGGATTTGCGCAATCCGAGATAAGATTGCGGTTCTTTTGGCTGCACCATCTCGAAACAGGCTTTGTCCGACGACAGGGATGTCTTGAGTGTAGGGGACTAGCAGTGGTGGCGCGCAGACAGGGAAAGCGATGATTGAGGGAAGGATATTAGATCAAGGATTGGACCAGGTCGATTCCCAGGTTCTGGCCCAGTCAACTTCATCTTCTCAGCACGGTCAAGCCCGAAGCGACCAAGGTCGTCTTTAATTTTTTTAACTTTTTTCTAGGAAACGCGCCATGATGATACATTGTGATTACTGATCTGCGACCGATGGGAATCGGAGTCGGCGTTGCAAGACATCCATCACACAAGCTTCGAGACCGTCAATTATTAATTGAGGTTGTTTACAATGGAAAGTCCGAACCCTTTTTCGGTGGGAGCTGCCAATAGACGAAGGATCTATGGAAATCCACTTCCAAGGTTTTGGTAGCTGGGCGCCTAGTATGAAATTGGATTTTTATTTATTTTTTCCATTTGCGAGGAAAACAACAATATCGAGCTTGAAAGGGGAAAGAGGGACGTGCCAGCCAGCCAGCCAGCCAGGAGAGAGCAGCGAACAAATACATGAATGACAAACACCACTCTAACGTATACATGATGAATGACAGACACCACTATAACGTATACATGATGAATGACAAACACCACTATAACGTATACATAATAGATGACAAACACCACTAACTACATACTACAACTGGTGATGAAAAGGGAGCAAGCGGCACATACAGTAGGTAGCTGGAGGGCATCATCTCATCTCATCAACCTTTGACCGCACTCTGCCCGTCATGATTAATAAGCAACTCCCTCGTTCTGCCTCGTTTACTATTACTGTATTGTTATTATTATGTTTGGTCTTTATATTAACTTAGCGAGAAGGAATCGAAGCATCTTCCAAGTTTTGGTTTCGGTGATGATTGTCACCGTCATTACCAAGAGGTTTTTCTTTTGCCCCTGCTCCTTCAAATTGAACAGTGTGCTCGGAGGGATCGTATGCACCAAGAACCGCATTCGTCGTGTTTCCGTTCGCAGGCCAGGCAGGATGAGCGGAGATGAGATGAGATATACACTACACACCTCTTCTTCTGCGGCGACTTGTTGGAAAGAAGTTTGTGCCCAAGCCAGTCTGTTTCCCTCAAAATGCGGCATTTTTTCCGACTCCTCTCCCCTTCTCGTCTGTCTCGGAGGTGGCCGCGACTGGACGATACCCGACTGCTCTGAGCATCGTCCAAATGGAATTACTGTACCCGTCACCCTATCTTTCACACGACACTCGCCTTGGTGAAAGTGTAGCCAGTGTGCGCCGTTTCCCTGGTAGTTTCCCATCGGACGGCGATGGGAATGCCATCTGCTGTGCGGGAGCGCTGGCTGCCGGTCTCTTCTCGGATGCTGCTCTCATCATATAGACTTTCCGCTGTGATGGATAGCGGCTGGTACTGTACCCGACCACTAATATCTGCTCGAGACTCGCTAGGGATGTATGGAGTGTACCCGTGAGGTTACCATTCACCGAGCTATTGGGAGTTGCGTGTCGGAACAGGACATGGAACGCTCGGAATTTGTATCGGATCGCCAGAGACGTGTGTCGACGAGAACGTTACACGTGGTGTATGTATTATACGAGTGAGATATATGGACATGGAGACGGCGCTGGACATACACCACTACAATCCTGAACAATGGACCGTTGTATACCGTCGATTGCCAGATTTACATGCCCGTCGTTATATACACTATATCTCGATTGCAGAACGGTACAGTACTGGCGGCTGGTGAACAAATCCGGTTGCTGCGTCTGCTTTGCTCCCGAACGCTTGGCCCTTGCAGTAGTATTACAACCGACGCCGATTTTTCCGCCCGCATTGCGTTTAGGCGGATCTGATCGAAAATATCGTGACGACATACAGTCCAGTACCACCGCCGCCCCAATCGAGTAATGAATTTACATACAATCGAACAACGGAAACAGGCATAACAGAGCACACAAACAACACGCATTCTTCTTCGACAGGATACATCCTCAGGACACCATCTCGGATACCACCGCGATACCGGTTCATTGTCCCTGGCAGCACACCACCCCAGAGAGAGAGACACATGCAATCTCAAGCAATATAAGCTCCTCCTTTTCGGGCCATGCATCGTCATCACCGAACATGCCATTGATGCGGATCCCATACACATCTCCTCTACCTCAACCCACCATCCTCCCAGCTCACGCCTCCGACATCGCCGGCGCCGTCGATGCTCTGGTCAATTTCCTCACGTCCCGGCGCGCTTCCGTCGGCAAGAAGACCGTCGTCCTCTCGGGCGCTGGGATCTCCGTCGCCTCTGGCCTGGCGGATTATCGCGGCAGCAATGGCACCTACACCCTAAACAAGACCTACCGGCCCATCTACTATGGCGAATTCTGCCAGTCCCATGCTGCTCGACGGCGGTATTGGGCCCGTAGCTTCCTGGGTTGGCCCACGCTACACCGCAGTCAACCCAACCCCGCCCATCATGCCGTCGCGCGTCTCGGCGAGATGGGCCTCCTCAGCACCGTCATCACCCAGAACGTCGACAGTTTCCACCCGCAAGCCCATCCGAGTCTGCCGACCCTCGAGCTCCACGGCTACCTGCGGCGGACCGTCTGCATCACCTGCCGGACCGAGTACGACCGCGAGAGGTTCCAGACCGACCTCAAGCAGCTCAACCCCAGCTGGGCGTCCTTCCTGGAGGAGATGACCGCCAAAGGCGCCTTCACCACGGAGGACCCCGCCGAGCGCCGACGCCGGGGGCTCAAGACGAACCCGGATGGCGACGTCGATGTCCCCGGCGTCGATTACAGCACCTTCCGCTACCCGCCCTGTCCGAAATGTGCCGCGGGAGGCGCGGCGGCGGAGCAGGGCAAGGGGGTCCGCACGGACGGCGATGGCGCATGGGAACCGCCCGACGACGCCCCGGCCTCCAAGGCGGCCGGGATCCTCAAGCCGGCGGTGATCATGTTCGGCGAGTCGATCCCGCCGGACGTCAAGGGCGCGGTGGAACGGGCCGTCGATGACGCCCAGCAGATCCTCGTGCTGGGCTCCTCGCTCGCGACGTACTCCGCCTGGCGGCTCGTCAAGAGGGCCCGGGACCAGGGCAAACCCATCGCCGTCGTCAACATGGGCGGCGCGCGCGGCGAGGAGCAGTTCTTCGCGGATGTGCCCGCCGACACGGACGGCTCCGCCGGGCTCCGATGCAGTCTCCCCTTGGAGAAGACGCTCCCTGCCCTCGTCGAGAGGCTGGAGGAGGAACGCTCGCCCACCGGCGACCGCCTCACGCGGGGATTCGTACGGGCACCGTGGGCGTGAAGGAGTCACTCAAACACACACACTCTCACACTCACTCTCTCTCTCTCTCTCTGAACGGCAAAGGGCCATATTGTATCATTATACATCATTAGATAGACGGCGTCTCAGCGCGGACCCGCCCAAAAAAATACCACCAAGCATCCCGTAAATCCGGCATCATTTCCCACCTATGCGACCTGGACCTCGCCCTCCGCGCCCGGGGCCGCCGACCCGCCGCCGCCGCCGCTCACGTTGGCCATGAAATCCCTGTAGCGGAAGACGTCGCCCTTGTTCTTCGCCGCGTGCAAGCCCTTGGCCCCGAACGCCCGGCGGCTCGAGAACTCGCCCAGGATGCCGTCGATCTCGGCCTGCCTCAGCCTGGCGCCGCCGCCGCCGCCTCCCGCAGAGTGGGCCAGGGCCTCCCTCAGGGCGCCGACGTCGATCTGCCCGCTGTCGTCGAGGTCGAAGGCCTCGAACGCGGCGCGCAGCTCCTCCGGCGCGGACAGCTCGGCCAGCGGGCCCGCGAGGGTGTCCAGGTAGCGCGCGAGGTTCAGCGTCGGGGGGCCCTGGCCGGGGAAGAACGTCGCCAGCGTCGCCGCGCTGGGCTCCAGCCCCAGCTGCGTCAGCATCTCCCCCACCGCGCCCGCGTCGATCGCCCCGTGGTTGTGCCCGTCCAGCACCTCGAAGCTCTCCCGCATGCTGTGCAGGAGCGCCTGCGGGATGTGGTTGTAGGCCGCGTTGCCGCCGCCGCCGCCGAGGAGCGGGTTCGTGCCGCCTGTGCTCCGGAGGCCGGCGGGGCCGGGCTTGGTCGGTGTGGCGTGGGCGTGGGGAGTCGAGCTTGTGGGAGGGGACGGTCTGGTCGGCGCGCTGTGGGGCGATGGGGTCGCGCGGCTCATGACGGATCGGAGGTTGGATTGGCTCGGTGGCCGGAATGTCGAGGGCTCAGCGCTGTGTTCCGCGAGTTGTCTGCTGAAGTCGTTCTCCCGAGGGAAGGCGACTGGTCGTCGAGCCGGTGAGAGAGGCGGGACGGTATCCATTGGGTTCATCTCCTCCGAAGCGACTTCCCTCGCCTGGCGAGTCGGTGAAGCTGGTGCGTCGAGGCTATGCAGTGGCCTGCCGAAGGGACTCGACGGTCGTTCGGGCGATCGTTGGTGGTTGATCTGACTGGGCCGGCGGACGAAGGGACTCGACTTCTCCGGTGATAATGCGGCCAGCTTCGTCGGCGACAGGCCTGATGCGACTTTGGTCGGCGATGTCGTCGGTGTGGCGGTGCGCGTCGTCGTCGCTGGAGATACGCTGCCCTGACGTCGAAAGGGCGACTGTCGTCCTCCTGGCGATTCGAACGGCGACAATGTCTGTTGACGGAGAGGTGTGGACGCCATGGTGCCGGGTGCGAAGGCAATGTGTTTTGAATATTCAATCTGTGGTACTGGAGGCGTGATGCGTACCGCGGTGCAACGTTGCTTCTATCTTTCGCCGGTGTACAGTGCAGGCCAGTAGTAAATTGGTTCCATCGATGACCTAGTGTGGACAACCTTGGAAACCTACGTGATGGTGTTTACACACACCAACAATCATTGCACAACGCCCGCGGGGCAACCAGGGTTTCGCTTGCCGTCAACGGGCCGTCCCCTCTCTCCAGCCGCGCCGCATATTCATGATGTCCCCTGCGTGTGGAGGAGGAGGAGGAACGTCGGCGTCGGCTTAAATTGTGCGTGCTAGGATACAGCACTGGGTACAGTCGCATCGCGGGGAAACGGGATTGATCGATCAGAATATCCAACCTTCTTCTTGCATGCGCCAATCACCACCAATCTTCACAAAGACACAAGTTGCATTTCCGAAGAGACAAATCGGAGGAATGTGTATCTCTCATCAAACTGGTGCAGCATGAATCGGGGAATGCTATTCTGGTAGGTCAATCGTCTCTAACGCGAAGGTCCGCATTCGATCGTTGCTTCAATGCCGTCCCTCGTTCACCGACGAGCTCCCACGATGGCGGCCGACAGACATTCGCGCGATCTTCATGTCGCATAGCAGTACCATTGCTGACCTTGTCTTGAGCTAAAGTAGGATCCGGATCCGGACATGATGCGCGATGCGATATTGGCCTTGAAGCGTGAAACCATAAATTGCAGAACAGCCCCAACAACCTCGATGGTCACAGCTACCAATCGATAACTCTCTCCGGTCGACCAGACATCTCCTCAGTGATGGCCTCTCCGCTGCCGGGCGTCGAAGTGCGACGACCGAAGACCGTGAGATCACAATATCCCCCCTACAGCACCGAGAAACATGTCGAGTACATCTTGGTCGCTTCCTTCGACATCGATCGTGGAAGTATTATGGAGCATCAATATCCCAGCCCTGTCGGAGGCGACGAGCACATGCTTGCAGAATTAATGCTGCCTGATCAAGCACACGTGCGTAGCCAGGACTGGACCATCTTCTTTCTACACAAGGATGCGGGCCAGGAAGAGGATCACACAATGCGCCAGAGGCGGAGGCGGAGATGGAGGGCGGCTGCGAATGCCGGCATCGCATACGAGGCTGGCGATGACGGTTTTGATGATGACGGTTGGGACGACGGCGATCCATATGACGATAGCAGTGAGGATGAGCTGGACATCAATCCTGACGGTCCCCCGCTTGTCTATGTGTTGAACCTCGTGAACACGAAGCAGGACAATACGGTGAAGCGTGGAGCCGTTGTGAAAGCCATGGCAATCTGTACGCGGCATTCGTTCCTACACATCTACAAACCGCTCCTCCTATTGGCGCTTGAACAGTACTTCGCCAGCCCGACGGTCGAGACTTTGGCCAGTCTGTACAACGCCGTCAACAGCATGGACCTCTCGCTCATGCCCAAGCTCAATTATCTGGAGAAGTTCATTCTACAGGCGAGCGACGCAAAAGATCTCTTTTTGGAAAAGTTCGAGGCTTTGATAGCACAGCGTGTGCAGACCGACAAGGACAGCGCAGCTCTTGCAATCGAGCCACCGACGCATCTCTCGAAAACACATTTTGGTCTACCGCGCGATACGCATGAATTTGAAAGCACCGTCAACTACGCAAACGTGCCGGTACCAGTCAAAATCCCCACCGCTGTCGTTGCGGAGACTGTGGGCGATTTCAGCCTGATCAAACTGATCACTACGTTCAGCTCTCCACAAGGCACCGCACCCGTGCCCTTCAACCCGACTCATCCTCATCTTACTACATCTGGGCCAAACACGAACCCCATCATCGTCCTCCTGAACGCGTTGCTGACCCAAAAGCGGGTCATATTCCTCGGCCACAACCTTCCCAGCTCCGAAGTGGCAGAGGCAGTGCTGGCTGCCTGCGCGCTGGCTTCTGGTGGTCTGTTACGAGGTTTCACACGTCATGCTTTCCCCTACACCGATCTGACGAAGATCGATGATCTTTTGAAGGTTCCGGGTTTCATCGCCGGCGTGACGAATCCAGCATTCGCGCATAAAGCGGAATGGTGGGATGTCCTCTGCGATCTCGGTACCGGCAAGATGCGCATCTCGAATCGCATCGAGCAGGCAGCGCTGACAGACGGCGTGATCTATTTCGCTACGAACAACGGTGGTGGAAGTCAACCCGCCGGCGTCAGCGCACTCATCACCGCCGGCGCCACGTTGTCCGCAGGCTTGGGTGGCAGCACTGCGCCTACAGGCAACGCGAGCGGCGATGCAACAGGTGATGGGGTATTCATGCAAAGTGTGCACGCGGCCATCAACGAACGCCACGGCGAGAACGCCATCCGGACCAAGTTCCGCAAATGGGTCGTTCGATTCACTCGATTGGCTGCGAGCTTCGAAGAGACCGTGTACGGAGCAAGCAACTTGCACACCCATACCCCCGACAGTCCCACCATGACGTATACGGACTCGCCGGCCTTCAGCAGCCCACATGAACGAAAGATGGATGAGCTCCCCGCGGACGTTACAGGACACGGATACGTCTGGCCCACGCCGCAGAGTAAAAATCTCGAGCTGGCCGCTAATTCGACTCGCATCGAGGGTTGGCGCAACACTCGAAGCTACTACAATTTCATCCAAGACCTCACCGCCGTGTATATACACCGGCCGATCAAGAGAGTAGACATACAACACCTCTACGACAAACTGGCCAAATTGCGCCTGACCAACGAGCAAAGCGCCAACATCTATCTCGCGCTTTGTGGTGCCGTTCACACCGAACAGGAGATCAGTCAGTTGCTCACCACGATGGCCAACGGCATCTGGGAGAACAAACCGAGCGCCTCAGCTACAGCCGGCCAGCCGGGTCTTTTGTACATCGGCATGGGCTTATTCCATCCGCGCCAGGACGTCAGGGAAGAAGTCGCGGCACTGCTAGGAAGGGTCGAGAATCACGAGGCTGGTCGACACTACTGGCAATCGTTGGGTCGATTTGCCAAGATCGCGTGTGAACGGATCGTGATCGCGAGGGATGAGAGGTTGAGAGGCGAAGAGCATTGAAGGGCTGATATTGCATTTAGCGAAAACTTGGATAGCTGCACTTCATTTCCAAACTGGTGTTGCGTTTCTCCAATTGCTCCGCCCAAAATCCCTCGAATGGTCCACCAGTAGCTTCGCTATATATATCCGAAAAGCGATGTATACAGTGTTTACTGATAATGTAATCATAGCAACATTGAGGCAATGGTATGACGAAAGCTTACAGGTGGATGTACTGGACAGAACCAACAAGCTTGAAAGTGTTGAGCGGACCGTGGCCGGCCCGAAAGCGCGCTACCACGGCGCGTCCGCTCGTGTGTTGTTTTGATTGTTTACCCTGACGTGTGCCCCGCCGAGCAACATAATTACGTGCGATTGAACAATGCACGTTGCGCATTCTCTGTTCACGACGCAACCATGGACGACAAGGAGAACAATGCGCCCATGGCCCTCGACGATCAGATGGGCTTGACCGGCATCGTGATGTCGCCAAAGAAAGGAGGCCGACGAGGCCGAAGCAAGAGCATAGGTCCTGGCGCATTGGACAACGACCTTGACTTCGAGGCCATGAAGAAGGAGGCCAAGAACAGACGAAAGTCAGCATTCATACCAGCAACGAGATCCATATTATCGAAAAATGAGGACGCCGAAAAGGCAGCGCGACGCAAGACGATGATCAACAGACGCGTCTCGTTTGCGCCGGAAGCCACTCTACACACATGGGACATCATCGAGTCTGCGCGTGACCACACAACGTCTACCGATACCTCGGAGAACACTCGACGCGCTTCGGGGTTGGCCTCTGGCGAAAGCAGCTCCCCGGCCGCAAGTTCAGATACCGACGAGTCGCAGGACGAAGATCTCTTCAGCAACGGGAAACCTGAGATTGCCAACAGAGGCAAGAAGTATCGTCGGAGCTCTGGCATCCCACCGATGAACTTCAACAACCCGGACGACTTCTACTCGAGTGGAGCAGACGGCAGCAGCGACAGTTCTGGTGCCGAGGAAGACGATGCAGACGAGGAGGAAGATTTCGAAGGCAACACCGGTACAGCAATGAGCCTGGACATCGCCGACAACACCGTTCAATCTGGAAGAAGCGACTCCAGCACGGGATCCAGCGCTCGTTTGGAAGCAGCCCTTAAGCAGGCTGCGCACATGGCGGGTACGAGGGGCATCGCATACGACGAATACGGGGACATGTCTATGGAGCTTGCTGCGGAGGAAATCACCAATGCTTTCCAGCCGTGGGTACAAAAGCTTGCAGGTCAGCAAACGGACGCCGCTGCCTCTATGGATCAAGAGAATGTGAATCCGTTCTCGACCGGGTTCAATGCGCAGATCTCTGGATTACAGTCCGCCGGGCCTCTCATAGACCATCAGGACGAAGACGACGACGTCAGTATGGACGTCACGAGAGCTGTCGGCCGCATCGTCAGGGAGCCGAGCGAAAACCTAGAGAGCTCACCCGGGTCTGATGGTGCGATGGAGTTCACACAGGTCGTAGGCAAGATCACTAGCCAGAAGAGGCGCCGTTCAACAAATGGACCCGGCGCCGCAGCCGAGAACTCCACCGAACCCTCCACGAAGCGACAACGTGCCTCATTAGCTCGATCTTCCATGGGCAGCGAGATGGATCTAACCATGGCTGTCGGAGGCATCCACCAAGGTTCTTCTCCCAGCAAAGGTTCGCAGAGCCGCAATTCTAGCCGGCGCTCGTCCGCCGCAGATGCGACTATGGACGAAGCGACGATGGAATTCACAAGAGCCGTCGGGCGCATTGCGAGCACAGGAAGAATTGCCGAGGACGAGACCCCCGACGAGAATGAGGAGCTCACGATGGAGCTTACGACTGCATTGGGGGCGATTAATGCGAATCCCTTCATTTCTGAGCCCCGGCCTATCACACCTCAAACCAATGACTCTCCACTTCGCTCGGCAGTCAACACGACTCCTAAAGACCAAACGCGATACAAGGATGCGCCAGAGCTGGGACCGAAGAAGCTCTTGACACCCATTCTTCAAAAACAAGCGAGACTTCCCGCCGATGTCTCGGAACTTTCACTACAATCGCCTAGGCTTGTGAATAGAGCAGTAGATACCGCCAAGTCCCTCGATGCCGACGCTTCGGAATCAGCAAGTCCGTTCTTGAGTGTGAGGGATCGACACAGTGGAGAGAACTCGATTCCCGAGGACTCGCCAGCTGTCTATCCTGAGCTTCCTGTCACCGTCTCGACCACGCCCGCCAAGTCACCGATTGCAAAGCAGAATCAGACGCCCGCCTACCTCACGCCGGAACGACAGGTATCGCAGCAACAACAGGCGCAATCACCAGGTTTAGAGCGCACTCCATTGTCTGTCAGGCAGCCAAGATCATCAACGCGCCGATCAAGCAGGTCGCCGAATAAATCGACTTCTCAAGACGACCCGAAGAGCCTGACGGATTCCATCAAGCTCATGTCAACCCCCAGAAAGGAAACTCTGAAGACCGTCACGCCGAAGAAGCTAGCTGCTGCCCACCAATTCTCCCCAGCGAAGGCGATCACGCCGCGAGGTCGCCCGACACCAAAGGCGGTGGCGAAGGGTCAGGCAAATCTGTCACCAGCTAAACATTTGGCTGAAGATCTCAAGAAGATCAAGCTTTCCGGCGAGCCAGCGAACCAGATCGGTTTGGCCGACTTCTTGAACCAAGCCGGGATCAAATTCATGGATCTCACAACAACGAAGCGTCGGATGACGACCGTCGCGACTCCTTCGAAGGCCCACGAGGCCGGCTCAGCTGTGGGCGACCTTGCATCTCAGGAGGTGCTCAACCTTGAATCCAGCGTGGTCGCCGCCGCATGCACGGTACCTGAGCTGGAACTCTATCAACACGCATGCCACGAACTCAAACGCTACACGAGGGAGGGCAAGCAGATGGTTGCCGAACTCGAAGCCGAAACAGCCAATGAGACGCCACCGCTCTTGCTGGCATACACAAATGCCGATAAAGCTCGAAAGGCTGAGCTCGATGTGTACATGCGTGACATGAAAACCAATGCGCGTCTACGGAGCAAGGAGATGTGGTACGCCTGGCGCAGCCAACTTCTCGATGAACTCATGGGGGGCCTCCAAACAATCGGTGAAAATCTCATCAAGGACGATGACATCGTCAGCAAATCGGAGAAGATGATCGAGCGAGTACTGCCCGATCTGATGGCCCAGCATGAGCAACTATCCGCGGAGGCAGATGCGCTTGAAAAAGTCGTCAACCTTGTTTCTGAGAGCGAAAAGGAAGACCTGCAAGACTGCAGGGAAACCCTGAAGGCTACAAACGCTACGCTTGCGGCCAAACGGGAAATTCTGGAACAGCTGAGACAGCAAGTGAAGGAGCAAGATGATCTGGCTGTTCAACTCGCCGAATCCAAAGAGGAATCGCTTGCTGCTATGCTAGAGGCCAACCGCGTACGCGAGGCATGCAGGGGCATCCCGGTCAGCGAAATAGCAGCACTCACAGGTGAGCCGTATCAGCCGACGTGAATGGTGGATGTCCGAAACTAACGTACCTCCTAGAATCTGTGAAACGCATCGAAGATACTACGGGATGGTCCATCACCTCTGCGACAGCGACGCCCGCGACACTAACCATGACATACAAGTCGCAGCTGCAACTCTTTTTCCATCCTGCGGCTTTCAGACAAAGCGTTGACGACGCGGCTTCCGAGCCAGCGGAGAGCCCGAATGCGCCCATCAGACTGACCTACATTGGTGATGAAGCACGCGGTCGAGAATCATTGACTACCACCCGTCGCTTCTTTGTGCAGCTCCTTCAGGCAACATGTCAAGGACTGCCGCAATATTTGACCAAGGCGTCTGACTTGCTCGGGCTGATCAGCACCGGTTGGGACACGGCCGAGACGATCGCCGAGAGCGAACGACGCTTACACATCGAGACCCCGACCAACGCCAAGATCATCAGCGACGAACGACTCGACATCGAGTCTAACATCCTCCTGACCAAGGTCCGGACCAAGGTCCGAATCTCCTTCTCGATCAAGCCCAGCCTGGGAGCGGACCTCCAGTGGAGTTTCTCCGTCAAGCCGCAGGTCGCGGTGGTCTACGGCGAGGAGTACGATGAGAAGAACATGACCAAATTCCTCCGCGCGCACGACGGAGACGCCATGGACGGCTGGGATGACGCGGTGCGGAAGTTGAGGGAGAAACTCATCGCGCGAGGGCCCAAGGGCTCGCGGAAGTGAGATCTCGATGGGTCCGGGGGGGTGTTTTCAAACTGATGATTTTTATTTCTGGCTCCGAGATGAGATGATACCCACTTGCAATTCTGCCTTTGACATCTGCCTTCTCGCGCTTGACGTTCACTTCCCTTCCGTTGATCTTGTGATGCCGAAGCACTGTACTGTACTGTACTGGGCATGGATTGTCTCCGAACGCCACGGCCGTTACAGGTGATGATCGTTGGCTTGACTGTTGAACGTGAATATGCCATAGTCGACAGGCTCGCCCATCACAGACAGACTCGCCAGAACCACCGTCCAACAGGTGTCAGGCATGGACGCAACAATGACTTCTCTCGTAACAAGTGTAATAACGCCCTCAGGAGACATGAACTCGGAGCGGAAAGGATTGCGATCGTCCTGCGGCGTCATGCACCAATGCAGCCGAGCCACGTGGGGATGATGGACGCGAATTCCTGGGCCGTTCGTTCGGTTCCTGCTGATGAAGTTCTTGGCATTCCCGCCCGCTTGATCATCATGGACAACGGTGCCTGGATACGGCGATCTGCCAACGGATAGACATAACTTCATCGTGCACGTCTTGTTTTTCTACCTGCATGCATCGCCTGTCCACATTCAACACGACCGACGCGAGAATATTCCGACGGAGCGTGCGACCGTCGCACCGACAGCGACCGCCATGAAGCTCCTTTATTATTCCCTAGCGCTTTATCTTTCCGTCGATCTCACCGCGGCGGCGTCGCGACGAGAATCGACCGAGAAGCCGCCTGCGAAGCCCTGCACCATCACGTCGCCCACGACAGGCCGATTGTTCGATCTCAGTGGCCTGCAAGTCCCGCGGCCGGATTCCGTCAAATCCAAGAACCCGCGGACGCACAGCTGGAACGCGACCGGCTACGACATCGGCTACAACTTCACCCTCAACATCTGCGGGCCCGTCATTGAGCCCATCAAGGATGTGGTCGGCATCGAAGAGCATCTGTGGAAGAACGTGTCGGCGTACTACAAACATTCCGGCAAATTCTATTCGTTAGGGTATGTGAGGAGCTTGGGACGCGAGACGCTTCTGCGCAACGGCTGACATGTTGTAACAACAGGCTTCAGAATGCGGAGCCGGTGATGCGCGGAAGGAAACTCGTCCTCAACTACACCGACGGATCCCCCTGTGAGCCCTCGACGAAGCGATCATATTCAAAGAGAGGGATCGATGGTCGAGCGATCCTCGACGACGACGACGATGAGGATACCAAGAAGCCGTCCAAGGGCAAGGAAGGCGACGGCGAGGACACCAAGAAACCCTCCAGACCTTCCACCGGAGGCAGGAGGAAGAACACCATCATCAGCATGCTGTGCGACCAGGACCCGCTCGCGCCGCAGCTGCAGCTCAGCTTCATCGGCAGCCCTGACGAGTGCACGTATATCTTCGAAGGCCGATCGCCGGCCGCCTGCGCCAGCACCGCGAAGAAGCCCGAGTCCGTCGGGCCGGCCAGCGTTTTCGGCATCGTCGCGCTGATCGCCGTGCTGGTCTACCTGGTGGGAGGCTGCGTCTACAGCCGCGTCGTGTTGCAGCAACGCGGTTGGCGACAGCTCCCCAACTACGACCTCTGGGCCGGCATGTTTGCCTTTTTTCACGTGAGTCCTCCCCCTCCCCCCGGGAAGATTCCCTCTCTCTCGCGCGCGCTCTCACGCACCTTCCTCACCCGCTGACCGTTTCCACCAGGACATCTTCATCATCTTGACTTCGTCGTGTGCGAGATTCCTGCCCTCGAGGCGGGGCTACAGCCGCGTCGGCGGCATGAACGGCACCACGGGCGGACTGGGTGCGCGTGGGCGATCCAGGGGGGACAGCGACGCGGAGAACCGTTTGATCGACGAGCTCAACGAGGAATGGGAAGATTAGCATGGATCACGAGTGGGTGCCGACCCACGAAACCTGTATCACTGAATTGACGATATAAAAATAATTGCTTCTTGAGAGGGGTCTTCGTTTAGATTATCCGTGAACCACTTTCGATTACCCGTAGACTACTGTGGATGGCCATAGATCTGCTCTATCTCCCTATGTGCCGCTCCTCGACTTCGATATCGGAATTTGTGCCGCCGGGGGACGAAGGATGGACATCGGAACGAAACATCACCGTTTCACGCAGTTTCCGAGCACAATGCCACGACCGCCATGGGGGGAAAAATCACAGAACAAATCGTTCCAATCGCACTGTTCGCATTGACATGATGAATCATCTGGGCCATCGAAGTCCTCGAAAACGAAAAGCTTTGGAACGTTGTGGGGAAGATCCACTGTCGTCATCACCCACCCACATCGAAGTCCTCCCGAAGTACGTCTTCCAAGGAAGCTCGCGAACGACCATTCGCACGGGATCACGGGATCCAGATTGATTTGTCGGTCCCCGCTGCGCGATTGATCCGAGCGACCGGGATCCTCGAGGCGGACATCGCTCACGGGTTCCGTCGTCGTCGTCGCAAGCATGGCGACCGCACGATCCAACGGCCGGACCCATCCCCTCAAGAAACCCAGCGGACATCGCCCGCCGGTGCCGAGATGGACGCTGAAACTGCCCGACGGCGTCTCGCGCATCCACACGATCTACGTCGGGGTCCAGTCCCACAGCAGCAGCAGCGGGGCCGCCGGAGCGTCCAGGGCGGGCGAGGACGCGATCGCCGCGATCCTCGCCGGGAGCCGCGCCGCCGCGACCGACACGTTCCGCGTGACGCACGGCTTCGACCTCGCGGGCGCCCGGGTGTGGGCGGCATACTTCACGGACGGGGGCGGCTACGAGGCCGCGCTCGAGGAGCTCGACCTCGTCCGGGTCTGGGGCGGGCTGGGCGCGGACAAAGCCCAGGTCGGGCTGTGGCTGGAGACCTTCTCGGCGCCCGCCGCCCGGCTCGAGACCAACTACTCCCGGCTCGAGCACCGGCCGGGCCTGGCGCGACTCCCGGGCGCCGAGCAGCCGGCGCACGAACTCACCGCGTACTGGGGCGCCGGGCGCGACCGCATCCCGGCGTCTGCCCACGACCTCTTCCCTCCTCCCCCGGAGGGGAATCTCCCGAAGCGTCCGGCTCCGCCCCCGGAGGGGCTCGGACAGAGAGTTCACGGGCGCAACCGCTTCGACAACATCTGCCACATCCGGTCCGGGCAGCACTGGGCGGGCTGCGGCGAGGAGGAACGGCGGGCGTACGAAGGGGACCTCCAGGGGGCGCTGATGGAGGGGATGGAGTACCTGTGGTCGCACGCGGAGGAGACGGGGACGCTGGGGCTGCGGTTCCTGCGGAACCTCGACGACCAGGGCGAGATGGTGCGCGAGACGTGCGGGGCGGGCTTCTTCCGGAACTGGGCGGATCTGGAGCGGTGGTCGTCGCGGCACGCGTCGCATCTGAGGATCTTCAACGGGGCGATGGCGCATGCGAAGAGGTTCGGGGAGGGCAGGAGGCTGATGACGTGGCATGAGGTGTGCATCCTGAAGGAGGGCGAGGGGAGGTTCGAGTACGTCAATTGCGATGGGGGGACGGGGGTGATGCGATGGGTGGAGTTGGAGGTGGAAGATTTGCAAACGAAATGAGATGAAACGATATGAGGATCTCTCGACACGTTTGTAGATTTGGAAGACGCGTCTTTCTCTACTACTCCTCCGACGTATGGCGGGGCAGCACACAGAGCGGATCTTCACACCCGCATGCTGCACCCAACGCCTTTCTACTGACCGACCTCCTCTCTTCACTTTTTCCCGTTGATTCTCTTCCAGACCTCTTCCTCCGTCTCGGCCAGCTTGGTGCCTGCCACGTTCGCCCAACCTTTGACCGCGTTCCAGACGTTTCCCGCGGCATCACCGCCGGCGGAAGACGGACCGGCTCCGGATCCGAGTCCGAGCGCATATCCCTCCCGCTGCTCATGCTGCCCGAGCGACGCCCGCTGCGCGGAGCTGATCTCCTGCGCGTAGGAGTTCTGGTGATAGCCGGCCGGCGGCGACGACAGCGGGCCGAGGTTGAGCGTGGTCTGTTGCTGCGGATATGATGCTGTCGGCGGGGCTTGCGCAGATGTGCTGTGCGTCGGCGTGTAGTTTTGTTGGGGAGGCGGGATGCCCATTTGGGGTGGCATGGTGGTTACGGGAGTTGGGTTCGGTGCCTCGCCGGCCTTGGGTGGAGGAGGCAGGGAGGTGGGCGCGGGTGCTTGCTGGGTGTTCTGCTGTGACGGTGGTATCGGGACAGCACCTGGCTGCGGTGGAGGGGGCGCATATCGATCGGTCTGTGCTGTTGTTGTTGTTCTGGAAGGTTGTGGTTGCGGCTGTGGTGCAGATACATATGAAGTCGGTGCTGGTCCTGCCGCAGCGCCGGGTCTGGCGGGAGGATATGGAGCCTGTTGTTGTGATGAAACGTTGTCGGATTGGTTTCCTGAAATCGCCTGAGCGACTGGGACGATGGGGTCGTCAATGTGTACCAGGACTGGCGGCATCGTGGTGACCTTTGGCCTGTCGCGCGCCTGGAATGTTCGATATGGAGGGACTTGTTATGATCGTGATGTTGAGAGCGCAGGTATGAGGTCGTGATCAGAGTGAAGGTATGAGTTCGTGATCATAAACTCGTGAATGTCGACGGGATGATGTTGGTTGAAGCAGCGGCAGCAGGCTACTGTTTCGCGACAGAGCTATAGTAAGTACCTACCTACCTACCTAGTATACTGTAGTATGTATCCTATACCTTTGATGCGGGTATTATGACGTTGCAGCGAAAGCTCCACAGGGTCTCTCTCTCTCACCTGAACAGGGTCTCCAGCTCGTCACGTGGGAGCTACAGTCTGAAACAGACAGACAGCTGTGTAGGTACGGTGCAGGGTTGCTGTAATAACCCTTCGGAAACCTTGGGATAATGGACTGTAGCGTGCAGGTGCGCCAAGCTGTTGACATAATAACAACAACAGATTGATGAAGCAGAGAGAGAGAGAGACAGTACATGGGCACCCAGGCAGATGAGAAATGAAAGTGTCGCTTGGAGATCCTCTATACACCAATAGTTAAAAAAGAGAGCAACCGATTGTAATACAGGGGAAAGCATTGCCCGGGGCGGAAATAAGAGTACACATGCATCAACGTCAGGGGACGTGATACGGCTCGTCGGAGAACCACATCTCGTGGGTCCTCCAACAAAATGCCACTGTCTCCTGTCCAAGCTGATCCCATGCCATCCAGAGCAGTAACACACTTTTTCACCGCGCACCTTGGACCTGCCTTCACAGCGGTCGGCAGATCGTCTCACATGCCCGTCCGTTCGGTGTGAGCTGGTCGTGTTGTGGGGCGAGTCGCTTATTTGAACTTCTTGCCGAACATGATGAGCTGCATCTGGTCGTAGATGGAGAGCACACCAGCACCGGCGACACCACGGAGGATGTTGGCACCAGCACCCTTGAAGAGCGAGGCGACACCTTCCTTGGCGATGATCTGGGAGGCGGCATCGAAGGAGGACTTGTACTTGACGGCCTGGCGAACGTGTCAGAGATGGGATCATGAGCCGGAGAAAAGAAGGGCAGAAATTACTCACCTCACCGGAGGTCATCATCATACGACGACGGACAGTGTCAAGGGGGTATGAGGCGATACCAGCACCGGTGGTGACGGACCATCCGAGCAAGAAGGAGGCCAGGAAGTTGCCCTCCAGGTTGCCGGTGAGGACGACAGGCTTGAGCGAGTCGTACATACCGAAGTACAGACCACGGTAGACGACGATACCGGCGACGGAGGGACCGAAACCACGGTAGAGACCGAGGACACCGTCGGAGGCGATGGTCTTCTTGTAGACATCCACCAGGCCGTTGAACTGGCGCTCACCACCCTTCTTCGCGCTCTTGGCGTCGTTGGCGAGACGGGTACGGGCGTAGTCGAGGGAGTAGACGAACATGAGGGAGGTGGCACCGGCGAGCTGTGGCGTCGTCAGTGTACGATTCACAACCGGTCGCCGCGGGGAGGGACGCGACTTACACCACCGGAGGCAAGGTTACCAGCCATCCACCACCAGTATCCATCACGGTCCTTCTTGTAACCGAACATGGACTTGAAGGTGTCACGGAAGGCAAAGTTCAAGGCCTGGGTAGGGAAGTAACGGATGACGTTGGCGTTGTTTCCACGCCACAGGGAAGCGACACCCTCCTGGGCGGTGGTGCGGCGGAAGCACTCGACGATACCGTCGTATCGGCGGTCGAGACGACCGGCCTTGATCATCTCCTCCTGTTGAAACGGCTTATCAGCATCTGCGCGTCTGATGAAGCTGAGCTGCGATCCCGCCGCGGAAGGTCGGTCATCGGCATGCAATTTCGATCACGAACCTGGTTCTGGATGAGAAGCTTGACACGCTCGATGGGAGCGGCAGCGGTCTTCGAGACGGCGGCGGAGACACCACCCACTGCGATCTGGTCAGCGTTGTTCTCTTGGGCCGGAATCTGCTTCCAGCTCTTGGAAGTAGCTTCGGTAAGCTCGCCAAAAGGCCGAGATGCACATTCTCATCGAAAGCCATCTCGGTCGGCTCGGATATGGGCTTGTACTCACTCAGGAAGTCCACCACGAAGGGGGGCATGCCCACTGAAGTTATCGATGTTAGCCATTGTTAAAATGCCGCATCGGCCAATGCCATTGCAAAATCGCATGCGGAGCTCCGACCGCCGTGAAAGTCAGGTGGTGGAAACACCGGCGCACACGGCGAATGGAGCTCCTCGTGCCGAATGGGTCGGTGAGGGTGGTAGACGAACTGATTGACTGCTTTTCGACTGTTGGGAGATTTCAGGTCAGCTTCCGGAACATGGCCAGGCGGCGCGGTCATCGGGAATGGAGACATACCGGACATAGCGACGGTAGAGACGCGATGATTAGTTTAGAGAGGAGATGAAGAACAAGAGCCTGCCTGCTCTGAGAAAAGAAGAGTAGATGGAATGGAGAAGAGGGTCGGATGTAGCAGAGAGAGAGGGTCGAGATGAGGACAAGCAAGGTGAAATTTGTTTTCAAGCTGGAGGAGGACGCCCGGCCGGCGAACGCCCGGCTAAGGAAAGTTGGTCCGTGTGGTCCGTCCGACACCTCACAGATTTGGGCGACCCTGGAAGGTACTGTATGGAGTACAGAGAAAGAAAGAGAGGCGTGAGAGAGAGGGAAAGCCGGGAATAATGGACGGTGGTGGTGAAAGGAGACGTACATACAGCACAGCACTGCACACTCCTGGCGCCCATCCCATCCCTTCTTTTTTTTTTCTCCCAGATCCATACCGCTTTGACACCTCAACGACCCGAGCGCAGCCTACTGTTGTTGTTGCTGTGTATGCCCATTGTCACGTTGCAACGACATTCTCTATTATTTCCAATTATGATTGCTATCACCAGATATAGATAGCCGCGGTGAGTCCTGGGTACCGTGTTGCATACCGTCGTCGTCGTCGTCTTCGTCGTCGTGGTTCCAATCATAGATAGACATTACATCCTTGACATGGAACCGTGAGGGCATCTCCTCATCAATCATCACAGTGGTGACAAAACCGAGTTGCACTGTACAAACCGTTCGGAGTGATCGGTGTGGTAGGCGTGTGTGTGTGTGTGCGTCGGGTGTGTTCTCGCTCTCCCTCTCCCTGTCTCCCTGATTCCCTCTCTCCCCCTGCTCTGCGAACATTTCACGTGCCTGTTTCGCCGAGGCTCACCCATTCCCCATTGCCTGCCCCCCAAAAAGTCAATTCCCTCCCCACAAGAACCCCCATCCAGGTGCATCCTCCACTGCTACAGCACATACAATATGATACTGTGCACTTGTCTCTCACCGCGGCGCAACCTGTTATTATTACAGGAGTCCATCTTCCGTGTATGTGGACCATCCCACGCCCAGTCTCCGGTGAGGTGAGGCATTCCCAAACATTTTCCGCAGTTCCCACGTCGATCCATTGGTATTCCACACCGCCGCCTTCGTGGAAGCGACTTGGTCTCCCGCTAGATAGCCGCCGATATTTTCCGATCCGCTTGTGGTTCCGTGGTTTCCTCTGTCTCTCTCCCTCTCTACCTCTCTATGATGAAGAAGGGCTTGTGGTTCACCAACAGTAAAATAATGATACGAATTGCCTAGGCTGATCGAGAGGGATCCCTGTCAACGTCGGTACAGTCGGCTCTTTGGTCGAGGTCTGCTGTACTATTTTCCGGTGGTTGACGGCCACCTGGACTCTCATCACCAGTCTCTCCTGTCACTTTGCTTGTCTCATATTTGGTGTTTGGGTCAGAACTGTTCTCAAGCGGCAGAGTGCTGGTGTGCTCGTACTGAAGACTTACCCATCATACTACTGTACGGTACCTAGGCATGCGTACATGGGCGTGACATGAGCATCTATCCACTGCTACCCACCGTAAATGTGTGCTCGTTTTACTGCATGTGGGTTTTCTTCAAATGTTTTGTAATCCTTTGTTTGAATGCCGTGCCTCTCGATTATGCTTGCGATCTTGCATGGTGATCTCCAATGAACACTAAATTTATGAATATCCACCTGACACGCCACGCACTTTATGCACAGTATATCTCATAATGCACATGTGCATCCAGATAGTGACGGGCGTGGCGCAGGAAGCTTACGGCGACTCGAAGAGATCATCTGAACTACTACTGCATCTATAGTCATCTTCAACAAGCATATAACGACGTGTGGGTGTCTGATCGCAATCATAGCCCTGGAGCACCACAGGAATTGCTTATTCATACCAAATCGCAAATGTACACATGATCTTGCCGTCCGATCATTCTCACCAAGTTCGTGACCTTGTGAAGACCGCCACATGGATACATTAGATAGATAGCGCACGCGCCCCTGGAACCCGTTTCCATCTTACATACCGCAACCTCAGATCCTCCTACCTGGCTCCGGCAACTGCGAATCACGTCCTACGTCCGGTGAAATAATCTTCTCGGGATTTGAACAAGTATCCTCTATAAGACTTCCATGGCTGTTAGAAACGTCACTGGAAGTACCGTCGCCATTCGCAATCGTTATTGTTGTCTCTTCGCGATCCTTGCAACGCTAGTGCCGATCCAAACTTTGTCCTAGTGAGGCTGTTCCTGCCACGCCCACGTGCTCTTCATCACTCCGGATACACAACAACGACAACTTCCTCATGGACGATCTGAAGCGGCGGTTGACCATCGCCAAGCCAAATATCCACATGAGCGTCACTCCTGGGTGGCTGACGCAGTCGCTGCACCAGGCACAGACGTTTCTCGGGAACCTCGTTGGCGGCGACGATGATGCCACGACGCGCTCGTTAGACGGCTCAAGGCCGATGACCGCAGTCGAGATCACAGAGCATCCGGAATTCCCACACGTAAACTGGAAGCTCGAGCCTAATTCGGCGGGCAAGATTGACGTGGCCAAGGGTCGCGGTGGTCCTTTCAAGCTTGCATATGAGATTCACGGCCATGGCCCAAACAAGCTCATTGTACGTGTGGTTCCGCCTCGGAATCTTCCATCTGCCGAACGAATTGATCTCGAGCTGATGCCGTGAACAGTGGATCATGGGTCTCGGTGGCTTCATGAAGACGTGGCAACGGCAGACCAAGGATTTCGGTCACCTCCAAGCCGACCAATACACATGCCTGATCTTCGACAACCGAGGGATGGGTGAGAGCGACAAGCCGTTCCTTCTCTACACCACTTCCGAGATGGCGACCGACATCGTCGAATTACTGGATCACGTCGGTTGGAAGGACGAGCGAAGTGTCCATGTCATCGGCATCAGCATGGGTGGCATGATCGCTCAGGAATTGGTGATTGAGCTCGTCACGAAGAACGTCGGGACCGAAGACTAACAACATCCCAGGGTCTGCAAATCCCAGAACGGATCTGCAGTCTCAACCTCATCTCAACGGCGCCGAGGATCGTCCGCACCCTGCCTTATCTAGACAACCTCCGCAACCGCATCAACCTCATGATTCCAAAGCCGCTGGACGGCCAACTTGCAAAGGTCAAAGCAGATTGCTACTCGGCGGAATGGTTGGTCAAGCCGGACGAGACCGAATTCGAGGTCAAACCGTTCCCAACCAACGGCGATCGCTTCTCCGCCGGTGAGCTGTCCAAGCGGCTCTCGCCCGGCGCCTTCACGCCTCGAGGGTTCATCTGCCAGCTCTACGCCGCCGGCTTCCATCACAAATCGCCCGAGCAGCTCCGCGAGCTGGGGGATGCTGTGGGCCGGAACCGCATCCTCGTCCTCCACGGCCAGGGCGACAACATGATCGACTTCGTCCACGGGAAGATGTTGCTCGAGGAGCTCGGTGGCGAGGAGGCTGGCGTGACCAAGTCCTTCCACGAGAACCTAGGCCACGTCGCGCCTCTGGAGAAACGTCGTGAGTTCCATCAACTCATCGAGGAGCGGGTGGCGGTCACGGCCGCGCTGGGCAAGTCCTAGATGTTTGTCGAAGACGCTTGTTTGGCGCCAGGCGGAGGTCAATCATGTCTGCTTAGGGTTTCACTGGATACCATTTCGATATAGTATGTACAAATCTACACATGTAATGCAGTATCGCCAAGTTCCCTGCCGCGAGTGACTAGGATGCAACACCATATGTCCATTTCGAAGTTCCGTGCACTGCCCATCGCGAACTATCCGCGCAGGACAACTCCTTCAGATTCGGGGTCGACGAGCTTGCCGTAACAATCCGGACATGAAGCACTCAGTGGTTATGAAGTAGAGTCCGCCTTGGTCCTGGACACCTACAGTACATCTCCCCGTCCATGGCGGGATTACACCAGCATTTACATCATTGGTCCTCGGACGCCGACGACTCACATCATCCGAATTGTCCGCATCACAACAACCACGATCGTACACTTAATATGATGATCAATTGCTATGCATGTTGTCCTTGAGGTGCGTTGTCACGTGCGCATGGAGCGAGCCGCAACCCTGGGGCTAGCTTAACCCTAAGACGATCGAGTGACGAAACGAAGACTTGGCAACCCACAAGCGGGATGGCAGAAATTCATGGGACGCACGGGAGCATGCCGTGGACGAATTTCGCGGGATCAATCAGTCCGCAGGGCCACTACTACACATCTCCACAGCCTTTCGGCAGAATCACACACTTCTCCAGTTCGAACAACCATCGCTTTATCTCTTTGAGGAACTTCGACATAACTTGAAGAACAGTCAACACAGAGTTCAACATGGTACGTTTGCCTGTCCTCCGAGAGCTTTTACTGGATCGATGGTCCTCGCCGGGCCCAATGTTCCGTACGACGAATTGCCCGCACGAGACCATTCCACGCCTCTCGCCGAACCATTCCATGTCTCGTGCAGGCTTTCGCTCGAACATTGCCGCCCTGCCCTCGGATCGTAATCGCTCGCCTTGAACCGTGTCGCTGACCAGCTCCTTCCCCCCCACAGTCGGACGGAGAAGAGCCCACCAACGTCGAGGAGGTCGGCGCGGCCGAGGACGTCGAGGTCTCGGCCGACAAGCCCTCGGGCGGCATGTCCGTCCTGGACGCGCTCAAGGGCGTGCTCAAGATCGCGCTGATCCACGACGGGCTCGCCCGCGGCCTCCGCGAGGCCAGCAAGGCCCTCGACCGCCGCCAGGCCCACATGTGCGTGCTCAACGAGGCGTGCGAGGAGGAGGCGTACAAGAAGCTGGTCGTCGCCCTGTGCGGCGAGCACAAGATCCCGCTCATCAAGGTCCCGGATGGAAAGCAGCTCGGCGAGTGGGCCGGTTTGTGTACGTCGCTCGTTTCCCTGTTTTCCAAAAAGTTCATATGGGGGGCAACATGGAATGCTGACGTGTCGATCGCTTCACAGGCCAGATCGACCGTGAGGGTAACGCCCGCAAGGTCGTCAACTGCTCTTGCGTCGTCGTCAAGGACTGGGGTGAAGAGTCCCAGGAGCGCTCCATCCTCCTCAACTACTTCCAGACCGAGCAATAGACGTCGGGAGGTGATTGGACGAAGGGGTTTTCCCGATGGTAAAACGAACACGCATGTACGGGTCAACGAAAAGGAACGAGATCGGCACGGGCAGCAGACTTGTACTGGAGGAGAAGGTTGTCGGTCGGGCCACCTTTCTTATGAAAGTGCAGACTGGGAGCTATCGTGGGGGGGAGAACATCGCGAAATCCGTGATCGTCCTGCCACTCGGCCACATCTCGAAAAGTTTTTAGACCAGCAAATGAGAAGACGATTTACCACCCACCGTCGTGTTCCCGCGTCCGCATGTCATGCCATGGTGATAGGGGTATAAATGTTTGCCACGAACGTTTCATTTTTTCCCGCGCAACGCCAGACACATATCCGACCGTCTGCCCCGTATCCTCCTCTGTGTTGAAATGACTAGTATGCCACCGTAGCAGCAGTGGTTGACAAAAAACAATAACAATAACAACCACACTTCCCCGAAAACGCCGCGCTCACGAAAAAGTCCCAGAAAGCGGAAGCCAAAAAAAAGATCAAGAAAAAGCGACGCCAGAACCCATCGCCCTCATACCCCCCCGGGAATCAGGGAGCGTCTCCCTCAGCTCAGCCCAGCTCAGCGCAGCTCAAAGGCCGGCCAGCCGGACCTGGCGTTCTCGGCGCTCAGGCGCAGCCTCTGAAACGGGCGGCTGTCCCTGTCGAGGTAGAGGCCCTCGACGGCGCCGTCGCTCCTCCGCAGGCTGACGTAGTAGAAGCCCGAGATGGTCAGGCCGTGGCCGCGGTCCTGGTCGTTGGAGCAGTTCGCCGGGTCGGCGCAGGGCTCGCTGGAGCTGTGGATGAAGCAGCGCTCCTTCCACCGCATGAAGATGTACCTCTCGTGCAGGGACTGGAGGCGCGATGTCGAGAGGAGGATGAGCGCGAGCGGGTCGCTGGAAGAGGCGCTGGCGCTGGAGGAGGAGGAGGAGGGGTGGCGGAGGAGGGTGGAGAAGGGGGGCAGTTGGCGCCAGTAGGCGGCGTCGGTGGAGGGGTTGGCGTTGGAGTAGATGAGGTTGTTGGAGGAGGGGTTGTGGCGGGGGCCGTGAGGGATGGGGTCGGTGAGGGCGGAAGGGTCGGGGGTCAGGAAGGAGTGGGTTCGGAGGTCGATGATGTGGCCTTCGAGGTAGGTCTTGATCGGGGCGGATTTCTGCCCGGCCTTGAGCTGGGATTCCTGGTCGGGGGATGTGCAGAGGGTTGGCACGAGGGTGGCCGGCCCGTTGTTTTGAGGGACGTCGTAGGCCTCCATGGTGCCCTGGATGAGCATCTTGTCGTAGTCCACTGCGTGGATTATCACCCGGACTGGCCACTGATCATGGGGGTCCTTTGCTGCGCTGGTGCCGCTTCGTGGCTGTGTGCCTTGAAGGTTACTCCGAGAATTGGAGGCGCCAGAAGGCGCTTCATCAACCGTGTGCGAAGGCTGAGTTAGATTACGAAAGCTAGCGGTTGAAGGCGATCGGCTCTGACTGCGCCCGCCACTTCCGGCGGCCACAGAGGCAACATCCGGATGAGAGGGATCAGAGCCAGTGGTCGCTTGTTGATGTCCTTTGAAGATGGTACCAGGCTGGAGCCATGAACTCTCCGCAAACGACCCGACAGTGTTGAGACTGGTGATGAAATCACCGTGCTTGTCGGTATCCAACTCCCGCCTTACGATGCCGCGACTCGCCGCAGCGGCGATGGCTTGCTCGTCCTCATCGCAAACCCGCAGATCATCCAGGTAGAGGAGCGTCTTTTCCAGGAGAGATGACGACGATCGACTGGGCGCGACGGGAGATGTCGATGATGGATTGGGCACGACTGGAGACGTCGACGATTCCATCTGCGCCCTCAGTCTCTGCATCTGGGCCCCCAAAATTGCCGGGGCCCTGATATCAGCCTGCGATATCGCCTGATAGTCGCGCCTTTGTTGCAAGTTGGAAAGGATGCCCAATGCCGCACGAGCTCTCCGTTGTTGATTGGTTTCGCTCGGGGGATTGATCTGATTCGGCTGCTGTCTGAGAATTCTGCGTGTTCGCGAAGACTGCTCCGCGCCAGACAAGCCCATGTCACGGAGATGTTCCTGTCCGATTTCTGTGCTCGTCAACAGAGCGCTGCGGCGGGCCTCCTCGAAGGGGAGATACCGCTGCTGGACCGTCCGCGGACTTTCCGTTTGAACTTGCTCTTCATCTCTCGCGCTGTCTAGCATCAGACGCTCTAATCTTGCTGCTTCGCGATCCTGGCCATGTTGTGAGGGAGCCCAGTCGTAGAGGTTTTGGCGATTTGGCGAAGGCGTGCGGTTGCTGTATGCAGCTACTATGGAAGACGCTGCGCTAGCCGCCGCCTGAACTCTCGAGAGCTCTATTAGGACACGCTGTAACCGTTGCTGTCGTGAAAGGTCCTCCTCCGACAGTGTCGAACGTGCGCGCTCCGCGGTCGAGCTGGACTGGCGGTTGTGCGCAGACATGGGTATCGACCAGCGGAGGTGCCGCGGCGGTTCGGGAAGGATTGATGAATGTCGAGGACTAGGTGGTTGATCCTCTCCTGTTTGCTCGCTGGCGCCCGTGGATTGCTGTCGGGTCGTGAATTGATCGAGCTCTGAAGTCAGCCGACGAGACATGATTGTCGTTGTCTATGGTTCGGGGTCCTGGCGTGTTGGCGATGACTCCACTCGCGTCCTGCCCGAACTACGCCAGAAGGCGTACGACTGTATGCGTCCGCTCCGCCGTCAAGTGAGTATCATCAACGAGCAAGTGCTTGTAATTCACTCATGTATGTCGTGGTTGGTCGCGGATGCGCTTGCGCGCTTAGTGAGCAATTCGTGTTCACTTCGGCACCATCGCATGTCCAGACTCCAGACGCAGTTGTGCCGCTTGAACTTCCTCCGACTCTATAATTCCCTAGCAAATTGGGTATGCAAAACAGACATGTGCGCGATTGTGGCACGGAGTCTTTTGGAGGAGACTTCTCCACTTGCGCGTGTCTCGTCCATCGGAATGCCTAGGTAATTCATGAAGCGTGAAAGGGCCGCACTTTGGAAGCAGCCGATGACGTGAGGCCGTGCAGTGTCCCAATTTCCCTCCGATCGGCGGGTTCAGGTCAGTGCTGACTACGAGATCGATCCGATAGCGACAGCAACGTCACACCGGACATCTTGATATACCGCATCTTTCAGGCAATGGTATTGATGATACAATCCTTTGATCCATGAAGACAACGACGTATACGAGCGATGTGGAGAGTCACGGCATTAACGATGATAGTGACGAACATGGAAATCTCTGAACATTTCAACAATGGAATTAAGAAACGATGGAAATATGTAAAGGCAGAGATCGCACCATAGACTAGCTACAGATGGAAGAATCCCCGACCCAAAGAGAGAAAAAGTCTCATCATGTCCTGACAATTTTGAGGACTTTGGATTTCCAGCACCGTTCGCCTCATTCCGGGCACAGCCCGTCGGAGACTTTTCCTCACAGAGGAATATAGCAGGTGGTCGCTATCTTCTGACACCTCGCACTAAAGCTCGACCGAACGAGAACGCGCCAATCAAGGCTGCCTCGTCGGACTCGGAGCGAATTCCAAACACCCATATGAAGAAGCGCGCTCTGCTTTGCACCGATGATGGTGGGAGCAGGAGGATGTCGTCGCCGTAGTCATCCATCCACAGGCATACGGACGCAAGCGTCGCTGTGTGCCGGTGGGGAAATGGTCGATGTAACATCACAGATGCTATTTCGACAACGACGGGCGAAGGCAATCCTTGGTAGTCACTGCACTCGGAGGGGAGTGAGTGCGGAGCGCTTCTGTTGGTGTCTGGTCGTGTGAGGCGTCATATTATGTTCGAGCCGAGCATGTCAAATGCCACAGAGCTCTGTTTTGGGAAAAAAAGCCGATCGCCAACGAGTCAACAAACAATACCATCAAGGTAGATCACCGGGATCAAATGTTGTGACTTCGTCGTCGTGCGTGCTCGGTCTAAGCAGCAAAGGGGTAGCCCTCAACACCGCATCGTATCCGCTGTCGGCGAGAGCTAGCTCGCTCGACCGGAGTGTACGATGGGTTTCCAGGCGCCCAATACTACCCTTGACGAGCTTGCAAAGGCAAAGAGAAGAGAAGTAGTCGACTCACGACATGCCAGATGTCGCGGGCCACTGTGATAAGGGCCAGATGTGCGCGCACACTGGGACCAAGGAATCGCCGGCGGGCGAAGCAGACCTTGACCAGGTACGCGCGGCGCCCCGTGATAGGTATCCATAAAAGACCGCGAGGTCGGAGTGGCCTATCCTCTTGTGCATGCGCTTGTCTTCCCACAGGGAGTCAAGACGGCATGATCCGGGGCGCTGCACCATCTGACCCGTTCTTAGGAAAAGCAAAAATGCGAAAAAATGCAACGCTTGCTGAACAGCCAATAAGGATAAAGGGAAATAGGAAAAAAATAGAAATAAGAAGGGAAGTCGCTGTGAGAACTCAATCCGAGATGCCTTGTGTTTTGTTTGTGATGTTGAAAAGTCCGTGGGAGGTAGATGATCAACATCGGGTATCGCCAGTGTCGCGTCGCATTGCATGACATTAAGTTATGGTCGTGGTCGCGTGTCAAGGTGAGGGAGGCAACACGGTTGCACATCCGAACATCAACAGGAAAGGGAGGTAGAACGCCTTGAGTAAGGTAGATATCGTGCAAGGTCCCTGGACTTGACCGATCACATGGTAGTGGCGTATTGAGGAGTCCAAGCGGCCTGTGTCCAGCCAAAATCGTTGAAGCCGCCCATCGAAAAGTCAGAGCCGCAATGTTGTGGCATGAAGCTGGATGAAGGAAGCGGCGCGATACACTCGGGCGAGCTGTAGAATTGAGCAGGCGCGGATGTGTAGATCGGCTGGCTGAGCGAAGGCGTCGGCGACGGCAACTGAAGCGGGTTCATGCTCATGTCCTGCCAGAACACCGTGTGGTTGTCACTGCAGGTAGAGCCTGTCGGCGATGGCGTTGATGGGAGGACCTTCCACGAGTCCACTGGCATGGGTTGCGTAGGAGCCAACTGGGTCGGGCTCCACCAGTTGCTGGACAGCGATGGGTTAGGAAGGATGGGAGCCGGCTGAATGACATCGACGATCCTCGGTGGCGGTGGGAGCAGAGGAAGAAACAGGTTCATGATGGCGTTCTTGACTTGCTCCGATCGACCGTCCAACAACTCTCCGGCGCCATCCTCCTCCAGACCCTCCAAAGCACGAACACCAGTGCGGAAGACAAATCGGTTTGCGGCTTGGACGAACTCGTCGTGCATCTTCCTCACCTGGGTCTCCTTTTCAGGCCAGCTCCAGGTACTCGCGGATGCATCGACGGAGTAGATGTCTTTGTGGTAGTCGACAAGCGCTTCGATGGTCTCGGGCATCAACTTGAAGGCGACCTCATGCTGGGAGACCATGTCGACGTGCACGACGTAGGCCTCGATGTGAATCAGCTGAAAGTTGAACATGGCCTCGACGAGCGGGTCAGAATCCTTGCGCAATTCCGACTCGGGTGCTTTGGGCAGCATGAGAGAAGCGAGGGTCCAGATGGCGGCGTCACCACCCAAGGTCTCGGTCAAGCACCGGAAATGTTGTGGCACGCTGTTGAGAGGTCGCTTGACCCGGTTGATGCGCTTCAATGTCTGAGTAAGCCATGGCTCGACCTTGGAGTTGAGGACGATCTCGGGCTTTCCTCGAGGCGCAAAGGCCTGTGCCGATGCTGGGAGTAGTTGGACTGGCATTGAGTTGGTTGTCGAATGATATTGTTGTACCAGACAGCAATATCGACGACGTCGATGGTGGGCGGACGGATGGAGAACTGTGACAACGAAAATCCCTCCCCAAAATGCAAAAAAATTGAACGAAAAAAATTGAAAATTCCACGACTCGATTCGGATTGTCTGATTGAATGCCTGGTTGTAGTTTTGGATTAGCACGCCTTTGGGTGAGTCGGAATATCAAAAGAAGAGAAGGAAAAGGCCAATAAGAGGGCGTGAGGGGATTGGTGATGGAGATGGAGTCGGAAGGTAGCTGGTGGGGTGGTCCAGCTTATATCCAAGTTGATATTTCGCGGACCAGCGCAATGTAACGCTAAAAGCCTGGGGAGACACGCCCACACGCCCACGAGAGAGGCAGGATACTGGACCCGTGAGAATCTGCACTGCGCCTCTTTGTTCTCTGCCTACCTACCTAGTATGTAGTGAGACTCCAGTGCTTGGGTTGGGAGGTGGTGGCCACATGCAGGACGACGACGACACCACACACCACACCACAGCTGGCTGCATGGAGTAGCCGCATAATTAGCTTCTACGCTGCCTCACACGCCGCTTCTTCACGTACACTTTCTGCGGCATCACGACTTTGTCCTACTGACACGATGGCCGTCGCGTCGACGCGATGCATCGTGTCTTGTTGGCGGCGTGTGTTACGCCTCGTTGTTGTCGCAACACGTAAGGTCGAATCATCATCACGCGAACTCGTGTTGGCGACGTGACTCACTCCACATCAAGATCACGGGATTTGCTGTCCACATGGGACCATATATGGAAGGAGGAACAGCATTTTGTGTTGCCCGATGCACTTGTTGCGTACACCACAGTAAACATATCGCCGGTACACATCTCGCTGGTACGACGAGGAGTGGTCGCACACAGGCGGCACCACATCTACATCAAGTGACGATGCTTCGGATGTTCGTGATGAACCACAACCGATTAAGGTTGTACACTGACTGCACACCAGACAGATCGATCCGGCTTCCCTCGAAGAGGTCTCTGCAAGGGCCGCCTGTCGACTCGATCCTGATATGACTCCTTTATGCGTCGAAGCTACGATCATTCGCTCCATGACGGACAAGCCGGTCGTTTGACAATGGAATCGAGATGATCACGAAGCACTGGATTAGGCATGGAAGCGAGGGTCCAGCCGTCGAAACAGCTCATCATACTCAACTTCTCATGGCCACTCGATGAGACCCAAGAGGTGCCTGCATATGCAAAAGCGCTCAGGCCTCTGGGTAGGCCGCGTGGTAGGGAAACTCCGATTGATATGGTGCTCCACCTCCATCGTCATCCGCACATTGATGATATATTGTGGACAACCCTCGAACTGTTTAGTCCTGCATGTTCTGTACCCACCGCCAGGCCCGGACTCGCGCCAAACGAACGGTGCGATGCCATGGTTCGGAAACGAGCAAGATTTCGCAACGGGAACACGGCAACTTCGCGCAGACGTTGAGGAGGTTGCATGAAGCAGTCGGCGTCGAAGGTGTTTTGCGTTTCGTACCAGAGAGATGCCGTCTTCGATTGTTCTTCCAGATGCCAATGGTTGGATGTCATGCTTCGGTCACTCCGAGTAGCGTGGCCCCGCGGGACTTTGTCTCATCGGAAAACGCACGGAAAAGGTTTAGCGGGGAAATGTCAATGGGCCAATGAGCGGCCAACTTCCCACCTTTTGCGTGAAGAGCCGCACCACCCAAGCGGGACACATTCCCAACCCATTCCGAATTTCTCACGTCTCATCTTTCAGGTCTCCCATGGGAAGACACACAAACACGGGGCCACCCATACTTATAATTATAACAATAATCATACATCAGACACGCCTCTCCGCTTGTGATGATATTAGACTCGCTACCGTGAGCACGAACTTCCTCCATCGCACGACGAATGTTCCAGCCAAAGCAGCAGGGCCGCGAAACTACAGTACGAGGATGTGCGAGGTGTGATCATCATCACCATCATCATCTGAAGAGTTTCTTCGGGTCCGGGCCCGAGACATGCATGACCTCAGCTGCATTCTTTTCCATATTTTCCATGCTAGAACTGCTCCTCGCCTCTCCCTAGAGTTGCAGATCTCGCCCTCGTGCGGGCCTACAGCACACCATACGGGCCGTCCATGCTGTGCTGTACAGCGTGTTCAGCAGAGCATGTCCAAAGAAATAACGAAATGTCTGTGGGCACACGGGATGGCCGAGCGTAGCCACAACGCTCGCACGCGCGAATCCAGGGTTCGGTGGCGATCACGAACGAGACGCGAGGCGGTGCAGGGAGAGAAACGCGAAAAAACTTTCGGCCATCTGCGCGTGCAGGGACGCGAATGTCGCCCGAACACGTCGCCGCCGCCGTCGTCGTCGTCGGCCCACGTCGCATCGCATCGCGGCGACGATCGTGACAATGCATGTTGCCATCGCCGTTCAGGGGAGTCGTCGATGATGATGATGCATGTTTGGCACTGGACTCGCGAACGGTTTCTCCCCATCACCTGCAATGCATCTATCACGTGAGTTCTCCTACATCGGGATGTTTCCAATCCGAAAGGGTTCCCGGTCAACGCCGATGTTCGTAACTGCTAGAAGTGCGTTGGCTCGTCTTCATTACTCATCAACCATTGCGCATGGATTCAGTTCTCCAGTCAAAGTGATGCCAGTCTCCGGTGACATGCCGCTCCCGAATTTCCCTCCATCATCGTTGACTCATGATGGCCCGATGGCATGCTACAACGCAGTCTCGTGTGGATATTTGGGAGACAGTCCAGCTTACCTTAGTGCGGTAGAATTTTCAAGCGGGCGATCTGTGTCTCTAGAAGTCACGGGTGTCCCTGATGAGCGTCTTTCCGAAGTGCGCACGTGATGTGATATCGCGATCCGTGTAGTCTGTCTCATTGTCATTCATCAGCTCTTCAACGTGAGTGGTCTCATCACACCCAAGCGCGCGGGTGCTTTATGTCTCTATAGCAGACTGTAAATCAAGAGCCTCATGTTGTAGTCACTATGCGGAGCATGACAATTGTCCGATGTTGTATCTTCGTCGTGTCATGAGCAACTGTCCCTTCACCATCGTGATACTTCATGGAGCGGGATGGGTAGCAAGTCGCCATTTCTGCCGCACAACTCGCACCACCTGGGCGACTGCTACTGCGATTGCGATACTAGCGGACGAAGACAGCAATACGTCTTCTCCCGTGTGTTCAACACACTGTCGTTATCGAGGCGCGTCTGGATTGGTGTGCGAGCACTATATTCCCAGCCCCAACAAGCCTCGGAGTCTCTTGACCGCTCACGTATAATGCCTTGGTAGCGCCCAGATCGGGTTTAGAGAATCATCGTCAAGCGTCGCGCCATGGATGACTCTCGCCATCATCACAATCAGGATTCTATCGGGAAAAAACCAAGATGGCAGAGATCCGAAGGGTTCCAGAGTCGATTTCTCAATCTCAGATGTCCACTCATCCCATGACACGCACACGTACACGTACATGTACACGTACAAAGGTGAAAAGTCTCGTGTCATTTGAGAAAGTTTGTAGAACATCTTGACAAATCCTCGATGTTGCTTCGTTGTTTGGTGGTGGTGTACTCATCAGACATTACACTGCACGTCGTGTTACGACTCTCCCTCTCGGCTCCGCGGGTTGCACATCCGTTCGGATTCCATCTTCAGTGTTGTGCCTGCGGTGTCACGCACGGAGCAATCGACAAGAAGGGCGCAACACTCTCAACATCACTTGTCTCAAAGCACAAGACCGTGATATTTGCAATTCTTTGATAAACGGCAAGAAGACACAGTAGCTAGACATTCACGGACAGCTGCATACTGTTCTTCCTGCCCACTTTTCGCCTACCAACAGAGCAGGATTGCTATCGTACCAGGGACCCAGAAAGAGTTTACCTAGAGTGGAGAGTGGAGTCGGCTTAATCTACAGGAGCACAGCACGTGTCGCGGTCGATCTCACGACCTTATCGTATGTGAAGCACTCGGCCGTCGGTGAGCAACCGTGGGAGCTGAAAGTCTCGACGAGACGATGATGACTACTCCATCCTTTGGACCAGCTAATTTAGAGACATTTTCTGTTTGGAAGTGCCTCAAGCTGATGGGACATGTACATCTCTGTTTCCGGTCGTTCCCGGATGGTGGACTGCACACTACTCCGTTACGTGCGAACGACGACGGCGATACACCCTTAGCATGTTCACCATCCAGGGTTTTGTTGCTTCATAGTGCTACCCGCACACTTGGTCGGGATGATCGGAGTCGTTGTCGTTGAAGCTGTCGTGATTGCTACCATGATTCTGCTCGGCCCGGGTCAAATGTGTCATCCATCTCGATCCCCCGCTAGAGAGCAGGATCTGCAGCTCCCACACCTCAAAATGTCTTTCTCATGATAGAAATCGGATCCACGGCTTGAAATTTGTCTTACATTCCTACTGTAGACGCGCTGACGAGATGGACTTGGTCCCTGAGAAAAAACGGTCGGGCGCGATTCTGAGGGATGACGATGAAGAAGGAGAAGAAGGAGGAGGGAAAAAGACGGTAGTGGTGTCCTCGTCGACACCCTCAGCCTCGTCCTTGTTCCTGTCATCATCATCACCATCCTCGTCTCCTGCTACAACGGGCGCATTGGGTGAGGGTGGTGACATCAAATTCCTGCTTGACGGATCACCCAATGGTCCGCGGCCCACACTGGAATGTTGTGCGCACGTCAGTCCACGCTTGATAACAACGCTCCTTGCTAAGCTGCCCGTTGCGCCCGCCTTGGTGCTCAGCATCGGCTGCGGCCAGGGTTTCCTCGAGGAGGCCTTGCTCCGCGCATCGCAGGCCGAGTTGAACCTCTACGGCGTGGAGGTGGAAACGTGCCCGAACAAGTTCTTGCGCGGCGAGCGTCTCCTCCGCGTCCCCAACACGTTCGCATTGCACGCGGATGCCATCCTCGCAGACGCTTGGATGTTCATCTACCCTCGCAGCATTAGCCTGCTCGAACGATACCTTTCCGTCTTCGTCAGAGGCGTTCTGGACTCGGTCATCTGGCTAGGACCGAGCGAGGAGTTTCCCGAGGCCCAGAAAGTCCTTCTATCGAGCTTCGATCAGCTGGAAATCATCGGGACCCCAGTGCTGCCGGGCTACGAGACGCTGGCCATCGCGACAGGCCGCCGGGGCAGCGATTGAAAGTTAAACCGAGGGAGTTCCACTGAGAGAGAGACACACACACAAAGACCAGCCAGACACGCCAGACAACCCCCCCCAAAAACCACCGACGCCAGCCAGAGACAGCGCTTGTGGCGCCTTCACGCCCCGCAAAACGTTTCCCCCGCCCTCTCCGACCCATTTCGTGCAGGTAACCGCATGCACATGCTTTTCCGCACTGACAGTTCTCCGCTCTTTCAGCTCTCGCTGTCACCATCCAGTGCCGAGCTTGGGCGAGCTAACCATCATTTGCTGCCTTTTAACTTTTGCTTACATCTTGTCGATCTTCCGACCAGCTTCGCGCTTGGACAAAACCACCCACAGTCGTCAGTGTCTTCTCGCTCGTCTGCAACTTCAATCCTCGTCGCCGCCGCCGTCGTCGTCGTCGTTGTCGACATTTCCCTCGTCGCATGTCTCTATCGCTGTCCGCCGTGCGATAATCCTCGCTGGAGCCTACCCGCCGGACCATTGACAGCAAACGCAGCATGGCGTCATTATTCCAACCGCGAAGAAGCAACGAAACCAACGGCGCAACTGCCGCCGACCCACAGCTGCTGGACTCGGTGTCAATATTCACATGGGAGGATGCGATCGATCTCTACCAAGGCTTCGAGTGGCAAGAGTCCGCATCGACGTTCTTCCAGCTCTCGCGCACAGTCCACGATGATGACAGCAAGACACGGTGTCTGCTCAATGCAGCGATCATCTATGCGCGGATGGGAAAACACAGCCAATCTGCCAATGTTCTCGAGGAGGTCTCCACCACAGGAGATGACCTCGCACTGACTCTATTCCTCATGGGCCATGTCAAGCATGCAATGGGAGCTTCAACCGACGCCGAACAGTGTTTCCGCATCGCGCTCGATCAACTTGATGGTAAAGGCGCCAAATTCCGAGACCTCGACTTCACCCTCAATCCATCTAACATCACCCTCAATCTTGACACTCTGAAGGAGTCCAAATCCAGCGCAGCCGACTCAAATGGTCTAATTCTACCTGCAGATGGTCTGCTCAAACCAGTATCTCGCCCATCGTTGCGCCATTCTACCTTCGCGCGCAACTCCCAGAGCTATTCAAAGCGTGACGGAACCATCGTCCTCGTTTTCCCAGAAAGTCCGGCGAGCGATATTACCGTCAAGGCGGGGCCGCCGTCTCCTGTGCCGGCACACACCCGGATCGAGTCCGTCGAGTACGCCAGTGGAGACCTAAAGTATCACAACAAGGAGAATGAGGCCCCCAGCAAACCCGAGAGCCCGGCGCCGAAGCCTGCATCATCGTTCCGAAGTCTCAGCACCATGGTCAGAAGAATCTCGTATCGACAGTCCTCCAAAACACCGAATGCGACAGATGCCAACGCGCCACCGGTTCCCACCCTTCCCCGGACAAAGCCGAGCCACACAGCGCGTGAAGCTCGAGGAATTGGTCAATCAGTCCGAGAGCTGACCAATTTTATTCGTCACCTTCCACAACAGGATGAGGGTAGTGCCGCTACGTCAGCGTGGAACGTCAGTATACCTACTGCCCCCACCACCCCGGCCTCATCCAATGCTGCGGCATCTTCGGCTCGTGGTTCTGTGTCATCCTCTCTTCCTGGACTCACCGACCACGAGAGCCTCTCCGATAAATCTATACACTCTGCCATCGACTCCAACGCTGCTAGCATCCAATCCGTTGATGCCGCCATCCACATTGGTAGCGAGTCGCCCGACGTTGACTTGGCTGTACCGTTCAAAAACCCCATACGAAGAGTCGTAGCTATGGAACGAGCGCACAAACTCTTGGCGGACCAATCTCGCAGCCCACCGGTGGAGTCGACCCCACGTATGATTCACCAACAGTCGACACCAACGATGCGTCCGGTCACATTCATCGACACAGTGGCCAGGCGACCAAGCGTGGACTTTGCGATGGACAGGCGATCGACAGACGCTCCTCGAAAGCCACCGCCACGACCAGCAAGATCGCCTGTCCGACACTCACCTGCGACGAATCCGCCCACAGACCCGCCCGCGAGGCGGTTGCCGCCAGTCCCTCCTCCAAAGGGAGCGCTACCCGCCATCCCACAGACCTCTCTCAAACCTCCGACTTCTCCCACACTCCCAACGCGCCGCCGACCGGTCCTGACCGAAAGAACCCTGTCCATGATCGGTGCACCTTTGCCCGCACTTCCGGAACAGAGCGAAGCGCGACAAACCCCTTCGAGCCTCCTCCCGAGCCAAGCGTCGTATTTCGAGAAATACATCCCGAACCGCACGCCCGTCTTTCAAATCGACTCATCCCCACAACGGATTTGAAGAAACCCGCTTCTTCGAACTCTTTCTTAACGACTCGACGCTTAATGCCCCGGGCAGCGCGCCCACCCCGAGCTTCTTTCTCTCACTTATTGTTCTTTCTCTTCTCGACTTCCATTTCTCGATGATACCCTTTGCATTCACCGGCACTATTTTTATATGACCATGGGATTATTTCAGGCGTCGTCCCTCTAGCATTTACATTCCTTATCTACTACCACTACTACTAGTACAGCGACCCAAATTATCTATTAAAGTATCGATCGCTTAATTTTCATCCTCCATAATTCACTTCTTCGCTTTCTTCTTCCCCTTGCCAAAGTCTAACTTGCTCTGACTGTTCTCGCGCTTGTGGCCCCGCGGCTTGGTCGTGCTGCGTCCGCCCTCTTCTTCTTCTTCTTCAGGGCCATCGTCGTGCTTAGATTCCCCCTCGGCGCCGTCCGCGTCCTCCCAGGAACCGAGACCTCCCGGGCCGCCTTTGTCGCCCTCTGTCGGTCCCTCGGCGTCATCGTCGAACGCTTGCTTCCATGTCCCATCCAGCACCTTGGGGTTGTCTCCGTAGAACCCCACGTTGTACGCCGATTTCATGCCCTGGAGGCAGATGTCCCTGCGGCTGTTGAAATCGAACATCGGTCTGGAGCAGCGTGTCAGCGGGAAAAATCAAAAAGAAATCATGCCTTGGGAATAACACTCACTTGGGATAAACCTTCAATCCGCCCGCCTCCGTCTCCGACCCGTCCCCCCTGATCATCACCCCGGCCTTCTTCTGATCCTGGATCGGCGCCTTGTGCGGTTCGTAGATGTACTTCTTGGGGAGATCCTTCAGCTCGGGCACATATTTCCGGATATAATCGCCGTCGTCGTCCCACTTCTTCCCGAACGCCACGGGGCTGTAACAGCGGTAGAACTGGGCGAAGAAGGCCGTGCACGACAGCCACTGCCAGTTCCCGATGTTGCACGCCGACTCGTGGTCGATCAGCAGCTCCTCGAACACGTCCGCGCCCCGCTCCCAGCTGATGTAGCAGCCGCCCCGCGTGAGGAAGCAGGCCACCGAGTGCCGCGCGAGGTGGTGGATCCAGCCTTCCTGGCGGAGCTGGCGCATGATGGCGTCGATCCACGGGAACCCCGTGGTCCCGGCCGTCCAGCGCCGGAGCCAGACCTCCTTCTCGGCGTCGTCGACCTCGTACCCGCCGGTGCTCCGCCGGGTCGCGACGTCGACTCTGCTCGGCAGGTGCCAGGGGATGAAGCGGCATTTGGGGTTGTTGTAGGTCTGGCCGAAGGACCAGCCGAGGCCCGCCTGCGCGCCGAAGTACATGTCCCGGAAGAGCAGCTGGCCGTGGAGGCTGGCGGGCGGGGAGGACGTGGGCTTCTTGGCTCGGCGGCGTCGCTCGAGGATGGCGTCGACGCGGTGGTAGAAGTAGCGGCAGCTGAGCGCGCCGAAGTGGAGGTAGGGCGAGGTGAGGAAGGTGGACTGCGGCTCGAACGCGGCCGGGGAGGTCTTGGGCTTCTCGAACGTCGCGGTGTAGTCTTCGTCCGCGAGCCTCTCTTCGAGGAGCTCGAGGATCACGCTCTCGCCGCCCCGGTGTTGGGTCGTCGCTGCTTTGAAACCGCATTCCTCGAGGGTGGGAGGCGCGAAGTCCCCGTTGGGCCCGGCGATTCCGGAGTCGAAGGAGGTTTCGGCGTCGTCGCGCCATGGCTCGTTCATGTCGGGTTTCGACTCGGGTTTGGTGTGATTGAACTTGATCGGCGTATCTCCGGGGTCTGGGAGACTTTTGGGTGTGGGGACAGGCTTCTCGATGGGTCCGATCTTGGCGCCTGCGGCTTGTAGTTGAGTTCTGAAGGGATCATCAGCATTGAACTTCTGCTTTTCTCGAGAATGAACGGATCGTGATTCTCAACGGACATGCTCATCGTTGGTTTGCCGCCATTCTTTTTCACAATCTCGTCGCTGTCCCACAGAGTGCGGCCGGACTTGACGATGACCTCGACGCCGGCATCCCTGGCCAACTTCTTGACCTCTTCGTCTCGCTCGGCTGCGTAGGCGTCGACATCCTTCTCAAAGACCAAATGTGAGATCTTCCAGGCTTTGAACAGCTTGGGGAGGAGTGTGATCGCTGGTTCCCGCAGGACGAATAGTTTGCTCTTGGGATTCAACTTGGTGATGCTTTGTGACACATCATTTTGACAGTCGATGAGGAATTGCCATCGATTCACGCCTACTCGGGCCCGGAAGACGTAATGACTGTCCCAACACCTATATGGAGATTTAGAGTTCTGTCCGAATATGAGATCAACCAGATAGTGTTTACCAGATGGGAAAGAAGGCCTACGTTGTTACGGAATTAGTATTGCTATCGATGTATCGTGTTGTCACGCATATAATATACATACCGAAGGCTCAAGGTCCAATGCTGCTTTCAATGCCGGCGAGTCATGTAAGCGTAGATCCGTTCGAAACCAGTAGATCACTCGTGGACCGGTCATGTCTCCAACAAGGCAAACTATGGATATATGTCAAAATTGCAAGAGACCAACATCAAGCTATCGATCCAACGGAATATGTCTATACCAGGTATGTCAAGGTAATGTTATCTTCAAGTGACCATTGTATGTACTCTACTCTCATAGCAACGGTGCTGTATGGCTGGTTATGCTTCACGCCAGTCCCAGAAGAGAATGTGATGATGTCGGGTTTGCCAAGATTTCCGACTGGAGCGATCCGTGCATTCTTTTCCATCGCAGCCGAATCTGAGACAAACAGTCACATTTCGAGGGAACCGCCAGATTTCATGAGGCATTCGATCTCGTCTCGCGTCGCATGGTGCCGCCACCTTTGTTTCATTCAGGCTGAGGATTGCGCGCGAGATGTCGCAGAATGGCGAAGATCGATGCAGCGCTTCACTGGAGCATTCACTGAGGGATCTCTGTGCTTGCGGTAATTCCATTGTAAACAGCTGTTCGGGTTTGTGATTTCCACCTGTCTCCATCGAGGACGGTGTTCAACCTCGAGGCTGCAGAAGCACGTATGAGCCCATTTGCGCCCAGCGTGGCGCGCGATAGTTCCCGAAGAGCCGCGTGGATTGTGTCGAATGGTCGGGATTTCGTGGCGCTTCATCATGCGCCTGCGAATGGTTGTTTTGTCATCGGCGAACACGGAACGTTCTCACCGACTTCGCGATGAGGCTAACTGCTTGCATGTTGGGGCAGTACCTACTAGGCATGTATTTTCGGACAATCACTAGATATCGACATTGGTCAAGCCAATGCCAGAGACGAAATTCGTCCCTGGTACCCCACCTCTGAGACATAAATCAAACTCTGAATATAGACCAAGATCTCGTGAATCCTTCCAGCGTAAAGTGCGTTTCACCGCCTCAGCAAACACATTGGTTCCTGTGAGGATCTAGTGACAATGTCGATCGGATCAAGCCTCTCTGCTCCGTTATGGACCTCGAGGGTGGCAGGCCGAACGCCAATGGTAGGCTTCCATCCGGCAGGGTCATGACATGGAACCTCTACCACCATGAGACACCAGCTAATTTCCTAAAGGACGATTATCGACGGCACATCAACGAATCTTTCTCACAAAACCTGAAGGACACTGTCGAGCTCCACCGATGGACGGTAGAGCACCCGCAGGAATTTTGGCCGGACCTCTACCGATGGCTGGATCTTGTTCCGAAGCTGCCTCCGAATGCAAAAGCTTACGACAGCACCCAGCCGATGAGCTCGAATCCCGCCTTCTTCCCCGAACTGCAGGGTTTCAACTACGCTGAGAATGCACTCTTCGCAAACCCCAATCCGGAAGCGGTGGCGCTGATCGGCGTGCGAGACGATACCGACCTGACCACGTCTGACGGCGAGAAGCTCACCTGGCATGAGTTTCGGGAGAAAGTCCGATTGACCGCCAGCGCTTTGCGGCAGCATGGTGTCAAGAAGGGTGATCGAGTCGCTGCTCTCGTGGCCACATCGATATGGGTCATGATCCTCTTCCACGCGAGCGCCAGCATTGGAGCCATCTTCACGAGCATCAGCCCGGACCTTGGTCTGGAGGGCTGTATCTCACGACTTCAGCAAGTCACTCCCACCATCTTCTTCGCTGATTCGGACACCATCTATAAGGGTAAAGCAGTATCGACTGCTCCCAAGGTTAGCCAGATTGTGGCAAGACTTGATCCTCGGCCACAGACTTATATCATTCCTCTTGTGACTGCCAATTCCGAGTTTCCAGATATCGAAAAATTTCTCGGCAGAGCCGACTCCAAGGCGCCGCTGGAATTTGTTCGAGTTCCATTCAACTATCCTCTGTTTATCTGCTACTCATCCGGGACTACCGGCGCACCCAAATGTATTGTCCACCACCACGGCACGATCATGCAATTCAAGAAAGTTGCAAAGATTCACAATTCGACCACGACTAAAGATGTGATATTACAATACTCTTCTACATCGTGGATCGTGTTCTACATCATGTCTGGGTGAGCAGGATAAATGTCATTGCAGGAAGAGAAGATAACCCAACTGACCCGAGGAAGTTATTTCGCTTGTGGCGCTACAACAATCGTCTACAACGGCAGTCCCATGCATCCCAACAAATCCCAAATGCTACGGATGGTGGAGAAATTCAAGGTCACATATTTCGGAACGTCGCCCCGATATCTGCTCGAGCTCGAGACGGCCAAGATCGTACCCAAGGCGGATTTCAATCTCTCATCACTGCGTATTGTCTACGTGACCGGCGCTCCTCTTGCCTCGGAACAATATCGATGGTTCTACCGAGCATTTCCACCCGAAGCCCACCTTTGCAATACAGCTGGCGGAACCGATGTTGCTAGCTCACTGATCGCCGCAGACCCTTGTGGTTCGATTTATGCAGGCGAAATGCAGATCTTCGCCCTGGGCATGGACGTCGATATTGCTGATCCACAATCTGGCGAGTCTATCCTGCACTCAGGTGAGGCTGGTGAAATGGTCGTTCGACAGCCATTCCCCAGTATGCCGTGCTTCTTCTGGGGTGACAAGGACGGATCGAGATACCGCGCTTCCTACTTCGAGCGGTTCAGTAAGGTTGACGTTTGGGCGCAACACGATTGGCTCCAATATAACCCAAGGACGAAAGGATTTGTTATGCATGGCAGAAGCGACGGTGTTCTAAGTATGCTCCACATCCATTGCCCTACTCACGAATTCGGCTAACTGTGTGCAGACCCATCGGGTGTGAGGTTTGGCTCGGGAGAAATCTACGCCATCGTAGAGACGGCGCCTTTCACGGACGAGATTTCCGACACCTTATGCGTTGGCCGCCGACGTCCTCGCGACAGGGACGAGGAAGTTTTCCTCTTTGTGGTCATGAAGCCAGGCAAATCGCTGACCCGCAACTTGATCATGTCCGTCAAAACGGCTATTGGCAAGGCTTTGTCTCCACGCCATGTTCCACGATTCATCCTCGAGGTCCCAGAGATCCCCGTGACCATCAACGGGAAGAAGGTCGAGGCTGCCGTCAAACAGACGATCAGCGGCAAAGACGTCAAACCGAGCAACACGGTCACCAACCCAGACTCGATAGGGTACTTTGCGAGGTTCAGGGATATCGAACGCGAACCGGGACAGGCGAGACTGTGAGGATACATGTGGAAAGACTAAATTCCTGGCGGGAGACGTAAGCGCCCAAGGGAGCTATCCCTGCATAGGGATCATTGGGTCGCGAAAGAGCACCTCTGCATTGCGCATGCGCGCGGCATGTCCTTGATCGATTGAAGATGGCGATGAGCATGTGCTGAATTCATATCGTTATTGTGGCGTATCACTGACTTGAGCATACCTTGGTAACAATGATTTGCCCTGTGTTGTTTGGACAGCCAAAAGGGAGGAATGTGCATACGCGAGAGGAATAGCGGCCTGGGACTGGGTATCAAAATTGTTGTATTCGACGGGACGCTCTTCGAAGAACTTAATGCACCGCGCAACTCGTCCTTATTCTTTACTCCGTACATCAAGAATATATCTTTTTTGAGGACGAACGACGACAGTATGCGTAGATTCGTTTGGCACCTTGCTGCCGGAGCAGTGAAGTAAGTCGCATGTCGGACTGCAAAGAATCGATAGCACACGATCTACAGTGTCATAGCGTGAAACTGTGCTATTGATTACCAATGACTAGCCCGCATAAGATTATAATTATAATCTGGAAAGTTAAATATAACGTAATCCATCAGCGAGCCGGCCACACCACCGAACCCGCCACTTTTCCTTGGCATTGAAAATGAGGTGACTGCAAACATGGTTTATTTGACTACATACCTAGTTATACAGCTGCTATGCTAGGATATGATTCAGAAGGAGCATCTCTATCCTGCTGGCAGGTTCGCGAGTTGTGTCCAGCTATTCCGCAGTTTCCACATCGTCGTTGAGTTAGAAGTCCTCGTTCAGGACCAGCTTTATTACGAGTCCTTTTCGATTGTTGAGCACTCAGACCCGCATCTACGCCTGCCTGCAATGCTCCAATACCATACTCTATAGATCCACCTTGCTGTATCTGCTTCCGTTTGCGCGATCTTCTCTTAGTTAATACTGCTAATTGCTCTTCAAGCTCTGTAATCCGTGCAGCTTGAAGTACATTCTGATGGAGCATCAACTCAGCACCTTTTACCAACTGTGAGAACCCTTCCTTAGCTTCGGGTGGAGATCTAAGGAAAGAGCTACTAATCAGCCGTGATTGAGATCCGAATTCATGCGAATTGCTTGGTGTTTGGGACTCCCATGCTGCTTCCGGTAATAGCTGTCGAGGAGGGGTGTGTAAACGTATATCAAGACGATCAATGACTGTTTGCGCGTCTGTACGGACTATCGCTGTTGCCTCAAAGGCCTTTCGACAGTTCTCTTTCGTAAACACGTCGAAAAACGCGTCCTTAAAGGCTGGAAGGAAGTTCTCTTTGTTGATATAGAAGACGCGGTTCCGTGCCAAGCCTCTGACACGCTCAGAGTATTTTCTCTTCAGCGGTGAGAAACATACTACGTCGAGAGGCTGGAGGATGTGAGATGAATGT